TTTTCGTTTTTTAATGGAAAACTCCTCTTAAAAAATACAGCGTAGATGCAAACTCACGGTGATGGTATTTCGCATGTCTAAATGTCATGTCATAAACTAGCGAGATTATGTCACCCACTCGTTACATCTTCGTTACGATTTTGTAACGCTAGCTTTCGGGTGATAGATAGACTGTATTATGATAGTCCAAAAAGGTTGTTTATTACCAAAAAGTAAGCGCACAAATGATCGTTTAGCAACAAAAAAAAAGAACAAATCCCCCAAAAACGTATACTGCAAATGATATATACACGGGGTTTAATAAGTATATGTTCTTCTTGGAATGATCAGTGATTTGGCTTTAATAGATTCGAAGGGAAAGGTTTGAATACTCTGGGTGTTGGTGGTCTTACTTTCAACATTTGTCAATGGTAATGATTTGAAACAATCCTTCCTCCTCTAAATGCTATGCTCTTGAGAAACACAACAGAAACCAGGGTCTAGAGAGAGGGTGTTCAAAGCATCGGGATTGGTTGTTTTGCGCATTGCTTATGACGACATTGGGCCGTTTCTGTTTCTGTTTCTGTTTCTGTTTCTGTTTCTGTTTCTGTTTCTGTTTCTGTTTCTGTATAAGTATTAGTATGTTATGTATTGGATCGCTTTTTCCATGACTATCTATGCTCTTGATTGGCTGGCGTGGTGACTATCGCTTTTCAGCTAGCCTGACTGCATTAAGGTAAGCAAGCAGCAGTATATAACTCGAAAAAGTACGGTGATGAAAAACAACCCAAGGCAATGCGATGCTTGCAGAGTATGCATACATAATTAAAAGAACATAAAATAAGTAGTAAAAGAGAAAGAAAAAGAGAAAAGACAAAACAAAGAAAAAGGAACGTAAAAAAAGAAATAAATAAAGAATAGACAGTGAAAATGAAAAATAAAGAGGAGAGCCTACAGCACCCCGGATTCCCATGTTGTCTCCAACCATAGTACTAACGAGGCCCTCAGACGTTTAACTGCAGTGATCGGACGGGAACTGGTGTTTTCGCCTAGGTATGGCCGTAGACACTTTCCTCCTTAATTTAGCTTACTTGTACTTGTACTTGTACTTGTACTTGTACTTATACTTATACTTGTATCTGTATCTGTATCTGTATCTGTAGATGAAGCAGGTAGTTGTAAGAGACTAATAACCCTTTTGTTTCACCAAATGTTTGGTCTTTACATGAATGAATGCCATTCATATAACGATTTGTAGAGGATCGTACGTAGTCTAGACTTTGCTTTAACTTCTCTTGCATTGATGGTTTAATACTCGAATTATTATTTTTGACGTGTATATTTTTTGAAAATATTGCCTGAAACCCCTTTTATGAGCTGTACCGTTTTATGGTAAATTCACTTTGCTACAGCAACGATTAACCGATCTCTGAGTTATGGAAGACTATACCTTGGTATGCTTATTCGTTAATTAGAGGGGTTTGACAAAATAAATAGAAAATAGAAAATAAAAAATTGAAACTTTGAAACTCTTGAAAAGGAGATAGGAGGTCCATCTCCATACCTTACAACAAGGTTAACTTGGTTTCCCAAAGCTAGATGTGGATACAAGTATGATGATTTCCAATAGTGGATATTAGATAAAAACGTATCATATTATAATCCGTAACTTCATCTAATTATGTAACTATTTATTACGGACTTAGTTAGATGAACCTAAGACGAAAAGCATCGCACAGTCGAAAATGTTAGAAATTTCCATTTAAGATAAAATTCAATAAAAACATACTATTATAGCCATATTTTCGGAGGTTTGACTGCATTAAAGATGTAGTCTTAGCGGCAATCTAACAGCGTTTGGAACAATCTTACCGCTAAATTACTGTTTGAATTAGTAAAATAATAACGGTGATTTCACCTAAAAACCGGGCATGTGGTGTAGATGGTTATCACGCTTCCTTAGCATGGAAGAGGTCCCAGATTCGAGTTCTGGCTTGTCCAATTTTTATTCACAATAGTCACTCAGCCAGTCTTGAGAGTATGTTTTTTAAATGGAACTATAGTTGCACATGATTTTGTTTATACCAGCCTTGCCAAATACTTCAAAGCTTCTGTGATAAAAGCTTTCGAACACGATTATAGGCCATTTCCATATGAACATCAATGGACCACAAAGCTTCACCAAAACTTTTACGGGTTTCAAAAGCAAGGGATTAGTTGTGCAATGTGATATTTTTTGTCAATCTTCAAGTTCACGAAAAAAAAGTAGTTATTCATTTTTTTTCATTGTTTTTTTTTTATATCTATACGCTGACTTGATAAAAACTGTAATACGCATTAATATCTGTATAATAAAAATGCTTCTGAAATGAAAACGGCACATAACCTTTGTGAGTGTTACATATCTATTCGTTATTTATTTATTTATTTTTTTATGTTTATTGTTTCTCTAGTGATTCTATAATTAGATTTGTGAATGGTAAGCCAATCGATTGATTAAAATATATAAGATTTATCCTTTTTTTTCGATAAACTGTTCTGTACTTTTGTTTTCTTTTGCTAGACATTTTCATAATATTTAGGTAAAATTAACAGTCTTTATTGTTTCTATATCTTATTCATGGATAGCTAAAGAACCATTGGAATTATTACAAGTTGCAACATGAGACGGCCCTTCAACTCAATTTGGTTTTGCCATTCCTACCTTGTAGACAACTTTTTGGATGTTTGACTCATATACTATGTAAGACAGTACAAATTAACAGGATTTACTAAACCAACGTGCAACTATAAGTATTATCGTTTCGGCGAAAGATCAAGTAGCAACTTTTGTTTAGTGTATCTGGTTTCGCTTGATATAATACGCTAACTGTCTACCAGTTATACAAAGCAAGCAGAATCTTTTATTTTTAAGATTTTATTGAATTCATTGTCCCTTGTACATGAATCAAGCTGAATTAATGCAAAACTTTTTCCTTTTTTCTTTTTGTAATAGTAAGTTTCGGTTGCCTAAATTATATATTATAAATCATAGGCGGAAGTCATGATAACTTAGATTATGTAGATGTGTATGCTGTTTCAATTTGATATTTTATTATTTCCGAAATCTTTGAACCATATACTTACTACATATCGCACATGATCACATACATCGGCTAAATAAGATAAAAAATCATAGACAAGAACTGGAAGACATCAGAATAAACACTGAAATAAATAATAAAAAAACTTAAAGAAAGTCACAAACAGCTATTAGTTGTTACCATAGATGGCTTGCACCGTTAATGCTAATTTTCAGCCATTGAGATCTAGTATTCTTCATGTCAACTTGATGTTTCCAAATGTGCATACTTGATAGTTCTGGGCGTCTATCATATCAAAAACACAACTAACGGACATGTGAAAAAACTTTAGTCTATGTGAGAACTGAAAATGGAGCACAAAACAAAAAAAACAAAAAAAAACAAAAAACAATGTTCTTACAAGATTTAGCAAAATCATGTTTTGTGCCTCAAAAGGTATACTCAGCGGTATCTAACGTATTAAACAAATTTAAGAATATAATATATTATGCAACAAAGATATAGTATCAAAATATACAACCAAACATCATAGTACAAAAAAATTGTACAGTAATAATGCACCACGGCGGTTCACATTGCGTGGTAAAACATGAAGATTCGGTATGCTTTTATAACAAACCATTTTAAGCAAATCTTGATTGAATCAAGTAGATCATGAATAATCCAGTTGTGATTTAAATTGCTGGTTTCAGTTCAATTCGCTGATTCCAGGCGACTAAAAATAGAGAGTGTACTTGCGCTGCACTGGACTTGACTGAACTGGGGACATTATTAAGGACGGTATATTCTGTTACTGAAAAGCATTTCCTATTCTTTTTTTTTTTTTAAATGGAGTTTAGACGTCGATTTTTATAAACAAATTTATTAGAAGTTTGAAAGTTTTTCATTGGTTTTAAAGACTGATTATTAGTTATTTAAGATACTTAAAACAGAAGCACAATACCATGTAGTACCATAAGTACCTCTACTTTTTGAAATAGTTATTTAATGTTATGTAGTTTAGATTGCAGTTGATATCAACAAATCTTCCTTAGTATAGGGGTAGTACACCAGCCTGTCACGCTGGCAGCCCGGGTTCGAATCCCGGAGGGAGAGTAATTTTCTGTTTTCATTTTTCCTTTTTCCTTTTTTCTTCTTCCTTGTGTTTTCTTGTTTGTATTGTTTCTTTAATTCTACAGTTAGTGTCTGCATCCATAGCGATATTTCCTTCGTCAGTTGCAAAGTAATCATGGTGTGACGGGTGACAGATGCAGACCATGCCGTTCAGCAACCGCAAACAAGGCAGCAAAAATCAAGTGTGTATTATTTTTATATAAAAGATCTGCAATGATCCAACTAATAGAATTCACCGAAAGAAAAAGAAATGAAAAAATTGAAAAAAATTGAAAAAGTTGAAGGCTATGACCGTGCCAAGACTCGAACTTGGGACCGTCTGCGAACATCAAATGTTAAGCAGAAATTATAACCATCTAAACCACACGGCCTTCGTTGATGTTTAACAACACATATTAATTTTGATACTTCAGGCTATGAGATGACAATTATTTTCTCGTTTCATGCTCAACCAGCTGTTTCTAAGTGTGTGCAGTTTTCCAACACAATAGCCTGAATTTCTATAATAAAACGGCCTAAAGCAGCAAACAAAATAATCAATTTATACGCATACCACTTCACTCGCTTTCACAATACGAAAAAAATAAAGAAAAACTAAAGACGACAAAACAAAATAAAACTACCTTTTTGGTCTTTTTTTATTTAAATCCTTGTAACATACAAATGTAGAATGTCGAATTGTCATGAATATATATATACATATATATATCAACTCTGAAATACGCAAATTTGTCGAAAGAGTACCTAATTACAGATTCACATTTTCGAATTGTCAGATATAGAGAGCTGTTTACATAACATAGAAAAGAATAAGATATCAACCAAGGGCATGTGGTGTAGATGGTTATCACGCTTCCTTAGCATGGAAGAGGTCCCAGATTCGAGTTCTGGCTTGTCCAATTTTTCCCTGTTCAACCTTCTTCAAATTTCCCTTTGCTTTTTACTTGAATTAGAATCCTTTTTTTTATCTCTATTCAAATTTGTTCTAACTTGCTTTACGATTTAGTTTAGTTTACTTTGATTTCATCTAGTTTTGTTTTGTTTTGTTTCGCACAGCGGTCATTCAACTCTGCGATAAAATATACAAATAGATAGGTATTTCATTACGACAAAAAAAGAAAAGAAAAACAAAAAGAGAGGGATTAAAGGTAAATGTAAGATAGAAATAGAAAGAGGGAAAAAAATGGAAAAAGGAAAAAAGAAAAAAAAACAATGGTCACAGCCAGGCTCGAACTGGCGACATTCGACTTATTAGATCGACATGATAACCAACTACATCATGCGACCACTTGTTGTAAACGCAAGCGGTAAAGTTTATTAGAGGCAACTACGTTTGATGAAATGGAAATAACGACTTTTATAGCTTTTTATGAGACTATATGTCATTGTTTACTGCGAAAATATCAGCTTGAACTCCAAATATAGATAATTAGAATATGCGTATGTAAAATTAGTAAAGTAAAATAAGTTATATAACGTACCACGAAAGAAAAATAATCATCACCAACGTAAATATCTATATATACCAGATCTTTCAGTAAAAGCTAGTAGTATAATTCATAAATAAAAATAATTATAATAAAAAATCTCTATAATAAAAATAGACAATTGCTAGTAGCTATCATCAACTTAATTAGTATTGTAAACCACATTAATGAGCATAACAAACCAATGTGGATATTGCCCACACACAGCAATACAACAAGATGAACGAGGTTCTTTTTGAAATTCATTCCCATCGCTTCATTCATAAAATTACTTTAATTTTTTTCTTTGAAGTTTTTTCTTATATGCTATCTATAGCTACTGGTATGTACTATACTGCATTTGGAAATGTTGTGTTTTTGCTTTTTCTGACATAAATAAGCTATCAAATGGTTTAAATGGAATTAAATCCCAACGAAATCCGTTGTGGTCCAACGGCTAGGATTCGTCGCTTTCACCGACGCGGCCGGGGTTCGACTCCCCGCAACGGAAATTTCTTTTTAGTCCTTTGAACTTTAAGGCTGAAAGTTTTGGGTCTGAAAATATATTCCTTACGGGCCTATACCAAAGATAAAAGATTGCTTAATTATGGTATGGTTAGAGTAAATTTTTCACATTATGTTAAATGTATGATAGTTTTGATACAACATTAACTAAAGAAAACCAGAAACCTCTTTGGATAGCGCTGCTGATTGTTTAGATACTCTATCAGCTACCACTCTCATTATGATAAACAAAGTAATAACTTCTTCATGGATGTAAAATACATCGCGCACAAGTTGCTCTTTAGGTTGAGCTAACGGTGAGTTGTTTTTTGAAACCATCTGCTTCGTTATTGATGAAAACACTTTAGGAATTATTGATCGAATAAACTTCAGCCCATATGAGATGGATTACAGAGACATTAGTTTCGAAAAGATTGGAAGGTCCGTTCCACGAGGCATGGTTTATGCTATTTAATCTAATAATGTTTTCTTTTAACAGTTTTCTTTTTTTTTTTTTTTTTTTTCTTTCCTTACCAAAGTATTGGCCTATCGAATAAGTGAACAATGTCAGTCTAAAAAAAAAAGCATACAGAACAGAATGGGGTGTCATTCACAAAAGATAGAGGAATATAAAAAAATTTTTTTTTTTCGTCAATAAGTCTGTTAGACAAGAATTTTGATTTGGAGAAACAATAGGTATAAATAACCGGAATGTTTAAAAGGATTACATGATGCATGGAAGCACCTAAAATTTTTGGTTTTTAATATGTTATATTGTTTGTTATTTACTTTTTAAAAATTCATTGGGTGTGTAACTCGTAGCTAGGTAAATATATTTGCTTTGTTTAACCAATTCTGAGAATGCATATAGGTCATGCAATCCGTCTCATCTGATACAGTCTGATATAGGATAGAGATGTGAATAGCAAGATTTTTTTTATAGAAAATGTTTCATACGAAGAAAAGTGCGTCTACGGCCACACCTAGGCGAAAACACCAGTTCCCGTCCGATCACTGCAGTTAAGCGTCTGAGGGCCTCGTTAGTACTATGGTTGGAGACAACATGGGAATCCGGGGTGCTGTAGGCTCTCCTTATTGATTTTGTTTTTGTATTCAATACAAATTGCTTATTCAATACAAATTGCTTACATCGTTCAAGCTTCTTGTGGCATACCCTACGAATATCCCTTATACATGGGAGGGGTATGAGAATAAAAGAAATTTCCGTTGCGGGGAGTCGAACCCCGGCCGCGTCGGTGAAAGCGACGAATCCTAGCCGTTGGACCACAACGGATTTACGAATATCTTGGTATTTAAAATATATATGTAATAACTGAAAATTATCATTTGAGATTATTGAACGACTTTCTAGTAGACATGTAGGTAATAGGATACCCGGGAGGGGTTTTATAGTCTAAACAGGTAATGAGTAGACATATCCAACATTACGCTTGGTATCTTCAACTTTGGGTCACTTAACGTTCAATCTTGAAAGAGGTTATAGAACGAATAAAAAGAATTTTATTTTTATGTAAAATAATTTAAATATAGTGAAACGAACGAATTTTGCTTATTTAAGAAACAACCCACGTCCATTTGCATCTGTACTCGATACAGACGTGCCTGTGGTATTTACACAACCCGTCATTAATTCAAGCATTGAATTACAGCTTAAACTTTTCACACAAAGACGAAAGAAGAAAATTTAATTATTTTATTAACAGCGGTCCTTGTTTTTTTTAATTAAAACATGTTTTCAAGAACAACATCCATTATAATCTATATAACCCTGGCTTTTCTCTTATTGCACACTGCCAGGTCTGCACATGGATTTGTTACCACTTCTAATGGATATGAATCACTTCCTATTGCTGTAAGTAAAATGATTTCACACAAAGACTTTGAGCTAACAAGTGGTATAGATAAAGATAGAGTGTCTGACCATCACCATATTATTTACCTTGTTGACTATTTCCACTGCAGCTCCTTTACGCTGTATAGTATTGAGCAAGTGGACGACAAAATCCGTGGACAATTCATACCTTTCCTATAGGATAAACTTCCTCAGAATTAAAGAATTGAGAGATACTTACGTTCCGACTGCCACGAAAAGCTCCTAAGATCGTTACTTCTATCTCATTGTACGCCTAATTAAATCTATATTTCAAGGAAATTTATTACAGAGAAACGCAAACATAGGTGGATCAAAAATAAGTATTGAATGAATAAAAGTAAAATCCATATGTTGCTATTTTAAAGCAAGTATTTTATAATGTGTTTAGTGACAAATTCATGGTTCTGATGAATCATAATTCCTTTACTAAGTTGTCCAAAGCAACATGAATGCTTACATCGTTTCTCGCACGATCTAGTTCGGTTAGTTTCCAATGTACATTCAAAAAATTTAGGTACTTACAATGCTGTTTTGGTTAGCGTCTCTTTTCACTTTATAATAGTAACCACAATATGCATCCGTGTTAACTAGGCGGATGAATTGTTCATCATGAGTGATAATGATTAGTTGAAAGTTTGCTTGTCTCCTTCTAAATTCGACAATTTTAGATAAGCTTTTAGCTAAGCTTATGATATTGTCTTCATCCAAGTTCGTTGTAGGTTCATCAAGAGCTAGTATTCCACAGTTAACACCTAAACACTCTGCCAAGGCAAGACGAATTATAATACAGGCCAGAACTTTCTGACCAGCACTGCAACGGCCTCTCATATCCAATTCGGCATCTCCCTTTACCATGCAAACTCTATAATTATAAGAGCGGTTTCCTTTTCCTTCGGCGTCCGAGCGTATTAAAATAGTATCGATGTCTGTACCACAGTAGGTCTGTTTCCATAACTCATCTACAATTCTATTAATTTCATTCATTTTTAATGAATGGAGTTGCATAATGGCAATGTCTAAAGCTTTTGCATATTTTCCTATATCATCATTAGCTTTATCAGTCGTCCTAGTCTTAATTAATTGACGTCGATAGCGTTCATCCGAGTCTTTATATTCGAGATTTAAATCTTGAGTTAACTGATTTACACCAGAATCAAGTTGTCGACATTCACCTAATAACCCGGCACGCTCAGCATTTAGTGCTCCATATTGAATTTTCAAGGACTCCATTTTATCACGAAAAGCTTGTCTGTTGGTCTTTGCTTGTTGAGCTATCAGACTATTCTTGTTTTCTAAGGCCTCCAAGAACTGACTGTGTAATCGACGAAGACGTAGGTTATCCGAAATATTGCGTTCCCTTGAACGCAGGTCAGCCAACCTTTCTTGAATGCTTTTTATTTTTTGGGTAATAGAATTCAATTCAGATAGATCGTATTCAACAGTTCGATAAAGACCATCCTTCTCTTTAACTAAGCGATCTAATTCAAACTGTATATCAATCTGTAACTCTCTATTCCAATCTTGTACTTGTTGAAGAAAACCGTTTTTAGTTTGCAATAATGTTCGGCTCTTTTCTTCAAGTTTTTCAAGATTACTCTCCAAACTAAGCATATCGTCATTAAGTCTATTAAACAATGGCCGTTGTTCCTCGCAAGACTGTTTAGCATCTTCAAGATCTCCAAGTAATTTAGCTTTCTTCTCATCACAATTTTTTACCTCAACTTCCAATTGATGTAACTCATTAATTTTCAGTTTTAGATCTGAGAACTTAACTTCCCTTTCTTTATTAGCTATGTTCAAATTGTCAAGCTCCCTTTTTTGTTTGGTCTCTTCATTAAGTATTGTCTCCAAATTTTTCTTAGAAGTTTTGTTCATTTCTGCCATCTTCTTTCGTTCAAGACCAATTTGATTAATATCCAATTCCTTTAAAGATGGACTAAGTTGGGCCTGTAGATCCGAAATGTGCATCTTGCACTTTTCAGTTTCCTCGTTCAAACGGTCGATATCTTTCAACTTGAGGTTTAAACTTTCAAAAGACTGGTGTTTTTTGCTCACATCTTTCAACTCCAAATCCAGGGAGGCAGCTTGCTCTTTTGCACTTTCTAACTGCTGTTCTGTTATGGTCAAAATATCGGATTTTTCCTTTATCGAGCTTTTTATTGATCTTGCTTCTTGAATAAGAGGAATTACATCACTTAACGCTTTCCTCTCTTCATGTAAGCTCTCCAGTTGCTGATTTACATCTAACAATTTCCCAGGAATATTTTCTATCATCGCACGGCAATGTTCAACGAAAGCAGCTTCTTCATCATTTTCAAACATTCTTTGACATAGTTGACAGGCATGGTGTGAGTCAGACATCTGAATCGCCTTTTCATAAAAACTTATACCAAATTGTAGGGAGTGAGCTGTTCGTTTGCTGTCTTCAATCCTTGTGTCCAATTTGTGAATATTTTCATTGTGCTCATCCAAGTTGACTGATTGGTACTGACTTAACTGAGCCTTTTCGCTATTTCGAGACTCCAACTGAAATAGTTCTTCACGATAAGTACTATATTTATATTCAAGTTCAACAACAGTAGCATTCGCGGAATTCAGTTTTTTCTTTAGTTCATCTATAGCTACTTGTGATTTTTGTAAAGAGGCATCTAGATTTTCATAAAATTCATCGACGGTATGAATATCAAGGGCGGTTAACTCAAAGTATCGCTGCTTGAAATATTTTCGAGCTTCTTCTACGTTAGCCATTAATTTTTCTCTCGTCTCGACTAGTAATTGTAGCTTAGAGTAAATGTTGGCATTATCATGAAGTTTATCACTCAATGAAGTTAAGTTTTCCAGTTCCCTTTCAGTATCACGTATTTCCGTTCTTTCTTTGTCAATTTTTTTATTCCATTCATTGTCTTCGTAAATTTTTCTGGCATCCTGGAGTTCCTTTTCTCCTCGTTTTAGTTCTTCGGATAGCAAATCTCTCGTTTGAGCCATATGCCTGAGATCTTCAATACGCGATTGAATAAAAGAAATAGTCTTTTGGTTATTCCCAATAGAATCTTCCAAACCTGCAATGGTTTTCTGCAGATACATCTCATGAGCTTTTAAACCCTCGATACGAGCACTTTTCTCTTTTCTTTTATCACGTATTTGCTGCAAATCTTTTTTGTTTTCAGACATATTTGTATCTAAATACTCAAGGTATTTTGTTATAATTTCGTTTTCATTTCGCTCTGAAAACCCGTGCAAGCTAGCAATATTCTCCAAAGTTTCTCCCTTTCTACGTTTAGTCCGTTCCAGAGATGCTAGTTCTCCTTCAGCACGACCTAAATTAGCCGAGAGGTCCTCCATCCTTTTTCTGTTTTCACTTAATCGAATTTCGGTTGAAGACTTGTTATTTTCGAGTTCTAATAGAAGTTTTTGTTCAGTTTCTACCTGTTCATTAAAGTTTGCAGACATATTCTCTAAGTCATCTGTAGTGTTGTTCATTTCAATCATGTGAAGCTTTAAGTCATCTATACTTGAAGCCAGAAAAGTGCAATGGTTTTCATACTGAGATATGGCAACTTCTTTTTGCTCGAATTCTTCAGTGGATCTGAAAAGTTCATCCTGAAGTTTTGCCGTATGTGATATTTTTTGATCCAGTTCTTCAATTCTGTGATTAATAAATGAAATGCGTTTCTGAGAACCGTGAAGTTGTAACCTGATTTTTTCAGCCCGTTCTTTATCTGACCGGAAATGTACTAAATTAGCTTGATCAACTTTAATTTGATTTTCCTGATCACGTCGTACGTTCTTTAATTGCTCGAGGGCTTTGGCGTATTTCATAGACTCGAAAATCTCGTCAAATCGCTTTTTCAGATTTGAGGGTTCACTCAATGGCCAGAAACTTTCTTCTTGGTGACAAAATATAACATAATCAAGAAGTGCTCTACTGACTCCGAGACTTAGCGGGACTTGCAAATCTAACTCTGCACACCGATTACTGATAGTACTTCGCTCACCATCATTGACGATTAATAACTGTCCGTCAAGCGTTTTCTGCTGTCTTGTTGTCTTTTTTACTAACAATTGTAATGATCGCGTACATATCATCCGTATTTGATTTGTGTTTTTAAACGCTAGTTTCACTTGCGCCAAAACCTCTTTCTCACCACACAACTGCCACTTGTAAGCAAGAGTCACTTATCATTAAAATGCTTACCTTCGGATCATGTATGAAAGCACCACCTTTGGTGTTTGGAGGAAGTATTCCTGTGGCAGCATATTTTAAACATTCTATAATGGTCTAAAGGAGTTAAAAATCACGAAAATGAAATGACCACATACTGTTTTTCCTGAACCATTCTGTCCAACAATTAACGTTAAAGGAGAAAAAAACTGAATACTTTCTCTTGATCGACTGTCAAAAGATCGAATGCCCATAATGGACATCTTGTCAATGCAAGACATCTTGTAAATTCAAATAACTCTATTTCAGCAATGCAAACATATATGTATGTGTAATTTGAAAAAAGGAACGGTGTATTAAAGAGAAGCAATTCAAAGTTTCATGAACAGAACAAAGCAACGCGTATTCTTTTTAAGCTGTCTTTGGATTTATGTTTAACGAATTACATTGAAATTTCGATTACATGGTCTTAATGAACATAGCGCAGAAGTAATAATTCATAATATTAATATCCTAAGTTTTAAAATGTATGAAAATAATTTCTCAGGCTTACTCAATGTTAATGTATAGACTTTACAAATTATAGCGCTCAAATAAGAATCATAAATCACATTTTTCGATTTCATAGCAGATAAACACTCAATATTATCCTATCAATGACTAGATAGATTCACTTGATACTCCTGGGAAAAGCTGTTTAATAGACACGCTTGAATGGAGGAACAGCTTTAACCTCGGCTTCATCCATAGTAGTGTTGACTACATTACGGTATTTTAAGGTGACAGGGTCTGTAGTATTCTTTTGCCAAGTCAAGGTATGCTTAATCCAGTTTGCATCATCTCTTTCGGGATAATCTTCTCGAGCATGAGCGCCACGAGATTCTTTACGGTTCAAAGCAGAATGAGCAGTTTGAACGGCACAGGTCAACAAATTACGCAATTCCAAAGCTTCAATTAAGTCGGTGTTCCAGATTAAACCACGATCCTTAATACCGATCTCGCTGTAAGAGCCGTCAACCTTTTGAATGTTGTTGACACCCTCTTGAAGGGTTTCCTCAGTACGGAAAACGGAAACGTCTCTTTGCATAGATTTTTGCATGTTAAGGCGAATTTCACTAGTATGCTTAGGACCATCTGAGGTACGGATCTTATCAAGGAATTGCAAGGAATCAAGTCCAGCATCGGCAGCCAATGGCTTGTGAGGAGTGTTAGGCTCCAAAGTGTCCTTGATATGCAAAGCACAAGCTCTTCCGAAAACGACGATATCGAGCAAAGAGTTGGCACCCAAACGGTTACCACCGTGTACAGAGACACAGGCAGCTTCACCAGCAGCATATAAACCAGGAACGACCTGATCGTTTCCGTTTTCGTCAATGGTGAGCACTTCACCGGTGTAGCGAGTAGGGATACCTCCCATGTTGTAGTGAACAGTGGGCAAAACAGGAATAGGTTCTTTAGTAACATCAACACCGGCAAAAATGGCAGCGGTCTCAGAAATACCAGGAAGACGTTCCTTCAAAACTTCGGCGGGAAGATGAGAAAGTTGCAAGTAAATGTGGTCGTTCTCAGGACCAACACCACGGCCTTCGCGGATTTCAAGAGTCATGGAACGAGAAACAACATCACGGGAAGCAAGATCCTTGGCAGTAGGGGCATAACGTTCCATGAATCTTTCACCCTTGTTGTTGAGCAAAAAGCCACCTTCACCACGACTACCCTCTGTGATCAGGCAACCGGCACCGTAAATACCAGTGGGATGGAACTGGACGAATTCAAGGTCTTGCAAAGGAAGACCAGCACGAGAAACCATTGCATTACCGTCACCAGTGCAGGTATGAGCGGAGGTGCAAGAAAAGTAGGAACGGCCGTAACCACCAGTAGCCAAGACGGTCTTGTGAGCTCTGAAGCGATGGATGGTACCATCTTCGAGGTTCATGGCAATAACACCACGGCACTCACCATTTTCCATCAATAAGTCCATAGCAAAGTATTCAATAAAGAAGTTAGTGTTGTGACGAAGAGACTGTCCATAAAGAGTGTGAAGAAGGGAGTGACCAGTACGGTCGGCAACGGCAGCACAGCGATAAGCTTGACCGCCCTTACCATATTCCAAAGATTGACCACCGAAAGCTCGTTGGTAGATTTTTCCTTCCTTAGTTCTAGAAAAGGGGACACCAAAATGTTCTAATTCCAAAACAGCAGCTGGGGCTTCTTTAGTCATGTAATGAATTGCGTCTTGATCACCAAGCCAATCGGAACCTTTTACGGTATCGTAGAAATGCCAACGCCAGTCATCCTTGGTCATATTACCCAAGGCGGCATTAATACCACCTTGCGCAGCGACAGTGTGGGATCTGGTGGGAAACAACTTGGTGATACAAGCAGTTTTAAAACCAGCTTCGGCTAATCCAAAAGTAGCACGAAGACCAGCACCTCCTGCACCTACAACAATAGCATCGTAGGTGTGGTCAATAATCGGGTACTTTACTTGTTCCGGGGTGGATGCTTGTTTAGCACGTAAAGGCTGTCAAAAGTTAGCTTTTTCTGTGTTTCGGAAATCATAGTATAGATATAAACGCTGGATTCTCAACTGCATGATTCGTTCTCTAACCATAGGGATGGAATAGTACGTCCATCACTTGTTCACCGACCCAACGAGGTCAAAAACAACCAAAATCAAATGTACACATACCTGAGTGGACTGAACTTGTCTTAAACAGACATTTGTTGAAAATAATCTGGTATTTCCGCTTTTTTTTAAAGCTGTTTTTATGCTTTTGAAGCGGTGCATTCTTTAGAGGGGGAGATGGTGGAAGAGTAATTGTCTCACTCATTGGTGTTGTACATGTGAATTAAATCTCGTTAAACTTGGTATAGGACGTAAAGGTAACCAAGTACTCTCGATAGCAAATACTTTTTTAGTAAATTCCGCTATTTCTATTTCTACCTATCTAATTGGCTATAGATAATTCATTCAAGCGGATCTATGGTTGGATTTTTACGATGAACCTTTTTGTTACCAATGACACAAGTAACGTAGGAGATAGTACCTTCCGCTCTTCGTTTTGTTTATTACCTCCATCTTAGTACTTGGTATATAATAAGGGTCTCTTGTCTATAGGGAAGGACATGTGCAGCTATAATAAGTAGTAGGAATAGAAATAGCAGTATTAATAGTAGATGTTAGTAGTAAAGTACTCAATAGTAAATAATAAATAACAAGTAATAAATGTGGATGAATGGATGGATGGATGGGAACTTTTTGACGAGAAATTATAGAAAAGAGAAATGTTTGAGATGGACGATTTGCAATTTAAAGTCTAATGAAACTGTTGACTACAGCGAAAGTCGCATTGTGTGTGATAGAGAAGAGTATGAATTGGTGGAATGTATAGAAAGTGTTCCTGGTACCTGGTGTAACAGAATGGAAACGGAAATAGATGTTGTGTGACAAAAAAAAATCACTGAATGGTTTAGAATAGAATTTTTAGTTTATGAATTCTAAAACAAGAGCTACGATTTCCCGGGTGCGCTGCGAGAATAGCCCATGCAATACGATCCAAGCAAGGAATAGACTGTTTCTATAGACTTGGAACGATGTTTGTATACAATAATATGTCTAATTCATCGAAAAAAATAGATTGGTTTCTTTTATTCATATTAAATTAAATTAGAAATAGGAAAACAGCTTTGTATGGCATTTACCCGTCATCCCTCTATCCTCAAACGCAAGCCAACCTAAAAGTGGAAAATTCATAAACAGTAGAATGATTTTAACGAGTTCTATGCAACAACTGTTTCGTAGGGATTGTACTAGATCCCTACAATGGATGAAAAAGAACTATATCTACACGATTAGCTCAGCAACAAGTTTTCACAAAAAGCCGTCCGTGTTTGAAAACTCTGAACCCCTAGATCATCCTGACGCGGGAGAAGACTCCTTTACTAGTTTAAAAGATGCAAAATATGCTTTCAATGCCGTTTTGGACGGAGTTGGCGGCTGGACAAGTATTGGTATCGACCCATCCAAGTTCTCTTGGGGACTGGTCCGAGAACTCGAAAAGGAATTCAAGCATTTTGATAACGACAAATTCCCTGATCCTCTTTCCTTGTTGACGAATGCGTTTTCTTCCTTGAAGAAAAGCAATAGCGTAAAAGCCGGCTCTTCTACTGTATGCACAACAATTTTCGAGAAGCAATCAGGCAAACTTCATTCCTTAAAGTAAGTACTTTATTCTTATTCTTTCCTATACTAACAAAGCATAAATAGTCTAGGTGATTCTGGTTTTTTGATCCTTCGTAAAGGAGCCGTGTTCTATGAATCTCCTCCTCAGGTTCTTCAGTTCAATATGCCCTATCAACTAGCTATTTATCCATCTCCTTATGTGTCCAAAAATGAAATTACTCCTTATATGAGTGATCTAACCAAGCATCAGCTTCATAATGGGGACTTGGTCATTCTAGCTACCGATGGAGTGTTTGACAATTTGGACTCGCGATCCGTTTTAGAGATCGCCAACCGTGCCCTTTCAGAAACTTCTATAGACGGAGATTTTACGAAACGGTTGGCGGATTCTATTTGCGACACTGCTGTCACGAACTCCAAGAATACAAAATGGATTTCTCCGTTTGCTAAAGCAGCAAGGAACTATGGGCTTAAATTTCGTGGCGGGTAAGGTTATTTATAATAGATTTAAATTTCTAACACCTTTTTTTTTTGTAGAAAAGTCGACGATACTACTGTCACTTGCATGCTCATTCAACAGCCTTCAACTTGATTCCTTCCCATTGACATTTAGACAACGGGCTCCAGCTTTTTGCTAGCTTTTATTCCAAATCTTCAGGACCAAAAGAATCCGGCAACAGCTTGAACAAAAAAATTAGTCTCATGCACCTAAAATTCATATGACATGACATACCTCTGCAATCGTTTTCGTCTGAAAAGTACCATCAGGATGAAAGAGATAGATATCGATATCTTTGGAAAATTCCCGAATTCTAATATTTGTTAAATCTACTTGCTTTTGTAACATTCTCCTTGCAGTTCACTTACGCTTGGCGACAAATACCACATGGGGTAACTCTTCCTTTATCACTCATAACACCCAACGCCATAAAACTTTTTTTTCCCATACTCTGTAAATAAATCAATGTTAGTTGAGTTTTTTTGCCTAGTTTCTCCTTACCACCGCTTTCGTTATTGCTACTCTTTCGGCACAAACACCAGCGCCGTAAGACGCGTTTTCAACTTTAAAGTAAGTAAAATAAAATAAAATAAATCCATACCATTGGCTCCGTATACAAATGTTTTTCCATCATCGCATAGTACACAAGCTCCTACTGCAAACTTCGAATATGGACAATAGGAATAATTCAAGCTCAACTTTACGTGCTCAAATAGTTGTTTTACAAGTTCCTGATTCATAGTATAACGATTCCAATCCTCTTCTTCTCTTCTTTTTTCTTTTTAAAAAAAATGTTCTGAGGTGTAAAGTATATATTTCCTTTTCACATTATCAATGTTTATACGATAGTCTTGTAAATCACTGTTAAATGAAATCAATTCCCGCGGTCTACCAGCGGCTCCACCATTCCTTCTTTCTACACTGGATATACACATTTGTTGAAGATAAATTTCATACCTACTTGAAAGAAAAAGAATACATTTTTTTTCTTTTTTGTTTTTTACCAACCACCGAAAAAAGCCTTTTATTAAATATAAAAATGTTTAATAAGTAAATACTGCTATTACCGCTCTTTAAGCATTTTGTTGCGCTTTTCCCTGCGTCTCCGACGGTCAATAACCTTTTGATGAAACTTAGACTGCAAAAGCTCCATTCTTTCCTTTTCAGCTTTAGCTTCACGACGTGCTCGAATTTTTTGAGCATGTGCCTAAACAATTGTTAATATAAGACCTGGCATTTTAGTCGATAATCAAACATACGGATCTCTCTTCTTCTTTTTCATCTCTCAACTTTTGTTCGCGATCTTTTGCTTCTTGCACTCTTCTTCTTTCTTCCATTCGCTTTTCATATGAAGTTTTCTGCGTAGGAGCCAATCCTGATCGGCGATATGCCGCCTTCGATGCTTTCCAAGGTTTCCCTGTCTGTTAGACTCAATCAATTTTAATCATATATTTTCCTTACCTGAAACGACACTCTTTCCCGCCATTTTTAAAAATTGGTTTTGGTTAGGTGTTGCATGAAATCTTACTTGGGTACAGAGTTGCAGAGTTCAAATTCGCTAAACATCGTTAAACACATCTCACTGGAAATGTTTGTTTATTTACATTTACATCTGGGATATTGAATAAAAAAGAAAAAAAAGTGAAAGCTATACGAGAAATGCGTTTGTAATTATGAATTTGAACTGAACTTTTAAATGTTAGATGTTTGAAACATAGTTCCGCTGTTAAACAGACTCGTGTTGGTGTTTTCATTAACAAGAGTATATGTTTGTACATCGATTGTGAATCTAGTATTGAGCGTGATGGTTGTTAAACCAATATGTTTATTTTCTTATACTATCATGACTAAAATTAAAAAGGAAATTGTTCTGGTTGTGACTACCTCGTTTGTTTTTGTTTATACACATTTGTTTACAAGAAGTTTGTTTTCTCATCTTAAAACTCGCAGAGCGTAAACATCCAATTCAACGAGAACCAAACTTGGAAATATTGTTTTTATTGAATACTATCAACTTCGTAGTCGAGATCTTAGTTAATCCATTCGAATTCTTAGAAAGACAGTGTAAGAAACCAGGGAACCGAGACATATTACGATGATTTCCACAATCCGAATCATTGAGGACAAACAATGCCAAAATCTTATTGAAAAAAAGACAGAGGAATATGAAAGTACTCGCGTAAAGGACATTACTCAACTGATTACGAGTGACGAAGCCGTCAGCTTGATGAGTGTTGATACTACAAATATGAAAACCGTCATGAAGATTGAAAACCTCATTAAAAATGTTCTTCAATTCATACAAGAAAAGAATCAAGCCATGTTTAATCTGGAATGCAAACTGATATGCTCGAAATATGCATTTCAAATGTTGGATTCAAATAACAAGGCTCTTCAAACCGAACATGAACAATTAAAAGAAAGCGAAAATTCTATGAAAGTAAAGATTTTCCAAAACGAGCACAAGATCAAGCCTTTAGTGGACAAACAAAAAGAACTCGAAATGGACATTTTCCAACTAACGACTGAAAAAAAGATGCAACAATTAAAAATTCAGCAACAGGATAAAGAAATCTTTTCCCTTGCCTCTCAATGTGATAGACTGAAACGGCGGTTGAACGCGGCCAATGAAGATAACTATAAACATCAACGCAAACTTGCTATTTTGAAGGACGATTTGAAAGCCAAAGAAGAAGAAAACAAGCATTTATATAAGGAAAGGAAGTCGTTTATTGCAAACATTGATCGAGCAAATTTTGAGGCCGAACAAATGAAGTATCAACTGGAAAAGCATTCTGAAGAAGACATGTTGACAAAAACTAGCATTGAAAACCTTTCCAAGATGATAAATGTTATCAGAAGTGATTGCCAAAAAGTCGAGGAAGAGAATCGAGTTCTTAATATAGAGAAAAGTCAAACGACTCAAAGAGTACTGGCTTTGGAAAACGACTTGGAGGAGTTGGAAATAACTTGTCAGACTTATAAAGAAGAGATCGAGATTTCCAAGAAAGCAAACGAAGACTTGAAGAAGATATTGAAAGGACGAAAACAATTACACCCAATACCTGAAGAAGTACACACATTCATCCCAAATGAAGAATATTTAGAGACCGAAAGGCAAAGGAAACTACTGAAAAAGATTGAAGAAGAAAAAGAAAAAGAAAAAGATGAAGAACATGAGGTAAAAGAGAAAATCACAATTCAGGAAAATAAATACGAGGAAGTGATTAGCGCTTTGGACAAGTCTCAACAGGAATGTATAACCTTGAAAGAAGAGATGAAAGTAACAGAAAACAGGCATTCGGAATTAAAGGAAGCGATGAAAAATTTGGAAATTCAAAATGAACAGGCCATAAAGGACAACGAAAAACTGATCTCTCAAATAAATGATTTAACTCAACAAAACGATAGCATCAAAGAAAACTTCGCAAAATCAGAGTTACTTCAAGAAAAATACAAAGACATTGTTAAAAAATTTAAAGACTTGACTTTAGAGCACGCCAGGCAAACTGTGAAAGCAGAGTCTCTCGCGTTAAAATGTCAAAAACAGGAATTAGAATTAAAGGAGAAAGAAGGACAATGGAAAAAATCCTCTGCATTTCGATTACAAGAAATAAAAAGCCTAAATGGAAGGATTCATGATCAGTGTGTCCAACTGGAGGCGTTGCAAAAATCCAATGACAACCTATTAAAACAAATGCAAGAAAAACCAGACAATTCAATGCTTGAAACTCTTAAAATGACGCTTCTAGTCCGGCAAAAGCATGTTTCATTTTTGGAAAAAGAGAACCAAAAGTTACAGAAGCTTTCTGAAGTGCAAAAACAACGATACCACTATTATTTGAACTTTACAAAAAGCATTTCAAACGAACGGATACATTACTACGAAAACGAAATACGCCTACTTCAAGATCAGATCTATATGTTTACCTTGGAGGTACAAAACAGCGAAATTCAGCGAGGCCTAACGAATTCAGAGGTAAATAAAAGTGGGATCCACGAGCAAAACACACTTGCAAATAACCAAACCATTATCTACATGTCTGCCTTTGAACTGCGCAATTCCCACATAAGCTTACAATCCCAAGAGGACAAGGAGAATATTTCTCAAAGAACAAGTAAAGGAGAACGTTCTATGAATTCCGAAAACGTTCAAAGGTCCGGTTTGCAAAATCTAGCAACCCTTGATAAATTAAACATTAAAGCAATTGAAACCCCAAATCAAAACTACGATGAAACAAACCTGATATCTGGAAATGAATTGTCGAAAGAAATGGTTGACGATGAATATGAATTAGAATTTAACGAAGAAGAACCTACAATAAACGCGAATGAAGAAGACTCAGCAAACCAATTTAGCTTGTTTTATTCTGAAGAAGAAAGAAGCCAACTTCCAGGTTTCATTGCCGACGCGAAACCCGCAAATTATGATCTCTTTCCTTGTTGCCAAGGTGCACCGGATGAAGTGTCAAACAAAAACAAAGAGCTGTCAAAAAAGAAATTGGTTCATCAAATCTTTCGTTCTTAATGATTCCCGCATTTTTAAACTATGAAATTATCTCCTCTAAACCACATACTATTCAGCTGCCAGTAGCTTTGATTATTTATTAAACACTCAGATATACAATGTACTGTATTATAATAAATGGATACGCAAATGATTTAATATGTGGGACGTAAGGAAGTAGGTATTTATGAGAAGACTAGTATAAAACGCGATAGCCAGATGCATTGGACAGATGCTTATGCATTCTCAACCATTGAAATTCTTGCTTGGTACAGTATATACCTACATATAACAAAAGACTATTTCATACAAGTCCGAAATATGCAATCAAAAGAAATTTCACGTCACTATGGTAGTAAATATTCATGCTAATGAGAAGACTTATAAAAGCATATTTAGTACTAAGTTACAAGGCAGAATACTACATTCGCTTAGAATAATACCATGTCGTTTTTCAAAAATATCCACAATGTGAGTTCGATATATTTTTTGAGATTCAACCTTGTAGATTTCCAGCAACTCAGTGGTTGCTTATACAGCACCCTTCATTTACTATCTCTAATACGAAACTGTTGTGCTTCTGTATATTGTATAGATTTTTAGGTGATATCACTAATTAGTTATTTGTAAAAGCATATATGTTGTATATGTTTATCTAAGTGTAGCATATAACAATATATGATTCAGTTTAATACACATCTTTGTAAAAAATTGATTAGCATAAATATTATTATTATTTTTGTATAGTAATAAGCAGATGAATACATGAATAAGAAAATTCTTTATAAACCACTAGTTGCATGTAGTAAGGTAAATGAGGAATATTTAATAGAGAAGTTTGGAATTCCATAATTGATTCGTTAATTAAATTTATAAACACTATTAGGTTGAAAAAGCTTCTTTTAATAAATATTTCTTTTTGTTTAAGGTAATTCCTACTTGGCTTATGGTTTGATATAACCTTTTATACACAGTCGCTGTGTTTACTGCGTCAACCTGAAACGCACTTTACCACAACAACATCTTTGAAGTAAGAAAAAAATGGTGCTTATTCCTATAGAACAACGTAAATTTCCTAAGACCTTAGTTTTATTTGATGTCGATGGTACTTTGACTCCTTCTCGTTTGGTATGTAAATGAATTTTTGCAAGCGGTTTTAGGAGTGACCTTTCCTATTATTACTCCTCTTCAAATTCGATTCCTATTATTTGAAATGCTTAGTTTTGTTTATTTTACTTTACAAAGCAATAGCAAATGAAACGACTTTCTTCGCTATGCTTCATTTTTGTAAATCATATGCTAACGTTATAAATTTAGAGCATCTCTCCTGAAATGCTCGATTGCTTGCAAAAGCTTCGTCAAATTGTTGCTGTTGGATTTGTTGGTGGTAGTGACTTGAACAAACAACAAGAACAACTTAGCGTGAGTGGAGAAAATGTTGTCAACTCTTTTGACTATTCGTTTGCTGAGAATGGATTGACTGCTTATCGCTATGGAGAACAGCTTGCTAGTCAATCATTTATCCAGTATATTGGTGAAGATAAGTATCAAAAGTTGGTGAACTTCTGTTTACACTATATTGCTGACTTGGATATTCCCGTTAAGCGTGGTACTTTTGTTGAATTCCGTAATGGTATGGTCAATATTTCCCCCATTGGCCGTAATGCTAGTAACAAAGAACGTCAAGAGTTTGAGCAATTTGATAAAATTCACAACATCCGTTTGAACATGGTAAATGCCTTGCGTGAAAAGTTTGGTGATTACGGCTTAACTTTCTCTATTGGTGGTCAAATTTCCTTTGATGTTTTCCCTACCGGTTGGGACAAGACTTACTGTCTTCAGCACGTTCAAAAGGAGGGTTTTGAAACTATCCATTTCTTCGGTGACAAGACATTTACTGGAGGCAATGACTATGAAATTTACGAAGATCCTCGTACTATTGGACATACTGTAACTTGCCCTGAGGACACTATGCAGCAATTGCGAGAATTATTCTGTATTTAATCATCTCTCCTTGAATATCTGCGATGCCCAATCGTTCTTTTGACATTAGATGAAATGGTGCTCAAGCCTCTAGTTGTCTACGCCAACTGGTCGCACAGCAAACCAACGTCGGTAAAGTACAATCTCAAGTAGAGCTTGAATAAAATAGAATATTTTAAAATATAGCATCCGTCATGCCATTACTTCATTCATTGTCGTAGAATATATGTTTCGAATTAGAACTACTAGCAATTTTATGACGTCTTCTGTTAGAATTCCATTCATAAACATTACTAGTCCTATCTAGAGAGGATCATTATGTTTCCACACTTATTTAAGCACAAAGTAATATATTCAGAAAGTTTGTTGCATTAGAAAGAGGTGCATTACAGCGTTAACATGACCTCGACTAAATATCAACAAATTTATTAAAGAATAAGCGGCGTGTAAAATTGTACCATCAAGTGTATTATATAGCATGAAGGATAGAAGAATAAATTTCTAAAAAATAAATGCATTATGCAATTACTTTTTTAAATGAAAGAGGAAAAATGTAAACAGTATTCGATTTAATTCGATGGTATGCGCATTAGAGTTGGTCATCCACAATATAATTCAGTATATCGGAAAGAGATAAAATGCCTTTAAGATGAAAGTCCTCACTAACGACAAAAAGTCGATGCACTCTGGAATGTTTTATAGCGTCAAAAATACCATCAAGATGGTCAGTATCGCGGCAAGTATGTACACCCGCGAAATTTGATGGTCTTCTTAAAAGCGCCTCACCCACTGTTAATTCTAAATTATTATAATCACCATCTTGAATTAAATGCATAACATCAACAGATTCATAAACGTTTATTAGGATCCCTAAAAGAAAGGTTTAGTAATTTGCTGGAATGAAATTGGTGACCATACCCTCATCATTAACTATCGGAACAGCAGAGATAGCTTTCTCTGCAAGAATCTGGATAACCGCGAAAACCTTCATATTCATCGTACTTGTAGCAAGGTTCGTCCATGTGCCAATTGGTAATTCATTAAGCGGCACCCGAAGCATAGATGTTTCTTTACACTAAATATAATTAGTATCAAATAAAGGAAAGAATTTCTTTAATTACATTCATGGATATGAATTTCAGAATTCTATACTGAGTTAGAACTGAAACAATCATTTCACTTCCTGTCTCGCCATCAACATCAATCAGTGGCACACGTCGAGCACGACTTTTAGACATTGCTAGACATGCTTCCATTAGACTATGCATGGGATGAACGTGAAGAGTTTCAGGAGGAATAGCACCTATCTTCCGTTCGACTTCGCGAAGTCCCAGGAGACGGAATTTATCAATTTCAGCCAATGTTTCTGGAACGGAACTACTTTGATAGTAGTATTTAATAACATTGACAAAATCTGCCATAGTTAACAGACCAGCAAATCTATTTGCTTCGCTATCCCATAACGGAGCGCTGACTATGTCTACAAAAGTTAGTCTCAGCGAATTGCATACTTAATACCAGATAGGTTTTTTTTTTGAATACTTACTGTTTAAAGCAAGGAGTGACAATGATGTTTTGACAAATAATGTAACGTCGAAAACAATTAGACGAAATGAAGTAGGTAAAACATCGTAACTTGTCCTTGAGCGAATGAAGGCCTGAATTTCTTTCTAAAGGACAATCAGATTAGTAAAGAAGCTAGTGAAATAATCTCTTTATCATACAAGAGCACCCTTTTGAGTCTCGTGAATGTCTGTCATGACCTTCAAAGGATGTGGTAGTTGGTAGCTGCTGTTGGAGAACTAAGTTCATCTGGAGATCGTTCGTAAGAAACATTCGTCTTTAACAAGAATGCTTGCTTTTAAATATTCAAACTTCAAATTAAATAAATTTGCAACACTGGGCAGCCGAGTTAAATGAAACTTCATATTGATAAAATGAACAATACAGCTCGCTCGCTCTTTAGTAGAACACTTAAAATTACTAAAAGTAATTAATTACAAGAAGTACGCTAGAAGGCGATTGAACCAACGACCACTCTACCTTTTAAAAATCATTGCTAATACGTTCTATTTGAAGTTATAATTACTAGCGGCTAAGTATTTATTACACAATATATTCCAAGGAATAAACGATAGTATATTAATGAGCCCATTTTTAAATTACTACTGCATCACGATTTTACCAAAAATTTTCATTTCCGTCGTGGTATGCATATTGTGGAAGTCGTATTATTTATGTCATGAATAACATATTTTCAGACTACTTATCATCTTGATATTTGACCAAAAAATTCAATTCCCTAGCTTAGAACTTTTCGGCATCAAGACCGTCCTTGAAGAAGGTCATGTAAGGGGTCATACCATCTTCACGGTAGTTCATCAAAACTACCATAGCATCGGGATCCATGCTTTCACCAATGAAGAAATCGTAGTCGTTGAAGTTGCCCAAGATCTTCTTGACATACTCAACAGCCTTCTTCTCAAAGATGGGAACACGTTCAGGGTTCTTCTCTTGGAGACGACCCTTGATAGTCTTCATGTAACCCTTGATGTAGGTCATGTAAGACTTCTTGTCGAAGCTAGTAGGGTTCAAACGGAAAGAGTAAACAAGGTTGTTAACAGTTTCGGTACCCTCTTCAGTAACATCACCACCATCCTCAGCAGAAGGGTTGGCGCCAATGTCAACATCACCACCTTGCTTGATGGTGACCATTTGGCAGTCGGCTTCATAGACGATGTCATCGACTTCCTTCAAGTCGTAAGCATCAGAAACGAGCTCATCCCCAGAAATAACGTCCTTGAACAAAAGCATGGTGGTGAATGTGGAAGACAAGTTAATGCATCCGGTTTTTCTCATGCCGACTTCCTGAATACCAGTCACACCAGGGTAAGGGTTTCTATGAATGGGTTAATTGGGTTATCATCGTAGTATGAAATATAGTGATACTCATTAAACACGGATGATATTAGCTATAGTTTATAAGGCGTATTTTATATTTGATGTAAAAGAAAAAGAATATATATGAGCTAAATGCAGTTTTCAACCCTTTATGGTAAAATGTAGGAATATCCCAAAAACCACTATATATGTCCATCCATAATATAAAGATTCAGCACGAGTTTAAGATTTTGGCTTGAATATGCTTTGAAGATATTTCTGTGAGAAAGAAAAAAAATTTTATATCTATTGCTGTTTTTTTTCATGCAAAGCACGAAGTAATTTTCGTACTTGAACTACGGTACTAAAAAGTCCCAAGGCACCTATTTGTTGTTTGCTAAGTCCAAGTCCACTGCCTGTAGACCAGTGAAGGCACAGGGGTAGGCTAACAACATTTGCGGCTAAGTCCCATTGATCTTGTTTATCATGAGTGTTGCGTACCTTCTTGAGTAATTGGTAAATAGTTAGTAGGGTATCGAGCAACCAGCAGCGACAAGAAATGAGCGACAGCTGATCTTCTTTGGATTTGGACATAGAAATAATTTGCTTGCTTCCCAAAAATGCAAGCCCCTCTGTGATATAATAGCACATATTAATGGCGTTGCTCAAGTGAGACTCTAACGAGCCCTCACGGTCAAAGTTTACGAGAAGCTTGTATAATCCAGGTATACGTAAAATACATCTGAATTCGTTTAACATAGACACAAGTTCACCGTTTGCCTTGCCAGCAAGGGGATTTAAACGAGCAACGTTTACTATTAACGCAGCAATTTTATCTATACCAGCAGGATGCTGCAGCATATAATTAACTGTATCAACACAAGAAGTCATTTCTATAAAGGGTCAAATGTGTTAAAGGACGGGGAAATACGAAAATATAAACACTCCGGTAAAAGATCCGATTGTTCGTGGAAAGATAGCCGACTCTTGCAAAGTTGTAATAATGCTAGAAAGGATTGTTAGTAAAACAGAATTGGAATAATAAACAACGGCTTACCTTTCGACTTTATGGTTTTCCGTTATACTATATAGGTGTTTGAGGACGAGCAGGGTTGTGATCGTTAACGTGTATAATTTACCTCTCTATAGAAAGAACATGGGATCATCCTTTTAAATATCTTAGTTGTAGCTTACAAGGGAATTTAGCACGTCTATGAAATGAAGATACCATTCTATTTTGTACTTTTCTAGTACATTTGATAGAGCAAGACGAGAAGGCCTTTTTTGCAGCGATGCGTCTTCTTTTCCTTTCTTATTTTTTTTTTAAAAAAAAAAAAGAAAAACAAACTTTAATAACTACTCTGAATGCATCCTATATAGTCTGATTATCCTATTTGCCAACTCTAATGCTAAATGCTATAGCTAATAACCGTTGTATATCTTTGGCTAACCATATTGTACGGAATATTTTGCCATGACAGTACCAACAACCCAACAGGATTCAGAAGTACTTGAAACTTTTGAGAGTATAGGAGAGAGATCCATGTTCCGTTATCAAGGGTCTTTTCTCAAGAACGAAAAGAACATCTGAGGGTTATAAGATACATCCGCAGACAATGCTGAGAACAGGGTAAAAGAGCCAGTGGATTACTGGTGTTAGCAGGCTCGCCAAGCTCTCAGGCTTTTCTGAAAGATATATCACTGGTCCAGTCATTAATTTAATCCTGTTTGGGATTTCGTGCATGGAGACAGTATGGACAGAGACAATCATAAGGAAAAAATTGGATCTATTTCCTTCCTATCATATTCAATAAACTTATAAAACAGACTCATGTGCACCTTAATACCACAAAAGCTAGTACTGCAGTTAGTAATCTGGGAAGACGTACTATAGTGCAAAGGATAAATAACAGTAATTCTTTGAAGGATCGATCTTTAGGGACTGTAGCCAGAAGCTCTAAAAATTGACGAGTAAATACCAGGGACGTTGGAAGACGACATCATATGCTAATTCTGATAAAAGACTACCCAAAGGAACAGAAGCTAATACGACGAATCTATGTTATACTTACATCTATGGAAGCATATCCCCCTGGATTTGCTAAAGAGTCAGATTTATCTTTCAATGGCTTTTAAAATAACAAACTCGAAAACTACAGCTTGAAGGTATGGAAGTTCTGATTCATCTTCGCTGAATGAAGAAGCCATTGCAATAATTTTGAACACGTTCTAATACAGTATACAGGACATATATTTACCTGCAGAAAGTCGTTTTAGATGTGGAATGACAGTTCATACCTATAGAGCCAACAATCTGGAATTTGAAGAAACTTTTCGTACTTTTAACAAATTTCTCGTGCGTCATGAAATAGTATTTTCGCTTCTCAAAATACACATACTAGATATATACAAAGGCGTCTTGAATGACCCCCAGACGCCGCCATACTTATCTTTCATTCATCGACTTTAACATTGAGTAGAAAAACATTCTTCAAATATATACCAAAGCTAGAGCGTCACTACCCAAAGAATCGTTGTCGCAAGTATATTTATAAGACTGTATTGTATACATTTATGAACGAGTATTGCTTGATATACTTATATATATAATTATATGAAAATAAACGGCAATATGTTATAATATGCAATTCGATATTTAATTAAAGAGTGATGCATTACAAAATGTAAACAGATGCTGAAGGATGCAACTTTTCGAATTGATATTTTGTTTCATGGTATAAAATAATTTGTATCAAGCAGTCTAGGCAATTTATTAAGTAAGCCGTACTTATTTCACAGATATATATACTATTTCACACCGGAAATTATTGAACCACAGTAAGCTAACAAGTCTGCTAGGATGATATTTATGTTTCCCTTAGATCTGCTACTCGTATTCCCTATATGCTACTAAAGTCTGCCACTGTTAAATACAATCTGCTCAGAAATTTTGCAAGAATTCTTAGACCCGACCTTTTATTCTCATAGCAAGTGAATAGTTTTGTTTAAGTGATTATCTTGGCTTTCATCACTATTATATAATTCTATAGAGGCCTCGAGAAATCGGAAATGGAGCGGCTGCGCCGTGGTGTACCCAAACTCGGCGGAGAAGCATTGATAGAGTCGGAATTTAAAGCCTTCTGAAGTATCCTTTAGCAAATACCCTTGCTGGGCTTTGTCCACATAGCAAGTAAAAATTTCCTTTGGTAATTGATTATTATCATACAAAAGAAGTAAAAAAAAGCTTCTTTAGAGGAAATTCTGGCCTTGCACTCGCGCGTTTTCAAGTCATCATCTCTCAGTTCAATAGGATTTCATACTTCAATCATTTCCCGCGGAAAGCAAACGGACTTTTCTTTCTAAAGTTATTGATTCATTTTATTTTGTTCTACTACTGTTTTTTTGTTTGTTCATTTTAATTTCCCCATTGACTAGAAGGTATGTGAAAATGGTTTACTTTTTTTTTTTTTTTTTTTTAATTGAGGGGTAAATTCATCGTTTATATACAGCTCTGATGACATTTATTAACTTCCTTCCAGAACTAATAATTTTTTTGGTCAAAGAAAAGAGAAAAAAGAAAACAAGAAAGAAAATCCCAATTTCATTCGCATTTGCATTCGCATAGAATTGGATATCTATTTATCAATCTCTTTTTGATATCATCTCAATCTCCTTAATTATTTGGTAATTAATATACTGTTTAATAAAGAAAAAAAAATTTGTTATTTGTTTGATTATTTCTGTGACGGACACGTGTTTCTTTGATCGACAATATTATTATTGATGCCTTCTTTTCTTCGTCGTTCTAATGTATCTTTAAGTTCAGCTGACCGGCCTCTTGAGTTAGACATCCAGATGGAATCGCCTCCGTTGATTATGTATGGAGCCCCCGAAGTTTCCTCTGGTGCTTTAGCAACGGGTCTCTTAAAGATGACAGTGTTTGACCAAAAGGTTCAACTAGATTCTGTCAACTTAAAGTTTATGCGCATAATATCCACAAAACATCCAGTTCGCGAAAGCTGTCCCAAGTGTCGTTCTACAGTCGATGTCTTTGAAAGCTGGGACTTTTCGTCAACTTCATCATCGTTTGCTCATGGTACACACACCTGGCCTTTTAGTTTTATAGTTCCAGGACATTTTCCTCAAACGACGGAATCTCCGTTTGTGAACATTCGATATCTACTTTTGGCTGTGGTAACCAGCGATACTTCAGCCAATACCAACGCAAAGCTTGAGCACTCGCTTGTTATAAGGCGGTCGATTATATTGAATACCGATAAGGTTGCTCAACGCCTTTTCCCTCCTACTTCGCTGGTTGCATTGTTGGAGATGCCACCGGTGATCCACGCATTGAGCTGTATCCCAGTTCAATTTCAGCTTACGGGATGTAGGCCCCAGAACACAGCATTTTCATGGCGTTTATCCAAAGTATCTTGGAGGATTGAAGAGCAAATTAAAGCTCGGATTAGCCCATGCGCGGACCATGAAGGAAGTCGGAAACCACATGAATATCGAGAAACGAGACTGTTGGGAAATGATGAACATAGAAATGGCTGGAAAGTTGATGGCGATCGTATATTATTTGATATTGCTGTTAGCACATCGCTACTGTCGAAACCGATATGTGATGTTACCTTAGAAGGTCAATACAGTATTTCTGTAGCTCACCAGTTGATTTTCGAAACAATTGTTGTGGAAGAAATAAATTCTCAGCCAGTGAATTCGAATGCTCGTATTCTGAGGATGAAAGTCAATCTGCCTCTTACCGAAAGAGGTGGTCTCGGTGTAAGCTGGGATGAAGAATGCCCTCCAATGTTTACCAGCGTTGGACCGGGTCCTCCCCCTTATGAGCGTGCTATACAATTACCTTCTGTATAGCTGGTTTGCCAATCTTTACCTGTATTTTATAAGTCAGATTCCATGTATTTTTTCTGTGTTTCAGTTTATGTTTCTTTGATGCTTTTTATTTCATTTTCTTCATGTTCTTTTATACCTTTATGATACCTAAAGAGAGGCATCTTTTAATTTTTGCTTACGTTTGTACGATTTATTAAATTTGGTTAGAGGGAGAATTATTTAATGCTAATATAGGTACCTTTTATATACTTTAATTCCAATTTTAATACTACAACATGAATGACTGTTCTATGCTAAGATTGTGTGCTCAAGTGTTTCATCCCCTTTTTTGTGCGTTTTTTCGCTCATGGATCACGAATTTTGCAAATATATCAGCTTGTCGAATGGGTTCTGGGATTTTGCTATCAACACCGCTGGTTCGGAAAACTAGCTGTATAGCGATATCCAAAGTCAACTGATTTCCTATGCTTACATATATAGGCCGTTTGGATTCTCTTCTCGTCCAGACGGCTGCACCTAAGATAGTAGATGGTTCCCTTAAGGAATGTAATAATAAAGGAGGTCTGCTTGGGTTCGTTAAGATGTGATTTGAAAGACGTTGTCTATGTTCATCTAAAGATTCATTCAGTCCAAAGCAATGGAAGTAATTTTTGGCTACTCCCATAGTAGGCAAGTTAATTAAAACACCTAGATGGCATGCCAAGCCGAATTCTGAATGACACGTTAGTATTCTAATCATTTACTTATTACCACACGTACGTATTGGATGTAAGGTACCATTTCCATCAACCATAATAAGGTCGATAGAATAGTTTTGGGGAATCCTTTCCAATAGTGGTAAATACCATTCAATCTCACGAAACGACAGAAATCCAGGAACATATTCTTCTTTTAGGCTATCAATCTCTAAATAATCTCTATATATGACCTGAGCATCCTGAAAATCGTAAAGGACAAGGGCCGAAACAGCCTTTGGGCTTGTCTTGTCGAAAGATATATCTAGTCCGGCTATGTACCTTATGGAGTCCACATCTTGGATTTTGGATTCGTATACGAGTCTCTGTTTTAGTAACAGTTGATCTTTTCGCCAACTTTCGACTTTTTCTCGTAGATGAGTGTTTATCTTCGCTTCTTTAATTCCGCTTGCTTCATCACTAAACATGAGAAAGAAAAAACTTGTTTACTGTTTAACTTTTTTTAAATGGATTGCATTCAAAGGGAACATTGGATCATAAATCGTCGTTCGTTATGCGAGTGCCTTCCGTACAAGAATTCTCGGATGGAATATTACTCGTTCCATGGATGAAGAATATCTTTCTGCAAGTCTTAATTGTCTTTACAGAATTTTACAAAAACAAAAATAACAAAAATAATAGAAGTATTTATTACGACATTATTTATCACGAGGTGGCATCAGCATCTTTCATCTCATATAAAAGTACTTCCACCATCACTACTACATCTTAGAAATTACTTTACACTAAAACAAATATTTTTGTTGTACTTTACTTTGGCTTTATACAACATGCCTACTAGACAAGATGTTATTAATTTTGCTGCCGGACCAGCTGGCATGGCTACGGATGTCGTAGAAGAATATGCCAAGGATTTTGTGAACTTTCAAAACCTTGGTATGGGTGTTGGAGAAATCTCCCATCGTAGTAAGGAAGGAACTGGTATTGTAAACCGTACCGAAGAGAGTCTTCGTAGAATGTACGGACTTCCCGATAACTTCCATATTCTTTTCATGCAAGGAGGTGGTACTGAACAGTTTGCTGCCGTCCTCTATAATGTATATGCCCATCATGCACTCTATAATCCCAATGCTAAGAAATTGGTGGCCAATTACATTGTTACTGGTTCATGGAGTAAGAAAGCATTGAATGAAGCTCAGCGCCTTGGATTTCCCTGTCACGTAGCTGCTGACACGAAAGAATTGACCGGAAAGTACGGCTGTCTGCCGAAAGATTCTGATCTTAACTACACTCCTGCCGGAGAAACCTCTCTTGTTTACTGGTGTGATAATGAAACTATTCACGGTGTAGAATTCAATGAACCTCCAGCAAATATCCCGAAGGGTGCTATTCGTGTCTGTGATTGTTCTTCGAACTTTATTTCTCGCAGAATCGACTTTTCCAAGCACGATATCCTATTCGCTGGAGCCCAAAAGAATGCTGGTCCTGCTGGTATCACAATGGTTTTTGTGAGGGATTCAATCCTTGAGCGTGCTTTGGTTCCAGATCTTCATAAGATGGGCATCCCTGTTTCTACTACTATGGCCGACTACAAACTTATGGCTGATAGCAACAGTCTTTACAACACTCTTCCAATCCCTACACTTCATGCAATCAACTTGGGACTTCAGTATATGGAGAAGAAGGGAGGATTACCCTTCTTGGAAGAGGCTTCTTTGAAAAAATCTCAAATGGTTTATCAAGTATTAGACAAATACCCCATTTATGAAAACTTTGTCGATTCTTATGCTCGCAGTCGTATGAATGTTACGTTCAGAATCAACAATCAAGATCTCGAAAACAAGTTTCTCGTAGGAGCTGAGGAATTGAACATGATGCAATTGAAGGGCCATCGCAGTATCGGCGGTGTTCGTGTTTCATTGTATAACGCCATTACCATTGAACAGACAGAACGTTTAGTCAAATACCTCGAGTCTTTTGGTGCTGAACATTCAAAGTGAGTTGCACTTTCATGAGATCATGTTACTGAGTGTTCAATGTTGTATGCTACGTCTACAATACAAAAAAAAAAGGTTTACAATGAAGATTTATTAAAGATAAGTCAATTTTCCCAATGTACCAACCTGAATCATTAGGCCAAAATAGTTCCATACCGTAAATATAAGTATCCAATGTTAAAAATATTCTTATGATAACTGAAACAAAAGGGAATTTAATTAGAGTAACTAGGATAAAAATACTTATTTAATTTGAAACTACTTAATGTAATGGATATCCCAGCACCCGTACTTATCATTTCTTCCTGAGCACAAACAGAAGCCTGATGGGTAAAAATACGTTGATTGCGCTTCGCGTACCCAACCTACAAACCATTTCAAAGTATTTGTCTTCTGTGACAAAGATAGTAGAACAATTAAGTGAGGACAGCAACAATAGACTATACATTTGGGTATCCAGTCCTGAATTAAACGAAGAAAGAAATGAGCGCGTTTTTTTGAGTCTCACGAAAGCTCTGAGTGAATTATACCTATGTTCAATTACTACAAAAAATCCCACTATTTTTAATGTTGTCCCTACTGTTGTTTTGTTTGAAGACTGGTCTGGATATTCTATTAGTGAACTTTCTAATCTGTGTGAAACCACTTATTGCACAAAGAATTATGGCGGTAAAGATTGAAGATTAATTTTTGATTATATCTAACTTGCTGTAGACTCCATTTCAAGTTCTAGTACTGAAGTGATCCATATCGAAGCTGACGAGCTAAAACATGTTGAGCTCGAAAATAGTTTCGAAGAAAGCGAGAACCAGGATAAGAAAATTGAAAACCGTATTTCAGCTGGTACGTTTTTTTTTACGTTAGCAGTAAATACTAATGAATGTTATGTTAGTCGGTGGAACATTCGACCATTTACATGTCGGTCATAAAGTTTTACTTACATTAGCCGCATGGATTGGGATAGAAAAGGTTTATGTTGGAGTTTCTGGTAAGTTCGTTACTATTAGATTGTGCACAAAAGCTTACTCTTGTAGGGAATGAGTTACTGTTGAACAAAGTAGAGAGGGCATACTTAGAAAATATAGAAGTCAGAAAGAACTCCGTCTATGACTTCCTTCACTCGATAAAGAAAAATATACAATCAAACATTGTTATTATTAAGGATCCATTTGGCCCAACGATTACTCATGGAGAGATTGACAGTTTACTCGTCTCCCAAGAAACTATTAAAGGAGCGGATTCTATACAAACGGAACGAAGAAAAAGAGGATTGCCTGAACTGGATATTTATTGCATTGACCTTCTCCATTTCGCACACGCTACAATGCCAGAAAATTGTGATCCAGTTAAACTTAGTTCAACAGCCATTAGAAAAGAGCTAGCTAAGAAAAACTTTTAAGAATTATAAAATATTTTAATTCCCTACGTTTTCGTAAAATATCTAATTTAGTTTTACTTTATTGAAATTTGAGTACACCCCTTCACATAGCACTCACTTATTACTTACACCAGCGTATATTGTTTCACCACAAATATGATTCATGGGTTCTCATACACATAAGAAAGTTTCACAAAATAAAAAAGAAAAAAAGAATTGCAGTGATGACGACTCTAAAATTAGAAAATATATTCTGTTTACCTATTACGTTCGTTTTTTACAACTTACTCAGTTAGCCAGTTCTAACCTATTTAGTTAATTTTTCTATTGGGAATTCCAATATGGTGGAAAACTACTACGTACTATCGAGCATCTATGCCTTTTTATGAAATGGAAAATGCGAGATATAAGTTGGAATCCCATCTACGATTTACTCCAACGTTCAGAATTGAGAATGACCCAGACGGAAAATTAACGGATCTTTCTGACAAGCTGATAAATGAAGAGCCTCAATTTCCATTTTATGAACTTCAGTTTACAGAGTCCAAAGAGGCTGCTGACTATTCAATTTGTATATCAAAGTCTTCTGAAAGTTCTTCGTATTGGAAAGGAAGGAATTTGTACTTAGAGTACAAAGAAGATATTTCGGAAAAAGAGATAGCCATAATGCTAGTAAATCGTCTGTATGAGGTTTTCAGTCCGGAAATTATGGACATATCTGGGAAGTATTCCCAACTAACATCAAAAAACGTCCCCTCCAAAGTGTACAATAAGCGGTCAATACAGTTTTCACCGCAATACCGTATTCTGTTGAGTTTAATCTTGGGTGAAGGATCCCATGATCTTTATGGTTGGGAAATTGAGAATGCCGTTGCTAAATACTTACATCCTTTAATCCAGCAGCTTTCTCAAATTATGAACTTAACCGTAGAGTCTCAAGTACAATACTTCGTAGACGACCCACCGGTCACTTCAAAAGAAGGAGAATATCGAACGGCATTTTCCGACTTCCCCAAAGTTGTTAACAATCTTGAAAAATACCTCACAATCAACTCGAATGTAAGAGAACCTACTCTGCATTTTGTGTTGTATGTCCCTTCCCAAGAGATACAACCACTGAAATTGGAAGATCAGAATGGTGAAGAGGTTGCGACGAATTCAATGCTATTACCTCAATGGGGCTCAATTATTATAACAAATACAAATAATTCGTCTTCGAACCTCCTACAAGATTTTGACATGAGATCCCAATTTCGTACGATATCAAAAGATCTCCTTTTACTATTAGGGGTAGATGATTTTTCATCATTCAGTCTAAACCCGGTAGTAATGGAACGAATGTTAAGGCAAAGGATAGCGGAAAGCCTAGTTGCAACGACCGACACATTACTCAACCTTTCAAAGCTCATCAAGTCAATTGAAAACATGGCTGTTCCTAAAGAAATACAATTATACGTAAAAGAGGCTTTGAAATCACTGGATCTAGCATACGATACCCTTTCTGAGAGGAAATTAAGTAAGACTCTTTCGTATAGCACGAATTCCTTTGAGAAGGCACAAAAAGCCCTATTTCACTCGAGTATGGTGACCACCGTGTATTTCCCTGATGAATCAAAGTATGGGATTTACGCACCTCTCTTTGCACCTATTATGATTCCTTTGTTATTGTCGTTCATCAGAATGGTTTCTAATGCACTAAGATCAATGCCGGTTTTTCAAAGAAAAAACAAGTCAGCATAAAAAAATATATAAATGATATCATATATTTAGACATAATTCATTCGGTATTCTGAATCATATTTAAAGCTAGAGGTGATTATGACAAACAGAAAATCGGTAAAAATCTAAGGAAGAATGCATAAAGAACAATAAAAAAAAAAAAAAAAACACACACACACACACACACACACAAATCTAAGGGAAAAAAAATAAAGAATGAAAAAAAAAAAAAAAAATTCCGAGACTGAAGAGGTACTAAAGCAACGATCCATTCACATGCAGAGTAGAATAACTACTGAAGAAGGGAACATCATTCAAGTCAAATAACCTATAAAGCAATTTCTAAGTATTGCTTCCTCGTTTACCCAAGCATGATTCATCACTGAAAATGACCGTTAGCTTTTATACCTAAGAAGTTTGTTATTCTTACTAAATACTTGAGTGGCATCTATGCCAGAATTATTTATAATCTTTTTAACACCAGCAGGATGATAATTTAGGTAAGGTGTTACATTGTAAACTTTTCCTTTAATTGACATCCAGCAATCCTCCTCGGTACAGTGCTTTTTAAGCTCATCTTTAGACACTTTCATCGGTCTATTCACCCCCTACGTAAAATGTTAGATCGCTTAAGGTAAATCGAGTTACAATTTTGAATATCCATAATGATGCAAACTGAAGTGTATGCAACAATTCAATCCCCAAACACTGTGATATAAAACACCGCCAACACCTAATGGATTATTAAAGACACATTTTTGTTACATACAGATAAATTTTCTCCACTTGATATTTTCCTGGCCCAATCTAGTTGAGAATATCCTGGCGCAACAGAGTATTTTCCTCTTTTTGGAAGTGACTTTTTGAATTCACCGTCGACTTTTCCAGTACTGCCTTCTCCGATACCAAAGTTCTTGAAAAGCGCGACCATTTATTCTGGTGTTAACGAATCTAGACTAAGTAAATTCACAAAACAAAGAATACTTTATTGATAGAATATAGTAGAGGGAGAAGTCAAATTTCACTGCCATTGGTAATGAAATATAAGTTTTATGGTTGACTATGTCGCTTAAGCGAACTGCTTAAGTATCGCTAAATATAAGCTAGAAAATTAACCAAGTGACGTTAAAAGTGTTTGTAAACAAAAGCACTACGACTAGGAATAAAGATGTATTGAAGAAAGAAAGAATATTAGTTAACTTTTAAGCTTTATGGCTTTCTAGTTGCTTGTTTTTACGATGGTTCTTTGGAAACGAGCTAGTGCAACATGTAGAACAATATCAATATCCGACAACAATCATGTTCAGGACAAATTAAGCCTTGTGACTAATAATTGAGACCATGAGCATGTTTTAAGTATTGCTAAATTAGTATATAACTCGATGCACCGGTCACTTCATTATAGGTAATCAGATCTTGGCTTATAAACAAACTGTTAACAGCTAAGGATACCTATATCTCCATTTGATTTATTTTTGTCTTAATGTCTTTTATAAGTTTGTAAAATAAGTCGGATATAAGGTCCATGAATCCAAGTTGTACAGTCAGCATTCTCCATATTAAGGACGACTCTCTCCCTTTACCCATATACACAACACACTGTAAAGTCTGAACTTCAATTATATCTCCTGCGTCTTTACCAAGTTCAGTTTTTATTCATTAAAGAAATAACCGGTTTCTTTCGTTTCTTTGCTTAAAAACATTGTAGAATTAGTTCTCGTTGAAAAAGCTGCTTTTCCAACGCGCACAGCAAACAATCGAAGAAAAAAGTTACCACTAAAAAATTAAAGGTGTTTTTCGTGTCAAGATTTTAAGCTAAATCAATCCTAAGTCCGGAAACGTGTTAAACTTACTACTACTGACTATAAGATCAGATTGATTTGTCCCGACAATTTATAAGCTCGCAGGGTCGCTGTCGCTGTAAAGGAATGGCTGTTGATACAGAATACTATGACATTTTGGGAGTTTCTCCAGATGTTTCAAGCCTAGATATCAAGAAGGCTTACAGGAAACTGGCCGTCAAATATCATCCTGACAAGAACCCAGAGGACCCTCAGGGTGCTAGTGAGAGATTTCAGAAAATCAGTGAGGCATATCAAGTATTGGGGGATGAACAGCTTCGATCTCGATATGACCTGCACGGAAAAGAAAAGGCGGTTCCAGAACAAGGGTTCACTGATGCCTATGACTTCTTTGCCAATCTTTTTGGAGGTGCTCCTTTTCGTGAATGGGTGGGAGAGCTTTCTTTTGTCAGAGAAATGTTTCGAGAGGAAGAAGCCATGCAAGATGAGATGACTCAAATGAACAAACAGCAACTTCTTCTCGAATCAGGAGAAGCGACCCCTACCATAAAGCAACAATTTAATGAGAGAAGAAAGAATGCTCAAATTCGCGAACGAGAGGCTTCTATACAGCGGGAGCAACAGATGATTGAGGATCGGAAAAAACGGATATCTGAAGTCACTAAAAATCTTCAAAATCGTGTAGATGGTTGGATTGAAAAGAGTTCTACTGAAGAAGGATTGCAAGGGGTTCGTGAGCAATATAGAAAAGAGGTAGAAACACTACGAATTGAGTCATTTGGTGTTGAAATCCTACAAGCCATGGGCGATGTTTATACCCAAAAAGCACGAAATACGATCAAGTCGAGTAAATTTGGAATTGGCGGTTTTTGGAGCAGAATGAAAGAAAAAGGAAAGATCGCTAGAGATACATGGGATACACTATCTGCAGCAATGGATGCCAAGTTTAGTATTGATCAAATGCAAAAACTTGAAAGTAAAGCGGATGAAGCTACTACTCCCGAAGAACGTGCAAAATTAGAAATGGATATAACAGGGAAAGTTTTACGCGCTAGTTGGTGTGGGGCTCGATACGACATTCAAGGTGTGTTACGGGATGCTTGTAACAGTCTTTTGCGAAAGACTGTACCTGTTGAGCTTAGAATGAAGCGTGCATATGCTCTTCTCGAAATTGGCACCATTTTTAGTCAGGTAGAAGCTGACCCCGACGATCCTCATAGAGTATTTGAGAACCTTATCTTAGAAGATAAGAAGAAGAAAAAGAAAAAGAATAAGGAGAACGCTGCCAAAGAAACTCCCAAAACCTAGAAACCGGCCACTGTCCTTTATTTCCTTATAGCCTTGTTTTCCCCGTCAGTTATTTCATGTTTCAGTTATTTCATGTTTACTACATACTGAGTTTAGAATATAGATAACTCTAATTTCGCCATTAAATGGTATTTTCAATATATATGCTAAGACTTAATTACGCTCAGAATACTGTACATAATATCTAGGTTCTGGAACTGATAGTCGACGATGCTTTTCCATCAATAAGCGTTCCGAATGACTTCCACTCACCAGAGATTCAATCGCTACTCGTAGCGTAGAGTTGAAATTTTTAATTTGAATTTCGGTTTTAATGTCCGTGACAGAACGTTCTTGAGTAGGCTTATATACATGAAAGAGCAGCTTCAATGCGTCCAATTGTTTCGTATCAGTATTAAAAATATGCGACAGTACAGAACCACGCGGTAATATCCATTGCTGTTCAGGTGCTTCTTTGAGTTGGAAAACAATATCAAAGTGCTGACGGACGGTCTTCCTGTCTTTAAGAAGACTTTTTACGAACTCATCTTTGTCATGTTGATTTAAGGTTAGTGTTATACGTTTACGAGGAGGCTTTTTGGCACGTCGCGGAGATGGAAAAGTGCTAGGTCCTATCAGCTCGTTATGAAGAAGGATGCACTGTTCAGGTGTTCCCAATCCCTTTGCTATTTTTTTTAGAATATTCATTATGGTAGGATCTTCGTGAGATCGGTTTCGCAATCGCTGCAGAGACTCATCAGTGACTAAAGGTTCAACAGGTTCTCCAGGAGTACTCTCATAATCTTCTGGTTTCTTTGGGGATGAGGGTCTATATTGAGGGGTTGGCAATAGATTGTATTCATACTCTCTTTCCTTTGTATTGACATCCTTTGCGTCCGTGTCCATCATTGAAGCTTGTCGTTTAAGATTCGGTCTATAGTCTAAACCATTATACTGAGGATTCACATATGATATATTAGGTGCATTAAAGGGTTCTTTATCAGAATTGGAATAATGTACAAATGTAAAACTGGTATCTTCAAATCTCAGAGGACCGACGCATAATGTGGCAGATCCCAAATACCGCTGATGAGGATAAAGAATTCCACCGGAAAGGTAATGGTTTTCCTGAGGTGAAAATCTTTCAAAAAGATTGCCATTTAAGATCGACTCTCGGCTTTTTTTAAGGGCGCTGAAGAGAATCCTGATGTTTGATTAGTTTTGACAAATGCAGCGTTATGCAAGAAGCTTACCTAGGATGATAACCCTTTTCCAATGAACTATTAAAAGCATCACTAGCTCTTGGAAGTAGTAGAAAATCTGAGCTAACAATTGCTTCAAGCTTTAAAGATTCCGATTCTTCGCGTTCTCTCACTAGTTCGTCATTCCCTGAATAAATACTTTCATCCATACTCATTTTGTTTCATTTAATTTTTTCTTATTATAACCGATTTCCCACTAAAATAGATTTATCTCACCTGGTTCAATTCAACTACCTTTCAAGTAATGAATAGTGAAAAGGAGCGGAGTACTTAAATATCCAACAACACTACAGTAGTAAATACAAGAGTCGATGAGAGAAGGAAGGCATATGTCATGCGAAAATAATCAGCTCATTGACCGTAATAGGAAATGCTTTCGCGCAAAATTTGTTTCATATAGTACGTCTATTGAATTATAGCAAAGGAAGGTACTAGTGAAAACTGTGTTTACCCATTACAAATAGTGACAAATAAGCAAATGACGATAAGTATTCTATATATTTAGAAAAACGCAAAAACAGTTTTATTATAAATCATTTTACCCTGATTCATTGTATACAGAAAGAGCTTTATCCAGTATATGAGCTGCTGCAATTGCAGCTATTGAACTGAAGGCCTGGGGACTATTACCCAAGGACTCACTAGATAGGGAACATTGTTCTGAATAAATAGAAAGATGACTTGAATAACGAGCCAAGTCCTCAAACATGCTTACGGCGGTGGATATAAGCTTCGGATATCCTCGACAACCTGCCATTGCTAGTGCTTCTACTAGCCAAAAACAGACCATTGTAAAAGCACCTTCATCACCTCCTACACCGTCTTCGTATGCAAAGTTATTATATCGAAATATCAAACCATTACTCATTAAACCACTTTTCTCCAACGGCTTCATGATGTTATCCATAGTGCTTAGGAAGCGAGGGTCCGTCGGTGAAATAAATGACACCATGGGCATAACAAGAACCCCAGCATCTAGAATATTAATAGTCTCAAAAGACTGAGCGAAAAATCCACCTTCTGAATTGTAACCCAAGGTCATGATTGTTTCATAAATTTCATCTCTGGTATCCATCCATTTTGTTCTTTTTGGACATGGAAGAGACCTAGAAAAAGCAATGCGGAGCGCTCTATCCAAGGCTACCCAAAGCATAATTTTTGAATATAGGAAGTTTTTCTCTTGTCCGCGAACTTCCCATATGCTTTTGTCAGGTCGTTTCCAGTTGTCACATACGTATTCGCATATATCTCGAACTTCTAACCATAAATCGTAAGCAATTGGTTGGCATTTTTTATCATAAATATATATAGCATCCATTAGTTCACCATATATATCAAGTTGAACGTGACTAACAGCACCATTTCCTATACGAACAGGTCGAGAGTCATGATATCCACGCAAATGGGTAAGTTCTTTCTCCTCAAGACCATCGGTATTTCCTCGAATAGAATAAACAACATTGATACCCCCGTCCGGGTTTTTTTCTTTCAATAAGTGATATATAAAAGACATATATTCAACGGCTTCAGTTCGAAATCCGAGTTGTGCCAATGCATAAATTGTAAAAGCAGAATCGCGAATCCAAGTAAATCGGTAATCCCAATTTCTTACACCTCCTAAGTCTTCTGGTAACGAAAATGTTGGACTTGCAACAACTGCACCTGTGGGTTCGTAAATCAATAGCTTCAAGGTAAGGGCATTCCTTTGAACAAATTCCCGATAACGACCAGTATAGGTACACTGTTGAATCCATGCTCTCCAATATCTTTTAGTGGAATCTTCAAGTTTGTCGACTAACTCTGTCGTTATATAATCCACGCTAGGACCATATTGGTCTTGGCGAAACACAAATGTTATCTCCTGACCCTCTTCTAACTCTAGATAACATGTAATACCACCTCCTTCAATGAGTCTTTCAGATGGTCGAGTAACCTCAATAGGAATTGCGATATCATCCTCTGTCGGAATAGCATCCAAAATAAAATGGGGAGCACCAGAAGCAGGATAGAATTCAGCGTGAAGGTAATTGTGATTATCCGCAATCTTGGTTTCATGGTTTTCTGTTGCATAATTGAATGCTGGAAAACACTCGAGTTTAATGCGAGTAGTACCCCTGATACAGCAAACTCTTCTTATAAGCCAAGGATATAACGGTTCGTAATCTTCCCACTGTCGATGAAAGAAGTCAAGCAATCGAACAACGCCACGTTCAGAATAAAACTTCGTATGCAGCACGTTCGTGGAAGGTTCATACATCTGCTTGCAACTTGATTCTTCCACAGGAGTAATTGAAAAGTGACCAGCTCTGCTATCCAATATACGAGCGAAGACTGAAGGGGAATCAAAGTGTGGCCAACACATCATTTCCACAGATCCGTCTACAGAAATCATGGCCGAGGTATGCATATTACCCACGAAGCCATGATTATCAATTTCTCTCGGAGAATACTTGTCGGCAGCATACGATAACCTGGAATGAGGAGGCATTGATGACAAACAACTATGATTGAACAAATTTTAACCAACAGAGAAAATGTGATTCAAGTTCAAATAGAAAATAGCAAACACAGACACAAAAATAAGAAAAAAGTCGTGATAATATAAAAGGATTTCCGTCGAAATGACAAAGAATGGAACGTATAAACTCACATTTATCGATCCAAAACAAAGCTTGTTAATCCTTCACTCTTAACAGAAAGCCAAAAGTGCGATAATTAAAGCAAAAAGCAGATTGCTACTGCAAGCAAGTTCAATTTATTCGCTCTATACGATAATTGCTTGTTAATGGAATTCCAAATCTTGCTTTGAGTATATGAATGTCTTTTTTTAAGTGACAATTGTATCCCATGAGCTTGGGAATAATTCACACAAACGATAAATTTCCAATTCAACAATGGTAAAAAAAAATGGAAAATTGGAAAAACAACCGCGTACACGATTAAATAAAAGAAATGCTCTTTAGTGCAACAAGCGTTATTCGTAAGGCAACGTCCATATGACATATAATTTGTAAGTGAATTTCACGAAAGTAGTTTTGCTAATAATGATGAGTTCATAATCTTGTAATCATTTTCTTAAGTAAAGAATTATACGAAGAGATTTTTGTCTTTTTAAATCGAAAAGCGGTTACATTCCCCAAAAAAGGTTTGAAGAATTCAGTCATTTGAGAAAAATAGACGAGGAAATAAAAGTTCCTAAAATTTAAAATAAAGCAAATATCCTATAAACAGTTAGAACAAGGCTTTTTTAACCATTTGAACATTGTTGTCAACACATTTAGCGTCCTGTTCATAAAAAGCTAGCAAAGATATATGAGCAGAGTAATCTTCATCATTGAGAAATCTGGATCTGCTAAGATCATATACTGCTGTTTGAAACCGTAAAAGAGGAAGTTTATATTGTTCATACTATCACAACTAGTATCATACAATTGCTGATCCAATACCAAATACAAGCAAAGCGTAATTTCCATATATCAAAAACATGGGAAGAAAAACAAAATCATACTGTAAGTATTCAAAGACACATACATAAAACGAAGAAATCATAAAAATGGATCATAGAATTCATGAAACATTAAATCAAACACTCAGTAATGTAGGAAGAAAGATTTATGCAACGGCAGCAGCATAACTCACGCTACTATCGGACACACTAATAGCATGATTGCTTTGGGAATAAGCAATAAACTCAAACTGGTTGGCAACTTGAGCTAGTTCCATTGACTTCAAAATCAATTGAATAGGATAACGTCCACATATTGTATTGTGAGTCAATCGAATATACTCGGAAAAATCATGACTTGATTTCATTGAAATAATATCCATACCCATATGGTCAATCGTGGAAATAGACTCATATATTTTTGGATTTTCGATTGATCCTTTTCTTCGAAAGCCAATAATCGCATCCTCCAATTCATTTTTTTCGTTTAAGTACATGGTATAGCCGAATCTACGTCCCCAGTGGCAGAAGTCAGAAGAAACAATAAAAGCATTATTTTCATCCACAATGTAATTGCAAAGGATATTTGCTGCTGTTTGAATAGCTTCTGAGCTCAGAGCACCAATCATGATGGGAACAATTTTTACTTTATCGAGACAACCTTGTTTCCTCAAATGGTAAGCTAATAATGGAAATTGCATTTCGATGCTATGTTCCTGTTCATCGGCTTCTAGACTCATTTCATTGAAACAATTGTCGTTTTGTTCCATGATGTCCTGACATACTTTTAACGGTTAGCAACTTGATTCGTTTCAGTTAATCCTTTGTCATAGGAAGTCTCTTCTGCATACCTTCTTGATCAACTGTAAGGTTTCCAAAGGGTGTTTCGCACGCCTCGGCTTGCGTTACCAGACACTTTCGAGTAAAGACGTGGTGTGAAGGTCCCAAAACGAAAACTCGTTCCTTGTTTGAGAAATCAATCCTCTGGAATGCTTGATTCGCTATCTTGCCACTATACATGTAACCCGCATGTCTAAAGTATACTGTAAGTCAACTGTACCTTTATGAACCGGTATGGATTCTTTGGAAATTCACATACGGTGAAATAATAAATCGCTTTCCATCAATTACGGAATCAGATGTCTCTGACAAGCCTACAAATTGCTTCTCAAGTAAAGTGGGATTCTCGATATACCAAGATCCAGCGTGAGTTGCATTACGCATTTTATCCATCGTGCCTCTGGTCTGAATTCCAAAAATTTTTACAAAATCTTTAAATAGGTCTAATTACAAGAATTTCTCTCAAGTATGCGAATGTCTGAAGAAGAGAAGAATAAGGTGAGAGTTGTTTTGAGGTAAATGAGTCTTTACGTTATATGAGTGACGAGTACCGTTAGCTCAAAACTTGAAATGTTTTCATCGAACATCGTTCTTTCAGCTTTGTTTAAAAAAATAATAATAATAGTAATAATAGCAAAATAGAATAGTAGTCAATCTATTATAAATAATCATATTCCACCATTGTATTGAGGGTTTGTAGCATGTAAGTTGGATGTTTATGAAGAAACATAAGGATAGAGTAGATTTGGATTCAGTCCGATATTTTAGTTCTTTATTTAGTTGTTTTCTATTTGTATATTTATAAACTATTATTTTCTCTTTAAAGAATAATGCAAAACTTGGTTTATTTACGATTCATTCACTTACGCGTCTCGTCTATTTTAAGGTACATATATTTTTGTGCTTAAACCATATATTTTCTACCTGTTGTTTTAATCACAAGCCAAGAAGAATATTTTTCATTAAAATTTAGAAGTAGACTTCTAATGTTTTATAATATTGAATGGCTTCCGCACCGTCTTATTTACAGTCTTTAAATACTCAGCAACGACTAAGTGTTGAGTCTGATCATAAATATACGCAAATTTTGGCAGGACCCGGTTCAGGAAAAACGCGTGTTCTGACCTCCCGAATTGCTTACCTGTTACAAGTCGCCAATTGTAATCCTCGAGATCTTCTAGTCGCGACATTCACCAATAAAGCAGCGAACGAAATCAAGCAAAGAATTCACACACTCCTTGGAAATGAGAAGTCTTCCAAAATAATAAGTGGGACATTTCATTCAATTGCCTATAAGTACTTGTCTGTATACGGAAAGCACATTGGACTGAGTTCAAAATGGTTGGTAGCTGATAGGAGCGACGTGTAAGTCTTACAATTGAGTTTTGAATCATACCAATTTTTAACAAACTAGAAAATCAATAGTTAAACGACTGTTGACGAGTTTAAAAAAGGCAGATAATGAAATAGCTAGTGGAATTCGAGGACAAGAATTGACACCCGAGAATGTTTTGACCAGGATATCAAAAATGAAATCGTCGGGCTTACTTGCTAAGTCCAATAGTCCTGAACTCATTTTATTACCGGGAATGGATGCACCATCGCCCGAATTACAAAGTTACCAATCTACTGAGCTATACAAGTTATATCAAACAACACTGAGAAAAAACAATCTAATGGTACGTTCTAAGAAAATTGAGAATTTGACTAACAACATAGGATTTTGACGATCTTTTATTACATTTTATCCTTCTGCTTCGAGAGTATCCAATGTGTATTGCGAATATTAAACATATTCTAATCGACGAATTTCAAGACACTAGCAGGATTCAATATTATTTATTAAAACTGTTAGCCAAGAATGAAACAGCCATTACTATTGTCGGGGATCCTGATCAATCAATTTACGGGTTTCGAAGTGCTGAGATAGAAAACTTAAATCGAATGACGAAGGATTTCCAAGGGACACAGATACTAAATCTGGAAATGAATTATCGTTCAGCGCATTCTATCTTAGAATTAGCTCTCTCAATCATCTCACAGGACAAGACAAGGCCTCAGAAAGGAATCAAAAGCGATTACTCAATGTCTTTAAGGCCATCCTATCGAACATTTGAAACTAATCAAAAAGAGTCCTATTGGATTGCTTGTGAAATAAAACGTATCGTGGAATGCTGTCCCGAATTGTTTACATATGATGATGTAGCCATTTTAGTTAGGTCAGGCAGTTTGACTAGAAGTTTAGAACATGCCTTGACGGAAGTTGGGGTGTCGTATAGAATGGTGGGAGTTCATAAATTCTTCGACAGAGAAGAAGTACGCGATATGGTAGCTTACGCAAGAGTGGTTGCCAATCGGGATCCAACATCTTTAATACGAATCCTAAATACTCCTGCTAGAAATATTGGAAAAACAAAAATTGATCGTCTTCTTGAAGAGACTGAACGGCGGAACCTTCCACTCTGGGAAATCTTAGTCCAGGTAAGCGAAAACTATATCCTCCTTTCCCAAAGGCAAGACAAATCCTTTTTAAAGTCTTTAAAGACTTTTATTCGGATGATAGAAGACCTCGATAAAGAATCGCGCGATAATAATAAATCAGTCAGTGAGTTATTATCTTCTATTCTTCATGAAATTAAATATTATGACTTTTTACGAAAAAAGAATCCAGAGACATATGATGAAAAATGGGATAACGTGATGGAATTGGTTCATCAAAGTGATATTCTTGCCCAACAAGATGAGTTGAGTTTAGTAGACGAAGGACCAGAAGAAATTCCTCTTCACAAATTCCTTGCACATGTCACTTTAGCAAGCAGTGATAAAGAAGAAGATAAATCTTCAAAAGTTACCATTTCTACCCTACATGCTGCAAAAGGTTTGGAATGGCCAATTGTTTTTCTCCCTTGTGTTTGTGAGAATATAATTCCTCACTCACGTTCAGACGACGTCGATGAAGAAAGAAGGTTACTTTATGTTGGTATAACACGGGCACAAGCTTTATTATATATATCGTCATTTCAAAGTTCAGTGGGATCCTACAGCGATGCCGAGAGTTTCAGCTCTAAGCAGGATATTAGTAGTTTTCTAAAAAGCCATGAGACAACAAAGTATTTATCAGAACAAGATATAGTATTTAACAACCAGTTAGCTTCTGAAATTGGTATTATATTAAATCGGAAGGAACACGGCATCGTTAGAAATGTTAGCATACAAGATATAAACGAGCGATCAAACAAGGCGTATCAGAAAGAAAAATCCTATTCAGATAAACCCGCTTTCGTGTGTTCTCGTTCATTAGCGGAAACGGAACTAAAAAAAAGAGTAAGAGATCAAGAGTTCATGGGAGTTCCCAACGAGTCATTCGAAAAAGAGAATCCTCCAAAAAGAAAAGGAAATGTCGATATAAGAGATTTCTTTTCAAAGAAGGAAGCCCTTCAGTTAGAATCGGATAAAGGCAAAACTGACTTTTCCTATATACAACAAAAGCGAACATCGGTGAACGAAGGTTCATTCAATAGAGCTCATGGAATTTCTGTAAAAGACATTGGAAAAAGGAAAATTACAAGAAGGATGGTTTCAACTGAGAAACCCGTTAAGCACGAAGAAACTAGCTCTTTTTCTAGTTCAAGCTCGTTTCAACAACCCATGCGTCCTCTCAACCATGAAAAAACGGACCAACTAAAGGATACAGTAAAGAACGAAAAGGAAGCCATAAGTGAGAATACATCTAAGAGTCTATTACAACCATCTCAAGCTCCGAGGAAGAAGCGATTAGGAGTAAGACTTCGTGTTTCCCGGATGCTGTAAACTAGATTTAGTATAGCATAAATTAAATACAGTCAAGGCATCTTGCGTTTGTCTTTTCACTCATGTAACTAAAATTTCGCATTAATATGCTTTAAGTCAAGAACTATTGGTATGAGGACTTACACAAGCGTCGAACAGTTTCTACAAATTGGTCGAGTACAACGATCGCAATTATGTAGAAGGGCTATTGTTTCACAAAAGTTACAAGGACCATCAGAGGAAGGTGCACCTTCGTTTGTTACAAAGTTTACCTTTTCTGAAAACACTAGGCCAGTGGTATCTTTGCCGTGATTACCTTGCATGAAGAATAATCCAAGGAATGTTTTTACTGCAATGTTAATGAAATGGACCGTTTACAGTTTGAAGTTTTACGTACAATCCATTTGATTTTTGTTTTTCTTCGTGCTCATTTCAAGACACGGGGATTCATCACGAGACCTTTTCATTTTTGTTTTATTCTAAATTGAACGTATCATAAATCTCCAAAGTACCAGTGATTCTCGGGTGTCTTTAGCTTTTTGATAATTGTGGGATGGTAGTATAGAGAATTAAGGAGCGCAATGAATAGAAAAATAGACAACGACCTTTTTTTAGAAATTTGGTGTATGATAATCCTTATTGAATTTTTCCACTAAATGTTTCGTAAGCAAAACCCTTTTAAAAGGGCATTCGTCGTGTAACTTGAACTTTTATACGGATTCACTAAACACTTCACTTCAAAATTGGAGATAGGCTCTATTTTTATAACAAAAACGTACAAGGAAATTTGGTATTTTATTTTTTATAGCAGTTAGTCTTTGTGGAATTAGATATTTTTATTGTTGACAATACATCCAACATGGAAGAAACAGTGCAAAAGATTTTAAAAGCGCAAGACACAAGAACACAGTTGTATAAAGAATTTGAAGAGTAAGCGGATCTCATATTCATCTTAGGTTAACATAGGAAAGGGCTTTGAAGGCAAATCATGAAAAAACAATTGGATTAGAGCAAATGGGAATCGTCGTCCAACTTGTAACAGAAGGTTTGAATGAGGTTTCTTTGGACATCAGGAAATTTCAAGCGGATTTGGGCAGCTCTCGGTTACAGAGCTATGTGGATCAATTGCAAGAATTGGAGCATTCCAAATTACGAAAGGTAAAGGACATATGATTGATTACCAAAACGCAGGTTACTAATTACTTTGATTCCTAGACAATAAAAATCGAACAACTATCCCTACCTTCAAATATAGAAGATAATCATTCGGAGATTGAGCAGCTCAAAGAAGAGTAAGTTTTCCAAGAAAAAGTCAATGATATGATTGTTAACAAATAAAAGGATTCATGCTACAATTATGAAAATCAATGATACAATTCAAAGTATAAAGGACGAACTTTGAAGTTGGATTTCTGTTTCTTTTGTCATTCAACTAGCCAGAATACGTGGTAGAAGGAGAATTGTTTACCTTTTATTCGATATAATGAAAAGGATAGAAGTACAACAACTGAACAAGTTCATTGGAGCTGGGTTGAATGTTTCTTAGTGAATCTACAATTACAGACTATACCAAAAGAAGGGCCTCAAAAATCTTACGAAAAAAAGCTAAGATTCTTTTTCTTCTAAGCGATTTAAAGAACGCTTACGGAGCTTGGTTTTGGTTTGTGGACAATGTGTATATATGGTGAGTAGAATGCGTATCCACTTAGACTGAAATAAGAGTCATACATATAAATTTAGTTTTAAGAAAATAGAAAGTTTTAAGATTATCGAAGGTTTTTGTAGACTCTAGCATCCTTGCAGGGTTGTTTATTCGGTATAGTCTGATGAATATGTCAATGAGTATTCTCTGAGGGCTAATGTTTACTATCTTGTACCTATTTTGAGTTTATAAATGAAAAAAGGAATCTCTACTTGTACGTTTGGAAGGATTTAACTTTGAGATTCTTCGTTCAAAATTCGAGTTGTATTATACACCTGAATGAAAAACAATTCATATATAAGAAAGAAAAATAGATATAATGAAAGGAGTTATAGTAAATTACATAGTTAAAATGCTCACCAAATTATGATGACAGACTTCCCGTCTCTTCTCTTTAGCCTATACCGTTTCACCTTGGATTGGTTTTGGTATTTGTAATTTGAGTATGTTTTTGAGAGCTTTTCGAAGAATGCCTGCCATAGTCAGTTCACGCCCTTTCCAAACAGCGTCGTTCCAACGTAAGGTTGCAATTTATGATTTTGAAAAAGTAAGTATCTCAGCTAGTTTTACCCGTCAAGGAATTGCTCTATCGGAATGGAAAATCTACTCATTCAATTTGAAAGCAAATTAAAAATTTTATATACATGTTTAGAAATAGATCTAGCTAACCTATCCCTAGGTTCGAGAATTGAGTAAACGGGCTAAAGCTGAAAGCAAGAGTCCCATCTTAATTGGTAAGGAAAATGAGGAGCATCTCGAATTTCCTCTCCCCTTTTCTAGACCCCTGTATTGACAATGTTAACTGATAGATGTTCGTGAGCCTGGCGAGTTTGAAGCAGGATCCATCAACACGGCAGTCAACCTGCCTGTTGGTAAATTAGAAGATGCATTGAAATTGGGAGACAAAGAGTTTTTAGAAACCTATGGTTTCCGGAGACCTTCTATTACCGACAGTATTGTTGTTTACTGTCGATCAGGTGCACGCAGTACAACCGCTTCCAAGATTTTGTCTGAGAAAGGCTATGATAAGTATGTGCGGTACATGTTTTCGTATTAGGCATTAACATGTTTTAGTATTGGAAATTATACTGGTTCTTGGCTCGATTGGTCTGCCAAAATTAAGAATTAAGTGGACGCAGCCAGGTTTGAATTAGCTTGTGCTCATTGATGATGCGCATTTTGTTCTTCTTGAAGTTACCAAAGAGAGAATTACGATTACGATGAATGGTATTGTATTTGCGGGTTTTTCAAGCCGGGTGTAAATCTTTAGCAATCTACGCGTTACTTTTCTGGTACAAGAAAAAAAGGTATAATGGTCTTTGAAATTAAGTAAGAGTGCTTGATGAATAACATTTGCCTTAAATGATAACATATGTGAATCACAATGAATGATACATTTTAAAACAATAAATATGGATATCTTCCAAACGCTCTATGGCTGGTTATACTGCTAAGTAAAGGCTTGCTATCCCATTACTGCTCAGTGCAGTTGATAGTAAGGTAGGTTTACCTGCTAGACTAACCACCTGCATAGTAAAGGGTCTTTTGGATAGATTAATGGGCTTTTGCATATTCAGTATATAATCTAAAAGATGTCCGGACAGCTTCCTACTTCAAAAATATGATCAAACTGTTTCAAATCAGGTTCACCATGTACAGCGCAACCAAAAAAAATACAAAACAAATCAATACAAAGTAGAAATAAAATAAAAATAATACTACACCTTCGATTCTTTAATCAATAGATTTGTATAACTTCTTCAAACGCGTAAAAGCGCGTTCGAATTCGTTATCTGTTCATTGACGGAAGTGCTGCACTCAACTCAGTCGCATTCAAGTTCTCTTCTTGTACCACCAAGATTGATTAACGCTACCAAAACACCAATTTTGCAAAGTCAAACGCTTTCAATTACAATTTAGCATAATGTTCTCTCGTTTGGCTGCCTCTTTTAGACCTCTGGCCGTCGCCAGTCGTCCTATGACCAATTTGCGTCCTTTAAGATTCTACAGCGTTGCTCGACCTGATGCTGAGCAACGAATTATGAAGGTTGTTTCTTCTTTCGACAAGATTCAAGATCCTAAGAAGGTATGCGTGAATGAATTTGATCCTTTGAGGACTGGCTGTATAAGCTTGATACTCTTTCTTCTGCTTTCGCTATACGACAGAATTTTGCTCTTCAGAAAGAAAAAGCAGTTGAACATCATGTTCTCTATCACTGGTTGGAATTTCTTTTTATGCTGACAATTGTTTTAGGTGACCCCTACTGCTTCTTTTTCCAATGATTTGGGATTGGATTCTTTAGATGCCGTTGAAGTTGTGATGGCTATCGAAGAGGAATTTAGCATTCAAATTCCAGACAAGGATGCTGATGAAATCATCTCTGTTTCTGATGCTGTCAACTACATTTCAAAGGCTGCTGATGGTATGTCGGAACAATGTTTCAATACAACTCGTTTCTTTTCTAACTTTCTTCACCTAGCCAAATAAACAAAGAAAACATGTTTTTTCCTGCCCCTTGATTGTGCAGAGCGTGTTTAGGGTATAAAAAAAGTCTATATCTCATAACGGCCACTTTTTTCGTGGTGATTTTTGTTGAGAACGATTATCTTGAAAGTTAATTTTATTCATTTATTGTGAAAGTTAGCATCTCTTTACAGTTAGAAGCTTTGTTTTAGCTGTATGGTTTGATTTGTTATGTAGCTAGTATTTTACTACAGCATATAATGCATTTTGATCTAGTAGTCTGTGGTTTTCATGAGATATACAAACATGTAAAAAGGAGAGCGCTGGTTTCTACATAAGTAAGTAGACCTTTCGGTGCAATAAAGCCAGGTGAACCACTTAAAGACAACTGACAGTCCGTTTCAAGCCCATGCTAGTTCAATACTCTTTCTCTTCCATTAAATCAAGAAACTCATGCCTTAAGGAAACTTTCTACTTTTTTACGAATATATACACTACACATTATACGAAATACAAAGCTATACTTTCAACGTCAAAACATTTTTTCATCGAAAAGACATCGACCTAACCGATAAAAGTAAACCATTTGACAGGTTTATATAACTATCGAAACCATTAAGAATCCAAAATATGAATACAAAATATGATGTCAACACAAATATGTGTTGACTGACTTTCCTACCGCTTCCAATAGCTCAAAACTATTAGTGATACATTTATTCGGCCTTGGTGAGACGGAAGATGGAGGTGTGGCCCTTACCACCGACGGCACCTTGGAGGACAATGACATTGTCACCCTTCTTAAGGAGACCCATCTTGTAACCTTGCTCGCAACCGAAAGCAACACGAGCATCAACATCTTGTTGCCAGTCAGAGAGAGCAGCCTTCTCATAAATAGTAGGGTAGACACCACGGTTGAGGTGAGCTTGACGAGCACGTTGGGCATCACGGGTAACCATGATGATGGGAATAGAGGGACGGTACTTGGAGCAGAGACGAGCAGTGGTACCGGTGACGGACAAGACAATGATGGCCTTGGCGTCGCTCTCAATGGAAGCACCGATGGCAGCGACAGCGGTGGTCTCGGTGGGAGTGTTGACGGGCTTGCGGCCAAGAGAGAACATCTCTTGGTAGAGGTTACCGTAGGGGATAGAAGCCTCGGAAGCACGAGCAGTCTCAGCCATGTAGGTGACGGCTTCGACGGGGTAGCTACCCTTGGCAGTTTCACCGGAAAGCATGACCAAGTCAGCACCGTCGAGAACAGCGTTACCAACATCGGAAACTTCGGCACGAGTGGGACGAGGGTTGTATGTCATAGACTCGAGCATTTGAGTGGCACAAGCAATAGGCTTGCCGGCAATGTTAGCCTTAGCAATCATCATCTTTTGAGCGACGAAAACTTGAGAGGCGGGAATTTCAATACCCAAATCACCACGAGCAACCATGATACCGTCGGTGGCTTCGAGGATTTCGTCATAGTTGTTGACACCTTGTTGGTTCTCGATCTTGCAGAGAATCTTGATGTTCTTACCCTCTTCACCCAAGACTTCACGGATGTTGTGAACGTCTTCAGCACGACGGATGAAAGAGGCAAAGATCATATCGACACCGTTCTTGACACCGAAGCGCAAGTCAGACTTGTCCTTTTCGGAAAGAGCGGGCAAGTCAACGTCAGTCTTGGGCAAGTTAACACCCTTCTTGGAGGAGATCTTGCCGTTGTTGTTGGTGCGGACCTTCAAGTTCTTGTCATCGATCTTCTCAATGACGGTGAAGGAAAGGATACCATCGTCGACGTAGATGATACGGCCGACTTCAATAACCTTGGTGATGTTTTGGTAGTCAATGTACATAACCTTGTTGTCAGACTTCTCGGCATAAGCTTCGTCAGTGGTGAAGATCATTTCATGACCAGTAGAGACGGGGTAGTCTTGGCCGTCGATGGTGAAACCGGTACGAATTTCAGGACCCTTAGTATCCAAGGCAATGGCCAAGGGGAAGAGAGGGTTGGTGGCAGAGGCCTTACGGGCATTGTCAATGACCGATTGGTGGTATTCGTAAGAACCGTGAGAGAAGTTCATACGAACAATGTTCATACCAGCATCACGGAGCTTGCACATAGTCTCAACATTGTTGGACTTGGGACCGATGGTACAGATGATGGAAGTACGACGGTCGACGGCGGGAATATCCATCTCAGAGTTGAGGGATGCGACCCATTGCTTAGGAGACTTGGAAGCAGCGTACATCTAATAAAAAATCTTCGTTAGTAAATCTATCGCATTTTAACATCTCTTCGATATTTTCAACAATTCATTGCTCCTTCCAATTCATTGAACTCTTTTAGCAATGTCTCGTTCTACTATTTTACTTACTTTGATGAACTTTGTTAATGGTTGGTAGAAGTAGAAGGGAGCAGGGAAATGCCTATATATAAAGCTTTCGGAAAATGTTCTCTCGGAGGACCCCCGGTAACCACCATCTAGTTACCTCGGGTACTTGAAACGGACCCGCAATTTTGAAACTACATGATGATTTGATAGAAACTGTTTGTCTAGAACTGTGTATAATACAGTGCTTTACCCAGGGATGTTTTGACACGGTTGTTTTTCATTAGAGAGACGCGTTTTGAACGCGAAAAAAAGACCATTTTCTTCTTTATTATAAAAAAGGTGATTTTTCAAGAAAATCAACGACGAAAACACACTGTTTCTCCTTCTTTTTCGGCTCTTTTTCCCATGTAAACAGTCGTACAACGCGGTCTGTCCAGTTCTGTAATTACGTACTCCAGGGGTGGTCATGATATTATGACTTCAGAAATGTTCCAGGAGCTTCGACCATCTTCCGAAAACGCTAGCTCAAAGTTTTTCCATGCGTCACTTCATTGGGTCGGAGGCGGGTTTCAAGGTAACATTGATCTATTTTGCGAAAAGAATGATGGCCTGCCGCATCACTATCTCCCAATCATTTCTTGTTGCGAACTACACTATCAAACGAACTCTGGGTAACGACCATTGTGACCTGAGTTTACTTTGTTTACAAACAAACACCAGACGAGGGAAAGCGAGAGCAGCATAGGAAGGAAGAAGGAGGGAAGCCTAAATGCTTCTCTCTCAGTAAGAGAATAAGAAAATATAAAATCATTGTTATCAATGCTATCCTAGCTAGCTTCATTATTACAAAAAAGAATTATTGAAAATTAAAAAAAAAAGGAATAAAGATTCAAGAGTTCCATTTGGATTCTCATCTTGTCGCAACCGTACCAGCCGGTTGACTCGGTTTCCATTACTCTTCACAAAATGATTCGGCGATGTGTATGTCGTGTAGAGCGTAAATTTGATCTGACTTTCTCTCCATCAATTCCAAAGTCTTCATCAGCTTGCCCTTGATGCTTTGACGTCTGCGTTTGTGATATTCTGGAACCAACGAATGATATCGTTTCGAAAACTTGTCATATTGTTTCTTCAACCGCATCAATTCTTTCGTTAATTGCTCTGTAACACTCTTCAATGCTTGTTCTGGGGGTTGCGTAGGACGCATGGTCATATCTCCCACTTGCACAGGTTCTTCACTTCTCTCCCAAATATCTCTGCTTTTTCCTACTCCTGATCGCTGACGTCCATGGCATACCGTGCATGTTTCTGGTTTATGCACTGCATTGCAATTGATTATGTGATCTACTTGATCAAGAATATGCTTCGGTAATGCAGGCGATTCAGCCCGTTCTTTACCAAGATTCAGCGTCGATTGTAACACCGGGCTCCAATCCAACCCTTCTTCTCCTAAATAGCTATCTTCTGCATATCGAGAAAAGTCTTCCACAGGTCTTCTTTTCTGTTGCAAACGCTCTCTTCTCCGCATATTCAATCTTGCTTGCTCTGTTTCTTTCTCCACATCTCCTTCCTCGTCCTCCACTTCTTCCTCTTCTTCATCCTCATCCTCATCCTCCTCTGTATCCAAGAAATCACTCTCGCCGCTCCATTCATACTCAGACTCCATTGAAAATTCCGGTCTGGCATTCTTTCTCCACCTCTTCTTTTTGTTAACCGTTGGTGAAACATGGATGCGTTTTGACCGGTTGCTTTTTGGTTTTTCATTGTCTTTGAACGCAAGCAACTTCAACTCCAGTGCTTTCCTCCGTTCGACTTCTTTCTTCAATTCCTTTACAAGGTTCGTGTTCTCTGGAACTGTTTGTTGCTGTTTGTCAGGCGCAATGTTTTCCTTGTTCGTTGAACCGTTTTCCATCTCTTTCAATTCGCTCCTTTTCTTTCTTTGAGAAGCTTCGTCAAGAATCAACGGCTTGTTCTCCATATCATCCTTATTATGTTCTTTTTCATCCACATTTTCTTCTTTAGTAATTTGTTTGCCTTCCAAAATAAGGATCCTCTCCTTTAACTTTTGATTTTCATTATTCAGTTCATGATTCTCGGATATCTTTGTACTTAGCCTCATAATATAGCTTTCTCGGTCTAACAATACATTCTTGTACAATTGTTGTGTATGGTCGTATTGTTCTTGTACCGATTTCACTTGTTCAAAAAGTGCTTCCTTTTCTTTCGCTGTCGCTACTAATCTCGAGGCGAGAGAAGGGTCAATGGTTTCAGATTCTTTTTCACTCATCTTTGTCATCAATTCTTTCGACATTCGGTCCTCTAGACTTCGCGCTCTCTTCTTCTCTCGGGTATAGGCATCGGTAAGATGATCAATCCGCTCTCGAAGCTGTAAAATCTCTTCTTCGTAATCCGACTGTTCACGCTTCATTGTTTCCAGCTTTCGTTCTAAGGCTTTGTGAGCATAAAACAGTTTTTCATCCGTTTCCGCTATCGGCACAGTATCCAAATTTGGTAAACGGCCGTTTTCAGAGGCACCAGACATATTGTCGTTCGCCGGATCTTGAACGAGTTGAGAGAGATTTGTCATGTTGGGAAGACGGTATGATGTTTGGTTGGGGGCATCAAAGGGTATATCGTTGGAATCTAAATCCAATTGTTCCATCAGTTTCGCTGCTGTTTTTAACGAGGATGGTGTTTCTTTTACGGATGGTTTAGCTTGCTGTGGGGTGGGTTGGAATCGTAAGCCTGGTTTTCGCCATGGAGTTTCGGGTTTCTTGGGAAGACGTTCACTTGGAGAATCAAACAAATAATTCCTATTTTGACGCTTGGTCAACGGTGTCTGGTCTATCCCCTTTCTTAACAAAGAAGGGGATTCGTCCAGCATTACTTCATCCTTACTCGGATCTCTTTTTTTCTGAAAAGCATTCAAAAACTTGTTTCGATAACTGGACGTATCCTCAGTAGCTCGGTTGAGGCTTCCAGGAGGCGACGCAATGTGAAACAAATTGTTGTGGTTTCGTAATCGATTGAAGCTATTCTCTTCAAATGAGTTCATATTCCTCCCTCTTGGTCTTTCTACACTTGGGAGTGTACTTGCAGATCCATTCATTGTAAAATCCTTGAAATGCTTATTGATACTCTTCAACTTGGGTGTTTCCTTGAAAAACGGCTCAAAAGAATCTCTGTTTTTTGTAAATGAAGGGTTTTCGTTTTCTTTTGGATCATACGAATACGTATTGCCATTCAGCTCACGATCCAGGGCCATTCCCACTCGAGCCATGTTTTTTATGTTATCGTCCTCGGCAACGAAGTTTTCATCAAATGGATCAGGCATTCAGGATTTCATTTACTGAGATTACTTTCCTAAAAACCAGAATTTTACCTGTCTATGCAGCAAAAAAACGAGAATCGAATGAATACTGTTTTGTTTACGCTGTCCGTTGTTTGTTGTTAGCAACTAGCAACTTGATGTTAAACGTATACAGTATCACAGAGCACTACACTAAATAAGATGTAAACAAATCTTGTTTGAAAACGTAGAAAAAAAAAGTTATATATATATATATTTATAGATACTTTTGACTATTATCAAAGGAAAAAATAATATAAAATGAATACAATTCAATCAAAACATTAGTAATAATAATAGAAACAACACTTTTACATTGCATAAAAGGGTCCAAGATAATATCCATACATCGTTGTATATTTTGAAGTATATCCTCTCCCTTTTATTTCTACTCATTTCTATAGGATAAGCCTATGGACAGAGAAGAATGGCTTCGTTAAAGTTCCCATTTAAATGGTTCAACCAGAGTAGAACTTTACTTTGTTTTTATTTTTTGATTCTTCCAATTTCCTCAATGTTTATGCATATGTATATTTACGAACGAGTTTCAACACATGCTCGTTCGACATAAATAGCAACACCTTTCAGCACAGTATATTTAGGGTTAGGGTTACACAGAACATAAATAGACGAAAAAAAAGTTACTGTTTCCCATCCTTCCACATTCAAGTGAAGTATGATGATAAGTCGTGTATAACCTGAAAAGCCATCCCAGTTTCCTTATTTGGGGAAAGCTGCATGGAAGGATACTTGATTGCGATGCCGGGCACACCTTGTTACGTTTTTCTGGCATCTATGATAATCTGACCTCTTATCTTGTATGTGGAACTGTAGTTTTAGGTCTGTTTAATTTGTAGTTATAAATATAGTCGTTGATTTATAAAGATGGAAGTTGTAATAGATATAAAAGAAGAACGTTAAGAAATGAAAATATACATTGTTGAATGCAAGTGAGTGGAAATCAGTAACGAAGAGGATTATAACAAAAGTGCTACGGTACACATTTGTGATTCATGGAGTTGTGTATTTAGTTGGATTGTCTACGTGTTTGTAAATAAAAGGGCTGTCGAAGGACTGACTTTCTACATCTCTTTTTTCCTTTCCTTTCATTTCGTTTCCTTTCTTTTCTCTTTTTTATTTAATGTCTTCCATGTACTAGCCTACAATTTATTTGCAACTTGCAATACAATCGACCACTTGTTACCGCTGAAACAACATAGCTTACTGAGTTTACAAAGACTTTCCCATCCTAATAGGAAAAATAAAATTGAAATTATATTCTGCATGTGAAACATAAATAATTTTATTTCAGTTTATCCATTTCTTTCAAATCTACCTACTTCTAATTCAAAACTTCCTACAAACCTGATGGGTTAGCAATTGTATAAAAAGGTAGCTTTAGGAGAATTTAGTACAATCAGGAAAAATGGTTTTTCAGCAACTTTGTTCAGGCAATGTAGATAAGATTTTTCAAACATCATTTTGTACTAAAACCAACATTCTAAACTTACCAAAAAAAGACCTCATGTTTTTGTTCACATCCACATAGAATTTTTGTTTTGGGGACGTCCACCTGGGTGCGACGGCATATTATATATAGCATATATAAAGGTATCATGTTACCTCATATTTGACAAGAAAAAATTCAACAAAAAGGAGACAGTCAGGAAGGTAAGAATCTTGCTTTTCGACTGATTATTTAAGATCCTGGTTTAATAGTTATTTTCACTGAATCTTGTCTTTTATTTTCTAGACGAATTACTGTTCCAAGGTCGACCGAGTTGACTATACCAAGACCTACTACAACATTTGAATGAAAATCGATTAAAATATTGGAATAACTACCTTTTAACCCATTTCGTGGATTATCAATTTGCTAATTCAAACTTTTGTTTTTTTTTTTTTTCTGAAGCAAAACTAACTGACCGTTCATATTTTTACATTGATTTACAATACCTTGATATGGATTCTTTACCTCACAAAGTGTAAGATTATAAAACTAAGAAATATTTATATTCTTCTACAAAAATAATAATCTCATCTAACACAACATTATCTAGTGAAGTTCGGGTGCCCTTTCCCTCGGAGCAAGATGCCAAGCTATGTATGCAAGTATTAGCACCAGATCGGGAGTTGAAAGAAGATCAAGTCGCTAGAATACTTTCTTTAGAAGGAAATTACTTAGTTGCCAAATACTTTTGCTCTTCTGCTAGAATGACTAGAGTCACTTTAAACTCATTTTTCGAAAACTTGCACTTGGTTGTTGATTCTATGCATGAATTATCTTCCTTGTAACGTCCCCCTCAAATAAAAGGATATAACGGCTACCAGAATCATTGAATAATCCATTAAAAATTAGCTTGAGTCACAATACTCAATACTACGAGTTCTAGTAGGAACTATTGTATTATTAAATATATATCATGGGTATTCATTATAAGTAATCAATATACAAAAAAAAGAAGAGACGCGTTTAGAAAGAAAGTATAAAGTCGTAAAAGTGATCGTTTGCCTACCCCTTTCACTATTCTCTGTCGTAACAAATGCACGGGTTTTTTCTATGAATCCAAATTAGAGGAAGTAAGACCATCATTTGATAGGATATTAGAGTCCGTTTCGGTCGTTTCAGTCAAGAGACTAGAGTTCATATTTGCAAATTCTTCATCGTCCATCTCAAGGATCTGCTGCATTTCACTCAATTGGTTTTGCGTGCTTTCTATGGTGTTTAACTGCATATCCAAGCTAGAGGTCAATTGACTGAGATAGTTTTCAATAAAGCTTGAATACATTTGAGCGTCATTGTTTGCTTTTTCCAATGAATGTGCTATTTTTTCCTTTTCACCACTGCTATTTGCCATTGAGTCTCTCAACGGCTTCTCAATTTGCTTTGTCTCTTCCAGATGCCTATAAAGCGTTCCTTCTAGATCTAGAAAAGTTTCATTAAGTTCTTGCACCTCTTTGTCAATCTGCGGGTCCTTTTTCAAATTCTCTGCAGCAACTTTGTCGTAGTCCATTTCTAAATTCCTTTGCAAGACTTCGTATGCTTCCGTTTCCTCAGAAGCTGCCTTCATTTGACTCTGGACGATTCCAATCTCCTCCTTCAAAGCTTCTTTCTCCTCTTGCAATTTCGAGATTTGACGTTCGAATCCTTCGTGCATTTTTTGATCTTCTTTTATTGTACGTTGTTTTCGATTAACCATGTTTGCGACAGATGTTGCTTGCATTTTAAGTGATTCCAGTAAGTTTAATAAATTCAACTTTTTGGACTCAAGCTCCTTCTTCCTTCGTTTCTGGACATTCAATTGTGATTTCACTTCTTCTGTCTCTACTTTTAAGTGATCAATTTCATTTTGCATGGCCGCTATCATCTGTCCGGATGATGCTTTTCTCGTAGTATTTTCCTTCACATCGGTTGATCCAGTTTTCGGGATTTGTCTTTTTCCAATACTGTTGGATAGATTGTCCAACGTATTTGCCATATCGTACAACTCTTTTACATTGTCTTTACCATGTTCTTTTGTATTAACTCTTTTGATTCTTTCCATTCATGCCAAACCAGTCCTTACCTATTTCATCTTGTGTTTCTTGGATTTCAAGTTCTACCTTTCCTGCACTTTGGAGACTCATAGAGGTTGACTTTACTTTGACAAGAATCTATTAATTCTTGTTCCACTGAAGTTACCCTTTTAGATTTCACATTCCAGCCAGCACATTTAACGATTGTTTAGGTCTGCACTGCGTTAAGCTTTAAGATGTATTTAGCTCTGTAAACTAGCAAGGTCAGTCAATTAAGAGTATCTATCTTTTAGTTTACATTGATTACAGTTGCAAAAACGACATAAGGAAGTGTTTGTACTCATGCCAAGTTATTTTATCTATTTGACCTCATAAAAGTAAAGGAGCCATGAGTCAAAATATATGTAGAACACCAATAATTACAATGTAAGTATTCAATGGAAACCAGTTCAAAGCTGTTCTAAAATTGACTTTTAGAATTTCATGTACACTTAACATAAATAGCATTGATACTAAGAAAAAATATACATAAAAGGATATGAGTCCACAAAAATGATATATATATATATATATATATATATATATATATGTACGGCATTAACCTTTAACGCAATATCCAAAGGATTGCAAATATTAATTAAGCACAACTTCCTCAGAGGATTTTGACTCTCCGTCTGCAGGTTGTGAATTTGACTGAGACAACTCTTCGGATGCTGATTTAACAAAATCAGGTCGCCATCGTTCTAATAACGTTTGCGCTGATCTGCGAACATCCTCTGTTCATTGTTAGTATAAACCATAATAAAACCAACTTACCGTTTTCCCACCACATTTTTTGTAACAAATCTAAGCATTGATTTCTTGCTGGTAATCGAAACTTAATTAGATACCTATATGTTAGCATGATGCAAGCAAGCTCAATTGTAGACAGCACTTACTGTAAAGTCATAAATCCCAGTTTTGATTTGTCAGGGTCGAGACATATAAATTTCACCTTTTCAATCATCGCGTCCGTAAGCTCAGGCAATTCTGACAGGAAAATCATAAATACTTTGTCTTTCATTTCAAGATAAGGAAGTACGCTGTCAATAATGCGCAAAGCCCATCTTTCGTACTGTGGGCCTTCCCATTTAACTGAGCTTTCTTCTTTTGTTTCATTTTCCATCATAAGACGGTCATTATACCATTCTTCCGAAAGCCAATTCAACGTTAAGTTGGTGCATGCTCTCCAGTTTGAAGCTATGTAAGTGAATAGTTGCCCACGTACGAAGGATGACAAAGTAAATGAACTTTCTCCTTGCTGTTCGTCTGGATTGACAGGCTGGTAATTATTCAACCCTCGAGTGCACAATCTCGGTAGAAGAAGAGACCAATGATGTTTATCCCAAACAGTATTATCAACATTGTCTAATGTGAGATTTTGTAGATTCGAAGAAGAAACAATAGTTCTTTCAAATTGGGACGAATAGTCAAAAAGGCGTGACAGCGAACTATGGAAGTATTCTAATACCGCCATAGGTGAAAGAGCTTCCGGCGTTGGTAATTCAAACGTATCCGTATTAACTACCGAAGGAGTAATGCCTTCAAATCTAGCTGCTTCTCGTTCGACACTTGCATTAATTGTTTGAACATCAACTTCAGGAGGTTCATAATCATCGTCTTCTTCTTCGTCAGCTTCTTGATCCAATCCCAATGTTTCAGGCTCAGATAAAGAACGAACACGCTCACGAAGCATATTAATTTGTTGGTGAAAATAATCATTGTCCAACTGACGAAGACAAGCCAGTACTATTTCAGTTACGACTTCCACTGGAATTGCCGTCACATCGAAACTAGCCAACGGGTTCGTGGCTGCTTGCGATGCAAAAATATTGACTAAAGGATTATTTAAAGCAATGCTATCTTCTTCGACCTCACGAGGCTGAATCCTGTCCATTAAACTTTGTACGGCGGAAGACTTGGCACGTTTGGAAGAGATGAAATTTGGCGTTGAAGCATGTCGCTTCTTTGCTTGATCATCCGTTTTATTCTGATAAATTTGCCCTGAAAGATAGGCATGTATTTTTTCGACTAGAGAAGAAGAAATGCCAGCATTTTTTGTTAAATGAAGCAACGTAACTTTCAGGTTCTTTTCTATACAACGACGAGCAAGCTTATCCAGTGCGGCGGTTTCGCCATTAGTTTCCTTTGGATTAGGCAAATGGAAATCTAATAAATTTTCAACGATTAAGGGACCATGCTCTTTCCTTCTTTTTGCAATTATTGGAAGTACATTGAGTACACTTGTAATAAAGAGTGGACTTAAGACCTTGGATGAAAACACAGTAAATAGTTTATGAAAGATGTCAAAAGCCTCTTGCTTCAAGACAGTAGGATTCAAAAAAGGATGATTTGTAGGGACCTTAGAAAGGGATACATCCGACTTGGTAACTAAACGAGGATCTCGAATACCGGATGACTGGGTTAGAATGATAGTTGAAATGAATTTAATGCATGAAATTTTAAGATGATTAGTAGAAGAATCGAATAAAGATAAAATGTCCTGCTTTATTTTTGAAACGGTTTCCCATGACTGAGTATCATCTGCACATGTACAGCAGTGAAAGAAAACAAGTGGGTATAGAGTGCAACAGCACAAAATTATGTCCTTTTTCACTTCTTCATTATCGAAAGAAAGAAGAGTACTTATCGTTCCTAAGCAAGCAACTGCCAATTCAACCTTTTGATCAAAATCGACCCTTTTACTGGAAAACCCAAACCATAGAAAACTCGACATCCATTTTTTAAACCTCAAGTCTGAATAATTTGCAACAGAAAGAATATTTTTTACAATCTCAGGGAAAAGGCTTTCATCTTCTTTGACGATGTCGCGAGCTTGATTAAGACGCGCTATATGCTCATCGGCTTCTGGCTGTTCCATACCAATTTTAGAGAGAGAGCTTGATATCTTTTTTAATATATTTATCACTTTTTTTTCTTTACAGTTGTAATTATACTGCCAAGCTTTGCATCCTCCTTTATTTGTGCTGGTACAACTCTTTCAGATCAAACTCACCAAGCACCTGAATAACGATACGTTATGGAGTTCTAATCTATATAACGGATATTAAGGATGTATTATCAAGCTATAAAGTTACTTAGTGCAGACAGATAAAAAGGAAACTGAGAAAACTAAAGAGTTTGTAACAATTAAAAGTACGAAATTATAGTAGTTATCAAATTCTTTTTTGTTTATTTTTTTCTTTTTGCTTTTTTTACGGATCCACAGTTTTTCGCTTAGATGAAACTAAGTTATCTTAACTCGTTAAGTTGATCTAAGAATTCATTTCAAATTCCTCATATTTCTTCCAACAACTTTGTAGAACAATTTTAGTTCATTTTTTAAAACAAGAGCTTTTTGCTTGGTTTTTTAACTTATAAATAATCTATTTATAAGGAAAGCTTAAAATAAGCGTTTGGTATCATTGGAAGTCCAAATTGAAGGAAATTATACATTTGGCATTTTTTTGCATATATAGGATCTGGGTTTCGGTTCTCGTTTTTCCACTCGTTTTATTTGATATTCACAATGAACAGTAGCTTAGTAGCTTCGTACCTGTTTACAGTGGATAAGAATGAAGATGAGGCAAAGGACATCATAAACCATATCATAAAAGGTATTGGATTCTTAATTTTGATGAAGACGTATCTCTAACTCGTTTCTTTAGACCTTGTTGATGACAAAATTGGCATCGTTGATGTGGTTACCTCAATTGGTGATTATTTAACGAATACCAATGTTTCCATGCGAGCAAAGGGTAGGCACTACTAATAATTCATTCTTGCGAAAGTTTGTACTAACCATTTTAGCTTTGCTTTTACTTTCCCAAGTTTTGGAGGGATTACCAAAAGACAGACTTCCTGTAAAACATGGTAAGTACCAATTGGAAGATATAACAACCTAATTAAATGTTTAGTGTCTGTATTGATCCAGTTTTATCTTAATCGTTTAGACGATGAAGTTACCTTGACGGAAAATTCTTTGGGAATTGCTGCTTTACTTCACATGGACAATTTTCCAGCTCCCAAAGTTGTGGAAGTCTGCTATTGGTAAGGATTAAATTTGTTTATAAAAGGTTGACTAACTTTTTTTCAGCTATTTTGATGCCACCGATATGCCTAAGTATTCACAAAAAACTCGGTATAGTATTTTGAAAATCTTTGATATAATTATCGACGAATATCTGTTTGGTATGTGTAATCTTACTTCCAAAGATCTGAAACCCTAACCAGTTAGACATTTCACCACAGACAAAAGATGCATTCTTTGCCGGCATTTGTACGACTTTCGCCGGTGAAAAGGATCCAAGAAATTTGTTCTTAGTTTTCTCAATGCTTCAAAAAATATTAAAGCGATTTCCCATAGGTGGGTTTGAAAAGCAATTCTTTGACATTGCTTATTGTTATTTTCCGATTACTTTTCGAGCTCCTCCTGATGCGCAAGCTTTAACAATAACGACAGACGACCTGAAAGAACAATTACAAAATACCTTAATTGCAACTGATGCTTTCTCACACTTGCTTCTTCCGGAGTTGTTTAAAAAACTGAAAGCTTCTGCTGTTCGTGTCAAGGTTGATGCCCTTAAAATTTTTACTCAAGCCTGCCAACATTGGCATCCTAATTCTTACTTGTGGAGCTGTGCCGACTATTGGGAATCCATAAAGCAGGAGATCTTGGAATCTACTGATACAACGTTGCAGAATACTGCACTAAATGCGTTAAATATTCTAGCAAAGAATTTATATAAAGAGAACGGTTTGTCGTCAAACTTCACCGACTTCCTTGATATCGTTATAACTCAGTCCTTTGAAAATTTTTCAAAAGATTTTACCGTAAAAATCGCATCTGCAATGGGTGCCGTTTTTGCAGCAGTTGCTTCTGTGTCTGTGGAGAGTTTTAATTACTGCAGTGATAAGCATCTACGACAAATCATTCATTTGCCTATGGAGTCGGAAACTCTTGAAAAGAGACACGGAATGCTAATTTTTTTGAATTATATGTTCAAATGTAATGCATTGTTATACGGAAAATGGAAAAGTCAGAATGCCGTAGACGCTCCTAACCCTTTGCTGCCATATAAAAACCAGTTTTTGAGTTTCATGTCAGCATCCCTAATGGGCGTCGCACAGGACGAATTGGATTTACGGGTTTCCGCTGTCGATGTGTTATATACTCTAAGCACCGTAAAGGGATATTTGGACGTTAATGAACTCACGATGATTGTTCAATTCTTGGTCGAGATTTCCTTTGAATTAAATGATCCGTTGAGAAAAAACGCTACTGATAAACTGAAAGACATTGGTTTATTTAAACCAGACATCATATTAATGGTGGCCTTTCCTCATGCTTTTTCTTTATTTCCCGAAATATCATCTAAATTCGGTTCTGCCGAAGATACTGCTTTTAGACACTCGCTTCATATCTTAATGACCGTCTCTGAAGAGAAAAGTCTTTTCAAAGCTTTAGTTATTAGATTGATCGAAGTCCTAAAAGACCATTTCAATGCGGCGAAAAACGAATCATATTTTACAAGCATCGTGCTCCAAAATCTTTGTCTTGCTTTTCGAAACCGAAACATTCAAAACAGAGATGATGTACCATTTTATTTGGAGAGTTTGGTACCCTGGTTATATACTATTAGCTTCAAATATGCTCCTATGTTCGTTTTGAGTATCAAAGACCTTACTAGTATTTCACAGATTATAAACGAGATTATACGAGTTTGTCCCTTGCAAAACCAAATTTCCTTTTCAGATGATTTACGGAAGCTTTATTTTACTAATGATCAGTCTAATCTCATACAGGATGACATGTCCGTGAAAGAGATAGCATCTCAGTTCAGTTTTGAAAAAGCAATAATTGATCAGAAGTATGCAGGATTAGTCTTACTTCTACAAGGAGGTATGAACGGCCTTCAAAGATTGGTTCCGATTGTTAGAGACTTACATGTGACGTTATTAAATTCATGCGTTGACACCGTTGAGAAGGCCACGATCCCAGCCGTGATTTTGTCTGCTTTACGTTTATTATCTTCCCTTCTGAACAAATGTAGCAAGGATGAAGATATAAATAGTTTTCTTCAGTCAGCTACTGTCAAATCTTCTTACGAAAAAGCTAAATCGGGAGATAGAGGACAATCTAAGGTAGGAGTACAAATCCTCTCTTGGATTGCGAAAGCTTTAGTTTCTCGAAAGCATCAGTCTGCTGACAATGTCGTAAATTACTTGCTTGACTGCTTGCATTTGGAAGATGCTACTCCAGTTGTAACCGGGTTCGCTGTTATTATCAGGGATGATCCTGCTTTGAACAAAACTAATCACAATATTGAAAGAATTCTCTATAAGCAAAAATTTTATGTGGAAGTGATGCCTAAGCTTTTGGAGGCTATACGTGAAGTTACCTCCAAGGAAAAGCCATTCTACTTGATGGTTTTGTCGATTGTGATAGGTAATGTTCCTGAAGACGTCGTTATTCCTGATATGCCAACTGTATTACCTTTGCTCCTACAGTGTTTGGTGCTTGAGGATATCGGTGTAAAATACTCAGCCCTTAATGTTATAATGACCGCCATTAAGGAAATGCCTTCCCTAATTTCTGATTATATGAACTCATTAATCCCATCCCTACTCACTATCCCTAAAGACACCAACAATCCAGCTGCCATTCGCCTACTAGCTTTGAAATGTCTAGGATTGTTACCAGAACTTATATCCCCAATTCATATACAGCCTTTCAGAGCGAAAGTGATTCGTGAAATGATACCGTGTCTTGACGATATTAAACGGTAAGTTTTTATGAACTATTTGAATGTACATTAATTACTAACTATACTTTTAGTGTTGTAAGAACGGAAGCCAGCCGAACTAGGCATAAATGGTATACTTAGTTAAGTCTATGAGAATATACATCAAATATAATACTTTTTTGGCCAAGGAAGGGACAAAGCTTCGTTAATCATATCAAAGAAATCTTCTCTAAAGCCAGGATCTTGTCGTATTATATGATGTTTTGCAATTGGATCATCATTAAGCCATTCATAGAATACTGTGCTAGGGCATACCTCCCATTCGACTTGCATAGACACGATTGTATGTAAAAGAAGCTCTAAAGTTGTTGGGGAGTAGGATGACCAGTTTGACTGAACTTGTGACTGTAGTAAATAACACCAATCTGAAACTAAACCATCGGTAACTTTCGAGTATTTTGAAAGGTGAAGATGTAATGACTCTAAGAGAATAGCGATTCTACCAAGAAGCTGTTCATATTTGTGAAATGGTATATTGCTATTTGGTATTTCAAGCCATTTTGAATATAAATCGGAAACGATATCCATACCGGAACACTGGACAAATGATTGCGCTGACCATGTAGAAGCTACAGCTTTACTAAGCAAATAAAGTTTTTTCGTTATAACAGAAATAGATGGTTCATGCTTTAAAGATTGTATAAACAAAGGCATGAGATTGTCTTTGACAGCTAATTCATGAACAGCAGGGTTATTAGCGAAGGCAGAAGCGAAGACACTAGAAGCCAAAGATCGTGTTGCTTCTGGATAGCTTAAATTATTCATGAAGTTTATTAAATGATCTTTTATATCCGACTTTACCACCTCTTGACCAAAAGAATAATCATGAGAAAGATCTCGTAAGGTCTCAAGAGACGAATCTAGGAATTGAATATTTTCAGTATTAGAAAGGGAGTCAGCACACTGTTGAAATAGTTGACCATCCGAAATAGTTTTCTTGGTTTCAGAACACACTGAAAGCCGGAACGACAACGAGAAAAGAAACAAGAAAACAAGTAGACGGGTGTATGCCTTTATCTTTATATTAAACATAATGGAAGATAGTCTGAAAGTCAAAGTATTTTTAAATTACGAATTCTGTGTGAATTAATAGACTTGGCGGTAATATTCGAACTGATCGATAGAAAATAATTTAGGTAAACCCACTGGATTATTTCAAACAAAACGAGTTAAGTAATTTCAAGATATTACTCGTTATCAATGTAAGATTTACACAAGTTCGAAATATGTTTGGAGAAAGCGGCTTGGGATATTTGTCCTTCTTGGTCAAAAATATCGGTGACGGGTACAGAAAGCTTATGCGCTATGGATGTAGCTTGTTTTCCTCTTTTAATCCTTACTGTCAGATTCAAATGAGGGTTATGGTTCAAGGGGAGCGTAGTCTCTGCGTCGATTGTTAATTTTTGGTCGGGACTTGTTCCAATGTAAATTCTGTTGCCTTTGACAAATGAGATCCACCAAGTTAAAAGTCCAGAAAAGGTAAAGTAGACTAACAAAAGGCACAAAAGATGTTCCTTTAACTTTGAGAAATCATGGAGTTGCTCCAAACCGAATGCAATCGCAGCAGGAATGGCACAGCCAAAACCAAAGAGAAATCGAATGTTATCGACGAAATGAGACTGCTTGTATCCTTTTTTATTAAAAAATTCGATAAAAGCAGTGTCAAAGTTGGTTTTAAATTCCTGAATGTTGTATTTGGACATAAGTTTTATGAAAGCTATTGGGCAGGGAAAGGAGTGGATAGGCTGCAGAATGAATCCTAGACAAAGTCACCAATTGGAAGTAGATTGATTTTCTGATGGAAAAAAGAACTAAACAACTTTCACTATAAAAAGCGAGGATATAAATCCCTATGAGGAACTTCAACTGCTAACCTGCGTAAAATCTGAGACATAGTTGTATTCACCTAGAATATCTATATGGGATTTTCTGCTATTCAAGCCTTAATTCATAGACTACAATGAATGAATAAAGCCACAAAACATCTCATTTCCCTCTTGACTTAGTTCTTACTTGGCAAGATGGAAAAAAAAGTAGCATGAACGCAGAGTGTGTCATCGTGCTTCCTTCTGTAGAGTATTCTTTGAATTAAAAGATAAGAAATTCAAGTTGCTTGGGACGCCTTGCCCTAGTTAGTATCCACCAACAAAGCCGGAAGGAACGCTTCTAGCAGAATCCTAGAGAGCGCGGATCTTCAAAAGATAATGAACTGGTTGATGAAACAAACTTTCTCTCGTCGGATCTGTTTTCCTTACCTTGAAATTGCCAATTTTATTTTGCAACAAAAGCGAGCTTGCAAGTCAGAAAAGGACATCGCTAGTTTTCAGTCAAGTTCCTAAAGTCCAAGACGATTTTGAAACGGCCTATCCATACATTCAAATATCGTTTTTTTTTTTCTTTCACTTTACTTTGATTTCGATCTTCCATAACCTTTGTTTTGTAGTGAGTCGAAACGTGTTGCGCAATTATGCTAAACCAGTCATTTTTTAACATAGTCTTGGCGTTTTCCAAGGAGTGGGTATTCAAATAATTTAACAAAAATCCATAAGAATGCAGGCAGAAGGGTTCACATTTGGCTTTTATGATGAGCCTAAATCTGAGCAGCAACAGGAAACTCAAAACACAGATCCTGCACCTGTCCCTATTGAATCTGTTTCACTTGGGCGTATGCTAAAGTACATTCCGTCCAAGCTATCATATGCCCGTGTACACGGACTGCCTTATAAAGTAGTTCAAAGAGAACTATGGGACGTGAAAATACAATTAATGGAGAGCGATTCGTTAGAGTCCACACCTTCGGAATTGAAATTGCTGGATAGTGCCAATGATTTAGTGCCCAAAGTTTATGAGGGAGGTTTCAAGACATGGGAATGCAGTATTGATTTGTGCCACGAAATAAAAAAGCTTAATATTTTGGATCGGAACTTAACAAATATTTTGGAACTTGGGTGCGGAACCGCCTTGCCCATCTTGAGTTGTTTTCAAGAGATCTATCAAAGACGTGAGCCAAGTACTTTGATTTTTCAAGATTATAACATTGACGTTTTACGCTATATTACGCTTCCAAATCTGTTGTTGAATTGGTACTTCAATACACAGGAACATGACTCATCACAAGAACATGGGACAATTAACGTGAGCGAAAACTTACTGCAAGAATTTTGTGACGATTTTGCTCGTAACAGTATTACCTGTGAATTTCTATCAGGCCCTTGGGGTCCCGAAATGCAGAATATTATCCAGCAGTCCTACGGTAGTCATTACTTTTCTCTGATTCTGGCTTCTGAAACTATTTACTCAGTTCCTTCTTTAGAACCATTTATATACATGTTGTTGGAAAACACAAGAAATATCGCGTTGATTGCAGGCAAAGATTTGTATTTTGGCGTTGGAGGCAGTATTTTGGAATTTTATAATCGACTGCAAAAAGCTGTTTCTCCAGAAGATTCTCTAAAAACTGTAAAATCATCGTTTACCAATGTTGGAAGATCCTTGGTTTATTGGGAGCGTTTATCCATAGCTGACTCTTCCGCGGAGCCATCTTCAGTGAAGAATTAAATAGTTCTTCTGTTTCCCAGTGCGATTATTCATCCCAATTTCAGTACAGCCCTTATAAGAGTTCAATTGTTTTTCAAACAAAGTTTTTTTTGTTGTTGTATATTTCTCTCTCCTCCTACCTATGTATATTATGGATGCATACTAAAAAGAACGATTGCGTGTTTTTATTGTATGAGAGAAGTGAAGACTTCAAAAATTTATTTTCTATCCTCATAAAGAAACCAATGCTTTGTAAGTTACTGTTCCGTAACTGTGCGCAATTTACCTATCCATTTGTCTTAACGCTTGTTGGGTATGATTATAGAGTTAGTTATTTTTTTTCTTTACTTTAGACTTGTTCTTTAACTGTTTTGTGTTGGGCTCGGTCTGACTTTGTAAATTATATTGGTCTTTTTTGCCTACCGAATCACGAGGCTTCGTGAATAGATAAAAAATGAATAAAAAAGAAATATAATGAATTGTCCTTTTTATATATAGTTAGTGTCCAAGTTTTGGTTAATAAACGACATAACCTGCATTATGGAAAGTGTTTTATGCAAGCAGCATCAAATAACTGGCGAGGAGCGCCTAGTCCTATAGAAGTTTTAATTGCATTTATTAAAGTTATTAGAATAGACGATTACAACTAACATTTCATATCCTATATGTCTATCAGTGCTCAATCCCAAACCTCATTCTGAATCCATTGTACTACTTACTACTACTATAATTGGGACATTGGCCGTAACACTACTAAGGGATTCCGAACTTGAGAATCATGCCTTCTTTTCGCGATGATCATATCATTGTAATACAAGTAGGATCCTTGTATCATCGTGCTGTCCTTGGACTTGGTGAATCAATAGGACCACCTACCGTTCGTGTGCGTACCAGAGTTGGAAAGAATGAACAAGGAGAATATATATTCGGAAATCAGCAAGAAGAAGGAATCAAAAATGAGGAAAATGTAAAAGAGGAGGAATCAGAGCAAAAGACACAAACTTTGGAAAAACCAGAATCCCACGATCAACCCTCGTCAGCAAGTAACAACGAGCCAGAGGAACATAATCAAAAGGATGAGTTCAGTCCTTCTTTTCAATCAGAATGTAATATTGATGACTGGAAACCTCTTCCGAACGAGATACAGCCCATACAGAAAGGATGCGTTGTCGATTGGGATGCATTAAGAGCATTCTGGAAGCATTTGTATTTTATAATTCTTAGTACGTCAACTGAACTTATTTCGCAATATCCTGTATGTTTGTTAATACCAACATATTGGTCCTCTTATGATCGAGAACTTGCGACCCAATTCTTCTTTGAAGAGCTGCGTGTACCAGCATTTACAATTGGTTATGAATCACTGATGGGATTATATGCAATTGGTGTTTTACATGGGCTCGTCATTGATGTTGGTTATGAGAAAACGGATATTACTCCAATTTTAGACGGCCAAATTCTTTTTTCTGCGACACAACAAATTTTACTGGGTGGAAGAAGCATGACTTTACATATGCAAAAACTAATGCAAGAATCGCTACCTACTCTCCAAGCAACGGGAAAGCATGTAGATCCAGAACATGTCACCGAGCTGTTTGCCGAACAACTAAAGTGTAGTGAGATTACCCAAGTCCTTCGGGAGGAGCAAGACGCATCAAAAGAAAAATCGAAAAGAGAAGAGGAATTTTATTCTAGTAAGGATGACGAGGGCGTTGAAGATATAGGAAAGATCGTAGCTACTGGCCAAACAAGAGCGTATCTTGCTCGGAAAGAAGATGAGCGAAATGGAAATAAATCACAGAGAAAAATGCCGGAAAATAGCGAGGTTGAATTTCAAACTATAAATCTCTCACCTATTGGAGATTGTATTGTCGGCAGGGAACGTTTTAAGGCATGCGAGGAACTCTTCCACCGCCCTTCAAATTACAGTGTCAGTCTACCAGAAGCTATCTATCTGACAATTAAACACAACGCGGTAGATTATAATCGAAGAAATGACTTGTGGGAGAACATCATCGTAATGGGTTGTGGATCTCGTGTTCGGGGATTCCGGGAAGCGCTCGTTCAGCAACTTCAGTTTAAATATCAATTAACAGGAAAGTTGGAGCCATATTATGTCGCACAAGGTACAGACTCCCTTATTGGTATGACAACAAATCCTCCGACACCCTATCCACCGCTCATTAATCCCTGCAAAACCTTACCTGATTACTTTCCTTCATGGAAACCAGATGCCAACACCAATGCTATGTTTGAAGAATTGGCATTTTTGGGCGGTAGTATCGTTGCTAAGACGTCCTTTAATGAGTCTGTTGCCTCGCATTATGTTACGTTCGATGAATATGTTCAGAGTGGACCTACCGAAATACATAGTAAGCAATAATTCATAGACCTATAGAAAAATGATCATGGATGAAAAACTGCGGGAATCTACGACCTTACACATGGAAAAAGTAATGCATCTTCTACTACTTTTTAACATACCACGTGTACGTTCAGAACATTTAAAAATACATAGCTCTTAATTTACAATGCTCAACATGATATCAAATATTCCATTAGGGAAATATACATACATATATTTCAAACAAGTCTACTTCAAGGGAATGAAGCGAGAGCTGTTAGTGGCACCAATACCAGGGCGTCCGTGTCTGGTAGGTTTGTAGGAGATGGAGAATTCACCCAAGTAATGACCGATCATCTCGGGACGAATTTCTACTTGGTTGAAAAGCTTACCGTTGTAGATACCAACGACGGAGCCAACCATCTCAGGGAGGACGATCATGCTACGCAAGTGAGTCTTGACAACGGCAGGCTTCTCGTTCAAGGGAGCCTCAGCCTTGGCTTGACGGAGCTTCTTGATGAAACGAGAAGCACCAGCACCAAGACCACGGAGCATGCGGCGGCGAAGACGAGCAGGGAACAACTCAATCAATTCCTCAGCCGAAAGGTCCAAGAGCTTTTCAAGCTCAACGCCACGGTAGGCAAAGGTACGGAAGGTTCTTTTCTTCCTTAATTCAGCAGCACGGACGGCTTCCTCGTAGTTTTCCTCTGCCATGGTGTTTGATCCAGGAGAAGGGGAGTAGATACTGCTTAATTTCCTGGCACCGCAGAGTTGCGTGACTGTCTTTTTTGTAAACAAAAAAACAGTCACGAAAATCAAAGTTGGAAAAGTAGTTAGTTGTGAAACTCGCTACAACAACGCGCCGTCAACCGCATACAATTACAAAAGGAAAATGAAGTATCTTGCTGCTTACCTCCTCTTGACCGTTGGCGGAAAGAACGCTCCCTCTGTCTCTGACATCGAGAATGTCCTCTCCACCGTTGGTGTCGAAGTTGAATCTCAACGTGTTGAATCTTTGGTTAAGGAACTTGAAGGCAAGAACTTGGAAGAGTTGATTGCTGCCGGTAACGAAAAGCTCGCTACTGTTCCTTCTGGTGGTGCTGCTGCTGCTGCTCCCGCCGCCGCTGGTGCTGATGCCCCTGCTGCTGAAGAAGCTAAGAAGGAAGAGGCCAAGCAAGAGGAAGAATCTGATGAAGACGTAAGTTGTGATAATAGTATTTTTTTATGTCCAGCTGTGAAATTAATCACTTGCGGATTGAGTTTTAAGGAGTACTACTGGTTCCAACGAAAATTGCAAATGCTAACTATATTTAGATGGGCTTTGGTTTGTTCGACTAAGGATGTCAATAAAATCTATCTTTGTATTGTTGATAAAAAATTTACCGAGCGTAAAGTAAAAGAGTAATGTCTATGTCTAAATTACTGCTATTGTGAATGTATAGTAATGGTTAGGTTTGTGAGTCTTAGTCGTAAATATAGTCACCAATAAACAACATGATTATGAAAGAATGATTCTAAGTGTCGTAAAAAAGATTCCAGTTGCTGATGGAAAAGTTACTCAAAATATCAACGTTTAAAGAAGGTGTTACATATCCAACTTGCATGTAGACAGAAAGACATTTTGCTGATATAGGATATAAAAGGCCCAAATGAATTGTTTTGTTAACGGATTTTAGTTTTTTCTTTTGAAATATGTCACTGAGCACTGATAATCACATTTCCTCCTTCGGGGCCTTTTTGTTTTTCGACCTGGACTTGGGTTGGGACTTTGGTTTGGCATATTTGTTCTCCATTGCAGTGATCATATCTTCCATCCTATTCTTCTGTCGAGATCGAATGATAGCCCCCAATGAGTCCTCATCGCTTTGGTCGGTTTTTTTTCTTTTGTTGAGCTTCTCATCGAGCCCCAGTTCTTTCGCCAATTCTTCAGCCTCTTGTGCCTCCCTTTCAGCTGCACGTAAACGTTTTTTTTTGGATTTTGCATTTGGTTTGTAAAGTTTAAATTTTGGTACAACCCCTTGCGAGATGGCTTCATCAATCATGTGTCGAAAACGTTCTTCATCACTGATTTCGCTACACATAACTTCTTCAAGTATACCATCCATGGATCCTTTCCGACGTTTGTAAGCTTCCAAGACATCTTTCTTTTCTTCCTCTGAGTTTTGATAAGATGCTTTAAACTCGGTCACTGTGTCTCCAGACACGACTCCGCTGTACATCTCGTCAAGCCATTCTTTCCAATCGAATTCCAAACCGTCCTCGCTGAAACTTGTAGATCCTGTAGTATCAAAGTGTTTTCGTTTATGTTCATCGCTTAGAATGCCGTATGCAAATGCTATTCTGTCAAATTCCCTTCTTGCTGAATCCTTTTTCTCATCCTCTACGACCTTGTCAGGATGGAATCGTAGCGCCTTTTTACGATATGCTCGTCGAATCTCTTCACTCTTTGCATCTTTTGGGATATCCAATACCTCGTAAGGGTTAAGTTCCATGGTCATTAAAATATTATGGTTCTAGTTAGATTTCTCGACAGATGTTTCACAACGCTTTGTACAGACACACGTCCTCTCAAGTAGATTTGACAAAGCAAGTATGCTAGGCCCAGCCCAAGTTCAAAATTTTTTATTTGTTACACTTTCAATTAGTTAAGTTAGTAAAACATATGGCACTTTTACTATCACAACGTGTAGTAGCAAACTACGATAGTATGTCAAAGTCAATTCGTAAATTTGTCTATTGGTAACTATTCTTATAGTCCACAATTAATAATAGTTTTGAGCACCATTTATACTATATATTTATCTACCAATTCATTGCCCATTTAATTCTGCTGTACCACATAATATAATAAACATGAAGTTCGTTATTAATAGTAAGCGGATCGTCTTAGAAAATTACGAAATTTTTTGCCTGCAGAAAAAAGACAAGAATCCTCTAACGCATAGCATTGCCAACGCGTGCACCTTTTGTAATCACCATTTGCAAAGCATTCACTACACTCCCGCTCAAAAGAGAAGTTCACCATAGCCTCCAACTAAAAGGTCATCGTTCCTCAAAGCAGTGCTTGGTAAATCAAACATCTTACTTTTTCCTTCTTTTAGATACTTTTAACCTTCATACAACTACAAACAACAAGACAGTTCAATGAAAAAAGAAAAAAAATTAGAATTAAATTGTTTTTATATTCACTAATTTATAAACAATTATTCTTCGCATATCTATCTAGATATCAAATATCGAATTAAATCAAATGTATTTTCACTATTTAAACGGACAATTCATTTTCCGTAAACAAAACCAAGGCATATTGAAATTAATAAACACTTTCTATATATATATTAGGGGATGAAAGAACAGAACGTTTAATATAAACATTAATTATGTTACAACGTTGGCTTAAGCATCGCCCTTCTCATGGTGAGTAGAAGTGCGTTGCAAAGCAACGACAAGATCTTCAACAGAGCGCTTGTCTCTGCTCTCACGGGGCTTACCGTTCATCCAGCGGTCGAAAGCAGTAGATTCAGACAAGATGTAATAGACACCGGCCATGATACAGAAGACACCGAAAGAGTAGATCCAGATACGAAGAACGGCAACGATAGAGGTTTGGTGACCACCCTTGAACCAACCGAAAATACAGAAGATGGTAGCGAGAATATCGACAACCAAGACTGCACCAGACAATTGCCAGGAAGGAATGGAAGACCAGAAAGGACCATTGCAACGGGTAATGAAAATCAACCAGTTCTCAGTAAGGGAGATTTCAAGGAACAAAACTTCGTCTTGAACACCAAAGTTTTGAACAATACCACGGTTTTGACCTTGAGCAATCATAGTAGTGTTGGTAATCCAGGTACCGATAGCCAAAACAATACCGATGACGGTGGAGAGACCCCACAGACGAGGCAAGTTCCACTTGACGGGTCTCATGGAGAAAGGAGCATTGTCATAAGCAATAGCCAAAGTAGCAACATCAGCGAAAATAGCAATGAAAACAATCAATTCCAAGTTAAGCAAACGGTTTTGAATGATAATCCAGAGACCCAAGAAAATTTCCAAGTGAAGAGACAAGGCAATACGGTAGACAACATAAGAGTACATACGGTGGAAGATTTGACGAGAAGTCTTAAGAGCATCAATGATAGCAGAAAGACCAGGAGCCAAAAAGACAATATCAGCAGCAGAACGGGCAGCATCAGTAGCACCTTCGACAGCAATACCAGTATCAGCCTTCTTCAAAGAGGGAGCATCGTTAACACCGTCACCAGTCATAGCAACCAAGTAACCACGTTGTTGGAGAATGTCGACACAAGCGAACTTGTGTTGAGGGAAAACTTCACCGAAACCATCAGCAGCCTCAACGAAGTCGTAAACTTCGTTACCGGGCATAGTACCACCACCGGTAATACCAAGTTGTTCAGCGTTGAAGATGTTAGTACCCATACCCAATTGACGAGCAGTTTCCTTAGCAATATCGACAGCATCACCAGTAAGCATCTTAACACGAAGACCCAAACGCTTGGCTTCACCGATAGTACGACCAGTATCATCACGAGGAGGATCAGAGCAGGGCATGATACCCATGATTTGCCAGTTCTCACCGTCAAACTTGCGAGCAACACCCAAAGAACGGTAACCACGAGAGGCCAAATCACCGACCTTGTCCTTGTAAGCCTTCAAAATTTCTTCGTCAATAGCGTGAGATTCTTCAACCATCTTCAAAATCCAGAGAGGAGCACCCTTGGCGCAAGTGATACGCTTGCCTTCAGGGGATTCGACGTAAGCAGTAACTTTCTTGGAAACGGGATCGAAAGGTTGGAATTGGAGAACCTTGTACTTGGAGAGAGCGTTCTTAGGACCAGGGTAGTTCTTCAAGGCCTTCAAGAAAGACTTGTCAATGGGATCCAAACCCTTGCGCTTACGAGAAGCGGCCAAACAGGCGGTCAAGACCAATTCGTCACCAGTGACACCAGAAACAGTGAAGGGTTCACCCAAAGAAAGCTTGTTCTTGGTCAAAGTACCAGTCTTGTCAGAGCAAAGGACTTCGACACCAGCAAGAGATTCGATAGCAGAAAGCTTTTGGACAATAGCTCTCTTTTGAGCCAAGTAAGCAGCACCGACAGCCATAGTGGTGGTAACGACAGCGGGAAGACCGACGGGGACACCAATAATGGTGATGGCAAGAGTGTATTCCAAAAGACGAGCGATACGAACAGAACGGTAGAAAGCAGCAGTGTAGATACAGAAGAGAGTGAACAAGACAAGGACCAAGAGAACAGTACCGATACCGTTAAGGACTTCGGTAAAGTGACCAGTACCACCAGAAGCGGCGTTGACCAAAGCAGCAGCACGACCGACAAAAGTAGAGTCACCAGTGTGGGTAACGACCATGAAACCTTCACCACGCTTAACACCGGAGGAAGCGTAGGTAGGGTCGTTTTGGCCCTTTTCGACGGCAAGAGATTCACCAGTAATAGCAGATTGGTCAACTTGGATGTGAACGTTTTCGGAGACGATACGACCATCAGCACAGATAATGGTACCTTCATCCATGTGGAGGATATCACCAGGGACGACTTCATTGGCTTCAACTTCTTGGATGTGACCATCACGCATAACGACGGCCTTCAAAGCAAGAGACTTCTTCAATTCATCGACAATGGAACCAGCTTGGAATTCTTGGACGAAACCGACAACGGCGTTAAGCATAAGAAGAGCGCAAATGACACCAAAATCGACCCAGTCACGAAGACCAGCGGCAAGAGCAGCGGCGGCTTCCATAACGAATTGAATGGGACCGACGAAAAACATGATGAACTTGAGAACGGGGTTTTCGGCTTCTTCCTTCATTTGGTTGAGACCGTACTTCTTACGACGTTCTTCAACCTCAGAGGAGGACAAACCAGTTTGAATGGGGGTTTGAAGGAGTTCTTCGGGAACAGGCTTGGCTTCACCAGCAGCAGTCTCTTCTTGTTCTTCTTGTTCCTCGTGGACATCTTCGGAGAAGAGTTCCTCGATGAGTTCGTCAATGTTCTCATCGGGTTCCTCATCCTCAGAAGGGTCTTGTTGAGGGGCAGAGGCAGCAGGAGCTTGTTGCTCTTGTTGAGAGACCTCGTCTTCTTCGTGCTCATAAGGCACTTGTCTCTCAGATTCCTGGTATTCACCAGCGTGGTTGGGGAAGTGATCGACCTTTTCAGACATTTTGAAAAAAGTTAAGAGGACTTAAGTGCAAAGTAGTCTTGCAAAACAAAAATCCAAAAAAAAAGAAAGAGATTAGAGAATCCAAATTTAGAAACCTTTAGAAAAGTTTCTACAAATTAAAGATTGGAGTAAAAAGGATATATTTAGAAAAATTCAAACAAACGAAAAACGAAAAACAGAAAGACGATCGTTTACGAATTAGGCAAGAGCGACAAAATAGAGCTCTGAAATTATATCGAAAAACGAACGGGTAGAATGGGAATCAAACGATTGTGAATCCTGAATGAATGATTTTAGGATTGAAAAGATGCTATTGTAAAAAAGAAAATATTGACAAAAGCAAAGATTCGAGCGAAGCCCTAAGAAAAAAAAATCAGGGAAAGACAAGAAAAATTGATGAAATTTTTTTCTAAGCCTTGGAAAACCTTTTCTATAGTGTTCGTTGTACGGAAAATACGACGACGAAAAAGATAGAAAAAGGTAAAGTTTTGGAATCTAAAAAGAAATCAAAACGATGAAATGATTGGATATACAAGAAAAAAATAGGAAAGAAAACACCAATGTCAACTCAAAAGAGAAAAGAAAAGAAATTCTTTTTCTTGGAAGTTGAAACACAGAAGTTTTCAAGCACAAAGGATAGGGATGTGTATTTTTTTTTCCTTTCAACAGTAGTTAGCGAAAGACACTAAGCTAATGTTAAGAGTATAGTGTTCCAAAACTTTCGGGCTTGAGAGGAACTTGGGAGCGTAGGGGAGGTGGAGCCTACTTATACTAAAAATTGGCAGGACGAAAAAGCAGGAACGGTGCAAAAGTGGTCACGTGTAACGAGAAGCAACGGAGGTCGGCAATAGGATGATTTCGTCGCTAAGAAACATCTAGACAAGGTAGATAGGTAGGAGAGGATCATTGATTGGATCCGAAAATGCTGGTATGGATCGTCCAGCGAATCAAAAAAAGGCATTGATGTCATGTTACCGGTAGATAAGGGTAGGGATGGGTCGTACGAAGTGTAGGAACGGAAAAAGGTTCGTAGTAGAAGGAGGAGGAACGTAATGCAAAGAAGGTTCGCAAATTGGTCGGTTTCGTTTGGTTTAGCCGTTTACGGTAGGCAGAGGAGATTGTGAGGAGAAGGTAGAGGAAGGAGGTATTGCGTTGCGTTGTGTTGTGTAGAGTTTCGGGTGGTAAGTAGGGTAGATTGGTTGGTTGGCTGGTTGTTGTTTTGGGTTACTTGGGGGTTGGACCAGACCAGATGGACCAGACCGGACCGGACCGGATCGGACTAGACTGGACTGGACTGGATTGGGCTGGAGAAAGACAAAAAGTGCCACCAGCAGGCGGGAGGAAGAGAGAGAATTGAGATGAATCAAGCATACTACAGATGGATGAAAAAGAGTTGAAATGAAATGAAATGAAGCGAAATGAATTGTATCGAAATAAATCTTTTGTAAACAATTTTGAGTTTGGTTTGCAATCTATTTTGTATCATCCTACTCGCTCATACAGCCATGTCATGCCATGCCATGCCATGTTTGTGTCCTGCTCTGCCCTGCCATGCCAGAGGACATCTCCTATCCGAACCAGGGATTGCCAAGCTTGAATTCCATCGCCTGTTCTGGTTCGTTAGTCCCGTACAGTACAGTCGGCCGCATTTACGTTATTTGATAGAATCTCTAAACATCCATCATCATGTGACCCGAAACTTTGTTACTGGAAAGTTTATTGGAAAAAAGTTGTGGCGTTTTCTTTTCTATAGAGTTAAGAGCGCAAAAGACACGTAGGTAAATAATCAAATTAAGATTCGGTCTGCAATTGAATTTTCTGAATGTTTGTTTTTTCCTTTTCAAAAAATCATCCACAACAATTTTTTTTTTTTTTTGCTGCAGACTCTTCGAGTCTCGTTCTTTCCGGCCGCCGACTTTCCAATGCCGTTCGTTCTCCTGTCCGACTCCTCCAACCCAACCCTCTCACTCCTTATCCGCGATTGCGATTTCTCAAAACACACGTTCCAGATGTAATCACGTCTTTTGGTATATGGTCGGTATTGGATTGGCCAACGCACAACCGCACCCACTGCTATCTACTAGAAAGAGGGGTAACGAGCCGTAATGCGACATGGTTTGTTTATTTTATTCTTTCCTCCTCAAACACTGATTTGTACATGTCCTATGTCCGGCCGTCTAGTTGAAATGGGGAAGATCCATCGTATCTAAACACACGCAAGGAGGAGAAGAAGACAAGAGGAGATGATGAGGGGAAAAAGGAGGAGAAATCGATTGCGCAAATGTTTTGAATCCAGATAGCTCGATCGATCAATTTTACACCTGATCGAAACTTTAATTTTCAAATGGCTGGAAATACATATATACCAATAAAAAAGAGAAAAAAAAGGCTGACAATTCCTTTAGTTTTCTTCTTTTTTTTTTTTGATTTTTTTTTCTCTGTTTTTTTTTTTCTCTGTTTTTTTTTTTGTTGATTTACATTGGACTCTTGTTGTTTGTTCTTTGGTTAAAATTCAGACAACAAAAAAAAAAAAAAAAGAAAACATGTTGTCGTAGGGTTTGGGGTCATTCAATTTTCATTTTCAAATTTCAAATTTTTGTTTTTTGGTTGACTCTTGTTTTCTCCATTGGTTCGTTCCTTCCCTTTGTTCCTCTCTCTCTCTCTCTCTCTCTTTCTCGTTTTCTCTCGTTGTATTGCTTTATTTATTTTGTGAATTCCATTCTGTTTCTCGTTACATTCTCCATTAGGGATGATTCCATCCCCCCCCTGCGTTTGGCGACGTTTTTCTTCCCTCGTTTTTTTCATGTCTTTTGTTTTTCTTTTCTTAGGGGAATCGTTTCCTTATTAACCTCGTTTTAAGCGAATCTTATTCACCCACCTCTGCTACTCTTGTACACTTGTTTGCACATACGCAAGCACACACACAGACACACACACACAACTCGAGACTTATGCATAGAAAAACGAATTCATTCTTTTTTTCTTTTCTCAGCCCACTTGCTTAGAAACAAACGAATGATCCCATTAACGATTCTCTCTTGATTTTTATAACGATTTTTTTTTTCTTCTTTTTTTGCTTGGATTTTTCCCCTCCCCTCTCTCTCTCTCTGTTTCTTCTTTAATTTTGCAGCTTTCTTTTTCTTTATTTCCCTCTTTTCTCATGCTTTCCCCTGTACGGTCCTTGTCATCCTTTGGAGTTTCTCTTCCACTAGTTTGTCGTCGTCATGCTCCTCGTTTCCTTCTTCCCTCTCGTCCCTCTTCTACCAACTCTCCTTCCTCTCATGCAGAGTTTCGAGCTCTTATGCGCCGTTTTGCCCAACCCGTCGTTATCCTTTCCAGTGGGTTTCCCAATGGTCAGCATGCCGCCATGACCGCCTCTTCCTTCACCCCCGTCTCTCTTTCTCCAAACCCCATCGTCTCCTTCAATCTCAAGGTTCCTTCCCGTACCGCCTCGGCCATTCTACAATCTCAACGCGTCGTCGTACACCTCCTTTCTAGTTCCATTCTTCGTCACTCCCAATGGGCATCTATCCTTTCCCGACCAAACCATCCCTCCATCTTTCCTTCCCCCGACCTCTCCAGCCCTTCTTCACCACCCAATTCTTCCGGCCATAGCCACGGCTCCACTCATAGCCATAGTCTTTCTCCGTCCGAAGTTTCCTTTAGCAAAGAAGGTGTCCCCCATCTTTTGGATAGCCTTGGCCTCTTGCATTGCTCCATCCTCCAATCTATCCCCGTTCAAGATCATCTCTTGTTTCTTGCATCTGTCAACCGCGTCGAACACGGTTCTATTCCCCTCTCTCAATCCACCGGTCTCGTCTATTATAATCGAGAATACTGTTCCATTTCTCCTATCCAACCTTCTTCACCTTCTACTTGTACAAATACAAATACAAATACAAATTCTTCCCCTAAACAACCAAATCAAGATGATCGGCCTTGAACCTACCGCATATACCCGTTCTCCTTTCCTTTTTTTTCGTTATGATCTATTTTTCTCTCCTTTCTTTTTATTCTCTCCATATGCCTACTTCCCCTTTCCTTCCTTCCTTCCTACCATTTCTAGTTTTTTTCTTTACAGATTACTCTTCAACTTCTATATTCCTTCTATAAAATCCTCTCTATCCAACGACCTTTTTTATAAAGTTTCTTGAAAAATCTACCAATTGCTCGTAGCATAATTGGAATCCATCATCTCCTCCATAGTAAGGATCCTCCACAATCTTCGAGACACCTGCGCTACCATAATCTCCAAATAATGAGATATGTGTCTTTGCATCACTGGGACACACCCGTTTAATGTTTTGCAGATTTGATCGATCCATTGCAAATATGTAATCAAACTTTTTGAAATCTGTCAATTTTAGTTTTCGAGCCACATGGTCCGTATGAATTCCATTTGCAAACAACACATCCACCGTACGAGGATCCGGCCAGCTGCCTACGTGCCATGCTCCAGTACCGCAACTGTCAATGATTTCGAAATGCTCACTTACGCCTGCCTTTTCCACTTCGTCTCGAAAAACGGCTTCCGCCATTGGACTTCTGCAAATGTTGCCTAAGCAGACAAAAAGAACGCATATTTTCATAGACATTTTTCAATTCCAAAAATCTTTTTGTTTTTTTTTTATAGTAAAGTTCTCCCTAATGAACGAGCAACCAAACTTATTTTGCTTCTAACGTCTGCTTCTAATAAGGATATGAAATGGAATCCCGTTTGTCTTATTTTACTTTTTCTTTTTCTTTTTATAAAACCGTTCGAAATCACTAATATCAAGTTATAATGTAAACGCCTTTGTTTCAACGACAGGACTGGGTTCGTAGGTGTTAAAATTTCCCAAGTAGAACCTGGAATGTGATTCAATCATAATTCTTTATGTGTTTTCTTGTGTGAATAAAAAAAAAAAAAGAACACATTTGCATCGTTTTATTTTCAATTTTCTCCTGTATTTAAGAGCATTCTTTGTATTTAATCGTTTTCTGCTTATTTCCTTTTTGTTTGTTAGTATGAGTAATTCAAGGAGGGAAATCTTACGTGAAGTAGCGAAAGCAAAGAAAGCCAAGCAACAAAAGCCCCAATCCATTGAAGACGTTTTTGAAGAAGCCATTGAGCAAGAAGAGAGTGGAGATCGTTGGCGACTTGACCCTGAAAAGGTAAGTTTTCTTGAATGGATGGCAATATCAAGTCCATTTTGTACTTCGTTTACTATGTTTTTATATGAAACTATTATACGTCCTTACATTTAATCTTCAGTTACCATTCGAGAACCCCTCAGAACTGACTCTTTTTCTAGTGCTACCGATTCTACGAAAAAGCTTCTAAAGCCTATGATGAGTACTTGAGTGTTAAGTCAAATGATTTTGATGCTTGGTTCAATAAAGCTAGACTCTATTTAAATATGGTATCAAATTGCGATATGCTGTCAAGTAAATCGAATCAATATCTGCAAAGCAGCATTGATCTACATAAAAAAGCCCTCAGTCTAGAAACGAATTCCGAAGCATATTTTAATCTTGCACAAACCCACAAGTTCCTTGCTGAAAACTGCACGGAAAGTGGGAATGAGCAATTGGCAGTACTGCACATTCAATCAGCATTGGATGCATGCATGAAATGCTCAGTGCTTCAACAAGAAGAATTTTCACAAAAAAAGTTGGAATTGGAACAAATTTCCTCGTCGGGTACGGCCAACATTGACTTTGAGAAATTTTATGCGAACGTAACTCAGGCCGATGAAGACTCTGCCATTCAATTAGGAGATCTTGCCGCTTTGGCTGCGAGCACAACTTATTTCACGGATGCGGATTTCGAAAATTTGATCCAACTCGTTCAACCCGTTTCTGCAAAGTATGATGTACTGAAATTTATGGACTGGCATCTTGCAAGGGAAAAGCGTCTTGTATTATCAGGACAGCATCCTGAACAAGCGTGGTTGGATTTGTTACAAGTCTACGATGATCGTCTATCACAATTACCTGAAATTAACTTGCAAAATCCGTTACAGGCATCAAATGCACCAACAAAGCCCATCCACATTCAACTACTGTGTGATAAGGCCGACGCATTTGCAGAATACGCAGAAACACTGATTCAAGCCCATTTACAACAAAGCGCAAGTCCATCTGTGGAAGTCTTAACAAGGGCATGGAATATATTTGGTCAAGCAGCAAAAGCATTGAAATTGGCAAGCACATATGATGCTACCCGTACAAGGATATGGATTAGTAGAGCGGATTTGGAGATTCAAAGAACGAATATCCCTTTGGCTATTGCTGAAAATTCAAGATCCCTCTTGCTTAATAATGCAAAAGTTATGTATGAACGAGCGTATAAGGAAATTCAGACAAGAAAAAATACCAGAACATTTTACGAAGCTGTTGTCAAACATGAGCTAATTCAAAAAAAAATAGGAATTCATCCAGTTACTCCTCTCGCTGTCATTCCAGATGAAGCAAGAGAAGACATCTTGGAGAGTCTATAGCTAAAAGATAGACTGGAAGAAAGAAAAAACAATAATCCGTCATTTTTTTCGTTGTGAATCTTTTAAATTGTGTATTTTCGCTTCGTAGTACTTCATTTTTTCAGTATGGTCCTGCTTAACACTTGTCAATTCATACGCTTCACCACCGATAATTAACCATAATAAACCAAAGGTGTGTGTTGAAGACCATCGAAACATGATGCTAGAGTTTCTGTTCGTATAACAAACCTTGTTGGATATTTCAGCAGCTGAAACTAACTGTTTTTTTCGTTTGTCTTGAAATAACCTAATAAATAACCTTTTGTAAAAGAAATAAAACTAAGTAGCAATGCTTTTCTCTTTAATCGTAGCGTTTCTCTTTCCAAAGATGTGTCTTAAGGTGATTACTCATTTTCAGTTCTTCATGGAGCTTTCTTGTTCACGTTAACGAATGTTCGTATTGCTTTCGTTATCAAACAAACGAAGATATTTTAAGTAATAAATATTAGCAGAAGTACAAAACTTCGTAATGCAATTTTTTAGGTCGTTATGAATAACTATCCCGTAAATGCAATAAAAATTTGAAGCCTTTTTATGAAAACCTTTGCCCTTTTTTTTAAAGCACACACAGTCTTTTTGGATTCTTATGACAGCACTGGTCAATTTCTGTGAAGTTCATACACTCATATAAAGGATTAGCGTTCTTTATTTGTTAGGTAAATCGTTCATTAAATCACAATAATTCACGAGGTCCAAATTTCTACTGCATCTTTATTCAGTATGAGCTGTTGAGTTGTTTCAAACTGATCAAACTATAGGATATTGTCATTTCTTTTATAAATTCTTTTAAACCTACTTTGTAGTAGTTTCAGGATTGAGCTTTGGGATGATATGCAAAGAAACCCATTTCGGTCAGCTTAGTCAAATTTAAAACACTCTTCACAAAAATATATATTCTTTAATAATTTAAATAGAAATAAGTAGCTATCTTTAGTGTTACGACACAATTGTGTCTAAGCTATCGCAAATGTAAGGGATTGAACATCTCTTCTTTTCTGTATCTTAAACTGTGTAGCAATTCATTGCATTCATTTTGTTACTTCACTTTATTATAGTCATAAAGATTTTGTAATTAATCCTCTAGACAACCAACTTTCGTACATATTTTGCTGAAAGTGCCAATTACCCTTGGTGAGGATTCCAAGAATTGCGATTGAACGGGAGGACGATTACAAGACCCAACTATTGTAATAACCTATGAAATAATTAATAAAATAATATAGTAATTTAATTCATGATACGAAAATTAAGCTTTGAATCCAAGGATGTGAAGCCAGACGAAGAGAAAAGAATGATTATCAAATGGATAGACAAGAAATTGAGTTCATTCTCCTATCCTTTTCAGATGTAAATAATACGTTTTGAAGAAGCATATGAGTTCATATATTATAAAGTTTGGATATTCCAAAAATAACCAGATCCATTAATAAATGCAAGAGTTTTGGATGTCTAGGAACCATAAGATTCCAGTTGCTACCTTAAAGGTAACAATATTTTGCGATTATAGAACATCACGAGACTGAACAATCTGTTACTAAACAAGTCGAAGCTAAGGAGAAGCCAGAAATGATTTTGTACATATAGAATTTAGCAACTCTAATAAATCCATAGTGGATTCAAGGTAGTGCTGGTGAGGCTAAACAATGAAGTGAATTGAAAGCTTTGCTAACTAGCATTGAACGGGCTTAGATGTGCTATTACTTTACTGGTATGTCTGATATCTTTTCTATTCTATTGACAGTTGTTCTCAACTATCAAACTACTAGTGTATACTTAGGCTCTGTATACGATAATTAAAAGTTCCAAATCGATGAATCAGTATCAATTGTCATTTATGCATATGCAACACCTTCGGCCTCTATTTAAGCAAAAGAAATTTTGTGTTAGAAGTGACAAGACATATTTCTTATATTTTTGAAACTTCAGAATACAAGAAATTCCACATTAGAGTGCTGGAACGGTACAAACAGGTAAAGTAGCAAACTTTTCTACTTCTGCTTTAGCTTTTTGCCACACTTGCATATATACTTATTCCTTCCTACTACGTTTTAATAGTGATTTCTTGGGATAAGGATAATAACTAGTTCTTGCGTTTTCCTTTTGTGTTTGCATCTGTGTAACTTCATTTAGTCTCATCTTAAAGATTTCATTCACTTCTAATTCATTTTTTGCAGATTTCAGCTATTCTCTCCTATTCTAGCAACTTCAGTGAGTTATCGATCACTGCTTTGAGTGTTGCATAGAAACTTTTTCCAGCATCAGTATATAATTAAAAGTGTACGAATCTTAATAGAAGAGAATCGCAAAAATAAATACAAAGAGGAAAAAAAATCAAGAAAAAGCCTACAGCATCCCGGATTCCCATGTTGTCTCCAACCATAGTACTAACGAGACCCTCAGACGCTTAACTGCAGTGATCGGACGGGAACTGGTGTTTTCGCCTAGGTGTGGCCGTAGACATTTAAAACGTGTAACTAAAGGTATTTGTATTTGTAGTGGGTATTCATCATCTTAGATTTTACAAAATTGATAGAGGATGGTTTTTGATACTTAAAAGATTAAAGCACACTTTTTTCTCTTTTCTAGCTATTCACATTGTGCTAAATTGTCGTTGAGGTGTGAGACCAAATGTCTGAATTTATAGCAATTGACGAAGCTGTAGTTTTGAGAAGTAAATTATTAAACTACATTAGTTGAAACGGCCAATCTGAATACGTCCAGCTTTGAATTAGAAATCGGTTGATTATTTTGCAAGACTATCGTCATAACAATTAAATAATCATTAAAAAGGTTGCTTTAATAATTTGATGTTCGTCACAAAGAAAATGAAAGATTCATAAATAACACTATTGCGAGACGAATTCTTAGATCCATAAAGAGTGAACGTGAAAAGCAATCAAACCTGCCGAATGAAGTTGTGCTTACTTTTGTGGACAAGAATGCAGAAACTCGAGGGATTGCAATTGATATGGATGCTTCCAAGGAAATGTGATTTATAGGAGGGATGGAAAAGATTCGTTAAAACTCAAACTTCAGCGCTTTGCCCAGCAAAAGGTTGAAGCTCGATTTCCTCGTTATGAGGTGCTTCATTTTCTGGATCTGTCGGTCCTAATTAGGTTAGTCAGATGCTAAGAAAAGAAAAAAGTTATAATAAAGAGTACATACGAACATAATTCGCAGCATTTCTTATGCTGTTTCCCATGCCGTTTCCTATGCTTCCCATGCCGTTTCCTAAACCAGCAATGAATATTCGAAGTTGTCGCGTATCCGTCGTACCTAGAACAGTTAGAATATTTCGCAGGGTGTAAGACATACTCCAAAATAGAACAAACACGGCAACGTTAACAATGCAGACACCATAGAAAGCAATATCGTTCATCTTTTCAAATCCTATTATTTTCTTTACATTATGATAGACGACGAAACCAACGACATTCAGAGAAGCCGTACATATTACTGCGACACACATGTTGGGCAGTACACTACAAATTTTCGTGAATAAGTAGGACAGCATTCTACCAGTTTGCGTGAATAAGTAGGACAGCATTCTACCAGTTTGCGTGAATAAGTAGGACAGCACTCTACCAGCTTGCTTGTACCACCCCGGGTAGAGCATATGCGCCACTAATAGTCAGTGAAACATTCAGAATAAAAGATAACGCCAACTTACAATAAAGAAATAATGATATCGCCCCAATAAATCCGCCAAAAAGTCCCCAAAAGTCTTGCGCCCTCACAGGAACCTTGAAATAAAAGAACATTACGAGAAGAATACAATAAGCCCCAATGTACCCAAGAGACGCAAAAAAAAAGAGATATATGATAATAATCCACTTCGAATATATCGAATCCGATCCAGCGTTGTTAGTGGACTCTTGGGCAGAATGCTGAGCAGATCCATCAGCCATTTCTAAATCAATAAATTTGTTGGGAGCTAATGAATGTATTAGTGAGGAATGCTTTTGTTGTTTGAGAAAGGATGGAGCGTTTGTCAAGTTTGCTGATGGTAATCAACAAGTTTATTAATCTTAAACACAACAAGTAAACAAACAAACATGATTCTTCATCAAAACTGTTTTTATCCTAGATTTTTTCAAAAAACATACAAAAACCAACCCTTCCTTTCTATTTCAATAAATCTTACCTGAATAGGGAGGAGGCGTACCCTCTGAAGAATGTATATCTGATTTCTCATCAATGAGCGTTTTGAAAGACTCGTCAGAGTCTGAAACAGGACTGTATTTATTCTTCATTTTTGCAATGGAAAACCAAAAACCAAAAGAACACCAATATCTATAGCTAGTTCGAAATTAACTAGAATTACCAAGAAAAGTCCGTAGAAATCGGTTCCACCTTTCAGAGATCTTTAAAAAAAAAGGAATTGTTCCTTATTTCTAAAGAAAATCAATACCTTGAGTAAAATCAGTCTAAAACCAAAGATAGGAATAAAAAAAAAAATCTTGGTAGTGGCCTTTCGCATGTCTCAAGCTCATAAAGCAGCGACATTATGTCACTGACTGGTCATATCCTCATTACAATTATTCGACTTTCGTTATATACCATACTTTTTCGTGATAGTATAATCCAATCGAGGAGCGTATTACAAAAAGTAAACAAAGAACCTGTCCAACAATAAAACCTTGACGTTGGATTTTCGCAGTTATTTTCAGCATTCACAAATACTCATTATTTGAAACAACTTTTTCTAAATTTTTTCAAAGACTTCAGAAGAAACCTGACCATCTAGGAGTTTTACACGTAGTAGAAAGTTCATTTACATAGGAAGGAAAGCATTGTTATGTCCGGTCTTTGGTTGTCGTCTGGCATGAGATATGTTTATCCTTTTTGGCGTATTATTCATTGAAGCGCTTCTTCCATTTAACTGCTGTGATCGGACGGGAGCTGATGATTTCGCCTAGGCGTGACCGAAGACATACCGAGTTCATGGTTCCTCAGCTAGGAAGCTATTTGTAACCATTTCGGTGAAGCGACAATTTGAGTGAAAAATATTAGGAAGCCAAGTAGGAAAATTTTGCAAAAAGAAAAGAAAATTAATACTTAAATTGTATAAGTTGGTTGAAATGGTTCAACTTAAAACTCTTCGATTTTACAATGACAATCTGTTGATAATGTAAACAAACAAGTGAAAAAAATCGTGGCATATTTACGTGCGTAAAATATAACCTATTCAGTCTTTTTTTATCATAATTTTATCATTTATTTAATTATTTAATTTTTTTTTTTGGGGGGGGGGCTGATTCCATTGAGTTTTGGGAATTTCAAATCTCTGTTTATATGCTTGTCGAGACTTAACATTAGAGGAGGGTTCTTCAGCAAGAGGAAAACTTCACCCGTTCCTTTTCGTCTATTGTTTGAAAGGTTTAAACATTCATTTTCATCCTTTTATTACCATTCTTTTATTCTCTTTTTATTTATATTTTTGTTTTTTTTTCAACGCTTTCTACTCAGAGATCTTGCTTTTCATACATTTAGAAAATCTTGATCTGAGCTTCCTATTGAGTTTTATTGAGATTTAATAAATTCTTTTTTGGATAGTCTATTCATATTTATTGCGAAAACACGAATCGAACCATGGCTGCCGAAAAATTTAACACTTTTGGGGAAAAAAGAATCCCTCTATCTTCTAATACTTCTGAAAAAGTAGCGGCCCAAGCTGCTATTAGGGCTTCTTCTGGTGCTTTTGCTCAACTCACCTCTTCTCAAATTCAAGAGCTCAAGGAAGCTTTTGCCTTACTTGACAAGGATGGTGATGGAAATATCGGCGAGGATGATTTGAAAACCATGCTTTCGTCGTTAAACCAAGATTCTTCTAGTCAGATTATTGAGCAAATGTTTGATTCTATCCATCCCCCTATAAATTTAGCTTCTTTCCTCACGTTCATGGGTTCAATGTTATGCCGTATCTCTCCTAGAATGGATCTCTTAGAAGCTTTTGCAACCTTTGACGATACTCAATCGGGAAAAATTCCAATTGGTTTGTTAAAGGAAGCTTTGTCTACGATGGGAGATCGGATTGATGTTAAAGATGTTGAGTCTATTCTCCGTTCTCACACTAGCCATGGAATGTTTTATTATGAAAAGTTTGTAGATGCTGTGGCTGGATCTAAAGACAGTACCTAAGGTTTTTTTTCTCGCCTTTCTTTCTTTATGAGTTCATTCTTCCTTACCTGCTTTGGTATAAATGCTATTTACTAACACGACTCTTTTAACTCGTCATTTAATTACATCTCTCCTATTTTTTATGCCTCAAATCGTAATTTTATTCTTATACAAATTTACCCAGGCTACCGTATGTCTCATTCAATCTTTTGTCTGCTTCTATAGCTCCATGCTCATAACAAAAAGCAAGTACTGATTTGGTTTATTTCTTTTTATTTTGATATTTCAAAATGTAAGATTTGCTTTTTCCAGTATCATTTCAAAGATAGAAGAAGTTGGCTTTCTATACTGACATATATCCGTTATAGATTATGTCCAATTCATTCGCTTATGTCTCGTCGTCGATGTTCCTGTATCTAACTGTTTACCTCCAATTATCTTTGTATATACTCTTCATGGTCTAGTTTCCATCCGTAAATATCCACCTTCCAATTATTTATAAACTCAACTGCACATAAGTTTCTGTATGATGAAACTGACAGGATGCCACACAAAATCGTAATGATCAAAATTTCCTATATAAATTCATAACATGTCCGCCTTTGTTTCAGGAAGACCTTTGACGTACAACACCTATCAATGTTTAGAGTCTACATCTTTCAGCATATATATATGAGCCGACCATAATTTGACAGCAATATGCATCCCTTCACACATCTCAAGACCTTGTTGATTTAATTCTTTGAATAATCCTTCTTACTATTGTAAACGCACAGTACTTCGATGCTGCTCTATCTTACCTCTCCTACTAGATTCCTCACTACCTACTACTACCCACAAATAATGATACAAACAATCAAATACCTACAACTCAAATAGTAGACAATAAACCATTAAATAATATGAAAAGACTCTTTTCTATTATCCAGTCTCTAATTAAATAATTCATGAAAAGGAGCTTTTTAGACGAAATTATTAAACCATACAATACCTGCTATACTGCAAAGTCGTGTACTTCCAAAAGACATGATGCATAGATAACTTGACAAACTTCAGACTGTTTTAGTTGATTTAGTCAACCTCTTCCATCTTGCTTTCAACAGCTTCCTCCTTGGTAGGCTCAGCAGTTTGCTCAGCAACAGGAACTTCTTCCTCATCAATGCTAAGACCAAGAGAAATGAGACGGTTGATGCGACCAGCATAGGCACTAGGATCGTCTAAAGAGAAACCAGAAGACAAGAGGGCAGTCTCAAACAAGATAGTAGCCAAGTCCTTAACAGAACGGTCTTCGGTACCACTTTCATCAACCTTCTTCTTAAGTTCAGCAATGATAGCAGACTTAGGGTTGATTTCAAAGGTCTTCTTGCTAGACATGTAAGCACTCATAGAGGTATCACGGAGAGCTTGAGCCTTCATGATACGCTCCATGTTGGCAGACCAACCATATTGACCAGTAGTCAACAAGCAAGGAGAGCCAACAATCTTGTTAGAAACGGTAACCTTCTCAACCTTGTCACCCAAGATGGTCTTGAGTTGCTTAGCGAACTCTTCGTATTCCTTCTCAAGCTTCTCACGGTTGGCCTTCTCCTCGTCGGTCTCTTCCAATTCAAGACCATCCTTGGTGATGTTAACCAACTTCTTGCCTTCAAATTCCTTCAATTGAGTAACGGCATATTCGTCAATAGGGTCAACCATAAACAAGACATCGAACTTCTTGGCACGGAAGACTTCCAAGAAAGGAGAGTTTTCGACAGCTTGCTTAGATTCACCAGTGATGAAATAAATGTTCTTTTGGTGTTCAGGCATCTTAGTGATATAATCTTCGAAGCTGATCATGTCATCAGTGGAGTTAAGGGAGTTGTAACGCAAGAGCTTGGCCAAAGCAGGACGGTTGGCAGCATCCTCGTGAATACCAAGCTTCAAGTTCTTGCTGAAAGCTTCATAGAAAGTCTTGAAGTTCTCCTTGTCTTCAGCAATTTCACTGAACATATCTAAGCAGCGACGGACAAGGTTCTTGCGGATGACCTTCATAATCTTGTTTTGTTGAAGCATTTCACGAGACAAGTTCAAAGGCAAATCTTCAGAGTCAACAACACCCTTGATGAAGCTCAACCATTCAGGAATCAATTCTTCACAGTCGTCAGTAATGAAGACACGACGGACGTAAAGCTTGATGTTGGTCTTCTTCTTCTTGGCTTCAAACAAGTCCATGGGGGCACGACGAGGGGCGAAGAGAACAGCACGGAACTCCAATTGACCCTCAACGCTGAAGTGCTTAACGGCAAGGTGGTCTTCCCAGTCGTTAGTCAAAGACTTATAGAAAGAAGCATATTCTTCCTTAGAAACTTCATTAGGGTTACGAGTCCAAATGGGCTTAGTCTTGTTAAGCTCTTCGTTTTCAGTGGTGGTCTCCTTAACCTTCTTAGTCTTCTTCTCTTCCTTCTTCTCGGATTCGTCATCAACTTCCTCAATCTTGGGAGCCTTGTCATCTTCCTCCTTCACTTCCTCAGTGGTATCTTCCTCTTGAGGAACATCCTTCTCGACTTCACGGGTAACAACGAGTTGAATGGGGTAAGAAATGAATTCACTGTGCTTCTTGACGGTATCCTTGATGGTCTTCTCTTCAAGATAGGCGAGTTGATCTTCCTTCATGTGAAGACGAATTTCGGTACCACGACCCAAACGAGGGCCTTCAGTGTCCAAAGTAACGTTGAAGCTACCACCGGCAGAAGACTCCCAAATGTATTGTTCGTCGTCATTGTGCTTACTGATAACTTCAACCTTGTCGGCAACCAAATAGGCAGAGTAGAAACCGACACCGAATTGACCAATCATAGAAATATCAGCACCAGAAGCAGCAGCCTCCATGAATTGCTTGGTACCAGACTTGGCAATCACACCAAGGTTGTTGATCAAGTCATTCTTGGTCATACCAATACCAGTATCACGGATGGAAAGAATCTTGCTTTCCTTGTTAGGAGTGATGCGAATGTACATTTCCTTCTCATTGTCCAAGGCATGGGGATCGGAAAGGCTTTGATAGCGGATCTTGTCCAAAGCATCGGAAGAGTTGGAAATGATTTCACGAAGGAAAATTTCCTTGTTTGAGTAAACGGTGTTGATGATCAAGGACATCAACTGGCTGATTTCAGCCTCGAACTTGAAAGTCTCAGTGTTTGACATTTTGAGTTTCTAATGTTATATAAATGATAGAATATCAAATTTCGTAAAGTCCTAAATGAGCTTGAAAATGCGATATAAATGTACTTTTGTCAAGCGATTCCCTCAGTAAGCTCCAAAAAATTAAGGATAATCACTGTTTTATTGATTGAAGTTGTTTCGTTCCTTCGTAAGAGGATTGCTTGCTGCTTTTCCTTCTATCTTTTGCGACGATATGGGGAAACGGTAGAAACTTGGTGGTGTTTATATTGTGTAAACAAAGAACCTCGAAGATTCTAAACCCGAACCCTAGTGCTTAGTGGAAGCTTATGGAAGAAGGAGGAATGCGGTGGCAGAGGATCGGAAGCGAAGAAGCTCGGCTCAGGAGAGTGCTAGAATCATCTAGGTTAGTGTAAAATAATTGGAACGCGTTATTAGTATTGCGCAATGTAAAGAGTAGAACGTTACGTCGATAGACAGTGTTGCTATTAGATATTGCAAAATACTTTAGCAAACGTTATAAATGGGATAACAAGAAACAAACCATTACGTTAATAAACAATGTGTTAGGAAGTATAACAATTAACGGGATTGCGGAACGCTTTCATTTTCTATCTTTCCCGTTGAATTTAGATTGATCTTTTTTCTCTACATACATTATGAGTGATAATTTTGTTAGATGTTTACGAATACTCATTAAAGGAATGATCGAGACAAGTCGAGTTTTTCCCTTCTCCTTAGAAAACGAGCTGTCTGTATTTCTAATAATTCCAAAATTAAACCATAATCTAAGAAAAAGAACATACTCGCCTACTTCTCAAAGAACTGTTCTGCCAATATACTCTTCAGTAAACAAAACGAGCGAGTACCAAGAAAAGTATATCTCAAGCAGTGGTGCTCAGATAGAATTCCAAAGACTAAACCCATAATTCTTCATTGAATGTGTTATAATGTGGTAAATTGTTCAACGCTGTTTTATTTGTTTGATTCTTTCAAGGCCCTTGATTTAGTCAGACAAGAGAAGGTAAACACCCGTCAATTGCCTTTCTAGATATTGCAATAATTTCACCATACTTATTGCTGACTACCATCCGTTTCTACCACTTCGTAAGCTACCTGAATGGTCAAACTGCAACCCAAGCAAGGAATGACGCTTTCTTCGTTTTCCAAGTTCTCTTCTGTTACGACATAGCCTCCTAATTCACCACACCGGCAAGGATAGTAGTAAGAGCCATCCTCCAACTCGTCAAATTCACTTAAGTCAACGACAGAGTAGTATTGAGCGCGGTCTAGATTTGCAAATTAGCGCCGTTTCAAAAAATTCTAGCGTTGCTTGCTTACCAATTTCACTATTTTTATAGAAATTTTCACGTCCTTCTTCACTTGCTAGAATTTGAAAAGCCTCGCGTATTTGGTCAACACTATAACGACCAGGTTGAATATCTTTTCGTTTATCCGGGTGAAATTGCAATAAAGCCTTCCGGTAAGCTTCTTTTATTTGATCATCAGTATACGATTCATCTTTTTCCAGGTTGAGAACCGCATAGGGGTTCATAACGGTTCAAGCTTAATTTTTCTTGCTGAGGACATGGAAATTAGTACCAACAACACGAAGACAGGAAATGTATGCATGTCAAATAAGAATCTTTTTGTAGTTTTTAAACCTTTCTTTTACACGTAATAAACATTTATAAATTTTAGTGCTCACTACATTTCTTTTTTATACAATCCAGTGTTTGTTCTAATTTTTAGCCAAGGATCAACGAAAAGGCTCAAGAAAAGAGTTTGCAGGCCATAGTGAATAGGTATTTCATTTTTGAATTTCGTACATATATACTGTTCTACAAACCAAAGGGCCTTACCCAAGTTTGATGATCTGAAACAAAATCAAAAGCTCTATAGATAGATAGTAGATTAACGAATGGAAGAAGTTTATTTATAGTAATTCCATCTATACAAAGCTACTACTCTTTTCATTCAGTCAACGACCAAGTCTGTAACTATTGAAGAAGGAACAACCAAATAACCGAAATTTTCTTCAATATTCTCATGATCACAAAGTTGATCATTCTTTCTCGAATCCATAATTTATAAACAATATGCCGATCGAAATCGAAATTACCCTACACATAAAACCATTGCATGTCAGCAGTGATTAGAGGAGCAATCAAGCAGCACACTTTCAAAAAGCCGATATATATACTCAGAAGTTTAAGAGACCATTATTACAACATAAAATGCAGAAAATATAAACAGTGTTTCCGACAAGAACAGATGAATGTCCGTTTTATTCGGGCATATAAAAAGAGTGATGTCTTTTGCCAATTACAAGGATTCAATCGTTTATACAAAACAGGATGGTAAATAGAAATCGTCTATCGATCCTTAATATTCAAGAATCGACTTATTTGTACATAGGTATGACCTGATAACGTTCGTCTGGCCATGTATCATGGAACTTGTATAGACCCAAATTAAACGTTCAACAGATAGTAAAAATTAAAGTGTAAAAAAATAGAATAATCGTAACATTAAAAGGCCAACATAATGGATTAATAAGAGAAATTAGTTGTGTAAATTAGGCGGCATTATCCATGATCATATGCAACACGAAGGGTACTATTTAGTTTAGACCATGTTCTGTGTTATTTTGTTGTCTCGTTAAGCTTTCTTGCACTAATGCTTCTATCCATTCATTACCTGCTTCCTGCCGTAAAGATTCAATTTTTTTTCGAAATACTTCTCCAGCATCATTACTAGCCTCTGAAGTTCCAAATTTCGTAACAGAGGATCCCGACTGAGTAGATATTATGTCACTTTCTGCTTGCGCACGTGAGATATCGGCAGAAGGCAACGTCAAATCGACCAGCCTCATTTTACTTGTTTTCTTTAAAGTAGATTTTGTAGGACGAATGACAGCACCTGTATCACTTCCCGCTGATGGTCGGCTACCCAGGTTCACACTTGGGGTTGCCTTCTCAATCAAATACATTCTTTCAAACATGCTAGGTCCCCTTCCATCAAGTAAAATATCTTTGGACTCTGGAAACTCTCGAAAATAATTGAATATCAGTATACGATGTGAAGAATTGGTCTTTGTAAAAGGATTCGAAGCAATGTATGCCTCCTCAAAATTAGTATTTCCAACAAGGCGACGGAATTCAACCGGATCGACAATTAAGTTATCACGAATATCGAGTCTTTGTAAAGTAGGGGCAGCCTCCAAACCAGACAGATCCTTCAACTGATTGCACGCGAGTACAAGTGTTTGTAAACTACGTAGTTCAATGTGATAGAAAGTTCTACAATTAACAATTTTGTTAGAAGCCAAGTTTAGGGAACGTAACTGTGGTAGCTCAGCCAAAGCAGACGGAATTTCGACAAGTTCATTGCCACTTAAGTCCAAAGATAAAAGGGAAACAAGAGGTAAGAAGGTTTTAGGGGATATATACTTGAGGCTACAGTTAGAACAGCGGAAATATAAAAGTTGGCTCCAAGCATTAGACGAAAGTATGCTTTCGACGTCGGATAACTGCTCATTACTTTTGACACTCTGGTTAGATGAATCAACACTACCATCTTTTGATAGGAATAGCACAGACTGAGATAAAGTGCGATGGAAAGTGTTGGAATGCTGAGGGCTCGACTGGTCTTTTGATCCAAGAGAAACCGATCGGCGTAGATTTAAAGACGTCGTTGAAGAACGAACCTGATTAATTGTAGATGATTGATTCAAATTTTGTTGTCTAGATGACCGAAACCGGTACAGGTCAGTATCATCAAGAACCAATTTAATAAGCACTTCAGACAAATCCACCAGATCACAACGATGTAGACTTAAACTCTTCAAGCCTAATGAGAGAAAATTCCACCCATAAATGGATCTCACGTCGTAGCCGCGAACTTCTAGTGAAGACAGATTTTTAAAAACAGTAATGGGTACCGCAGTATCTAGAGGGAATTCTTCAAACTGAGAAATGAGAATTGCTTTCGGATTATAGACAAGACTTAAAAATGGAATTTTTGTAAAGGAAGAATAAATATATCGTATCAAAGAAAGAAATTTCTGTCTGTTCCTCTGCTCTGTCGACTCAGTTGAGGTAGTGGAGAACCGGCTCCACAAAGAAGACACTTGAGATAGCACACTGCCTATAGTTGCAACACTCTTCATGCTCATGTTATCATCAAAATCAGCTTTTCTAGATGCTCGATTCTTCAGGAACGAAGTATAGTCGCTAGGAAATGCTTCGGAATGTAGATTTTCGATACGGATATTTAAAGGACCCGTATTTACATCAATTTCCTCAAATTGAGTCAGCAAAAAATATAAATGGTGAAGAGTCAGATACAATTGAACCGGCTGGTTACTAAAGATTGAGGTACTGATGAAATGACTTGAAGCATTTGCCAAACGCTTCTCATGAGTATAGATATAAGAGGCTAGATTACGGACGTATTTTTCCCCGTCGATACTGGTTCCCATGTTTAATAGAAAAAGGAAAACCTTGGCACGTGAAGAGAGTAACGAACGGATTCAAAGCACGAATATCTATGACCTAGATTTCAGCAGTAATTGAACAATATGAGCAAACATGCAAAAAGAGATCCAGCGAACGAAAACGCCTTCAAATTGATGTTGGATTTCGTAAAGATGAAGGATGGCGGTTCAATGTGGCTTTGTGTTTGTAAAAGAAGGAAGTAAAGCAAGCAATCGCTCTATATAATTCAAGAACTTAATTTAAAATAAAACAAAGCAGTATTTAGAACAAATAACTGTTCGAAGAAGGTGATTATGGATTCTATACCATAAATACGAAATGAGTAAGATGATGGGCGCGTAAGGTTAATTCACTCTTCGTTAATTCTTGCGAAGTGAATTAATCCTTAAAGCATTTAGGTATTAAAACTAGAGAAATGTGACGAATGGAGATCCTTTCAGTAGTTTCAAATGGCTGTACAGAGATGAAGTGGTAGGGATTGGATATCTGAAAAGCCGCTTCTACCAACTAATTGTTTCGGCACTTAGATAGATTCTAAATATTTTGAAAGATTACATTGCTAAATAATTCTACTTGAGAAAAAACAACAACTATTTTTAAAAGCAAACACGGTTGCAGTGCGTGATGAGAATGCTACAAAAAAGTACAGCGAGTTGAATCGAGCTTAACAACTGACAGAATAGAAAAGTAATTTCAATTTCAGTATCCTCATGAGATTCTAGTGTGGTTCGCCTGTAATGGCTCGTTCTTCGACGGTAAAGCTTTATTTCTCTAAAGATGAATTACAATTAACTGAGAGTTTCGCAAACAAACGGAAATTAGTAGAAAATTATGTATATTCTTTCTTAAGACACATAAAATTCACTGATAAATGAGTTACAAGGACAAGCTGTCAGTGTTTTGAGTATTGCCTCACAAAGTTTCTATTCCTGCAATATACCAATCCATCAAGTCACTCGAAGATCCGTAACTTATACTATTTTATCCTCAAGACGTTGAAAAGCTGCTGCTGATTCATGAAAATTCATAATTGACCAGAATAAAACGACACAAGTATTGTGCCAAGCATATATCTTGTCCACCTAATCCATAAGTTAAACACTTTAAAGCCATAAATGGCTTCTAATTTTATACAGAAGGCTGCGTAATTGTTGTAACACAAGTTATTTTTAGGAAAATAATTAAGTTAGATATGCAAGCTAGCTAAAAGCTTTCTGTTTTAGAGACTTCCAAATTAATTAGAAAATAATTCTAATTATCCAAATTAAATAAATACGGACCCACAATGCCGATGCATGATGAAACTTTTTTTTTCTCGTCAACCAGACTTGAATAATAGAAAAGCAATTGTTCCCAAGTAGAAATAAACAAATCTATGAGACTCTGAATATCTTGTTAATATTGACTTCTAACTTAGGTTTAAAAAAAAATTAAAAATAAAAAACAACAAATGCATACCATGTGTCACGTAGGAGCCAAAATTTCTGCCAACGATACAATGCCAAGTTGGCGAGTATTTCTTGTCAAATTCTCTTTTCACAAAAGCAGCAATGTCCTGCACATTGTTCATTAGTCTTTCTGTTTCAACTGAGTCTTTTCTTTCGGTATATTAAAGTACCTTTTCAACTGTAAATTTCTCCATAGCTTGCACAGCTGTTTAAATTTCCATTAGTTTTTTCTTTTCGCACAATTTTAAAATACCTGTATGTACCGCATCTTGCTGCATTTCTTCTTCCTAGTCCTCGTATTAGCAGGTTGTTAAACAACATCCATCAAAATGTTTATATACCATATCAACAGCCTTAATGACCACCATCAATTTAGCGTCGCTTTTCATATGCTCTACTGACGCTTGGTTCATGTCCCTAGAGTCACTTGATTGCATGTTCGTTAATTTCACCTGAGATATGTTTAGGGTAGCAAAATGTTCGTAGTGAACTAAAGAAGAGAATGACAACCAAAGTAAGTATGTATCTTTATATAGACAGTTAATTAGTTTATTTCTAAATTTTTAATTAATTCAAGGTCTCTAAAGATTCTCCGGCTATGTTGTTTTTGTATTTCTTTAAGTTTCTAAAAAAAGGAAATACTTTTAGAGAAGCCAACTACTTTTTGCTCAAAGTAAGAATGCTAATCCAATCGACAAATATAGCAAGTTACTAGTCTTTTTTGTTTTCTTCTTGCAAGTTCATTGCAATTGTACCACTTGTCGAGAACAAAAGAAAGAATAATATTACTAGAGGCTACGGCACTCCTTGTATACTAGTTAACTTCCAAATAAAAATTAAAAATTTATTAAAACTTCCTATAGAAACAATGGAGACAGACACATATTTATGTCTCATTTTTAGACTGCTTCCCAAAAAATCTAAGAAACCAACCGTTAAATTACCGTTATAAAAACCAGGAACCAAATTCAAAAAAAAACACGATTTTCCATATATTTTTCCAAAAATAACATACTTTATCTACACGAAAATTCCGAGGTTGAAGCAAGCATGCGCTTTTCCGTCTACTCAACATCGGAAACAACGTCTTCATCTTCCTCTTCCGATTCATCTTCATCTTCTGCTTCGGCAGCGGAGCGCTTCAAACCCTTCATTTTACGAGTTTGCAAATTGCTGAGATCTTGCTGATCCACATGAATACGGCCAACCTTGTTACCAACCAAGTCAACGTCGACGTTCTTCTTGGTTTTGGGTTCTTGTGTCTTGGGTTTCCTCAAAGCTTCTTGCAGAACGTCTGCTTGAGCAGCTTGAACACGACGAATACTAAAATCGAGTCGTGGCCCCATTTCCTCCAACTCAAGACGAGGAAGATTTGTTTTTGATTTCAATAATTTAGTCGAATACACTCGGAAATTCACTCTTGGTAAAGGCTGTGTTTCATCTTCGCTGGCTTCACCTGCTGAAACAACAATCACATAAGATAAACCTGCAGAATCCAACTTTTGAATGGGTTCACCGCGGAAAAAGTCCAAAAATAATGACTTGATGTGACGGAAAACAGGATGAGAATCAAAAGAAGGACCTTGAAAGAGCATCATGGGCTTCGTACCAGGTACAATGGGTACAGTGCGGAAAGAAGAAATTGGCTTATAGTCAACAATGCCAAGTTCAATCATATCTAACACGTGATAATCAAAAAAGCGAATCCATGCTAAATTGTGAGGTCTCTTTTTATTATGAGAAGCAAACACTGCTAAACCAGCATCGTTTTTCTCAGAAAAAAACTCCAATGAAGAACTATCCTCAAAAGGAAGTATCGAATTCTTCTTTTGAAAATTAACTGCGAATGGCTTCTTCAAAGCGTGCAAATCATGTAAAGCATCAACAACGAGCTGCGAAGTCGCGTTTCCTCTTAAGAAAAGGGCAATTTTCGCTCCCTCCAAGAGTTTAGGCTCGCGTTTATCCATTACACGCTTAGTGCGAGCATTTTTGGGTTTTCTATATTAATTAGTATATCAAGTTAGCAAATTTTCTTTCAACTTACACTTGACGAAGCATTGGTGAAGGACAAGTCCTCACGCTGTACTTACTTTCTCTTTAGAATTGTCAAAATTTGCTGTTCCGCACTATCCACTATACCGAGTGGCGTTCCGACCCATTATCTTCCCTGACCACCAAACACTTCTGCCGTAGAACGCCGCTAGAAATCTATGCAACGGAGACTAATAAATGAATAAAATAATGCTATGCTACAGTACAACATAATCTCAAATATTCTATTAAAATTATCTTATTCAAGTAAATCATAAACCACTGTCTTCATGTAGAGACTGCAGATAACCAATTTTACTTTTAAGTACCATAAATGAAAAGTAAATATAAGCGTATTGCTACAACAGGCAACACACTCCTTATTAAATGAAGACTATATATCAAAATAAGCAAGGAAATTAAGTACTTTTTTAAACCACCTTTACCATGAATAGCAAAAGATTACAAAACAGCTCTAAGAATTATATTGGTCCCAGTTTTGAAGAATCTTCTTAATGCGTTGAGAGCCTGTCAATTCATAGACATTCTGGAAGTATTCCTTGCTAATCTCGAAAGGCTTAGCGGTCAAGTTCGGAATGTACTTTCCGCGCAACTTGGATACATTGATTTGATGGGGAGAAATCTTCCTGAGCAAGTATTCACGGAACATACGAACACCACCGCGCAAGAAAGAAGAGTGGAAAGGAACATCAATCTTCAAAGGAATCGTAGCAAATCCACGTTCTAATTCTAAATGTCCTTGTTCTTCCTTTTGCTTCAAGGTCTTTTCGTGACAACCTTCAACAATTTCCGACAACTGCTCCTTCAATTGATCAATCGTAAGGGTTTCAATTAATTTCTGGAAGTCAATCTTTTGAATCTTAAGGAAGTTCAAAACGTGACCCAAGGTACATAAACTCATAAGATTACCGCTGACGACATATTGTTGGTTTTCAACATTGTAGTTGACAATTTCGAGCAATAACTTAGTTTGCTCGCCAATATGGTCAACAATGAATCGCAATGCAGCATCGGTAAAGGTTGGGGAAACACGAGAAGGATTGGCGGCAACCATACCATATTCAGAGCGGCCCAATTCATCACGACGGACAGCATTTTGCATTGTCAACCCACGAAGGAACACCAAGTCAACTAATGCTTCAATGGACAAAACATCGGCCATAGCAGACAACGCAGAGTATTCACCAAGAGAATGACCAGCAAAAGCACAGTCTTGTTGAGCCAATCCCTTAGCACGCATATCTTCAAAAGCGGCCTTCTCCATTAATGTTAATGCAGGTTGAGTAAATTGAGTAGCCGACAACAGACCCGAAGGATGTGTAAATGTAAAGGAGGTGGATTCTTCAGTGATGGTGTTAAATACAGGAACAACGGATGTAGATCCATCGTCATTAATTTTTTCATAAGCCATAGCCATGTAATTGCTGCGAATTTGTTTACCCTTAGCACCGCCAAAGTGAATCGTAATGTCCTTCGGATTGTTTTTCACAATATCGATGATAGAGAATCCGTAATGAGACAAGAAATGCTTGTCAGCGCTGTCCCAGATTTTCTTGGCAACTGCACTAGTAGCGTACAAGTCCATACCCATTCCTTGTTCTTGAGAGCCCTGACCAGTGAATACATAGGCGGAAACAGGTTGCTCAACCTCTGCAGTACCCATAAGAACAGCTTCTTCAGTTTCTTTGTTTAAGACTTCAACCTTGATTATCTTACGACCGTTGATCATACCGGTATGAGAAAGCTTAGTAACAAGTTCAGTGTTGGGAAGAACCATATTAACGAATGTTACCTCATAATGCTTAACTCTCTCAGGAACATTTTCTGCAGCAAAGGTCTCAACAAACTTACGAGTAGCTGCTGAACTGTACATACCGTGAGTAATACCGTGTGTGCCAGGTAACTCGACAAAGGCAGCGAAGGTAGGAGAGACGTGAATGGGATTGTAATCACCAGAGACATCAGCATACGGAGAGTTGGTAGGAGGAGTAACGAAAACAGGTGAGTAGCCTTCATCAGTAGTTTGAATAACACTATAACCGCCGCTTTCAAATTCAAGGGGTTGTTCGATGGGTTTGGCATTACGCTTAAGGAATTCAATAACTGGATTGCCGTGGCAATCGACGGATTGGAAATCAACAGAAGCAACTTGTATAATAGCCTTAGAAGGCAATTCGGATAGCACTATACCCTTAGTTTGTACGGAACTCTTAACAGATTGATTCTTAAAACGGACGTAAGAATTCAGACGGAAAGTAAGTATAGAACCAGACAAATCTTGACTGGGATCCAATAATTGGAACCAGCTCTTCGATTGTAACACTGCTACATCCTTAGGAGTAGCTAAAGTAAGTTGCATAGGAGTTTCCTGGGTATGCTCGAAAGTGTTCTCATAATCGGTGAAGTTACCACGATACAAGAATCGGCTGATGACTTCAATGACTTCTTTGTTATCACGATAGACAACTCCCTTGACGGTGACAGTTTTACCAGAATCATTATTAACGATGCCAGTTATAGTAGCAGCAGTAGTTACCTTATCACCCTCCACCAAAGGACTTCCAACCATACGGAAGGAGTTGGACAAATGGACAAGACGCAAAAGATCACCATCAATAGCCTTGGGGAAAATGGCCTTGGTAATAGCTTGCCAACCAACAACAATAGCGAAATCCATGGGAGCCATACGCTTGTTGTTGGCTCTATTAGTATAAGCCTCGTTGTGGTTTCCAACAGTTCTACAAAAATCTTCAATCATATTAGCAGTGATCGTGGTTTCAGGACCAGTAAAGGTATCAGCAATAGAAGCATTCTCAGGATAGGGCTCATCAGCGAACCATAATTGCCAGTAGAAGTGCTTAATACGATCATTTCTACCTTCAATGATTTCCGCAACAGGAGCGTAACCAACGGAAGGATCATACTTGAACAAGAAGTCAAGACTAACATTCTTCTTGAGTGCATTGCGGTTTTCAAACATAGACACAGTAATGATGTCGTTGCTTAAACTGAGACGCACAGCAAGGATATGCTCGCCGCATTGAAGCTCGAACATTTCAAGCACCGCATCGTTTCCGTGACCCTTGATAACGACGCGTTGTCCTGGACGAGGTGAAAGAATTCTGCGTACGGGGTTTTGTTCGAGTTTCCAACCTTGGGCAACTCGTTGGGTGGTGAAAATAGCTCTGCGCCATGAAACCGCTTCGCCCGCTAGAAGTTCAAACCAAGCCTTTGCGGAAGGAAGAGATCCAGTTTCAGGTAAATTGTAAATTACTTCGTCCTGTTTCTTTGTAACAGAAACAGAATCCACTGCAGAAGGAGGCAAGTTAACGGGCTTCACGCCGCCGAAATATTCAACGGTAGGAACCTTGTTAACATCTCCACCATAATAAAGATCGATGAAACGTTTAATGTGAGACTCATGGATGCCATCGAGAAGTTCTTTAGCAGGTTCGTTGACCTTCGTGGAATGTCTAACAGCCATAGGACCTTGAAGAATAGCAACACGACCAACGTCTTCACCAACAACAGCCCCAAGGTCTTCGCTTTGCCAAAGAGAATCCTTCTTAAAGAAGTATTCGAAAGTATCGTCAATGGCAGGAATGAAAGGAACAGGCTTTTGGAAAGGATTGGAGCATAATGAGAAGAAGAATTGAACATCTTGGGTATTCATAATTTGTTTATGGGCTTCTGGATAGGCTTCTAGGAAGCGAGCAACAACAGGATATGGATCATTCAAATCTTCAAAGTTTTCAATAAGGGTATGTTTGCCGACTTCCTTAGTGAAACGCTCCTCAATACGACGCATTAAACTACCAGTGAACGTACGTAATGAGACATCAATCCATCTCTTTTCCTTGGTAACGTATAGCAGGTCGACTGTACGATATAAAACTTCAGCATATGTCATCTCTTCAACACCACCAACAGCCTCAAATTGAAGTTTCTCCGAAGACAAACGCTTAACAATTCGAGCAGGGAAATAAACTTTTTGGAAATCATCGTTCAACCGCTTAATGATATACTGCTTCTTGGCAAGCAAAGCAGGAACACGTTTCGGGCGTGGGAGAGCAAAAATGGTATCATCAAGCTCCTTCCAAAACATGATACCACGAGTAGCCAACTTATGGATTGGTTCGCCTAATTCAGACATGACTGTGACGATACCACCGGCAGGGCCATCATAAGTCTTTTCCCAGTCGGCGTTGCTAACACCAGGTGCGGCAACAATTGCTTCCTTAGCGCCCAAAGAAGTATGAGCTTCCTTAGCCACCATGAGACGGGAACCAAACATTATACCATCAAAAGGCATAGCAGGAAGCTTGAATGCAGTTGTCCATTCACCAGTTAAATAAGGTTCAGTATCATCAGCTCCACCAAAACCGCTACCAGCAATAAGAACAATATTGTCACAGCGACGAACGGAAGAGTAAGTTTGCAAAATTGGGGCGTGGAAATCTTCGAAAGAATGGTGTCCACCAGCACGGCCACCAGTCCACTGCATGACAATTGGGAAGGTGGGATTAGCTTTAGCAATATTAATGACAGCATTAATAGCCTCAACAGATCCAGGCTTCAAGCAAATGTATTCAACTCCCAAAGTTTCAATCAATTCATTAGCAACTTCCAAAGAAGGAATACCAGCAGCAATAGTTATACCACGTATAGGGTAACCTTCGGCAACCATTTCGCGAATCAGGGGGACTTGCCATGCAAAGCTACGAGGATTAATGTAAATTAAATTGATGCAAATTCCAGCACCGGGAGGAATATTCAAGGAAAGCTCATGGATGGCGTCACGCATCATATTAGCGCTAAAGTAACCACCACCAGCAAGCTCATAAGCATAGCCTGCGTTAGCGATAGCGGAACAAAAATCCCAAGGAACACTAGTAGGAGTCATTCCTGCAACCCACAAGGGAGGTAAGCCAAGCATTTTAGAAAGTTTGGTTTCAACATATACACGACCCAGTTTGTTCTTGATAAGCTTAGGTCTGTAAAGATTAACCCAGTTGGGGGCAAATTTAACAGACTTGACCTCACGATCAAATAATTCTGTCTTGGAACCAAGATCCAAGGCATCAAAAGCATCTGCAACAATAACGCGAACACCCTGACCGTCTTTGTTAGTACGGGTAAAGCCACCAACACCAGAAACACCACCAGGACCAAAATCAACAATATGAGTAGCTTCTGGGAAATTGCAAGCTTGCTCCCAATGAACAACTTTCTCGGTAATCATTACAGAAAGAGCCATAAGCAAGTCAGATGGTTTCTCAGAGCGGAGATCACCAGCGTTGTCGGTAGAATATACAGGGAATCTTAAGGGAGAAAATTCCAAACCCTTCAAATCTTTTTCAAGTAAAGAGCGTGTAGGGGTTAGATATGCATTATGGAAAGGCACAGAGATGCTAAGGAAACGATTAACGAAGCGTAGTTTTCTTTTAGAGTGGGGAATACGAGCTTGATTTTGACCATCTGCCTTCTCCTTACGAAGGGATAGGTTTAAACCGTACAAAGAGCGAGCCGGACCACTAACAACGAAGCTTTTAGGGCCGTTGACAAGGCTGAGGTAAACTCTTCTATCTTCTGGAAGATGAGTGTTCGTGATTTCAATATGCTTATTCAAAATTTCTAAAGGAAGTTCACGAACAGCTAACATGGGTGAGGGATTGCCCTCAGAGTTGGCGACAGAATCTGCAACTACGGAAGGAGGAAGGGTAGTAGTGGGGAAAACTTGTTGAGAACGTACGCCAATCCAGAATAAGGTTGTCAAAGCTACCTTTGCATTTTCAATGAAAGATTTCTGGTCGGTAGAAGCTGAAACAGCAGCTGCGATGATGACACCTTGAGAATGACCAGTGGCAGCCGTAAAACGAGAAGCAAGCTCGCCAGGATTAAGACCCAATATTTGAGCAGTAACATAGAATTGGACAAGCTGAGTAAGACCAACCAAAGGAAGAGAGACAGGAGCAGTAACTAAATAATCACGCTCTGGTCGCTCGCCAGCGAGCCACTCAAGTACATTAAGTCCTTTAGAATACACTTTAGATGCCTGTTCATTTTGTACAAGAGAGAAAAGGAATTTAGAAAGGGTTTGCACAAGTTCAGAAGCGAATGGAGCATAGACTTCATAGAGCTCAGCTAATTCATCGAAATAGTCTTCATATCCTTGGCCTCCAAAAATAGCAGCTAACTTCGCATGGGGGTCATTCAAAAGCGCGGAGCCGTGGAACTTCATTCCTCTACCAGTTAAAGCTCTAGAACGATAGTAATAGCAAACAACATCTTTTTGAGCTGGAACACTTAAACCCACGTTGTGAACAACAGCATGAACTTCGTTTCCTGCTAAGAAGGTACGTTCAAATTCAAGGGTGATGGTATTTAATAATTGGTTATATTGATCGGGGCTTTTCTCTTCCTTAGAAGCGACTAAACCTAAGAAACGAGCTATTAAATGAAGCTCATGCTCAAATTCTAATTCAGCTCCTTCTTTTTCGACGGCTTCCGTAGATGGAGCGACATATTTAGCTTGGAACTCATCACGAATTTGAGCAGCCAAGAGGTACTGTGAAGAAGGAATTAGGATAGATGGGCAAAGGTGGGCATAAGTCAAAGCCAACGATCTCACTGATTGATGAACGTGAGGAGATGCATAACCAGTCTCAACCATGATTATAGAATAAAACTAGATGAACGTAAAGATCGTGATTTGTAAATAAGAAAAAATGTAATGCAGAATAAACCGCAAAAGCGAAATCAGAAAGAATACAGATGAACGGATATCTGAACAAATTGCGGTATCTCTAAAAGATGAATGCAACAGTTCCAGAAAAGGAAAGTTTTTTCTAGTATAGATCTTTGTTCTAAAGATAAACCAATGAGGACTCGCTTGTTTTTTCAACCTCGTCCCTTTTTATTGATTTTCTCTTTAGTACAGTCTTTACACCGTTGGTACGCGTTAAGAACGGGAAAGATAACAAAGATTGCACGAATTTATGCCAGTTGAGGAACTGTCTCTATATATATAATACAGGTAAAAGATAAGGTATTTCTGGAACGGTTTCCCAGACCAAATCTTTGTTGTTGGGAATGGATAAGTGTAGCGGACGCGTTCAAAGTTATTTCCACACGGGTAAGTCACATGCTACCCAATAACAGAAAACCGAATAAATCAAAAAGACCCTCCAATGTAAATGTATTAGATATCTAATTAGTTAAATTTTAATAGATTTATTAACTTTTCTATGTATTTTCTAAATCGCCATCGCTCTTCTCGCTATTGTGGGGCTCTCTATAAAAGAAGATTCGAGGTGATTTTCATCGCTGTTACTCTTCCAAGTGACACTCGATAAAAACAAATGGAAGGTAGTGTAAATAAAAGTAATAAAGGTAAATAAAATCTCATTCTGTAGCTAATTGACTGAATAGTAATTTAATAAATTATTTTTCTTTATTTGGATCACACGCTGTATGTTTTGGTTTCATTTCTTGCAATGGTATACATTGTTAGGTATTTATAAGAAAAAATGAGTGTCATGAAGCATAAATAAATAGGTGCTTAATTTTCTTTATAAAAAAAAAAAACAAGAAAATACATTTTTTAAAATTGATATAATAGAAAGAGTTTATCCCTGCAATTATATGGTAGTCATCATCTATATACGGTTTATGTGAATAAATAGAAGTAGAACATTTACTTAATGTAAATAAAGCGAATAACTTACAATGAAATACATGTAGAGATATACAGATAAATAGGGATAATTTACGATTAAATATGAAAACGCTATATTAAAGAACCAAAAAGAACCAGAAATTGCTGAACCATAAACTGACTGTACAACTTCCTTTTGTTTTAAATTTACAGGAAATCTATACCAAAAAAACAAGAAACCCACTTTCCCTTTCCTTTCTTTTATTTTTTTTTTGAAAATATCTTACCATCCTTTACGATCAAAAGGATGGTTCCAACGAAGAAGGCCGACGATATCGCTCATCCAGTCGTCTTCTTTATGACTTCGAATAACACAAGGAATCCCATTGTCTTTCTTGCTGCATATATGAATACGTTGGCCAATATCTGTCAACCCAAGCAAACGGCCATCAACCGAAAGCTGGGGTCGGACACGGGACTTTTCTGATGTTTCAACACTAATGGTAAAAGAATCCGGAAATAAAACTGGCCGAAACGAAAGAGAACTTGGACAAATGGGTGTAAGCAAAAGAGCATTTATAGACGGATGTACAATTGGCCCACCAGAAGATAGAGAATATGCGGTTGAACCAGTAGGAGTGGATATGATCAATCCGTCAGCAATTGCTTCAGTTAGAAATTTGTCGTTAATGAATACTTTCAAAACAGCCATATGCGGAGAGAGACCTCTATGAATATGCATTTCATTCATGATAAAACTGGTCTCATCGTAATTATTTCTTTTCATTGTCAAAGATAATCGCATCCTCATTAATACATATGAGCGTGAATAATACATATCTGCAAATGCCGATTGAAAATCTGAAATATCAAAAGGTAAAAGAAATCCCAAGGTCCCTAAAGAAAATGATAGTACAGGTGGCATACCTGATTTTGCAAACAAAGAAGCAGCATGTAAAATGGTTCCATCTCCGCCGACTGTGATAACGATGTCTACTTTCTTTTCTAAATCCGCCTCATCATCCCAGCTATACAGTTTATACTGCGAAAAATCCTCTGCGGTATCCTTATCCACAATAAGAGATAAATTGGAATAAGCAGACTGCAAATGCTCAACTAGCCTTGTGAAACACTGATTGACCTTCAAGTCCATAGTTTTCTTTAGGATCAAAACATTTCTGGGTGACTGCGGCCATTGCAATTGCTTCAAATTTGCTTTTCCTCCTACTGACTGGGGAGAAACGCAATCTAATAAGGTGATATGTTAGTCAGACCGTAAGTCGTTTATGTCAACTGTCGTCGGTACCTTGATATACTGGTATTACTCTTGAAGGCAAAGACTTTACTGAATTTTCAGTAAATGTAGACTGGAAGCGAATCCTGCAATTTCTTATATTTCGAAATTGCTGCCTCGACGTGAAGAAACAGTAATTTAAGCGAATAGGAGCAAATGCCAATTGAAGTTGTCTGGGTAGAAGCATAAGCAGGCTTAATCTATCTATCTATCTATATATATATATATTATTTGTGTTGTGCTTAAATACAAAATAAATTTAATATCAACTTCGTATAAATCAAACCCTATGGATTTGTTACACTAGATGAGGTAAGTGGACAAAGTATGGGAGGGATCGCATTTTGATACAATACATCCAATTTTCGATTAAGGAAAACAAGGAACAGCTCAATGTCCAGTGAAAGAAACAACATAGAAACATCTATTTCTTTTTTACGATGGACCTCAGTATGAATGAGAAGATCTACTACCAAATTTTACATACAAATTATTATTCTCTCTACAGCCGTTAAACTTTCTAGTAAAACCTGTCGTCTCTTATATTGTTCATTCTTCTTAATAATAGCGGGTTTCTTCTAAGGAAGGATAAACTTACAGAAAGGTAGCTATTTTTCTCGTAAAACAGTTCATTGGAGCATGAAAAAGGAAAAGGAATGTAACTCTAGCCGTATGTAAAAGGCTTATAGACAAGATAACAAGACAATTAGATACTTTAATCTGATCTGTGCTCTTCACGACGAACAGCATCGGCCATTTCATCATCAGTATAAATATGAAATCCCTTGTCAGAAGTAACGCTTGCGAGCTGTACATTCATAGAATTTAATTTCTCTTCCATAACTTGACGAAGGACTTTGAGGATCAATGCCTCTGCTTCTTGTAGAGTCATGTCATTGTGGTATTCTTTAACCAATTCGGTTTTCGCGGGCTCACTACCAGAGCCAATAGCCTTAGCACCATAACGGAAGTATGTACCGGAAGGTTCAGAGTGGTAAAGCTGGGGACCATGCTCATCAATACCGGCCAGCAAGAGAGCTACGCCAAAAGGACGAGACATAATTCGTTCTTCGTCTTCCTCTCCTTCACCGAATCGAAGAGCTAAATCACAAATGGATTGGGTAATACTTTCTACACCTTGGGGTTCATCATAAGTGAAGCGATGGTTTTGCGCTTGCACTCTTGCATGGTCTATAATAGTACGTGCATCTGCTGTTAAACCAGAGATAGCACAGCCAATATTCGTATCAATCTCAAATAGCTTTTCCACAGAGTATGATTCCATTAAAGGACTGCTAAGTCTTTTTTCAACACCCAAAACAACTCCATCTTTTGATTTCACGCCAATCGCGGTCGATCCCAACTTAATGGCTTCAATCGCATACTCTACTTGAAACAATCGTCCTTCAGGTGAAAAGGTGTTCACACCTCTATCGTATTCTAATTTATTAGTTTTATTTTAGTCAAATTTCATACCTGATCTAGTCATAAACATTTTGCCGTAGAAATGTGTTAAAGATTAGTATTTGTCTGAATTCCTTGTACTACTAGTATTTACTAATTTAAAATGCATTCTTAAGTCAGATAACGCACCCCAACGACATTTATTATCGAGCAGGAGAAATCAGTAAAGAAGCCCAGTGGGGAAGAAAAGATGAGGCATGGGAATATGAAAGAGTAGAAAGCTGTTTTGCAACAAGAAGGATTGTGGAGTCCTGATACTCTCTTGGGAGGTTTTGAATCAAAACTTCAAATTGCTGAAGAAATTCATGTCCCTCTGACTCAGTAAGGAAGGGTAGTATGCCTATGGACGCTTTCAAAAGAACAAGTGAGTTTTCCAGATTCGAAACAATCTTTTGGCTGATCATACAAAATAGATGTTTCAGAAAAGAATTCCTGTTGGTAGATTGTTTATATAATTGAAATTTAGAGGATATAATATCCTGTAACTCATGTTCAGGAACGGGTAGAAGGGTAAAGTTGAATAAGCAATCGAGAGGAATCATAAACATTTCTTGATCATTTGCGGAAGTAGGCTCATTGGATTCAGAAGAAATAGTATTTGCAAATAGAAAGTCGTGTAGACAGAGTTCTAACACAAAGTCATTACTAACGGCTTCTCGAGAATTTTGCTTTAGAGCGTAGAACAAAAACGAGCAAGAATTTGATATTTTTTCAAGATCTTCCATGGTTGATTTTACAAAAGTAGTATCAGGGATCTGGCCGGATAACAATTTATGAATTCTCAACTTTTGCAACTGCTTAACAAGAAGCAAAGTATACAAAAACGGAATTTCTGAAAACTTCTCAATATCAAATTCTTTCCCTTCCACCGTCCAGCAATGTAAAGTTTGGCTTAAGCTTTTTGCATGTGGAACAACCATTTGTTTACCCCTCGTCATTGCTACTGCAAAAATAAAATCCAAAGTAGACCAAGAGGAAGATAAAGAACGAAATCCCCATTCTAATTCACTTAACAGAAGAAGCATTTTCTGACATATTTTGCTATCTCTGCTACTAAATTCAATCTTTGCATACTGTTTCAGACTAATAGCCTCTAGCACGATAACAAATATGAAAAAAGTGGATCGTTTTCGAGAAACAGAAGACATTGAATTAGAAACACTCTTCAAATGAATAACCAATTGAAGCAATCTTAAAAGAGTTAACGGAATGCGTTCAATAATACCAAACACTTACCTTTGCAACAAGTCTTCTAAAGTTTTTTGCGACATGTGAGTAATCAAGCGAGATAACACAGTTGCTGGCAAAACTGCAGCTTCAGCGCTATCCAAAATAGCATAAGAAAATGCATTCCAAGTTAGGAAATACCAAGCCTATAAGCAATTAGCGGAATTATTCTTTTCATTTTCACGTACAAGAGGATTTGAAAAGAGTGATAAACAAGTCCAGTTCACTCCAACTCCATAATCAAATTCTTTAAATAGGATTTGGATAATTTGAAAAGATTCTAATTCATGTAGATGCACACTTCGAATCGCCGTCCTCAGTAATTTTTTGACTTTTCGTTCTATAGTGTACCGCGATAGGAAATGCGAATTACATTTTAAACCTCTATACAAGGCGCTCATTAGAAAAAGTTTTCTTGATACAATTTCATCTTGATTATCCGGTATTTTTTCCAAGGTTTCCGCCAGAATTTACAATACTCTAGTGCTTCCCAATTCACTAGCGGAATTTGAACGTTTTTCTATTATACCATAGATGAGAGTTAATAAATTATGGGAAACATTCGTCTTTGATCGCCAAAATGGTTCGCAATGCAATAACCTGCCAAAAATTAAAGAAACATTTTGTTGATTTCGTAATCTAGGTAGCGTTATAGCTATAAGTTCAATGAGACTATATGTTAGTTGTCTTATAAAGAAATATACTTACGAATCTAGTGAAAAAAAATCACTCTGCAGGTGCTGCAGGATATAATTCACTGTTGCTTCCATTATACAATCAGCTCTTATTTTTCGGAAGAAACCAACAATTAATTTATTTCATACACAGTATTCTTTTTTACTCTCGAATAAGAAGACTATCTATTTTTGACATTCAGGTAAAGCTGCTTTCGTAAGCCTTGTACACCTTATCAAATATGGCTTCTTTTGTCCGAACGGCCAAAACAACCTTTTTGGATAATCAATTTCCAGTTCTTAAAGATATTTCTTTTGAAATAGCTAGAAATCAAAACTGGGCCGTAGTTGGCGCTGTTGGAAGTGGAAGAACTACATTTCTAAAAGTAAGTTCATACTCTAAAGAATCCCATGAAATGATGCCTTTTTAAGTTTTTATTTGGTCTTATGCCGGATGTAACAGATGAGAATAGTATCATGATTTTGGTTTATCGTGCTGATGGTGTACACCTTAGCGTTGCTGAATATTTTATTTGCTGACTAGTTTTAGTGTTTACAAGGATCATATACACCTTCTCCTGCTACAAGTTTCAATTACCCTTTTCTATCTGGTAGTGGTATAAGTCGCTGGCAGGCGATTCAATTTTTGGACTTTCAAAGCTCAGGTCTTCAACGTGCTGCATACTATTCAGAAAGATATCATTCACATCGCGAAGAACGGGAGGATACTACTCTTCTGAAATGGTTGACTGATGCTCACAGAGGCTCGGAAGAGAAAGCATTGGAAAACGTGCGATATGCTGCTTCTATCACAAGACTGGAGCCCTTACTCAATTCTAGTTTAATAAATCTAAGCAATGGACAGTCTAGAAGAGCTATGCTTGCTGCGAAGTTGTTACTACAACCTCAGTTGCTACTATTAGATGAACCATATTGTATGTTTATTTTACTGGCTATCACTTGATAACTAACAATACTAGCTGGTCTTGATGTCGTGTCACGTTCAGTAGTTTCAGAACTTCTAGGAAACATGTCCAATGCTTGCTCTCCTAAAATTGTTCTTTCCCTTCGTCAACAAGACGAAATTCCTGATTTCGTAACTCATATCGTCGAGTTAAAAAATCATAAAATAACCTATCAAGGAGTTAAGGATAAATACAATCCATCCTCTAGTCCTATAGTTTTATCAAAACCCGAACTTAAAAATGCTCCTCCTCCAAAGATCGGCGGTCCAATTATTGAAATGAAGAACCTCGACTGTACCTATTGGGGTAAAAATGTTTTACAAAATATCAATTGGACTATAAGAGAGGGTGAAAGATGGTATTTAAGTGGTAGCAATGGAAGCGGTAAAACCACTCTTTTAGCTTTTGCCCTTGGCGATCATCCAAAACTCTTTGCTACAGACATCAAGTTCTTTGGAAAGTCCATTGGACCAGGAACAGGAATCTCAGTTATTGATATTCAAGAAAACGTTGGTCATTGCGTATGTTCTAATTACTCCAACTTGTTTAACTAACATTATAAAAGTCACCTGAGATACACACACATTTCCCTAAAGAATTTACTTGTAGAGAGACCCTATTAAGCGCCTGGAGTACTACTTTTACTATCCCGAAAGAAACCGAGAGCCGTTCTAAAACCATTGCAAAGATTCTAGACGAACTGAATATCCGTAAGTTTGAAAATACCCCTTTATCTCAATTACCTATGGGTATGCAAAGATTTATTCTTTTTTGTAGAGCTATTATCAAAAGTCCTCGTTTGCTTGTTTTGGACGAGCCGTTTCAAGGCGTGGATATTGAGTATATGCATCTAGCTCATAAGTGGTTGAACAAAAATCTTTTACCTTCACAAGCAATGGTCATCATTTCTCATTACGAAGAAGAAATTCCCGCTTGTGTTAATGCTAGTGCACGCATCCATCAGGGAAAACTGCAAACTAACACTTAAGTCATGTCCTAGTATGTAATTCATACTTTTGAGGTTTTCGGATCAGAAGTTAGAAATAATTTCATAATGAACGTTAAACAAATAAAGCACTATTCTTTGAAAAACGCAACACGCATAGTGTTTCTCTTCCGGCCTTTCTTCGCAAAACTTCTTTTGAATCATAACCATATCTCAACATATAAGTTTGAATTTTTTCAGGTTTATTTCGAGCCACAGCGACCATGTAAAAAACTCCATCTGCTGAAAGTATGTCCTAGTATAAATTAGTCAAAAATTGAAACGCAAGAGAAATGATATGCTTACACTTAAATTGTTTAATAATTGGTTTGTCACATCCATTCCATCAGTCCCTCCTGCCCAAGCGGAAGCAATGTTGGCTTCTTTAGGGATTTCCTCGAATTCTGTGGGAACATAAGGAGGATTAAAAAGTAAGACATCAATGCTTTTTTTAATTCTTAATCCTTGTAAAAAATAAGTTTGTGCAGTTAGCAATATACCGCTTTTATCATTGTATAATTCTCGATTTTTATTCACCACATTAGTGGCCGCATTACAGGCAGCATTTGAAATGTCTGTCATAAAATGAACTAAACATTTAGCTTTATTTTATAGTCAATATCCTTACTCGTTGGCCTATTCTGCAAAATTCCACTTTTAAAAAACGACGACACACAACCTGATCCACAACTTTCAACATGGTCAGTTAATACATTACCGTGATATAATTTTACCCTATCTCTGCAGTGAAAAGTAACTTTTCAGCTGCAAATTTACATAGCTTGTCTTTATCCTCCTCTAGAGCATCCAGCAACGCAAAAGTATCCTCTGTACGGAATTAGCAATTTCTCAGTATCAATAATAATTACCTGCAGGTTCATATACATCCTGGAATACATCTTCTAACAAACAAGAAGTATCAGGAGTAGGAATCATTTGGATTGTAATTTTATTATTTTTTAGCTAAGGTAAGGTGGATTCTACAATAAGCAGTTGGCTTGTGTATTTACTAGACGTAGTTCTTTTTATTCTCTTCAACAAAAAATCTTTTGAATTTCTTTTTGCGTTTCTAAATGTTAAATGTTTCAGTTTTGCTATGAACGCCATCGAAGATGCATGTGTGATTGATCGGTAGATAGTGTTTCGTAAGGATCTGGAAATGTAAGAATTACTTATTAAGAAATGATCGGAAAGTTTAAAATTACATACCTTAATTGCCTCTTGTGCTGCAATACCGCCTATCAAAGAAGAAACTGGGTGAATTTCGAGACCGGAAGCTCGAGACCTAGTTCGCAATTAGTCATTAGTTCTCTGATGTATAAATAAACGTACAATTCCTCAATGCACTCCAAAACTTTTTCTTTGTACTTCTCTTTCAAGGAGTACTTTTCAAATAAATTGTTTAACTCGCACTTAACAATGGGGGACTCCTTTTCTAGTGATGCATGTGGATGACAACTGAAAAGTTGCTCCGAGATTCGAAATGCTAAATACCAAGGAAGAAGTGAACTTTCATCTGAAAGTAATGTATCTGATAGATTGGTGAGCTTCCCAATACCTCCGACGATAAAACATACCTAAATCATTAGGAAATTCGAATTCTTCTTGAATGGATTTGTACCGACAAATTTTGATGTTTAGAACGTTTTTGCAAAATCGCTTAATAACGACATCAGGTATATCATCCTCGGGTCTTTTCTGACATTGCAATGCCCTTTGGACATATGATTTTAAGATTCCAAAATCGGCAAGAAATTTTTCATTGTACCTTATGTTAGTCTAACTCTGGAAATGTTTTACTTACAAATGCTTGATAGTTAAGTAACGCTGAGTATGTGAATGCATATCAGGAATTGTACCTAACAATGGCAAAGTCCCTCTCTCCTCATAGAAACGTCTCAAAGCATGACATAATATCCAGAAATCAGTGGAGTTTTCGTTGACATCTTGGCTTTTTTCATCTTGCAATACTTCCATCACGTTCGAAGGTATCTATTGTCTGTTAGTGGATTTAATAACAAATTGTTTTACCTTATACTCTTGGAAAATTCTCCAGTAGCTTGATAATGCTTCTTCATAATTTTCAGGAGCTTGTCCATTTATATCTTGTCGGATAATATCTCGCAAGATTTTTCTATCATTTGAAGTTTCCGGCTTTCGATGATGCAGTTTTTCGAAATGTAGCATATAATAAATTAAAAGCTCAATATATGTAAAATCGTTTCTCCTAGTAACATCCAATTCACCAATGTTTAAGGTGCGTACATGATTTATCAATTCGGGCCAAGGATTGCGGATTCGTAAATCTAACGGTACCTCTGGTTGAGACTGAACGGCTTTTTATATAGTTAGAATACGTATTATAGCTATACATACTTGTATATTCTGGGAGAGAGACTCTTATTATGCCAGCAAACCCAATAGAATTATAGTAGATGAGAGGGATCCCTTTCGTCCGTAAAAACGCTTCAAGTTGAAGCAAAGCATCAGTTTTTATTGTCGAGGCAAAAATAATTGTAAATCTTGAGAAAAATTCAATGTCTTTTTCAATTAATTCTTCTGGTTCCTAAGAAGATCGTCAGTTCTCTTTTCTTCTAGGCGTCATATAAAATTCGTACCACTTCAAGGTAGTTCATTTCCGCTGATGGATTTAACTGCTGCAAGAGAGTACTAGTGCATAAAGCACGACTCTGTCCCTCTTGGTCGTACTGCACAAAGAAATTGGATCCATCACGCTTCAAATTAACCAAAGATTTGTCGACAACAGTAAATTCACGAATCCCTAGGAAATTCATTAGAAAAGAAAATCATAAGAATACTACGAACCTGGAAGTATAGTGTTTTTTAGTGCTTCACAACCCACTGTATTGGCATTCAACAAACAGATATGTGATTGCTCAATGGCGTACTGGCCTTCTGCTTTCCAAATCCGTACTTGCCTACTATTAGCGAAATAAAAATAAATTTCTGTCCATACCTATCGTATTTTTGCATTTTGCAGGGATTGTCCATACTACTGGAATTTTATATTAATAAACTATGAGTTCATAGTCGGTGTTTAAGGAGTACATGAATAATTTTATTCGAATGCAGCTACTTTCTACAATTGATTTAATTCTAAATTAATAGTATAAAATTTATATTCTTATTTCTTATTTATTTATGTTATCTTTATAATTAGACAGAAATAGGATGTATTACCTATAAGCTCAAGTCTATTTGTAGAGTAGATACTCTTAAAAGTCTATGTATTAATTGTAAAATTCTATTAATAATGTATAATGCAACGAAAGGAAATGATTGTCGCAGCGAGTAATACCGAAGGCTACTATGCCTATAAGCTCAAACATAATTGTATAAGGAAATTCCGGGCCAGGAAACTTAATTAATGGACGAAAAAGGAGATAGATACCAAAGAAGATCTAAATAAGGAACGAAGATGAGGGCGAAAGCAAAAATTCCAAGGTACGCCGGGGAAATCCAGAGGAAAATTGGTTGTGTGAAGTATTAATAAATTTAGATCGTTTATTTACAAGGATCAAATGTGAGCCATTCTTTGCAACGCTTCTTGGAGAACCTTGTGCCAACTAATATGGGCTAAAACGGTATACTGACAGGTAATGCCAGTTGTAACAGCAACTATCATTCCCATCCAAATACCTTTTAAGCCAAGGTGAAACACATTCACAAAGACGAGAGCAGCAGGTAGGGCAATACAATAGTTACAAGCGACGCTGATAACACCACCAATACTTTGCTTGCCGATACCACGAAGTAATCCACCTCCAACCGCATTCAGAGAGTCGAAAACGATGAAGAGACACAGAATAGGAAATACTTGCTGTACTAATCCGAGTACTTCTTTATCGGAAGTGAAATAATGGCCCCAATGGTTACGGAAGCTAAATAGAAAAAGACCGTCAGTAACAGAGACTATGATAGCAAGGCAAGTAGCTACTCGGCTGCATATACGAGCCAAGTTTGGTCTTCCAGAACCTACGAGATGACCAACGCGAGTAGAAGATGCAACGGCAAAAGCAAAAGGAATTTGGAAGGCCAAAGAAGTGGTGGTGAGAAGGACCGATTGTGACGCTAAAGAGGCTGTTCCCAAATAACCGGCACCTAAACTTGTCATTTCATAAGCGGCCCATTCAGTTACAATCATCAACATGCCATGAAAGGACAGCGTCAACATAGGCTTAAAATTTTGTAGAGCGCGCTTGGAAAAATTCGTCCAAGGAATAACGGATGACGAAAAACGAGCGTAAGTCATTAAACTTATACTTTGAACCCAAAAGGTGATTGCAACGGCTGTAGGCGCACCTAAGAATCCGAAACCGATTTTAGGATGCCACACTAAAAGATAGTTAAGTAGCATATTTAAAGGAGCAGCAAAACAAAGGACACAAGTGATGGGCTTGAAAATACCTTGCGCTTGAAGATAACGCTTCATAACTTCAAATGATGCATACCCCGGACTGGAAAAGTTAGAAACAGAAATGAAAGTGACCAACTTACGCTGCAAAGATAAAAACCTTCATGTATCGACCACACAAATGTGCGACCACGGGATCTTGACGAAGAAAAACGAGGATACTCTCCAAGTTCAACCAAATAATGGAAATCGGAATATGTAAAAGAAGAAGGATAAAACAACACCGTTGAAAATAAACGGACACATTATACGGTTTGTTTGCACCAAATGCTTGTGTAGCAAGAGTATCTAGAGAAGAAATAATGCCCTGGAACATGGAAAAGGCTGTGATGGCAGCAGTCATTGTGGAAAGGGAAGAAGCAGCCAAATACTCTTTTCCTAAATGACCGAGACTAAAAACAGTGGAAAATTGTTCTGAGGACTGAAATAAATAGGCAAATACAGTCGGTATGCCCAGTCGAAGCAATTCCGCAAACTCATGTTTAATCGTAGTCAATCCGTGAGCACTGTCATCGACTGCTTGTCCCCAAGGATGAACATGGTGTTGTTGTATTTGTTGAGGAACTGGAACCATAGATCCATAAACAGATGGAATATTTGGTTCTACATAACTTTGGCCATCAACTAATGAACGATCGTCTTCTGTTAATAATCTTCGTTCTTCATCAGAGCAATTGCTGTGAGAAGAGAGCACTCGTCTAGGTTCGCTCTCGAGACTGAATATTTTGTTTAACGCCCACGAAGGGAAGTTTTTCAATTGCATTGTTAATTATTGAGATTTCAAATCAATTCTAAAAATACTTAAAGCAATTAGTTCAATAAAACCGTCTAAACCCTCCAATTTCAATATATATGGAGAGGAATCCTTTCATAACATACCAAAATTCTTCAGTATCAAATAGCGTAGTAAAGTGAAAGCTCCTCTATTATATAATTTCTTTACGATAGACTAAGTGAGCTCCGTAATGTATTTGCTTAATATTGAAGTAGTAATGAAATTATCTGAACGAAAGTTATAGATTTGGTGGAAATTGGACTATAAGTGCGAAAAAGAAAGGTTTCTTTCAAAAATGAACCATTAAAAGAAAAGAAATTCATAAAAAAACTAAATAAACATTCATTTCTCGCATGCGTTTTGTCTTCCATACCAATCGCTGCTTCTCAGATCTTCAAAATCGTCGATATTATGCGAAACTCGAGTTCTTTTGCTAACTTAACAAGTCGATAGTAAATTTAAAGTTTAAATATATTTTTACAAGTTTCAATTGCCTTAAAATCCAGTCTTTTCCTCTAAATTTTCACAGACAAATGGAGTAGAAAATATATCATACTAACATCACCGATGTCTCCGTCAGTTCACCGCTCACCGAAATGGTTTATGAATATGAACGTACACGCGTTCTACTCTGTTTTGACGTTGCCAAGTATGGATATTTTAAAGCCAGAAGCTGTAGTGCTACAGAAAATTGTCTATAGAAACAAAAACCAACATCGTCTCACGCTTTGGTGGAGGCATGTAATTATGCTTCACCGTAGGTTAAGGCAATGGCTGTCTGGAAAGGAATCTGTGAAATCGTTGCTGTTACGACAATGTCCAAAATCGTACGCTCTTTTTACCAATTTAATTGCACATGGACAATACCCAGGACTTGGTTGTCTTCTGCTTGGTATATTATCTCGCGTTTGGTATGTTTTGGGAGGAATCGAGTATGAAGCTAGCTTGTCAACCCCATCCTCTCCTAATCTTTTGACAAGCCCTCCTCATTTACAAGAGAATATTCTTGAATCCAACAATAAATCTTCGTCAGATCTTGGAACTGTAATTTCTCGTGAGGAAGTCTCTTCCTCTACTCCTCCATCATCCCTTTCTCGCAAAGTCAGCCTTGCTGACTCTCCATCTTCTGAAAAGAATTCAGTGTCATTTCCGCCGTCGTCTTCGCCTGGTGCTCAAGCACAGCCCACAGGAAGCGATGCTTCAGCGTCCGAAAAATCTTCATTACGATCTTCCGATGCTACTTCTTCAGCACCCAAAAAGAAAAAGAAGAAGTCTAAGAAGAAAAAGGATGAAATTGACGATATTTTTGGTTAAACTCGTGTGTTCATGTCTTTTTTTTGTTTACTCTTTTTTGTCTTACCTCACTAACGTACCATCATCATAACCACATACATGGGTTACTACCAACGAGGTTGGTATAGAACAACGCCTTGCTGTTTGTAAAGCCATAAAGACGCCATTGTCCATCAAAAGACAAGGTTTCTTTGTTTCAAAGGTTTATATTTCGTTTATTTATACATTGTCTAAAAGGTAGCGAGATATATTTCGAGAACCCAAAAAAAGCGACTCCAGTTCATTTTTGGTTCCTTTTGAGCATTATTGATGCTTTCATTCTTATTTTTCAATTGGTTTATAATCTTTATTTAACGAAATTTTTTCTTTTCTAATTTGTTTATTCAATTGATGGTTTACAGTTGGCTTTCTACTTGCATTTTTTACCTTTCCTCATTCCCTTTACAGCAACTATTGTAAACGTCAAATCTTTTTCTTTTTTTTCTTCTTCATATCTCATCTAAACTTTACCTTCCATAGGTTCTTTGCGTCTAATTTCTTTGTTCCTCGCTCCTGTATACTTCTTCATCAACCATGGTACGTCGTACTCGCAAGCTATTAACAATAGCCGTTTCGTTTCTTGTCTTTATATTTATTCTTTTAAAAGTTCTTTTATATTTTCAAAAATACTTGTACCTTTTACCGACAAAGCAAGCCAGAACTTTGTACCTGGGGCAGCATGATATAGAAGCCAGTTCAGAATATTCCACAGCCTCTCAATCGAGGATCCCTAAAATCATCCATCAAATTTGGAAAGATGAAAATATTCCTGAGAAGTGGTCAGGTTCTGTTAGTTCATGCCGAGCCCAACATCCGGAGGAGGATGGATGGACAATAAACCTTTGGACCGACGAGAAGGTTTTATCTTTTATGGAAACCCATTATTCATGGTTTATGCCTATTTATAACAGTTATCCTTATGATATTCAACGCTTTGACGCTGTTCGCTATTTTATCGTATATCATTATGGTGGTATATACATCGATTTGGATGTAGGTTGTAAAAAACCTATGGATCCATTACTTGATCAAACAACTTTCCTACTTCCTGTAACCGAACCGATTGGATATAGCAATGACTGGTTTGCTGCTACTCCAAAACATGATTTCCTTTACAAAGTGATTACTTCTCTGTCCAAATTTAACCATCAGTATTTTACGAAATATCCAACCGTGTTTCTGAGCACGGGCCCTTTGTTTTTTTCCATAATACTCTGCCAATACTTGTCAGAGCCGCACAATAAGGTGCGTAGTCTTCCTCCTGATATGTACGCAAATGGCCCGGTCTCTTTTTTTTCGCATGTTCATGGTAGTAGTTGGCATGGGTCGGATGCCAGCGCGTACTTTTGGATGCAAAACCATATACTTTACGTTATTACACTCATTACCATATGTATTTTGGTGTTGGTGTTTGTATTCGTCAAATTCGTCACTGTTCGCCGAAAGAATAGATCCCAGCGCCGACGACAAATGCAACAAGAGCTAAACCCTTAGATTTTTATTTTTGATGAAATGCATATATTTTACAAGTAATGACTCAAAAAGACCATCCTTAGAAAACAGTATAAATTATGGAGCGTGAGAATATTGTAAGATGGATGTTAAGTTATAATGTTCATAATTAAATCCAAATCTATCGCATCATCTCGTCGCACGGAATCCCGAAACATCACCCGTAAGAAGCTTTTACGAGCTTTATACTCTGAATATTCAATGAGAGGCATTATCGTCTTAACATGATGGGTGTACTTCCTTCTTTATTATTAAAGACAGGAAAGAAAGAAACAAAAAAAAAATTATCGGTTATTTAAGGCTGATACATACAAAACTGCAAACGCATGTTAGAGCACTTCCAATATTTTAATCACATTAAAAAGACAATTCCATCAACTCGAACTTACCATTGTTACCACGAATAAACGCATCACCATATTCGTTTGTTTTTTTACCATTTACGAATTCTTCTGTTTGTTCCAAGGCGAGATTCATATATCCATCAAGACAACTCAAGATTCCTATATACGAATACAACATTAGCATTCGACTTTCCAACAAAAAGAACCACAACTCATGGATGAAGCTGACGACAAGATGCAAAGTACATCATCCTTCGTTTTTCATGACAAATGTTCCACTTTCAACATTTTCTGTACATACCACGATAATCCACGCCAGAACTTAGACGGATAACTACAGGTTTTCCAATAACCTTGTTTAAAAAATCGTTTGGCGATGAATCCATATTTCCTGACTTTTGCTTTTTTCAAGTTTTTGTAGCACCTGTTCGTTCGTTGAAACAGACACCCAGACGTATTACGAGTATTTCCTTCCATACAACTAGACACCTCGTTAAGATTATATTACACTAGCATAACGTAAGCCTCTACGAATCGGTATACCAAAACATCACATTCGAGCGGAGGTACGAAACTGGTTTACTGCGTTACACAATACTAAATCTTGATAGTTGACAATGCAAAGACAAAGATGGTCTCACTGTATCCAACGCCTATTAATTTAGAGTTGTGAAAAAAAACATATATTATATTGTTTATATTGACATAAAAACTTCTACAAAGTCACATTAGAAATGGCTGGAAGGACTGAACAATTGGAAGCGCCTGAAGTTAAGTTGGACAATTTGACGCCGGAAGAGCAGTTGGTTCAGGAAAAATTAAATAAATATGCAAAATCCATATCTACGTTTAAATATCCTTTTGCAATTCCACCTCCATTCCCTCCAGCAAAGCCGAATTTAGCTCTTTCTACTCAAGTGAATAAAATGAAGCAGTCAGCTAACGAAGCTTTCAAGCGGAAAAAGTACGAAGAAGCAAAAAGACTGTACACTTTAGCTTTACATTTAGCACTCAACCGTTGTTCTTGGGAACCAGCCTTGCTGACTCGCGAAGAAGTGAGCACTATGCTCTGTAATCGTGCTGCTGCTGAATTATCTCTTTCGCAATTTCCAGAGGCGTTGGCAGATGGAAATGCTGCTTTAAAAATTCGTAATAATTATGGTAAATGTTTCTACCGAAAAGCAAAAGCTTTAGAGGCGATGCATCGAATGGATGAAGCCAAACAAGTTGTTCGAGACGGTTTAATTTTGGCTGAACCTATCACCCGAAATGAGCTAGTCGCTTTGTGGGCTACCTATACGAAAGAAAAATAATGTCCCTCCCTCCCTATGCATCCTGTAATCCTTTTATTTACCCTTCCATTCCTTCCTTTTTCATGGTTCTTTTGTTATTCTTCAAAATGACGGTTTTCTACTTCAAGTATTATTCTTAGTTCTTTCGGCTCTTTCTTTTATTTTTCGTAATGAAAAGGTCGTCAATGGTGTTTTTTTTCTTTTTACACTAATTTTGTATATGAAGGTAGATATTGAGTTTCCGCTAGATTATTTACCGCATGACCCTGTTAAAAAGATGAAATTTATTAAACTATAATAGAAACAATAAATGCATTTTTCCTCCCTACTGTCCGATCAATGTACATATTTATTTTTATTTTTTTACCCATTAAGACCATGTATAAACCAATCTTTTCATTTCATCACCCGCAGCAAATCAAACAGAAAAGTCTTAATACCCATGTTATGGGTAATCTGATGAAGCTATTTAACTCTGATGCATTCAAACGATACACAGTAGCTTGTTCTCTAAATATAGAACCGTAAAGCTCACCAGAGGTCTAATTCCTAGCACGACCACGACGAGGTCTAGGAAATTCGAGAGGAACCTTCAAAACTGCCCGCTTGTGGCTCTTTGCCTCTGTCTTATTCAACCCAAGAGCCATACGTTGAGTCTCAGAATAAGCCATGATACGGCATCCCACAGTCTTAAAAAGTTCATTTGCTTTCATTACCTTGATGTTTAGATCATTAGCCAATGTGAGAATATCCGTTGAGTAATTGTCGACAATAAGATACAAGACAATGATATAGCACATGATACGATCGACTTGACGCATAGAAACTTGAACAGACCCAGTTCCTGTTGTTTGTGTGAAGCGTTTGTAAAGGCCATCCATTAAAATTTCAGGAGGATCAGCAAGCTTTCTGCGTAACGTGTCTCGATCCGTAACCGCGCGACGAGAAAACAGGAATGCCTCCAACAATGAAATGTAGTATAGAAGCTTGGCACGTTTGTGATCAACTTCCTCAATCGATAACAATCGAGAGAAGCGTTCGTTCACAAAGACAGAATGACGGTACGGTAACATCTTGGACCATCCCTTGTCCTCGGCAGAATCCAGAAAGGGCTTGATGTAGATAGCAGACATTTCTTCTTTTGGAATAATGTCCTCCAATTTATAGGCGTCTTCAACAGTTTCGGCATCCATATGAACAGGAGGGATGGGTCGATCCTGGGCTTGATAGGCCTCGAGTTCCTCTTGGGAAGGTAAAGCCTCCGTTGCCTTTTGAACATTGCTAACAAGTTGATCTTTGACATCACCTAATGCATCAGCCTTAACCCTATTAGCAGACTCCTCCATAATTGCCTTTTGGTTCTTCTTGGTACCAAAGGCTAAGCCGAGGTTAGCACGTTGTTCCATCACCGTGCCAGCAACGATACCGCGTTGCTTTTTCATGTGCTCATCCTTTTCTCTCATAGACAGAACTTGGCGCTCAAACGTGTTGAGGTAACGAGTAGGAACCAGCTTTTTTACACGACCATGCTTGTCAGCAATGGCCAGGCAGTAATTGGACTCAACATTGCTTGTAGATTTGCTTTTCGCTTCAAATTGAACACGCTCAGTTCTTCCGATAAGTGAAATATCGCTTGTTTTCTTTCCGTCTGTGTGAACGGGTTGAAACCGAGTTTCTTCAGGAGGGTAAGACCCAGAGATTGTCGTAACAAAAGGGGGCAAGGAAGATTCTTTTGAAGAAAGAACTTGAATACTCTTCTTGGACTCCTTATGCGACTCTCCAGATTTGCGTTTTTTACCCTTCAGCTCGCCTCCTGAAACCGCCATGTTGTTGCTATCGTAAAAATCCAATTTGCTAATTTCGCCTGATGCAGAATACAGTCACGAAGAAGTAACAGAGTAACAATGTCAACAAGAGACGGAGGTTAAACGCAATACGCAATTCTGCAGCGAAAAACATTATCTTTCGTAACTAGGTAAATACTAGAAATATAATACTGATATGATAAAGTAGGAACAGAGTCTAAAAACAAAGGTTTCTATAAGCATTCCAAGTATTTCTTGTTGTGAAAGAGATCCTCAATAATATCAAGAAGTGTCTTACGAGACTCTAAGTACCTTATTGGGATCAAACGCTAACAAGAAATAGTGTGAAGGAAACATGAAGTGTGAAATATTCCGTCCAAGAACCATAGGTGAAGAAGAAACCAGAAAGAATTAAAAAGCAGGTAGAAAAATAGAGATATTTTTTATACTTGAAGACAAAATAAGAAGTTATAAGCATATGGGTAGAGAAATAAAAATGGTCTTGAAAGCGTATAACCAAAGGACATCATCTTAATCGGTAGATAAGCCAGAGTATTGTACAAATTTTAAAGATTATCTAAACATAGCTAGGGCACTTTAAAAACTGTTGGGAAGAGGCCCAGTCTCAAATGGGGTGGCTCTTTCAGCAGGCTCTTCTTCGGCTACAGCGGTGCGAGCACGCTTTAATAATTGAACGTTGACTATAATGAAGTTAATAAAAAGGTATCCTCAGCAGACAGAATAACAAAATCCCAATCAACCTCAGGGGAAGCATAAAAGCAAAGAATGACTTACGTTGTTGAAGACTTGAGAGTAAAGAGGGGCCTGCAGACTCAGTTGAAGGAGAATTGCGGTAGATGGCATTAGCCTCTACAAAGACTTGGTTTCCCTTTTTGAGAAAAGTTTCCATACGGTCAAACTCTCGGTCATCAAACGAGAACACTGTACGAAACGTAGCTGGCACGTCCTTTCCATTATTGGAAGCAACGGTATACTTCATATAGGGATTACCTTGCTGAGACTGCAAACGTTCAGCATCACGGGCCAAATTTCCAGTAAACGTCAAACGCTGGATATCGCGGAGTCGAGCTGGAGAAGAGGAAAATGAGCGTTTAAAGCAAAGTTGACGAAGAGAATGAGTAAACATAGCACAAATAAGTACAAGTCAAGTTAGATTTTCAAGTATTCTAGAATTTGTTCGGTGTTGGGCGGTAATGTTTGGAAGCAAGGTAGTGGTGAATGGTAGTATGAACTCAGAGAATAGTCATCAACAATTGTTTGTAAACAAGATACATAAAGCTTTTATTAAATGCAGAACTTTACATTTAAAAAAGGAAAAGAAAAAGGTATATCCTAAAAACAGATGAAGAGATGCACACGAATTCTTGATTGTAAACACAATTGTTATTTTCAAAATCACTCTCAATACTCATTTACTTTACATTTGCTATTGCAGTCTATACTAAATAAATCATAAAATCATAAGTCAATTTCATTAAAGCGTCTTGGCATCACAAATCTATAGGGTTGTTGTCTGTAAGCGTAAACATCTTTATTTCTCTCCCTGTAAGCTTTGAAGCAAGAGAGAGTCAATTTAAAGAGGCGAAACACATGGGTTCCAATCAGAATGATAGTCTTCATCCAAATTGTATAATGTATTCATTTCATCATTGGAGAGTTCAAAGTCGAAAACTTCACCATTACCCTTAATACGAGCGGGAGTAGAACTCTTTGGAAGAACGATGTAACCACGTTGGAGAAGGAAACGAATCATAATTTGAGCTTCAGTCTTGTTGTATTTGTTGGCGATGCCAATTAATTGCTTGTTTCCAAACTTTTCACCATGTGCCAAGGGGGCATAGGCAGCCAAAGCAATGCCCTTCTCCTGGCAATATTCTACTACCTTGCTTTGAGAGCAGAATGGGTGAAGCTCAATTTGGTTGATGCAAGGAACAATCTTGGGATGATGATCCAACAATTGTTGAATGTGATGAGGACCAAAGTTGGATACACCAATGGCACGAATCTTACCAGCTTCAACAGCTTCTTCTAAAGCCTTCCAGGAACCGAGACGGTCTCCATAGGGAGAATGAAGCAAGAACAAATCAATGTATCCTAAACCGCAAGCCTTGACACTGCTGTCAATGCTTTTTAGAGTAGCAGTGTATCCAGCCAAGTTGTTAAGTTTACTGGTATACCAAATGTCTTCACGTTTGGTGCCAGTATCCTTCATAAATTGAAGGATGGCTCTACCACAGTCTCCTTCGTTGAAATACATTTGAGCAGAATCAACATGACGATAGCCACACTGTAAAGCAGCATATACAGAGTCAAAGCATTTAGAACGGTTAATCATATAAGAGCCATAAGCGAATTGAGGGCACTTGAGGCCATTATTCAGCTTCAAAAAGGGTCCTAACATTGTAGATTTTATGCTTTCTTGAACTCGTAAAATAATTTAAGAGAAGTTCTTTCAATTGAAAATTTCTTTTTGACAAGAGCCAGCGGAATTCGAGTATTCTAACACGTCTAAATACACCTTTTCCTTGATGGATTATGGTGATTCCATGCAGCGATGACCCTATATATATATCTGCTCAGAATCGTTAAATGAGCTTACATGGAATATTAGTGATAAGGAATCATGAACTATGGTTCTTTACGTAGGAGTTTTCGGAAGGAATGATGTTTTCTTTCTCGTTAACCAAATCTTTCATGAAATTTCGATCCGATGTAATGAATACTTCAATATCATACTAATGCATATTACTACGAGTTAGTATATCGTATAATCGTGAAATTCAATGAGATGGTAGCAAATAATAAAAAAGCAATTTGAGAAAGCTTCCTCTTGTTTAGTTTAGTTCGGCTTTTTTTTTCTTTTTTTTTTTTTATGAGTAAACTGCAATGCAGTAGTCCATCAGAAGTAATTATACATGTGCATATTGACAGCAGCAAAATACAGTGCAGTGATAGCTTCTTACCTTTGTATTCAATGCTGCTGTCTACTGAACAAAAACTTTCATCGGTGAAAACAAACGTAAACAAAAAAGTGTTTTATTTATTATCTCCACCTATTGTCCTACATAGTAAATAAGAATTACAAGAGGCCTCTTTCAGAGTCTCTATTTACCATAGTGGTCCTCTTTCTCGCATAGAGCGAATTGACTATGCAAAAAAATTCAAATATACCTTATTCCTATCATTAAATAATGAATTATTACTTATTCCCAAATGTTTATGTATACTTGACCATTTAGCGGCCTATATGCAGCTCCTTTTCTATACCCCGTAACGTAATTGAATTTGTGCCATCATATCCGGCGAGGCTTGCCATGCTGCTTTTCCATTAAACATTTCAATAGATCCTTGCAAGATCTTTTGGAACATATCTTGCAATTCCATCGAAGGCTTCTCATATTCCGCAACGCATGTAACAAACATGGGAAGAAGATATGATAAGGATTGAGGGTTACATGCCAGTATATTGCAGAACCCTCTAAAGGCGGAATCTTTTTCTTCATTTTCACCGATAGTCTTGATAATTTCAAACCATGGTTGGTAAAATAGTTGTAAATGGGGAGCAACTAATTCAGGATTATACATGCCTAATCTGCCAATGGTTATGGCAACATTCTCCAATACTGTGCTGTTGGCTTTTCCAGACTGTATAATACATATAAGACGCTCCAGTAGAGGTTTTACCCATGGTTGCATATCCTTACCCAGTTGTAAAGCCATTTCTCCAGCAGACCAGATGGCATTGTTAGAAGCACTGACGTGCAACAACGGCATTTGCATTTGAGGCAACATGTCTAGTAAGAGTGCATCACAATAGGGACGAATTTGGTCAAAACAAAACATACACATGTCTCCTAGTAAAGCATATGCCGATTGACGAACTTCTGCAACTTCATCTTTAGCACAAACACCAATAATTTGTCCCATAGGAGGATCGGCTTGAGCAATTAAAGGTGCAATTTGACTTCCAAGTGCTTGGATGATACCGCTAATCAAATCCAACGTTGTGACCAAGAAATCCCGATCGGGAACGTCAATCGAAGGGTCAGTTTGAGAAGCGTCAATCAAATATAGCGTGTTGTGGAGCATTCGGAAAGTTCGAGCATATGTCTCCGCTGCAAAAGGAGCAAATCCTTCTTTAAGAGCCACGGCTACCGATGAAAGACATTCTAATAATGGGAAAATATTTGGGTCATCTTCACTAATTGTGGACCATTTTTGAAGCAAAGGTGGCATTAAGAGTTCAACATAACGCTTTTCATTAAGTACTGGACCAACATAATCAGCAAGTGTTTGAACAGCATCGTATAAAATGAGTAAATTTTTCCTTTGGTATTTTTGAAAGGCAAAAGCAAAGTTGGTTAAAATAGGTTCCAAAAAGGGTACCAAGGTATGTCCGGCTTGTTCCTCCAAGATGGCAAAAGCAGAGCAACCAGCTTCTTGAACCTTTTTATTGTTATCAACAACCATTCTAAGCAACTTTTCTATAAGGGGAATAAAATACTTTTGACGATCAACCTCGGAATCCAAGCAAGTTGCCCAACTCGAATAACGGCCAAGAGTCCAACATGTAATCGTACGAACCAAAGGCTTATTGCTATCCAAAAGGGAAAGCAAGTATGGATAAAGCTCCGGCAAATATTGAATCATTCCATCCATGCAACCTTCTGCAATAGCACCCAAGGCCAACACACCAGCCTCCTGGATCTTCCAGTCAGAGCTCATTAAACTGTCCTTCAAATGAGGAAGAATAACCTCAAGTAACTTTTGGCTCCAGGAAGCGGATAACGCATCGAGAGCTGCAGCTGAACATTTCCTTAAATTCCAGTCCATGAAGGCATCAGCGTCTTCATCGTCATCATCAAATTCGTCGTCATCCTCATCTTCCTCCTCAAGTTCATCAAATTCGTCATTCGCACCTCCTTGACGGCCAGCAGGACCTTCCGTATCCATGGTTACACGAGACTTACCCTTAGCATGCTGAGGACGGATATCTTCAAGTCGATCTTCGACATTGTAATCATCGGCATCATTTCCAAGGAGTAAAAGGTCCATATCAGAGTAAACCATACCACGAAGAAGCATTGGGACAATTTTATCAAGATACGGACCCAAAGAAGAGCAGAGATCTGGTTGTTCAGAAATGGCCAACCAAAACTCACAAGCCTCCAAAGCAACAGTCTGGTCCATATCTTGAGTCGAGTAAAGCATATACTCCACAATGCTACCCAAGGAAGGTGCAATCTTGTCGGGACGAACATCCAGCAAGTAGACAAGAGCTTGACAAACATTCTTGCGAACGTTTGGAGAAGTATCGGTAGCCAAACTGTAACAAGTCTCGAGGAAAGTATCAATATGAGCGTAGAGAGACTGACTTTGAATTAGAAGGAATTGGTTGAGGCAAAACAAAGCATCAGTACGAATCTTTGGATTCTCGTTGCGGGCTAATTCAATAAAACGAGGAATCATAAAATCGAGAGGACGCGTTCCGTCAAAGTCTCTATCTAGTTCACGAGCAGAATCTTCGCAGATTTTTGTGAGGGCACTGAAAGCACCTTCTTGAGTGGTACTGGGTGTCGAACCGGAAAGCATATCCATTAACTGCGGAAGAACTTCGGGCCATGTACTGACCCCCCATCGACTAATCAACGTAGTAATAACGTTACCAGATATACCACGAATCAAAGGTTGAGAGTCACATAAACCGCGTACGACTGTAGATTTTGTATAATCCAGACTTTGTAATCCGTGCGCAAGTTCAATATTTGAAACACGAAGGTTATTTTTCAATAGTAAACCAGCAGCAGAACGAATTGGAACGCTCAGTTCGGCACCGTTAATCAAGATACAGGCAAGATAATTATTAACGTCAGGAATATCCTTGGTTTTTTCAAGTAACTATCAAAAGTTGTTAGATTAACTTAAAGCCAACATACAAGTTCTAAATAAGTGAAAGTCCCGGACTTTGACTTCTTTTCTAATAACATACATTCAAAGCAGCTGCTCGGGTCTGTGAATCTTCAGAAAGTGAATTTTTTATCACTTCTGAAAGTTGCAACAGGACTTGTTCCTGAAGAACCCATGGATTGTCCCCCATCTTTTCTTGTCCAGCGTTCTAGTTGTTGGTAGAAGTTTGCTTCTGGAGGGGGGATGAAAAACAATTGTGGATCACTAGTACTATGTCGTAGAAGTATCTTTCATTATTATTTTTTTGTAGTGATTAATAAAATATGTATATTCAATTCTTAGCGATCCCAAAGGACTTAAAGAGTTCAGGTATTCTATTAAAATTTCACGACGTAAAACAGAAGATCCAACGAAGGAAATCAACTAAATAATAAATAAAAACTACTATTAAAAGCATGCTCATGCTTCTTTGTACAACCTATACCATTCGTTTTATAATCCAATCTTGTACAATGCCTGCTTTTGGGGAAATATGTTTGTCTTCTATTTCTAATGATCACGGGAACCAAGTCTTCCACTCGTATAACAAGTACTTGCCATAATAAAAGTAATTTAAATAGAAAAACAAATAGAAAAACAAAAATACCTGACCAAGATTTCTCTCAGAGAATACAAAGGTCGATTGTTTTGCGTGTTGCACCTTTATCCAGCAAAAGGCAATTTTACAAAATCGTAGTGTTTCCTTAATCAATCTATAAGAAAGATAAAAGAACTACTTAAAAATGTTTTCTGAGTGTTTTCATTTTTTCCTTCAGTGATAAATTTTTTCGTGTTCAATTGTCGTACATATCGCTATAGTAATACTGCGTTGTGTAAAGCACTTTAAAGAATGGCTAACCATTTCCGTATATCTGTACGTCAGTGTTACAGAAATTAATTGTGGAGAAATGGTAGCCATCTTGAAACCGATTCCTTCGCATAAAATTCAAGGTGTATAGAATTCTTTATATTCCGTAGTTTAAGGTAAGTTTTACTTTACTACATTGAATAAAGAAATATGAACCGTTCTTCTTTTTCAATGGCAGGTTCTCCGTGGTTGATTTCCATAACGGAATGTTTACAGAACATCTTTGATCGCAAAGATATTAACAATTCATACGTTTAGGGAACTTAAAATTGCTTTCATTCGTTTTTCTTCTTTGAAGATATAACCTTGGGTCGTTTTTATACCGGGTAGTGTGTTTCATATTCTCATTACTAGCATTGATCAGCTTCTTATATGGTATTTTGACAATTGTTCATTTGCTTTTTCAACCAATATTATACAATTGCCTGATCTGTTAAGGAAATTGGTAATATACATTAACAATCCCAACAAACAATTGTTTTTCTTGTTCGACCTTTCTTAGATTTCGTGTCCTTCGAGAAAACACCCTTTTCAAGCCTTATTGTCGCTATTATTATTGAATCTTTTTCTGTATTGTTGATTTGTACTGGCGTCACCTAAGGTTCCTTCTTTTCGTGTCTTTGCTCAAAATGTCTAGCGAGCTTTATCCAGAGCACTCTCATCTGTTAAGAAGAAATGATGATGATTCAGATAATGTTGACATAGAAAACCCATATAAGGATCCTGTTCCGCAAAGATCAACATGGTATTTAATCGCATTAACGGTGGTATGTTAAGAATTTATTTTTTAACCCATGATTCGTACTAACTGTTAAATAGTCCCTTTTAGGTGTTCAGTTGACCTGTATGTTATTGAAATTTTCGTATTCTTATGAGTGTTGCTAACATGTTTTATAACAGGGTCTGTTGAGCTTGGTTATGGTAAGTACAGGCTATATCCTAGGTATATATTTATATACAATTCCTAACATTTACAATAGGATCTCCATATCTATTTTCTCTTGGTCTTCGAAAAGAATATACGTCCATCATTTGGATCGCTGGTCCATTGACAGGGATTATTATTCAACCAATTTCTGGTATACTTTCGGATCGCTTTCAGTCGAGACTCGGACGAAGAAGACCTTTTATGCTAAGTGCTAGTCTACTAGGCACGTTTAGCTTATTTTTAATGGGTTGGGCCCCATATTTGAGTAATTTATTCTTTGAAGGCACGGTTGCAAAGCGTGTAACCATCGGTTTGGCAACATTGAGTATTTACCTTTTAGATATCGCTGTGAATGTTGGTATGTTATTTCTTTGAGTTGCTTTCTAAGGGTTTGTCTAACGTTTCTTCAGTCATGGCTAGCACTCGATCCCTAATTGTTGATTCTGTCAATTCGGAACAGCAGCATGATGCAAATTCTTGGGCCGGAAGAATGATCGGTATCGGTAATGTTTTCGGATATTTACTAGGATTCCTTCCTTTGTACCAAATTTTTGCTTTTCTCCATATTACTCAACTCCAAGCCTTCTGTACAATGGCCTCAATTTTTCTTTTAATGACTGTTGGTATTACATCCTTGGTCGTTACTGAGAGATCATTTCCTACTTCTGAGAAGGACCAGTCAATTGCATCCGAAATTTTTGAATTTTTTGGAACCATGAGACAAAACATTTCAAGCCTTCCTGAATCTCTTCGAAAAATCTGTTATGTACAATTTTTTGCTTATTTTGGATGGTTTCCATTCTTATTTTACATAACAACTTACGTTGGAACTTTGTTTTTAAGGCATGCACCCAAAGGCCATGAAGAAGACTGGGACATGGCAACTCGTCAAGGATCGTTTGCCTTACTTTTGTTTGCAATTGTTTCTTTGGCTTCAAATACCGCTTTGCCTCTTCTTCTTGAAAGCGGTAATGACGATGAGGACGATGATGATGACCAGTATCCAATAGAAGAGAGCTCTAGAGCCTACATGAGATACTCCCTGCCTGAACATTATATACCGAGAGTTTCAGAAGAACCTAGTGAAAGGTCATCCTTAAGGTCTGGGCCTACAGAGGTTCCCTCGTCTGCTCCTCCCTCTCAATTGCAAAGAATGATGCCTTCTAACCGTTCTATTATTAGTACTTTTTCTACAAAAGTGCAGATTAAGGGGCTTACATTACCAATATTATGGCTTGTTTCTCATTTGTTGTTTGGTACCTGTATGCTCAGTACTTTTTTCTTGGGCACTTCGTGGGAAGCACAAGTGATGGTCGCAATTTGCGGTTTGTCATGGGCTTGCAGTCTTTGGATTCCATATTCACTTTTCTCTTCGGAAGTTGCAAAGCTGGGTTTGCGTGAAAGCAGTGGAAAAATGATTGGCGTTCACAACGTCTTTATTTCAGCCCCTCAAGTCTTGAGTACGATTATTGCTACAATCGTTTTCCTTCAGTCAGAGGGAAGTCATCGTGACAAAGACGACAACAGTGTCGCTTGGGTATTAAGAATTGGAGGATTGGCAGCATTCGTAGCTGCTTTTCTCTGCAGCAAACTTTTGTCCATCGACTTTTAAGTACGATGAGAAGACAAAAATGAACCTGAGTATTAAAGGTTTCCTGAAAATACATTGTTCTTAGTCTCCGGTTGTGTTAACTGTTTCAAAATGAAAAACAAGACTAAACTTGTATTATTATCTCTAATAGCACTAGAGCATGATGCTATTATGTTTATTTAACGGATCATGATTTACAACAAAATCTATCCTATTCTTAATAATTTATTCGACCTATATGTAACACGTTAACACCAAGATACATATAAGCATATCATTTTATGATGTATTATTATGATACTGTTACGTTGGAAGAGAAAGAAATGAAGAAATTTAAGAATGCAAGCCGCATGATAGGAAAACAAATTACCAAGAAGAAACAAAAGAATTCCTGCATTTGCGAGGTCAATAGAGCGAACGTCTTTGAGAAAGATGAAGTATATATATTAATGATCCCATCTATATAACATAAAGAATATCAGACTAATAATCCCAAAGAACTTTGTTGAAAAAGCGGCTAAATAATATAAAGAAAACAACAGAAAGGAGTTACCCAATTTTGACTTTTGCAGTCTTCCAAATTGAAAGCATAAAGATGGTTGTCAATGTATTTAAAGCAAGTAACGTAGCTAAAAACCCTTGAGAAGTAATTACACGAATTGCACCTCCAAAAACAGGACCAACAGTGTCTGCAGCAGCTATGCTAATCTGAATTACGACGCTTGCTAGCAAATGATGGTCTGGGTGAAGCTGTTTAGTAAGAAGAGATACAAGAGGCGAAAAGGCAATGGAAGTTCCAAAAAAGACAAGGGTAAACAAAGTGAAATAAAGCTGGAGGTACTCTTTATGGATTTTGTTGACAATTAGATGAACGGCGACTGATACGACCGTAATTATAATACCTATGAGTGTAATTTTTCGATCTTCTATCCACCTTGAAAGGAAAGAAAATAGAAGGAGAAATGGAATATCTATAAGGCAGGCAAGAGCAAGGAAGTTACCCGATTGAAAGGGGGAATATCCGTAGAGGTAATTGGTGTAAATGGGGATGGAAGCTTGGTATGCCTCCATTGTAAAAAAACAAGAGAAAGCAATATATCCAGAAACAACAATTTTTATAGTAGAAGCAAGATTTGGACGGCGATGTGCTGTTTGGGTTTCAGAATTAGTATGGGGAGCATCGGTTCTTGGAGGAACAGGAGGAATATCGCAATCGGCATCGTAATAGAAAATGGAAGAAAGAATTAATAAAGCCGCCCAAAAAAATGATAGTAGCCAGTTACCAGAAGTGTATTGATTCCATATAGCGTTGTGAGAATGGGAAGAAGCCTTTGCCATCAAACCACCAAGAAAAGGACCAATTGCAATTCCAGCAGTTTGCATAATTATATTGAGTGTGCTCATAAAAGTCCTGTATTTTGGACCAACCAAAATTCTGTCGGACATGAACTTTTTATGATACAGATACATGACACATGCGATACCTAGAATGATTCGGCTAACCAGGATGAGGGCGATGCTTTTGGCTTTGAAGGCGAGGGAATAGAGAATATGTCCAAGGATTGCTGTGACACATGAGCATAAATAGGGACGCTTGTAGAAGGTAAACCCATTGGCGGATTTAGGATTCGACAGTAAGAGCATAGGATATAAAGTGACAAGGGCCGTGATCATCGGAAGACCGATAATGAGACCAGACAGAACTTCGCTTCCTCCTAAGACTTTTACATAAGTGTCAGAAGTGGGAATGACGATTGAGAAGGAAATTGACAGAACCAAATTATTCATTAGCATGAGTGCTGCACTTATAGCAGGGGGTTTCCTATCGGTAGAATCCGATTGTTCAGTAACATCGAATGTTTGTTGAGTGAATTCATAACCTTGTTTCTCTGTTGATTTTTCATAATTCTCGGGTCGCTTGTCAAATTTGTCTATAATCTCTTCTTCCAATTTTAGCTCCATTTGACGTAGGTAGAGATGATTTACGTTGCGAAATTTCTTCTTGCGCCCTTTTCTTTCTCTTTAAAAAATACCTTTATAAGGAAAAGAAAAGAAAAAGAATAATAAGAAACTTACTTTTAAACCTTCAGTTTTTGTTTTTCGATTTTGAATTTTTTTTATTTCTTTTCTCTTGATATGTGTCTGCTGTTGGGTAACACTTGTTTTTGTCTTTGGATCTATACGAAGCAAACAAAAAAGTTTCCTAGATGAAAAGTAGAGCAAGTAAATAAACCTTTCTAAACCTTTATGAATACGAATATGAATATTAAATACTTTCAAACTACTCGCGCAACGACTGTTTGCTATCACACAAGTTTCACTTTGTCGTACTTGTTAATTATTTTTTTTTTTTGTTGTTCTTCTCTACTTTCCTCCTTGGTTCAACGCAAACATATATATATATATAATATAATGAGTTGCTATCGTTGTCATCATAGTTCCATCAAATTGCAATCTGACATTTGGAATAAATCTATAGATAAGTAGAAAGACAATTTTACATGAATAAGAGTTAGGAAATGCAAGTTTCAATGGAAGCATTGTCGCGAGTTTAGCCATGAGCAAGAAGGGCAGGATCACATCTCATAGATTTGCAAACGAAATGAATTCTTTCATTTATTATCGCTGTTGCTAGTGCTGTTGTCATTGACATTGTTATAGCTATTGCTTTTCTTTACTTTTTCATATGGAATCCTAGTTCGCAAGACTCGACTCGTTTTTACATTGGAAAAACTGACCAGAAGACCATCTAGTACAAGGCTTTTTCCAATTCTGCTCACACCTTACCTAACCTAACCCAACCCATTCATATTTATATTTATATTAATATTCATACATAATAGTTTCAACATAGAGAATACTAGACCAGACACCATTCAATGGATTTATTGCAATTCTGAGTAATCATGAAATAATTGTACATATCATTAGAAAACAAATCTTCTATAGTGCTATACTATATTGCTATATTTAAATATTATAAATCCTAAAAACGAGTATTTTTTTTTTCTTTTCTCTTTCAATTGATTTTTTCTTTTTATTTACATCTTAATTATCCAGTTTGTTGGGACTTGGTGTTTTTTATGCTGGCGCCTATTTGTCGCTTATTCACCAGTCATTCCCATACAGAGTCGAGCCAATGTTACAAAAGCTATTTCACGTCCATCTCCAATTTACCTTCTCCACCACACACAAAAGGAAAAAGTTGGAAATATCTTGGATTTTTTCACAAAAAACAAGTTACATTTCAACAATTTAATTCATTTGAAAAATATAATCACTTGCTTTTTGTGTTTTTCCTGGTTTTGATTGATTCCTAAAAAAAAGAAGAGCTTTCTAGAATCGTTGGAGGAAAAGTTTTACCTTGCACGAAAGAAAGACTTGATATTTTGAAATAAAAGAAGGCTATTATTGATATAATTGTGTTATTACCGCAAAAATCCACAACATCAACTCCTAAGATTTGATTTAGCATTCCTTCTTTTCCACAAAAAAAAGAGAAACGGAATTTGTTCTTGTTTTCCTTTACTTTTTTAATATCAGTTTGCTAAACGTTAAAAGACCATCTTGAAAAACTATGGAACGCGTCGTGAAATTAGCTACTAAGCGTTGCCCTTTTGTCAGCAAGACTGACGCTTCCACCCTCCGCAGAATGATGGGAGCTGGTTTGGTTCGCGCTGGTGCCCATTGTCCCATTATGGGAGGAGCCCTTCCTGCCGGGGACGGACATGCCCTTACTGGCAAGCGTGGATTCAAATCCCAATCCAAGCACATGGCAAAGGAACCTTCCTTGGAAGAGATCCATTTGAAAGCCGGTGTAAGTGACCGTAGCGCTGGCATGTGTCGTCATGCTCAAGCTGTCAAGGAAGCCGCTATAAAACCCAACGAGGTTGCTTCTGTTCATAAAGAAACACTTCCAAGTGGAGCTCGTCAAACTTATGGAGTTTCCCCCGCCGGCGCCCCCAAGTTTGACTATGAAACCTTCTACGAAGAGGAAATCCAAAAGAAATTGCGAGATAAGTCGTATCGCTATTTCAACAACATTAATCGCTTAGCGCATGAATATCCTCTTGCTCACTTGGCCGATCCAAACACCCGTGTTCAAGTATGGTGTAGCAATGACTATCTCAACATGGGTGGGCATAAAAAGGTTAGTGATGCCATGCATCGTTGCATTGACAAGTACGGAGGAGGAGCTGGTGGCACTCGGAATATCGCAGGGCATAACCAGCATGCTATGCAGTTAGAACGATCGATTGCCGACTTACATTTGAAGCCCTCTGCCCTTGTTTTTGGTAGTTGTTACGTTGCAAACGATGCTACTCTTTCTACTCTTGGTAGAAAACTGCCAAACTGTGTATTTCTCAGTGACGAAATGAATCATGCTTCTATGATTCATGGAATCCGTAATTCCAGATGTGACAAAATAATCTTTAAACATAATAATCTCGCCGATTTGGAAGCCAAGTTGGCCTCTCTTCCTCTCAACCGTCCAAAGGTAATTGCTTTCGAATCCATTTATAGTATGAGTGGAAACGTTGCTCCTATTTCCGAAATTTGCGACCTCGCCAAAAAATATGGTGCTCTCACTTTCTTGGATGAAGTTCATGCTGTCGGTATGTATGGTCCTCGTGGTGGTGGTGTTGCTGAAGAAACCCCTGGTTTGTTGGACAAAGTCGACATTATCACGGGAACTTTAGCCAAATCTTATGGTTGCGTTGGTGGTTACATTGCTGGGTCTTCTCGTTTAGTTGACATGATTCGCTCTTTAGCCCCAGGCTTTATCTTTACTACTTCCTTACCTCCTCATGTTATGGTTGGTGCTCTTACAGCTATTGAGCATCTCAAAACTTCTAATGTTGAACGTGAACAGCAACGTTCTGCTGTTCGCCGTGTAAAGCAATCCTTGTCGGAAATTGGAATTCCCGTTCTTTCAAACGATACTCACATTGTTCCAGCTATGGTTGGTGATGCTGAATTAGCAAAGCTTGCTAGTGACTCTTTGTTAAATGAACATAATATTTACGTGCAAAGCATTAATTTCCCTACTGTCAATGCCGGAACCGAACGTCTTCGAATTACTCCCACACCTGCTCACAACACCGAGAAGTACGTTCAAAGCTTGACTAATGCTATGGACCAGGTATGGCGTAAATACAAGGTTAGCCGCTTGGATGGATGGGCCAGTCGTGGCATTGATGTAGGCCGTCTTTGCAAATTTCCTGTTCTTCCATTTTCTACCTCTGGTCTGTAAGTTAGTTTACCTATAATACCAGTACATTAATGAGTATACTTTGATGTTCAAAGTATTACTTTTATACACAACCAAAATTGCAAGAGAGATACATTGTAGAAATCGACATAAGTAAGGAAAATTAAAATAGTAAAATTTAAGGATAAGAAAGGAGACTAAGTCCAAATATCTTGATATTTCTGAAGGCAAAATCATTTCATAACTAAATTATAAAGGTCTTTGTTCACATTAAAAGAGATGGAACTTTAAAAACGGTTTCACAAACTGATGAGCAGCTCTGTTGTGTGTAAACATGTGACTCATCTGAAACACTATATACAAAGGATCTTGCTATTTCGTGCGATATAGAAAGAAAAATAAAGTATTATACGAACAGCATCGAATTAAACGGAAAGGAAAGCATGCTAGTTGTTACATCGATGGGAAGTCAAAAATTGTCGACCGGGGGATGAACGGAAATGGACCCAAATTATCTTTCCAATACTCCCTGAAGGTTTCGGTTTTTACAAAGAACAAAAGGATTCAAATGGAGAAGAAAGGAGGGAAAGATTTTATTCTACGAAAGTTGAACACGGTTTTGATACCGAGCAACCAACACTTGAGACCCGCAAAATAAAAAGAAAACCTAATAGAAGAGTTAAAACTTGTACAAGAGAAACAACAAACAGTTTTAAACCAAAAAAAAAGGGTACTTACAGTGTAGATTACGACAGCGCCGATGCAAGTTTTAGCAACTTGAGATCCCGACAAGCCACTACCAGCCAAGTCATGCATTAAAGCTTCAGCTTCAATTGCAAATAAGTATGAAAGGACAGAGAGAAAGATAATTCCAATCAATGACAAGCCTGTGCAGCCTTGGGCTATACAATCATTAGCAAATCAGTATAATGGAAAGCACTTGAAACCAAACGAGATGGATTCATTCCCTACAGACATCCACCTACCTAAACCAGCGCTCACCAGAGGTTTCATACTGAATCCTCACAATTCAAAAATTATATGAAAGAATGAAGAGACAAAAACAAGAGCAGAGTGAAAGAGCCGAGGTCAACCCTAGCGAAAGAAAGAATGGGAAATTGCGATGAGATAGACTGATCATTAAATACGCTTACCGAAGCCTAACGACGGTGGTAAAAAGCATTCCACAGTGGTTAAATATACGAAATCATTTATTAAAAATATATAGAGGATTTAACGAGAGTCTCTTAAATTAAATTTCCGATATTCTTTTTTTACGCTAAAAAACAATCAAATGTTCAAAGGGTTTGTTCTGTACATGTTTGTATTTGGTTGCTAGAGAGTGCTTTTCTAAATTAGAACAGAGTGAATAAAGTAGGGTGGATTTTTAATCCCTATTTGCACGTTCCTTGGAATGCTTATTTTGAATACTTAATGGGCAATCGTTAGAAGGCTATCTAAGCAGAGGTAAAGAACACCCAAGATCATCTATTCCAAAAATAAATTTATAAAATCAGATGCAAGCCACAAAACGAAGAGTCTCTGCTCTGTTATTTCGTGGAAATGCAACGATTTTATTGTTTACTTGATTATTGTATTTTATCAGATCATCTATAGCTATGAAGAAGTTCAACGATTACAGATCACTAAAGAAAATGAAAACCAAAATTCGCTATCCGGTGTTCAGTAGGAATTGAAAGTTATATAAAATATATACTTTTATAGCTATTAGAATCCTCTTCTTGTGTGCTCTTTCATATACCTTTCAGCTAAAATTCTGTTGGGTGTTTTACGCAAGTGAACAAACTTCAGTATATACACTTGGGATTTTGAGCTACCCTATTACTTAGACAATTGCAGTTTATTGTTTTAAAAAGCGAAAACCGCCTTTAAAAAGGCCTTGATGGACGAACGCTCGCTTACTCTGTCATCTTCTTACAGCTATCCTTCAACAGAGACTTCATTTCAAGTTCCTGTGTCACAGACTGCGGATCCCACTTCGTCAGCGTTATCCTTCAAGTCTCTTTTAGAAGATCCTGTAAATCCCTGCTTCCCATCGTACACGCCGACTCGAACGGAAATCACTCCTGTTGCCCTTTCTCCCATTCCAATAGTTCCAAGTCATGAGTTTCAACCTTATTTGCACCAAATCTTTCAGGAATACGCTCGTTATTCTAAGCAGAAACAAACTAGCTTTCATCGCCATGTAGAACGTCAAACTAAGCGCCTTAGCCATAACTCTAGTCCAAGTGTTTATGAATCGCTCGCCCGTCGCAATTCCATGTCGACGGCTCGAGGTGGGCTCAAGAGCGAGTCGTCGTATCCATCATCGAATTCAGAAACCATCACATTTGACCGTGAAGATATACCACCTCCTACTCCGAGTGTCGTGGAAAATTTCCCTCTATCCACAATTCCGTCTGTTTACTTTCAAGACGATTTCAATCTAGACGATCCTCAAACCTTTGACATTGCAAGTGAACATGTTGATATTACGCAAGCTGGAAATGCCCAACATGCTAACCGAAAGCTTCTATTAAATAATTCCATGTTGCAGGAGAAAATTTCTTGGTATTTGGATATCGTTGAACTTCATTTATTACATGAGATTGAAAATGCCAGTGATAGTTTTCCCATTATTATGGAAAATCTTAAAAGTCTTAAAAATCAAGGTACAACCTGCTTACGAGATACCCATAATTTTTTGGAGAACCTCCATAGAATAACAAAGGCTCGTGATGAACAACGAGAAGCCATTTTCAAGCAAGAGCAGTCCTGCTCACGACTTCATGACTTAATCCAATCTCTATCATTTTTGGAGTCAATCTTCACTCTGGGCGATCAAGCTCGTCAATCTGCCCTTGATGGCCGTTTCTTGAATGCAATTAATATAATACATTCCATTTATTCTCAACTAGAGTTAAAATCTAAACAAGAAGGAATATCTTTTAGCTCTTTGCCGGCCGTTACCGAACTTTTAGAGGACCAGCATTCTCTTTACAATACCATCTCGCAAACCGTGATACAGAAATTCCCCGAAGTCCTTATTCAGGATTTACGCGATTTTTCCTCTCAGAAATCTTCATCCGATTTATTAAATATATACTTGAAGAAAAATAAAAAGCTAAGTGAAAACACGGATCCCCTGCCTCTCGTTACGGACATTCCTCCCGATTTTATAACAAGGTTGGAACGATTCATTGATTGTCTCCTCCTTACTGATGGTCTTCAATCTGGTTTAACTATATTTAAGACCTCTGTATTTAAAGAAATAGAATCTCTCATTACACAAGCCTTTGCTAAGCTGAATTCTCTTTACGGAAACGCCGATCGTCGAAGTATCAGTACCACGAGTCTTTCCAGTTTATCAAATTCTTCTTTTCATTCCTTACCGGAAGGATCCAGTGATAGTAAATATATCGCTGATTATTACGACACGCTCACGACAGTTTATCTTACATGTTTGGAAGTTTTACGTCGATTAGGACAACAACTGAAACTTTTAATCGATATTCTATCGAGAAAAGACGAAGAGCAGTATCATTACTCCATCGCTTTAAATGATTTAATGACGGCTAGTGCCGAAGTAATTCTACAAAAATTAACCCACATAAATAGCGTTTACTTCAATGCATCCACCAAGACTTCTGTACAGGAGACTTTGAAGTTGTTTACTTTGCATTCTTTATTCTATAACGAACTTGAAAATTTGTGTGGTATCACACAAAATAATTTTATGTCTATTATCATGCAAGAACTGCAAAAATGGTTTCAAAACGATCAATTGAGAAATATTCAGCGCCTTGCTTTAGAGTATGAAAAGGAGAAATGGGAAGCTATTTCGGTAAGCCCGGCAGTACAGAAAATGGCATCTCGTATTGACCAATGTCCAATGGATATTCCTAATAATTGGGTGTTTTTTCATGAACCAAGTATAGATGACATGAAAGACTCAACTGGAGAAGGTGAGTCATCTATGTCGGATACTTGCACTCTTCAGAATCAATCCATTCATATGGTCAGTGCGTCAGTTCGTTTGCTTGAATGCTTGGATCAATATGGCCAGCTGGTTTTTAATTTTCCAAGACTCTCCCATGATTTTTATTATGGTATAATAGACCTTCTGCGGACTTTGAATTCACGAGTGTACCAGTTAATCCTTGGAGCTGGAACTGTACGATCATCCGGGTTGTCTAGGGTATTAGGAAAGCATATTGCCTTAGCTTCACAGACAGTGACTTTACTTCAAACATTGTCAACATCCATGTTCAAATTCCTTTCAAAACATTATGGGATTAAGCAAACACAAGAATTACTATCCCTTGAAAATGATTTTAACTTGCATCATAACCAGATTACTGAGAAGTTTATTGCTCTCATGAGAGAAAGATCAAACTTCTGTTGTGGTCAAATTATTACGGTTGCATGGGATAACGAAGAGCCTCATGATTATATGAAAGACCTTATAAAAAACTTGTCCAAGTTATATAAAGTTTTGCATCGCTACTCTGAACCAGATTGTGCTCGAGTCATTCCGGATGTCATAAAGATGTTTGAAGACAGACTACAGTTGGAATTGACAGATCCTGCGCAAGATCCAACAAAATGGAATGGTATCAAAATAGATTTGTCATTCTTTTACGATTCATTATCCAGCAAGTGTGGTTATGTTGGAAGCCCGGAAGTACTCGAAAAGTTTGAACGTGCCGTAGGGCAAACTGCCTCGGATAAAGTAACTACATGATACGAACAAAGAAACAATTTGATGATTTTCTTCATTGAAAGAGATGAAGTTGCTTAAACTTTTTTCGTTATTGCTCCTTTTTATGTTTCATGGTATGCTATAATTTTTCACTAATGCGTTTCCTTGGATTCAGAAAAAGTATGAAGACAGGAATTGATGAATTTGGATAAATATATAAAATTTATTTTATGTCAGTAATGATGATTTCCATTCAGTATTCACAGACCCTACTGTGTTTCCAGTATCAGCGAAAACATAAGTTACACATTCTAAGCATCATAATGAAATCTTTATATAGAAGTTTTTGATAATGAATTATTATTTTTTAAGAAATTAACTTGAAATTCGCTTGATACTATTTTATTTGCAATGATATAATAAAGGTATATGGTTCACTTTTCTGTCATCCACTTTATTTATAACTGACTGCAACTTTCATATCGCAAGCGATGACAGTTCCTTCTAAATTGGCGAAGTTATTGGAAACTAATTGTAAACAGTATTTCCAAATAGCATCTGATATTTCAGCTAGTCTTCAGACGAAAAAATTGACTTTTGTCAGCGGTAATGAATCTGCAGGTATGTAGCATGTAAGTTACCAGATTATTGACGTATTCTAGATTTGGATAGTTGCGCTACTTCCATAGTTTACGCCTACTTCTTACAACATAAACACCGTGAGAGGTGTGTTGTACCTTTCTTTAATATTCCTAGGAACGAGCTTCGTCTTCGTCCAGAGTTGGTATGTCTCCTCGACATGCTGAAGATACGTACTGATAATGTACTATTTCTTAATGACATTGCGGCAGCTCCTGAACGACTCAGTTCGTCTCCTATTCATTTGGTTGATCACAATACACTTGACCGTGAAGAAGTAGGTAAATTTAAAAAGACTGTCGAAGGCATAATCGATCACCACAAAGATGAAGGAAATTATTTAAATGCAAACCCAAGAATTGTAAAGGAATGTGGCAGTTGCTCAACTCTGGTAATTCAATACTATATGGACATCCTAAGTACTCTTTATAACACAGAAGCGACTCGAATGGAAGCTGAAGCTATTTCCGTGTTGGCACTTGGTCCTATATTAATTGACACTGGAAACTTGAAAAATGAAAAGACTACGGAAACCGACGTCGAGGTAGCAAATCAGTTATTCAAGTTCGTTCCATCTGGGTGGAATCGTGATGAGTTTTTTGGTTGTTTAAAGGAAAAAAAGGGAACGTATAAGGGATTTTCATTTATGGATCTATTACATCGAGACTTGAAACAATACGCTCCTGGAAATGTGTCCATATCCTATCCCAGTATTGGAAAAGGAATTGATTGGATCGAAGAAAAACGTAGCAATTGGCAACAAGAGTTGAAGGATTTTGCTGAAAAAAAACAAGTGGACCTCGTCATAGTTGGTCTTTCCTTGAGTAAAAAAGAAGAGTTTCGTCGTCAAATGATTCTGTATAAACGAACTAAGCAAGGAGAATCATTTGCTGATAAGTTTTTGGAGAAAAATAAAAACAGCTTAGGATTAGAGTTTCTTAAAAACGTTGAAGATAACACTATTAATGTATTTAACCAAAGAAACTCTGCTGCTAGCCGTAAAAAGGTAGTACCAATGATTATGGATAGTATCTAAAATTCTTTTGAATGAAATAGTACAATAATTATTTTTTGATGTAAGTTTACTAAACAATTTCTATAAATTACTCGAAATCACTGTCTTCCGATTCATTTTTTGTATCTTTGAAACCCATAATCGACTTTTTTCCCGAAGAGTTATTTTCCTTTAACTTTTCAATCGCCGCCCACTTTAACAACCAAAACTCTAAAACCGGCGTATCAAAATCGTCATTATTTCCCAAATCAGTGAATCCAATCAGTTTACTAACTAGTTTTGCATCAACATAGCAAAGTATTACAGGTAATACTTTTAAGCCTAATTTCAACGCGAGAAATGGAGCATTCGCTGCTTCAATTCTTATAAACTTTGTTTCCCAATGATTTTTAGAGATTTTCTAAATACGTTAGCAGCTTTTCGTCAGGATTTCAAATCTATTACCTCAAGATGAGAATCCATAATTTTGCAGCGTCTAAAATCAGGATGGAAAAAGTGAATAACCACACGTTTTGAGGTTCTACATAAAAAAGAGTTAGAACGATTGATTAATTCAAAGAACAACTCACGTGGTTATATCCATCACTTCTCTTTCGCTTTCAACAGTTAAATACTGCATATGACCTTTCTCCTTAGCAATAGAGACTCTTTCAAATCTTTTACATGTTAGCTATCATTTTTAAATGTTTTTCATACTCTTCTTTCAATGATTGCAACCGGCTTTCTCGATAAGCAGTGTCATCAATATCATCAAGCTCAGCGAACAAATCTTCTTCTAATTCAGACACACTTTGATTATCGCTTAAAGCGGCGTAGTTATCAGCGAAATTACTAACGGTTGTATCCCTGCCAAGATTGTAAGCTACAATTGAAAAGGCAATGGACATTACATTTCAGGTAATTCAGACTCTTGGAACCCTTGAATACTTTCCTTTTTCTTGGTCGTGTGAGATGTTTCAGCGTCATTGGTTTCTGATTTCAACTGAACCCAACTTGGTTTGTTTTCCTTGGGCTGAACATCAGTTAAATCCATTTGATAGCCTCGCTTTCGAGGACCCAGACCGGTAGTGCGAGGAAAGTTGGGTGAATATATTTTCTCAAAAATCTCAGTATCACGCAAAAAGTTTCCAGCCTTAATAGAATCTCTGATTCCAGCAAAAAAATTATGGAACACGTGAATGTTATGTCTTTGTTTGAAAGTTAAGTTAGTAGTGATATTGTAAGAAAAAAAAAAACATACTGTTGTACCATAATCCAGCCAACAAGTTCTCGTGCTTGAAGTAAATGGTGAACGTAAGCCCGACTATATGACTGGCATGTATTACAGCTACATCCAGGCTGTAAGGGAGAAAGATCGGTAGCAAAACGGTTATTCCACATATCCCAAGCAAGCTCTAATTTTCTATTCAGCAAATTTTCTACAGGAGCAGGAAAGGTAAAGGTAAAAGCTATACCAGAGTCGGAAGCTTGGTTTACTAAATCTGCCATTATTATATCAGCACCTTGGTGAATACTTTGTAAGATTGCCAAAGGAGTTAGCAAAGGACGAAGAAACAATTTTGGATAAATAGATAAATCAGAGGGTATAGATTGCAAATCTCCATAACATGCCAACCCCGTAATATGTTGTTTGTAATCACTTTCCCGAAAGCGTTCTATTAAAGGAGTTAAGTAAGAAGTTTCAACGTTTGGGACTGGAAAGAAAACTTTTACTTTCTCTGTAAGCTCGTTGTTTTGCAAACTTGAAAGCAACTCATTAGTCCAGGTAATTGACCTTTCAGTCATTTTAGGTTTCCTCTTTACACCAGGGACATTTGATGGATTGTCATTCAATGCAATGGCTATTTCAGGGCGAAGTTTCGTGATTGCCTTCACGTAAACTTCATTTGTCAATTTTCTCAATCCACTCGAGGTAAGAATTTCAATATTTTGAGGACCAGCAGAAACAGAGGGAAGTGGAATACTTCTTCTAGGAGCTATTAAGATAGATTGAGATGGAGTCCCAGCTACCCACTTGTCTATCTCACCGTCTACAGTGAAGATAGGTGACTTTTCTAATAAATCCAAGCTGTTTATTAACAAAGATTAGAGCTGCGAACCTATAGAATCTAAATTATAAAATACTTACGAATCTTCTAATCCAAAATAGACAATAGGAACTTCATTGTCATTTATGTTGTCAGGTGTTAAATGAGGAATTGTTCCTTTTGAGGTAGGGAAAATAAAACAGGGAGTCTGAAGAACTTTGCTTTTTAGCGAAACGGAAGATATTCGGGCACTGGAAGGATAGCAAGCGTTTAAAGCTGCCATTGAGAACGGTTTGGTGTTTGCTGCGTTGGGGAAATACTCTAGCTCTGAACGTGTGCTACACATACACTTTAAAAATCACTATAATTCAGTAGTAAACAAGGACCTGAAAAAGATTAAAGAAGAATGTTTATGGATTCTGTTGAAAATTAATAAATAATCTATTAAATAAATTAATACAGTTATCTACATTAAATTCGGTAAAATATTGATACCAAATTAGTAAACTATTAAGATTCCTTAATAACAATTCTAGGAAGGTTATTGAAGCAAAATTTCCAAAAAGGTACATCGTGAATTAATAACGAATAATTTTTCTTCTCCGGAAATCCTTGTCGTCTGAAGCGATGTCGAACATTGCTCGGCGCTTTTGTTCCTTCTTTTCTTTATTCCTTTTCTTCATTTGTTCCATTTCCTTTCTAGTATATTTTTTATTTCTTCGTTCCTCCAGGAGGCTTTTTCCTCCTGTACTAGACATGGCGGCGTCTACATCAAAAAATTGGCCCATATGTTTGTGAGCCTTGTATTCTTCACTCTTCATTTCAGGAGTTGCCCAATCGGGCATATATTTACCAGATAACCGATTAAACTGTACTCTCGTAGCATAAGTATCAGAGGGTTCTTCTTCAGACTGAGCAGTTTCTAGTGGATTTTCCCAGCTTGTGGTATTGGTACGGCGGTCCCAAAAATAGTACGCCTGTGCATTATTGTCCCAAATTGCCGCTACCTGTTGATCTTCCGACCAAGCGATAGATGGCTGACTGCTAAGTACATCCGCACCGGAAATAGAAGGATCAGTATCATTGTCTATAGATTTTGATTTCTCAGGAATCGGTTCATCTGGAAGTGGTGGTTGAGCGTCGTCTTCTTTGTGAGCTGGTCCTTGATACTCTTCAGGTAAAGGCTCATCTGGGAGAGGGGGTTGGCTTTCGGGTCCCTCTGTGCTTTTTGTTTGATATTCTTCAGGAATCGGTTCATCTGGAAGTGGTGGTTGAGCGTCGTCTTCTTTGTGAGCTGGTCCTTGATACTCTTCAGGTAAAGGCTCATCTGGGAGAGGGGGTTGGCTTTCGGGTCCCTCTGTGCTTTTTGTTTGATATTCTTCAGGAATCGGTTCGTCTGGAAGTGGAGGTTGACTTCCAGATTCACCTATGTGCTCTGTTCTTTTTTGTGAAGGAGAATGAGGGGTATCTTGCTTTCCCAAAGGTTCAATTGGGTTAGGACTTGACTCTTTGCTAGGTCGAGAAGATATACATAAATCTGTACTTTTGCATTCCAGAGTACTAATGTTCTTTTCTTGTTCCATCGAGCCTAAAGACTGGATATTTTCGGAATCATTCCTTTCCACAAAAGTAGCAGGAAGGTTTTCTTCTTGCATATTTTTAGATAATTTCAAATTAATACTTCAAATGGTTCTTCGTATAAATGTTCGTCACGTTTGAATCGAATTCAAATGTTTACACAATATTTCTTTCCAAAGACCGGATACGAACTTCTAAAAGAAATTTGATTTTATCGCGCAAAGAGCAAATAAATAATAATAACTACTCTGTCAAAATGACGGGAATATAATAATAAATTAATGTCTATACAAAAGAAAAAGAAGTTGTTTTATGTTGGAGACGCTCCGTAGTTTAACGATGTTTAAAACATACACACTAAGTAATGATAATGATACCTTAAATGTTACCATAGTAAATGAATGAAATGTTTATACTGCTAATTATTCAATAAAAATAAATAAATAATGCGGACTGGATAGCAACACTAAACTATTTTAAGCATAAAAGAGTAAAATATATTTCATTGAAAAAAAAATTTATTATTAAAAATTGGCTACTATAAAAGCTAGCTTCAAACTTATGATGAAATGTCTTGTGCTTGCTTCTTCCTTTCCAAGGCTTCTTGTTTTTATTAAGTATTTTTGATTGCAGTAGTAATAATATTTTAGAAAATGTTTATTCCTTTCAGCTTTATTGTAAACCTATTGAAGAAGTCAAAGGAAGATGACAAAAAGTACTCGGAAATTGAAGAATATTGTCAGAGGCACATCATTCTATCCGTGGTGAGTTTTATTTAAAGACTACATTTTTAATAGATAACTCGTCTACTTTTTACTTCTGTAGGTTCTGCTACTAGTGTCCTTCTGAACGACTTACCTCTTGCTGTGAAGACTAATTCATGTAGTAGAATTATAGAAGAGGATATAGGATAGAAAATTAGACAGTAAAAACTACACACACACATACACAGACATCAAACTTAATATATAATCTTCAAGTATACACCTAGACGAAAGCGTAGTACTTTAAAAGTCTTAGTACCACGGACATTATCCCAGGACGTGTATACACACAGAAAGAAATGTAAGATATCAACATTGACAGTTAATAAACATAACTCAGATTCACCTTAACTAAGCTGCACCAATATTGAAGAGGAAGACAGGTAGAAGCTCAGACTTGCCTTTACATTCAACAATTGATTCCTTGAATAAAATGCAAATAAAATATGATCAAGGATCCATGCGGATTACCAGATGTATCTTCATCGCTTCTAGCAGACCAATCCATATATATATTCCCTGTATTTGTCAGAATTAATCATATTTTGATGTTTAGGTTATAAGAGGTTTGTCGCGTTTCTTAATAAACCGCTCAGAGCTATTTGTCGTGTATACCACGTTACAGTCATTTCTTCTGCGTTATTACAACAGATTTTTCTTAAAAATACAAACCATATTAGAACATAAAAATATTATCTATTTATCATCAAAAAAACGAAAGCATCTTCTATTGCTGGTGGTTAAGACTTTCGGGATGTACGTACAGCGCAGTCGCTGTACGACACGAACCTCCTCCTCTACACATAAAATACCGACAACAAAATATAGAAAGAAAAAGAGAAAAAGGTTTGAAATAAACTTACAGCCGTTAATATTTTCTTGTTGGATTCTCTTATTGAAGTCCTTCCTTTATTTCTCTCTTGGCAATAAGTTAATCATGTTCTACTAAGTGTAGATTTATACATCGTTTTTCTTTTAGCATAAAGAAGTCTATTCCGACGTGCTATTATTTTCGCACTAATCATATTTCTTATAAAGTATCTACTGAATTTTCTTTTCGAAAACTTTCAAATTCTTTTCCTTCAATTATCCGTGAACAAATTGGTGGTATACACTTATTAGCTGCGTGAAGCAGGTACAACTTTTTTTTTATTTCTATATTTGTTGGAATTAGAAATCGTTAATCTTTGGTGTCCTTGTAACATTGAGGATTCATATTTATCTTTCCTTAAATGAGTGATTGATCGATTCCAATATAACGATTTTTAAGCTTTGATATTTATACCGGACATATCTATAGGAAAACCTTTATATATATATTTAATTTGCGTACTGTTCAACTGTCCGTTCAGCGCTTTACTTTTGTCAAGTTCAAGCTCGCCTTCGTGTTTATAATCCTTTAGTGTAACCATGTCTTATACAAAAGAGTTCCCCTCCCGTCGGCGGGGATCCGAATTAAACGGTCTTAAATCATACGGCGAAGAGGAAAAACACAGAAGCTCCGATTTTAGTGACGAAGCTTTGGGTGGACATTCAGTCTCAATGAACTCTTCCAGCAGAGACGAATATACTCGCCCAAGAGGCGGATTTCACCGAGGTGCAGGTCCCCAACGCTCTCGACTTGGCGGTAGACCCCCCAAGGCACGAGGTTTCAAAAAAAAGAATAAATATAGAAAACCTTCGTTTTCCCCTCAACGATCACCATACTCCCCTGAATACGACCGTCCCCGTAAACGGCCTTTGTTACCGCGTTCCCATCCTAGTCCCACCTCTCCTCCTCGATCACCTCCACCTCCGCCGCCATCTTCATACCAGCTTCAAAATCCAAAACAGCATCTTCCCCCTCTTCCTCCTCCTCCTCCTCCTCCGTCAGGTTCGCCTCATTTCCCACAAGACCATTCAGCTTCCCAGATACCCTTTATTCAATCTCGGTCAAGTGATAATACCAACAAGGAAGCTTCAGAAGATTATAAATCGAGCCAGTACGCTTCGAAGGATTCAGTACTCGGAAACTATAGTGGTTTATATCGCGATGCTAATATTCGTGGAAAATCTAGTCGTTTTCGATTTCATATTCCACACGAGACAACACCATCTAGGCGTTCACGATTCGATCAACCTCCTTCTAAGAGGATGGATTTGAATTCCCCTCCTCCAAGTATTACCTGTCAGCCACCAAAGGAACCAATCTATACCTATACATACGGAAAATCAGCTTATGAAAAGGTGGACCAAATTGGTGAAGGAACTTATGGTAAAGTGTATAAAGCAATTAATAATGTCACAGGAGAGTTGGTGGCTTTAAAGCGAATTCGTTTAGAACAAGAAAAAGATGGGGTGAGTAATTTAACAATTTTAATTTTTTAAGTGTTGTTATAATGCCTTACTAACATGATTTCAGTTTCCCATAACTACAGTTCGCGAGGTCAAAATCCTTCAGCGTCTTCGGCATAAAAATATTGTTAAATTATTAGAAATTTTGGTAGAAAAAAGTATGGAGGTAAACCTTGCTACTCGCTAACATTCTTTTTTAGATTCCGTGAATATGGTTTTTGAATATATGGATCATGACTTGACTGGTGTTTTACTCAATTCCCAACTGCATTTTACGCCAGGAAATGTTAAGCATCTGTCACAACAACTCCTTGAAGCCTTGAGATATCTTCATCATCTTGGTGTGATTCATCGTGACATAAAGGGATCTAATATTCTGCTCAATAATAATGGTGACTTAAAGTTTGCAGATTTTGGTCTGGCAAGGTTTAAGACTTACCCTAAAGCAGGTGCAACTTATACCAATCGAGTTATTACTTTATGGTTCCGACCTCCGGAACTTCTTCTAGGAGAAACTAAATATGATGGTGCTGTCGATATCTGGAGTGTTGGTTGTATAGTCATGGAACTTTTTATTGGAAAGCCTCTTTTTCAAGGGAAAGATGAAATACACCAACTAGAAATTATATACGATTTGATGGGAACACCCAACGAAGAAACTTGGCCAGAGGTCAAAAGTCTGCCATGGTACGATCTTCTAAAGCCACCTCACGAAAAACCGAGCCGCTTTGTAGATTCCTTCCGAGAAAAGCTTACACCTGCGGCAATTGATTTATGTCAAAAATTGCTATCCCTTAATCCTACTCATCGTCCGTCAGCTCGTGATGCTTTGATGCATGAATATTTTGTCTCGGAATCTCCTCCCCCGGAACCAGCTGTAATGTACGTTATTCTTTTTTATTTATTTATTTTTTTATGTTTATTTTATCTAACGTTTAACAGTTTAAAAGACATGCAAGGTAGTTGGCATGAATGGGAAGGAAAAAAACGACGTGGAAAAAGATAAACAATTGTATTTAGAATTTTTTAAGTCAAATGGTTATAACGATTTAATATTTAGTGTATCTCTCAATTTGTTTTGTTTTTTTTTTTTTTTTTTTTTGATATGTACTTATACATTTGATGCGTTTGTTACAAAGTTTACCTTTGCTATTTAATAGACGTTATAACAATCAAATTCATAGTAAGCTATTTATTTCCTTATATGTAATCATTTACGCCTGCGGAAGCCACTATTAAAGACCATCATGATTTCAATAATCTCAAATTTTTATTATTCAGCTGCTTCTCAATGCATCAATTCTTCCAATCTTCTAATCTTCCAAATTGGTTTTCGATTTTATTTTCAATTTCGAATTCCGAATTCAATTTCGTTGTTTTCTCTAATAATTTTCAAAAAAGGTACCTAAGTCATTTAGAGAGATACAACGCGACATAACGATATAACCCCATATTAGTACCGTTTACAAAATCACAATATGTACCCAGAGCAAGGTACTCCAAAGGTTTGTTTGTACCTATGTCCTGGTCTGAATATCTGCGAGAGATTGCTCAGAGATTTGATGAAGCCGCTGAAGAATTAACATCGGTATTCGAGTTACCTGCAGACCTATTGAATGATATAACTGAAGAAGATGGCGAAACTGTTTCAGGGACAGGTTCCTTTTTGTCCGAAAAAGAACAATTGATAGAAGAAGATGAAGAAGATGAGCGAATCTTGCGTGGTGTTAACCTGAATGACCAGGATTCAGTTCGTAAGAAGATTCAGGAAATTCAATCCAAAAAACAATTCGACGAGAAACGAAAGGCCTCCGTTATGCAGGTATGATATCGCATTACAATAAGGAATTGATACTAATGTACTAATATAGAAACTGTTAATGTCCGGTTATGTAAAGTATCGCAAGGATAAGAAACAAAGTACGGAGACTAATGAAGATGGCTTGAATTTGAAGGATATAGAGCCTTCGTTTCATGATAAGGAATATGAGATTTACGGGTGTAAGCACTATATGCGTAATTGTAAAAAACAATGCGCTGATTGCAAACAATGGTTTCCATGCAGGCTCTGTCATAATGAAGCGAGTGACCATACTTTGAATAGAAATGCTACAGAAAATATGCTATGTATGTTTTGTTTGAAGAGTCAACCAGCTGCTGCGAACTGCAAATATTGTCGCAAGTCTATGGCTCGTTATTATTGCAATAAGGTATGAACCAGAGGAGGTAGTTATAAAATCTTTACTAAAAAAACATTTAGTGCAAATTATGGGATGATGATCCATCAAAATCTAGCTATCACTGTGATGACTGCGGGATTTGCCGAATAGGCCGTGGCGTGGGTGATGACTATTATCATTGCAAGGTAAGAAACGTCTTCTCAAATGAATTTACTAACACTTATGTATAGACTTGTGGTATTTGCCTTCCTATTGCTGTTTACGATACCCATCGGTGTATTGAACGCAGCACAGATTGCAATTGCCCAATATGTGGAGAATACATGTTCAACTCGACGGAGAGAGTTGTTTTTCTTCCTTGTTCTCATCCACTACATCAACGTTGTTACGGAGATTATATAAAGACAAACTATCGCTGTCCAACGTGTTCAAAGACAATAATTAATGTCAATTCCATGTTTCGCATCTTGGATATGGAAGTTGAACGACAACCCATGCCCTATCCTTACAACACATGGATATCTACTATACACTGTAATGATTGCAGCTCTAGATCTGATACCAACTATCATTTTCTTGGACACAAATGCAAGTCTTGTCACTCCTACAACACTTGCATATCATCTATTTACAAACCCCTTGATCATCCTCAGGTATCTATTCCAAGACTTGCGACTGCTGAGGATGCTGGTATGCGAAGGTTGATGGGGCATTCATGGGATTCTAGTGATGACGAATTTGGCATGTTTAGATTTTAATGACATTTTCACATGTATATGGATCATGCAAGCATTGTTTTGGTTAATAAAGAAAATTGCTATCTTATATACTACACAACTCTGTTTAAGATCGCTAATCTTCTGAATTCTTGCATATTTTCATGATTTCTATGGCTTTAATTTTTATCTTCAAAGAGGTTCATTAATTATAAAGGTATTTATTGACGAAGGCTTTTCATGTCCAAAAATCTTATCATTTTGGCTGTGACTATGCTATTTCCTATTTTAATTGAAAGATACACGATCTGTTTGATTTCATTCCTTTACTTTTGGTGTGTACGCCACATTTGTAATTGGCATGTAGTAAATCATAACCTAGAAATGGTGGTTTATTGTATTTAAAAAGGGGAATATAAAATTCAATACCATACTTCAGAAACTATGTTAGAGACGTAAAGCCAATTGATATGGATTTCAGGCTTTTCACTACATTATAAACTAGCATATATCATTTTGTATTCTTACTTTTAATTATTTATTATTTTATATTCTACCTATCCCATATCGCCTAAATTTGGATTCTTGCAAACTCCCAATGTATTTTGGTAACAAAAGGACGAGGAAATAAAGTTTCTTTGACAAAACAGCATATGTAAAAGAAACAATCATTAAAATATATAAAAAAGAAGTAAATTGTAATTTTCCTTGCTATTTCATGAGATATATGAACAATTTTTTTGTTCAGTGTAGTGCACTATCCTTCCCCTACAAACGTACCGACAGAGAATATCAACTAAACTTTTCTTTCGCAACTACGATCAACATTTTAAGGAACGAAAAAAAGAAAGAATAAGGAAGCAATTCGGAAACTTTTTTATCGATTCCGTTAATTAAATTAAAAGAAAATTATTTCTATCTTTTATAGACAAGAACCTAAAAGAAACTATCTTTTTTAGGAGACGGGGATTTGAACCTGCATTATCGCAGTCGTCATGAATTCTACTAGCGCGGATAATACGTTCAGCTCTACTAGGGCAGCTGCTTCAGTCTCCTCTACCCCTCTATCGAGTACCAACCCAGCGGCCGCCTCTGCGTCAGGTTCGGCCAGTTCAACAGCACCTTCATCCTCCACCGATAATAACGGTGGATCCCTTAGCCAAAGTTCTTCCACTTCTTCATCGGCTCAAGTAGGCAGTGGCGGTAGTAGTTCCAGTGACGCTGGATCTAGTTCCTCCACTTCTCCTTCATCTTCGGATTTAGTCAGTTCTTCCGGAACCATCGTCAGTAGCGTTTACAGTGATGGACCTTCTTTTGTTACAAAAATTTCAACCTCCTATGTTTCTCATACCGGTTCTCCCAATTGGAACACTTCTTCGCCCGCAAGCTCTACCAGTTCTCATCCTCTTTCTAGTAAAACGTCCCTTTCTGCTTCTGGTCATTTGGCTTCGGATTCTAAAAAGGGTAGCGGTAGTAATCATAAAAGTGTAGTAATTGGATGTGCTGTTGCCATTCCTATTGGTGTAGTGCTCATTTTAATTGCCCTTGGTATTCTCTTTTGGAAGAGACTTCAACGGGCTAAACGAATTAAAGCTGAGCGTATGCAGGAAGTTGAAGAATATGGCTTCAATCCCAACCAAAGCAACAATTTCCGTGGTCCGAACCGAGCCTCTTCCCCAGATAGATACCGAGGTTGGAGTGGAAGCCCTGCTCTGGCTGTTGCTAGCACTGGGTCTGGTCGTCCTATCGCTACTAGACCAGCTGCTGCTGCTCCCAATGCATCGCCTCCCAACACATCACCTCCTGGTACGGGTGCTTCTCAAAACTCTACAAATAGTGGACGTTCTAACCCGACTGCGGCAGGTGCAGGTGCGTTGGGTGGAGCAGCTGTCAATCGTAATGCTCCAAATAACTCTGTTGCTTCAAATCGTATGGTCAGACCTGTCGGTAATCCCGCTCAATCGAGTCCTCCTGATAATACAGCAGGACCTCAAGCTGCCAACAATGGGAGTAATTTTTCTGAGGGGTTAGGCGCATCCCCTTTTGATGAACATAATCCTGAAGAGCCCGAACAAGGTGAATCCGAAGCCTTTTTTGAAGGCCCCTTAGCTACAATTCCTGAAAGTGATACTGAAAGCCAAACGAGTGAGGCTCCTCCAAATTCTTCTGAATCTTCCAGATTGCTATCTCGCCATTCACGCCGTCCTTCACCAAGTGAAAGTGTGACTAGTCAGCCTAATTACTCTCCATTTGCCGACGGTAGTCAGGCGCCACTTCGCACCTCTAGTGAGGCTCGCCGGCAAAACATGATTTAATCATAACCATCTCGTGAATATTATAGGAATCTATAATATTCCATCTAAGAATCATTGCTACTGATCTATGGCAGCCATGATTATTGTGAACCTCCATAGTGGGTAAATTTGTGAGGTCCAAATTATTTTTTTACTATGTATACTCACGCTTTATTCATATAAATAAGAACGATCAATTGGTGTAAACTATGTTTTCCGGTGATTGAACGTTCGATATGTTTAAAAAAATTGAACTTTAGTGGGTATTCGCTTGTTTGGTTATACCTATATGGTTTATGGAACGAAACACTCTTTTGTTCTCACATAAATAAAACGATCTGATATTTTTGCTAGATGCTTGTTTGGTATCTAGTTTCACAAGTGGTTTCATACCATCGTTTGACATCTCGAAATCTTTCCTTTATTCCCTCACTACCTACCTTCTTTCCATGGTTTTTCTGCATTTGTTTATTTTTCTCTATTTTATTTACTTACTTTTTCGTTTTCATTAGTTTGTTTTCTTCTAGATCATCCCTTTTATATGTAACATTATACATTTACGAGGGAAATTAAGGTGTACAAGCTTCTCCACTCGTTTCCTATGTCAAAACGCGTGTTTTTGACGTTTATGGACTTCTGGATTTCGCAATTTATAGAAAATCAAATACTTCTTCTTCCTTGTTCCGTTTGTCTTTTTTCTTTCTTCATCGTTCTGAGTTTGATTATTAGGACCCATAAAGCTTCTATACAAGAATCTAGCAGAGTTACGTTTTTTTTTATTTCATTTCTATGCTTTAAAAATGATGACTATTCATTTGGATCTTACAAAATGAACAAGATATGGGTCTGTTTTCAAATTCTATTTCCTAAATTCTCTCATTTACTTGTTTTATGAAACTACAATCTATTTTTACATTATAAACATTATAATTTCCTTGGTAATCTTAGTTTCCTAAACAAATGAATCTCAATTCTTCTCACAATCAATTACTATGTTGTAAGGATTAATCATTTCAAAAGTATGTTCGACATGGAGCCTTTCATCCGTAAGTTACATTGCGCAACGTACTGGATTACGGTATGTTGCTATATCGAGGTTGAGTAGCATAGCTTATTCATTGATGAAAAGCTCATCAAAACGAGCGGTATGTAGTTGGATTTTCTTACTTACCACGCGAAATCCGTCGGATTTCAAATTGTGCCTAAAAAGCACGAATTTGGATTGATATTTGATAATTTTAAGTGGTATTTTATTGCCCGAAAACATAAAATACTTTTGAAGGACAATTGGTGTGTTTGATTTTCGCTTCCAGAGCGTAAACGCAGACAAAGGATTGGACCTTACTTTAAACATACGATTCCTTTGTACGAGAAATAAGAGATATACTTGCATAACAAAATATTGGTTTAATACATATGTCAAGTTCTAATCAGTATGTGATTTGTTTTAGTTTTATAAACATGAGGCTAACCATAGTTTTATAGGACTCGGACTCTTCGAGTAACAGGTACAAAACTGGTAGACAGAATCTCGCTAACTATATGCAGTCGTCGCAGCTGATGGTCTTTATAAACGTGATGTTTTTCGATTTCCAGATCCATTTGCGGTGTTAACTGTAGATGGTGAACAAACACATACTACCACCGCCATAAAGAAGACTTTAAATCCTTATTGGAATGAAACTTTCGAAGTGTAAGTCAAAAACTTTCCGGTAGGATTTTGGCATAGATATATATCCCTTTAGTAGCCATGCCTGGAAAGCATTGGGGTCTTTTACGTTTTCCCCGATGTCTGTTTATTTTTTTCGTTTTTTTCAAACTAACAATTTGCAGAAACGTGAGTGAAAATAGCACGATTGCTATTCAAATATTCGACCAAAAGAAATTTAAAAAGAAGGGTCAAGGTTTTCTCGGTGTCATTAATGTTCGAATTGGCGATGTGATAGATCTAGTAGTAGGTGGGGATGAGATGTTGACTCGTGAATTAAAGAAGTCTAATGAGAATACGGTGGTTCACGGGAAAATCATTCTCAACCTCTCTACTACTACCCAATCCAGTTTACAGGCTCCTTCAGCCGGCGCTTCTGGTACGAGCGTTTCAAATGCTGTATCTGAAAGAGGCACACAGCCGACAGGTACCACTAGCTCAGGGACCACCACTCCATCTCGAAGTACCGGCGACAGTGCTGCTACTCCTGCTGAGCCGCGTACGTACAGTTCCTTTGAAGACCAATACGGAAGACTTCCACCTGGATGGGAACGACGCACCGATAATCTGGGCCGTACGTACTATGTTGACCATAATACTCGGAGCACAACGTGGATACGTCCCAACTTGGGTGCTATCATAGGCAACGATCAACATCCAATGGCGATTGGAGAAAGAAATGCCGTAACTGATGGTCTTCCATCTTCTTCTAGTATCCCAGCTAGACGTACTGAAGCGAGCATGTTAACATCGAATGCTACTACCGCTGGATCTGGTGAGCTTCCCCCTGGATGGGAACAAAGATACACTCCAGAAGGTCGTCCTTACTTCGTAGATCACAACACAAGGACTACCACGTGGGTTGATCCACGCCGACAACAATATATTCGGACTTATGGCGGCCCAAACAATGCAACAATACAACAACAACCCGTATCACAATTGGGCCCACTTCCTAGTGGTTGGGAAATGCGTCTCACCAATACCGCCCGAGTATATTTCGTGGATCATAATACGAAAACGACTACTTGGGATGATCCTCGCCTTCCTTCATCCCTTGACCAAAATGTCCCTCAATATAAGCGCGATTTTAGACGAAAACTTATTTACTTTTTATCTCAACCAGCTTTGCATCCTTTGCCTGGACAATGTCATATAAAAGTTAGACGAACCAGCATCTTTGAAGATTCATACGCAGAAATTATGCGACAGTCTGCGTCAGACCTGAAGAAGCGTTTGATGATTAAATTTGAAGGAGAAGATGGATTGGATTATGGTGGTTTGTCCCGTGAATACTTCTATTTGCTGTCTCATGAAATGTTTAACCCTTTTTACTGTCTATTCGAGTATTCTTCAATGGATAATTATACACTGCAGATTAACCCACATTCAGGGATTAATCCCGAACACCTGAACTATTTCAAGTTTATTGGACGTGTAATTGGGCTAGCAGTCTTTCATCGACGTTTTGTTGATGCTTTTTTTGTCGTCTCGTTTTACAAGATGATCTTGCAAAAGAAGACAACTTTGCAAGACATGGAAAGTATGGATGCAGAGTATTACCGAAGTTTAGTTTGGATTTTGAAAAATGATATTACAGGAATTCTGGATTTAACGTTCAGCGTGGAAGACAATTGTTTTGGTGAAGTTGTCACAATTGATTTGAAGCCCGATGGACGTAACATCGAGGTAACCGAAGAAAACAAAAAAGAGTACGTTGATTTGGTGACGGTATGGCGCGTAGAGAAGCGCATAGAAGACCAATTTAATGCTTTTCATGAAGGATTTAGTGAACTTATTCCCCAAGACTTAATTAATGTGTTTGATGAACGGGAATTGGAGCTTTTAATTGGTGGTATCTCAGAAGTTGATATGGATGATTGGTTAAAGCATACTGATTATCGTTCATATTGCGAGAATGACGCAGTTATTAAATGGTTCTGGGAACTTATGAATGAATGGAGCAATGAGAAAAAGTCACGACTATTGCAGTTCACTACTGGTACAAGCCGTATACCTGTGAATGGTTTCAAAGATTTGCAGGGCAGCGATGGACCCCGAAGGTTCACGATTGAAAAGTCTGGCGAAGCATCAAAACTACCTAAAGCACATACTTGTTTTAATCGGTTGGATCTTCCTCCATACGTATCTAAACAAGACTTGGACCACAAGTTATCTATCGCCGTTGAAGAAACCATTGGTTTTGGTCAAGAGTAGTTTTAATAACAAAAAAAGAAGAAAATTTCGAATCTTTGCTTACTTTTTCTATTATTTCTACATTCTCGTTTATATCTGACCCCATACACGCTCGTATTGGAACTCAATTATTTGCCCTTTTAGTTGCTGTGCTATTGCTATGGTCAACCGCGTGCATGCATAGCGAAATTTAATTTTCATTTCGTTTCACTTTCCGTTGTTTGAAGCGAGTCTTTTATCTTACCATCTTTGCTTAAGACGTTATCATCGTTAATTTTCTTATGAAAGTTATGTAAACCATTAGGGATAATTTTATTTATGAATTAACTGGCCCTTTTCATTCATAAACTCAACTAGCTAGTTAAGCTGTATAGCACGTCTTGTTTCTTTTTCGTAGCATGAAAAATGTGTAAAGCGTTGATAGAGACACTATATAATTAATCTTTACAATTGATTTCGTATACATGCGTCATCGTATAAAGCAACAACAAGTACATGAGTTTTAAAAAACAAGCAAGCTTATACCGCAACATGTCAACATTTCTATCAAAAATTTTTATCCACTTCTATTTTCAGTCTCAATTTGACTTCGTTGTCACAGGATCCAACTACAGGTAACAAGTAACTGACAAACTTTGTAACCGTGCGCGGGTTTTGATTGCACTAGAGAGCACAAGCATCATCGTCCGGTTCAAAGGGATTTCCAGTGAGCTACCCGCTTTCCCTCTACCAACAACAAAACAGGTTGAAGGGACCAAGTTGATTAAAAAACAGTAAATAGATATGTTCCAAACAACAGTTAGGAGGTCATCTGCATTCCAGCCTTTAAAATATGGTGGAAAGTACAAGGTAACTTTGATTCCAGGAGACGGTACCGGAAAAGAATTATCTAACTCGGTTTCAACTATCTTCAAAGCTGCCAATGTTCCGGTAGAATTTGAAGAAATTGATGTGACAGGAATGGATAAGAGAGACAAGCCAACTGATGTGAGTTTACATGAAGCAATTCAATCTTTGAAACGCAACAAGGTTGGTTTGAAAGGAATTTTCTATACTCCTTCTGAACGCAACGGACACTCTTCATTCAACGTTGCTTTGCGTAAGGAATTAGACTTGTTTGCATCCTTGTCGCTCATCAAAAATATTCCGGGCGTAAAAACTCGTCATAACGGTGTTGATTTTGCTCTTATTCGTGAAAATACCGAAGGTGAGTATTCCGGTTTAGAGCATCAATCCGTTCCCGGAGTGGTTGAGTCTCTTAAAATTATTACCGAACCAAAGTCGAAGCGTATTGCTCAATTTGCATTCGACTTTGCCCTTAAAAACAACAGGAAGTCCGTCACCTGTATTCATAAAGCCAATATTATGAAGATGGCTGATGGTCTTTTCCGTAAAACATTTTACAACACCGCAGCTAATTACCAGTCTATCACCGCAAATGACTTAATTGTTGACAACGCTTCTATGCAGGCCGTCTCTCGTCCTCAACAATTTGATGTGCTTGTTACTCCCAACTTGTACGGAAGTATCTTGAGCAACATTGGCAGTGGTCTAGTTGGTGGTCCTGGTGTTGTCCCTGGTGGTAACTTCGGACATGAGCATGCTCTTTTCGAACCTGGCTGCCGCCATACTCAATTGCACATTACTGGTCGTAATGAAGCTAACCCTACTGCTATGATCCTTAGTGCTTGTATGATGCTTCGTCATCTTGGCTTGAAGGAATATGCTGATTTGATCAATGCTGCCACTTACTCTGTTATCGAAGATGGAAAGACTGTCACCAAAGATTTGAACGGTACCGCCAACACTGAGGAATTTACTCGTGCCATTCTTGAAAGAATGGAAAGACTTTGAGTTTGTTATATGCTCTCTCTTTGAATTTCTCTCGTTTGCTTGAACTGCGTTTCGTCGTTGCAAAGCCTGCTTCGTTTATGTAAAATGGATTCCCCCTCTCTTCTTTAACTCATGCATCTAGTCGAGAAAACTAGGTGAAGTACTAGTTTTATTCCTGCCTAGTTTTCTATTGTGTCAAGTACTACTTTGCTTATACGGTAACAGTATATCGGACCAATCAATCTTATAACTTCTTGTCTTATTCTATGAATTCAATTTTCAATGCCCTGACTACCGGATACGGTGATTTTTAATAAAATGTCAAATACTTTCATATACAACTAGGTTTGGTTATTTGTAGGCTTTTTGAAGATTCCGTTTCCACTAATATGGGACTCCGAACAAAGTTGAAGTAAATGGAATCCGTATAAATTCAATCTTCTTTTCTTGTAAGTATCCGTTTTCTTAGTGAAGCTTCGTTTCTGGTCAAACTATATTTCGATGCCCGTCTGGGAAAGCGCAATATATTGAAGACTCTAGACAGGATCCGTTGTAGATGGAAATATATATCCAGAATCGCAGTTTTAGGACCATCGAGAACATCTTACTCATCTTCAATTGCTACTCTTTCATGAAGGGTTTTGAAGTCGCACCTTCTTTAAGAGGAGGACTTATAAGGAATAGATCCTTGTTTGCCTCGTAGTGTGTATCAAAAATTAATTATTTGTTCTTGATAAGACCTGATATCTCATCGCTCGTATGGTATACTTTTATTTTTAAGAAAAAGAAAAACAAGAAGGTATCCATGAATATCCCCAAAGCATGCAAGTGCAAGTGTGCAACTTGCTAACATAAGACTACGAGTTTAACGACATGCATTATCTAAGGTCTCTTACGAAGTTATATTTCCTAAAGCACATAAAATAGGGAGTATTTGATATAAATCCTGTATAGTTTCTTTTACGTTGATTAGTACATACATTGTATATAACTTTACAATTGCATAATTGGTTTCCAGTAATCTTTTAAAAGGCCAGAGTTGTTTAAGAGATCATTCAAGCTTAGAACTGTTGGTTGTTTTAACTTGTCTCCATAACTCTGACGTTTCCATAATTAAGCCATGTAGAAGTCATCAAAATGAATTACAAAAAAGTATGTTAGGTTTTTAATCGGCCATAGTTGGGCCAGTTGTCTTCCATCCAATATGCGTATCTTGTACTCAATAATGTTTATAACTTACCATTCATTCCATAGGGATTATTTTTATTCACAATGAAATCGCTTTCCTTCAATGTTAAGAGGCAGAACGCAAACAAGGAAGCGACCTACTTTATAAAAAACCAAAAAGCAAAGCGTGAATATTTACAGCAATTTCAGAATGCTTTGAATCATAGAAGTTCGTCTCTTAAATTTAAGTATTTGTCGTTAGTCAACATGGATTTCGACTGCCAACTTCAAACGGTAAGCTTTCGTAACAATGTCATCCTAAAATACAAGATTAAAGAACTAATGGAGCCTCAAATGCACTTCACTAGCATCGTTAAAGTACTTCCGAATGTTGTCCAACGAATACATAACCATCACTTAATACGGTAAATAGGTTGATATCGCGATTTCTAAACGGAATGCGGAGTCTTTTGTTTGAAAATAGACAATAAAAGAATAAAAATCTTCGATTCACATTACATATTCACAGCTTTCGAACAGCTTGTCGTCTCACCTTAACAGAATCTTAAATTATCTGAATGACTAAGTCAAAGAGAAGCAAATACAAGTCATCAAAGATAAACTGACATATTATTTACCACCAAGCAATTGGTAGTACATATAAGATGTAAAAATAAATCATCTTGTTTAATTACCCAAAACTATATGTTCGCTGAATCTCGTTATCCTGGTTTAAGAACAAAGTGTTCATTCTGATGGGAAATTCACGTGACTGCTTTTTTGGGCTCAAAACTAGAGGAATAGTTTGACAACGATGATCCTTTGTCCACCACCAACATGCAGATTTTCGTCAAGACTTTGACTGGTAAGACTATCACCCTCGAGGTGGAGTCTTCTGACACTATTGACAACGTCAAGAGCAAAATCCAAGACAAGGAAGGTATCCCTCCTGATCAACAACGTTTGATCTTCGCTGGTAAGCAATTGGAAGATGGCCGTACCCTTTCCGATTACAACATTCAAAAGGAATCCACCCTTCACTTGGTCCTCCGTCTTCGTGGTGGTATCATTGAACCCTCTTTGAAGGCTTTGGCTAGCAAGCACAACTGTGAGAAGCAAATTTGCCGTAAGTGCTATGCTCGTCTTCCTCCTCGTGCCACCAACTGCCGTAAGAAAAAGTGTGGTCACACCAACCAACTCCGTCCTAAGAAGAAGCTTAAGTAAATGCATACATTTGGGGTTTGTGTTCTTGCCTTCGTCTTGTCTTGTCATTTGAATAGCAAGTCAAAGAATATATTTAAATGGCACGGTTGTGAAAGCATGTTCAAAATCCATGGTAGTGTACCAGCTCTGAATATATTAGCTATTTGAGTGGACATATTGACATAACTGTTCGTTCCAGTATCTGTACTAGTAAATGGTGTAATGATTGTTGATTCGTAACTATGCGTTCTGCTGTGTAAGTGAGTTGAACTTTTGATTTGGATTCCAATTTGATAAGAAAATATGTAAGTAAATGAACTTAGTAACCCATTAATTAGAGGTTCCTTAGGATGAAGCAGCTGCATCTGGTAAGTAGCGTAATACAAATCAAGGACTTAATTATTATAGATCCTCGCTATGTAATTCATTTTGTTTTGCTAAGGACTGCATCGTGCTACCGGGCCCGCATGGATAGCAATGAGTAATTCCGTATTCGTTTTTTAACCTTGACATACTTTGCCAAAAAAGGACAGGTTTTACGCACTGAAGAAGAAGTATTTCACGTATTTTTGATGCGTCAGTTGGATACAAGTCAGCCGTAACGTTGGAAACAATCGGCAATTGAGACTTACCGTTAGAGGATTGAATGGTAACATCTCTCGTGTGGAATTCAGTTTTTGATAGAGCATCCTTTAACTGTTGCAATGCAGGGAACATATAACGAGAATGAAATGCACCTGCAACGTCCAACCAATTTACTCGCACTCGACCAAGGTTCGCAGTGTTCGATTGAATGGAATTGGCAAGGGTAACAAGCTCTTCAAACTTTCCAGAAAGTACAATTTGTCTAGATGAATTGATATTTGCAATGTCTATGAAGGAAAAAGGCTCTTTTGCTTTTATTACATCGTCCTGAAATTTAGTTGGATATGCTGGTCGATTAAACAAAGTTAGTGCGAGCATAGAAGTCTTTTCTTTAGTAATTTGACAAGCTTCATCCATTGCCTTTGCCCTAGTAGTTACTAGTTTTAATGCTGTTGGAAAAGAGAGCACCCGACTAGCAACGAGCGCCGAATATTCCCCTAAAGAATGTCCCGCAAACAGACAAGAGCTTCCATTTCGTTGAAGAAATGCACGAAAAAGTCCTACAGAGCAGGCGAGGATAGCAGGCTGAACTATCATGGTACCCAGTTTTGGTAATTCATAATCCGGCTTTGCATCCAGTATATAACTTCTTAACGGGAATCCACCAACTTCTTCGGCTTCAATCAAAGTGTTTTCAACAGTTTTATTAGAAAGGTACGATTGCATGGACCTTCGCCATTCGACACCCTGACCTGGAAATAAAACGGCTTTCATCTTATCCATCTGCTCATTCCTATGAAACACACCGAAGATTCTCTTAGATTTAATTCTTATATTAGTGATTAAACTTTTGCATAAAGTCCTTAAGAACTTATATAGAATACACAGTAACGAAAAGCAAAATGATTTAGCGAAATCACCAGCTGTCGACGAATTAGGTGAAATTCACTAATTGTAGAGATGTACAAGAACGTAAAGAATGTTAATTGAGTTGATACGTACTATTTCCTTTCCATATGCAAGTGGTGAATATTGTTTCATGTAAGTTGTATCAGAATAATATTTATTAACGCTACTTACAGACTCGGCCTGATTCTATTTACCGAAGCTTTTAATAATTCAGTGATACAAATACAGCTTTACGTTATATTGCCTTATTAGCAAGTAAGTACGTTAGTAAACAAATAAATAAACACAAGTAAATTACGATTGCAATTTCGCTGACCTTTAATAGGAACTCCTTCAAAAAGAATATAAAAATTTCATATCATTATTAAACTCATAAAAAATTTATGAAAACTAAAACGATCATCAACATTGCCAAATGTTGGCATTTTTTTTTTTTATGTAGAATCGCCAGTTTAACTAGTGAATTCTTGAGGCTTTTTGTAAGTTCCCAACTAGGACAGGTTTGAGAAGAACATTTCTTTTATATTCAAAAACTTGTTTATACTTTTCAATTATTTCTTTATTGGAATTGATCGCTAATTCGAAATTCGTCTTGGGATAGCTCTTCATAACAAATGGGTCATCGCCTCTTGCTTTTTCTTCATAATTTTCGTATAATGGTTTTCCTGTTCGATAGCAATGGTAAATCTCATACTCTCTGTGAAAAGTCTGACAATCTTGGAGATCCATAAACAAACGTCCTTGAAATTCTAGAAATTGATGCATACTATGGATTTCTTTAAATAACACGGAATCCACTTGTCTCATACAGAAAACGTTGTCAGGTATAATGCTTGGGTACAAGACTTTCTTTGCACTCAAATATCCATGTATTGGGAAAGCACAAGCGTTTCGTCCGATGCTCAACATCATACATAGCCAACTCAGATCACAGCTTGAGGTTGCAAACTGCGCCAACGCTAAATATTTTGACCTTCTTTGAAATAATTTCTTTGCATCCATAGTATGTCTTAGTTGGACTAAGGCCTGGAAATTTTTGGTACAGACAATTAACCAATTTAAAGAATCCGGAGGAACATACATATCGACAGGATCTATAAAGTACATGCGAATGTCCCCTAATTTTTGATAACAAGCTCGCGCTTGAAGTAAACTTGCACGATTTAAACGCACTTGATGCATTACATGACATTGGGTGGCCGACCATAGCACATCCTGAAATTCCTCAGAGTAGTAATCGTAAAGCATCACATGGTGTACGAGAACCGATAAAGGGGCTTTTCCTTGCTTAAAGTAATCAAATAGCTTCCGATAAATCTTAGAAGAGTAATTCATAGCTAGTAAAATGTTACTGCGAGCGCGTTTCGTGCAAAGACCTTGTTTGTAAATTTGTGCATCTTCAAACATATCATTGCAGGTGTCCGAAGCACCTAATTTTAAATAGGTAGAATTTTTGTAATTGAATACAATTGATGATAGACCATGACTAAAAGGATTGAATAATAGGTGAGAGGTTCCAATGTCTGTAGGCTCCTCATATCTTTTCCTTATTGCTTCAGTGATGGAAGATATGTTTTTCAATGGATAGAATCTATCGACATTATGAATTTCAACGTTGATGTTTTCGACAGGTTGGTCAGGAAATTCGGGATCCTGGATTTTTTTTGAACTTTTAACAGTGACAACCTTCCATAATTGTCGAAGGAACTGCTTAATGGGCGAACTATTCAATGATGAATGAGTAGAAGAAGCGACATCTGAGTAGGAAAAAAGGCTTTCAGAAAGAATTTTGTTTTCATACAAGCTGCCCAACATTGTTATGATTTGGAATAACTTTTCCTAAGGGACAAAATTTGGTGGTAATTAATATTGTAAACTTTCCTTTTAGGAATAAAAAATAACTGCAAAAATGTAAAATTAATAGGAACAATATGCAATGGTCGTGATAGCAACAATGCAAGCAGGCTTCGTAGATAAAATGCCAATATACAATTGACGCAGGAGAGAAAGCTGTATAGTTTCAATAAGAGAAATTGTTCTTTAAAATACAATCAATCAAAGAGCAAGAACAATTATGATCTTAAACAAATTCACTTGTTGACAGATTCCTTAACTTATAAACACAAAATGGAATACTTTGTGCGATTCCTTACAGTGAATGGAAAAGGATGAACTAACTCAGAAGGAAGACTGTATATATGTATAAATCAAAACAAAAACAGTTGACGGTCATTGTCATCAGAGTGTAACAATGTAAACAAACAATTGGACCGCCTACCACGGCAGGGTAGGGCAGACCTAAGAGAAATAAAAACGTAAACAAATGACCAATATTTAGAGCAATGTATAAGATATCCTGAGATGCTAAACAACTTTCCCAAGCGGTGAACCAATTCCTAGAAACTTGCACCATTATCTGTAATGAAAGGTATCATGCCCTAAAACAACAAGATATATATATAACCTAGATGGACTCATACTTTATATTAAGTCGAGATTATACACAAGGCAAGAATAGCTTCAATTCATAATAGGTAAACAAAAAAGGTCTATTGAGGAATGTTTCCATAATCATGCCATTATTTGAAAATAGTGATTAAAACTTGTAATAGTAAAAACGCTTAATTGTTGGGGTCAGAACTAGGTGAGCCGTTGTGTAAGAACTTATGGGTTCCCAATATAGTTTTTTGAAACTTCTGTTTTTATAATGAAATAATTTTACATTCTAAAGAAGCCTCGCTTAACCTGAAGATTTTATCGAGATATTTAAAACAACTTACTACCAAAGATTCTTCAACGTTACTAAAACATTATGGAAGGGGAATTGCGATTAGATCCTGTAAATATGAGCCCTTCCTCTAAATTTATTGACAAAGAGCTTTTTAAAAAGTGTTTTGATCTCGTAGCCGCTCGTGTTGTTCCTCAAAAAGTAGGTATATTGAACAGAATTTGTCGCAAGTACGTTGAAAGGATTGTATGTCAAAGAAAACGTTAATTAACGACTCAAGGGATTTGCTGGAGCTACCACGAGTGAAGCATGTGTATCAAGACCAAGACCATAAACTGGTGCTCTTAAATCAAAAGGCTACATTAGATGGTACGTACTGTGTAGTAAGATAAATGAATAAGGATGTGCTAATAATTTGGCAGGGACTAAAGGACTTTCGGAAACGACAAAGTCTTTTATTAATGAAAACAACATTAAATTAGTTCCATTTAAGCTAAATGTAGATTATGACTACTGGAGAGCCGGTATGTGATCACCCTTACTTAGAGGGATTATGGACAATTTATGGATCAAACTAACTCGGAATAGAGGACATTTTAGATGCTATTCTTCCCCCAGGTCAGAAAGAGGAACACCCTTCAGGATTTACTGCTGTAGGACATATTGCTCATATGAACTTACGAGAAGAATGGCTTCCATATAAGCATCTCATAGGACAAGTTATTCTCGACAAAAATCCATCTATCAAAACAGTTGTGAACAAAACAGACAGTATAGACACCAAATTCAGAACCTTTCAAATGGAAGTTTTAGCAGGTGATCCAGATTTCATGGTGGTTCAGGTATGTCGTCGTACTATTGACATAGTTTCTAACTAGGAAAGTCTGAATCCAACTGTAAATTTCGATTTGACTTCTCTAAGGTATACTGGAATTCTCGTCTTAGCACTGAACACGATCGCTTGGTCAGCCAATTCCAAGAAGGCGAAGCGGTTTGCGATGTTATGGCTGGAGTCGGTCCCTTCGCATGCCCAGCAGGTAAAAAGAGGGTTATCGTTTTTGCTAATGATCTAAATCCTTCAAGCTACGAAAGTTTGGTTGATAATGTTCAGATCAATAAGGTACGCAAACCAAACCTTTAAAAATAGAGACTAACAAGCATAAGGTTGGTGACTTCGTAAAAGCTTACAATCGAGACGGTCGTGAATTTATTCGCTCTGCTACTGAAGAGTTGCTGGAATTTTCAAAGCAAGGAACCATAGCACTCCCTCCCCCAAAAAAGCTTGCAAAAGGAAACCTAAAGGATAATACTTCATCTTCCAGCAAACGTGATATTCATATCCCTCCAGTATTCTCTCACTATGTCATGAACCTTCCTGGCTCTGCTTTAGAATTTCTGGATGCCTTTAATGGATGTTATGAAGGAAAAGAACACTTATTTGAAAATCGTTCACTCCCGAAGGTCCATGTTCATTGCTTTTCGAGATACGATCCTCCAATGGAAGACATAATAAACGTAAGTAAAATTCAGCATATTGAAGCTAACATGACAGCGAATTGAGGCATCCATGAGGTATCGATTGCGACCAGAAGAATTGAGTTTGCATTATGTTCGTAAAGTAGCACCAAAGAAGGTAAGTCCGTTGCTCACAATTGCTGCTTTAAACTTCTAACATTTGAAAGGATATGTACTGCTGTACTTTTACTTTACCGAGATCTGTCATTTTTGGAAAAATATAAAATATTTGGTGTGCTTCTTGTGAGCCTAATAGAAAAGATTTCTTATCTTAAAAAGTACATACGTTAAATATGGAATGCTACATATTTGGTTAGTTCTATAACTTGAAATACTTATTAACATATAACATAAACATTTATAAACAAAATAACGTAAATTGAGCCCTCTAAACAATCACCGCGCTGTCTAGTAAAAATATATTAAATCCAATCGTTCATTAGCAAAAATCGTGTACTGCCACTTGGAAGATTTTATAACATAAATAAAAGTAAAATAAAATAAAGACTTGACCAATTAATCACCGGTTGCAGAGCCGAGCTATATAACCTCGAAGAAGATAACTGTTTATAGGAAGATATAAACGACCATCGAACAAACGTGGGACTGCAGCATTAATATCTATTCTGGAAGGTAATAAAGCTATTGCTGGTGTGTTTCTGTTAGGACTGCTGCTCGATCTAACTATCTTCAAGATTGAGATCCCCGAAATACGAATTAAGTCAAGCTGTAAGAAAATCAGCGAAAACTTTTCATCAGACATCAATACTCTTAAAATTTTATCCTCGTCATCTATTACTGTGACTTCAAACTTGTATGACCTTAGACGACTTATAAGTTCAGAAAACGAACTTTGTTTATCTACACATATAACCACCTTCAGGTGAGCGATTGGTGTAAGCGTTGTAGGAGAATTGACTGAAGGAGAAGAATTTGGCGATGACTGAAGTTCATCAGGCTTCAGTTGATCAGTAGAGAGATTGTTGGTCTGTATTAAATCAAGGATGTAACATTCGTCGCTTTCCGAAGAAGCAACGGATGCATTCGTAGTACTTTGGTTGCGTAAATGCAACTGTTTGACAAAATCAGTTGCATTGGGTTTGGTGGATTCTGCTTTGGTTTTGAAATCGTATTCAGCGCTAGCGCCTGATGCTTTGCGAGGAGTAGATTCTTGAGAGGAGAAGACAGAGGAAAAATTTGGTATGCCAGGACTATTTGGTTGTTGATAATCAAAAACCTTTGCCGAAGAAACTTCGCTATTTGGAGCAGAAGATGAAGCTGGAGGCGTTATATGGAGCTTGGATTTTAATTCAGACCTAATTTTGTCAATAGCATTTTTATTTGCCCGGTCCAACACACTCAAGTTTTTGTAAGAAAAGGATCCAAACTCGTCAAATTCACTCATGTTTTCACTAAATCGGCGGTAACGTCTACCAGAGAGGCTTCGTTCGCGAAAATGCGATTGACGATTCAAAGATGTTTGTATACGACGATTGGAGCTACTTAATTTAATAGACTCCTCATCAACGGTATCATACGGAGTAACACATCCATCCGAGTTTATTGCACCTCGATCATCGAAATAAATAGTGTCCAAAGGTGTCTCCAGACTTGGAACAAAAGGAGCGTCATGACTTAGTATATTGTTCCAATTTATTCCTTCAAAAAATGGATGCGCTTTTATCTCCTGAATTCCCTTGGCTCCAAGCCGATTTTCAGGATTGAGTAGTAAAAATGATTTCATTAAATCAAGTGCTTCCGCAGAACAAGGATACATGTCCAAGTCAGGCCAATTAATTCTGTTAGCCACTATATTATTAAAAACTTTTTCAGGAGTGTCAGAATGAAAAGGTGGATAACCAAACAGAAATTCAAAAAATACACAACCTAAAGCCCACCAGTCAACCATGTCATCTTGATTACTACCCTGGATCGTTTCTGGCGCCAAATAATCTGGAGTTCCAACGAATTTTCTAGGAGCATCAGACATTTTAAAAAATGGAAGAGAATTGTTAGGAAACCCATGTGAGCTCTTTCTAGATCCGAACTCAGACCCAGAATCACCATTTCTGTTTGTAGATTCACTGCCCGAACTTTCAAAGCCTTCGTTTTCGGACTGGTATGAAAAAAGGAAAGATTCGTTCTTTTTCTTTCTGGGTGAGTCTGTGATAAGGCTGTTAAGTCCAGCATTGGTAGGTAACATTAGAGGGGAGCTCGTCAGTGGTTCATTAGAATCCGTAAAACATGTCGGCGATTGAAAACTAGGAGGTGATAGACTGGACCTCGCTTTCTGTAATCGAAATTGTCTTGTACTAAGACCCATTTGACTGAGCCCAAAATCCGCAAGCTTCAAGTGACCATTGCTGCTCATCAATATGTTTTCAGGCTTAATGTCTCTATGGATAATTCCAAGCTTGTGAAGGTGCTCTAAGCCTAAAACAACCTCTGCTAAATAAATCTTTACCCAAGACTCGGGTATGGTGTATAAGGACTTTAGCAAAGAAGCACAATCACCACCATTCATGTATTCCATCACAAGATATAGGTAATCCTTACTCTGAAAGGCATAATAAAGCTTAGCAATAAATGGAGATTCTTCTTGAGCCATTAAAATGGCCTTCTCAGCCTTGACGTTGGCAACTTGGTTTTTCACAATCATATCCGCCTTGCGCAAGACCTTAATTGCGTAGAGTTCACCTACAGATTTTTTTTTGGAAAGATAAACAGTACCGAAAGTTCCTCGACTAATGGGCTTTATAATTTCGTAATCGCGAATGGAAGGAGTCCCCTTGGAGGTAAGGTTGGAAGAAGCTACAGTAGAGATGCCTACTTGTTTGCTTAAAGGCTGGTTTGGGGAATCAATAGTTTTTGACAAAGAACTTCGTTCTAGCGACAAAGAAGGTTTTAGCTTTGGTGAAGTATCTGAGGTGTAGGATCCGACACCGTAAATTGCATTCATAGTACTGACGGATTTTCTACGTGACGAGATAGGGATACCAGAAATTGAGTTATTCGAAGGAGAATTACCGGAGCCAAGGCTGGGAAAGTGTTGACGAGAATTCTTACTTGAGTAAGAGATAACCTTTTCGCCAATCGGAGTGACTGACTCAAGATCTGTTCGAGAAAGGGCTCGAAATTTACTAGAGTTAGGACCCAATAAATAAGAGGAGGCTGAACTGTCAATAGACAAAGGATGAAACGAAGGAGATGGAGATGGAGAAAGATAGGGAGAAGGAGATTCAGGTTGGATTAACAAAGAGGGATCGACATCTTTAGTTACGGAAGAAGATTGGATATCTTGATCTTGGTCTTCATGCTGAGCATACTGTTCAACGATGGTTTGCACTTGGTCTTCAACTTCACAACGTAAACGTTCGGCGTAGTATACAATATTAATTAGACGAGTATTAGCGTCAAGCTTGGCTTGAACAAGAGAATTACTATCGTCAAAGAGCTTTTTGAGACCAGGATCCTCAACTTGGGGCAAACACCATGATAAAGATTTCGCACTCAAAACCTCGCTGGCAGGAGAAAGGAGACGAATAGAGTTAAAAGGCATCTCTTGACGTTCATCTTCACTGGAAGGTAAAGAAGGCACGTGAATTGCGAGTGAACAGTCGATAAAGCGAAGCGTTTCCAAGAGCATGCTGTATAGAAAGTGGCGAACTTTTTCGGATTTCTTAGGTTCAGAATTGTGTGACCGTAAGAAACCCTGAAGGGAGGGAGGGAGGATGGCTGCCAACGGCATGTCTAAATAATACAAGCGAGGATAGTCTCGGGAACCAGTGGAATCCAAGGTATCTAAAAGGGTTTGCAAAACATTCCTTTGTTCATTAAGCATATCATTGGCTCTTTCCACGCGGGCTTCCGCATGATGGGTTAATAGACAATACTCGGAGTGTTGTTCAAAGAACCAATTTTGGATTTCCCGATCACAAACCCGACAGAGAATCGTTTGAAATGGCGGAAGTGGATTTGAAAAGGGGATTTCCTTGATTTTGTGAAGATGTTCAGCGAGCAGATGAGCACCGAAACCAAGGAACTGTGTAAGCTGACGTCCGATTTCCTGTTTGATTTCGGCAAAAAGCTTGATTGGTCTTAAAACCCACAAGGTACGAGAGGGAGCGTTGGTTTGCGAATCGCGAATGAGGATTCCAATGCAATCGAGCTCTAGAGGTTGTTCTACGGGAAGTTCCATTTCCTCATCTTCAAAAAATATTTGCTCTTCGTCTTGGGGTAAGGGACTTAGGGTTAAAGAGATACGAACACTCTTGGAGTCATCGTCAAGTAGTTGCTGGGTAGCCCAGGTGAATTTATCGTCATCTTGTAGTAAACTTTGAATACTTTTCCCAACCAGAGTCAAACCAGGAATTCTAAACAAGCAAAGTTTGTTAGCATCCTTCATTCACCAACCCATCGACCATCAATTGTCCGCTCAATGGCAAATACGTCTTGGATGCCATTGCAAGTTGCCACTGTTGCTTCTCTATTCTTTTCAACATACCCAAGTAATTCAGTAAAGTTATTGGTCCCGTATAAGATATTGCCGTCCAAGGATAATTCTAACACATATACATTTTCAATTCCGTACGTTGCTTCAATTGCTTGCTTTTGATCCGCCTGTTGCATCGCCACGACCGAGACGATTCATATGGTACTTCCTACAATTCAAGTAGTAGGTATAAAGTAGCTATTAAGCGCTCAGTTCACTTGGAGTGTAATCCTTCAGTCATACAACTTCATTCACACCACACGGATATTTAAGGACTCTTGTGGACAGTTTCTTACCAACAAAATCCTGCTATCTATCTATTTCCAATGTTGGTAGTGTATGGTTTTCCGCTCGTTGAATTTCTTGACTGATTGCTTGAATCATTCTCATCTACATTGCCCAATTCAATCTCCAATCTTCACGTGTTGCTATGATATATTTCGCAATTTAAAATTACTACAGAACACCGATGGCAAAGGCTTATAATACTTTTCTGTATTCTAGTGCAAACTCGTAATACTAGGAAAGAGTAATATGTAAAAACAATGAAACTAGTAAAAATAAAAGAATCTAAGAATCTATTCAATTAGCAAATCTTTTTAGAAGTCGTTTTTCTTCATCTTTTCCCTGCCTTTTTCGTGTTCCTTCCTTGTATTGTTCCCCATCAGGTATCATCCTACTTGAATGGTAACGAAGTCCTTCTCAAAGATGGATTTTTTCTTAACTGATTTGCTTTTTTTACTCTATTGATTTTTTCTATAAGAATAAAAGAAAAACTCCCAAGAATTTACATTAAGGCTCTCTTTTGTTCTTCTTTTTATGTTGGCTATGCCTATTGACATACTATTTACTTCATTGTTTGTTCGTTTTGGCTTTCGTACGGTGGCATACCAACGTAAACCTTTCTTTAGGAAACACTTGAAACGAAGTGATAAAAACTTTTTGGAAAAACTTTTGTTTCCCCTCTCTATTATCCTCTTTCATAGAGGTTTCTTTGTCTTTTTGCTTTGTTTGATGAGACAAAGGTCGCCTTAATCTCATCCCCTTTCCTTTGTCTTACTTACATGGTGAACCCCTCCTGCCGTTCAACAAAGAAGCCTTTGATAAAAAATAAATAAAGACTATATAAAGCTTGTGATGTTCCCATTAACTTTCATGCCAAGTAAATTCGTTGTTTAGTAATTAGCTAGACTCACTCTACTATGCCATGCCATACCATCAATACCATATGTAAGTTGTTAGTACGGAAAGAAAAAAAAATACATTTTTACAATATTGAACGAGTTTTAAGGGTCTGAAGCAAAAAAATATTATTTAAATAGCAAAATTACAAAAAAGAATTTCAAAAAAAATCGAAAAAACATTCATAGATGAATCCGGTTTAAACATGCATTGTGTGATTGCATGCATGGTTTAAGCTTGTAAGAGATATCCATGGTAATCCTTTTAGGGTACTGAACACATATGAGTAATAAAAAAAAAACATAGCAAAGCAAATTATTAAAAAACCGTTTGATAAATACCTCCATCATTCAAAACATCATCACCTCAAACTTAAGCCAAAAAGAAGAAAACAGCAACGATCGAGAGACCGGTCAAAAAGACAGAAGCCTTTGAACCTGGAGAAGCAGCAGAAGGTTGAGATGAGGAGCTACCGCTTCCGGAAGAAGTCTCAGATGCAGTCTTCAAGTTAGAAGCGTTTCCGGTAGTCCAGTTTCCAAAACCACCACCAGCTTGAGTTGTGGATGTAACGAAGCTGCTGTTACCAGTAGAGAGATAGGTAACAGGGAAAGTAGAAGTAGCATTGCCGGTTACAATGGTGCTGTAGTTGCTGTAAGTCATCGTAACGTTAGCGGGAATCGTGCTAGTGACATTGACCATGGGAGTAGTACCGTTGGTAAAGCCGGAGCTAGCAGGGGGAGCACCGGGAGCGCCTGGAGCACCGGGAGCGCCAGAAGAACCAGCGGGACCAGGTGTGGTGGCAGCAGCATAGGTAGTAGTACCGGCAATCACAGTACTAGTCAAGGAGACAGTACGAGGCAAAGTCTTGGTTTGACGCAAGTTGCCAACGCTAGTGCTCGTGTAGGGATGAGTTTCAGTATAGGGAGCTGGTGTACTTTCAGGAGGAGCGCCACCAAGGTAGCCAGAAGGAGTACTAGCAGCACTAGGAGTGACGGTAGTAGTTTCAGTACCAGTAACAACAGTCTCACTGTTCGGAGCATTGGTGGTGACAGAAGTAGGAACGACGGATGTACCAGCAACAGTGCTTGTAGCACCGACAGTTACTACAGTAGTGTAGATACTAGTATGGACAACAGGGACTGTACTGTGGCCAGTTTCGGTGGCTACAGTGCTGTGCTGGCTGGTGGTAGTAGCAGGACCAGTAGGATTGGCATTGTCAGTAACAGTTGTCACCACTGAGGTGGGAACAGTAGCAGTAGTAACGACGGCACTAGGTGTTGTCACAGTATCAGTGGCTGTAACTGTGCTGACAACAGGTTGAGTGGTGTTGTGATACTCTACAGTAGTAACGACAGAAGGATGAGGCTTACTGTTGTTTGAAGGAACAGCAGTGGGAGCGGCACTGCTGGTGTTGTTCAAAGGAGTAGAAGTGTTTCTGTGAGGAGCAACAGTAGGAGCAGCACTGCTGGTAGTGTTCAAAGGAGTAGAAGTGTTTCTGTGAGGTGCAACAGTAGGAGCGGCACTGCTAGTAGTGTTCAAAGGAGTAGAGGTGTTTCTGTGAGGAGCAACAGTAGGAGCAGCACTGCTGGTAGTGTTCAAAGGAGTAGAGGTGTTTCTGTGAGGTGCAACAGTAGGAGCGGCACTGCTAGTAGTGTTCAAAGGAGTAGAGGTGTTTCTGTGAGGAGCAACAGTAGGAGCAGCACTGCTAGTAGTGTTCAAAGGAGTAGAGGTGTTTCTGTGAGGAGCAACAGTAGGAGCGGCACTGCTAGTAGTGTTCAAAGGAGTAGAGGTGTTTCTGTGAGGAGCAACAGTAGGAGCAGCACTGCTAGTAGTGTTCAAAGGAGTAGAGGTGTTTCTGTGAGGAGCAACAGTAGGAGCAGCACTGCTAGTAGTGTTCAAAGGAGTAGAGGTGTTTCTGTGAGGAGCAACAGTAGGAGCGGCACTGCTAGTAGTGTTCAAAGGAGTAGAGGTGTTTCTGTGAGGAGCAACAGTAGGAGCAGCACTGCTAGTAGTGTTCAAAGGAGTAGAGGTGTTTCTGTGAGGAGCAACAGTAGGAGCAGCACTGCTGGTAGTGTTCAAAGGAGCAGAAGAAGCAGGGGTGCTAGAGTTGGTAGCAGGAGCAGAGCTACTCAAAGGAGTAGTAGCATTTCTAGCAGGTGCTGTAGTCAAAGGAGTAGAAGAAGCAGGGGTGCTAGAGTTGGAGGCAGGAGCAGAGCTACTCAAAGGAGTAGTAGCATTTCTAGCAGGTGCCGTATTCAAAGGAGTAGAAGAAGCAGGAGTGCTAGAGGGAGCACTGCTAGTGGTGTTGCTGCTTGCAGGAGCAGAGCTGCTCAAAGGAGTAGAAGAAGCAGGAGTGCTAGAGGGAGCGCTGCTAGTGGTGTTGCTGCTTGTAGGAGCAGAGCTGCTTAAAGGAGTAGAGGATGGAGCACTGCTTGGTGAAGAAGAAGCAGGAGTGCTAGAAGGAGTGCTGCTAGTGGTGTTAGTAGTACTGCTTACAGGTTGAGCCACGGGAGAAGAAACAGGAGCAGAGGAAGGAGCGCTGCTAGGGGCTGCACTGCTGGATTGAGGAGCAGAGGAAGGAGTGCTGCTAGGAGCTGCGCTGCTAGATTGAGGAGCAGAGGAAGGAGTGCTGCTAGGAGCTGTACTGCTAGATTGAGGAGCAGAGGAAGGAGCGCTGCTAGGAGCTGCACTGCTAGATTGAGGAGCAGAGGAAGGAGCGCTGCTGGGTGTAGTGCTACTCAAAGGAGTAGAAGAAGGAGTGCTGCTAGGAGCTGTACTGCTAGATTGAGGAGCAGAGGAAGGAGCGCTGCTAGGGGCTGCACTGCTAGATTGAGGAGCAGAGGAAGGAGCGCTGCTAGGAGCTGCACTGCTAGATTGAGGAGCAGAGGAAGGAGCGCTGCTGGGTGTAGTGCTACTCAAAGGAGTAGAAGAAGGAGTGCTGCTGGGAGGTGTGCTGCTTAAAGGAATCGAGCTGTTGGAATAAGGTGGGCCAGCTCTTCTAGCTAAGGTATAACCATTGGCGGGGCCATTAGCGGCGACCGAGGAGATGGAAAGAAAAGGAGTTGCAATTAAGAGAGCAACGGCAAAAGAAGAGATCTTCATCGTACAAAAAGTGTTTAAGAATTAAACAAGCCAAAAAATAAAGACCACTAAAAACACGACGGGATGAAAATCGTTAAATTTTTTTTTCAGCCGTAAGAATTAGGTAACAACTCTTTTTTTTTAGAAAGAAAAACAAAAATGAATTCCTTATGGTATTAAATCAAAAATCCAAAAATGAAAATTAGAGGTATCAACCCAAACTATAGGATATCAAGGGACAGGCGTTCTATCGCAAAAAAAAACCGAAGGATAGAAGAACGCGCAATGAACCTTTCGAGTCCGAATTAACTACAGAAAGAATGTTTGAGGCAGAATACCAAGTTCAAAGTGAAAGAAGAAATCAGGTATTCTTCACAATAAACCCTCAAACAGACGGAAACAAGCTTAAAAAAGTCGCAAGACTAAATTTAAAGAGTGTCTCAGAAGCAAAAAGATTGGTTCCTCAATAAGGGAAGAAGAAAAAATACTAGGAGTAAAAATTTCAAAGTTTGGGAGTGTTCTCAACCGGCACAGGGGGATGGCTGGACGTTAATATATATGCGGAAAGAGTCTCGGTTATTGGTAGAAAAATGAGGAATCTAAGAACACTATTGCTCACGCTTGAAATCGACCCTTTGTGCACTTTGTTACGTGTTGGGTAACAAATGTTAGCGCTCTTTTCAGAAATAAGTGTCAAGGTTTGTCGCGTCGAAGTACAAAGAAGTAGCACAAATAGCAGTCGAAGGAACAAGTAGTGAACATAAAGCCAATGACGTTAATTTTCGAATTTTCCTTAATTATAAATAGCCAATCACAAGACATTTGTAACTCGAAGAAACTTCTATCGTCCAATGAACGTTAAAGTTACGTACAAGCATATGATGATTGGGTAAGTATGATCTTAAAAAATTTGTCTGGACGGTTCGAATGTAGCTTAGAGGTATGACAAGAGTAACGGCATTGTCATTCATTGGATACTTTTTTCTCGTATGCGCAAACTCAAGCAACAACGAAGGTCACCGCGCCCAACGGGTGGGAATGATTGGATGGAAAAGCGAAGAAGCAGGAGAACTCCGGTGGTGGTCAGGAGAGCGCAGGTAAAACTTTCAGCGTCGTATGGCCCCACTGAATGAGAGTGGAACATGGGACCGGGGCCACGACCAGGAGGGAAACAGACAGGGGTCTCTTGTCTGTCGTCGTGGGGTTCAAGTCTTGAAAGGAGAGAAAGGGAAAACTTGGGTAAATAAACATAGGCATTGGATTTTTTTTTTTTTTTTTTTTTTTTGAATGAAAATTTTGGTTATTATTGTTAATGTGAACTATGGAACTGTCGAATGAATGATGCTTGACTCCAATAAAAACTAGAACAATGACAACGAGACTTTCTACATAAATGCTTTTAGGAATTCACATTTGCTTTTTCTATTCATCATATGCTTATTCAAGTATTTCTGTATATGATTATATAATTTATGCAATAATATGTTTTTAATTTGCTTTGTAAGATGTATATGCTCTATAAATGCTTCTATGGATAGTCATTTTGTACAGGGATCCCTAAACACATAAGAGGATATATGCTCTTGTGCTTTTGTAAAGTAGAGATCGGGTTAGTGGGATACAATGTTGTTATGCAAAGAGAAAAAATAAATAAATAAAATCTATCTATATGTAATTATCATTGGATTCGATAGAAATAAGCAGTCTTTTGCAGTAAATCCTCTTTGCTTTATCCTTTCATACTGTACGATTGAAAGTAAAGCAGATGAATCGTCGAAAAGTTTTGGGTTACGATTCTTTCCTTCAAAATTATGGCTAAAAATATTTCAATGTCAAATCTTTATTGCTATTGCTTTTGATTTCTTTGATGTAGATTTTCTGTTTTTTATTTATATTTTTATTTTGGCTACGTCCTATTGTAGACACACACTCTCGCTCTTGGATTTCTAAGATGCAGCTGAAAACGTTCTTCTTGTACTGTAACAGACAACTATTTTTCACCACAATGCATCTTTTGAAAAGGGAGAATTGTAAATCGGCTTTGTTTACATAGACGTAAATAAAAGAGAATAAATAAAAATAAAAAAATCGCTTTTCTCGCAATGATCCCCTTCCTCCTTCGTCATATCGTCGTAAAAACCTCTATAAGTCGATTTTCAAGGCTTTCGAGCTAAAAATCCTGTCAAACTTTAGCGCTTTCAACGAGTATATAGACATTTCTTCTTATTTTGTATTTTCTTTCTAAATTTTGATTTTTTCAACCGTCTCGTTGCTCTTTGCTTCGTGCCTCTCAAACTACAGCCAGCGGAATATCATGGACCCCGTTTGTTGATGTCTGACGTCTTCACTGATTTTCCTTATTTTCTGATGGTTTTCAGTGTTTCTTCCATTCACAAAAGTTTTTTTTTCGGTCTTTTTCTCATTCATTGATTTTTCATATTTTCTTTCTTTTTCTACTTTCTCCAATTTCGTAAATGAGCTCAACGTTGCAGCAAAGCACCCAGCGCTGGAAAACGCAGTGTATCTACCAAATCCTGACGGATCGCTTTGCTTTTTCCGATGAGGACCATCCCAAAGCTCCTTCCACCGGTCGCATGTATCTCGGAGGAACCTGGCGTGGAATCGCTCGCAAACTCGATTATATTCAAGAGTTGGGATGTACCGCTGTATGGATCAGCCCCATCGTCAAAAATATCGAAGATGTTACCGGCTATGGTCAAGGATATCACGGATACTGGGCCCAAGATTTGCTAGATGTAAATCCTCATTTCGGTACCAAACAGGACTTGATCGACCTTGTGCAACAACTCCATGACCGCAATATGCTCTGCATGGTCGACATCGTCGTCAATCACATGGCCCATGCTGGTTCTGGCGAAATTGACTACTCCAAGTATCGTCCCTTCAACTCGGAAGCCGATTACCATCCTAGAAGGTACGTCCAAAACTACGACGATACCGTGGATTGTGAAACCGGTTGGCTTGGTGACGATACTGTTGGTTTAATGGATATTCGTACAGAAGAGCCTCGTATCCAAGCATTTTTCCAAGATTGGATTCGCGACCTTGTCGAAACCTATCATTTTGACGGCCTCCGTATTGATACTATCAAGCACGTTCACAGAGAATTTTATCCCCCTTTCATTGAAGCCTCCAAAGTTTTTACATTTGGTGAAGTCTTTCATGGGGATCCACGATACGTTGGAGACTACCTTCAGTACATGCCTTCGTCCATTAATTATCCCCTCTATTACCAAATTCGAAAAGCCTTTGCACAGCTTCCGCGCATCTCGATGAAGGAATTTTACGACAAAGCTATTTTAGAAGCCCGTGCCTATATTCCTGATACCACCGTTCTTGGAAACTTTATAGAAAATCACGATGTCCCTCGGATACTTGGCATGACTTCAGACTCTTCGGTATGATTTCTCTTCATGAGTCTTTCATGAAACATTTACTAACTATTTGATTCATAGTTGCTGCTAAACGCTTTGGTCGCTCTTATTTATTTGGATGGAATTCCAATTGTTTTTCAGGGCCAAGAACAAATGTTCGTTGGAGGCGATGATCCTGAAAATAGAAATGCTCTTTGGAGCAGTCATTACGATACTACACATTTTATGTTTAATGTCCTTTCTAAAATGATTCATGTTCGTCAATCCCTCATTCAAAAATTTCCTGACTTCTGTAACACTTTGTCTAATTGTCTCTATCTGGACAACCACAACTACGTCTTTGAACGCCCTGGTTGCATCGTTTGTCTGTGCAATGGAGGATCAAATTCAAATTTCAAATTTCCTGTAAATGTTCCGGTAGAGCAAGGTACAGTTGCTCGCTTCATGGACATATGGACAGAAGAAATCTTTGACGCCTCCCCATCATCACCCTCTACTCTCAATCTCATAGTTGATGCAGGACTTCCAAAGGTAAGGCATCCTTCTTTGATCGCAATTCTAACAGTCCTTTTAGGTTTTGGTTCAGCCCTCATCCATACTGAGGTAAGGTGGCACTTTAGATTCTCACGTTTCAATCTTGGAAAATAGTCTGTCTTTTATGAATGCATCTATATTTATTAGCCAGGATAACCATCCACTTGACCTTTTTGGTTCGTCCAGTTTATTCTCTTTACCTAGTGTTAGGTTTACCTTTTGATGATACTTGTTTTGGTTTATTTTCGCTTTCTTTTACAATGCTACATTGCTTTCTTTTGCTTTTTTTTTATGTATGCAGTTATATTTAGTACTTTGATTAATAGAATGTGATTCCCGCTCATCTCGTTCCTTCCTTTTTGTTCAGATTTACTAATTTGTTTACATGTCCGTAAATAAAAAAAATCTCGGTTTTCATACTTGCCTTATTTCTTAATACTTATAAATAGTACTTGAAGCTTATAAAAATGATTTAATTTATCAAAAAAAAAAAAAAAAAAAAAACAATTGCACAATGTATAGAAAATGACCTTTTGTAAAATAATTACACGTTTGGAGCAAGAGACGCATTTCATAGCAACTTATTATATTAAGTAAATTAAACTGCAGAATAACGTTGAAATAAAAGCTGGTTTGAAGAAGTCTGAAATGTACAAGTTTTCGTAAAACGCACAGTGTCTACTTACTGAAAGCAAAATTCGCAATATAACAAGCTTCATTTAAAAAGCTATTTTTTTGTGCAAATTTTTTCTCTCAGAAAATAAAAAAAAACCTCTTTACTTTTTTTTTTTTGGAACTTGACAATTTTGTTTCATTACATCGGGAAATTATAAATGGAAGACAACGAAGCATTTCAAGATGAGCTACTTGCCTTAGAAAGTATTTATCCTTCTTGTCTTTTACCAATATCCGAGAAGAGTTACACATACACACTGAGTATACCCGACAGCAGAGTACATCTGAACCTACAATTTCCCATCGAGTATCCGGACTCTCCACCTATTGTGCTAGATGCTTATGGAATTGATAAAGCCCTTGCAGAAGACGTTCTGCTGTCGGTTGCTACCGGTGATGTATGTATTTTTTCGTATATAGATTTGCTGAAAGAACTAGTGGATATCGAAACAGAACAAGAAGTCATGCAGAACGAGCACAAGAAGCAAGTAGAATCAGAAAAAGATTCACCAGTAATGCTTGATAAAAATCAATATGTTGCTAAGACTCCAGAAACCCATCAAGAAGAGTGGAAGCCCTCGTTCGACTGGAAAGAATCACAAGCGATCAATGATAGAAAGAGTACTTTTGCAGCTCATGCCACTAGAGTTCATAGCCCGGAAGAAGTTCAGAAAGCTTTGGAGGAGCTGTACATGAACAAAAAGGTAGCCAAGGTATGTTTTGCGATAATCTTGAAAAAGTAGTTTGAAATACCTTGGGTGTGCAAACTATCGCTATATTTTATTACTATTATCACAGGTTGCTAACTGCTTTTCAGGCAAATCACAACATGGTAGCTTATCGTGTAATTTCTCAACGTGGAAATGTCATTCAAGACAATGATGATGATGGTGAATCCGCTGCCGGATCACGCATGGGTCATTTACTCACAATGATGGTATGTAATTTTATTTGTCAAGTATTTAACTTAATTAACTTACTTTCAAAGGATGCCGAGAATGTTTTTGTTTGTGTCTCACGTTGGTTCGGAGGCACCCATATCGGACCTGATCGTTTCAAGCATATTAATTCTACTGCCCGTGAAGCAGTCCTTTTAACCGGAGCCGCACCTGAACAGAAGAAAGGTAATGACGATAAGAAGAAAAAGAAGCATCGGTAAAAATTTATTTATGTTCTCCTTCGGCCAAAACTTTGCGAGAAATTAATTGAGCACTAGTAGGTTTTGCTGAAACTGCTAATTATGGATGTACAATACTTTAATAGAATGTTAATAGATATGCAGTTTTTAATCTTTGACTCATTTGTACTTTGGTCAGTCGCTACAACTACGGCTTAACAAGAGACCCTTCTATACTAAACAAAAAACCAATTGAAATTTTTCATGTAGACCATTTTCTAGGACAAAACAAAATATAATTATTTTTTAACGTCTTCCGGCCTTCCAGTGAGCAATGTCACCACTTTCCATTACGTATTCTTTACCCTTGGTCATATACTTACCAGCGGCACGGCAAGCATTTTCAGTCTTGTGATCGACTAAGTCTTGATAGTGCATAATTTCACCGCAAACGAAAGCCTTCTCGAAATCGGTATGAATGACACCAGCGGCTTGAGGAGCCTTGATACCCTTACGGACAGTCCAAGAACGAACTTCATCCTCACCACAAGTGAAGTAGTTGATAAGGTTCAAAGCGGTGTAACCAGTGATGATAATCTTGGGGAGCATGCTCTTGGTTTGAAGACGCTTGCACTCTTCAGCAACTTCTTCTTCAGACATGGAAGTCAAGCGCTCTTCGAAAGCAACAGACATGGGAATAAAGGTGTCACCGGGGCTGAATTCATCAATCCAAGCCTTGATCTTGGGGAGATACTTGTTCTTTTGACGAACGAAATCACGCTCGCTCATGTTAACAAGGTAAACGACGGGCTTGGTGGTCAAAAGATACAAGGTGTTGATCAATTCAACCTCACGGTTAGACCATTGTCCCTTACGAATGGGTTGCTTGTTGACGGTCAAAAATTCATATACGCGTTCGACAATAGCTTGCTCTTCCTTCTTGGCCTTCATTTCCAAGGTGTTAGCACCACGGGAGGTAATCTTACGGAGACCCTCGAGATGCTTTTCGACGAACTCAGCATCCTTAATCAACAATTCGTCACGAATGATGGCCAAGTCACGAATAGGATCAACATCACCTTCGACGTGAACAATTTCAGCATCATCAAAAGCACGAACGACTTGGTAGATGGCGTCTACTGCACGAACGTGGGACAAGAATGCGTTACCCAAACCGGCACCAGTGCTTGCACCCTTAGTAAGACCGGCAATATCGAAGATGGTCAAGAAAGCTGGAACCTTGCTCTTGGGCTTGTAAGTCTCGCAGAGCCAGTCGAAACGCTCATCGGGAACAGCAACCTTGGCTTCTTCAGGATCGATAGTAGCGTAAGGGTAGTTGGCAGGGTTACCCAAGACGGATTTGGTGATGGCACGGAAGAAGGTGGATTTACCAACGTTGGGCATACCAACAATACCAGTCTTCAAGTTGTTACCGGGACGACCCCATTGGACGCGAACCTCGTTCTGCTGTTGCTTCTTAGGAGGCATGCTGTAAAGTGGGTTGGAATAGATAGATCAAAAAAGTATCAGCTTTCGGGAAAGAGACTACTCAATCAGTCGTGACGAAGAAAAGAGACAGTGGAACCAGAGTACACTATTCAATCAAGCAGTTAGCATTCTGCTTTATATACATGTCATCATCAGGATGAGAACATTGATAGAGGAACCAGTTTGAGACTTGTTTTTTGCTTTTATTTTTTTATTTGGCAAAAAAGACTTTGTTTCGTCTTACGAATCAACCAAAGGCAATACTCGTTTTCTTTTCGTAACATTAAAAGAAATGATACATTCGTGAACGTTCAAAAACACCTTTGGAAGTTTCATAAAACTACATCGCAATCTTTCGTAATGCTTGCTCAAAAGACATCCACGGAATGCATGACAAAACCAAGTTCCAAACTTCCTATAGCTTCTCTTTTAACATACCTTTCTCTTTTTATGCCGTTTCCTTTTTTAATACTTACTATTGCAGCAGTATTTGGCTCTTGGATTGTTGTAAAGCGTTGCCCTTTTTCCAAAAATTTCGTCCGCTCATATCGAATTCCAACATAGCACTTCCAAATACACTCTAGCTCCTAATCCATAACAGTAAAGTGCAACGAATTACAAGAGCTGTGGTGGAAATTTGTAACATTTTGCTCAACTCTTTCCAGGGTCAAGTCAAGTCAAGTCAAAGAAAAGACTCGAATATATGCATGATCGATACATGATACATGATAGCATGCTTTGCTTTGGTATGCTATAGGTTTTGTAATGTTCAGAAATCATTCACGTCTCCTTCAAATCTCATCAATGACGGACTCAACTCTTCATCTCGTGTCTATGCTACCACATCAGATCATAAATATGACATTCTGAAATTGAAAAATGCAAAACTTTACATTTCACAGTTCCTATTACTCGATGTACTACTAACTACTACTTCTACTACTAAACATAATTCTACAATTCAATAGGAAAATATTATCAAAAGAATAATGTATACATGTATTTGTAAACGCGTGACGAGAGAAAAAAAATAATAAATGACAATCTTCCTAAACAGCACTTATCAATACTCAATGATGAGTTTTCATCAAAGAAAAAGAAAAAAGAAAAACTCAAACCTTCCTCCTCTTTTTTCTTCTTCTTCAAAGAACGCTCATGTATCGATACAAGCACAAGCCAATAGAAAAGATTGGAAAACTCCCAAGCTACCGTCCTGCAGACCATGGATCAATGGGGAAATTCATAAAAAAAGAGAAAATCACAGATTCCCCCCATTCATCAGTCGGAAGAGAGGCAGAGGAGCAGGAGCAGGAGCCCCGTGTGCCATCTAGGCAAGATGGGGAAATAAAACAAATTTTTGACATTCTAAATTAGAAGCAAAACAAAGAAATCCTGGTACTTGCAAAAATTTCCTCCTCCAAGCAAAAGAAAAAAAGAAACACTCACAACTACATTTTCTTGGTTGTATTCAACATATTTTAGTAAACACTTTTGGCATCAAGAACAACAACCAGTAGCACAGAATCCAGCACAGAATTAAAAAGAAAAATGAACAAAAGTAATAAAAAAGATCGAAAGCAGAGAAGAATCAATACTTCTTATATCATTATTTACACCACATTTGTCCCCATACGACTGTCCTCTGCAAATACAAACCGCTCGAGGTACCCCTTCTGACTTTTTTTTTTCATTATACTTTGACAACAGCAATATACAGCATATGAAATAGAAAACGTCGATAAATTGCAGACAATATTATTGACTCCTCTCTACTAGAGGTATTTATTGGCCAGTAGTAAGAAACTCGTAGCGATTATTTACATTCAGCAGAAGATGCTAAGGGCATATTGTGAGAATTTAAAGAGACATGACAGAGCAAGCAACAGCAATCATGGCGATAACGAAGGCACCAGAGCTGAAGTTGGTAAGAGAGGAAGCGGCGCTAGGGCTAGAAGACTCAGCACCGGAGCCACCACCGGTACCGTTGGTACCATTAGTACCGTTGGTGCCGTTAGCAGCGGCAGTGGTAGCGTTACCGAAAGGAGCAGTGCTGTTAGCAGTGCTGTTGGCGGCTTGAACAGCCAAGGCCATAGTGACAATAGCGGCAATAGCAAGAACACGAGAGTACATTATGAAAGGACAAATAAATATAATTTGGACAAAGTCAAATAATTAAATATAGACCTAAAGTTGTATAGGAATATAGGAAAAGTCCGAATATGATGCTGACTGAAAATGTTCCGATCCTACACTCTTTATATAAAAAAAATCTCTTGAACCCTTACCCTGCCAGAAGCATGACGTTTAGAAAATTTGGGAGGGTGGTGGTGATTGGGTAGTCAGCCCCCTCCCGACAATAGTGAGATAAGCCACATATTAAGAATACCTAACTTGCGAAACAGAAAAATGCTTTTTTTAATTCCGAAGGTTAATACTTTGACGTTCGATTGGGTTCCAGAGGGGAAAACGAACAGGAACAAAGTTTGTTAAAAGAAATAACAAACAAACAACATTATCCAACGAGACATCGTCTTGTCGCAGGTAGTAAGGTGGGGTACGCGGCCAACTGATTGCTATGAGTGGAGTAAAAGAAGAGGTGATAACGGGGGGATACATGGTACAACCGAAAGCGCGCACACACTAAGTACATGAGCAACGAAAGCACAATACAAAAGTAGAGGAAAGGCAATGAAATGAAATAAAATAAAATCAAATGAAATGAAATTGATAACTATAGTCGTTTTGTATTGATATGCATAGACGTTGGTTGAATGAATAGTTTGTTGAGAAAAATAATAAAAAATTAGCTAGTAAACAAATGAAATTGAAATTGAAAAGAAAAAGAAAAAAGGTTTATCTTTTCCATACTTGACATTGCTACTATGCTATGCAACTGCTGGGGAATGAATCCTGTTTCTATGGTATGGTATACCTAGCTAACCAAAGCTATAACAAGTCAAGCTAAATCAAGCTATGCTATGAGTCCTTTCCTGTCGCCCAAGACATCAATCGATGGAAAAAGATCGCAGGATTAAACAAGCTTCGCAATGACATCAATGACGCCAATGTTTTGACATTCAAGACTTTAGTTGGTTGTTTGTATTTGTTGTTGTTTCTTGTGGGTAAACTTTGAAGTCAAATCATGAACCTATCAATTGTCAATGTTTCCAACAAGCTTTCCACAACGCCCGGGCGTTTGACTTGGTTTGTTTATCTTTTCGTAACATTGTTTATTTGTTTTGTTTTGTTTGTTTTGTTTGTTTTGCTTATGACTTGATGTACAACGAGATGTACAAGAAGCCACCAGAGTGGTTTCCCAGTATAGTTGCTATGGCACCTTACGTTCTTGGTTGCTTTTTTTTTTCGTTAGCTAATAGCTATTCGCCGTTTGTTGATTGTTGTTGTATTATTTATTTATGTTGTTTGTGTTGTTTATTTATATCATACGAATCATTGTCTATAGATAGAAAATAACAGTTGAAGTAAAATGACATTTTCTTGATGAGTGCTTTCAAGATGCCATTGTGGCTTTTATGACCTTGCAAAGGGTAGATGCAGCTAAGAAAGGTTTGGGTTGAGTTGAGTTGAGTCGCATGTTTTTCTTTTTTTTTCTTTTAGGATGAACCACGAGGTGATTTTTTGAAGGTTACAAGCCATTGTCAAAGGAAACTTTTCTTTCAACCCAAAAAGAGGCACATGTATTAATTTAATTTTCTTCTCTAGTGTTCTACTAGTGTTGCTGTTGTTGCTGCTGCTAACTACTACTGCTACTGCTTCCGAAAGGGGATTTCCTCCCCCAGGGAATGTCTAGGGAATGGGAATTTTGCGTGACTTTGCAATGTGCTAGCTCATACGGACGGTATACCAGTCCGATCTTTTTCCTTTTTTTTATCAAAGAGTCAATCCATCATAACTAGGTAATGTAGGTATAGGTAATTCATTATTTGACTTTCGGAGTCTTTAGGAAAAGAAAAATTCCATTACGCTGAAATGAGCGATTCAATAGTCATAAACTTTGTATGAATCGAACGATTTATCTTTTCTTTTATTTCTTCTAAGAATTTGAAACTTGTTTAACATTCATTATACATTATACATTATACAATTTCTTTCTTTCTGCTACCTTCGTCAGCATGACTTATGATTATGATTACCTTGTCTTGACTAACTGCTTGCCTCTTACACCCAAAATTTCTAGTAAATCTTTTCCAAGAGAACAAAACAAATCCAGACACCGAAAAGTTGTCTCGGTTAGTAGAATCAAAAAAAAAAATTTTCTTTGAAAATTTTGAAGAAAAAAAAAAAAAAAAATTAAATTCTCTTGGGTTGTGGCAATTCCAATATTGTTTCCCGTCACTATCCTCAATCCAACAAAACTTCTCTACTATTGCTTTTCTGAATCTGTTTACGGAGCCAAAATTAAAGTAATGTAATTTGAAATTCCATAGCTTTCTTTTTTTACACTAATTGGTTTATTGCATATATACTTCGAATACGTTACACGTTTAACATTTTGCTTTCTACAAATCTCTATTCATATGTAGTGTTTTCTATCAAAATTGTAGCAAAAGACATTTCATCCATCAATTCTTGCTTTGTTTGTTAAATTCCCCATCCCTTTTTTTCTTTTCTTTTTCTACTCGTTTCCTTTCTTGTAAATCAGTGTCTTACCAAAGTTCACACTTCAATATCATCACAAAGAGGTGTACGCTTTTTCGACTTCTTTCACACGAAAAGTGTTGTTTACACACCCATAATACACGCGATAAAACAAAAGTCCCTTTTCTTGTTTTTCTTGTCTTGTTCCTCGTCCTTTCTTTTTCACTTTTTGAATTTTAAAAATTTCCCTTTTTGTTTTGTTTTGATATCGATTCTTTCACTCTCCTTTCCTTCATTGGTTCCAGGATTACCAAGAGACGCCCAGGCACTTCTTTTATTCTCCAATTTCTTTTAAATATTAAATATTTTCCTTCTTCAGCATGTCTGCTGTACGGACTTCTGTGCCCTGTCAAGAACTTAATCGACTCCAACTCAATTTACATCAACAAACCTTCAGCCAGCAGTATTCAAGCATCTACTTTGCCCGACTAACTGCTCTTCGTCCAAAACTCCTTCATGCTGCTCGCAAGAAATGGCCCAATCATCCTGAATTGAATCGCGTTTTGGATGTACGAAATGATCAAAACTGCTGGGTCATCGGTACCGCCTACATGACTTCCAATTTGAAGCCAAATGTTATGGACGATGTCACTCAACTCCACACCATCATCACCGCTTCTGAAGATTCGCCCTACGTCTCTCTCAAAGACGGCGACTCTGACTCCAGCGGCATTCAATATTCCCTCGAGGATAACTATGGCCGTGTTGATTGCGCTGGTTCTTTTATGTACGACGCCGGTGTCGTCACCGGTGTCGTGATGGCTGCTCTTGGTCATGAAGATGAGGCCGGTCGCTTCGTCGTTATCGACGTCTGCTTTCCCGAAACCATGACTCAATCCGACTCCATACCCATGTCCATAGATCCGAAAGAGGACGATGCTCCTGAATTCATGGCCGTCGCTAGTGGTTTGGGTCTTTCAAACGACGGTATAGAGGGAATCGGTTTACATCAAGTTGTCGATTATCTACGAGGTATACTCCCATCCATAAGTCCTTCTTTTGACCCTACTTGCGTTAAGCGTTTCATGATCCTTGGTAATTGCCTCGCTCCAGCTATAGAGATTTCCGATTCCTCTACCCCCTCTGTCCCGGTAGGGAAGAAAAAAGTAAAACGCTATGGATATGATACATCAAGCTATAATCCAAATCCGACTATACAACTAGATACCCTTTTGCATCAGCTTTGTTCCACCGTAGACGTCACCCTAGTCCCTGGTCCTTATGATTACAGTACCAATATTCTTCCTCAACAGCCTCTTCATCCAGCACTGTTACAAAACGCAAAAGCATGGATTGGAAGCTCCCTACAAACAACTACAAATCCAACTTGGCTTTCAATTCATGACAATCTGACACTTGCAAGCAGTGGACAGAATATTGATGATCTTCGTAAATATCACCCTTACAAGTCCTCTTTGCAGTTGATGGAAAATACCATTTTATGGAATCATATTACCCCTACTAGTCCGGATACTCTATGTAAGCTATTTCCTCTTCTTTTTGTATTTTTTTCTTCTTCTTCCATTACTAACGACAAAAATTTAGGGTGCTATCCATTTACTGATAAAGATACTTTTGTCATGGATGAGTTGCCAGATCTTTATTTATGTGGTAATCAACCAAAGTTTGGTACAAAATTGATTCAAAGTCAGTCCAAGTCCGTGCGACTCGTATCCGTTCCAGAGTTCCGTAAAACTGGCATTATAACTCTAATTAATCTTAAGAACTTGGAAGTACGCGCCTTGGTATTTCCTCGAAAATTAGACAATTCCGGTGTGGCCACGCCAAACGTTGAATAATAGTAATGATTAGATTAATAATTTATGGGATAATTAGTATTTGTTCCTAACTTTTGATGAAAGTTTCGGATATTGATGAATTTATCGTGGATGCTGGTGTTTTTTTTTGAAATAGATGATTCTTTTGTTTTTTCCCCAAGTTAAATTGGGTAGCAATAAAGGTATCCTTTGCATCTTTAAAAGTACGATTTCCTTTAGGAACGCCTAGTTGATCCAAAAGTTCTGATGATTTTTGGGGAATAACACTTTGAAAAAGAATACCACATATCCGTAGCGTATGAGCTGTGAGCATTAATACATCTGTTCGGGCAGGTGAATTACTTTCCAAGTTCCAAGGCTCACTTTCTTGAAGCAACTTTGTAGCTGAACGTAAAGTATTTTGTAGAGTTTCAATGAAAGCATGCATTTGTCCTTGATGCGCATAAGCAGCACAAGTATCTGGTAGTTGAGATAAGTGATTTATATATTCTTGATGTTTTTCTATTCCCATTATAGGGGAAGTCCACTCTTTTTGGACTTCTTCACTTACATACAGTTTTTTTGATTGTATTCTGGATGTAAGCACTCCTAGATTTCTTCTTAAATCATGTTCATAATCTTTTTCTAGTCCTTCGATCTCAAAGTTGGAATCCGAAGTTAACCTTCCTTGTTTTAATAGGTAATATTTGACAATCTCCTCTCCGTAGTCCTTTATAAGTTCAAAAGGATCAATCACATTTCCAAGGGATTTCGACATTTTCACTTTATTCATCGTCCAGTGTGAATGAACAAGTATCTGCTTTGGCAAAGGAAGACCTGCTGCCATAAGAAAAGCAGGCCAATAAATACAATGAAATCGGACAATGTCTTTACCTATTATATGGACATCAGCAGGCCACCCTCCACTTGCAGGGTCTGATGAGTTCCATGGGTATCCAGCGACAGTCAGATAATTGACTAAGGCATCTAACCAAACGTATATGGTTTGAAAATCATCGTTTGGAACTGGGATTCCCCAAGATAAGCGTGAACGAGGTCTAGAGATGCTAAGGTCCTGGAGCCCAGATTTTAACTCTGACAAAACCTGGTTATGGTATATGGAAGGCTGAACAAAATTAGGGTTTTGCTCATATAATTCAATAAGTCGCGAACGAAGAGAAGAAAGCTTGAAATGATAATTCATTTCACTAGACCATTGCACCTTTTTTCCCGTTTCCGTTGATACTAGTTCTTCTTCACCCGTCTTTTCGTTCACGATACGTTGAAGAGCTGATTCTGGATAAAAGGTTTCGTCGCTCGTAGAATACCAACCTTCATGGTGCTGGAACTCAATATATTTTTTTTCTTTTAACTGATTCCAAAATCCTTGAACGGCTGCTACGTGTTGTTTATTCGTTGTCCGGATAAAATGGCTATATGCTGTATTTGCAAGAACAGCTAAATTTTGAAATCGCTGTGAATTTTCAGTACAAAGGTCCAAGGGACGTTTATTTTGTTCTTGGGCCACTGTTTGAACTTTAAGTCCATGTTCGTCTGTACCAGTGCTGCTAAACACAGGTCGGTCTGTTCTAAAAATCTTTTGAAACCGAGCAATGGAGTCACACAAGACCAAACTGTATAGATGCCCTAAATGGGGTGCAGCATTTACATAGAATATAGGTGTTGTTGTTAAAAAAGGTTTTGATAAAGACTGCAAAGTGGGAATGGTCACTTTGAAAGGACCCTTTAAAAACATTAAGGAAAATGTTGTAGTCGTTTTGGAAGGTCGGATAAGCAATCCCTCGTGTTGGTAGTACCACACAAATATAAGAAAAAGAGACAATGAAGAACTTTCAAGTTTATCAGTATTATGCTAGAATCTGTCTATGTGTAAATTACATGGTAAATCCGCTTTCAAGATCCGGGAATTTCAGTTCTTACAATAAACATCAAAAAGACGCGTCCTGTAAGCAAATTGTTTATAAATTAAAAAAACCTAATGGTGTAAAGTTTCACCAGCTTCTAAAAATGGTATTGAAAGAACCATGCATGCACATGTAAAGTAAGTGCTTCGTCAAATGAAAGGAAAAACGAAATTAAACATGAACCATACTATTTTCACAAAGATATTCTGACGTTTTACTATGGATACGCGCAAGTCAACAAGTACGCGTAACGGCATTCTCTTGCGGCTAATCACTATGTCGGTCAGAAACATATCTATATACAAAAGAAAAAGAAAACAAACTAAATGTAAATAGTATTGACAGATATTAAAATTTTGTAAGCTATCAGTATTTCATTCTTCCAGCAAGGTTACTCAAAAGGTTTTTTACATTAATTGAATCATTTTAAAAAAACAATATAAATAAACAATTTTTTTAATACTAACACTTTACCTATCTAAAAACAACTAACTATAAAGAGACACGTAAAATTACTTTTATTTTCCAAAAAATATTGTTTTCATTACTTTACTGGTTTTGTTTATTAGTACACGTCCTTACAATACGTTATCCTCTACAAATAATTTGGTATTTCTCGCTAAGCTAAGATGGTCGTCTATGACAAAGTCAGGGCACTTAATCCGTATCTTAATTTTTTTCCAAGGAGTCAGCTTTGTGAGAGGAAAACGAACAATTCCAAGGCGTATTGAATTATATAATAAAATTGTAGATATATATGTTCAATTGAGGAGGGCGTGTCTTTTTTATGCTTGAGTATGGACGCCGGTAAGCCCCATTATGGACTTGTTATATGGAAACTGTTGAAGGCTTCAATTCCTTTCATCGTTATATTCGCCGTTATTTTTGGGTTTTTCAAATCTTACGGAACTGGAAGTGTCTATAATATTCAACTTCGCGTTCAGGAGAAGCCTTTTATTTATGAAGAATGGGGAGACGATGCATTATCGTATGCTACCGACCGTAATATAAATTCTTACACAAAAGTGAATTGTGTTAATAAAATAGACCAAGGCGGAGAATGCGAGAACCTTCATCTTCACGAAGCTCATACCGGGTCCGATTTTCTTGAAGGTCACGGTCACGACCCGACGGCCAAGATAATAAAAGAATGGAATTATAAAATCCCAAGAGTTATTCATACATTTGTAACGGATGATAACATGTACTTATCTCAGTTTACAGAATTCGAAGTCGACATCCGTTACAGACATCCTGACTGGGAATATGTGAAATGGTCGGAAGAGCATTTAGAAAGATTGATCCAAAGCAATTTCCCTTCTTTTTTGAAATCATGGAGAATGCTTAATCGCCCAGCTAGAGCACAATGGGCAACATTGATGGGGCTTTACGAGTATGGAGGTTTATGGATTTCTCGTTCCTTTCAGGCTTTAAAGAATTTTGATCATGCTATTCAAGTCGCTGAAAGATCTGCTTTACTGAATTCTAGAAATTATTCTAATCCTAATTTAATCGAATATCACCCTTTATTCTTGGCTCCGAAGTCTTTACAGTATGATTTCTTTATGGCCTCCCCAAGACATCCTTTTGTTTTATCCCTTATCAAAGAACTTTACGAATCAAATGTACCAGAATCTTTGTTGAATAGACATCCCTTTCAAGGAGTTTCAGAGTTTTCAAACTTTATGGCACTGAACGCTACGAAAATGTATGACAAGACATATATCATGAAAGAGTTTTATCTTAAAGACAAGAGAAAATTCGTGGAATACAATCCACATATCATCGCTCTCCCTGACTATACTTTTGCTAGTAGTTGGTCTCATCCATCGGACGTTGAATCATCAGACATCTGTTTCCTTGACAATGGTATGTTTGATCCTCAATATTGTGTGGATAACGTCTTAAATATGAACGGAACTGAATGGGGAATTTTTTGGTTACCAGTTTACGATCTTTTGGGAATTTGATTATTGTCTTTCCTCTCTTTCTCTCTTATATACATTTACGTTGTTTATTTATAGTCATTACTATCAGCCCTCAAAGACCTTTTCATGGTTTGCATCATCCTCGTCATCATTTTTTCTTTTATTAATTTGGTTTGCCTTACATTCGTTTTTATTTCTGCCCCGTGAATTACTGACAGCAGTTCTCTGCGTGTTTTTATGCTCAGTTTTTACTTATTTTCTTTATGAAATTTTTCACTGTTTTATATTTTCTTTTACGTTCTGATTTTGAATTTTGAATTCAAGTTCAACTTTGAAGCTACGTTAATATAAATATTGAACAATTTAAATCTTACTTTTTTATCGAGTTATAAACGAACTTGACTTCCTTTGACTTGCTCTTTACATACTTTCTTTTGTTTTACGCAGGTTATTTTCAATCAAGCTTGCTAGTCAATTCAAACAGTTTATTTTCGTATTTGTTACTAGTCTATTTATTATTTTATCCTTAGAATTCGGTAGATATCAGTATTTGAATACCGCCCTCGGCTATATTCGGCAAAGCTTATGGTAGTAGTATTATTTACGTGAATCACGTAGATGACCACTTCAAATTGAAAGAATGTAAAATATTTTGTTTTTGGATTATAAAGGCTATTTTTTATGATTTTTTTTTTAATGTGAAATAAAATACAATGAGTGGAATAGAACTTTTGAATTCAGCAATTGATGCTGCACTTCTAGAGTTAAACGATTTTACACTATTTTCGAAAAGGGAAAAGTCAAACCCTTGTTCTTTATTAACAGCAATATTCGTAAAAGCACTACATAAGGAAACGAACAAAAATGTAGTTCTAAAATTTTCCTTGCAAATCGCCAAGCTCGAAAATGAATACTTTTTGTTGCGACAATTATCGTCTTTTTCAAAGGGCGATAGCTATACTATACTCCCAAGATACAGACTGCTTTTGAACAAATCTATGGGAGTACTCATATTTGATGACCCTGGCCCTGATCTTGTGAAGGATTGGTTGTCTGATTCGCGTCCGGTGGATTTGAGGTTATTTTATAAATTTGCTTTGGCTGCATGCCATACTCTCTCTTTTATGCATGATAAACAGTTTGTTCATGGAGAAATTCGCCCAGACTCTTTTCATTATAACACTGATAATTCTATATATGCTAAACTGTTGACTATTGGAACCAGTGTTTCACCAATTCGATTTACATTATCTTCATTAAATTGGCAAAAACTATATCAAGTTGATGATATTCGCCATAAGCTCCAGTTTTTTAGTCCAGAACAAATTGGCAGTGTGGGTCGACCATTAGACAGCCGTTCCGATATTTATTCTTTAGGTGTTACATTCTATGTCTTGTTGACGAAATGCTACCCATGGGGTGGAAAACCAATGCGTATAGTTCAATCCATCCATACTCGACAGTTCCCTTCCGTTTTGTCCAGACGTCCTGACGTACCCATAGCACTTGATCAGCTTATCCAGAGGATGACTACCAAATCTATTGAGGAACGTTATAGCGATACTGATGAACTCTGTCTCCTTTTCTATGAGCTTTTGTTGCACCATTCATCTTCGCTTAAACAGGTTAGTTTCAAATTCAACAATTCTGTTTTAAATTTTAATAGTAAAAAAGAATTGAGTTTCCCAAAACTTATAATATGTAATCCCTCTGATTACACCCAAATATTTCAAGAACTGGCTCGCTTTTCTTCAAAACGCGAGGTTTTTACGAGCGGAAAAAATATATTACGAATTAAGAAAAAGCACTTATTCAAGAATTCTTCAGTTCAAAATGAAGCGACGTATTGCCATATTATTACCGTAACAGGTGGAAGCGGTTCCGGCAAAACAACTCTGTTACAATCTATTGCAGTAGAAGCAAGAAAATTCGGTTATTTTGCGCTGTGTTCTTTTCAGAATATCCACGCTTCCCCCTTTTCTGGTGTTTTTGATTGCGTCTCACAGGTTTTACGCCAAGTACTTCGTGAAGAAATGGAGACCGTAATTAATTATTTCTCTTCTCTATGGGAGTTTCTTGGAGAAGAACTCGTTTATATGGGACCATTATTTGAATGTGTTCCAGAGCTCAATTATCTTTTATCTCCCAAATATAATTACCATTGTAAACACGAAAATTACATAAAATTTAAACCGAGAGATCCTCAGGAATTAAGAAGTGCTAGTGGTCGTTTGGGGTTTATCGTCTGTCTTCTCGAAATCTTAAGTTTCACATGTCGGATACGGTCTACCATCATTGTTTTAGATGACCTTCATCTGGCTGACGGTTGTTCTATATCACTTATTCGTGGCATCATAGCACGCAGATTACCAATTCTAATGATATTGTCTTGGAGTGATCATTTTGCTATGGATACTCTTCCGTTGTATATAAATGAAATACCTCAGGCTATGGTCACTCATATTAAGATAAAGCCTTTTGACCGAAAAAATATTTTCGATCTTTTGGGCTATTATCTGCGGTATCCCACCCAAACCTTAGACCCATTAGCTCGATTTCTACAGAACGTTAGCTACGTGAATCCTTTGGTTCTAAAGGTTACTTTAGACATTGCACGTAACAATAACTATTTCAGATTCAACGAAAAAATTAATTCCTGGACTTATGATCTGCGGTTAATAGAACAAAAATATAGAACTTTAGCTTCTTGTGAATTACCGCAAGTCATATCAAATTATGTAGAAGATATTTTCCCCGATAAAGTTAGAAAGTTCTTAACTTGGGCTGCTTTACTTATTTCGCCCTTTTCTTACGACTTGTTATACCTGGTAACTAAACCTTTAGGCTTATTCATCCCCCTTCACGAGGTACTTGAATTTCCTCTTCCAATTTTCAGTTTCTCTGGGGATTGGATGGATTGCAGATTTACTTCTAGTAACATACGGGAAGGATTTTTGTCTGGAATTAGTGCAGGAGAGGCAGAAACCATGCACGCTCTCATTGCCCGTGCGTTGATCGAAGGGGAAGCTAAGAAGTTCTTCAAAAATGATAGTGTTCATCATATTCTAAAAGGGTTGGGTGTCGTGAAAAAATTTCCAAACACAAAACCTTACATTTTGGCGATGCAGACTGTATCTGACCATTTAGTTCAATTTGGGGCCTACATGTATGCTAAGGAGTTACTGAAAGCTTGTTTTTTTCTATTAACAAAGAAGCCATCTTCCGAAGGTCATCTAAATAACCATGAAATGACAAGACTACGCATAGGTATGGCAATGTGCTATTGGTGGAACAAAGACAATAAAAATGCTTTCGCTATTTTACGAAAAATAAATTTGGATACGGTTTCTATATCTGAATATCTTCCAGCATTGAGACTTTTGGCGAAGATTGAGTGTTATCAAGGCAAATCAGAAAATATCATCGAAAAAGTCATTACAATTTTTGAGCGACTGAATTTTCATTTTGAAAAAGATATAAACGAAGAAGTATTAAACAGGTTATTTGATGACTTATCTTCGAAGTTTCTTTCGTGCAATTTCAAGATCCAGCGCCGCGAGCCTATTGATCCGGAGAAGATTAACATAATATCTACTTTGCTTTCTGATATCTGCTTTATTTTCTTCAACGCCTCCCAAGATTATTACTACTACTTTTCGTTTTTACTAGCGAAACTTTACTACGAATACGGCGATACTTCTCTAAGTTATTCGCTCATCTTCTTGGCTTCGTACAGTTACGTTAAAAGAAGGCGACCAGAAATTTTTTTAAGGATAATCCAAACATATCCGTCAATTTTTGCATTACCAGGAAGAAGTGCCAGCATCCATGCCGAGCTGATACATTGGGTGATGCGTAATGAATATAATATGTTTGAGGATCATCCTAGTATGAGAAATCAGTCTCTAGAAGGGATTTTACTTCGTTGCATTATATTTGGTGACAAAATATATGGGTCTTATTTGCTGGCACGTTTGACGGCACAACGACTTATCCGTGGAGCTCATATACACCAACTTCTGCTCGATCAAGAAAATGCAGAAACGCTATTACTTTTATGGGAAATTGAGAAACCCTTTAGCCAATATGTATATCTTTGTCGAAGTGTATTGTTGGCATTATTCGGCCTGACTAACAATAATGACCCTAACAATGTTCTTTCGACCAATCAAAAGTCTCAGGAGACCTTGTCTGAGCAGTTCTTGTTTAAGAAGCCATCTACTTATTGTACTTGGTATTACTCGTGCTTAATCTATGTATGTACATTGTTCAAACATTATGATCACGTGGTAGAGATTGCTCTAGAATATCTGTCAGTTTCGGACTGCAAAATATTAGAACAGTTCTACAGAGTAGTTAGGGGATTTATAGGCATTTCTGCTGCACAGATTTTATACGGGAAAAAAGACATGTCTGACGATGAGAAGCAAAAGCTATCGTTCCTGTTAAGCAGGGTTTTGGATGCAATGAAGGATTTTGCTTACAATTATAAAATTAAAAGCTATTTGTTATGGGTTTATTTTCTACAAGGCATGATATTCCGAAATGAAGGGGATTTTATGAACGCGGCAAAAAACTTTGAAAGAGCTGTAGATGTCGAGCATCAAAAATTTTCTAAAATAGAATTGGCTCTATTATTTGAAATTATCGGTGAATTTTATTTTACGGCTTCTTTTACGTTTCTTTCGAGATCTTATTACCTGCGCGCTCTTAACCACTATAGAGATATAGGATGCTACGGCGTTGAAAATAGGTTAAAGAAACTACTTTCTGAAAAGTTTTCTCTTTCACTTAATCAACCGGTATTTTCTTCGAAGTCCACTATGATGGATAGTGCTTTCCGAGAGATACCTGATTTAATGAAGAAGGACATCAACGATTTCAGTCTCACATCGCATGACTTCTTGTTTCAGAAAAAGGAAATCGATTTTTTTACGAGTTGTGATGCAAGCGTAAAACAGAGTGAAGACGAAAAAGAATACGATTATAGCTATGAATATGATGGTGGACATTTGGACATTGTGTCTCTTATATCGGTCATCAAATGTGGACAGCTTTTATCGAGTAAATTAAGACTTGCATCTTTACTTACTACAGTTATAAAACTGATTATTGAGTATTCTCAGGTTGACTTTGCTGCAGTTATCTTGAAGAGTGATTCTCAGTTTGTATTATCCGCTTTTGGTAATTCAACATATAGCGAAGCTTTAGAGCCTGCTCTACCTTTATGCGAGTCGGATATAAAAATTCCGGAAATCGTTCTGTCTGAAGTTTTCACCAATTCACGTATGGTTACGCTGGAAGGTGTATCTAAATCAGAAGACGAAGATGTTATAAATTGGCTTCAGGAAGAACACAACTTGAATTCTTTCATAATTATACCATTGCAGTTTAAAGACACTGTGATAGGTGCCTTATATCTCCAGCTTCCCCGTAATTTAATGCACTTTGGAAATGTTATATTTTTGAAGCTTTTGTCTCAGCAAATTGCGATAAGTATATCAAATGCTCTCCTATTTCAAAACCTTCGTCATACTATTACTGACAACGTTTCGCTGATCGAGTCACAGCAGATTTCATATCAAAGATATAAGAATATCGAAGAACAATGTATAACTTTATTGGACTCCCTTCCTTGCATTGTTTGGACTTTGGACTCTAAAATAGGAGAAATAGAATTTACGAACGCATCCAAACACGACTATTTTGGGACGGTAGACACTGATGGTTCTCTTAGCTGGAAGAAGTTTATACATCCAGAACAACATACGATTTTTCAAAAGAAACTTGAAAATTTGAAAAGTGAAGAGTTTGGTGAGCTTGAACTTCTTTTAAAAAAGAGTGGCAGCTTTCATTGGCATCTATGTCGTGGTTTACCTTTGCAAAGAGGTTCAAGCAACACGAAATGGATTGTAGTTTGCATAGATATCAATGATGAAAAAGAAGCAAGGGAAGCTGCTATACGTGCCGTAAACCTAAAGGCAAATTTTCTGGCAAGTATGTCCCATGAGTTACGAACACCCTTCTCGAGTTTTTATGGTATGCTATCGTTGCTTAGTGACACCAAACTCAGCGATGAACAACATGATATTGTTTCTACTGCTAAACAAAGCTGCACTTCGTTAGTGCAAATAATCGATGACTTACTAAATTTTAGCGAGCTAGAGTCTGGGAAAATAAAACTTGAACCTAGCAAAATTTTCGATGTCGAAGAAAATATCGCGGATTGTATTGAACTAGTATATCCTTCGATAGCAGACAAACCTGTCCAAATTTCGTACGATATCTACCCAAACGTTCCTGCTCTTCTGGCCGGTGATATTGCAAAGCTAAGGCAGGTCATTACAAATCTATTAGGAAATTCAGCCAAGTTTACAAAAGAAGGCCATATTCTTTTACGTTGTTCAATTAAAGATGATCCGAAATTGTCAGATGCTGATTGTTATTTATATTTTGAAATAGAAGACACCGGAATTGGATTAAAACCAGAACAGATGAAACTCTTATTCAAGCCTTTTACTCAAGTAGATGGCAGTACCACACGCATTTACGGCGGTTCTGGTCTTGGACTATCAATTTGCTTAGAAATATGTAAAATAATGGATGGCAATATTGGTGTTGAATCTGTGTACGATGAAGGATCGACTTTCTGGTTTTACGTACGATTAAGTAAAGCCACTTTTAAATTATCTCGTGAGCATTTTAAAGAAACTCATCAAAACTTTGCTAGAATAATAGAAGCATTAAAGTCAACTCGAGTGTTGATAGTTGAGTCCTTTATCACTACGAGGTCCCTATTTAAATCACTGTTTTCTCTTGCTTATTCGAAAACTGTACAGTTAACAAAGAACGTTGAAACAATCTTACTCGAAGCACAACAAATTAATAGCCCTTATGATTTCCTTTGTATTGAGGCTTCAAACAAGGAATCGGAAAGCCTAATTATGAAAATACTAGCCAACCCCTTACTTCGAAATACCTCATTAATAATCCTAATGCCTTCTTTACAAAGAACTAAATTAAAATCAGCGGTAAACGCTGACCCGTTTGTTACTATCCTTGACAAAAATCAGAATCGCGTTTCGTACTTAGCAGAACCTGTCCGATTATCGAAACTAATTCAAAATGTGAGCTTTCTATTAACTAAAAGAGCCAACCACGATAAGCTTTCCGATACTTCGAAACTTCAAGTTTCTACTCATAAAGCACGCCCGAAAGAAGTATTTAATTCTGAGGAATTGCAAATATTGAGAACGAAGGTTTGTTTGATAGCGGAAGACAATTTAATCGCTCGGAAGTTATTAAGTAAGCAATTAACGAATTTGGGACTCGAAGTTGAGACTGTGAATGATGGACAAGAGTTGGTCGAAATATTTAAATCTAAACCTCATGGATATTATGGTATAATATTCGCAGATTACCACATGCCGATCTGTGATGGAGCCGAAGCTGTTAGCAAAATCCGTGCTTACGAAAATTCACAGAACACGGGGAACTATGTCCCTGTGATAGCTCTTACAGCGGATATACAGAAGTCTGCTAAACAGAAATGTTTAGATGTAGGCATGAATGACTACCTTACGAAACCTTTTACCCAGCAGCAGCTTCAAGGTATGATCAGAAAATACTTTTTGCAGGAACAAGACTCGTAATTGCCTTGATTTTTTTTTGGAACTTTTTGAATTCTTAATGGCTTCAATGTTGTAATAGATTACTTACTATTTACTGATGATCTACTTAGTGTGGTTATGAATAAGACTTATATTTATTGGGATGTATGCGCAATAACTACAATTGGAATTATTTTCTATTTTAAGAATATGTATCATGAATCTTAGTCTTCTTATATTTTATTTATTTTTTTTTGGAAAATATTTCATTAATTTCTAGCGGCTAGATCAACACCACTTTTTATACTTGCAATCATTGCACTAAGTTGAATTTTTTCCGAGCAACCAAATGACATACGGTGTTCAATAGCTGCCAACTGGTCCAAAATGAAAATACGTGTATTAGCTGGTAATTGAAGTTCATCCAATGCTTCAAAGATGCACGTAGTTATATCTTGCAAAGCCAAGCCTTTTTGTTGCTTAATGGAAAGAATTGCTAGAACAGTTAAATAAGTTCTTAAAACTTGAAGACATACCATTATAGGCAGTAACGAATTCTTCATTCATTACCGATTTGATGAAATAATCTATGTCTGAAGGATGAGGCTGGCCAACGCAATTGTAAACGGAAGACTCATCGATGTGTTCGTAAGCTGCATGGCAGGCTTGTAGAATATTAAGAGCTTTACGCATATCACCCCTTGATAACTTCAGGACGGCATCTTTGGCTTCTGAATCTATGTTACAATGCTCATTATCAATAACGTGGTCAACATATTTTTCAACTTCCAAAGAAGGAAGTGGTTGAAAACGGAAACGAGTACACCGTGACTGAATAGCAGGTGCAATTTTGTTAATATAATTGCAAATAATACAAAAACGAACGTTTTTCGTGTACTTCTCAATGACTATAATCATAAGGAAGCATGAGCATAAATGTAAAACTATAGTAGATTAACTTACCTCTTCGAAGTGCATTTTGTGCAGCAAGAGTCATAGCATCCGCTTCATCCAAAATAATCATTTTAAATGAGGATCTACAAAAAGTTAGTTTTGCAACATCAGACCCTAGATATATTTTGAAAACTCACGAGAAAATTTGACGCGTGCTAGCAAAGTTTTTAATTTGCTCTCTGACGGCATCTATACCACGGTCGTCACTTGCATTCAGTTCCATAACTTGATTACGAAACTGAGGGCCATATACCTTTCGAGCACAGGCAAGGATAGTAGATGTCTTTCCTGTTCCTGGAGGACCGTAAAATAACATATGGGGAACTTTGTTTGTACTGATGAATCGATCCACTAAAATGTTAGTGCCAATATTTCCCACATGAATGCTGAATAAAACCTTACGTGTAGAAATAATATCTTTATGTGCAACTACATCTTCTAATCCTGAAGGACGATATTTTTCCACCCTAATTGACAATTAGTATGAAACCTGGAAACAATGTTCTATGAATTCGAAGCTCGTGCATCCTTTAATCTAATAAACAATTAATCCAAAAGAGTTTTCATTTTGCGTCTAGCATTCGCTGAAAGTAAGAGATATGCAATACACGTCAAAAATAACAATTCAATATCGAACATGATCCATTCGTAATACATACCATGGAAGAGTTGATTCGTCCTGTATAGGATTATCTATATCCATAGCTCGTCCTTTTCCTTTATCCATTGCCGATATAGAAGATTGTAAGTCAATATGCTACAGATGGATGTTTGTCGTAGTGAAATAGCAAGACACCTAAGGTAAGACGACAGTCGGAAGATTAGGAAGTTTAGAATTGAATTTGAACAGCTCTACATATAATCGTTGTTCCTATTCAAAAAATAAATTAAAAACAAGATACGCGGATCGATCATAAGCTGAAACCATCGAAAAAAACTTTCTTACCAAAAATAAAAGCTAATGGAACATTTCCCTACATTAAACTTATCTTTACTTACTATTATTTCCTATCACACGACTACAAATACGACTACATTGTCACGCTGCTAGTGCAATATATCAATGTCCTAGATTGCTCACTACCATATGTGCACCAAACGGCTTTTAATTATTAGCATAACCTGAATTGAAAGAGTTTTCAATAGTGAATCTTTTTAATTGTATGATAATAGAAGCAGAAATTAAGCCCATTCGGAAGGAGCAGCACCGGTGGTATTCCATTCAGCATCACCTTCCCAAGTGGTTTGACCAACTTGACCTGCGGTAGCATTATCCAAAACGGTAGGGTCAACAGTTCCGGCAGCGCTGTCATTCACCTCGAATTCAGCGGCAGCAGTTTGAGCAGCCAATTGAGCCTCTTCCTCGGCAGCAGCAGCAGCAGCAGCCTTGGCTTCCTCCTCACGCTCAACTTCCTCGGGATCACGATAGAAGTAGAGATCGGGCATGATCTCCCAAGGAGTGGTGCGGGAGATGTTACCACGGAGACGAAGGACTTCACGAGCCAAAAGGTACCAGTTCAAACCGATGGCCTTATAACCCTTGTTGTTCGTAGGGATAGCAACATCAACATGGTTCAAGCAAGAGTCAGTGTCGGCAAGAGCAATGACGGGAATGTTGACGAAAGAAGCTTCTCTGATAGCTTGAGCATCAGCACGAGGATCAGTAACGATGATCAAGCGGGGCTCACGGTAAGTACGGGTGATATAGTTAGTGAAGTTACCGGGAGTGAAACGACCAGCAATGGCAGTAGCACCAGTGTGGGCAGCAAACTTCAAAACTGCACGGTGACCGTAAGCACGAGTAGAAACGACACAAACGTCAGCAGGGTTCTCAATAGTGGCAATGATACGAGCAGCGAGAACGAGCTTTTCCCAGGTCTTGCCCAAATTGAGGATATGGATACCGTCGGAACGACGCTTCCAAACATAGGGTTCCATACGGACTTCCAAGTTCTTGGAGCCGATATGGCAGTCGGCAGCTAAAAGCTTCTTGATATCATCATCAGTAGCATTTAAAACTGATGGACGGGCTACGGATTCTGCCATTTTGCTTAGTGCACCTCTTGGTGGTTGGAGGAAATTTCGTATTCCTCTTGGTCTTGGTGTTGTCGCCCCGTGACTGCTTTTTCAACCCAAAAGAAATCTAGCGTCGCCTAACGCAACATCATTTGTAAGGTAAAAGCCAAATTGTGATTTAGACAGTAGTGAGTTTTATAGCACGTTATACCACACTTGAAATCTTAAATACATTCCCTCCCAGCATTGCTTTTCGCAGTGTATTCCTTTAGGTAAAATTAAACTCTCATTGTCAATTATTTTCAAATATTGAAAGTAACTTCAACAGAATTTCTGTGGAAATTCAGCGTTTCATCTCGGTTTTTTTTTACATGAACTGGCTTCTTACATAGTGATAAATGAGACGAAAGCTTAATTATCAGATCTTCGTTTGTAACGTCAATGACTTATTGATCCAAATCATAAAAAGTTTTTCTTTATTCATAAGCCATTTCTAAAAACTACGTACACGAAAATCCTCTATTTTTTTTGAAATCTCAGCGACCGTGCGATCCAGTTCGTTCGCAATCACTTCCTGCTTTTCACGAGGAAGATGATAGTATGTTTCACACAAATCACCGTCAATGACACCTTTCACAGGTGCATAATAGCTTCGGTATGCTAAATGATCTCGACCAGATAACATAGGCACTTCTTTTCGCAAAAAGAATTCGATCTGCTGAAAGAACCGAACGTCTTCTTGATTTATGAAAGGCGTAAATACACCTACCGTTCCTAGAAGACCAGTCCATAACAAAACCTCTCTTGCTCCTTCAACCAATTGTACTTTTTTCATGGACGTAGGTATATCATTCGTATAAAAATGTGACAACAATTCCAGTTTATGGGGGGTAGAATTCAAAAACGGTTTTTCATGCAAAAGTTTAGACGCAGAATTTTCTTCATCAGAAAGCCTCGACACATCCGCAGGACATCTTAGAAGCCATAGATTCCCAAACTTGTCACCCCCTGCTACTGTATCATAATCTACCATAATTGAGGTCGTACACCACCGTTGAATAGGATCATCTGCGAAAACGAGAAACCGGTTTTCATCGTGTTTATACACCACATATCTTATAGAACATTGAGAATCACCAACAATAATTCTGCTTCCTTGAACATCCAAACGAGTTATGAACAAAGGAACAGGAGCTATCTCACATTTTCGGAGTACCTTTTTGTTGCCAAGTTCATAAATTCTCAAATATTTTCCGACACCGGCTAACATCCTTCCTTGGAAGGGACGAAGGCACATTGGAATGTCATCCGTTTCAGTATGGCTAACTAACTCGAGACTAGCCCCCTCATCCTTAAGTCTGTAGACGCGGATATTACCATGAGAACAAGCTCTACTTTCAAGATTAACATTTGTAGCCGAACCAGTAACTAGAAATAACTCATCTTTTGACTTAAAATGAACCATCTCGACACAAAAAGCAGCTTCATTGTCGCCGAGCTTACAAGTGTGAACCATTTGCTTGGATTTCAAGTCAAAAATTGATACATATGACGACCACTCCTTCTCTTTAATTGGGTTCAAATCTTTATTCGCACGTGACGATAAAGAATGAGAGCCCAAATCCTGATAATTTTTGGAGCTATTGAAATTCCTTTCACTCTGTAAAATGCATAAAATAGGAAGTGTCGGGTGTTTCACCAACTTTCGTGGTGTACACATAAGCGGATATATTTCTGATTTTAAGTCATCCACAAGACTGTCAATCGTAAATATTTTCAGAACATTCTGATGTACGGCAACAATACCTTGAGGGCATTGCTCACTAGCGAACGAAGAAACGTGTTCAATTGTTGAATAAGAAATGGGGGAAAGTTGTAGATTTTGTAAAAAAGAATAAGCCAAGTAAGCTCTTGTAGAGACAGCCAGTACGGTTCTCTGGTCTTTTATAAAAATTGGGTACAGTTTGACAGGTTTCGGACCTAAAAACCGAGTGCGGGTATCTAATAACTGTCCAGAAGTCACATCTACGACAGTTCGCAGGTAAACACCATTCATCAAACCAATATGGAGGTATAAGGTAGAATATCCTCCGACCGCCATGGAAATGATACACAATGAATTAGCAGGTGAACTTAAGGCCTGAACACTCAAACTTTCTAAGGTCGTGTAAAGATCTAAAGACAAGACACGTACAGTAGCATCGTCGCAAGCTAGACAAAGAAAATTACTACGCTTTGAGCCTTCAGGAACCGGCCCCAAAGCAAGCGCAGTAACGTTTGCTGTAAGTGTTTTTCTTTCTTGGTATTCATTTAACTGACCGCCCTCAACGTCGTCACTCATTTCAAAATACACAAGCTCACCATTATTCAAAGCTATTACTATTTGAGTCTCATTGATGGTTGACTGGGTAATGAACAAATCAGCTGGTAACTTCCATTCACTAATTTGTTTATTAGAGCGAATATGTCGTATACCCTTTGAATAAACTTGAAGAAGTGAGTCTTGGCCCATTTGATGTACGTTTAGCGTAGAAACGGATGATAACAGTCCACTGTCTGATACTTCCTCAACAGTTTCTCCTATGGATAATACTAAAGTACCATTCGTAAACGACAAAATTATATAAGAATCATACATATCGTTGCGGGATAGCTTTAAAGTCCATATCGCGATAGGAGCACCTGGAATTTCTGAGGCAACAATTTCGGTCGTTTCCAAACCACGCTTTAAACGACGAAGAGAAGAAGCATTTCCACGTCCGCAGATTGCATATATCTGGGTTGGGTCATCTAAAGCAGGACTCTTAACCACTAAAGAGTCCGTCATGGGATAAAGGCAAGGAACCTCATCAACCAAAGATAAATTTTGCAAACCACGTACTTGGTATGATATATTCTTACCAGTGGTAACGAGAGAGTCATTAGGATATTCCAAAGAAGAGATTTCTAACTCCCCATCATCTAACCCAAGATTCTCGAACTGATATAATTGATGATTTCCACCTTCACAAGATATAAATAAGAACCCTGTTTTCAAAATATTAAGTTCTACTGAAAGAGGTATCGTGTCGAAGTATTTCATGCGTAATTCATTTACGTTGCCTTGTCCATCGTGCTCTACCGTGAGTTTTAATAGATCGCCTTCGTGAGTTTGCAGCAAGTAGAAAAACGATCCCTTCATTCTGTGCATTACGGCGGAGACAATGACGGGAAGCCGTGTTCCCTTGCTTTTCGAACTTGGTTCTGCCCATGGTGTAGCTGCCTCTACCGTTTCATTACCTTTTCGGCGCATTATAGGTATTTCATGGAATTGCCTTTGTAAATGTCTATATGAAACCCATCCTTCAGATATCACGAGAGTGCCAGATGGACCATCGTTACCCCCGGGTACTGGCAGAAGCATGTAAGAACTACGATCAACCACTTTTGACCAACGCCTAACGACATGATTGAGTCCAAGGTCAAGTTCGTAGTAGGTCAAAACTTTTTCTACATTCTCATAAGCTTGACCTGAATGGTCATGATCAATGTCACTGTAGTCAACTTCTATGGCTGCAAATATTGGGTTGGCATATCCAGTATCCAGACCCACAAGACTGAAACAAATATTGCCTGCTTTATGGGCTTCAAGCGGTGAAGATATTGTAAGATCTGCTTCAGCATCACGATTTAAAACATAAACCAACTTATTTTTTTCAACAGAAGCAACCATTGCTGCACGACCCTTGGCATCAACAGCCAAATATTCTCCTGGAACAACCCTTCGAATCCCTGACTTTCCAAATGCTTCTTGATATACAGGAACAAGCCTATTAAGGTTTAGATCATATTGCAAAACTGTGATCCGTCCGGAATCTGAAGTTACAATCAAGTAGTCGCGTTTGAAACCAGTTAAACGAAGAGGAGCGACATTTCTTATGATTCCAAAGCAATTGTGATTCAAAATACAGCTTATTCGACCATCATTTGGATCCACTTTATATACCAAAAGTCGAGATTCTGTAGCTAAAACAATTTCTTGCACTTTTTTACCAGATAAAGATGCCACGCATGAACTCTGCACATAATTACTGTTTTGAATTGTCAGTGAGTACAGAAACAGAGACGGAAACGTATCCATCTTGTGTCTCTTAAAATGAAACACAACTCTGGATGAATTGAACGTATCCAAGTGAAAAATGTAACTACATATTTTAACGATAAACAACGCGGTTCAGTAGTCAATAAAATATAGAAATAATTAAACATGATTAATATTTGTTCATATCCATATGGTTGTAACTAAAATATATGTATAACTTTACCGATTTCTATAAATCCGTGATAAAGACTCCTTGTCTTCTCAAATTTTGAACCATCGATGTTTTTGAGTTTGTTCCGAATAAACAATACCATAGGAGGCAGCAGTATCTTGCTCTATGTAGTCAAATCTGGAAGGAGAAAAATCATCACCGAATACATGAGTCCATACTGCATCACGAAGTGGGATGATGGGAACAGTACTCATGTACTCTGGTAAATTTCCCATTTCGTAAATGGACTTGTCGATGGGTATAAAAGGTATTTTATCAATGGAAACTTCACACATGAATGTTTGATTTTGACATTCAGCCAATATTATTAAGGTATTGCAGGGAAAAACCTTTGCTTCCAAAACATTAGTTGAGACAGCGTTTATCTGATCGGCCTGAAGAAAATAAGGAGCATCCAGTTGAAAATGACAACATGAAGACGGTAACATTTGTCCATTTTGAAGAGCGCATAATAATATGTACATGTCGGGATGATTTTTTTTAAAATAGACGGATTTTTGAATTGGAGTTTCAGGCTTGGATTCAAAAAGACAGGCAGAAACTAGCCAATCGTTGCCTTGCAATAATCTAATACTTGCTGTTTTTATCCATTGACTTCGGCAAGCCAAGGATGGATAACTAAAAATGACATCAAAGGAAATCCGCAAAGCACTAACGACATTCTGAAACGTGGAATTGCAAGATGTGGATTCCTTAGCTTCTTCAGGTTTCCTGTTAGCAACAAAGTAGGATGTTAATTGAGAATGCATTAGAGAATTCCGGATATACCTTACAGTATCCTGTATATGATCAATAATTTCCTGAGGAGGAATTGTTGCTGGCTCAGTCGAAACAAACTCACGCATAGCGTAATTTAACCAACCCACATAACGTTTCATTTGGGTGTTTTCTTTTTGGAGTGAAGATAAAAATGTAAAAGAGAGTGCCTGAAGTGACGAAAGGGAAGACATACAATTATCAATCAACTTTGGATCAAGCAAGCTATCTCCTTTCATGACTCCCCAAATCGCCTTTCCTCGTATTAGATTAAGCAATATCCCTAACCTCTCCGAAGCAGGAAGTATAAATTCTTGACAAAACGTAGACAAAGATCGACAAGCATTTACAATTAACTTTTCCCAATTTTTTATAATTCGATCTCCAACTCTCTCTGTCAACCACTCTTTCAATATGGGGGTGGGTATGCCATTCATTATAAACTGATAAAGTTCTAGCTCAGGAGAGAATGTATTATTTTTTTGTTTCTCAAAAATCTGAGTAAAAGAATTTCGTAAGCTATTTTCAGCCTTGACGATATTATCAAACTCTTCATACATTGCATCCACTGTTTCTTCGATATACCTCACAAACAACTGCATTTTTGTTGACATTGTGGCTATATCTACTATGTTTCGCAACCCGTTCTCTAGCAATGGCATGTATAGGGTTTGCAAGCTGCTGTATCCTTGATCAGAACAATTTAAAACATGATACGCCATCTGTTTGCAAATATGGTAGGATTTAGGTAGTTTCTTTTGAAGTTAGAAGGTATTATAAAACAGACTATAAGCTTACCATGTTGAGAGCTGAATACAATGAATCGCCTTCACCAATTTTGTAGGAGGAAAACATGCTTTAATTTTTGTTAGCTCAAATTAATGGAATAGCATACTCACTTTATTTGGCGAATACCTTCCTCATCCAGGACACTTAATAACTCGATTTTCTGAGACCTAGAATGCTCAGAATTGGAAGGCTTAAAAAACTCAGCGATTGCTTTAGAAGAAAATATCCGTTCCCTTCAGTCATAGTCAGTAAGCAGTAATGCTATCCAGAAGCTTACCCTTTGGAGGAGCTAGGAAGCGTTCCCAGTAAGGGCATGTATGATATAGGGTCAAATGTAAAATCAGGTTGATTGAAAAAATCAGAAGAATCCTCAACTGTCCATGTAATCATGGTGATAGGAATATCTCTTGAAGCAGGGCGTTGTTCGACAACATGACCAGTTGAGGAATCAACAAATTTGAGTTCTCCATTCTCAAAGCCCACTACCAGTAGATGACCTTTTCTGTGTTAATAATAAATACGATAGTTAATCTATTACCAGGAATCACATAAAATCCATACCATCTTGATGCCAACAAAGAGCTGTAGCTTTTAATCCTTCAAATCCAACATCCCAAATTTTCTGTCCTGTATTTCTAAGCGCAATTAGACGATTTGCATTCGTTATTACAGCTAATAGTTCCATGCTTGGGCATAGTGAGGCCTTTCTTAAACCATCCCGAATTGTCTCAATTCGACCGTTTTCCTCATGATAATTGAATTTATGTTCGATATTGGAATGATTTAACTGTTTAGTCATGCTCGCGAAGTCGAGCTTGTGCTATTTTAGATTTGTTTATAGTTTAGGATTTGGCTGGAAGCCAAGAAATATCAAAGGTGGATTTCCTGAAAGGGTGAAACAACAATGACAGTTGATTGGATTTTTGATGAACAAATTGAAAAAGAATTCATATGAATTCTTATATCTCACAATTAATTCATTACGTTAGCCGTTCATAACTCAAGGTTGGGTGTAAATAAACTGGTCTGAGACCCTTCTTTCCATTAACTAATTCTAACCAAGTTTATAAATAAAAAGTAAATTATTCTGTTGTAAAGAAAATAAAATTTAAGAAAAAACAAAATGGTGACTGAAACGTTATTCAAAGAGAATCTTTCATACGGAAGAGGTGCCGCATAGTCGGTCTCCCGTGGGGACAATTCCATGGTTTACTTAATTCTGAAAGATGCCTCACTACCGTAGTCATTTCTGATATCGTCAAGGCTCGACCGATCATTATACTACTTCTACAAGCTTTCGATGCAAGCATTCTTTCTAGCTTGCTACTTATGGGATTTATATGGGGATGCTCCGACAGAAGATTTAACATCTCTAATAAATCTATTATTTTGTTAGTGTATCATTTGGAAGCAATTTAACAGAGTACTTACCTCCCACATCAAAGACCACGCTTTTCCCAGAAGGAACTGCTATTAACTTGCAGCGCTTTCCTACGGGATTTTCCATGTTCACAAGAATTTCAAATCCCTTTTCACGAATCATTTCCATATGCTCGAATAAAACGATTTCCTCTGTAGCTGCAAGATTAAGCTGCTTAGGTACCACTAATTCTTGCGGTCGCAATTTAACCCTATCCTTAAGTCGCTCATAATTAAATTTTTCATCACTTGCATGTTGATCTATGATGAAAAGATTGTTTTTGTGGATGACTACTATGAATCCTCTGTTAAACTGGCCAACTATTTTCATCTTCATAAAATCGGCTTTATGTATGATAAGATTTAAATGTTCTTCCTGATTATCATCAGAAATGTCATGGATTAAGCCTAGTTTTGCTGGTTCTTTTGAAATATCATCATCCGAAATCAGATTATTTTTCAATTTATCAAAAGAAAAATCAACAGTCTCCTTTAAGTTATTTAGATTATCCCTTGGTTTTCCAAGGAAAAACTTGCGTTTTTGTAAAGCAGACGTCTTGGGTGCAATTGGGCTAGAAGAGAATACGTTTTCATTGACTTCGGCAGGAGAAGAGGAAGGTAGTACATATTCATCAACTACTGATGGAGACTTAGGAAAACTCTTCGGAAAAGGTGATGACGACGGCTCAGGTCGGCTTGATGGAGTACTTGTCAAGGATACAGAAGTCGAACTTCTCAAAGGCGAAGGGGACGATACGGAGTTTTCCCTCACTTCTGGTTTCCTTGGAATTGAGTTTGAAGCAAATGTTGACAAACGTTGGCGCATTTTTTCATTAGAAACAGAAAGTCGACTTTCTATATTGTTATCTGGAGTATCGCACTGTGTTTTATATGTTTTGGAAGAAGCCTTATTCAATAAAGAAGATCCCATCTCGTCGTTTTCATTAGCTTCTTCTGAATTTGAGAGCTTTCTTTTATGTCTTGAGGAAAACCCCTTATCATTTGTATTCGGATCAACCAAGTCATTCTCCTTGCTGAAGTCCGAAACTTGAGATTTATCATAAGAACTTTGTTGACTAGAAAAAGATGTAAAGTTAATTTCATAAGGACTAGAAGATGGTGTAGCCGGAGAAGGCTTTAGCTTGGATTCTGTTAGGGAATGTGCAGTTCCTTCACATAATCGCTGCAAAGAATCTCTAACAAAATCTATGATAGTACTTTCTTCAGAAAGAAAAACAGATCTTTTATCTGGAGAAACATTTACGTCGACAGTTCCTAAACACATGTTAAGAGAAATTCTTCCACTCGGCTTGCTAACGTACCTTCAGTTAACGTGAGGTTAATGGCGAAGAAGGGGGCTTGAGACATGCTATACGCTTTGAAAACCTCTTGAATTGCTTTCACTAGTTTAGGTAGGTGAATAGGTCGTCCATTTATAAAAACCATTTGTTTATCGGAAGACAATCGAACTGATCCCACATGCGGCCTTGAGATGTACCCATCTATAAAGCCATCTTGCCATTTTATTAAACTCGAAGATATCTTTGTACCGAATAAATTCATAATGTTTAAGCTTATGTCAGAGTTCATATTTGTTGAAAGTTGGACAACTTTCCCTGACCCCTTTGTCTGATGAAATATTACAAATTTCTTTTCTATAGAAATGACCGCGTATGCTTGGAGTAAAGAAATTGACTTGGAAAAATCGCGACGGCAATTTCGCTCAAAGACTTTTCTTCTAACAGGCAAAGTAGAGAAGAGGTTACTAACGGATACCATAGTTCCTTTCTAAATTTAAAAGAGGTTAGCAACATCTTAATTCGAGAGAAGCCACATACTTGTGAAGCAACCGTAGATTTGCTTATTACGGACCCTTCATGATTTAATTTTAGCTGAGTTCCTTTTGGAGCTTCGAGAGAAGTTGCAGTTGTAATTGTCACGTCCGAAACAGAACAAAGACTGCTTATTGCTTCTCCACGAAATCCAAATGTCACCAGAGTATCTAAATCTCCAAATGCTTCAATTTTTGAGGTATAATGTTTTTTCCCTAGAAAATAAGAATTAGAATGAAGTGTCTTAGCCATATTACAAACTCGTACCGATAGATTCTTGGTCTTCAATGGAAATTCCCGAGCCGTTATCCAGGATCTCTATACTATCCAGACCGTAGTTCTTAAAGCGAACCTCTATACAAACAGTTAAAAGAATGAAATAATAAAAGCAAATTTACCAATGGTTGTCGCACCAGCATCAAGAGCATTTTCGACCAGTTCTTTAACCGCTGATGCTAAATCTGTGATTACCTGACCAGAGCATATTCTATGCTATTGAACGTTAGAAATTTTATTTATGGATGATTAAATTACATACCACAGTGTCATTCGTAATAGGTCGTATAATAGACATGAGGACAAAACCGATGAACTCGTCAAAAGGTTCAATCGATGCAAGTATTTCGCGTTACCAGACGATCCATAAATGAATAGTGAACAAGAAGGGAGAAAAAAAAAGTTGCTTTGAAACAACGATAAAGAACAATTCAGTGAGCCTTAGTAGAAATAATCCACCTAAAGACGTTTTAGGATTGATGTTGTAAACCATAATAAGTATTCGCTTTTTTCAAACATTAAAATAAACTAAACATTAAACGACTGCCAACTTCAAAAATTGTAAATGATACACATCTAATGAAGCATTCTGATTATAATCACCGATATCTAGCATAGGCAACATCGGCTTTTTTAAATGGAGGGGGAAAGGTTTCATCTTGAAAAGAGGAACGAAGGCATTCTTTGACTCGCCGTTTCCCAATACCCCAAAGAAAAAAGTACTCAGTGTCGGTAAGAGAGCGAATATCATATGAAGAGGATTATTAACACACAAATAGATTAACACGTTGCTTCAAAAGTAACCAAAGAAAGATTTGCTTGAGTATATTTTCATTTTTAGTATAATAAGTTTAAAAGACTATGTATGAAACACGCGACTTAGTAGGAGCTGCTGGACGAGTTGTGGATGAAAATCCCTGGCCAAACAATAGTAAAATCGCGGTTTCCTTCGTGGTTAATTACGAAGAAGGTGGTGAGCGTTCCCTTTTGTACGGTGATGAAGGATTTGAAACATTTTTAACAGAGGGCGGTTTGATGCCTTTTCCCAATCGTCCCGTTCGTGAGCGATCAATTGAATCCTGCTTTGAATATGGATCACGCTGTGGATTTTGGAGGATACTGAACTTGTTCAAAAAACATGAGGTTCCTTTCACTTGTTGGGCAATTGGTCAGGCAGTAGAGAATAATCCTACGGTCGTCCATGCCATGGAAGAAGCTGGTTGTGAAGTAGGTTCCCACTCTTACCGTTGGATCAATTACGAAAATGTTCCAGAGGAAGTGGAGTATGAGCATGTTAAGAAGTCAATTCTGGGTATCCAGAAGGCTTCCCCTACTAATACTCCTCCTCGTAGCTGGTATACAGGTCGTGCTAGTATCCGCACTCGTAAAATCGTCTGCCAAGTGTACCGCGAACTTGGCTTACCTCAGCCTTTTGATTCAGACGATTACAATGATGACCTTCCTTACTGGGTTCCTGATCCGTTGGCTGATGAAACGAACGACAAGGAAGACAAAGGTCTTTTAGTCGTGCCGTACACACTTGATGTTAATGACATGAAGTTTGCAGTGGCTCCAGGGTTCTGTAATGGGGAAGATTTTTTTACCTATTGTCGAGATGCTTTTGATGTATTGTACGAAGAGGGTCGAGATGGCTCCCCCAAGATGATCACCATTGGTCTCCACTGTCGAATGACTGGCCGTCCAGGTCGTTTCCGTGGTTTACAAAAGTTGATGGAGCATATTACTTCTAAAGAAGGTGTTTGGGTTGCTACTCGAGAACAAATCGCTAATGCCTGGGCTTCCAAGCATCCTTACCAAAAGCAATAATTGAATGAATACAACACTTTCTTTGATAGAAAAGCGTTCATATCTAGAATTTGTAAGGATTTTTTTCATCCTTAAATTATATTTTACTATATAGATGCTATTATGCCCTTAATGAAATTCTTTTAATCCGCTCATAACATCGCCCGCATAAATAAGAGCTACAGAGATCCGTATTCCGTATCCTTGTACAAAATGACGATGTGTTCCTGTTTCATCTTTGATTACTACCCGGCATTTCGGTGCCGATAATGAACAGGTTCAGCTGTTGTTTCAATCGCGAACCCACTTTCCAAAAGCTATCAGTGTTTCTGTTACATTAATCTTTTCCTGTTGTAAGATTATAAATTTATCTATATACAATTAGTTTGGAAATAGCCATATTTTTAAGCTTTTCTAAGTGCGTTACAATGGTTCAGAAAGTCCTGTATTCTAAACAATTTACACCTGAAAGCTTTGCTCCGTATGGGACAGTTGTTCAACCAAAAGATAATGGTCCGATGGTAATAGCAAACGCCGGTACAGCAAAGAAATACCTTGGAGTGTCAGAATCCGAAAATTATTATAAAAAATCATCTACTCCTTCCTCTAAAGCCACATGGAATTTTTTTTCTACCAAACCTTCTGTCTTCCCGGCGGATGAGGAATCACCTGCGTTTAAAATAAGTGTTTTGGAAAGACACCCTTACACGACGCAGACGTTTATCCCACTTTGTAGGGACGCTCAAGAAAGCAGTTATCTTGTTGCTGTCGCTCCTAATTCACCAGATGGGTTACCTGACTGGGAACGCGTTGAAGCATTTGTTGCTAAGGGCTGTCAAGGTGTCACTTACGCCGCTGGTGTTTGGCATGCCCCGATGGTTACAATTGGAAAGGACACTATGCTAGCTGCATTCAACTATGAGAATGGGGTGGATAATGATGATTGTCAGGTTCAATCTGCTCCTTCGCCCTTGGATGTCTACGTGAAGCGAGATTAAAGCTTGACTATTTTTTTTATGTATTTCATGTTTATTACGTTGAAGATTATAATCTACCTTAGGAAGTACGATGGATTTGATATGTTAAAAGAGGGAGCATTAGAAGTACTAGAAACCCAGACAGCTTTACATCTTACTTTCACTGTCCGTTCGATACCTACAGCTTGCCTGAAATGTATTTTTGGATTTATGTCTTTTTTATTGACATATCTAAAATGCTGAAAATAGAATGGAACGCTCAATGGTTTTGCAAGTCTCAAGGAATTATAGCAATCATTTAGAGTTCCATGTGAAAGTATTTGATGCTTCACACTGCTATAATACGTTTCTATTGTTTTTCAATTCCCATAGATGAAAGTTGTCTACTATCCTTAGAACATAATGAACTACTGAAATTAATGTACTAATGAAACGACGTTGTCTCGCTTTGAGCATCTATAGCTAAATTTATCAAAAACAAGATAATTAAGGATAAATTATCTTTAATCAATCTAATAAAATAGTAAATCTGAAAAGAATCGAGCATATTCTTCCTATAAGTTGTATATTGATACATACGCTTACTTAGATAGTTCATGAGTTGGTCAACCGACCAAAACACCCTTCCTCGCTAATAAATTTCTAGATCCTAATTCCATTTGATTCTATAAAAGGAAATTTTATACTGTTCTTAAACTTAATACATACGTTGCTATTCATTGCTGGCTTTTTGGGTGGTTTCAATAAAACAGATTTCTAGAGATTAAATTGTAATCCACACACCTTAGGATTTTAATTCTTTATTTTAATTAATATCGATTGGTTCGTTTTATAACGAAACGAACGCGGTTAGACAATGAGTGCGACGGTAAAAAAAGACAACAAAAATGTGAATGCAAATCATCCAGGTCCGTTAAAAAGTATTTTAGCCGGTGGTATTGCTGGTGCTGTGGAGATTTCTATAACCTACCCTGCTGAATTTGCCAAGACTCGTTTTCAACTGCATCGAAAAGTTGAGGGTTTAAACAAGCTGCCGCGTTTCGGCTTGGAATGGTACAAAGGTTGCTCGACAGTAGTCATTGGAAATTCTTTAAAAGCTGCTGTTAGGTTTTTCGCATTTGATAGTATAAAAAAGACCCTCGCAGATGAAAATGGTAATTTATCTGGACCTCGAACAGTACTCGCCGGCTTAGGTGCCGGAATTGCAGAGTCTACACTTGTGCTAACACCCTTCGAAAGTATCAAAACTTCTATTATTGATGAAGGAAAGAAGCCCAAGCCTCGGTACCATGGATTCTTGAAAGGTTGTAAAACTATGCTCAAAGACGGAGGTATTCGAGCTTTCTATCGTGGTTTGCTTCCTACAGTAGCACGTCAAGCTACAAACTCTGGTGTTCGCTTCACAGCTTACAACAGCATCAAGCAATCTCTTCAAAGTCGACTCCCTCCAGACGAGTCTCTTGGCACGGTGTCTACCTTTCTGGTTGGTTCTGTAGCAGGTATTATCACCGTCTACTGCACACAGCCAATTGATACTATTAAGAGTCGCATGCAGTCTTTAACGGCTAAGCAAGAGTACAAGAATAGCTTTCATTGTGCATACAAGATATTTACTCAGGATGGTATATTACGCTTCTGGTCCGGCGCAACCCCTCGTTTGGCTCGATTGATTCTTAGTGGTGGTATTGTTTTTACTGTCTATGAAAAAGTTATGGACGTTTTACAGATTTTTTAACTTATTTTCTCTCAAATTTTTGCTTCCTCGTTTTAATTAATCATAATGTGATATCTGACTTGTACAAATCTCACACAATAAACAAAATGATTTTTCAGAATTAAAATACAAAGTTCTTTAGTCAAATTTTTTAATCTACTATTTTTCTTACACATATAGTATTTTCAAAACCAAAAGTTCGACATGAATATTTTCATTAACGACTAAACAAGAAACAATTACACCTAGACAAATAAAACTGACCAAGCCATAGGCTATAAAATAAAAACAGGAAAAACCATTAGAAGAAACTCTACACAAATGTTCAAATTACAATGCAAATGTTCCAAGGATCGCTTCTCACTGAAATAGAGGTTCAAAGAGAGTTTACGATTGTAAACGCACTAATGTACAGGTGGCTATCATGAATCGATTTCGGATGTTCGTAAAAACTTTGCAAGCGAAAACGCATTCGTCCTTTAAGCTTGCCACACACATCTGAAACCGGTATTCTCAAAGCCTCGTAGCAAAGACCTTGCATTGTGACACCTCATAGGACCAACATGCAGGGGAATTGGGTCAAAATAAGATATCCAAGAAGGCAAACAAAAACAAACCAACAACCTTAGTAAGATATTTTTAAAGCTCTTGACTAGGGTTAGCCTTGCCAGATTGCTTAGGCAAGAGATGGGCGTTAATGTTGGGAACAACACCACCTTGGGCAATGGTGACATGACCCAAAAGCTTGTTCAATTCTTCATCGTTACGGATAGCAAGTTGAAGATGACGGGGAATAATACGAGTCTTCTTGTTGTCACGAGCGGCGTTACCAGCCAATTCGAGAATTTCAGCAGCCAAATATTCCAAAACGGCAGCCAAATAAACGGGAGCACCAGCACCAACACGTTGAGCATAGTTACCCTTACGCAACAAACGATGAACACGACCGACAGGGAAGGCCAAACCAGCCTTGGCGGAACGAGATTGAGCAGACTTGGCAACAGCTGCTTTACCACCAGATTTTCCTCCAGACATTATAATTATTGAGATGAATTGATTTGTTTGAATTAAAAAAGATATCCGAAACAGATATATTCTTCTTTATTGATATATAGAAAGGGCAAGTCGCGCGACAAAATATATATGTATCTGTTGTTGGGGTTAGGGTTTTTGATGAAATGTGCTACGCGTCACGAGTCTGTGATTATGACACGTACCGCGTCTCCTTAATGCTGATACTGTAACAAAGATGTGTATGATGCACATCGTAAAACATAGAATATGATTCAAATGCTCTGGTGTGTTAAAGGCCTCTTGTGCATGGGCTCTCATTCATTCAATAGTTCATTAGCATAAACATCTCTCGCTTTAAATGAACAGCGAAAAGAAGTAAATTATTTCAAACGTATATTCTATTTATTAGTTTTCTAAATTATAGTGTAAACAACGACGGCTTTGACTATGTATGTCTATTCTTTATCCGCACCAAAAAGACAAAGTAGCGTTTGATTAGTCTTTTAATATATTATTCTCCTTTCATCACGTTTAAGACCACTTCGTAAATTTCATGCTCTTCAATCATTATATAGCGACTTTTGTTCACTGTCCAAACAGGGTATTGACCACCTAAACATGTTTAGCATCAGGAAACCTGACATTATAATCAGCCTCAGAAATTTTGGAGGCTATAATATTGCGGCCACCAAACCATCTCTGGTGAAGACCAAGAACTGCTTTTTCACATTCTTCGGGTGTCTTAAACTTGACAAAGATTTCACCGGCATCAGTTGGTACTACGGTGATGTGCATTACTCTTCCATATTTATTTTCACATTCTTCACGAACGTCTTGTTCAAGTTCCTCTACCCATGTAGCAGAAGTTTCCCTAGAAAAAAGTGTTAGGAGAACATATTACGACAATACAGCAAGATTTACACTTACTCTTTAGGATCAAACATATTTTTCAGAATAACAGATCGATATCGGCTTGGATCGGGCTGAACTTCCGTCATTCTATACGATTGTTAGTGCTTCTGAAACTAATCCTTGGTAAATAGACATACGGGACAGGGGTAGTATCATCAGTTCGTGCAAGCTTTTTCATAAGCTCGTCACGTGAAATTGTACGACCCTCCTCATCACTAGGAGACAAAGGTTCTGCTTCTGGAGACAAAGCCCTAGATGTTGAGAAGGAAGTCTGGCGTCCCCGTCCTTGACGAGAATGAGAGTGTTCAGTTCGATTCATCATGTCATCAAATCGTCTCAACATGGAACTAGTTGTTTCCGTAGTAAACTTATCATTGCCTAAACAAACCCGCATGTTTCTTCCAGCTAAATCAAACCCATTCATTTTTTCAAGCGCATTTCGTGCACACTTTGGATCTCGGTATCTAAACATATGTTAGTAAATTGAAAATCAGACCATAATCTCATACTGTATATAGCCAAAACCTTTGCTTCTATTTTGGTCATCTCGCTGCAAACGAACAAGTTCAATCTCACCAAACGGCTCGAAAATGGCTTTTACATCTTCATCACTAAGGTTGAAGTGAATATTAGCAATACATAATCTGTGAAAAGGAATTTCCGCATTTGCTGCCCGTGTCGTCCTGAAAATAGTTAGCTACTGAACACTTAATGAAATAACATACTCTGCTGCTTCGCGAGCTTTACGGTTTTTCTCGGCTTCTGTGAGCTGAACAATGACAGGAATACCTAAAAGACGCTTTCCTGAGAGAGAAAGCGCATGCTGAACAGAGTCCTCGTCCCGAAATTCTACATATGCAACACTAAAAAAAGTGTTAATAAAAAAATAAAAGTGAAGTTCACTTTGCCATACCCTTTGGAGCGGCCGCTAACTTTGTCTCGGACGATCTGAGCATCACGAACAGGACCGGCATTTTCGAAAAAGTCGTATAATTCCCTAGTAGTTAATCTATTTGCTAATTGAGAAACAAAAACGGTACGTCTATCAAGGTCGTCATCATTTATGGGAGAGGGATCACGAGCCCGAGTTCTTCCTCTACTGCGATCACGACGGCGACTTCGGCGCTCATGCTCGTCGTCGTCATCCCGTCGACGAGGACGATGCTCTTCGCGGTAACGATTGCGCCTGCTAGAATAGCGAGGAGGACTCTGAGAGCTTTCCTCGTATCGGCGATAAGAACGATCGCTGCGCGAGTACCGCCTACGTGATCGAGGGCTTCTATCGCGCACGCCATCAGGAGAGCGATAGCGACGGGTAGTTCCTGGAGAAGGAGATCGTGAGTAAGAACTACCTCTTCTGGAAACTGGACTTGAGGTACGGTGAGTAGAACGGCGAGGTCGCTCCACTTCACGTTCATCTGATGAATGAGCTGGGCGAGATCTGCTTTCGCTGTAGCGATAGCCCATTGAAACAGGAGGAGGTGTTAAGCGACCATCATTGCCATGATCCCGATAAGTTTTATGGGAACTGGAAACAGATGTCGACAGTACGCCATTGGGCTCACGGTTTGGAGGATTAGGAGCGGAGGTAGCCGGATGACTCTCTTGTACATTTGAAGATACAGATGAGACAGGTTGCTGTTGTGAATTAGTGGATTCAGAAGAGTTCTGGAGTAAAGAAGTTAGTTATCCAAATTTTGTTAAGGACATCCACACAGTCCGTTTAAAGAACTTGTGGAAGATTCATACTTATACGTATAAGTATAAGTATTTAAATTATCATACCTCTTGCTTACGAAACGGAGCCTCTGCCAAGGCTTCTGCATCTAGATACATTTTGGAAACAGACTTTGAAACAAAACTTGATGTAAAACAAACCGATTAGAAGAAAGAACGGACTCTCAAAAAGAGAAAAACGTAATAGAATCCAAGCAATCAATGAAAAGATGAAAACGACGAATGTAAATGATTCCAAAGCAATTGCTGAATGTCAGCAATAAAAGAGATGAAACAACTCGAAAAATTGAGTGAAATGGCAAAATATAGTTTATATAAAACAATAAAAACACTGTTAATATACTGAAACCGGAATCCAGTGAACTCTTTGCTTCTGATGTTCTTGACAGTTGTGCGTCCAGATTGGAGGCGAAAACGGATCCAGTTTACCGCATTTGTAATCTTCATCGGTAACTTAGCTTCCGATGAAGTTTAACGATGATAATAACCTGATTTTTGTAAATGCCCCTCCCTTACCCATTTGACCGCCGGGGGCTATGATTTAAAACACAGTACTTATAGCTATACTTATCCTGCCGTCTGCAAAATTCTGCAATATTACCAATTGAAGCAGTATTCGTAAATTCACGAGTACTTTATTTTTAGTTCCTATAATTTTCAAAAAGAAAATTAAATTGGCTTCATTCTTCTTGTTTATATCGTCAGCCAATTTATAAAGGTCTTGCCACTAAAAGTTGGATTGTACCGCAGAGGACATTTATAAAAAAGGAAAGATACTTAATCTTTTAGTGAAAACTCGTTTTCTCCAAAACTTGCACTTGGATTTCTTGCATCATGATTAATTTACCTAATCCCTGTATCATCTTATCAGATGGTGTTGAGTATGATGGTATGTGGTATTAACAGGAAAAGAAGCATTGTGTTTCTGAATGCCTCTGACTCTATTGACTTTGCATACTAATATAACTTTTAGTAACCAACGGAGTTTTGGCTAGGCCTGAATATGCCGAAGTTGTCCATCGCTATCAAGCGAAGGATGTTGGTGACCTTGTCAAGAGCAATGGTAGTGGCAATCAGAAAGACTCACTGACACTTCGTGCACTTTTGGAAAGTGACTCGAAACCCGTCAAAAATAAAGAGTTTAGTGATCTAGTCGATCAAAACATTGGTGACGGTTATGGTAACGATTTTGTTGTTAAGCCTACCAATCTCGACAAGGATTATGAAAAGAATCGATTTTTGGATTTGAAGAAACCTATGTTGCCCCAGATTCTTTTTAGCAATATGTCTAAAGAAGTGTATTTGGACCAAGTTCATCGACCACGTCACTACAATGGAAGCGGTTCAGCTCCTTTGTTTGGTAATTTCTTGGAACCATTTAGTAAGACTCCTTGGTATGTGATTCCTATGATTTGGATCCCTTGCATTACCTATTTCTTTATGGAGTCTTGTACGGTTCTTCCATTTCCTGTCGCCTTGTTAATGTTTTTCGTCGGCATTGGTGTCTGGACCATCGTGGAATACTTTATGCATCGTTGTCTATTTCACTTGGATGAGTATACCCCTGATCATCCCGTATTTCTTACTCTCCACTTTTTATTCCACGGTGTTCATCATTTCTTGCCAGCTGACAGATATCGCCTCGTTATGCCTCCGGCTCTTTTCATAATCTTTGCTACGCCTTGGTACCGTTTGGTTCGTTTGTTCTTCCCTTACCATTTGGCCATTGCTGGCTTTTCTGGTGGTGTCTTTGGTTATGTCTGCTATGACTTGACTCACTACTTTTTGCATCATAAGCGCTTGCCTCAAGGATACTTCACTCAATTGAAGACATGGCACTTGGACCACCACTACAAGGATTACAAAACCGCCTTTGGAGTCACCAGTGCATTTTGGGACCGCGTATTTGGGACTATTGGACCCTCTTTGAGTACTCAAGCAGCCCCTGCTGACACCGTCAAAGCTAAGTAAGCAAAATCTTTGTTTTATAGAGTGGGCTTCTTGTTTGAGAGCTAAGCTATCCTCTGTGTTGGTTATTGTGCCAACGCAGCAGTACAATGTAATTTTAAGTCTTTGGACAGTAATGACTTATTATCTTGTATGATAATCGCCGGGTGGATTATTTTCCTATGTCATTATTTTACCAATCAAAACAGCTTTTCGTTATTCATTGATTCCCTCTTTTTGTACGTTTTACTACCGCCTGGTGGCCTAATTAAATTATTCTTAGTGTTCTATTTACGGTTTCCGCGGGTGAGAGCATTGATTTTTAAAAATCCTTCCTGAGCAAGGTCTGCGAAACCCTCCTGTTTTTGTTTTTGTCCTTATTATTATTGATTGAGTTATTGTATGAAGTTTATCAGGTTCTTCCTCAGTAAGTATATTAAAAGAATAATATTCATTAACCGTATTAATTCACAAAAGACGAGTAGTTGTATTGTAACCGTAAGTAACGCAACCTAAAGAGGAATACCATTGTTAAAAAAACGAAATCATCTATAAACAATATTTACCTTCTTCTTCTTGCTAGTCTACGTGGCTAGCAGTGAACTTTGAAGGATTTACTGTGGCCACGATTCTGCAAAAATAAGAGCTTCAAAAAACAATCAAAAAAGATACTGAAAGGGGTGGGACTCGAACCCACGAGCTTTCGCACTAGTGCCTTAAACTAGCTCCATAACCACTCGGACACCCTTCCGTTTGATGCTTCCTTAGCAAATAATACATTACTATACCAACTTTAAATGGTTTATTTTCTAAAAGTAGAAAAGAGCTTGAATGAAATAAAAGTAAAATTCAGGTAGAGTATGTGTGCAATGCATTTAGGAATAGCATCCTGTTATTTAATATCATAGAAACAATCAACAGCTCACAAATTGTTCACGTCAATGGGTTCTTATCACATAGAGATGACATCAGCTTTGATGTTTAACTTGCAGAAGACGGTTTCGTTCTTCTGACAAGAACCATACTGTAGGAAGAGCATTGTTTTTGGATTCTATATACTTTTCTGTTGTTTGTTAGAGAGATTAACAAACATTAAACTAATTCGAGTCAGCTTCACCTTAGTTTAATACACGAGTGTGGATTTATAATAACTTCTTTTGAAAGACGATTGACCATTTTTACGAGTTTCATTTTCTTCCCTTTTTTTTCTCTGTTCAAGTGTGAATTAACCGACGGAAAATGTTGATTGCTGCTTTGGGTCCTAACATTCCGTTTCCCGCCTATGGTGTGGGTACGGCATTATACAAAAAGGATAACTCTAAATTTCAGACAGAAACTGTAGATTCCGTGAAAAAGGCTATCGAAAATGGATTTACTCATATTGACTGCGCTGAGATTTACGGAAATGAGGAAGAAGTCGGTGCTGCCCTTAAAGATCTCAAAGTACCACGCGAAAAATTATTCATTACGTCAAAGGTTTCGCGCGGTATTGAAGATATTCCAGCGGCCTTGAGCACTTCTCTCAAGAAACTTGGACTTGACTACCTAGATCTTTACTTGCTTCATGCTCCCAGGTTCTTTTATGAGAAAAAGATTCCCCTCTCGAAGGGCTGGGAAGCAATGGAAACTGAACTTGGTCAAGGCCGACTTCATGCTATTGGTGTTTCAAATTTCTACGTAGAGGATCTGGAGAAATTAATGGAGACTGCCAAGATACCCCCGCGCGTCAATCAAATAGAATTCCATCCTCAGGTTTTCACACGCTCAAAGTCTCTCCTTGATTACTGTAGAAGCAAGAATATTCTTGTCGAAGGCTACAGTTCTCTTCGTCCCCTTACAAAGGAACCTGAAGGACCAGTTAGCAAACTTGCCAAGTCCCTTGCCGAGAAATACAATGTTTCCGATTCTTTGATACTGTTAGCTTGGTCCAGTAGCCAAGGTGTTGCCCCCGTTACCACTACATCCAAAGTAGAACGCATGAAGGACTATCTGACTTACAAGACGGTAAAGCTTGAACAAGCAGACATAGATGCTCTCACCGAAGCTGGAGAAGAATCCAGTAGACCATTACTATATCTTTAGACGATTGTGATTGATTAACTATTCCCTTGATTTGCTGCAAGTGACATTGCTCTTCTGATTTAATTTTCTGAATGTTTATTTTATGCTGATTTTGAACAATATAATGAAATGAATCTTATTATGCCCTTACTTTATTCAATCAGCGCCTTCCAATCGCTTCATGTAACGTAGCTAATTGTTTTATATTGCTTTACTGGAACATCTATTTGCTACCTATTTTCGTTTTTCGTATTTTTAGTAGATTCAATTTACTAAAGCAAATGATTAACTTAATGATGACAAAAGCAATAGCATTCATTAAACGTAATTAGAAAAATTACAGACATTAAAGCAAATATAAAACAATCATCACGAACATATCGGAAAAATTAGATGATTATTGCAGTGTACAACATAACTTCATATCAAACTTAAGCAGAAAAATGAAGACGACCATCTAACCATTGGTTCAACATCTCGAGACTAACCTCAGGCTGGTTGAAAGGTACCATGTGACCAGCTTCATATATACGGAGGTAAGAAAAGTTCTTGTAGGTCTTACCACGGCCAGCTTCAGACCCAGCAGGGCTCCAAGGAACCAAGTTAGACTCATAGAATTCTCTATGTCCACTCCATTCCAAAGCATCAGTCCAGGCTTCATTACCCATATAGTTGCAGATGTAGTCAGCATCACCAGCATAGATAAGAACAGGCAGGCCAGCTTCCAAAATTACAGTAACATCATCACGGAATGTCTTACGCATCCAGTCACCCTTAAACAAGAAGCCGATGTTAACTTGAGTATTGCAACCCTTGAAACCTTGTTCAACACCAAGAGCTTCAATAACTTCTTCTTGATTCAAGTACTTTTCAATAGCTGTAACTTCGGGATAGCACAAGCTTTCAGGGTCACGGCATTGTTCACGGATGTCATAGACGTTCAAACCAGTCTGTTGGAAAGGACCCATCATAGCGTTGTTGCAGTAGAGAGAAGCACCAACGCAGATGGGTGTGAAACCGGTTTGATAGCAAGCGGCAGTCAACTTCGAGCAAGTACCGTAAGCATCAGTCAAACGGTCGCACTGCTCCTGAGGCATGATTGGGCCGTATGGGCTTTCACAGGCCATTTTTCCATAATAGTAGTATTGGACAAGAGGATCAGTAAGACCATTACCAATTGCAACACTCTTCAAGTTGATGAAGGATTTAAGGTGTTCATAGCCGGTAGCAACAAAGTCATTAGCACCTTGGTTATGTTCGATAATTTCTTTCGCGAATTGAGGAATGTAGTGACCAGCATAAGATTCACCAGTGATATGAAATGGAAGATGAGCATATTGGGGGAACTTGGCAAAGAACAAGGTTAAGAAGGCATACACATCTTTACCGGCAGTAATTGTGTCCAGAACAGATCCATCACCATTGCTAAAACCAGCACCGACAGGCTGATCGAGGAAGATAACGGAAGCATTGGAGTTCCAGCTATGAGGATTATATTCGGGCTTCAGCGTTTCAACATTGATGCGAGAAGGCCCTAATTCCAAAAATAAACCAGTCATAGAAGAACAGCCTGGGCCACCATTCAACCATAGAACCACCGGGTCGTTTACAGGATCGTTGCGCGACTCAAAGAACCAAAAGAATAGATGTCTGTCATCATCGACATCAAGGTAACCGGTTTCTTGTTTGACAGTGTCAATACCAAGAGATTCGGGGTTTGACTTCTTAATACGTAACGTATGGTCTGGGAAAGCCTTCATTTTTACATGCTCACCATTTTCCTGCTCGATAAAGTAGACACCTTCCTTCTCCTTGTTTCCCTTGGAATTATGAGATTCGGAAGGAGAATGTTCAAATGCAGTTTCAGGATCGATGTTGGCAGCCTTAAGCATTTCGAGGTAAGCAAATTGCTCAGGTGTAAGATCATTCAAATTCCAGATACCGTCTTCCTTGAAGGAAGTCTTCTTTTGCTCTTCTGGTACTTCCTTTGCTATGTGAACAGGCATATTACCAAAATATTCAATGTCAAGGGCTTCTAAGAAGCTAGCAAACTCCTCAGAGATGTTATCAACATTGCCATTTTGCATAAGTTCACCAAAGGCTTCTAAGATGAGGATATCGCGTTGGATGCCATCGAATTCATCCTCTTCCTTTTTAGAGTCATTCTTCTCCTCTTTGGATTTATGATGCTTCTTATTAACACCTTCGGTCTGTTCAGGAGAAGAGGAATGACCCATCTTCTTTTTCTTATGAAGAGGTTTCTTATGCTTCCTCTTCTGATCACGATCCTCTTGCTTTTCTTCAGGATATTTTGAAAAGAAAGCCTCATCGTCCTCCTTCATATGTTTATCTTTGGAATCCATGCCATTTGCTTTACGGTCTTTGCAAGGGCAAGGTTTTTTCTTGTTTTTAATGTCCTTATGTTTGATAGAATCTACCATTTCATCCAAATCGTCTTCGACATCTTCAAAAATGTCGTCGACGCGATCAGCCATGTCCCGAATGAAGTCCAAAGCCGGGCGGAACATACCTCCCATCTTGTCTTTTACCGAAGGATGGTTGATTCCTTCCGTAGACGGGACATGAACAGGATTTAAAGAATTCCCATTCTCGGGTCTTACAGCTTCAGAGGCATGAGTTTCACCGATCCTTTCATCAACAATTGCGAAATCCCCGCCAGCTTGTTCATAATTTATTTTACCCATAAACTGAGCAGAAGCTGCACAGGTAAGTAAAAAGTAGAGGAAAGATTGTTGAAGTTGCATGATCGTAAGAGCGAGAAAATAGAATAAATCTGAAAAAGAATGTATTTAAACGCAGTGTTGTCTTGGGTTTTCAAAACCACCAATTGAAGTTCAAGAAAGCAAAGAGAACCTAGCAATAGAACTCAAAAACCTCCTTCTCGTATTAAACTACAATCTAGCTAACTGTAACGTTTGCTTACTAAAGTGAATGGTGGATGGTAAAAGGTAAGTTCCTTAGGCCCGGAGCAGGTGTTTGTAAGTTCGATAAGCCTTTATGACGCATGCAGCATACAAATTAAGTATCATCATGCGATAGCTGTTATCTACTCTAGGGTACATAATCGCAGAATAGCGCAGTTTCTACAATTACTTTAGAAAACAAAATGATATAAGCTACTTTGAGACAAAATGGAAAATCGTAAAAATGCTAAATTGCTTATTCGCTAATTGATGAATGGCATTTAGAGCCTTGATGTATTAAACTAGTACAATTATCTCCCTATCTATTTTATTGTTCATAAAAGCCATGTAAAACAGATTTTATGAAAAGAAAACCGTCTTGGGCTTTCCAGCGATCATTCTCACCACACATATGCCTTATCTGTCACTTTTCATAAAACAAAAAAAAGAAGAAATAACATTATCCATCTATACCAAAAACAATTTAGCGAAGGTTATAAGATTTTTGGCCCTTGGAATTCGGCTTTTCCAAACGAGAGTTACCACAAATAATAAAAAAATGGAATATGAAAACAATGACGGATGATGCTCAGTAAATAAAGAAATAATAGTATTTCAACGAAAATTACACTCACAGCACCAAATTCGACTTTTTAAACGATAGGCTTGTTTGCCTTCATATACTCTTGGGCTTGAAAGAGTAACCATTGCTTATCATGAGGAACTGGGGGTATTAGAATACCTTAATACAAAAGATAAAACTTCACATACTGTAAGCACGAAAATGACGGTCATAGACCAAAGGCACGCAATCGTAAATTTCGTCAAAAAAACCATAGAAATGAGAGATATCCAATGTATCTTGAATTGGGTGTTCTAATGATATTTGACGTTAGTTTGGCCAACAACTAACACTTCTAATGGAGACGAATTACCTTGACCTGTAGAATAAACACCTAATATGTCTGTGAATGTGTTAGCACGAGTAAATCAAAAAAAAAAAAAAAAAGAAAAAAAAAGAAAAAGCGTCCACTATTTTTCTGGAATATCAGTTTACATACATTCTATGGCTGACCGTATACTGCAATGGTCACTCCAAATTCGAGTTTTTGGATCAGACTATACCCAAAAGATTATTAGCAAAATTTGAAAATTAAGATCATAAAAAAGGAAACGATTATTCACATTACACTTTGTTGAATCAGTAGTATACTAAAAGAATGGCGTTAGTACAAGACTGAATCGTGTTTTTAATGCTCTTGTTAGGTATAATCCAGCATCAGTTGGTTTTGGGGAAAAACAAAACATACATATGTACCTCAGATGGTGGAGGAGTCATTTTGATTGATTTATCAGAAGCCTTAAGGAAAGAGGAATGATGGAACGAACTATATAAGAACTTGCTAATTGATGTCGGCGAAGAAAGAAAATTGAAAACCCTGAATGTTTTATAGATAGAAAAAAGTAAACAACTGCTGTTTATTCTCTCTTTATTGTCAGTATCCCAACTGTAAGTCTAAAAGTAGCTGTTTTGTAGAGTCACTGAGGAAAGCGTTTAGTGTGATCCCCCATATTGTCCTTGCCCTTTCCACCATCCTAATTTTACCAGAAGAGAAGAGGAATACTATTAGATTGTTTCTTTTTCAGAAAGAAGATATTGTTACCGTTTTCTCAATAAAGATTCCGTTATTTTGTGTCATCGTTTATCCTAAGGGTATTCGCATTCTTTCGTGATGTTTGTTTCCAGAGGAGTTCAAAGAATTTCGCAATTACCCAATTCTTTATTCTATACTTTTCCGCTTATAATTGCTAAGCGTAATTACCAAAGTGCTACCTTGGAGACTCGTCCCCCAATTTCCGGTAAGAAAGCTCAGATTTTAAAGCATGCTTTGGAGCATGTCCCTCAACTTGGCTTCTCTGAAGAAGCCATAAAAATGGGTGGTCGCTCACTTGGGTATAGCAATCTTCCTACAGCACTTTTTCCCTCTGGTTCTATGAACCTCATTTCATACTTTCTATTACAACAACGTTATGCTTTAAGAGAACAGAAGAATCATCTTACTTTGATGCAAAATACTACTGAAAAAGTAACTCATTTGATTTGGTCTCGTCTCCAAGCAAACCGAGATGTTATGGAACACCTGCCACAGATGATTGCAACGTGTGTAGCCCCTTCCAATCTTCCCTCATCGATTAAGTCTTTGGCAGATCTTTCAGACGAAATACTTTATCTTGCCCAAGATAAATCTGCTGATTTCCACTGGTATACAAAGCGTGCTGTCGTGTCAGCCATCTACAGTGCATCCGAATTGTTTATGACGAAAGATAACTCGCCCAATTTTCAAGCTACTTATGATTTTGTTCAACATAGAGTTCAACATGCCAAGGCCTTGAATAATCTTCGTGAAGATTTTTTGGAATGGGGTTCCTTCCAATTGAATGCCATTCGATCAATCCTTCGTTCTCGAGGTATTTGAGTTAGATAGTAATGCGGTGTTGACTTTTGAGTTTAGTTTCAAAGTAAATTACTATAAAAAAAAAAAAAAAGGATTATCTTACTAAATGTTGTTTGGCTATCTTGTTTTGGTGATTTTATTTTTATGGTAGAAGAATTAAGAGTACTGAATTGATTACAAGAATGTATCATATGTAAATCAATTCATTCTGTTAATTATTTATTAATAAATAAAATCACATTAATGATGCAAAGTAATTCGCGTATTTTTTATATACGTGTTAGCATATTCTCGTCTGGTATTTGCGTCTGTAGTTTGAGGTAGCAGTTACTTGAATACAACGATAATGACTTGAATGTATAGAAAAACAATCTTTATTTGAAGATATAGGTTATTCAGTATTCTTTTTGGTTATTATTCTGCTGGCATTTAATCACTCTCAAAAGATCTTCACCCCACACACGGCTCCGACCCTTTTTGAAGACATAGTCGTTTCTCTTGCTTAAGACAGCATTAACCTTCCGATATGGGGCTACCACTTCATATATTACGAAACCCTTCTTTAATATCTTCTTACTTCTCTGCGAGCAAGAGCGGTTCTTGGGCATCCGTTCTGCTGAAGGCCGTCGGAGTACTCTCAAGAGATTCCAGATGGCATGCAGATCTTCTTAGCGTTCTGACTGAGGAAATGCAATCTTTAAATAAACAACTCAATTCTTGGACTGGAAACAACCCGCTACTAGATCGAATTACCGAACCGTATAAACGTTCAGACACCCAGTTTTTTCATCCGCTTTTAGTTTTATTAATGTCACGAGCTTCAAGAGTGGAAGGTGATACAAGTCAGCAAATGTTTCAGAGATACAAGCAATTGTCACGTGTTACAGAATTAATTCATGCCGCTAATCTTATCCATATCAATATCCGAGAAGACCAAAGCACTGAAGAGCTGAAATTGGCAACATTGGTTGGTGATTATTTATTAGGAAAAGCTTCCGTTGATCTTTCGCACCTAGAAAGTAATGCTGTAACAGAATTAATGGCCTCTGCTATTGCAAACCTAGTGGAAGGACACTTCATGAAGGCAGGGTCATCACCTGCAGATATGCAAGCAAATGAACGGATGCTTTTACTTCAGTCGGCATTTCTACCGGCAAAAGCTTGTTTATCCGCTAGCATTCTAAATAATGCCTCAGCACATATAAATAAAGCATGTTTTACCTATGGAAGGTTCTTGGGTCTATCTATGCATGTAGCGCATGAAGATTTACCGGAGAAGATGGACTTGAAGATGAAGAAACTGGAAGTTCTAAATGATTATCAAAAAAAAGCTAAAGATGCATTGACTGTCTTCCCAGACGTGGAAGCTAAGCAAGCATTAATTGAAATTGCTGACCGAGTATCAATTGCATAAAAATTTATCTAGAAATATTGTCCAATGGTTTCAGATATGGTCATGGATGAGAAAAACGGTCGGTGTCTGTTGAAGTCTCTTTAATTCAAGGCATTTTATACTCGTAAAAAAACCATCAAGCATTCATAAATGAAACAATTTGGTTGCTACAAATTGTAACCATGAAATAACTCTAATTCTAGTTTCGTACATAGTAGATAGCGTCCAAGGATGCTATGAATTTTTACCCACGGCATTTGGGATTGAAAACTTTGGACTTTTTGGAACCTTTTATCCTCATATAAGGATGCAATCTTTTCTAATACCTTCTTTTCGGATGGATTATCCATGTACCATTCGTCTAGAAACTTTGATAGTGCTGAAAAATCAACCTGCCTCTGTTCCAAAAGGTGAAATGACATCTATTCTCGTGTCAGTTTGTATTTCTCTTCTTTTTCATACCCAACGTATAATCCCAGTCTTAGCCACAACATATAGTTTGGTAGCTTCATCGTTCAAATTGCATTCTCGGGCATAACGCTCATCGTTCTTATTGAGAGAGGAAGTCAAGGAACGAAAACATTCCAGTCTCTCCTCTTCAATACAGGCTAGTATGTGTAAAGATCTACTGATAAGGTCTGTATCCCATAGTATAGCTTGCGAAAGTGTCAGATTCAAGTCTTCATTCATGTCTGGAAGGGTTCTAACTTTTAATGCAAAGCAATGGTCAAGGAAGGCCATATTCATAAATAATGGTACAGGAACATATTCTAAAGACTCACATGTACCCAGATTCTCTAGACAAGCTTTCTTGTTAATTTTCTAAGGAGTCTGAAATTTGTTACCTTGTACGATCGCTGCATTCTCACTGGTCTCTTGAAAATGATTTTCAGAAAGAAAAAAGGCCTCCAAAGATTTAAAGGTAGCTGCTATTTGACTATGGTGTATCATGATTCGATTTACGACCTTTGTGTTTATAAAGACACTATAGATCAAATCCTTCTTACTTTTCAAATTCAAGAAAAAAAGATCAATAGTAAGTTTCTGTTCGATGAGAAAGCATTTCTTTCCATATATGGGTCTTTCTATAGGAGAACCGTTTCCTGGGTTGTATTCATTACTGACAAAAGTGTAATATCTAAGACGCTAGACGAATTCTTTATTATTAAAAAAAAATAAAAATAAAAATAAACGAAAGACGAACTCGACTCTCATTTCAAAAGTCTACCTAAATTATTATATCTAGAATAAATATTCTTTTCCACGTTCTATATATCAAAATCGCTTTTATTTATATACTCATTCCTAATTTGTACCACATCGTATCGCAGGGTATAGGAATTGTAAACAATCTAGATATATTTACATATGTATGGAAATTCATTCTATTTGGGCTTTCCCGTAGCTTTTTTTTTGTACATATACATATCTTATTCCTTTCTTAAACGATTTTGGAGGACTAGTTATTTGAATATACGCATAATTGATTTTTGGGAAATACCGTACCAGAAATTCTGCAAGAGTTTGACCAGTTGTAACCATGGAAAGTAGTCATTTTAAAGAAATCAACATCATAGTGAAGGAGCTTTTCTCTCTTAAGTTTCTTATTTTAGAAATTTCAAACACATACTAACATTTGATTTTCACCATTAAATATCGTACTACAATTTGATTAGGTGCATCTTCGCAATTGCAAAGTAAGTGGACTCATCTCTGGTTTTGAGAGAATTGTTTATAAACTTGACTCATTTTTATATTTATATACATATATATATATATATAAATATTTAAATAGGCTATAAAGAGCCCAATCATCCAATTTCATCCAGGTTTGTTTACATCCAACATAAACAAATACTCGACAAATCAAATTTGATCCTCAAAGCGTCCTAAAGTGTTTACTTTTTTTTTTCTCAGAAATCTTTTTCTTATATAAGTCTCTTTGTTTAATGCTTCAAAGATTACTTTTCTTATGAGTAAGAAACCCATAAATCTTCATCTCGGTGTTTTCGGAGAATTACGGTAATTGAACCCATTGATACTCACTGAGAGAACACCACACTGTAAGCATCATAGGAAAGGTAGAAAACCCGCTGGAAACAGCAGAAATCTGGTTTTTATTTATTTATTAGAGAATTCCATTTTCGAGAAGAAACCAACTTGAAGAGTTTTTACGTTATTGGCAAACGAAGAAACGAATTGGAACCTTTGAAAAGGGGAAGCGAAGAAACAGCAAGAAACGGGCTTTATTTGTGAGAATATTGGGTTAACGAATTTTGTTAAATATTAATAATTTCTCTATTTATGTTTCAAAGAAATCCTAATGAAAATTGACTCAAACAACTTTATCCCTTCCAGAGCCATACCGACAGAAGCAGTTTCTACCCATGACGAAAAAAAAGTGACGCCAATTGATAGAGAAAAAAATCTATCCTCAAACATACCTGAGTCTCAAATTGGTCCTGAAGCACAAGGAAGGATCCTTTCGCGTTCGAGCTTGGATTGTCCACCTAAAAACAGTGGTATGCATCCGCTGGAAATTTTTACAGAAACTCAGGTATTCGATGATTCTACAGACCCTTTTGCGCCCCAAACTTCGACAACAACTAGCTCTTATTCGTTCCATAGTCCATCCTCTGATGCAGAATTCTTAGGAAAACACGCCCCATCATCGGCTGGTGCCATTTCACCCACAAGTCCTGCCCCGTTAAACACAGAACACAAGTCCACCCTCCCGAATCGACGTTTACAGCCCGAAAATCAATCCTCCAAAAATGATTTACATGGCAAACGCAGTGATGATCGCAAGGCCAGTTTATCAAATTCAGCTCTAGACGAAATCCCTCCTGATATTGGTTCTGCCAACTGGGCAGAAGCTGTGAAACAGAAGCGATTGAATATGAGACGTCGGCATGAGGAATTAGACGATGATTGCGTTTTAGTAGGAACGCGAGTTTCTGAAGGTCATGAGAATTATGTTACTGCCTATAATATGCTCACGGGTATCCGTGTTGGCGTTTCCCGGTGTCAGGCAAAAATGGACCGAGCTTTGACTCCAACTGATTTTGGGTCTAGACACAAGTATACCTTCGACATAACTGGCAATGAACTCACGCCTTCCGCTAGATACGATTTTAAATTCAAAGACTATGCTCCTTGGGTATTTCGACATTTACGACAGCTCTTCCATCTGGATGCCGCGGATTATCTCGTTTCACTCACTAGTAAATACATCCTTTCTGAACTGGACTCTCCTGGAAAGAGTGGCTCTTTCTTTTACTTTTCACGAGATTATCGCTTCATTATAAAGACTATCCACCGTTCCGAACATAAATTTTTACGAGAAATTCTTTATGATTATTATGAACATGTCAAAAATAATCCAAACACATTGATTTCACAATTTTATGGTTTACATAGAGTAAAGCTTCCTTTTGGGCGCAAAATCCATTTTGTGGTTATGAACAATCTTTTTCCTCCCCATCGTGACATACATCAAACATTTGATTTGAAAGGTTCAACACTTGGGCGTGAGTTAAATGAAAAAGTACCTTCGCAGAATCCGATGTGTACGATGAAGGATACGAATTGGTTACGCAGAGATATGCATCTTCAGTTTGGACCTTTAAAACGTCAAATATTTTTAACTCAGGTCAAAGCCGATATTGATTTGCTTTCTTCTTTAGGTATTATGGATTACAGCCTTTTAGTGGGTATTCATGATCTTAGTCGTGGCAATCGAGATAAAATTCGAAATAGCTTATTATCAGTTTATGATCCCAATGTTTCACAACATCAAGTTCCGGCCACGGGCGCTGGAGAATCCAATGCACATCTCCTACGACAAGTTGTGAATAGCACTGGACCGGTTTCGTTGGATAGATCGTGTAACCGTCTTCCAAGCAACCAATTTATGGAGTACGTAACTTACATAAAAGATTTTTTACTAACTATTTGCCAGAAGAAGTAATTTTATGTTCTATAGTGACGATGGTGGTTTTCAGGCTACAGATGAAATGAACCAACCCGCAAATCATATATTTTACATCGGTATTATCGATTTACTTACGAAGGTTTGACCATCCAATATGTATATTCTTAGTACTAACTATTCTAGTATTCCTATGTAAAAAAAGCAGAGCACTTGTGGAAAGGCATTAATCATTCCGAGTCAGCAATTTCTGCTGTTCCACCTCTCGAATATGCCAACCGGTTTTTTAAGTTCATCGAAAATAGCATAAAGCCGGATCATCTAACTTTGAAACCTGTTCCGATGTTCAAACAACAAAACGATAAAGTTGTCCTTGTAAGCAACCATCAAAATGGAAGCACCAAGGAAACCGAGGAGTCTCCTGGCAGACCAAAAACTAAACCAAGTGAAAATAAATCAAATCCCCAACAAAGTCCTTCACGGAAAAAAAGCTCATCCCCAATCGAGAAGGCATCGGTTTCTCCTAAACGGTTTCCTTTTATACGACCTAACGTAACTGGTAACAATATATCGCCGGCTAAATAATAGTAATTTTGAAGTGCCACCAACTATTCTAATGCATTGAGATGTTTATGCTTTGTTCTTGTATATAATCACTAATCTATCATTTCGTTATTTCTAGGATAAAAGAGCAAGTTGTTTAATAATACTACATAGACCAGGTGTTAATATTTTTATTTAAAGACATGTCACTAGCGCGTTTCTATATATAACATCAAACGATTCCGTAAATGAAAACGATAGGAACCATGCCGATGATCACTGGGTAATTAGGATTAGAATCTCACTTGCTATCTGGTATTCAGACTTATATAAAGTAAAGTAAAGATGGTTGATCTCTTCATTATTAAAGTATATACGTTACTATTTGATTCATCGAATCGGTAAACCCAAATATGTTAATTTGTTAGTTAGTAGCGTCAGCAAGCTCGGCAAGAAAATTGACAACATCTTCAGCTTCAGGGATACACCAATCCGCAACTGTAAGCTTATGTGGAGAACCTACAGTAACAGCAAATGATGAATCCTTGTTAACAAGATTGGCTTTTTTATTTAAAGAACGAAACATATCCTCATCAGTTCTATCATCGCCAGCGCAAAATATAAAAGAAGGAGTGGATTCATCAGAGTAAGAAGACAAAATCTGCTTAACAATCCCACCTTTATTGATACTAGAAGGCCGTACTTCAATATTTGCTTTTCCTCTCATAATTTCAACTTCAAACCTGGAGCAAACCATCTCCTCAAGTAATGTTTCACATTCGATCGCTTGGAATGAACCATTCTCAGGATCCGCTTTTCGATAATGCCAAGTCATACCACAACGCTTTTCTTCAATAAAGGAACCTTGAGTACGATCAGTAAAATACTGAAAAATCTGTTTGACATCTTTCTTCCAAGACAGGTCAAGCAATTCTGCCAGATTTGTCCATTCATCACGGTGAGGCTGACGAACAAAACTTCCATGCTCAGCAGAAAGACCCAGACCAGTAATGTCGTTCATGTACTGTCTTAGAAACTTTTGATCACGACCAGATATGATCCACACCTGGTTTCGTTCATCAGCAGCAAGTGTTCTAAGTGACTTTAACAACTTTTCAGATGGTATAGCTGCATTAGGATCTCTAACAATCGGAGTCAAAGTTCCGTCATAATCTAACATAAACAAACGTCGAGGTGCTTCTTTGTATAAAGACTTAGCATAATTATAATTCAAAACTGGTGTCAGCTCACCAGACTTCGAGGCTGCCAATTTATTGGCCAAAGTACGGATTAATGAAGATGTCCAGGACTGCATGGTATATGTAGTAACTTGTTTGTAAGATTCGTGCTGAATGCTTTTCCTTTTCTCAAGGGGCATGCACAAAACTTCATTGATGATATCGGCCGTCTCATTGTGATCCCAAGGGTTAATTAAAGGAACGTCATGTAACATAGCTGAAGTACCAGTAAACTCTGACAACATAACTATACCCCAGCGATCTCGCTGGCAAACGACATATTCTAATGCAATGTTGCTAATACCCTGACGAATGCTGTTAATAAAAAGGGAATCTGCAAACGTAAGGAGCGCAAAATAATCAGCAGCATCTATTTGATCTTGATAATGTATAATGGGTTTATAATTTTCTGATCCGTAAAGATCGTTAGTTTGATCAATAAGTCTTTGAATATGAGAAGAAAGCTTTGGATGACGGAATGCAGAAGAAATCGTAATTTGAATCAAAACGACTTTGCCACGCCATTCTGGGTATTGTCTTAAGAAACGTTGAAAAGAAATGATTTTTTGAGGAACGCCATAAATTTCGTCTAAACGGTCACGGCCAACAATAACCTTCATACCTTCGTACTTAGACGCGAGTTCATCGATTTTTTCTGAGACAGTGGCATTGCCACTTGATCGAATTACTCGTGGAACATCAATCCCTACGGTCAGGGGACGAACTATGACTCTTTGGGAGTTATAGGAAACCCAATCATGACCACTTTCAAATCCTAAAACACGAGTACAGCAACTGATAAAGTGACGAGCATAGGAATAATCTTCGAATCCAACGAAATCACATTCCAGCAATGCATTAAGGATAGCATTTCGTCTAGGAAAACATCTAGCTATTTCTGAACTCGGGAAGGGATGATGGTGATAAAAGGCAATAACAGCGTCAGGGAATTTTTCACGCACCATTTTGGGAACAAGGAAAAGAGAGTAGTCCTGTACAAAGATCAAATCTCCTGGAGTATATGATTCACATATTTTCTTCGCAAATGCTTCATTCATGGCAACATAGTCGTCCCACCAGTGCTCTTCGTTTTCGTCCACTTCCGCGCTTGTCCAATATTTATAATGAATTAACGGTCGGATAACATTTTCTGCATAAGCAAGCCAGCGAGATTGCGAAGAACGATCTTCACAAAGGATAACCTCATCATCATGTTTTTCTTCATGCGAACAACCAGTAAGCCAAACTGGAATATCCTCTGTCCGCTTATCACAATTCCATTCTTTGTATGATCTCTCGAAATTCTTCAAATCTTTTTTTGTAATTTCTGTTACACTCTCCCCATTCCCTTTGTTTGGTTCATCGGATATCGTCGGAATTGCGCCCGTCCATCCCACTAGCTTTGTCCTCCAGTATGTAGAGTTTGCAAGCCAATTCATGCTTGAATACATTGTGGTCGCTCCTCGGCGACCTGTGAATTCCCATTCACGGGTTTTTTCATGAATCGCCGATTTGAACGGTAAATGTCGCAACACGTAGATGATGCATCCGCTCACCCCCAAACTTTTTAATTCTTGAGGATCCAGTAAGTCTCCAGACAATTCATAAACATTTTCGCGTTTAAAATTCGTTGGTGATTCTGTCGCGTGAGGGTTCATTGGTTTTCTATTCTCCTTTACCTTGCTTTAGACCGGCCCAAATATGAGGGTTTATTTTTTGTAATATTTTTCAATTCAAAGGCTCCGATTTCCACTTTTTCAAATAAAACTCTACGTTTTGATTGTAATAGGTGTTTATGTCGTTGGTTGTAGGAGGATTTATTAATCGCAAACCCGTATGTCACTTTCTATAGAATAACATACCCCACTTCACGTCACTCATAAATCAATTTACTAAATTTGAAGACATAATTATGGATAAAAAGGAACAATAAAGAAAAAAATATTTCTTTTTATGTAGGTGCTTTCATATACATTTATCTTCATTTTCTTTTACTTTACTTCACATATTCTTTTGGTGCACTATTTATTGATCCAGTAAAGATTTGTTAGTAAACAAACATTTTTTCTAGTAGAGTCTGTTTAAACTTACATAATGGTCGCAGAAGGTCATGTCTTAAAAAAAACTTCTATAATCTAAGGTATTTACTTAATTTAATTTAACTATGAAAAACGAATAAATGAAATCAGAAATTATGTAGACCGGACGAAAAGTAAACAACGTATTTAATGAAATACGACACATATAATAACACAATTGTCCAAATGAATCAGACTTCCCAGTACTACTATAAATAGCACTTTTTGGGATAATTATATAAAATGGTAAATAAATCCAACAATGAATGATGTTTGCCCGTCACCAGGTATGCCCTTTGTAAATACAAAGCTAAATAAAAAAAATTCAAATAATCACGAAACAAATGCGTACGACCAAAATCTGCCTGCATTCTTGAAAGAAGAATAATACTCATCTTGGTCATATAGTCGAGATTAATGGGTATCCTTGGATATGAATCAAATGCCAATATAATGCGTGAGATTGTCAAAATCTCATGGTATAAACTTGTATGGCCAGCATACAAGAGATAAATATGCAATCTAAGCACAGCTCTAGCCTTGTGCAAATAAGCTTAGAAAAGGACGACTATCAATGTCAAGGCGAAAAGAAGAGAAACATAGCTAGCGCTGGAGGTTCTGGAGGCAGAGCTAGGAACACTCTTTGATGCACTCCTACCAGATGAAGAAGGTGCCGCCTTAGAAGATGATACAACTGAGGTATGCAAAGATTGAGTAGAGGAAGGTGCTACTGCACTTTCACCTGCAGATGATGTAGTCTCGCTGGGATCGGAATAAGAAGCATCAGAGGGTCTGGAAACAGCAGGTGGTAAAGTCATGGAGGGAGTGGAAGAGGTGGGAATGTAACTAGGAGTAGTTACGGTTACAGTAACGGCGGCAGGGCAAGTAGCACCAGTGTTTTGAACAGTTTCAGTTGTAACAGAAATTGTACCATTAGGAGCCAAAGAAGCAGTGGCTACTGCGGAGGAGTTTGTGGTAGGAGAAAGAGTACTGGGTCTAACAGAAGAAGGTGTAGCGATGGTGGAAGAATTCGTGTAAGGAGGAACAGTACCTGGTCTAACAGGAGAAGGTGTAGCGGTAACGGAAGAGTTTGTAAAGGGAGGAACAGTACCTGTTCTCACAGAAGAAGGTGCATTGATGACAGAAGTATTTGTATAGGGAAGAGCAGTATTGGGTCTAACGGAAGAAGGTGTCGTAGTGACAGAAGTATTTGTATAGGGAGGAACAGTATTGGGTCTAACGGAAGAAGGTGTCGTAGTGACAGAAGTATTTGTATAGGGAGGAACAGTATTGGGTCTAATGGAAGAAGGTGTCGTAGTGACAGAAGTATTTGTATAGGGAGGAACAGAACTCTGGTATGTAGAAGACGCAGGCACAGTCAAGACCGAAGAGTTGCTACTAATAGGAGTAGATGGAACATTGGAAGAAGTAATCGCGGGCGAGGAAGGGTTTGCAGAAGAATTTAAAGCAGCAGGGCTATTAGTGACAGAAGGCACAAAAGTAGTAGAGCGATGTATAGAAGTAACATTCAAGTTAGAAGTGACCAACGGGGAGCTTGTAGTTGTGGAAGTATTGGGAGTTGCTGCGTTATTTGTAGGTGAAGACACCACAGTAGTAGAAGTAGAGTTGGTAAAAATAGGAGTAGATGTCGTTGACAAGGGCGAAGATGAATTAGCGTAATAAGGACCAGATGTAACAGTGCTCTTAGGAGAAGTGGTAACTGCAACGGAGGGACTAGTAGTATAAACGACCACAGAAGTGGTATTGAAATTAGGACTAGTAGTTTCAACAGTGGAGCTAGAAGGAGTCGATGATGGTTGGAAGGCAGGTGCCATAGTCCAATTGCCCGTATTCGATGTATTCGTCTTTAATTGTGGAACTGCATTAGCACGCAAGGCATCATCATCAAGGGGACTCTTTATTCCTTTCTTATCCATTACGGTAAAAGTTTCCGATTGGGCATAAACAAAGGAACTATCGACAGGAGAAACGAGGTTGACTCGATAACCTGAACCAGGCGTAAGCTCAAGAGGTGGAAGAGTTGCATCCTTTTTAGATGTGTCAATAGTCATTGCATACTGATTAACTGCAGGATTTACTTTTTCATTGACAACGTAAACATGTGCTTCCGATGGATCTGTGCTTTCAACAGACCAATCCAAAACCTCTGGACTTTGAGAAAACCACAATGATTCTCTTGAAGGTTTTTGAATTGTTATAGCACTGCATAACTGTAATAAACTGAGCGCCGTGCCAATAAACGTAATTTGACGCATTTTTCTTTTTTTTTAGACAAATAAACAAACTTTCACTAAAAAGGGATGAAAGGTATAAAGCTGTCTTAAGCGTTGACAAATAGAAACAATGACCGATTAGTGCAGAATTATGTTCCTAAACTGAATAAACAAATGATTTTGTTTTTATAGTAGGATGTTTGGTGTGAAGAAACTGTGTCTATAATAACCCTCAAAAACGTAAACAAAAACAAACTCAAAATAAACAAATCCTGGTGATATTAGGGATTGCAACAAGTCTTTTATAGTTTCAGTATATTGCCTATTATGAATCTCGCTATGGTTAGTTACCATGGTAACCAAGGTGTGCTGGTAGTAAATAAACAGTAAAATAGAGAATAAAGCCATTTCGTGACGTGTTCGTAAATAAAAACAACGAGATCATATGGAGAAACAAAAAAAGTAAATAGTTTTCTGAAACGTGGCTGGAAGTGGATCCCCATTGTGCAATAGTCCTTGAGGGAGTGAGGTCGGTTGAATGTACAAGGAGTTTAGTATACCATACAGGTCATAAAATAATAAAAACTTTCTTTTTAGTATGTTATTGTGGAGATAGTACGAAGCTCTAAATTAGACTTTAGACGAAGGATATTAATAAAAGTCGTAAAATCGTAAGAACACAGGTGGAAATATGGAGTGCCCACCAAATGAAAGAAGGACCTGCAAACGTACGAGTAAAAGTCATATCTAAAAAGGGCCCAAAAGCCTTCGTTTCACTATAGACGTAGTTTTTGACAGGAGATGGTAGGTATGAGAGGTAATGATGGAACTTGGATTGCAGATTTCTGCGAAACATGGAAGGTACATTTCTCAAAGTCAACTCTACAAAACCGATGTTTCCTCCAAAATATCCCATAACACTTGGTAAAGTATGCTCAATGACGCCATTCGGGTGATGATAGTCGCACCCCATATGATCGTGGCCTGAAAGGATCAAGGCTATACTAGGCAATAAGTGGAAAATATGTTGGGTTGTCTCGTAGGAAAGATGGTTTTGCTTCAGGACTCGATGGTTATCAGAACGTGATATAAAAGGCTTATCCACACAGGCATGCTGGGGCTTGTAGAATGGAACATGGGTAAAAATGATCGTAGGGATTTCTGCTTGAGCGGCTTGTTCATAAAGAAAAGTCCATACATCGACGGCTTCCTTCGACAGGGGAAGGATACCAGAACAAGAAAGACTATTGCAAGATTGAAATTTCGAGGCCACCTCTGGGTTAAACTGAACATTATCTAAAGCTAAACTATTTATTCCAAGTATACGTACAGGGTGACCAGCGACGGAGGTTTTCGTAGCCCAATTCATTAATCCAAAAGAAGATATCCACTTTTCGGTCTGTGAGTCAGACAACTCGTTTCCATAACCGATGTCATGATTTCCTGGAATCGCCCAAACTGGAATTTCATTGACTTGAGGAGTAGCCTCTTTGACTACACCTGTACTATTAAAATCCGCAGCCCCTGTAATTCGCTTCAGTCTTTCTGCACGATTTTTAAACTCATTAACGTCCAAATTTTGAAAACTCACAAGATCACCCAATAGAACCATAGCGTCGGGCTTCCCCCAAAACTTGTTTGTTTGAACCAAGTGTCTCAAGTAAAGATCGTTTCCCAGAACATCAACGGTGCCTTTGAGAAATCCGTTGGCCTCCACCTTATGATTACCTTCAATCTGTGGGTCAGCAACTCCCATAATTGTAAATGAACTATTCAGTTCACGCGGCCCAAATCCAAAGGAAGAAAAAACCCCAAACCAAATGGGGTAAGCATAGTAAATCGCTAGCAATGCCAAAGAAAGATATTGAAGGATACCAATAGCTTTGCTAACCCAGACAAAAAACTGACGAATTGATTTCGGAGACGCCATTTATCAAGTTAAATAGTTATACTTAGAATTATATTTGGACCAAAACACCAAGTTTTAAGAAACGAGTGACAAAAAATAAAAACAATATCTGTTTACAAAATACAAGCAAAACCCATATATTAAAGGAGGATATAAGATATCATGGGTAGCAAAAAGATCACTTATAAAGTAAAAATTGGTATAAACAAACTAATTTTATCAAAACTTAGAAACTGTATTCTCTTAAGCGTTGAATGACATCTGCGTTTGTCTTGGTGCTCATTTGAATTACGAATGTTAAGTATCTCTACGGATTCTTGTTTACCGTCGTTCAGTGATCTGTTATTCTATATTAAGGAAACATAAGGTTATGCACTAGTAAATTATTGTTTGATTCATGTCGGTGTAGAATATTTTCATCCATTATTTTCTCAGAATCCTTCGCGAGCGAATTATAAATGAAAATAATGTTCATTACTTTAACATATTTTATTTATAAAGACTCCAGTAGAGTTTGAATCATCAATAATTCACCGTCTTCTCGTTCTCCTTGTAATGTTACCTGACGAAAAGCAGTCCTGCTACCTTCAGTGGTAGGGACCCAAAAAAAAATTTTGACTATAAATAAACAAGTGTCAAACTAGGCAGCACCTTCATTCTCTTTTTTTCTATAATACTAATAATGTCTACCGATCGTATTGAATATCTTCGCTCTAAATTGGCTCAATATCCCGATTTCCCCAAGAAGGGAATTCTTTTTGAGGATATTATGCCAATTTTCTCTGACCCTAAGGCTTTTGGTATTCTCGTTGATCTTTTGGTCGAACTCATTCAAAAACAATTCAAGGAAATTGATGTCATTGTTGGTTTGGAAGCCCGCGGCTTCCTTTTTGGTCCTACCTTGGCCTTGCGTTTGAATGCAGGATTCGTCCCCGTTCGTAAACCTAACAAGCTCCCTGGTGATTTGGCTACTATCACCTTCAAAAAGGAGTATGCTGAAGATGCTTTCGCTATGCAAAAATCTTCCATCAAGCCCTCCCAACGTGTCTTGATCGTCGATGACATCTTGGCTACTGGCGGTACCGCTTTGGCTGCTGATGAATTGATTATGCAATTGAATGGTAACTTGTTAGGCCATGTTTTCTTGATGGAATTGGACTTTTTGGAAGGCCGTAAGCGTCTCAAGGCCCCTACATTCACTCTTTTTAGCGGTCAATCTGAGGCTCCTGAAGGAAGCGAATTTGCTTAAGGCATCCATGTTTTAGTATTTGTTTATTAGGGATTTTCGGTAATAGCGGCTTTTAGTTCAGTTTCCAGGTTTTCATAAGACCGAGCAGGTGCTTATTCTTTGTGTTTTTGGATAGTAATTTTGCTTGTATACTAGATTTATCAGAGCACAATGCACTTAATAGAATCAATCGTTTTTAAAGAATACTGATACACTTTTATACAACAAAATTGCAATTATCTTATTGTTAATCGTTAAATGTTTTCTAACATATATATCATCAAACATACGTATAATAAGGAAGTAAACAAAGTGAAATGCTGAGTATTATCCTAATTCCTGTTTATTAAATAATCGCGTTCATCGAAGCAAGTTTCACAAACGTAGAAGTTCTCAATCAAGGAGTTTTGAAAATAACAAGGTGCGTCTTTTTGAACCTTTTGCACAGTTATGTTTCCCCATTGAAGGACAAAACTTTGATTTGAATCAAGGTGAATTGTTGGTGGCACGTAAGGTTTAATTAAACCAAAAAAATAGGACGAAGGAGACTCTTGCATCAACTTTGTTTTGTTCGTTCTAGGGTCCTGGTCCAACAATAAAAGCAATCCTGCTTTCTGTGCATTCTTCGCTTGTTGTAACCAGCTGCAGTCTCCGGTTGGAGCTATATAAGCTACGCCAGGCGTTAAAGAGAAAGGCAGTTTGTTACACAAACTGGTGTTTAAAAATGCCAATGGTAACTGCAAAGGTTCCTCGAAAGTTCCTTCATGAACGTGAAGGAACTCAGAATATGCTTCTTCTTTTGTATTGACAGAAACCAAATGCGCAGAAACTGTAGGCGTATGTAGCGTCTGTAGACTCATAAACATTGCATAATTGGGATCAGTCAAATAGACTGTATCATTGTCTCCCGCTCTTTGGTTTCCTATTTTAAAAATGCGGTAGTACTCATTATCAATATACTTTATTAGGCGAATCCTATTGCCTATCAATGTTGGTACATATATCTGGTTCATGGAACGTTCAGTAGATTTGAAAGGAGGTAATAGAACATTCCCATATAGAATTTCAACGACGTCTGCAACTCTTGGTCTTGCACAAATTCCATTAGGATCAATTATTCCATCAACAACATGCTGATGACTAGATTCTACCATTTCGAAGACATAATCGAAATCCTCCCTGGATGCTATTTTAGAAAAGAAAGAAGGTTCAGCGTAATTCTCATCGGGATTAAGAAGACACGTCCCAGGATGCTGACGTTTATAAGAGTTAACGGCTTTATGCGTTAGTGTATTAATGGGTAATAAATGACCTTCGGTAGTAAAAAGGAAATCTTGGAATTTAGAATGAAAAATATTGCTTTCATCAAAGAGAAGATATAGATACTTCAAGGTTTCACTAAGAAAAAAACTCTCCATTCGATCAGAACGTACCCCTGTTTGAAGGTTATCTAGGGAAGCAAATCCACAAGACGTACGAAGATTCTTTTCAATGTTTTTCAAAATTATCTTTCCTACTTCCAAGTAAAATGGATCTTTAGTAGCACGATATAGATAGTACGTGGATTCAGCAAACTCTGGTCTTAAGGGATATCCTTGTAGTTCTATGGTTTTGGTATGAAAGTTAAATCTTTCTGGTATTTGTCCGTACTTCATGTAAATTGAAAAATAGTAGAGATGTGACTTTTTCGCAGACTCCAGCTCGCCAGCGAGAACCAGTAACCCAGGAAAATAGGCTCCTAGAGAGTCAACCCAATACGTTGCAGTAGTCCCACTGCTAGCGTACACATTTTGGTAGTAATAATCTTCTGTGGAAGACATATATTGACGAATATTGCTTAAGGATTCTTCCCAGACCTGAAGAAATCGTATATCATCGAGCAAAATATATGATTTAAAAGCATATTCATAAAAGCTATCAATTCCAGCTCCTATACCAGAAACAGGATATATCCAATTTCCGCTCATTACGTCGATGCTGTTTCCTAATAGACCAATGCTACTTCTACGATTCCATATAGCAAAAAAGGCATTTTCCGCCGCCTTACGAAACTCCGGATTTCCACTAAGGATGCTCAGCATCGAAAATTCAAGGACAAGACTGGAAGCCCCAGCGGAGCAGGACTCATTCGTCTCTTTTGAAGAGACTCCTTTCATCAAATTTATCCTCGCAAAAGGGATTTTCGTTGGTGTTCGAAATGCAATTAATAGACGCTCACCAAGTTCGGTTGCTAAAGTTAACAACTCATTGTTATACCCAGGAAGTTGAAATCCGTACTGTGGATCTGAAGCAAAAACGTGGCCGGACAGTAGACCTCCTAAAATCCTGATAGTAGCTTCAAATAGTTGAACTTTTGTGTCAGTTTCGAATGTCAAATGTTGAATGACCTTCCGAACAGCTTCGTGGAAACCTTCAGTATCATTTAAGACCACCAACGTATCTATAGTATCTATCAGGGTTAGGAGGTAGTTACCGCGTACATCGTTGACGCCAAGATTATGAGAGTCTTTAAAGTCTGGTCCCAATCCTTTGCAAGACAAGGGAGCAAGTTCGTCAAGAGGAAATGCAAGGTCTAAGTAATTGGAGTAGCCATGATAAAACAACTCTCGGGTAAGGTTTCTGACAACTATAAGTAAAATTATTCAATTTTCACCCTCATTTCTTTCTTTTCAAAATATCATACCTTAACCCCAGCGCTTCATTTGCATCAATTCCATAACCCAGAATTCCTTGAAACAGCCATAGAGATGCTAAAATCCACTTAGTAAAACCCAAAAAGAGCATAGATCCTTGTTATAATATTCAATAATTTTCTAGATAAGCTGATCCTGAAGCTTGTAATCCATCTAGAGTATGGAACTCAATATACTGGCTTTCTTCAACGTATAGCCTATGAAAAGTCAAATAGATTTCTATAAAAAAAAGAAACAATATCTTGAAAGGATTTATTAACAAGCTTCTTGGGTTTAGTAAGACGTTTTGGGGGAAGCGTCGTAGGATTACTTAATTCTTCCTCACTTGAGATACAAACGGCTTTGTTTGGTCGTTCTACAGCAAATCCTTGGCATATATAGAAAGATTTTATTACGAGAGATTTGTTCGCTTTTATTGAAAAAGTTTCAACCTGTTCATCATTCGTCTCTTTGGCTTGTCACTCCTCATTCCTTAAGCTATAATTTGGGATTTAATACTGCTTTTAACGTTACAATAGGTTTTGAAATAGAAAATAAAAGACTGTATAACATAACCTTTTTTTTTTGCAAATTAGCATCATAGCCAATATCATTTTCTAGCTTTTTTGATTCCTACTCCCAGTAATTATCGAAGCAAGAAGATTTATTCAATTTATATTTAATTGGGGGGGGGGGTTCTCAATTCTATTCACGTATTTTTTTATACTTCTCCCAGCTGTTAAAAATCCTTAATTTATTTTTTATTTGTTTATTTACGTTTATTGCATCTGTGTATTTATAATTGACAAGATATTAGCGTAAAGAGGTAATATTCCTTATTTTCTAAGACTCACAACATGCCTTATGTACCGATTACCCATTTCCTAAATTGTGCGTATTCCGTTTCATTCAAAGGAAAGTCAATAGATTTCCTATTTGCAGCTCTCTTTGTAGCTTCCATATAGTACTTTCTTTCTTTCGGGCTTACGTGGATAACTAAATTGAACAGAATGGGAAAGCCAGTGATCATCAAAGCAAAGAAGGACTACGATGGTGTATATGAGCCAGAACGCATGAATTGGCTTCGATTACAATACTATCGTTATCAGGTTACTCTTGGTCCATATGTCTTTACTTCTCATGAAGCATTTGTTTTCAATACCATTGTTCTCCTTTTGCTTTTCCTAATCGGTTGGGCCGTAAAGTCTATAGTCGTCAAATTAACTCCACCTTTGTGGAACTTGGTGTTATACATACCTGCTACCGTATTGTATCTCGTTCAGAAGAATGCTTAAAGGGGGTGGGGGAACTACCTGTTATGTCCATCCATAATTCTTGCCTAATTGATAGAACTGACGAATACATACCTGGGTGAACAGCTCTTTATACGATAGCTTAATAGTTCTTTCTTCCTTGGATTTGCCTCCTTATTCGCATTCACAACGAAAACAACCGGTCATATTACTTAAAACCTTATGTTTGGCGTGAAGATACTCATTCTCAAATCCATTAGTTACTTAATTTTATTATTTGAATGATGCATACCCTATAAATCAATTATGTATTTAGACGCTTTAGCATCTTTATTTCGAAATTTAGGCGGTTCCCTCATTTACGGTCCTTCCATCGGAAAGAAAGAAAACAGCTTTACTTTGCTAGCGATAATATCTCCAGATAATACTTGACATATACTTACATAACTCTTAGATTTAAAGTCTGCATCATTTTGCCGGCTACGTTTTACATCCTTTTTACAAATACCCATATCTAATACCAAAATTCTCAGATAGTAAGATGGGTGATATAGTTTTGTATATGTTGTATCACAAGAATATGAAAGATAGGAAGCGAAAAAAAGACATAATAAAAGAGTGTAGGGTCCTTTAATAGCGTGACCGTGTCGCATAGTTAGAAACAGTATGAGCTTAAACGAGCAATAATTGCTATGCCAGACATGGCAGAATGCAAGAGAAAGAAAGTATAGTTAATGAATAAAAGCACAAAAGATAGCTTATACAAGACAAACCATCTCAAATTAATTACAAATAAATGTCTTTTCGCGATTGGCCTGAAGGTTGAATTTACATTGGATTACGCCGGGCAGATCTTCTGGAAATGAGTGACGACTGAGCAAGATCTAATTGGAAAGAATCTCTTTCATCGCTGTTGGAGAGATCACTAAAGGGGAAACTCGTTCCTGTTTGTTCATCGCCCGAATCTTCTTCAACAATTAGGTCGGCCGCCGAATTAATTCTCGAAGAATGGGCTTTTTTATGCTGACTGTTAGGGAAGTTAGAGCGACGAGCATCATATGCAACCATCATTGCATCACTCAAAGTAGTAATGGATGGTGATTTATGCATAGATGCACTAGATGTGCGGGAAACCATAGTTCTCTTTGGTCTTTCCTTGAAATCAGATGTCATTCGTCCAGGTGAAGAAGAAGTTGAATCTATAGAGCGCGAGTAAAATTTTGGCTTATGGGAAGGAACCAAAAGCATCTTCGGTTCACCACGAATCCAAGGATGTTGGAAAAACTGATGGATATCATATCGTTCTCTTGGATCCACTGTCAATAAATGGGCAACCAAATCTTTCGCAGATTCTGATATATTGTCCCACCAAGGAGATAAAAACTCGAATTCTCCTTTCACAACTTTGGATGCCAAGAGTTTCACATTATCGTCAAAAAAAGGTGGAAATCCACACAACATTGTGTGCAGCAAACAGCCTAACGCCCACATATCCACATTTTTAGAATAAAGTTCATCATTTACAATTTCGGGAGCCGCATAACCTACTGTTCCGCAAGGAGTAGATGTTTTCGTATTCCAAACAACTTTACTGAAACCAAAGTCACCAATTAAAATTTTGCCTATACCACCACCTCCAACGCCAGGCGTGAAAACACCTTCGTCTCGCTTGATCGGATCTAATGGGGGCGGTTGATATCCTTCTGTAGGACGAAAAGGGATTGGTTTAAACAACACATTCTCAGGTTTAATGTCCCTGTGAACGATGCCACATACGTCGTGAAGATGTTGTATTGCATCTGCTATTTGGACTATTACATGCCTTGCGAGTTGTTCTGAGAAGTAAGTGAAATAAACGATCTTGTGAAAAATTTCTCCTCCCTCAGCGAGCTCCAAAACAAGATAAAAGAAATCATCTGCTTCAATAAAATCGAGCAAAGTGACAATGTTTTTGTGTTGAATCCTTCGCAATATATTCACTTCCTTATGAACTCCACTCCTCTATTTATCAGATTAGCTGTTGCTCAATCAATTTTTTTTTTTTTTTTTTTTGTTTTCTAGAGTTTTCATAGAATCAAGTACGAAGAAAAGCAAAACTCTTCTCTTCATCTAGAAGTTCCTTGATAACCGGAAGTATAAGTACCAACAAATTTGAAATCTTACCTGTTTCAAGTTCATCTCGTACTTGCGGATGACTTTAACAGCAACGTCTTTCTCAAGCTCGAAAGAATATGCCTTGTATACTTTGCTGTAGGCTCCACTATACATCACCATTAATATTCTATCCTTTATGAGACTGATCATCCACTTACTCTCCCAATTTCTCCTTTAATTGAAACTTTTCTAAACCAGGAAAATGAATAGATTCAGAAGAATCAGCTTCTGCATTACGACTTTGCTGGCTAGTTATGTCAGCAGACTTTTCTGAACCGAGAGCTTTCTTGCCCTTCTTTCGGTCCTTATTTGGTTTGACGGCTTTAATGAATTTTCGAAATCCCTAATGCATTGTTATTAGTTTTAGTTAAAGACTAATTTCTGTACCGTCAAAATTGACATAGTGCCATTTGGTATTTGTTGTTGGTAGAATTGAGTTTCAGCATATCAAACCGGTCTCATTTCAGCTAGTTCACCTTCCCCCAAAAAGGACTACCGAACTATTGTAGATATATCTGCAAAATATCTTTATTCCTTCAAATATATAGATGATTGATTTGATGAACTTTTAATCAATGATACATTCACTGGGCTAATTAATCCTACAAGAGGGGACTCGATACATTCAATCCATGCTATAATGTTTTCGACGCGCTGGGACGCAATAGTTAGTGCTGATACTCAATTACAAAATATTCAGGCGTTGATAGATGAGTACGACAAACTCGTCGCAAGTACAAGACCGATTTGGAAGGAGCGGCTGCGACATTTAATTACTTTGGGTTTACTACTAAGAAACCGTAAAGGGAATGCATGGTTATATATTTTAATATTTTTCAAAGTTATATCGAGCTCACTTTCTCAAAGCAGAACGATATGTTTTCGAAAGCTTGAACGCGCTGGAAATGGATTTTTCACTATTATCGCTTTGATTAAAGGCCTTGTCGCTTTTCGGGGCCAAAATACTTTTGTGAATATATTCCAAAGTTTTATCAGTACAGAAAACATGCTTCCGAACTTTGATGCTCATAATGAAGGACCTACTGGTGTAATTGATCAAACGATTCTTATGCGACGAATTGTCATGGGTCTGTTTGATGGTTTATTTGAAACCCGTCTCCCAGCGACCCTATGGTTCAAATATAAAGAACTTCAAAACACAACAAAAAAAATTGATTGTCGGCCAAATGAATGTGCGTTCTGCATTTTACGGGACGAGGATAATGCTACCCTCACGAATCCGTACAGTGCTAATTGTCACCATACCTTTTGTTACGCCTGTGTCATGTCACGAAAAGAGCTGATAGTCGATTTAACCTGTCCCATATGCCAGACTAAAATCCACCGTTGTATTCCGGACACCAATTATGGCTAGATTTTATAATCGACGTTTATGTTTTGCTAGTCAATAAAACCAATTCCCACTTTTGCGTGCTTGAACAAGGTGTATTTAACCACATAAAACAGGAAAATACTACACAGTGTAAATTTATTTACTTCATCAACTCTACAGGATAAGCTTACATTTTACAATCAATTACTCAATGTCAGGTTATACGCACCGAAAACAGTCTTATTTGATTTCCGATAATCAAGGAAGTTATTTAGATAGAGCAGCTCAGACAAAGCTTTCCGGCTCAACCTTTACCCTTTACTTTTGGGAAGACATTTGCTTAAGCTTTTGCTTAACAATCTTTTGTTCCTCGATCAAAAAGGCACGAACAATACGGTCCTTAACGGCGTTGGCACTCAAGTTACCGCCATAAGCACGTTGGACAGTCTTCTTGTTGTGGGAAAGACGAGCAAACTCACGAGGACGCAGAGCGGGAATACCTTGCAAAGGAACGCCTGTGTCACCGCAACGAGGGATGGTGCCAAGCTTCTTGATATGCAAATAGCGGAGTTTGTTACCAGGAGTCTTAATGATTCTGGTCTTGTTGCTACGAGTGTTGTAAGCAAGGCGACGGCGGTAGGTAACTCGTTGAGCCATTTTGATCTTTTTTTCGTTTGTTCTGCGCAGGTTCTTTTTTGTACCTCTTGAGCAATTGTGTTGAGCGTGACTGTTTTTTTGCAGTTCTTTATGAACAGTTCACCTCATAAAACCAAATGAACGCAAAATTTACACTATATCCGTATAAGCTTTAACGACGTACCCCACCGTAAAATACAGTAAAGTAGTTAGTGTAGTAACATAGGTAGTTTGACTTTATTCTTTTAATAATTTCATATTTAAGACTTTCTTAACACACTTATTCATTATATTATTTCTGTTTGTTTACTTTTATTCCTTATCAATAATTTATACAAGTTAGGTTTTTCTGGGAAAACAAGCGTTTCTGTCTATAATCGTCCGTCTCACCATGAGTCAACAAGCACGTCCTGCCAAATCCGTTGAAGGTTATATAATCATTGTAACTGGTTTGCATCCAGAGACTTCTGAAGAGCAGCTTGAAGATCTGTTTGCAGATTTCGGACCCGTTAAAAATCTGCATTTAAATTTGGACCGACGAACTGGTTATGTCAAGGGCTATGCATTAATCGAGTATGCCAAGTTAGAGCAAGCTGAAGATGCTGTTCGTCAGACTTCATTAATGTTATTAGAAAGAAAATTAGAGGTTGACTTTGCATTTCTGGAACCTCCTTCGCGTCCTCGCAGATCCTCTTTGGATTCTCGTAGTCGTAGTCCTTCGCCTCGACCCAGTCGCGATGATCGTGACATTAATATGGAAGTATCATGATGCATTGAAAAAATTGTTAAACTGGTATATACATATCACTTATGCACTCTGTCCGTTCGACGTCGCGATTGATAATAGGTTTTGCTTCCTTAGAAATGCGTACATAATTACACAAGCAATGCTTGCGATCGGGAAGGGGTGTTTCATATTCAATCAAGCAAGTACGGAAATAACGGGAACTTATTATTTTAGACCCGTACAATGCATTAGTCCACCAGGTGCTTTACATAAGTTTGTTCAACGAACGAAGTGCCTTCAGAAAGAACAAATCACATCCATTATCGACACCGGCATTCTTCAAAGAGTTCGTCAACAGTTCGAAAAGCGTTTACGAAATGGACAAAGGTTCCGTATGGAAGGTGGTTGTATACTATATGACAGATTACAAATAGAATATGAAGGAACTATGGGTTGTTTTCTCTTTTACACAGGTTATGGTTTTAGATGCCAAGTTATATGCGATGGTTGTCAGATCTCTACGATAGGTAATAACGACTGTTTACATCAACTAGTCTCATTTATTTAAGGGAGTGGTTCCAAGAAGTATCTCTCAATGAGAGGATTCTTCTTGTTATCGTCCAATTTTACAAAACTCTATCAACTTAAAGAAGTGAAAGGTTTAAAAAAGTGATATTAAGCGATCATAGAAATCATTGAAATGGTTGTATGTGTAAAACGTTGTCATAACTAACGGTGATTACTGGGTTATGGATCAAAGTGTTTAAATGATTTCACCCGAAGACAAGGACTAAGAAATGAAGTGTATAAAATAAGCAAACAGGTTTGGTATATGCTTTTCTACGTCTATCCATAATAACTATTCCGTTGTTCATCCAACGCTTAAAGTGAAGTTATTCGCACACTCCTTCTCACACGTTCACACGTTCAGGAGCGAAGCACATACTGCGATTAAAAGAACATTTTCTCTTTGATTTGTCATCCTTTTTAGCTAAATTTTATTCTATATGAAATCGTCCAACCGTTTCTTAAAAATTTTATTTTCTCTTCTAATAGATATTATGATAAAGAGATTTTACTATGACGATGGAAATTGACTAAAAATTTAATGCAATGAATGAGTTTAACTTAGATCCTAATAATTATCCTTATAACGAGAGAGAGGCAATTTGCCATCAGGTAAAGTTTCCATGCCAACAACTGTGACTGCGCTTTGACACTATATATACTAGAAAGGATCCTTCAACGTTCTTTGTCTGCAACACCGTAAGCCAAGCGCTACATCTTGCGATTTTTATTTGATTTATTACAACATGGGTAAAGAAAAGGGACACATTAACATTGTCGTTATCGGTCACGTCGATTCTGGTAAGTCTACCACTACCGGTCACTTGATTTACAAGTGCGGTGGTATCGACAAGCGTACCATCGAAAAGTTCGAGAAGGAAGCCACCGAATTGGGTAAGGGTTCCTTCAAGTACGCCTGGGTTTTGGACAAGCTCAAGGCCGAACGTGAGCGTGGTATCACCATCGACATTGCCCTCTGGAAGTTCGAGACTCCCAAGTACTATGTTACTGTTATTGATGCCCCTGGTCACCGTGACTTCATCAAGAACATGATTACTGGTACTTCTCAAGCTGACTGTGCCATTCTTATCATTGGTGGTGGTACTGGTGAATTCGAAGCTGGTATCTCCAAGGACGGTCAAACTCGTGAGCACGCTTTGCTTGCCTACACCTTGGGTGTCAAGCAACTCATTGTTGCCGTCAACAAGATGGACTCTGTCCAATACTCTCAAGCTCGTTTTGAGGAAATTATCAAGGAGACCTCCAACTTCGTCAAGAAGGTCGGTTTCAACCCCAAGACCGTTCCTTTCGTCCCCGTCTCTGGTTTCCAAGGTGACAACATGATTGAGCCCACCACCAACATGACCTGGTACCAAGGCTGGCAAAAGGAGAGCAAGGCCGGTGTCGTCAAGGGTAAGACTCTTTTGGAAGCCATTGACGCCATTGAGCCCCCTGTTCGTCCCGTTGAGAAGCCTCTCCGTCTTCCTCTTCAAGATGTTTACAAGATCGGTGGTATTGGTACAGTCCCCGTCGGTCGTGTTGAGACTGGTGCTATCAAGCCCGGTATGGTTGTCACCTTCGCTCCCTCTGGTGTCACCACTGAAGTTAAGTCTGTCGAAATGCACCACGAGTCTCTCGACGCTGGTCTTCCCGGTGACAACGTTGGTTTCAACGTTAAGAACGTTTCCGTTAAGGACATCCGTCGTGGTAACGTTGCTGGTGACTCCAAGAACGACCCTCCCATGGGCTGTGCTAACTTCACCGCTCAAGTCATCATTCTTAACCACCCCGGTCAAATTTCTGCTGGTTACTCTCCTGTCTTGGATTGCCACACTTCTCACATTGCTTGCCGTTTCAACGAGCTCATTGAGAAGATTGACCGTCGTACCGGTAAGAAGATCGAAGAAGCTCCCAAGTTCGTCAAGTCCGGTGATGCTTGTATCGCTCAAATGATCCCTACTAAGCCTATGTGCGTTGAAGCTTTCACTGACTATGCTCCTCTTGGCCGTTTCGCCGTTCGTGACATGCGTCAAACCGTCGCTGTCGGTGTCATCAAGGCCGTTGAAAAGACTGCACCTGGTCAAGCTAAGGTTACCAAGGCTGCTCAAAAGGCCGGTGGTAAGAAGTAAGTTCTTACTATGTAGTTTTTGAAATAAAAGTGATTTGATGACATAAATTTATTAGCAGTAGTAGTATATTGAACAGTATTTCATTGAGAATACAGTAAGTATAATTACACCGCTCAGTTAGCTGAGTTAGCTGGGAATGTGAGCGTTTTCTGCAGTCATTAGTTTCAAGAATTAATGTAGAATAATCGAATCGAATTTTATTCGACTAGGCAATATTCATTTCATTGCGGTGAGGATTTTATTTGCGAACAATAAACTTCTTCAAAAATTTAACAAACTGAATAACATCATTACGGTGGAATACGTAATAAACTTGGAACACGCTTCGTTATGAGACGCTACACCAAAAAGTTCGTCTAAAAAGCAGTCACAAAAAGTACTGTGCACAATTCTGCAAAGTTCAGCAATTCATCCAGCACACAATGTCGGAATTCCAGAAGGTCGTTGTGATTGACGCTAAGGGGTAAGAATGAATTGAAATTGTAGAAGTTGTGAGGCTTATACTGACAAAAAATCTAGTCATCTCCTTGGACGTTTGGCATCTGTTGTCGCCAAGCAGCTTTTGGGTGGTCAAAAGGTTGTTGTTGTTCGCTGTGAAGAGTTGAACATCTCTGGTAGCTTCTTCCGTAACAAGCTTAAGTACCTTGCCTATTTGCGCAAGACTTGCCGTTACAACCCTACTCGTGGTGCTTTCCACTTCCGTGCTCCTTCTCGTATCTTCCAAAAGGCAGTTCGTGGTATGCTTCCCCACAAGAGCCCTCGTGGTCAAGCTGCTTTGGAGCACTTGCAAGCTGTTGAAGGTGTTCCACCTCCTTTTGACAAGCAAAAGCGTGTTGTTGTCCCTGCTGCCCTTCGTGTCTTGCGTCTCAAGCCCGGCCGTAAGTACTGCACTGTCGGCCGCCTTTCTTCTGAGGTTGGCTGGAAGTACGCCGACGTTGTTTCCAAGTTGGAAGAACGCAGAAAGGTCAAGAGCGCTGCTTTCTACCAAGCCAAGCACTCCAAGCAAAAGAAGGTTGCTGCTGCCAAGTCTGCTTCTTTTATCAACCAAAAGCTTGCTTCCTATGGTTACTAAATGAGCATCTTCGCTTCTTCTGGTTTTGCCCTATTAGCTACGTAGGAAATTGAATATGAGCACCAAGTCCCTTTCTTGTTATTTTATGTATTGTATATACTTAATTCCTGGTGTTTAGCGTGTAATTATTATACAAGCTGCCGTTTCTTGTATTTCATGCTTAGTACATCTTGTAGATAATTCCATTTACTACGTTAATAGGATCTTTACCATTATCAAGCACTAAACAAAAAAAGCCCAAATTTATTTATCTATAACCAGAATGATTGTTTACACATAGTAGGACTCTAGTAAACTTCTTGCTTCTATTTTAAGGTTGTCTGAAATTGTCAGTCAAAATTAAATCCAAGGTGTCAAATCCAGTTCAACAGCGGATGCTGCAACGGACAGTTCAAATTTTTCCAGTACAAGGGGATGGACAACACCAAATGTACCCACACGCAGACCAGCAGTACCGGGATCCTTACGATAGTATACAGCAGCGCATCTACCTGGGAAGAAGGTAGCATCATCATCAGGTACAATCCAATAACCGCGAGCGTCAGATTCTTTAGGATTAAAGATGCGCTTTTCGTTGAGCATAAGCATCAAACGATCAAGCAAACCGTGAATCTGTTCAAAACCGGAGTTCAAACCAGCTTGAATAGCACAGAAATGTCGTTCGTTTCTTGTCATGCGTTCCTGAGTCTCATCAATGAAAGCGACATCGCTAACCTCAAATATTTTAATGGGCAATGCATGAGTACGGTTTTCACGGGTGGTCTTAAGAATTCCAGGCAAAAGACTAGAACGAACAACTTGGAATTCTAAAGTTTTCGGATTGGCTAGTTGGATGGCACGAGAGTCATCGAACTTCCGTAACCAAGCATAGTTCTCGTCATGAGAGCAAAGAATGAAAGGTAAAACTTCAGACCAACCAGCAAGAGCAGCTTCATGGCGAATGATATCAGACAAGCGATTAACCTCCAAAGGCTTACCATAAGTGACACTTTGATCAGGATAAGTATGTTTCAGGTTGTCGAAACCATAAGAAATACCAAGATCTTCCATGATATCGCATTGATGAAGAATATCAGCTCTTGTACATGGGACATCAACCAAAATGGTTTTTTCATCAGAAGGATTAGGCTGAGCCTGGAGCAGCATACGAGTAAGAAGTCGGCATACTTCCTCACGAGGTAAAGAAATACCGCAGCATTGGTTCAAATAATCAGTTTCGGCTTCGAAACGGACAGGTGTTAAGTTAGGAGTCATGCGGGAACAGTTGTTATGCTCAGAAACAACCTCAACAGGTTCAATAGTAAAGGGTTCATCGCAATAGCAAGTAAACATAACAGTCATCATGTTTATGACAATGTCAAGCTTGGTCTTATCGGTAGCAGTGCATTCAATAAATACATCACGGGTGTCAACACTGATTTTACTGAAATCACTGTTGATAATGGGAGGAAGCGAACAGACACGACGCTTGGCATCTAAAATGACGGGGTATCTGGGCGAGTTAGCAACTAAGTGCAAGTAACGACCAAGATGCTTGCTGTCTTTATAGAATTCCAAAAGCTCTGTTCCGTTAATGCTACGTGTTTGGCTTAGTGGAACAAAGTTAATTTCCTCCGGCTTCAAGGCCTCATAAGTGAAGGGGCCCTCAATCTTGGACAAATCATGAGTGCCAATAGCTACCAAACTTCTTTGACGACACAAGTTAGAGTGTAACTTATCCTGAAGAGCAATGAAACTCTGATATCTAATAGGATCAAACTTCACACCCCGCAATATAGCAGCCGCACAATAAGGACGAACATCAGCGGTTTCGGGAGAAATTTTAAGAGAAGTAGTAGCAGGAAGGAATTTGTACTGAGGAGGATCCATACGGTGGTTAAAGACATTCAGAGCTTGAGCAATGCCCTCCATGCAAAGCATATCGTAGCGATTCGCAGCAATCTCAATCTTCAAAGCAGGACGCTCTGAAGGATCTCTTTCGGGATCATTTGTAGTATCCTCGTCAAGCTCGATTCCGAACTTAAAGCATAATTCATCGAATTCCTGGGTAGCTAATTTATATGTTAGCCAGCGACTTCAAAAAACTTACTTTTTTTATCAATTTTCTACGTACTATAAGTTTTTCCCAGTGCTTTATATAGCTCTTCCTTATCACAGGTAATAGTTGGCATTTTGCTCCGAATCCAAAATCTCCAAGGAATCCGTGGTAAACCAAAATTGATTCTGCTCAGTTTTACCTACTGTTGGGGAAGGGTACTACACTTTCTGGTCAAGTAACAATGTTTCGCCATTTAGAGCAAAAAAAATTTAAAGATGAAGCAATAGAGTAACGATTGAGAGGTTTATATTATTTGCTACAGTATCTATGTAAAACTAAGTGGCGTATGAGAACTCACTAATAACCCAAGTATAAAAAATCCATTCCCATCCTAAGCGCTGAGAGCAGCCAAAACACGATTCAAGTCCTTAATTAAATCATTGGCATCTTCAATACCAATGGATATACGAATGAGTCTAGAATCGATGTGAGGATCAGTCATTTTACGCCATTCAATCAAACTTTCAACTCCTCCAAGGGATGTAGCATGGTGGAAATATCTGAGATCACAGCATACGTGTCGGGCAACTTTTTCGGATTTCACGAGGAAGCTGAAGCATGAAGAATGACCGCCTGTCAAATTTTTCGATACAAATTCTTCTTTCTGCAAGGAATTGTGGTAGACTTCAAGAATCAAGCCCTTTTCAATACCGTTCTTGGCAGCAAACTCGGGGTCAGTAGCTAGTTTGTTCAAGTGGTTAGCTACCAAGTAGCCATTTTCACTATGCTTAGCGATACGCAAAGGATAGGTACGAAGTGAACGTAAAAGCAAATAACATTGCTGGGGGTGAAGAATACTGCCAAGGTAAGCACGATCTCCCTTAAGGGTTTGGATGGCAGATTTGTTGTATGAAGCAGTCGCACCGGCCAATACATCAGTGTGTCCACCAAGATATTTGGTTACCGAATGAACTACATAATCAGCACCTAAAGCTAAGGCGTCTTGGATTGGAGGTGGTGCAAAAGTGGAGTCGACAACCAAGACGGCTCCCTTCTTTTGGGCAAGTTCCTTGTAGTAGCGAATGTCAAAGACTATACCCAAGGGATTCATGGGAGATTCCAACCAAATAACATCACCTTCATGGATCTCTTCACATTTTTCATCAATGTAAGAGGTTCTCAATCCTGTCAAGCGATTGATACGTTTGATAACACCAACGGTACCAGAATAACCACCAAAACCAGGTTTGTGGATAGCTATGTTCTTGGGGTTTAAGTAAGCTAACAAAGAGTAGATGGCAGCCAAGCCTGATCCATATAGGACGCTTGGGGCCTTCAAGACAGAACTGAGAGCAGCCTCAGCACGGTCGCAATTGTTTCCTGCAATACGAACATAATAAGGGAAGCTTTCTTCACCGACGCTTTGATAAGGCTGTAAGGTTTCAGCTGTACCTGGGTAAGAATAAGTTGTAGATAAATGGAGCGCTGGTCCTACATCGTTTTCCAAAGCAAGAGGGTCATCTGCATGCAAAACAGAGGTGCCCAAGTTACTAGAAAAGGATTCATCCGTCATGTAATCGGTTGATTCAGGCATGTTATGTAAATTTTAGTTTCGAGCTATTCAAAAGAAGGTCAACAAGCCGTAGTTGTATATATGGTCTAAAGATAGAAAAGCAGACAAATTTATCAAATAAAAGTTGAAGATACGAAGAAAGCAAGTTTGTTTCTGAGTCTTTTGGTTTTTGAAGTCAAACACGAACAATAAGTAACAACTATTACAACAAATATTTTTATAATGACAACAGATTTTCGTTATTTAAAATTTCAAGTTTGTTATTCCTTTAAAAAAATAAATTAAAAAATATAAATAAACAACTAACTATTATATGATCGTAATTTTCCCTTTTCTGTTCATGGTATTCTGCTCCTATAATAACTTGTTCATACAAAAAGTCGTAGACTCAGTGATGGTCAGTCAGTTTGGTTACTTTCTTCAAGAGGAAAAACTCAAGATATGAAGGTAATTCGTAAAAACCCAACAAGTAGGATACTAATATTGTTCTCAAATGCACCCGTCACTTTCTTTCTATCGTGAAACCCTGGGAGCAAGTTAACCTACCATTAATTTAGTGAGAGATTTACAAATGAGAAAAGAGAAACTTTACGTCTATGCCCTTTGCAAGACCATGCTACACCTTAATTAGTTTTAGCTATTTACAACATTCCATGCATATATATATATTCCTACACCTAGTCACTCATTCTTGATAACGGTGTATACATCTTCTGTATGCTAATAATTATGATACCATTTAGACCGTAAACAAATTAAAATACATTTTCATAAAATCCGATCATAGAACATGCGAAAGAAGCATGAAGCTGTTAGGTGCTACTTTCTGGGTTGTTCCACCCTAGGGCTTTATTTCAACCGTAAAGACAGGACAGAGTCGTAATCACCATCTCAGAAACCAGAAAAACATGGATAAAATCGGCCAAACAATCCTTTTCCACACAAGATAAAACACAACAAACATAAAAAAGCCAAATCCAGAGATCACAAGGTAATAATCTTTCTGGTCATTAAATTTAAGCGATCTCATAATCTTTTTGCTGGCATATAAAACATCTTCGACACCAAAATATTTTTCTTGCAAGCTCTCCAATAAACTAGTGCTTGAAGCCAGTTCATTTGAATTTGCTGCACTCATGTCTACCGCTTGTACCATTTGTACATGAAGATCTCTCATCGCAGTAGTCACCTGACTTGCACTTGTCAAATGCATATCATCGGTCGTCATAAGTTCAGTATCTTTATGCTCTACTTCAGTCTTTTCCGATGGTGATCTCTGCGATTCCTGAGACACATTGGAAAGAGCGTTCAATTCTGATACAATAGATACCCAAGGAATTCCAGCTGCTATCTTGTCTCTAAAACGCCTTTTTAGTCGCAAATACTCTTGAACTGTTTTCTCATAGCGCAAAGTTGAATCCAAGTCCACAGAAGAATACTCGAATTCCACACGGGCCAACTCCCACAATCGCCGAAAATCACGAAGATAAAGTTTTAGCTCTTGGGAAGTTTCGGCTCTCTGTAATTCAGAGACCTTTGATTCCAGCAAATGCAAGATTTCTGCCATGAGCTGTATAATTATGCAAAGAGGGGATCTACACAAGTAGAAAGCGTAGCGAATTTCCTAAAATTAATCTTTTTAATCAATAAAAGTAAAAAGAAAAGAAAAATTCTTTGGAATTTGCAAGTGAATTGCTAGTTTCCTAATCTCACACCATACAGCGTGGTACTTGGACAGTAAAGACAGAGGATCCAAGTAAGGGAGCAGTGATTCATAAAACGCTATATACAAAACCCATTTTTCACATAATGTCTTTTTCTTTGTTTAGTTTTTTTTTACCCTTCATATCAAACCAAAATTAATCTGGCTTCTGATTGTTCACCACTGAGCTTGGAGGATGTTCGACAATATCACCAATAACTTCTTTGGAACCAACAGGAAGTCCTTGAAGAAGCATGCGAACATTTTCAACGTCTTCAGATTCTAATTTTAGTTGAAAGCTGTTTTCTTTATTCGGATCGAAGCGATGCTGCAGGACTTTCCGGGCTCGTTCACGAATCCAGAGCGGTTCGTCACTCAAGTTCACCATAAAGTTACAGCTGTCCAGAAAGCATTTTTTCGAGCAGTAATAATTCAGTCCAGCATAACGAACCATTCCTTGGCTTTCGAGACGATAACGCGTCTGTTGTCGCGGCGCGTTCTCACAAACTGGATAGCCACATACATGTGCTAGTTTTCGTTCTTTCACAATCTGATCGTAATCAGACTTTCTCAAAAATTCGCGTGCTTCATCCAACGTACGTTCATCAACAGGATCAACGAGCTTTTCAATCCATTCCAACACAAAATTGTCATACTCCAATCGATTTTTCGCTTCTTGAATGAGGTCTTTCGACCATTTTTTTATTCGATTGTTCTTTTGAACTTCAACACTCTCTTTCTTTTTTAGAATTGATTTTTGGGAAGACATGAATTAAGATCACGCTTTTATGGCATAGAGGAGATTTCATTTTACTTACAAAAATCGATGGGAATTTTCTCGTGTTTGAAATCGTAAAATACAATAAAGAAAGGTTTCTATATTCATAATGCATGTTAACGATATTTAACGAGACATAGTTTGAATCCAGTTTTCTTTGGTGAAAGCGCGACATAAATCACTTCCATCATTAGTAAACTATTAGCTGAATACAATAGATTCAGAGTATATAAACATTTATTTTTTTCTTTATTTGCGGCAGTCAAAACGTTTTGGAATGGATTTGATACAAAATGTTTACTAATGATGGTCCTCCAAAATTCACTCCAGTGCACTGATAAATAAACAAAAAGGTAGTTATATTAGAACAAGAAAGTATCTTCAGCTATTATTTATTAGCAGTAGATTCATTGAAACAAACATTAATTTTTTTGGCTTTCAGTATACACCTTTCCTTTGGAATAAAGAACTGCCATAATTCTTTATGTATGTTGTTTTTAGAAAGCAAGTCTGGTATTATGGATAGCTGAGCGTTCAGGTTTAAAGAATTCTTTAGCTTCTTCAATTATTATTTTAATTTATTGTTTATTTTTTAAATACTAAAGAATCCATGTTACACCTGGATAACACTTTAACGAACTTACTGGTAGTAGGAGCTTTCGTTGTAACTGAAGAAACAAAGCTTTTGGAAGAAAGACGTTACCGAAATAGCAAATTCATTTCATAGCTAGAGTATGTAGGCTTCTTGCCGGTTTACAAAAATTGCTATTCTCTCGATACGTCTGTATAAGAAAATCTTGTCTTCTGTAATATACAACCTCAATTTCTCTGGTCTTGTAAGCTACTTTCAGACTTACATACAGTACAAATGGTACTCATTTTGTAAATAACTTTTCAATTCCTCTAGCCTGACTTGATCAAGTCGGTTCATATAAACAATCCTAGTATATCAACTGCTTTATTGACAAAATACTTTGACATAATTTTACCATTAAAATTCTTACAACTAAATCGAACTATTAGCTTTGGCTGCAATATCTTTTCATCTTTCTTGGCCGTAAACAACATAAAGAACGCCTATTTCTTCGTCATTATTGACAGGAGCTAGCTCAACTTCATAGCCTTCCTTTTACCTCTCAAGTAGATTGCTCTTGTGACCTCATTCCTGTTTGGTTCCCTTACTACATCCTGCCACTTCTTTCAAGGGTCAATGAGTTACACCGTTAATAGGTGGTGACCCTCAACAACCACTGATTCCACACCTGCCTACTACCACCATTTCCAACAACACCGCACTGTAAACAGAGAATTACTGTCTCTTTTTCATCTTCACGGTATTTTAATATTTTTTTAATTTACCCATTCCTGTTTAAGAGTGGTATTCCTTTGTTTTATTTTTTTTATTTATCACGGTCGTTTACGGATCTAGACACAATCAACGGTATTCAAAGTTGTTCGATTTTTTATTGTAACTGTTATATCTAATTCAGAAGCGTCATCTATTCCTTCAGAAACGATCAAGAAAATACTGGCTTCCTTTGACTGGTGTGGGTACAGATTCCGTTTAATTGCTGTTGAGCTCAGCGAACTATATAAAAGGCCTAATATATAATACAAGCTCCCGTTTTTAGACTCTTTATTCTCAATGTCCAATTCGTTCCCTCCTACTGACTCACATCCTCACCTTTCTTCCGACGAACAGCCTCCCATGATCCGCAGTTCTGCTGACCCCTCTTCAAAAGGAACAGATCTTCCCGATGTTACGTCCGACGCGTTTCCTTCAGTAGAATCATCATTCTTAGACAACACAAACACAAACACTGAACCCGCCGAGGAACCTGTTGCTGAGACTCGCAAACTTTCTTCTGATCCTACTAGTGCTGTAGCGCGGGAAATCCAATCCAAGCTATCTATATCAAAACCACATTCTTTAGATGAACCCATGGAAGCTCCGTCAACACATCCTGACAATGAATCCACTCATTATCAGGAAGAAGATTCCCAAGACTATGCGGATGCTGACTCTGAGTCTTCTTTTGCTGAAGCATCTGAGCATTTGAAAGATGTAAAAAACTCAGAAGAAGAAAAGAATGAAGATACAGATCCTGAGTTATCACGTCGTATCGCTCTACGCGAACGTATGGCGAAAATGAGCGGCGGTCTTGGTATGCAAGCTTTTGGTTTACCAGGAATGGCTCCCCCTCCCCAGTTGAAGTCATTGAAAAAGAGCCCGGGACCAGAAACAGAGCAGGAACGTCAACCTATCGACAGTTTTACAAAGCCCGATTCTAGTCAGACCAAACAAGAGTCTGAGTCTGCTTTACCTTTAGAAAACCAAGAACATGAGCATGAGCATGAGCGCCAACCTTTCACTAATCAAACATACCCAGACTCAAGTTTTAACAAATCTCAAGAGTCTGCTGTTCCTTGGGGAAAATCTACTACACCTGACCAAGGTTATCCAGAACCTTCTACCTACAAGGAAGATTACTCTGAGCCAAAGATGAATGACAACATTTCAAACAGTTCTCAGAATACTGCTCTTCCTGGCTCAGTGGAACATATTTCAGATTCCGAGAATGTAGAGAGGCAAGAGAAAAAAGAACAAACGTCTCCTCCTTCCATTATCACTGATTTTAACCACCAAAGGAATCCTCAGACAGAAGAGGTATTGCCCTTTTCACAGACTCCCGTTATTGCACGTCTTAAACCACCTCATGCCAATAACTCTTCTACTTCTTCAGTTGATCCTGCTCATGCCGTTCGTAAAGTTATCGATTCCATTGATCCTCCAAAGGATACAGTGGGTGGAACCGCTGCAGACGTTGAGTCTGCCGCAAATTCACCGATTTCACCTCCTCGATCATTGAACAGTCGTGAGCAATCACCTGATTGGAACCATTCTTCCAACAATAATGACTTTGCAGAGAGGAGATTGCCCAGTCGTATCACGGAAGTCTCAGAATCTCAGGTTTCGGATATGGAAAGAGCACCATCTCAACGTTCTACTCACCGCCCTTCTCTTTCAACATTTCCATCTATAAAGTTTAACAAAATGCAGACTCTTGCCAATTTTAACGACGAATTAGATGATTTGCCTGCAGTTCCTCGTATATTTAGCCCCCCGCCTTTACCCAAAACTCCTTCTGGTGAGTTTGGTGATAGCGAATTCATTCAGCCAAAGAGACAGTTGAACACGAAATTTGTTCCAGGTCACCAGTCTAAGCCCTCTACTGCTTCGTCCTTGCGAAACCCTGTTTCAATTTCTACTTCAGGTGGCCGACCTGTTCTTTCTGATGAACCAGACGAAGCCGATAGCCCTGAAGAACCGGATTCCCCAGATTCTCTTACTGGTCATCCTCTTCCTGCGGTTCCTGTGCCTGCAGATCCTGTGGAGGATGACGATGGTTCTACAAATTCTATTCGTACCGAGCGTAAGTCAAGCATTGTTGCTCCAACTCCGAGCGTGCCTACGACATCTCCACCTCCGATTCCAGTGTTTCCTGTGAATTCTGAGCCGAAAATTCCTTCAGTTTCGCCTCCTCCTGTTCCCAATGTCAAGTCTGAAGGATCCCGTCATGAATCGTCCAACTCTCCTTCTGCGCCGATACCCGAGACCAATCAGAATTCTCTGACCCAGGATATTACACAATTAGGAAACAATATGCGTTTGCCTACAAGGCTCGTTCGTCCTTCTTCTACTGGGAGAAAAGCATCGGGTCCTCGTCCAGTAGCGCCTCCTTCCATACCACCTCCACCCCCTGTTTCTGTGAACAAAACCGAGGCATCGAAAGGTCCAGTACTACCAGCTCCAGCTTCGTCTCCTCCGGTTCCTCCGCTCGGTGGTCATCAGGCTCCTCCTGCTCCGTCTACGGTTCTACCCCCGGTGCCTCCGCCTACGGGTGATATGCCACCTGCGCCAGTATCTCCTTTTTCTTCACAAGATGTTAAGAGTGTATCAAGTACGAGTATTTCACAAATCTCAGAACCCAACAATCAGGAAATAAGTCCTACTGCTATACCACAAAGTAACGATTCCATTTCAAGAAATTCGATTTCATCTATGTCTACACGCCAAGCCCCTGATGTCAATCCTCCTCCTCTCATTCAGAGATCATCACAAAAGTCAATAAGGTCTACCGCTTCTGTTAAACGACCTTCTATTGTTGCTACAAATGGTCCATTCAGTGATGCTTATGTTGCTAAGATTGTAGATACCTGTGCTGAACAGAAATGGTGGCTTGACTCTAACACAGTTCCCAAGTCCGTAGTGGATTTGGGAGATTCTGTTTTGTACATGATTAGGGAAGGTACGACTGGTCCAAACAAACATTTCAAGTCTATACACATCTTATTTCATGACTATAGTCAGACGGTTTTGACCTCCACTTTTAATCCTGCTACGCACTATGTAACTCAACTTTCACAACTACAATTGGCCCCTCCAGCGCAACCATCTAAGGAACGTCTTGCCCAAGAATTTGAATGCTACGGTAACTCTATACTGAGGAAAGCAAAAGCTTCTCAGGGGCTTACTGTTGGAGATGGTAGTGCATTCTCATTTGTGAGTTCTGTACTTGATAATCTTACTCAAAACATCGAGCCTATAAATAAGCGTACTTTCGGTGCTATCGTGTATGCTAATGAATCAAATGTTACTATTCAACAAAATGGTGAGATCAAACCTGGAGATATCGTAACCTTTGAGAACGTTAAATTGAGCGGCCAGAAAGGAACGCTTCGTCACAAATACGCTTTTGAAGTAGGAAGGCCAATTCATATTGGCATCGTTGCTGAGTGGGAAGTTTCAAAGATGAAGATACGCTCTTTAGAACAGGGACGTGAGTCGAAGAAGGTTTCATTAGTTAGTTATAAGCTTGGTGATTTGAAGAGTGGTAAAATAACAGTTTGGCGAACAATGCGACGATCCTGGTTAGGCTGGAATTAGAAACAAGCCATCCTTCGTCAACTTTAAAGCGTTTATTTTTGGATGATTTACGTTCATTTTATGCATTTTTTTATTCTTCGATAATTGACTTTAAGAGTCCTTATCATACATATGATACCTGACTACATTTATTTACTTATATTATAACGAGTGGTATTTTAAATTTATGTTGAGACATTAGTGATGTATTAAGTTTTACAAATCTATCAAGTTGTATGTTCTAATGCACATAAACATAATGAAGTTGTAGACCTATTTTTTCACTCATTAAAGACTTGTTTTCTTCTATCGCATTTTATTTAATATACAATAACTTTGAAATTAGTGTTTATAGTCAATCCCATTGGATTCTGCACTTGTACATATTAAGATTATTTTGAGTTTACTCATGAATGAAATTATGAGTAAACTCAGAAAATTAGTTGCAGTAGAAACGAAGGATAGTAGTGAAAGGCTAATCAAAAATATTGATAACGTAAGCAGAAAACCATTTATAAGTAATAAATAACATATGAAGATTCCGGAAAGAATTGGAACATCATCGTAACCGGTCAAAAACATGGGTATAGCTGGAAAATAGAGAGGAAGATATGACATTTTGTGCTAGCAAAAAATCCTAACAAGTAAATCAGCGTAGAGAAAGGGAAATTAAAGAGAGGGTAGTAATTTACAAGTTCTGAAGGAATAAAAGGAAACATTACGACGAGGTTTTAGGTGATGGATCAGATGCGTCTTCAACGTCAAGATTAACTGCCAGATTTTTTCTTGTATATTCAGTGCTGCCTGTCATGACAGGCTCTTCAGCTACCGCTTTCAGGTCTTTATAGAAAAAGGAGTTCAACTCATCAGGTTCCAAAGCAAAAACACCTTGGCCTCCGAGATAAGGTCCTGAATAAGGTGCAACACGCAGTTGTCCATTTTTGTACATAGTATACGAAATCCGGTATTCCCTGGAAAAAAGTGGGAAAGTCCTATTGCGAGACACGGTACGGGTTTTGGGTAATCTAAGAACCAAACCGCTTAAACCATAATGAGCAGTAGAAGCGTCTGAATTCAGGATATGAGCAGTCAGTCTGCGATGGTGGTATCCACTATCAGACTCATAATTGGGGGTAACATGTGAAGTTATAAGAGGCACGTTGCTATACTGCATGCCACCGGCTACATTGAACTTTCTGAAATTCGGGTTTTCTATAGGAGTAAAATCAATTGACTTTTGAGTGTGAGAACTGAATCGATTGCGATTCTTTGGTTCAATTGTTTTGGAATCCTTAGCCAACTCCTCAGCTATTGCTTGCTCTGCCGGATCTCGTACAAATCCAGCATCGAACCAATTTCGTAAAAGGCGAACGAATCGTGCGCTTGACTTAAAATCCATTTGGTTGTAAACACTATCCAGCTCATTTATGGAAATATATCTTGTTTTCACCTTGGGTAGATTCCGTTTACAGCCCCAATCCCCGCGAGCCCCATCTGCTTGTTTTGTAGTTAATGATTGTTGTAAAGGAAACAGGCTGTTTGCCGTGGATGTATTAGACTCTTGAAAACATTTTGTCAAAGATGCGGCCCTCGAATTTCGTAATAGATAAGCAAAACTCATGTCTTTTCTTTCTTCTTTTTTATGTGAAAAGAAAGTTTTACTTATTTTTGCAAGATCAAATAAGCGACCTTGTTAAACGGAATATCTGACTTAGTAAATGGTAAAAAAGGAACGTATGCTGACGGAGTAGATGCCATCCTTGACATTAGGGTAGGGTTGTGGAGCATACTCTCTGAGCTTCCTATAAAGCAAACTTTCAGCAAGAAGTAGGAATCATTGAATTAATACATATAGTTATGTTGGTATAAGTGTCCTTAATGCGTGATATTCGTCTACCTCTGGTCCATCCGGGTAAAGATCAAGATTAACATTCTGACCGATTAGCATTTTTAAAAGTATAAGTGCTCCCCCTAGAATAATAGTATTAGTATACTTGATACATATTTCAAACCAAATAAAAACTCACATTTGTCTAATACTTCTCCAGAGCAAATTCCTCCTTCAAATTGGATGCTTGTAATACATTGAGGACAACCTTCGCGTATTTTACATCCACAGTTTTGCAGACGATCTACCGCCATAATCATCAATTCATCAATGTACGTATAGGCTTTTTTACACAAGTCTGCTCCACCGCATTCACCACAATTATCGTAAAAAATTAGTCGTGATGGTCTTCTTCTTTCACTAGCTTCTTGCTTGAATTCTTTTTCACCTGATTTGCATTCCGTTTTTATATCGTTTCCGCCATTTCCAGAAAATATTGGCATTAAAGACATAAGTGCATGCTGAGCAGCATGTATACTTGCTGCGCCATTGATTTTTTTCCATGATAACATCTCTACAATATGCCATGGAACATCAATCCAAAATCCACGGCTAATCATTTCAACTGGGTTATCCACGATATCAACAACGTCCAGTATGTCTCTCTGTTTATTAACTTTGAAATAGCCAAACACATGTAACGTCACTGAGACGATTCCTTGAAAAACATTAATATTACCTGACTGCAGGGTTTTCCTTCCTAGATTCCGTTGGGGATCAACGTCAGTGTAATCTCTTTGAAGAGTAGACCATTCTACGTCTACCCTGTGACAGGTAATTAACCTTCTTGATATATTCAACGATTTCACTATGAATGTCTTTCCTTGATATACATAAACAGCACCTTCATAAGCACCAAGCATAACACGAAATGGTTCCAGTTGCTCTAAAACAACGTTTTTGTCGTCGGTTACATCAACCAAGGTATACATATCTTCATTTATGTTGCGAATTTGTACTTGGGCTGCAGGAAAAGGCAGGAATTTTGGGTGAGGTAAAAACAAGTCGTTTTCTTTTTCTGCCAAGTGATTTTTGCAAATTTCAAATAACTCACCCTCAAAAAATCGACTGTCGCTCATTGTGTTTATTGGCAGCTCAAAGGCGGCACATTGCAGATGATTTGCCATCAAAACTTCATTATCGAGATCCAATGTTAGCTGTGCGTTAGGATGTGTGTGAATTAAGGTAGGGTGTTGCAAGTAATATTGATCCACGGGGAACGTTTCCACTACGTATATGGCCATTGAAGATTTATTACGTCTTCCGGCCCTTCCAAATTGTTGTCGAAGATTAGATAATGAGCTTGGAAAACCAACGGTAATGGCCGCATCTAAGGAGCCTATGTCGATACCTAATTCGAGGGCGTTCGTTGCAACGATTCCGTAGAGGTTACCACAAAACATTTCTTTTTCTATTTTTCTCCTCTCTTGAACTGTATACCCAGCTCTATAGCTTTGGATTTTCTCTAATAAGTATTCTTTATGAGATGCCTTTAGTTGTCCTCGTACCAATCTCATCAGCGATTCGCAAGCTTTACGAATGCGGCAGAATACTATAGTACGAACTTTCCTCTCACAAAGATAAATAAGTAAATTAGCAGCTTCCATAATCGCCGGTTTCCTTCCCGAATTAACATTATTCTTATCTACCAAAGGTGGATTCCACATTAAGAAATGTTTCGCACCCGAGGGGGAAGCTGTGTAATCTATGAGTTTCACATTTTTAACTCCAAAAATCATATTCATATGGCGCACAGGTTGTTCAATTGTAGCCGAACAAGAGATAAATCTGTACCGATCGTTATGATAGTATTCTACTATCCTTCTTAACCGTCTCATAATCATAGCAACATGAACACCAAAAATACCGTTATAAATATGTGCTTCATCAAGTACAAAAAGCTTTAAGTTTTTGAAAAATCTATCCCATCGACGATGGTTTGGTAGTATTGTCTGGTGCAACATATCCGGATTTGTAAAAATAATAGTTGCATTCTCAATAATTCCATTTCTTGCCTCAATTGGTGTATCACCATCAAATGTATCAATCCGTATATGAGCTAATGAAGGCATATAACTTAAAACATCCATTAAAGATCGTTTCTGATCTTGTGCCAAAGCCTTTGTTGGAAATACGAAAAAGGAAGTAGATTTTATATCTTTTTCCAATTCATCCAAAATAGGTATCTGATAAATCAAAGACTTTCCACTAGAAGTACCAGTTGAAACGATGACATGCAAATTTTCCCAGAGAGCATTAATTGCATCTACTTGATGAGAATATAGTCTCTCAATATTTTTAGAGCTATATAAGGCATTTACCAAGCTTTGTGAAAGATTACGCTTCAAATTCCCAAATCGTGGTTCTACAGCAGGGTATTGATATAGACTTTCTCGGACTATCTGACCTTCATAAGTACCTTCCTCAGCCAAGTTCACTAAGACATCTTCAATTGAAGATGGAGCTTTCAGTTCATGGTCCTCACCTGCCTTTAACGGAGAGTTTGCTACAGCATCGGGGGGAGTAGGTATCCTTTTTTCAGCTTCTTCAATCAAATGCTTTTCCGGATCTATCCTTTTAGAACTACAAAACCTTAAAAGCTTTTGTAAACCTTTTGAGAAAATTGCATTGCGATTGTCAATTTCCTTTTTTAATGCGTTTATGTCAAATTTCCCTTTTTGAATCCGCGATTTCATAGTTGGACCCTCCTTTTTTTGGCGTTTCACTGTAGATTCAGAAGTTTGAATCAAAAAAACTGTCAGAATGTAATTCGACTCCTGAGAGTGTTGGCCATCAGTATATGTTTGTCTTGGCATATCCGCATAGACATTTTTGTTGGTTTCCATAATCAAACTCTCAAGTGACTTGTAATTTAACTCAATTAGCTCTGGAACAACTGTTTTAAGCTGGGAAAGTTCCAAAAGTGATAGATCTCTTCTTAAAGATTGACGTATGCTTGAGTTTAACAAGGGAAACGTGATTGTTAAAGAACTTTTTGAATATAGAAAAGTATAGGTTGTATTGATAATCTTAAATACGTCGAACAATGTATTGTAAGCAGGCGGAAGCCTCCATAACTCAAGTTCACCTTCATGGCTACGTTTTTTTGACGGTCTCTTTGGTTTTTGCAAAGATGAGGTATTTATATCCGACTCATTTTTTAATCCATTCAAATGTATAACATCTTCTTCTTGCTTAACTGGAGTATCTACCATAACTAGGGTAAATGAGCTAGCCAGTTTAGTTCAAGAACGTATAACAAGTAATGGTGCCACTTAAGAGATAGACTACTGCTGGATCATAAAAAATGTCATTAATCATTTAAAACTATTTTTAATAAAATTTATCTTTTTTTTAAGTCTTCATCTTCCAATAGCTCAGTTGGAAGTCTAAAAAATTTGACATCACGAATGGATTCAGGTAAATACTACCGGCATTAGTATCATATCAAAAAAACAAAAAAAAAATAATAGAAAAAAACACTAACCTCTTGCTTGACTAAACCATCTTTATAGTCCGGATTATATTTGTAGCCTTTATGATAACCTAGGTTTTTCATTAGATTAGTGGGTGCATTTCGTATATGCAAAGGAATTTCAGCCCTTCCTGCGTCAGGATTCATTGATAGGAATCGTTTAACGTTATTGTAAGCTTTGTAAACATCTACAGATTTCGGTGCCATCGCCAATGCAACAGCACAATGGGCTAATATGACATCTGCTTCTGGCATCCCAACCTGTTGTACAGAGGTAAATGTACTTGAAGCCAATGGCAACATTGAATTATCAGCGGTTCCAATATCCTCGCTAGCGATGCGCACCATCCTACGAGCAACATACAATGGATCTTCACCAGACTCCAACATACGTCCCAGATAATAAAGAGAAGCATCAACATCACAACCTCGAACAGATTTATGAAATGCAGAGATGGTATCGTAGTGCACATCACCCACGCGATCATACACAGCTGAGGAGCGCACTAACTTTTCCTTAATTTCTTCCAGCGTAATCGGACCTTGACGCAATAATCCTATAGCCATTTCTAGGCAATTTAGAGCCATTCTAGCGTCTCCATCAGTGATAGCTGAAACGTATTCCAATATTGAAGGATCAATATTTGGTATTTCACCAAGTCGATCTTTTTCTAATTGGCAACCGTGTTCCAAAATCTTCAAAACATGACTTTTATCCAACTTTTTTAAGACAAATACCGGGCAACGTGAAATGAGAGCAGAGTTAAGACGAAATGAAGGGTTCCTACAGATTAGCAAAGCATTTTTAAATATCATATACGTACTCGGTAGTAGCGCCTATTCTATATCAGTTAGAATTGTTTTGAACATAATATAACTTACAATGTGATTGAACCTTTCTCAACTAAAGGCACTATTATGTACAAGTTAGTATATAGATTTCGTAATAAAGCAGATTTCATACAGAATATATCTTGTTGCGCTCTATTGAAGCGATGTACTTCGTCAAGAAACACTATGGTCTTGCTTCCAGTTAACCGAAGATGATTTTGAGACTCCTCAAATATTTTTCGACATTCTTGCACAGAAACCGAAGTAGCTGAGACCTCTAAAAATCTTGATTTCGTAGTAGCTGCAATAATTCTAGCTAGAGTAGTTTTTCCAGTACCGCTATTGCCCCATAGAATCATAGAAGGGCATTCATCATGTTCTATCATATTTCGAATTACTCCTCGAGAACCTACTAATTCCTCTTGACCGACATAATCGTCCAGAGTTGTCGGTCTTGCGCGTTCAGCGAGAGGTCGTATATCTCTTTTAGAAGTTTTTGGTTTTTTGGCAGACGAAGGAGTAGCAGACGCCTGAGAAGGAAAGGAGGTAGGAGCATTTCGTTTGAAAGGACTGGGTTTTTCTTTTTTAAAGAATGGTGAAACTTGTTTCGGAGGGGATGATACTGAAGATGTTTCGAAATGAGAATCTAAGTGAGCATTAATATCTGATAAGTCGACTTCTTGACCACAAGTTGGACAATTACACTTTTGACCTTCCTCGTTTTTTAACATTTTGACGCGACTTATTTGCTATGAAAGATTCTGAACGCGTCTAATATATGGTGCTTTTTGAATGTAAATTTGGGCACTTCCAAGTTCAGAGGTCTAATTAATTAACCCTTAACTCTTTAGTAAAATTCTTATAAAAGTTTTTTAATCCAAATACCTAAACCACTAGAAGTTTGAAGTGTGATGCTGAGTAGTAAATCCGAGAACTTTTAGCAGGAGTATGATGAGAATAAAAGTATTTTCGACAAAGCTTTATCTTATTAAGTAATCATAAAAATCTTTACCTAGATACATAAATTTTAACAAACTCGTCATCTTAGCTTATTCTCTAACATAGTCGTCTATGCGCCAATGCAAAAACAGCATCATTAGGAGACATAGTTTTTAGATTAGTTTGCTTTTAAGACAGGTTGATATTTATAAATACCTTATACCACATTTAGTTAGTAGGCATGTGACAATACTATTGCTCGAATGACAGAAAACTCAGTTAGACTTGAAACCTACGAGTAAAATTCAGATCAGGAACCAAACATAATTGTATTCTTTTTATTATATTTTTCGTTCTAGTAGTAAAAACGGGTAAGTCATTATACTACTAAACCCTGTCGTATATTTGGCTCTTGTTCCGACCCTGCTTTCATGAAGGGTGCCTGTTTTAACTAGAATTGCTATTTTTGAAGATTTCTTCGACAACATTACGAAAAGAACCATATGATAAAAAAATAGAGAATTTCATTAAGGCGTTTTGCAGAAGCGAAGGAAATACATTGAATAAAGATTTGCATATTTGATCTATAACATGAAAACAGAGGTTTTGCAAATACGATGGCATTACGATGCTAATGATGATCACACGCCTATTTATTCAATCGATTTCCAAAAAAATGGAAAGAATAGATTTGCTACATGCGGAGGGGACAGTAAAATAAGGGTATGAACGATCATTGGGAAGAAAGCCATTCATGGCAGTACGCGCTTTTGAACAATAAATGTATTGACAAGCCAGATTTGGAGATATACATGTCTCGATGAAAACATGAACCCGAAAATTGAATTTCTATCTACATTAAGTCGGCATGCGCAGGCCGTGAATGTTGCTCGATTTAGTCCACAAGGTAATTTTTTCATAACGGCAATCAGGTTCACATTTGCTAATACTTTAAGGAGACATGTTAGCGACAGCTGGAGACGAAGGTACTATCTTTCTTTGGGTTCCATCTTCTACACCAGCAGCTACATTGGCAGATGATGCTGAAGAGCTTGCCCTTGCAAAAGAGTTTTGGAAAGTGAAAACCATATGTCGCTCTATGGGTGCGGAAGTTTATGATATTTGCTGGTCTCCAGATGGAAATTATATAGTTGCTGGTGCAATGGACAACAGTACACGGATATACAATACGCAAACAGGTAATTTATAACTATTTGAGCTTAGTTTGACTAAATAATTTCTTACAGGGCAGTTGTTATCTCAAAATTTCGATCACCTTCACTATGTCCAGGGTGTGACTTGGGACCCTTTGAAGGAGTATGTGGTTACTCAAAGCAGCGATCGATCAATATGCGTCTATAAGTTTGAAAAACAAATCAGAGATTCCTCACTTCCTCTGCTGAATCTGAAATCACGAATCCATCGCATAGACTACTTGAATACTCAGAACTCGAAGTCCTCTTCTGTTCCGACACAACAAACTAGTGATGTTGATGTGGACAATGATCGAAACGGCAGCTCTAAATATGAAGATAATGGTTCGAGTTCTGGTTCTCAGACAAATATGGATTTAGATATCGTACCTGAAGGCGGCACTGAAAATCCATTTAAAGTTACTTATTCTTTATACTGCAATGAAACTCTTGTTTCATTTTTTCGCCGTCCCGCATTTTCTCCAGATGGCTTTCTATTGATTACACCAGCTGGAAAGCTTCGATTACACGGTCAGCCGAATACTGAATCGATACATACCGTATATATATTTACCAGGCCAAGCATTTTAAGACAACCTGTAGCTTCTCTAACTGGATTTTCCAAGCCAGCAATTGCTGTGCGTTTTTCACCCAAATTGTATGAACTAAGACAAGTCTCGAAGCATAGTCCTCCGTCTTCATGCATCGCATTACCTTATCGGATGATCTTTGCTATTGCTTGTCAAGATGCTGTTTACGTTTATGATACACAATACTGCAAACCGTTCTATAGAGCTGCAAACCTTCATTACTCCACGCTAACTGATCTAGCCTGGAGTGATGATGGTACCATTCTCATGATGACTTCTATTGATGGATTTTGCTCTAGCATAAGTTTTACAAATGAGGAATTAGGAAATCTTTATGAGCAACAGATCGCTGTTCCAGCGAAGGAAGTGACACCAACTGCTTCACTTTCTACTCCCGCCAAACTCGATAAAGAGCTTAAAATTCCAGAAGATACTAAAGTAAAGAACAGTAGTGGACATTCTCGACCTCAGAAAAAGAGAATTGCGCCTACTCCCCTATATCCCCAAAATTAACTTCTAGTAACAACTGGTAACTATCTTTCATAGAATTAATATTTAAATGGTATATAAAACAATAAACTATCATATAGATCATTATCTCTCAATCTAATAGGCATTGTATTGGTTTCCTGAAGAGTTCTTGCGTTGACTTCAGGATACCCGGCTTTCATTTGAATGATAGTATTACTGTCTTTCAATATTTTATTTGTAGAAATATCATTTTATACATTTCAATTGCTTAAAACGAGTATTTTATTTTAAGAATATCCGTTCGCCTCGTTTTCATCATCCTGGTAGGTATGATACTCCAATTCAAAACCTCTACTTCCCAAAAAAGAACTCCAATTACACAGCGCTCTTCATAGCTATATTTTGAATTAAATAAAAAGTAAAGGCTAATTCTTTATTTGCGGTTGTCGACTGGCGTCAACTATAAACTGTATAGCACTTCAAGTCAAAGAAAATCACGATCATGGAAGAAAGCATTGAGTTCTTTAGTGAGGATAAGCTAGCTTTGGTTATATCAGACCAAAAAGAGCTATTAAGAAACATAATTCCACTCAAGAATTGGGTTATAGGGAGGAACGATAGAAAGGAATTAGCAATTGAAGCTGGTGCCCCCAAAGTTCTATTAAATTTGTTTTCTTCTAAGGAGTCATCTTTAGAAGAAAAATACGAGGTCTTTATTGTGCTGAACTCTCTTATGTCAAACGATAAAAAAGCGTTTGTTCACTTTTTACGACCAGAAGACCTTTTGTCTGTAATTGAATTAGTCTCAGTTGAAGACGATGTTCCAAAGAATGTGCTGATTATAATATTGAAAGTGTTTACGATCATGCTTAGTTTTGATCAAGCTGCCGAATTTGTGACCCAAGTTCATTTCTCGCGGCTATTTAATCGCCTGTTTGATTTATACTGTTTACCGGCTCAAAAAAAGTATCCTTTGTTTGACGATATTCAAATTTCTTCTTTAGCTGCCTCGGTTCTGGATCATATGGTCTCATCAAGAAATCCACAAGTGCATTCGGTACCATCTTTCTGTAATACTATATTCTCTATAATTGCTTATACGTCAAAACTGAAAGAGTCGGTTCGGTACAGATATTTCAAAAGCTGCGATACTTTAATTGTCAATTCGCTCGCTATTCTAAATTCGTACTTTAAAGTATTTTCTTTACGTGCAAAGCTGCCACAAAGTATTGAGCTTGAAGTTGAAACAGATTATGAAGAACTAGAAAGTTTAAAGAATCTGAGATTTTCCTTATTTGGTGACAAGATGAGTGAACAAATTTTTGAGCTATTCAGCTTAGCCCGAGAATATCATTCTTCCATCCGACTGCTGGCTCTTTCTTGCATAGTGACACTCTATAAAAGCGGCATCCTTGGAAAAGATTCTGAAGAAGACATCAAGTTTATAGTTATCCCCATCTTAATTAGATTGTTTTCTCAGTCTCAAGAAACCCAGCAGATAGCTCCTCGGCTGTTGGCTATGCTCGTCAATGAAAATGAAGCAATGCAAAAAGTTGCAGCTAATGCGAATGTTATTATATCTTCCAAGGAACTACTGGATAAAGTTGTGAAACATAGTAACGAAGAATATCCGATAACGGAGGCCGGCTGTTTAACTGATGCCTTAAGACTACCAACGAATACTAAAGAACAGAATGATCTTATAATGGAGGTATGTTATTATTTTGTATTTGTTTCTAACTGCTGTCAAGTCTCTGCTCTTATTCATTGCCGCCCTAACAACTTCCAAAGACGAATATCGGAAGATGGTCGTGGATGCCAACTACTTACCAATCATAATTGATGCCTTGTCTAATGATTCAAAAGATATTAGAAAAGCAGCTTGTGAATGCATATTGAGCTTATCAAGAAGCGTGTATATCTTAAGGACAGGATTAGCAGAGGCGGATCTTAATGAACCCTTAATGAAACTTCTAATTGATTCGGACGTTAGAGTCCAGTCGTCAGCGATGGCTGTCATCTGCAACTTACTTTTAAAATTCTCTCCGCTCCGTCACAAGTTTTTAACCCCCGACTTTATAAACGTTCTGGTTGCAAATACTGCAGCCAAAGACAAGTCTTTAAGAAGAAAAGCCGTATGGGCTTTAAGGAATAGCGTTTATGAGAATGATGAAATATTGAAAAGAGAAATCATTCAAAAGCTAGGGCGCAATCAAGTTTTGAAGCTTTGTAGTGATGAAGATATAGGTGTTCAGGAACAAATTCTACAAGTCTTCAGGAATTTTGCGTGCCCCAAGGGTGAAGGCGTATATGAATTTCTTGAAGTTATATCATTACCAGTTTTATTGAACGTCATATATGAGAAACTTCTGACACGCAACTCCCTTTTAATAGAACCTTGTATATTCACCTTGGTGCATATTGCATCGAGTGATGATGAATTTCGGGATGCTATCCTAGAAGAGAAAAACATTCTGTTACTCATAAAAGATACAATGCTTAAAGAAACTGAATGTTATCGGGCCGAACATCTGTCAGATAATTCCAGTTCGACTGGTGGTAGCGAAATGGAATTGCAAGATGATGAGTATGATGTCGAGATGCGTCCTGCTTATGATATATTAGAAGATGACACTCTAGAATCAAGTTCAGGAATTCTTTTAGCAGGAATATGGCTTTGCATAAGTTTGCTAGTGCCCAATCAAATGTCGACTCCTACTGAAGAAGATATTCAAGGAGCCAAAATTTTGCGCGAATTAGGATTTGAAGATTGCTTGTTTTTATTACAAAATCATCCATCTCCTGATGTCAGAGAAAGAGTAAAGGATGCATTGGCTCGCATCCACGTTTTCAACTAATCTTCACAGGAGACGTTCTCATACGCAACAGCTCCCACGATGCTTCACGAATCTTACAACCGTAACGATACAGCTATGCTTCTATGATTTTCTCCTTCTTTTCTTAAACTGAGAAAAGAATATCTAATTAGTTATGATATTATGATACAATTGAGAATTTATGTAAATAAATGAAACATCATTTTGCATATTGTAAGTTCAAAAGACGATGCACAAAAGAGCCGTCAATCCTTAGAACAATTATGAAAGAAGATAAAAAAATGAAAAATAAAGTCTTGGTAAACCATCTGTATAAAGAAAAACTTCCACAGAGATGCATGAGGATTCGTAATTATCGCGCGTACTGTTGGACTCCTCCATGACATCCCAACCACTCGTTAACCAACAAGTTTACTAAACCGGTATAATACGAAATAGGTCGAATTGATAATACATTCCTTTAATTTCGTTTGAAAAAATACCATTAAGGTAATTATTTTCCTTATAGGGTTCTTCAATCTTAAAGATGGACGTCGATCTTCAACTTGAAGAATTATTCATGAAGAAACAAGTGCCTGGTGAGAACAGGGAGGAAACTTGGGAGCCAGAGAAAAATACGAAGATGAGCTCTGATGGATCAAGATCTTCGTTTGACGAGTTTACCTTTTCAACACCTGAATATGATAATGAAAACGGAGACGCGGCCATGCGAGAGTTTTTCAAGTTTGACGAGTTACCAAAAGAAGCTTCAACGCAATTTTTAAAGGTTCCACCTTCACTTTCACTTGAGTCGTCTCCAAACCTGTCTAATTCTCAGGATGAAAGTGAAGAATCTCAAGATCGTTCGACAGATTACATGCCACCTCAAATTGACAATGCGTATCCTTTTTTTATGAGCGATTCACAAATTTCCAATCCTCCTATCTTTTCTCCACCTACAAACTTCCACATTGGTAACGATCATCTTAATGGTACAGCTGATGATATATATGCAAACGGAGATGCTGTTAAGCAATTCCTTAATTTACCAGCTACTGATTTTTCTACTTCGGCAATAAACCCTTCCTATTTAAATAATCAAAATTTTCCAAATACTGATTTGCCAGCCAAAGTACCTTCTTTGTATCCTCAAAGTGAATCTTTTCCCGAACTATCTGCTTCGTTCCCCGAACTTCAGGAATATGTTTTGTCTGTTAACCACATTCCCGCCATTAACGAGCAGAAATGGAGGTCTAGAGTGGAGACTAATATGCTATTTCAGGTTCAGATTCGAAAGGCTGATGGCGGAGCCGTTCCTTTTAAATATATCCGTTTACCTAATTGGGCTCATCGCGAAGAGAAGAAAAAGTCTATGAAAAAAATAGTGAACTGTCAGGATCCTCAGGACTATTTACAATTAGTTCCGACAGTGATAGCTGGTGATAATGCTAGTAATGTTGTTCGCACATGTTGTATTCGCTGTTTGCTTCGTGAAAGAAAGCGTAACGCTCGTTCCCAAGCAACGAAAGACGCCTGTATGCCAAATTACACGAAACTTAAAGCGTGCGAGCGTTCCATGTCGGATGCTACACCAGAGCAAAAGCATAATTTCCAAATAAAACTTCTTAACCAATTCCCAAAATTAGAAGACATTGACGAAGAAAAAATGATTATGGTATTTACTGGTCCTGAATTCGTGCCGCTTGAGTCAACTCAACTTGGAAAAGTTGCACATATCAATGCTAGAATTACATGCTACTCGTCACATCAGTCTTGCCCCTATTTCCGTTTGACATGGGATCTGTATTCTTCATCAAGCTTGGTAGCTAGTCTTTCTTTTCCAGAGCCCATAACTGTACTTGATGATCATAAAAGCCGAAATACACCTAAAGCCGTCAGACAAGGGAAAAAATTGAATCCTTCCGATAATCAATCTAATCAAAAAATATATTCACCGTCTATGGTTGATACTGTTAAAGGACCTATTGAAAAGCGAAGAAGGACATTATCTGAAATTAATTCTCATTGTCAACCTCAGCAATTGACTACACAGCCTGTGATTCCTGAAGCTTCTAATGTCTCCGGGAAGAATGATGTGAGTGTAATTTCGAATAAATCCACATTTCATATGCCCAGTGATTATTCGACAGTTCCTGTTACTAATGATGATCATGTTTTGCGTGGTCCACTTAACACGGTCGATAAAGAATCCATGGAAATGGAAGCAAGATCCATTCCGCCTGAGTTTTCTTCGTACAATCAATTTCCAAATGCCTTTTCAGAAAGCGTTGATCCTAGTTTAGGTCCTTTTACGCCAAATACTGAACGCTACCAATCCATTCCCAAGACAACTCATTTTAACAAACAGAGCATGAGTAGTGCCACTTCTACCACGCCAACGTCTCTCCAGCCAAGGGAGCCTCTTATTTCTCGTATCATACCTAACAAAGGATCGATTATGGGTGGTTATGAAGTAACTATTTTAGGAGCTAACTTCTTTAATGGCCTCGTCTGTTTGTTTGGAGAAACTCCAGCTGCTGTGACCTTTTCTTGGAGTGATTCAACGATAATTGCAACATGTCCTCCTGCAGCAGTAGCTGAAACGGTTCCTGTGAAATTTTTAAATTATTCAATGGAATCAAGTGGCACCAACGCCACTTTTACCTACGAGGATAATCTTGATAATGAACTTTTCAAATTGACAGTACAAGTCCTTGGTCTGAAACTTACTGGAACAGTTCAAAACCCTTTGACGTTGTCTAAAAAGCTACTAAGCTCATGGAGGGATGATTTTGCTCAGTATATTACGAATTCTATAAAACCAACTTCTAATCAAGACCGCAAAGCTCATCATGAATGTATGAATGAAAAAATCGAGTCTTTAAGGAGTATGGTCACTCAGGTCGCGAAGGAGCATAATGTTCCGTTCCCAAACAGTCTTGAAAGTACGATATTGGCCGCTTTATCTATAGTAGATGAGACAAAAACAACGTTTCCTACAGATTTTGATGTCGTAAATGAATTCGGTCGTACACTCCTGCACTATTCCGTTGCAGCTGGCCTTGGTTCTGCTACAACCTTCCTAATCAATAATGGAGCTGACATTAATAAAAGGGATTCTTTGGGCTACACACCTCTTCACTATGCTGCTCTCTACGAATATCCTGAAATCTATTTACGTTTACTTTCAAAAGGTGCATCACCTGACTTAACTGGTGCTAACGATAAATGTGCAGATGACTTAGCCACCGTGAAGTTCAGAAGTTTGGTGGCCGAAAAGAAAGAAACTGATTTTGCTTTACTCGATGAAAAATCTAGAGTTGAATCTGATTTAACTTTAAAACAATCAAGTACCATAGAAGACATCAAAGAAAAAATATGGTCACGGTCATCAACCCTATTTCCTTCTTTACAGGAGTTACCCCAAAATTACATGAGTGAAGTACCGCTACTTATGCAAAAAGCTATGGTTTCCACTTTGAGAAGCATATCCGCTATTCCTGATGATGTCCCTCCTCCCTATTCTGAAGTTGCCCACGAAGGTTATGTACCTCAGACTGTTTCTGGTAATCCTTCCGAAGATAGTGATCATAACAAAAGTGCATGGTGGTCATTGAAATGGCAATCACGCCTGGTTGGTCGAGGGAAAACAAGTGCCTTGACACCGGAAGAAACAAAAGCCATCCAAGAGCAAGCAAAAACGTTAAAGAAAGCAGGAATGGATTTAATGCTTTTCTCTTTTTGGCTTCCTGCTCTCTTGGTTTTGACGATTTTTGGACTTCGAAGTTATGCACAGGTAATTGGAGGATATTTATATCAATTTATAATCGGTGCTTGAAATAATGTGGTAACCAATCTTATTTATTTATTTTCTCTTAGTTATTTCTTTTTCATTTTTTATATTTCATAAGTTTCATCTTTTAGTATTCTCGAAGACGTGTTTATATTATTGTGTACCTCTCGTTCACAATAGAAAAGAGAACCTCAGGGCTTTTTTACGTTAATTTTACACCGAAGTATAGTTTTGTTCAATAGATATATTAAGGATTGATATTGGTATTTCACACATCGATCGGTCTGAAGCATATGAAAAAATGTAGAATTCCAGCTAATACAGCTTGCTAATTGTTTTTAGACCACATTACCGTTTCATTGTAAGGATGAAGAAGTTATTTACCAAAAAATATTTATAGAAGAAGAAGCAATCCTTCACAAAACGTTTGAATTGAATTCTGAAATTGCTACCTTTTGAGGTAGCCTCTGCGAAGCTATATCTCTAAATAACCTTCCCTTTTAAGCCAAATATTCCTTATCAAAACACTATATAAATATATCTTGCTTTAGAAACCATCATTCCAATGATTCCTTTGATTGCGAGCTAGTGTCTTCCCGGCACGATCAAACAAATCCAATTGCTTTTCCTGTTACAAAAAAAAAAAAAATAAAAAAAAAATCTGTTACAGGAGAAATTCAGGCATAAAGATGTTATTATGCAGTCTAGTTGTGTCGTACACGACTATAAAACCTTTGGCAAGTGTTTTGGGCAACCATATCCTCAGAAGCAACCAATTTCATGTTACTAAATATTTTGTGAAATCCCTCTTCACTGATTATGTCTTAACCTTCCCGGGTCAAATGAAGCATTCAACTTGAATAACTACTTGCGTTCATTGTTTTCACGTCATTCGAATTCATTTTAAGTAAAATTTTGATATTTAACTGTGACTAAAAGCGCTTATTTTGTGCAATCAATGAACTTGGCTGATCTATTAATATTCTTAATAAAGGCACCTACCTCTACCTTGTCTTGTCTTGTCTTGTCTTCATTTGTCCAACTAGCCAAGTACCAAACGGAACTCTTATTTACAAAGTTGATGGAGAAACCCTCTATACAACATGATATTGAAGACCTGTATTTAAACCAAAATGAGATTGTAATTCGTGTAAGTTCATTTCATTGCAAGGTCATATTAACTATGAGAAGTTACTAATTGATAGTAGAATTCCCATTACCATCCTGTCAAGAAATGTATGGAGAATAAACACCAAAGGTTCGTGACAAATTTATTTGGCATTGTTAAAACATTTACTCCCAAAAAACAAAGTCTTAGGGGGACGTGTGGTAAGTGCGATATGAAGGAATGACATTCAGTTGAAAAGAAAGCAAAAGTATTCAGATCCAAGCTCTAAAAGATATAAAAACTTAGGGTAAAAATATGTTTTCTTCTATTCCCGTCTCGCAGTTTGATAGCTAATCCAGAATTGTAACTAGATTGGGTAGTGACAGTAGAGCTTTGGGATCCGAGTTGTCATCCTAATGCCGAAGGGTTGCGAATACACTTGTTTAGTAAAACCGAATATGATCTACCTGAAATCACTGAAGAAGGTCAGATTCTTTTGCTGCAACACATAACAATCCGACCTTACAGAGATAGCAAACAGGGACTCTCCAAGACTGACTTCACTTACCAGTTATGGAATAAAGATTTAGGAAATTCATCTGGTAATACATTCCGGTTATTTCACATAAGCACCGAAGAAGTAGAGATCGCGAGGCTACTTAGCATCTGCTGGCAAAAGCACTTTGAGTCACAGCATACAGAAATCGAAATTCGTCCCCCTTCAATCCAAACTTCTTCCAATATTGGACGTGAATTGGATACCAATCAGGAGACGGCAGTCGTTACTCTTTCTGAAATCCGCCCTTCTAAGCGATTTACCTTCTATGGTCAGGTTGTCAAAACGTGGTATACACAAAAAAATTTTACCTTGTTTGTCACAGATTTTTCAGAAAATGAGTTTTTTTATCCAGTAACTCGCGAAACAGCCCCGCATATGCGATGGAGAGGCCCTCAAGGTCGCTATACTGTAAGATGTATACTTTGGGATGAGCATGATTATTATTGTCGTAACTATGTCCAAGAAGGAGATTACGTTTTTATAAAAAATGCCCGGGCTAAACTTGATCGAATTGGTCAACTAGAATGTGTAATGCATGGTGATCCTGGTCAAAAATATAAGAGCAGTATTGAGAAAGTTGATCCTAGTGTCCCCGAATTGAATAGTCTGAAGGAAAGAAAAAGAAGTTACGTTAAGAATCAGGAAGTGTCAGAAGACTCTGGTAATACTGTAAATGATCAAGTCAATCCTTTCATTACGAGAGAAATCAACTATCCTGAGGCCACCGATATCACTGCTCATGTTTATAACGATGCATCAGAAATTGCAATGACGACGATATCAACTATTTTACATTCTCCTCTTTCTTCCATTACAACACCTCGAAAGCACAGGCTCAGAGTGCAAATAGTGGATTTTTGGCCTAGGGATTTGACAAAGTTTTCTGTTCCTATATCAGATTCTGATGTTACTGAATATAAATGGATGTTCGTCTTTCTTGTTAGAGACGCTTCTAGAACAACATTGCCGGTAATTTTTTATAACGAAGATGCTCAAACACTATTTAATACCTCTACTATCTATCCCTGCAATTTGAAAACCGAGAATCAGGTTTTACTTAGAATCCGGGAAAGACTATTTCTGATTTGGGGAAATTTGGAAGAGCGAGTAAGCAAACTTCTGTCCAAGGGAACCTCGAGTGACCAAATTCCGAAAGAAATTGATGAGACTCCATGGTTTGATATATTCGTTACGGAATACATACCCCTCAGTAATGCAGAATCGCAACCAAAATCTTTTTTGTCAAAACGATGGAGAGCTTTTGGGACAAGAATAATATAATCTAAACGATCTGTACGCTTCTCCAGTCCTTATAGAATATATTGTTCTAGTAAAATCTTTTTTACTATTAATGAAAGAGATTTTATTTAAAAGTAATAACTATAATATGGAAAAATATGAAGGCATCTAGGATTTTCATAATAAGTCGAAAAAGAAATCTAATATTCGAATTAAATATAGGCATGCAGACGTCCGAAGTGTAAAAATGGACCACATATCTAAACAGGCTTTTGTTTGTCTTCATTCACACGATATGAAGTTTCTTCATCACTTTCATCGTCCACAGCAAAGAGAGCTTGATGCTCATCTGCATTCCCGGTCCTCGCGCCATGCTGAGCTTCCGAAGTAGACTGTTCTTGATACATGGGCAAACTTTCGTGAGAGACTGAGGATGTCATTTCGAATTCATCAACGTCTTGGGCTACTTGTTCACTCATAGCAAAACGACGATTGTTTTCCGTAGGTCTCCAAATATACAAGATAGTTACCATCAAAAAGAAAGAAAGTATATCAGCATAACCGTAATCTAAAAACCAAAGTAATTTCCAGTACTTCAAATAGTAGTTCATTTGACCGTTGATCCCAATTAATACAGCATTAGCAATAACAATTGCTCCGTAGGCAATTATACCAAAGCAGATAACTACCCATAAACGAGTATACATTTGAGCTTTCACAGTTTGCTTACGCAAACGAAGATCTTGAATTGTATTATTCAAAGCCAAAACAATCCAGAAAAACATGGCGAAAATGGTGCATAAAAAGATAGGTGCAGCAATCATTAGGACAAGAGACTCTTGGTTGTTTGGGCTCACAAACAAAGAAGTAAGGAAGAAGCTTAAAGCGACGAATTGAAGACCTCCAAGAATTTGGCATTTTCGAAGAAGACTACCAAGGGTTGGAACAACGATCGAATAACCCAGGGAGACAATTAGAACGAGAAATCCAAAATAGGATTGACGAGCTGCCTGAAAAATTGATAAAATGAAGGCAATTCCTTTGCTTGTATTGGTATAGCCATTTGCATTGGCATAGAAGAAGTATCCAGAAGACACGAAACCACATACTAAAGAAAGTATAACCACTCCTGATATATATTTTTGGACTTGCAAAAGGTCGTGTCTGAAGCGAAATACAGAAAATGACCACCAAATAGCTACAAGCACATTCAAAATAAGCAAGATGGGGTTCAAAAACAGATGAGGATATTCTGTAGCATCAAGCTCACCAAAATAGTTTTCCCAAGTAACGCTAATAGTGTACATTTCTTTATCACCTTCCAATGGTGCAGTAAAAACACAGTATAAACCTGTTTCAGCCACGGGATAGACAAAAGGTGAATCCAACGCTTTGGCGTTTATAAAGTCAGAGAAAATTGAGTTATGGGGTTTAACTTCATCAACTAAATAAAGTCCGTACTGTTCTTCCGTACACATATCGGCTTCTATTTCAGGATAGTCGCAGATGTAATGGCGTTCCTTATTTTCACCAACCAAACCCACTGCATCAACTTCTTTCCAATTAAATATTAACAAACGAATGGCACCGTCAAAGCTAGATTGAAGCTCGTCGACGTTTACTAAATAAGACGTTAGTTAAAAAGTAAGGTTTTATATAGGACATGGTAGTTGCGCCAGAAATAAGCGACATTTTACGAAGAAAAAAGTCTTTCAAACCAACATTCGAAACTTAAATGATGTAAATTTGAAAATTATCGCATACTGTCCGCTGACTTTTCGGTTTCATTTAACATCTTCATATTTCACTATCCAGCAAAATGGCAACTTAAAAACTTACGTTTAATTTCTGAAGATTTCCCTTTTTTGGCATACATTCCATTGCAAATTTGAGATGCCATAATATCTTCCGTCTGGCGATACGTTGTTAACAATCTAATCTTCCAAGTATGCAACAAAGACTAAACTTACCAACAGACTTTTATTGTCTGATGCAAGAGCAAGCATGCTTTGCATGCAAACTAGACACCCAACCAGCAGTAATCTGAGAATTGGCATTTCCTGAACTTGGCTCTTCGCAGGTTGCAAGCGCTACTTGTTGATACGAACCGTCGCTGACGTCTGCATAAGCTATCTGAGCTCGCTATCAATGATAGTGAGGTAAATCAAACTACAATAATAAACATGCTTAGGGATTGAGAACAGCAAAACTTACAATGGTTTACATAAATTAATTGCTCTAGTTGTTATACTCCTGTAAATATTTTTCAAAGACTACAAGGATTTAAGACGGTTCAGTTTTATATGTTTATAATGTAAAGTAAAATGCATGATTAGTTAATGCTAAAATGTAAATGTATGCTAACATATATGCTAATAGTGTCATATCTAAACATTTGTTATGTTCAGTAGAATAAATAGTCTTTTTTAAGATGATTCAGTACAATTCAATGAAAATTTGGGGACACGGTTGCTATAGTAAGCACCAAAATGGGGTTCAACGTTGCTGTCGGCACCTTTGTAAGGCTCATCAAAGGCTTCAAAGTAACAGATATCAATGCCTTTCTTCAAAACTTGACACAAAGCATCGTGGAAGAATTGCTTAGCAATGTCAACAGATGTCTGAGCTTCGCCATAATGAGGTCCTCCAGTAGGCCAGCCAGTCTCACCAACCAAGAATGTTACATTGTTTGTGCCCTTGACATGTTGAACGCGCTCAAGAGCGGTAAGAGTATCAGAAACAAAGGTATTCGTCATGTTGCTTGTATTTTGACCCTGCCAGTAAGGAAAATCGTTCGCCATAATAAAATCACTAGCTTGAATAGCAGCATCACCACTACCAGCGGCCCAGAGATTCCAACTGTCGGCTGTACCGACAGGAACATCAAATCCAAGACTCTTTACAAGACCTCGGACGTCCTTGATACGGTCACCAAGAACACTAGCGCTGAGGTCGTTTCTGTACAAGACTTCCGATCCAACGGTTATACCCTTAACATTACGAACTCCGTACTTGGGTAAAAACTGGGTCAAAGCGTTCTTCTCTTGAGCGTAGTGTGCATCATCCGTAGGCCAGACACCAACGTATGCACTAAAATTGTGGGAAGCTTGAGACAAAGCGGGCAATAAGTTTTGCAAAGTGTTGCAATCACTCGTAGCGTAAGTACGCACGGTAGACGAGTAATTAGCCAATGCATTCAAATCGGCCAAATAGTCGTCAGTTGTCTTACAACCACCATTCGGATTCTTTGCACCAATGCAAAAATTCAAGTTGCCATCATCCTGAGAATTATTGGAACTGTAAGAAGCTAATTCGGCTGCAGATCTGTTTACTGCATAACCAACACTTGGCAATAAAGCGAGGGCTGCTGCCAAAACTGAAGGGATAAACATCATATTGTGAAATCGATGTATAGGTTTTTTTAAAATAAATAACGCAAGAAGGACCGAAGCAAATGAAAGTAAACCTTTCTTTTTCTTTTCAGATAAATTTCAAAAGGACTAAGCTGGTTTTTCAGATTTTTTAGACCTTACTAGTTTTGACTAGCCCTTATATATTGAATTTCAAGAGAAGTTTAAGCCGATAAATTTTCAATTCCAACTATTATGATCCAACGGTAATCATTTTCTCGATGGCAATTATGATACAAATTAAACAATCGCTCATTATTCATATGGTCTTGGTGGCCATTCCAATTAAAAATTACGTGAATCCAAATTTCAGCCCATCTGAAGATTAAGAAAACTCCCAGTATCCAAACAGACTCCCGTATTGTTCTGAATGGTTGGACCGAGTTTGCCTTTTCGGTAAAAATACCGTGCTTTTTTGTTGACACTTTCGGATGATGGACGGTTGGTTTTGAGTTTTAGAATTTCAGAATTTCAGAAAACGTTCATATGGAGGTTTTTGTTTTGGTAAAAACAATAATAATGACCAATTTTTTTAATCCGTTACTAATGAATTGTTTATAAGAATAGGGCCAGAGAGAGCCATCGATTCCTTTCTATAAATAGAACGATCATCTTTTGGACAGGCCATTATTCTTGACGTAGAAATAGCTTTTCGCAAACGTAGTCGTATAATATCAGCCTTAATGGAATGTAAATTCCATCGCGGATGCAAGTGCATTTCCGATTTGGTCTGCTTTAGTCATTTGTTGTAATTAGTTTCCTTATATATTCGAAATCCATTGGTTTAGATAGCTTATTGCAAAATTTGCTTCAAATTTCAATTAATTTCAACACCGGTTTAATAGTGACACCGACTGAATTTGAGTCACAGTTCATTTTCATTTAAAAAAGTAAAAAATGAAGAAGAGAAAATTTTATTAAAGAAGTTCTAGGTCCGGCTTACCAACGGTAAGGGGATGAAATGAGCGAGCATTTCTGTATATGTGATTCAAATTCAAATTCAATTTCTTTTTTTTTTTTTTTTTTTTTTTTGAGACAAGTGACATCTAAAAAAATAAAGATTTAATGATTGCAGGGGAAATTTATAAAAAAAATCCCAAAAAATCGTAAACGTGCGTAAATTAATTAATCTTTACAGAAGCCGAAGTTTCTGAACTCTTGTAGGCAGCCTCAATAATCTTTTCGACTGTTAAGACTTGTTCAGGAAGAACAGAAGTAGTAAAAGATTTGTTCGAAATACTCTCATAAACTTCTTCATATAATGCAAGGTAGTTTCCAGAAATGGTGGGGACGGTACTCAAGGCAGGTGCAGGAAGTGCTTTGACATCGGCATCTAAAGGAACGGTCCATAGCTTAGCATAATTTTCAGAAGATTCTTGGCCATAACCTCCTTCTGAAGGCTTCATTCCCTTGTTAAGTTGGCCTTCTTGGGGATCAGAGCCAAATTTCAAGAATGTACCTCGGGTACCCTTGATGCAATAACGGAAGGAGAGACCACAAGAAATGCTGGTGGAACGTAAAATCACCTCAACGGGAAGCTTACCTTCCTTGGCAGGATAGTGCAAAACAATGGTAAAATTGTCTTCTACTTCCAAAGGAGGAATTTGACGTTGGCAAAACACTTTTCCGGTCACAGATTCAGGAACACCAAAAAGATAAACTGCTTGATCAATCAAATGAGCTCCCAAATCGTAAACTAAACCAGAACCTGGGCTAGGCACGTCTTTCCAGTTACCCTTACGGAACAGACGGTGACGGTCAATATGGGATTCAAGCTCAACAATGTCACCTAAGCGACCGCTGTCGATAACGTCTTTTGCAGTCAAAAAGTCACCGTCCCAACGACGGTTTTGGTAGACGGCCAACAAGAGGTTCTTGGACTTGGCCAAGTCGAACAATCGCTTTCCTTCTTCATAAGTAGGTGTGAATGGTTTCTCACAAAGTACATGCTTTCCTGCATTCAAAGCGGCAGTAACTGCGTCCACGTGAGCGTCAGGAGGAAGAGACACGACCACCAACTCTACTTTAGGGTCAGCCAAAAGTTCGTCTAGTTGAGTGTACACCTTGATGTTTGGGTATGCGCTACGTGCTTTGGAATGTTCAGCAGTTGCACGACGCTCCCAGGCAGCATAAATCTCGAACTTTTCAGGCAATGCTTCCAAAAAAGGGTAATGGAATATAAAGGCAGACATGCCTGTTCCAAGGACTGCGGTTTTGATAGGGCTCATGGTCTATAGATATTACTTTCTAGGTAGCAAAGAATGAATTAAAGATGGTACTCGAATCTACACAACAAGAAAATCTACTATTTTTTTGTATAGAGAGTGGGTAAGCTTGCTTGGACGGATTATATCCTTATAACTGATCCTTTGATACAAATCCTTTGCTTACGTTATGTGATGTCCCTGTTACTCCAATAAGGATACAAGCCTCATATACTCCATACCTAAGTATAGGAAAATCCACCATATCTAGACGACTCTAAGAATATGAAAAAATTCAGAAATTTAGTGAATTAACAATTCTTCAAGTTCTACCCGTCCAGCGCTTTGCCTTTTAGTTTTCCAGCCTTCCAGGTTTTCAGTCTTTTAGTTTTCTCCTATGTTGAAACAATTACAAACAAGCCATGGTATTTCTTTATAATAAAGTTGTTTCTAGTAGAGTTAGTTGTTCAGCACCCTTCTATAGTACATAGCACAAGTCTTACTTTTAGTCTTTAAGACTTAAGCTATGGTGAAAGGAAATCTAATCGAAATGATGCCCTTTTTTTTTTTTTACATTCGTTGGTCTCTTACTTTTACTCAACTACAAGACTCTTTCATGCGCAATACCGTACATCACATCAGTTAACGTATGTGATTCCATTTTTATTTGACCAATCCATCCATTAAGAAAATCGTAAGAATAAGAAACATGCATGTTTGTCAATGACAAAAACAAAAACAGAAACATCCATCTTTAAAGCCATGCTTCTTGAATGGCATGCAAAGGGATTGTCTATCCTTCAAATAGGGCATTACCAACACGGTAACAATATAAGAACGACTATATTTTTGCACCCACCACGTATACAGAGGGACTTACCCAACTTAAGAGCTGGAAGGAGCCTCACGAACGCTGAGGGGGATCTCTTCACCCATGGCAGAGACGACAGAGATGATCAAGTCCTTGCCCTCCTCGAAACCTTCTTCAATTTGTTGACCAATTTCACCTTCGGGAATACGAACGTCGTCCTTGGTGCTACCATCGGAGGTCATGAGGGACAAGAAACCGTCATCAATGTGAACCAATTGGTAGTCATCACGCTTAACGACAGGAACTTCCATGTTGTGGGTGGAAGGAGAGACATCTTCGTACTTACGGCCGGTGAAAATGTCAACGGCAACGATGTTGACCTTGGCGTGACCGTGCTTACCGGTCTTGGAGGTAGACATTTCCACAATCTTGCAAGGACGGCCCTTGATGACAACGTGGCCGTTCTTACGCAAAGAAGAGCATTGGGTAGGGAAAGTCAAAGAGGCACCGGCCTCACCACCTTCGAAATCAATCTGGTGTTCTTCTTCAGCCATTTTTATGTAGTTTTACAAAAAGAAAAAAAAAATCAAAAATATATAAGACAAGGTCGAAAAGAAAGCTTCCTACTTTGTTCAGAGACGTGAATTTTGTGGGAATTCCAGCATATATATGAAATTCTTGACCACAGTTGCACTTGTATATCATTGGTCAATAAAATTTACATAGTTTTCCAATGAAGTACATCAAACACAAACGATTCCTCCTCGTAGCCAATCGTAAATTATTACACGGTTGAAAAAATATTTTTAACCAATCATTAGTAAACATTAAACTTTGGCTACTATGTCTTAAATGCAATGGTTAGCCAATTCTCGCTATTTAAAAAAAGTAGGTAACAAAAAAAGAATAAGAAAAATATTAAATTCTCCGTTGAAATGTGGTAAATAAATTTAGTGTGGTATACCGAAATGTGTAAACAATATTACTGTGTTGGGAAAACTATACTAGGAATTGATTCCGTTTACGAATGCTACGGTTAGGCGCTATACTGTATAACGTAATTTTGTGCAAATTAGACGTTCATATATCATATAGAAGGAATTCAATAGGAAGCAGAGGCTGTTAAATACAACGAACGATTTGGAACAGCTTGAAAGAGAGGAAACCGATTGTTGGTTTCATCACCAAGGGAAATTGTTTGTTCGCTGGTTTGAATTGGATCCTGTGTTATCCCTTGTAACCTCTGTCAGCCTTCTTACGAGTGGAAAACTAGTAGTTTTGCCAGCTTCCTGGCTACTGGTCTTACGAAAGAAGTGATCCGAACATTTTATTCGTATGTTCAAGGGTTCCTGCAACTTTTCTGCTATTTTTATTTTGTAGCTTTGCATCGTAATTTGGCCGTTATTCGACGCTCTGGTCTGGTTTGTTTACTTTTTATTTGGTCACTTGGTATCTTGCGTGCACAGTATAAGGATTCATAGCTGCTGATCGCCTCGTCGTTTCATCTATAAGGATTTTACAAGAACAAATTTATAAATTAAAAACTTTAATTGATTTTTAATCCTGATTGAAAGCTGAAGCTTCTGCCGAATTTGACAATGCAATGAATGAAAGAGAAGGTGATACTGCTTGGCTTAACCAAAGATCCGTTGAACATTTAAGCGACTTGACGAATCGGTTGTTTATCGGTCCTATTCCGTCGAACTTTCTCTCTGGGTCTTCTAGTTTTTGGAAAAAGCGTTTCCAAAATTACTCTCGTCACCAAGCCTCTTATGATATATCCGTTGAGCCTTCGATAGACTACAAGCTTTTTCAACGGTTACATAATCGCGTAAATAGATCTGTCGATGAAGTCTCCATTAGCAGAATCCATTCATATGCCTCTACCAATCGAGCATCTCTCGACCAACCCCGGGCTCCATTAATTAGTCATCGTCCAAACAACCGCGTTCGCTCCTCATATGTATCTAAACAAGACTCTCTTGCCCTATCCCAGAATTCCAATAACCGCGAGTCCACCCTCATACCCTACTCTTCCGATTCTGCCCGTATTCGTTCGTCTTTCGATGTGCAGCGTCCCAATACCGCTGTTAGTTTTCAAACCTCTCATTCTCGCCAGTCATTTGATCGAAGATCTTCTAATACCCGTGGTCTTCGATTCGCCTTAAGACAAAGTAATCCTCGTGTCTTGGGCACTGGTGAACAACTCAAACCTAGCACTCCATATTCGGGTGTGGTTTTTCGGACTGAACAAGTTCTTTTGAGGGTAGAAACGTCTACCAATTTGATTCCTACTGACTTTAACGAGACAATTGCTTCGAGAATACCAAGAAAAACCATTCTTTCATGGGCCCCCTGTACAGTTGTCGCCGTAAAAACTTCTGATCAAGGGACTGTTCGATTGGATTTTATCGGTGAGGAACATATGAAAACTGTAGCTGAAATTTTATCAGAAGACGATCCTAACCAAAAGTACTACAGGAAAAACTGCCTCTTTTCTTTGTTTCTAAATCCCTCTTATACCTTTTGGAATATTTATAATTCATTTGATAACTCGCTGGCAATATGGTCCCCGTACATAAAACACAAAACTTTTATTTTCCTTTTAAACTTTCAGTACACTACCTCAGCATATGAATGGATTGCCATCGTCAGCCGCGCATTGAATTTTACTCCCGGGTCTTCTTTTTTTATTGCTGTTCCAGCTTTTCATATCCAATTGCGCCTCAGCTTTACTGGTTCTGATTCTCAAACTCTCGTAAACGCTCATGGCAGTTCTCCCCAGAAAAATGAAGCAAATACGGATTCAACGGAAAAACTTTCCCCGCAAGCAATTCATGATTCAGTTTTGAAAAATTGGGAAATTTCGGAGGCTGACTTTGTTGAGTCTTGCTTAAACGTTTTAAAGCTTAATCCTGAATGGTCTCAAATTGTAAAGCACTGGCTCAAAACGCAGAATATTGGCTTGTGCTGGAGAATGTATGATCGCATTAGATGGATAACAAGCATAGATAACCTTAGGTACGTAGGGTTATTGGCTGCTAAAGATATCTGTCAGCTCGAACTACGACTTAAAGAACATTATCCTTCATTTGTTACATTTCGCAATGGTACAAAAATGAAGGAACCCGTGCCATTTGAAGGATATCTTATTCGCTTGACAACAAGTGCTGGACGAAGGGGTCGTTTCGGGAGATTATTTCACAAAAAACTGTACTTCATGGTTTTTAACCACCTTTTACTTTCCATCGAACCTAGTTATGTCCTTCCTCTTGCCATTTTAATAGAAAAATTTAAGGAACAATATAATGTCCCGTTTCTTCAACACTCACAATTAGATGAGCATCAATGGTTGTTTGATCCATTAAAATTGGCTGGCGATACTATACCATGGTTTGACAGTAAGTTAGACGCTGCTACAAAAGACCATTTGTTATCTTTACTTCAAACAGAAAGAAAGCGTGAATTGGATATACTTTCATCCGCGAATGGATTTTTAGATTTGTCGAAAGTGAAGCATGTGAGGCCGACAGCAAATGAACCTGAAAATAACGTCTTTGAAGTACAAATGGTGAACGGAATGTCTATCTTATTCCAAAGCTATAATCAGAGAACAAGAGACATATGGATTGAAAAACTTGGAGCAACTGCACGGTATTGGAAACAGCGTTTGAACCTTGATTTACAGGAATTTTATAACGTCAGGGATACCAATATTAGCATATTACACATTGACTCATCTATCGAGCCTGTTGTTGCTTCTCACAGTAACTACTGGGAAGTCTCAGAGTGTATGGCAAGTACGCATATTCACAATTATTGTGATGTCTTAGGATGTAGGGTCATTCGGGTAAGTACAGTGGTTTACTGTATAATACTAATTCATAATTTAGGCTCAGGGAGTGTTGTATATGCGAAGCGGAAATTTGTATGAAAAATGCTACGCTGTTCTTATTCCCGGAAAGATCATTTTTTTTCGGGATGCAACTAGGACCAAATTTGGTAAGCTACATAGAAAGACTCATTTTCAAAAATTCTCTTCGATCCATTTCAAGAACGCCTACATATATACTGGATTTACTACAATCACCGAATTTTCCAAGAGCAGTCAAAAGAATGAAGGAGCAAGCAATCGATTACCTAGATGTCACGAAGACGGTTGGAAATCTTTTGATAAAGATGAAATGCTGTCCTTTGTTATATACTCGCAATCTGAATTGGATTACTCCTTAGTGCATGCTCTTCCAGATGTATATAAGATTCCACAAAAACACGATAAAAAAGGAAACAAGTAAGTGGATTACAGTCATGCATTTTGTTAACATTAAAGGTTTATGTTTCTTGCCAGAACTAGGCAGGAGCGTGATGTATGGGTAGAAAGGATATCCAGCGAAATTAAACGAATTCCAAACGACTAAACTTTGAACGATTTACCTATAATGATTTGTATTTTTATTTCCGTCCGTTAATTCGCAACCCTTAAGCTTTATGACAAGCAAATAGTGGTACCCTAAGGTTTTTAATGATAAAGCTTCATATGCTTACTCTATTTATGGATATATAGATTTGTTTTGCCTTCACAGTTATAAATACCGTCTTGCTAAATAAGTAAATGAAATAGATTCACATGCTTTTAGTTAACTCAGTTCTTTTCTACTTTTTTCAAATGTTTTTCTTTAAAATATATAATATTTTTATTTATTCTATCATAATATTTTCCTTCATATAACTGACAGAGAAAGTTTGTTCTTTTATAGATTAGTATTTAATATTCAAATTTTAGGTAACATTGTTATTTCGTTGTGGAAGTTCGAGGGCCGTTTCGCATTAGAGCCTCCCAAGCACAAGCTTGCAAAGTACGTCCAATCCGAAGAGCCCTAAAGAAGTAGGTATTGCTTCAATAGCTGTATGTTTATGCTCTGAAGAATGTATTTTCAAAGGCAACTTCAGCGATGTCTTTTACGGATACGGTTTCATAAAGTTAATGTTGATGGTCGGCGGCTAATACAAACTGGGCCATTGCAAAGTGTTGAGGAAAATGTGAATGTATACAAGCCCATTCTTCCTTCCAAGAAGTATGAATTTAAGATTAATACAGATCAAAAGTCAGAAATGGTGAGTCTGTATGAGGCATGTGTATTCACAAATGACTTTGTCCGTTCAGCACAACTTCTAGGGCGCATAGCTGGTTATAATGCGACGGATGAAAACATGTATCCATATATTGAATTATATTTACGACACCTCATTAGTTCTGGTGATTTTATGCTGGATTCTATGATTCGGACAACGAGGGCAATTCTTAAAAAGTCTAAACTTGCCGGTAATTCCCAAATTTATGCATATTATTTTCAGGCTGCTTTGCTAAAAGAGTCAGAAGAATCTGGATATCCAGTTTTAAAGCGAATTGCTGTTGAATGGAGATATAGAAAAGGAAAAGTCATTGATATTCTATCCCAGACCTCAATTTTAAGCAGCGAGCAGATTCAAAAAATAATTAGAATTCTTAATATCCCCTTAGAAACTTTATCGAACAGTCAACTAGCGCTTTTTGGCTTTCAGCCTTCGAATCCAACCGAAATCAATACTGTAAAAAGTACTGTAGAGGAAGGCCGATCCCAGCCAGTGACCGTTCCCTCGACTGAACATGCTTATATTGACAAAATAAAAAGTAAAGGAATGCGTTTGAGTGCCTTATTGAAATCACTAAACAATATTTCAGTAAGTCCCGAAAACTTACCGGTGGATGAAGTATCGTTAGAGAAGGTACCAAGCTCGGAACTTGTCAATTTAGCGAGGCAAAAATTGCTGGAGAAATCTGCAATTGCTTCTGCTATTGATCTGTGGAAGGCTGAATATGAAGATACTTTTCAACGTGGAGGAGGGGCTTTACCCAAGAACAAAGAGGCTTCCGCCTTATTTTACGAGTGGTATACGGAACTCAAGGAGATGTTTAACCAGGAGAATAAGCGTCTGGACAGTTTTTATCATAGAATCGAAACAAACGCTGGCAATCCATATATTGCCGAGGGCTTTTGCGGTCCTTTTCTGAAGCTTTTAAAAACCGAAAAACTCGCAGCATTAACGATTATTGAAGTGATTCGTTCAATTTCATCAATATCAACCCAAGAGGAAGCTGAAGAAACTCATGGAGTTTTGATATCTCGTTTAACCGATGCTGTTGGACGTAGTTTTGAACGTGAGTTCTTATCCGAACGCTTACAAGAAGAAGAAAGAGAAGGAAAGCTTCGCATAAGAGATAATTTAAAGTTTGTTTTTAATAATCCTCGGGCATTTAGAGCTGCTGTTAAAGAATTAAGGCGTAATGCCGATGAGAATGATGGTAAATGGAAGCATGCTTTGGAGAGCTGGCCAAGATACGTTACAACCAAGATTGGAGCAATTGCCATTTCATTGTTCTTACAGGCCGCTAAAATGGATATAAAATTCAAACGTCCGGATACAGGAGATATTACAAAAGAATCTGTATCTGCTTTCGCTCATACCTATCAATATATTCATGGAAGGAAGTCCGGCGTACTTCGTCCTAGAGTTGAGCTCCTAAAATTAATAGCAAGTGAATTTCAGAATCCCCTTATCCATCCACAAATGCTCCCAATGTTGGTACGTCCTAAACCATGGGTGCAATGGGACAAAGGAGGTTACTATTATTCTCGTGAGTCTATTATCCGGTTGAAAGGATGTACTGAACAGTTGGATTATATCAAAGAAGCCTCCCATAAAGGTCATCTTAAGAAAATCTATAATGCATTAAGCGCTCTTGGTGATGTGGACTGGAGAATTAATCGCTTCACCTTTGATGTCATTGTTAAAATTTGGAATTCTGGTGAAGGTATGCTCAGTATCCCACCCAAAAATGTAGAGGTGAATCTTCCTCCATATCCAAAGCAAGCGCTCAATCCAAATGATCGCGTATCATGGTACAGTCTTAGGGATAAACTTTCTAGAGAAAAGGCGACTGCTCATTCCCAACGCTGTGATTTCAACTACAAACTTGAGATTGCTAATTCATATCTTAACGAAAAATTTTATTTTCCTCACAACATGGATTTTCGAGGAAGAGTATACCCAATATCTGCACATTTGCACCATGTAAATAATGACTTCTGTCGTGGTTTGCTAGAGTTCGCTGAGGGAAAGCCATTAGGCCCCAATGGACTCAATTGGCTGAAAGTTCATTTGGCAAATTTGTTTGGTATCAGTAAAGTTGACTATGCTAGTCGTCAAAAGTTCGTGGATGACAACATTGCAGAGCTTTTTGACTCGTATGATCATCCCTTGGAAGGACGCAAATGGTGGGCATCTGCCGAAGATCCCTTCCAAGCTCTTGCAGCAATTGCAGAAATTGCAAGAGCAATACGCTCCGGAAACCCGGAAAGTTATGTTTGTCATGTACCAGTACAGCAAGATGGAACATGTAATGGATTACAGCATTATGCTGCTTTAGGAAGAGATCCTGATGGTGCTCATGAAGTTAACCTGTCTCCAAACGATCGACCTAAAGATGTTTATGATGCAGTAGCCAAGATTGTTATTAGCAGATTGGAGCAAGAGTCTGCCAAAGGTGACGAAGTGGCTTCTGTTTTGAAAGATAAAATTGACAGAAGTGTTGTGAAACCTACAGTTATGACTAACGTTTACGGCGTGACTTATGTGGGTGCCAAAAACCAGATAATTAGTCAACTGGAAAAACGAGGAGATATTCCTAAAGACATGCTAAACAACTATTCTAGTTATTTGACTAAAATGGTATTTCGAGCTCTTCGTTCTTTATTTGAAAGAGCTCATGAAATTCAGGATTGGCTGTCTACATGTTCTTACCTAATCTCAAATTCTTTACCAGCAGAATTTGTCAAACAAGGTCATAAGGATAAATTAACGCCTACTATTTGGACGACTCCCCTTGGATTTCCTATTATCCAACCTTATAGAAATTTTAAGAAGCGACAAGTACAAACGAATTTACAATCGGTTTGTATTGAAGATAGGGATAGAGTAGCTTCCGTTGAACCTAGAAAACAGGCTGCTGCTTTTCCTCCCAATTTTGTACATTCTTTGGATGCGACACATTTGTTTATGACATGTCTGAAAGCCAAGGAAGCAGACATAACCTTTGCTTCTGTCCATGATTCTTACTGGACCCACGCTTGCGATGTCGAACAACTCGGTAATTTGTTGCGTCAAGCTTTCGTTGAGTTACACTCTCAAAAAATCATGGAAAAGCTGAGAAATGAGTTCCGAAAGCGATATAAAAACTTTATGATACCTAAGGAAATTGCTAGGAGGTATGATTTGTTCATATCATCCGAAGATTCGGATAAAAAATGGGTACCACTTAAAATCCCGCTTCTACCTTCGCAGGGTACTTTTGATTTGACAAAAGTTTTGGAAAGTAAGTATTTCTTTTCATGAGGATATCTAAAATTTTGCTTCTGAAGTGTACGAAACGTCAAACGCTTCGCCATTATGTATATGTATGCATGATTGTAGTTCTTTCAAGAAAAAAAAATGTGGACTGCGGTTATACTAAAAATAATCTTTCCTTTCTTAATTCTTAATAAAGTGAAATAATCGATGGTGGATACATAGGTTAATACATCATTTTTGTATATTATATTCAACTATACTCAATGGGTTCAATTGTGTATTGCTATTAGCATTGGCGTATGTATTCTCTATTCGTGCATCAAATTCAAAAAATCCATTCCTTGGCGAATTATAGTGAAAAACTTCAACACCTGCAATGATACAAATGTTGGGAGTTAAAGTAAAATAAAAAAAAACGAATAGACATGGTAATGAAAGATCGTAGAGAACAATAAACAGACAGAAGAGACAGACAATGAAAAAAAACAAAAAAAATGTAAGTACGCATGTATATTAAAAGTAGACACTGTGATTATTTTTATTCTAAACAACTTCATCCATCAGACGTTGTTGAAGCTCGATATTTTCTAGGAAGCGTTTAGCATGATTCCTCAGGTAGGTGCGGTTAGCAGCAAAAATGTAAGGTTTCATTAAAATCCGGGTTAGATGACCCATGAAAGAGCTTGGGAGGGATTGAGGACGGATTCCAGAGTCGACGATTAATTTATTAGAGTAGGAAAGGGTGATTAAAGTAAAGTACATCTTTAAGGAAGTAAAAAAGATGAGTAATAATAAAGAAGGAATAGATTCCGCTTCAAAAAACACAGCCCAAAGACTCGTAGGTCGTTCGGATTCAGGCACACCTTGAGCAGATTGAGAAGAAGTCAGTACTTTGGCAAACCAACTCAATGCAAACAGGACAGTGAAGACGACATTCAGGAAAAAGTCAATGGCATAGGAATAAAACAATATAAGGGCGTGTGGTACGCTGTCCTGTTTTTGAAATAAGGTTAGTAACCATTCTAAGATGAACTGGAACTCGTAGACACCTAGTAAGAAAATCATACCTTTGGAATGTAAACGGCTAACCAAGAAAAGAGGACCAAGGTGAAGATTGAAGTCATGTACATGAAGATCTGCCAAGCAGAAACGGCAGAACCTAGGTAGAGATGGGTTAGTGAAAAAGTATATCAAAGATTGTAAAACCACTTACTTTGAAATATAGATACAATTCCATAAAGACCAGATAATTTGTTTATGAGAGCAAACCAAACAATTACCTCGCAGCCAACACGAAGACTACACAAGCCAAAAAAAGACTAAATCATCGGGTTAATAAACATGATCATTTAACATCACTACAACGACAACCTCATCAACCTCTTTGATACAAAGAAAGCAAAAAAGTAGTGCCGAAAATAGAAAAAGTACATACCCTTGGGAGAAAAAGTCGCTCTAACAAGTTCGACCAGCGGACACGACGAAAGCTAACCATATTGTAAAATTTCCAAGGTGTTTTATTATCCAAGAAGTACCGACCAATCTCTAGATGTAATAATTGAGCAAAGATGAAAGAAACCAATACAATCGATGTTTATGCAAAAGGGGTAACCAGAAACCAATGCCACATCAAGTTGGGTGAATGGAAAGAAAAAAAAAAATTCAAGAAAAAACTATGACAAAAAATTCGAAATCCAGTCTAAAGGTCAAGTATTTAGAGACGATCAGAAGTGATTTGTTTCCGAATACCCAAACGCTTTCACAGCGCTTTTGTCGTTAGTGTACAGAATCCTTTTCTGGTTAAGAAAGCTCTAGCAATCGATATACTTTTATTTCGAAAGCTTTCTTTAATGTATGCCAATTCCAATGGAGTTCGGCGTATGCTTCGTAGTTGCTTGGAACAGGTTATGGCTAAACATCGAACTGCTTCTTGGATTAGTGAGCCAAAATGAACTACTGAATTTTTATATACGGTAATACAACGAGACTATAATATGTGGAAGGATTGTACCATGACTTGATTATAGTAAAACAAACAAGAGAGAACAGTGAGTGTCGTTTTCTTTGTTTAGTTTTATATTGTAATCTAAATAATTTTATTTTATTTCTATCAAGTTTTTTTTTTGTTTGTTTCGACGTTTGTATGTCTGAACCAACGCTGATGCAATCTTTTTACTAGTAAAAAAAGTTCGCTTATAATGTAAGCTCTGTTTTAGCGACTAGTTATAAAGGTATCGGTTTTTGACAATTTATTGAAAGACATTTTCGAGTTTTTCATACAATTTTATAAATTTTACACTTGTAAGATTGAGAATTTCAAGCTAAATCCGACATTTCATAGAGATATTCTTCCAAATTCAGAGTGTGACTGTTTTTTGAAGAAGAGAGAGACGTGAAGAAAGAGGTATGGTACAGCTTCTCCAGCGCACACAAGTCAAATTGCTTGCAAAGATGTTTTACCCTTTGCAAGTGCCAAAGTTGTGCGGAGACCATTGCATCTTGCAAGTAGTCATCTTAGTACTCAATACTGCAACTCTTTACGATGATGGATTGTAGTGGGTCGGTAGGCTACTACATATCGATAATTCATAGTACATTATAGTATATGATTCTTTTCTTTTCAAGAAAGAATAGCAAAAGCAAAATAACAGAATAATAAAAAGTTAATGAACTTTAATAATAATAAAAATCAGTGGACCACTGAAAAGTATCTGTAGACAACGTATGTAGACGACGTATTGGTTCTGTCTGTGTCTTTGGGATGAAAAGACATGGAATGGTGCATAACAGATATGGAAAGCAAGCTTCCGAAACGAGCCAACAAGACAAACTTTACTTTTTCCTTTCTTTTATGTAGACCAAACCAAAAACCAAATCGTAAACTCCTGATTTTCAATTGCAATGTCAAGCATTTTGTTTCCTTCCTTACCAACCGAACTATCCTTTATATTTGTTATGGTAGCTAATAAACAACGATTTAACTTTTGAACGAGCGGACTCACACACTTTGCTATGGCAAGTGTACAAGAGTTCGACTCTAGCTGTTACCATGATGAACACGAGCCAGAAGGCTCAAATCAATAAACCCAGCTCTTTGAGCTGCTAAAAGAAAAGCAGCTAGGAAACGAAAAACACGTTCTGAATGACAGCCATGAGTATTCTTTCTGAATGGCAAATGTCTGGAATGAATGTCTTTGTTGATGCTGCTTTTTTTATTCCTTCTTGGATTATTGAGTGTCTGAGACTTCGAATGGGTTTTTGTAGTATAGGTCCAAATACCTTAAGACTTGTACTTCATGAATTAGCTCAAATGCAGTGAGTGAGTGCATCGATGAGAAAGACCTACCGAGTACTTTTAGAGGTGTTACTTTCGACTTTTGCTAGAAAAGTCAGGCTATCAGCCCATTTGTTTGCTTCATCATCGAATATTTGGAATATCGTTTGATTCCTCCTGTAATGTTTTCATCAATTAACACGATTGTACGATATTGGTACTTGTTGGGCACAGTGTGCTACGTGTACTTTTCGTAAAACAGTAGTTGAGCTGGTTTTGAAGAAAAACAAGTGTTTTTTGCACTTTTCATTTGGAAATTGAGAAATTTGTTATATATTTTTTCTTTTGGAAAAGAAAGGATAAAATCTAAACGAAAATAACTGGATTGAGAAAGTAGGTCTTTGTTGGTTTGTGAGCTTTAGACATCTGACCCTGACTACCCAACAGTTTGTACCTCGAACCGCAAACGTAAGCATTTTATTTTCCTTCATTTGATTTTTTTTTGTTCATTTAATTTCCCATGCCAACCACGGAAATCGTCTTTATTGTCACATTGGTCTTGTACTTGGCCATCACAAGATGGAAACGTAGAAGAGAAGACTCGATCATCCCGGAGCCAGAACCAAAACAACCCGAATGGAGAGATTATAGTCCTATTGAACTTCAAGAATTTAATGGCATTCACCGTTCCTTGGTTTTCCTTGCCATCAAGGGCACTGTATACAATGTGACAATGGGATCCAAGTTTTATGGACCAAAAGGCCCCTACAGTGCATTCGGTGGACGTGATGCAACTCGTGGTCTCGCCAAAAGTAGCTTTGATGATGAATTTATCCCAAATGCTGAAGCAGATGATTTGGATGATTGGTCCGACTTGAATGACGATGAAAAGCAAACTCTCGACGATTGGAAGGCTTTCTTTGATCAAAAGTATCCTGCTGTTGGTCGTCTCATAAGTAATAAAGAAGCTGCTGAAGCCCGTGCAAAGGCAGAGAATGTTATTCCTGAGAAAACTCAAAAAAATTAAGACAACTAGCTCAGTTCAGTGCAACGTTGTTGTTTTTCTTGCCCTTGTTGTTATGATTTATGTCGTATTTCATTCTTTTTTTCTATTGAAATACTTTACCTATCCCATAAATAACAAATAAAAATAAAAACTTTGCGTGCGTCTTGTTGGATCTATAGCACTATCCAATCCAACTTTGGGTAGCCCTATAATAAAATCACCATCGTCCTATGCAACTAGCTTGGATTTCTCTTTTCTCGATAAATACAAACTTGTAAAAAAAAAAATTCGTAAACTATTCTCTGTCCTCTTAACTTTTTGTTTTCTAAACATACTTACTATACAGTTCTACTTGTTTTTTCTGATAAGAATCCATCTCTTCGTTAAGATAACTTAGTTTCGTAAACCCCACAACCCGAACCCTGGTACCAGCGTCACTTCCTAGCCTGCGAAAAAAAGGTCAACAGTTGCTTTTCAAAAGCAAAACAACAGGAAAAGTGGGCAAGCCAAGATGGACGCTTTATCCATGGTTTTAGATATGAAGCATGAAGAGGACGACGAAGTTTTTGATGTGCCACTGACAGCAAGCGAGTTTGAAGCGAAAAAACAAGAGCTACAAGCCGAGTTGGGGGCTATACGAGATGGAACCTGTAAAACGCTGTTGGATTTGTTTCAAGAATTACAAGAAAAAAAAGAAGAAGAATTGGATATTGAAGAACAATGGAGACGGCATTTGATGGAACGCGCTAAAGAAGAATATGAAGCAGAACTAAAGGATGCCAAAGAAGAATATGACCAACGCTGCAACTCCCTTCAAACCATGGTTTTATCACACTTGGCCGAAAAAAAACGACACATATTGGAAGCCAAGGATATGTTTGATATTGCCAATGAGTCTTCTTCCCTTCTTTTCCACGATGCATCTTCCCAATTTATCGACCGTCGAAAGTTAAGGCATCGTCGAAACGCTTCTTCTAATAATTCTACATCTAATCAATTGCCTACTCTCAATTTCTTTGATGATTATTTACTTTTCCCCACTGAAGAGACCTCCGCTATACCAGAGTCCATAAAAAAAACTGTTCGAAATTCTGTCAACTCTGCAAAACCGTCCAACGTGGAGTTATCACTTTTTTCTCCTCTTTTAACAATGGCAAACGTGAACCTCTCTTCCAACCGTGACCGAGACTTTCGAGCCATGGAGCGAGCCGAACGTGATCGTGAGAAAGCCATTGACAAGAGCTTAGTCGGTGCTACTGAAGAAGACATCAAATCCGATATGCAGCTTCTTAAAAAAGAGATTTTAAAAAAAAGGTGATTGCTTCCTCTTTTGTTTCCCCCTTTTTTAGTTTATTTTACAGTCCAGCTGTATGTCGAATAAGTTTTCGATGGATCGTACCCTCCCTCTTAAAACGAATCCCGTCAAGCTACTCATTTGTTTGTTTCTTTAAAAGTGTGAATCTTATTTATTCCTTTTTCATACGATACTCAATTCCCTTCCTACTATTTGTGAAATTTTCTTCCTGTTTTTTCTTTCTATTATTGCCAATTTCAAGCATTTACCGTTTTGCGTTCTGTCGCGTTATTCTTTCTTGTTTTTGGCTTAGATCCCCCCACAGAGCTCTTTATCATGTTCCACCACTTTTCCTACTATCGTGCTTTGTTGATGCCAGAGCCTAACAGTGAACAAGAAGAATTCCCTTGGAAAGGCCTTGTTTTCATTTCCTTAGTGAAGATAACACGATTACAAGTAATTTAAAGCAATTATCGCTGTCGATTAGCTTAGTTTCCGTCCTAAAGGAGTGCAAGAGTTGATTTCGTCGTCAGCTATTGCTTGTTTCTTCCTTATCAAGCTTTCTCTCTTGAGTTCTATTTGCAATTTCTATTTTTGCAGCTCTTCATGCTTTGCGTGAAGTTCTCTGATCTGTCGTATTACTAATTAGAAGATCAGAACGCTGTACTCTTTGTACTTCTCTTATGTTTTAGTTGGAGTAAAACGAGTGGTTTCTCTCCTTCTTCTCTTCCTTTTCGAATCTCTTTTGTTTTGCATGCCGTTAGACTAAGTGAAATTGTATATATATTTTAATTACTAACTGTACCGAGGGTCTCTTGTTTCCCGCCCTCCTGTTTATACCATCTTTATCTTCTATTGGCATTCATTCCTTTTCGATTATAGTCTGTCTTACCTAACTTAGGAAATCCTTTTGTTTTGTCTGCCAAAATAATTTATATTATTTCGACTGACAGTATTGTTAACTAATAAGTTTCGTTAATTTTTCGTTGAACATCATGCGTCCTCGTCAAAAATTCCGTAGATTTCATCCCGACCGTTGGACTAAAGTCAGCCTTCGAAGCATCGGCGGAGGCGTCCGAGCCTTGAACGGTGTAAAGGCGTTAAACGGAGTGAATGTCCGTGTTTCACTACAATGGAAGCGTCTTTCAAATCGTCTTCATCGCATTCGTAGAAGAAGCCGATTGGGTCGTCTTTCTATAAATGTTCGACCAAATGGCTCTTGGCAAGCTTACTTTTTGAGTTCTCTTCCCTTGAGAAGTTTGTCGCGTATTTGGGGTCAATTTAATCGCGCTAATTTACCTACTTTTTTACGGTATCCAGGATTCAAGTTATATTCTTGGATTTTTCGCTGCAACCTGGATGAATTAAAAGATCCAGATCTAAGCCATTATCGTAATTTTCAAGATTTCTTTTGCCGTGAGTTGCGCCCAGAAGCTCGTCCGGTCGATCCCGATTCTTCGGTTGTTTCACCTGTAGATGGAAGAATAGTTTGCCAGGGTGTTGTTGACAACAATTACATACAGCACGTTAAGGGTCTTTCATATTCCCTAGAAGCTCTCTTGGGCGGCGTTTCTACCGTTGATCCCGCTATTGTAGATTTTGGACAAGATGTAACTACCAATCTGGTTAAGAAGCATAACGAGTTTGCTTCAAAATATTCCATCCCTCCTTCCTATGATGGATGTAGTCACTTTCCGCGAAATGGAAATGGATCGTCAGCTAGGGATCCTTTGGCATATTGCGACATGCAAAGCCAAAACGGAAATTGTAACCAAGCCAATTCCGTATATGCTCCTTATTATGACAACTGTTGTCCTTTCTATGCATTTCAGGATATGACTAGCGATACAAACTCGGATGCATCAGATATGAGTACTGACAGTTACTATACTTCGGTTATGGAGGGCGAGTCCGATTCTGATTTAGACAACCCAGTCAGTGAGACTCATCCAATGTTAGATGACGGAATGCCAAACTGGGATGTCTGGGTTCAAGAAGCTGACGTTGTTGACATTGACTCTTTACCTTGGAGAAATATTCAACCTAACAATCTTCTTTTTTATTCTGTTATTTATTTAGCTCCCGGCGATTATCATCGTTTTCACTCGCCTGCTGATTGGGTGATCGAGTCAAGAAGACACTTCTCCGGTGAGCTGTTCAGTGTATCTCCTTTTTTAGCGAGACGATTGCATAATTTATTTGTTTTGAATGAACGAGTTGCATTGCTTGGTCGATACAAGCATGGGTTTATGAGCATGATTCCAGTGGGTGCTACAAACGTTGGAAGCATAGTAATTGACTGTGACCCTACTTTGTCAACGAACAGAATGGTATTACGGAAGAAATCGTTAGGCTCTTTTCAGGAAGTAGCGTACAGTGATGCATCGCCTGTTTTGAATGGAGTGCCGATAAATCGAGGCGAACAGCTCGGTAGATTTCAGCTAGGCAGTACTGTTGTGCTTGTCTTTGAAGCACCTGCTGATTTCAAATTTTCCACCCACCAAGGTCAATACGTGCGCGTCGGGGAGGGTCTTTGAATAATCTAACCTCACTCATTGGAAAAGGTTAATAATGATTACGAATTGCTTATAAGATTCTTGGTTTTTGATGATTTATTGGTTAAAGTGAAGTATAGAACTTTTGTTTCTTGTAAACATGTTAACGTTTAATAATATTGATAATATTTCCGTTCCTTCATGTAAGAATTTTTATGTTACTGTGTATATATGAGTATTCTTATCAAGAAAAACTATTGTACGAGTATTTTTAATGCTAAATTAAACGTATTCATTAGCAAAAGAGTAGGCTTTTTTTAGGACTGTAAAAACATGAGAAAATGACAAATTGTCACTGAGAGAGGCCTTGTAAAATTCTTTACACGTTTTGAACATTATGATGAAGAGATCGAAACCCGTAAACTTCATCATTTACGTGATACACATTGTGAAGATTATCATCATTCACGGTCCAAGCACGACTAGCAAAGACGTTTTGCTGAGGTGAGAGAAGGGTTTCAAAGGAATCTTTAAGTACATCTTGTAACATACTCATGTCTCGTTTCGTTTGAGCGGAAGAGGGACTGGTAACCCAAACAGCACATTTTGTAGAAATCAAATCATGTAAGGTGGGGACCCAGGAGTTATAAAGTTCAGGATTCCCAAAGTCTGGCATGGGCAGAAAGAAAGTATCATAGTAAGGATCGAAGGGTTCGAAAGTTCCTGTCTTATGCAAATTATGATAATAGTCCTGATGGAAATGAAGAGAGAGAGGAGATGGGAGAGTACTTAATTTTGCTGGCTTGACAAGTTCAGGTCCGATAAAATGAAGTTGGAACAAACGACCTGTAAATAAGAAATTTATACCCTGCAGCCATAATGCAGGAGGCAAGGCGCTTTCAAATTTGGATCCAAGAACAAAAATTCTTGTTGGGCGGGGATCGGTAGACTGGGCCGACGTAGGACGGTTTAACATGTATCTTTGAACAGCTAAGGATTGTAATCCTTGAGGTGTCAATCCATTTTTAAGATTATATGGAGAGTTCTTATGTAGAATACCACCAATAGTCATAGGATAAGTTAGCAAACTGGTTAGATGTCGTGCCGTCCGTTCATTTCCAATGCTGGGGAAGCCTCTCGTGTAAAAGTAAGAATCCCAGGACCAAAGAGCAATAGCTACATCTTTTTCTGCTGATCCAGGAAGATTAGCAAGTTGGGGGAAAGAGTTTGGTCTGGCTAAATCGTGAAAATCCTCATTGATTTGGCGTAGTTTAGGAATTAAGGCTTGATGGGTTTCGTCTTGTTCCCAGTGGGCTTTACTGCAGTGTGAAGGGAATCCTGATTCTGGGCAATCATAAGAAACTGGTTTTCCTGATACTGGGCATTTATAAACCCGTCGTATGTGCTCTGCTCGTAATCTAAGTGCTTTTACAGGAGATTTCGATAGAGGAAAAAACAATTCAGGTTCTGTAGCTTTTTTCCGAATTAAATTCGTAATTCCAATGTTTTTTAAAAGTTTTTGAAACATGAATCAACCCAAAACACGCAAACAACGATCGTTTTTGCTAGTGGTACTACACTGAAACAACTCTAACTTCAAATTCAGCAATTCCAAAAATGGGTAACAGTAAGTAACTGATATTTAATTTGATTTATTTACATTTATGTAAATAAAGAAAAATGAGGAATATACTTGAAAGCAGGTTTTATAAAAGAAAAGAAATTGAGATTTTATAATTTCTTTTCTTTTCATTCGATGTATGAATCGTAATTGTGATTCAGAGAATTGACTGAACTTTTATCTTCTGTCTTTAAATAAATAAATAAATAATTTTTAGTCAATATTAAAAGGTATCCAAACTATGCTTTATTCAATAGAATTAAATTTAACCAACATGCCATTTATTTTAGACATCTCATGAAGACATGATTTTAGAAATGATTTTGTAGGTCATCTTTGCAGATTGATAGTTCTCGAGTATGGTGTGTTTACTTTATATTTAAAACAATATATAGACCTAAATGAATATAAAAATTATAATTTAAGGAGTGCCCTTCAGGATTAATGAATTTTACTTGATTTTGGGGATTTTGTTTCTTCAAGGAAACTACAAGATACATTGAGTGAATTAGCAAACCTAGAATAAAAACTGCAAACTACTTTGGGTGTTGAAAATTCGAGGAACTGTTTAATGTTTCAAATGAATTTTTGATTTTATCCAACACCAACCTACCGGAAGCTTTGTCGGGCTAGGTTCAACACTTGAGACACCAAGATTCTCAAATACGCGAGGAATCTTCGAATGTCAGCATCTACTTATGCTGAGTGGTCGAAAGACCAACTTATAGCAAAGATTTTGGAGTTAGACCGACAATTAGACACAAGGTCTTCAAAAGATACCCAATCTTCATGCGAAAATGAACTTACTACTCAAAAGAAACTAGAAAATTCTTCGTTTCACAAAAATGACGAGTCAAACAAGCCGAATCAACAAGCAGCTTTACCTGCCAAGAAAGTGAAACCTCCACGTCCTTTTCAGTTAGAAAAAACGATATTCTTGGCTTTTAGATTTGCTTACTGCGGTTGGGATTATAATGGATTAGCGTACCAGACTGAACCTACTCCTTTACCAACTGTAGAAGGGAAAATTTTCGAGGCTTTATTGAAAGCTCATCTAATTGAGAGTCCATCAACATGTAATTTCAGTAGATGCGGCCGTACTGACAAGGGTGTTTCTGCTATGGGTCAGGTAATTTCTCTAAACGTACGCCATTCCGAACGAAGACCTATTGTGTATTGCGATGTATTGAATCGTATATTACCACCTGATATTCGTTTCACTGGATTTGCTGTACCTCCTCCTGGATTCAATGCTAGGTTTTCTTGTAAACAGAGACATTACAAATACTTGTTTACCAAAAACTACCCTGGTGGTACTTTGGACATTGACCGGATGAATGAGGCAGCCGCCCTTTACTTGGGTGAACACGACTTCCGAAACTTTTGTAAAATTGATGCTTCGAAACAGATTACAAACTATAACAGGAGAATACTAAGCTCAAAAATTATATGCATTGACCCTGCAACCGAACTGTATGCATTCGATCTGCAAGGAACTGCCTTCCTTTGGCATCAAGTTAGATGCATGGTTGCCATCTTATTTTTAGTTGGTCAGCATTTGGAACCTATTTCAATTGTTAGTGATTTATTGGATACACAGAAAGTTCCAAATAAACCAATCTACGATTTGGCCAGTGAATTTCCATTAATCCTTTACGATTGTATGTTTGATGATATTGAGTGGGTTTTGCCAACAGATGATGAAACAACGGCGCCTCGTATATCTAAACATCTCTATGACAAAACCTATCATCAATGGCATAGCCTTCGTATACGTGAGCAAATAGCGTCCTTTATGGTGGATGCAGCTAATCAAAGGGTTTCTCAGTATGGTGCTTTACAATACACAGGTGCCAGTGTAAATATTGGAGAAGGAGAGCTGAAATCGTCCAAAAGGTACGTACCAATTCTACAAAGAGCCCGACAAGAATCTGTTGAAGTTGTCAATGAACGTTATAAACGTAAAAAGGGACTTGATACACCAACGAACTCTGAAGAATGCTCATCTGCAATGAACGGGGATTAATTTGACTATTGAAACGGATACATATATAAGTGGATCATAGGAATAGGTTTTTGGGACGTACATAATATTATGGTTAATCTTCTATGGCAATAAAAAATAAGCGATTATATATAATTTGATAAGAGCAATAGTTACATACAGTAGGTATCAGATTTGGAAGCTTCACTTTGCCAAAGAAATTTATTGAAGCAAGCCATTTCATATATTTAGTAAAATCTGACCCAACTGACCAAAGTCAAGCTTCACAGGCTCCTCCTCAAAACATTTTAAATTATATTTATTCTTATTCTTCATTCGTCTCATCTCCCTGTAGATCTGTATCTTTAGAAAAGAAAACGTTTAAGATTCATCATATCGTTTTAGTTACTGTTTTCACAAATTCAGAATTGCTTAATTAGGGAATAAATATAGCTGACAAAACTAATACTTTTCTTCACCATTAACGAAAATCCAAGTTGGAAGCCAAGCAAGTGTATTAAACATCAAAAACTGTAAATCCGTAGAAGATACATTATATTGAGACATATCTTAATTATTTTAAAAACGTTAAAAAAGTCAATAAAGTGGTATCTTATCTTTAAATCTACCTTCATCTAAAGCATGTATTTTTCGTCTTAACAAAAAGCCTTTCTTTCTTCAAATAAGGGACCAGACATTGCGGCAAAACCACCGTTCCGTCAAGTTGCTGATGATTTTCGAGTAAAGCAATAATAAGCCTAGGAATGGCAGCAGCAGTTCCGTTAAGCGTGTGAACGAATCCAGTGTCGTTTGGATTTTTATACCTTGTAAGTAATCTTCGTGACTGATAATCTAAGCAGTTCGACGTAGAAGAAATTTCACCAAAATTTGCCCTCGAAGGCATCCATGCTTCGATATCGTACTTTTGAGCAGCTGGAGCGCCAAGCTCTTGAGTTGGCATATTCAATACCCTAAATTCATGGTTAATAAAATAAAAATTCGAATAAATAGTATCGTAAGCCCTACCTCGCTGAAAGACCTAAACTTTGTGCAAAGTCGGTTTGAAGTTTTACAATGTCTTCAAATACCCTTGAAGATTGACTCGGATGAGTCCAGGCAAATAATTCAACCTTTGTAAATTCGTGAAGTCTGTACAAGCCTTTCGTGTCTCGACCGCGAGCACCAGCTTCCCGTCTATAGGATCGAGAAACTCCGACGACTCGTTTTTCCTTTAGATCATGAAAAGTCTGCTTGTAGCCTAAGGAAGCTAGACTAATTTCAGCAGTTCCGATAAGACACTGTTTAGGAGAGCTACTTTCTTTCTGATCTTCTAACTGATAGATTTGCTCACCCTGTTCATCTCGAGGTTGAAAGCCGCAAGCAAGAGCAACATCAGTGCGGACTACGGTTGGGGGAATCACAAGGGACCAACCCCTTAATTTTGAAAAATCAATAGCATAATTTATAAGAGCCATTTCTAACTCAGCAACTTCCCCTTTGACATAACAAAATGCATGACCGCTTGTCTCAGAAGCACTAAGCAAATCGATATCATTACCAGAAAGTTCTAAATGATCCTTGGTGCAATTGTTCAATTTTTTTTCTTCTCCTATTGTAGCAACGCAAATAGCGTTGTCTTCAGACCCTATAGGTACACTAGGTAAAGTGGAATTTGGCAGGCTTAGGCAGTAATGATACAGCTTCTTCTGAATGTCAGAAGCGATTTTTTCAGTAGAGTCGATTTCAGTTTTAATGTTTTTTGCTTCAGTAACTAAAGAATTCCGATGCTGCATATCTTTCGAAGACTTGATTGATTTAGTAATTCTGTTCTTCTCACGGACTTGTGGAGCCAGCCGATTTCGAACTATATTAAGCTCTTCATATAAGTTTTTGATTTTTGGTAGCGTTTCTGCGACTTTGTGCATATTTCGATCTATACAATTTTGATGGATTTCACCCGCATGCTCGTATACATACTTTATATTTAGCATTGCCTTCCAGGAAGAAGGAGCTTCCTGAAGTTTTGTTGAGTAACTACGGAAGCATAATTTATTCGACAAACATATTGGTTGCCTAAAGATAGATTGTACTGTCTTCATACAAGATACGACTTGTTTAATTGTCCTCGTTACGAAAAGACTTCAAACGTTATTGACCTAAAATGATAAAAAGCTAAATGATCGATTTTTCTTCTTTCTCAGAATAAACAAAGGCTACGAAGAGTTGGCACCAAAACTAGACTTTCCAAGGTCATTTCTTCAAGTTACTCGTAATTATCGATTTTGATATGTTAGTATGATATTATGTATGGAAATCGCTTCATCGAAAGATTCACAAGGATATTCAACATTGTATGACAGTTGGAGTGATATTTGAGCCAAATATTGAATATTTCTTGAATTCTGGCCCATAACTTTGACTAGAAGACGGACGAAGAATAACTATCGAGAGCTATTACGTTACTTTAAACCCCCTTCAAGGTTGAAATCTTTATTCATTGCTGTGTCGTAAAAAATTAGTAGAAGGAATCAGGATAGCTTTTATCAATAGTTTCGTACAATGCAGAAGAATGTAGCAAAGGAACAGGTATATCAACGGAAGTATTGCACACCTCGTCACATAAAAAAGCAAACTAAATTGAATAAATTATTCGCTGATGAAACAGATAACGCATCAAAGTTCCAAAACGTTTGATAATCAAAAATAGAAACAAGATTGAAATAGCCGGTTTCCGGTTGAATTTTTTATCATCACAGAGACTATTGAAGCTCCTCAAATGTACCATCTTTCTGAGAATGGGTCTGTCGACCACTCAATCTTCGGTCAAAAATTCCGATATCGAATAATCACGCAGAGGTTATGTTTCATATTATCAACGTTCCAATCGAATAAAAAGACGAAGGAGACCAAAAATCGATACCTTTAATACGGTTTCGGGGGAGCAGGCTTGGGCTTAGGATTCATAAAGAGAACCCCGAACGCGACAGCTGCAAGGGTGAATCCTTGAGACAAGACTCGGTATTTCATGAACCGGTTTGCCTTGAGTTCATTACCTCTTCTCAGATGATATCCAGAAGCCAAGAACGTTCCCACAGTCATGACGCACCCAAGAGGAATTAAAGGGTTGTGAATAAGAACGTAGGTTAGTTTTTCTGAACGAGACATTGTTATCTCTTGATTTGAAGGTTTTGTTGCCAACTCTATTTGAGCTTGTTCTTGGTTTTGTTCTATAGGATTTGAACTCATTTCTGCCGTGTGCTTTTATGTAAATCTTGAGTGTCGATATCAATGTAGAGTACAATAGTTTTAATCAGTGAATCTCAATCGAAGTTAAAAAGGCACTGAGAATTGAGAAAAAAGAAAGCTAGCGAGCGTAAAAGAATAAACTCAGAGGATAATTTCCAAAAATTTCAAAAGCTCTACCTTGTTAAACAACAGTAGACTTTTTAGAAACTAACGAATTGAAGAATTCGCGAAACGGTTTTTTGCAATCACGCTAGGACGGTTGACTACTAAGCCTAATACTATTAATGTACTGAATGAAGAAATTCGAACCAAATCAATAATTTAGTCGTAGAAAAAGGACTCCAGGTCAAGCGTTCTGGTGTTCTTACATCTTGATAGATTCTTTTATCGTTCCTCTTTAGTATGATATTTGGTGAGCATCGGAAAACTCTTTCGGAAAACTAAAACCAAGGGCTTTCAGAAATTCACCGAACGTCACCGTTCATTGCTATGCAGTAAGAGTAGCTATCCAAGCATCAAAAGCAAAACGTAGAGAATAATATATGTATGTGCAATGGATGAATTGAATGATGATGCTTTGTTTAATGGAAGAACAGGTACTAATTTTGAAAGAAATGAAGAAAAAGTATTGCCCGATTTGCCCCATAGTCGCTTGAAATCCAGTAATTACAATATGGAAAACGAGATCTTCAATACCGTAGGTATTTGGAATAATGATAGTCCCAATGGGATGCAAGGTTCCTTTCAGAAAGACAGCGGTCCAGAGAATAAAGGTTCAGGTTTGGAATTGGACTTAGGAAACATTATGCTTGAAACGCACAACTTGGATCCCACAAAATGGAACACTGAAAGGTATAGTCAGGATGGTGCTGGAGTTAATGATAACAGCTATGATTGGCAGTATTTTGTTTTTGATGAAAGGGAAATAGGTTCCATGCTTCGATTATTTGTGCAAGAGTTCCGGCCAGATCGACCATCGATGCGATTAGCTCCGGCGAAATTATTTTATTTGGCTTCCCGATTTGCTTATACTTACATGCCGAAAAGCAAAAATATTGGACATGATCTTTTGACGGGCTTTCTTGATTCAGTACACCAAGTCATACAGACAAATACTGAAGATATGGTTTTGTGTGTCATGTGGTTAGCGAATGTTTGTCTACTTGAATTCTACCTTCAAAGAGACACAAGGTTGGAAGAATTGACTGGTCAAATACAGCAAGAATGTAACCAATTAATATCTGAAATTTATTGTTTAGTCTGCAAAGATGCCATTCGTCGCATGGAGGAAAACTTAGAAGAAGGCATGCTCAAATATACAGGAATACAGGGCTTAGATTCCATCCTTCATTCAAGAAGTTGGAATTTCTTGAGACGTCGGAATACATATGATCATTTATCTCCTCGCAGTACTCCTTCAGCTTCGCCACGTAGTATTACTAAAATCATTGCATCCACTCTTCATTTATTAGAAGTGTTTTACGTTCATCCCCTTCTACGTATTCAGTGTATTGAGCAGTTATACCGCTGGTTGGGTGTGCGTCTTTTTAACAGAGTCGTTTCCACAAAAAAATATCATTCTCGAGCTGCCGCCATGGAAATTCGCTTCAATGTTTCCAGCTTGGAAGAGTGGTCACAAACAAATTCCGTGAAGCTTAGAAAACCCATCGACTATCCTGGAGAAGACTTTCGAGTCTCTCTCACTCCTCACCTTACATCGTTGACCCAACTATTGCAATGGCTTCAATGTTTATATAGATTAAGCGAAGAGAATGAACCAGAACCCTTGCAAGAGACCCTTGAATCTTTAGATGCCTTGAATCCACGTCAGCTCTATACTGTCGCAAAGTCCTATCAACCAAATAGTTCTGAAACAAAAGTTTCACGAACGTTTTTAAAACGTCTTGAAGTATATCAACGAGAAGAATTACGAAAGACTTTAGAGACTCCTCAAGACGATGGTATTGTAAATGAGTTTGAATTAACAAAAGATGAAACCCAGCTACAGACTCTTAATTTGCCGACGAAAGCTCAGCTAGCAAATGCTTATTCAAGTATTTCTTCTGGAAATGCGTTCAACAACGATCGTAAAATCCTTTTTCAACCACATGTATCGAACGACATTATCGATCGATTAGAAGAAAACGGTATCTCTATGGATCGTGCGGAAATACCAACTAGTGTTTTTGAAGATGAATTAGCGAAACGGGAATGGCGGCCTGACCAGGAAGTAGAAGAATTGATGGGTGCATAGAAGGAGGTTTTATAAATGATTTGACGAATTTGCTTGATGTTTTCTTCCTAAATGTTGCATTGTTTCTTTACGCTCGTTTTGATCTTCTGGTTTCTTGTGTTTTAGTGCGTTTGCTTCTCTTATTTATTTTTAATTCAGTTCTAGACGTTCATGTTTCTGTTTTTGCTTTTTTTTCGCCTAACATGGATTGTCTTTTTATACATCTTTTAATTTAATCGCATTAATAAAATTTTTTATATAGATTTAGAAAATTGCCATATACTTTTTTCTTCCATGTATTCAAAATTAAACGTTAGGTATTCTTTCTACTGGAAGTACACGCAAAACTTAAAGGAATCATTACTCTTCCCTTCCAAAAATCAAAAAATGCTTGAAAAGAGGCAAAAGGTCTTGAAATATCAAACTGATATCGAAAATTATGAATCTGGTAAGCCAGATTTTCCAATTGGCCTAACAGATTGGCTTGTTGACGAATTTGGAGTTAATGAGGAATCTACTATTCTGGACTTGGGAGCAGGTACAGGAAAGCTATATCCTCGAATAAATGCTGCTCATCCTCAAAAGGTTATGGCGGTGGATTCTTCGGAAGCTATGTTAAAGGTGTTGCAAAAAAAATATCCAGCGGTAGAATCACACTTGGGTTCAGCGACCCAGATTCCATTACCTGACGAAAGCGTAGATCTCATTTTATGTGGTAACTCTTTCCATTGGTTTGCCAATGCAAAAGCTTTGAAGGAAATGCACCGTGTTCTCAAACCAAAAGGAGCCCTTGGTCTTGTTTGGAATGTCCGAGACAAATCGGTATCCTGGGTCAACAAAATTAATGAATTACTGGATAAATATCGTTCTGGATCTCCCTACTTCGGAACCTGGGAATGGGCTCAGTTGTTCCCCGGACATGGATTCCAAAAATTTCGCACTTGTGTATTCCCTTTCTCTTACTGTACTACACCAGAGAATTCCATTCATCGAATGGTTTTCTCTTTGTCTTACATGCATGCTCTTCCTGAACAAGAAAAAGCCGTCGTAAGAGCTGAGTTGGACAAGATTGCAGAAACAGTGCCCAGAGTACAAAACACTGACCAGATAAAATTTCCTTACCACACGATGGCCTTTAGTATAGAGAAGGAAGCCTTGGAAAAAAAATAGAGCAAACTCTTTAATTTTCCGATGATTAATGGTGAACTCGAATGACTACTAACTACGTTATTGAGTATATTCTGAAAGGAAAGCATACAAAAAGATTGAGGCCGTTATTGTTTGATTCAAGTAAATTTCATGCTTTCCCGCATCTTATTATACAAAACGCTTGCCTGTTGTATCTAGGAACATGTATCAATTCATCTTTTAGACTATACCAAACACGCTCTTCTTGGTTTTTTTGTAAACTGAGAATAACGGACATACTTTTCTTTATATCTCCGCTTAAACTGCTTGTTCATTTAATTGATTTATTTTAACTAAAACTATAAATCGAAAGGGCAATGCATTACCATATGAAACATAAGAGATGTATAACCTTGTTGAACCGTTATTTCATTGTTTATTTTGGGTCAAATATTGTTTCATGATGTCGTTTCCAATTCTTTATCTCCTTTTATCTTAGATTAATCAAACTTCCTCGAGACGTCTCTTGCTGACAACCACTCTTTGATTTGGCTTTCTGTTTTCAACGAATTCTCCTTTCTTTTCAAAATTCACAAATTCCCAAAATTATTCACATACAATTGAATTGGATATGTTTGAAGATTAGACCTGAAATTATATTTCCCACCATCATTGACTTTAGTATCACCAGCTAAATTTCTAGAGAGGTCGATATATCGGAACATTAAATATTCTTCAATCCGAACTGATTATTATTTTTCGACTTGTTTGAATTGATTTGAATCGATTAGAAGTTAGAAGAATTGACGGTTGCGCTTAAAAACTGAAAAAAGAAAAAAAAAAATCTAGAGTACTTTTTTTTTTCACTTGTCTGTCTAACAATTTGCTTTTACAGGAGCGATTCTTTCCATGAGTACAACTCCAGCCGAGGGAAGCTTAGAAAGACCATATCGATCCAGAAAGACCAGACCTTGTGACAATTGTCGACTTCGAAAATCAAGATGTGTACTTGAAGTTGTAGGAAATCCTTGTGCGTTATGTCTAACACTCAAAGTTGCCTGTACATATCACTTACCGCCCATTAAACGCAACAAATCTAAGAAAAGACCTGACTCCATTTCTGATGAATCGGTTTTTGAAGCTCCTTCTTATGAGGATACCTACTTGAATAATAATTCATTAGCTGTTCACGGCATCCAGCGTTCATCCGAAATTCCTGAAAGCCTAGGCGCGTCATCATCTGCTAGAATACCTAACAGAAGTCAAGACAAACAAGGATCTCAAAGGGCTCCCGTAAACTTTGCGGGGATTACAGAAATGTATCGTACTTCTGACGATAAGTTTGACAAGCTAGGTCTGGATATTTCTCTTAACTATCCGTATGTACTAGGCCCTACTTGTGATTCTGATATTGACCTTATTCGTGAATATTTTTCATTCGAGAATGGTGTATGCTCTTTTGATAACATGACTTTGAAGTATGTATCTTCCAATGCGAGATCTCCCGTTATGTATATTCTCGATCCTGCATATGAAAATGACCGCCATAGCGATTTTGCTCGCTATGAGCGTGCATTACACGACCTTTTAACTACTTATGTCGATGAAATGACAGGACGCGTACTAGTTGATTTGTATTTTACTCACATTCACCCCGCATATCCCATTCTCCATGGACCACGGTTCCTCCTTTCTTACAAAAACGGAGCGAGGAACGTTCCCTCTATTCTTTTGGCAGCTTTGTATTCTTTATCGTTAATATATTGGAAGAAAGATCCAAGGCTTTCCAACATTCCTCCTTTAGATCAACGCAAGATGTGGAATTTGGTTGAAGACGGCTTGAATTTTCATTTTACCCAACCACGATTGAGTACTATTCAAGCTGCTTTATTGTATTTAATTGGACGTCCCCTTTCTAATATGTACAGCCTTACAAGTATCCTGTCGAGAACGACGGTTTTGTCCCAATTGCTAGGATTTAACCATGATTGTACAAACTGGGAAATTCCAAACGAGGAAAAGACCATTCGAAAAAGAATATGGTGGGCTATTTTTATTGCGGATAAGTGGTATTCTATGTATTTTGGTTTAGCAACGAATATCCATGAAGATGACTATGTCGTTCCTAAAATTGATTCTAATGAAACATTACCCCTTGAAATTACCTCTTCTATGTCTTTTAAAACTTTTTTAAAAATGATTGAGCTCAGTATGATTTTACAGGACATTCTGCAAGACTTGTTTACGATTCGAGCTTTAAGCAAGCATTATAAGAATAATCGATCTATTTCCTATCAAATCACTGGATTTTTCAGTCGTTTGAATTCCGCACGTCCTTCAAAGTCTGAGGAACCCGGGTTGGGAGCTGCATCACTAATGATTCAATTCGACGCTGTAGAGATTTTGTTATGGAAAACGGCGCTTCGATTTCATTTGCCGGAATTTCAATCGGAGGACCTATTTGCATGTGTTGAAAAAGCGATTTCAAATTTTATGGGTATCTCGCCGGACTCAATTGTCGACTTTTTTTGGCCGTATGCTGGGTTCCATTTATCAACGCTTGTATCGCTTTTAATTCGCCTTCATCTGGATTTCCATGAAAGCCATACATATGGAGCAAGAGCTTTATCATTACTTGATGCGTTTTTAAGACACTGTATAACACTTCATGCGACTGGTTTTGACATTGTTGAAATGGCAATAGGTCGGTCGTCTTCTTTACTAAAAGAATTAGGCAAACGATATCCTCATCTGTCGGCTCTCTGGGACAATGTATTTCATTTGGATGGCGCGCTGGGGCCTGATATTTTTCAACTAACACAAGAGCAAATATTCGATCCGTGGAATCCTGAAGCATGGTCATCTTTTCGGCCATGATTGGTTCCCAAACTATTTATTTTTATTTTCAAAAATCTCCCATCTTTTCGTGAACGTAATCCATAAAATTGTATAGACAGGGAAACCCCTCTGATCTATATGTAAACATGGTTGGTACAGTAACTTTCTTTGAAGCTTCTAATGATGATACAACAATTGATTATGAAGAAGGAATAATAATAATAATAATATTTAATCATTATGATTTTACTTTTTGAACCAAGAGGAATTGTATTGCATGGAAGTAACTAAGTAGCACGTACAAAGAAAAAACAAACGTGGATCAAGTTCAAGTTGATTCTCGCATCCTGTTTTCTTTACAAAATCATGAATATGTATCTACTTTTACTTTACTTTACTTTACTTATGATAAAAAAAAACAAAAAACAAAAAAGATGGATGCAGAAAAATAATACATTGAAGCGATGCTTCGCATTGCGTATCTATGAGCGTGAAAAGGGTCGCGCGTAAGGAACGAAACAACATACTAGTAAAGATATAACATCAAATCTTTTGAAAATTGAGCGGTTTGAACCTTCGCTTCCAATAGGAAAAAGTCGACAAAGATACAAAGAAAGAAAAAAAATTGCATAAACAAAAAAAAGGAAACGAACGCAACATAAAAACACCACTTCGAAATAACGTTCAGTTATGGAAAGTGGATGACAACGTTAGTTTTAGTAAATTACATAATTTAAAACTTGTATTCGGGAGGGGTGTAGTCTTCAGGAATGTTAAAGACACGTTCCAAGACTTCACCAACGGCACCTTGGTCGTTACCGACACGAGAGACGGCACGGGCATTATCGATGGCGATTTGCATACCGTTCTTGACAGCAACAGACCAGCCAGCAACACCAAACATGGTCAAGTCATTTTGGCCATCACCAAAGGCAATAACGTTCTCGTTCTTGATGTGAGGAAGAATCTTGGTGGTGATGGTTTGAAGAGCAGTACCCTTGTTGCAGCTAGAGGGAATCAATTCAATACAGTAAGCCAAGGCTTGAGTAGTAGTGAACTTGTCCTTGGGGAAGGGCTTCAAGATATCACGGACAACGTCAAGCTTGTCGGGGTCTTCACAGACGGCCATCTTGATGACCTTGATTTCACCAGACAAAACCTTAGCCTTGGCGTCTTCACAAGACAAGGTCCAGTCAACCTTTTCACCGATTTCTTCCAAACGCTTAACGTTCTTCATGTCCTCACGACCAGGAGTCAAAATGTAAACCTTTTGGTCGTCGTAGACAACGTTAGCGATGTTAGAGTTGTGCTTGGTAGCGTCAACGACTTCCATGACAACTTCGGGCTTCAAGTATTCGGCGGAAACGACCTTACCTTCGTTGTAAAGGATACAGCCGTTAACGTGGGCAGCAGGGAAGGCATCCAAACCCAAGGGAATACGGATCAAGTCAACAGCAGAGCGTTGCTTACCAGTAGCCAAGACAATAGGGAAGTCAGGGCGGGTTTGACGAATGTAGCTCATAGCACGGTAAGTACGTTCGTGGAAACGGTGGTGAGCATCCAAAAGAGTACCATCAACGTCAGAGATCACCATTTGAACGGTGTCAGCAGAAGGAATGTTGTTAGACTTGTCAGATGCACTCATTTTTCTCGATCTTTTTGTTATGTCAGTTTTAGGCGTATGTTCAGAGAAGACTCTGTTCACGGGCCTTCCTTCCTATTTATATGTCTCACAGCCCTGATAACCTGAAAAACCTACTCTTTGGATTTTCCGGTAATTGCGTCATTCCTCTTCCGACTACTGGGTAGAAGCGACGAATCGTGTCCTGAAAATTTTCCGTTAAGGTTTCTTTGGGTGTGACGTCATTATGTAAACAATGATCACTTTCATCCATGAACCATCAAGTATTACTAGACAGTAAGCAGTACATTTTTCCTCTATTCTTCCTTCTTTCCAGACGTTCTTTATATTATTTATTAATTTTTTTGCTTTTTTCTTCATTTAATCATTCATAAACCTTCCCTTTTCTACGTCAACACTTGCTACGCTTTTTTTGGCGCTTTGCTTTGCTTTCGTCAATCGTTTCACCATCGAGGCTTGACCAAACGCTCGTCCTAACAAATAGCTTAGCTAGTTCATTATTACATCCATCTATCTAGTCTTCAGGACATTATGCTACATGGCTGCGTTTGTCAATAAACACACGTACATACGTACATACGTACGTCCCTACATGTCGTGTCGTGATGTCGCTGGGTTCTATAGAATTTGAATACAAAATTCAAACTAAGTAAAACAAACATTCTGTATATGCGTGTGTCTCTACAAAACAATCCATGATTATTATGCAAATGTCTTATTGATTTAGTTCGTCAAAGATCTGAGCAACATTTACTTGTTAATAATAAACTAATTCATTTCATGACTAGCAAAACTAATATCAAATAGGTATTTAGGGATAGGAATAACAAAATAAGGAAAAACATAAACAAAAAAGAAAAGAAAAGAAAAGAACGTTCTATATACAAAGGGGAAACATCAAAGTTGAAAGCAACAATTAGCACTCGTCCCTTTTCTTTCTTTTACAAGGGACGAAAAAAGAAAGAAAAGAAAGATATATAAAAAAAAAAGAAATTAATAATAATATCATCATATCGCATCGTGTACGCAGCAGCACAAAGTGAATAAAACGTTGGAAGCCCTACCAATTTATACCAGTCAGTGGTAAATTCATAAAGCTCAAAGATGTGTGTATGTGTATGTATGCCTTCTTCTGTCCGTAGGAAGAAATGGGAAAAGGAGGATGCCGGGATTCTTAGAAAGGACAAAGATAATTATAATAATAATAATAATAATAATTAATTAAAAAACAAGAAACAGTAAGAATCCATAGTAACATTAGTTGGATAGACGAATTAAAACGGCAAAAGAGTATCGGACATTGGGAGCACACATTCTAACGGACAGAACGTATTTAAGGGGGGAAGAAAAGTGCAAAACACAACAACGATGGGTCCTTTTTGCATGAGTAGCATTAACAAACTAAAGATGTGGTGGTTGTGTGAGACGTATAGCTGTTTTGGAAATGATCCCGCAACAAGTCTTCTACAGCGATTGGTTCCGTGGTCGAAGGACCCAAGCCAGGCAAGGGAGCCACTACATAATCAATATTACCGTGCAAAAAGAAAGGAATTGTGTAGCGATCATGACCACTTGTATTGCAAACACGGTGCACCGAAGACTTGTAACGGTTGTTGGTCAAAATTGCCATAATGTCACCCAAATTGGCAACCAAGGCATCGGGACGTGCGCTGATGGCAACAAAGGACTGGGTCACTGGATCAAGAATTTGCAAACCACGCACTTCATCTTGAGCCATCAGCGTCAAAGCATCCGCATCCGTGTGATCGTTCACACCGGTACGGTTGAAGGAAGAGGGATAACGCAAAAGACGAATGGCTGTCGTGGGATCCGAGCAAAACTCGTCAAATGCATCGGCAGATAATCCAAGAGATTCGGCCAACAAACACATGACTTGGTTGGCAAAGACTGCCATGTCGTTATGGTACTGGACAAGAGCAGTGCGGAAACCGGCTCCCGTGTTCAAAGGCCATTTATTCGGTCCCTGGAAAGGACGGAGAAGTCGTTCTTTCGACAAATTGTCATTCCCAAAATAAAAACTTTCGCGAAATTCATTCGACATACAGGCGGAATCATGAATAGCGGCGTTGTTGTTTTCGGTCGGCGTAGCGTCATCGACAAGCCCTGTGTTCCAGGGAATCGGAGACGAATTGGGAGGTTCAGCATATGTGGAAAGGGATTGCGCAGAAGGAATCGGACAACCAAGGGACGAAGGTGTAAATGAAGAGCTTCTAGGAAAAGATAAATCGTCGTCAATAGGTACTCCATCCAAAGAGGAGTCCTCTTCGCCCTCCAAAACGAAATCTTGAAGCAATTCGTAACCACGGTTGCTAAACATGTCTTTGCTCAGCATGAGCTTTTCATCAAAGGGAAGTTCAAAGAAATGCTTGGAGGCACGAAAGGCATTTTTAATCACGTCTTTGCTCACACTGTGGTTGACGATTTGGAAAAAGCCTGTAGATTCACACGCATTACGAAGTTCCTTGACAATTTTTTCATGCGCACCGGGTTCATTGGCAATGAAAGGACCAAAGTCAATCACAGGGCAAAGACGTTCCTCCTCTTGAGGAGTGGCTGTCCTGATGGAATCAGCCGTACTTTGGATCAATTGAGACAACATCAGTAAAATTCAATCACACGGGACGGACGCGGCGGACGAAGGGATCAAAATTCAAATAAGGAACTTTTGGTTTGGAATCTGTTCAATTCGAATTGAAAAGAATTTTTTTAGTTTTTGTTTCGTTGTTGGTTGAGGAATATGAATCTAGAGGGAGAAAGAAGAAGGAGATAAAAAAAAACTGATGGCAAAAATCAAAAGAATTTTTAAACTGCTGAATCAAGATCAACCGCAATTTTTAAACAAATAAAGGCAACGAGACTATGAATTACCACAAATCCCGATCGCAAAAATGAAAAAACAGAAGAGAAAATAACAAAAACAAAAACAAAAAAAGATAGCCAAATGGATAACTATCTAAATCAATATTTCTTCTTCTTCTTCTTCTTTTTTGTCTTTTTTTATAAAAAAGAATAAAACTAAAAAGTTTTAAAAAAGAAACCTGTCAACTCGAGAAAAATGACAAAAAAATTACTCAATTACGAGCAAATCCTGTTTTCTCTAAAGGAACAAAAACGAAAAGGAATTCAAAGAAAATAAAAGAAAAACAGCAAAAAACTCTTTTTCGATAAAAGAAGAGAAAACCTCTACTAAAACCAGTAAGTGCTTTTTTTTTTCTTTCTTTCTATATATATGAGGCGTCAAAAAAGTTGCTTCCTGAAAAAAAGTATTACAAATACTCGTCTTGGAAACGTCGTCAGGAAACGGTTAGAATAAATCAATGAAATTAATTAATTTAAAAAAAAAAGCAACAAACTGAAAATACAAATTCGCTAAAGTTTTGTTTAATTTTTTTATATATAAAAAAAAAAGAAAAAGAAGAGGAAAAGCACTCTGCGTCAAAATATGTGTTGAAGAATCAAAAGGATTATTTTCTAAAAGAACGGGAATCACTCTTTTTATATCACATTCCCAATCCCTTATCTTTGGTTCTTGAACAGATGCTTATCTATCAAAGCAAGGGGCGACCAGCCAATGAAATTCCATCTGATACAGCAGAGACTTTGGCTGATAAATACATAATAACAGTCCGAGAAGCTAATTCTGTAGCTAAACATAAATAAAAGTAACCGATAGAAATGAAAGTAAACAAACCAAAAAAAATGAATAAAAAAAACAAACAACTAATCAAATCAATCAAATAATAAATAAAAAAAAGAAAATTAAAAAAAAAACAATAACGGAGACAAACAAACAACAACAACAACAACAACAGTTTTGTTATTTATGGAAAGAATGTTTCTTGTTTTTCAACTGCTCTCATTCCAAGATGCATAAATATAGTAGATGTGTCTCCTGTTGGGAGGGTTGTTGGTTTGTCTCCGTTATTGTTTTTTCTTTTCTGTCTCATTTTGTTTTGAATTTCAATATTTACTCGTCAGTTGGTTAGAGATTGTCACCTGTTAGGGGACATGAAAATTTTCCATCTTATGATGGTTGTACTCTGGTGATCGGCCGTAGAAAACAACATGGTACGACGCGACGCGCTGGTTTGTTGGTAAACAAAAGGAAATAATGTAAAAAAAATAAAAAATAAACAAAAGTCCAGAAAACAAAAGGTAAATAGATTCCATAGAAAAAGAACGAAACAGGTGGATTTTCTTTATAACTCATTGAATTATTGAATTATTATTTTATAAATGAAATTATTCTCTTGAAAATGGTTGACTCTAGAGACAAAATCATATTTTCAAATATACAAAGTCATAAGTTGTATATTTTATGGAGTATACAGTCTTCTGAAAAGACATAAAAAAACACAGTGTCCTTGTCTTTGTGTCAAGATTTGGTTTCCGGATTCATAAGAATACAGATTCGAAATATTCTCTTATGACCGGCTAAACGCATTGACAGTACTTTTCTTTTACTGGATACGATTATACCTATATGTCTTGAAGAAGAGGTTTGGCGTTAGAAAGGACAAAGGATTTGAATTGTTGACACTCTTCTTAACTCTTTTTTTTTTTTCTTTTTTTTTTTTTTTAAAAGCCATTTTGTACATACCTCGTTTCACATTCGTTTGAACAGCGGTTTTCCTAAAAGTGTCATTGTCCTACGAATCTCGTCCAGCATTTTTTTCACATTCTCTGCATTTTCTTTTTTGTTTCCACATTTACTAATTTCTTACGCCCTTGCATAGCATGTCCTTTACAGACCATGATGACCAAGATACATTGACAGAGGAAATTTCATCGTTAGAGTCGAAACGTGAAACTCTGATTGCAAAACTCAAACAATTAGAAGAAAAACAATTTTCTAAAAAAAAAAAATTTCCTGATCCAATCAAGCTCTTCACCCAGCAACCCTTTCAAGCTCCTTCTCTCGATTTTGAACGTCTCTCGGGCATTTCCTTTTTCATTCCTCATGACCCAGAAGAGCAATCTAGAAAGCAATTGCTCGTCAAAAATCCTAAAACCTTTCACATCCAGTCGGCCCCACTGATTCCTCTATTGGGTGTCCGGTTTGATTTTATGATGCATCCCATGCAAACCATGTTTCCTTCTCCAACCTCAGATACTTCCTTTTATCAATACAACCCCATAGATGGAAACGCCTTTGACGCTCCTCATTACATAGTTTTCCGCGTTTTCGAAGATGCCCTTTCTCTTTACAAATATACCATCCCAAACTTTTTTCGCCTTGACGCCTGGGCCGACGACTATCTGACTTCTAAACATCCCGATCGTCTTCGTCTCTTTTTATGGAGAGTCCACAAGTTATTGATTGCCCATTCCTGCCGAAAAAACATACTTTCCCAACTCAACAATACCTTTCAACAGCATCCTTTTATACAAATTTCCGCCGATTTAACCTACACGCACATTGAAATCGACATACACGACCAATGGAAAGCTAGATTCTTTTGCTCTATGGACTCTACCCGCATCCAACGTTGCCAAATCTTCGAATGTCGTCCTACATGGCACAGAGATTACACTATGGAAGTAACTCTTCTTTCCGAAGATGTATGGCTAGATACTTTACATAAAAAAATAAAAACTTTTCTTTAATCAAAAGCATTCTACTATTTTCTATTTCTTTTTCCATTCTTGTTTCCTAGACCATACAGTGTTTTCCAGCAATAGCAAACGTGTCATCCCAGTTGTATCCATACAGAATCCAAAATCCAAAATCTAAATTCTAAACCATGCTTTTATTAAATTTCCAAACCTCTACATCGTTTTCTTCTCTGGACACTCACTTTAGATTTCGCCTTGGTTTTAATCGTTTCGCTAGCTGCGTTTCCAACTGTTGCTTAATCCTATCCATTCGCCTTTGATTTTCAGCAAAATAGTCTAGCGTCCTTTTTACAAGCCATGTCATATACTCCTTGGTCACATATAACTGGATCCTTTCCGAAGCGTCTACTACTCCGATAGGAACATCAATCTTTAGACTTGTTCTAATAGCTACAATATATTTATTCGTGCTTCCCTGAATTCCCGTTTCCCGAAACCCGCAACTCATCGCTACTCGTTGCAAGTGTTGAGCTGTCTCCAAGGATCGTGTTTGGACATGCAAAATCATCGGCTCAAACGCAAATTGGATTTCCCTTGATCCTTCAGACACCGTTCCCGGCACTTTCCCATAATCCACACTTTCTGTTTCAAGAGGTGGAGGCAATTCTGTGCATGGTTCGTGAGATACGAAAAGCCAGTAACCACCTCCCTTTCTAGACGTTAATCCTTGTACATATATAGAAATCCTTCCCGAACATGAACTTGTCGTAACCCAGTCTGGGTGCGAGTTTATAACATCCAATAATGGGAAAATTGGGCTATCCGGATTTCCTTTAGGAGAAGCATCTGGCAAAGAAGAAGCCAATTCTTTCAGAATTTGTTCTTTTTGATTATCAAACGTTTCTAACTGATTCTTTTGATCCATTCTTTTTTATGGTATAGCAAAACCAATCCGAAATTGGTTTTGCTTGTGGTGGAAATTTTGACCAGGGCTTTCTTAAAGTGTACCATACATATTGTTCAAAGATCGAATATTTATTCTTAAACTAAGGTCTGCCCTTTTTATTTGAGTCTTAATTCATAAATCAAAATTAACTTGGGTGTTTTTTCTGTCTTATTCTTACCAAAACCCATATATGAATTAGGATATTGATGTTTTGAACTTCGACTTTGTTTTCATTCCTAGTCCTTTCCAAATATAGATTTCCCCTTATTTTTGATGTTTATTTTTCTTTACAAAAATGAAACGAGCTAGTCAAAAAACGCAATCAAAAGATACCAACGTGAAACGATCAAAATTCGCTGATGCCAGACATATTCAGATAGAATCTCCTGCGTTAAAAAATGGTGCTGTGGACGTAAAACGGTTCGTAGAATCTAGGTCCTTTGAGATATCTGCATTACAAGATGCTATGCATCGGTCGAAACACTCAAGCGCGCAACGAGCCTTTCAAGCCCTTCCACGATGTCTCAGAAGACGTGCGGCTTCTCACAACATTAAGAGGATTCCAAAGGCTTTAAGGGACCGTGCTTATTATGAAATGCAATTAAGTTCTTCTGCAACAACTCCGGTTACGCCTTCAAAGCAACGCCTAAAAAGATTTATAAAACGACTTCATAGGAAGTTGGCTCGCCATGCTAATAGTCCCAAGGTCACAAATTCTGGACAGTTACGAACAGAGCACTCAACTGAGGATACTAGGATCCCAACACTGCCTGCTGTAAAGTTAGTGAATGGAAAATTTGCTGGACGACAATTAAGAAAAATTTGGTTACCTACTCATCTCTGGACTGCCAAGCGTGCTCACATGATAAACGCATGGGGTTATGCAATCCCAGAGAGTCCAACTGAAAAGTCTTATCGACCAACTCATAGGGCTGCTTTCTGTTTGAACGCCATTGCATTTGATATGTCATATCAACCTTTATTTGCTATCACAGGACCTTTAAGTGTTCTACGAGAAACATTTGGAGAATGTTTTACTACAGGACTCCCTAGTGCATACACAAAAACTTATCGTTCATTCAATAGTTATGTCAAAAACTCGCAGACGAACGAGCTTTTATGTCCTTGTTTATTACAGTGGCATGATCCTAGCGAAGATTGCAAAAGTAAAGTTCCAACCCGCAATAATGGAAGCGCAGTTCAACTAGTTATCCGAGTTCATGCTTCTGCGTTTTTAGATGTATGGAACCATTTATCTAGTATTGCTGTTTTAGATGATCAAATTGCTATGCATGATTGGAGATTACAGTTGGCTTCTTTCGACATATTGGGTCCTGATGCCAATGTTATTCTTCATGACATTTTCTCGGACGTTCAGTCTTCAGAAAAAACAACATGGGATTCAATTTCCAAATTACCTACTACGTCTCTTCCATTTGGTGCATCTATTGGATTTGATGCCCCCTTGGTAATCCACGAAACTAATTTGGGACAACAAGGAAACGAAAAAGAAAAGGATAATAAAGAGAATAAAAGCCATGAAATTCAAAACAAAGACTTCGGTTCATTATGGGATAAACATGAAATACCTTCTTTTAATGTTTTTAATCATGTACAAAAGAAAAAAGAAGCAGTACTTAATGTTAAAAAGGAATTGGTGCCTGTTTATTTCACCCATCAATCAATATGGAATGGGGTTACTGTTATCGTACCCTGGGAAGCAGCAAAATTCTTTTGGCAGAAATTGATGTTTCGGAAAGGTGTAAGATTTGGAGGACTAAAAAATTTGCATCAAATTGCTTTCGAAAAAAGAATGCCTTTTTTTCCTGTTGATTATCCCGATACCAAAAGCGGTCAGGCATATGAAGTACGACGAAAGCAATGTAACGAGGAATATTGGAGAAGACGACCGCCGGCAAAGAGGGTAAACTTTGAAAATTTTGGGAAAAACTTTTCTGAAATTGGTGATCCATTTAGTTGTGATTGGAAATGCTTCCACGATGGTTCAGACTCTAATATCGTAGATCGCACTGCCCAATCCTTCAACAGAGTTGAAGTTCGAATGGTGCAAAGAGGTGCTTTACATGATCGGGCTCGGATTTACTGTATAGATAAAGACCAGATTGATATGTGGAAGAAGTTAATTTACGACAAGAAGATTACAGCAGAGGCTGCTGAGTATCCTGCTTGTCCGGAGGTCGATGCATTATGTGGTTTTGTAACAACTGCAAATTTTAATCTTACTGTTGGCAGGCCTTCAGGTATTGCTACTATGAAATCCGGGGTGTTGAACGGGGAATCCCAAGGTTATTGCCTTGTCCGTAATGTAGGCTGCTCTATTCCTCGACTGGCTCAGTGGAAAATATTGGTCTAAAAAATATAAAATTGGCAAAAGCTGCATTATTTGAAATCTTTCTACTTCCTTCAATCTTCTCTATAGACTACTTCCTGTCGTTCAGTTTCCATTTCGAGAGAGCGTAACGCTAAGATGGGTATACAGGTTGAAGCAAGACGAATTTTTGGTTCAATTCGTTTTTGGTATAGGTAAATTAATTACAAGAAATAGCAAATGGTTTTCTTACTTAGTTCCTTTATTAAGAATACTAACACAATCTGTCACTCAGGCATATATGGAGCAGATATTTATTAACAGATCTAAATTTAAGAAAGCTCCATCTCTAAAGAATAACCAGTTATTTCATTCGTAATAATACTAATTTTCATTTCTTGCTTCTTTTACTTTTTCAACATCATATTACAGCTTTAAAATAATATACTACTGTGCAATATGCAAACTTTTCTTAGTGGAAACGAAAATGCTTCCTTATTTATGGGTTCTCTATAGACTAGGAAAACAACGTTTGTCGTTTACCAGAATCCGAAAGGCTTATTAAACATCTCCCTTCGCCTTGGATTAAGACTTCTTTGAGAGAATGGAAGGGATCATCTTAGCATCAGCAGCGATCGCGACTGTTTACGTTGGCTCAGAATGGTCAACACGCGAAACAAATCCGGACGAAAAGCACACAATTAATAAGAAACTTGCAGCATTGTTTCCTGTGTTTGGCGGACTTACTCTTGTCGGTATGTATCTGATTCTCCGTTATTATGGAAAAGAATACATCCAATATATATTGCAAGGTTATGGCAGTTTTGCAGCAGCCATGTGCTTTTTACGGACTCTAAATTGCAAGTCTACACTTGGAAAATCGATCAGTGGACTGCTGACAATTGCTATTACTATCCATTATCTAAAAACAAAACACTGGTTCACTTCTAACTTGCTTGCATGGACTCTGGCAGCCAATTCGATTAGTATGATGCGAATTGACTCTTTCGCTACTGGGGCCGTTCTTCTAGCTTGCCTTTTTATTTACGACATTTACTTTGTTTTTGGTACCGATGTCATGGTCACTGTAGCAACTGGAATAGACATTCCAGCCAAGTATGTAATTCCCAACTTCACAAAGCCTGGCCGGTTCTCTATGCTTGGCTTGGGCGATATCGTTATGCCCGGCCTTATGGTCAGTTTGATGCGGCGCTTCGATGTTCACAATGCCCAAAAATCCAAGGATAAACGTACATCTACGCCTTACTTTAAATGGACCCTTATTGCTTATACCTTGGGACTTGCTATTACCAACGGGGCCTTATACTACTTCCGTGCTGCTCAACCAGCACTTCTTTACCTTAGTCCTGCCTCTATCCTAGCACCTCTGTTAGTTGCTTGCTATCGCCAAGAATTAACTTCTTTATTTGCTTTTCGCAGTGAAGAACAAACAGAATCCAACAAAACAAAGGATGAGTCTACCCTAAAAAACAAGGAAAATTAATTCTCACATTAGTTCGCCGTTTTTGGGTCCATGTTTCTTCTTACAATTGATATTTATGATCTCTTCCTATTTTTTTATAAAAAGAAAAATACTTCTTTCTTTCGTGAACCTCCTCCTATCCACTTCCTTGTACTATCTTTTTCGCCCTTTAGCACAGTCCAAAATAGGACTCGCAAATCCTTTTGTGACATAACGCTAAGTCGAATCCAGCACTTTCATTAACAATATTTGTCTTTTACCATAAGACCACTGCTTTTTAAAAGTATTTTTCGATTATATTCTGCATTTATATTCCATATTTTGAAGGTGCTCCGCGACATTCCCAACAGTCCTAAAAGTGCTTGCTTACATTGACTTATAATTAAAGCTGTTGGATTCTTCCAACTTACTGTTTAGTTCTCTACTTCTTTTAATAATAGTAGAAAAAAAAAAATTTGATATCTTCGATATGTTTGGTTTAACGACGAAAAGAATATTGACTCTCTTCGCTCGAAAGCGTAATACATCTGTTGAAGAGAAACTTACGGAATTCATGATACTTGGTGAAAGGACTAATAGTAAACAATTCCGATACCAATTGCAAGTTGAACTGGATCCTCCTACCCAAGATCAAATGAGTATCATGCTAAACAGTATGCAGAAGGAACAAAGCCATTTATTAATTTCCGGAGCTACCTCTGTTCAGGATGCATTAAATAAATACAAAAATGATTTCCGAACTTTTAGACGTCCTTGTCTTGTCGACTGGGATAATGGGAAAATAAGTCCTTATTCCGTACTTCTACAGACTCGGGATCTTAAAGAGTTATTGTGATAAGTGTACTATTTCTTTCCTCCTTAGACCCGATTTGCAAATGAAATGGCCATTCTAATGATTGTCTTTGGTTTTTGTACATGTAGGATCACGCTGCAATGGCACACACCATTTTAGCATATGGCAAAATAAAGTATCGTTAGTATTCTATTTATTAAAAATTAAAAAAAAAGTAAAAACAAGAGAAAACAAATACATTGCTGTTCATGCAAATCAAATAATTCAACAGCGAGAACTAGTGCATTAATAAATACTTTGTGAATTATATGAATATGGGTCCTTTAGAATAGTCCCAATTAATATTAAGTGAGATACGACGCATGATTCCTCTTTTCTCTTTTCTCTCTTCGAGTATAAATATTAGAGGTATCATACGCAAGTCACTTTTCCTTCATTCACCTTGTTAAAGATAGTAGATTACATAGACAAGTCAAAGACTTTATTACCAGTACGGACAGGTAAAAAGACATTTGATACGTTCGATTCACCACTTATTAATGGCGAATATTCTTTCAAAACCATTCCATAGTATCATAAGACAATAAAATAAAAATAAAAACCAAAATAAAATAAAATAAAAAAGAAACATAAATAGGAACTGATAACCTATTGTACAGTAAAATCATGGACGTCAAATCAGGGTAGCCTTACGCACCATGAATACGTTGATGTCGACGCATATTACTGCGGACATTGAAAGCTTTTCCACAACCTACATAATCACAGACAAATGGACGCTCACCAGTATGGGAATAAGTATGAATCTTCAAACTGGACGGTCTTGAAAACCCTTGAAGACACTCCGTGCAACGATATCGAACAGTGGAACTTGAAATTGCAGCGCTTTGTTGATTTGATTTACGAGTATTCGAATGCCTCCTTGCAATATGGACTCTCTTTTCAATGGCCGACGGATCCTTGTTAGATTGACTTTTCCCATCAGAAGCTCCACTGATATTAGAACCGTTTTGTGCAAGGGTAGCCGCAGCAGAAAGTTCAGAGAGAATAGCATCATGAAATCCATTTGAGTTTGAATATCCCGAATGCGAGGCTGTAGATGTGTTTTCGGGGACAAGCCCATTTCGAGATAAGGAATGAACCTCAGGTGTTAATCCGAAATGACTCATGTCCACAGTTCGATTAGAGGTATTCTCAGAAGATTGATGATCTGCTTCGTTTGTCCTGGAACCATTCGTCGATTCTTGTGTTTCTGTCTCGTTACGCGAAACGAACGATTCATGCTCTGAAGGAGCGGGGCAACGAACAAAACCATCATTATTTGGATGAGGGTTTAGACGATTTTGCTGATTTTGTGCACAACCAGGACATACAAACGGGAGATAAGGAGGTTGAAAAGGAAACGTTAGAAAGCTATTATTCGTATGGTGTGATGGAACTGCTGAGCAAGGGTTCGTAGTTGGAGGAACTGCAGATTGGGTTACTGGGTCGACGTGTGGTGGGTGTTGTGAGGGTTGAGGATGCTGATCAGTCGAACTGGTAGGACGGTGTTGATGAGCAGCAGCAACGGCAGCCGCTTCATTTGCTTTTGCAAGAAAATACGCATAGGAAAAAGGGTTGTAAGGAGAAAGAAAACCTGGAGGAAGCGGTATATCTGGTGAGGTGGAGTTGGGAGGATGACAATGAGGAGATGAAGCGGCAGCGGCTGCCATGATCGCAGGATCCGTCATAGATCCTCCCAATATGGTGGAAATAGGAGGAAGTCTATATTGAGAAGAGGAAGGGTTAATAAGAGTAGGGGGTATGTGAGGATGACCATGAACAGTGGTGCAACAACAAAGAGAATTGTTCGCCGATGGATCTAATGAACCTTTGGGTAGAGGAACAGAGGAACCTGGCATTGTCGAGACAACATTTTCAAGATTATTTTTATAATGATTGACTTGAGACCGTCTTTGGGCTTCATCAGGATTAGACTGAGTGTTGGGACGTACAAAAGAAGGGCCAACATGAGGGTACGGGCAAGGAGGAGGAACTGAGGACGACTGCTGATTATTTGCAGTATTCACATTAGAGGAAGGATTTGTGAGAGTCGTTGATGTAGAGCCCTGTGCTCCATTGGTATGTTCGGCGGCAGAAGTTTCCGATGACATTGTACACCGTGCACCAAAGGATACGGACGAAAAAAACAAATTTTATGCTGAAAAATGTAAAAGATAGATTTTCGACTGTTTTTCAGCAGCCTTGCGAAGCCTTGCAGGAAAAAATGAGGGACAAGATGGAATAGACTTTGCAAAAGCAAGGAAAAAGGTAGAAGAGGAATTCCTATTTAAAAAAATACACCTCCAGCGTGTGTTTTTTTAAATACAGGAATAATATAATATAAAAAGGGATATTGATTTGACCCACGAAGATTCAAAAACAGGTTGATTTGCTATCCTAACGGATGCAAGTTTACTTTTCCTCCACTAGGACTGATGAATCAGAAAAACTAAAAAAAAAATAGAAAATAAATATAAATAAATAGTGTTGCGACTCCTTTTTTTCTCCCAAAACCCAAAAAAAAACCACTTAATCCTCAAATGAGATACAGGGACTTAATTATCGTCTTTTGAAAACGAATGGCGAACTTTTGAAGAAAGTTCTTTTAAAATGGCCAAAAAAAACAAAGCTGAATGAATTAAACAATAGATAATTAGGCTTAGGGAAGCAATCGGAAATTGACTAGGGGAGGCAACAGAAATAGCTAACTGCTCTGAATGAAGAGTATGTGCGAATTCACAAGCGGTATTCTTATTAAATTATTTTTGGTTTTATGTAATTAAATGGATGATCTCAAATATTTGATTAATCCCTAATCGACGATATATTAAGGTGAATGCACTTTCGCGGGTTATGAAGAAGTAGTCATGTACAACTGGTATAACCACTTCGATTGCCGATCTTAAAATAGATCGACGCTTGTTACTTTCCTTGTACCTTTAATGAAGTATAAGGTGTTGTCGATCATCGGTTAGTCATCCTATATTGCAGATCATGATTTTTTTGTTTACTTCTATGAAAAACTCAGAAACAACAAGGAAATTTATATAATTTCTTTTCTTTCTAACTTTTATAGTCCATCTGCAAAAGTTATTAGAAAAGAAAAAGTATTATCCTCGTTAAATACCAGCGATGGATTTCACAAAGAAATTCAACGAAAAACGTGAATTTCGTAAGGAGTAAGTCCTTTATTATGTATCCAAGCTCAACTTGCTTTTATTACATAAAGTTATATTTAGTGTGTCAACCATCAACAGTACTGTGGTAGAACGGGTTTGAACTTGTAAAAGGTTTCGAGTTCGAGTCGCTGTAGGAACTGCAAGTGCGCGGTAGGAGAGTGGAACTCCGACGGGCTCATAACCCGTAGGTCCCAGGATCGAAACCTGGCCGCGCAATTCTTTTTTTATTTCTGTGTTTTTTTCGCTAGTGATTTCGACGTTTTTTTGGAGTTGCGATGCAATTGTCCATTGCAGAAAATCTCTATATTACTTGGTTCTACTTGCAGCCAATCTATTGATTATGAAATGGAAACGAAATTTATATCCCATCTGACTATTTCCAAACAATTGTCTACTGGGGTAAAGTAGGAAAACAAGCATAAAGACAGAATAACAATCATCAATTGAATTGAAGTTTTTGAATACTATTCGTTTTATAATTGCTACACTTAACACGAAAATGACTACTTTTAAGACCAGGATGAAGTTAGTCCATATCTTTACGAAGCATTTTATCCAACTATTACTGATCGAGATCTATTAATTGGCAAAAAAGCTTGATCAGAAAGAATCATACCTATTATAACCCATATCCTTTTATTTATTTTTTTTTATTTTTTTTCTTTAAACTCAAAGTGCTCAAAATGTAACTGTTTTCTTTTTTGGTTTGGAAGATGGCTTGGGAACAGCAGGCTTGGTGACTTCCCTCGCATATTCATGATAGACGTCTTCATCAGGACCTGTGGTACCTGCAGTAGCCAAAACATGACCGTAATTGACATCCTCCTTGCGCACTTGATCACAGTCCTTAGCATAATGATGTATCGATCCACAAAACTTGCAACCACCCCCTTTAGGGTATAGACCGTGAGGGTTCTTCTCGCATTGACCTGCTAAATGTCCTTTTTCATGACAAATAAAGCAAACCGCAAATTTCAAAGGTCCTTTTTTAGGACAAGCATTCAATGAATGCTCTTTGCTTCCACAGCGGAAACATATAGAGACGTCTGATTTTGCCTCAGGGCAGTTTTGCACAATGTGACCTGGTTTTCTGCATGCAAAACAAAACTTGTCCTTGTATCTCATATTCTGTCTCCGGATTCTGCGATGCTCTGAACGGCTCTTTCTCCGCCGCTGATCCGGTTTCGAGTCTTCCCCATTATATCCTTTCTTTTCAGAATCTTCAATGGAAGCATAACTGTTTCCATTTGGCTTGACGTCTCTGGCGGCTTCAACCGGTTTGGCTTCATAAGGTGTCGCCTCCAAAAACTTCTTCCTCCTACCCATGTTTGTAATTCGTGCCATTTTTTAAAAATATAATAAAGAGTGTAGATAACTAAATAAAAAACCTATAATGAGAAAACGAAACGTAAAAGATCCCGCTAGTCGTTACGAAAAATTCACTTCCCTCCAAAATTAATTATCAATGCACTTTTCCACAATATCCGATACAATGAATGTAATTTTCTCCCTGTAAGTACCCTTTTTTATTCTTTTAGCCTGTAAAGTCTCCTTTGTACAAATGAAGTATTTTGCTTTTCGCCAGAAAAATTTCATACATCGTCTATTTCAATGAAGTAACACAGAATCGCTCTGAAAAGGGACATCCAAACTGAGCGATGTTGTATGGTTTGGTTTCTTGATCTTGTATGTTTATGATGATTTAAATAATTCTCTTAATATTTTTTTTCTTTTTTTTTTTTTTTAGTTTCCGATCTCCAACTATAACAAAATTGATCAACATAGTTTACAATAGTCATTCGTTTCACTGCTTCAGCTAAAGTCGATACCCATATAAATTTATTTTATTTTGTTTTTTCGAAATGTAAATTCTAAACCATCCCAATCATTCTATATTTTTATTTCCTCTCTTTTTTTTTTTTTTTTTTTTTTTTTTTTTATTTTCTCGACATATTGTTTACATAAAAAATCTTGACTTGGCGACTGAAGTAACATGAGTGACACCACTAGGTAAGGTGTAGCATAGATGCAACACTTTCTCCTTCTCCCATTCACTTCATAAAATATGAGCGAGGAGATTGCCAGGCTTACAACGGTACAAAATTATCGTTCTGTAGATTTAATCGGTGATTTTGCTGGTGAAGAACTCTTTCTTATTGATGGTGATTCCTTAATTTTCCATATCCTCGCACAAGATTGCCAATTTTTGGGCAAAAATGGCGTTCAAATATTGTACGCTATATATCTATTAGAAAGAGAGCTGGCTAGATTCAAAAGTGCCAGACTAAATTTTTGTATTGTATTTTTCAAAAACTGGGAAGCACTTTACTCTAATTATGATGACCTTTTGCGCTCTTCCCTCCTTTTATTTCGTAGAGTAGCTATCCGTCATCTTCGTAAATACGTTCCAGTGTTTCAATTTAAATCATTAACTGACTCTCAATGGAGTGTATTTATTGCCAAATACCGTCCTTACGGTTTTATGGTTCTTGACAATAATAAAAATATAAAGGAAGGAGGTCTTTCTATTTCTGATGAACAATTGATGGTATTTAAGTCTTTTATTTTTTTCGCGTTGTCTGACGGTGTGCCCGTTGCTCTATTGGGATCCTATGAGTTTGTCGACAATAAGATTCTATGCTGTATATTGCCTTCATTCTTTACTCGTTCTAGCGAGGCTATTGAAGAAGCTTCCAAAGTAATCTCTGATTATTTGGAAAAATTCGGTAAAAACCGTCAAGCAATTGACTTACCTGAAGTCGATATTGATGCTTGTTCAACGAACGCGATGCGTGTTCAGACTCTTGCTGTGGCTTGGCTCATTAAAAACGAATCATCTCCTTTAAGCCGTGATTTGGCAAAAATGATAATCGTTTTAGCTGCAGTCCTTGAACATCTTAAAATTTCTTCTCGATCTCAGCCCTTTTTCCCCTTGTACGAGGAACCTGCTATTCAACAGTTTACTTCTTCATATTTGAGCTGTGCTAATTCCATTCTCAATTTATTAGATAGCAAGGTTGACGGATTCCACGACATTTTTGATGCTCGTTTGTTCGTTCGTCTAGTAGCTGATGTTGTTCATGGTGAATTTTATATTCCTGATGTTTGCCGTGAGTATGCACTTTCTAATTGGAAGTTGGTTACCGATGCTGTCCCTGACGCTGGTGATCTTTATGATTTCTCTTCTTTCTCTTCCATTTCTAAGGAACTTTGTACCCCTCTTAAAACATCTACTAGTGATATCGATACTTCTTTAGCTCCTTATAATGACCCTGTTATTTCTCCCTTTTACAACACCGAGGAATGGGCTGTTCAACCTAAGGAGCTTCAACCACTTGAAACGGCCTTGGATTTCTCAAAATTACGCATAAATGATAAGTCCGCTACTTCTAAGCGCTATGACGATATCAATGCAATCAAGAAGACTGGTGATAGCAACAAAGACAAAAGACAAGTTGACAGAATGCGTCGCCAGGACCAGTTTTTCATCAGCCACATTCAAAAGTACGCTGGTTCACTTACGGGTGCTAAAGGCGGTCAACTGAAGCGCCAAACCATCTTCACCCAAAGCTCCAAGGAAGCCAAGGCTCAAAATGAAGAGGCTCCTAAAAATAAGGCCAAGGCTAAGGACAAGGAAACTGCTTCTAAAAAGGGTAAGTCTGTGAAACTTTCCAAGGCTGAAATGATTCGTGCCGAAATTGCTGCCAAAAAATCAGAAAAGGAAGACAATAGAAACGATCATATGTGGCAAGAAACTAGAAATGATCTTGGCCGCATAAAGGATTTAAATCTTCGCTCCAATCGTCTTGCTCAACTATTGAACACTAGGACTTACGATCCTTACATAGAGAACGAAATGCGCCTATACCGCATTCGGGTTTTACTCTCTTTGTGGGCTGCTGCCTGTGTTACTGACGAGTCTAAGGAAAAGAATATTCGCATAGCTGTCGATATTTTCCGTGAAATTAGTATTGTCTACCCTAAGCCAATTACTAAACAAATTAAGGCTGCCCTCGACGATACACTCACTGCTTTAGGTTTCGAAAGTGTTATCCGCAAAGCCAAGAAGCTCGATTCACGTTCCATGTCTTTTCCCTTTGTACTTCCTGATTTAGAGGAAGAGGAGTTTGACTTAGAAGTTCCTTATACCTCCCCTACCTTCCAGTTGCTTCATTTTGGTGAGTACATGGAAAGATCTATGGGTAGTGCTCCAGACGACCGTGTTGCTTTTGATCCTGATGAATGGCAACGTCAAACTTTAGATATTCTCGACAAGGACGAATCTGTTTTTGTGGTCGCACCTACTTCTTCAGGTAAGACCTTTATCTCCTTCTATGCTATGGAGAAGGTTTTACGTGGCAATGATGATGGAGTGGTAATTTATGTTGCACCTACCAAGGCTTTGGTTAACCAGTTATCTGCCGAAGTTTATGCTCGGTTTAACAAGCACTATCCTCATGCTGGTCAAACCGTCTGGTCAGTTTATACTCGTGATTATCGTATCAACAATCCAACTAATTGCCAAGTGTTAATTACTGTCCCCCATGTGTTACAATCAATGCTTCTGCAACCCGCTTTGGCCAATTCATGGTGCCCTAAAATTAAACGTATCATCTTTGATGAAATCCACTGTATCGGACAAATGGAAGATGGAATGGTGGAAGAACAGTTATTATTACTTGCTCCTTGTCCGATTGTCGCACTTTCTGCTACTGTTGGTAACCCCGAAGAATTCCATACTTGGCTTTCTGCTCTTCAACGTGCTCATGCCAACCCCATCCATCTTATTGTTCACGAACACCGTTACTCTGATTTGAGAAAGTTCGTTTATGGTGGTGCTAAAGAGTTTAACGGTTTGCATGAAGAAGAGGACAATGGCCAGATAGCTCTCATCCACCCTGCCGCAGCTCTGTCTTTCTCTGAAGGTACAACAACAAATTTAGCTTTTGAGCCTCGTGATTTACTGCAATTATATTATGCTATGAAGTTAGTTTCCAAGGGTGATTTCAAAATCAGCAAGAGATTGGATCCTGACAGATATTTTGAGGACATTCCTTTTATTAAAAAGGTTGATGTCGTTGGTTACGAAAAGAAGATTAAAGCTACAATCGACACTTGGGCTTCTTTGCCTAACGCCTTTGCTCCCACCTCTCCTTTGCAAGCTCTTATTAAACACTTTTGTAATGATCCTCAACGTGTTGTCAATAACCAACTTCAGTTGCACACTTCTGCTTACTCATTGGATGCTATTGCATTGAATTTATTGCCTATGCTTAAGGATTTGAATAAGCAAGAATTGCTTCCCGCTTTATGCTTCAACTACGATCGACAAGAGTGTGAATATCTTGCCGAACATGTTTTCAAGGGCTTAGTTGAAAAGGAAAGACAATGGCGTGAAAACTCAGAAGAATGGAAAGAAAAGATGCGTGAGTATAAGAAGTGGCAAGCTGCCGCCGGCCAACGTGCTAAACAATTGGAAAAGTTTGAGAAGACGGCCACTGAAAAGCAAAAAGAACAAGCTTTGAAGGAGTCTGGTGATACTGCTTGGATTGAGTTCTTCGATCCAGAAGAGCCTTCTCCAGAGTTTTCTTTTGCTGGTGCTAAATCTACTTATGGTAAGGAGGAATTATATCGTGATGTGGAATCCTTGCGTAGACGACAAGTTGTCCCTGAGTGGTTGGTCGATGCTCTTTATAGAGGTATTGGTGTTCACCACTCTGGTCTTAATAGACGCTATCGTCAATTGGTAGAAGTTTTATTCCGTTGTGGACAACTCACTGTTGTGATCGCTACTCGTACTTTGTCTTTAGGTATCAACATGCCTTGTCGTACTGTCGTATTTTTGGGTGATAACTTACAACTAAACGCTCTTAACTTCCATCAAGCTGCCGGTCGTGCTGGTCGTCGTGGCTTCGATTTGTTAGGTCATGTCGGATTCCTCGGTGTGCCATTGCATAAGGTTTACCGTTTGTTAACTACGAAATTGTGGGATATCCAAGGTCAGTTCCCTCTTACTACGTCTTTGGTCTTGCAATTATCCCAACTCATTTCGGGCTCACAGGCTGCTCCTTTTGCTCGTAATACCATTCGCTCAATTTTGGATGAGCCTAAGCTTATGCAAAATGGTGATGTTTTGAGTAATCAAGTCAACCATCATCTTCGTTTTGTTGTCGAATATCTTCTTCGAGAGGGATTGTTAGATGACTTCGGTAAGCCTATTAATTTGTCTAATCTTACTATGCACTTGTATTACACTGAACCCAGCAACTATGCTTTCACTAACTTGCTTCGTGCTGGTGTATTCCATAAGATCGCAGACAACTATAGCACTGACAAGTTGGGTGCTTTACGTGAGACTATTACTATTCTCTGCCATTTGTTTGGACGCATTCGCATTAATGAGCAGTATGCCCTTTCATTAAAGCGTGATGAATCTACTCCTTCGGAGATTATTTTGCCTTCTCTCCCCCAGAATATCGTTGAAGTATTAAATGCTCATGATGAGCGCGTGTTGAATCTCTATAAGACGTACGCTTATTACTACCGCGAGCACGGTAATGTTGGTGTTGAGGATGACAAGTTGCCTTTGTCCAACTTGAAATTCAACGGAGCTGCTGATCTCCCTAAAGCAGTCCCTACCGGCGTGGTTTCCGACTTCTGTGGATTGGCCGGTTTTAACGACAGTGCTGCTAAGAATGTTTCTGATTTCATGGAGCAAACACCTGATGGAGTTTTCCTCAAGACTTCTCGCTTGCCAGTTTTTGAAGTTAACAAGGGTCCCCTTAACGCTTATCTTCTTGATTTTTTCACTCATGGAAGTGTTGACCTTTTGGTTGAACAAAATGGTTTGAAGCAATCCGAAATTTGGTTTGTATTGAATGATTTCAGTTTAGCATTAGCTACCATTTGCAGTTGTATTGGTAACTTGCTCAACTTAGTGACCGATGAGGACATTGAAAACGCCATGAGTGCTCTTGAGGATTCCAACGCTGTCCAAGCTTCTACTGAAGGTGAAAGCAACACTGATTGGATGCAAAGTATGAACGGAAATTATTCCACTTCTCTGGCCTCTCCAGAATTGCAAGACAAGATGGACATGAATCTTTTCAAGGTCTACTGTATGTTCCTTGAAGTTCGTAACCAATTCGACGCCAAATTTAGAAAGATGTGGGCTTAAGTTTATCTGTTTACTTTTATTTTTGTTCTGGAATTTTTGTGTAAAATTGTAAAAAAAAAGCTAGTGGCCTCTAATTTACATAAGATCTAAAAAGTCATACGGGATTTAGGATATATGAAAAGCATTCAAATTATGTTTATACTTTGGTCCGTGAACAGTTGATTTCAATGCTATTTTGATAGTTAATTAATTTTTATTTTCTCATGTTTGATTTCGTATGTTGATTGAAATTGTAGAAATGTTGTATTTCTCATATTGTGTGATGAAAGGATTATCAAAACTTTTCACATTTTTTAATTGTTTGTTTATTTGCGAAAATGTAAAGTATACTATTAGAAATTTATTAATCTTGAGATATGTAATAACTGTAAAGCGTCGACTGTAATAACGATAAAAAATCGTTCTATTCTATAATCCCCCGTTTTCCAAGAGTTTTCTCATATATGCTGGATTTACAAAACTACAAGAGTATTGTCAATGATTTTAAATCATCTCAAGACGAGATTCGATTTTTAGGCCAGCAACCTCCAAAAGAAGCTAGCTTATATGGTAAATCCTACAATGACAATAAGTAATACTAATTGAAACCCAAACGGGGATTTTAGTACTCGATAGCTCCTTTAATCCTCCTCATAATGCTCACTTAGGAATGTGTCATTTTGTTCCGGAAGGAAGTCATCTAGTTTTGCTTCTGAGCATTGCAAACGCTGACAAAGCTGAGGCTCCTGCATCCCTGGACGTTAGATTAGCAATGCTGAAAGCTTTATATCGACTTATAAAAAACCGCAGTGTCTCGATTGCCCTTTGTAAATATCCACTCTTCGCCGAGAAATGTGTATGTTTGTCGAAATACTGTTCTCCTAAAGAGCAGACTTATTTGGTCGGGTTTGACACACTGATACGAATTCTAAATTGTAAATATTATCCGGAAAATTCAATCCAAAAAGTTATGAACCCTTTTTTTGAACGATCTCGAATTGTCTGCTTTTATCGTGAAACAGACGATCCAACAGCGGATGAACTGCAGGAATTATACCCATCCAAACTCGAGAAAGGCGAGTTACAAGACGTGGCTTTAGAATGGTCTTCGAGAATACAATTTGCGAGATTAAATGGCAACATGGGTAAAAATGTTAGTAGTACAGCAATACGTAAAGCCATTTCTTCTGGCGACGAAGAAGTGCAAGCACGAATGATACCAACTGAAGTTTTAAGTATTATAAAAGATGTGAACCCTTATTGCTAAGCATCTTTACCCAATCTTACTTCCACTAGACATCTATTATAAAATTGAATAGTTCTGGACGTACAAAAACCTAATTAATAGACTAGAAAATTTACAAGTGAACGGTAGACAGTACCGTCGCAATAAAACTATTTACCATAATTTTACCACTATTAAGGTGACAACTATAATGTAATTGTTCCAAAACCAAACCGATATTATTAGTAAACTTACTCGAGGATACCGTATTTTATATCGACAAATTAAAAAGTCAAAGCACGTTTAGCCATTTCCAAAGCTCCCTCATAAGTACCATTTCCACCAATGAAACCCGATGCGTGAACAAAAACACAGTTGGGAATTCCGGTCAATTCAGAAAGTTTCTCATCACGGACTCCTCTCCAGGGTTCGGGAAGAGCTAGACGAGAAGTAAATGAAGTAGGGTCAATAGCGACGGCTTGCACACGCCAACCCTTTCCATCTGAATAAATAGCATACTTGAATTGTCCCTCAATGTTGAGTTCTTTCTCAATATCGTAAAGATGACTCTTCCAAGGAAAAAATTTATCCATAATCAAGATAGGAGAGTCCTTTGCCCGGAGAACAGCTTCACGAGCCAACGTTTTTGCGGGTAACCAAGAAGAAGCATAATTGTTTACAGTACGAACAAACCAGCTGCCGATGAACTCGGAAGCCTTATTGAAACATTCCAAAAATGTCTCCTCGTCTTGTTTTTCAGAATTCCAAGAAGGAATGTAAGTGGAAACCATTTCTGGAAGACTCATGGCAGCTTTGAATGTGGGAGTCAAGTCAGCCGGGAATGGCGAAATACCATTGTCATTTGCGTCTAAACCCTCAATAAAAGAGGTATATATTTTTTCGTACAAAATTTCCAAGTCTTCTTGAGATATTTGCTTACCCACCAAGACCGACTTGATTACTTCTTTGCCAAAGTGTTTGTATACTAAGCCAGCACTGGAAAGACGGGTTTTGTACTTGGAAGATAAAGTGTCACTGAATTCACGTTGATGATGGTCAAAATACTTGACACCATCATATTTTCCACCGACATCAACGACGATATCGCAGCTATCTAACAGCTGGGGGTCACGAGAGCGAACTACTTTAGCATCACGGTAAGTGTCTAAATTACGAAGCATATACACAGCAAGAGCTAGAAGAAACATTAGCTTTTCAGAACTTCCATTCAAGATAGTTAACGCCAAGCAGATACAGGAATAAATATCGATCAACTTGTACTCATATCAGTAACATAAGACTTTCATCTAGCAACATCTCTTTCATTTGTTTTGGATGTTTCATGAACGTTAAATATCCAGGTATCCAACTCTCAAGACTGGCTTCAAATCCATCCACTTCACGTACCTTCGTCAGCATGGAACGCGCCATTATGTGTAGCAATTGTCTTCATGGAGCTCATAATGAAACGATAGAGATTCACTGTAAAAATTTCCTCTTTCCAAAGGTGTTTTCTTTGGTCAAAATCTCAATTTCCTTATAGGTCCAGTGAATTGGGATAGCTAATATAGAATGTAGACCTATTTAATGAGGTAGACCATAATACACTATAAAGACTTATAGCTAATGTTCATCAGAGTCGATAAATCTTTGAATAAAATAGAATTGAACATAAGTCAGTAGATTGCATTCGGGCATAGCAGCCAGAGAGAGCTGTAAATAAGATATGATTTACGAACATAAAGTGAATGCAGTAGACCGAAGGCGTTCAGCATTATTCGCTAATTTTGCATCGACGTTGCTACTTTTAAAAAAACGCGTAAACAAAGGTAATGTAATGTTTTAAAGCCGCTCCATGGGACTTCTTAAAACAGACTGACTAGCAATTGTGTGCACTTTATTAATACAAACTATGTATTATATATCGATTAGGCCTTTATACAAGCTGAAAGTTTGACATTTAAGAGGTCGAGGTGAAAATTGTCGACGATCTCTAACATTACCACATACTTTATTTGGAGTCCTTCAAAACCAAAGCTTTCATCCACTGTATACAATAGAAAACCAATCTACATCTACTACTTATCATGAGGTACTTCACAAAACTACACTCTTTCTTGTATTCAATAATCGAAAAAAATTTATTCGTATCAACACTTCTACATCTTAAGCAGAAGCAGCAGGAACACGGGCTAAGAATTGTTAGAAAAATACAGTGAAATGTGAATATTGACGTGGTTACTTACTGTAGATGAACTGCTTAGAAGAGTGGTCCACCTTTTGGATAACACCACGGTCAGCCAAGTCTCTGATGGCGATACGAGCAAGAGCACCGTTCATCTTCATACGGTCGACAAGGACGGAGACGGAGATAAACTTGAAGGCGGGAACCTCCTTGTTGATACGGTCAATAAGATTCTTGTCGAAGACAGTGGCGTGTTGAGCCTTGTCTTTCACTTTTCCTTTAGACCATTTCTTCTTAGGTGCCTAATTCTTTATTAGTTTTCTTATCCTTCACTTCATTCCGTTTTCACTTACCATTTTTGTGGATGGTTTGTTCTACTTAGTTGTTCCATTTACGAATAGCAATTTGTGACTGCCACACTAAGCCCTAACCTAAACATGCCTCTTTAGGTTAGGGCTTGTATTAGGCCAAGTGTATAGAGAAGGTCACTAAAAAGAATAAGAATAAAGTATCCAATGTATTTTATTACTACGGGCTAAATACATTTGCATTGTTAATTAAGTGTATATAGACAGGTAACTCTGAAGAGTTCATTAGACTGAGAAAGTACGATGGCTAAACATGACTTCTGAAAAGATAATTCATTAAGTAAGTAGATTATATGTATGTATTAGGATGCAAAAGTAAAACCAAAAATTTAGTCAAGACCAGCTTGACCTAAATTGATTCATCGTATATTGTTCATATCAATCAAAATCAGAAAAGTTATTGAGTGAAGCCAGCAAATTGGGTTTACTAGGTGTAGATGGGTTAGCTGTTGTAGCTTGCGAACCTTGATTCTGAGACCTTTCCCTATTGTTGGTATTCGAAACTTGCATGAGACCCTTGAATTTACGACCGGTAGTTCGTTGTGTGGAGGACACCAAGGTAGAGGTCCTTGGGTTCGAAGAAGATAAATCACCGGCACTTTCATTCAATTTGCTCTTTTTCGATTTTCGTATCATTGTCCTCAGTGTTGCCGGTAAGTCAATATCGTCCTTTTCAGTCAAGGACGTCTTTGATTTGACTTTACTTAGTTCTGAGCGATCAACATAATTCCGATTAGCTTTCTCTAATAATCCATCTTTTTCACGAGTCGCATCTTCATCATCAACTTCTGCAGGATCAGACCTAAGATGCTCTTCTCCAAGCTCTGAAGATCCTATACCGGAATCTTCATCATTGTTGTCTAACCAATGAAGATTGTCAGTAGTATCTATTAGATTATCCTCAACTGTAGCGAGAAAAGCTTGCCTTTTTCCTCCACCAAGAATCTCCAAGTTCTCATGCTCCATCAACTTCCTTCTTCGTAGCTCCTTGAGCTTTTCTCGTCGAATTGCGTTGTGTTCGTCATCATCATCGTCGCTATCATCTAGTAAGCCTGCATTGTTTCTGTGTCTTTTCCGAAGTCCACCAGTCGTGACATCTTTCATAAGCTGTTCAACTAACTTGTTGTCCTTGTCAATTTCTTGATCGCGAGCGTATCGAGCCATCGATGCAATTTCTTCTTTCTTCAAATCTGTTTCATCATCAATCATATTTTTTATTTCCGGCTCTAATTCCTCATTCCCTTCGTCCTCATCTGAAACTCCTCCCATTCCAGCATATTCATCTTCGGATTCTTCAGCCTGATCTTCTACGAAATTCGTAAAATTGACTTTTGCATCCTCCTTTTCTGGACGTCTCTGTAGTAGATCTTTTCTGGGAAGACTAGTAGCTTCATAGTTTTCATGATCCACTTGGGTTTTCACCAATTGACTTGACTCATCCTTCTTACTCGAATCTACCTGAGTGGGTATTGTTGCATCCAATTGAGTGGGGACTAAGGCATCTAGTTGAGTTGGTATTGTTTCTTCTTCAGGTGATGTACTATTTGGTAATGTCCATCTGGGAGGGGGCTGACTGAAATTTGCATCGACAATAGAAAGCTGTGAATCTGGTGGAAGCATATTCTGAAAATAAAAAGATGAAGGATCTTCTTTACTTTCCTTTTCTTCTTTATTCTCCTTAGGTGTTTGGGAGAAATCATCAATCCGCAAGTCATCATCCTCATTGTCGGAATCAACAACCCTCATGTCAGTTGGAGAATTATTCTGCTCCTCCATCTCGTCATCATCCATCACGACGCGATTGTTTTTCCTTTTTTTCATACTTGTATCAGATGACTCCGTTTGCGTTGCCTGAATGATTACGTCGGAAATCACTGTCTTTGGGGTTTTATTGACTGAAACATCTTCATAGGCAGTTTCTTCTTCATCTTCCGAAGGTCCATCACCATCGAGTTCATGCTCTCTTTGTCGTATTTTTTCCGCTTGCTTTCTAGCACGCTCGATATATCCCAATTGCTCTTCTTCATCTTTGTCAGCATCGGAAACCAAAAGCCCTTGCTCTGCCAATTCTTTCTCTGTCTCTTCCCTTTCAGCTTTAGACATCATTGCAGCCCTTTTCATCAACTCTCGGTTGAAATCTCTCAAATTAAATTCTTTATCTTCAGGCTTCGTGTTTCCTTTCGTGGGTACTCGAATGCCAGCAAGCTTCTTAAGTCTTTCAGTAACCGTGTCCACATTCTCTGACGACTTAGCTGATTGTATTGTGTCTAGTGTCACCGTTTTTGGTCGCGTCTCTATTTCTAAATCTGATTCGGAATCTGAAGTTTCTGTGTACATTTTCTTAGAAAGTTTCTGAATTTTATCTTTAATAGATAATTTGGGCGTTGCTTCTTTCGGAAGCATTTTGCTGAACAAACTCGATTGTCCCAAGTCTGGCAGATCCAGTTCACCTGCTTTCATTCCCTTGTCAATTACATTGTCTGACGATTCGGTAGAGTTCAAAGGGTATACACCATTACTTTCTTCGGGTTGATCGTTTTCCTTCGAGGAAGGCTCTTCAGATATTTTCTGCGAAGATACAGACTCATCATTCGAATTATTTCCATTTTCTGTTTTTGGCTTAAATCCAATTTTACCAAAGAAATCACTTAAAGTAACTTTCTTGCCAACTTTAATTTCAGGGTTTCTAACTACCTCACGAGTCAATTTTGCCGTGTTTCGGTGAAGGTCAAGAAGCGCTTTTTTAGAGGCTTTTCGATAGCCACGCTCCATTCTATACGATTTACTCTCAGATTCAGCTTCATCTTGCTTACTACCGGCATCAGAGGAACTATCGTTCAGGGCAGCTGGTTCATCTTGGTTGAAGAGATCATCCTGTTGAGCTTTCAATTCCTTCTTTTTCTTTTCAACTAATTGTTTCAAGCGAGACTCTCGGTCGAGTGGTGCTTGAACTGGTTCCTGTTCAACAGGAGAACTTGGGGTCGAGACTTGAAGGGCGTTTTCATTATCGCTTTCAATGTTTTGTTTCTCTAAATTTTCTTTTCCATATGTAACATTATTGTTTTTTTTTTCACTTTGTAGCCGTTTTTTTACACGCTCATAGGCTGAACTAAATTTGGACTGTAAATCATCATCCATCTGGGTTTCAGAGCTATTTTGGGCAACGTTGGTAGAAGTCTCCGTTTCGTTTGCATTAGCAGCAGGCTCATAATCATCATCGAACTTCGCCAACATTCTCTTCACCCTGGTGCGTGGCGTCTCGAGGAGTTCATTAGACAAGTCCTCATTTTTTGATAGTTCTGCATCACAAACTGCTTCTTCAGAATCCATTATTGGATTCTGATGTATTGTATCCATGTCTAAATGTATCTAGTCTGATATATGTTTTGTTTACGTTCGTACACGACATACTTAATATGAGTTGACAACGCGACGCGACCTTCATTCATTCGTGTCGCGTCGTGTCGCGTCGCGTGATATTAACAAAAATTATGAATACAATAAAAAACCTTCGGCATCTAACATACAATACATTCCTAAACAAATAATTTTATTAAGTAATCAAAATGAATTATATAAAAATTAAAGACGTAAGAAGTATAATTGTAGTTATCGTGTCGGATACATATATTTTTTGCTACATGAACGATACCAAACGATAGTAAGGATATCTTTTAACATAGAAACAAAACTTTTTAGCGTCTAGAACCTTTTGCACGCGCAGCATACAAAAGTTTAAACCCGTTGCAAAGAGCGGTCATGTCGGCATAAACATTACCTTGCAGAAAGTACGCATTTGGAATCACTTTCACGGGCCATGCCAATACAGGAGAACTTACGCCAGCTTTAAAACAAAGAACAAAATATCCTGGGTGATCTTGATCAGAGCAAAATGTATAGCAAGAACGCTTTGGATTAGCCTCAGAGTAGCTTTCTAGCCAATGCTCAATTTCAGCACGAGATCCTCGTCTATACTTCTCATGCATGCACATTTCATCAATCTTTTTAGCAATTGCTTTAATATGCATAACAATCAATTCATCCAAATCACTGTATTGATAGGTCATATTTTCAAAACGACCTTTAACAATCAACCGTTGACCAATGCTAAACTCATTTTCTTTATCAAGTTCTAAGACATCAATATGTTGAAAAGAAGATTCACCAACCTTCCAAGTTACAACAATATGATCAGAGCCTTTAGATGATGGCCGGATAACTAAGTCACCAACTTGTAACTTGGATAAATACGCTTCTGCCTGAGAAGCATTTAAATCTTTAAACAATGGGTGTTTAATAACACGAGCCACCCTCTGTTCAGCTTGTGTTTCCGCTTGCATTTTTTCGTTGTCGCGATCTTCAGCTTCAGCATCCCAATAAGCTGTCAAATGGGAACGATCCTTTTGTCTGGCCTGAACAGTTTGCATAATACTGTTTCTTAAGGAAAGTTCAGCAGTAAAATTCTGCTCATTCAATGATATAATAATAGCTTCAACTGTCTGACCTGCTTGAAGGAGTTGAGGAGGTGGTATAAAGTCATCACTAACTTCATCTGCTTTAATATCGCCATCAACATCACAGTCAAGTTTAACAGCAACAAATCGATTAGTGACACGCTTAACGTTAACGGGAACTAATGTATCAGGACCCAAGTTTCTTGGGTTTTCACCAGTCAACATAAGGAATATTTCCGAGGGGGTAAGCTTATGGAACGTGTTTCTTTGTTCCCCATAAGGGTCCTTTAATTCACGACGAACTTTCTCTAGTGTACTTCTTTTACGTTGATGGAACTCACGTTCTAGTTGATCAGCATATTCTTCAAGCACAAGTTCATCAACCTTCGCCACTTCATTGTCTTCTAGCAAGTGATACACAACACCTTTACTAGCTTCTAATTCTTCAATGTCTTCTTCGTCTAATTCTAAAGCATCACTAGCCATTTTTCGAGCGAGTTCGTAATCTTCATTATGAATACGGGTTGTATCTAAAATATCCATGTTTGGGTATTCATCATTAGGTATAATGAAGAAGGAAGAGCAGTTGATAAAAATCTTTCTTGTAACAATTTGCTTAGAAATTAAGTCACTTCTGTTGTCAATTCGACCACCAACGGTTGCAATCTTTTTTAGTATATAATCTGCTTTACGAGGGCCTAAACCGGCAATATAAGGAAGGATGTTGGCTTCGTATTTGTTATTGACAGCCTCATTAATATCAATGCCAACAAGCGATGATACATCCACCAATGCAGTTTCAAGATATCTCCACAAAGTCTCTGAAGGTAAGAGATGCTGCCAGGGATCAAATGACAAAGACAAAAGGTCATGACCCAAAGCCGCATATTCAAATAAGGGATTCTGTACGTAGCGAGCCAGCGCAATGCAGTACAATGTTGTAGTAGAGAAACTTGGGAACTCGTCGGTTGCGCGAGAAGAATTTTGATAAAGACGAGCAATTTCATCGTTTACCATAACAATATCGACAGGATCATGAGAGCTCAAAGCCGATTGTACATTCTGACGTACTTTATGTGCAGCGACACTCATGCCAGAGACACCAATAACGTCGGGGTTGACCTTATCAACGAAGTCAGTAAACATGACTTGGTTTGCAGGGTCTCTAAAGTCAGGTAACTTAATAGAATCGACTGGCTCACCCATATCATTAACAAAAAGACAAATGATAGCATCAGATGGTTCACCTTTACCGTTAGAAACAGCTAAGACTGAAGGAATAGTACCGCGGTCAAAATTTTTCGTTGAAGGTTCGTAAGGAGCCTGATCCAATCTGGAATACAACCTTCCACGGCAAAGCATTCCTAGTTCGTCCAAATATTTTGAACGAAGGGTTTCACGAATTGCACCTGGTGCCAAAGTTGACAACTGCTTGAAAACATCTTTCAAAACCATTTCTCGTTGAGCATTCCATTTAGTGGCATTCTCTGAATAGTTATCAGATAAAATCAGTTCAAAAAACTCATTAAAGACGGTGTTTTTGTCACTGAAATCTAATGATAATTGTATAAGTCCTTCTTCTTCAGCTTTTAACATTTTCAAGAAGAGAATAGGAGACTTCTCAAAGGATGCCAATGGTTTGCCTTTTAAGTACTTGAATTCGTAGTACGGATGCTCGTTGTCAATCTTACGAACACCTTTTTGAGTTGCTATCGTGGATACAATGCCGGTTTGAAATAGCTTATCTCTAAATGCTTTTCTGAAATAGGGATCATGAACAATCTCTTCAGCGAATACCTTGCGGGCTCTTTGTAATACCAACTCATGATCGGTAAGATCGTTGGAAACATAAGAAGTGGCAAGCTCTTGAGGCGATACTGAAACATCTTCAACAAAACGAAGACGAGCACCTTGAACGGCATTGAATGAGAAATCTCTTGCACTTATGCCAAACTCTTTCACGAGATGATAAACTGGAGATTTCTTCGCCTTTTCGTAAAAAGAATATTTTGATACCTGGGGTCGACGTAGGCCGGTGCCAACCAACAAAGCGCGATCTCGAATCTGTTCGGAATAAGTAAAATGAAGATAGTCATTCAGGTCATCCACTGTTTCCAGGGTAGATGCTTCTTGGCACAATGTAACAACCATTTCATCACTAATACCCAAATCTGAATATAATTTCATGAGATCTTTCTTTTTGCTATGAAGAGACCAATATCGGGTGCATAAATTAAATATACACCAGAGATCATCTTGGTTAAGTAATGGGGTTATAGAATCGCGTTGGCGATCATAATGGACTATATAATCCCGACGGTGTTGCCATATAAAAGGAACTTCAAGACTTTCACGAACGAAGAAATGAACTGTATGCCGTACAGCAGACCGGAAATGGTCTAACAAATCAGTCTTTATATCATGTCGTTTCTCCAATATCCGATTAGCGATCCAAAGGCTTTCGTCAAGGATTTCTTGGTCAGTACAATCCTCGTTTCTTTTCATATATAATTGCATGCGTTCAGGTTCGTCAGTGATACGAATAATTTCATCTTCTTCCGTAAGCATTTTTTCTTGAAGTTCGCTAGGTTCAAAAATTGTTTTCAAACTAACAGGCTCTTGAAGTTCATCTTCAACATCTTCATCTTCCAAGGCAAACGCATAGTCGGTTCCATCACCGAAAATTTCGTAAATTTGAATGTAGTCATCTTCGGATATGCCCAACGCTTCCGGTCGAACTGATTCAATTTGAGGAGTCGCATCGTACTTCTCCTCCTGAGGCTCTTCATCTTCAAATTCGTCCTGTTCAATGAAATCGGCAAATTCGTCCATTACACCATTACGTCTTCCGTATGCATGCTCAGGTTCATCGATTCCATCTTCTCGTTCACTAGGCTCTTTTTCTTCTTGATCTTCGTCTTCTGAGAAAATTTTTTGGAGGTCTTCTTCCTGGTCACGTCCTCGCTTCAGTCTTTTTAGTTTTGTCCGATTATCCTGACCAGTGTTTTCCATGACCAATTCTAAATCATCCTCATCCAGCATATCTTGAGGAGCTTTTTCTTCTTCTGCGCGTTTTTTACGCTTTTTCTTCTTTAAGGCTTCTTGAGGAGCTTCATCGTCTTCATCTTCGACGATGAATCCTTCTCGGATCGCTCGTTCGGCTTCCTCATCCGTCTCGGATTCTTCTGAGGAGTCATGATGTTCATTATTATCCAAACGATCACCTTCACCCTCTTCGTTTAATTCATCAGCGTTTTCATCGCGTCCGTCTTCTATAGGGGCATCATTATTTTTTTCGAAATTTGGATTTTCATTAGGTGAACCAGAAACCCCAAGTTCACTCATCTCTTCCAAATACACAACAGAAAAACAAATTTCCGAAACCTGCCGCTCTGTTGTGGTTAGGCTTGTGTGGATTTGTGAAAACGACCTTTCTAGCACTGTGTACTTGCCTTAAAAATGATCAGTTCAAATAACGTACTGTACTATACCTCACTAAAATATTGTGCAGCAATACATTAGCTGAATGTTCAGAAAAAAATTTTGGATTTACTCTTAGTTTACACTATGCCTTTCTTAGTTTATATGATGCATTTTTATAACGCTTAAAGCTTACAGTAGTACTATTCCATAAAATTTCAGACGATATTCGTAGAAAAAAAGTATTGTATTTTTAATCCCGTATTTACCAAAACATGAAACAAGTTTATTTCCCAATTTTTCACATTGAGTGAAACGCCCATTAAATAACTTTTTGTACTCCAAAAATGTGTATTATATATAACTCATTGAACGTAATGATAGGTTAATTAGTTGCTCAACGACTCCAATTGCGACCTGTGTCTTGCGACATGCTAGAAGAACGCTGCTTCGAATAAACATTTCCGCTGTTTTTATAACCTCCACGACGTTCTTTCTTGTCAGTGCGTCCACTTGCACCAATGGTAATATTAACATTAGGTGGATGATCAAAACCGAACGATTTGGCTACCTTTGCCAAATCCAGTTTATTGATGTCAAAAATCGATTTCAGAGAATAAGAAGCATAAGCTTGAAGGTATGCACGGTATCCATCTTTAGCAGATTGTTGCAAATAGTAATTTTTAGATACAAGCTTTTCCAACTGAGATTGGACGTTAGCGATCTTGTTGGCAGGAAACTCGTATTCGTTCAAGGGTACTCTAGCATTCTTTAAGTAGCGCAAGAAGCCAAGTTCCGAAGGGGTAAGGAACATCAAACATTTACCTCTCTTTTGATTACCTCTAGCAGTACGACCAACACGGTGAATGTAATCACGAGGATCATCTGGAGGATCATATTGCACAATCCAATCTACTGCAGGGATATCAAGACCACGGGCAGCGACATCTGTACACAACAAAATACCTCTTTCGGCATTACAAAATTCAAAAAAGGTATTCGTACGGCGCTGTTGCTTTTGCTTACCATGAAGATCTAAAACAGGTAAGTCGATGTAGTTCAAAAGTTCAGCCAAATACTTCACAGATGCACAAGAGGACATGAAAACGATCACCTTTTTCTTTAAGTTTCTCTTCAAGAAAGAAAATAAAAGAAGGAATCGTTTGTCGGATTCGACAACCACGTAACCCTGTTCCAAACCTTCAACGGTTGAAGTGTCTTTCGAGGAGTCAACATTAATGTATAGAGGACCAGGTCTTAAAGAGATTCTGGCTAAGTCCTCAACTTTAGTAGTTTGGGTGGCAGAAAACAATGAGGTTTGACGATCTTCGGAAGGAAGCACTTTGACGATTTGACGCATTTCGTCTTCGAAACCGATTTCCAAAATACGATCAGCCTCATCGATAACAAGAGAACGGAGATTACGATAGACGAATCCTTTGGTATTTTGCAAATGATCCAGCAAACGACCAGGAGTGGCCACCAATAAATTGACACCCTTAACGAGTTTCTCTGCCTCAGCACGACGATTAGCACCTCCAATGACGATACCGTATGTTTGATGATGGTATTTCAAAACTTCCTTGGCAACACCAAAAATTTGAAGAGCTAATTCACGAGTTGGAGATACAATGATAACACCAGTGCCGTTACGAGGCTTGAATTTCAATGCATAAAGCATTTCGATAGCTGGGATTAAGAAAGCAAGTGTCTTACCGCTACCAGTCTTAGCAGCACCTAAGACATCGCGACCAGCAAGTAAAGGAGGAATCGTTCGAGCTTGCACTTCGGTCATTTTCTCAAAAGCCATATCTGTGATAGCCTTTTGTGTATTTTCAGAAAGAGGAAGCTCAGAAAAGTTTTCAACCTCGCCTTGGATACCTCCATTCAATTTGGCTGTTCCATGAATTTCTTCGTTGGCCTCATTTTCATTTTCCTCATTCTCAATTTCCTTAGTGTTCTCTTCTACAGAAGCATCCTCTCTTTCTTCCTTCTCTTGGTCACTGACACTCTTGTCTTTTTTTTTCTTTTTTTTCTCGGGGGCTGATTCGCCAACAATTCCGTCCTGCTGCACTACAGCAATTTCTTTTTCAAGCTCCTCCTCAGGTTTCACTTCGGACTGAGCCTTTTTACGCTTCAATTCCGATTTACCCATCTCCGAAACACTGTTTGACAGTATAGGTTCCTGGTGAGTTTTCTGCGTACAGTAAAATCCATTCTATGTCTCGATACACCGTAGTCATTTAATGAGCTCCTTGCATTGCTCTTTCTATATAACGATGCATAATTATGCTTATTGTTATAAACGCATATGCTACTATATAGTAGTAATATTAAAAACTTAATCATAAATCTCTTATAAACAGGCATAAATGTGTAACCCACTAGCTTGTTACTTGTTTTAATGCAACCGCTGTTGATAGCTTTGTAAGCCACCTTTCAAGCCACCTTTCAGATTAGAAAGGATTTTCAGCAGTCTTTCCGTACTTCTGTTCTCTCAGCCCAGTCCCTCTTTTTTCGCAAAACACAGTTCTTTTATTGTGCTAGGAATAGCCGTACATTCATCTTCCAATTGTCTCTTAAAATTTTAAAAGGGAACGGTTATTAATCCTAAATAGCAACTAGCCTTTCAACGCCGGTGAACGGGAAGAACTTATAACCCGACCTGGCTCCAATATGAGGCTTTTGCAAGGCCTCTTTTTCTCTTTTTTTCTTTTCTTTTGTATAGTTCAATCGACGGTAGCGAAATCAAGGCAGTTATACGTGAAATCACTGACAACATGTATGCCGAATTCGCAGTTCTCAGCTTCGACATTGGACGCTGTGTACTACCCAGATAACACTTCTATATACTTTGATGTATCAGCACGCTCTCTTGTTTCTACCAATGTTTCGATTCATGTAAATGTCAGTGCTTATGGATTCACGTTGGAGAAAACAATCGATCCTTGTAACATGAACATTGCTGGGTTCTGTCCCATGCAGGCCGGAAACATCATATTAGAAGGAAACCATAATTTGACCGGTGAAGTAATCCAATGGATCGATGATCTTCCTGGCATTGCCTATTTAGTGCCTGACTTGGACGCAAAAGTAACCGTCAATATCTATGATACCGACAACAATCAAAGGATTGCTTGTGTAATGACAAACGTTGAGAATGGTCGTTCTGTGTACTATCATGTCATATACTGGGTTATGTGCATGGTGATTGGTATTCCCTTGCTCTTGTCTCTACTTTTATCTCCTGTTCTTCAAACTCCAGCTATGTGGGAAGTTTTTGAAAACATGGTTGTATTATTCCAATTTGCACAGATGCAAGCTCTTTATGCCATGATGGCAAGCCCTCTTCCTGCAATTATTTTCAGCTGGGGACGTAATTTCATCTGGTCTATGGGAATCATTAAAATAGGGTTTATGCAAAAAGTTTTCACCTGGTATGTGAAATCCACTGGAGGTGACCCGTCAGTTCTTGTTGAAATGGGTCCCCACGCCAACGTGGGTCTTGCAAAACGTGGACTAGAAACTGCGTCTTATTTTTCTAAAAGAGCTTCCAACTCAACTCTAGGAACAGGCTCCTCCTCGAGTTCGAATAACGGTACAGTGGCGCTTAGAGGCATCAAACGTATTTCCTATTTGATGGGAATTGAGACGACTAACTTTTTTATTACTGGATTTTCATTCTTTATCATCCTTCTTGGATTTACCGTATGTATTGCCATACTGTCTCGAATTGTTCTTGAGGTGTACTATCTTGTTGCTCGAGATAAGACATTAAAAAGACAACGCATTCGTGAATATTGGAAAGCCATCACGAAAGGCTTTTTTTACCGTGCCATTTATCTTGGCTTTTGGCAAATGAGTGTGCTGTGTATGTGGGAAATATATACCCGTGACTCTTCAGCTTTGGCATTTTTGTCTATGTATGTGATCGTAGATATGGCTGTTCTATTGTTGTACGCATTTGTGCGCACAATGCAAATCATTCGGAAAACTGGTGCTTTTTCTGATCCGGATGCACTGTTCAATTTGTATTCAGACACTCAACATTTGATGAGATGGGGATTCATGTATGTGAGCTACCGACATCGGTTTTTCTTTTTGAGCTTTTTCTTGCTCGTTGTAATTCTAATAAGATCGATGTTCATCGGTTTTGGTCAATCCTCGCCCATTGTACAAGGTTGTGCTATGTTTGCGATTAGCGTTGTGGAATTCTTCTTCATGATCTTTGCTCGACCCTATGCTACAAAGCACTTGAATAGCTTGCACATTGGTATTGCTTTGGTAAATTTGATAAGCGGAATATTTATCCTCATCATGTGCAAAGCATTCACAATAAATGAATTAGCTCGTCAAGTTATAGGTATTGTGTTCTTTGCTATTAATGCTATCGCGATGCTACTATTAATTTTGGGTATTTTTATTCGCAACGTGATAGTGTTATTAAGAAGAAGCAAGAATGGTACCTATTATCGTATATTGGATGATTCGAATAAAAAGAGTACTTCTATTCAAGACTTTTCTAAGCACCCGAGCTCGGAGATCAATGTTTACCATGATTCTGGGTTGACGGGAACGACAGCGCGAGGTTCGACGGATATACGCACTACGGATAACCCATTTTCCAGTGGTGACGACAGATTTCCGAATCATAAAAATATGCCATGGCAAGCCATAGAGGAAGAGTCGTTCGCCAGGTTGCATGAAACAAAACCAAACGAGCTTTATAGCGATCCTAGCGATGTGGCATCAAGCAGAGGATATCGACGAAGACCGTTGCCTGAGACACCCTTCTATTAGTTTATTCTTTCTATTTATAAGCATTTTCCTATAAGAGGCGTCATATAGTCATTACAAAGTGGATTTATAAACAGTAAAATCCAATACCGGGACTACTCGTTGCTTGTGGATCCGCCGTGCGCAATACCATTATGGTAGCCGTTTTATGCAAAATTTGGTAAAGACGGCACTGTTAGATCTCGGAGAAGAACCCCCTTAAAAACAACAACTGCATGAGCATAAGTCATACTTTATTTATTTTGAAAGATAGTTGTTATTACTTGATACTGCATACCCTGTTACTGTCTAAGTTTTTATGTTTACGTTGTTTCCAAAAATCTCTTTTGGAAAGTTCGTGTGTGATATGATTCGATACCTGAAGATCCTCTTTCTCTCTTTTTTATCCGAGGACCTATTTTAGTTTTTCTGTTGTCTTTAGATGTGAATACAAATTTGAATACCTTAAGATTACAACGTTGTCGATGGGAGTACATGAATGAAGAGTAAATAGTTATCGTAATACTATTTTTAGAAAGTACCTATCAATTGATGAGGCGATAAAGTCCTGCACCCACAAATCCTGTAGCTAGTGACAATATACCCAATCTTCTTGTACGGTAGAATGGCGTACCTCTTGGAATGTTGGACTGCCAGTAAGCATAAACACCAAGCCCTGTAAATGCTGTGGCACCTACAAGGCGACAGGGCAGACAATCATATTGCTCAAACTTTGGATCTTTAAGATCAACAGAGGATTCGGATTGTGGAGAAGCCATAAAAAAAAAGAATGAAACAAGAACAAAAAGTTGCTATAGGATAGCAGTTCGAAAAAAGAACACGATGGGAATAATGCCGTAGAGATTCGAAAGCAACAGGATGAAGACTCTTTTTAGAATGAAATAAAGGAGTTGAGTTATTTATACCGGAAATTTCAACTAAAATAACCAAAATAGAATAGACCAAAGAAAAAGGACAAGGACTGAAAAGAGTTTAGCTAGAACGCTGAAAGTTGCATGAATCTTGGTGATTCGAAAATTCAATCCACGAAACACAGCAAAACTAATTCAAAGAGAAAGATTCTTTTTTTTTGACTTAATACAAGCATCGACCAATATTGACGACCCCTTTGGAATAGTTCATTTCATCTCTTGGGTTTGTTTACATCAATAGTGAGGCTTTACGAGATTGAAAATTTCTTTTCTCTAGTCACGATTGAGTACGATATTTACTGTCGATCCTCCATGGGAAGCAACAGTATCGGAAATTCCCTGGGCCGAGCATTGTCAAAAAAGAATTTTTTGAAGCTTCCATACACTGTTTCATTGTATACTTTCTCATTCAAATATTGAACTCTTAATTCGGATTTCTTTCATCTTCCTTATATCTAATATCATTTAAGCCGCTGTACAGAATTATACGGAGCTTCGTTGTGACTTGGTAAACGTGTAGCATTTGAGCCCGAAAGAATAGAGTAAATAAGTTAACCACTGCCATAACGAAGGAAAGAGCGGTGACTCCAAATCAGTTATAAACAACAATCTACTTTGAGTTTTTGCTTTCATTGTAAAGCAGGAAAAAAGTAATTTAGGAATGGCGACTGAACTTCGTAGAAAACTGGTTATTGTGGGAGACGGTGCATGTGGTAAAACATGCCTTTTAATGTAAGTATATGAGCTGGTTGTTGGAAAGGAGAGCATATTCAGCGATGATACCTGGATAGCTTGACTCTTCTTCATTTTGAATGATGTTTGGTTCTTTTAAGGCAGAGAGACCTCCACTTGTTCATGTTCAAAGGCCTTTAGGTTGGGAAGGGTAAAGGTTTATTTCCGGACATGACTGGTGACAGCAAATAAATTTGAAATGGGTCGCTTCTGTTGAGAAGGAAGAGTCGACGTCGTAGGTTTTGAAAGGGGTGGGGCTTATAGAAGAAGAAATCGTCGTCTCGCATTTCATTAAGATGTCGTTTTGATCTGCATAAAAACAGATTGTGTCTATCCTACTTGAAAGTATCTGTTGGCTTTTTCTTTTTTAAAAAGTTCCTGCTTAATCTCTTCCTTCAGTCCTGTTCGTTTCGTCAACCAGACTCGTATTTCTTTTACTCTTTTAACATTCCATTCGTTACTAACTTTGTATAGTGTCTTCTCAAAAGGCACCTTCCCAGAAGTTTATGTTCCCACCGTCTTTGAAAACTATGTTGCTGATGTAGAAGTTGATGGACGTCACGTTGAATTGGCCTTGTGGGATACTGCCGGTCAAGAAGATTATGACCGTTTGAGACCTTTGTCTTATCCAGATTCTCATGTCATTCTTATTTGTTTCGCTGTCGATTCTCCGGATTCCCTCGATAACGTCCAAGAGAAATGGATTTCCGAAGTTCTTCACTTCTGCTCCAGTCTTCCTATATTGCTCGTCGCTTGCAAGGCTGATTTGCGTCATGATCCCAAAATTGTTGAAGAACTCTCCAAAACTCAACAACATCCTGTTAGCAGTGAGGAGGGCCAAGCAGTTGCTCAAAAGATCGGTGCTTACAAGTATTTGGAATGCTCTGCTAAGACAAACGAAGGTGTCCGTGAAGTTTTCGAATCTGCCACCCGTGCTGCTATGTTGAAACACAAGCCAAAGACTAAGCCTTCCAGTGGTAGCAAAAAGAAGAAGCGTTGTATATTGATGTAAAGTGACTCTCTTCTATGGAATATCATCATATTTTTTCCATTTAGATAAATCGTTTCCGATTCTTTTTACTCTATCTTTATTATCATATTTGTAATTTACCTGTACATTTCCTTTTGTCCCTTCTTGCTAGCTGCGGTTTATGGATGTATGCTTTTCTGTCCGGTGATGAGATGCATTCTTGTGTCTAAGCACGGCTGTTTATTGAATTCGTTACGGTCGTCCTGTTATGAGTTGTTTGGGTCCAATTTATCTGGGTAACTTTTCTGTTTCGACTTTCAAAGCAACGCATCTATATTTAAATTGCGTGCGCTCTTAGTAATCTCTTACTTTTTCTTATTTCTTTGCTTGAGCATTCTCTTATGAGACTTGCTTTTTTTTCTTAACATTCCTTGCATGATGAATATCCCTATTGCATGCCTCATTGTTCATTGAAGAACTTTTTGAGAACCCTTGTTGCTTAACTTTCTTTAATAGTCGTCTAGCTTGGTCACTATTTTATATATCGGAAATTCAATTCAAAAATCTGCTCAGTAAACATTACATTTTTCTCCCTAGTAGAACATAGAAGAGTACCTTCTAAGCACGCGCTGTTTGGGAAAATATGCTAGTAGATACACAATTTATGAGACATCAAGTAAAATGCGAACTTTCATTCAATTGCATCTCTCGTGTTTCTTTCTAGACATTTTTTTCATCATTAGAATCAAGTCGGTGTTGCAAGCGAGTTTAATCAGTATTATACCATTGCTAGTATTGTTTCATAGCAGTTGAAGATGCTGTTGTTTCAAAACCTACGTACGTGCTATGCTGAATATATAGGTTTTAAACAAAGAAATCTGGATCCTTTACAGGCATGTATTTCAACATGATTTCTGTAGCAAGTCAGCACCAAACAACAAAATTTCGATTATTATTAATCCATTTTTTTTATTAATTGTTTATTTTGTTCAATTTAAGAAGAACCTATAGTCACAACGTTTCTTAAGTTTGGTTCCCTTTCTTAAACTACCAAACAAACAACTGGTGAATGTCGTGCACAGAAGAGGACCCTAACCTGCATGAGAAAGATCGCCGCATCGAAACAGAAAATGCTTTCAATTACATTCCATTAATGTACGAATGTTCAGATATCCTTATGCGGAAGTGAACTGCGGATCTTACATCGTACAATTCTCATCAATCCATTTTATCTAATGAATTTTAAAAATTAGCTTTCGAAAAAAGTTTTATCTTTTTATTTGTTCATTAACAAAGCTAGACATGCATAACATCCACTTATGAGCAACTTCTTTCTTTGTTTTTGGAAAAGAAAGAACGCGGTTGTTTTGATGACAAAGACGCGTCTGAACGCGCGTCGCGTATCCCAAAGCTCACGCAATCCAAATGAATTTGACCTGTTCGTGGAGTAATACTCGCGTCAAGAGGTTATCTGATTATTGTCTAATAAATCCATACACACGAATCTTATAAATGAAAGAAAAGTTTTGTTTTTGTTCAATATATTTAGTTTTTTTTATGCGGGTTTTTTAGGTTGAAATTCTGGTCTTCGTCTTCAGGCACGCTCAAGTTGCTGTAGCAGTTATTAAATGTGAAGTATGGAATAAAGAAATATTCAGGTTAGTAAGAGCTTTATTTTTTGATTTCAAGTTCGAATAGTATTTACAAACTCGTTCCTGTGGTTTATTTACATCGAATGTTTGCAATATCATGTTGTTGTGACGCGTCGCGTAGATTATTTAATACGAGCGCGACGCGTACGGGCGCGTTTTCGTTTGCTATATATTATCCACCATCCCCAACGCTAATGCTCTAAACAAAAACAATGTTTGTCTATAAGAGAGGTAAGTATTTTTTGAAGCCATTACACTAGGAGAATCCGTTTAAATAAATAATACCAATGTGAGTTGGCTTTTTTCGCGAATTTTGTAAAGATGACTACTCTTTCTGGGAAGGATCAAAGGACTTTTTACGGTCATAACTTTGAAAAGAGAAAGAAAATTTTTACTCTTGTTGGTTCTTTTATATGTTTTTACGTGAAATGATTCTCTTGATTGACTAAGAATGGTCACTGTACCAAGTCCAGTGGCGGATAATGGCCTTAACCACATACGGAAATATTTTGAAGCTGAGCTAACAAATCTATTTAGACGGACACCAGGAAAAGGTTGCATTTGATAAGATCACAGCTCGTGTTTCAAGACTTTGTTATGGTCTTGACTCCGATCATGTGGATCCTGTGGCCATTACTCAAAAAGTCATCTCAGGTGTCTATCCCGGTGTAACCACTGTGGAATTGGATAACTTGGCAGCTGAAACTGCTGCTACTATGACCACAAAGCATCCTGATTATGCTATCCTTGCTGCAAGAATTGCGGTCTCCAACTTACATAAGCAAACAGATAAGGCATTCTCTACTGTTATGCAAAAACTTCACGATTATGTTAATCCCAAAACTGGTAAACATGCTCCTATGATTTCTGATGAGGTATATAACATTGTTATGAAGCACAAGGACGAATTGGATAGTGCTATCATTTATGATCGAGACTTCACATATAACTTTTTTGGTTTTAAGACATTGGAACGTTCCTACTTATTGCGTATTAATGGAAAAGTTGCTGAACGTCCTCAGCACTTGATTATGCGTGTGGCTGTCGGTATTCATGGTGAGGATATTGAAGCTGCCCTTGAGACTTACAACTTGATGTCTTTACGTTACTTTACCCATGCTTCCCCTACTCTCTTCAACGCTGGTACTCCTCGCCCTCAAATGTCATCTTGTTTCCTTGTTACAATGAAGGATGATTCTATTGAAGGTATTTATGACACTCTCAAAACTTGTGCAATGATTTCCAAGACTGCTGGCGGTATTGGTATAAACATGCATAATATTAGAGCCACTGGTTCCTATATCGCTGGTACCAATGGTACATCCAATGGCCTTGTTCCCATGATTCGTGTCTTTAACAACACTGCTCGCTATGTCGACCAAGGTGGTAACAAGCGTCCAGGTGCTTTCGCTGCTTATCTTGAGCCTTGGCATGCTGATATCATGGAGTTCCTTGACCTTAGAAAGACACATGGTAAGGAAGATTTCCGCGCTCGTGAGATGTTTTACGCTCTTTGGATCCCAGACTTATTTATGCGCCGTGTGGAAAAGAATGAACCATGGACCTTCTTTTGTCCCAATGAGGCACCTGGCTTAGCCGATGTTTGGGGTGAAGAGTTTGAGGCTTTGTATGAAAAGTATGAAAAGGAGAACCGCGGACGTCGTCAGTTGCCTGCCCAAAAAGTTTGGTATGCCATTTTGCAATCTCAAACTGAGACTGGTAACCCTTTTATGCTCTACAAAGATTCATGCAATCGCAAGTCTAACCAAAAGAATTTGGGTACTATTCGCTGCTCCAACTTGTGTACCGAAATTATGGAGTATTCCGCTCCCGACGAAGTTGCCGTTTGTAACCTTGCTTCAATTGCTTTGCCTACTTTTATCAAGGATGGCAAGTACAACTTTCAAAAGCTTCACGATGTAGCTAAGGTCGTTACTCGCAATTTGAACAAGATTGTTGACATTAATTATTATCCTGTACCTGAAGCTCGCAAAAGTAACTTCCGCCACCGCCCTATCGGTTTGGGTGTTCAAGGACTTGCTGATGCCTTTTTTGCCCTCCGTCTTCCCTTCGAATCTGCAGGTGCTAAGAAGTTGAACATTCAAATCTTTGAAACTATCTATCATGCCGCTGTTGAAGCCTCTAATGAATTGGCTGAAAAGAACGGCCCTTACGAGAGTTACGAAGGTTCTCCTGCTTCTCAAGGTATCTTGCAATATGATATGTGGAACGTTACTCCTACTGACTTGTGGGATTGGGCGGCTTTGAAGGCCAAGGTTGCTAAACACGGTTTGTATAATTCTCTGTTGGTTGCTCCTATGCCTACTGCCTCTACATCTCAAATTCTTGGTTTCAATGAGTGTTTTGAGCCTTACACCTCCAATATGTATCAACGTCGTGTTCTTTCGGGTGAATTCCAAATTGTCAACCCTTGGTTATTGAAGGATCTTGTTGAACGTAACTTGTGGAACGAGGAAATGAAAAATAAACTTGTTATGCTCGATGGCTCTATTCAAGCTATCCCAGAGATCCCTCAAGATCTTAAGGATCTGTATAAGACTGTTTGGGAAATCAGTCAAAAAACTGTCATTGATTATGCTGCTGATCGTGGTCCTTTTGTCGATCAATCTCAAAGTCTGAATGTTCACTTGAAGGATCCTTCTTATGGTAAAATTACCAGTATGCACTTCTATGGCTGGAAGAAGGGCTTGAAAACTGGTATGTATTATTTGCGTACTATGGCGGCTGCTTCTGCCATCAAGTTTACTGTTGATCCTATGATCCTTCGTGAGCGTAATAAGCAAGTTGCTCAAGAAAATCGTGCTCCTATTAAGAATGAAAAGGCTGAAAACAAGGGGAATAAGGATTCTGATGAGGCTGACATCTACAATGAACAAGTCATTGCATGCTCTATTAATAATCCTGAATCATGTGAGATGTGTTCTGCTTAAAAAGTCTAAAAAGCTTTGGTTTATTTTTGTTATGAATGACTTCCATTTGATGTATATTATAAGGTAACCTTTGTTGGTTTTACTGTCTTTCCTTTTTCTGTTTTAGTGAGCTGGCTCCGATCATTTAGTTTTGAGGTTGAGATTTTATTTAGTAAATAAAAATTTCTTTAATAATAGACTGGAATTCTATTTTGTGTACGAAGCGCAGTAGTCAACAATCAATACATCTAAGCATATGCGTGGAGCAAATATACAAGCCTTACCACAATAGAATGGACTTCCATCATTACTTAGATAGTTGCGGAGTCTGAAGAAAGTACTAAGACGGCAACACTTAGTATATGGTGAGTTTATTCAATTTTACACATAGAACGTCTTTAATGTCATGATGATCGCAATAGCATCATTATTTTTATTCATAGAAGTTAGCATCGATTTTCGTAATGCGAACTTCTAGATATGGCAAGATATGAGGTTTTCAAAAAATAATTAATTAGTAAAGCCTTCTGGTTTCATTTTTTTCGTCGCTGATTTACTTGTTTCAAAAGCGCTCAGACACGATTGCAGCGTTGACTTTCAAGAAATAGGGACTCAAGAACTCAGTTATGAATGGTACAGTAGAACAGGAAATGCCTTCACAATCAAGGAAAGCTTTAATATTGGTGACAAGTTATAATGGCCCTTTTTATGACGACGGCGACAATACAGGAGTATACTATCCAGAGGTTTATGGACTCTTTCGGGTTCTCCAGAGCAACGGGTTTGACGTTGAATTTGCTTCTGACACTGGAGAGTACGGATTCGATTGCAAATCAGTACAGGAATCTTCCACTACGAGGGAAGCTTTGAATGTTCTCGATGATCCGAAGAGCACGCTGGTAGCTAAATTGAAAACAATATCTCGATTGAGTCGTCTTGACCCTGATGATTACGATGCAATTATCGTTTCCGGAGGATACGGATGCTATTTCAACTATTCCCATTGCAAAGACGGTCAAGAGTTTATGAGAGCTATGTTTCGTAAAAACAAGGTTATTGCTACTGTTGCTGAAGGCGTTCTATTACTGACTTACACTACGAGAGACGATGGTCATACTTTGTGTTGGAATCGAAGGATAACCAGCTGTACTTGGAGAGATTCGATTCAAAATGGGGTGCAGGATATATAAAAGAGACTTCATTTTCCTTCTATTGAGGATATATCCAACGAGAGTGGAGCTATCTTTGAAAATCCACCGGTATTTTATACAGATGGTTTTGCTATCGAGGATGGAAACATTATAACTGGATCGAATAAAAATAGCGCTGAATTAGTTGCTCAGAAGGTTGTGAAGAACTTGAATTATAACCAGATAAACTAGAAATCACGAGGAATTATGAAACATTCTTAACCTAAGTTCTTGACTAATACAAGCCTTCTATCTAATTGATCCCACATCACAGAATTACTTCTTCGTCACTTGTTTTTATAAAATCTCTACGTTCTTAAATTTCACAATTTAGCTTTCTGGATTTAATTCTTACTTTCCTTTCGATGGCTGCAAGAAAAGGCTTGTAACATACGGCATTGTTCAATGACATTGGAGTATAAAAGTATTATCATCGTCGGTTCGATAAGGAAGATTAAATTCTCACCAAAACTCACGAATTAAAAATTTGCAAAGGTAAGATTTCTCAAAGATTGCCGCATTCCACTTCATTCCTATTACCCTGAGGTTTGTCTCGAATTTTCATTTTGGCTATATTCTATCCTTTGCTTGCAAAATGCAGAAAATAGTAAGCAAGCAAACAATTACCAGTACTCATTTAAATATTCAGAATTGAAAATGATAATTCTTAGAGTATCCAGACATTATTTTTTGTAATGGCGAATACCCCCTTACTGCTTAATAGTTTTTTGACAGAGAAAGATTTATTCTTTTTAATATCGTTTGGGTCGCCGCAAATGTTTGGAACATATTTATTAACTAATGGATGATTTCCTAAAAAAGATAATGGAAATATGAAAGTGATCCAAAAAAAGAAAGGAAAAAAAATCAATTTACATCTCAGATGGACTCATAATATCTGCCGCGTTTTCTTTGACAGCTGCTTTGATATCCTCTTCATCGTCGGGTTCCTCAGTGGTTAAAGGTTGGACTTGTATGCCGTAAAAGACAATACTTCCCATGCCAATACAGGCTGCTAAAACACACATGGCTACTGAAGCGATTGCCTTGGATGTCCAACCAGAAGGCATTTCACCGGGAGGAGCAGGAGCGCCAGTCAAATTCGATATATTGTAAGTGTTTCCAGCACCGTTACCTGAAACTTCAATATTTTGCATTATACACTGGCGACGGACAAATTCAGGAGCAGTTATATAAGGAACTCTATCAGGAGCCTCCAAAAAGGTTGCAACCAAACCACTTTCCATATGCCATTCAATATGGCAATGCAAAAGCCAAGCACCGGGATTGTCAGCGAGAAAACGAAGGCGAACAAAACTTCCAGGATGAATTTCAATGGTGTCACGGCGGATGGGATGATCATACACCTTATGCTCAGTTTGGTCGTTGTATTCACCAGCGTTTTCATCACCTCGTTCTAATACCTGGAAAACGTGTCCATGTAAATGGAAAGGATGTTTTCCTGTATCGTGGTTATCGATAACCACGTCAACTGTTTGGTTGTAATCAAAGATAAAGGCATTGGTATAGGGGCCGTAGGTTATGGGTTTCATGTTATAATCATCATAGTTGGTAGAGTTGGCAATCATAAGTCCAGGAACTTTTGGATATTTGAATGATTTTCCATTAATTTCAGCATAGTTTGCACCATTTTCAAGGGTAAAGAAATCGAACCAAAGAGAGACGTTATGGTCGGCTTCTCCCCAATTGACATCGTACAAAGGTTGTAATTCGGCATCATCATAGCTGTTAATCTCATCAACAGGAAGTGCATAGTTGTTGGGAGAGTTGGAATTGTATGAAAGCCAGGCAGTAATGTTTGGATTATAATTAGGGGGGACCTGGTCAAAAAGTGATTCATCCATATAAGCGGTCATGGCATAGTTACGGTCGGTGGAATTTTTGGCTGTCACAAGAACACTGTAGCGCTGGGCAGTGGTTATGTGGATTGAGGATACTTCTTGAGGTTTTGTGTATATACCATCAACCTCGATGATGGTCATATTGTGATCTTCGAGCATAATGTCATAATTGTTGAAGGCGCCCAAATTAACAAAACGGAGTCGATATGTTTTTCCCGGTTCCATTTTGAAGGTAGAGTTAATGCTATCATTGATGAGACCAGTGTCGGGAACTGGTTCAGCACCGGTCGGGTTGTGCCAACTTACGAATTGCTCAGGAACGAGTTTATAAAACGGTTCATAATACCAATCAGTTAAACTGATGATATAATCCTCATCATAGTCGTAAGGCTCGTTTGGGTTATTGATAACGAAGGAAGTACGAAGGCCATCTGGGTATTGACTCATATCGTGAGAGTGAACCCAGTAAGTGCCGGTCTGATCGGCGGTGAAGTTGTAATAATAGGTAGAACCAGGAGGGATAGAGCATTGAGTCATTTGTGGAACACCATCCATATAACCATTATGGCGCTGAAAAATACCATGGGAGTGCAAGCTGCAAGTTCGATTGTCGCGAAGATGGTTGCTCATTTTGATGATTACTTGGTCGCCATAATCGACGACGAGAGGTTCAATGGGCCATTGGTTATTCACACCCATCACCCAGCGAGGATGGCCGGATTTATCAACGTCCAAGTTGTCTATATCTGTGACATTCCATTCAAACAGGCGGGTTTTAGCAAGAGCAGATCCCACAAGCGTACACAACACAAGCCCAAAGGAAGGTAGAAACATTTGAAAATCAATGGATAATAATATTTATGATAATACAAGAAAAGCACAAACTTAGTATGGAAGGATCAGAAAATAGGCGACAAGCAAAATCAACGAACGGTATATGGAGGAAAAAGAAGCCTTGATCAATACGATCCCTATAACAACCAAATAAAGTAATAAATAATGAAATAAAGATAATAAAACAAATTAAAAAAGATCAAAAGTGAAATCCTTTCTATCCCAAAGTCTTTTGGTGTGTTAAGTTTTTTGTTTCTTGAAAAAATGGACTTTGATCAGATATCCAAGATCAGAAATCGCTGCCATTAAGACTTTATTTTATACCCGGAATGAACTGATCTGATATTTTTGTGCAGGTTGCAAAAAATGTCTATATCTTCTTTGTCCCTCTTTTGATAATCTGATAGTGCAAAATAAGCATAGAGATAACCAATCGGAAAATATATGGCGACATTTCTGTAGTTATCAGATCATCCCATATGTAACCAGCATTCCCAACTTAAAGTGCTTATAACGGAGAGGGAGGCCTCTCCATGATGAGAAGGCTCATATCAGATTTAAGAGCAGAAGATTAGATTCCGTTAAACTGATAAAGTGATAGAGACCGAGGTGGATTGTCGCATTATTTTTGTCTTATACATTGGAGTGTAAACAAAAGAAGGTAAAAAGAAAAGTGAAATTAAGTGAAGAAAAGAATTAAAGAAATATGGGAAATAATGTATTTTCAGTACCGATTTACTTTATCGTACTTCGAGAGACGCTCGAGGCGTCAATTATTGTGTCTGTATTGATGTCGTTCATTTCACAAACGTTGACGAACGCGAATGGAGAAGTCTCGGATCCAAAGTTAAAGCGTAGATTTACGATTCAAGTATGGGTTGGCTCATTTATCGCACTATTTATTTGCCTGGCTGTCGGCGGTGGGTTTATTGGTGCCTTTTACGCACTAGGAAAAGATATCTGGGGAAGTTCTGAAGAAATATGGGAAGGCGCATTTTCACTCATTGCTGTTGTTTTGATTACAGTCATGGGATTTGCAATGCTTCGTGTCTCGCACCTTCAAGAGAAATGGAGAAAAAAGCTCATGCGTAGTATCGCAAATCGAAAGGCTCGTGGTATTGGTAGTTGGAGTAAAAAGTATGCTATGTTTTTGCTCCCCTTCTTCACAGTCCTTCGTGAAGGGCTTGAGGTTGTCGTTTTCGTTGGCGGTGTCGGATTAGAAACACCGGCCACTGCATTCCCTCTGCCTGTTGTTTGTGGTCTCATTACTGGCTGCTTGATTGGTTATTTTATTTATAAGGGTGGAAATATTATGAATTTGCAATGGTTTTTGATCGCTTCTACTTGTATCCTATATCTCATTTCTGCTGGTCTTATGGCCAAGGCTGTTTTTTACTTTGAGGTCGATAAATACAGTCGTGCTACCGGAGGTGACTCGGCTGAATTAGGTGATGGGCCTGGTTCTTATCCTTTTCAACAAGCAATTTGGCATGTTAACTATGGTAATCCCGAAATGAACTCTAACGGTGGATACATGATTTTCAATGCTATTTTGGGTTGGATGAATACGGGTACTTATGGTACTATTCTTAGTTATATCATTTATTGGTTATTTGTAACTACTTGCATGATGCTTATGTGGTGGAGAGAACGTCGTACTGCTCAACGCGCTCAAAAATCTGCTGGCGTTATTAGTTCAAAAAATAGCAAGGAACAGGATCTCGAGGCAGCTAATTCCATGCATTCTACCCAATCTTCATCTTCAAAAGACTCTTCCTTTGAAATTCAAGAAAAGGAAGCTAACAAAGAAATAGAAGAGGAAAGCAAGCAACCTGATGTTATTACAGAAGTCCGTCAAACTGCTTAGTTCATACACACACATATCCTCTCCCACCCCCAACTCTTGATTTTTTTTTTATATTTTATATTTCCTTTTCCTCTTCCAATGTTTTTTCTACGTTCCTATTCTTTTTGAATTGTTGTATCCCGTTTTATCTATGTCTACATACCTCTAATATTCTAATTGTTTTACTACATTTATTGTTTCATTCTTGTTTTCATAACGCATTCAGATATCTTCAATATTAGCAGAGTCCTCAAATATTTCCTGTTAAATTTTTCTCGGTACACTGTTTATTTACTCTATTTGTTTGCTTGACTTTCAATCTAATAATCTGATTAATCAGTATACTTATCTGATCGAGGTTTATTTACATCTAAACAAAAACAATGAAATGCTTTCAAGAAAACATTGATGATTTGAATCATGTAATTATGGAATGAAGGCTATTGTTTATATTATTTAAAGTATTTATAGTATCTATACAGTCGTCTTGATGCCCCCTTTTCTTTCAATCTCATTTCATATCATATATACTTCAAAAACATTATCGTCACATTCCACAGAAAAAACTTTTTTTTTGAATGAAAGTCACTAGACTGGTCATCCATTACTATTTTGTCAACTAGAATTGACTGATTCGATTTCTATTGTTATACTATTGAGCGGTGCTTCTCCATTCTTCATTATTGGTTTTATTGTTTACTTGTATGTCTGGTATTTTTCTAGTTTATTGATGGTTGTTCTCAATTATCAAATTACCAGTGTATACTTTAGTCTTTGTACACGATAATAAAAAGTTCCAAATCAATGAATCAGTATCAATTGTCATTTATGCATATGCAACACCTTCGGCCTCTATTTAAGCAAAAGAAATTTAGTGTTAGAAGTGACAAGACATATTTCTTATATTTTTGAAACTTCAGAATACAAGAAAGTCTACATTAGAATACTAGAATGACACAAACTTGCAAAACAGGTAAGGTAGCAAACTTTTCCACTTCTGCTTTGACTCTTTGCCTGTACTAGTGCATACATTTACTCCTAAACTAACGAGACGAGACCCTCAGACGCTTAACTGCAGTGATCGGACGGGAACTGGTGTTTTCGTCTAGGTTTGGCCGTAGACGTTTGCAATGTGTAAGTAAAGGTATTTGTATTAGTAATGAGTATTCATCTCATGTTTTTCAAAGTTGATAGAGGATGGTTTTGATACTTACAAGATTAAAGCACACTGTTTTTCTCTTTTCTAGCTATTCACATTGTGCTAAATTGTCGTTGAGGTGTGAGACCAAATGTCTAAATTTATAGCAGTTGACGAAGCTGTAGTTGAGAAGTAAATTATTAAACTACATTAGTTGAAACGGCCAATCTGAATACGTCCAGCTTTGAATTAGAAATCGGTTGATTATTTTGCAAAATTATCGTCATAACAACTAAATGATCATTAAAAAGGTTGCATTAACAAAAATTTTCGTCACAAAGAAAACGAACGATTCATAAATAACACTATTGCGAGACGAATTCAAAGATTCATAAAAGAGTGAACATGAAAAGCAATCAAACCTGCCGAATGAAGCTGATGCTTACTTTTGTGGACAAGAATGCAGAAACTTGAGGGATTGCAATTGATATGGATGCTTCGAAGGAAAATGTGATTTATAGGAGGGATGGAGAAGATTCGTTAAAACTCAAACTTCAGCGCTTTGCTCAGCAAGAGGTTGAAGCTCAATTTCCTCGTTACGAGGTGCTTCATTTTCTGGATCTGTCGGTCCTAATTAGGTTAATCAGGTGCTAAGAAAAGAAAAAAAAGGAATTTATAGTAAGCAGTACATACGAAAATAATTCGCAGCATTTCTTATGCCGTTTCCTATGACATCTGCACCGTTTCCTATGACAACTGCGCCGTTTCCTATGGCATTCACCATGTTTCCCATGCCATTTCCTAAATCAGCAATGAAGATTCGAAGTTGTCGCGTATCCGTACCTAGAACCAGTTAGAATATTTCGCAAGGTGTAAGACATACTCCAAAATAAAACAAACACGGCAACGTTAACAATGCAAACAAAATAGAAAAACCCTTTGTCCATCTTTTCAAATCCTATTACCTTCTTTACAAAATAATACACGGAATAACAAGGGACATTCAGAGAAGCCGTACATAATACTGCGGCACACATGTTGGACAGCACTCTACCAACTTGCTTGTACCACCCCGGGTAGAGCATATGCGCGACTAATAGTTAATAAAAATAAAAGATAGCGCTAGCTTACAATAGAGAAATACTACAACGGATGCTCCACAAGCAGCAGAAAGTCCCCAAAGGGTTTTCGCCCTCAGAGGAACCTTGACATAAAAAAACACCACGAGAAAAATAACATAAAATATAATATACACAAAAGATGCAAAAAAAAGAAGATAGCTATTCGAATCCACTTCGAATATCTCGAATCCGACCCAGCGTTGTTAGTGGACTCTTGGGCAGAATGCTGAGCAGATCCATCAGCCATTTCTAAATCAATAAATTTGTTCGGAGCTAATGAATGTATTAGTGATGAATGCTTTTGTTGTTTGAGAAAGGATAGAGCGTTTGTCGGGTCTGTTTACAAGGAATTGCAGACATTTATGGATATTGAAGCAATCGACATTCGTTTGTTCCTTTCTATTTCAATAAATCTTACTTGAGTACGGAGGAGGCGTACCAGTACCATCTAAAGATCTAGCGTCTGACTTTTCATCATTGAGCACTTTGAAAGAGTCATCAGAATCCGAAACTGGAGCGTAATTATTCTTCATTTTTACAATGGCAACTAGAAACACAAAATAATGCAGATATATACATCCAAAACGAAACCAGCTAGAATCAACCAACAAAGTCCGCAAGTACTAATTTCACAATTCGCGCGGATCGGGTCAAAAAAAGAATTACTCCTTCTTATAAATATAAACTAAGAACACTGTTCAAAGGGAAACTCCTCTCAAAAGATGAAGCGTAGTTGAAAAACTCATGGTACTTGGCTTTTCGCATGTCTCAATTTCATAAGCAGCGACATTATGTCACCGACTGGTCACATCCTCGTTACGATTATTCGACTTTCGTTTTTAACCGTACTTTTTCGTAATACTATTATTCAAACGAGCCTTTATTATAATAAGTAAACAAAGAATCTTCCAACAAAAATATACGAATTGTATACTTTAAACAATATATACACGAAATAGGAATTAGATATAACTTTATTTAAAAATCCTTGAAGAAATTTGTCCATCTAGGGGTTTTAAACGCAGTGGATGTTGATGTATGGAAAGGAAATCTTTGTTATGCTGGGTCCGATCTTCTGTTTTTCCTCTAGCTCGGGGTATGCTTGTTTTTTTTTGCATTTATTCATTACACCGCTTTTCCATGACTATACTCTTGATGCAAAACATCACCTAACTCAAAGTACCATGGCGATCAAAAGGAACTCCAAATGTAACACGATGCATGCATACGTTTTACTAAGAGGTAAAAAAAAACGAAGAGTGAAAGAGAAAGCCTACAGCATCCCGGATTCCCATGTTGTCTCCAACCATAGTACTAACGAGGCCCTCAGACGCTTAACTGCAGTGATCGGACGGGAACTGGTGTTTTCGCCTAGGTGTGGCCGTAGACGACAGTTCAAAATATTTTTTTCAATTTATAGCTTGAAAATCAGAATATCCAAGGCCCTCAAATGTCTCACTACAGAAGTATCTTGGTATAGTTTATTAACACTACTTATCAATCGTTAAGAACGTTCGCATAGAAACACAGCCTTTCCTTACAATACTCATATGTTAGATACAAAATAGTCCTACAGTGATGTCAAGATTTCAAGAAAAAATAGATTTTCTACCTTACTTGTGACTTAAATAAACTATACAGAAAGTAAATGCATGTGCTATCGTACTTGATCATGAAGCCAAATCATACATTTCATCTTTATGACACTTTCATATACTCATTATAAAAAAAGGAAAACATTCCTAAAGGGAGGCACGTCGACCACAAACGCGTAGGCGCTTGACACCACCGTCGGGAACGATGATCATACGAATGTGCGTCTTGGGAGTTGAAACATTCTCAAGATCCGAAAAGGCATGTTCCATATGGGGACCGAGTTTATGAGCAGGTAAAATAACCTCCCAGGTACAATCAGGACTAGGGACATGGTCAGGAGAATCTGTTGCTTCCAAGATAACCTCCTTGGGATAATTTCCCTTGAAATGATTAGTATCGACAAGAACATCGTCAATATAGCCCTTGGTACCTAGCTTGACGATGACCCAATCAACATGACCAGGCTCTCTGCTTCTAGCGGTTTCCCAACCATCACCCATGTTGATACCACGGCCAGGCAAAATGAGATTATCTTTTCGTCCAAAGTGTTGGTTACTGCATTGAACCACTAGGCCGCCTAGATACATATGTGCAAGATCCAGACGAATGTCCAGGTCGGCAGGGAACACGGGAATCACGTTTCCGTACACACGAAAACGAGCTATTCCTCCATCCGGGTACATTTGTAAACGTACATGCGTGTAAGCTTCGCTTGTAGGAGTCTCTAATTGAAATAGATGTCGCTGAGAAGGACCACATGGCACTCGCGGAAGAATTGGAGTCCAAAATGCATTGGCATCGGGAATTTTGTTGGGGGAATATGTAGCTTCAACACTTACAGCAGGTGCATGGTTACCAACGAAAAAGGCGGTGTCAATTTCGATACCGCTAATACGGCCACTAGAAGCTCCTACCTTGGCAATTACCCAGTCGGAAGGTTCTGGATTATGTCTTCTCGTTTCCCATCCATCATACCAAGCACCTGTGTCCACATAAACACCTTCTCTTCGAATAGGAGTAGACGATGAAATCAAATTTTGTGCCGAGGCAAAAAATTCATCGCTACATGCGATAATTTGACCACCTAAACTTCGAGAGATTAAATCAACACAATTTTGAGAGAAAAAGGCATCACCCACCTTGGGTGAAACTTGTACAGCAGATACAGTAGACATTGTATATACGCTTCCTATGAAACTCTTTTTTAATCGCCTTCGTACAGCTATGTTGTAAGCTGTAGTTTGAGAAATGAGAATAAATGGTAAGAAAGTTATTAGCGAAAGAACAAAGACTTTTAGAATAGCCTTGATAATGTAATTACTTCCGGTGAGCGCTTTATCTTCACACTTTTGCTTCTTTACAGATCTTCAACGAGCACTTTTACTTTGATAACACTTATTTTTAATTGACAAAAATGGTAGACTTTTTTTTTATTCCAAGAAGTCCTTGTTTCTGCAGAGGAAACTTCCAATATTCTGGTAAAGGAAGTCGTTTCAATGAATTAGTCTTGAAAGCATAGCCTATATATGACTCTTCAGTAGGGTAACCGATATGTCGGGAGACTCTCAAGAATTGAGAATTTCTTTTCATAATTCTTCAGCTATCGTAGTTTTTTTTCCGATGAAGTTTACATATCGTTCTAATCACCTTCCTTTTAGATGTTGGTTATCGAAAGAATAGAGATGGTCGAAACAATCTTCAACGAGATCGAAGCACTATTCTCAAGTCCGAGTGATCTTAAAATAGTTTAATTACTAACGGATAAGTAAGTTTTAACATATTTGTCAAAAAGATTCAGCTTTTGTTGCTTCTTAAAAAGCAAGGAGAATATACTACGTTTCCTACATTCACCTTTCTATTTCTTTAATTTTAATTTCTCATTTTTTAATATCAAAGATGGTGCGCATTCTTGTCATAAATCCTAATTCTACAACGGAAATGACCAACAATGTAAAAAAGGTCTTGGATTCCTGTACACCACATGACGTTGAATTACAGTACCTTAATGGCCCTCCAAACGGACCCGCTTCAATTGAATCCGTGTACGATGGAATCATGTCGGCATCGCTCGTCATGAAACATCTCCAGCAGAATCCACCTAATTGCGATGCCTTTTTAGTCGCTTGCTACTCAGACCATCCCCTTGTATCTGCATTGCGTGAAGCGTATAGAAAACCATGTATTGGCATTATGCAAGCTTCGATTTTCGCAGCATTGTCTCTCGGTCGTAAAGTAGCAATTGTTACAACTACAAAACGTTATGAGCCATTACTTAAGTCTGGTGTCCGCGCTATGGGTATATCTGACAGCGTTTTCGCTGGTGTAGTATCTACAGGTTTGACTCCTTTGGAACTTGAATCAAAACCACGCAGTGAGGTAGATGCTCTTGTACAGGAAAGTTCTCGCAGAGCCATTCGGGATTTGGATGCAGATGTAATCTGTCTTGGTTGTGCTGGAATGGCTCACATGGTACAGGTTGTTCAACAAGCAGTGGGTCATGATGTTCCTGTTGTAGAAGGAGCAAAGGCCGGTATAGGAATGTTAACTAGTCTTGTTCAAATGTCTTTGTTTACTTCCAAAATAGGTGCATATGAAGCCATTCAATTCTAATTTATAATCTCCAGTAGATGGTACATTGTTGCTCTTTTTCATTTGTACAACTTTATATAGAATCTTAAAAATATATTAGTTTTAGGATACCTACATAACCAAAATAAGTATTCTTATTTTTATATGATCGAAAAGAAATCAATCACCAATATATGGCAATGCATATTTTAATTAAGAAATAAAATACAAAAATTTAGAAGCCGATCCCAAACCACGGTTTCCGTACAGCGCTTTTTACAATGGGATAAAGAATTCCCGACCATGAAATCCTAATATACGCATTATTTCCTGAACATGCATAAATAACTTTTTTTCACACACACCATGTGTCGCATAAATAACAAAAGCATCGGCTTAATATGAAAGATATCACCAAGTGGTAACTTTTTCAAATTAGAAACCTCTCAGGAAAAAAAACCAAAAAAAAATTAACGTGAAACGTTGAAAGAATTGCGATCAGCCTTAATAAGGTCGTTCACATATTTAGAAACAGTCTATGTAACTGTGAATTAACCTAACCCGTCGATAAGTGCGTGTCCTCCACATTTATTTTCGAACCACTATCCCATAAAAACTGTTCCAGACTCGTAGAGAGGTTGGGAACAAAAGGCTTTTCATTTTCCGACATTATCCAGTTACTGGCATCCCATAATTCTGTACCTGAATGGTTATAAAGGTCAAATTCGTTCTTTGGTACATGCCAAGATAATGAATCAAACAAAAGAGGGTTTTCTTGTTCATAATATGGCAAGTGTTCGGACTGCGTCATGGTTGAATGATTCATTGAAATTCCAAGACCATTCATTTGCCGTAATTGTTCTGCTTTTTCCGTAGCATCGTCAGGAGACCGACTGTTTGATCTAGAAGAGGGGACGTTAAACTGAAGAAAGGGAATTTCCTCCATAAGCAATTCATTATCAATTCCCTGACTGGTCAGTTGAAAACGTTCAAGAACCTTGGCTTTTAGGCTAGTTAAAAAGTCAAAATCTTTATTGGAAAAAGAAAACCCGTCTCTGAGATGTTCAAAGATTTTGCACATATATCGTAAATCGTTATAGGCAGTTATTGCATAGCTTGTTTTTGGAAAGCTTAAAGCGTAAGCTCCTTGAATGATGCCAGCGTTCAGCGAGTGAAAACGGAATACCCACCAACGAAGAGGCTCAATGGGAACTAAGCACATCAAAGAATAAAGGATGTGGATGAGATCATGAGAAACAGAAGTACAAAGGGATAAGGAGGTAGCGTATTGGTTTCTTTCTTCGGTACGCGTAACGGCTCTTACAAACCAAGGACGATGTAAGTATAGTAAAGCCTGAAGAATGATGAACTTGATAGAATACTGCTCCATTATTATGACGGGCGATACATTCTTAGTATCCTCTGTAACATGAAAATAATCTGGTAAGTTGTTTCCCAATTCCGACAACTCTTTAGTTAAATTCTGTACTTCCAAGTAACTAGGAGGTGTAAATTTAAAAGCACGGTTGAGGGCATTCGCCAGATACTTGGAAATTTCAGCTTTAACAATAGTAAAACTAGCTTCTGTTCGTAATGTAGATGGTTCTGGAATAAACAGACTATCTGGAGAGATGCTAGAGTCTGCGATGTTGGAAGGAGGTAAAACGTTAGTTTGATCGTTACTAATGGCATAGGGTCTTCCTAGGCTCATCGAGAGCATTCTATCCAAAAACAAAAGCTCCGTCCAAATCATTCGACGCATATGCAACTGGAAAGCGGAAAGTTCAAAAACTTCACCATCCCGATGCATGCCCATAGCAACAGCAATACGGGTAGCCGTTCCAATACAGTTCCAAGCAAAATTGGTACGTTCAAGAAGATCACAAAAGTAGGAGTATTGGCACATAAGGATGAGGGAAACGACTGCATCGACGGAAGGTACGAAGGAGGAGTATGATATATCAAAACACAACTGCGCACGAAGGTAAAACTCATGCGCAAGGGATTTTCTGTTTCTCACTAATGCAGGAGATGCAAATAAGGTACCAAGACAAAAAACCATATAGGTAAGGGCAAGAAAGTGAGGTTGAGGCGGAGATTTAGACGAGTTCTGAACGTATAGGTCAAGACAGGCCTTTTCGAAGGAAGGGCGATGAATCACATGACAACTCCATCCCACATTGTCGAAATAAAGGTTTATAAGGCGAATAGAAAATTGAGAGACAGGAAGCATATCACATAGATTGGTAGGATTTAATACATCAGGAACGCGATGACTCCAATGGAAGAGAGAAGAAGAAGAAGAAGAAGAAGAGGGATACAACAGTGACCTTTGAAGAGAAAAGAAATCATCTTCTTCAAAATTTGGATCCGATTGGGGGATGCAAGATCGGCTAGAAGAGGCACCATAATAATTAAAATGACCATGGGAGCTGATTTTGAGACAGCCAAGCATTTGTGAAACGTCCGCAAGCGTCGCATCTCCAGAAGATATATTTGTCTGATTGTTGTCATCCTTTCCTGACTCCATGGACTGGTGTTGCGCTAATGGTGAGTGAGTCTTCTCCAATAAAGATGATGATGGAGGAGATTGTTCTATTGGATCCATGTATTTTTCACACAAAGAATGGATAACTTCTTGGTCCTCTTGGGATATAAATAAGGATTCATGGTTGCTATCGTAAGAATTGACAGCAGCTTGTAGCTTAGACATTCGAGATAATAAAAGCTTGATCAATTTATCACTACTCCCAAAAAAGGAACTTGTTAGCAACCTAAGACATTGTACAATTTTAAATTAGAAAACAGAAGGAAGAATGAACGGAAACTAAAATTGCGCATTCAATCAAGTCGGCTCAGTTCAAAAACTTGCCTCCGTCATCAACCAAAAAGTATTGCAATGATATACCTCACAGAAATTACAATTGAATCTGGACATAAATCGGAAATTCCTCGTTTTTTACAATTGGAGCAAGGCCAAACACGATCACACTAAAACGTTAGTCATCTAATTTTCAGTCATTTCCGGAATAGTTTACCTTTAATTTGAGACGATGACATTCTCTACATGAAGTAATTTTTCGATTTCTTCTCGTACCTGGCCTTTTTCCAGGAGTAGTCATTTAGGTGTTTTGGTGAAGTTGGTTCCATGTTGTACGGGTGCGAAAGAAGATGACTTGAAATATCTCCAGGTTGATCTATTGCTTGTTGACAGAAGCCAGCGTTTATAAATTAGAAAGAAGAAAATTAAACAATTCTTTAATAAATAAAAAGAAAATATTATATACAAATAAACACTGACTAAGTATTAAACTGTCTTTTTAATCACTCTTCTTTCAAGCTGTCACCTCTCAACTAACATTGAACAGCGCTTTTCAAAAAACGCGATACTTAATGCTTTTTCATCACAAAAATAAAAGAATGCAATGAAATAGAAGTCCTTACCTTTTTAATGATTGAACTTTCTCATATCCTTTGTTTACGTATCACCCATCAGATATTTCAGAAGGGAACTTTTTACTCGATAAGATTAGATATGATAGCGAAAACTGTAAACAAACTATTTCACTTCCATGGTATATGAATTTTAACGAAAACCTCAATCTTTCTTTTTATTTACTACTTTTTTAAGCATTATGTACTTTTAATTTGCTTTCTTTTCAGATTCGTTATTGACTGCGAATACTGCAGCGTACCACCTAAATGAAATAAAAAGTCTTTAGGAACAACGAGGTGAAAGGATGTAGACAACTTAATTTACGAGTCCCGGTATGGTGGACGAGATAAAAACACCGATATTCAGGCTCCTTTGCTTGTTTCTTAAATTGAGCGGATTTAGTCTTTTTTTCTTTTGTCGTTCACCAAACACTACGTTCGTTTGTTCATACACAGTAAAGAAAAAGTAAGGATATAAAAAGAAGAAATATCCAAGGAGAAAACATACAAAAAAGAAAGAACTTTTAGTGGGACTTTTGTATTTTTTGTATTTTGATTCATATTTGATATTTTTTCTTTTGCTTCTAAACATACCGTATCTTTACGAAATACTAACTCGTATAGTTTGTTTGTTAGTTCTATAACTCTTTAAAATATGGTTGTCGCAACTCGTAAAATCGGAGACACCGTTGTCTCTCCTATCGGTTTTGGATGTATGGGTTTACATGCAATGTATGGACCTTCCTCTGAGGAAGCCAACCAGGCCGTCTTAACTCGTGCCGCCGACATCGGCTGTACCTTCTGGGATAGCTCGGACATGTATGGATTTGGTGCAAACGAAGATTGCCTTGGCCGTTGGTTCAAGCAAACCGGTCGCAGAAACGAAATCTTCCTTGCTACTAAATTTGGTTACGAAAAGAAGCCCGATGGCAGTGTCGCTTTAAATAATACTCCCGAACATATTCACAAGGCACTCGACATTTCCTTAAAACGATTGAATGTCGAATTTATTGACTTGTACTATGTCCATCGCTTTAGTGGCGAGACGCCTATCGAGACCATAATGGAGACCCTCAAGAGTCTTGTTGAAGCAGGCAAAATTCGCTATATCGGTCTTTCCGAATGTAGCGCAGACACTATTCGTCGTGCCTGTAAGGTTTACCCCGTCAGTGCTGTTCAAATTGAATATTCTCCATTCTCCTTAGAAATTGAGCGTCCCGAGATTGGTGTCGAGCAGGCTTGCCGTGAAAACAATATTACAATCGTTTGCTATGCACCCCTTGGTCGTGGTTTCTTGACTGGCGCCTACAAGTCGCCAGATGATTTCCCTGAAGGCGACTTCCGCAGAAATGCTCCTCGATACCAAAAGGAAAACTTTTATAAAAATCTTGAACTTGTCAAGAAATTGGAATCTATCGCTGCTAAAAACAATGTTACCCCAGGTCAACTCAGCTTGGCTTGGATTTTGGCTCAAGGCCATAATTTCCTCCCTATCCCCGGCACGAAGCGCATTAAGTACTTGGAAGAAAACTTTTCCGCCAAGGACATTCAACTTTCTCCTGAAACATTTCGTGAAATCCGCGAAGCTTCTGACAGTGCCGAAGTCGTCGGTCAAAGATATCCTCCTGGTGCTGGTGCAAAGATGTTTATGGATACACCACCTTTGTCTAAGTAAGACCCAAAGGTCAACATGCACGATTAATCTTAATAATAATTTACGAATTATCATAACAGAGGAATTCCGTTATGTTTTAAATAGCTTTTAGATGTATTATCTTCCCTCAATTTTTTACTATCTTCCCTTTTGTCTTAAAAAAGCTTTAATATATTCTTTTTTGGAAGTAATACTCCCTTAGAGCCACACGTAAGTCGACATCTTTTTCTAATAATGAATCCTTTTTTACTTGGCTACTGTTACCATTATCCATCATTCACCACTTCAACCTCTATAAACAAACTACACGCATCAAACACTTTTTCAACAGCCGGAACAAAACTTTTCATTGAAAACCTAATTTTCCACAGCAGCAGCACCACGCAAGAGACCAGTTCTGCGGGCAGCAATAAGACCAGCCTTTTGACCGGGAACGGAACCACGAGGAACAGTGGTAGAGTGACCAACGTGTTGATGGTTACCACCACCATGAGGGTGATCGACGGGGTTCATAGCAACACCACGAGTCTTGGGCCAGCAGTTGCGCTTGACCTTGTACTTGTGGTAAGCACGACCGGCCTTAAGCAAGGGCTTGTCAACACGACCACCACCGGCAATGATACCGACGACACCACGAGCGGCAGAAGGGACAACCTTCTTGGAACCGGAGGGCAACTTCACACGGGTTTTGCCAGTGTCAACGTCGTGACCGACAATGATGACATAGTTACCAGAGGAACGACCCAAAGCACCACGGTCACCAGACTTCTCTTCGACGTTTGAGGCAATGGTACCTTCAGGCATCTCACCAACGGGCAAGACGTTACCAACAGTCAAAGCAGCGTTCTTACCACAGTAGATGAATTGACCAGTGTACATACCTTCGGTAGCAACGAAGGTCTCAACATCGGTACGGTAGTGGTAAGGGTTACGGAAAGCAACTCTAGCTAAAGGAGCACCACGACCAGGGTCATGAATGATCTTTTGGACAACACCACGAATGTATCCGTGACGCTCAGCAAAGTCCAAAGTACGGAGCTGAGCGGCTCCCTTACGAAGACGAGTGTGAGCTTGGAAGATACCTCCGCTCTTTCTTTGTGCTCTAATAACACGACCCATTTCTGGTGTTTTGGTTGTTGGTGAATTTAGCCCTCCCTAAACATTTCCAAGTGATTTTCTTGATGTTAACCGTGACTGCTATTTTTGGGTAAATTTCTGGTTTACTGTAGTCCATCATACTATCTTGTATGTCGATTTGCGAACGTATTCGCTGTTTGTAATTGATTATACCATATGCTATACCAGTTCGTTATATCGGATTGCTAATGTTCTCTTAAAGTATAAGAATTCAAAACAAAATCAAAGGATGTGAAGCAGGCTGGCTATTCTTTTTTTTTTTGTTTTTTGCAAATACATCATGTTAAACCTTTCTATGCACTAGTCGTAACTGTTAAAGTAATTTCATTTCACTAACATTAGATAATCCACCTTTTGTCTTCAATACAATGGTAATAATAGATTCACTCGTTTCCGTGAATCATTGTCTTCAGAAAAGGAACTTAATCAACTAATAACAATAAACAAAAAATCATTATTATAAGGAAGGAATTTTTATGCCAATATACAAAAAATAAGAACCGATAATCAAATATGAGCCTTCAATCTATGTATCCTGTGTTTTCTCTCGGGGAAGTAAGATTACACTCTTCGTATCAAATGAACAGGGAATATATATATAGAGGATCCCCAACGCCTGGAATATTAAGCAGGATTCTCAGCTTACCAAACCTCCAAAAAAGGCCTTGGCCAAGGTAGCGGTATCATTCCACGAATTCATGTTACATAATTGAAACCCATGGATTTATTTTACATTAAACTGAGCCACCTAATGATCCAGGTAAGCCGGAGGGGGGAAACATGGATGATTGATTCGGGTTAGCGGGTTGCGAAGGAGGTTGCATTTGACCATTGGGAGTCTGGGAAGGCATGCCATGTAGCGATGAATGCCCATGGTTGGGACTTGTAGATACAACCGGGTCTATGAGGTTGTCGGATGGAGGAGGTTGCATAGGGCGATAAGCCATATGCTGAGCTTGCAAAGCATTATGTGCAGTTTGGAAATCAGTAAGCACTGATCGTATTTTCACACTGCAAGGACATCCTTGATGTGCAAGTAGCTGACTCTTCAATCGAAACGCTTCCTGTTGCAATTGAGAAAGCATCATTTGCAGTCGTTTTGATTGTTCATAAGCAGCATTCGCTGTCTGCTCCAATTCTTTGATCCATTCTTTCTTCTTTTGTCGGAATTTGGAAGCTGCAATGCGGTTTCTTTCTAGTATTCTCCTGCGCTTCTCTTCGTCAACTTCTTTTTTTTTTGCTGTCATTTCTGTAAAGAAATAAATTAGACGATAAACGTATATCCAAGAAGATAAATAAAAATTTCAAGAATATAAAAGGTAAAGTCAATCACTAAGTCGTTCAAAGTACAAATGCTCGAGGTGCCATAAGCTTATAATACTTACAAATTAAACTCAAAGCAAACAACAACGACCTAGAAGCTTTTCAGTTTTCCACATGTACTACAATAAGGAAGAAAGACAAATGTCAAGTCAAGGATACGATGTGAACGTAGATTTTGTAATTCGCAACTTGAATCCTCTTTGAAAAGATTTTTTTACCAAGAATCAATTTTTTTCCTTGCTAAATCAAAAACACCGGTTCAAGTCACCAAATTCACGTTGTTCTGAAAATCGACTTGTATAATCCAAGCTTGAAAAGTACCAGGGAAGACGATGATGTGTAATGACGGTAATAACACTGTTCGTCAACTCTAATCTTCACAAAAAGCCTAAAAATCAATTCTGTTTTCTATTTACACGTAAAAAACACATAAATATGTGGAAATTGTTGTATAAGCCCGAATTCAGTTTAAATTCAAGTCGCAGGCAAAGGTTGAAATTACTTGCCGCAGAATAGAGGCATTTCACATGCTGTGAAAATTACGTCATCGTAACGAAGTAGACTGAACAATCTTAACGGTATAGCGAAATGCAACAAAACAGTAGTAAACAAAAGATGATTGACAGAAAGCAATTTTCTTTTTGTTTTGATACTTTATTTTGGTGTTCTTGTTTTGATGCTTTAAATTTGCAAGGTAAAGATGTTTTGAAGGTGTGCAATGTGTCAGTAGACGTTCAGGTATTTGAAAATAAAGCGAAGTGAAGATACAAACCAGTAGCACCGTATTCACATTTGATTGTATTTTCTCCCTGTATAGCAATAATTTTCAAAAAAAGAAATCAGGAAATAATTGAGCTTGTTCATGATGGTCTTTTGTCCAAAGCTGAACAATTGTGATCTGAAGGGAGTTGATGCGCTGCTTGTATTTGCTTGCATTTTAAAGGCAATGCGGTTCTTCATAACCGGAATTTTTTTGTATTTGATTATTTTTAAAAGAAAAATGCTTTTCTTTTCTACAGCTTGTAAGATCTCATCTTCTATTGTCATGATAGCTTTTGAAATTCAAAACAACCGTTAGTACAAGCATAGTATAAGTACTTGAAAAAAGTCACTCATAAATCGTTCTATGTCTCCATGTACAATTATTTTTTTCTTTTTAAATAGGTGGGAATCAGAAGCTGGTATAGATTTTCGGTTAAATGGATTAGACAAATTCCAATAATATTATGAGAATTGCTTGGCACGCTCCCAAAGATTTAAAGCGGTATCCAGGTAGGTTTCTTCTTCACTGCGGTATTTTAAGCCTAAAGACTTTGAAAGTGAATTGTCTAACTTGTATAGATTTTCGTTAAAGGGGACATCACTAGGCTTCGAGATGGTATTTGTTTTTTCAGGAAAATGCTCACGCAGCATTTTACACACATGGTTACTAAAGAAAGGACCTTGAGCTACAAGCAAACGGCCATTGCTTAATTCTTCGTTCGTGAGTGCAAATACATGGGCGTTGGCAAGATCACGAACATCGACCTTCCAGTGCTGCAAGGAAGGTTGTATCTGGGAACCATTGATGAGATTCCAAAAGATTTTGTTTGGAGTACTTAAGGATTGCATACTGTTCATGGGATGGATAGAAGGACCAAGCACAAAAGGTGGATTGATAGTGCAAATGTCATACTGGGGATGCTTTTCTTTTACATAATCACGAGCAGCCTTCTCGGCAAACTTTTTGGAAGCACCGTAAGCAAAAGTACCGTTCTTGGTGGTTAACGCTTCCTCATAAGTAATAGGATTCCAATCTTTTTCAGTATAGTTATATCCTACATTAGGATCTGTTGAAAAATTTCTCAAAGCAACAAAGGAGGAAGTTATCACCACACGTTTCACCTTGGGCTCAGAGGTGGCGGCCTCCAAAACACGAAGAGTACCGTTGACAGCAGGGTCCAATAGTTCAGTCTTGTTGTCATGGACGTCAACAAGGACTGGAGAAGCAACATGACAAATATAGTCGCAACCCTTGACAGCGCCCTTCAAAGCAGGAAGGTCAACAATGTCCGTGACGATTACAAACTCAATTTTACCTTCAAGTTCTGGGTTTAGATGAATTAGTTTATTAGCTTTCTCCATGCTACGAACAGTACCACGAACACGATATCCTTCATTCACCAAACAAACAGCCACATGAGCTCCAATAAAACCACTAACACCGGTGACTAAAACTAGTTGTTGGCTTGACATTTTTCAACTTATTCGTAGCAGAGGCAACAGACTTGAAACCTAATAACAAACAATAAAGAAGCAAATTTATACGAATCGTAAATGCGAGATTAATTCTATGTCCTTGTAGTTGGTTTAGTGTTTCAAACTAAAATCTGTTTAACGATTGCTTTGTTAGATGTTTGACCGACTGGGTTTATTTAAGTTGCTTTTATTTTTATGACTTCAACATAAGTTAGGATACGCGAAGCGTTATATAAATTTTGCTGCGTCATCTTTCATATGAAAAAATCGGTATCTTAATGTTTACAAGTTCCGAATATAAAATTTAGCACCGTACACCATATAAACGTTTTCAAGCTGGCATACATAAACAATGAACGACTAATTTATAAAATTTTAAATTATGAAGTTATTTTCTATGTTAAAAAAAAAAAAAAAAGGAAAAATTGCTGCTCTTCGTAAGACTCAGCTGTCTAGGCGATACACTTCTTCATATAACAGGGTGTGAAGTAGACTTTATAGAAAATTTTATTCTTCAATCGACGCAGTATCGATAAGAAATCATTTTTTAATTTTATTTATTTTTTTTACCTATGAAATTCTACAAACGTATAACGTTGCTGATATGCTTTACCGTGGAATCATATTACCATAGAAAAACACTTTTCCAGAATTGTCGCCATGCATCTATAGTCAAAAAATCATAATTCAAAAAATTCGGTATATTGTCAAACATGCATAAAAAGGTTTTGGGTGCTTTTCAACAATAGCAAGGAAACAACTGTCGTCAGCAATCACAGCCATAAACTCATCATTCATTATAGACAAGTTGCAATTGATTCAGGATTTATTGTACACTCATTAAGACGACATTGTTGCTTCTGTCTGGCCTTGAATAACTTGTTTAGAAAGCTCTAGCTAGCTTTTCAAACATCAATGATGCTCTTAAAGAGGTTCGTGACCTGTTGAGCTATATAATATGATATGGCAGAACTGACTGAATCTGTATTTCATCTATAGGATGGAAAATAATGTGTTTTAAGCATACGAAATTATTTTGAATAAATCTGTTATTGTAAATTGTTTTTCATGGAGCACGTTGCACATCATGAGTTACTTCAATTCTTTTGCTAACTTGACTCAATGAATCATAACCAAAGTTAGAAACCAAGAACTATGGGTTTTCTGGTTGTACTTAACAGTCTACACCTTGGGAATTTCTGGTATTGTCTCTGTAAAACCGGGAAGAAGATATGTTTTAGCATTCTATTGAAAAATTTGCGACTTATGGAACTGTAACACAGAATCCCGGCCACAAACTACTTCTAAAGTAAGTTTCATTGACTATACATAACATCAAACAAGTTAAACAATTCAATTCACTTTAAAAGATTTTGAAGGAAAGACCTACATTATCGTCAAAAGGAGCATTATAAAAATTTTTGGTTTTTTAAAAAAAAGGAAAAGCCAGCATCTTTCCAGTTCCTTTTACTTTCTTATATTTCATATATAAAAATTCAGTGATATCCAAGCACCTTATCAACGTCTTACATATTGTTCATTATTATCTAACATCCATCCATTTCCGGACTTATCAGTATTGACCTTTCTTTTCTTTCTTTTTTTGTTTTCACGTCTATAACTTCTCTAACCTACCTATAAGTTCGTTTACGAGACTTCCTTTTTTATTTTTATTTTTATTTTATTTTTTCTCTCAATAGTTAAACGTTGTCATGGATTTTCAGCTTAAAGACCCAAACACTATTGCTCCTTGGAAATGCGCAGACAAGAAAGCATGTTGCATAGCTATTGACAACTCAACTGTCGTGCATGATAGAGATAGTTTGCTCTCTCGCCTGAGAGAGGTTTTAAATCATGAAATTGAAAAGGGAGACACCTATCCGTATGAAACCCCTTTAAGCTGGGAAGAGGCTGAAGAATACTTTTTAAAATACTGCACAGTCATTTGTTTAGAATGGGACGGTCAAGGTCCTCTTCCTAATCTTCAATCTCCAATCAATTGGAAGGAAAAGCTCCTTGGGTTTTTCATCATTAAGCCAAATTATCCATCCCGCTGTAGTCACATTTGTAATGGCGGATTTATGGTAGTTCCTGAAACCCGTGGACGTGGCATTGGAGGAATTCTCGCCCATGCATTCTTATACTTTGGTCCTCGGATTGGCTACAAGTCCAGTGTTTTCAACCTAGTATTCGCAACCAACGCAGCTAGCTATAAGTTATGGGACCGCCTTGGTTTCACTCGTACAGGAGTGATTCGTAATGCCGGTCGTCTACGAGGACAATCTAAACTTGTGGATGCATACATTTACCAATATGAATTTCCTCCTCTTGATCAAGAAGCTCAAGTCGAGGATGCATCTTAGATCTACTTCTTATTTTCAATTTTATTACTTTTTGTATTATGATTAGAAATTATATACAAGATCGTTCCTTTTTTTTCTTCGTATACAAAAAAACTAAAACATCCAACTTTCATTATTTCGTATTTTCCTACCATGCATCAAAATTTCCAAACCCCGTTCGTGTTTTCTTCTTTTTTGGTTGCGACGAGGCATCCAGAGATACTACAGTTGAAGGGCGTTTTGAATCATTATTCAGATACTTACCAACGGCTTGGGTCGTAGATGCCACAGAAGATGAATGCGACAGGTCTCTTCCAGTCCATGAAACATGATCGGCTTCGGATTTGTTTGCTTCCAAGGAATCTTTTTCCTTTTTTACTTTTTCTTGCTCTTCCTTTTCCCATTCTTCAAAGGGATCTACAAATACAACAACATCTTCTAACCGAATAGGGACTTTGGGATGGTCGTAGTCATTTGTTGGGACCTTCTCTAGTGCATCAAGTACTGCCATTCCTCCAACTATATGTCCAAAGATAGTATGTTTATTGTCCAAATGTTTGGCAGCATTGAATAAAAGAAAGCTAAATATATTAGCATGTTGAAAAAAAAGCAAAAGCTATACATACAATTGACTGCCGTTTGTGTTTTTTCCTCGATTAGCCATTGAAAGAATTCCTCGCTGATCATGATGCAGAGGATTACCAAATTCATCCCGAAATGGTTTTCCCCAGCAGCTTTCACCCCCCTTCCCTGTACCCGTCGGATCACCAGCTTGAATCATAAATCTAGGAATGCTTCTATGGAACACAGTATTGCGATAATAGCCTTTCTTAGATAGTTGGATAAAATTGTAAACGGCATGTGGAGCATAATCAGTGTGGAGTTCCAAGTTGATTTCCCCAAAATTGGTTATCATTCGAGCATAGCCTTTCTTTTTTATCCGGATATGGTTAAGCATGTAATCCTCCTGAGGAATTATTGCTTTTTCATTTTTGGTGACCGGAGAAAATGAAGTAGATGTAAGGGACGCAGATGCAAGACCTGTCGTATGAGCAGCGCGATATACGGGAAGCCCAGACTGTGTCGTTTCCGTAGTAATAGGATGCGCTAACTGTCTACGTGATGGCGAAACTGCTTCTTTTCTTGACTTCTCTATCGCCAGGCGTGCCTTTTGAATTTTTTCCTCTCTTGACATCTCCTTTTGCGTTTGTAAAGCCGAAAAGTCTCGCTTTTCAAGATTATGGGGGTCCTGAATCGTGATTATGTCTGAACGAGTAAATGCTTTTTCGCTAACCAGATCATTCCAGTTTTTAGCTTTTATGTTCAATCCTTCTACAGTATCCCAGGAAAAACAATTTCCCGTTGTTTTGATGGCTAAAATATGAGAAAATTCGGTGAATCCTTTCAAAGTAACTGGGTCACAGTATTCTCCAACTGCATTCTTTGAGAAATTCAATTTGATGAGATTGGACAGTGCAGCCTTTTCTCCAGTTACGGGATTAGTATTGTGCTTCCGAAGCCATGGGACAATAAATCTACAGCAATTAGTATCTTTTTATTAATTGAAAGTACTTACTTGAAATCAAAAATGATTGCATGGTTGGTGGAATCTACCAAACAACAAGGATGTGTGAATGGCTGCAACGAAAGAGAACAGTAATTGAAAGGAAGTTGACGAAATCTTCCTTTGGGCTGATTCCCTGTAATTCCGCTCATCCCGCCATGCCATCCATGAACCCCGGAATGCTCCGTTTGAGTCACGTATAATTTATCGGTATTCTTCCCCATTCTCCGTCAACCAGATATAATTTTAAATAGAACAATTAATCTAGTAAAAATAAATATAACAAAATATCACCTACTTGTAAAAATCCGTTCTAAAACAAATTATGCATGTAGGCTAATAGTAAGGGTAAGGAAGAAACCAAAGATCTGACTGACAAAGCTGGTGTTGCTCATACTTAGCTTCAGCGCATACTTGAAAAACAATAAAAAATAATGGCGGTTCCAACAGAACAAGAACGAGAATTATCAAATGAACCTGTTGCCATTAAAGAAATAAATACTGGTGCAGCTGGAATAGAGACGAACACTCAAACTGTAAACACTGGAGCAGAACCAAAAAAGTCCGGAAAAGACCTAAAAGCTCTAAAAAAAGCTCAAAAACAAGCTTCTAGGAAAGCGAGGGCTGATCAACAAGGTGGTGGTAAAGAGAAAGGAAATGGATCAGACGAAAGAAAGCAGGATCAGAATTCCAAAGGAGGAAATCAACTTAAAAAGCCTTCAAAACAGAATGGCAAAGGATCCCCTCCAGTTCCCAAAAAAGAAGATCCTGCTGTATTAGAACAAATGTTTTTTGAAGAGAAACAGGTTTCAATTTTCTCACACTTGGATTGGCGACGTCGTAGGACGACAGAAAACTTGCCTAAAGATATACATCCCGCAGTTATTCGTTTAGGATTGAAATTGGCAAATTATAAGGTCTTTGGCTCAAATCAAAGATGTATAGAATTACTCAAGACATTCAAAAAGGTTATTCGAGATTACCAAACTCCATTTGGAACAACTCTGAGCAGACACTTGACAACTCATGTCAATTCGCAAATCGCTTATTTAGTTTCTACGCGTCCTTTAAGTATCAGCATGGGTAGTGCGATTCGATTTCTTAAACTTGAAATTTCCGTATTAGACATTGATTTGACGGAAGAAGAAGGCAAGGAACTGTTATTAGAAAAGATTGACAACTTTATTCGTGATCGTATTGTTATCGCTGGTAAAGCTATTGTCCAAGCTGCCGCCGAAAAAATTCAAGATGGCGATATCATTTTGACTTATTTGCATTCATCTACGGTGAACGATGTTTTAGTACATGCGAAAAATATTGGAAAGCAGTTCCGTGTCATCGTGGTAGATTCCCGTCCCGAGTTTGAAGGAAGAACTTGCTTGAAGTTACTGACAAGCCATGGAATCCTTTGCACTTATGTAATGATTTCGGCTTTGGCTTATACCATGCAGGAAGTAACGAAGATCTTTTTGGGCGGTCATGCCATGTTATCTAACGGTGCTCTCTATTCTCGTGCCGGTACTTCTTTAATTGCCTTACTTGGTAAAGAAGCCAACGTTCCAGTCATTGCTTGTTGTGAATCTTATAAATTTACTGAACGCATTCAGCTAGATTCTTTAGTGTATAATGAGCTTGCTCCCGGTGACCAACTGATCAATACTTCAGTCGATGAGAACCAAGAAAAGCGAAGCGAACTTTCCGACTGGCATTCCGTTAAAAATTTGAAGCTTCTCAGTCTCAAATACGATGTGACTCCCCCTCGTTTAATTACTGTTTGTGTTTGTGAAATGGGTCTCCTACCTTCTACGTCTGTCCCAGCAATCATTAATGAGTTTAAACAAGTGTATGCCTAGAAGAAAGGGTCTTCTATGAAAATGAAAGATATGAATTGTTTTTTCAGGCGATCATTATAATTGCGATAAGAAGGATTGCAGATGAAATGGTTGTACCTTATTTTTTGGCATTTAGTAAAGAATTCATGATATGTGAAGTCTTTTATTAATTATGTTGGTAATATATAGCAAAAGTTTTGGATCTTGTTTCGGTGACTCTACGAAAAAGAAACACTATATGGGTCTTCAAGTTTTAGACTTCTTATGAACGCAAGTTGTCAAATGACTTCGTTGATGAAAAGGTACACTGTTGATTTTTGTTTGGCTTAGGTTTCTATATGTAAATTAGATATGATTTTGAGGTATTGGCATAGTTAGGTTTCCATCGGATAAACATATATATCTGCATCCTATGCAGAATTTGAAAGCGTACATTTTCATTGTAATTCGCGTTCGTATTATTCCAACTCATTCACATAGTCCACATGCTGTATAAGCGGAAACAGTCCTTGAGGACCTATAATATTCCGTTCAATGACGGACGATGAACACATACCCAATTCCCTGGATTAAGAATGCTTTTGCAATCTTATAAAAACATTAGAAATGTTCATCTTAAACTTCAACACAATCGGTTTTTGAGCACCTGTTTAAAACCTATCAAACAGTTAGTACGATTTGAAGGGCCGGATGCTCAAAAGTTTCTCCAAGGGCTTACGACACAAAAGGTCTCATTAGAGAAACCATTTTACACGGGTTTTTTGAATACAAGCGTATGTTGTCGATGTGCCTACTGCCTAGGATTATAAACTAATCAGAATAGGGACGTATTTTATTTGATGCATTTTGTTATCCTGAAAACATTACAACTACAGAAACTGGCAAACCAAGTCAGAGACTATATGTTGAAGTAGAAAATTTTAGAACTGAGGAGTTTTTGAAACATGTGATAAAGTACAGACTTCGCTATAAGTGTGATGTTACAGCAGTTAATCCTGATGAGTTGAGCGTTCAAGTAGGATGGGATCAAGATGCAGATAAAGTTATGAATGATAAGAATAGCATTGCATCTATGTGGGATCCCAGATTTCAAAAACCTCTGCTCAGCCGGAGCATTGTTTCATCGCATGCGTGTATCTCCAATGCTGACCTGAACGAGTACGCGACATTCCGATTCCGACACGGAGTCGCTGAAGGTTCTTCGGAGATAACTCCAGGGTCTGCATTTCCCATGGAAAGCAATTTGGATTGGATGAACGGCGTCGACTTTTATAAAGGATGTTATTTAGGCCAAGAGCTTACCGTACGAACATATCATACGGGAGTTACACGCAAAAGAATCTTTCCATTTATAGTAGAGAATGGAGGCCATAATTCCGATATTCAGCCATCATCCAAGTTAGCTCTTGGTGCTTCTTCTAACCAAGTGAGTAAGCGATCTCCAGGAAAGATCCTTGTTTTACAAGGTATTTATGGGCTTGCAATGTTAAGATTGGAATATTTAGGACAACCACTTGAGTGTAACGGTGTGCCTATTCGAATTATGGATGAAGTATGGAAAGAGCAAATGCAGTCTTCAAACTCAAAAAACTGAAGTAATCTTTTGAAGAAATTATTTTATTTAAGTTTTCTTTTCTTTGTTTTATGCCTTGAAAATCTACGAATCTATGATATGAATTTCGGTACTAATTTGCTAATCTTGAAAACCGGCTGGCAAAAGGGACAACATAACTTTGAAATGTTCTTTCTTCGCGGCTAAGTTTTTCTTATAAATGGTATATCTTGTGTAACAACCTCATTCAAGCATGTTCCTTTCGGTTTATATGCTGGCTGTTGGCCAAGATATAGAAAAGAAACCGCATTATAGTTAGCTAAAAAGTATTTCGATCTACCTGAAGCCCAAATTAACATTAATTTTCTTTATAGATCCAACTACTGATACTACTACTAGACCACTTCTTTCGTTTACTTTCATGTTTTTATGAAATTTTCGCTACACCTCGCAAGAGCTCGTAAAGTTTATGTTCGCTACTATGAGCATCCGAGCTAACTTATCCTTTACTATTCCCTCAACACCGTAGTGTAGAAAGCAGCATTTCACTCTCATTACTGCATTTGAGAGTAAAAAAGGCCTTTCTATAAAAAAAAGGCCGCCTTACTGTTGCACTTAAGTAAGTTGATGACTGGAAGATATTCCCATAGTAATCGGTTTTTATAATAACGGGAGTTGTTTTCGTAAGCATCTATTGGAGCATTCGTTTAAATTCGATCTCTCCTTGTTGCAGCGAGATTTATTCATTTTAATATATATCTATTGAGGAATTTGCGGCTTTTCCTAGCTACTTGCATAGATTGAAATCCTTTTCATTTCAATTTCGTAAAAGTTGCCTGCTTAGGTTTATTAGTGTACAAACGCACCGGTATTCGAAAATGGTTCAAATAGAAGCTTCTATATCTGAATCTGTTGGGCAAGAAGTTCCCATACCCCGGAACGCAACTGCTGAGGCAGAGCCAAAGAATATAAAGCAGCCTGATGTGGACGGGGAGTATGTTGCCGCAGAAAAACTTAATAAGGAACTTATTAACACGGAATTTGCTCCTATTATGGAACCCGGTCATCGTCGAGTATCAAAAGATACCGCTGATGGAATTTTGTTCCAATTCGAGGATGAACCTTCTTATTACTATGTTGTTACAACCTATATCTCCTATTTAGTTCTTCTTATCATTGGTCACGTCCGTGACTTTTTTGGTAAGCGATTCCATAAAGACGATTACAAATATTTGAAGGATAGCGACGGTTATGCACCCCTATATAATCATTTCGATAATTTTTATGTTCGACGACTCAAATTTCGTATTAATGACTGCTTCAGTCGACCTACGATGGGTGTTCCTGGCCGTATGATTAGACTTTTGAATCGTTATTCTACTGATAATAATTCTTCTTTCAAACTTACGGGTGATACGTCGTTGAGTTTGAATGTTTCTTCTTATAATTATCTCGGATTTGCCCAAAGCCATGGTCCCTGTGCCGTGGCCGTTGAGAAGGCCGTTCGCGAAAACGGACTCTCTACTTGTAGTGCCAGTACGACATGTGGCAATTATGGAATTCACTTGGAAGTTGAAGAATTGACAGCCAAGTTTGTCGGTAAACCTGCATCCCTTATCTTTTCTCAAGGATTTGGAACCAATTCCACAGTCTTCTCTGCTCTTATGGGACCCGGTTCCCTTATCATTTCGGATGAATTGAATCATGCTTCGATTCGTTTCGGTTCTCGTCAGTCTGGTGCGAATATCCGCGTTTTCAAGCATAACAACATGACTGACTTGGAACGCGTTTTGCGTGAGGTTATTTCCCAAGGTCAGCCACGTACCCACCGCCCATATACAAAGATCTTGGTTGTCATTGAAGGTTTGTATTCCATGGAAGGTAATTTTGCTGATTTGCCTCGCATTATGGAGTTGAAGAAACGTTACAAGTTCTATTTGTTCATTGATGAAGCTCACTCTATCGGTGCAATTGGTCCTCATGGTGGTGGTATTTGCGATTATTTCGGTATTCCAACTACTGATGTGGATATTCTGATGGGTACCTTTACCAAGTCCTTTGGTGCCGCAGGTGGTTATGTTGCATCTTCTTTGGAAATTGTGAATAAGCTTCGTGTGACGAATCCCGGATACATTTATGCAGAATCCATGAGTCCCGCCGTTTTGGCTCAAATTAAGAGTAGTTTCTTGGAGATCATGGATCAATCACCTGGCTCTATTGGTTTGGAAAGAATTGAACGTTTGGCTTTTAACAGTCGTTACGTTCGATTGGGTTTGAAGCGTTTGGGTTTTATCATTTACGGAAATGACGATAGTCCAGTTGTTCCTTTGCTTTTGTACAATCCTGGTAAAATTAATGCGTTTTCCCATGAAATGTTAAAGCGGGGAGTTTCGATTGTTGTTGTTGGTTATCCAGCATGCCCATTATTAACTTCAAGAGTAAGGTTTTGCTTTTCAGCGTCTCATAACAAAGCCGACTTGGATTATATTTTGAGAGCATGTGATGAGATTGGAGAGAAGCTTCAATTGAAAATTTCGTCTGGAGCTGCGGGTGAAGATGTTGGAAAAACCAATTTCGAAAACATCAAGAAAAAACAAGGTTGGTACAGTCCTCCTCGTTGGTCAATTGAAGACGTTATTTCCCGTGGTGTTGAGGATACCTTGAAACAATGATGAGTACATGTTGTTTGTTTTACTATGAACACAAAATATTTATATACATGAGAAAGACGAATGTATTTGATGCGCCTGTGTAGAAACATATACATATTTACCAATAATAGTATTCCTTTTAATAAGATTATGATGAAAACGAAGATGTGTTGAGAGTATTGGACGTGATCGGAACAGTAGAAGGTCGAGAAAAAAGTGGTATAACGTTAGATATAGTAAAGTACATTTTGTAAAAGAATAAAGGAGACTTTATTGATTCATAAGAGACTAGGAAGAGCTATAAAAAAAATAGAAACAGATAAGCAGCATGGTCATCATAGTCTATCCGAAGTAACCACCAATATACATTAAGCAGAAGGGACGCGTACCACAAGGACAACGCCGTCTCCACGCAAAAACATTTTACTTATAAAGCGGTCTTTATTGACGGCTTTTCCCTTTTTTCCAGAGGCATTTCGTTTACGCTCCGTCCACATCTAAGTAGCTTGGTTAGTATGGGAAAAGAAAGAAAAAGAAAAAACAGAGGTGGTAAAAGAAAGGAAATGAACGTACTTCTTTGACATTTTCTAAAACAAGATTGGAATGACGGTCAAAAGCCTTTACTCTGGCCAGTAGCTTTTTGTTATTGCGGCAGTTGATTAAGACTTGGTCATGGTTTTTGACAGCTTAGGGGATGTTAGATTGAATAAAAGAATAAATAAAAAGGAATGGAAGCATACCTTGTTGCAAAACACTCAAAGGTCCAGCGGTGAATTCGTATTCCTCAAGGCGAGCGAGTTCCAATTCAGTGAGCTCGCTCCGAGGTCGATTGACGAGATCTCTACACAATTAGTAAAATAAGGAAATAAATACAAGAAAAAGTCACATACGCCATTCGAAATGGAAGGAAAAAGAAAGGTGAAAAGGATTTTGGATTTGGCTGGTACTTTTGGTGTTTGAATTTTTACGAGGTAACGTGGGTGACAGACTGAAATGCCCACATAGCAAGAGTAAGTCTAGGAAAAAGAGGAAAGAGACTACTATGAATGAGAATATGATTTTTTTTTTTTTTTTTCTTTTAATTACAAAAATGAAATGGTATGAGATGAGATGTACATGTTCTACAAAGCATAATGACTTACAACAACAGACGTTGTATGTTATGTCGAGTGTAGTTCTTTAGATGAGCTTTGCAAGAAAACAGGATTCATTTAATATTTGTATTCATACAACTATAAAAAAGAAAAAAACGTAGCTAGAAAAAAAAGGAAGATGTCTCGGATGAATGAAATTTTTTTTTTTATTTTTTTTTTCTTGCTTTTCTACTGTAAACAAATAAACGCATTTATGTTGTTCTTCAGTAAAACAATTCCTTTCGCTATATAGTCTCATTTAATCAAGACTATTCAACAAGAGTCAGTATGTCCGAGTGGTTAAGGAGTTAGACTTGAATCATTCGAGCTATCTAATGCGCACTGCGCTCGCAGGTTCAAATCCTGCTGCTGACGAATGTGCGCGGTAGGAGAGTGGAACTCCGACGGGCTCATAACCCGTAGGTCCCAGGATCGAAACCTGGCCGCGCAATTCTTTTTTTTTTTTTTGTTCTTTCTAAATTTCTTGGTAACTCATGAATTTGCTGCTCGCCCTTTTTGTCGTTGCATTCGGTGGTTCCTGTTTGTTGTACACACATTCATGAATTCCCAAGACAAGAGAGACCTCAGACTGAATCTCAACGACAAAAGATGTTTCCTAATTGCGGACCTTGAATCACTGAAAATATACAAAAGTTAATTTCTTCAAGACTTGTATACTCTTGCACGTTATACTATTCAACATCTAATACCTAAGTCATACTAAACAACACTAAAGAACCATACTTACCTGTCTACCTCCTACCATACCATCAACAACGTTCGCTCCTACACGACAAGTTTACTTACTACTGATTCAAGTTTATGATTTTGACATGAACAATTTCATAGAAAGATAAAGCAATCTTTTATTAACCATAAATATAGTATTAGTGCACAAAGACGCAAACATGCAAAAAAAAGCAAGATTTAGTTTCCTACTTGAAAAGGTACATAATGAAAAAAGGGGAATTCCTGCTACCATTTTTTAGCATGAAGCAAGAGTCAAAGAATATGAGAAAGACAAGGAAAAAAAATAAAAAACAGACAAACAAACAAATTAAAAGATGAAAACACCAATCAAGAGGAGAAAAGACGAGACAAAGACAAGACAGGACAAGACAAGAGAGAGAGTCAGACCCATATTTTTTATATACCTTTTAGGATTATGATTATAATTATATCTTTTGAATTTCATAGTTGACGGTTTCTCTGGTTTCTCTCGAAAAAAGAGCGAATACATGTAAAGGTATTCATATTTCTCTTGACATTCAATCATTGCATCACAGCATTTCATCCATCAAGTATTTTGTATCGTTCTTTAAGTAGTACGACGAGTAGTGGGATGGACAAACACTTCAGGATCAGCTACCAACTTTTTAGTAAGACTAAAGGTAGCAAAGCCAGCAGCAGCGAGAACAGCAGCACCCAAAGGCATTAATTCCATAGGGATTTTACGAAAGTTGGGCATACGGAAGGCCATTTTGGAGACTGAGTGAATTTGGAGAAAAAAAAAAAATAAAGACAAAATAGAACAGAGTTAAATAAAATATGAACCGATAACCGTTGAATACAGATAATTCACGACCAAGGTCCAAAAGCAAACGACAAAATTAAAACAAGATGATGGTGGTACAGAAGAAGGGAAAAGCGCAGGACTCATGCTGCTTTATATAGGAAAACGGAAATCTTGTCCCGCTTTCTAGCGGAAAACGAACTCCAAACCAAAAAGATAAAAGGACCAATGGAATCCTGGATACAAAGATTCATTGGCATAGATGGTGTTTCGAAGCGTTAAATAAAATACGTAAGAGCAGCGATTGGAGTTAATGAACAAATCATAGGGGATAGAGAATTTTATACACCAATCAAAAGAAAGAAGGTTACAACTACCTTAACTGGCCTTTCTCACTGGTGTGGAGGTAGCCAATAAAAATGCTTAGAGAACGTACTACGCCAATCAAAACAAGGGCGGAACAAAAAACAATGCGACAAAAAGGAAAAGACGAAATTACAAGAAAAATACTATAAATGAATTGATCAAATTGAATTAAATTGTTTCAAATTTTTATATTTGAGTCTCATTTTCTGGTTTGTTTTTTTTCATGTTAACTTCTTCTCCTCATTCGCCTTCGCACCTTATCCCGAGCCTTCTTTCCCTTCCCCACATATGATGCAAGTTTGCGACGAACAGAGAAATGCGCTTAGGAAGGACAAATATAAGCATATGGTTTTATGTTAAATACTGGAATATGCGATAGAAAAAGGAATGTTTGGAATCAAAGAGAAACAATGGATTGTAATATGATGATGGTAGAAATCATGGGAATACGAATCCACTAGAAAATTTGTATGTATGTGTTTTATTTTGTTTAATTTTCTTTCATTCTATTCTATTCTATTTTGTTTTATCATTTTCGTTAGAATGAAGTTTGAGTTGGTTTTGCTTTCACTTTTGCCATTGCCAATGTCATTGCCATATTATACCATCATGTTATGTTTTTATTATGTTATGTTATGTTATGGCAGTCGACCCTTACCTGGCTTGGCTTTACTTTTCTACACATCTTTTCTCTATGATTCTTTTGTATCATTCCATAGAAAATTGGATTCTTCTAAACCCTTTCTCGGTCTGACCCTCCCTTCCTTTATGATAATATTGTCTCTGTGTTACCTAGAAGGGAACAAGCTTTGTATCATAATGATTTGGCTAACGTACACCGCTTCACTTGTCCTTTGCCAAACAGAAAACCATTAAGTCTTTCCTGTAGAGTTTGTTTTTCCTTTGTTGTCAACCCAATTCTTTTTTGTTTTTTCCTCCATTACAAACACCGCTCTGTCCGGGATTATATACGTTTGCTCTCGTCATCTTTTCAATTCTTCATTTTCCATTTTTCCAGTAACTCGCACTGATTGAATCTAGCTCGCATTGTTACAATTAGTCTTAAATCTCTTATTCGTATAGTTTTCTTTTGTTGCTTTTTCCTTGTGTCCTCTACCTGCGCTACGTACGCTTCAGTAAAAGACCAATCCACCTTTATAGATCTCTGTTCCTCTGTTTCTTTATTTTTTGCTTTTTCAATCCCCTTATTTTCATCATTCATCATGGCTGGTCGTCGTCTTAGTAGCAATGCTCACATTGACCTTCAGCCCATCCGCCAAGGCATCCTTCTACCCTTCAATGACCGTCCCAAGGAAATGACAAGTCTGATAGAGTGTAATGAACAGTTTTTTCGCTCTATATGTGATACGGTGGGTGAAAAAAAATACCAAAAACTTTTGCATCTTTGGAAAGACACTTCACGTTCGGAAATTTGTGACGCCAATTTACTACTGAAAAGTCAAAGGCTTTTACTTTGTCTTCCAGAAGATTTGGATCCAAATACCGATACAAAAACCACTAATGACAGTCAAGGCTCCTCCGGTTCGTTCCAAATCGACCATTCCCGCTATCATCTGTGGAGACAATTTTGTAATGTCGTTGGTTATGATATGCCAACGCCAACGTCCCAAGAAGACAATAAAGCCCATGAAACCATCCTTGAATCCCCTGCTACGGAGGAGAATGATGCCGTCATGTCCAGTGACTCCAACGAGGGTTAATCATGTTTTTCTATTCTATTCTTTTTTATTTTCTTTCTTCCATAAAACACTTGCTATTCGGGCATGTACAACAATCAGACTTTCCTTCTTTTTCTTCATCCTTTTCAAATGCCATTTTGCTGAACCCAGTTCTTTTGGTTTTTGAACATCTCTATTATGGACAGAATGGATGGACCCTATATCACATGTCTATCTTCCTTTTGCTTTCCATTTTATTGTACTAATACTTTTAATTTTTCCTCCGTATTTTTCTAGTTTTATTCTTCCTATGATTCTCTATCTTTTCAGTAGGGTGCTGAGATTTATGCTTTTATGAAACGAACTATTCCTTTATTATTATTATTATTATTACTTTTTTTTTCTTTTATTGCTCACACTTTGTTATGACTACTTCTCTCATGCTCCAGATTCCCAAATCTTCAAGCGCATATTGAGAATTCCGTAAACTGTTTCATGATATTCATAACGATTGTGTTTATTTTGGTTTATTTTTTTCCCTATCTCTTCCCCTTTCTGTGTATTTCTTTAATTTTTTATAAGTAAGCTTTTTATGCTATTTTCATTTATCTCTCGCTTTCCACTCTTCCAATAACTTATTCGTAAGTGATTAATTTAGTACTTCCTTGCAATAACATGTTTGCTTGTCATATCGAATTTAAGCTAGCCTTTTCAAATGTTAATTTCTTACAGAATTTACTCAAAAGTTATTCTACCAATTCGCATACTTCTAAAATTCACTATGAAAAAATTGAAAATCAATTCTTTATCAACACAATTAAAATGTACAGCTTTATCAAAAGCTCATGGGCTCTTGGACAACTTTTCATGAAATCAAAAAGTTATGGTTAATCTTGACGTTCATAGATCTGAACTTGAATAAGGAATTTACGATTCCATAACTCAAAACCTCCCCGCACATATGCTTACTTTTGCAAATGCCATTTAAATCATCTATTTTAAGCACTCTTTTGATGAGCATGATGAACAGCGTGAATAATATGTTCCACCACTTTGGGTTCGGCAAGAGTACTCACATCACCAATTTGATCAGCCTCGCCAGCAAGGATCTTACGGAGAATACGACGCATAATTTTACCGCTTCTGGTCTTGGGAAGATCACTGAAAATAAGTTTACGAGGAGTTGCGAAAGGCCCAATGGTAGAACGAACGCTCATAATTAACTGCTTCTCAAGATCAGCGTTGGCAGTTACGCCTGGTTTAAGAAGAATAAAGGCATTAACAGCTTGTCCAGTAAGTTCATCAGGGATACCAACAACAGCGGATTCAGCAACAGAATCATGAGAAATTAATGCGGCTTCAATTTCAGCTGTGCTTAAACGATGACCAGAAATATTTACAACATCATCAACACGGCCACGAATCCAAATATAGCCGTCTTTATCACGATAAGCACCGTCTCCGGTAAAGTAGAAACCAGGATAAGGCTTCAAGTAGGTATCGATAAAGCGATCGTGTCCTCTCCAGACGGTACGGGCAGCACTGGGCCAGCTACTGCGGATGGCAAGTACACCTTCAACATCATTGCCTTCAATGACTTTACCATCGAGAGGGTCAATAATTACAGCGTCGATGCCGAAAAAGGGAAGTGTGGCAGAACCAGGTTTCATCGGGGTAATAGGACCCATAGAAGAGACAATATGAGATCCAGTCTCAGTTTGCCAATATGTATCAGCTACGGCACATCGGCCTTGTCCTACCACATTATAGTACCACATAAAAGATTCAGGGGCGATGGGCTCACCAACGCTACCCAAGACACGCAGAGATGAACGGTCATGCTTGACATATTCGTCACCAGCGCGTTGAAGAAGACGGATCGCAGTAGGAGCAATGTACCATTGAGTCAACTTGTGACGTTCTACCATGTCCCAGTAGCGAGAATAGTCGGGATAAGCGGGCGTACCTTCAAATACAAGGGTGGCAGAACCAATCATGAGGGGACCGTAAACGATATAGGTATGACCAGTAATCCAACCAACATCACCAGCACAACCCATACGGTCAGTAGGATGAAGGTCAAATATGTATTTGCAAGTGGCAGCAGCACCAAGCAAGTATCCACCAGTGGTGTGGACAACACCCTTGGGCTTACCAGTACTACCAGAAGTGTAGAGAAGGAATAATGGGTGTTCAGGGTTGACAACAGCAGGAGGGCAATATTTGGGGAATTTTGGTACTAAATCGTGCCACCAAATATCCCGTCCTTCTTCCATAGCAGTGGAAGCATTAGGAGAACGTTGGAAAACAAGAACGTTGGTTAAAGTGGGGCAGTTGGGGTATGCTCTGTTAACAACAGACTTGAGAGGGATACGTTTACCACCACGATGGCTTTCATCACAGGTGATGATAAGTTTGGAAGAAGAATCATTGATACGATCAGTCACAGATTCGGAAGAGAAACCAGCAAAAATGATGGTATGAATAGCGCCTAAACGAATAACGGCCAACATAGCAATTATAGTTTCTGGAATCATAGGCATATAAATGGCAACACGATCACCTTTGGTAACACCAAGCGAAGCTAATGCACCAGCGCATTGGGATACATCAGCCAAAAGTTGACGATAAGTGATGTTGCGGCCTTCATTAAGTTCATCAGCTTCGTATATCAAAGCAATGTCATTAGGACGCTCGATGGCATGACGGTCGACAAGATTATAACAGGGAGAAATTAAACCGTCAGTGAACCAAGCGGCATCAGCATTTTCAATGGAGCCTTGCTTGACAGTTTCGAAAGGCTTTTCCCAATGGATTATTTCACGGGCCATTTTTCCCCAAAAGGTTGTGGGATCACGTATGGATTGTTCATACATGGCCTTGTACTCCTCCATGCTGGAGATGTTAGGCTTGGGAACAGAGGCATCCTTGTGAAGACGAGCAGGAGGGTCTATAACAAAAGAGTAATTGGTAGCGTGTTGGGTCATCTTGTTAAAAAATACAACAAAGAATAACTAATGAAAATGTGGAATCTTAACAAAGGATTGTTGAGTCGTTTCCTAGAAAACTGTATAGTGTTGGTCAATAAAAATTAACGAATGAGGTATAAAACGAAAATGCAAAGATTTGAGACCAAAACGAATAAAAAAGAAGTGAAGGAATCAAATCGGGAATCCTTGACCAGAAAAGGAAAAGGAAGACTACAAAATTTCATCAGTTAGTCAAAAAAATAAAGAATAAAAACAATTCTACTTTCAAGTAAAACACCCTCCATTGCTAGTTTGCTTTATAGAAACCAGTTAACCGGCGAAGGCATAGAACAAGGCCTGTCCACTGAGTTCATCTTGTGAATATGTGCATACCTATACCAACTAGATAGAAAAAATAAAGGAAATCAAACGAAACTTGGTTACGGTAATTGGAAAAGAATACGAAAAGATTCAGTCCGCAAAATTAGCCTAGAATAGAGTCTGTAGGCTAGATTTTTTGTAATAGCCTAAAACTTTTATTTTTCCAAGAATAAGAATCTATATTTTCACTTTGTGAAAAAGATATCTTCAAAGGGGACGAAATGACAAGTTGTGCTGATAGTTGTCAAGGTGGTGTAGAAAATGTATATAGATTCTGAGCTTTGGTTATAATCGTTAAACAACAAAGATCAGATCGTTATATGTACTACCACGCAGATGATAACAGGAGTATGAAAGCGAAAACGCGAACGTGTAGCAGAGCTAGCGGATAGGAACGCGTATATCGGGGAATCTATAAATGAGACGATAGAAAGAAAGAAGCAGCAAGTTTTTATCGTTTCACTTTGAAAAAAAATTCAAGTTAAAACGAGTAAAAAGGAAGAACGAAGGTGCAACGAGTTGTTGGTTTCTAATCCCCAACAAGTTGTGGTAGTTGGTAAGGGAAAGATGCGTGAGTTCTTTAAGGAGGGTATACGGAGAGAGAATCAGGGCATACAAAGTGCAAAATGAATTACTTTTTCAAAGGAAAAAAAAAAAGAAAAAAAAAATAACATTTATTCAAGTAAAGTAGAGAAAGAAACCTTGGAATGGTCAGTTTATGATTTTTCATTAGGACTAAGTAATAAGACATTGTTATTCATGAAGTTTGGGGGAGTAATAGGTATGAAAAGTTTGTAAATTGTTTCTACTGGAAAGGAGCAATCATAGAGTGGTTTGCTGGATCTGTCATATTTGTGCCATGAAAAAGCCTTTTGAAAAGAAGAGTGCAAAAAGAAAAACTAAAAAGCATGAACATGTAATACTGAAACATTGAAAGAAAGATGACTCTGCAATGAACGGATTCTACGTATACCGCTCGAAAGCTATTCCAGGAAAGAGTCATAGCTCATGCTTGCTTGATTCGTTGGGTGAGGTTTTGGGCCAAGGCAGTGATGGCAATTCGAAAGGCCTCGTGAATAGAGTCATGAATGCCAACGATACCTCCGGACATTCGAATAAATCCCTCAACCATGATATTTTGCACCATGCCTTCGGAATGCACAATGAGCCCATCAGCATCTTCTAGAGAGCCAGATCCTCCTTTGGAAACTCGGGGGAACAGCTCGTCGCCCCAGGCATCTTTTCGATAAGCCTGTACCTTCTGAGGATAAGTTCTCCCATCCACGGTGAAGCCAGCAAGCGGTTTTCCTTGCGCGCTCATGTACCCCAACTCGACAGCAGTCCCTGGATCCATGTCGGGTCCTCTTCGGAAAGGGTCTAAGCAAAAGATACCGGCATCACAAAAGTCCATCAGCTTTCTATCCAAGGTAGCAATCGCCAAACTCGTAGCAATCCCTGGCTCCATATCTTCCACTTCTTCTTGGCCATCAAAGGGTGCCATTCCAACAACACCGACTTGACGACAAATAGCTTTCAATTCTTCAAACAGAGCATACGCATTGGGTCGAAACACCAAGTCTCCTGCCAAGTAGACTTTTGGTTGTGCCACAACAGGCACAGCCATGTCCCTTTTCTCGCACATACTAAAGTCTTGAAACCTTTTTTTGCTTCGTTTTCGGTCTTCGTTTCCAAAAAAATTATTCCTTTGATGATGAGTTTCTACGAATTCCTCCTGTGTTGTTCAACAATCCAGTTTGGGTCTTGCAGGATCCATGCAAAGCCTATCAATCCTTCACCATGATGTATCTCGCTCATTTCGGTGGAGCCTCTTTTCTCTCTCTCTCTCTCTCTCTTTCTCTCTCTTTCTTTCTCACTTTCTCACTTCTCTTTGTTTCTTAGTATGATAAGATAATACTAGTTATCCAAGGCCAAAGCTAGAAAACACATACAGAAACAAACAGAGACAGAGACAGACTATAACCAGTAAGAATTGAATTTTTTTATTCAGATTTTTTATTTTCTTTCTCAGAAAACTGTTCGCCAATTCCATTCTTCTCACTTGGTATGTTTATTTACGAGGTTTCGACTCTTTTTGGGGTTTGTTTACAAACAAACCAACCTGACGGACTATATCCATAAGAGCTCGAAAAATCAGGAAAGAAAAGGGTTAACTATGATCGCCCAACTCTTTCTTTTGATATTGAAATAAAAATTTACCGTTGAGTCTCCAAGCCCAATTTATTTACTCTTGGAGATGAGTGTCCACCTTGCTACTTGCTAAGGGACAGGGCCAAAACAAGTATAACATGAATTTTCTGGCTTTTTCGAAACTACCAATCTTGTTTTTTTTTTGTCAAATAATTAGATCATTTACTATAGAATCTTAAAGCTCAATAATATCACACCTTTTGTTCCTCATTCCTCCTCGCCGACTAGTTCACTTCCTTTTCATTAGCCAGCTAGCCATCTCCTACTACTATTACCTATTGTTTACCACCCAACACCGCCGACCCAAACCGACCCACCCACACGGCGAATTCCATTCCAAGTCACATCAGTAGCCGACGTTACGATGCGATAAAACAGTTAACAAACCGCTTTTTTTATGCACAATCCAAGATAACGATATTGTACCCCACCTATTGTAACCGCGAGGATTGGTTGACGCGTGGAAGATTTTGGGGAAAACATCCAATAAGGATTCATGCATTAGATATAAATCGGGAGTAGGAGCAGTTGAAATTCTTCTTTAGCAAACTCCAAAAAAAATCAATTTTGCGAAATTTCAAGTAAACCATTGAAATTTCTTTTTTTTTTGTGGATTTCCTTCATTTTTTTCTTGTCTAACGATTCTCTTTTAACCTGCTAATATGCCTTACGCTCCCGGTGACGAAAAGAAAGGTGCTTCCTTGTTCAAGACTCGTTGCGCCCAATGCCACACTGTCGAAAAGGGCGGTGCTCACAAGGTCGGTCCTAACTTGCACGGTGTCTTTGGCCGTAAGACTGGTCAAGCTGAGGGCTACGCTTATACTGAAGCCAACCGCGACAAGGGTATCACTTGGGATGAAAACACCTTGTTTGACTACCTCGAGAACCCCAAGAAGTACATTCCTGGTACCAAGATGGCCTTTGCTGGTTTCAAGAAGCCCGCTGACCGTAACAATGTCATTACTTACTTGAAGAACGCTACCTCTGATTAAAGTGGGAAATTGATAGGTATCCTTAATCGGTAATTTGATAGGTGGATGGATGTTTGAACACCTTTTATGCATTCCTACCATAATATCTTCTTTGTCTTGTTAATTTCTCTCTTGCTTTTTTTTTTTTTTTTCTATTCTACTCAATGTCATCTCCATCCATTCTCTTTTCCCTACGCTCTTCTCACGTTTGTCGATTCTTTACGATTTCAGTAGATGAACCACGTAGTTTCGAAACTTTGTCTATTTCCATGAATTCCTACAATCCCCTCTTCTGGCGTTCATTTCTTTTCTCGTGATATTCATGAGTCTTCCACGAAAACAAAATAGTTTCCAATAAAAGGCACCAAAAGAAGTGTAGAGATTCATAGTCTCCTTATCCTTTTTCTTTTTTATTCGAGAATAGTATCACATTGGATTCTCTACTGATCTCTCCTTTTTTTAAATCCATCCCTACTTTCCTTGTTTTTACAGTTCGCTTTTGTTTTATCTGTTGCTTTCTTGCTAAGCTGTTTGCTTCCTAGAAGAGAAAGAAAGAAAAGAACAATATTCTTTTCTACCCGCTGAACCGGACTTGTCAGACTGTATTGTCTCTCTCCTTTACTCTTTCTTTCTCTCTGATGAAAGTAATCATCCTCCTCTTAAATACGTTTCTAGCCGCTCATTAGCTTAGTACGAGTTACAGAAGCAGCACCAAGACGAGACAAATTGGGTTTCCTTTTATTTTCGAACTCCTTCCACAGAAGCCGTCCAGGCTAAAAAAATCATTGTAGTAAACAATCGATATCAATTTTTCTTTTTCTCTAATCACTACAAACCTTCTTTGAACTGGTAGCAACTTTTATTAAAACCTCACCGAGTGAGAAGCATCATAGATGAGACCTGCCTGAACCCTACACGGTCTCTTTTAAACCACCCTGTCTATTTTGTTTCTGTTTCTACCATTTTTAAACCTACGAAACAAAATTATACAAGAGAATGATTATAACTTCCTGGTCTCAATTTCAATTGCATATTCAAACCCTGCAGAAACCTTCATTTCTTACTATTAACAGAATACCGTCGTACCCACCGACATACATTTCCTGCAGCCAAGCCATACCAAACTAGCTTGAACTTGGTGGATGTAGAATGGTTAAAGTCGGCTAATGTGCACATCGCTAATTGAAATAAAGAGGAAATGTAGCGCATCTAACAAGTCGTAGACAACAGATGGAACAGCAAAATATGAATAGAAGAGAAAAAAAACCTACCATCTTGCTGAATGGAGTGGGAGGAAGTGACGGATTTTGAACAAATCCAATACCAAAAAGGTTATGACGAGGGAACAGCTGTAGGGCATCAGCAAGGGTATGAGGAGGCCTTTCTATTTGGCTTGGAACATGCATACGAAAAATTTCTCTTGATTGGAGAAATTTACGGACGTGTCTGTGTATGGTTACGGGACGAGAATATCAAACAACCAAAAGTAAAAAAGGCAAAAAAACATTTGGAACAGTTGAAAGTCCTTCTAGACGCTTTGCCGTTTCACAATGAACTCGGAGATACAGAAGCAGGTTTCGATGCCTACTGGAATCGAATCACCGCTAAAACAAAAGTTGTTTCAAGCCTTCTAGGAATTAGAATCTTGCCGCCAGACGCAGAACAAGACAACGACGGCTTTGAATAATTTCGATCCGTTCATATATATAGAGGAATTCGCCATTTAGAATATGCCATCTCATCTGTATTTCCCTTTGAGTCTTTTGTTACTTTGCTTAAAACACAGTTAATCTTTACAAGAATTACGAGTTTCCTATTCATCATTGCCTTGACTTGAATGCACGGTACGATCTCATCTCCGTAAGTCCTCTCCACACTTTCCTGCTGAGTTAGTTTTACTACTATTACTATCGGTTCTTATACCAACTACCTCGACATTTTCATAGACTTTTTTTTTAGACATTTTATTCAAACAATAAATAGATACTTTTTTGAAGCTTTATATTCTATCATTTATTGATATAGAAAAGGTGTCATCTATAATAGTTTTATGTGTAACTAAAAACTTTTCTTCAATTCCTTGTATGCGTTCATCTGTTTCCCGACACAAGTTCTTTAGTCACTGGTTTGTTACCATTTCCTATTGGCCTATTTTTGACTTTTCTAGCTGGTAAATTGCAACTAGAAAAGCTTCGAGTAGGCCTATTCTTTTAATTATAATTTTAATTCCAATTTCAAGTTTCCTTGTTTATGTTTATGTTTTCATTTTTAGTTACAGTATAAAATTTCACTTCAGCACAACTAATACACTGAAATAATAGAATCGATTTCCATATAACAACTTTTATTGACGTTTCTCCATAAAGGCTCTAGTTAGGTTTGACTCATCGTGTGAATTTCATATACCTGCCCATGACTGCTTTTTCTTGCCCTATGTTTTACTATCCGATTTAGTGTTGTTAAACGAATTGCAACGTACGAAAAGAATACACCAATTTGTGAGTATCGTAGAAGGAATATGTAGAAGACCTTGCTAGGTCAGATATACTTGTTAAATAAGAAAAAATTAACTTTAGTAAAAACAAAACAATAGGTCTAAAGCTAGGTCATATTATTCAATAAAAAAGACATAATAGTGTAACCTTCTGTCACATGCCAATTCTATAATCACAACTTATCAACTAATTAAACACTCATTATGTACAAAATTCCATTAACCAAGGTGAAACAAAACAGTTTGCTTTTTTCCATTCTTTTTCTTCGAAGCTGAATTTCGATTCGCAGAACTCGAGGCAGATGATGCTGCTTGAGCTCCAGGAATAGCAGGAAAATCGACTCCACGAGCTGGTTTTTTACCAATCGGGACTTGGATCCTCTTTGAAGTCGAAGGTGGAAGGGAAGGAAAGTCAACCTCGGAATTCGTATTCAAAGCCGATGACCTTGTTTTGGTCGGCATTCCCCAAGAAGGAACCGATCTAGCATTGACATTCCTGACAGGAGGGGAGGAAGAAGCCGAACCTTGGGATTTGTTTCTGGACGAAGGTGCCGATAATGCGGGCCCGCTATGTCTAGCCGCTGTTTCTATACGATTCCAAACACTTGCAGTTTGAGCAGCTGTCCGATTCGATTTTTTAAGGCGCAATAAATTGGCATTATTTGTACCAATATGAGGCTGGTCCCGAGAATTCATAATCTTCCATTCTTGCCATCCTTCGAGAAGCTCTTTGCTTTTTTCTTTATTTTCTAATAAATCCGCGATATGATTAATGATCCCTGAAAGTTGTTCTTGTGGCTTTGATACCAACTTGGTTATACGGTCAGTAGCTTCTCGAGCCGACATCACGTTTCCACGGAAAGATGAAACTGCAAATTTAAACTCATTAACCTTATTCTCGTCAAAACCTGTAAGTTTCATCATCCGGTCGATAACCTGCTGGTGTTGAGCCTGTACATTAGAAGCCATAGGAGAACCTTTCTTCGCCGTAGCAGCATTGAGATTCTGAGATGATGACATACGTGAAATGGCAGGAGATGAAGTACGGCTACTAGCAGCATTCGGCGTGCGGACCGGACTAGGGGAAGATTGACTTACTCGCGCTTGGGGGTTCGAAAGCTCATTCAGCGAAGGAAACTCTTCTCTTCTCAAAACCCTTTGCTTTCCAATAGCAGCTGTTCTAGGAGACGCTGTAGAAACTGGTCTGGAAGTAGCTGCAGCAGATGGTGCGGGGGATGACAAGGCAAAACCAAAGTTTCTATTACGAGCTTGTTGTGAGCTTACGTATTCTTCATGTCGCATATGGGCAATTTCTTCACGAGATAAATGTAAGTTCGCCAAAGAAGAAGTAGCTTCTTCAGTGGGAGCATTAGAAGGTTGTTTTCGGTTACGGCGAGTTCTTCCTACACCGCTTCCTGGGGGTTCATACTCAAACTCTGGTACGATTGTACGTGCTTCCCGTAGCTCTCTAGCACTGAGTCGCTGAGGATGCTCTTCTAATTGATGAGCTTTAAGGTCGATTTCGGTACCAAAAACCACAAATTTTCTTTCCACACACTCCTTTTCGGTACAAACATAGTGATCTTTCTCAAAATGACGTTCTAATGCATTGTAGTTTCTGTAATATTGGTGAGTGGGACGACCAGCAAGCTGATCGCAAATATAACAACGCTCGTGTTTCTCACGACAGTGTTTGTAAAGTTCGTCATCATCATAATAATGCGAGCTACAAAATCCACATTTAGGATGTCCCTTGAACCCACTCACATCCAGATCAGCGCCCTGGTCCCCTACCTCACAATGCTTTGTCAATCCTTTCTTGGAGAATAAGGTATGTTCATGAGTAAATACCTTCTTATGGTTGATACATAAATCACAAAAATATTTGTGATGCGTCACTTTACAATGAAGCTTCAAATCAAACCAACCTTTACAAGTGATATCACAAGCCTCTTCTGGACAATTAAACTGTAGTAAAAGATTGCACTCATCTTGAACTTTTTGGTTATCAAATACAAGTCCAAGATTTTTGTCTTGAAATGGAAAGTTATCCATTTCAACATCTCGGATATCCAAATCATGGTCCTGGGTAATTGAAATCACGTCCCACGGAACCTTACAAAATGTACATTCTTTAGTTTTGTACAAAGCGCGCAAACGTATGGCACAGATATGGCACATACCTAAGATAGATTAACGGTTAGTAAATATGCATGAAGTGCAGCTAGTTTGTCTTCCTGGAATACTTACGATGATTACAAGGAAGAATGCATGTATACGCAATTGGTTCAGCACAAATAAAACAAATTTGCTCTTCTTCTTCTTCGTCCCCATCGGTTACGTTTTTCTTAATAGTGGTCTCTTTTTTATTTTCCTCTTCCTTATCCGAGTTTTCAATTCCAGCAGGTTGGAGCTTCACAGTATTTTTCTGTGTTTCTCTTCTGGCCGCTACGTCTTAAACTTTGGTTAATATTCACCTGATAATAAAATTTCGTTCTCATACCGGAATTTGCAGACTTCCTTTGGTTATTTTTTACATGATTCTTTTTCTGATTACTTTTTGGTTTTTTGTTATCAGAAGCAGTCTCTGGCGACGGCATTTTGTTTTGTTTATGCTGAATATCAAATTGGTTCTGGGCAAGAAATGTACTTTCGTACATAAAGTGTATACTACCGAATGAACAGAGGAAATGTACCACGAAGAAACTACTCATACAGACTCCTTCTCATTATTAAACAATTATCATTATTAATTATTTAAAATTAGAACTCTTAGAGATCTTAAATCTGCAAGCAAAACTTTATGAATAAAAACCCCTTTCTTGACTAACAGTAGGGATAGTTTCAAGTTGCCTTAATAAATGGTTTCTAAATTTTATAAATAGTACTTAAATATATTATACTTGATTGAATGTTCGATGATACGTAGTTTTATAAGTTTGGTCAGCTCTATTTTGAAGGTACCTTCAGGCCGAATTCATGCTTTACAGAGCAAAATCTAGTTTAATTAATATTTCTAAAGCTATTCATCATACATGTCTTCCTAATAGGAAATGCTAGCGTATAAAATTGCCTTTAGTATGATTCTCTACTTTACGTCCAATTGAAGCATGAAGCCTGCTTTGTCGTATCTTATATTTCCTGAATATGAAATTTGATTGTACAATTCTTAATGAATCGCTTGTCGGATCCCAAGAGCAATAGTCATTTAGACTTCAGATGCTGTAAGTGCCTATGAAATCCGGTTGGAAAATTTAAGCAAGGAAAATCTATCCACGAGAAAAGTAGTATAGGATCCAAGTAATAAGCTAACGAAACTCTCTGTGTTTGGTATCTGCTATGGCTTTTACGAAGTTTGGCAACTAGGAGACGGAAAGTTTTATGAAAGGTCATCGTCAGCTGCTTCAGTGCCACAACACTGATTACGGAAAGTAGATAGAGAGTGATTTGCAGTTAATTCTCTCTGTCTCTATACAGTTTCTCGATGTTCGTTTAAGAATAAAACTGTTTAGCAGTATGATGTCTGTTAACAAGCTAAAACATACCTACTGATCTAGTATAACAATCAAAGAGTTCGAAGTATTACTTCAAATCCACAGAAAACTGTCGAAAGGCATTCAGTTCGTCACGATGGAAATGCACCATGCATGTACAAGTTTCATATATATGTATTCATAGAAATAGCAATTTTATTAAGACATAAAAAAGAAGCATCTCAGAGTATGGTACAAAAATAAAAGAAATACGGGGTCTTGCGGATAAAGACCTTTTGAAAACATACAATCAATGTACAGTGATTTTTGAGCTTAGGATTACCCTAAGTCCTGGTTGCCAGTATATTGACAAAAAAATAAACAGAAAATTACAAAAGAGAAATGAGTCACCCGTATATCCTTTTACTCGTCGTTGTCGTTGTTATCTTCCTCTTCGGGAGAAGCTTCGGGCTTACTCTCTTCTTCAGGGTTTTCAGTATTTTCAGTATTCTCAGTGTTTTCAGGAGTTTCAGTCTTTTCAGCGGCAGGTTCCTCTGCGGCAGGTTGTTTTGGAAGCTTGTCATCAGGAATCTTGGTCATTAACGAGGTCAAGTACTAATCCATTAGTAAAGATAAATACTTCAAATAAATTCTTTATGACTTACCTTGTTCATGGTAAACATGTGAAGGTTGTCCACGTTGAATACATGCTTCAACTTGTCGTCACACAAGATGGTACGCTTGTCATTGGGATCCTGAAGATTGTTGGCTTTAATGTACTCCCAAAGCTTTTTAACGGTTTGAGGACGAGACATCTGTTATGTTAGCTAGGGTCCTAAATTCAAACGGTCGATAACTCATCGTCTGAGAGTATGCATACTCCTAGACATATCAAAAAAATATATATAGAGTAACAACAGCAGTTAATAAAGTTTCTTACCTGTTCAACATTAAGGAACTCGGCGAGCTTGGGGTCCAATTGCATGGGTCTGTTCAAAGGGTTGTTGGCCGGGTCTACGTTGCGCTTCTTCTTCTGACCATCTTCACCTTCTTCAGCACCCTTACGTTTTCTAGACTTCTTGGCTGGCTTAGCACCTTCAGCAGTTCCTTCCTCAGTGTTCTTAGAGCCACGAGACTTCTTGGCGGGCTTTGCCTCTAGACATTAAAGCGTCAGCAACATGTCCAAAAAATATGCAAAAGGCTATTCTAATTCGTTTAGCTTACCTGAGCCGCCGCTGCTTTGAGGAGCAGCTGTTTCATCGAAGCATTGCAAAATCAATGCATTCAACTCTTTTTTGCTTGAACTTAAATCAACATTCTTTTTTTCTTCAAGTAATTGTCGAACTTGTTTAGCTGATACAGTTTGACGATTAACTGTACCAAGAATATCCTTTATATCGCTCCTATACTGATCCATCGTTCTATTACTATATATTACAGTGTTACTAATGACACTTATTATAAGCTGGTCAAGGTACAGTGTAGTAAGTGGTGGTGGTAGTAGTACTTACAGGTAGGCATCCTCGGGAACACCGACTTCCACGAAAATTACCTCATATAATACTGATGTGAACATAAGAATATCCCAATAATAACAGAAAACGCGTAAATTATATATATAGATCTTCCTATTACTTTTGAAATAAAATATATAGGAAAAAATAGTATATACTTTTGATGCTAAGTTTGAACGCGACTTTATTTAATAATGCGTGTCGCGATCAGTGTAAACAACTTGCCCAAAACCATATTCAAATTAAGGAATTATGAGCAAGGGAAGAGTTGAAAAAACACAATCAAATGAGCAAAATGAACCAGTAAAATCAAAACAAAGGACGCTATTTGGGTTTTTCTCAAAAATCCCAACTCCTAAGAAGGAGTCACCATCTTCCTCTATACCTTTGCAGAAGTCTTCCGCGTCACCAACCGCTGGCGGTACTGGCGATGCCAAACGGATACCATTACAAAGTCAAGAGAATGAATTGCCTATTCGTGTCCCTGACGAATCCAGTCAAAACACTTTTTCGCCTCGTCCATATAGTGACCCCTTTTCATCTCCATTGTCGAGTAATATTCCGAGGTCCTCTCCAAAAAGACCTTTGGATTCGTACGACGAAGGGGATACCCCAAAGAATGTAACTGGAAAATTACCTCGAATTTCGGACCACATGGATAATGCTGTTCATTCTTCTCCCCATGACAACGACTCTGATGTTTCCTTGGATTCTCCAACCAAAAATAAGTCACAAAATTTTGAATTGGATTCCTCTTTACAGTCAGACCCACAGTTCCTTCCTTCTAATAAATTCGCATTATCTTCTTCAACAACACATGAAGACCCTGAAAAGAAACCAAATCTTCAAAGTGGAGGAAGACGAGCCAAAAAGGTACGTATTATTTCATCATCGGTAATTATCGTTTACTAACAATTTAGCCTGTGTCGTATCAAGAAAGTGACGAGGAGGATTTGGAAGATGTCAAAGGATCAAGAAGTAATCGTCGCAAAAAAGTAGTGCTTGACGATGATGATTTCGATGAGTATGTAGAACCAGAGCGGGAAAATAGTCCTTCTGATGATGAATCTATCCCTGCCAAGGAAGAAGTACCTGAAGATGATCTTATGGATGAAGAAAATGAAGACATGGATGCCGATGATTCCAACTCTCCATTAGCAGCTCCAAAACCCGTCAACAGATCAAAATCTTCTAAATCGATGTATGAAAGCTACCGTTTAGGATCTAATCTTGCCTCCGCTGATTTACCTTCCCCTAGATCCGCCTCTCCCTCCAAGACAACTGCATCTGGTATCATAAATAGAGAAGAGAAGCGGAGATTGCGCATGGAAGCCTTTAAAAAGGACAATTCAGATCGCTATGAGTGGCTATTAGATGTACGCGATGCCGATAAAAATCGTCCGGGGGATCCCAACTATGATCCTCGTACTCTTTATATTCCTCCTTCAGCGTGGTCTTCTTTCAAACCGTTTGAAAAACAGTTTTGGGAAATCAAGAAAAACCTTATGGATACTGTGGTCTTCTTTCAAAAGGGAAAATTCTACGAATTATATGAAAATGATGCCGCAATTGGTCATCAAATTTTTTCGTTAAAACTCACAGACCGTGTTAACATGAAGATGGTTGGTATTCCAGAAGCCAGTTTTGACTATTGGGCTTCACAGTTTGTTGCCAAAGGTTTTCGAATTGCTCGCGTTGACCAGCTTGAAACAGCATTAGGTAAAGAAATGAAGGATCGTCAACGAACTCAAAAAGAAGAAAAGGTTGTACAACGAGGCTTGACCCAGGTCCTCACTAGTGGCACTTTAGTCGATGAAGCTATGCTGACATCTGATCTCTCTACTTACTGCATGGCAATTAAAGAAAACATTCGTTTTGATAGTGACGAACCGTCATTTGGCATTTGTTTTATCGATACTTCTACCGGTGGATTTCAACTCTGCGAATTTACAGATGATATTCATAGAACAAAACTTGATACTTTGCTAACTCAGACTCGTCCTAGAGAGCTTATCTTAGAGAAATCTGAGGTGTCTCAAAAGTCTATGAAAGTCATAAAGTATTGTGTTTCTTCAGCGGCAATTTGGAATTTTATTAAGCCATCTACCGAGTTTTGGGATAAAGAGAGAGTTATTAGGGAAATTATTTCCGCGAACTACTTTGAACATGGTCTAGAAGGAACTCCGAAAGTACTTTCAAGAGTTTTGGAAACTAAAGAACTTGCCTCCAGTGCATTTGGTGCTTTGGTTTGGTACTTGCGTCAACTCAAAATGGATAAAGATATGTGCTCAATGGGTAATTTCATGGAATACGATACATCTCAACATTCAACCTCTCTACTTATGAATGGACAAACCTTAAAAAATTTAGAGATTTTTTCCAATTCATTTGACGGTGGTGATAAAGGTACACTTTTCAGTCTTTTATGCCGCTGCGTAACACCTTTTGGAAAACGATTGTTCCATACTTGGTTATGTCATCCTTTAAGGTCGCCTGTTGCGATAAATGCCAGGTTAGATGTGATTGAACTAATTGCAGATAATCCTTCCATTAGAGACACTATATGGGGTTTCATGCATAAACTTCCCGATCTTGAACGGTTAATATCGCGAGTGCATGCTGGAAGAAGCAAGCCAAGTGATTTTGTCCGTGTATTAGAAGGATTCCAAAAAATATCTTTAGCTTTTCAGCAACTCCAGTCTGAATTCCAGGATATTGCTAAGGGTACTTTATTATCTGAATTGATACAAAATGCGCCCGACATGCAAGCAGAACTTCAATCGTGGACACGTGCTTTCAATTGGCGAAAGGCATCAGAAGAAGGTGTATTTGTTCCGGAACCTGGTTTTGAAGCTGAATATGACCAATCCCAGGCGTACCAAACTGAACTGAAATCTGAACTAAATGAACTGTTAGAACAGTACAAGAAACAGTTGCATTGCTCTTCTCTTAATTTTAAGCATGTTGGTAAAGAAGTGTATCAAGTGGAGGTCCCTTCTGATGTCAAAGTACCCGTAAATTGGTGTAAAATGTCAGGCACGAAAAAGGCGAATCGCTATTACAATGACGATTTGAGGAAAAAAATAAGGAAGCTACTCGAAGCTGAAGAGCTCCATCTATCAATTATGTCCCGAATGCAGGACAAGTTTTACGCAAGATTCGACGGTAATTATGAAAAATGGCTAGCACTTATTAAATGTACTGCTTCTATAGACTGCTTTTTCAGCCTTTCCCAGGCTGCAGCTGCGTTGGGTGAGCCTTACTGCCGCCCAGAAATTATTGACGGTGATAAAGGTGAATTGATATTTGAAGAATTAAGACATCCATGTATAAACGCTACGGCTGCCGCTACATTTGTGCCAAATGATGTTTCACTAGGTGGGAAAACAGCCAACATGGTGGTCTTGACTGGACCAAACATGGCTGGTAAATCTACACTGCTTCGACAGGTGTGCGTGGCAGTCATTATGGCTCAACTTGGTTGTTGGGTACCTGCAAAGTTTGCTAGATTAACTCCTATGGACAGTATTCATACCCGTTTAGGTGCCAACGATGATATCATGTCGGCTAGAAGTACCTTCATGGTGGAGTTGTCAGAAACCAAGAAAATAATTGAAGAAACTGGGCCAAAGAGTCTAGTTATATTAGACGAGCTTGGACGTGGTACCAGCACTCATGATGGGCATGCGATAGCATATGCTGTTTTGCATCATCTGGTGTCTAATCTCGGTTGTCTAGGATTTTTTTCCACACATTATCAAAGTCTCTGTATAGACTTTATTAAATATAAGCAAATCCGGCTTATGCAGATGGCTGCAGCTGTTGATGAGGAACGTCGGCGTGTAACATTTCTTTATAAACTAGAAGATGGTATTTGTCCAAAGTCTTATGGTATGAATGTTGCCAATATGGCTGGATTGCCAGAGAGTGTAATAGATGCAGCAGAGCGGAAGTCAGAAGAGATGGAAGCGACGACAAAGAGCTTTCATAAAGCAACCGACGACATCGCTTTGGTTAGCGATTTCTTTCAACTGATGCGTATCAATGAAGGAAAAGAGCCATCGTCGATGGCGAATCTTCCCCTCATGCTCGATTGTATAGCAGGAGGCAACTAAAAAGATGAATTTTATGATTCGATATTGATCTAATATTGAAAGCCTTCATTCATGAATGGTTTAGGTATAGAGTAGTTGGTTTGCTGGCAAACCAATTGCGATTAAAACATTTATTTTCTCTTTGAGTCTTTTAAGGTATTTAATGAATAATAATATTGTGTTTGACTGATTCAAATGCGTTGTGAGTTTAGCGATTCTCATGAACATACAATGCTAATGTAAAAAATTCTTTTCGTATAATACTGGTTGCATAATATTCTGTGTCCTTGTTATACATAGGAGTTCATAAGGGAGACTTGTTTTCTCCTAGTTGCATGCAAAAGTAATAGCAAAGCTCTGTTATATGTTTATATACTCATTATTATAACTACTCATTTAAAATCTAGGTTACAACCAGTTGTAGTGTAAAAACAACCCAATTTCTACGTTTTGATATTTTTTTGGGTTATGTTTACGCAAGTGCTCTAATGCTGTTTGTTCAAAATTTAATTTCATAGCAGGTTCAGAAATCGTCAAACATATGAAACTAAATAGAAATAGTATTTCAAACACACGATCTTTCCTGATTCTATAAATAAATGTTAAATTATTAGATGTTTTGCTCCAATTCTACAAAACGTATACAAAACCCACTTGAATACGGTAACTGTCACTTACCGTACCAGTCTGTCACTCGTTATTTGATTAAAGAGCAATGCACAACCGTCTGTATTTGAGATCGTGACTGTTATTTCTATTCATATCAAAACTTGTACACTGAACGCGTAGTTTTCAACAAACATGGATTCCTCAAAGGTCCCAGTCAAATTGGCTAAGGTTATTAAAGTCCTTGGACGTACCGGATCTCGGTAAGTAGATCGTGGATTTTTAAAGAAAAACTGTCTAACTTCTGTAGTGGTGGTGTCACCCAAGTCCGTGTCGAATTCATGGATGACACTTCTCGTTCCATCATTCGTAACGTTAAGGGTCCTGTTCGCGAAGACGACATCCTTGTCTTGTTAGAATCCGAACGTGAAGCTAGACGTTTGCGTTAAAAAATTGAAATCACAGAGGATACTATTTCGCGATTTTTTCGCCAATGCTTATTTGATGTTATTTCAGAGTATTTTATTATGGTCCGGATGGTTCAAGGAGAACGACCAACCATAGCGTACTTTGGATTTTTTACTGTCAAAATACTATCATCCTTTGAATGAACATATATATCTGGTAGCAACAGTCTACCTGCTGTTAGGAATATAACTGTAAACGTTTCTCGTATTGTAGCTCCCATTCCATCTAAGGACACTTTTTTGCGTATAGGACCAGCAAAAAGAATAGAATTTGTAAAAGTTGATATTTCGTACATGAGCTCCACTCTGCGGTTTTCACGATCAACTTCATTGTTGCTAGGCATATGGGCAACCATGAACTCAAGTTGTACCCTCGTAGGAATGTTCAAAGATATGCTTGCTGGTAACTTCCATGAGCAATCAACTTGGGCCATGTCCTTTTTATTTTGTAATTTGATAGGTCCCAACGTCTGCAAACCGTTCATAGGTGTTACAAAACATGCCGTTACTTTTTCTCTGTTAGGCAATTGTAATGTCGATAGTACGTCTTTGACTGTCGGGGGAGCTTTCAAAAACTTTAAAAGACCAGAGAATTCTTCCAAAAACGTTTGGTTGTTTTTCATTAACAGCTTCATTTGTTTAGTCTCGGGCATACTTGCCAATTCAGGCAATGAAATCTGACCATTCAACGCAACTATGGTATCGTTAGTTTTACGACAAATGCATTTAATCCAATTTGTTATAACGTTTATGTTCATTTGGTTTAGATATTGTTCACACTCATTGTACAAATATTCGAAAAGAAGGTCACTAATCCGCAAACACTCCACAGTGACATTATGTTTTTTTCGCTGCCAACCCTTCGATGAGGTTACTTTGAAACAATCTATCGTATCCAAAATTGTTAGATTGTAGGGTATCTCGTATTCATCCGTTTCTTGACTATCCAAATTTGTAGTTTTAATTCTCCATCCGAAAAATAATATTGGTTCCTTGGGCTTTATTTTAAGAAAAAAAACTTGTGAATCTTGCTCATTTTCATCAAGTTCGCAGGAAATCTTCGCAAAATCTAGTCTGTTTTCCATTACTGGCAGATAAAAATTAATAATGTTATCATCTTGAGTTTTGTAATTTAATTTAATCAACTGAAAGTTTAGATTAGTAAAAGGCAAGACATTGATATAATCGTACATCATTTCTTTCCTCATTTTTTAAAATAGGAAAGTTTAAAACAGCATTTCCTAGGCGCCTAAAGTTTTCAAGATAAGCGACATCATCCTGAATAGATAAAGTACAGTCAGAATGTTCATTAAGGAAGCATTGGCTTATCCTGCTTTGGTCTTCTTTATTGCTTGATTCAAAGGTTAAGCTCACTTTCTGATTCTCATCGAATTTTTTTCCAAAGCATATCCGAAAAGCAGATTCAAATCTATCGTTCAAAAAAAGCTGAGGTGCAGATGCTTGTACTATAGAAAGATGTCGTCCATTCAGAGATGGTTGGAAGACCTCTATTTCTTGTTGGGGAACAAATCTGTCTTTCTTGAAAAGCAGGGGCATTCCTTTTGGTTTAATTATCACTTGACTTACGGAATAACTTCCGGGAAGAATATCCTAAGTCGTTAGTAGATGCGCAAAAAATTTAAAGTCGTACATTACAGCTCAAAATAATTTTTGAATCATTCTCAATGCTTTTTAAGCGGAATTGTATTTCAAAAGGTTGAGAATTACAAACCAAATTACACACGACAGATTCCAGCATATCCAAGCTAAATATGGAAGAAGTAATTTTAGCATCAAGCTCCAGAGCTAACTCCTCTGAAACATTGGTCATGTTTGATAGACTGATACAAAAGAAATCATCCAAATTTAAATCCGTGGTTTGAGAAATATGATCAATTATTTCGGCAGCTGCTTTGAAACAATCAGTGCTTTTGTAATCTTTAAGAATTCTTACTAAGAATTCAATCACCTCGTGAGTTTTGTCAACCTTTATTAGTGTATCAATGTAAAACTGAATCCACTTCTCTTTAAAGGGATCGCTTTTCCAAGATAGTGGTAGGCTTGAAATCTGTAGCATTTCGTACGCTTTTTCATAATTCCCGAGCATATAAAATACGACAGCAGTTTCGGATGCAGTGTTACTGAAAGACAAGTGATTGTTTCTTTCTTTAAATATTTCTAAAGCCTCCTCAGAAAGTTGTATATACATTTTTAAGAATGATTCCGAGCTTGAGAATTCTTCGAGATCTTGAAACTCTTTATCTATTTCATCATTACGCGCCAACTTTGGTAAAGATCCTTCTTCATGCCAAAGGAGGAGTGTGTTTTCATGAAACAATTTCTTCAAAAATGCAATTTTAAGAAGAATAGAACGAATAAATAGAGCTAGTCTTGCTTCGGACATAGGTAACTTGATGTCGTTGTCCTTTGCACTCTGAGTTATGAGATTCTTCAAAAGATTACAAGAATCGTATTTGAACCGTAGAAGAAGAAGGAGGTTCTCATTCGAAAACTGCTCAAAAAGAGGATAATTTAGGAACTGAAATGATTGTTGAAGTAGTGAATATGACTTGTCATAGTTTTTTGTTTGCAAACTCAACTGAATTTGCTTTGAGAACAAATAAAACCCAACGTGAAATAAAGAGAACTTTTCAGAAGCCAAGAGTTGATGAAGATTCGTGGGATTTGAGTCAAAAAGTAAGTTCCTAGTATTCAATTCTGAGGGAGCCGGCACCATGCCTGCTCCTTCACCAAAGTATTTTACCATGTCGTTTTTTCCATCTGCTGTCCTCAAAATTTCATTGAATGTTTCAAACATTTCACCAAACTGGTCAATGGATTCGTTATATAAAGACAATTCCGAATAACTAGCTCCTAATCGTTCCTTTTGTAAGAAATAAACCAACAAGTCAGAAAAGATCGACGTATCTTGCAAGTTTATATACTTGGATTGTTCGGAAAGTTGAAGGAATCGATAATTTAGGGCATTCAAAATAGCCTTTTGCAAACAACCTAAAAATGTATTCCAGCACTCTGCATCAGGCGTTCCGAATCGAACATAATCAAGTCGAATACATCTGTTTATACCAGATGTATTAAAATCATTCCTAAGGCGGTCAATAGTAGACTTTGCTATAAAGTAGGAACTTGACCTTGAATGTGTCCTGCCTAATGGACCAGATGATCGTCTAACGCCTTGTGAACGCGCTACTAAAACAATCATCCAGGATTGAGAGTCGTTTTGAGACACCTTTTTTGACCAATCCAATGCTAAGGGACGATGTTGCAATTTATACGTATCCGAATCCTAATTGCATATTAGTAACGATACGATTACCGAAAAGAAAAACTATACCTCTTCTGGTAAGATCAGCATATTCACTAACGGAGTGTTTAATAATGTTGCATCTTTAGAATTATCGAGCGAAGTGTAATGTTCTACCCATGGAACGAATTCAAGCTCTAAGCTCGTGATAAAATGCTTTTTATATTGAAATGATTCCACCCATTGTAAATTTCGTAATGGGATTTTGCTTTTAACATCCGTTGCTATTGAGGACCATACGCCGAATGGATCATAGTCTGAAATTTCTATAAGTAAACGCGTTCAACAATTCTATGCTAACATACATTGAACCGAAGGCTTTGCTTTAGCCATAAACCAAATTAAAAAGAGGAAAGTACTGCTTTTTCTTTCCTCAATGGCGTTTCTATTTATTTGTTGACAACCAGAAAGTGAGTGTGCAAGCTTATACTAGTATGTGCTACACTACCGTACATAGCTTAACGTATTGCTTAAAACTAATACGACATTTCTAGTTGTAAGAAGCACGTATAGTAAGGCTAGGCACGTAAAAAATCAAGAATTCTAAATCAGGAAAAAATATTCATTATACTGATTTTGAAACAACGTAAAACTCACAACCTAAGAAAGATATTAATGAAATTACATCTAAGGGAAGAAGCTCTTTCAAACATGTTGTTTTGTGTACCCGACAATCCCGCAGTGCAGTACGCTATTCAGACCTACGCTTTTCTGGGTTATTGATGCTTTTTCTACCACCAAGTTGGGTAGATAACCAAAGGGTAGGAAAACTGGTTGTTATACTGTAACAAGAACATTTCAATTCTTTTGGATTGATAAGAATATAAAAATGTCTTCAGGACCAGTTCGAAATAATCGAAAGGATAAATCGACACACAAAAACAAGCCATATGATAGAATTACAGAGTCTTCGCCTTTAAAATCACCACAGACGCCCTCGAAATCGATTGTTCAACGCGCCAAAGAATGGCTCACACCCTCTTCTTGGAAAAAGACAATTGCCTTCTTGAGTAAAATTCCGTCTGAAGAATCGGAAGACGAAGATCGCGACTTAATGATCGATAGTAGTGAGGAAATTAAGCCAGAAGATCATTCCTTCCAAAAGCAATCTCAAACACTTGAGTCTCCGAAAACTCCAGCTGTCCCCCGTGGTAGCTCATTGCCTCCGATTTCCAATCAAGATTCGCCAAATCAGCTATTAGCGATGTTCTTCTCCAACAAGGGAAATCAGCCTTTAAACGAGGTAGAGCGCGAAGGAGTCATGAGTCTTTTATCCAGAAATGGTTCCCCTGCTTCAACAACTCATCATTCTCCTTCCGTTCCCTCCCAGCAATTTAGCACTCCTAAATATACCGCCAATCCTCATCGTGCTGTTTCAAGTGAGTCTCGCATCCAAACATCAGGTTCTTTTCACCCTAGCCCAAATTCTTCTAGACAATGGCCTGCTTTTCGTTCTACTTTCTCTCCGATTCTGGGAAATTCTAAACTTCCTAATGTGCCAGGAAGCTCTCCGCTTTCGGCTCAAAAAACTAGTTACTATGGACCCACAATGTCTACCCCGTTTCGCAAAAATTTACAACGGAAACGTCATTCAACTACACCTGTCGGTGCTTCAAAGCTAATTTCTTTGGCTTCCTCTACTACTCCCGATTTTGTTTCGAAGCGTAGCAAGAACGAGTCCTTTAATGGAAGTTTCACCGCAAATGAAGATTCTTTCAGTACTGTTCCCGCTTCTTCTCCCTTTCCTCCTACGCAAAGCACACCTCAGCAGAAAACGCCTAGTCGTACGGCTGCAAACCTAATGAGCATCTTAGAAAGTAAAGAAAGTCCAGTCACTAGCTCCCCTAAAGATAGTCTTGCAAAAAACACGAAAGCTTCTTATATCAGTCCATATGCGAGACCTGGCGTTACTACTTCCCGTCGTCGTCATACACTTGCCAAAGAGGAAACTCGCCCTTTAAAGACAATTGAGGAGAAACATGAAGTGCCAGCTGTAGAGGCTCTTAATAAGTCGTCAAACTTACAGACCTATAAACCTGATTTTACTCCTCAATTCTTAAAAGAATCCTCAATTCCTGAAACTAAAAAAGAACCAGAGTCTGTCTCTAAGAACACCGATGCTGATTCTTCAAAAACAACTCCGGTTTTCAAGTTTACTGCTCCATCTAGTAACCCTTCTACTAGTATGTTCTCTCAATCTACAAAGCCTACTGAGAATTTAACGAAAGAAAGGCCTGCTGAAGCGGCTCAACAAGGGGAAGCAATTGATGTTGACATGGAAGACTCGAAAGGAGAATCCAAGAAGGAAGGAAATGACATCTCTTCTCAAAAACAGTCGGAAAAGCAACCGGCGTTTGGAGGATTTTTTGCAAACCAATCAGAGTCGAAGCTTCCTGCAGGTTCAGTAGAAGCACCTAAAACTACTGGATCTCAAGGATTTTCTTTTGGCTCCCTTGCCAATAAATCAACATTACCCAGTGCCCCTTCTGTTGAGCAAAAGAAAGCTGAAAAGTCCAGCATCCCTTCATTTGCATCTGCGGAGTCTGCTGCTTCGGCTAATGATGGAGATAATGGAGCTTCCCAACCTACGAAAGAGCCCAAACCCTTTTCCTTTGCATCGCTTACCGCATCCCCGAAGGTGGATGAGAAGCCGAAAGAAACACCAGCTTTTACGTTTGGCATTGCTGGTAAGACTCAAGCAAGCAAAGATCCTAAGCCATTTTCCTTTGCAGCTCCTACTTCATCTCCAAAGGTAAAAGAGAATTTAGATAAGGCACCTGTTTTTACGTTTGGTAGTACCGGAAGCAACATCTCTTCTTCCACGGCTCCTGCTCCCGTACAGAAGGAAGAAAGTGTTCCTGAAAAAGTAGATTTGCCTCAGTTCCCATTCACTATTCTACCAAAGAAGGATATTACTGGGAACTCTGAGGATGAAAAGGCATTATCTGTTACCGACGAGATTCCATCCTTTACTTTCTCAACTTTAGACAAGAAAAATCATTCAGAATGATCTTTCAGAAAAGGATTTGAGTTTGTAGATTTTCTCATTTGCGACGATATGAGATACTTGTTTTCGCAAAGTTTTTGATATTTGCTGTGATTATTTTTTTATTTTTGAATAGCTTTTACGAGTAAAATAGGGAATACATGATGAAAAAGGGATAATGGGTGACGATAAATATTGACAAAACCTCAATTGATTGTTTGTAACTTATTTCATTTACGTAGAATAAAAAACACTTTCATTACAAATGAAGGATAACATATAAAAGCAACGATTCCTCTTGTTTTTGCTTTCTTTTTTTTTTCTCTTTTTAATTTATTCAATTATTCTTGTTGCAAGAACGGATTAGGTATTTCTTCAGAACCATCCATGGGAGCTAGGAGAACCAAAGTAGTACCACGTACAACAATTAAACCAAGCTTCCTAGTTTTGTCCAACAGTTTGCCGTCTTCGGGGTTTTTTAAGTGTTCGTCCACGTCGTCTAAAACAAGATTCATAAGTTGATCATAACCTTTGAGAACACCAGTAATTTGACGTCCTCCAGTAAAGGTAGCTTGAATCCGTTGATCTTGATATCTAGATAAGTCTAAAATTGATTCTTTCCTTGGCTTTTCTCTACATGAAACTGTTAGCACCTATGTTCTCAATGGATAAGCTACTTACGTTGGCTGGCTAGAATTACTAGGTCCTGGGCGCTTTTGAAAAGAAGACATAGTGAGTAGATTTTATTTCAATTATAACCCGCCTTTAAAAGAAATGGTAATTTTGGGAAATGTCAAATATCTCACAGGTAGCTTTCTTGAACCTATAAGGATTGGGAAGTCGAAGACGTACTCACTATATTCTAAAGTCGTCAGAGGTTTTATAGGTATGCTAAAATAATGTACATAATTAGTTATATATTTAATTGAGTTATTATACAAATGCTTTAAAGAAGTACTGATTCGATTAAAAAGCAGAAAAGCGTTTTGTATGAGAACCGTCCAAGGAAATGGTCTATAGTCGTTACTTGTAAGCAATTCATTTAGCTATTGACAAGTCGATAATAGTCTTAAAACAAAAGAATCAAAATAAATATTATGTAGTCTTTGAGATAAACAGTAAAATAAAAAAGAGACGCAACTTCCTAAACGCAAAAGTTCGTTCCAGGATTGAGTATTGACATTGTTTTCCTAATTAAAGAAATGAGAAGGCAAGGTTCTAATTGTAAGATAGAGCGAAGATAACACTTGAGACCAAGCAAAAAAAGGTAAAGGAAGAATGAAATATCAGAAATCATTTCATGCGATTCTGCTCATCAACCGAGAAGAATCAGGGAGACGTTAGTAACAAAAAATGAAATAAAAATATAACGAAAAGAAATATTCACAATGGAATGAACTAGCGACAGAACACGATCTTATACTCCCATCATTTAATCTTCTAATTCAACTACGACGGTACCACTAGGGAAAACGGAAGGAAGGTTGTTAATTTTTGCACCGGTTACCAAAAGTTCCCTCGGAAGAGAAGAATAAAGATTAAATTGAAATTTGTGTTCATATCCATCAGGTGGGGTAATGTTAGCGGATGAAGACATAGCTGCCTCATAAGCTTCTGGATTTTCTTTAGCAAAAAGCAAAGTGTCCACGTATTCGTAAATATTTTTCACGTAATCATCTTCCTCAAATTTCCGAATAACACGAGATCCATCAGGCAAACGAATAGAAAGGCGAGCTGCTTTAGCACCGGCCTGAGGTTCGGAGGGAATGTTAACCGCCAGCCAAGATCGATACTGTACAGATAACTTTTCTAGTCTCTCTTTTTCTTCTTCTTCCTTTTGTTTGTTTTCACGTTCTTTCTTAGCTTGTTGTTGTTTCTGACGATCACGGGCAAGCGATGCTTGATAAGCATCGTCCTGTTGACGTCTTAATTCTCTTGCAGTTTCCCTTTCTTCTCTCTCTGTACGGAATCTCTCAAGAGAAGGCAGGTGGCGTGCTAATGCGTTCGTCAGAGTACTTTGAAGCAAAGCTGAATCCATTGGTCCATGCAAATGAGCAGCGACCACAAGCTCTGATAGTTGAGGAGAATACATTACCAATACGGCAGAAGGAAACTTTGTACAATTAAATTTTCTCGACCCTTGGAAAGCTTCGTCTTCGCACACGTCGCCTATCCAGCAAAGAATGTTGCGGCGGGATAAGAATCCTTTCACTTCTTCATCCATGAGAATTTTTTTTGAAAAGTCCTCCATTTCATCGCTCTTTGTACTGGTGAAAAATAAAAGAGCCACACCATAATTGCGCTTTGTCCGTGTCAACGCTTCCATATACCCACCTTCAGTGAAGACTTCAACATGATCAGTACCATATTGTTCCTCCAAATTCTGAAGTAATTTATTTGCTGCATCCGCTGGCGATAAGTAGCGTTTCCTTGGGCCTAAGATAGGAAGGAATGTTGGTAGTAATGGTACTCGCGATAAAAACATCCAAAACTTGTAAAACCCACTAAAAATAAAAGAAAATAAGGAATGAAAGAATCCAATCCCTAATTTAGAATCCTTTTTTCTGTTTTCTGGCATAGACTCGCCTGTCAAAAAGTTGACGGCCTCCTAAGATACACGGTTAGTAACATTTAAAACATATTGTATGATGAATTGCTAATATAGAATAGCAAAATTCTCTACTAATGTTATAAAGAAATGATTTCGTAATCTCAATTACTCGCTTCTTTGTCTGACAATTCATCTTCCGGTATAAACTCACATACCTGAACATTCCAATTAAAGGTCTCTAAAACAGAATGAGCAGTATCCGCAGGAACATCTAAAGAGCTTTGTAAAGCTTGAATTGCTTCCTGTTCGCTGGATCTTGACATATTGTCGATATTGGCAAACGGATGCTCATACCTTAGTGGGAGTCCAACATCATACCTACAAGCGTACGTTCACCAACACGTTACTGTATGCTGAATAATAACAAAGGCGTCCTTTTTCTTTTTTAATTAAAATATTTGGATAATTATTTCCTAAAACTTTTTAAAGACTCTAATTGTTTCTGTTGTGAGATACCGCTTCTTGATCGTAATTTCAGAATTCGACTGTGCTTATCCATCTGTTTGCGAAGACATTATCAAGGTATACTTTTGTTTTCATTCATAAAAAATAAATTAGGAACAAAAACAATTTCCTAACTTGCTTTTGGAGTTGATTTGAAGAATATCAGGTGTTAATAGTTTCAAAGCCTCTAAAGAACCATAATAAGTTTTTGAATCACCAAGTTCTCTTCTTCTTGTATTATTCCGCAAAAACCAAAAGCCTATTGAAAAGGGCATGGACTGCTAGGTTTTAGTTGAATCAACGGTTACATATTTACAGGAAGTATTAATAACCTACAAAAAGGATCGCATTGCCATATTCTTATTGTGTATCTACGAAAATGCTTTCCACTACCAAACAGGAGTTCTCTAGTAAAAATGATGAGTCTGATGATGCCTTGCTGAAATTCGTGCTTCTTCTGTTTATAAGTTTCTTCACTACTTTGGGTGTGCTCTTGTTTGTAACATTAATTTTGGTTTTGTTCCGATATTCTGGCCATGCGAGGGTTTTACTACGAAACAATACTCCCGGCGAATTGGACGATGAAGCAATTGAGAATGAGACCATTGATGAGGAAGGATTTGCTCATCTTAGTGAACCAGCGAAAGAACGATTTTTGCAGGCTCGTAATTTTGAGATGAGTGCTGCTCAATCTCGCATGAATACCGATGCGAAATTAATTGATTTTTTGCAAGTCCAGGAAAAAGGAGTGTTTGCATGGCATTTTGTACCCAACCTGGACTTGGGTGCTTATGCAACCAATCGGACAGAACTTTCTTTTACTAAAAATGAAGAATGTTGTCTTCAAACAAATCTCCCGTTGCAACGGATCAACGAGGTATATTATTGGGAAGCCAAGTTGTTGGAAGTTGACGAAAATACTACAGTATCTATAGGATTGACGACTAAACCTTATCCACCATTTCGTATGCCTGGTTGGAATTTTTGGTCGTTGGCCTATATTTCTGACGGAACACGAAGATGCAATTCTGCTTTTACAAGCAAATCATATGCATCTTTTTATCAAAAAGGAGACGTGATAGGAGTGGCTTATAAGCCAAAGGCCAACAGAGTGTTCTTTACAAGAAACGGCCGTCGCTGTGCTGAATTACCGTGCACATATCGAAACGTGTATCCGACAGTAGGTGCAACAGGTCCATGTGTTGTACATGTCAATCTTGGACAGGCTGGCTATGTCTTTATTGAAGCGAATATCAAAAAATGGAGGCTGGCTCCACCCGCCGGAAGTCTGGCTCCACCGCCTTCGTATTCTGCACCACAACCAACTGTAAACTGGGACACAATTAGTGAGTCGTCTGCTCAAACGGTCATGCCAGCAGATGTAAATTCATCACTGAATGCACAATCAAACTCCTTGACTAACTTTAGTGGCTCGCTTTCTTCATATAATACAGCCTTACAAGGGTTGCCTTCTTCCTCTTATGCCCAATCTTACCCCATGCATTCGATGTCTGCACGTCCCGACTCTGAAGATGAACAATAATAATTAACGACTATGATGTGTTTTTATATAATTTCTCTTTTTCTGAAGGGATACAATGAATAGTTTATGTTTCTTTCTCGACCTATGATTTTTTTTATTTGTTTTTGGTAATGTAAACTAATGTATAGATTGCAGAATTCAGGGACCCTTCTAAACTTTTATTTATTGAAAAAAACCCGAATCTATTTGTTTTGAAGATTTTCATATCGATATTCCTTGAGTGACAAACTTTGAGTTGAGCATGTAGGAACTCATACATCTAGGGAAACTGTAAGACTTGTTATATACTTTCATAAAGTGACTAAAAATAGTTACACTAGTTATATTACGAAGAGTATGATAGACTATTCATAAGAGTAATTTTTTGGTGGATTACAGCTGTAGTAGGATTGCAACTCCTTTTCCCAGTAATCGTGCTGCAGGAAGCAAATTATTGGATACGACTACTTATGTTTTCAATCTCTGTTTACGTGAAGAATACAAATGAGAATCTTTTATGACTTCCACAATCCTTGTTTATTTTATATTTCGTACCAAAATGGGGTTTGTTTATTACCGACACGCGTTCTAACGCAGTATATTATATAAGTCGAGCGTCATTGTAATTCGCTAGTTATACCGTGAGCTTAACACACAAGCACGTCAACTTGACATAACAAAGAGAGTTAAGACAGAAAGTAGTAGGTCCTTTAAAGGTGCATCCTTAGCCATAGCCATGCATGTTACAGTTGAAGGAAAAGCTGAAAAACCGCCAAGAAAACGATATTCTGAGACGTCTAATGAATCTTTCACATTATATTCATTGGTATGCTTTTTTATTGATTCGAAAAGGTTATGTTAACGTTTATAGGGTACTAATGTAAGAATGCGAATGTACTAGAAGAGCAAAGATCTTACATAGTATAGGGAGGGCCACTAGAAACAGACTGTAGTGCTCATCTATTGTCAGATGGAACGTTTCGGGAGATTGTTTCAATAGACGGAGGCGGACATCTTTCCGCATTGGCCGAGTTGATTGAAAAGAAGCTATTGACAGTCGACATTGATGAACGGGACTTACTACAATCAGGGGATGGAGTACCCTTGAACATTGTGTATGCGAAAGCATGGTTGTTTTCTGAACAGGGTATTAAAACGTTTTTAATTTCACACTGCCATTTTGATCACATATACGCTTGCGTTATCAACAGTGCGATGTTTGGTCCACAAAATCCAAGAACAATTGTCGGCTTGGACTATGTGATTAATACCCTCAAAAAGCATATATTTAATAACCAAGTTTGGCCTGCGTTAGATAAAGCTGGATTTATAGATTTCAAGATGTAAGGATAAAGGATTGCTTTTCTTACCGTATTTCTTATAAATATTGGTATTTGGAGCATAAATTGAAGTGCGAGGACGGTTGTTGTTTGTTTTCGTATTCATACTAACACTTATTAGAATTAGTCAACCCGTGTATACCAATTTAACCTCTACCTTATCCGTATTACCTTTCCCTGTGAATCATGGCTCGTCGTTTGGGCATGAATTGAAGTCGTCGGCATTTCTCATTCGCAACAATATATCTGACCGGTATTTCATAGCTTTTGGAGACGTAGAGCCTGACAAAGTAGCATCAGATTCGCTTAATATTTATGTATGGAAAGTCTGCGCAGAACTTATTGCCAAAAAGAAGCTGACTCATATATTAATTGAATGCTCTACACCAGACATTCCTGATGCCTTACTGTTTGGCCATTTTTGTCCTCGGCATTTAGTGGATGAGCTTTGCTCACTCCAGTCATTTGTTAAAGATCTAGGTGGAAGCATGGATAATGTCACTGTTTTAATAACTCACTTGAAATCTCATCCTCTTCAGGCAATCAATCCTGAAGTTATCATCATGGAGCAACTTGAAGCTTTAAGCAAATCGTGTTCTTTATCCGTTAATTTTAAAATAGTTAAACGAGGACAGTTTTATAGATTTTCCTGAAAAGGGATGTTAAATGGTCTTGGTTTGAGATTTTTATATTCGGTTTGCGGTAATGCAATGCGTATGATTATATTCATTCGCTTTTCATTGTTTTTGAAATTACTTTACAATTTACATCTTGCAAAGTTTACTCTTTTCGTTTCCTTTTCTTATCATACGAAGTTTTGCATCAATTACCTCCATCATTAGAATTTTTATACATTACAAGCGATTGGGATTTTGGACATAAGGGAACATTATTGTTAATAAAAGCTCGATGTTTTGTTAATTCGATTTTTATCTCACTGGATTTTATAAGAGCAGCACGCTTCTTTCTATTCCGAAAAAGAAAATTTACTTTTAGTTGTAAATGGAATAAATCATAATAAAGTATTTTAACTTGGTCTGAGAATGGGGTGCTCTTCCCTATGCGGTTGATTTTGTTTGGTTTTTTTCTACTAAGTAAACTTGGAAGGATAATTACATGCATATACAAGTAGTGACTATATCTTTGATAATCTATTAGAGCAGATTGCCGATCACTACCATCTAGATGATTTCATTCATAAACGAACAACATTCAATGTATTTCACACGTTTTACAAATAGTAGGGTAGGGTGAAAATGAAAAGAATGAATATTACAAGTATACAGGCGAGCATTAGAAGAAAAAGACAGTGTTATGCGAAACCGAGGAATTATTTCAAAGGGGTGATTGGAATAAACGTCTAAAACGTAGGAGTGGTTGTCTTTTTCTTACCTAACTGCATACCCTTCGCCCGTGGGGCGGATGCAGCATTTGCAGCAGAACGATAGGATTCCATAGCAGATTCTTCTTCTGCATTAGCGGCCATAGTAGTGTTGACAGTTTGGTATCCAACCGACTCATATAGATCAGACGAAGGATGAAGACCACCACGTTTGGCATCTTTCTTTTGCATTTCCAATTGTCTAATACGACGTTTTCTTTCTTCGGTTGCTTCCAGTTCTTTGTTCTAAACATCAGTGTTAGCCGTCTCAGAAGCTCAACCAAGCATAAAACATCATCTATCATAAATAAATTCTTTGGAAATCAACGGATTTCTTTCTTGAAAGAATATTTTTCTTGTAGTACATACCCTTGACACAATTTCTTGAATCTTTTCTTCATGACTTTCCATTTCCAAGTACATTTTGACCTGTGGGAGCGTAACATTATCCCGGTAACCCAGGCTCGTAACTTCATCAAATGCTATAAAAATCTCAAAAGCATATTCCAAAATCTCTCTTTCATCCGACGACGGGCATATAGAAGTCAATGCTTGAGACAGTAGGTGAAGAGTATCAATATCTTGTAAAATATTTGATTGCAAGTTGGTCGTCAATACCATATATAGTTCATCAAAAGGTTGGTATACGAAACGAACGTTTTCCGTCTCTACAGTAGTATTCTGTGATTTTCCAGAAACTAATCCAGGAAAGGATGACAGAAGACTCTCGACACGAGCTCTAGACATTTCACGAAATTGACGAGAAATAATGGCTAATCAAACTGTTAGTTGTCTTTATATCTTGGCAAACAACCGAGAAGTCTTGTTACCACAAACCTTTACCACCTCGATTCACAATACTTGCTGCTAAAACAACCTAATAAAAGTTAGCAAATCATTTTACCTCTTGTAACATACCATTTTAAAAAAGAAATTGCAATCGAATTGGAGCAGCCAAATCTATAATTTTGTTAATGGAAGGTCAATTCGCATGGTGTTGCATGAAAGGTGGTTTACATAGATTACCGTTGTCGTAATTCACTTTACCGAATACAACCGAAGTATCGTAGCTATTTGTGATGATGTAGTTTACCAAACAAAAGGGTAAATAAACAATACAAAATGAAATTAATTATAAAAAAAAAAGCCAATCGAAAATGATACGACTCATTTTACCTGTATCACATCTAAATATTTTATTTATTCTGAGAATTTGAATATCGGATTCGAACCTCTAAAAGCAAATTTATTTATGCAATGTGTTTATTGTTACCAAAGCCTATTTACATAGGAACTTCAACTTACGAATCCAAGGGTCAAGTTATGTACTAAAATACTTTACAATAACAAGACGGTTTATTTCTAAGTAAAAAAATTGTAAAGAAATAAGACTTTTAGCAAAAAAGTGTAACTCCCACTGCGAGACTCGAACTCGCAACCTTCCGGTTAAAAGCCGGACGCTCTAAGCCGATTGAGCTAAACGGGACTTGGTTGATGGGTTGTAATTTAAAGATAATATATGGAGTTACAGTTACATTGTAACATATGCATGATATACTGTTTCTTGGATTATTTTTCGTAGTCAACTGTATTTTAGAAAATAAATGGGACTTGTAAGAATAAATATACCTAGAAACGAATTCGTGTAATGTCTTACTGAAAAGCTTGTACTTCTTCACAGTATATTTATGAGATAACATACTCGAGTGTATATCAGGATATACGCTATCAAGCAATTTTAAGCAAGATGTTACAAGTCACTATAAGGTACCGTCAACAAAGACTAGAAGGGAAAAGTTTCTGACTCTGCACTATCCTATACGCGTTGAAGAAGGATGTCGATCGTCAATATTTTAAGCGTGAATGTTTTGAATAATCCTGCAAAGTTTTCAGACTCATACAAATTCGAGATTACATTTGAGTGCCTAGAACCGTTGAAAAGCGACCTGGAATGGAAATTAACGTATGTGGGTAGTGCTACTTCTCAAAGCTATGATCAAATTTTGGACACTCTTTTAGTAGGACCTATTCCTATTGGAATTAATAAGTTTGTCTTTGAAGCAGATCCACCCAACATCGACTTGCTTCCTGAACTCAGCGATGTGTTAGGAGTCACTGTGATTTTGCTTTCTTGTGCATATGAGGAAAACGAGTTCGTCCGCGTTGGTTATTATGTAAACAACGAAATGGAGGGAATCAACTTGCAGGAAATGGAAGATACTGAAATCAAGAAGGTCAAGGTTGATATTTCAAAAGTATGGAGAAACATCCTGGCCGAAAAACCAAGGGTTACACGATTTAACATTCAGTGGGATAACCCTGACTTTGATGATGCACCGCCTGTTCAGCCAGACGCCGAGGAGGAGGAAGAAGAAGAAGAGCCAGAAGAAGTCGACGAAGAACTCGATGAGGAAGGAGAACCCGAAGAAGAAGAAGAGGAGGAGGAAGAAGAAGGCGGTGATGACGAAGAGGAAGAAGACATCGATATTGAAGAAGAAGAAGAACCTTCCACCTCCCAACCTCAAAATCCTAAAGAAGAACCCCAAGCACATGATACCATTAAGAAACAGTAAACTAGTTTTTCTTTCGTTCTGAATGAAGATCCATTCCCATTCCTTCGTTATCCTTTTCAATAATCCTTGATGTTGGTTCACAATGATTCCTTCATTATGGAACCCTTTAAGCCCTTGCGCTACGTCCTCCTTCTTTGTCTTTTATTTTAGGTTTCTTACGACGACCACTGCATTGGTTCTTTCTTCCGAAATAAAGCGTTATAATATTACCAGATAGGGTCGTGGAGATTGGCTTTCTTGGTAGATTTGTTTATTTATGTTTTTATTGTTTTTTGTTTACGGGGTTCAATCTATCCGTGAAGAACGAATCGTCCTTTGCTCTTCAATTATTTTGTTTTTCTTTTATTATGGGATAGTGCGCTGCTTAAAATTTCGTAATCCCGGGTCACAAATATTGAGTAACACTACGTAAGAAGAATACGAGCATTCTCACCATGATTTGACAGTACGCCTCAACCCCTACACTAAAAAAAAAACTGAAAAAGCGTATTCCTCGATGAGTACGGATTCCTTACCACGTAATTTAATGGAGCAGTAAGTGCGCGATCGAGAATTGTGCTAAAGAAACAGGAAAGCAATGGAGCTCCAGCAGCAATTGCAGGGTATGAATACTTATCTTAAATTTATGAGATGAATGGCAAATAGAAGTACAATGGCTAACTTTTATAGCACTGTTGGACGAAATTGACCAAAACAAACAGGAATCGGAAAACATTAGCAGAGAGAGCGAGTATCTGTGCCAATATATTGGTAGCATGATGGCCTTCCAAAATCGCCAAACAGTCCCTAAAAAGTGAACAGACAATCATGAAATTTGTTTCAATGGGAACTCATTGGCCAAAGAAAGATGATTCTGCACTCGAATAACCAATTCTGGTCTTCTCAGTATTGTTCTTTAGTTCCAGTTCATGTATATTAAGATGAAGTCTTATTAACATTACAAAAGCAAAAGTTGTTTTCTTTTTTTTTAACCATCTGGTACTCGTGGACGGTGACTTTGAATTCAGATAATTTGCATCCATCTTTTCTTTCCCTGAATCACGCTTCAGACAGTTTATTTGTCTACAAGTATTTCACTTTAAGATACTTCTGTTTACATCCACGATTATTTCTTTGCATTTTGACCCGATCGAATGTCAATTCTTCAACGTTCTTGCAGTCGACGTAGGTAAGGAGTTCGTTTCGTTGTCGAGCATCCTTTACTTACGCTTTTTCCAATCCTATCTCCCCTTTGACCGTTCCCACCTTTTCGTATTCTTATTTTCTGCCGTGTTCCCATTTCGAGTGGGCTCGCCCATCTTTTCTTTTCCCGTCTGTTCTGTAATCTTAGTCTTGTTTACTTTTTTTGTTTATTTTAACTGAATATGAATTATAAAAAAAGAACATGATCCCATTGAACAAGATTCATCGTCATTCGCGTGTTATGTTGCAATTTCATTCCTAGTCTTTTGAGTATTCTAGAATGCACTTAATCTAATGCTACTTTTCACATATGATTTTTAATAATAGACTTGTAATTCAATAGGGTTTTTTTTTTAAAAAAAGTTCACAATGTGCCGAATGGCAAAAACTTTTTGAGAGGCAACATTGTTAGTCCATTGAGCCAAGACATTCGACATAGATCATTTTCTACCATTTCCATTTCATAGAAGAGAATTCAAAAATTGTAGAGTACACTCAATTTCGACCTTCTAGTCACCAGATCGTTCACCACGTTTTCCATTATTTTTCAGCTATACTTGAAATTACTCACATTCGCGTTCTACTATTTCTGACTACATTTCTACAGCGGTTTACACAAATCTCAGATACACAACCAGTTGCCTACATCAATTGCGAAGAAAAAAAAAGAATATGAGGTTGACTCAATAAAATGCGATCCATTTCAACATTTTGAACAAAAACGGAACACTATATGAAAGAAAAACACATTATCCAATATAGAAGTACAACCGAACTAGTTTTCAGTTAGTTATGACGCTCATAACAATTCCTGCTTCAAATTTACTTACCATTTTTAGAGGTTCAACTTAGTACGTCTCCAGTGTCTTCTCTTCATGTTGTAATGGATGGTGTTTCCAGTACGAAGGCGGATCCACTGAGGGATAGGGCGGTTTTGACGCTGAGCCTTAGCAAGCTTTTGCTTGGTACGGAAAGTCTTGTTGGCAGGCATTTTGTGAAGAGTAGAATGCACACTCTGGCTACAAAACCTTTTGTGACTGTCCAAAAAACATGTGACTGTTTTTTTGAGACGACAACATAGACATACCTAATCGCTAAAAGTTACGTTAAATAATGTAAACATTAGGATGTAAACAAAAGAAATTCCTAAATTCCTCTGTATTTTTTTTCTGGCAAAATGGCTGCTGAACGAACAATTACTAGTATTCGAAATAGTCATTTTATTTTTCATATTTGCTATTATTACATGAAAATTGATTCAACAGAAAATCGTCCAAGTCATTTCTTAAGTTGTATGTTTATATGTTTCTACTGTGCTAATTCAGTACGTTTAGATATATGAGAAGTAAAATCATGAATAGTCGTTAATGAAATTTCATCCATATCAAGTTTTATGTATGATATTTTTAAATAGTGATCGAATTGAGCATATACAACACCAAAAAGCATGTGAGAAAAGTTACCAGTCATTAAACTAATTCATTCCTTATATTTTCTAATGTTCTATCAATGAGCCGAGACCTTGTTTTACCACAGGTATCCGATAACAGTTGGGTTAGTTGACAAGTTATTGTGTGTGACAACTTTGGCGATTACACCTCCATCAAACACGAAGATATAGAGTCAGGATGCTGAATAGATGATAAGTTATAAACAATGGCTACCGAAGTCGTCTTAGAAGCTTGTTAAAAGCTTCCTGCACAAATTTTTTATTATGACCGTCCAAAGTATTGGCCGCCTCGTTAAACGCAAACATTTAGGATTCGGAATTAAGGAACGAAGGATAGCAATCCTTGGTTTTTGTCCCGAAAGGTGATCATAACTATTCACTGGTTTAGAGTTGGCTCTTGAAATACTAGAGCTATCTACTCATGGTGATTATAAACGGTGTCTTCACGGGCGTCAACACTTTCCACTATTACATTCCGACTTTCCCATCATAAAATCTTTCAAGAAATCCAGAATTGTTAATTTTCCGCATTCAGAAGCACCCACGAATGCAACAAACTAACCAAATTGAATTGTCACATTGAGACCACGCAGTCCCCGTATAAGTCTCCTAGTAAGGCTCCAAAGTTTTACGCCATTGAATACAAACAATGCAAAATCTTCCAAAACACGATTTTTCGTCCTTTCTCAGTCAAGATATCAATTTTTGACCCACCCTTGCATAAACATTTAGATGATCCAGCACCTCGATTCAGCTTTTGCAGAAACAGAACAAACCAGATTGGCCTTTGTTGAATCCCACTTCTTGTAAAAAAGGTAAACCTATATCATAAATATCATAAAATACGTATTAATAATAATCAAAGCGAAACCATCTTAAGGGAAACTGTAATCGTTTAAATCCTTGTTTTATTTTCGCTTTGTCACGATAGGCGTACAAGCTGGGCAACTACCCTTTCTAAATCAACAAAAAAAATAAACAAACAATGTTGTGAATAACATTCCTACGTCGCTAGGTAAGAATAGTCATGGTCCAGGGGTGTTCGAGAGGAGGATATTTCCATAGGTTGTTTATCCACCTTAATATCTAGTCATTACCTTCAATTGAGAATATAGGTATGACCGTATGAAGTAGGCATCACTATAGGAGCATATACATATAAGCGAATGGTTAATCGGTATAGGGTCTGAGAGCTAGTTCGTTTGCATCCTGCCTGCAGTCTGAAGCAAGACACCTGAGAATCACAATGAACCATAAAAACTTACAGCTCCGTGGCAATACAAACAATTGGCCATCATTCTTAGAGGACAAGTTGCCACCAAATTGATTCTGGATTCAATTGGACCTATGCTTTTTTTTTGCTTTCGGCTTGGTGTTTTACTAGGACACAAGGCGATCATCAATCGCTACTAGCAACTTGGACCTTTTCCGCTTAATTTCAAGTCAATTGGTATGCCAATAAAGAATAGCCTTGTAACTCAAAAAAAAAAAACAAAACAAAAAAAAAGCTTAGACATCGTCGCCCTTGTACAGGTACAAGAACCAACTAGACATAACAATGACTTAGATCTGTTTACTGATTATACTAGAGACAAACAAATAATGATCATAACTTATAGTGACTTTTATACGACTCCGTACTTCAGTTCAAAACGAGATATAGATATTTAAGTAAGAAGGAATAAGTAGTTTGTTTGTTTCATTCCTGTTGGTTTTGGTTTCCTTGTGTACAACGCCATGGTCAACCGTAGATATATTCATCAGTCATAGTCCTAGGAACTTTCCCAAAAGGATGACTCTATTAAATTATCTGAAGAAATAAGTCGAATCTCAAAAGAAAACAAGCACATAAACAAGCGCATTTGGTAATTAGTTGTAGCTTTTTTTTTTTTTTTTTTTTTCTTTTTTTATTAGTAAATGAATGAGCATTCATGTATGCCAACATGTAATTTACATGATGAGTTCAAATGGTCATGAGAGAAAACTAATACTTCCGGTAAAGATATATTTTCCTTAAAAGAATAAAAAATTTATAAATTCTTTGTTTATGTTATTAAAAAAGCAGTGTTGTGAAGGTAAACAGCGCTCACTTCATCATAATCTTCTTCGTACGAAGAGCGGGAATGCTCGCACGCGAAGGCGCGTACGAGGCGGGATTGAGACACATATAAATACATGTAGATATCTCACAATGTTTCGTGGTAAGAAGCTTATGAAACTTATTTGATACTCCCATAATTTCCTCTTGAGATTGAAAACAATCGTTCTTTACATATAGAGAAACCCGTAATCTCATGTTGACCTTGTGACTATATTGAAAATGACTAAAGACATTGTACCAACCCCCGTCTCTGTGTTTTTGGAAAAGGCAATTAACAAGCCTAATAAAACCTTTTTGGATATTTATAACGAGAATGGAATCCAGAAATCCTACTCTCATCTAGATCTTCTTCATCGAACCAACACCATCGCTAGATTTTTCCAAGAGAATGTGCCTTCAGGAGTTACTGTTGGTATTTTCATGAGACAAGAACTTGACTTTGTGTGTTCGATTCTTGCCCTATGGGCGACTGGACATACATGTGTCATTTTCAATGAAGACTGGGACGCAGATGTTGCTACCGTTATTAGCGAGCGTTTGCATATAACTTCCTTAGTGTTCAGCGATCTTTCTGAAAAGTATCATCTTCCCGGTGTAAAGTCACTTCATCTGAGCGCCGTTCCAACGGATCCTAATGCCCCTCAAATTCAAACAGGATATGAGCCTGAAATTGCTATGATTAACCATAGCAGTGGATCCACCGGTATCCCCAAATCTATTCCTTTTCGAATCTCGAAATATGTACCCGCAGCTGATTGGGGTATTCCAGAATTGGGCCATGATCTCAAGACCGCAGTGATTATGGCACCTACATTTGCTCTTACTACATTAAATTGGATGACTTCTTTACTAGACCCAGAAGGCAGTATCATGTTTCCTTCTATGCATATTCGTGCACCCGTCCCTGTTAGCTCCAAGACCGAGCAACTTGCATGGAACTTGCACTATGCTCTGAAGTACGGTTGCCAACGTATCTGTCTCTTGCCTAAGCTAGTCCTGCTCATGTTACAGATCACCGTCAAAGAAAACGAATCTTTCCCTGCTTGTAAGAAGGTTATGGTTGCCGGTGAGATGATCCCTCCAAACTTGCGCGAAAACTGTCAGCATGCTTTGCCAAATGCTGAATTCTCTGCAGCCTATGGGTCCACTGAAACTGGATTCAGTGGATTCATTGCAGATCTCAAAGATAGCAGTTTAGTATATTTCCCTGGCAAAACCATTAAGGAGTGCATGCTTTTGGACGAAAATATGAAGCCTGTTCCTCGCGAGGTTGGAAATAAAGGATTTGTTTGCACCATCACTGACGCACAATCCGAACCCTACGTAGGAGACGACGAGGGTACACAAGCTGCCAACCGCGAGACATACCTTACTGTAAGCAACCAACCTGCCGTTCGTTTTGCAGACTTAGCAACCTGGGAGCAAAAAGATGGAAAATGGGGTATTTCAATCAAGGGACGTTTGGGTCGTATCGTAAAGCGAAATGGTGTGTTTTATGACCTAAATCATTTGGACAAAATCGCCAACTCATTGGATGTTTTCAAGGATGCCTTTTCTTTCCTTATTAGCAATCGATTTGTTTTATGCTACATCCCCAAGGAAGCCACTCTTACTTCTGATGAAGCACTTAATGTGTTGAACAAAGCATTGAAATCAACTGTTTGGTTTTCTCATTGCATCCCCATTAAGGAATTAATGTATAACGCCTCAGGTAAAGTTGACTTGAAGGGCTTACAGTCTTTTGTACAAGACCGTATGTCTGAAGAGGACAACAAATTGCCCAACCTTACTGATCCATTAGCCATCGAAATCAGCAAAATTTCTACCAGAGTTTTGGGTAACAAGTCATTGGAAGGAAAAGAAGTTTTGTTCCAAGCACATGGATTGGATTCTATCAAGGCAGTACAATTCTCTTCTTTGCTGAAAAAAGAACTGAACTGCGAGATGTCTGTCACAGTTTTATTGCACCCCAAGTGCTCTCCTAACAGCTTGACTGCCGCTATTAAGGAAGGCGATTCTAACGAGTTGTCTGTTTCTGTCAACGAAGTAAGAGCCGATGCTATCAAGTTAGCAAACGAATTAAGCGGTATTAAACCGTTAGCACCTATAAAGGATCCTTGGGTGCTGTTAACCGGTGCAACTGGATTCCTCGGAAAGCGATTGTTGAAGTACTTTTTGAACGGGGGTGAAAAGGTCATTTGTCTTATTCGTGGATTGAGCGATGCAGACGCCGAGAAGAGAATGTACGGAATGTGCCCTGAGTTGCAAAAGCATGCAAATTCTTTGATTGTATGGGCTTCCGATTTAAATGACGAGAATTTGTCCTTGTCATCTGAAAAATGGGAATTTTTGGAGAAAAATGTTACCAAGATTATCCACAATGGTGCAATGGTACATTGGACCAAGACCTATCATGACTTATTGCAGTCCAATGTGATGAGTACCAAGACGTTGCTTGATTTAAGCATGGTTGGTCCTAAGAAATTCATCTTTGTTTCTGGAGGTGGACAGCAAGAGTTGGATGTGATAGACCATAACGCTAAAGGACAAGCTATGGGCTACACGCTTTCAAAGTTTGCTAGTGAAGTACTTTGTGAAAAAGCCAAAGGAAAGGGAAATCCTGAAATCTACGCTATTCTTCCCGCATTCATTTTGGCGAATGATGGTGAAATTCTTGCACGTGACTTTTTCTGGAGATTTGTGCAGACGTGTGTGCGTATGAAGAAATGGCCCACTCGCGCTGATGGTGGATCTTTCCCCATGCGTATTTCGTCGACGGAAGAGCTTGCTCGTTGTTTGTATGAAGGAATAGAGCGTCAACAATACTTCCCTGAGGATAAGAATGGACGCATTATGGGATATGATGAAATCGATGGTGATACAATGATTGCATGCTGCGAAGAAAAATGCGGAATCAAGTTGCAAAAAGCTCCCTTGTCTGCTTGGATAGAGCAAGTTGACAAGGACTTGGAAGTGCAAAAAGAAGATCACCCATTGTTTGCATTGAGACAAATGACGGAAGGAGCCATCCAAATGGGATTATTGGATGATGGTGCAAGCGCCGGAAAACAGAAGAATTCTTTGACTGTTGATGCTTTCAAGAGTGGACTCGAACAACTTGAAGCGTAAAGAGGGAAAACATAAACGACAAGAAAAATGGATTCAAATAATAAAAAATAGAAATAGAATACGACGAAAATGATAGATAATACTTAATAGACGATTTAGAATAGAATTCTTTCCTTTTGAGAAGTAACAATAAATGAATGTTACCTATGACAAGAAGGATGTGACACTATGTGATGAAGGGAGAGTAGCAAAAACCAATTTCTAGGAGAGTAAGGTAGGAATTGACAAGTGTTTGTTAGAATTATAGATTGAGAGATCAATAAAAATTTGGAAGAAAAAAGCGAAAGAGAGAGCATGAGAAATATCCTGCGTTTGTATTCATTTGCGTAAAAGGAACTTTGGAACATCACAGCAAGGTACAGTTGAATGAAAATGTCGAGCAACCGAAGGAATTATGAAAGAGAGGAAGACAGGTTGTCGTATCGTTCCCAGCGTGTAGAAAAGGAAGGTTTACCGCGGACGACGTATAGAGATACAAGGGAGAGAGAGAGAGAAAGAGGAGGAAGACAACGTGAGGGAGGACGATTTCAAAGAGAAAAAAGTCCCGAAAGACAAAACGATAGGTATGCACGAACGCGGGATTTCCATCGATCTCACAATCGAGATTGGGATCGAGGAGGTGAGCGGCGACTTGAGCGTGAGCGTGAGCGCGAACGCGTTCCCGACGGTGATCGGATGTATCGACGAGAGCGGTACGATCGCTATGATCGGTACGACCGTGTAGATAGACGGAGAGAAGATGTTGAAGAACGGTTTCGAGGAGGTGATCGAAGGGGAGAGCGAGAACGAGAGCGCGTGCGAGAACAAGGACAAAAGCAAGACTTAGGACGGGAAAAAGAAAAAGACTTGGACAAAAGAAATGGGGAGCGACGAGATTTCAAATTTAGCGATTCGGGAGAGGAACGCATGCAAGCGGAAATGATCGCAAGGAGAAAGGGTCAACAAAAAGAAAAACCAACAGATGAGACAATCGAAGGAATGGGGGCTATGAGCTCTGGAAATGGAAATGGAAAAGAGCAAAACCTAAAGAAAGAAGAAGGAGGACGAGGAGAAGAAGAAGAAGAAGAAGTGATTGTACAAGAGGAATTGAACCCGATGGAGGACATGCAAAGTATGATGGGATTTTCAGGATTCGGGACGACGACAGGAAAGAAGCATGGAGATGTAGGAGACGTGTTTAAACAGAAAAAGGCAAAATATCGTCAATACATGAATCGTCCTGGTGGATTCAATCGTCCTTTAGAACGGGATTGACCGAATGTCCGGTTGTTTTTTGTTTTTTTTGTTGACGGGGTAGGATTTACCGAGAGAATGGAATAACCGAAAGGGAGCCGAGGAAGGGTTTGGCAAGGAAGTGTGTAGAGAGAGAAACGGTGAAAAAAATAGACTCGAAGAGTCTGCAGCTAAAAAAAGATGCATGTTTTTTTCTTTTTCTTTTTCTTTTTCTTTTTTCTTTCTCTTTCCTACTTGTCTAACCGACCGACAGACGTGTCGATGATATGGACTTGGGGATATGACAACGTTGATGCTATCAAAGACTATATTGTTCTTACCCATCTGTTTACTACGGCAGCGCTCTATCGTCTTTGTTTTTTCCGACACAGACTCTTACGGAGTCCAAGAACATCAAACATTGCTATTCTTTTCATCAATTGAACTGAATCCATCCTCTATTATTCTATTTCCCTATTTCTCTATTATTCTATTTTGTTTCCAAGTCTGTCTCTGTTTGTTGCCGTACTTTACTGAACTTTATAACACTCCACTATACTATACTATACTATACCACGCTATACCACGCTATACAATACCAAAGTGTTTTCCAGTTGTTTTCCATTTCCTTGTTACTGCTCCCCTTTGCTTCTTCACACTTCCATGAACGACATCATGTGTACGTTCGCTTGGCTACATTCCACTAGCCGAAGATAAGGTAATGAATCGATGGCGAAAAAAGAACATATTAGGAAATTTAGTCAAACCTTACCGACGCAATGATTCCCTTTACAAACAAAGCAGAAATCCAACAACGTTTGGGAAAGAACCAACCAGAACAGCAAACAAGTATAAAGAAAAGTAAAACGATAAAAACACCTTTGTGAGTGGATATGGGAAGTTTGGCCGAAATTGCAAATATAGAATGGATGGATGATCCCCGCAATATAACGGAAGGAGGAAAAAGTTAACTTTAGAATTTTTTCCGTCCATTGGTTGATGCAAACTTAATCCGAGATTTATCTAGAACGATTTCGGGCGATTGGAAAATCGGAAAATTTAAAATGGGAATCGATGTCACCTATCATTCCACAATTACGTCGAGACTATGGATGTTGTAAGAAGCGTATGACTTGAATGTGAGGTTGGTGGCATTTCATTGGTTGGAAGCTCCGACCTTTGTTCGCCAGGAAGGAAGTCGCTCCGGAGCATTTAGAGATGAGAAATTTTCGTTTAGCCGCTTCCAAAGACTATAAATAGAGGGTGACCCCCCTGCTTTGCAAATTGTACATCCACACACAATAAACAAAATGACTTTTCCCGATAAGCAAACCGCAGCCGTTTTCCACAAGCACGGTGGACCCGAGAACGTAAAGTTCGAAGAAGTCCCCGTTGGTGAACCCGGTGAAGACCAAGTCTTGGTCAACATCAAGTACACTGGTGTCTGCCACACTGACTTGCACGCCCTTCAAGGTGACTGGCCTCTCGATGTCAAGCTTCCCTTGATTGGTGGTCACGAAGGTGCTGGTGTTGTCGTCAAGGTTGGCCGTGGTGTTAGCCGTCTCAAGATCGGTGACCGTGTCGGTGTTAAGTGGATGAACTCCTCTTGCGGTAACTGCGAATACTGCATGAAGGGTGACGAAACCATCTGCCCTCACATCCAACTCTCTGGTTATACCGTCGACGGTACCTTCCAACACTATGCCCTTGCCAACGCTACTCACGCTACTCTCATCCCCGAGTCCGTTCCCCTCGAGGTTGCTGCTCCCGTCATGTGCGCTGGTATCACCGTCTACCGTGCCTTGAAGGAGTCTGGTGTCAAGCCCGGTCAATGGATCTGCATTCCTGGTGCCGGTGGTGGTCTTGGTCACTTGGCCGTTCAATACGCTAAGGCTATGGCCATGCGTGTTGTTGCCATCGACACTGGTGATGACAAGAAGGAACTCGTTGCCAACTTCCACGGTGACGTTTTCGTCGACTTCAAGACTGACGATGTTGTCGAAGTCGTCAAGGAGAAGACTGGTGGTGGTGCTCACGGTACTTTGGTCTTGTCTACCTCCCCCAAGTCTTATGAGCAAGCTGCTTCTTTTGCTCGTCCTGGCTCCACCATGGTCACTGTTGCCATGCCTGCCGGTGCTAAGCTCGGTGCTGACATCTTCTGGTTGACCGTCAAGCAACTCAAGGTTTGCGGTTCTCACGTCGGTAGCCGTCTTGACTCTGTTGAGGCTTTGGACTATGTGGCTCGTGGTCTCGTCAAGCCTTACTACAAGGTCCAACCCTTCTCTACTCTCCCCGACGTCTACAACCTCATGCACGAGGGTAAGATTGCTGGCCGTATTGTCTTGGATCTTTCCAAGTAAGCGCTTAGCTGATTCTCCCGCTGATGTGTTGTTTTCAATGGGAAAGATTTTCAAGAGCTCAGTAGGGATTGATTCTAGAAATGCAAAGAATAGGGAAATGCCTTTTTTTTCTTCTTTTTCCTTGCCGTTTACGATAATCTATAACTGTTTTCGTTATTGAATGGTGTATTTTTGCCTGACGTTAATCCAATACACTAGTCGTGAGGCGAAAATGCCATTTCAATTGCGTTGGAAAAAAAAAGAAATGCCTCTGAACTCTTGTATGAATGTTTTTGTTGTACAAATGAAATTTAGATGTTTTGAATATCGGTAAACATGGCTTTTGACGTGTGTAGAAGTGAGAGCAAATAGAATGTAGAAAATGTAGAATAGAAAGTATGTTAAGAGTGCTTTCATTTCTATTTGCTCTCAATCTTATATGTCTGTCTTTTGGGCAGAAAGAGTAAGAAGGAAGTATGTTGACGACAAGTAGCATAGTAAAAACAATCACTAAAAGGTGTTTGTTGTGGAAGCCTAGAGAGACGTTTCACGCTAGGGAAATGTAGACATCAATGAATCCCTAGAAAACCAAAGTTTTCATTTCATGCAGATCATCATCCCATTTGTATCTCTTGCTAATTAGTATGCGCGAGGTAGATCCTCTCTTTATAGCAAAAAAAATACACTGCCGTATGATCGTCAGAATCAAGGTGATTTGCGTGATTTGCAAAATGATGGGTTTTGATTGGTTGTTAAACAAGATGCAGATCAGATGATCTACATAATCTTGAACATGGATCTCTTATCATCAACAAAGGACATTCCTAGAAAAAGAATAAAATCAACGCAAAAAAAAATTAGCAATGAATCACTTTTATCCAAAAGAAAGCAGAAAAGTGTACAAGACAAAGGAGCAATGTAACGTCTAGTCTAGTCTCTCTCACGGATGTATTTGAAGCATTTCGTTATCTACAATTACATATTCCAAGCCATGATCACTATTCTATAATTCCAAATCGAACGTAGTACGGTACATGGGGACTCATTCTTGATGCAGAGAACGTCGTTTCGAGTTCTCTCTTACCAAGTGTTTGTTGTCTAAAATGAAGCCCAGAAGAATTATTCTGATGGGTCTTCGACGAAGCGGAAAGTCTTCGATTCAAAAAGTTGTCTTTTACAAAATGCCGCCGAATGAAACTTTGTTTTTAGAGTCGACGGCTCGTCTCACACAAGAACATATTTCGTATGTCTTCCCTCAGTCATTTCTGTTTTCCATTTACATTCATTACTGACTCAATTCTTAATAGCTCGTTTATCGACTTTTCGGTCTGGGATTTTCCCGGTCAAGTGGATGTGTTTGACGCAGCTTTTGATTTCGAAAGTATCTTCATTCAAGTCGGAGCCCTGATTTTCGTTATCGATGCACAAGATGATTACCTAGATGCATTGGCTCGTTTACATGTCACTGTCGCCCGTGTCGTGGCCATTAATCCCAATATCTGTATTGAAGTATTTATTCACAAAGTGGACGGTCTTAGCGATGAATTTAAAATCGACACTCAACGGGATATTCAACAGAGAACCCAGGATGAGCTTGCAGATATCGGTCTCGAAAATGTCCCTATTTCATTTCATCTTACTTCCATCTTTGACCATTCCATCTTTGAAGCCTTCAGTCGTGTTATTCAAAAACTAATTCCTCAACTGCCAACGCTTGAGAATCTTCTTAATATTTTTTGTGCTAATTCTCTCGTTGAAAAGGCTTACGTTTTCGATGTACTTTCCAAAATTTATATCGCTACAGACAGTTCCCCAGTTGATGTACAGAGTTACGAAATTTGTTCTGATTTTATAGACGTTATTCTTGATATCGGCTCTATTTATGGTTGTGCCCATGAAAAACACTCCGAACGACATCCTGATGCTTTAGACGAAACTTCCTCCATCATCCGATTGTCCAACGACTTGGTCTTGGTTTTGCGCGAAATGAATCAATACCTGGCCTTGGTCTGTATTATCCGTGCCGATAACTTTAAGAAATCCGGTCTTATTGAATATAACGTTCAATGCCTGCAAACAGCAATCCAATCTCTCTTTTCTTCCAAGTCGTAAAAATTCATACGCTCGCTCGCTGACTAGCTAGCTAGCTAGCTAGCTAGGATTACCTTTTGTCTGTTTTCATTTACGTCTTATAGATGTTGGAACGTTTTCTTCAAATTCCTTTACTTTTCCTACATTATGTATTTTCTTTTTTACAGCTCTAATTTTTAATCATGTTTTTGGCTCATTGTCTTAATTAACCTATAAATTCTCGTCCATGCATACTAATAAAGTTTTCAACACTAAACAAAATGAAAGTAAAATAAAAGCTGAAAAAAGGTCTGTATTATTGAATATAAAAGAAGAAACTGGAACCAAAACATAAAAAGGCGCGGATGCATAATTTTACAACGTAAAGATATTGATATAGAATAGAATAAAAAATACAGAAAGAAAAGTAAAGTTCATAATCTGAACGGTTCTTCACTTACTAGGTTAAACGTTAAATTCCACAATCTGGCCATCGAATGCTGGCTCGGTCGGAACGCTTAATTTCGAAAATTCTTCTTCCATCGTGCTGTGTTCCTCAGAATGATTGAAGCCTGTGTATAATACCCGTGATGGGGCTGGTGTAAGCGAACTGGCAAAGGAGTGAGCCTGTTCAAAAGTAAAGTGAGATGGATATGGTATCCGCCGAAGTGCATCTAACACAACGACTCGAGATCCATCCATCAAATACTTTGTTTTCGGAGGAATATAGTTACAATCAGATATGTAAGATAAGTCACCGATTCGAAAACCCATGTTGATAAATGGGACACTCTCCTTACCGGGAGAAAAATAAACTCCGTGGTGTACAGGTAATGGTATAGTCGTGACATCGAGTCCCTCTAACTCAAAAGGCTCTTCTGGATTAAATATTCTGTAGTCAAAAGTAGGAACACTACCACCTCCAGTGGCTTGTGAAACATCCACCATATAGGGAAACGATCTTGAAATCGATACGAATGTGTCTTTCGTTAGGTATATCTTCATAGTGTCTTGGACAACTCCTCCAGACGTCCACGCTAAAATTTCACTGTTAGTATCAACGTGTTCTTATTCATCAATAGAATACACTAAGAAGAAAACGTTGCAAGCGTCTTTCTTTCCTCAGTCGTACTCGCTCTGCATTACTTATTGCAAAAGACAATTAACATACCCCTCAAGTCATCCAACCCATTAATGGCATCGGCATGTGCATGTGTCAATAGAACCGCATCGATGTTTCGAATCTTATGCTTTACCATAAATTCCATCGCGGCCATATAAAAAGTCTTTCCGCAATCAATTAAGATTGTTTTCGGACGACTCCATCCCTCCGCATCAATCTGCACAATTGCTCCTGTATTGTTTCTCTTGTTTTTTCGACCTTCTGATGTTAAACTGGCCGTGCATACGCGACATGTAGGATTTGGAACGTTCAAACAACAGACATTAGGTATGCCATTGGATGTTCCAGTTCCTAGAAACAATATTCTAGCATTTGGTTTTTTGATATCATTGACCATATTTCTATCTATATCCCCCGTACAGCAACTTAAAAATAATTGTTGTTTTCTTACTTTACGCAAAAGACAAATACGTCTTACGCCCAAAATCGAGTTTTTTACCCAAAGTAACACTGTCTCTTATCCGTACTTTAGCAAGTGCGTTATTCCTCTCAGTCGTCATGCCAAAGTGATTTATCTGATGCTTGTTGTCTCGGTTAACAGACTACTTAGATCTGTTACTCTACCAAGACAGGTATCATAAACAAATGGGTTTCCTTATTTTCTAAACAAATTAATAAATAAAAATCTTTGCTCATTTGGTTCAAAAGTACTACTTTTAAATTAAATTAGTAAAATAATAATATTATTTTGGTAAAACCGTTTAAAAGTCTCAAAGCTGTCGCTTAAAGGACTAATAGAAACTTGATTCAATTAACAGACGAAAAGAATGCTTCGTATGGCTATACAAACAAATGGAGGTTTCCATAAATTATAGAATTGATTATGCTCTTGGTTTATTTTTACGTTTTTGTTAAAGCGACAGCATTGTACACAAGGAAATAGTTTATGCAGGTACAATACCATCATAGTCGGCAATAACTAAATTGTTTCTAGAGGGAAAGGTTCATGCATTTGTTAACACAAATTGTTCAAAAGCCTCTATGTTTGACGAAAACAGCTTCCTTTTTAATGTTTACAACTGCCTACGTTAGAACCTTTACTGATGCCCATGCGTGTTTTCAGCGTCAGGTACACAGAACCATAAGAACAAATAAATGTGAATTGACAAACGAAGTATTTATAATAAAAACAAAATAACTACAAGCTTTCTCAAAATCAATTGCGAAGTATTTCTTACTAACGAAAATATACGAATCAGAAGTCACATTGATTTACAAGTAACACTCTCGACAAAACAGTGTTCCAAGACGAAAAACTCAACTTCTTTCCCTTGAGAACCTAAACCTGATAAAAAAATTTCATTTTCATGTATATAAAAAAGTATATATTTTGTTGTTAAAGTGCTCCAATACTTAACCATTTCGTGTATGCGATTGCTTCTATCTTTTGTTTGTTCATATATACAAAAAGTAAAAAGTACCATATAAAAGCGAGCATCATTTTGAACCAAGGATTTTCCTTCTTTAGCTCTTTGTTCAGTGGATTATTGGCTTTGTTTTCGTTATTTTCGTTTGTTTTTCTTTCTTTTGATTACCAGTGAATCAACTATTAGACATTTTCTTTATTGTGCATTTGTTTCTAGCGTGTTACATATTTATTTTTCATTCGTTCATATTCGTTTTGCGGACTATAGAAATGCTTCATTGGGATTAATACTACAATGACTTCCCTTACGTTTTCTTACAGGTATTTACTGTTGTGTTTCATTATCCTTTGTACCCCTATAATATACAAGAGTTTCCACAAATCTCAAGTTCACCTTTCCGTTAATTATGAGCCTATACATTTTACAAAGAAGAATGTACCGACTGAATATAATGATGGTAAGAACAATCAACTACCGGCCCTCATGAATGCTACCTTGTTTATGCTTTGCCGCAACAAAGATCTTTCCGCGGCCCTTAGTTCCATCCAGAATGTTGAAGATCGGTTTAATCGTCGTTATCATTATCCTTGGACATTCATGAATGATGCTCCCTTTTCAGAGGAATTCATAAACGCTACCTCTGCGATGGCCAGCAGCAATACTACTTACGTCCGGCTTGAACAACACGAATGGGGCTTGCCCAAAGGTCTTAACATGAATCGTGCATTAAAGACGATCCGTGATATGATGAGAAGAAGCATTATTTACGGCTTTTCTTTGAGTTACCGAATTATGTGTCGATTCAATTCCGGCTTCTTCTACCGAAATTCTGTTTTAAACAATTATGACTATTACTGGCGTGTAGAGCCTGGTGTTATATATTCTTGTGATATTACATAGTAAGTTGATTCAAAAACATCTAAATCAAGTACTAACTTAGCAGCGATCCTTTCCGTTTGCTTCGTGACGAAAAGAAAGCTTATGGATTTGTAATATCTTTACCTGAATATCCTGAAACAATTCCCACACTTTGGAATACTACCAGAGAATTTATCAAAGAGAACCCTCAATACCTTGCTCCACATAACTCTTTAGACTTTATTACGGATGATAACATGGGTATGGACGGTGAATATAATTATTGCCATTTTTGGAGTAATTTCGAAATTGCAGACTTGAACTTTTTTAGAAGCGATGCCTACAATGATTACTTTGAATACTTAGATGAAAGATTTGGCTTCTTCTACGAGCGCTGGGGAGATGCTCCTATACATAGCATTGCTGCTTCTTTATTTCTAAACAAGTCCCAGCTTCATTATTTTGAAGACTTTGGATACTACCATATGCCTTGGAGTCATTGCCCTTCAGATTATAATCTCCATGCTAATGGCCAATGCATTTGCGATCCTGCCGACACCATTGAGATTCAGTATGGATTTTGTTACCCTAGATGGCTTCACAATATGCGAGATGTTAATACATAGACAAAAAAAATCCTTAGACGTTAGCTTTACCCTCCTATTATAGAATAACATTATATATATATATTTATTTCATTAGTCTACAAAAGTAAAAAGCCAATAGCAGCATAAAATTACATCGCCAACAGTACTGGTAAAATAATTATCAACAAGGTCAGTATTTTTCCAAAAAATAAAAGGGTATGAACAAGGAAATAACTTTGGGAAAACAGTTTGATATATACCTGAGACAGAGATTCAATTATTCATGAACAATAAGTAGAGAACGAACTTTAGAAGCAAGCTTTATTAAATCTTTTTCGTGCTGGTCATTTGAGTGCACACTTGCTAGCATACTTAAGATTTGAAACAACCGAGCGTAAACACCGGGAAGATGTTCTGAGCTTGCTAACGTCTCGCTCTGTTTTTGAATGATTCTCTGAATACGGTCAATAGCCGGCAAAATCATGTAATCACGAAACGAAGTAAGCATAAGTCTTTGAACATTAAACTTTTCTCGATTTGTATGGCAATACTCATTAATCTCGTAGGGAAGTAATGCTTTTTCCTGACTGTCAAAAAGTTTTGTTTTTATAGGTAAGAATATACCCTCTATATACGGTAGAATAGAAGACAGAAAAAATAGCCAAATTTCCAATAGCTTTGACAAAAAGTATTCCTCCGGTATTGGGAATAGCGATTCTGATAGTTTATTGGTAGCTTTTGGAAACAACGAATCTAAATGACTAGTGAAAAGATCCATCGTTCTTTCTCTTACACAAGACTGAAGATGAAGGACTAAAATTCCGTTCAAGTCCTCAATTGTATAATGTAAGCTTTCCCAGTTATATAATGTGCAAACTTCCGATTCTAAAATGGACCACGTATCATCCGCTGACATTGAGTTCGTATTGAATTTAGAATCTAAAGGTGACCGTACTTTGCTAAGTTTAGCAAATGCAAGGGATGCAGCACCAAAACCATTTATCATCTGGTTATTTACTAAGGATTGAGGAATGGAGGAACCGAATATCCCAAATGAATCCTTCCGACTCCTTAAAAAATTGCGAGGCCCGTATATTGATTTTTGCAGAGCCGAAATGTCTAATCCTTCTTTTCCTTTACGACTTTTATGCGGGGAGTAACTCAACAAAGACGTTTGACTTTTGCTACCTTTTTCACTAGATTGTTCTCCATTATTCGAATGCTGATTTACCGATAATGGTTTTGTTTTTCCAGACTTCTTGGAATTCTGTTTTGTCCAATGCTTGTCTTCCATAGCAAGCATAGAGCTGCTTTGACTAGATCTTCGATTAAAAGGCCATTGTCCATTAAATGGAAGCTGCTGAACCTTTTGCTCAGGTGTTTCTGGCCTGTTCGCGAATGAGGTATTGGTATCAAAACTAGTGTTCTCTCCTTCCTTTTTCCTTAAGTCTTCTATGTCTTGATTGAGAAAAGGAAAATTATTCGTGGGACTTTCTAAACTGCTTCTCCTAGCTCCAGGAGTCCAGTTAGAGGATGTACTAGAGGTAGATGAAACCGATGTTCTATCAGGCATGCTCGACTTTTTCTTCTTTCTCTTGTTTTCTGAGGATTTTATGAGAAGTCTTTTTTTTTTAAAAAAATAAAGCAATAAGGTATACAGTTGGAATTCGAATTTGCTTAGACAGACTTGTTGATGCGAACGAAGCACACTCCAAACTAGTTCGACATTGCGAATATTTACTAGTCAATTGTAAGAATTAACTTTTTAATTTTTTTCGTCAGTTAAAAATCGTTATGAGTTCATGCGAGAGAGTATTACTCTAATACGACAGCAAACTTCCAGGTAGGATGTGTAGGGTGTATGTAAGTTTTCGCCAACCAATATGCGCTACAACTGACTTACCTATTTTTACAGTATAAAACGAACAAATTATATATATAATTTATTATTATTATTAGTATTTCTCTAACCGGATAGTATCTCAAAAGAACTTTTGACCTATACAATCTCGTCAAACTAGGTCAAGTATCTTTCAAAATATAGTCACCAAAAATTTGTTCAGAAAACGCCTAAAAGCAAGTGTAAGAGTAAATGAAACCATTTACAGTAGAAACCAATAATAAACTAAGTCCATCTGTATAACATAACAGAGTGTTAACCTGGACTCTAAATAATTTGTGTGCTTCTAATTAGTTTATATAATCAATTCTAAGTCTAAATGGTCGCATCCGTAATTCCACAATTAACTACCTAATCAAATTTATTTACTTTGACAAGTACTTTAAGGTATCGTCCATGATATCCAAACCGTCAGCAATGACAGAGTCCTTAACGTTCAAGGAAGGAAGAACACGGGTGTTGTTGTTACCACCTGGTAAAAGCAAAAGGCCCTGTTTACGAGCGAGATTGATAAACTCGCTAGGGGATTGATTGAATTGCAAACCTAAAAGAAGACCACGACCAGCGTAACCACGAATCAAGTTAGGGTATTTGGTGGTAAATTCAGCAAAACGGGAAGTAAGAGTGTTGTGTTGCTTGCGCACATTGTTCAAAATTTTCGATGAACTGAGTTCATCGACGCAGAAAGAACCGACCCGGCAAGCAACGGGATTACCGCCGAAAGTGCTTCCATGTTCACCAGCATGAAGAGTTTCAGCTACCTTTGAAGAAACAATGGTGGCACTAATAGGTAAGCCATTAGCCAAAGGCTTAGCAATAGTGATGATATCAGGGCTAGCTTGATCTTTAACGATAGAATGAGCCCAGAAGTCACCACTACGACCAAGACCGCATTGAATTTCATCGTAAATCAAGGATACATTGAATTTATCGCAAGCCTTGCGCAATGCCACTAAGAATTCGGCATTGGCAGGGCAAATACCACCTTCACCTTGAACAGGTTCAACGATAACAGCAGCGGTTTTATCATTGATAACTTGCTTGATGGATTCAATGTCATTGTACGTAGCTTGAACAACATCAGGAAGCAAGGGTTCGAAACCACGGCGGTATTTGGGGTTGGCTGTAATACTAAGAGAACCAAGAGAACGGCCGTGGAAAGAATTGTTGAAATAAACAATTTGGGACTTGCCTTCACCATAGCCCTCGTAAGCGGCTTTACGAGCAAACTTCAAAGCAGTCTCATTGGCTTCAGTACCACTGTTTGAAAAGAAGATCTTACTGGGAGATGAGATCTTGCTGTTTTGAGCTAAAGATTTGTTTATCTTTGAAGAAAGTTCAATAGCAGGCTCGTTGTAGTACAAGTTGCTACTATGAACCAACTTGGTACATTGATCAGCGGCAAGGCGAGCAACCTCGGGGTGACCGTGGCCCAAAGAAGTAACGGCAACACCAGAAGTAAAGTCAATATATTTACGACCCTCTTTATCAAATAAATAAGAGCCCTGACCATGGCTCATAACAAGGGGATAACGAGCATAGACGCCGATGATGTTGCCCAATTCTTGGTCAACAATACTGGCTGTAGTGGTACCAGGTAGAGGGTCTTCATGAGTAACCTAACAAATGTTAGAGCAGCAAATATTTAAGGCAATATGCCGTTGTTCAGGGTTTAGCCATTTAGTTAGGCTGCGATTATTTTAGTCCATTCTAACTATTCTAAGCGAATAGAAGAATATCATTAAAAGAATGCTAGTATTTTATTTGTGTGCGATATCTCAAAAACGGAATTATGCTTCTTATTATAGAAAAAGTCTAAAAAACTTGCTAAATTGCCAAAACTCTTGAACAACGTAATTAACTTACACTCAAAAAACGACGAGATAGTGTTTGAAATCCAGGTTGACGGAGGCCTTGAAGAGAACGTTTGCAAAGCATTTTCCAGAGGATTTGAAGTGTTCTGTAAAAAACTGGTGTTTGGGGAGTATCGACTTAATATAGTACAGATAGGGAGGCGGACTTTTACCTCCCTATACATTCAGAGGAAGTAAGAGATGAATTTGATAGATTGGGTCAAAGAATTTAGATTTATTTTTCTTTAAAAAATAAATAAAAGAAAAACAGAAAATAATGAGAAACAGTCGAATAGAAAAGCAAACCCAAACTTTATGAAAGAAGAACATTGTCAAAACTATCGCCTTGTACAGTTCCACCTCGCATGGAAGTTTTTACTCGTGCTCCAAAGCCTCTAGGGTCATTCCGTAAGTCAGCAGCAGCTTCTATATTCATGTCCGTTAGCGATGGCAAAAGGGTTACACAAGCATTTTCAGTGTCTTTATAATCTTTCTAATAAAGACTCCAATCTTCTGAATAGGAAATAGCCGATTTTGTAGAGTCCAGGTTGACTTTTTTGGTCTTTACAGGTTACGTGGACTCATTAAAACATACCTTTATTGAGCGGATCTTCAGCATTGGGTGCTAGGAATAAAAATTGGAGGCCTACTAAAATAGAATTTAGATTGAGCACTGGATTCCATTCTTGTCTTAGGATGTTTAGACAAACATTCCCTTGTGTATCAATATTGGGATGGTAGATCTAAAAAATGAATTAGCTATCCTTCAGATCGGTAATATTAAAAATGAACACGTTCAAAAAAGACAAAAAGAATGAGGGAAGAAATATCTTTTGAGCCATAATCCTAAACTTACCTTGTTAAGACATCGCACTTTTGGAGGATCGTGTGGATAATTGCTATCAATGTGAATTGAAAACTGGAACTTTCCACCATAATAATATCCTTATTGAAATGAGTTAATATGTCTGTATACCCTTGACTCAAAGACACGGTACAGTAGCTACTGCTATTCCGTGGTTAACAAATCTTACCCTCATCTGGACGAATTTCCAATAGCAATTCATGAAGCTTGGTCACATCTGGCCAGCTTGTCGACATAGTAGAGGGCACATCCAGTTCTGAAATGTCTAACAAAGAGTTCGTTAGATTTCATGACATGTCTGTCTTTCATTAAAACTTGGTAGTCTAGAAACAGTACCTTTTTGTATACGAATTTGAGCAGGACTAATCCCTGAAGAGCTTTTTTCTCTTTCAGCATCTTTTTTCTTCATTTCCCATAATTTCCTCATTGTTCTAGCGAGTCTCGTCGTACCTAGAAATTGGCTAGTGACATGTCCTGATGTAAACAATGCATTTAAGAAGACGTTTTCGTTTTCCATGCGCGTTTGCTTTCATTAAGTGTTTTTCCGAATAAAAACATGAATTCACTAATTGAAATAATTATTGGAACTTTTCTCACTAAGTACTCTTTAATAACTTCACTAAGATACGGCAAATGGTTCTTTCCTTCTAAAGCGTTTGTTTACGTTCTTGTACATAAAGAAACAGTGCTATTTTATCTTTTTATTAATATATTTTTATCTATTAATATTTCAAAATAGTCGTTTAAGACATTTGGGATTCATAATTTTGTCACTGACATGCCTGGCCTAGAAATTTTTTGCAATTAGAAAGAGCCCTTGGTAAAGATTATTGACTAGACTTGGATAATGCCAAACCAACCATTCAAGAAAATAAAAAAATTGATTATTTAACAGGTTCTCTTTTACAAGAGAAATTAGAGTAGTTTTTGTGGAATTACTTGTTTTTCGTCGTTTTTGTTCTACTTTTCTCTTACTTTTCAACTTGCCCATCGCAAATTCCCGATTCTATTCTCACTTTAGAAACGATCAGAATGGCATTTTTGAAGCCTTCCTCTTCTTCCCTAGCTAAATTATTAACGGCAAAACCTTCTGGTGAATTGTCATTTGAGGCGTTTCAACATTTATCACGATTGGTCGCTATTGATGTTCCTTCCTCCGATGCTGAAAAAGAGAATATGTTAAACAAATTAAATGAAGGAATAGGAAGAATGCATGCTATGGAGCAGGCTGATACTTCTCACATTGATCATCCATTTCATACATTGAGTTTTCCAGTCGACGTAGAAGAATTGAATACCCCTACAGAAGAAAATCAAACAAATTGGGATGTCTTTCGAAACTCCAAAATGTCAGAGCCTCCCTATTTCATTTCCAAGATGTCTCATTCCAATCCTTCTACCGATGAAGCTTCTCGAAATTGAAGTTGTTTTCGTTTTAAAAAAAATAAGAATGCACAAGTGAAGTGTTTGTAAATTTTTTATTCTTTTATTTATCTTTAGATAGGTACATAAGCTCTTTGTTAGATATTATTGCTCATTGACGATCACATACCTCGATTTTGTCGCGATATGCGAACGTTTGGAATGAAAAATATGTTGTAAGGGTTTGCCTTTCCATTACTTTTCCTTTTTGGATTGAATCTTTTCTTTTCTTTTTTGCCTTAACTGGCGGATAAAGAGCATTGTTAACACAAACATGGTGGAATTAATTAGTAGGGGAGTATACGGACTATTGAATTGACTGTAGAAAGAGAGGGCTTTACCAAGAAGCTTATAAGCAAACCGAAAAGGACCAGCAATAGAAAAGATTCCTTGGATCTTTGTAAATTCTGTAAATTGATGCTTCGAATAAGCTGCCAATGCTTCTTTCACTGGTAGTACTGATGGAGGAATATTATAATAATTATTTCCACTTATAAAATAGTAAACAGGAAGCTTTTCCACTAACAAACGAACAGCCAATTCAGGATTGCCATTTATGTAGACTCGGCCAAATTGAACATTGGGATAATTTTCTTTCATTTGATGGGAAAGATCCTATTCATTAGTATATCATGTTTCAAAGAATTTTTGTGTCTCACAACTTGCACCACATGTTTATATTCATCTTTGGAAAACCAAGATGCAAACACATCAACAAGACAAAGGCCAATATGCCCAATCTCACACTTACATTAAACATATACTCTTCCTTGTGACATAATGTACAAGGATCAATAGTAATTTGGATGAGCCATTCGTTAGTCTTAATTGACGAATCCCAATTTTTGTCAGTCAAATTGTTTACCAAAGATGGATCCAAAGCACAACTAGGAGTTATTCCAAGTTCTTTCCAGGAAATACCTGAAGTTTCTAACACTTCAATAGAAGCTGATTCATCAGTGTCGCAAGTGATGGATTTAACTCCTTGAACCAAACTTCCAAGAAAGAGGCAAACTGCCGACAGTTTTTTCATAAAATACATTTTCTTTTTTCGTGTACTAAGTACTAAGAAAAACTTATTGCATAAGGAGGTATGCGAAGAACCTATATATAGAAAATTGATAGTCTTACTGATAGGTAATTCTTCGAGACTACGGAGCGTCAAGCCAAACTAGTCGGTAAAGAGAAGCAAGAAAAATGAAACAACATTTTGTTCACAATGGATGTGTACCGACTTGGCTTTCGATTAATATTGATATAGAAATAAAAAGAATAATTAGAGAAGAGATTACTGCTAGCATGCACCGCAAGGATTATTTCAATTAGTTTTTAACACTACGAGATAAAACGAAGTTCCTACCACGTAAAGAAGAAAATGTACATCGAATTTATTGCTAATTTAATTTTTTTTTATATTTTTTTCTATGAAAGTATTTACGTTTTGGTGGAGATGGTTCCAAAATCAATTTCTTGTCTAAAGACAAAGACATCTTGTGGTACTACGGTGTTATTATATCAACGCCATAATCCCAATATCGTTTTCAGCTATCTGTTAATTTTATTTCCATCTAAAATTTGAAACAATTTCGTTTTTTTAATTGAAAAGGTGTTTTGAGCCGACGATAGACACGGTATATAGTTGAACTCATTTCGCACTTGCAACAATAGTCATCCAGGTTACTAGAGACAGCAATTAAGACCAATGAATACCACCGTACCAGTTAATGAAGAAATATCAAGACCTTTGGAAGAATCATTGGTAATATGCAAGCAGTCGAGCCGACTGATGCAAAAGAATCTACAAACTGGAAAGTTAATGGATGCCTTTCGAAACTGCAGTATAAGTCTGGTAGAAATGAGGAACAACGACCTTTCTCCGAAACAATATTACGAATTGTACATGTATACAACAGAAACTCTACGACGGCTTGGTGATGCCTTACTGGAGACACACCTCAATGGTACACATCACTTGATGGATCTTTACGAACTTGTACAATATGCAGGAAGTGTTCTACCTCGCCTTTATCTAATGATTACAGTTGGAAGCGCATATCTGGAAACTCCCAAAGCTCTCGTTAAAGAAATCATGAATGACTTAATCGATATGTGTGCGGGTGTACAGCATCCTTTACGTGGACTATTCCTTAGACATTATTTATTGACGCAAACAAGAAAAGGACTTCCACAAGATCCTGATCACGATAATGCTGATCCCACGAAAGGAACTCTTATGGATTCTGTAAGATTTTTGCTCTTGAACTTCACGGAAATGAACAAACTGTGGGTCAGGATTCAGCATCTGGGTCCTATGAAAGATTATGTAAGGAGAACTCAAGAACGGAATGAGCTTAAGGTTCTTGTTGGTCTTAACCTCGTCCGACTCTCGCAGCTCAATTTTAATCTGGATACGTATAAGAATGAGATCCTTCCAGCCATCGTTGAACAGATTATCGAGTGTAGAGATCCATTAGCCCAAGAATACTTATCCGAGGTTGTTTGTCAAGTTTTTCCAGACGAAATGCATTTGGAGACTTTGGATATTTACTTTAATACTATCATGAAGCTAAATAGAGGGGTTAAGCTTACCCCTTTAGTTATTTGTATGGTGAACAGACTTACTGCTTATGTTCAACGCGAATGCGAAGCCGAGGCTTCTGATAGAGAAGGTTCCGTAAACCAAACCATGCAAAATTTATCTCTTGAGGACCAATCTTCTGGCTTTGAAAACAAAATATGTCCAGGTGATAAAGTTATTTCTCCAAGTTTAGCCATTCAAGAAGTGCTATGGACATACATTGTGGATGTTATAAACGCCCGTAATGGTATTGCTTTGGGAGATATCGTACAGATACTCTCAAGTATCCTTAACTTCTTTTTACAATGTTACCCTTACCAGACTCAATATGCTGACAGAGTGTTTCAGCTTATAAACGAACGAATTCTTCAACAGGCATCTTTTCAAACAGAACTAAAGGAAAAATCACTTCAAAAGTCACTATATTCGATATTGGTGCTCCCTATTGTCTCATTTCCTTCATTTTCATACTGCTTAAATTTGCCAAACTTTCTCCCTGTTTTCAGAGCGCAGCCAAATAATATTCGTTATGACATAGCAAAACTGATATTGGACAAAATTATTGAGAAGGAGCAATTGATCAGCGATTTGAAAGATGTTCAAGAGCTTTTTGGGGTTATATCTGTCATAATAAAAAACAATGGCAATGATACTGTAGAGGATTTGAAGACGATAGCTATATTGGTACATTACCTATATAATGAAGACCCTCAAGTTCAAATCGAAGTATGAAATTAATAGTTTTGAATCATACTAACAATTTAGATTTTGCGCTGCTTGAAGGATAACTTTGTGCAAGCTGGCGAAAACGTTAAATACTTACTTCCTGTGGTGGTAAACAAATGTATCTTTCTTGCTCGCGAGTTTCGATTATTCAAGGTAAAACAAAGAGAAAAGAAAAATTTGATAATTAACCAACTATAGTGCGTTGACTGGGCTGAAAAAGTTCGTGTCTTATGGGATTTCGTTAATGCTTGTATCGTCATTCTTTATAATCACGGAGATTCAGCAGAATTGTCTCTTGTTCTATATCTTTTTGCTGCAGAAATGGCCGACATTGAAAACTATCCGGATTTCGCTTATGAATTCTTCACCCAAGCCTTTACCATTTATGAGGAGTCCGCTTTGGATTCACGCTTACAATACCAACAATTACTAATGATTACAGGAAAGCTTCAGAAAACTAGAAACTTTTCTGTTGATGACTATGATACATTGATTACAAAATGCACACTTTATGCATCAAAATTGCTCAAGAAACCAGATCAGTGCAGGTATGTATATTTAAATTAATTCGTGTCTATTAACATATATTTAGAGGAATTCTTCATGCAAGTCATTTATGGTGGCAGAATGAAACGACCGAAGAGACAGTGGTATGTATAGAAATACTTCATTCTTTAATTCTTTCTTTCTTTCATTGTATATATTAACAAGTAAAAGATATTCAGAGATCCGAAACGGGTTCTAGAATGCCTTCAAAAGAGCTTGAAGATAGCAGATTCCTGCATGGATCAGGTAAGGTTGATAAATGAAGCGTTTAGCCTAACATAGACTTAGATTACCAGCTTAAAACTGTTCATCAACATATTAGAACAATATTTTTACTACTATGATCAGCGTTGCGATTCTATTCTTGCCAAGCATATCGGTGGTTTAATTGATTTGACCGAGCAAAACATGCGATCATTGCTTGCTTCTTCTCCTAACGATCTTATTGCAAATGATCCAAATGCTTATGCCAGTTCCATTTGGGAAACAGTGGGTGGTTTCTCAGTTGATAATCTGAGAAACCATTTAGAAAAAACAACAGATCTAGCTGCAAAGCGGTCGGAAGATGAACGATGGGCGAGAATTTTCAGTACTTAGTAATTGAAATATATTTTTTATCATCTACCGTTTTAGCAATGAAGTTAGTCCCTTCACAATTTCTGCTAAAAAAAAATTTGTAACATCGAATTATAATTTAAAATAAATTTATTTTTTCTCAAAAAGAGATTAAAATATCAAGCCTGCTCTTAAAGGGAGGACTAACGACATCATGAATGAGCTTTTACTTCTACAGCTTAATTAGATTATTTGGGAAGACAACTTGTACCACACACTTATTTTAACAGGAAACTGTTTTATTAGGAGCCTGTTAACGATTTTATCGAATTTAATTATTTCAACGATAATAGACATTCAGCTTTTGACAATATAATTATTGAAGCTAAAATACTGAATATACATTACTATCGTCAGGCTTGACGCTTCTGAAAAGTTTGTACTAATTAGTAATGAATGACAGTCCATTGACAGAAGATGAAATTATAGAACAAAGACGGAAAAGACGGTTGGAGATTTTGAAAAAACATCAAGCTCAAGATCCTAAGCCCATACCATCGCAAGCTTCGACAACTGATAATCCTACTTCAAAAGTAACCGAAAATGATATTAAACCAAATGTGGAACAGCCTGAAACAGAAAGACCTTCATTTGATAAGCAACACTATAATGATGAGAATGACTCTACTTTAAAAAGACCGGGTTCAAGTGAACCAATCTTTGAAAAGGTCTCGGAGGGAAATGATGAGGATGAGGATGAGGGAGACGACATGTTTGCAGATAGTCCGCTTCCCACTCATAAAAAACGAAAAACAGAAAAAAAACCATCTGCAGTTAAAAGGAGTCTTGCCGGAATGCAGGACACTTGGGATGACGTTGAAGGATATTATAAAGTAATACTTATGGAGGAGCTTGATTCACGCTACTTGGTTCAGTCAAATCTTGGCAAAGGTATGTTTTCTAGCGTTGTCAATGTACTGGATCAAAAGACAAAAGCGTCATTCGCAATCAAGATTATTAGAAACAACGAGGTAATGTACAAAGCTGGCATGAAAGAATTGTCTATATTGGAGCGTCTTCAGGCTGCAGATCCTGAAGGCAGGAGGCACATTATTCGTTACGACCGGTATTTTATGCACAAAAACCACTTATGTATGGTATTTGAAATGCTTAGTTTGAATCTTCGTGACATTTTAAAAAAGTTTGGTAGAAATGTTGGTCTGAACATTAAGGCAATTCAAGTATATGCTTATCAAATGTTTACAGCTCTTCAGCTCTTGGAAGAATGTAATATTATTCATGCTGACATCAAGCCGGATAATATGTTGGTAAACGAAAAGAGAAATATTTTGAAAATTTGTGATCTTGGGTCTGCTTCTGATGCTGCCGAAAACGAAATAACACCATACCTTGTGAGTCGCTTCTATCGAGCACCTGAAATCAGTAAGTCACTATTCTTTCTTTTTTTAGCTAACAGTTTAGTCCTGGGATACCCTTATTCTTGCCCAATTGATACATGGAGTGTTGGATGCTCCCTGTTTGAGCTATATGCTGGACAGATTCTGTTTCCTGGGCGAAGCAATAATCAAATGCTTAAGCTAATGATGGAATGCAAGGGAAAGTTTAGCCATAAGATGCTTAAGCGCAGTCAATTTGCTTTTGATAACTTTGACGAAAATTTCAATTTTATTAATAAGGAAATTGACCATATAAGTGGGCAAGAAACGCATAGAATCTTAAATTTTAACAAGCCTGCTCGAGACATAAAGTTTCGATTGAAAGATGTGGTTGCTTCTACGAATGAGGAAGTTGTTATTCAACAGGTATTTATACTTCTGTTAGAACAATGCTTGGAACTCAATCCGGAAAAGAGAATTACGCCCAAACAAGCATTAAAGCATCCTTTTTTTAAAAATAGTCGCCCCTTTCGGTAGGCTTACATATCTATGAATATCGATAATTTTTTGGTGCTAAGAATGAATTTATTACTTTTATATATAAAACCCCATTGTAATTTGAAGGTCGAATTTTCAAGTAATTTCTTACCGTGTCGATCACCAACGGCTAGATTTTAGAAGTATATATATACATATTTAACGTTTAATTTTAAGACGAAGTTAATTATACCTTAGTATTCGAAACCATGTAGTCCTAATTCACTTCTGATAGTTCTGCCGTAACTAGTGAGAACTACCAACTTCTAATCGTTGCTACATAGGACAGGAATGACAGAATTGAGGAGTCGTGACCCTAATAAACACCCTGTAAAAATTTTTGAAGCCAAAAAAGGCAGAAGACCTGTCTTTATAGCTGCTCCTATGGTTAGGTACTCCAAATTACCATTTCGACAGCTGGTACGAGATTATCAGACAGACATTGTATACACCCCTATGATTTTAGCAAATGAATTTTTACATCCAAAAGGAAGATATTTTGATTTTTCCACAAATGAAAGAGATACCAGTTTGATCCTTCAATTCGGTGTTGAGGATCCTGTCATTTTATCAAAAGCTGCTGAACTTGCCGGGCCGTATGTGGATGGAATTGGAATTAATTGTGGATGTCCGCAGAGCTGGGCTATTCACGAAGGAATTGGTTCAGCGCTTTTGAAGGAACCTGAAAGAGTATATCAACTGATCAGGGCTGTTAAAGACAAATTGGGTGAAGACTTTTGTGTTGAGGCGAAGATACGTGTATCAAAGAATTTGGATGAGACCAGACATTTAATGCAAACAATTGAACGTGCCGGAGCTGATTTTTTGACTGTGCACGGTCGAACCAGGCAAGATCGTTCTTCATTTCCTGTCAATTTAGATGCTATTCGAGAAGTTCGATCTTGTGTAAATATCCCTGTAGTCGCCAATGGCGACGTTAATTCCCTTCGCGAAGGTTATGAGATTGCGAAGTTTACTAACACAGATGGTGTTATGTCAGCTAGAGGGTTATTAGAAAACCCGGCACTCTTTGCTGGGTTTGAAGACACACCATGGGGATGTGTAGAGCGATTTGTTTCTTATTCCACTGCTTACTCTCTGAACTTTCAGTTGTTTTATCATCATTTGATAACGATGATGGGTAAGATGACCACGAAACGTGAACGAATGACTATTCCTAAAGAAAGTTTTGCTGCTGTTATGGACTGGCTAGATGAAACATTCATCGTACGTCGTCCAGGAGAACCATTGTTTGGCGAAACAGTACTTCCTGTGAGACGGTAAGCTTGGGTATAAAAGATAATGGACTTGATGTAAGTAGTTTTAGGTTTTAATGAGTAGGAATTTAATGAATTGATCGGTTGCGTTTACTTTTACCCTCTTATTTATCTTTCGTGTGTGTTTTCCTGCGCTTGTCTGACTATGTCAAGTGTTTCTGAAGCAAACAACGGCTTTACATGATTTCTTTTTCTCGGTGTACATAAACGTTTCCTATATGTTAGGTTTCTTTTGCAGAAAGAGCAAAACGACTTTACTACGAAAAGAAAAAAAGTCTGAAGTTTATATTTAGGAAGTACAATAATACAATAAATACAATAAGTACTTATGGAAACTTTCAATTAAAATCATAAGTTTATGTGATTTGAAGTATCTCACAAATTAGCCTTCATTCATATCATGAATAATAAAGACAAAAATAAATCAATCTTCGGAATCTCAAATAATTTTAATGGAACAGGATTTCGAGTAAGCTGTTTTACTCACCACTGTTCAGTTCGCATTATTCGGACTGAATCAGCGCTAGCACATAAATATCCTTCCAAAGAAACAAGCGTCAAGAACAAACATAGATCATACGAATAGAGCAAACATTAGTACATTCTCGATCTAAAAAACTTGACTATAACAAGAAGCAGTTCAAAGAATAAAATTACCCGGATTATTAAGAAGTCGAATTGAGTACTAACGCAAGCTTCCTTTATAGCTAACTTTCAAAAAGAACCACTGCTGATGTCAAACATCTATCTGGACAAAAACGTGTAAATATGTAGAAAACGATCAACGGATAGTATATACAAAAACCACATTATTTACGGTTCTAAATACACTGTTAGTCCATCATTTTTCTAGTCAATGCTTTCACTTACCAATACAAGTCCATTTGAGTACTCGTCTTCAGCAAATTCTCGTTCGCCGTCCGAACTATCGTTTTCATCGTCCTCTTCACTATCAGACTCATCGCGATCTGAACTACTAATAAAGAAATTAGAGCGAGGATATTTTTTGTCTTTGCCGCGAGATACCCATTCAACTACTTCATCATCTTCTTCGTCATCTTCGTCCGAACTACTACTGAATTCATCAGGCGGATTGTCAGAAATATGTTGAGACATATATTGGGCAAAATGATCACGGTTGTCTTGTGCATTATTAGCTGAATCAAAGCTAAGTCGACGAGACATTTCACGTGATAAAGGATCTTCTTCATTTCCGTCAGCATCTTCTTCATTTGATGAGGAGTTATTAGACAGTTCTCGGTGGACTTCGACCACATCATCGTCACTGCTGTTGCTATACTCTTGCTCTAATGCAAATTGCATTTCGGGCAAATTATTGGCATCCAACATTTCACCATCATCCATATCTTCCAAATAGCCAACCATTGAAGGTTCAAGTCCTCCCAGAAGTTGATTATCACGAGCACGAGTCTCTGCTAAAGTATTATTAACAAAGTGTTGCCATTTTTCGTCATCAATTAATTTTTTAACCTCAGGGCTAAACAAATGAGAGTAATGTTCAATGAATTTTACAACTTCATCGGCGATTATAGTAAGATGTCCCATATAACCAGGTCTAAACCCGTTAGGCTCAGAAGTGGCCTTATCACTTATTTCCTGACCACGAATAATTTTTTCTGTAATCTTTCCACGTAAAAACATATCAAATGCCAAAGCGCAATTTTGTTCCTTCTCCATAGGACCGTTCAAGACTTGTTGAACAACGTCATATACAACGTTGTGAAGGAAGTTGTTCCAAGGATATTCAAAGAAATGGTCAAGTACGGTTGGAACGATATTGTTCTCTGTAAATTTTATTTTAAGAAAGTCACCAATTACAGGCTGTTTTTTCATTTCATCAAGGACATTCTCAGGTATTGGCTCATACGAATCGTTAGAAGCAGTTTCCTCTAAATCAGGTTGAATGTATTTTGAAGTTTCGCTGATGTCTTTGTACTCCTCACTAGGAACAGGCTCGGCATCTTCCATTGGTGAATCACCACCAACCTCGGGAGACATATCTTTGTAGTCCTTTGAAATTTGAGGGATTTGACCATGCATAGGATCATTAGCTTGTTTGTCTGTAAAACTAGAATCAGCATCTTCATCATCGGATACATTCAATTCTCTAGCACAGTTATTATGGCGGAAGAGATAATCACGTAAGTTATCTCTTTGCATGACAAGAGCCTCTGCATTAGGATCGCTCAAAAGTGACATATTACTACAATGCAAAAGCTCGGCATATAACTCACAAATACGAAACCGCTCAAATCCTAAAGGTTTAATGGTGCCAAAGCTAGTAGCAGCTTGCTCGGGAGTAGAAGATGGCTTCATTAAAATTTGTTGAAAAACTGGAATTTTTTCAGCAAACAAGCGGAGCATACTTCCCAAATAGATAGGGTCACGTGTAGTAGGAGGATTAGTATCAAGAGGCATCTGTAAAACAGGAGTTACATCGTAATCGCTATTGTTTTTACGGATGAGTTCGATGACGATGCTAACGCCATTGATCAAAGAGGTAGACGAGTAAGGTGCCTTGGAATCAATCATATAATCAGTAAGAGTAGTAATGGTACGGCGAGACACCAACTCGCGGGATAAAGAATTAGGGCCGATAACGCCTGGTTCATTAGAATTGGCAGAAATAGCTATAATAGCTTTTATGACATCCGCCACAGTGGATTGTACATCAGGATCAACATAAGGATCAAGTAAACCAAGCAAAGACTGTATTAATCCCTGGGAATACAACCAGTCAGCAATTCCAACAGTAGTATTGCAGCGATCCATCGATATAAATTTAAGCAAAAGATCCATGATAGCGCTAGTTTCAGCATGACGAAGAATCTTGTCAACAAAGTTTTCAATAGACTGTATGAAAGCCACGGTCTCTTCAGTTTTCTTGTCAAGAAAATGTTCATTCACCTTGGCAAAATAGGAAGCCTGTAAAGGATTTAATGGACCTTCATTGTCAAGAAAAGACCACAACTTTTTCATAAGCTCTTTATTCTCGACACATGCATCGCATATAGACCAGACATCACTACTTAGAATTTCACTCGCTATAAAAGATAGTCTGCTTTGTTCCAATTCTTCAAAACCGCCGTCAATAGGAGTGAAATCTTCTTCGTTAACCTCGAGAATAAAATCAATAAGTTGACTCAAAATCTCAGGTTTACAAAGATAATCTAATAACTTTGGATTGTGACTCTTGCATTCATCTAAAACTCCATTTTCTTCTAATAATTCTGGTAAATCAATCTCTTCTTCTGGTTTGTTCAATATAGCCTCAATGGCTGTTGAACTTTGAAATCCAAACCCTTGGCCTAGTCTCCAAAACATTTTTTTTGCTCTTGTTTACTTGAGATCAAACCAACTGCTAATTCTTTCTTCTTTCGCGATAAACCCAAGTTAACGGGTTTTATGTAATCAGATTCCGCGAATCTTGAACTTCTTGCACTAAAACGACGTATCCAAGTTGAATTTTCAACTTATACTGGCTTTCAATACCTGCACAGTCGTTATTTTTTAGGTTTCGAAACCTCAATTTTAGAGAGTTTATTCTTTTTGCTCTTGAAACAAGCAGTTGTGTTTGTATGTTGTTGGGCAGAGGACAAACCTATATGAATGGTCAACTCTACGTATTGAATTTCCCCAAGGACTAGACAATTCCGAGTCAGTGCGTATCAGTAAGCGTGAAGAAGAGTGCCGTGTAGCAATTTTGTGTGCTGCGGTATTCCTTTTCTGGATGTTGGTGGAGTGCGTTAAAATGTAAACAATTAGCAAAAAACGAAGCTACATTCGGTTAACATTCGTTTCAAATTTATAATGTCTTTTACAATAGATAGATGAGTATGAAACCTTTGTTCCTGAGAGATTATTGTTCTTCAATACGACAGAAATGTTTCGTTTTCACTTTTCGCTTCCAGACGAAAGTAACTGGTGGACACCACCAGTGTGAGTCAAGCCGCCTTTGTGAAAATTGTTAATTGAGATTCTATAAACGCACCCCTTGCTATTTTAAAGCAGAGTATTCTAAAATCAATTTACTAAAACTCGATTAGAATCCTAGACGCGCTATGTCACGCTGCACAGCGTAATGAGTTTATTGACTTTTTGTGCAATTCAGTAAAGCGAATACGCTCGACACATTAGCTTTTACTATTTGAATTGTATTCAGAAAGGTGATACTTTGAAGCGAAGCAATAACTAGGAGCATTGTTAAAAGGAAATGAAATAAGTTTATGATGATGATGAAATCCAGTCTTTTAAAAACAGGAAGCAGAAGCTTAAAACGTGATCTTTGGGGATCGTTGTCTCAACAGAGGAACCATACAGTGTCAAATCAAGAAATCCAACACTTCGATGCATTGGCGAAAACTTGGTGGGATTGGAATGGTGAGAGTCGGCTTTTACATTTGATGAATCCAACTAGAATTGACTTTATATCTCAAATTGTACGGCAAAAGACCCCGTTTGCTGGTAAACAGATTTTGGACGTTGGATGTGGAGGAGGAATTCTTAGCGAAAGTATGGCTCGTTTGGGTGCGAATGTCATAGGTATAGATGCTTCAAAGAAAGCTCTGGAAGTAGCAAAAGATCATTCGAAGAAGGATCCCAGCCTACGCGACCGTCTCGAGTACATCCATGGGCCTATTGAACAGCAAAATTTTAAGAAACAGTTTGATATTGTCACTTGTATGGAAGTTGTAGAGCATGTTACGAATCCTCGAGGATTTCTAGAATCATTAATGAACCTCGTCAAGCCGAATGGCTATTTGATGCTGTCCACAATTTCACGTACCCTCATGGCTCGTTTTCTGACGATCTTCTTAGCTGAAAGGGTACTTGGAATCGTTCCTAATGGAACCCATAGCTATGAAAAGTATATCCGCCCAGAAGAGCTCACTGAATTCTTCCGTGAACATCAATGGAAAGTAAATGATGTTCGAGGGGTCATGTACCATCCTGTTCAATCTAAATGGGTCCTTGCAAAGCCAGGAGACCAATGTCTGTCCTCTTTGTGCAATTACATGATGTCTGCGCAGAAACCATAACATCCTCTATCTACCTTTGACAATGATGGTTCAGTCTGTCTTTTTACAACGTTTAGAAATTCATTTTTGTATTGTAAGGTATTAAACTTGTGATAAAATGAAGACGTAGAATATCATTAACAGTTCCATTACTTTTCACTGAGCAGTATTTGCAGCTTCTAATTGTTCTTCGTCAACGAAATTGGGAAGCTCATTCGATGGCTGCAAATAACTAGGCTGTTCTTGGGCTAATTGGTCTCCTCCAAAGGAGGCTTCTTGTTGTAAAGCTTCTAATTCTGCATCCAGTTCTTCTTCATCAACATCCACGTTTGCCGTGTTTTGCCCAAGAATTTCATTAAATTCACCTGCCGTATCCATATAATCTTGGATTTGATCTTGTAATCTTTCAATTTTCTCTATGGAGATGTTTTTGCTTTGTGATTTCATCTGTCGTGCAGTATCCTGCATCGTCTGGACAGTAGTCATGGTATTCTTCATGGACTCCGTAGTCATGGCAGCTTGTTCCATATTAAAAGATTGTTGTTGCAATTGCTGCAATTGGGCCTCGTACCTTTGAGATTGTTAGTAATGTTATTTCTTTGCTGATGGCTATTACATTTTCTTTTGCCGTAATATATTCATAGCCCGTTGCTTTATGGTAGTTTGTCCTGGGCCGGGCCGTGTGTTTGATAACTTCTGTTGGAATACAGATAATTGAGAATCTAACTTTGAAATTTTCACTTCGAGTGAATCACTTCGCTTGTCCAACTACGAACTTTGTAAGCGTTTCATGTCTTTCTTTCAACCTCGTACCGACTCGATTGCATCTGTCAATGACGGGGCATTCCCTTGGGCCTGTTTTTTACCAAATAGTCTGTGCATGGCGAACAAAGTCTATCTTCAATGATCGTTAGCAAAGGTCATTCATAAACTGGATTTTTGAATAGAGTTCCTCCTTGACGAAAGCATTTCCGAATTCATCAGCCATTCTAAAAGAAGAAAAACACAAGTGAAAAGGAATGGAAACTAGGGAGAATGGAGAAATCACTATCAAACTAAGCTGTAATCAGTGATACCATACTCGTTTCGTCTGTTTATTGTATAGCCAAATGAAATAGCGTCTTTCCTCTAAAGCTTTCCTTATAAGATTTTATTCTTCACTTACCACAAAACAATTTACAATTCTGAATTACAAGTATGATTTCTAAATCTATCTCTGGCGAACTGGATTTCCTTCTTAATGAGTGTGTCTTGGGGTATGGTATGTTGGAATGCAGTTCAACTCATAAAAATGTAAACAAAACAAGTTTGTTCAGGTAAATGGCTTGCTCAGAGCTGTACAGAATACTCTCAATTTGTTCGATCACAAAATCCATTTTTGAAGCTTTCATTCTTATTTACTCAACAAGGATGGATCCGGAACAAAAGGAGGAAGCCTAACTTTCCTTACTCATGAAATTTGCACCGTTCAACAAGAATGATCTACGAAACCATTATCCTTTATATCACTAACATTTATATATAGGCTAACCAAAAGAAGACAAGAAACACCTAAAATGAAGGCATTCTTAACCTATCTCTTCTCTAATGATCGATAATTGAAATCACTTCTGCTTGTTTATATTATAAAACCAAAGTTATTGCTTCGTAATGTACATTTAATACCAATATGCGTTTCAGTATTTACTACTAAGAGATTAAAGGCCGTAGCGTATATGAATTTAGTGCCGCATGCTATAAGACGTTATTACCGCGGTATGACCGTGTCATTTACGAAATTACCGAACTTATTCGGGCAGCGTGTAAACGTACATGATACACTACAAAACTTTTACCATCACCTATTTCTGTAAGGGAAGCTGAATTTAGGAGGTACAAGCTACTTGCTCTAATAAATAAACGAAGAATTGGGCAATTATTCGTTTTAGAGACGACTGTTCGGTTTTGATCCGTGATTTACTTCTTTTGAATCACATTGAGCATGAAAGCCGCTGTTAGATCCGTGTATGTGAAGAATCATTACAAACAGTTGTGTAAAGAAGGAAAGAAACAACTGCTCTTAAAGAACTACAAAAAGTAGCAGATTTGCCCAACTTATATGTTGGTCGAATTCGTTTACTGAGTATGCTTTTTCGCTGCAAGGTCAAACGATATTCGACATATGCTTTATAGTCTCTTTCCTCATTTACGAATACAAAAGGATTTAATGATTTTCTAAAGGTCTAATCTAACTAACCGCTTTATAGAAAAAACTTTTCGAAAGGCTATACAGACACACAGGTCAAAGTCCGAAATGCCACCACAAATGATGCGTGGGGACCAAGCGGTAGTGCTATGGCAGAAATTGCTGCTCTGACTTTTGACCAAAATGAAATGTTAGAAGTAGTAGACATCATCGACCGTCGGTTGAATGATAAAGGCAAGAACTGGAGGCATGTCTTTAAATCCTTGTCTCTTTTGGAATATTGTCTTCACAGTGGATCCGAAAATGTAGTTCGATGGGCTAAAGACAATATTTATATCATTACCACATTGCGAGAATTTGTCTTTGTCGATGAACATGGACATGACCAAGGCCAAAACGTCCGTAGTAAGGCAAAGGAGATTAGCGCACTTCTTTCCGACGATGAAAGTTTGCGCGAGGCTCGTAGGAACCGTGATGTTATGCAATCTCGATTCCGTAACGGTAGCTCGAGTCCGCTATACGAAGAATCTCGTTATTCACGCACACCCAATCGTCGTGATGATGAAGATGAAGGACGTTCACGTTCCAGGTATCGCAGTAGATCGCGTCGTCCTTCTGGTCGCTCTCGCTCCCGTCGTAGTCGCCGACCCTCTCCAGTTAGCGATCAAGACGACGATTCCGAACTTCGCCGCGTAATTGAAGAATCTAAGCGACAAGCAGATGAAGATGCTCGTCGACGCTCAATGAATAGTAATTCTGAAGCCGATCTTCAAAAAGCAATTCAGCTCTCAAAAGAAGAGGAAGAAACTAGGCTTAGACATCAGCGCGAACGCGAGCAGCAGTCGCCCTCGTTAGCTTCTGCTTTCCAACCTGTTGACTTTTTTGGTAATCCTGTTCAACCTCAGCCCACTGGCTTTATGCAACCTCAACCAACTGGCTTTATGCGCCCGCAGACCACTGGTTTTGTTCAGCCACAACCTACCGGGTTTGTGTATCCGCAAAATACTGGATTTGTTCAACCTCAACATACTGGTGTTCAACCTCAACACACTGGTATGATGCGTCCTCAGCATACAGGGTTCATGCAGCCTCAACATACCGGTTTTGTTCAACCACAGCACACCGGGTTTTCTCAACCATTTGACTCCAACAACCCCTTTCCAATGATGCAGCCCCATCGTACAGGTTTTGCTCAACCTCATCCCGTTCAACTTATGCCCCCTAATCACACTGGCTATGTTCAACCTCAGAGCACAGGTTTTCGTCCTCAGAATACCGGCTTGAACGCGAATAACCCTTACTCACGTCCACTTCAACCTCAAAGTACGGGCTATATGAAACCGCAACCTACTCAGCCTCAACCGCAACCACAACCTCAATTGGAAACTACGAAAACTGGTTCCAATAATCCATTCGCTCAATTTGCTAAACTGTCTCCCCAACCTGCAGCTCCTATGACTGCTAAGCCAATGAGACCAGTGCGAACTGGTGATGATAAACACGCCAATATTGCTCAAGCTATTGCATCTGGTAATCCTAACGGTATTGATAGTTTTGGTAACATTGGTTTGGCTCGATTACCTTCACAGCACACAGGTTCAAGATTTACGAACAGTGCTGGCCAAACTATCCAGTCGCAAGCTACCGGAAACACACTCAATCCTTTCCATACTCAACCTACGGGGGCTCAGCAACAGATGTACTCATATCCACAAAATATGAATGGAAACTCGCAACAGAATATGCAGCAACAATCTATGCAACCTCAAGTCGGTTCTCTCATTGATCTGTAATTTAATCATCCCTTTTAGGTCCTTTTCATTTATTAATGAACGTTTTAATGATGGTCCTTCTCTTTTTGTTAATAAATTTTATGAAAATTTGCTATCAATTTATCTTGTTCCAAGCTACGCCATTCCATTGTGTGCTATCATTCGCCCAGTTTTTATGATTTACAAGACGTAGCACAGAATAGAAAAATTTTTAATGGAAATTCGCGTTTGTAATCTTCCTTCATCACAAATGCTTTTATTACTTCCTAATGCTATTTAAGTGGACTAATCGTCTACTTTGTTGCCTTCAATATCTGTAGTCTCTTTACTTCTGAACTAAAAAATGTAGTACTACAGAATAATAATAATTATTATTTTTTAAACCAAAATTTGAAGGTTGGTTCTGATTAATCGTAGGCAACGCTAAATATTAAGGTACTTTAATCCCATCACTTTTCATAACCGCTAGAAAAACAGACTTGTAGTTAAATTCATTTTGAATTATCCTTTTTGTTAGAATCATCACGTTGACGTTTGGCTTGGCCTGCATTTTTGGCAGTAGCTAAACGTTTAGAAGCACCCGTAATAGACAATTTTCCGCTTTCCGGCTTCATTGGTACAGGTCGCGCTACGGCGGGTTTAGCAACATTTGGCTTTTGCTTATTACCGGTAGCTTGTAATCTAGAGCTTAGAGATTTGACAGATTGATCACCTTGATTGGACATCTGAGAAGAGTCTTTGCCTTTCGCAACATTGGGCTTCGAAGAGCTTTCTGTAGTATTTTGTGTCTTCAACTGCTCGTTCAGACGATTGATTGTCCCTTCAAGTTCGACAACTTTCGATTGTAGGTCTCGAGTTTTTCTCTCGTAAATCGATAACTTCGCTTTATTTCGAATTTCTGTCTCCGCTACAGCTCTATTAAGCCGATTGTTGAACGCATCATCTTTTTCTTGTAACGCCTTCTCTAATCTTTCCTTTACTATATTTTCTAGTTCAGGCTCGGATTTATTGTTGGGCTCATTCTTCAGTGACTGCAGATCAGATTTCAGAGTCTCTATTGTTGTTTTGCTCTCGTTCAGCTCCTTTTGAAGATTTTCACGTTCTTCAAATTTTTCTTCTAAAAGCTTTGAGCGCATATCTTCCAGACATGCATCCTTATCTTTACTGAAGTCGTTCTTTATTGTTTCTAACTTCTTCTGGAAATCAACAGCTTCGGGATTATCTGATGGTATTTGTTGAAGTTGAGCGTCTTTTACGGAAGCAAGTTCTCGTGAGAGTTCATCTATCTTTTGGGAAAGCTTTTCATTCTCCTGCATCTTCAGCTCTAGCTGTTTTTCTAATTCCTCTAAGTGACTAGAATTAGAAGAAAGCTCGGTTTCTTTTTGTTTAGTCAACGATTCCAGATTTTCCTTAGCAGCAGAAAGTTCTTTCTCCAATGAGTCTCTTAGCTGCTCCAATTGTTGGAATTCATCTTTAGAGACTGTTTCTTTTTCTTCGACCGAATTTGTCTTAGCTTCTTCGCGCATATTTTCAAGCTCTTTCGAAAGATTCTTATTTTCATCTTTCTGAGATCCTAACTCTTTGTCCCTTGTTGTAATTTCCTGTCTTAATTGAGAGAATCTAGCTTTGCTTGAATTAATAAGACTTTCATAACGTTCGTTCCAAGCACTGGCTAACTTAACATTCTTTGCATTAAGCTGTTCAACTTCCGTTTTTAAGGCTGATATTTGCTCCGAATCTCCTTTGTGCTTCTCATCCTCTTCTTTCAGCTTTTGAAAGGCAGATTCTAGTTCCTGCTTTTCAGCATGAAGATGGTCAAACTTGGTCTTCAGCTCTTCATATTGTGATGGATCCATTCTTTCATATCTAGTCAAAACAGATTGAAAACGAGTCTTCCATCTTTCGTTATCTTCGTGGAGTAATTTTATACTCTCGTTCTTGGCGTCCAATTCAATTCTAAGATCATTAATTTCAATATTTAAAGAATCAAATTTGCTCTCAACGTCAATAAGTCTGGATTCCATAGTATCAGACTTGTTGCGTTTCAGTTCATTATCTTTGCGAAGGAGTTCATTGCTCTCGTATAAAAGACGCAATTCGTCAGATCCACTTAACAACGCTTGATTTTGAGAATTACCGGAATCCGCAGATCCTCTCAACCTGGCAATCTCAAAACTTAAAGAATCGATAGTCCCTTGAAGACTTTTAACCTGTTGACTTAGCCGTTTATTATTCAATGAAGCTAGCTCGTGTTTATTAGCAGTAATTTCTTTATCGTGCCGAAGGTAATTGACAAGCTCACGCAACTCGCTATCTCCAGTAGGATCTACTTTAGATATAAGAGCTGTATCTTGTGAAGAATTATTTTGCAAGAATTCAACCTGATGGCTGACAGAATCAAACTGAGAGTGTAATATTCTATTCTGCGACTCCAAACCACTTAGTTGTTCTTTTAATGATGCTAACTCGGTTTCCAAATTATCCTTTTGTTTTTTCCAATTATCTTCTGAGTCCGCATGCATTGTCGTCCATTCCTCAGATTTAGATTTCAGCTCAAGGTAGTTTGCTTTTACTTCTTCATATTTGCTACGCATGTCATAAAGCTTTTGAGTAGTCGAACCGTGATTTATGATTTCAGTCTCGAAATTAGAATGAGCTTCTTTAGTTAATTGTATCTGTTTCTCCAAGTCACTTTTCAAATGACTAATTGTTTTCTCGGTTTCATCATGCATAAGCTTATTTTCTTCATTAAAATTCGTCAGTTCATCTTTCTCCTTGGTTAAATTCTCGATTTGGGCCGTTAGCTCACGAATTTTTAGATCTTTTTCTTGTGCGGTTACACTAACATCTTGCTTTAACTGACTCACTTCTGCATAGAGATTTTTTATCTTGTCCTCCCTCTCTTGTAACTCCGACTCCATGATATGCTTAAATTGATCATGGGTTTCATTCATCAGTTCCAGCGTTTTTTCAGATGCTAAGCACTTTTGTTGGAGCTTTTGATATTCATCACCAAGGTTTTGAAGTTTTTCTTTAGCTGCATCCAAATCTTTTATAAGATTACTTGTGTCAGCTGTTACTGGATCTCCGAATGATTTTGGAGATAAGATATTCGTTTGTAAATTCATGTATCTTTCTTGGGTGAATTTCAAACTATTCTTGAGCTCCTGATTCTCATTAACAAGACTCGTGCAGCGAGTAACCTGAGACGTGAGCTCCTGTTTCAGCTCAGAAATTTTGCTTCCCATGGTATTCAATTGCATCTGGTAATCTTTTATGTTGTAAGAATTCTGCATGGTGATGTTCTTTATGTCATCAGTATATTCGGAGATCTTAGCGTTCGCATTTCGTAAATCCACAGAACATTCAGAAAGACGGTTATTTAAAAGATTAACAATACAATCATGTTCTTGTTCATGAACTTGTAATTGCGCTCTCAGTTGGTTGTTTTCTTGCTTTACAGACAACAAGGAAGCGTTAAGTTGCGAGCATTCTGCGCTTAGTTTCGACTCAACACTGTTCCAAAGGTTCTTTTCTTTGTGTAAGTTTTCAAGATCGTATCGATAAGTTTCCACTTGCTTAGTATATACACTTAGCTGACCAACTATGGTTTGATATTCTTGTAAATTATTATAGTACTGCTCTTGCAAAGATCTGTATTTTTCGTGCAATACACTGTTCTCTTTTTCACTTGTCTTCAACTTAAGCTCATAGTTGTTGCACTCTTCAAGGACCTTGGTCAAATCAACCTTTATAGCTGAATTGAGATTCTGCAGATCATGATTAGCTGTTTCCAAAGATTCGACCTTCTCCAATACTTTCCTTTCCTTTTCATTCGCAATAGATCTGAAAGTTTCGAATTCTTCCGTTATTAAGTCAAGTTGTATGGATGACCGTTGGTTGCCTAATTTTTCCTTTAGTTTCATCGCCTTATTCAAGTCCAAGCTATCATCATTAAGCTTCAAAAGATCATTTTCCTGAACTAAAGTTCGGAAAAAGTCACGTTCTTTAATACAACCATCAAGTTGTTCATTCATGAACTCCACTTGCTGAGTAAGTTCATCAATTATACGATTAGCATTCAACAAAGTATCATTTTGAACGTTTGAAGCATCAGAAACACTTTCGTGCTTTTCCAATTCTTGGGCGAGGTCACGAATAACCGAAAGCAACTTTTGATTTTGTTGCTGTAATTCAGCTATATTTTTAAAAGTAACAAGCCGATCAGATATAAGCTGGTTAGTGTCGCTTTCAGCAGAATCTAAAGATTTCTCTACTAAACTTCTAAATACTTGACGCTCCTGAGCGGTAAACATCATTCCGGAATCGCGAAGGTCTATTTCGTGAAGTAAGAATTGTACTTGGTGAGTTAGATCACCAATTTGTTGCTCATAGTGCTTATTTTCCTTAGATTTATCCTTAAGTTGTATTTCAACAGTCTTGTAATCTGACTGTATTTTTTTAAAATGTGATAAAGACTTTTGATATTGCTGACTAATTGCAGCAATCTCCTTTTGTTTTTCATCAAAACGTGCGAATTGTTGTTTGATAAGAGGGTGTTGCATATTTACCTCGCTCATTGTTTCATTCAGGCTTCGTTGTAAACGATCTACTTGCTGTTTACATTGTTCGTATTTTTGCTTAAAGTATAACCTTTCTGTGTACAAATCGGATACAGACAATGACTGCTCTCTAGATTTTAAGGAGAAAGAAAAATCGGAATCTTCAGAGTTAGCAAGCCTTTCATTCGCTAAAGTAAGCTGCGATTCCAGACTTGATATTTCCTTCTTCAAGAACTCCAGAGTAGACTGGTAAGAAGATACATTCTTTTCAAAAACTGAACTTTGATTCTCAAGAGACTCTTGGGCATCTCTGAGTAATGTATTCAACTCAGAATTGGCATTCTGAAGATGCTCAGAATGCTTTTGAAGCATCTTATATTTATCAATCCATAGATCCGTCAATTGGTTTTCGGACGCTAAGTCTTTTTGAAACGAAAAAACGGCATTTTCATATTGTTTCTTTACCTCAGACAGTTCGTTAAGGCATGTTTCATGCTTCAATTGAATTTCTGCACACTGCTTGGTTAATGCATCCACTTTGCTTCGCAAAAGATCATTGTTCAAGTTCGCATCCGTCAGTTGGGAATTGAGTTGTGATTTTTCCACCGAAGTAACTTGATGGAGCTTCAATAACTTGTTATTCACATCTTCCACGACCTGATTGAGCCACGTGTTGTTGTTTTCTAAGATCGTGTTGTTTTTATTTAGTTTCTGCAGTTCGAAATCGTAAGAAGATTTTGATGATTGCACTTGCTGTTGTAAATGCTCTACTTCTAAGACTTTCCGATTGTACATTAACAGCTGGCTTTTATAGCCATCAATTACAGTACTTTTCTCCTGCAAATCTTTTGAATTCTGAACAAGCGATTCTCGAAGCCGAGAATTTTCTTTGTATATCCGTTCAAATTCACTTTTCGCTTCATCGCGTTCTGCCTTCAATGCCCCTGCGTCTTTCTGAGCATTTTGATATAAATCGTAATTCTTTTTAGAATTTTCTTCAGATAAAACGAGTGACTTTCGAAGACTCTCGTTGTCAAACTTAGATGCGTCCAGTTGTTTCTCAGATTCGAGCAATTTCTTTTCCAAAACTCGAGATTGTTGCTCAAAGTTTACTTCGGCAATTACTTCTTTGTTCTTTAAATTTCCATATTCTTTATACCGTTTTATAATAGACGAAAAGATGGACGAAAATAAGTCCTGATGCAGTAAGCTATTGATGGTAGCTTGCGATACATCAAGAAACTGTGAAACTCCATGGATATCGGCTGTATCCCAGGAAGAATCGTGCATGACGACAAACAGAGAGCTTCCTGTCAATAATATTTTATTGGAAGCCTCAACTTTGCTTAGAACACGTTCTTACCTATTACTGTGGTGGTTAAGTGTCGCGAAGTCCTTGATAGAAGCACTTCATTATTGCTATTCGTATAAAAAGCTTGATAATTGGATTTAATCGCTAAATTATTATAAGATTATGCTAGTTAACTACAAATTATGTTAGCCTTTTGATGAGTAAAACGTGCCTTGATGATAATTTACTGAATGATATTTTACTTGATTAGAGAACAGGATTTAATTTTATTATACTAAATGTTATAAATCTTTCAGGATATAGAACCCGGAGTCATTAAAGTCAAGAATTGAGACTGTTATCAGTACTGACGCAACGTACAGTTAATTATAAAATAACGGTTTCTAGATACTTTTTAGGATTTAACGAATACTTAAGTGAGGAACAGTCTGGTTGGGCGCACTTGATGATTGAGGGGTTTTGGAATCAGCAGGAGTGTTTAGTGCACTACGATTGAGGCCGATATGGGACTTTACCAAATGGCCGGTTGCAAGTGCAGAGCATAAAGATAACTCGCCAGCCATGACACCAGCAGCAATAACCTTTGCCAGCTGACGAGCATTATCACCAGGGGACGTTAAATGTGCTCCCTTGACACCTAGGAGGTCAAGCATAGCTTGCTGGGGTTCCAAAACTGTACCACCACCAATAGTCCCAACCTCAATGGAAGGCATGGAAACACTAAGCTGTAAATTACCATCGACATTATCCATAAGAGTGATACAATTACTACTCTCGATGTTCTGAGCAGGATCTTGTCCAGTTGCGAGAAAGATTGCCGTCACGATATTTCCGGCATGAGCATTGAAACCACCCACGCTTCCAGCCATGGCACTACCAATAAGATTCTTGTCAACATTTAATTTGACTAAATCATCGACAGTAGTCTTCAATATAGATTTCACAGCCTCACCAGGAATAATAGCTTCTGCAATAACACTCTTTCCACGACCATCAATCCAGTTTATAGCAGCTGGCTTTTTATCAGTGCAATAATTTCCGGATAAGCTAATAACGCTCATATCTTCAAATCCAGCTTCGGAACTCATAACAGTCAATGCATGCTCAACACCTTTTGATATCATATTCATACCCATAGCGTCACCAGTAGAAGTACAAAAACGAATGAATAAGCGAGTTCCAGCCAAAGCAGTCTTAATCCGCTGAAGACGAGCGAATCTACTAGTAGAGTTGAAAGCTTTCGTTATAACTTCAGTTCCTTCAGGACTATCCAACCAAAGCTTAGCACGACCTGCGCGCGTTAAATTAGGGAACGAAATACAAGGACCACGAGACATCTCATCACGAGTTAGCACGGTAACAGCACCACCACCAGCATTGATGGCTTTGCAGCCACGCATGGTTGAAGCAACCAAAGCACCTTCAGTAGTAGCCATAGGAACGTAATAGGGCTTGCCATCAATAATAACTGGACCGGCAACACCAAGAGGCAAAGGTATATAACCAATGACATTTTCACAACAAGCATTAAGAACTCTTGAATAATCATAATGATAAACCGGACAATTAGAAGCTTCCAGAGTTTGTGTTCTTGAAGATCGAGAAACAGCTGCACGGCGAATGACTACTGCTCTAAGAGCGTCCTTCAAAACCCGTTCTAAAGCGTACAAGGGAATTTTACGGGCCACGACAAGTTGGATAACCTCTTCATCATTCAGCGATGAGACTTGTCCGTCACTATATAGAGAAATGCATTCTTCCAAAGGACGTACTATTGTGCTCACGTTCTTTTCAACAGCGGTTTCGGAGGCAGGATTCTCGGATTCAGGCAAATATTTTACTACCTCAACCACTTTTTCAACAACTTTCTTGTCACTATCATTTTTCATGGAATTTAGCCGAGCAGCATTCAGAAGGAAAATATTTGCACCAATACTTATAGACAAACCGAAGATAACCCATTTCGATAGGAAAGATCCACTAATTGATTTGGTCCAGTTATGTATAAAAGAATGAATTGTTGTGATGACAGAGGATTGAGGTAAATCAGTGCCGTAAAACACGGATGGCAGGATTCTAACGGAAATTGTATCCTTGTTGTGGGTAAAGTTAAACAAATATGAGAGAATTTCATCAAAGACGTGGTCATCTAAAAGGCCCTGGGTATTTGTTTCCGGATATTCGGAGCGAACCAAAGGAATCAATCTAGCGGCAGCAGCAGATGTTACTGCATAATGCTTGAACGGGATAGAACAAAGTTCAAAAAGATTAAAAACAACAAATGCAATAACGAAAAGAAAGCGAGGCTCGTAAACCCATCTAAAGGGTTGGAAACTACCTTTCTTGTTTGTTTCGGCAGCAAATTGGTTATTTTCAGCAACTTGACGAGCCGCTGACTCCGATAAACCTTCTTCCATCAAAACACGTCTAACGTTTTCATTGGCATTATATCTGCACATTTCTAGATTTAAAGTGAGGATAGACACAAAGAAAGTAAAAAGTAAAACCAGGTCATAGACCATAACAGCCGCAAATAAAAAGAACTGTTTCAAACCAAAGTTGCAATAAGAAAAAATAGCTAAAACCACAATTCCAAAGGAGAAATGACGGAGAATTGGAGGAGCTGCATCCCTACAAGCTTCAGCAACATCCTCGTGAGTGGCAGAACGAGAATCGGAGGACGCACAACGAGACATAACTGCTCTGGTAAGGTTCACCGATTTATCAAGAGCAACGACGTTCAATAAGAAGGGCATGCTTTCAATCAAAGATACAAGGCTGATTCGAACTCCGGAGAAACGGATCAAAGACATTGCAAATTGAACTGAAAATAAAGTAGACATACACACACTAAAGAATAGCCAAAACCTAGAGCCCAGTCTTCGCATTTTTATGTAAACAGAGATAATAGAAATGAACATACACGCGTAGGCAGTGCCAACGATGAGAAGTTCCATTTTAGAAGCTTGACCAGTTATTTTTAAAGTATTCATCCAAGTGCGAGCGATCAGCTGGAGCAGCCAAGACCAAGAAATGCCATGCTCACGAATTGCAGGAAGAACTCTTTGAACGACTGTGCTAGAACCATCTAAGAAGTAGTCGATAGGAGGATTGGCCAAATTAGCAGGAATAGCAATACTTGAAACAGTCCAATTACCAACTTCTTTAGAAAAAGTCTTACAAGCACCAGATGGGGAATCAATTAAGAGACAATCATGAAGATAAGGTTCAGCAAGTTGGGCCACATTCACATTAACTGAAGTTGGGTGATACCATTGAGTAATGTCAAAATCAACAGCCTGAATGTCTTGAGACTGGCCAGAAGGGATAGGTTCCCAGGCAGAAGCAACACCGCTAGGGGTTTCAGTTCTAGAAAGTTTTAATACTATTCCAGAAGGATCAGAAACAAGACCTCCGTCCAAGATGCCGGATCGTTTCAAGGCCCGAAGCAAAACTGGAAAATCTTCTTGCGTAAGGGTCTCAAGGAAAGAATAGTATGCCATGGAGACAAGGATACACACGACGGCGATCACTTGAATGGGATATCTGGCGGCGATTCGATAAATCATGTCGTAATAATATCCCGTTTAGTGAAAAGTGTAATATGATTCCTGATAAATGACAGAAAATAAATGTCTATAAGGTATGAAAATAATATGAAGGCAGATAGCCGAAAAGAATGGAAAGGAGCAAAGTAATACCTTTCAAAAAAAATAAAGATGAAAATACTTTCTAAAGCGAACCTTTACCAACAGCAACAGTTAGCCGCGTAGTCAACAAAAAAAAAAAAGAAGGGGTTCCTTTTTTTAAATTTCTACACGAAAAAGAGTTGATATTTGGGCAACCTGTACGATGAAAAATAGCTCCTCGAATAGATTTTAAAAGTTGATTATGTATCGCTCTAAGAAAGAAAAGCCAAACGTGGAATAAAGGTCAGCTGAGAACCCAGTTTAAGCTGATCAAGAAAGAGTGAGAAAAGAAGCAAGTTAAGCCTTATAAAGCAAGCAAATATAAAAATAAAATGGGGGTAAATAGAGAATATTTACTAAAAGTGATGGTTTTTATGGTACCGGAAGGAAGGAAGGAAGGATTAAAGGGAAACTTCCAGTTGAGCTATTATATGTGCATCAAAACGAATAAATAGGAGAGTCTTTCGTTAAGAATTCGTTTTATAATAGAATCCCAGTCACTGATATAAGTAAAATAAACTGCACGAGATGAGTTCTGTTTCTTTTCTACGATCAGCGTGGGACCTAAGAAGTTTTGGGGTTAGGACAAGGCAAGGGTAGGTTCTGTGGAGGAGAAATTCTCGAAAGACATGAACACCAAAATTCACTGTCGAAGAAGTCAACAAGTTTTCCCTCTTCTCAAATAATAATTTTAAAAAGAATTTGGTTAAGGTAAATTAATAAAAAGTACAAGAGTTACGCGTGTAATTGACTTTTCATAACATTACGGTCAGGAAGGACATTCCCGTAAGCCTTATTCTTTCTTTTAATCTACTGTTTGAATGTAAAAAAAATAAAGTAATTTAAAAATATTATTATTTAATTAAGGCTTATTTCTGCTAGTTGTTTCTAAAAAAACACGGCATTATGCGTTCAAAAAACCATGAATCTTTAAGATATATTAAAGGAGTCTAACACACGTTAACAAGGAAAGAAAACTCATACCAAAAGTATGAAATCTATCTAGATACCGTAAGTTTAATGCACTGCTTTGAATAACTGTAATGCAGATTGCAGTTTCTTTGTTCTCTGTTTACAAAAAGAACGCAAGGTGCTTTTCTCCTTCCTTCAGGAATTACTTTTTTCCTATGGATGCCACTTTGTTTAAAGGTTTTAGTAAAGAAAGGTTTTAGAGCAAGAATTAAAAAAGAACGCGAGATAGCTTCAGGTATTAAGTCAATTGTGAGATTCTTAATTGGAATATATAACACTCGAGAGATAAGAGTAAGTCCCCTTTTTGTTTTGCTTTCTGCAAAATTATAGAATTTGAATTTTTTTAAGTGCAAAATATCTCTCTTTTGTTTGCATTAAACCATCTTTTTAAGGCTTACTTTTGGAATATTGGGTATTAACACAATACTGATAAAAGAAGTAGCCGTGTTTTTTTTTTCTTTCTTTCTTTCACTCGTCTTTCTTTTAAATTTTACTTATTTGTATTGGAGATTTTATGGGGAATCAAACGTCAAAGCTAAGAAATGCCGAGCAGCCCTGGATTGAGCAGGGACAGAAAGAAAAATTTTTCAGCATCTCTCAATTTAAACTGTGCAATGTTGTCGGCAAAGGCAGTTGGAGTACTGTTTTCGTGGTGAAAGATCGTAGCAGCAAACAAAAGTTTGCTTTAAAATGCATAAACAAGAAAAAACATAATCCTGGAAAGATAAAACAACTCCTTACCGAAGTTTCCCTTTTACGTTCTTTAGACCATCCTCTTCTGTGTAGATTTTATTCTGAATTCCAAGACGATAACAAAATCTACCTTGTCTCCGATCTAATGTTGGGTGGTGACCTTCGATACCATATAGCGCAAAACCGGTTTCAAGAATCTGTTGTATGTGTTTGGATTGCTGAATTGGCTTCTGCGCTCATCTATATCCATTCCAAAGGCATCTTACACAGGGACATAAAGCCAGACAATATCCTCCTCGATGAATATGGCCATTGTCGACTGGTCGATTTTAACGTAGCTTCCCGTCTTTCACAACAAACACCTGACGGAAAAGGTTTTGTGAAAGGTCGGGTGGGCACACCTGCCTATATGTCCCCAGAAACACTTGTTCACGCCATCAGTTACCGAGAATCAGATTGGTGGTCCTTGGGAATCACCATGTATGAATGTCTACTACAGACTAGACCTTTCTCTAGTACTATGGTAGTCAACTGGATACGTTCTTCCGAAAAAGAAAAAAACTCTCTCCTCGAAACAATGTGCTCCTCGCTTGAACTTCGAAATAACAAGCAATTAGACGTTTTATCCAAAGAAGCACGTGTTGCTATTCAAGGATTCTTAGAACCATCTATAAAAAACCGATTTGGACATAATGAAAACAAGATTCCGAATATATCTTTCTTTTCGTCTGTCTGCTTTGATACCATCTCCCAGGGGAAATGGGCCCCTAAATTCAGACCAAAATCTGGTAAGCTATACGCTGACCCTATTTTAGAATTGGAAGCAACCTTTTGATTCTTTGGTTTTGTGTTCTAATCTCTCCCCTTATAATGAAACCTTCTTCTTCCTAGGAATTTACGACATTATATACATCGTTCATGTTTATCTTGCTGACTGACTTATTTAATTCTCACTTCATTTTAATGACAAAATCTATTGTCAATCACTATAGAGCTTAATGATTAACCCTTACTTTTTTGTTTTTGTTTTTTTTTTTAATTTACAACCTCTTAGATCATACCTTCTCTCTGACCTATATGACAATACCAAATTTATTAACCTCCAACCGTTTGGATTTATGTCATATCTAAACTCTAAGAACCATAAAACGTTTTCTCTAAATTTAATTTACCCATTACTGCGTCCTCAGCAGTCTCCAAAAACCCTGTAACAATTGTGACCTTAGGAAATATAAAAGCCAGTGTCTTGATACTTTCCACAAAAGAAACATAGACAACAATAATAATGTTCTCTTCTGGTACACCAAAGTCAACTAAGATTTGAGTTGCCATTAATACGTCCGTGCTGGTTGTCAATTGAGAAGCTATGAGAATTACATTTGTCCCAGCAATCCCCCGAGGAAGTTTATGATATTGAAGACTTGGTTCATTGGTGACCTGATTCACACGTACGAGAACCTTTCCCAACCGCACGTTAGGAAACTGTCGACAAAGGGCTGTTTCCAAAGTACCACCGGAGCCTAAAACAGAAACACCGCATAGCTAAAAAAAAAAGTCGGTTAGCTTACTGTAAAAAAATGACATAATGTTGCTAACTAGTAATACCTCTTTTGCTAGTTGTAATCCTTTCCATGTATCTCCATTGTGAAGTGTAATAACTTTGTCCTCATACATCAAGGAATCGCCAGCCAGGTTCATCAACATTGTTCCTATACGACTTAAATAAAACTGCATATTATCTGCATCAGTTTCTTTATTTACGAGTATAGTTTTAATAGCCTCAATTTCAGGAGTCTGACGGAGTTGAACAAGATTCAAAGGTAAATTGGGAATAGTAGGAACAATTTGCTGTAAAGAGTCGATGTTTTCTCGGTGACTTAAGCTTTGTACAGACAAAGTCCTCTTAATAAATTTTATAACCATTTCTAAAAGTTAAGCCAGTTAGTAAACAAAAAGAAAAGCGATCCTTCAATGACAGATCTGAATATTGAAACTTACCAATGGCCACTTTATTATCACGACCACGAGGGACAATTATATCTGTATAAACTGATTGCTTCCGTACAAAATTATCGTAACTTGGTTTAACAAAACGATCATACTGATGAAGTACACCCCGAATATCACGACCACGGTAATTGATGTCCCTATTTAATCTACGAGATAAACAAACATCTGAATCAGTCTCAAGGAAAACAGAGACGTCAAGAAGGGAGCGAACTCTTTCATCATATAAAGCAAAAATTCCCTCAATGACAATTATACTAGCACCGAACAAAGTAGACGTTTCAGGAAGGCGATCGTGTTCGTGAAAGCTATAAATCGGGATGTCAACTTTACGACCTCGTTTGAGCTCTAATAAAACATTATACAGCAAACCCCAGTCGATGGCTTCTGGAGAATCAAAATCATATTCATTTCGATAAGCTTGTTGTTTTTGTTCAGTGGTCAAAGGCTTGTAAAAGGAATCTAAGGACAAAATTACCACATTTGGTAAATTTAAAGCTTTTACAATTAATCGGGCGACTGAGGTTTTCCCACTTCCAGAGGGACCTGCAATGCCTATGAATCGTATACGTCTCCAAGGAGGTTCATACAGGTTTTTTAAAGTTTCTTTGTTAGCTTGAGCAATTTCCATGGCGTGTTAAGCTTTAAAAACAAGAAAGGAAAGAAAAAAAGCAGAAAAAAAAAAAGACTGATATAGAATGTGAGACGGGAAAGCAGAGAACAGCAATTTGATATAAGATACACTTGATTTACTCGGAATCTTTTAATGCTAACAAATTGATCATGAAGTTTTTCTTTACAAAAGCTCTTCAAGAGAAAGTACACCTTTAGTCGAAGAATCACCTACTCAACGCAGCCAAACGTAGCCAAAAGAAACCACGAAATTATAAATGAAAAATCTAGGGAAGTGAAATGAAGCGTTGCAGGTATTTCTTCCCAAAACACACGTTTGAAAGGTGTAGTGGTTCGTAAACAAAGATTTATCACAGCTTTTTACATTAGGTAGCAGCGATTATGTTACTTTGTGTTATGGTTTCTACCGCGGCAGCATCCGAAAGCAATTAAATAAAAACTTGAAAGTTGTAAGCATTAGAAACGACTTGATGGACTCTTATTCTTGTTCTTTTCAACGTAGAAGATAAGCAACCTGGTTTTTATATCCTGCGATTACCACCTTTCATAGCAACGAATATGTGAACGAAGTAGCTCATTCAATTCGGTGATAGAAACGATTCGAATTTTTTTATATTTGTTGTTTTCTTCCATATTTTAGCTAACAGAATTTTCAAAACTTGCATTATGATGAATTCTTTATATTGCTTTTTTTTGTTTACGTAAACAAACCAAATATTTTCAAAAAAGTAAATAAATAAAAATAAAGATGAAACAAGAATTGAGGAAGATATAATGTATACTACATATGGATTTGATTAAATTTTATTTAATTTAATTTGAATTTTTAGGATTACTTTCTTAATGTTGGAACTTGCTCATGACACTGAACAGATGGTAAAAGTAGGTAAAAGTCATCCATACCATGTTCGTTATAAAGTTGAATTTCATCAATTGCTCTTCAATTTGGTGGAATAACAGTTCTTTATTGAATGTATTGAATGGAACCTCACTAAAATCTTATAAGAATGATGTGGGTAATTTTGGTTCATGGAACGTATTACACAAGAACAAAACTATGCTGTTTTTTTTTTATTAAGCCTAATTGAATACATATCAAGTGATTTTTCTTCTTTTGTGGTTAAATCGTCTTTGCTTTTCACTTCTGTAATCTGCTGTTTTTGCCGCCGCGGAACCAATCGTCTATACTCTTTCCTACCTACCCTCTGCTCTCATTGTAGAATTCATCGGCTTTCCAAGGATTAACGTCTTTGAAACGAAAGGAATATCTGTTATTAATAGCTAGTTTATAGTATCTTGTAACAGAAATCTGCAATTGACCATGGATTCGACTTCCAATCATGTTCGTAAAGGGTCTACTTCAACAGTGAGTACTGAGGGTGGTGATGGAGGACCTTCTAAATTGACAAGGGACAATAAAAAAGGATTCGTTGTAAATAGCAGGATAAAAAGAGGTGGAAGCCATTTACGACTCGCAAGACCCGGAAAAATCAGTGCTGCAAGTTCTCGTCCTAATGTCTTAACAAGAACTACGTCTCATAATCCAAATTACGATCGCATTCACAGTACGCATGCTACTCTTCCTAGACAAAGATCTCTCAACGATCTTAATGATTTGCACGGAACTAGGGCAGCGACAGCGAAAACCGGCTTAATTCCTTTGACACAGAGAAAGCCTAAGCTTGTTTGGGAAGAGGTTACTAATGATAATGACTCTACGGCCGGAAATTTTGATACGGAAAGTGTTCGCACCGATCTACCTGAAACAGAAAACCACAATCCTCCTCCATTAAATGCTGCTCAACCAAACGAAGATCAGTCTCGTAAGATACAAGAAGGAAATACCACTGTTTTGATTCCAAAAGAAGATCAAACTACGAGTGAAGGGGTTAACAAAACGGAGCATGAAAATGTCTCTTCCTTAAATATTTCACTTCCACCGGCTACTGCAACTGAATCATCAATAAAAGAAGAAAAAACTCGATTAGGAAATGTCAATGCTCAATCATCTTCAGATCAGCACAAGGCCGTTTCTGATCGTCCACTTGGTCCCACAGATATGTATCCGACCTACCCTCTTGCTACTCCAAGTGCTTCTGATACAGTACAGTCAAGCCCAGTGCATAAAAATACCTTTTTTCAAAATACATCTACTGATCACGAACCACTTCCCCCTGTATATCTAGCGGATTTTCAAAATCAAAATCAGGAACGAATTTCTCCTAAGGCACTGACTAATGCTGGTATGTATTGAATTTTTGTAAATTTTTATTAATCAAATTTTAGAATCTTTTAGAAATATGGATTCAGATACACACAGTGTAACTACGTCTCTTCCAGGAGATTTACTAACTAATCGAAAGTTTTCTTCGAATGTTACCAAAACACCTGCTCAATTATACGATATAGGTGCTTCTACTAGTAGGACCCAACAAAAGCTTCTTATTCAGAGGGCTTCTTCTCGATTTGATACAGCGGAAGATGACCCCAATGCAAATCCCTCTAAACGGTATTTACACCCACAAGCAAAGCAAATCACGGATTCAGTCCGAACACATTTGCGTAACGTAATAAAGAATCGTGAAATTGTATACGAATTTCTGATCAAGCTTCGCCCTTTTGTGATATCTTCAGAAATTGAAGATTTTTCTTCGTCTTCTAACCCTTTTACCTCAAGTCCCCATGCCCCAAGTTCTTCCAATTCGGGACAATATCCGGCGTCTACGAGTGGATTTTCTTCGAATGCTCACTCCGTGAATCCTAGCGAGATACTCCATTCCTCTCAACCGTCATATCCTTTGGCTAATACACGTAGGAAGTCTATCCACGTTCCCAAAGTTAGAAAAGGGGAGGAGCCAGAAACGGTAGAGAATAAAATACTGGAATTGTGGAAATAATATCCATTGCCTTATATCTTCTCGTAATAAAGGGAGTTTTAAACCTGACCATCATTCATGACGAAAAAATTTTGGCTAAAAAATCTTGTTTTACATATTTATAATTAATCTAATTGAAGATCTATTTATAATTTTATAATAAATTATTTGTTTTATTTATCCTATTCGCTAGATATACAGAAGTAAATTTAGTTTTATGCTGCATAGCTGCAACGACATTCGTACGTTATCGTAATTCTTGTACAGTTATTGAAGCCATATCGAACCAATGAGTATAATCTTTTTCTGTATCAATTTGGTCGAAAATCGTTTCCATCGTCAACAGTTGCAAGATGATCTGCCATCCCTGTAGTTGGCTATTTCGGAAGGCTCTCCTCCAAGGGCAATTTAGTCTATGTTGATCAATAACATCAAATGATTGATCATCTTGTTGTAAATTCCAAACACCGACTCTTCGATGGCAATATTCGCACTCGTACAATTGCCCTGACAATTGCTCAGTCCAACCAGTCAACGCAATCCCAACCACCGAGAGACAATGGTCGTTAGATATGTCATAATTAAATCGTTCAGCAACTTTGATCAGTCGCTCTTGAGTCATTTCTTTCGGAATATGGAGTTGTACTGAACAAGGAGATGTCCTTTTAATCCTCCTCTTAGCATTTAAAATCTCCGTAGATATATTTAGTTCATAAATATTTTCTGGAAAACTCATTTTCTTGTATAAGCAACCATCTTGATGTTCATGAATTAGAGACTGTTCAATACGATCTCTAACCTTTTGGGGAAGCTCCCAAGAAAGCTCGTTTGAATCAATAATATTCTGTAAAAAATTCAAATCAATCCTTCTATTGCATATATCGCATGTTAATTTGTCATAAGAGTCACAAAGCCAACCATGTCTACAACAATTGACTTCACCCAATTTGGGATCATAAGTAAGCGACCACCGGTTTCGGTATGTTTTTAAACGTCGTAAAAAGTCTTTAAGACTCCATGCTTTATATTTGCATGAAGAGTTTTCTATTGTACTGGCTAAAACATGTTCAGTTCGCTCATCTACTTTATCCAATTGATCCAAAACCTCTTTAAACTCCCAATCCGATGGAATTGCCATTTTCTATTTCAAATATATAGTAGCGTTATTATAATGTAGGTTTATGGGATACATCCCAATAAAAAAATATAATGACAGTAGTGAAATTAGAGAAAAAAAGTTTCCACCTATGGCTTTCCCAGCCTAAAAGATAAAATTTTAAAAATTTCTTATAAAAAGAGACCCCTAAAACCTTCTGCAAACGTTTTTAACCTTTTGTAGTTAGTTTCTCTATTGTTTATCATGTGGGAGATGAGATGTCTGTATAGTACAAGCATCATTTTATCGAGTTTGGGATGCCTTTCAATATGATATCATGATTTTTTAATGACGGTTTAAAATAATATTTGAGAAATACTTGAAAGAGAGCTCAAGAGATTATTCCTTTCTTATACATTTTAGGATTTTATATCGTTATAAAAATAAAAAGACTTACTCGGGAATTGAAGAAAACCATGATAAACGATCCAACTATGCAAATCTTCAAGTGGTATAACAGCAAAACAATTCGTCCATATAACTATAAAAAAAATTGGTTCGTTGATAACTACTGCTTTTACTCATAATTATTCTAATTCTTTTTAAAATGGGGATCTTGAGAGGTGATCGCAGCTGTAGCATCAATAACATTTTTGAAGATGCCCTTGTAAGCAGCAATAACACCGTTATTGTTCTTTAATGTACGGCCAACACCAAAGTCTAATGGCTTACCAAACATATCTGACACAACACCGCCAGCCTCCTCAACCAAGAGGGAACCTCCAGCGTGATCCTAGAATAAGTTAGTTAAGCTTTTAACAAATTAGTTTTGACATACCCAAATTTTTTCTTCAAAAGCCATGCTGGTAGGAAGACGAAGATAAATGTCACCATCACCTCGAGCCAGACTGACATATTTAGCCTGTGAATCCATCTTGGTAGGACCATAAACAATTCCAAGTTTTTTAGCAATTTCTTCTTGAGTTCCTTGCATGGAATGTCCAGCTTCGACACCTTCGCAAAACTTGGATTCCTTTGGATCTTGAACATCCTTCATATGAACTTGGGTGGGTTTGGCAGTCAAGTCATGAAGCGCGTACTGGAAAGATCCTTGGCCACGAATGGCAGACATAATGACACCCTTGTGGCTTGTTTCGGGTTGCTTAAAGTCGAAAGGGAGGTTGGGGCAACTGATGGCGCTCACCATGGGCTTTCCATTTTCAATCAAAGAGAGACAAATTGCATATTGAGCACCACGAAGGAAGCCTTTTGTTCCATCGATAGGGTCGAGTGTCCACATACGGCCTTCGCGACCACCGGTGTAGTTACCCTGATCAATAATGGAGAGCATTTGTTCAGCATCTTTGATCTGACCAAGTTCTTGGCGTTCTTTTGATTGTTGAATTGATTCTTGGACCAATGACCAGACACGAGAGCAAGTATCTTTGTTGCTTCTCAAATAGTCTGCATCTTCTTCACCAACGATGGGGTCCTTGGGGAAAGCATCCTTAAGCAAGGCAATCACAACAGCTTGAGCACCGAAATCTCCGATGGTAACAGGAGACTTGTCTTCCTTGGAATGAGCACCAGCAGCGCTCTTTTCCTTTATAAGTTGGTTGAAGACTTTTTCGGTCAAATAGCTAGCCCTACGGACAGCAATAACAGCAATTTCTTTTTCAAGTTGAAAGTTCATTTTGTTTTTTAAAAAATAACCAAAAATTTAGGAATCGTAAGTCTTTATATTACGATCAAGTTCAATGCGTCAAAAATTATGCTGTAGACGAATTATGACTTCAGAGGAAGCATCTGTATGTCCTATCGTTACTGGGTTTGGATTATTTTTCTATGAAAGATCAGGATAAATTTAAATAAATTGGAACATTTTTATCTCCAAAGGAAGGTAAAAATATTAGGAAGTGCGGAGCGACGCGTACAAGTTGAAGAATGTTTTTTGGTATGAGATTGCAGAAGAATATGCAACAAAAAATGAGTATGAATAAGAAAAAAAAGGAATCAATCTAGTTTTTTAAAAGAGAAACGCGGTTTTGTGTGGGACAAAAAAGAGGAAACAGAGTAAACAAGGAATTTATGCTACGCGTTTCCCTAAAGTAAACATAAACACAACCATGAACTTTTACCCAATTGCAAAATACTCGGTTGCTCAGGATTCTTATGGATACGAATCATCATCTACGAGTTGGTCACATTATTCTGATGGAGGATATACGATGTCGCTGACATCTGGATTGCTGCAAATTCGCAGACGCGAAGAATTGGTTGTATGTGGATGAAAGTTAGAAGCGTTTTATTTTTAACAAAAATATGAATGTAGCAAAGTTTAAATTTAATTGATTTATGGCACCAATTCATTCCAGGGACAAAAGAAAGGAGCTTGGTTTTGTTGTCCAAGGCGCCGTGCATGAACTTTCGCATCTATAGCAACAATGTAAGAGATGAAGGGAGAAAGAAGAAAAGAAGTAGGAATTACTAACAAACCGCTGGTAGGTTACCAAACGATTCCAGGTGAAGTTTCCATCGGATGTATTTTACATGAAAGCAAAACTTGAAATCGAAAATCTAGGATTATACTTTAAAGATGCAAGGTCTTCATCGGAAAAAAAGCAAATGTCGAGTTCGCAAAGCCATATTGGAAATTCACAAGAGATGTATATGGCAGCATCGATGAATGCCGGAGGAGTGCATGCTTCATCTCAACCTACCATTTCGGTGCAGACACCTACCATTTTGTCTCAAACGATACCAGCGACACCGCCGGTGGCAGCACCAGGAGGAACAGTAGGGATGGGAGGAGGCATGGTGGCAGCAGCACCACCCGCGGCGTCGTCGTCGTCCTCTTCACAAGGTGCGATGACGACGACGACTAACCATGTTGCAGCAAGTGAAATGACCGTTCACACTCCTTACAAACGGGCAAGGGTGGATGAAATTGGATCGATGGGGTATTCACAGATACCAGCTAGCACACCTTCGGCGGCGTCATCTTCGTCTGGCGGTGTGTTGACTAGTATTCGACCATCGCAGAATGGTCAGATGATGGGGAGGCAGGAAACGAATATGGAGAGCATACAAATGTCACAACCAGCGCATTGGGAAGACGGTACGGCGATTTCGTCTTCACCATATCATCCGTCTCAGTATTCGATGGTGGCAGCAACACCTCTTGGATCGCAAAATCCAGGAATCCCAATAGCTTCGTTGATGACGCCGATGCAAGAGAATCCAGCACCGCCTGTCGTAACAACAGGTACGAACTCGTCGTATATGAACATGTTGCCGTCCCCTCCTACAACATCGTCGCCCTCTACAATATCCGCAAACCACCTAACTGAAGAAGAGAAACTGTTGCGGGACAAGGTTTTGTTTTATCTGCAGCAAAGTAGTTTTCTTCAATTGTGTCAGAGCTTGGACCGAATATGGACCACGATGCAGCATGCATAAACAAGTAAACAAAAGCAAAAGCAAAAGCAAAAGCAAAAGCAAAAGATATGAGTTGATTTACATTTAATTATTAAAAATTTCAAAGAGCATCCATCCTTATTTATACAAACTGAATTGAAAGTGTTGGCATTTCAAATTCTTATTCTACTACACCAGCAGCAGGAGCAGCAGTAGTGCTACTACCATCGCCCTTGCCCTACAAGTAGCAGCAACAACCCAGCAGCAGCATTACTACCACTACCGCTACCACTACAACTCTTACCCACTATGCTTACCACACTACGCTTACAAACGTTATTTCACTTTTCTCAGTTTCGTTTCGTTTCGTTTCGTTTCTCTAAAGCCAATACTGCCTTCCAACAGTATCCACAAAATACCAACTACCGATGGGTTCTCGTTCCCTCACGCACCAATCCTTTGCTCCACTTCCTTCGTTATCTTTATCTCTTTTTAGGTTCCGTCGCAAACCTTGCTTTTCGATAAGAGAACAACCACGGCAACAGCAATAGGCATCCTTATAACGAAAATCGCATATTTCTTTAACGAGACGACGACACTTCTTCCAAAGGAAAAAGCAATCGACAAACGAAAAAAAAAAAAAAAAAGGCGTTGGGGTGGTAAAAAGGAGGGGAAAAAAATCAAAATCAAATCAAATCAAAATCAAGCATCGCTACCAATTTCTCTTCTCGCTCTTCTTTCTCTACAAACAGACCTCTTTCAAATGTTTGTTGACAAATTCTTCCCAGAAATCTCCGCTTCTTTCCTGACCCTCTTTTTTTCTTCAACTGATGTCATTTCCCCCTCGTGAATGATCATTTCTATTTCGTTTCCACCATTCGATTATGCGCCCTCATCACGGATCAACCTTTTTCGATGCGCCTAAATTCTACTTGTTATATTGTATGGTCCACTCAGCCTATTTTACTCCCATTAAAATTACTCCTCTCGTTTTGCGTATAGTTCTGGGCCACGGTTCCTTGGCTCTTATAAAAGGACCTTTGTTTCCTTTTTTGAAAGAGATCAAGTTTGCTCTCTTCTATCAAGCATACAACTAGAGACAAACAAACTCTTTGCATTCGTTTGAATTTGTTGTTGTTGTTGTTGTTTTTTTTTTTTTTTTCTCTCTTCTTTTTTTATTTTTTATTTTTAATCTTTTTTGTTTTTTATTTAAAAAATCTCCCTTTTTTTTCTTTTCTCGTCGTTTTTTAATTTCGCGTCGTGTTTTTTTTCTCTTTCTCGTGTCCATCTATCTATCTATCTATCCATCCATCCATATATATTATATATATATATCTCTCTCTATATATATGGTTGTTGTTTTTTTTTTTAAACTGATCCATTTACTTTTGCTTGGTGGTACATTTACTTGCATTGCCATTGTTAATCTCAACTTCAGGATTCTCTAATTCTAATTCTAATTCCAATTTTCATCTTAAAAAAAAAAAAAAAATAAAAAATAAAGTAAAATAAAATCATTATTTGTGAGTTTTTTTTATTTTTTATTTTTTATTTTCGTCTTCTTTCTTTACCTTTTCTCTCTTTTACTCTCTCACAGTTAAATAGGCTCTTTATTTTTTTTTCTTCGGACCTTATTTGACTTTAGCTTCCGCACCCGTTCTTTCGCCTCATTCTCTGACGTCTCTTGGCTGGAAGCTTTTTTTAATCGGAGTTTTTTTCCTCTTTCTCTTTCTCTCTCTATATCTTACCCGCGCAGTAGAAGAAGAAGAAGAAGAAAAAATAAAAAATCTTTTCAATTCTATCCTTTCTTGTGCATACTTGCACAACGCAAACCTGTTGGCTTTGCTCTTTGCTCTTTTCTCTCTTGTTCTTTTTTTTTTTTTTTTTCACCCACCCCTTTTGTGTAAACCGGTAGTATCGCTACCGTAAAAACAAGCAGTCTACAACATACGTTGTACGTCTCTTCTCGCCTCTTTCTTTGAACAACGAACCTCAATAACTAAATCATACCATTGCTTACGGTTGAATTTTGAATTTTTATATTTATATTTATATTTTATATTTTATATTTCCTTTTTTTTTTTCAAAAAGGATTACCAAGCCTGCCGAATCGTTTTCTAATTTAAACAAGCAAGCAAGCTAATAAACAAACAAAACCTTATTTCGAGTCAATTGAAAATTTCCCATTTCTTTTTGCTGTGCATCAAGTAAATGCCGATTCTTCCTTGCTGACTCTATACTATTTCTTCCGTTTTCTCTTCTTTTCCTTTTCAATGTGCGAATAGTTTCATCTTACGTTGGATTGAGAATATTCCAAAGCGTTGCTTCTTATGCCCTTTACTTGCCCGACCGATGTTAGTAATTTTACGAATATAGTCGTGGATCGTCGTCGTGCTCATCGAACCGAGTCGACCGACACTTCTGCTATCATTCTCCTTACCCCAACAGAATTGGTTCGCTTGAGATATATGGTGATTGCTGCTACTTCTATTTCTATAGGATTTTGTCTAGTCATTGTTTTTCTACGATGGTTTAGGCGATGGTTCAGACAGAAAGCTATTACTTTTCGTGACCAACTCCATATAACCCTCTTTGTTGTCCTTTGTATCCGTTCCATTGTTCAACTCCTCCACCCCAGTATTTCCATCCACCGTCCCTTCTTTTGGGACCCTGCTACTCGATGCTTTACTTTGGGCTTTTTTCTCTTGGTCTTGCTCCGAATGTCGGACTATTGGATTTTAATCAACGTCATCCACAATGCTCTTCTTGTGTTAAATCCTACGTCCATCGATGTGGATCATGGCGGGCTTTATCGCTTTCGACATACCGTTTATGGATTATCCATAGTCTTTCCATTCACCGTCGGTGCTTTAGCTTTCACAAATTATGAGAGTACGTTTGTGAATTTTCAAACCCGTTGCTTTATTCCCTTTCGTCCTGCTCGTTACTACTGGGGCCTAAATTGGGGGTTCGATTATTTTCTTACTACAATCATTTTTACGCTACATTTGTGTATGTTTATTTCCATTCGAAGAAAAGTAAAACAGTTTCAAAGCATTTCCTGTGATAATCCGGATTCTTTTTGTTCAGAAAACCTAGAGGCCGGCCCTCGCAGCCCTTCTCAAGTAGTACCACCGCCCTTCTTGGAAAATCTATCCTCTTCCTCTTCCTCTTCTTCCTCTGCCTCTGCCTCCCCCCATCCTTCACATTCCTACCAAAATCCTAATTCTAATCGCATAGATACGTTTGATCATGCTCATAATTTCTCTCCATCCTCCAGTCCTCCATCCCCTGCATTGCCATCTACTTCCCAACAGCATTCCTATCTTTCACCTAATATGTACAATCCTCCTAATCCTTCAATATCCAATGCATCCGAGGACTCTGCAAACCATCAAATGCAACAATTGACCTCCGAACTTCAAAATGAACTTGACGATGGCGTTGAAAACTGCTCGCATAACGAAGGTACAGTGAACAGTGCAATGGCTTATTATGAAAAAGACCTTCGTGAGAATCCCCTAAAAAAACAAAGAAAACGTGTCCTGCGGCAATCAAAAGTCCTTTTTGCATATCCCGCAGTCTTTTTCGTAATGTGGTTCCTTCCTCAGCTTCGTTATATTGTAACTTTAGCAAATAGCAAAAATGAGTGCTCTGGCTCTTGTAAAAATTTTGCTTACATTGCTATCTTTTGTGATAATTTCGCTGCTATATTTTTAACCCTTTGTGATTTGGTGTTTGAATGTTACCAAGGTGTATATGTTTTCTTCAAGAAAAAGAAGTATAATCTAATCGTGCATTATTTAAAAAAACCTTTTGTTCAAATGCACTATGCCGTGCGTGAAAAAACTTAATGATCTAAAAATCCCTCCGTTTATGATAATGCGGATCTAATGCTCTTTTGTTCAGTGTATTTCTGTTCCTAAAACGTTATCTTTGCTTCTTTCCTTTCTAGAATTACTAATTATTTCATTTGCTAAATACCTTGCAAGCTTCGCGTTTATTAGTGTCATGCGAGTTTTCGCTTGCAAGTTTCGTTAGATCTAATGAGAAGTGTGAAGCTTCGAAAAATCTACTTTGTTAGGATTTTATGTTTTGGTATTTAACAGAAGTTTTTGTTCTTTTTTTCCCTTCATTTTTACAAGAGGGAGAAGTAGCTTGTATTTTTGTAAATGCTTTTAAAAGAGTAAAAATAGTAAAGAAGAAGAATTGCTTTCCTTTCCTTTCGTTTGAACAATAATGAATGCTCCTTCGTGATTTTGTTCTATAGGAACAAAGAAAATTCTTACATTGATCATTCAAAAGGTAATTCTAACCAAATGAGGAAACGACATGAATTTTTTTTTATGCACCATTATCTTTATAACATAGTTGGCTTCCTTTTAACTGCTTTTGAATCATTTATTTCGAAAAGTAATAAAATGCTAAACATAATGTGAATTATGAATGTGATTATAAAGCAAGGTAAATATTTATATAAAATATACAAAAGCATATATATGATTACAAAACGTGTCTGTGTGTACTTTGACGCATTAGCATATGTAAACATTGTATTAACGCGTAAGGTGGATATGATACCAAGAAAAGTCAAGTCGTGTCGTGGAACCTACAAATAGCACACTAACTACCGGGAATTACACGGCTGAATTGAACGCTTTATTCGGTTGGATTTGTTTTAGTGCAAGAGTAAGAAAAATAAAAAGAGATCTAGATTGAGAACAAATCTCTGGTTGTACTTTAGTTTGGCTTAATCTGAAGTTTCGACGTGTATATCATGGCTTTCGATCCATATAATAAAGGAGGTTTTGGCGGAACCTTTTCTCCAGGAATGGGAGGAGGTGGATTCAATAACTTTGATCAATCCAGTCAACCCAGTGTTGATAGAGTATGTTTTAGATGTTTCGTCTTCTCAACCCAGTCGGTTATTACCGTCTTCTATTCTTTCAAGTAACTAACGAAAATAGCAACAAGGTATAGGAAATAAATTGCGCCCCGTTACTATCAAGCAAATATTGGATGCTACTCAAGTCCATGCTGATGCAGAGTTCAAGATAGACGGAGTCGAGGTAGGCCAAGTAACCTTTGTAGGCGTCTTGAGAAACATTCACCAGCAAACGACAAACACAACTTACCAAATTGAGGATGGCACAGGCATGATTGAAGTTCGACATTGGGAGCACATCGATGCTCTATCAGAACTGGCTACCGACACCTATGTTCGTGTATACGGAAACATTAAAGTATTTTCTGGGAAAATATACATTGCATCCCAATACATTCGGAATATTAAGGATCATAACGAAATTCATTATCACTTTTTAGAAGTCATCAGCGTTCACATACATTTTACTCAAAAACCCCAGTTGGCTGGCACTTCTGCTTTTGGAAGTTCCGCTCCTAATGCTCCTTCTGCTCCCGTTGCTAACTCTCTCGAGCAGAAGCTCGCAGAATACTCATTAACCCCTACACAAATGATTGTCATGCAAGCTATCCATAATGCTCCTGATACCAACGAAGGTGTGCATGCTCGACAACTTGCCCAGAGCGTTGGTCCAGGCATTGATTTAACCGCAGTCACCGATTTTCTACAACAAGAAGGCATTATTTACACGACAATCGATGAAAACCACGTATGTTTTTTTTTCTTTTTCTCTGTTCCATCACTTGCTAACATAACACAGTTCAAGAGCGTCCTGCAAGATCAGTGAGCATTCCCTTTTATTTACTTATAATCTATCATAGATTCGTTCCTTTTGGTTTTGTGTTACCTCGTCATGTTCTATCTAATTAATTCTTGCAACCTTGTACATACCTCTACTAGGGATCCCAGATGGATTTTCTATTTCTAAAACTTAAGTAATAAAAAATTTATACATAGTATGACATCCTCAAAAGGCTTTATTGAGTATATCGATTCAAAGTCATTAACTGTAAAACTCGTTACTATCAAAAAGTCGAAATCGTAAAAAAAATTGTGCAAAGAAAAAACCTCTTGTTTTTTAATATAGCCTTGACATTATGGCCAAAAAAGGTTATTTCTCAACCCTGACGAAACTTAGAATACACCAAATTTCTTCTTCTTCTTTTTATCATTTGATTCCGTCAAAACTTTGTCATTGCCTTTATCTTTCTTTGATGTTGATATAAGCTTTCCAAGTTTGCTTGTCTTTCCCTTCTTTTTCTCAGTTTCTTTGCTAGGCAAATCATTTGCTGGAGACGTGCTTTCAAATGGAGACGATGGTACATCTATAGTCGGTTCCTGTCGTTGTGCGATTTTATTCGGTTGAGCTTGTAAACATGGAATAGGCTCGATATTATCCTCTGGGAATTTCAATTCTTCCCTGTTTTTTCGGAATTTAGAAAAAAAATCCAACCATTCGTTTGGTGAATTACAAGCCGTACTTCCAATAATGATATTTTTATTGAGACCTTCCGCAATTTCATAGCATGATCGAAGTTCGCTATAGGTTGTACCACCTGCCATAAAAACCAAAAATTTCTCCTTGGGTACACGTGTAGCCATGGATCGTGAACGAGTCCATGATGGTCTTGAGCTTCGCAAAGATGTTTGCTCAACCTCCACCTCGGTTTCTGGATTGAGGTCACGAACAAAAGGAAACAATTCTTTGTCCAAATTATCTTGTACAAGAGATTCCATTACCGCTTTTAAATTAGGGACAAATCTTGAAAGTTCGTAAGTTTCCTCGCCAGCAGGAAGTGAATTCGCAACCTCCTTTCGTTTTACACTAGAATCAGATAATCGTTTTACATTTCGTACTCCTAGCTGTTCCATGTTTTGCAGAATCTCTTGACGATGGCTGGGCAACTTACTGTGTCGAAATAGTCTCATCATATCTTGAAGGATAACGCCGTCTCTATAAGCTATATAAAGGATAAGAAGACGTATCTTATCTGCTTCATGCGTTTTATCATCATCCAGTAAAGGAAGCAAATCATAAAGCACATTTCGAGGTGTTTTTCCTTCAGGGCTAGCACCAGTAGCTAGATCCTGCTCAACCGCACCAATGGAAAGTAGATTATCCTTTTCAAATAGATTCATACACTCTTGAGCCATAGCCAAATGTAGAGAATATTCGTCGCGAAGTTCTTGAAAATCAGAAAGACCAGCAAGCATACCCCGCATGTCATTGAGGGAGGTGGCCTGCCCTTTGTCGAGAAAGATAGTATTCTCTTCACAGAACTTATTAAAATCACCCATCAATCTTTCAATGGCATCACGCATATGCATGTGTCGTATTTTAACATATACAGAATCATCATCAGATAACTTGCCAATCCTGGTTTCTAAACCATGCGGACCCATTATACTAAAAGGATAAGATTCATCTTTAATTTTCAGTAAATCGTGAATCATTGCCTGGTAACTGAATTCGTGTACAAAAGGACTAACGGTATCTAAGGAACGGTCAACTATCAAGCAAGTGGATTTCTGAGAAGATTCTTGAAAGCCAGGATGAGTTTTGCAATATTCGTCAACTATGTCACGAAGCTGTGACGCTAAGATAAAAGACATTGTCTTTGATGTATGCCTAGCTGACTTAGGATAATAACACCGAATATTGGGCGCCATTCCAAAACTCACACAAACCGAGAGAATGCCATGCGCGATATTCGATAATTCTTGCCGAATAACAGGGGCAGAAGAGGGGTGATACAGGCGTAATCCAGAATATTCATCATGCACTTGGAAATACCTAGATTCAAGAGAAGAAAAATCTAAATACCCAATCTGTACCGAGCGAAGTTTTGGAGTAATATTGGAGTTTTTCAAACGATCTACAATATTAGGAGTAATCCGGTCTGTAAACATGATATGAATACCAGGATAAGTGTTTGGATATTCCTGGTCTTTATATATACAATCGACTAGTTTATCTTGACAGTGAAGAATGTACAAAACCTCAAACGACGAATTTGGTGTCCTTGCATTTTCTAAAATCTCCACTGCCGCGATCTTTTCTTCCAAAAGTCTATGTACGGAAGTAAACCGATTAATTATATCTGCAGTTTTTCTGTCAACCACTAAGACTTTCCACTAAGTAAAGTTAGCAAAGCCTTTACGATTGGACTAAAGAAATCGTAGCAGAATTATTCAGCTAAACTCAACCGATATCTATCAACAGTATCATTATCACAGTGTATGTGTCCTTAAACTTTGCTCATCGCCTGTCATAGAACCCTCTACATCTAAGGTAGAAGTACTACAATCAAAGCCTGCAGTTAAAGTGTCGTATCGCTCCTCCCGAATAAAAATTGCTTACCTTTGTTGCACATTCTATAGCATTTATTTTTTTAAAAAAGACTAAACAAACGGCGTTAGTACCTCTCGGAACGGTTGAGTCACATACTTTCTCTTTGTGTGTCTAACAAAACCATTTGTCGCGATTCACCCGGTATATTAAATTCAAGATTTATTTGACTATTAAAATTCAGAAAAAGTCATTAGAATACTGCAAAATTCACAAAAAATAGAACCGGTTTAACATGTGTAAGGTAAATCTAATGTAGGTAATGGTATTTACATCATCGCGGAAGCTCCGAGGCTTTACCGAACCCCAAGTGCATGTAAACGATATCGTATATGAAAGTGAGCTTAAAACAGCATGTATAAACGAGTATGAAAGTTATTAATTCGACTTTTATACTATAAATATGCACTCAGTTGTATGAATTATATACGAAGTGATCAAAAAGATATTAGAGGAGAAGGTCATTCACGCTCTGACTTATATTAAGAAGGGCGCTCATATGTCAAAGGCCACATACTCAATAAAAAACAAGATACCGTACATTATCTAGCAATGATAACCATTAACCACTTTTAATAACAAAACTATACAATTAAATTTAAACCAATTTACTCCAAGATTTTAATGACTTTACCAACAGCAACAGTAGCACCTTGGTCACGCAAGGTAAAACGACCCATGTATTGGTAGTCTTCGAATCGTTCCATACAAACAGGGGTTTGAGTCTCCAATTCAGCAAGGATCTTCATACCCTTCGTAGCAAACATAGGAGGCTTCTTACTCTTACGATTTGTTTTGTCCAACTTATGGAGAAGTTTGGCAAATGAAACTTCTTCAACAGCAGTATGAAGATGCATAACACAAGTATAACCTGTAGTCAAAATAGAAGGTAACTCCAAAATAGCAATCTGAGCAATAAAACGAGTGGTAGCATGAACGGGATTTTTAATAGATGTCAATACATAACCACTTTGAACATCGGAATCGTCACCACGCACCTTGAGGCGAACTTGATCACCACAGATAGAAGAAGAAATTTCTTCATCTGCTTCATCATAGATACCAGTGACTTCAAGTGTCTGATTAATGGGCATAACAAGGATATTTTGGTTCTTCTTAATTGTACCAGCCTCAATCTTTCCTTCAAAAATTGTACCCAAATCCTTATATTTGGAGGCAATAGGCATGATAAATGGAGCGTTCACCTTACGTTCTAAGCGGGACATGGTATCCAAATATTCGAGCAGGGAAGGTCCTTTATACCAAGAGCAGATAGAAGAGTCAATACGATCCTTCAAGTTTTGACCTGTATAAGCGGAAACAGGCATGTACTTAACATCAGTCTTGGAGTTATAACCGGCAACACGACGCAAGAAAACACTCAACTTGTCAACACATTCCTTGTAACGCTCCTCTGACCACTGTACACTGGGCTCATCCATCTTGTTAATAACTACAACAAGATGATTGATACCTTGAGTACGAGCCAACACAGCGTGTTCACGAGTTTGACCACCACGTTCAAAACCAGCCTCAAACTCACCACGACGAGCAGAAATAACTAAAACACCAATATCGGCTTGAGAAGCACCGTTAATCATATTGGTCACATAACCTTTATGGCCAGGAGCATCTAAAAGACTGAAACGACGATGTTCAGTTTCAAAATAGGCACGTCCAACTTCAACGGTTTTTCCCTTCTCACGCTCTTCTGAAGTGCTATCCAAAGCCCAAGACAAAGCCCAGGATTCTTTACCAGCTTCCTTGGCATCCTTCTCAATCTTTTCCATGGTACGCTTATCAACCATACCAGTAAGAACTAAGAGATTACCACCAAGAGTGGATTTACCAGCATCAACGTGACCGATGAAAACGATGTTAACGTGTTCCTTTCCATACATTTCTTGTAACACTTCTCTATCAACGGGAGCTTCGACTTCGGTAGAAGACTCAGTAGTAGCAGGAGCCTGTTTCTTCTCGGAGGCTTGTTTAGCAGGAGCGGGGGAAGAGGTCTCAGCAGGCTTCTTTGTTTCGACCTTCTGGGGTGCAGAAGCATCCTCAGTAGGCTTCTGGGGAGTCTCTTCCTTGGTAGCAGAAGCTGCAGGAGCCGGGGCTTGTGCAGCAGGTTTAGCACCACCTAAACTGATGGACACAGGCTTACCAGGCTTCTGAGTACCAGAAGAGCCACCAAGAGACAAAATCTTACCTTTGGGTAAGGCAGGTTTAGGAGGAACGAATGATTTCTTCTTAGAGAAATCGGCAACTCTGTTCTTATCCTCAGATTGCTCTTGAGCAGCTGGAGAAGCAGGTTTCTGATAATATTGCTGGTAACTCATGTTGGAGATTGGAGTTCCCGCATTTTGACCATATGGAAATCCAGCAGCCACATTGGATTGCTGTTGAGGGACAAAGCTAGGGCCTGTATAAGAGTTAGAATATATGACACAAAGAGATATTTAATTCATGCTATTTGATAACACAAATGAATATGAATAGCCATTGACTTACGCTGAAAAGAAGGCACAAAGGCAGGAGCTGTAGGAGTGAAAGAGGGAGCCTTTGCCGAAGACATCGATAATTTCGATGCTTGTTTGGCAAGCTGTTCATCCTGTCCACCGTTCGTAGGCTGATTGCTAGCCATTTTTACCTATATGTAAGGAAGAAGTGTGGTAAAGGAATGCTTTGTTGGTGGTGGAAATTTGTTAGTAGTAGGTAACAAGAAGTAGCGATGCAAGAATAAAATGCCGTGTATATAATTTGTTCTATTGAAAAAATAACATAAATTTCATTTTTTTTCATTTTTTAGTACTTAGTTCATAAATAATCGAATGTACACACTTATTCGAGTGGCAAATCGATACAGGTACTATTGGAGAGTAAAATTCGTTCTTTCTTTCAGGTTTTAATATATTTTTAAAAGGAAGTACAAAAAATAAATACAATTTTATTGTTAATCTTACTGTAATCGAAGGACCAGCAAACAATATTGGTGTCATTTAGCATGACCAAACCAAACTACACTTTATGAAACGCTTTAAAAGTCGTTGTTGAATATGTTTCTCTTTTATAAATATATTATAGCATCCCTTTCAATTCTTCAGTAAAGGCCATTTTACCGGGACCTTTTAAGAGAACTGAAACGGTACAAGTGTTAAAATAAACAACGAAAGATTGATTTAATCGCAAATTTCTTTAAAATTTAATCTTTCTTTTCCTTCTTTTGATTAAAATGATTGCCAAAGATTTATAATTTTAAAAGCCTTCATAGTCAGAAGACACACCATTTTTTCAAGTACAAATATGTCAAGTCACATGAACTGCTTCTTCAACTAAAAAAAAAAAGCTTTTAAAGATACCTTATAAATTTCTAATTCTTACTAATATAGTCTAACTATTTGAAACCAAAGAAATTATAATGGATGAGTTGTTTCATGTCGCGTCACACGCAGCTACGTTTGCAACTAGCTTTGCCATAAAGCACAGTATATCTTTTGCTGGGAAATTTGCCGTTCAGCAAGTAAGCAGTTACATAAAATGCGTACCTGATGCTGATCGAGATGAATTGGAGACCATGAAAGCAAAGTTGCTTGAGATGATTCGTGTGGTCACACCGGCCATAGAGTTGATTGATATTATGTCTTCCAATGGAAACCAAAGTTTACAAAGCACACGCCAACTTGTTGATGCATTACGCTCTGATATCGAAAAGTTTAGCGTGCATATTGTGGGTGTCGCAAACGCTGACACAGAAAAAGAGATATCAAATCCAAAGCGTGCTGAAGAAACGAAGGGAAAGGTTTTAGAAGAAATGAGGAATTTGCTTTTAAGGATTCAGGATGCGATTCCTCTGCTCAATTTGTCTATCACCACTTCAGGGCTTTCAATCTCATCTAGCTTACCCAAGTCTACCAATTTCTCGCAACTTTTTAAAGCAAATTCTCACATTTTACATGCAAATCTTTCTTTTTCAGGCGATAAGCCCTTACAAGTTGGTCCCGCATTTCGACTTCGCACTTACAAAATATTCGAAAGTCATGCTCAATCCAAGTTTTTAAATCACGATTCGATCATTTGGCAAGAGGATTGCTCTGTATGTATTGGTAAAGTTTTTCGAATCCCACCTCAACAATCTCACAACAAAGATTCTCTTCTCTCGTATAAACTTACCCTAGTGCAGTCATTTGACGATGATCGTTATCACGAAGAAAATGAAGTTCCATTATCAAAAGATATATTTCTAAATAATGTTCAAACCCTATTTTTCAGCGTTTCGGGTAAACTTCTTCGACTTGACGATGTTATGACACCTGTTATTCTTCTCAAATACAAGGATAGTCCTTTCGAGTCGTCAGAAGCACAGGAAAAGTATGAATGGATAGCCTTGGAGTTGTTAACAGAAGACGGGGATGAAAGCGAAAGTGAAGAAGATGAGGAATCTGACAATTCGACTGTCGAATTTAGCGATGAACAAATGGTAGAAATGCAATTATTAGGACTTACCAAAAAAGAGCTAATAAAGAGAACAAAGAAAATGAAAGCTTATCAAAAGGAAGATACGAGTCTTGTTTTACTTGAGTATCTTCTTCGTCTTTGTGCTTTGGAAGCGAACGCTCAAGAGTCTGTACTTCAACTACCCGACGAACAAATTTCTTTGTATTTGCGAGATGAGCAAGGACGTGAGCGACCTCGTGATCCAGGGTCGTATCATGCTTTAGAAAACAACGTTGATACTCCTGTTTCACCAACTTCTGCAACATCGTCAAGGCGTTCTGGTGTACGTGCTAGTTCGACGTTTCTTTCCCCTTGGGTAAAAGCGGACGGTTCTTCTCCTTTGAAAAACGTTCCAAGAAATAAATTAACAGACGAACGAGAAGCAACCTCTGGCTACGCTAGTCCGTTGATGAATCGAAGAACCAAGGATTCTTCGAAGAGGGACAGCATGATAGGTACATATTCCCCGATGTTTATACGGTCTAGAAAAGACCTATTTCAAGAAAAAGATCAGATGTTATCTACCAGGAAAGAATTGTTTGTTTCCGAAAAAAAACTACAAGATACTGCAACCGATACGAATAACAGTTCAGGCGTTCAAAATGAAGTACTAGCTGATGCTAAAAAAAGTCAACAATCTAAACCTTAAAATAATGATAAATTCATAATTTATGGTCTGTTATAAGCTGTTTAGAAAGGATTCTGTTCTGATATAGAGTGAAACCTTTCGTCTGTCGAATCTAATTTACAAGTCAATCCTATTTGCAGTGAAATAATTCTTGTTCACGGGATTTCAAACTCTTTTCGAGTAACGGTTTGATGGTTTTCTATTTCCAATGTCGATGCTCATGAAATAAATTATATTTTTTTCCTTTTCAAATCAGTTCACTAGTTTTTAACCCCATAAAAGATAAAATATGTGGAAATTTACATTTATGAATGACGATATAATGCATATTCTGAATTAATGAGTGGTGTTTCGACACTAAAGTCATGAGCGATTTTATATAATGAATGATAGTAGTCAAAACAGCTCGAATTCAATACCTTCCTAACGAGTTGGATAACTAGAAAAAGGAAATGGAGGAAAACTTTAGTCTACTACTTATTTCTTTTGCTAAGCTCTCAATAAATCTGAATTGTAACTTGGCGGGCAACAATATCATAATTAAAAACATACTACGAATTTCGTTTTAGATATTTTCTTTTCATAGAATCTGTTTAAATTTAATATAACATATGACAATTACATTAAATGTAAACAATCGATAAATTATGTACCATATCCGTTCATTTGCGACAAGGAACAATACAACGTACATTGTTCCATAAGTAACGATATGTACCAGATTTGTTTACACTTGTGTAAGCCGCTATTGTTGAATGACGGTAAATGCTTTTACTGAGAGAGTTAATATTCGTTATATGTGAATACTACACCAAAGTACTATTAAAAATACAAGACAAAGTAACGATCACGCAAGATTTTGATTTATCAGGTGATCGAAATCGATAAATTCTTTCCTACTTTGTGTGTTTTTACTCTTTCCAACATAGAGAAAATCGCGGCGTTGTGAATTTCTTCATTAGGACTTTTTGGTGTTCAACTTTTGATTATTTTGGAGGAAGCCATACGCACCCGCTGAAAAAATTGATTTAAAATCCCCATTTTCCTAATACCAGAAAGAAAGGTTACGACCGATCATTTCATAAATTTCATTTAAATATCTTTGGATATCATCTGATACATTTTCAACTATGTCTAACACACCAGAAAGCGTGGTGAAGTACGATTCTTCTCACCAAGTGATTGAGGATATTGTGTATTCCCTTTCCAACCATATCTTCTCGTATGCTGAGCACGTTCCTTTAAACCACTACTTAACTCAGTGGAATAAGAGCGGTCGTCAAAACGGGTTCTCTAACGATGTGGAGTTGTATAATTTGGAGGCTCGTTCTGGTGCCCCCGGATTATTATTGGGATCTTATACAGCTGCCATTTCCTCACCTGGCGTGTATTCCATGATTACTCCCTCTAGTTCACTCTCTTTAATGAATCCTTTGATCTCAAACATTGGACTTTTCTATGGCGCTAGCAAGCCTCTTGTTTTGCACGTTGCTGCCTTGGACTATGTTGACCAAGCATATCGTACTGATAATACTAGTGTACTCGATTTTGCTTATTTGAACAACTTTACTGTGTTCACTTCTCAGTCGAATGTGGAAGCCGCTCATATGGCTCTTGCTAGCACTATCGCAGCCAAGACGAGCCCCACTGTCCATGTTTATGAACCTGATGCAATTGTTACAGCCCTGGCCCCTGGTCTTCCTAATCTCGATGTTGGGGCTGTTGTTGACTGCTTCAACTCGTTTTCCACCAACGAAGATCCTGTTCAAAATGCAGCAAATGCTTTGACTCATATCAATGACCATTTCTCGACCAATTACAAGTCAATCGAGTATGAGGGTTCTTCATCTGCTTCCAAGGTCTTTGTTACTTTCGGAAAGACAGAAACTGCTGCTGTTCGTAACTTATTTGCTGCTAATCAAGACTTGGGATTGCTTTCCATACGTGCCTTTCCCTTTTCCGTCGAAGATTTGCATCGCAGTCTTCCTTCGACTTGTACAAAGATTGTCATCCTTTCTCAAGTCCGCTCAACAGCTGTCAGTTCCCCTTCTTTTTACTATTCTTCTATTTTGGCAAGTTTGCTAGACACTGAAACTCTTCGTTTTTCTGTCCAAGAGCACCGTTATGCCGTTAAGGAATCCTTGACTACTGAGTCTCTTTACAATGCTCTTTCTGATTCCTTGGGTCTCAACTACGCTCCCTCCAAGGCTCCCAAGGTAGAGAAGACAATTAGTTTCTGGGAACTGGACTCTAATGAATATAACGTTCCTAACTTGGTGTCTACTCACAGAACCGATAAATCCAGGTCTGTTGCTTTTCGTACCTTATACGACAATTTGGTGCTTGCAGGTGTTCGTTTTTCCACCGTCCAACTTTCGACTCAAAACGCTTTGCTCACTGACGTCGTTCAAGGTTTGAACGCAGATATTTCTGTGGTGGTGAATGATAAAATACCCTCTTATTATAGAGTTTTAGCCAATGCTGCTGAGCACTCTGTTTGTTTGCTTCAGACCACAGTCTCTCATGAGGAGACAGTTTCTAAACTTCCTTATGAGTTTTTGACTGATATAATAAATAAGCATGTCAAGTTGGTTCTTGTTAATCCCAAGAAATTTGTTATCAATGGTTCTAATTTACCAATCTTGAGTGCCTATGTCCAACTTTTCAAACCCGGATTGAGTTCTGAGGAAGCATTTAGTGTTCTTTGCAAGGAGAAGGGATTTAACGAAACTGTTCGCAATAGCGCCCTTGATTCTTTGAAAGAGGCTTTGACTTTTGTGAATGTTGAGAAAGCAGCATTGGAAGCACGCGAACCTAGCGACAAGCAATTGCCCACTCAACCTGTTGAAACGTCCTTCGGTCCTAACCCTATTAAATCTCTCGAAGAGGAAGTCGCACCACGAGCCACTAGTTGGGAGACTCTTGCTCAGCAAATGATGTTTTCTGAAGCTTATAATAAACATGATGCTTTGCGTCCTGATGTTTCGGAACGCGTATACACTGTTCGTGTGAAGTCTAATAAGCGTCTTACGCCTTCTACATACAACCGTAACATTTTCCATATCGAGTTTGATCTCGGAAACTCTGGATTGACTTACGATATCGGTGAAGCTCTTGGTGTGTACGGTGTGAATAACAAAGCACATGTTGTCGATTTTATTAATGAGTATGGCTTAAATGCCAATGAACTCATTCAAGTACCTTCTATTTTCTACAAGGATCACTGGGAAACCCGCACAGTATATCAAGCCTTGTCTCAAAATCTAGACATATTTGGTAAACCAACAAAGAAGTTTTACGAGCAATTAGCTCAGTATGAAACCGATGAAAAAGAACGTGCAGATCTTGATACTTTGGTCAGTCCTGTCGGTGCTCCCGACTTTAAGCGTCGCGCTGAAGTTGACATGCTTACTTATGCCGATGTATTGAAGGAATTCAGACAGGCAAAATTGAACGCATCTGATTTGGCCGTTATCGTTCCTCCTATCAAACGTCGTGAATATTCAATTTCTTCTTCCCAAAGAAAGCATCAGGATAGCGTCCATTTGCTTATTGTCGTAGTTGACTGGAAGGATGGTATGGGACGTGACCGCTACGGTCAATGTTCTCATTACTTGTCAGGATTGCAAGTTGGCGATCCTGTCACTGTTGCCGTTAAATCGTCAGTCATGAAGTTGCCCAAATCTCCCGAAAAGCCCATCGTAATGGCTGGACTTGGTACGGGATTGGCGCCCTTCAGAGCATTTTTACAGTTCAAGGAGTGGCAGCGACTTCAAGGCATTCCTTCTGGAGACGTTGTGCTTTATTTGGGTTCACGTACCCAGCGTGAAGAGTACTTGTATGGTGAAGATTGGGAAGCGTACCATGCTGCCAATTTATTAACTTATGTTGGACAAGCTTTTAGTCGTGATCAACCATACAAGATTTATATCCAAGATGTTATGCGATCTTCGAAAGAATTATTAAAGAAGACTTTGGTGGATGAAGGAGGTTCTTTCTATTTGTGTGGTCCCACATGGCCATTACCCGAAATCACCAGTGTGCTTGAAGAGGTGATTCAAAGTTCTTATTCCGAAGCTGTTGATGCTCGTAAGATCATTGAGCAGTGGAAGGAAGAACGACGCTTCGTAATTGAAGTGTATTAAAAAGAAAATAACATTACAGTGTAATTATAAAATAGGAATCCCACTTTTCTTCTCTCATCATTTATTGTTATGTTTTCTTAAAAAATGCAGACATTATCAAAAAGGTTTATTAAAATGGTCAGTAATCATTTTCGCGTCAAAAGAATCTATGAATGAATAAATAAAGAATTGAAACGAAATCTATGAAAATAGTTTTTTCAAACTCACGATATGTTTATGTGTCAAAAAGGATGAAGGTTTATTAAAACTACAAATTTTTTTACAACTGACTCCCTCATCTAAGCTAAATAACACAAGTCAAATGTGCATGTGTCGATTAGCGGAAGAAAGGAAAACCGCTCTAAAATTGATATTACGGCCTCAAACAATTTTAAAGGTGATAAAATTTCAAATTTAAGTCACTCACTACCTTTGCGTTTTCGTTTTTATAAAAATTAAAAACTAAAGTGAACGAAAAGAAATCGCTTACTACTTTAAATGGCTTAAATTACCATATGCGCTCATGTGTAAATTGCTTACATTATACAAACTGCATATTAGCTTATCTGATCATCTAGCGATTTTTTTTTTTATTTCGCTCTACCTTACCCTAGCAGATTTTAAAAGTTTGAAACAAATTTGAGAATAAGCTTAATTTTTGAGCACCATTCAGACGAATTTTTTTTTTTTTTTTTCTCTTTTCTTTCCCTTTCTTTCTCACTTATTTACTTCATTTTTTTTTTCAATTGAGCTCCGAGCTCCGTTACTTCGACCGCTGTTTCCTCGCCTCGGACTTGAGTGGATCCGTTGTTTATAGCTTCCCGAGAAAAGCGATGCGCTAAGGGAAGAGAATAAAAGGGACAGAAAGCTCCCCTGGTAATTTCACCTTGAAATTTTTTTTTTATTTATAGAAACCTTTCTTTGTCGGAAAGTACTTTATCTGCCTTTTAAAAAGCATTGGAAAAGCTTTTCGATTCATTTTTGCTTCACTTTTGTGTTATCATTGATTTTGTTTATATCATACCATACTTATTTCTCGTCTGACAAACGAAATTGATGATACTTTTGTGAACAAGTATTCATTTGTTTGAGATATATTAGAATCCTTGGCAATCCCATTTCAGTTTTTATTTAAGAATTCTTTACGATTGTGCTGCTGACTGAAATTGACTGGGAATTATTTAACAAGCGATTACTAGTTGATTTTCTTTCCCCCCCCCCCCAAAAAAAAAAGTTTTATTTATTTATTCTATTTGTTGAAACGCCCATCATTTTATATACGGTCATTCCATTACAACACGAGGTCAGGTAAAAGTTGATTGTCGCAGGTGGCTTTCTTATAATATCCTTCTTTCTTTCTTTTTTCTCTCTTATTATATATCGTTCTAAAATGGAAGTTCCTTCTCCCAAACATACTTCTCAGGTGATCATCAGTGACTTGAAGGAAAAGCCGCCAGCTTTACCTACCTTTTGGATTGCCTTTCCAGCAACTCAGCCGATAGGTATTATAAGGCCTCGCATCAATCGCCGTATTACTCAAGTCAAACAACGAGCCGAAACAGAAGAGGCAATATTTAATCTATATCAACGATGGAATCCTTTCACGTTTTCGTATCGTCTCATCCTTACAGATGCCAGTAGGGATGACAAGAGAATCTTAGCATGGTTTTTTTCAAGAAGATTTGGATCGCCAAAGATATTAATGAAACATATATGCCATAATGGCGGTTATCTTAACTGGGCAATAAAAAAAACCGAAAAAAGTATAATTTTTGATAACATGACTTCCAATCCACAAGAAGCTAAACGCATCGTTTGGAAATTACAAAATCAAAAACCAAAGCATGAAAATTCTTGGAAAGCAGATTTGGTGTTGCCGTCGCGTAAACAAAGGATACCTGTTGGTTCTTTAGACGGGTTTGAGATCAAATTTCATGCACAACTTTTTGAATATACAACTCGTTTATTGAAATTCCGTTATCTTGAAATTGCCATTTTTAGCATGGCCCTCTATGTGAAAATATGGGATTTAAACCTCCTCCATGCTTGCCTTTTACCCTGAGTCTTTATTACTTTTATTAACAACGCTCTTTCTATACTTTTCATGATATCCGCAATAATGTAGGGATTTTAACTTTTAATGTATACAGGTATTCCCTTTTGTTATATATCTAATCCCTCGTTTGACGTACCCGCTTTTCTTTTTTACCTTTGTTTTCTTAATTTCCGATGCTTTTTGTTTTATTTTGTTTGTTTTAGAGTAACGTCTTTTGTGGTTTGAATTAAATCTTTTTACCATTGGAAACAGCTTCTTCATAGAACTATTATGAAACTATTCTTGTTGAGTTTTACTCTATTGAATCTCTTGTTTTGATTTAATTCTTTTAAATTCTCTCTGTTTACTCGTTTTCATCTGATATGCACCAAATAGGTTTGATCATGTTCGGTATCGCCCTTACCAAACTATATTTCAGTTTCTCTTACAGACGGGTATCTTCGTGTCAATTGTTTACAACAAGAACCTCTACTAACGGAAAACAACTAAAAATTACTTCAAAACAAATTCATATAGTCGATTTTTGCCTCTGGTATAAGCCAGATAATATTATGAATGAATACGAATAGTCTAAGTAATCGTCATAAGAGTCCCGTAAAACTATTTGAAGTCCGGTAAGTAGAACTCCCAATATTAGTAAAGGAAACGTCCTAAATGAAACTGTGATTTCTGATAAGTTTACTTTTGTCTTTTTGGTACTAAATACATGGAGTGCAGGATTCAATTGACTTGTCGCGGATAAGTCGGAAACTTGAATTAACATTTGACAGTAGTTTCTCGTTCTTTACGATATAAGAAATGTTTTTGCTTTGGAAACTAACTTCCATTTAAAAGCATTTACTTTATATGAGTAAAGATGATTAATACTTGCAATGACAAGAGTTGACTTGATGTACACGGCTTTTCCTTGACACTGTCAATTTGATTCATACTCCGTAGGAGTCTTTACTGTTTTCTACCTTTATTTGGATGAATTACTAACTATTTCCTTAGACTATATAATGCAGAAGCGAATGTAATCGTACTGTATGGTGATTCACTTGACTCGGCTGTCAGAATATCAGGTGTCGTAGTTCTTTCTATCTCCCAGCCTATACGCGTCCGAAATATAAAGCTTCGTCTTGCTGGTAGGTCTTTTGTTTGGTATGTCCTGTTTGTGATTTGTACGCTAAGGCAATTTGCTGACAATTTTTCAGCTGGTCCGACGAGTCAAAAAATAACTCCTATGGGGGAAGTAAAATCCGGCGTCAAGTAAACCAGATTTTGGATCGACAATGGTCATTTTTGTTGGGTGATGGAACAAAAACTATTCAAGACGGTAATTACGAATATCCGTTCGATTACCAACTTCCACCAGATATTCCAGAATCCATTGAAAGAGTACCAGGATGCCATATTATATATACTTTGACAGCATGCTTAGAAAGGGCAACTATCCCTTCTACCAACTTGGAGTCTGCATTGCAATTTCGTGTCGTCCGAACCATCCCTCCAAATAGCCTTGATCTCATGCATTCAGTGAGTGTTAGTGATATATGGCCCTCTAAAGTAAATTACGAAACGAGCATTCCCTCAAAGATATATGCAATTGGCTCTGAAATTCCAATTAACTTCAAACTATATCCTCTTTTGAAAGGACTTGATATCGGGAAAGTAACAATTGTTTTGAAAGAATACTGTTCTTTGTTTATAAATTCCAAAACAATGTCTTCGACAGGTCGAAAAGATTTTAAGCGTGTTTTAGCCAAAAAAACTGTACCCGGCCTTGCAATGATTGACGACTGTTGGCAAGATCAGATCAGAATTCCAATCCCCGATTCCTTGGGTGACTGTACTCAAGATTGTGACTTGAACTGTATACGTGTTCATCATAAACTTCGTCTGTCGATCTCTATATTAAATCCGGATGGTCATATATCTGAACTTCGCAATTCCTTACCTTTATCTTTGGTAATTTCGCCGGTCATGTTTGGTGCTAGAAGGTCTGAGGGTCTTTTCACGGGAGATCATGCCTCTTATGTGAATGAGAATGTCTTACCTAGTTATGATCGCCATATTTTTGACGTTCTTTGGGACGCCGTTCCTTCCGAAACCGCGCCTGCACTTAGTGAAGCTACTACGCCCAACACTAGTCGGAGAAATTCTTCGGACCTACCAACTAGCCCTACTCTTAGTATTAACACAAACGCAAAGGCGCTTCCAAACAATCAGGCCGTATATTCTCCTTCTTTAGGGTCTCAACCGAGCTTTTATATCGAAAATTCAACTCAATCTCCCTCGGATAGAACTGAATTCCTTTCACCTATAACTTCCCCGATGGCCCCATTTTCCGGTGCTTGTCGTAGAGCTGCTCGTTCTAGAGCCAATAGTATGTCTTCATCTTTCGGTGGGCCTCAAATACAAAACTTACAGTCTGAGAATCCTCTCTCGGGATCTATGTCTCCCAATAGCACCCTACCTGTGCGTAGTGTGTCTACCTTAAGTTTACAGGAGTTAGGTAAATTACCTCCTTACTATGAAGCACATTCGGCTTTCTCGAATGTACTCCCTCTTGACGGACTTCCTCATTATGAACAGGCTACGAAGCCATTAAGTCCGACCCCGTCCCTGCATGGCAGTCAAGCTTCGACTATTATTGCAACATCTACACCTACACCAGCACCTACTGTCCGTGTTTCACCGATAGAAACTCCTACTAGAAGTCCACCTCGTCCGGTTACAGTTATCAAAAGTAAATCCTCCAGTAATTTGACACGCCGTGGCTTGGATTGACAGTCTTTTCATCATTTATTGTTGTTTATTCTTTCTCTAGCTTATAGACTATGGTTAATTTTTGACGTCTTCGTCATCGAGACTAGAAGCATCTACCACATGTCTTTAAAGGCTTTTTTCCGAGTGCGAGTGTTTTTTTATATTGTCGTTTTAACCAAACTTTGTTGATATTTAAATGCTTTGTATATAGCAACAAATGAACTTAGTACTCGAACTTGGATTATTTGGGATAAATGGTGATTATCCTTGTAAACAATTTCTTTTTTTTTTACAAAAAAAATCAAAAAACACAAAGAATATCTAAGAGAATTGAAAAAGAAAAATCCCTTTGGCATCTATTTATAATCGACTAATGACTGCATTTATAAAATACTTTACAATGATCATTATCCGTTGAATTAAATTAAAATTAAATCTCAAAAATGTTAAATTTCTATCTGTAAATAGCAAACGTGGGCCCGTAATGTAACGAATGTGTAAGTAAGACCAATGTATGGCGGTTTACCTGTATGGTTTATTGGGGACGGTTTTTAGGAACTAATTTCACCTTCCCATTATCATCAATTTGAGAATCATAGCCGACTTCTTCCAATATCTCAGATTTGCTGATACCCATGGGGTTCAAATTGGCAACAAAAGCTTGGTTATCAGGATTGTTTTGTAACAAATAGCGGATACAAAGAACAGAAACTTCACGAAGGTATGGATTGAAATCATCAATGTTACATTGAGACAGTATAACTGACAAACCACCTTCCGTGTTCCGAACAATGTCCTGAGTAGCCGGATATAAGTGTGAAGCAAAGGTAATGAAATGAACGCATTCGCGTTTTACACCCCCTATAGCTTCACAAAGTTCATAGAAACTTTCAGGAGAAATTGGAGACTTTTGAACCAAAGTCTTGCGTGGAATACGACTATGAAGGATGCTAAGTAAAAGCAGTACTTCACTCGTGGCCAATGAAGAATCATGGTAGTACCGCTGAAATACATGAACAATGTCTAATTTTTGACTTGATTCATTTTGTAACATAACAAACCTTTCATAGCGAGTATAAAGAAGGCTAATGACCAACTTAAAACTTTCGGATAAATAAGTGACTAAAGTGAGATCAGGTTCTGAAATATTAAATTTGTCCATAGTCGAAATTTGCTGGTGAAGATGTTTAGCAATTAATCGGGTAATTAGGTAAAGGGTGGGAAACAAGGTTGGATCCTCTGCACCAGACGATTCACGACTCATGGCATCAACAGCAAAATAAATGGAACGATATCCCAAAAGAACAGCTCGCTTAATAAGAATTTCTGCATACCCATTACTCAAGATGTGGCTGATGATTCTATAAAGGATACTTTCTCTCTGCCAGTGTGGATGACGATCTTGATCAACCAGGATATCGAGTAAGTAGAGGCCAGCAGGAGAGGTACACATTTGATTCAATCGATTTTTATTATTTAGTATTAAACACCAAATTGAAATTTCAAATGCGGCCAATTGAGCACTTGTAACCGGGTGGGGAAGTTTAGGAGGAAACCTGGTAAGAAAAGCCCATGCCTCATCTTGTAAGGGCGAGTCATTAGCAACTGAATTGGCAAGAATTTGCCAAGGAAGCGAGCTATGTGGCTGTTGGGAAACAGAAGCTGTAAGTTGCTCTGGAAGGAATTGCTTGAACAAGCCTGCATCACCCGCGGCTTGCTGCATATGTTTTCCAGAAGCAAAACTATTTCTTATTGTTCTTAGATGATTTTCTGGATCTTCATTGCAAATATGAAAAAGATTGGCGTATTCCAATTGTTGATGACTATCCATGAAGACATAAATAGGAAGTTTCTGGAGATCAAAGACGTTAGCTCGCAGATTAATAAATTATGAATTTATCTGTTATAAAAATTCTTCGAAAAACCCAACAATTCAAGTGAAAAGAGTTGTTCTTAGACGACCTGAGCTTCTTCAAATGGACAGGAAAAAAGACGCGTTCGCAACCAGTATCAACTTACCTTTACAACTTACAACTTTTTTTAGCCAAAAATTTGGAAAGTCGCTCAAAAAACGAAGAGAAAAAGTTTAGAAATATATTTTTTGAGGAAACGTAAATGTGGTACCTCGTCGCAAGCGATGATGTTCAAACTTCAGTTTAACGAACCGGTTCTCTATAGTAATATTGAGTCAAAGTGAGTAGACTCGTATTTCGCGGACTATTATACTGTAATATGTTGACATAATTGAAATTACAAAAAGGCTGTCATTTCAATCAATGGTGAAACGAATGAATGTATAAACATTACTCGGAGCAAGAAAAGAAGAGAAGTGGAATGCTACAAGAGATATTGGTAGTAAGGAAAAAGATATTTAGGTCTATGATCATTTGTCGAGAGACTGAAAGAAATATTGCACATTAAAAGAATCATAACAAACAGTAGAGGAGAAGAACGAGCGATAATTTAAAGGGACGAACATTAAACATAAATCAAAAGAGAAGAGTACATAACATCATATGAGACTGAAGAGACTTGCAGATTAGGTATTAAATTTCGGGAGATAAAACAAAAATATAAAGCGCAATGAAGTTGATATGAATGTAATGCAATTTTTCTACTTTTTCACTATAGTGGAAACACTTGCTTCATCATCAGTTTTGGATACACCCTCCAATATAGCATCTGGAGTAATAGATGCTTCCGGAACATACGTTAGTAAAGGACCAGTAAACCATTTGTGAGCGGATATAAACCACCACATGATTATAATAAGCATGGGGAATCCGTAAACGACGCAGGTCCAATTCATACCTTGTGCATTCAAATTTTTTCCTTTGGTTTGTGGGAAACATAAGATGGGAAGCATAAGTAGAACGAAAATACAAGACATATAACCAATGGGCTTTGAGAAGCGGCCCAAATGGAAAGGGCCTCTTTGAAAATCAAGATCAGAGACACAGGTGATCTTGATGAAAATGGGAATTGTAAAGGCAACAAAGGCAGCGATAGCACCGACAGAAAAAATGGCATTGATGGCTACATCACCAGCAAAAATTAAGAGTAAAAGTAGCATACCGGTAATGGTATTCATCCAAGTACACCGGTTAGGAGTCTTTGTGCGGACATCGATATGAGCAAGATATCTGGAAAAAGGGAATACACCGTCTCTGGCATAGGAGTAAGTAACTCTGGAGGCAGCAACCATGCAACCTTGACCCATCATAAAACTACAAACGATCGTGAGGGCAGCCAAAGCGACAGTCGTTTTGTAGTCACAGACCTGTTGAAGATAAACGACATAGGGTTGACCCAAACTGTCGTTCATGACTTTTTTGACATCGACGATAGTATATGCAATGATAAGATTTAAAAGCCATCCGACGATACCGCCGAAAGCAGAGGTCATGATGATAGCTTTTGGAGCGGCAACACTAGCATTGGAGCATTCCTCACTCAAATGGAAAGGAGAATCGTAACCAGACATTGTCCAAATGACACCAGCAAACGACATCAAAAGTCCAAACCCATCGCTCCAATCGGTTTGGTTATCGAAGTTTGCCCAAACATCGTGAGTGCTGTTGAAGGCATGGTTTTTGCCAGCGACGGCTAGGAGAGTAATCATAACTATGCCAAGGAAGACAACATTGACGACTGTGCCACATGTATTAAAGTGAGCGACGACTTTTGTTGGAAGGCAGGATATTAAAGTCATGGCAATCATACCTGCGCATGCTAATAAGAATATTTGGTAGTTTTGGGGACTATAATTAGGATTTTTAATTTGAAGAAGGGAAAGAATCATCCCGGAAAAAGAGTAAGCGACACTAGGAGCAGCTGTGACTTGAACGAAATAATTGGACCAGCCAGTAAGCCAAGCAGCTAAAGGGCCCCAGCGTCCGGGAGCCAACTTTGCGGCCGCGTAATATAAACCACCGGAGGTAGGCATGGAAGAGCAAAGCTCCGCCATGCCGTAAGCTACGCATTGAACGAAGACCATTGCAATAAGCCAGCCCCATACCATGGCAGGAGTGCCAACGTAACCAGTTGTGTAATACATGGTAGAAGCGAAAGAAGGCAGCAAACCAAGAACGGAAAAAGAGACACAAAACGAGCTAAATGAAGAGAATTCACGTTTGAACTCTTGTTTGTAACCCAAGGCAGCCAGTTCTGCGGCATCTGGATCAAGATTTTCCAAATCACTTTTGTCAGAATGAGACATGATGGAAGAGGTAGGATCAAGAGCTTTCTTGTGATTTGTAGGTAAACTCGTAAATATATTTGTCAATCTTAATTTTCACTCCCTGTTCAGTCTTTGTGTGTATATGACAAATCCAAATGGATTCAAAACCCAGAATGGAACAATGCAAAAATACAAATCAAATCAAATCAAATCAAACCAAACCAAAATCCGCCTTGGCTATTTACTTTCCATTAACAGGAAATTGATAAATCAACAAAAAGGTGTGGAAAAGAATACAAAAGAAAAATTAAAAAATAAAAAACAAAAAAGGAAAAAAAAAAAGGAAATTTAAAAATAATAAAAACAACCAAATAGCAAGAGAACAGCGGAAAAAAACAAGTTGGTGTCGATGAATATACTAAAGAATCGGGATTTCAAAAAGCATATCATTTTTCTTTTTTATATTTGTCCTGTCTTTTGTTTGTATTATCAAAAGCGATAAGCATCTTGATATTGCCATCAAAGAAATCATGTTCGGTGAAGTCTTTTACGGCCAAGACAAATAGGCTATAAAGACCATATATCGAGAGCAAATCAAAGAGTCAATATTTGGTACAATTAAAAAAGCCAAGATTGAAGAAAACGTCAACCTATACAGAAACACCAAATAGTGTTGAGAGATCGGCGTTGAGAGATTCGTATCTTATCATATATCGGCCAAGGAAACCTTTTGTCATTAGGCAGTGTTTGGTATATGCAAGATGGTTGACAAAAGTGGTGGAGTTGGGTAATGTAAATAGAAAAGTAGATGGAATTGAATTGAATTGAATGGTGTACATTGAAAATTCAAAAGAAGGCTCTTTGATCAGTTTGTTTTTTGTGTTGAAAAGCAACAATTATTTGAATAGATCTAAATCTAAACACCTCGTTTTGTCATTTGCAAAAAGGACACATCTGATATGAGTTTATGTACGATTTAGATCGAAAAAAAAAAAGAAAGATGAAGCATGCAATTCATAAATAAATAACCTAAAAAGTGAAATGAATGATGAAAATGAAACTTGAGGAAAAAACAATGCAAGAGAATCATTCATTCTCCAAAATAGATAGAATACCTTTTCTCATTCTTTCCATTCTTGCTTATAATCTTTAAAGTAATATAATACACTAAATCAATAACGCATAATCTTCAGACCATGAAATTTATTCATTCCATCTTCTTCTTCTTGCTTCATGTTTGTATTTACTCTTTTAGATCCATCCCAACTTCATACTAAGAATTGGTCTATGCTGTAACAACGATATTATATCGTCTTAAGAATTCAACCATAGACGATACATATCTTTTCTATTGATACTCTTCTCCATTCTTTAACACTCCTTCCTTCCTTCCTGTCTTTGCTTCTTCACTTTATAAATTGCACGGTGTCTATCGCTCTGCTTCTGAAACAGTCAATACGGACATTGCCTTTCAGCTCCCTATTTATTCACGCCATCCCACCTTGTTAAGCTCGTGTGGGGGACCTTCATAGCAAATGGATCCTCTGTGTAGAGAGAGGTATGTTGGATGGAATCTATTTATCGTTTGTATCGCTGGTTTGTATATGATAGAATATGCATTGTTCATTCCATAATTGTTGTTGTTTTTTTTTATTTTATTTTAATATAAACTTGTAAAAACATCCATATGCTAGGACCATCATCTATCGATGGTCCTTTTTCCAGCTTTTATTGTTCAAGTTTAGTTTTCTTGTTTGTTTACATTTGCAAGATTTCAATTTTGTCTGACGTAAAAGTTTTCATGTCATAATTACAGTCTAAAAGACATCTCACGATTGAAGAATGAAATTCAAATGCTACGCTTGCTTTTTCAATTCACTTTTTCCCACATTCCTACCGTAAAAAAACATACCACTATTTTCACTTCATTCGATTCAAAAACAATTCCATCTCACATCAAACCCATTCTCTCTTGACGATTTAATCTATTCTTCTCCTTTTCCTAGGTCGTTACGTTTGTCTCACCTCATACTCTGTTTTTTCTTTCCTCCTTTCGACGGGTACATTTTCTGCGTATTTGTTTACTATCATACATTATAAACCATCTGTTATAATTCAATTAGCCATTTCACTTGCTGGTGATACCAATCCTTTACCACTCTGCAACGCTCTACCTTAAGTTTCTTGTTTGGTTTTCTTGGGACAAAATCACACTTGACCTTTACCAATCTTCACCACTTTATTTTGGCAATTCCACGACCTATTTCCGGGTGTCCTTGATTTGTCGTGTTTTTAACGTTTTAGCGTCTTTTGCTAAATTTAACGGGTTTTAAAAAATGAGAGCCTGGCTTCAATCCAAGTATGTACATGTTGGCTCTTCCTTTTTTTCTTTCTTTTTCCTTGAGCTGTTTTCCCTTGTAATGAAAGATATGAGGAATCAAAATTCTTAGAAACATACGTTTTATTTTCCACGGTTCTTACAACTTCTCCTTGTCCGTTTTCCATTTTTCCAACCCGAGTGTTTTCTTTCGATGCCCTATAAGCGATGTTTCTAATTTTGTATTCTCTTGTGTTTCTTTACCTTTGATATTGGTTTTCCAAACTTGCTAACCCCGTTCTAGTATATCATATCTAACAGGTACTGCTGAACCTGTCTACGGCGCCGAAGCAATTCAGCCCGTCACCGCTACTGTACAAGGTGTCAATCCCTACCATACCTTGACCGAGGATGATAGCCGGTGGTCCACTCCTTCCAATAGTCATGTGGAAACCCAAATCTTTTATATCCGTCCTCGTAACAGCAATCTTATGTGCTTTGTTCAATTGATTCATTCTAACTTGGGGTATAAATTTTTCCTTCATAAGAGTGCGATTATACTAACCTTTGCTTTCCTTTAGTTCTTGGACTACTACGGCCCAATCTACATGTCGGATATTTGACTTGGATAATCCCGAAAATGATTTATGGACTTCCACGAATTTGGACCAATTCAGTTTCGAAAACAACCGTACCTGCTTCAGAGCAGCTAATATTTCCATCGATCTTGAAGGAGACTCTACCTATAGAATTCGTTCATCCGTAAATATGGACTCTATTATCGATATCGTCGTTCATCAAGAAAGTCCTCCTTTCAAGATTGGGGAAACCGGTACTAGTAACTATGGTACTGACCCCACCAAGCCTTGGGCTAGCATGAAGCACGTTTTCTGGCCCCGTATCCGTGTTGAAGGTAACATTGTAGCCAGAGGAAATGTTGTTGATGTCAGCGGTACTGGTTTATTTATTCATGCTTTACAAAACGGAAAGCCTCAGCATTTGGCTTCCTCTTGGGAATTTGCTCTCTTACAAAACCCAAGATACACTGGCGTTATGATGCAGTTCAAAACTCCTCCAAGCTACGGATCTACAATCGTCAACGTTGGCGGTCTCGTAACCAAGGATAAAGTCGTGGCCGTAACTGTTGACAATACGATTGAACATGTCGATGTGAAGACTGATCCTGAAACAGAATGGCCCGAGCCTACTCGTATTGCTTACGACTGGGTGGGTAAGGATGCTGAAACTTATCAAAAACCAGTGCATTTATCAGTTGATGCTACCTTGGGCAGACGTTTACAGCGTATTAATGTTCTTTCCGAAATTCCCACCTGGCTTCGCGGTTTTGTTCATAATGTGTCTGGTACAAAGCCTTTCATTTATCAGTACTTTACCCCAGTTACTTTCAAATTGAATATTGATGGCGAGGAGATTGAAGAAGAAGCTACCCTGTTTAATGAAACCACATTTATTTCCTAAATTTCTGAATGTGATACTTTAAAAAAAATTTAATATGTTTTTTCTTCGTTTACTATTCTGGTGCATTATGGGTCAAATCGAGAAGTCTTGTCCAAAACAACCGTTTACTTTATATTGTTTTTACAAAGTTCCGGATGTTTTTTTTGTTACCATTAAAAGCATTCGGCTTGGTGTGCATACTTCCTTCGCTCGTTTATATTTACGATAGGATCATGTTTCTGCATATTTCATATATTCCAAATTTTCCTTGAAATGACTGTTAGTTTGGATCAAGTAAACTACATGCATATTCTCGACGAGATTTTCGTTGGATAAAAAATAAAACCTTTGGTTTCTGAATTATAATTTAATAAGTCTGCTACGTTGGATTGCTATGTTTGACAACTTTTCTCAGAATTGAAACGAATCAATGTATTAATAGTGTATTGTCTTAAAGTGATTTTGTTTGTCCATTGGTTTCTTCGTTCATAATTTTATTAATTTAGCAAAAAGTATTGAAGATTTCGGCTTGTTGCATGTAATAAGATTGATGCGTATGTCGGATGCAAAAGACGCTAGGATTAACAACTGAACGAATTTGCTCATGCTTTTGTATGTTTATTGAGATTGGTTTATTGGGAACGTGGTAAAGAAGTTGAACAGAAATCTTTACATCAGCATACTTTTTTCTGCTTCTTTTTATTCGATATTATACATGAGTTTACTATTTGCTTCATTTCACATCCAGTGCATCACTAACTCGTCTTTTTACTCAAAGTCGTTCGGAGTCATTATATTCATCATTGATAAATTACTTAAGTTTTGGAAACATATACCTTCTATACTATACTCTGCTGAAACCCTTTAGGCTTCCACATACGAAGTAATCAAAGCAAACAGTATGCCAAATCGGAAAAATACAACTAAAAAATTTGAGCTAACAGAGTATTACTAAGTGTACAAAATATTTATATATCATAGGAAAAATCTCTTGAAATGAATAAAAAGTGACTCAAGCAAAAGCTGGAATTACGCTTTCCTACGACGCTTTTACCGTATCCATTTATGAATGTAAAAATACAATCGTGAGGTAAAAAGATGATATAAAGAGAAACGTCTTATTTATAAAATTTCCTTTGGTATTTTTCACGAAGTTCACCTGCAACTATATGATCATTATTTGGAGAAAAGCGTGCATTTCATTCTTTCCATGTTAAGACTTCGTTTTCAAATCAAGGGACACGACATCCATTCAGTTAATATCAAGAGCTCTTCCTCGAATTTTTTTTAAGTAAAAAAAGGGTGTCAATTCCTCTAAAATTGATGATTTATCATTGCACGATATACATGGCCTTCATCACAGTAAATCCGTAACAATGAAAGAAGTAAACTCTTTTCAACTTTTAAGAGAATATCAGCGAGATATCTTTGATGTTGCGAAGCAGCAAAATACTTTACTAGTCATGGCAACTGGAGCCGGTAAAACATTGCTAGCCGTGAAGTTAATTAAAGAGAAACAAGAAAAGCAATTGCTAGAAGGAAATAAACAACAAAAGCGTTTATCAGTATTTCTTGTTAATACGGTTCCATTGGTCATACAACAAGCTGATTATTTGAAATCACAGCTTCCGTTTCGCATAGGTATGTTATACGGGGAGATTTCTCTAAAAATGTGCGAAGAAATTTTTTACGATGTAAAGATGAATTATGAAGTAATTGTCATTACGGCCGATTTGTTCTATCTTTGCTTGGCGCGAGGCTTCCTCTCAATTCTTGATTTTGACATTCTCGTATTTGATGAATGCCATCATGCTATAAAAAATCATGCATATGCTCGTATTTTGATTGACTTCTACCATGTTGCCAAAGCGACAACGATACTCGAAAAGAGTCTTCCGAGCATATTTGGTATGACAGCTTCACCGTACACCGGGAAAGCACGAAATCCTTTGAAAAGAATTTTTGAGTGGGAGGAATTATTTGATGCCAAAGCTTACGTTGTGTCAAATAATCGTCTTTCTCAGCATATCCCTATGACAAAAGAATTTGTTGTCACTTACAAAAATCTAGAAATCGATGCATCAAAAAACCCAATCATATGCATGTGTGAAACAGTTTTTTCAGGCTGTAAGTATGTGATGAGGGCGTGTAAAGCTGCCCAAAGTGAGATTATGGAATTAGGTGTTTGGTTTGGTGAACAGATTTGGCAGTTTCTAGTTGAAGAACTACTAAGAAAACAATCAAGAAAGAATTTTGATGGAAAGCTATCGATTGAGGACAATACATGCATCAATAGTTTTATATCTCAAGTGGAGGCATGGTCGCAAGAGCAATTAAAACTGTTTTCTGGGTTGAGAGCTCCCAAGCTAGATGGAAATGACACGAGCACTAAAGTATTGACACTCCTGGAATTTCTTGAGAACTTTTATAAAGATAATGATACATACAGAACAATGATTTTCGTTGAACGAAAAGTGACGGCTTATTCTCTTACAAGATTCTTACGAAAATTGAAAAATGATACCGGAAGACTGAAGAATATTCGTCCTTTTCCATTTATTGGACATGGAGATTCGGATATAGCATCATTATCTATGCATTTTCGTGAGCAAAGAAGGAACATTCATAACTTCAAGCGAGGTGTCTACAATATCCTCATTGCTACGTCCATAGCAGAAGAAGGAATAGACATTCCGACATGTAATCTTGTAGTTCGTTTCAATACTTGTCAAACTGTTACACAGTTTGTACAGTCGAAAGGCCGTGCAAGAGCCCATGATTCAAAGTTTATGCTTTTGGCAAACGATGCGGAATTAGCTCAGTATGAAAAGCTTCAAAACGAGGAGCGCATTTTGGCGACCGCACTGGAAAGCCTTGAATCCAATCGGGAGTTTGCTCACACTCGTGGCTGTAATATCAGAACACAGAATGATATTGTTAGCCATGGAATAGATGAAACTGGGGCTTTGCTAGTTGAGTTTTTGGCCATAGGACTTTTATATCAGTATTGTAATACATTGCCCGCTGACAGTATTACTTTTTATTATCCCAGATTCACTTGTATATCGGCAGGTCGATCGTTCATATATACGGTTGATCTTCCAATTATCTGCAACATGCCTACTATACAAGGTTCTCCATCTGCCAATTCAAAGAAAGCGAAGCGTTCAGCTGCTTTCTTGATGTGTATGGAGCTTATAAACCGTGGATTAATTAACAAGCATTTACAGCCTCTTGATTACCGAAACAAATTAGCGCATATGGAAGAAAAAGAAGAAAAAGCTTTAAGAGATATCGAGCATGATGAAGTCTTTGAACGTAAAATCCCTCTTTGCTGGTTGAATAATTTCACACAATTCTTTGCATGTAAGCTGTTTCCTGTATGTAGCGGCAAAACATTCCAACCTTTGCTGTTTATTCAGTCGCAGCGAATACCACAATTTAGTAATATGCGACTTCGCTCTAATTTTCATGAAGTTACTGTTAAATCAGAAGTACTAGATATTCCTTATACCATGGATGATGAACTGAAGTCAGAACTGGAGTACTCTACCAAACGACTTCTGGAACTGGGTTTGGCTTCTTCACTTAAGGCTAATGATTCCAATCGATCATATTGGATAGCCCCTTTAAATACAGAGTGTGTAAATAATCTTACACTGAACGACCTTATTGCCTGGCCAGCGGTTCGTAGTCTTTCTATAGAAGCTCAAGAAGTCAAAGACGTTACTATGCTAAAATCAAATTTATTGTTGATGCGCGATCCGGAAAATATCTTCGAGTTGTACTCGTTTGAATCACTCAGTCAACAGAATCAACAGGAATTTAGCACTGTTTGCAAAAGAATGCCTTCTCAATTAAACTACTCACTAAATAAAAAGCAATCCATGCATTCAAAAAAACCGAGTGCAACTTTACGCTTAAATCGGATATATCTTACCGGGTTGTCAAAGTATTTGAAAGAGTCGTGCTTACTTCTTCCTTCTATACTATATTATATGGAATCCCTTTTTCTAACGTCTGAGTTTATGAGTGAACACGGTTTAAAGTGTTCATTGACTCACATAATGCAATCTTTAACGACTGAAAATGCTTCCATGGATGAAAATTACGATCGTTTGGAATTTTTGGGGGATTCATTTTTGAAAATTTATGCCTCTTTAACTGTTTTTTTAAAATACACCCATGATCAAGAATATCAATTGCACGTTCACCGCAAGCAAATTATCAGCAATTACAATTTGTATATGTGTGCTAAAAAAATCCAAATATCGCGTTTTGCATTATCTGAACCCATGGTAATTCGAAAGTGGTGTCCCTTTGGATATGTGAGAGAAAAGAAGGATGGAAAGAAGTATCCATTGTTTCAGTTGTTATCAAAAAAAAGGTTAGCAGATTTGGTTGAATCCACTATCGGTGCTTGCCTCTTGGATGGAGGCGTTGATTCAGGACTTGAGTATTGTAGGTATTTAGGCCTTGGATCATTAGAAGTGAAGAACTGGTCTGACTGGGATAACTTTTTTAACATTGAATTTTACGTGAGCTTAAATTCGTCTAAAGTTTTCCCGTATCAAAAACTTATAGAAGGTGTTATTCCCTACACTTTTAAAAACCATGCACTTTTACGTTTAGCCTTTATACATCCAACAATGCTATCTTCAGAAGAGCTATCTGGATCATATCAACAACTGGAGTTTCTTGGTGATGCAGTTCTAGAGTATTTGGTTGTTCACTACCTCTTTTATAGATATCCAGAGTTATCCGCCGGCGAATTAACGAATTATAAGTCCTTCTTTGTATGTAATCATAGTCTTGCATACGTAGCTTTCACACTTGGCTTGCATAAGTATCTTGAATATGACAATTCCGAAATGTTTAGGTTAATATATGAGTACAAGGATATGATCGAAGAAGCAAAAATGAACAACGTGCCCTATTTTTGGCTTCAAATTGATCCTCCGAAGTTCATAGCTGACATTTTTGAATCACTTATATGCGCCATCTATTTGGACTCTAACTTTTCGTTTGAAAGCCTTAAATTTATACTACCGTTATTGGTTGACGTGCTCGGCGATCCCTTAAATTTACAAAAGGAAAATCTGGTTTTGGCTAAAATTCATAAACTTCTCAGCTCTCAAGGATGTTCAAACTACAAGGTTATACAGGAGGAAGAACAGGAGGCAAGAGAAGATGAAAATTTCAATTTGAAACGAGAGAGCTATATATTTTACAGCGTTTCATTTGTTCGGCACGATAGAGTTGTATGCGTAGGTACCTCTCGAAAACGAAATAGTGCGAAAATAAGTATGAAAAATAAACTAAAAGGATTACTCGATAAAAACTCAAATTTACTGTTATACTCTTGTGATTGTGCTTTTAAAGCGACGAACTGTGTAAATAGTGAACCTGATGAATCAGAAGAAGGTGATGTTTGTTGAAAGGTCCTTTAGGAAATTTCACCGATGTTCCACTTATTTCTTTTGATTCTTTCCCTTGTAGTTCCGGAGCGCATCTAGTTGAGTTTCAAGAATGCGTACTTTGTCATGGTATTCAGCTAATTCATTGTTTAAGTCATCACGAACAACTGCAAGTTTCTCTTCTCTCTCCTTAAAAGTATTCTCAAGTTCTACAGACTTTTCTTCAACTTTCTTCTGAATGCGTGCTTTTTCCTCATTCAATCGTTCGTAATGTGCTTTCTTAAGCTTTGGTATGCCATTTTTTCTATTTATTAGTTGCTCCTGACGGTAGCGTTCATAAATTACTTTTTCTGTCGATTGTATTAATTCGAGCATGTGATTGTTTATAATTAGGTTCTTCAGTTTTGAGAAGTCGCAATGATCCTCATTTTCGATTTCTGACGTTCCCCAAGGATATTTACGACCGATTTTACCTTCATTCTCGTCATTAACAGCCTCCTTGCTTGCAACAATCGCAAATGGACAAGCTTGAGAAAGATCTTTCGCGATTTCGTCAGCTGAGTAGATGGCAGATGGGAAGAATAAAGTGATGTTTTGAGCTTGTAAGATCTTGTTTATCTTTCCTTTAAGGCTGTCCAATTCCGGTTTGGTTAAGGAATCGGCCTTGGCGATAACCGGAATAACGTTTACGTGCTTCGATAACTTATTCATCGCCACGACATCTAAGGGTAGCATGCCATAAGGAACTGGTTTAATGAAATATAGACAAAGGTGTACTCGGCTATCCTTTCTCTGTAATCTCAATGATTGCTGGTCATGTAGTAAATATTTCTCATGCTGGTCATCAAGGTAATCAGTTATTACATCCCAGCAATCCTTGTTGTTTATAAAATCACCAAAGCCTACGGTATCGAGTACTGTCAGATTAAGTCGGAAGTCATCTTCTTTGATAATAGCTTTCGTCTTCTCTATATGGACTTCCTTTTGCTTGTGTACTTTACTAAAGTTATCGACCGACTTGGGTGACTTAACTAAGCTAGAAAACAAGTTATTGCAGAAAGTGGTTTTGCCGGTTCCCGAGCTACCACAAAGCATGACTGTGAAATAACATTCTTCTTTTTTTATAAATGTTTCCCTAATGTTTATGATAAATTATTATAATGATCTTTTGATTATAGGTTAATCTTACCTGTCTGTTGGTAAACTTGATTGATTGAAAAGCAACTGAGGTTTTTCTACAAGCGGCATTTTATTTCAATAATCGATCAGTGAACGTATTAATAATGATTGTTGTGTCAATTCAGTTTTAGTTGATGATTGCTGGCAATTGCTAAGTTTAGTTCTGTGTAAAGAGAAAATATGAAGCACATATGTAAACAAACAAATAGGGGTCTCATTCTGTGACTCTGGTAAACAAAATGATGTATGTCCCCAGATCAAAGAAAAACAAATACAAAGGAATGACAACGCCAAACATCTAATTTTGAACATGATACTTGGTAATTTAAAAGAAAGTAATGTATCTGATTACAACTTCATGTCTTCATAACCGAAGAACTTTTGTAACTATAAACTATTATAAATCACTCTCTCTTCCAATAGTTATTTGCAATTAATCAAAATAAATCACGATTTATTATGAAATGCTCAATAAAGCCCATTAGTCCACTAGTCATAGCATATTATATACAAATCATTAATAAACTTTAAAAGTTTCATTTTTTTGAAGAGGAGACTGTGTCCAAAAAATTATTAACGCCAAAAGGATCAACGTCCTTTTCAAAAACGACAGGTCCAGAAGCATTCTATACAAGTTAGCAAACAAAATATCACCCGAAAACATGTACTATCACATACCTGTGACGCTTCATCTGCTCCTTTAAACATTTTGGGAACTGACCCTAGCACATCATAGCGATTTTCAGAACTTATCCGTTCTAATTCCGCAGAAGCATCAACATGCCGACCCAAAGTAGCACCTGGTCTATAAAGGGTGGATGCGGGAGCAGCCCTCCAAGGTTTGTCATATATGTTATAAGAGTCCTCATCTTGAAATACAGAGCCTAAGCCTGAAGCCTGGTTGAATAATCTACTGTCGACCATTGTTTCACTTGACATGGAAGGTTTTGATAAACCGAGGGCTACTCTCTCAGACACATCTCGAGGACGATCCGCACCACTAAGCTGTGCTCTCTTTTCAGCACCCATTCTATTAAGTCGAAGCTCTTTCTCGTATTGGCGTCTTCTTTCACGACGAATTTCTTCACGTCTACGGAGTCCTTCGTCTTCTTCCTCGTTTCCATCAACATCCACGTCACTATTTACCGGGGATTCAGATCGGGATCTTTTATCATTAACGTCGCTAGGTGAACGATCGACGGATTGGCGATTTGAAACGTGGCCTGTTCTTTCTTCTCTAGCCTTCTGCGCAAGCATAAATAGTCGCTGTTCTTTCTCTTGCTTCTCTTTCTCTGCCACCTTCTGACGCATTATAGCTCGATAACGTACTTCCTCACGAGCTTGACGTTCTGCTGTAAACAATGCTTCAGAAAACTTTGCGAAACCGTCGCTTATCTCTACATCATTTAAGCCACGTCCATCAGCAGCCAAGCGCTTATCCAAAGGAATAGTATATCCTTTGGGATTTTTCCAATTTGAAATACTAGGAGGGATTTGCCAATCCTGCTGCTCCTTCGCGGTCACTTTACGAGGGGGAGAGTGTAACACCGGCACGGGAGGAGAAGGAGGACCGCGAGGTACTTTTTTATGACGAAATTTTGGTGGTTCCATAGGATCCTGTTCTTCTGTCACGAGTTTAATGATCCTTTGCTTGCTAGGGGCTTGGCCCATCTGGTTACTTGGTGTATAACGGATATATACCGGATCGTCCGGTTTCTGTACGAGAGCACTTTTAGGTTGCGACTGCGATATTTTTCCATTAACGATCTTTTCCAAAGCAGCCTTTGTCTTATTTGCAACAAGCTGCTTTTGTTCTTCAGGTGGCTTCTCGACTGAGATTTCGCCAACACCAATGCGAGCTCTTAAGGGTATTAAGTCTTGGAAACTAGATTGTACAAGCTCACCATGCTCATGGCCTTGTCGCGCAATAGCACCATAATCGACACCACCCGAGGAATTAACCTGAAGGGCAAGTGAATTTCCTGAACTTGTATTCTGTATGCAAAATTAGCGGATGATCTCGATGAATATTTCTCAGACTACATACCGCCCTCTTTTTTCCCATATCTAATGGATATTGTGCTATGTTAATTTCTGGATATCTAATTCCTATGTTAGTTTCTTGATTTTCTCATTCCAGACATACGCTCCACCGTCGGCAAAATCTTCTAGAGATGTTGGAACCCATCCTTTTCTGTGTAGATAAGGAGGGATCGATTTATGAATAACCTCTTGGCTTTCCTTTTTTGGAGATTCATCGAAAACATATGAATTTTCCTCTTCTTCATCAGACTCAGGATTAGGTAAGATCCTAAATATGTTAACAAATGCATTAAATGTATAAAAACTATTTACCTTGCCAATTCACTCGATAACAGTGACATTTTGCTCAGATTTACCAATCTCGTAGTTGTTGGTGGATATAGGCTCTGGTAAGAAATGCGTCGCGTCTTGAACGTCGACCTGCCAATCCATCAGGAAGTCAATTAAGATCCTACTAGTGTAAGGAATTTCAAAAAATATCTTTAAGTAATGGAAATTTGAGACATTACTCTAGATTCCTTCAAAATTTCGCATGTAAATAAATAATTTGTATAATAAACTCGTCCTAAACTTCACTAACAGTCGTTGCGGAGTTCGTTATAGTCCGCAAACCCCTGTAGAGCGTTGTAGTGCACACCCAATGCGAATATTACGTTGCCTTTGGGTACCCTGAAGGCCAGCGGGTTCTCTTCGATCGGTAAAAATGTGACCAGAGCCATTTCTCCCGTAGGCAATTCGTAACGAAGTAGCCCTATCTGTTATTTTATGAAAAGATTTAATTGAAAACGGAGAACTGTGGACGTTCTCATGGTACGTTGCTTCTGTTGCAATGACTAAATGTTTACTAACGAGTAAATAAAAACAGGCCAATGGTGAAACTGAATGGAAATTACAGGAGGCTCCTCTTGTCGATATTGATGCAAAGACAATTGGATCTGTCTCTAGTTTGAGACGGCATTCTCAGATAGGTATGATTACTCTTGCTAATATGGGTCGACTAACAGCAACAGAAGAAGAAACAGTAAAGGAGGAATTAGAACTTGCTCTTCCTGATTATGAGGGTGTTGCATTTGGAGGATATTCTTGGGAAATAGAAAACTGGCATGAACTTGATAGTCGTGCTTCAAGTAGTATATTTGAAGTCAGTGGACGTCAATTTAGAATAGTCTACTTCCCACAAGGTATTTTACCGTCTTCTGGATATGCGTCTCTCTTCTTAGAGTACATACCTTCAAAAATCGATAAGGAAAGTCAAGATTACGGTGTATGTTGTCAGTTCGCTCTCATTATTTCGAATGTCAAAAATCCTTCCTTACGCGTCGCAAGTTCTGCCCATTGTCGCTACTCTCCAGAAATTCAGGATTGGGGATTTACCCAGTTTGCCGAAACAAAACGTCTTCTCTCACGTAATTCTCCTGTTGCGCCTCCTATCGTTGAAGACGGGGCTTTACGCATAAATGCATTTGTTCGAATCCTTGATGATCCCACTGGGGTGCTATGGCACTCCTTCAATAATTATGATTCCAAGTCTAAGACGGGATATGTCGGGTTGAAAAATCAGGGTGCTACTTGCTATATGAATTCTTTATTGCAGTCTTTGTACATCATTGGAACTTTCCGTAAAATTGTTTATCAAGTTCCCACAGAAAAGGATGAATCCAAAAATGGTATTGCATATGCTCTCCAACGCTGTTTTTACAATCTTCAATTTATGAATGAACCTGTACCTACCACTGATTTGACGAAATCTTTTGGATGGGATTCTTTAGATTCTTTTATGCAACACGATGTTCAAGAATTTAACCGAGTTCTACAGGACAATTTGGAGAGAAGCATGGAAGGTACCATGGAAAACGCGCTGAAAAATCTTTTCTGTGGAAAAATGAAAAGTTACGTTGCTTGTATGAATGTAAATTATGAATCTGCCCGCACTGAAGAGTTTTGGGATATTCAGCTAAACGTAAAAGGAATGAAGAATCTGGAGGCTTCGTTCCGAGACTATATCCAGGTCGAAACTTTGGAAGGTGATAATTGTTATTACGCAGATACGTACGGCTTCCAAGAAGCAAAGAAAGGTGTTATTTTTGAATCGTTTCCTCCCATCTTACATCTTCAACTAAAACGGTTTGAATATGACTTTGAAAGAGATACGATGATAAAAATTAATGATCGTTATGAGTTTCCACTTGAATTTAATGCGAAAGCCTTCCTAAGTCCCGAGGCTGATCAAGATCAAAATTGCGAATATGTCTTGCATGGAGTTCTCGTTCATTCTGGTGATCTTGATAATGGTCATTATTATGCACTTCTTAAGCCCCAGAAAGAGGAAAAGTGGTATAAATTTGATGACACCAGAGTAACACCTGCTACTCTGAAGGAAGTTTTGGAAGAAAACTATGGTGGAGACTATTTCGTACATCCTCCTTTTCGACCTGCCGTTAAACTAAAGAGATTTATGAGTGCTTACATGCTTTTGTACTTGCGAAAGGATAAGATTGATGAGTTAATAGCTCCAGTTCACAAGGATGTAATTCCTAACCACCTTAAAGAAGTACTTGATGAAAATATACGCTTCGTAGATCAACAACGAAAGGAAAGATTAGAAAGCCATCTCTATACAAGAGTTGAAGTTATCACTCCTGATTATTTCGCTAATCATCATGAATTTGATCTTGCAAAATTTGGCAATCCCGTAGATGAAGATTCTATGCTTCATATCAGAATAAAGAAAGAACTAAACGTTTCGAATTTATTACCAATGGTATCTGAAAGAGTTGGCATTCCTGCGAGTCGCTTACGCCTTTGGTATATAGTACGTCGGCAAAATTATACCTTACGAGTGGAAGAACCTGTGAATGAGCTAAATCTTTCCATTGAAGAGGCTAAGGGAAAGTGGAATCCGCAAGGTGATATCCTCCGTTTATATTTGGAGATATTACCTGAGAATCAAACCAATTATCCTCTTGTTAATGTTTCTTTTGATTCTCCTAATATTTTTTTATTTATAAAATATTACGACAGAAAAAATCAAGAAATTATTGGTTGCGGAACCCTTATTGTTTTAAAAAGTGATAAGCTTGAATCTATTTGCCCAGAATTATGTGAACGTGTTGGTTTGCCGAAAGATACCTTATTACATATGTATGAGGAGGTTAAGCCAGGTTATATTGAATACTTAAGATTAAATAAAACATTTGCCGAAGGCGAACTTGGCACTGGTGATATTATTTGTTTTGAAACTAGAAATCCAGAAGATAACGATCAAGCAAACAATAAATTCGCTACAGCCGCCAAGCTGTATGATTTCATGGCAAATCGAGTGGTCATAACTTTTCGACCAAGGTTTATTGATCAAGAAAGCATTCTCGAATTTGAACTTGTACTTGACCGCCGCATAAAACTGGTTAAGCTTTGTGAAGAATTAGCAGAAAAGCTAAATACATATGCTGATCATATTCGACTTACAACTTGCAGTCCTCTTGCATACGCCGCTAACATGGTTGTTCCGAACAATCCAAATATTACTCTCTACGAAATAATGCACGCTTCTGAAGAAGATACTGTATCAAATATACTATTTTACGAAATTATGAACGTAAGTCTTTCTGATTTGGATAAGAAGCGACTTTTGCGTGTTACATGGCTTTTCGAAGGTCTTGCAAACGCAGAGTTAATTGATGTTTACATTAATAAAATCGGAAACGTCTCTGACATATTTAACGCTATTTCTCAAAAATATCCGGAACTAGAGGTACCTAACCACAAGGTACGCTTTTATGAAATTTTGGAACACAAATGGTATCGAGACATAAATATGCGAACAATGTTAAGATCGTTGAATCCTTTCGCAAGGATTATTGGGGAAATAATACCTGAAGAAGAACTATGTCTACAAGAAAATGAACGAGTCATAGTTGTTTGCCATTTCCATAAAGATGTTGCTCGAATGCATAGTATTCCTTTCAAATTTGTGATTAAGCCTGGAGAAAAATTTGCTATTACTAGAGAACGGTTGCGTTTTCGAACTATGTACCCTGACAACATTTTTTCTGTGATTAAATTTGCTATAATTGATTTTGATAGAAATGCGGTTGTATATTTGAATGATGACGATGATGTTTTCGAACTTCTTGCAGGGTGTAACGGCACTCTGGCTATGGATAGAGCTAAAAAAGAAATTAGAAAGCCTACAATATTAGACCGAGCGATCCAAATGAAGGGTTAAAAAATGCAAATAATGCTTTTGTGTTTTATGCTGCTTATTTATTAACTCCCTATCGATTCCACTATCACTGTGTATGTGCCGACTACTTTAGCTACTAATGTTAATACCATCTGTCTCTTCCTATATAAAGAAATAAATAAAATTAATGAATTATTATCTAAAGAAAAGGAAGAAAAAGACATTTAAATTGAAAGGGGGGATCATTAACTAGAACATTAAGAAAATAATAGGCAGAATTGGGATGTTCCATTCACTGTATGCTTCATCTAATTTATAGCGGTGGTAGGGTCTTGTTTTTTAGGATGGCAAGGGATTCTTCAAGTGATGAAACTTTCGCAAGCAAAGCGTCGGCTCTAGCGTCACTATACGATTTTACCTCCTCCATTGCTTTATCATTAATTGTCTTGAGTCGTTCATTTTCAACTCGTAATCTGGCAACTTCCTTGCTTTGTTCGCTAGCAGAAGTAGAAGCATTCTGATATTGCTGTGTAATAAAATCCAAATCTTCTTTCTGCGTTTTATTAAGTTGAATAAGTTTATACTTCTGTTCATTGGATTCCACCAGTTGGCCACGAATTTCTTCTTCTGGAATATCTTGAATGTATTTAAAACCAAAATCCAATTCTTTCGATAAATGCGTAATTTGTTGTTTTAAATCAGCAATTTCTTTTAAACGTTCGGAATCGTTCTTCTTGCTAGTCTCCAACTTTTGACGTGATTTTTCAAGTTCAATTTTGAATTCTCGTATTTGTTCTCGATAATCCTGCAAAGTGTCTGTAAGTTTAGCTATTTGTTGTTCCAGTTCATCAGCATGTGTTTGCTTCATATTCTTTAGGTTGACAGCTTCGTGCAATTCATCTTCCACCATCCGTAATCTTCTCTGTAAATATTGGACAGCTGCACCTTGTAAATCATAATTTTGCCCGAATTCAGAGGCATCTGGTCCTTGCTGAGAAGTGAATGATTTAGTTGTTGGATTTGAAAAGGAACCGGCTACTTCCTGGGATTCTTTGGAAGGCGTTTGAGATACTTGAAAGGTGAAAGGATTGTCATCTGAATATTTTGAGACAGTTTCATTGACGCAAGAAGGGGAATCTTGAGAAGGTTTGGGTTCTGCAACAGCCAAATAAGCAAGATCTACTAAAGGCTGCAACGGCCAAGAATTGGGTGATGCGTCATTAGCAATCCATTCAGCTACTTTATCTGCATATTCATTTGTAACGTCGGTAAAGTGCGCCGTCTTTGCATCAGCATCAGCAATAACACCGCTATTCTGGGCACGATGTGAAAGCACATTCAGATCTGTAACTTGAGCGTTTTCTTCGGCAGAGGAATTAAGAGTAGCTAATACACCGACGATATTTACAAGAAAACTTGCATTGTAAGAAGATTGAAAGCTTCTGATGACATGTTCCACAGAATTGATATGAAGAAGTCGAAGAATTGGACAAGGAAAATAAGAAATTACGCTACTAACACCCATATAGGCATCCATATCGTAAAAAATTACAGCGCCAAAATGCATATCAGAATTAAAAAGACTAGCCGTAGACGAGGCATGCCTCGATGAGCAGACCCAGAATGAAACGTCGTTGTTCTTTTGAATATCTACGTCTGGTGACCAAGATTGCGTTGAAATAGATACTGATGATAACCAAGTCGTAAGTAAATTGCCAAGAACATCATTAGAAACAAAGCAAAAAATTGGAGTGTGAAGCTTCGGTGAAATGGATTCCAAAAACTTCTTTACGAAAAGAAATTTGGAAGAGGCATTGGCGTCGTCAGATATGTCTGGGGCACTGAGAAAATTATCCTCGTTCGGTTTAGCTGATGACGAGTGTGAGCTATCATGAATTTTCCTTTCGTAAAGTTTTGGGTGTTTTGCAATCTTGTGAGCTGACTGAAGAAATAAGCGAATCTTTTCTTGTATGCGCGCATCGCTTGGTCCTGAACAAAAATGATCGATGCAAAAAGCAAAGTATTGGACAAGGCGGTGCATCATTCTCTGCTGGATGGGGGACATATAAAGACCCACATCTAAAATGGAATAATTGGGTTTGGGAACTCCTGAAGAAGGCAGTGATAGCGAATCTGAGTTCGAAGACTTATTAGGGAATAGTTGCTGCGTTGATGGATAGTCACCGACATCTTGCGTCAAAAACTCATTTTCTGTTGCATCAAAATCATGATGGAGGAAATTTACCTCATGTTGTTTGAGCGGAGGTTGTTCAGTATCCAAAGGAGAATCCAAAGACTGATCTAGCTTGCGTTTATGACCAGTTCCCTTCAAAAGCCAAGCGTCTTCTAAAAATCCAGGACATTCCTCTTTGGAGATCCATTTTTTTGAATCATTGGATGGAATGTATATTTCGTATTTGGTATCACTTTCATTCACAATCGTGGAATCCGTAAGCTCCTGATACTCACTCATCACTTAAAACAGCCAGAATTTCTTAGTAGTGACTTTTCAATTCGCAAGCCCAGATTTACGATAGCACTTATTGTACGCTTACCCTTGAAAAGCACCTTCTATAGATCCAATCTATAGAACCTGCAAGCCCAATGTTGTATGGATGAAAAACGCGTACAAAAAATGTTTATTTAGCATTTACTGCATTTTACAGTAGTTCCTTATCACTGGTTTTCGTACTAAAACGTATTCGGTAATGTCTTTACGAAACAGTATCGCTGGCATAATGCCTTTTTTATATTTACTCAACCCATGAGTAATAGAGAAATGTCTATCCCATGCAGCATGAGCACAATTGTTATATAAATCGAAAATTGTTAGAATAAAAATTACAAAAAAAAGCTGAAGAGATCCACAGAACTGTCAACTCTTTGGTCTTTCTATAGTACATCTCAATCCGGCGTTATGTTGACTAAGGTATTTCCCTTTTATGCGTTAAGAAAGATAAGATGTATAAACTATCTGCAGTCTGCTTCTTTATACATTATATCGCAGTATATCAACATCGCTAAACCAAAAGATTGGAATAAGAAGAAAAACATTAAAACAAGTTTTGAGAAGACTTGAATAGTTTTTTAAGGTATTCAATATTTTTATTCGAATCATCTTGCCTATAGAAGCATGCTGGACATTCCTTGTACGATGTCAACAATACGACGATAAGTCCTAGCGTAACTTGCCAACTACCAAAAACCGAAGACAACAATTCAAACCTTTTTGTCTGTTTAAATCATCCAATTTCGATTTGAATTGACAAAATGGTATTCGCAGATTTAGGACGACGTTTAAATTCTGCCTTGGGGGATTTCTCCAAGGCTACATCCGTCAATGAAGAGGTAAGTAATGTCGTTGTCGATGGGTAGATAAGCTCGTAGGCCCTTGATCAGTTACTCTTTTATATATATGGTAAACAGTTGTCTTTTTTAGGAAGAATCCGTGTTTAATTTGAAACAGAATGTCATGATGTGTACTCCCCTTGTGAACTAGTCAAATATCGTTCGCAAGAACGTTTGATCTACATGCAGTCTGTTTAGTTTTATTACATCTCATGATTATATTCAACTGTTTCTGTATATCGATTGAGAGTTGGTCGCTACCTTTGTTCAGTTCTCCTTCACTTCTTCGTGCAATAGCTAATCAAGGTAGCTTGTTGATAATCTTCTGAAAAGTATTTGCACCGCTTTATTGGAAACAGATGTTAATGTTCGACTCGTTCAAACGTTAAGAAGCAATATAAAAAAGAAAATTAATGTCGCCAATCTTCCTCAAGGTATAAATGGAAAGCGAATTGTTCAAAAGACTGTCTTCGATGAGCTTTGTACTCTGGTTGATCCCCAAGTTCAAGCTTACACACCTAAAAAGGGGAAGCCTTCAGTAATCATGATGGTTGGTCTTCAAGGTAGCGGTAAGACCACTACATGTACCAAACTAGCCCTTCACTATCAAAGAAAAGGACTAAAGTCTTGCTTAGTTGCTGCAGATACATTTCGTGCAGGCGCTTTTGATCAATTAAAGCAGAATGCCATCAAAGCTCGTGTACCCTTTTACGGTAGCTACACCGAAATGGATCCTGTAGTTATCGCTCAGGAAGGTGTCGAAAAATTTAAAAAAGATCGCTTTGACGTTATCATCGTGGATACCTCTGGTAGACATCAACAAGAGAAAGAACTCTTCGCTGAAATGGTTGAAATATCCGAAGCTATTCAGCCAGATCAAACAGTCATGATTCTTGATGCTAGTATTGGCCAAGCTGCTGAATCCCAAGCAAAGGCTTTCAAAGAAAGCGCGAATTTTGGAGCTGTTATTATCACAAAGTTGGATGGCCACGCTAAGGGTGGTGGTGCTTTGTCTGCGGTGGCAGCAACCAACACTCCAATTGTTTTTATTGGTACTGGTGAGCATATTAATGACTTGGAGAAATTCTCCCCCCGATCTTTTATTTCCAAGCTTTTAGGAATGGGTGATTTGGAAGGTCTCATGGAACACGTCCAATCTTTAAATTTAGACAAAAAGAATATGGTTAAAAATCTTGAGCAAGGAAAGTTTACCGTTCGTGATTTTCGAGATCAACTTGGTAACATTATGAAACTCGGACCCTTAAGCAAAATGGCCAGTATGATTCCCGGTATGAGTAATATGATGCAAGGCATGAATGATGAAGATGGAGCTATACGTATGAAAAGAATGCTTTATATCGTTGATTCAATGACTGAACAAGAACTTGATTCTGATGGTCTTCTTTTTACACAGCAGCCCTCTCGTGTTTTTCGTGTAGCCAAGGGCAGTGGTACCAGTGTACTTGAGGTTGAAGAAACCATATCTCAGGTTCGTATATTTGCTCAAATGGCCAAAAACATGGGAGGAAAAGATGGCATATTGGGCAAGCTTGGTGGAAACCCAGCAGCAGCTCTCAAAAAAGATCCTCGCCAGATGGCAGCAATGCAAAAGCGCCTTCAGTCAATGGGCATGGGTGGAGGTGGCATGCCTGGTATGCCAGACTTCAACCCTGGTTCAATGAACTTTGGTGATATCTCTAAAATTGCAAGTTCGTTGATGGGAGGTGGAAGTGGTGGACCTGGAGGATTTGATCTTAAGGGCATGATGAATCAACTGCAAGGTGCGGCAAAGCCTCCTCGGAGACGTTAATTTTGTTTCTGTTGTATTTTAGTAATTTACTCTTTTGGCATATTTACTTGTTTATTTAAATGCATATCAATGGTAAATTTCATTCCTTTCTTTAGACATGAAAATATTTACAATATATTTCACACATAAAACATGAATTGGATTTTTTTTCGAAAAGTACTTTTATAGATAAACAATAACCCAAAAATTTAATTAAACAATAAATAACAGAGCGAACTTACTTGTAATCTAAGCTGTAAAACTTCTTAGATGGTTGTGTATTAATCCTCTTCCTGTTTAACGTTTATATCTTCATCACTATCAATTGTCATTGAGTGATCCTGACTTATTTTTTCATGATTAAAGTCATTGTTAGGAGCAGGTTCTTCTTCCTTCTCTTCAGTTTCTTTACATTCGTTCACCTCTTCTGGTTGTTCTTCATCTTCGTCGCTCTTTTCTTCCTGTTCTTCTCTTTCACGCGCCGCTTCCTCTTTATTTCTTAACATTGTATCAAACTTTGATAAGATATTCATGCTAGAGGAATCTAGCGTCAAGCCATACTATTTATTAGTAAACACGTCTTTGAACGCTAAAGCTTTACTTACGTTCTCGAATGTTTGTAATTTCCTAATCGATTTGCTGAAGTCCTCAGAAGGCAAAGTGTCAGGAATGTTTAGCTTCCCAAGCAAAGAAACTATAAGTTTTCGTTCCTTTCCTAATAGATGGTTAGTATTAGCATGACACTACCTACTTACCTTCGGATGCACGAGGCAAGCTTTCAAATATATTGTTCGCCAATTGTAAATGAATCTTTTGATTTGCCGTAGAGGATTCACTATTAACTTTCTTCTCAAAGAGTTTCTCATTATCCGTCCAGTCAAGCATTTGCAAAGCAATTTGGGAAGTTGACAATTGAAGATCATCTTCATCTATATCACGGTACACTTCTAGTAAATTCAATAGAGTATCGCAAAATACCTATAAAAATGTTAGAAAAAGAATTTTAGGGGTCACATACCTCTACAACTTTCCACTGATTTTCAGGTAATCCATATACATATACTGGAAAGAAGTAACCCAACACCTGACGCAAAGCATAGTTTTCAACGGTATTTGGTTCAAAATACTGAATTATTAAAGGTTTAAGGAACTATTCATAGTTAGTTTTGCAAAGAATGATGTTTTTACATACCACCTCGTCTCTATAATGAACAATCACCAAGAGCTTCGCGATTGCTTCAGCACTAAGGGTTTGCAATTCAGGTTCGTCAATATTAAAAAGACTTTCAAGAAGCAAGGACGAAAACTGCTCATCAAAAGCGGAAAAGCGCTCCTTGCCATGTTGAAGAAAGATATCAGTTAGGGTTCGAAGAGCGATTATTTTTAAATTGTCTGTTCCTTTTTCAAAACAGTGTAAATATAATGCAATATTTTCATAAGCCAAATCGCTATTTAGGAGACAAACTAAACTCAAACACTCCAGACCTTTTTCGCGAATCGGGAGGTCGTGCGACTTTACAGCAGGAATAATTAAAGACTTCAATAAATCGACGACATACAGGTTTTCATTTAGTGGAGAAGATATATTTTCGAATAAAGCTTGCACATAAGAAAGGCACCTAATTTCATTAAATGCCTCCTTATATTCTTCAGTTTCCTCATTAGCCCCATCTTCTTCCATGTTGGACGGTGATGGAGAAGAAGCAGTATCTTTTTCTTTTTCCTGAGATGATTGAGGCGGAGCCTCCTCAAGTGATTCCTTAGTAGGATCAAGATGCCCCTGTTCGAACATATCGGTAATAATTTCCACCAGTAGTGAGCAAAAATCGGTTTCGGTAGAACAGAGTTTTTTTAGTAATTCCACGTGAAGAGATATTAAATTTTCACTAAGCAACGAAGTGGAAAGACTATTAGTTAAACTTTTTAATAATTTACGTCTTCCGATTTCATCAGCCATATCTTGATTCAAAGCAATAAGCAGCAACTGTTCAATGATAAATGAAGCCTCCTCGTATGTAGATCTGTCTCGCAAAGCGACGTATTGTTTTTCAATAAAAAAAGTCAATTGACTTACTTCAGGTATTTTTTCTGCAAGTTCTCCAAAGTTTTTTTCAGCACAAACCTCACTAAAAGATCTGGCAAGAAGAGCAGACTCTGCCGTTAATTCTAACCAAAATTGATCCGGAAATTCAATTTCGGTGAGCGTTTCCAGACGAGTTGTAAAAAAACATTTTATTGCTAAATTAGCAACTTCTGAATTTTGGACGACATCCAAACGCTCTAACAATTCCAGCAAATTATTATCTGCGCTTTCAATCCACTGATAGGCAAGCATATTGGCGGCTGCCTGTTGAACACTATCGTCTCTATCATTCATACCCCATTTTAAAATACGAACTCGTTTTTTGATACTGAGATACCGAAAGTCACCAATTTTAGGAATGACTTTAGAGTAGACGCACTTTCGATTAGTGGCATCAACATCTCTGGCACGCTCAAGAATAAATGGTAAAGTAGCTTTACTTACTTCAATATTCAGTAAAACAGCTCTTCGAACATCAGGGCTGGGATCATTTTGTAATAAAAATAACAGCATGTTACGAACATCGTTTTCCTCCTCTTGTGTATCTTCTTGAAGACGAGAGAGTGCAATGACAGCCTCCAATCTGACAAATGCTTCTCTGTCTACTACACGGTCGAGTAATTTCTCACGAAGTATGCTATAGATGTCATCATCAATTTCTTTCACGGAATTGATGACTCTGGCTACAACCTGACAGCTACGAAATCTTACCGTTTTATCTTTCGCATCCAATCCTTTTAGCACATGTTTCAGAACTGGTTGAGCAATGTCAGTCTCAGGATCCTTCTGTTGAAGATAGTTAATGAACGTGACTATAAACCGAAGCACGCGATCAGCATTGGTATTTCCTTTTTTTATTGTTAAAACAATATTTATAGATTGAAAAATATCCTGTAAAAAGGTATCTTGCAGCCGTAAAGCGAACAATTTGTTGCACAACTTTCTGTGGCTTGAAACGGAATTTTGGCTGGATGCAATGACCTGTAAAGCAGACATCCTTAGTTTATAGATCCTCTAATTTAAATAATAGATATTGCTAATGTTATAGGTGCTGCTGAGCAGCCTGAGTATATGTTGGTGATTTTGAGGGTTGTATTACTTGGATTGTAAACATATGAACTGGGCAATCATCTAAGAGAGGTTATAAAGTTCGCCTACACCAGCAGAGGGACAAAAATACTAACAATTAATCTAATTGAAAAATAAAGAAAAAAGAAAAGATAATGAAACTAATTATGGTTAAATTTAGGCAATTATTAGGTGCAAAATTGCATCATATTCATTAGATGTGGAAAAGAAATAAGTTGTAGCATAATATGAATCATTATTAGTAATGCAAAAGGCCTAATCGTCTGGAGTTTCGATAGATATCTTTTTTAATTGTTCCGTAGTTGTTTGTACAGATGTATTTTTCGATATGTTCATTTTAGAGGCATTTTCAATCGCAATAGACTCAAGGATAAGCCACCTTTCTTTCCTTTCTTGTTCTTCCTTTTCCTTTCTATTTATGGCGACGGAGTATTCTGTATCAACTTCGTCGAACAAAGAGGAGTTTATATCCATAAACAGTTTCAAAACATTACAAACCATTGAATTGATAACCCTGTACACGTTAGATATAACTAATGAACGATAAATGAAACAACTTCAATCCTTCCTTACCTATTCCAATGGCTTTTCGATATTTCAAAGAGAGCGGGATATATAATAGGCAAAATGACGTCTACGTTTTCTTCGACCAAATGTACGAAATAATCGTTGTTGAAGAAATATAAAGCACGCTCGGCAACTTGAAAATTTTGGCTAGATATACAAGAAGCCAACTTTTGAAATAGCGGTATTTGTATTTTGAGAAATTCAGATGGCTCCATTACTTCAACAATATCTTCCAATTCATTCAGAAACAAAACTTCTTTCCCACTGTTGACCTTTGGCCAGTATCGAAGAAGACCAAGAATAACCTACGTATTGGTTAGTAAACATTTTGGTAATGTCATTCTCAGATGAACTTACCTCTTCGGTTACAGAGGAATCCTTTTCCACAAACTGCACGATACCATAAGCAATCTGTGGATAATAAAGGGCGAGAGACTTTGCCTTATGCATAGGGATCAAGACACGAGATAAGAAAACCTTGTGTTCTTCTTTCAATGGAAGTGCAAACCCATTGATAATGCTACCCAGGATTTCAAGGAGTTCAGCAATTCCGCTAAATTGCTCATTTTCGTAAATATACTGAAGGAATAGATTATTAATAGACCTTCGAATAAAAGCCCGCAACGAAAGAAACTTTCCGTAAATTCTATGAAGAATAGTTTTCAAGAAATCCCTTTCACGAGGATCTTCGCTGTCAAACAAAACAAGTAGTTTACGAATAAATTTTTGGTTGATATATACTTTTGCGATAGAAGTGTTCAGTGACGGCGACTCAAAAAACCTCAAAAAAAAGTCATAAACAAGGTGTAAATGAGGCCAAGCCACTTCTAACGCAGGTTCATCTTCTTCTAAATCAACTACTTCACCGAGGGGATTTGAAGGAGGTGGTAAAGGGCGAAAAACATTAACGGAGAACATATGTACAATGGAGGGATATAATGACTCATCTATTGCTTCTTTCCGAACAGAAACCAAATCTATCAAATCCTGTAGAGCCTCGCGCTTCACCTCCTTGCCATAAAGGTCGGTCGACGGATCATTAAAGTCGAATAAAACACAGCATTGTTCTAATTTTTCCAAGGCCAATGAATGCCATGCAGTGATAGGGACATCTAGAAAGTTAGTCAAATGAGGACCATAAGAAGCAAAGATAATCGCATTAGTTTCATTTTCTCTTTAAAAAAGAGAACGAAATAGTTTTAAGTATCTTTACGGTAAGCCATATATGAAACCGTATGTAAAACACCGATGAAACAACTACAATAAACAAAGCATACCTGAAAAAGAAGGAAGACGAACGAGCATTCGATTTTCAGATATGTGGTATAAAGAAGATCTTTGCTTTCGTACAGTTCGAACATTCTCTAGCAAAATTTCGTCTCTAGGAGTAGGAGTCGTATCAATCGGAACCTTTTTATTTGAGTGCTTTGGGACTGAAAGATAATCATTCTGAGCACCCATAACGTTGTTGGTAGATTCAACAGGTGATGACTATAATAATATGCGTGTTTATTAGCATGAATTCAAACGGTAAAAGCTAGGTCTACAAAAGACACCTAGCAAAAAATGGCGTACCTCTTTAGAAGAAGATTTTGAAGATTCGTTAGAAGAAGACTTTTTACTTTCTTTCTTTTTGCTAGACTTTTGCGAGTCCTGGGTTTTACCCCTTGAGAGCTAGAACATTCGTCAGCATAAATTGTCTAGTAAAACTACTTACCATTTTGCTTTTAATTCCCTTCATTTTCAATGGTATTAAGGAAAAATCGACGCTGTTTTCCTTGCAATTTGAAACTCAAGCTGAAATTTCGTGCTGAAAGAAGCCTCTAGGATACGATCCCAAAACAGGCTACTTATAGTGACAAAATCAATTTGTTCTTCCACGTAATTACTTCCTATTTCCTATGTTTTTGAAAGTCTATTTAGTTCTCCCTTAGTTGGTATTTACATGATGGAGGCCCGTAGTAACGAAGAATAAGAAGCCCGAATAATTGGGATGTGCGGTATGATTCGTTAAGCGTATTACCGGTGAAACGACCTCATACTGAACAATAAAAGCTGTTTTAAAAGCGAAACTATAAGATATATTCGACGTAAATACCACGAATATGGAGATGATCCTCACGATGAGCCTTCGTCTGATGAGAACTTTTATTTTATAACACCTTATTCTCGTATTTCATTTTACTTATCTCATTAACCGAAGCTCACATGGTCCAGTGGTTAAGACTCATCGTTGTGGCCGATGCGACCCAGGTTCGATTCCTGGTGTGGGCAAACAACTATTTTTTGGCTTTTTACTATTATTCAGATTTTCTAAATAAACCTAATATATTCGCAAATAATTGATGCAAAGCGCCAAATCTTGATATTTGAGGTTTAGTTTGATCAGACTGAGTGTTTTAGTTTCTAGTAATAAATACTTAAGCCTATTATATGGTTTCTGTAAATTTTAAAGGTGATTTAATAAATTCTATTATTTAAGTACAGGCAACTGACAACGTTCAATTTTTGGCATATGCTTTTCATTAGAGTGAAATTTTTAAGAGTGCCCATCTCGTGAACCCTTTTCCTATCGTTTGCAAAGGAAATTGCTACTTAGTTTTTCTATCTCTTTCAATCCCATCTCAAAGAATAGAATGGACTTTCAATTCTTCAATTAAGCTGTATGAATGTAAATTATAGTGGTAAAATCAGTGTACCCTTACAAGTAACAGTACAGTCTTTGTCTTTGAAAGTACGCGAAACTCATAATGTAAAGATTTTTAAATTAATAAATCATCGGCTATTTAAAAAAAAAAAAAAGGATAATTTTTCAAAATTATCCTTTCCATATATTTTACACTTAGTATACGTATTGGTGGTAACCTTTCGCATGTAGGAAGCGAAAAAATGACTTAGAACAAAGAATCAGCATGTAATAAAACCCTTTATAGAGAAAAACAATCAATATTCATACATAATCTCATTCTAAGTCAAGCCAGAACATGTGGAGAACGTTAGCAAAGGTCTAGTTGAATCTGCCGATTGTTATAAGAAAAAAGTTTATTTTCTTTTTCTTTTGTATCTTATGTTCTCTTGTACGAATATAGACGATTTAAAGTATCTTGGTTACTGCAATTCTGTGTCTCTTTCCTCCCACTAATGTTCGCTTTCCTAACCCTTGCAATTCTCGTTTTGGCTTCGTTTCGAAGGGAATAAGAGAAATTTCCCAACGGTTTAGTAAATTATTTGCATGTACATAAAAGGTAACTAATTTGGTACTTGAGCTGTACAATTTGTATGCATATAACGTATTAATCTGTTGGAGACCTGAATCGTCCTTTTGACATTCATCGATCTTTTTAATTCATATTACCCCTCTTTTTTTCTTTTCTTTTGGTCGTTCTAGGTTCTGCATTTTATGGGAATTGTGCATGGCGCTTTGCGTTCAATCGTTTAGGTCGACGGCAATTGATACAGCGATTTCAAGTCAATTCTTTTCTTCTGAAACGTCTTTGATCTTTGTGCAAAACTTAACCATCAATGTTTATCGCATAACCGATAACCATGATTTAGATCTTTTTACAACTATCCCTTTATGGCATGCAGTAAGACATTTGCAGGCCTATCGACCGCCTGGTCTTAATCGGGATTATTTGTTTGTTGTTTTACAAGATGATACATACTTTACGCTTTACTGGGATGAAGACTTTCAGAAAGCAAATATTGATCATCCTCCTCTATGTTATCGAATATCTTTTCCGTGGAATCGTTTCACCAAAAGTCATTGCTTGGTAGACAAGAAAATGCGTATGATTTTTTTAAGTATAGATGATGTCTTTATGCTATGTATAAATGTCTTATCTGCTGAAGAGAGGCAAAAATCTGGTTGTTCCATTGACGACGGCTTTCCCATCTCCTTTCCAGTCAATCCTATACAAGACATTTGTCTGTTAAACTTTCCGAAAATTCCTACTTTAGTTGTTCTGCATAGTGAAGGCATTGATTCGGCTATAACGGCTTTTCCTATTGACGTGGAGTCAAAAAATCTAGAAAATGGAATACGTCTCTTTGATTCTGTTCTACCTTCTAAAATTATTCCCTTTGGTAAAAGGGGCTTACTAGTCTTGGATAAAAGAGCCATTCATTGCTTTTATCGTGGTGGAATAGTCACCATAAAATCACCGTCTAGAGTTTATGATCATTGGATATCTCTTGAAGGACAAGACAATCATTTCATTCTTTGCGACGTAAATGGTAATTTTTATGCAATTTATTCAAGTGTTTTGGCTGGGAAATTATGGAATTTAAGCTTGGAAAAATTGAATATATCACCCGTCACATTCGTCACAAGTTTAGTCTCAATAAATGACGACCTTTTATTTATTGGAAGTCAAGGGAACTGTTCGAAGCTTATATCTATTCCAAACATGAGTGATACCTTTACTTTACCCAACTTGGGGCCCGTCCATGACATTAATATTTATCCAGACCACCAGGGTCAATCGATGTTCGTATGTGCTGGATCTTTTAAAAATGCATCAATATTACATTACAAACATGCTTTATTTACGAATTCTCTTGGTTTTTTTGAGTGTTCTGATATTATTCGTGTTATGGTTCTCTCTTCCCATGTGGCGGAAAAATTATTTATTATCTTCGTTGAAGAAACTTTAGTTTTCAATATCAAGGAAGATATTCAACTGGAGCTTGATTCTGAACTTTCGATTAATGAAAGAACGATAGCACTGTCAGGAATCGACGATCAATTTATACAAGTAACTACGAAATCTTTATGCATTTACGACTCTAAAAAAATATTAAAAGTAATACATTTGGAAAAAATTACGAATGCCACTTGTTATAAAGGTTATTCTGCAATAGTTCTGGGTGGATTAGAGCTTGTCATATATCAGAGGGATGTTGAAATGTCTCGAATCAAGTTTGATAGTGAGATTAGCTGCTTAGAAATGGCTAGCGAGTCGAAAATTGCTATTGGGTTTTGGTCTAAAGAGGTTATTATTTATAACTTTAAGGTTAATAATGGTTCAGCTAATGTGTTCAAATCCGAACTTCCTTCGCTACCTCGAAACGTTATACTAGAGAATTTTAATGCTGAAGTCAGTCTTTTTCTTGTATCATATGGCGATGGATTTTTGGTTGCATATGTCCTATCAAGAAATAAGGTAATTTTTTCTGAAGTGAAAAAATTTGGAACTACACCAATAGTGTTTTCTCGGCTAAATGTGCATAATGGAACCTACATAATTTGTAATAATGACCAGCCTCATATGGTCTACGGATTCAATGGAAGTCTTGGCTATATGCCACTAAATATACCTGTTGCTTTTGATATTTGTCAATTTTCGAAAGACAAAGACCCAACTAGACTTGTTGCTCTCTCGTCAAAAGGAGTCTCCTTTTTAGAAATGGATAAGAGGCCTCATTTATATGCGAGTACGATTCCTTTGAGCCACGTTCCTTTGCGTGCAATACGATTCGACCAAATATTGCTAACAATTACTCTCCATCCTCTCCCGAATAATACAGAAGGGATGGACGAATGCTATTCATTGTCACTACTAGAGTTTTCTAGCGGTAAACAGTTGGAAAGATATGAATTTCCATTGTACGATCGATGTGAAGAAATACTGAAAATAGAGGATGATACAATAGTTGTTGCTGTCAACAACCATCGGGTAGTTGATTTACTTCCGTCGAATGGTAAGTTATTATTGTATCGGTTCATGCCGGATTTGTCCGCTCTTACTTGTGTAAACTCTATTCAGCTTTCTGCTGCTGTAAGCTGTCTATCTTTGTACGAAAAATGTTTTATTGCTTCATTTGGGCATTTTGTTGGCCTTTTTGATATATTGAATGGAAAAATGGAATTGAAAACTAAATTTTGTGTTGGCAATTTGATAACTCATATAACTGTTGACAAAGAACAAAATATTCTTATTGGAGATGTCGTCGGATTCATTACTATTTTGAGATTGGAAAATTACACGTTCGTAATGTACTCAAGATGCAATATAGGCGAACGTATACTTACTGCTCTTTGCTATGAAAGAAATAAATACATTTTTGCATCAGATAGCGGAGTAATGCATATTGTTAGATTGGAAAATATTGCGGGATCCAAAGAGCAAATGAGACTTGTTGCAGAAACGCAGTACCGGCTTCATGATAAGGTAACACGGTTTTGTTTGAATACAGTTCCTCAAAATGGTGTTTCTAGTAAGATGCTGGAGCCTCGTTTATATTTTGGTACAGAAAAAGGTGCGATTGGAAGTATTTACTCCTTAAATTCAAATATCAATGAATTTCACGAACTCGCGAAGAAGATACGGCAGCTTGAACTCTCGTATTTGTCGATATCGGATTTAGAAAGCATCGAAGAAGAGGAACTTAGTGAGATTCCCTTTGTAAATGGAGATATCATAAAAAACACAAAAAGTTGGTCCTCAACTCGGATATTTCGATTATGCCGGCTTTTGGAGCATATTGAAAATCTTAATTCTCATGAGAAAGTTCGTTCTCTATTGGATGAAGTAGAACTTCTTTCTTAGTTGGCATATTATTTCAATAAGTTGATGTTGTTATAATTAAAGATGTCAAGTCTACTCTATAAATGATAAAGGAAAAAGGGTTTCTATTTGTTAACCCATAAAAGCGAAACACCAGGTAATCATTCTGGAATATCATCAAAAACCTATCTAGGTAAAGAAACTGGAAGAATTGAAGTTAAAAGCGCCTGAATATCTGTTTTCATTCTGAAGGTACTAGCAACTGTTATCGTTAGTAAATTTTCGATGAAAGCATGAATATACGTACCATAGGAAGTCCGTATTTTATTGTAAGATTCAGTTTCTGTTCACTTGATTGTAGACGAGATTTACTGAAAGCATCCACGTAGACCTGATTTGGGTTTTGTGAGAAAGAGGAAGTGTCTACAATAATTGTCTTTCTTGTTTGTCTTCCGCCATTACACAGAACAATCAGTACTCCTGTCCTGTAAAACGCATAAACCCTTTTATCAAGATATATTTTTTGAGAAAGTTGAACGCAAAATTTTGGATTTTTCTTTATCAAGCTTTGTCGAAGACGGATAAATGTTGAAATACATTCAAACAAAAAGTTTGAAGTATCATATTTACTCAACCATAGTCCTTCTCGATTGTCAGGATCATTACCCCCGCTGAATCTCTGTTCTTGGCCATAGTAAATAACGGGTATACCATCTGAAAAAATTGTTGCAGCAATGGCATTAAGCGCTAACTATTTTTGTGTTAATAATATATTGACGACCTTAGGTTAATTAATGACTTACAGCATTATCTTGTGTTTGAGAGAAGAACCTAGGCACGTCGTGATTTTCAAGAAAGTTGCATAGTATGGTTGGATCTCTAAAATTATGCCTAATATCTAAGACGCCTTTCTGGTAATACTCAAACATCGGAATTCGGGGGTATGAAAACGCCTCACGCAATTGATAATAGAGTGGGAAATTAATCACTGAAGGCATGTAGTCTTGATAAACTCCGACATATTTCGGATTGCCATGGAAGATTTCGCCTGCTGCGAAGATATTTGCTGATTTAATGAATGGAGGGTAGAATGACTTCTCAACATGTTTGGCAGTATCAATTCTCATACCATCGAATTTGTACGTGTTTACTAAATCACTGATCCATTTTTGGAAAAACTTACGTACGCTGGACTTTTCTGTTTTTATGTCAGGCAAATTCACGCAATCATCTCCAAGCCAACCAGAAACAACTTCGTCTTGATTGTTATAATCCTGAATATACTTCCAGGGGTGGAAATCATTGGCCTGATTAAATGGAGTAAACTGTGAATAGTCAACTGCCTCTTTTCCGGGATGCGCCATATGGTTAACGACGATATCCACCATACACAACATTCCACGCTTATGAAGATTATTAACCAAATCTTGAAGATCTTCGGAAGTGCCAAAATGACTATTGAGTTTCGTAAAGTCCTGCGTCCAATAGCCATGGTAAGGTTCTCCATAGCCTGTTTGGCCTTCAATATTCTTTACGATTGGACTAATCCATACGGCCGTGCAACCAAGTAATTGAAGATAGTCGAGTTTTTTTGTGACACCCTTCCAAGTCCCTCCCAAGTATGTTCTTCCTTGAGATGGATGTTCAAAGTCATCTTCGTCCCTAGCAAATCTGTCCGTAAGCAACTGATATATGACTTGTTTTCTCCATGTATCGTTGTATTCCTTTTCTTTTACAAAAGTTTTTTTTTGAAAGAAGCAGCAGGACATGGTTGATCTCAACGAAGAGTGTTATGGAAGCCTTTCAAAAGATTGCAAATAATACTGCTCTATCTTTTCAAATTGAGGTATGCCTTAAGGGAGGCAGGCAAGGAAGAGGTACGAAACGCAAAAGCGATGGCTCTCAGACTCTCTGAAATCCAAATTAATAAATTGTGGCTCTTTCTCTGTTTTTGTTTCAGCGCATTAAATATACTATTTCTGTTTACACTTTTGTTTTGTTGTACCACATCTTCGTTAACATAAACAAACATTGGCCTATAAGCTACTCTGGGTTAACCGAATCAGACGCACAAAATGGTTCCCGATAATTGAATATAGTCATATTTATTCCAATGAACTATTCTTCAAGGTTCAATTATCATGTTTCATATTTGGGAGCTAAGTGATTTAACTGCCTAACACAGATTTTGTTATGTCCCAACTTGGGATTCTTAACTCTCTTTTTGATAAAAAAAATAAAAAAGTTAAAGTAAAAGATAATACTATTGCGTAGATCCTATTGAGCAAGTAAGCAAGGTAGTTGTAATATTCACCTTAGTGATTATCCTATAGTACACGCCCGGTAAGGCGTCGTGATACAAAAGAATGTTATAGATTTGCGCTCATTCTTCTCTTCAATATTACTTTCGAACTTTGAAATTCCTGTTGTTTTTAAGAGGAACCAATTTTATTTAGATTATTGAAGATCCTCCGTAGTATGATAACATTCGCGCTCTGAATAGATGTTTTAGCAGGTTTTCTCTCGTGGAAGTTCCTATTTATTTATGGCTTATTGTAAAATAGAAAGAGAATATTTGATCATAGTCTTCAATTTTAATTTTACAATGCATTGCTCTATGTTCCAACTTCGCCCTATAATCCTCCTCTTTCTCCCATTCAACTATGCTTTATTTTTTATCATTTAAACGTTAAGCATTGAATTTTAGATGGATTAAGATTAATGCATTAATGAAATAATATCAAATACAGCAATTTCTCTGGGAAATAATAATAAATAAATCAGTTTCTTTATTTACTACGGAGTAGCTCGACAGGTTTCGGAAATCATATATACCGAGTTACAATGAGAATGATGGAAGTTGAACTTCCCTTCTAGTATGTTGATATATACGGTAGCAAGAAGTATTGAGGACTACAAGGATTAGCGATATTGTTGCATCGTCGTATTTTTTCTTAAAGGAAAAATAGGGTGTAGAGAAACAGGTTGACATTTACAAAACATGGAATCCAAATCTACGGGAATCGTTCGACATTCTCAAGGGGAATTTGACATTGTAAAGATTTACAAAAAATTCTTGGAAGATGATCCTGAGATTACCATGCCCGTAGCTGCCATCGAGGCTCTTGTACAGTTATTGTCACGTTCTCAAGGTTTGTAAAAATAGAGGTATAGAGCAGGAATGCTAACCCAATCCAGCTAAGACAATTTCAGAGTTTATGGATATTCTGCAAAGTGGATCCAATGCTTTGAAGAACGGCGTAGAAAACAATATATCATTGTCTGCTGGATGCGATATTTTTCAGCGTTTCGTTACTCGTTCTTTACACGATGTTGGGGTATGGTTCATGTTGATGGCTTGAATATGCATCCATTGTATACTAACTATACTTCGCGTAGGATTTCGAGCAATGTAAACGTCACTTAGTGGAAAACGGTAAGCTGTTTATTCAACGTGCTCGTGCTTGTCGTCAAACCATTGCAAACTTAGGTTATCCTTTAATTCGTGATGGAAATGTTATTTTGACTCATGGTTTTTCTCGTGGTGTAGCAGCCATCCTTTTAGCTGCTGCTAAGCGTCATGTACGTTTCAAAGTGTTTGTAACCGAATCTCGACCCAGTGGTTCTGGTTGTCTCATGGCGGATACACTCCGTAAAGCTTGTATTCCCACTTGCATGGTCCTTGACTCAGCTGTGAGTTTTACCATGAATCGCGTTGATTTAGTACTCGTGGGCGCTGAAGGCGTGGTAGAAAACGGTGGATTAATTAATCAGATTGGTACCTTCCAGCTCGCAGTATTCGCTAAGCATGCTCACAAGCCATTTTACGCAGTTGCTGAAAGGTATGTCTTCACTCAAGGAATATGCAAGAATCAGTGTTTGCTAATCATCTCTTTAGTCATAAGTTTGTCCGAATGTTTCCACTTTCTCAATACGATATTCCTTTTAGTCAACCGATCCTCGAGTTTGACGATCCCTCTCCCGAAACTCTTGGTCCCATTCGAGATATCGTGCCCACACCATCCGATGCTATTCACAATGAATTAATTATGAACGAAGAGCAAATTAGAAATAATCCCACTTTGGATGTCACTCCTCCAGAATTTGTTTCAGGATTAATCACCGATCTTGGAATCATAGACTCCAAGAGCGGTGTTAGTGAAGAACTCATTAAGTTGTACCTATAAAGATAAGGAAAAAAAATTCCACATCTCATGTTTAATAATCTGTTGGGTTCTTTTTGGATAGATAATGGTCTTCAAAATATTGTTGGAAATGTTATACCTTTTGTAAAGCGATATACCTTAAAAAAGCATGCTGAAAAGAAAAGGAAGACAGTTTTTGTTCTTGCTTCTTTTTTTTTTTTTTTTTTTGTGGAACGTGTATGTAGATAATTCATGCCAATTTTGTTCTACAATGGAACATGTCTGATGTATACGATGAATAAAATTTAGTAAATCTATAGCTAAAAATATTTTATTTTTTTGGATTTTGTGATACAATTTAGTTGACCTCAAGTGTAGGTGCTACAGTGTAGACTTTGCCAGTCAGTAGACTTCCTCTTAGGGTGTCAAGATCGAGAATGTCATTTAAGAGAAAAACAGCCGTACAGACAACACCGATAGAATTGCCGAAAGGCGTTCGATTATCACCAAAAGACGCACGTTGGATAACTAGCTCAGGTAGTACGTCGTTTGACTATTATCTTTTGGGAGGAATCCCTCTACGGAGTCTACTAGTTGTGGAGGAAGATTCCACCGATTATTCTTCAGTTTTGTTGAAATTTTTTGCTGCAGAAGGACTTTTACAGGACCATGCTGTTTGGCTAGGACCTTCAATGGGCGAACCGTGGTTTCGTCAACTTCCCGCCGAAAATGAGCGAGCAGCGAAAAGTGAGGAATCTAAATCATCAGAATCATCTTCTTTTTCTAATTCTGCGCAACAAAATCGAATGAAAATTGCTTGGCGATACGAGAATACCTCAAAAACCAAAGTCCCTGCCCCCGATGCAATTCCCCCAGGCTTTACTCATGCTTTTGACCTGACAAAACGTTTAACGATTGGTTCTAAGATGATGAAAGCAGTCTCGCCTTTTCCGCTTGAAACAGGCTCAAATCCGTTCATCCCGGTTTTGGAAAGTCTTACCAGATTCTTAGCTTCGTTGAAGCCAGGAACCGTATGCCGACTTGTTTTACCATCTCTACTTTCCCCTGCCTTTTATTCCATTCGAGCAACACAGCCACAGCACTTTATACGCTTCATCCATTCACTTTCGTCTCTCATAAAATGCACTACCTCTGTGCATATTGTTTGCATGTGCTCAGTTCCCTCTACCTTATTTTCCAGGGATTGCGAGCAAGTGTATTGGTTAGAGTCTTTGGCCTCAGGTGTCTTCTCTTTGCACCCTTTTCCCATCACGGAAACCATCAATGGTTTGGCCACTCAACCCCAAGGGCTATTTAGGATCCATAAGCTTCCTCTTCCTTTGCCTTTTACAAACACAGATAATTCTAGTGAGGCAGGCGATCTTTCGTTCACAGTATCCAAGAGAAGATTCACTATTGAGCCATGGGTTCTTCCTCCTCTGGACGAAGAAGAACCTGAAAAGAAAACAAGCAATAAAGATAAGTCTCAGCCTTCTTTAAAATCAATTGAATTTTAGTGTTTAATTGTGTTAGGGTTGGCTCTCTGGAGACCAATTAGCGTTTTGGTTTTGTGTATACGTTTAAAAATGTGAAAACTGTTTTGTTTCTCTTAATTGTATAGTACGATTTTGGTATTGTTAATAAATGAATAAAGTTCAAGCTTTTGCTAAAGTATCCTCTTCTAACTTCATTCAGTATTATTCTTGTAAATAGCTGTTTGTACAATGCTTCTATTCATCGCTTTGATCTACCTAAATCGTTTCCGTTGTTTTTGCTTCCTCTGATTCTTTGAAGGTATCCTCTACTCAAGTTGACCCCAACACTACCGTACACTAAGACGAGCTGCATCAGCGGAAGTCGAGTTTATATGTTCATAGTATATGTACTTTCTTCAGCAAGATACATGCTGATTTGGTTTTTGTTTATTACCAAAATAAATATAATAACAATGTCACCTAATATAATATTGCAAATAATTATAAACTTTGAGTAACAATAAAACATGCTACTTTGTTGAAGGCAATGTAAATAAACATTGTAAAAAACGAAAAAAAAATCTATAAGTAGTATACGATAGATGCGTGCACGATTCACCATATCAAAAAACAAAAATTGCTTAAGAAATACATTCTCAGAACTGAACCGGTGAACAATGATGAATAGTTGCAAAATTAAATATTTTGGTATCTCCATATTCGGTTGAAGCATAAACATGCTGCTGAATTTTACTATTACTAAATTCTAAATTTAATTACTTTCTGACATATAGATTTTTTTATTCTTTACCATACTATTTCGTTTTACTATGTGACTTTGTGCAGAATTCGTACTAAGTACAACTCAATACGATGATGGTTGTTGACTTGCCATGTATACCCTTCCAAACAAGCAGCCAACTTGTACAAATTGACAAAAATTCCAAGTAATCCTTCGTTTTATAATTATAAAGATTGGATTTTGTTAATCAACTGCTGACTGAAAAATTTATCATAAATATTTAGATGACACGGAATTATGGCATTTTCATTGACGCTGGTTCAAGCGGATCACGACTGCAAGTTTATTCATGGACGTTTTCCAAAGATGCAGACTCAAAACAGAAAACTAGTCTTCCGCTGATAGAACTTGGGGATGGTAATGAAGGAGACTGGTCCATCAAAGTACAACCGGGCATATCCTCATTTGAACAAAGACCAAAGGAGGTTGGACAGAAACACATAGAAAAGCTGCTTGATCATGCTGAAAAGGTCATTCCGAAAGATAAGCATAAAAGCACGCCCGTGTTCTTAAGTGCCACGGCTGGTATGCGCCTTCTACCTCCGAAAACGCAAAAAAAAATAATGTATAATGCATGTCAGTACATAAAAGACGAATATGATTTTGCACTTCCTGATTGTGAATCCATGATTCGGGTTATTGACGGGAGAGCTGAAGGTGTGTACGGTTGGTTGGCAACAAACTATTTGCTTGGAAATCTTGATTCGCCTTCTGAATCTTCAACAGGATTTTTGGATATGGGAGGTGCAAGTGCACAGATTGCCTTTGAAGTTTCCCCCGAAGTACAAAAGGACTACAATGATAGCATCAGTACGGTATTTTTAGGTTTGGATAATGGTGAACAGAGAGGTTATCCTCTTTTTGTTACTACTTGGCTTGGTTTTGGTACAAGCCAAGCATATAATAGGTATTTAAATTCTTTAATTGAAGAAAATCGCAGTTCTCCTTCCGATATTATTGAGGAGCCCTGCTCACTTCGCGGGAGACAGTATTCCAAAGATGGACATTCTTTCCTCGGTACTGGCGATCTGCAACTATGCCTGAAACGAACGTATACGCTTCTTAACAAAGAGGCACCCTGTTTACGAGATCCTTGTGGCTTTGACGGCATTTCCATTCCGCCAATTGATTTTGTTAACCACGAGTTCATTGGCGTTTCGGAATTTTGGTATACGACAAATGATGTTTTCGACATGGGTGGAAGCTATCATTTTCCCAACTTTTACCAAAAGGTAGCAGATTACTGTGCTTCCGACTGGGAATCGATGCTTTCACGACTGAACAATAACCAACTATCTTCCTCTACAGATGAAAGCAAATTAGAAAAACTCTGTTTTAAAGCTTCTTGGGTGATAAATTTTCTGCATGAAGGTTTTGGTTTCCCTAAAACTAATACAACAGATACTGATGATCAACGTACAGACGGACTTGAAGTAATACCGGCGTACCATTCTCATTTTACAAGTCTTGAAAAAATTGAACAGACCGAAGTAAGCTGGACACTTGGTCAAGTGCTTTTGTATTCATCTAATCAACAATTCCTTCAAGACCCGAAATATGCAAAGTATCAACTAAATACATTCGGAAAGTTGATCCCCCCTAGAGGGTACTTCCAAAGTAGTTTGAGTGGATTTGTCCCTGTCTTAGGTGTTTTCCTTTTCTTATTCATTTTTGGCTTTTTATCCTACTTGTTGACTAATAATCCTAAGAGAAGGTCTAGGATTAAAAATTTTCTGCTTCGATTTAGTGGTATGAAGGGCAGGTATATTGTAAATGCCCACGGTGACTACGAAGATATTGAAGATTTTGAAGATGATATGGAGATGACGAACTTCTCAAAGTCGAAGGCTGCTCCCATTCGCACTACCTCTAGCCATATTCTCGCTGATCATTTAGCCTTTAATTTTAGTCGAGAACGAACACCAAGATCTCCTTTGCCTTAATTTGTTCTCACTGAGCAACTATTTTGTCGTAAGCTATTTACACTCGTTCTTCAATTTAAAATTTCCGTGATACGTATGCACTTCACGCTAAAGACATACATTTTCTTTCGTTCTTTCTACCTATACAGCCTGCGTTTATTTATTAATCCCTTTTCCGTTTCAATAATTCTCCAATGTCATGTTTAATACTGTCTTTTAAATATGATTAATACTTAATTTGTTTCGATTTTCTTGTAACACTTTCCTAATTAAGCTACGGTTGTCAGTTGCGATTGAGTAGTATTATATAGTTGTAAACCATTTTGTTGTTTAACAATCTAAGATTTTCCTTTTGTTCATTTTACCTTGTTCTTCCTAGTCTATTCCTTCAATCGTGTTTTTAGAATCCATATGGCTTGTCTGAAACTATTATGACAGCTTAGCCAGAAGGATAACAAAAAGCATATGAATGTAAAAAGCAAATCGTATTGCCATAATACCTGAGGAAGGGAAGAGGAAGGATTGAATAAATAAGAGCAAAAGTCATTAAATTATGGGAATTCCCGGGTTATGGGATGAATTTAGAGATTGCTTTAATGAAACAAGTAAGTCAAGTTCATGCGAAACAAATCAGAGCGATATTATGCTAAAACATTAATAGATCTTTTAGAAGTCTCTACAAATCACTGGACTACAGAAAAACGATGTTTAAGAATTGCAGTTGATGCAGCTATATGGTCAGTACAGATTCAGGCTAGTCAAGGTGGTACCAATCCGGCATTAAGGACACTGTTCTATCGACTTTGTCATTTACTTGAATGGGGTATTCATGTTATTTTTGTGTTTGATGGTCCAAACAAACCTCCTTGGAAAAGAAATCGCCATATCCGAACAAATGTCTCAGGAACTTACGAAGCGATGAAGCACCTCATTCAGCTTTTTGGGATGAAAGTATGGGACGCTCCAGGGGAGGCTGAAGCTGAATGTGCGAAAATTCAAAGTTTACAATTGGTCGATTACGTTTTGACGGAAGACGTTGATGCTTTCGCTTTTGGAGCTACCAAAGTTATAAGATGCAGTCCCGCTGAACGTAAATCATTATTCAATGTCAGAATATATGAAATGGAAAGAATAACAGAAAAGCTCGACATCGATCATTCTGGTGTAATATTGATTGGCTTGATGAGAGGAGGTGATTACCATTCAAAAGGTATAGAGCACTGTGGACTTCAAACAGCAATTGGAGCTGCAAAGCTAGGGTTTGGTGATCGTCTGGTCTTTTCTGAACACGTAGATTCTTGGAGATCTCAATTGCAGCACTACATTCGAATAAACAAGTACAACGCTTTTGGCTTTAAACGCCCAAAATTCACTATCGGCCAAGATTTTCCTGACCCTTTAGTGAAACGTTACTATACGCATCCAGAAGTTTCTACCATAGAAAAACTAAAAACACACTTTTCTCGGTTTGATTGGTCTCAAAAACCGGATGCTAAAGCTTTGTATGTTTATGCTCAAAAAAAATTTCAATGGACAAGCCTACAAGGAAGTATAAAGTTTTTAAATAGCATTGCTTATCCTATATTTGTCTTTGAACTCCTTCATTCTACTGGAATGGTCTCAAAATATTACACAGCCTCTCATAAGACAAGAAGAAACAAATCTACAGGTATGATATTAGAAAAACAAATTACTTTCTATCCAAACAAAATCTTGGATTGTGAATGGAATATTGAAACGATCGTGTATGATAATGAAGCGAATACTTCGTTTATGAATCAATGGAAATCGCTTTTAAGAGAGACCACATCATGGATACCTGCCTGCTTTATACAAAATATCACATATCCAAAAATATCTCAGTTTTTTGGACGAACAAATTCTGACTTAGGACGTTTAGTCCAGAAAACCAAGCGACTGTCTTTAGACCCAGAAGAAAGTCGGGATTCCATGCATGCCGAGAGGAAAACAACATCTACTAAAAGGCCGATAGGGCTTCTTCCAACAAACTTGTTTTCGAAACCACGCCCACAATCTTCTCAAAAGTTGTCGCAAGCAACCGATGAATCTTTTACAGATGACGATCTTCCAAAAATCCAGGAGATTCTTCCGAAAAGCTCGGAAAAAACAGGAAAGTATAACGAAAACCAAAATCAAGTCGATAATAATCGTAATGAAGGTTCAATAACTAAATCCAAGGAGCGCTTTTCAAAAGATCAAACCATCAGAAGAATATATATAAGAGAAAGCCTTAACGGAACCTGGAAGGAAGATATAGGGGCAAGCGGCAGGAGAAAAATGTATGAAAATATTCCCATTATTGACTTGTCTTAAATTTATTATTTAGTGTGAACGACATAGGTTTAGAGGGTTTAGAAATGATTAAGACTTCAGATAAAACTGTAATTGATGCAACAACTTCATCCATTTAACGCGTATCCGGTTCTGGCTTGAAGGTTTATCTTCTTTTTTGCTACTAATAATGAAAGAGATCTCTTTTATGAGCATCTCCTTCTGTTTCTCTTTTTCTTTCATCGTCAACGTTCTTTGAGAATGCAGCAAATGCTTCATCCATCTCTGACAAACTCTTTCAATTAATCCAGACTTCCCTGTCTTCTTATAATATGCAATAACGGTTTGGTATATCTTTGGATAAGGAACTCGATCTTTGTTTGATAAATAATACATCCGAGAATATATATCTGGATAACTCATGTTGGTAATACCAGCTGCCGATTTGAATTTGGGAGCAACCGTAGACCAATAAATTATGTAGCACCATGCTAGTTCAGAGAAGCGGATTTTGTACGTTTCTGATAATTCCTTGCATAATTCAACCGCAGCCGGTATGTCACCAAGGTATCCAAAAGCACTGGCAACCGAAAGGATAGTATGTGAAGTAGGGTATGTTGAATTATTTCTTTCGACCAAGCGTTCTCCTGGTTTTCCTTGGCCTATACCCCAGATTCTTTTGAGTAAATCTCGAATTTCTTCTATTTTTCCATCTCTAGCTAGCCCGACAATTAGGTAATCATAGGTTGTCGAATCTGGAGCAAATCCATTTCTTGGGAAATCAATATCTACTGCTTCTAACATCGCAGTTGATACTGGTTCTTGGGTGGGACTTCCTTTCCAGGCGGGACTATTGAATTTATTTAATGACCACCTACACCCTCCATAATTTCCCAAGACACAATTCAAATAATTCAAGCTTGGTCTTAATTCGTTCTTTTTTACAGTTTTGATCACTTTATCTGCAACGGGCTCGTATCCTATATACATAGCGATTCGTAACATGTGGGTAAAATCTCCGATGTTCAATTGTATACCTAGTTCATTGGCATCGTGAAGAAGTAAATTCAGTATCTTTATAGCGGTTTGTTTTTCTCTTTCTGTAAGTCTATTCCCATTGTTGAATAGCTTAAACGAACGAAGAATCAGTTGGAACTCGGCAGGCTTCAAATTACTTAAATTATTGTTATTACGGAGCTTCAAGTAATTTAAAAGATAGAACGAAGGAGTTAATGGCCGAAGGAAGACTTGTGTAGGCCCAGTAACGGCACACTTGAACTTCTGGTCATCTGCGTTATGCAACAATTCCTCAAAGGAACGGGCATGTAAACGTCGGACCAAAGTTAAAGGGGATAATGCTTCAAATCTTGAATTTGTATAAAGAAATCTTAGAATTCGCATTGTTTCCCCATAACCCGACTTCAAAATGGGTAATAATGTTGTAGTAGGTAGAAGGAAGTAAGTACCTATAACCGATGAACTTAGCCAAAAAGCCAGAGAATATGATTCCTCTTGACTTATTAATAAAGGATGTGTAAAAAATCTTCATTTCTAAAATATTCATTCTATAAAAAATAAATAGATATACCGAAAATTCGTGCAGTAATATAGATTCAAAGTAAACAGTCAAGTTTAAAAGACAGAAACAAGGGAATAATAATAAAGTTTTCTTAAAGATATAATAGAGGCTTATCTAAACAATCGACTTACATAACTTTCACTGTACGGTGATTATCGTCAGATTGCAGTTTTGAGTATTTGGTTTAATCAGCCTGTCTCACTTACTTGCAAGATTCTTCAAGGTTAGCTATACGTTTAGAAAGAGTTTGAATTTCTTCCATATTTTGTTCAGGAAACGAAGATGTTTCCAGGTGTTTTAATAGTTGAGTCCACTGATTCAACGAATGGGCTGTGGATTCCAGTATGTTTTCAAGGTTTTTCCAGCGGTTCATTGTTTCAGCTGTATCCAAATGTAAGTTATGCAAAGACTTTAGTCGTTTAAGTAGAGCAGGTACTAGGGCTTGATAATTTCCCGCATCCTGTAAATGTACGAAAAGAAGTTCAGAAAGTAATGCATACTCTTTCTCATCTAGTAAGCCAGTGGGAACAAAACTCGACGGTGATGAAGAATTGCCTTCATAAACATTTTGTTCCTGATCATTACTACCTACCTTCGGCAAACGCTTCTGTATCTCCTCCCAAGTAGATAACTTATTTTCATACAACAAAGGATCCTTTTCAAATGCTTGTAATTTTTCCAAGCAACTTTCAACCGTCATGCTCAAAGGTTCTTTTGCATCGCCTATACAAGCTTCTAAAGTGGATATTCGAGACTCCAAATCTCCCATCTTTAAGGGAATAGCCGGTTCAATACCTTGGGATTGCTTCGTTCTAACAGACGGCTGCTTACACAGTTCACATGTTCCCAATCTAGCATACGGGTCAGACTCAGAATCCATATCCGCAGAGTAGGACTTTTGAACGCCAGACATCTTCTTCATCCATAGTTTATCTAGTAAATTCGATAAACTATCTACTTCTTGCTTCTCTTGAGTAGATTCTGCTTCATCCCATAAATCCTCCAATTCGCGTCGAATTCGGGTCAATCGAATGTAGTAAGATTCATCAGACACACGAAAAGCTTCGCATGGGGAATACGGCTGCTCATCATTCTTGCAAGTAGTCATAGGTTTTGGTTTTCTAGCATTTTGGATAGCTTGCATACATTGTTCCACGGAATATTCCGTTTGAATAACACCTTTTACTTCACTAGATGAAGAATTATCAGAATATTTCTATATCATATGTTAAAATTGCTGTTCGTCTTTGCATATTTGGGATTTGGACTTCATACTCGTTGAGTAGTTTCCGACGCGTGCGCGGGCTCAGTGAATTCAGAAAAATGATCCATATTGATTATAGTTAATTGAATCTCAAAAAATAAGAGAAAATACAAATTATTATTGATTAGATGAAAATGGTTATGATGGCAATGCCCAAGTTCATAACGAACACACAACACAACCCTTACTCAGCAAAAATCTATGGGTCGGGTAAAAGTTTTTTTATTGACATAACGTCCTGGTGTATTTCATCTTCCTTCCACCTTACTTAGGGAAGTTTGTTTTTATTAACTTGCATTGTTATTGTTTGTATGTAAATCAACAGGACTCTCTATACCACAAGTATCCTTACTAGCCTTTGATCGAAACTAAACCTGGTTTACCCTGCATTTCTTCTTTACCTTCCCTTTTCATGTATCGTTTACTGTTTATCCTTTTCACATGTCTGATGATTATTGCAACGGGAGCCGAAAGCTCTCACACGAATAATTGGGCAGTGTTAATATCTACATCTCGTTTTTGGTTTAATTATAGACATGCTGCTAATGTTCTTGGGATCTACCGTTCGGTAAAACGACTGGGAATTCCAGACAGTCAGATAATCCTCATGATTGCAGATGATTATGCATGCAATTCTCGAAATCTCTTTCCAGGTACCGTTTTTGATAACGCTGATCGTGACATGGACCTTTATGGAGAAGATATAGAAATAGATTACAAGGGTTATGAGGTGACCGTGGAAGCGTTTGTTCGTTTATTAACTGAACGAGTATCAGAAAATACACCAGCTAGTAAGCGACTGCTGACCAATGAGCACTCTAATATTTTAATTTATATGACAGGACATGGTGGTGACGGTTTTATAAAGTTCCAAGACTCCGATGAGCTCAGTTCTGAAGATTTTGCTGATGCTTTAGAGCAGATGCACCAACATAAGCGATACAATGAGATCCTATTTATAGCTGATACTTGTCAAGCGAATTCACTGTACAAGAAGATTTATTCACCAAACATTGTTTCCATTGGTAGCAGTGAAATTGGTACTTCATCTTATTCCCATCACGCAGACTCAGATATCGGTGTAGCGGTGATTGACCGTTTCACGTTTTCAACCTTGGAATTTTTGGAAAATCGTGTGGATATCAAGAGCAAATTAAGTATTCAAGATTTAGTTGATTACTACGATCCAGGAGAGATTCGATCCACTCCAGGGGTTGAGTCCACATACTCACAAAAAGGCTTGGACGAGGTTTTGATTATGGACTTCTTTGGGAATGTTCGTGATATAGAACTTCACCAGGAACCTACAAAGTGGATTCTACCGGATGAGCAAAATGATAGTACGCCCAGCTACAAGGATTCATCCTTTGTTAGAGAGTCCCCTCCTAATATAACAAAACTAGTCGATGGGAAAAACCGAGGAAGAAGCATCCCTTTACGTTTACATAATTATTCATATTCAGATATGTTTTCCGCTAGCCTCTTTTTATTAATTCTGATGCTTCCATTTTGTTTGCAAATATTTTCAAAGAAGAAATGATGAAGCAGCATTCGCGGAAGCATCACATGTTTATCTAATTTTTATGAAAGCTCCATGCAATAGGACTTCCAACTTACACATTGGCGAGCGTTTAAAATAATGATCTAATAAACTAAATTGAGAAAAGGAATAATGGTATAAGTCAACGATTGACCATATACAGCTTGCAAACAGTAGTCATAATGTATAAAAAAGTTAAACAAACAAGGAGTCAAGACCCGTTAACAACAAATATAATCTAAAATGATATATCTAGAGTTTCTGAAGCTTGGCTATGTTGATAGCATTCTCAAGATCACTTTTCAAATCCTCAACATTTTCAATACCAACGCTGATACGGATTAAGTCTTCAGGCAAACCGCGCTGATCACGAACATCCTTCTTAATGGAAGCGTGACTCATATACGCGGGCATGCTAATTAAAGATTCAACGCAACCGAATGAAACAGAAATATGAAACAGCTTGGTGCTTTCTACAATAATCTTGGAAAACTCAACGTTGCCGGTAACAATAGACATAACAGCACCTGGGCCACGAGAAAAAGAATTAAAAACAGCTGTAGATTTACAGTCGGGGTCTAAACCAGGGAAGTTGACGAACAAACCCTTGGATTTCAAAAATTTAGCAAGTTCAATAGCATTTTGCTGAGCGCGTTCGACTCTGATACCCATAGTTTTAATACCACGGAGTAAAAGAAAGCTTTCAAATGGAGCCAAGCCTGCACCACAAGCATTGATGTTGAAAAAAACAGATTTAGCCAATTCATCACTTCTAGTTGCAATAGCACCTCCCATAATATCGTGATGACCGGAAAGGAACTTTGTAGCAGACTCATAAACAATATCATAACCAAAATCTAAAGGGTTGCAAAGGATGGGAGAAAGCATAGTATTATCCATAACCAACACGGCATTCTTGGCCTTTTCACGAGTTATTCTAACGATGGCATGAACATCGCAGATTTTAATAAGAGGATTTGTTGGACTTTCGACTAAAACGAGGGCAGTGTCGGGTCTCAAAGCAGCTTCAAAAGCCGTGAGATCCCTAGTATCTACATTAGAAACTTGGAATCCATAATTAGCAATGTTGAGGTTGAGCAATCGATCGGAACCACCGTACAGATCGTCACCAGCGACAATGTGAGATCCGGTCTTGCATGTTTTAAGGATCATGTCCAAGGCGGACATGCCGTTGCTGGTGACAAAGCAGTGCTTAGCCTTCATAAGCTTGGCCAAGTGAACTTGAAGGGCGGTACGGGTGGGATTACCGGAACGAGTATAATCGAACTTTCCCATCTCGTCCAAACTATGCTGCTTAAAAGTAGCAGATTGGTAAATAGGGACCGAGGAAGCATTGAACTGATCTTGGTTGCCTTCGACGCGAAGCAGCTCGGTCTCGAGAGAGTATTTAGAATTGAAATCCATACTGATTGTCATTAATTCAAGACTTTCAGTGTGTGCGTGACCAACGAAACCAAAAGTGGCAGCAAGAAAAGATGGTCTACAAATTTAACTCTTAGCGAATAGTTTAGCGAAAATGCAAACGATTTATTGCAAAAGGGGCAAGCCAATTAACTTTATAGATTACAAAAATAGGCAGACAAATAGGAGGCCTTAGATGTCTTTTCAGATTTATGAGTGGCTTTTACTTAGGATAATGTCTCTTTTAATAGAAAAATTAGGCAAAAGCAGAATTTAAAAGATGAAGATTGCGAATTTCTGAGCTTTCGTAGTGGCAAAGGAACCGATGGATCTCGTTTTTGATAATCACTTTACAACATAGTGAAGTGAACAGAGGAAGTAGACAAAGATGCTGAACGGATAAATTCCACTGTACTTTATATAGCAAAAAAAAGTGTATGCTCAGTACCCAAGAAAAGAAAATCCGTTAAAAATCGAAGCATAATTCAGGGGGTCTCATTTATCTACGATGCACGTAAACACTCATTTTGTTTTGTACAGCCTGGCCTCTACCGTGGGTTAAGCAAATTTGATAAACGAGATCGCACAACAATATGTCATTAGGATGTGGTAACCCAAGTAACCCAAGACAGACATAAGAAGATAATAAATAAGTAACCATGGATTAAAATGGATATTCGCAAAAAATCATAATTGTTAAAAACTGTTTTCATGGCTTAGCAGAGGGAGCCATCTTTTGTTCTTGAATTGTTTCGTCGAGGAACGCAGTTTCAATCATTTCAATGTTTCGTACGTTGGTTAGATTGCTGTTTCAAAAAGAGAAGTATCAAGAACTAGTTGATCATATACCGTCTTCATGCACGATTTTCCATTGTACCTCTCAAGAAGGATTATTTAAGCAGACGACGGAGTAGATTAGTAGAACAATCTATATCAAATAAATAATTGATGAAACTAACATGAGATTTCGCTGCAACAAATGAAGGATGAATTCCACAACGAAAAACTCGAATTTTCTTACGAAACTAGAAGAGTTAGAATCAGTAAACCATTGAGAATAGATACAATGGAGTTTTAAACTAAAGAGTCTTGTTTTGAGGGTTATTTGAATCGTCGCGTTTTAAAGACACTCCCCTTCCAATTCGTTCACAGACATTGTTGGATTGGGCCTGTTTGCTTGCCTTTTCTATAGTTTATGTTTTAATTTTTTCATTCATGTCGTTTTATATAAGATTATATCATGAAACAGAGAAAATGCAATCTAATTTAATTCTTTTACACTGGCGCCTATATGGTTCAAGAGACGATGATTCAACGCTTCACGCGTAGAAGAAAGACTCATGTTCCTTCGATTACCTTTTAGTTTACTATTCCGTATAGAGAGTCTGTTGTATATCCTTAAACGGAAGTCAGTATGTTTTCAAAAAAGGAAAATACAAAAAAAAGTAATAAATATATAAAAACAAAAAATAGAAACGTTTAAAAAGTTAACTCAATAGCGCTTCAATCTCTCTCTTATTACAATGTGTGATGCCGAAAACTGGCAGCGTACTGTTTTGGTAGAAGAGATGAATATGAATATGCTCCAAATATGACCAAGGGAAATCTCATTATTCAAACAACACGCAAAGGCCTCTATCGAATTTTTAAGGATCCAAACAAAATATAAAAGAAAATATCCAAGAAACAGTAATCCCTTTTTTGTTTCTTCTATTTCTTATATTCATATGAACAGAATATTGTTTACTAACGTCATGGAAGCAAGTATGGTATTTTGGATTGCAAACGAGCTCGAAGGTACTCTACGTACTTGAATGAATATGCAATCCTCGTATACCGGTTTTTTTGCTTGTATATATGAGTCTCGTTTTATACCATGCAGAATGAGTTGAATCCTCTCTTACTCTCTCAAAATTCCATTCGATTTGCTACTCGAGTTGCTATATTCTTCATTATCCGAGATGAACTCATCGAAGCAATCACCTGGAAACATCCAGTGAAATCTTTGTGTTTGGGGCTAACAATTACTCTCCTCTACTTACATCCTGTTTCATTCAGTGTAATATTAACCCTGATTTTTGTTACTATGATGCCTATCAGCCTGACCCATGATGTGACAACCAATTTGCGCGATTTGCAAAATTTTATGGCTTCGTATAGTTCCTCTTATGATCAATTGGTCCATTTTCGTCAAAATTATTACCACTATATCTCCCCATCCACAATCTCTTCCGTGCTTGTAATTTTTTTAATCGTCGTCCCTTTACTGGCTTTTTTGAGGATTTCCATAGATCGTTATTTACCAGTTGGACTATGGATTATACTCATTGCCTTGCATCCTCACTTTCGAAGCTCTTTCTCCAATTGGTATTTCATGAGACAAGACAGACTTCCTTCGTTGCAACTCCGGAACGAAGTGGCTCAAGTTTGGAAGCATACCGTGGAAAAAGAAGGCCAAACTATGACTTTTTATTCCTCTTCTCCCAAAGACTCCGAACTTCCACTTGTCCCTTCCCTTGAACTCATTGATCCTCCTGTCAATTATAGCTGGGCTCCTGACAGTTCCTGGACATTTCACTCTCCCAATGAATTTCATCGGTTTGTATATTGGAATCCAGAGCCTGTCAAGCTGAAGCGTACTCCATCTGTACGAACTAGTTAAAACTATGCTCATTATGCTTGCATATTTTTTTCAAAGAGCTTGTATACTACTCTGATTTTTTTCTTTTTTTTTTTTTTTTTTGAACACCCTTAAAAACCTAATAATACACTAATTTTCTCAAAGTTCCTATTGGTTCGGTTTTGCATAAACGGTTTAGGAGAAGATTCCTAATACTATATCCGATTTATATTTTAATGAATTCATGATTATTTTACCATATTATGGAACATGTGTCTAAAGTTGAACTCTATTGAAGCACAATAACGAATCGAGAACATCAGTCAAGAAAAAACATGTCCAAAATCAAATATATTTCAATAGTATACTTGTAATATTAGCTGCATTGCAGAAACAAAAAATTATCAAAAATTCACGTCGACTAGTAAAGCCTGCATACGAACTCATCAAAGTGAGTTTCCTCATAATAAACTCGCTTTTACCAAGTAACTAAAATGAACGCATTAATAATTTAACAATGTAAAGAATAAATTGAACATACCCTTTTCTGTTAATGACGGAAGTATTTCTAGAGACAATGGTATATCGTACAACCCAATCCGCGCGGGCTCGAGCTGGTAAATTAGGCCAGGCATGACGGATCACTTCCGTGATTTCATCTTCGTTGATGAGTATCGAAGGATCTGAATGAAAGAAAATTTTTAAATGTTTCTGTTCGGCGTATTTTGTCAGCTCGGAAGGAAGTTTGCATTCACCTCCATTATTCACTTGAGTAGACTCGGGTGAGATCTCTACATTAGGAATTAACCGCTCCAACTCTGGAACACCGAACTCACTGACACCTAAAGTCTTTACTTTTCCATCATGAATTTTTTCTTCCAGTATCTTCCAAGTGTCGATCCAAGATTGAATCTCTTTTTGAGGAACCTCGTCAATGGAAGAATATACCCGTGAATTTGAAGAACTATTTAAACCTTCTTTTGAAAATACTATATGGGGGAAGGAAGCGACCAGTGTCGAGACACTATGGATTCCAAACAACTGACTCAGATAAAAGAACACCTGATCGGTGGTTTCACGCCTGCCATTAAGGCTATCATTTTTTCCATCTAAAAAAAACAACTTCACTAGTACACTTTATTAGATTGAAAACTCAATTCTCCTCGTCGTTCCTTGTACCAAACGTACCAATTATTTCATAGTCATCAGCTTTTCCATCAAGATTTTGAAGGGAATCATTTGGAGCAACGAAGATCTTAGTTTGAGAGTCCACCATGTCTCTAGTATTCTTTAATTCTTGTAAACTGCCATTTTCTAATGCCTTGATCAACTACCAAAACCTTTAGTAAGTTCTCAATTGTTAAACTTTTGCAGACGTATATACGTAAGCAAAAGTTGAATTCGTCTTACCTCTAAATTGGATACCGAACGAGAAGCATTCCAAATTCCAGACTTCAAATTCTTAGTCACATCTCCAGTGCATAAAAGAAATTGCTTGACGTCTGAACATCCCATCTCTGTTATTAAATGTACAGTAGTACTTTTTAAGAAAAAAAGAAAATATTAATTAGTTAATAAATATGATTGTCAGACTTCTTTCTCCTCAATAAATTCCACAAAGACAACAGATATCAACGTATTTTTATTATATTACCTCTGTGCCCGTATCCAAATGTTTAGAATGGTTTGAAAAGCCAAAAAAAATATAAAAAAAAACTTTCTGAAAGTCTGCACGATAGAAGTTTACAATCCAGTAGTACGGAAACTGATGATGGGAATTGCTTAGTTAACCAAAACGCATGGCATTTCTTCTCCATAAGCTTAGTCATTACTTACACTTGATTAGGTTCCCCATCCATTATTTATTTATTTTTTTATATAATTATTTAAATTAGATACTTAGTTTTTTTGTAACACTTCACTTTAGTATCAAAACGTAAACATGATGGAATTCAGTACCTTTTGAGATCTAAATAACATCTAGCAATTTCATTCCTTGTTATAGTTTCTCTAAAAGTACAAGACTTATAAGGTATGGATAAGCAACTGTTAACAATGGTATGGTTCTAAATTTGAAGGCTACAGAAGTAGTCATAATATTAACAAGCTACTTAACATATTGCTTATTCAAATATTGATGGTTCTACTCCCATTACAACCGCTTCTTCTTCGAGGAAATTCATCCATCTTTGAAATAACTCGCTCGCCCACTTCACAGTATTTCCGTCTCCAACCACGCATAAATGTCGTTTTGGCCGCGTAATTGCGACATTTAAACGTTTTTTCTCTGATAGGAAGCCGACCTCGCGGACATCATTACTTCTGACCAGCGAAAAAATAATGGCTTCCTTTTCTCGCCCTTGCACTCGATCCACACTTCCCATTTCAACCTCTATGCCTCGTAGCTTCAACATACTCCGGATTAAAGCAACTTGAGCATTGTATGGTGTTACAATGGCCATATCCTCTTCTTTAAGTCCAGCATTCATTAGCTCTAAAACATGATGGCAGACTATTTGAGCTTCCCATTTATTACTTTTACTATCTTGGTATAGAGCAGAACCCATGTCTTTATCATCGTCTTCATGATAATTTCCATCGGTGTCATAAAAGTATATGGGTGCATCCGTCAACTCAGTTTCTTCAACATATGGTAGATGCATTAGCAAACGCTTCGCTACGGAAGGCGCTGAAGTAAGTTTTCCATCATAAAATGTATTAGAAGGAAACTTATTGATGAGCTCGTGCATTCGATACTGGACATTCAAAAAGCATTTAACTTTGTCTCCTTGGATTTTCAGTAATCTCTCAAACATAGAGCAATAAGGTTGCTTTATTTGCAAATTCGGCGAAAGTTGCATATGGTCTCCTGCTAAAATCGCCTTTTTGGCACCTAAAAGTGCAATCCAACACTGCGGTTCTAAAGCCTGTGAGGCTTCATCAATAATTACTACATCAAATTTTTCATTTCTTAGTTGTCGGGATCCGGCTCCATGTAACGTGCAAAAGACAATATCACTTGCCTTCAAACACTCTGAAACGTTTTGAGATTCGTAACGCCTATAATCTTTTCGAAGTTCTCTCACATGTTTAAAAATTTCCCTTTTTTCTTTTCCACTCTTAGTTTTTCTGATTTTGTTAAGTTCAGCTTCTATATCTTCGCTAATACCATTTATAACTTCTCCAAAATTCCCACTTCTAGATAAAAAATCCAGCGAATGATTCAAGACACTAGGCAGAAGACGTGCAGGATGCCCTAGCCGCACCATCGGTATTCCATATATACTAATGCGATCCACGATATTGTCAACAGAAAGATTAGAAGCACCGCAAACCAAGACTCTTTTACCTTTGTTCACGAGCTGACGGATAACTTCTATCAATGTATGAGTCTTACCGGTTCCAGGTGGTCCATGTATAAGAGCTAACTCTCGGACGCCCAAAGAGAAACGAACCGCTTCTTTTTGACTGTCGTTTAGTCCATTATTAAAAAATTTCAACTCGCTAATCATATCTTCGTCAAGAAAGGTATCAGCCTTCCTCTTTCCTGTCAATGTATAAAACAAGGGCATCCGGTATTCGGGCAAATTCTTCTTCCATTCAATCATAGTATCTTTCATTCTCTCATAGGTTGTACGATTAGCCAACTTTACTCTAATTCAATAAATTAGTATTACTTCAACAAAAACACTTACATTGACAAGCCTTCAGCTAAAGAAGGAACGTCTTCTTCCGAATTGAGAGCAACTGAGATACTTTTTTCTTGAACTCTTGTGATAACGCCTTCCGAAGAAGAGTCAGTTCGTTTGCTTTTATCAACGGATTTTGATGCTCGAGTATCAGACTTCCCTCCTCCCTGGTTCAATCTTACTACATCTCCTGGGGAAAACGAATTCGCTGGTAAAATATCTGAATTACTAAATGCTGGGTCTCTCTCTAATTCAATTATCCTATGTTTGTAAACAATTAGCTCCACATAATAACTTACGTTTTCCCTCCAAAACCCGTCCGAATAGAACTCAAAGCAAGATTAATTAAAGCAATTCCGTTCTTCTGAAGGGTCGGTAAAGGGTACTTCTGTAGAAGAGCTTCTGCTTCTTCAATTTCAACCTTTTGGATTTTTTCAATGAACTGAAGTTCTTTATCGGAATAATCTTCAATCTTACATCGTTTGTTAATAAAACAAGGAGCAGTTATGTTATTATTTTACCCATGTTTCCTCAGACATGCTTTTTCAGTTTTCCAGAACTTCAAGACTTTATTGATAGACGAAATTTGAAGGAATTTACAATGAAAGTATTCCTTTGGTGTCACACTTAGCTTTTTGAATTCAAATTTTCCAAGTAATATATATATTTTCCTTTTTTTCGTACAATTTTGTGGTCAAGTGGTGGTGAATCCAAATAACGCAGTGGAAGGAAACTCAATTTTCAAATAAACGTTAGAGAATAATATCTTTCAAAATTCAGCTTTTGCACTCTACCAACGCTCAAGGGGATGGACGAGTTGATTGAGTGGGTTGTAATATACCCTCAAATTTTTGATATTTTGGAGCATATCAACTATGTTCCAAAAACTCTTTTGCAGCGAATTCGCTTGCATCGCTCTTGGTCAAAAGTAGACTACGATTTGTGGTTTTTGTACGCGTCTGATGAAAAACGAAAGGACTGCAAAATCGATTGTTATGGGCAATTGTACTCATACGATGAATTTCTTGTGCTTGAAGATCAAAGAATTGCCAAATTAAACGAGCTAGCTAAAGCTCGCAGTCCAAACGAGAACTCTAACTTTTTACGACAATTATTATCAAATGCAAAAGTTAATCATGTTCCGCTCGTTGAATTGGGTGGTGAACTTTTCTTTCAATTTAATGAATCTCTTCCTACAACTCTAGTGGAGACAGAAAGCGTTAAAGAAAATCTATCTCGCGTGAGTCCTTTTCTTGTGAGAAAGCAGCCTTTGCTCCTGGCTGGCCCAGAAGGCATGGGAAAGACGTATTTTATTACTCAAATTGCTGCCTTACTTGGACAAAGAATTGTGCGTATCCACCTCACGGACTCTACCGATCCTAAAATGCTGATAGGAACGTATACTTGCCCTCGTCCAGGTGAATTTGAATGGCAACCGGGTGTTTTAACGCAAGCTGTGAGACATGGGAAATGGCTTTTGTTAAGCAATATTGAAAAAGCACCTGCTGAGGTTTTAAGTATCTTATTACCTTTGTTAGAAAAACGACAACTTGTAGTTCCTTCACGAGGGGAAACTATTTATGCAGCAAATTCTTTTCAAGTTTTTGCAACCAGCTCTACAAACTCCACTATATTGGGACAAAGACTTTGGAAGACTATTGAGATGGTTTCTGCTCCTCATGAATGTGTCGAAATCGTTTCAACTATCTATCCAGAGCTTTCTACCATTTCCCGAACACTTTTTTCTGTTTATAACGATATTTATGAGCTATTTTCAAACAGAACATTCCTTGCAGTCTCTAGGGTGTACCGGCGGCTATGCCTTCGCGATTTCTACAAATTTATGAAACGCGTGGCTTTTCTTTATAGAAATTTCCATGTGTCTGTTGGTCATACAACAATTTCGCAGGAGCTGCAAGATGCTATTTTTAAAGAAGCTATTGATGTATTCAGTGCTTTTATACCAAATAAACAAGGTGTAGATAATGTCGTGCGTAATATTGCTATCGACTTAAATATATCACCTGAAAAAGCCGAGCATTTTTTTGAAGTTATTCCTTCTTTTCATGATTCTGAGAGTGCAGTTACGGTTGGCCGATCTAAATTGCCCAAGGTTTCATCCAGTGCGGTTTCTACCAGTAATCCATATGCTTTTACTTCTTCCTCATTGTCATTACTAGAGAAGATTTCTGTTGCCGTTCAAACTAATGAACCTTTATTACTTGTTGGTGAAACAGGTACTGGTAAAACGACTACCGTGCAGCTGTTGGCTAATTTGTTGGGCCAAAAAGTTACTGTTATTAATATGTCCCAGCAAACAGAATCCTCAGACATGCTTGGTGGTTATAAGCCTATAAACATTACTACACTGGGGCTTCCTTTACATGAAGAATTCATGAGTCTGTTTGAGACAACTTTTAGTGTGAAGAAGAACATGAAATTTGTAGCAGCAGCTTCTACTTCTGCCAGAAGATTTAGATGGAAGACCTGCTTAAAAATATGGAATGAGGCTTTATCCCTTTCCAAATCACTTTTTTCTAAGACGCGGAGTCAAGAAAATCCTATGAAGCGTCAAAAGAGATTGGCTAATCAACCAGCTTTAGAAGCTCGTTGGAATAAGTTTAATGAAGAGGTTGAACAATTTAGTAAAATGCTTGAAGGCGGTTCTAAAAGTTTTATGTTCTCTTTCGTTGAAGGTGCATTGGTTAAAGCTATACGTTCAGGGCATTGGGTTTTGCTGGATGAGATTAATTTAGCATCCATGGAAACATTAGAGCCTATTGGACAGTTATTAAATTCGTATGAACCTGGTATTTTACTAAGCGATCGTGGCGATGTTAATCCTGTCATTCCTCACCCTAATTTCAGATTATTTGGTTGTATGAATCCTTCAACTGATGTAGGTAAACGTGAATTAGAAACTTCGCTTAGGTCTCGGTTTACAGAAATTTACGTTGAATCTCCTGATAGGAACCTTTCAGACTTATTATCAATTATAAGCAAATATATAGGAACTCTTTGTATTGGTGATGATCACGTTATTCGTGATATTGCCGAGTTATACCAGATTGCCAAACGCCTTTCTATTGATGGCTCACTAGTTGATGGTGCAGGTCAAAAGCCTCATTATACAATCCGTACATTGAGCAGAACTCTTTGCTATGTTGCGGAAATTGTACCTATTTATGGTCTTAGACGTTCCTTATATGAAGGTTTTTGTATGTCGTTTTTAACTTTACTTGATCAAAATAGCGAAAACCTATTATACAAATATATTGAACGTTATACACTAGGAGAGCTGTCGGTTCAACAGAAAAATGCTATTCTTAGACAGATTCCCAAACGACCGGACGTTGGTGACTATGTCGCCTTCTGTCACTATTGGCTTAGAAAGGGTTCATTTCCTGTCAGAGATCAGGAGCACTACATTGTAACTCCCTTCGTCCAAAAAAATCTTCTTAATATTACCCGTGCTTGCTCAACTAGGATGTTTCCGATTTTAATACAGGGTCCTACATCTAGTGGTAAAACCAGTATGATTGAATACATAGCAGGTAAAACAGGTCATAAGTTTGTGAGAATCAATAATCACGAACATACTGATCTTCAAGAATATCTTGGATCATATGTAACCGATGACAAGGGATCTTTGGTATTCAAGGAAGGTATCCTCGTCGAGGCTCTTAAAAACGGTTATTGGATTGTACTTGACGAGCTGAATTTAGCTCCCACTGACGTCTTGGAAGCACTGAATCGTCTTCTTGATGATAATCGTGAATTGTTCATTCCTGAAACCGAATCTCTTGTAAAGCCCCACCCTGACTTTATGTTGTTTGCAACCCAGAACCCGCCCGGTGTTTACGCTGGTCGTAAGCACTTATCCCGTGCATTTCGAAATAGATTTTTGGAAATTCACTTTGACGATATTCCTGAAAATGAACTTGAAACAATTCTGCATATGCGTTGTAAAATAGCTCCGTCTTACGCCTCTAAGATTGTTCAAGTATTTCGTGAACTCTCTCTTCGTCGCCAAAGCACCAGAATTTTTGAACAGAAAAATTCTTTTGCTACCCTTAGAGACTTATTCCGCTGGGCTTTTCGTGACGCAGTAGGTTACGATCAACTCGCCGAGAACGGATATATGCTACTGGCAGAACGTGCACGCGATCCCAACGATAAATTAGCAGTACAAGAGGTGATTGAGAAAGTGATGAAAGTCAAAATTAATACCGAAAAGTTGTATAGGTTGGATTTTATAGATTCAATTAGATCTGATGCTAACGTAGGTCCCCTTGATAATGTCGTGTGGACCGCGCCCATGATTCGTTTATTCTCCTTAGTCTGGCATTGCCTTCAGGCTAAGGAGCCCGTTCTATTGGTTGGTGATACCGGTTGCGGTAAAACCACTGTGTGTCAGGTTTTGGCTGAATGTCTCTCCAAACAGCTGCATATCGTCAACGCTCACCAAGACACAGAGAATGGTGATATAATTGGAGCTCAAAGACCTTTGCGTAATCGATCACTAATAAAAAACACGCTGCATATTCAACTTTCTGAAAAATTTAACGTCAGCCAGGACAAATATCCTGTTGAAGATTTAATCACAAAATTTGAAAGCCTTTCTCATTCTGAGAAAGCTGATGACTTATCTGTTGTCATCGAGAAGCACATTAAGAAGTTTAAGTCTTTATTTGAGTGGCACGATGGTGCTCTTGTTTCAGCAATGAAAGGTGGTGATTTCTTCTTGCTTGATGAAATTAGTCTTGCTGATGATTCTGTACTTGAACGACTTAATAGTGTTCTTGAAATTTCTAGGACTCTGACATTAGTTGAACATAATGATGCTGCTGTTTTAACTGCCAATGAAGGATTCGCATTTTTTGCAACTATGAATCCGGGAGGTGACTATGGAAAAAAGGAGCTTTCGCCTGCTTTAAGAAATCGTTTTACAGAAATTTGGGTCCCTCCTATGACTTCTATTAATGACATTCTTCAAATCGTAGAAGGGAAATTAATACCTATGAAAAAGCATCTTGGTGAGCCATTAGTACATTACGCTTACTGGCACAGTAATGTTTACCAGAATGGTACTATTATATCAATCAGAGATGTCCTATCGGCGGTCGATTTTATTAATTCATGTGAACTTAGCGACGATATGGCTACATTGTTTCATGCCGTTTCAATGGTATTTATTGATGCCTTGGGTGCTATATCTGCGGTTGGTTTTGGCAGAAACAAAAATGTGCTTTTAGATGAACGTAAAAAGTGCGCATCCAAGTTGGGATCACTTTGCGGTAGTGATTTTTCATACTCTGTTACTGACGATTTGATGATAAGATTTACAGAGTCTTCTTTCTATATTGGTGACTTCGGTATAAAGTTAGGATCTAATGTAAATCCTGATACCAGTTATAACCTTAGCACGCACACTACGAAAGTTAACGCTGCTAAGGTCGTTCGTGCTTTACAAGTTCGAAAACCAATTCTTTTAGAAGGTAGTCCTGGTGTCGGCAAGACAAGTTTGATATCGGCTTTGGCTCGAGAATGCGGTTATCCTTTGATTCGAATCAATTTATCCGACCAAACCGATTTAATGGATCTTTTTGGCTCTGATGCACCAGTCAATGGTGGTGAAGGTGGTCAGTTCGCCTGGCGTGATGCACCATTTCTGTCTGCAATGCGTCATGGACATTGGGTGCTTCTTGATGAATTAAATTTGGCTTCGCAAACTGTATTGGAAGGTCTAAATGCTTGTCTCGATCACCGTGGTGAAGCTTATATTCCGGAATTAGACAGAGTATTCAAAGCACATCCAAATTTTAGAGTCTTTGCAGCACAGAATCCACAAAGCCAAGGTGGTGGCAGAAAAGGGCTTCCTAAATCTTTTGTTAACCGATTTACTGTAGTCTATGTTGAGCCATTGCTGCAAAGTGATATGCTTGAAATAGCTAGCCAAAATTATCGCCAGGTTGATGAAAATATGCGCTTCCATATCATAGAGTTCATGTTTAAACTTCAGGAGTATGTTGAAGTTGATGCTTCTTTTGGAGCTAGTGGTAGCCCATGGGAATTTAATTTGCGTGACGCCATGCGGTGGTTACAACTTCTATCTGAAGCCGAAAAGTATACGTGTGTCTCTCCATCTGAGTATTTGGAGGTCGTGGTATTACATCGAATGCGAACTAGTAATGATCGCCAACGCGTGATTAGACTTTTTGAAGAAGTATTTGATGTTAAATACGAACCACGCTTAATTAGTTCTGAGCTAGATTCGAATGTTTTGAAAGTTGGTCATTCTTTTTTGAATAGAAGTTCACTCACTCAGAACACGTCCTTAGACAACACCAAGTTGTTGCAATCCCAATACGATGTGCTTGAGTCTATGATTACCTGTATAAACAAAAATTGGCCTTGTATTTTGGTTGGTCCATCTGCTTCCGGCAAGACTCGCACTATTCGACTCCTTGCAGCTGTTTGTGGCGTAGACTTGAAGGAGATGGCGATTAATTCAGAGATAGACACCATGGATTTGTTAGGTGAATACGAACAAGTTGATATCTCTAGGAAAATTTCTGCCTTTTTGTTGCAATTGTCCCATGATGTATTAAATGTCCTTATTGAGCATGAAGAGATTAAGGAAATACTTAAAGGGACGTCCCTTTTAAGAGTTTTAGGAACCAGCTTTGTAACACTGGATGAAGGATTACATTTATTGGAATGGGTCATAGCCGAGATTCGATCTATTCGACATCATACCATCGTGTTCAAACACTTGCGACCATATTTCACACATGCAGGCAAGTTAATTAAAGAGGCATCTGTACCTGCAACAGGAAAATTTGAATGGATAGATGGCTATTTACTGAGAGCAGTTGAAAACGGTCACTGGTTGGTTCTTGATAACGCCAACCTTTGCAGTCCTGCTGTGTTAGATCGTCTTAATTCTTTATTAGAGTCTGGTGGTACTCTGACTGTCAACGAAAGACCGACCGAATCCGGAATGCCGAAAGTCATCAAACCCCATCCTAATTTTCGACTGTTCTTAACAGTGAACCCTTATTACGGAGAGCTATCAAGAGCAATGAGAAATCGTGGTGTTGAGATATACATGTTGAATAATGATCCAACTCCTTTGGATAATCGTCAACTTTCCGTTTTTTCACCTTCCCCTATCTGCTCTGCCGTGGACGCTGAGTCATCTAACTTATCTTTTGTTATTGATACTCATAGACGTCTGAGCGAGTTAGAAACAAACCTGGTGTCTCCATATGTAATAGCAGCTGTTGTCTTCAGCTATTTCTCAAATGGTCAATTGGCTTGTCTTAAAAACCTTTTCGACGACAAGAAGACACCCTCACTTGAGAAATTACCTTACATAAACGCATTGCAACAGGCTGATTTCTCAAATGGTCGAATTTCCGATGAAGTACTTAAATATATTAAGACATATGAGTATCCGTTGTTGTTAACATCTATGAGTCTTGTATCTATCATGAACGATTTCACGAGTATTGCTTCCTCTGACTGCGGCTCTGAAGTATTCTGGAAAGCTTATTTGCTAAATGTACTTTATGCGGCGCAGTTTGACTTACAGCATATTAATCAAGAAGTTTATTCTTCTGTGCAATCTGGCTCTATAAGTACTTACCTTTTAAGGAGTGCATACGCGTTCTTACATGGCGTCTCGTACTACAAAGGTGCTTTATCATCAGTTTGGAAGCTTTTGAATGACCTGAGTGTTTACATCTTCAATTCAATTGACAAATTACGTAAAAATAGTTCGTTAATTAGTGTCGACGACCTTCTGAATTTCCTTAATTTAATTGCACTGTGGAAAAGCATGTATGAATGGACCGGTACTTTTGAATTCGATTTCAGTAGGTTCCATTGTTATTCATTATTGCTTAAAGAATGGTCAACTAAGTTTGTTGCTGATCATAAGTCAAAATATTTAGATGCCCCCCATGGTCTGATTAGTAAATTCTCTGAGACGCTGCAACTATCAACCGGCGAATATATGCAAAATATTTGGTCCCACTACCATCCTTTGGTACCCAAAACGAAGGAGCACTGGTCATTATGGTCAAAAATTGATACTTTGTTAAAAGAATATCTACGTGCAAATACTCCTTCTTTAGGCATGGAAGCTACAGCTTCTCATGTCGTTACCACTACTCTATCGTTGCTTATGAAGGTGATACAGCAACATGAATCCCAGGATTTGGATTCGTATATGCAAATTTTGGAAGAAGGTGTCTTAGCACTAAAGAATTCTAGACAGGAACAGCTTCCCGAAGCCTTTTATTCAGCATTCAATTGTTTAGCTGCTTCGGATCTCCTAACAATATACACGGCCAATATCAACAACTTTAATGTTTCTTCTGAAGCGTTTACAAATTACGTGCACGCTGCTCTTTATACGAGAGGTACAGTAAGTCCATTATCCGTTATAACCAATCTCAACTTTAATGCCTCTCAAATTCCATTTGCAGTCCTTTTTGACTATGATTTCTTTTCTTTAGTTAACGGAAATACATTTGACTTACTCACGCGTGCCTTTGCTTCAATTGATGAACATTTGAATATGGCTTCTGTTAGAAGATATGAAGATATGCACCAAACATTAACGAGGCACATTACTGAGCGTTCTATGCGATTTTCTGAAAATCCCATAGAAAGAGCTGGTATTTTACTGTTGCAGCGGATTCCATTCTTCATACTTACCGAAATCAATTGTGATAGACTCTCAGCGGATGAAGAGAGGATTTTAAAAGCGTTGGCATTGCCATATGAGGAGCTAAAGAATAACTGCACTTCATATGTGGATGAACTAGTGCGTTATTTTGAAAATAACACACGTTTTAATGCGTCCTATATAAATCATATATTGAATTCCTTAGGCTATTTACGGAAGTCTCTATCGACCACCAATCATGAGAATGCCTGTAAGGATCAGGCCGCTGCTTATATACATTTTTCATGTGGTTTATTACTTGCCTATGTTCCTGATAAGCCATATGATCCAGCACTTCTACCTCTGTTATCTTCTGCAAACTGTACGGAGGTATTGAATTCGCTTTCCGGAGAGCTGGAAATTGTGAAACTTATGGAAGTTAATAAGTCCGGCAAGGAAGACAACCTATTGACCAAGTCAATTTATTCGCGCATAGAGGAAATTAATAGGTCTATTCCCACTAGTACAGGTGTTTTCCGTTCTCTTGAAAGTAACAGTACCTCTTTGTTTGATGAATTGAGATTTTTAATGGATAATGTCGTTAATAATTCTTACGCTCTGGATTTGTCAATAAAGCTAACGCAGAGCCCGGACAACTCAACTTTAGAGGAAGCCAGAATTTTCAAATATAAGTGGACTGCTTTCGTTGAAAGACTACGTGAAGCATATCCTCAATATACTGACATATTTGAAATTGTTATTTCTTTAATCAGTTACATCGTTTACGGTATTGATATGCTGGTTGCACAAGCTAAAAGGGTCCTAGACCATCGCGTCGCTGCATCTGCTTCCTTGATGTCTCACTTAATTAGTCCTCAGAAGCTTTCAAAGCCGCTTATGTTCGAAGATGTACAAGATATTATACGATTAACTTCTGACTTGCAATTAAATGCTGCATTGAAATTCGAGGTTCTCTTATTTGCAACAGCAAAACTTTGTAGGGAAAGGAATGACATTCCTAAGTCTTCCGCAGCTAATTCATTTATTGTTTTGGCAAACGAATTTTTTGTATATCACACTAAAATTGTTCAGAAAGAGCAAGAAGAGGAAGAAGAAAAACACAGACTTTTCCGCCAAAGAGGCCTGAACCTTGAGAATAACGAATATATGCAGGTATTTATTAACTATGATGAGGAAGTTGAAGAACAACCAGAAGAAAGGCTTGAAAGAACTAGATTTTCTCAACTTCAATATGCGTTCTGGACCCTTTATAAAAGCTTTTTTATTGGAAATGAAGAAACATGCTCTTTCGAACAGCTTCTAGACATTGGTTCTTATTTGATCAGAAAGTTAGGACTTTCTGACTTTGAGAAGACAATTTCTGCGGACTTCGATATAGTGGCTGCTGTTCTCTGTTTAGGAGTCCAATCTTCGAAGGGTGCAGCTAAGTATTGGTCACCTCCTGTTTACAACTTCTATTTGGATCCTCATCCTTCCAAATTAATTGAAGTACGAGAAATACTGATTGGGTTGCAACTGCATACCAATTCATTACTGAAATCATGGCCTGACAACTTTGTGCTGAGAGGCTTGAAAGAGGCTACTGATTTAACTCTCGGTATGGCTATTTCTACTCCTATAGCACAAATGTTATCCAAAATTGAACGGCTGCATCACTTATTGTCAGAATGGGAGAAGCTTGCCAGTCGACAATTTTCCTTAGTAAGTGACATGGATCTAATTAAAAACAAAATTATTGAGTGGAGACAATTCGAACTTTCGAATTGGAAGAACTTATTATTATGGGAGGAATATAAATTGGTGGAGAAAACATATCCTCGATTATATACTATATTGGATTTTGTGATATTGCAGACTTATTCGCGGAAGTACACTTTGGACAAATCCTCTTTGAACGAAATTGCGTCCGTCATTATGCAATTTTTTAATGGCTTAAGTGTTGGAGAATATCGCCCGTGCCTTAGTAATTTGCTTACATTCACAAAACATCTGGAAGTCCTGGATGAATCCACAGAACTATGTGCAACGCTTCAGCAAATCTATTCTTACCTAAAATTGTTTGAAAGCAATATAACACATTTTATAAGTGTGCAGCGTGACGATTTGGAGAAGAAAATCAAAGAAAGGATATTGTTGATGAGCTGGAAAGATACAAATGTATATGCCCTTAAAGAGAATGCCAGAAAGAGCCACATGGAACTTTATAAGACCTTACATAAGTATAGAGAGGTTTTGCGCCAGCCTGTGACTCCTCATATGTCTCAAAAACTCCACTGGGAAATGCTGCTTAAACCTATAAACGTACAAACAGAAACTTTGAAGAAAGAGGTGACAATCGATTACGCTGCTTTGACTCTTGATAATGCTGTCTATGCAAACCTGCCTGCGCGATTTTACAACACAGATTCAACGGTACGAGTGATGAAATCACTTTTGAAGTTTACGTACCCTGCCGATACTATGTTTACGCAGGCCGTTGATGAAATAGTGAATAGCGCCCATGAATTATTTAAGCTTACGCCATCTACTGCTACCGATGAGAATATTTCGGAAATTAAGCATTTGAAGACCCGAAAGCATCTTCTTATGGTAAACAGTTACAAAACCTTGCATAGTTTTGGTTTTCAATACAGGGTTAGAGCGGGCATAGAGGAAACAATGAAATCTCTTCAGAATTTGTTCTCGAATGTGCCTGCTTTTCCAGTGTCTTTTGGCTTGATTGATGATTTAAATACATCACTTTCGACAGTTCTTGATCTAATTCCGAAAGTCCATCGTCTGCCTGGTAACCAGCACGATGATCTTACTACACCAGAAGTGGCAAGAGCTATTGGGCTTTTTGACAGCGCCCTAAGCTGGTTACTTGAAGAACGTTTGAGTCTAGTTAATTTTGCCAAATCTCTAGAAAGTATCAAGTCTGCATACCGGGGTATTGGAATAGACGGGTCTTTAAAACTCAATTTTACAACCTCGGTGTTTAAACAGGCCGAAAATTTCGATTATATGGACTTTAGGAAATACTTGAGGGAATTATCGGCATTATGTTCAATTTATTCAGTGATTCTGTCTAAGCATCACCAAGTGATTTCAAACGATAAATACGCAGCTGTGTCAGCTCGCTTGTCAGAGTACAGTTCTCAGGTTTCAAGAGATTTGACTAGCAATTCTAATCCTCTCTTCATTTCCGACGAACAGTTTGATTCCCTGACGTCCGCCAAGGCAGCTGTAAATGATTTACTTTATTATAGTAGGGATCGTGCCGCTTCTATGCCTGACGCTTTGTATTGGTCAAAGACCATTTTATCTTCTGTAAAACCGGAGTCAACGTTCGTGCATAAGAAAATTAGTGATTCGGACATTCGTTATCCTGCCTTTGAGAAATTAACAGCTTTATTTGATCAATTATTATCATCAGCAGAGGAAGTTTCTAAGTGTGTTAAATCATTAGAAAGTGATAACACGGACCATACTCTGTCTAACCAAAGTACTTTAATAAATAAACTCTTAACCGCATTCAAGCTTGACTTGTTTGTCTTCAAGTTATCTGATCTTAAGGAGTTTTTTGAAAGGAAAGAATTGGATTCAGATACTGTTCGTCTTTTTATGCACTTTCTTCCTGTATGTGAACAGTACATCTTTTCAGCGGAACAAGCCTTTACATATTTCTTGGTAAAGCATGCGAAGGAATCACAAGGCTTGCATAAGATCGCTTCGTTGTTTTTGATGGTTGCTACTAATGGTTTCTGCACTCCTGATATTCCGCAAGATGAAAATTCTCGGGAAGGTGGTGATTTGGAATCTGGTACTGGTCTTGGCTCTGGTACTGGCGCAAAAGATATCACCGATACTGTGAACGAAGATGACGATCTCGAAGAACTAGCAAATGAAGAGGATACAAATGAACAGGACGAATTAGAGGAAAATTCTGAGGCTCGTGAACTCGATACAGAGATGAGTGGTGCTACTAAAGATGCACCAGCTTCTGACGTCGAAAGCAATTCAGATGATGAAGAAAAAGAACTTGACGAGGAGATCAATAAAGACAACGAGGGGCTCTCTGAAGATTTAAATGAGAAGATGTGGGATGAGCCTAATGAAGAGGAATTGGGCGAAAATGAAGAAAAATCGAACGAACAGTCTGCTCAAAACAATACTAGCGATCTTGTCTCTAAGGAAGAAGAAAAAGAAAACGGCGATCGTAATGAGCTGGAAAACCCCGACAATGATAACAAAGACGAGGAAAGCGATAGCGAGGCTCCTGGTGTTGATGATGAAGTTCAACAAGATGCCCCAGATGATGCGCCACAACATCCGGAAAACAATGAAATTCTTGAGCTTCCAGATGATCTCAAACTAGATGAAGGAAAAGAGGAAGAAGGCGGTGATGATGATGAAGATATATCGGAGGATGTTGAAGATTCTAAGGAATCAGAACAGGCTGACAGAGAAAACGAAGAGGAGCAGGCCGAACAGTTTGAAGAATATGATGCTCAAGATAATTTAGAGGAAGATATAAAAGAAGAGGAAGGTTTTGCTTCTCAAGATGAGAATGCGAATGAGGAAGAACAGGCGAATGAAGTTGGTGAAGCTGATGATACGGAAGAAGCGGAAAATAAGGATTCTCATGAGGATTATGGCGATGATGAACAACAGGAGAATGCAGTTGACGAAGATATTCCTGAAGAAAATTCCCATGAGGATGCTATTGACGATCTCAAAGATAACACGAGTGGACAAGACGATGCATCCAAGTCGACATCAGCTAAAATGGATACTGGAGATACGGTTGATGCTGCTGATGAAAATGTTAGTGAAGAAAATGCAGAAGGTGCTGCTGAAAGCGGTGAGCCAGGAGCAGGTGCTGCTTCTGGAGAACAAAATGATACCGATGTGACAACAGAACAAGAGAACAAGGCATCAGAGGAAGCAGAATCTGCAGACAAACAGTATCAAAGTCTTGGTGATCAGTTACGCGAGTGGCAACGAGCTCGTCAAATTCAAGAGCATCAAACGGAAGATATGGAGAAAGAAGCTGATAATCAGCAGAAGAACATCGATGATGCTACCGACTTTGCTCATATTGCTGAAGATGAAGAAGAAGATACTCAAGCTTTAGGCAATGCTGACAAAGAGCAAATCAAAAGCCTCAATGTCAACGAAGATCAGGATGAAGATGCCAGTGCTCCTGAACCAATGGACATTGACTCTCAATTAAATGCGGACGATAGTAAACCAAAAGAAGATCAAGAAACAGGGTTTGAATCAAAACAGCTTTCCGAAACTACGGATAAGTCTAGAGTTGATGAATTGGAGACAAGGAATGTAATCAATCAGCCTGATTTTGACCGAGACTTAGAGGATTACGGCGAAATTGAAGATGCCATAGAAAATGAAGGTATTATTACAACCACCAAAGAGCCTCCTTCCATGTCAATAGAGGAGGCTCGTGTGCTTTGGCAGCAACATGAGGAATCAACCAGACAACTTTCTATGGAGCTCTGTGAGCAACTTCGCCTAATCCTGGAACCCACTCTGGCAACCAAGATGCAAGGTGATTTCCGTACCGGTAAGCGTTTGAATATGAAACGGATTATTCCGTATATCGCATCCCAGTTTAAGAAAGACAAGATTTGGATGCGCCGCGTAAAACCTAGTAAGCGAACGTATCAAGTTATGATTGCAATTGATGATTCTAAATCAATGAGTGAATCTAAAAGTACCAAGCTTGCTTTGGAGACTTTAGCATTGGTTACGAAATCCTTATCTATGCTTGAAGTTGGTCAAATTTCTGTGATGAAGTTTGGCGACGAGCCTGAATTACTCCATCCTTTTGATAAACCTTTCTCTTCTGAAGTTGGTGCAGACATGTTCTCACACTTTTCTTTTGAACAATCAGGAACAAACGTTCTATCTTTAACTGATGCATCAATGCGCCTGTTCAATTACGCGGGTACTAACCTGCAAGTGCGTAATAAAACCGATCTGAGGCAGCTTGAAATTATTATTTCCGATGGTATTTGTGAAGACCATGATACTATTCGTAGAATTCTTCGACGTGCTCAAGAAGAAAAAGTAATGATTGTTTTTATTATTCTTGACAATGTTAACGATATGAAAAAATCGTCTGTGCTTGATATCAACAAAGTACACTACGTTACAAAGGAAGATGGGACTATGGAACTAAATATACAACCTTATATTGATGAGTTTGCTTTTGAATACTACTTGGCAGTAAGGAACATAGAAGAACTTCCTCAGTTGTTATCTTCTGCCTTACGACAGTGGTTCCAGCAAATGTCCAGTACTTAGTGAGTTCCGTTTCGCTTCTTATTTGTTTTTTGGCTTGAATATATACCAAGAAACGTATATAAATTTTATTAGGATATTTTGGATTGGTTTGGAATTTGGAGATTATAAATTAATTTAATAAATAATCAATTTTATCATTTATAGTTACCAGACGTAGTCATGCTACACTCTTAAAAGGTTCGAAATTTGCCAATAGAAAAACAAAACTATAAATAACTTATTCAACAGAAAATTTCTTAGAACTTGGATCTTTGTTTGCCTGCTGCAACCACATCTTCCTATAGACACCATCATCATGCTTAAGTAAATCTTCGTGTGTACCAGTTTCAACAACTTTTCCGTTACTAATACAAAGAATCAAATCGGCGTTTGTAATGGTAGACAATCGATGGGCAATCACAATGGCAGTACGGCCAGCAGCGAGTCTGTTTAGAGATGCTTGTATGTGACGTTCCGTATTAGTGTCCAGTGCGGAAGTAGCTTCATCCAACAAAATTATAGTCGGGTTTTTTAAGATAGCTCTAGCGACAGCCATGCGTTGTTTCTCACCACCACTGAGTTTTAGTCCTCGCTCGCCTACACGAGAATGATATCCGTCAGGGAATTCAAGAATCCGATCATGGATCTGAGCTGCCTTGGCAGCTTCATACACTTCTTCATTAGAAGCACTCGGTTTAGCGTATTTGATGTTGTACATAACAGTATCATTAAACAAAATGCTATCTTGAGGAACAACACCAATTGACGAACGTAAACTCGATAATGTGACGTCTCGTACATCCTGGTCATCAATGGTTATGGAACCATCATTTACATCAAAAAATCGTAAAAGGATTCTCATAATAGTAGACTTTCCTCCGCCTGATTCTCCTACAAGGGCTATTACTTTACCTGGCTCCGCAACAAAGTTGACATTTGATAAAACAGGTTTACGAGGATCATAAGCAAAAGAAACGTTTGAGAATACAACTCGGCCATTGGTAACCTTCAAAGGAGCAGCATCCTTCTTTTCAACGACAGTAGGTTGTTCTTCGAATATCTCGAGCAATCGCTCTGCATCGATAATACTGTTTTGGAGAGAACGGTATAAAGCTCCAAAAAAGTTAAGAGGCTGTTGAAGTTGGGTCATGTAGGTCAAAAGAACCACAAAATCACCAACTGTATTATATCCAAATGATACTTTATACGCACTTAGCAAACAGGCTACGCATAAACTTGAAGTGAATATACCACCCTGTATGATGTTCAGAACACTCAAACTGGAGAGAACCGTGTTTTCTTGAAGAAGATACTTATCTACAGCATCGCCAAAACGATGATTTTCAAATTCATCAGCATCAAAGTTTTTAACAGTTTCGTAGTTCATAATAGCATCATTTTGGACACCGTAACTATCACGCCAGCTATTAACCATTTTTCTTCTGGCTTCAGTACGCCAGGAGGTGATCTTTACAGTAACGTAACAGTAGCAGAATGTCATAACGAGGACAACAAGGGAAAAATAAACATCAAATTTGACGAAGAAATAGATGATTGCTACAGCAAGGTCCGTAAGAACGGGTCCAATCTGAAATAGCAATTGCTCAACAAACGTATTCACAGAGTTGGCCTTAGTTAACGCAGCCAAAACTTCACCGCCTCGTTTATTCAGGTGAAAATCATAGGATAAACCCAAAACGTGCTGTAACGCCTTTGTTGAAAGTGCGCGATAAGCGTATTGTGAGACAGGGATCCACAGAAAAGAACGCAAAGAACCAACTAAGCCCATATTTCCTTGAAGAAAACGATAGAAAACGAACAGGAGAACTTCAAACCAAGGAACACCGCTGTTGGTTTCAGAAAGCTTTTCGGTGACCACACCAAGTTGTCGAGGAGCAAGAATATTAGCTATTCTTCCAAAAATCAAGAGAAGAACACAAACAAAAACATGAAGCTGCAGTCTTAAATTTTTTACGGGCCATAAGTAAGGGAACAGTATAGCAAAAGATTTGAAATATGCAATCCAAGAGGTATTTTTTTTTGATTTTTTAGCATCACTTCTCTTAGTTGTGTGTGGAAGTGCCTGAGAAGATTGACCTTCAGGTGCTTCGGGATCCAACTGGGTACCACTTTCAAACATTGTCCGTTCTTCATAGTCCATCGTATCACGAGAAGGCCTCTTGCGACGATAGGTTACATAAATAGCAAAGGCAAAAATGCATAAAAGAACACGAGCCAGGTGATCAGCCATAAGAATGCCCTGAAAGGTATCCCCAGGAATTGGTGTGAATGCAAGAAAAACAGACTCAAAGATTGCTTCCGTTAACCAAGCATATAAGACATTAACTCTGTAAGCAGAGAAAAAGGAATTAGTGTACCTTGGCAATTCAGATGTATCTGCACAGCTAATCAAAACAACACCCCAGAAGAGCAGCGACAAAACAAGGCATACAACTGAAGCCTTATGCGGCCACCAATTGGGAGTTCTCAAAGCATATACGACTAAATTAGCAATATCAATTACCTAAGAACAATAAGTTAGTAAGTGGTACAAACCAAATAAGTCGCTCGCGATTGAAGTGCCAATACAATGATGAAATTGACGTGCAAACCAACGTAAGCATGTAAGAGAAAATAGCTGAATATTCTCTACGTTACCATACATATGTCAAAGCAACAGCCAGAATCCACCAAGAGACAATTTTTAATGGTTCTTTACCAAAGCGGCTTTTCCTCGATAAATCCTCTGAGCCATTTCGTTGTTGCTTGAGAGCTTTTAAAGTCCAAAGGCCGAGAAAGCCACCATACAGGCAAGCTACCTCAGCTATATTTAGATGAGGATTATCATACCTCAAAACCATTTCTCAAGCTTTTACCCTTTCTTTCTTTTTTAAAATAAAAAGGAGGTTTAGAAAAAGATATAAAATACAACGTTTTCTTCCAATTACAAGAAATTCTATGTTTTTGTTCGTTTTTTATGGGTTAGGTAATGACGGAGGAGAAAATGTTCAAGCTCGTTTCTAACCACCAAGGGTTACGCACATAACGAAAGATCTTCGTAAGCTATTTATTCCTATATAAAGTACTTATAACAACTACAGTATTCACTAAGTGGAAAAGACAATAAAAGGCATATATTGATATGGTTGATTAAAGTAAAACTCGGACGGTGGAAAGCAAGGAGCTTGACTTATTAGTTAAAAAGTATTTCATCTTTTTTTATGGCGTATTTTGGAAAAAGAAGAAGGAAGAAGGATCTCACAAGCTTTACAAAACATTAATATTAAAAGCTAGTCAAACGAAGAAGAGAGCTAAATTACCCTCCAAAATCACAAAGCAAGCAAATAAATTCGCTCTCTATCACACTTAATTAACACCATCCATCAGGTTTTATGATGATTTCTTTTTTAGAATGTTCATCTGATATGATGTAAGCCTGATCAGATTGACAGCTTGCATTGCAATACAAAATCAAACGAAAAACGACCAGGTTGGGTATAAGAGAACATATAATACATATACGAAGTTTCCATAGTTCGGTAACGGTTCTTTATAATCCACCTAATTCAATCCTTTACTACAATGTCGATAGCTAGGATCGCTTAGTTTCATCTTTAAGCTATGGCGGAATGAATATCAAGAGGTATGTGTTATTAGCTATTGGAACAGAATCAAGTTCAATGCATGCATCATGAGTATGGAGAGTGTCGAGAGGCACTAAAACTTATCGTCTAAAATGAAAGAGAATCGGTTATCATCAATGATCGCTGGAGTTCTTTCCTTTTTCTATTTCCGATTGGTTTCAGTTACTAGGTGATACTCGAAATTCATTACTGTGTAAAAGCATGTGCTGTCAGAAGATACTTGATACAAAGTGAAACTCACATCCTCTCAACCTGGGAAAACGGTAGCCTACTGCTTCTCATTAAACTATTAAACCAACTAGACGTTTAACCTACTATGTACGAAAATTTAAAACAACATAAAAAGTTATTGTGTTTTTGCAACTCTTATTTATTGTTACTTCCTACTACTCAGACTCAACGCCAACGATTTGTAACTTCGCCTTGTTACTTCACCTCTTTCCTCATCTTTTCTACAAAGATTCAAATATACATTGGAAAGGGCGAATATAAGAGATACCACGATAATTTCATGTATATATAAACAAGAACGTGTTTTCAATTCATTCTCTGTAATTTCTTATCAAAAATACTTGTTTAATAGGAGACTTCCTGTACAAGCTTTGCTTGGCTATTATATTTCTACGCGTGAACGCGATTTTATAAGTCTTTAAAGTATTTTTTCTCTTTTTTGTATTCTATTACTGCTTCTCAAAAGTACGTGTCTCCTCGTTTGTGTGTATCTTTGTCCTTTACATCTCTTTGCAAAAGTTAGTCTGCGTTTTTTGGGTTAGTGATTATCAAATTGACTGTCTTGCTTAGCTCTTTTCATGTCGACCCCTTATGTGAATCCAAACTTTTTACGAGGGCTGACTAAGGATAATGTACGGGCCATATACCGACGATGGCAATTCTTGAAAAGTCAGGGTGCTACGGAAGAATCAAATCCAGAGTTTGCACATCTAACATCTGTACTGAGGTCAATACAAAAAATACAATATACTGCTCGTTTACAGCAAATCTCTAAACAAAACCAACTTTCCCAAGCCGAAAATGTTGGGTCTTCAGCTGTCAATGAAACTCCCAGTATAGACCAAAATCCCATGCTATCACATGCGTCGCCAGTTTTGCCTAATGTACGTTCTTCTTATCTGCCCGATGTAAATACGCCTTCATCTGTACCACCAGATGCTTCTGTTAATCTCATGAACACAAATAATGAGGTACCTCGTCCAGATCCATCCTATCCTCTTCAAGGTCATTCTACTTCTCCGAACGCTGGATTTCCCAGTAATTATTCCGCAAATACTACAGACGGTAATAGTATGAATTCTGTAAATTACTATCGCTCTAATCTTCAAAATACGGATACTTCTATGAATACAAATGCTCGTGGTATGATGCCACATCAATATTTTGGCTCTCAATCTATGGATGCAAATTATAATGGTAATCCTCCTGGTGCTCTATATAACAATCCAGTTGATTCTACTTCGCTGGGAAATGGAAATCATTTGCCATCGGCTTCGAGTAATCAAACCCCTTCTTTTGATCATAATCCAAATGTAAATCCTTATACGGGTAAAAGATTTAGTAATGCAGTTCCAATGCAACCAATGTTGGACAGACGAGCTTCTTTATCCGTTAATCCTCGACGATCTTCGACTCCTGGTACATCTATGCCAACTCCACCATATACTAACTATAAAGGAGATAGTCTTCCACCACGCCCTGTTACTTATTCCCCTTCTTTTCCTTCCCAACAAAACTTTCCTACCTCTGGTAATGTTAACACGGAGAACACTACAGTACCTCATCCTTATTCCTATGGACATTTACCAAATTCTTCAAACATTCCTGGTGAAAACCACGTCAATGGAAATCAGTATATGTCCTCTGATAATTCAGTAAACCCCGGTCCTTCCATAGCGTCCGGAAGCCCTCAACTAGCACCGGCGCCTTCAGCTTCACCGAATATGTTATCTTCGGATCCGGTTCCTGCTAGGGAGTTTGCCGCCGACCGTTCGCAATCAACGAAAGGTAGGCCGCAGCTCATGAATGTAGGAAATCCGTACGCATCCTCCTTGGCAAAATCGCAGCCTGTCGCCTTCAACCCTGTTCAGCTTTCCTTACTAAAGAATCAAATTATGGCTTATAATTCTCTGAACTCTCCGTTCGGACAAATTCCACAACCTATTCAAAAAGCTATATTTGGTAAAACTCTGCCTGAGGTACCTGAAAATATCTTGCTAAAGCAGCAAAATCGAATGAAGCAAACAAACGTAGAAGAACCTTCTGTCCCTCTAACATCTCAGAAAGAAACACAACCAGAGGATATTCATTATACTCAGAAACGAAACTCGCAGTCCCGTTTGGATACTGCGAGATTGAATTCTAAGGTTGGAAAAGCCTCTGTATCGCCGCATACCTCTGCTAGGAATAATACCGTTAAACCTACAGTTTCTCCGGTTACGTATTCATCTTGTACCGATCCTAAAAGTTACATTGAGGCTCCTATTTCGTATGAAAAGTTTTCTTCTGCCGAAAATTTAAAACTGGTGCCTTCTTTACTTTCTCCCGGGTTGTCCTGGGATTTTATATTTCGTAATTCGGAAGTGGCTATTGCTTGTTCCGTTGGAAACAGAGTTAATGTTTTGGAAGATCTTTCAGCAACTGAAGAAAATCACAGCTCTTCCGAAAATAAAAGCTTGGGTACAAAACAGATGATTGAACTTCGGTGTTTAAGGTTATTGGAAAAGCAAAGAAAATTACGTACTGCTGTTTCTTCAACGATTCAACAGTCGGAGATATTAGCAGCTGGGAATTTAAGGAATATGTTTCGAACAGTTAAACATCAAAGCTTACAGGAAGCGAATACTACTTTAGCCGTTGCGGAACAGCAAAATAACGCACATGCTCTGAAACAAAAAGAAAAACTGTTATCTCATTTGAGGTCAATATTGCAGCATGGAAAATCGGTATCAAACAAAGCGTCTAACCGAAAGCAAAAGTATTCACAAATGGGCAAAGATGTTATGTGCTTACACACTCACTATGAAAAAGAAGAGAAAAAGCGCATTGAAAAGAGCGCCCGAGCAAGATTGCAGGCATTGCGCGCTGATGATGAAGCTGCCTATCTTGAATTGGTTGATAAAGCCAAAGATAGCAGAATTACTCATTTACTTCGCCAAACCGATTCTTTCCTTGAATCTTTAACTGAAGCAGTAAGAGTACAACAATCAACAATTCATGGCGGTAACACTTCCGGAAAAGAAGAGAAGTTATCAAATGCGACAGCTGAAGATGAAGATGAGCTCAGTATGGATTATTATAATGTTGCTCACCGCATTCACGAAGAAGCTGAGCAGCCTAAAATATTTGTTGGTGGTAATTTGAAAGATTACCAGCTTAAAGGGTTAGAATGGATGTTGTCTTTGTATAATAACAATTTAAACGGTATTTTAGCAGATGAAATGGGTTTAGGTAAAACCGTACAGACTATTGCTTTCATCACCTATTTAATCGAAAAGAAGAATAATCCAGGCCCTTTCCTAATTATCGTCCCCTTGTCAACTTTAACCAACTGGAATCTTGAGTTCGAGAAATGGGCTCCGAGTGTTACAAAAATTACTTACCGAGGACCTCCTCAATTGAGAAAAGCATATCAAATGCAGATAAAAAGTAACAATTTCAATGTTTTGCTAACTACCTTTGATTATATTATTAAAGATAGACCATTACTTTCAAAAGTAAAATGGTTATATTCAATCATTGATGAAGGTCATCGGTTAAAGAATACTCAATCGAAGTTGACGAGTACTTTGTGTTCTTATTATCATTCACAGTATCGTTTGATTTTGACCGGTACTCCTTTACAGAACAACCTTCCCGAGCTTTGGGCTCTATTAAATGTCGTATTGCCCAAGATTTTTAACTCCGTCAAAAGCTTTGATGAATGGTTTAATACTCCTTTCGCTAATACAGGTGGTCAAGATAAATTTGAGCTTACTGAAGAGGAGTCCTTGTTAGTTATTAAACGTCTTCACAAGGTATTAAGACCATTCTTATTTCGGAGACTTAAAAAGGATGTTGAAAGCGAGCTTCCAGATAAGGTTGAGAAAGTTATAAAATGCCCTCTCTCTGGTTTACAATTTAAGCTCTATCAACAAATGAAAAAGCATGGTATGCTGTTTGTAGCTGGTGATAAAGGAAAAACGGGAATGAAGGTACTGCAGAACACCGTCATGCAGTTAAAAAAGATTTGTAATCATCCGTTTATATTTGAGGAAGTTGAAAGAGCTATTGATCCGTCTGGTACAAATTACGATTTGCTTTGGAGAGCTGCTGGAAAGTTTGAGCTTTTAGACCGAATTTTACCGAAGTTATTCAAAACGGGTCACAAAACATTGATTTTTTTTCAAATGACTCAAATTATGACCATCATGGAAGACTACTTACGTTACCGTAATTGGAAGTACTTGCGTTTAGACGGTTCTACCAAATCTGAGGACCGCTCTGATCTTCTATCACAGTTTAACGATCCAGCCTCTGACATTTATGTTTTTATGCTCAGTACCAGAGCAGGTGGCTTGGGGTTGAATTTGCAAACCGCTGACACTGTCATTATTTTCGATACTGATTGGAACCCACACCAAGATTTGCAAGCACAGGATCGTGCTCATCGAATTGGTCAGACAAAAGAAGTTAGAATTTTGCGGCTTATTAGCGAAAAGTCTATAGAAGAAAACATCCTGTCTAGGGCTCAGTTCAAATTAGACCTTGACGGTAAGGTTATTCAAGCCGGAAAATTCGATAATAAATCAACCCCTGAAGAGCGTGAGGCATTCCTTCGTTCTTTGTTGGAACATGATGGTGAAGAGGATAATGATCTGGGTTATAGTGAACTGCAAAATGATGAGTTAAACGAGCTTATTTCAAGGACGGATGATGAACTTGAACTTTTCCGTATGATAGATCAAGAGCGTGCTGTAAACGACATTTATGGAAAGGGAAAGGCTTTAGATCGCTTGTTGTCTGTTAACGAACTTCCTGAAATTTACAGAGCTGAAGTTGATCATGTCGTAAAGGATGCATCCGAAGATATTCCTTTTGACGCTGGACGTCAAAAAAGACAAAGAGCTTCTGTAAGTTATGCTGAACCAGGATTTGAGGATACATATGAAGAAGGAAGCAAAAATGATATGCCGCGACGACGTGGTAGACCAAGGAAAAAGCTTGCTTTGGATAATCTTAATTACTCAGGACCCTTAGTTTACGAATCGCGTTCAAGCAGGAGGGTAAGTGAAGATCCTTCGACACACAAGTATGCAGCTCTTCAAAGATGCTTAAAAGAGATATATGAGAGCATCTTCCATCTTCAAGATGAGACTGGTCGTTTAGTCAACGGTTTATTCTTATATCCTCCTAGTCGTAAGCTATATCCGGATTACTATGTTATTATTAAACATCCAATCGCACTTGGTAAAATTGGAAGGAATATAAAAAATGGTAGATACACAGAGTTGCAAGGCTTGGTTTCGGATTTTATGCTTATGTTCAGCAATGCTTATACTTATAATGAAGAGTTTTCTCCTGTATATGAGGACGCCAAATTTATGGAACGAACTCTTACGAGCATACTCGAAAAATTCGAAAGAGAACGAATTTTTGAAAAGTACGAAAAGGAAGAATTTGATAAATTGAATGTCGGGCCCATGCTTGATCTTGAGAAAGACCATATAGAAACAGAATCCAATATGGAGCTTGTCACTAACGATAAGGAGTTCGAAATCGATCAGGATTACGACGATCTGACCTCCGAAGAATAATTCTTATGTATATATGGTACGAGTGACTCGATATTTGAATTTTAATATTCTTAATAATGACAATGAAGCACTATACAAAGTCGGTTTACAAAGGATTGCATTTTCTGAAATACATGCCAAAAACTAATAAATCATGGAGAAAGCTTAAAATTTAATATAGCTTAAGATTTTGTTTTAATAATCTATTAATGTTTTGAACACTTTATTTCAACCTAAATCTTTTTGAGTCTTAGTAATTGTGAAAGCCATTGTAAAACTGTTTTAATAAAATGACTTAATTTACCCGCTTGCAAAATTCAGTAATAGGCTTCTGCTTTGAATCGTAAGTTGTACTGCCAAGATTTCTTACTCTTCGAACACCACGAAGATGCGAATTTAAGTTCATCTCTATAGTTGTATTACCCTCGAAATCAATAGCTACGGAAGTGTAGGAAGCATTGCTCCAAGGAAGTATTTTAGAAGGAAGTGGTGTTCTAACAGCTGCTAGGATAGCTCGTAAAAGAAAAGGTAGAAAAAGACCATGTGAAACGATGACTACTACATCTGAAGCATCAAATCCTGAATCTTCTGCTTCCATCAACAAGCTTTCCGCAAATTCGCGAGCTCTGTGTAGTAACGAATCACGATTTTCCAAACCCTGAACTCTCATAGGCGGTTCATGGGGTCTATAATTGGCAGTATATCTGAAGGAGGTGCCTTCTAATGACCCTAAATCTTTCTCACGAAGCAAGCTGGACGTAAAAATGGGGCAATTCATGACTTTAGCAATTTCCTTTGCTGTCCTCTGAGCACGTATTTGAGGTGATGAATATATACAACGAACATTCTGTTCCTTTAAAGATTTTGCAAGCTTTTTTGCTTGGTTATAACCGTGAATAGTCAATTCGCTGTCAATACTTCCAGCCCTTATCCCACGAACATTGTGCTCAGATTCGGCATGTCTCACAAGTAAACAAGTGAATTTCGTTAATTGAGTACCGGATGAGTTTTCATTAGCTGTCGAGAAATTGTCCCTAATTGGACTGATCAATCGCCAAGACTCTGATTGTTTGCGCAAGGAAACTTCCGCTAATGGTTCTTCTTCTGCATAATCAAAGGGACTCAGCACAGGGCTATGTCCTGAAGATTCCATCTCATTTGATTTGATCTTTAGTGAACACCTAATATTTCAGCGAAAATTATGAATCCTATTGAGTCAAGACAGTAAAGCCTTAACACGAATGACACCGATCCAGAATTTGATATCTAATATATATTTTCTTTCAACACTCAGCTTAATGAACTATTGGATGCTAGCGGAATTAAACACAACTAGTGTATCTTCAAATGTCGAGAACGCTTATATAACTTTTCTTTAAATTCCATTACCAGACGATTCTTAATTCCAAGATAAACTATCCTTGGCTGGTGAATCCTTGAAAGTTGTCTAAATGAGAAGCATACTAAATTTCATGCTCATGTTAGGTAGAGAGGCCTTGGAAAATATTACGCCAATGCCGTTCGTGACGAAAAAGATTATTACAAAATCTTTCCTAAAGTAAGTACTGTGTAACTTGAATGTTATATTATTCTATTCTGTGGAAGCACCACGAAATCATGACTGTTTCCCCGGTCACTTCCTGTTCATTGACTGAAGATTCTTCATGACTATATAAGACGAATGTGAAGTTAGATCAGTTAAAGATTGAATCGTGGTTCCTGTAGCTAGTCTGGCTATTGAAGTGTCTATGAATTTTCGGTATAAGATATCCACAACACTCAAAATTTTTTATGATATGTAATTTGACAGAGTGAGAATCTAATGACATTCATGTCCTCCATCCTCTTTCCAACCATCTGCTAATAGAGACTCTACTAGAGGCACTAGGATTTTGACAAATCTTGCTTGTCTTCAAGTCTAAATGTCTAGCAGGGTTGGTAATTATCACTATACAAATAGATTACATTCCTATATGTTTTCAGAAGAAGCTCTAGGATCAAGTTGAGCTCTTCATCGTAAGCTTTTGTCTTGAGTTGAGACATTCTACAACTCGTCCTTATGAGATTCACTCTTTCGACGGTTGAAGGCTCATCTAACCGTTTTTCAGTCTCAACCTTTCACTTTATTTAAAAGAGAAAAAGAAACGGGAAAGCCTCCATGTCACTCTATATCTGAACTGAAATAATGCTTGAGTTCACTTGTATGAATACTATGTTTACCAGCAGTGAATAGTGCACTATGAAGAAAAATTTACTTTTTAATCTAATTCTAAAAAGTAATATATTGCTCTATTCGAATCTCATACGCTTGCTTGAATCGTTTAGTTGCTTGTATTACAACTTATGAACTTAATATGCACATTAACCAAGAAATATTGAATTTTATAAAGTAAAATTTGACTAGCTTATCATAGAACTCGAAAAGAATGGGGATTATAATGGTAGAGTTACACCTCTTCCTACGAAATAGTTTGTTTACCCACAGATTCAGTTATATCCTTTCACACTATACTTCAAGTCAACTTGAAACCACAGAATTTACATCGTTACAAGTATATATAGGGTTTTTCTCCACTTTTATCGTTAAGATTGGTATAATTGTATTCCAATTGCTTTGTATCCTACGGCATTGCTTATCAAAATTGTTTTGTTGAACTGGAAGAATAACTAGAACCTTTATAGAAGTGTTTATTATTCATGGATGTATGTAATATATTCAGTACCAATTTTCTAACTAGCTTTGGTATAGAACACTGCAGTTGAACCCTACTCTTCATCCAATATAGGACCGTTAGGAAAACAGCATGAAGTAATTGAAGAAAAAGAGAATTTGAGTACTATTCATGCAACGTCAATGGAATCCTCGAGGTCTTCTAAATCATCAGAATCTTCTTTAAAGGAAATTAGCTTGGATTATTCGTCTCCCGGTCTTCAGCCGCAGGCAGCTATTCCAGAAGAGACGAATTCTAACTATGCTAATATAAGTATGCTTCGGCCCACTTCATCTGGAGCCCATGGAAATAATGGCACTCATTCCTCAGTAGCGGAAAATCACTGGTTTGGTCAATTTCGTCCTGAGCCTTCTCCATCTTCCTCGTTCGTCTCAACGGGATCAAACCAAACCTCTACATCTTCTCCTCAACCGGAGTTTGAGCAACTACGAACTATATTTCGAAGCCATCAGGATCCCTCAAAAGCAATCAACGATTCCCGTATTCAGAGTCTAATATTTGATTTAAATCAAAAATGTGAAAGTGAATCTATCCCTGTAAGCCAGATTGACTGGTTAGAATGGGCATGTTTATCATTGTCCGCTAACGAATATGCTACAAAATCAGATGCAGAAGCCTCAATTGCTACGATTCGAAGTCTCGTATTGAAGAATTTCTGGAGTATTCCTTCTCCCTGCAGAAAATGCGTTTGGCAAACCCTTGTAACTGCAGAACGTAATGAGCTGTTAACATTGTACGCCACATTGAGTACCTCAACAAACTCGTTGGACCCAGTCATAAAAAGGACAATTCGAAATAATGCTTTTCGAGGTCCACTAGAACCATTCAAGTATGCGTCCCCAACTCGTGCAAAGGTGTCTACAAATGGATTGTTCCACGTGCTTCATGCATTTACATTATTTGATACAACTGTCGAATACGCTCTAGATGCTCTTTTGTGGCCAGCTGCGTCGCTTCTGTCGTACATGCCCCAAGGAAACGTATTCCGGAGTCTCGCTTGTTTACTTGGAAAATCTAATTTAAAAGAACTGTATGTTGCCAATTTAAGTACCTCTGATGAACAATTGTACGCCCTTGTTTGGGGATGCATTAGCGATCTCTCGCCAAAAATTGCTTTATCATTGCAGAGGATTAAGGCTCAATCTCTGAGACCTCTATATTCATCTTTAGCTTGTTGTTTTGCTAAATCCTTGACATTGCAAGATTCCTTACGCATTTTGGATCTTGTTTTCTGCTATGGTTTGGAAACCTTCGTTCGTTTACTTGTTGCTATTTTTTTGAAAGATGAGGAAAAACTTCTAAACTTAACGAATTTAGACCAATGGAACCGTTACTTAAATTATGATATTGTCAGTCCTTATCGCTTTCCTACAAGTCAAAAATATACGTTTTATACACGCGCACCTGTAGATGTTGATACATGGATCCAAGACGCTTTAAATCTCCAAATAGTCACTGATCGATTTCCTTCTTACTTATCCTATCATGAAACTGCTATATCACGACAAACGTTTCGCACAAATATGTTGAACGAATTAAAAATTCAAAACAAAGATTTATCTGAAAATATTGCTGAACTGGAAAGTAGGATGGTTATTTTAAATAGGGAAAACACTAAACTTTCCACCGAGCTTTCAAATCATCGTGTTTTAAGAAGTGAAAGTGAAGAAAAAATTGACTACTTAGAAAATTCTATTGCTACATTGGAAGAGCAAGCAAGGAATTTACCGGAGCAACTAAAGAAATCCTTACAGCAAGAGATAATCGTTTTGAAGAATCGAAATCAGAAGTTCGAAGAATCTAACGCGTCCTCTGTACAGCAGATCACTTACCTTAACGAAGAATTAGAAAGAACTTTACGACAACTACATGATTTAGAGAACAAACACTCTCAGTTGCAGGCCAGATGGGATAGTGTTTCGAAGATGTTCAAGAAATAATTTTATTATATTATGATATATTATACATCGATGCATTGCATAAATACACTTCCTTAGAAAACCAATTTTACTTGACGCTAAATTTATTAACCCAAAAACAAAAACGTAAAGACAGAAAGAGTGGACTAGGTCATTTCAATTTCACACCGATTTAATTGCTCTAATACGTGTGAAGGCATACGGAAATCTATTAATGAGCTATACATAACAATTTTCCGTGCCTTAATACGATAGAACTGTAGTTTCGTGTTGGCTACTGAATCGCTGTTATAATCAGACAGTTTTTGCTTTTTATAAAGTTCGTTGATACTTTTCATAGCAACCAGAATAATCCCAGGGATATTGTGAAGCAAGCTGTCATTAAGAAAACGGAATTCAGCAGCTAGTTTACGGACGACGTGAGAATCACACTCAGTATCCAGCGGTAATATTTCCAATTGTTGTAAGGCGGCCAAGACTTGTTCGTAATCTTTGTTAACAAACGCATGAAAAGCTTCCACTGTAAGTAATAGTAAATCTGTCGTTTCTCTGTTTTTATAATTAACCTTACTGTATATAGAAGGGTTCTTTCCATATACATTCATCATGTTTTTGACTAACGAAACAAGTTTTTCGGGAAATATACCTTGATCCATGAAGCCTAACAATGCAGAACCCAAGCATCGATTGACAACAGAGATAACAACATCATAAGCCTCAGCCAAATGATACAGCAAAATTGAATCAGACCATAACCCTTGATCATCAGCAATTTTAGCAGATTGCAAAGTAATTTTTGTAAGAAACTCTTCCTGAGACGAAAGTTTCAATAACGAATATCGACTCTCCAGGAATCCTGGAATACGTTCGCCGTCAGCACGGATATCGCCAACTAAGTTAACATAATCACGGGTATTTAAGATTAGATCTTTCAGAGCTTCATGACAGACAGGAGCATATTCCGCAACTTCACACATACTCGCTAAATAACAAGCAGAAGTGATTGCATCAAACTCCTGCATACCTTTAACATAACCCATTAACATCGCTTCATATCGAATACTTGGCTGGCCTTCAGTATCATTAATGAGTAAAGCATCAAGAGGAGGCGAAGATTTTAGAGAAGCAGTGTGTAGCAAACCATAATGCGCACATGCGATAGCAAAATGGACAGCGTCAGCTGGATAATAGCTATATAAAAATTCAATAGCACGCTCGTAAAGACCACATAACATTAAAAGGAAGAAATACATAACAGGATAAGAGCCTTGCTTAGTAAAGTAATCAGGACCATATGATATCACCAATTTTTGAACATCTTGCAAAGAAAAGCACTCATGTGCAGATACGTTCGTTTCGGTAAATTCTCGTGCAAGAGATAGTTGCAACCAAATATAATCTTCAGTCACGAAACAAACAGAGGGACAAGATGTCTTGGAAAGCTCACAACGACCAATTATTTTATACACGGCATATTTGAAAGGATCATAATCTTCTTGAAAACGTAGCGTTTGATTAAATTCAGAGAAAAGTTTGTTTCGCAATTCTTTGGGGATTATTGAATTTGGGGCTTTCGAATAAGCCTTCAAGTAAGTAGGGAAATCACTAGCTTGTCTATCTTCAAAGAAGCTATGATTTTGTTGAGTATATGTGACAGCTTCATCCAGATAGCCGGCACGCAGCAGATAAAAGATGAATGCCCATACCGGTAAATCCCCTAAAAATTCAATGTTTGAATTTGCCCAAACACCATTTTTTGAGAAGCGAATATTAATGTACGCACGAATTTTATTTAAAACAGAAGGTACGCCGCCAATGGAAGCAGCTTGAGGATTGTTTTCGATTTCTTTATTGACCACATCAAAGAATTGTTTCTCTAAGAATCTCCTGGAGCAATCAATAATTCTTTGGTTCAGACGAACTTTAGATGGGCTATCTTCGTAAAAGGGAAACAACTGGGATTTAGGTCCGAGTAATGGGTCCGAAAAACTATCATAGGAAGTGAAAGAACGTAATAGATTCCAAGTTTCATACAAAAGAAGGGATTTTGTATCTTTCGACAACTCTTTTGCGACATCACAAAAAGACGAAATATAATCTGAACCAGGAGAAGACTGAGAAATGTCGAAGTAACACTTCTTTAATGAAGCAGCAAATGCCTGACAGCGAGCAATGTTCTGGGTTCCTGTTGCCAACTTCTTTTCTTGAGAAACAGTTGATTCTGAAAATTCCCTTACGCCTGGCTTCTTTCCCTGCCACTCGGTTTCGAGATACTTGTCAAATTGAGACTGAGCATCCTGAATAAGGGTCTCGAGTGAACATAAGACATTTTTCTCTCTTTGGTATTTTAAAAACATATCTACGTCTGTAAATGAAAGTTCAAGGGTCGTGGGAGGTTTCGCATGGAGCGATAGTGACTCAATTTTCTTCCATGTTCTCTCAGCATTTATTCCACTTCCCGCAAGCAAGTAATGTCTTATTAAAAGTTAGTAATTATTCTTCAAAAGTATTTCTTCTATCATACGCTTTCGTATTTCCATCTTTACTTGGTGGAATGTGATCATGCGATTGGATCGCGCGCTGTTCAAGCTGGCCTAAGTTTAACTGAATAAAAGGCAGAGACGGTTGTAACAGCTCTCCAACAAGTTTCCTAGATTTCGTGTCCAAAAAAGGAAGCGAACAGGTCGGTTTTTGAACCCTCTCTGGTTCTACAGTCATGACACGGTACAAGTAGTAAACAACAACTTGCATTCTTGCTACTTTCAAATTCCTCCGGAGTCTTCGGTCATCTTTAATGTCATTCACCGAGTTCACCGAACCTGAATTTTATGTATTCTATAAATAAAAAGAATAACTTGAATAAAATAAAAATAACGTTAACATTAATAATAATAATAATAAATGAATTAAAGAAGAAAAAATGGTTCTACTTTCTCTATGTTTCAAAAACGCGTTTTCTTCCTTGCGTAAAAACTAAAGAAATAATAACAACAGCTCTGCTTAGATCCTTTATACTTACAATGAAAATAGTCTAGAATAAAATTTACAAATTAGTAAAACAAGAACCCAAAGATTGAAAAGTAGCCTCATCCTTTTTACTTGGGCCTCAATCGTAAACTTGCATAGATGGAGATACTGGAGTTTATACCAAAACTACTTTAATAGATGTAGACCCTAATAAAATGTAAGTATAATAATTTATTTTGAAGTTGTACGATACATCTCCCGTCTTTTCATAAAGGATTAGGTATGAATTCCTCGACAGGAAGCACGCTATACATTACATACTAAAACATTTGTTAGTAGAAGAAAAAATATAAAAACATACTCTTCCACAGCCCACATCTGAGCTTCGTGTTCTCGAGCTTTCCGCTCATTTTGTCGCTGAAACCATCGATTTTCAAATCCATTACCCCGTATAATACCATCCCATCGATGGCCAGGACGAATATTGAACCTGTTCGGTGGTGCATAGCCTTGGTATGCCTTTGTAGATGTCGTAGATCGTTTCGTCAAAAATGATGTTGCAGGGTCGTTCCATCGAACTTTTTCCTTAAGTTCCTGGTTATATTCCGGATCATCTTCATACCTAGAGAGAGGTACATTTTTTTGCCGTTCCAGCTCTGCAATGTATTCTTGTTGTTGTCGAAGTTGTACCTCACCCTGTTGATTTTCCTTCTGTTGCTTTTTTTCCAATTCTTGTTCAGCTAGCTTTTTCCGTGCTTCTTGGCGAGCGAGGGTAATATCAATACGTTTACCTGTTGCATCACGATAGACAGTTTCTTTACTTTTCCTTAATTCCTCATCTGACATAGCGAACTTCTCCTGCACTTCACTTTCACGTTTCCGCCTCGCTTCTTCTGAAACCTGTTTGCCTGTCACTAAGCCATACCCGGGACCTTGATTCGTTGATTGTTTTGAAGGTTCTAATTTTGGTTTTGTCTCGCTAGCACCTACAGGTTTCCAACGCGATGCTGTTATGGCCGTCGCATCCTGGGCTTTTTGGGCAATCGTATTTTCATCCAAATCTTCTATATGTTCATGATTAACAATTGTTGGTTGATCCTGTGATATAGTAGCTCCCTCCGAATAACCTGCGAATTCATCGTCATTTCTCCATCCAGCAACATCTTCATCTTGAATTTCTAGAAAATCTGAGGATTTAGACTTTTTTCTTTTCTTTCCTGTGTCTTTTTTTAAATATTTCCTCGCAATATAGTCTGCGTTCGACATAGTTGTTTAGTGTAGATATATCATAGTTATGCACGATCCCTTAACCATCTTCCAGTTTGTCAGGGAGATCGCAGTTTTTAAGGCTTTTTAGCGGCAAAATGGACATGAAAGATACGAAACCTTTTTCGAATGTTAAGCAGGAACCTACGGACGTGAAAGAACCCAAAGTAGAAGAGAAGCCTGCGCAAGATGCAGCTACTCCACAAAATCAGCAAAAATTCTTGGATTTTCAACTATCTTGGTGTCCTAAAAATGAAAGAAAAACTGTAAATCATCATTTATTAAAATTTCATTCTAATAAAACCATTGATCCTATGAAAACCTTTGTGCCACCCATCAAGATGCAAAGACGAGATCCCCATGCCTCTTCATCATCAAACAATGAACAGCAATCTGCTGAACCAGGTAGTTCTAGCAACATGGACGTATCTTCTATTGCTCCTTATGGAGGAGCTCAAAACATGAAGCAGAATGCTTTTAAGCGAAAAACCCGCCAAGTGGTTAAGGTGGATCCGCAAGTCCGCAGACTTCAGGAGGAAGAACTTTCGCCTTGGATTATGGAAGATTTTGAAGGAAAGAACACATGGGTTAGTACCATGGAAGGAGGTCAATCCTCTGCTTATGTTTTATTTATGTTCTCTGTAAGTTTATTTTTCGAGCAACCTTCAAAAAGCAAATGCTCGGGTTGTAAGGATAAGTTAGTTTACTAACAAGCTCAGGAAAATGGATTTAAGGTCATTCCAGCAGATCGTTTCTATCGATTTAATCAGCGTAGTAACTTCCAGACTCTCTCTATTGATGAAGCAGAGGCGAAGGTATTGTATTCAACTTTTATAAAGTTTTCTTGTACTAATAACCATTTAGATGAACAAAAAGACACCCATTCCTCGATGGTTTATGAAAAAAGATAATAATCAAGAAGGATCTTCGGAGGGAACTGCTTCACCTATGTATCACCTCAAAACTGTTCCAAATGCACGTACAGTTTCTGGTCCTAGGGCTACAGGAAGTGATGACGAGCTAGATTTTGACGAAGAGTTTGCAGACGATGAGGAGGCACCCATTGTGGAAGGAAACGAAGAGGATAATAAACAATTGGAAGAGAAGATGAAAAAGGAAATGCTTACTGCCAATTTATTCGGTGAGGCTGAAGAACCTAATTACGAAGAGGAACAAGAGCGCCAGATGTCTCATGAAGGCAAAAAGCTTCAGCGATATCTCAAACTATTGGAGAAAAATCTGGCATATGAAAGTGATGAAGAAGATGAGAATCCCTATGCTTCACCCAACGAGGCTAGTAGTGAAGAAGAGGTACTTAAAGAAGAGGAAGAGTTACAAAAGCGTGAAGAAAAGGTTAAATCACGTTTTTCTGCTTCCAAGACTACCACTCCTAAACCTACTGGCACTCCAAGTACAAACTTGAGTCCTCAACGTCCTGTTTCCCAGCTCAGTTCACCTTCTCAATCATTTTTGCAACCCAGACCTTCAGAGCCTATTGTTAAAGGTCCTGGATATCTTGCTCTTCGGATCTCGAGCGAAAAGCTTTCCCGATTTGCTTCTGACTTTCCTCCTCTTCGCCCTAAAATTATTACTACTCCTTCATCGGAAGCGATTGCTGGAGCAGAAGGAGGAGCTAATGCTGGTACTGACGATTCCAATCTTATTACTGATGCTGAAGTCATACAGGCCCTCAAGAATGGACCTATCACTATTAAAGATTTGATTCATTTGTTCCATACGAAATTTAAGGCAGACACTAGAAATCGTACAGTGATTCAGAAAGTTATTCGAAAAGTTGCCAAATTTGAGAACAAATTGTTGGTTTTGAAATGATGATAAATCGTTTCTTGTGAGAGCACTGTTATTATAAGCCACTTTTCGCTAAATACGTACAATTTGTTGAAAAGTACATACAAGAAGCTTGGGATATTTTTGGTTGTTTAAGGGTACTATGTTATGAGAGTATGAATTGAAAAGAAATTATTTATAGGATTGACCAAGAGCACTATCATTTACGATACAATAAAATGTTTACGAATTACTCGTGTTGTAACGACAACTGATCGCAAAATATAAATGAATTAAGATTACGTATAAGAAGGTTATGCTTTCGCAGTAAAATTAGTAATCGCTAAGTAGAAATCATTAGAGAGGGGGATTGAGAAGTTAAAGATTATACTAATGAAAATCAAAGAGGGAGCTCAAAGCTGACGTTAACATTGGCTTCACGAGCCATCTCAACGACACGGCTGTAGCGGCAAGCCTTTTGAGCAGCTTCGTCAAGATCGTCAAAAGAGAAAATACGAAGTCCGGAGTTGTTAATAACGTCCTTGGCGGCATGTTGGTTAGTACCTTGCAAACGGCAAATGATGGGAATGTTGAGGTTCAAGCGAGAAACAACAGAGATAAGGCCTTGGGCGATAACATCACAACGAACGATACCACCGAAGATGTTGACGAAAATGGCAGTGGTCTTGTTGTCCTTGGTGATGAGAGAGAAAGCCTCACGAATGGCTTCAGCATTGGCGTTACCACCGACATCCAAAAAGTTAGCAGGCTCACCACCGTGAAGCTTGATGATGTCCATGGTAGCCATGGCAAGACCAGCACCGTTGACGAGACAACCAATGTTACCATCTAACTTGATGAAGTTCAAGCCAACCTTGCCAGCTTGAGCCTCATCAGGATCTTCTTGGGTGATATCGCGTTTAGCAAAGATATCAGGATGGCGGAATTCGGCGTTATCGTCGAAGCTAAGTTTAGCATCCATACAAAGAACCTTTTGATCGGTAGTTTCAGCGAGGGGATTAATTTCAACTTGGGTAGCATCACAATCATTGAAAACTTTGTATAACTTGGAGATAGCATCGATGGCTTGTTCTTTACAAGCGGGAGTGAAGCCAAGCTTGGTGACAACTTCTTCGGCAATGGAACGATCCAAGGTAGGGGTATTGGGAAGGGAGCGCTTAATGATAGCACTGGGGTTTTCAGCAGCGACACCTTCGATATCGACACCACCTTGGTCAGAGGCGACAATCATGGGACACTGTTCATCACGGTTCATCAAAATGGCGAAATAATACTCACGACGGACGTATTTACGTTCGCAGACATAAACACTGTTACAAGGCTTACCAGCAGGACCAGTTTGCTTGGTGATGAGCTTATGGCCGATCATTTGCTCGGAAAACATTCTAGCTTCAGTAGGGTCGTAAACAGAACGAACACCACCGCGAAGACCGCTTTCGAATTGACCCTTACCACGACCACCGGCCAACACTTGGGCCTTGACTACTAAGTCACTAACGCCGAGGTTCTGGGCGACCTTTTCAGCTTCCTGGCCAGACTTGGCGACACCACCACGAGGCACATCAACGTTGAATTTGCGAAGGATGTCATGTGAAAGATACTCATGAAGTGCCAAGTTACGCTTCTGTACGCGAGGAGTAAAGGTACGGGCTGATTTTCTCAAAATGTTTCTTGACAACATATTGTGCATAAAAATGTTAAATCAATATAAAGAATGAATATGGAATATACGAGAAAGACGTTAACCAACCGAATATGTATTCCAAGAAGTTGGAGACGTTCCCCAAAGATCAAAGACTTCTTGGTAATTGCTAAATGTATGCTGGTTGATCTGAGCGAGTATCTAATTCTCCCAGGTAACATTGTGTTTCCAAAGAGGTTTTCATTCCGCTCGTTAAGTAGTAAACAAAGAAATCTGATACAGAATAGACAAGAGCGTTCAAACAAGTTGTCTATGATTATAAAAGGGATTTCGTTCCTTTCAGAGCCCTAATTTTTTAAGGTGAGATCTATGTTTCGCAAAGGAAGCGCCAACGATACGCTTGGTTGAAATTCAAGGCAAGCAGGAAGAAAGACGAAAGAACCTTTAGAATGATACAGTGACTTTTTTCTTGACTTTAATAACCTTTTTGTAATGGATTGATTCATTGTATACCGCCGTTTACAGAATAGACTTAGCTGGAAGCATCGTTGAGTTATGGCAATCGCTGAAAGTTCGTCCCCTTGAAACGCAAACTTGAGACAAAAAGAAAAGTGGAAACGACTAAATTAAAAATGAATTGTAGATTATGAACTTTCGTTTTCCTCTCCTTTCTAACATGCTAGACATCATGATATACTACTACTTGGTATCTCTTCGTATCCTTCAATTAACAATAACAGATATCATATCGTACTATACCAAACAGCTAAGATCATTGTATCATATTACAAATTATAGTATACTACGATTTCTGTTGAGCAAGAAAAATAAGAAAAAAGAGAAAGCAAAGGGAACCACGGATTGGAAAAGCATAAAATTTTGAGAGACTTTTGTGTTTTGTTTTTCAAACATTGTCTGCACTGACATGTGTTTTCATGAATCGTCAATGTTTACACAATTTTCGTGAGTTGTAGAAAGTCCAATGCATCAGATATCAATTCTCTAAGAAAGCAAAGAGTTATACGAGGTTTCAGAGAAACATAAGAATCATTTATATTCCTTTGAAGCCTTTTACAATATCTCTTTCGTTTTGTTTTCTTTTCTTTTCTTCTCCTTTCTTTTGATCGATTATACGTATGTACTGTACCTATTAGCCAAGAATACCACATAGGAACGACGGTGTGTATTTCAAATACCACGGTATCGGAACGAGGATCCAAGAAAACACCATGAACGAGAAACGCATCCAAAACGTAAATTCAGCGTGAATAGCAGCAAGATATTGAAATTAAAAGTTTCATTGTCTTGAGAAGCATCATGTCATGGCTATTTAAAAAAGTAAGTCATTGTCCGAGACAAACAGCCTTAGCATTGCAATTCCGTACTAACAAGTATGTCTATAGAAGAAACAGGTTGACTTTGGGGGAGAATTAGACCGGTTAGAAGAACAATTAGATGAAGTGCAATACAAGATTGAAACTTTGAAAGAAAAGAAAGAACATATCCGATTTCGATACTCCATTTTTTCTTTTCTAATTTACACAATAACCGTTGCCTTATATGCATATCGCTCATCTCTTTTTGTCGGCCATCCTATACTTTCGATCTCTGTATGGATCGTCCTGTATTTATTGGGTGCTGGATTGTAAGTATAAAAGCCTTTTCCACCTAGAGTGGAGGAATCGATGATTCATGCTGTGATTCTTACGTGTTCTTTAGCTAACTAGTGTAGGTTATATTTCCTTAGACATGGTATAGCTTGGTTTTATGAGCGACGCCTGCGGTCTACGAAATTGCGGCGACGAAAGTTCCAGGAGGAGAAACGACAAATTCTGGACGCTTTGAAAAGTCGAAAGGAATATTTCGAAACACAGGCCCTCTTAGAGAAGTATGGTGAGCAGTCCCCGCGATCAAGAAAACAAGGGACTGATCTTGGAAAGCGTAAGGGAAAGAATAGATCTGGTGAACAAGATGAATTCCCTCCTGCTGTCCTTCCATCGTCGTTGAACGACGCGCAATCTCAACATTGGTATGACAAAGTTTTGGAAGGTCTTGTAGGAGCAGATGAAAGGGAAGAGAAAAACCGGGAAGCTTTGATTTGTCAGCATTGTTACCGACACAACGGGCTTGCTTCTGTGGGTGAACGAGCAAAATTTGTACGTTATGTTTGCATGTACTGCAAATCATGGAATGGTCCTTCCGTGGACTCAGATCGCGCCTCCTTAAGTTCCTTAACGCCAAGAAGATCCAAGTCTACTTCATCGTCAAGTAGGTTGTCCGAGTCTCTTCCCGTAGATACAACACCTGTACCTGAGACGAAGCATCATCCTGGTGACTTGCCTCTCTTAACATCGGATGTTTCTCCTACACCCATCCCCTTTTCTGCGTTTTCTTATCGGAAAAGTCTTGTACCCCCTAGTCCTCCAACATCTGCAGCTGCCATAGGTGCGACAGACACAGACTATCCAGACGTGTCTGTTGATAGTATCTACGATTCCTTTCATACGGTAGCCAATGATGCACCCGGTGTACTTAGCCCTGTTCAGAACCGATGAATGTGATTTTATGACTGATTATATCGTGCAATTTATGATGCCATTTTTCTTTCCATTTGTTTATCCTGCTTTCAAAAAACTTTCTTTTTCAACACGTCTATAAAAGAATATCTTTTTATGGTTGTGTGTACGATACTCTATATATTCTTCTTTCATACAAAATCAGTGGTTCCTACGAAATTCCGTCTATTTCTAGTTTAATAAGAACTGGTTTCCTTTACCATACAGCCTGACTGTTTCCAATTAGCGTGTTACTTAATGAAGCCCTTAATCTTTTTTGCCTTTCCAGCAATGACTAAGTTTCAAAACCGACGTCGATTAAAATAAGAATGAAGGAGTCACGAGGAATTTATCTTGATACGAATTGATCGCAAGCAAAGAATCTTTGCTTTTGTCCTCCCCACCCATGTATTGATTTCCGATCTCTTTGTAAGAAGATACATTGAAGTTTAGTTAGCCTTAAATATCAAGTAATTGCTTAGAACACTTTATTTCCAACTAAACACCTATATTTTGTAGTGCGGCCTCTTTTCATTTTCCTGTTTTACTGATCATTCTTTTGGATATATCCATTTCGTCGTCGGTTTTATTTTCTAGTTTACCTAGCAAGGGAATAGGAAACTTTCACATATTCTTTCCATTTTTAGATAAATAAGGAGTATGTACTCGATCACATTCAATTACTTTTTATACCTCTTTCATTCCGTATTATTTTGTATAGAATGTTTATGTTACTTGCTTTGTTAGTTGATCTCTATTGCTAAACTCGGCAAGATGTGTGCTGCCTCGGAATTCCCGCTCGCCAAAGTAATCGTAGAGCAGTCGTAGCCAAAGGCAGAGATCGGTTTCTGTTATAGCAGTAAAATCTTTATTCAAAAACAGATACACGGACCCACCTTAAAATTTTATAAATTACACTTTTAGAATTAAAATTATTACTAAGCTGTTTTAACAAACTACGATTCCCACTTTTCATACGTCTCTTCATTGGCAGAAATTTAATTAGGAGAACTTGTCGTTTCACAAACCTTTGTCGTGTCCAAGACCACTATGGCATCCAATTCTATCAAGATTTTTGCGGGAAATTCTCATCCTGAACTTGCTGAGAAGGTTGCAAAACGGTATGTTGAGCATTTTTGAGAAAGTTTCACGATGACAAATGATGGAGGAAGAATGAGCTGAAGACGAAGCGTGAATATTTAGGGAAAAAAGACTAACGAAACTTCTTTGTCTAGAATTGGACTTAGCTTAGGAAAAGCTGCCGTTGTTCAGTACTCGAACCGTGAAACTTCCGTCACTATTGGAGAATCTGTGAGAGATGAAGATGTTTTTATCCTTCAAACAGGTTGTGGCTCCATCAACGACCACTTGATGGAGTTGCTTATTATGATCAATGCTTGCCGTTCCGCTAGTGCTCGTCGTATTACTGCTATTATTCCTTGTTTCCCTTATGCCCGTCAAGACAAGAAGGACAAAAGTCGTGCCCCTATTACTGCTCGTCTTGTTGCTAATATGTTGCAAACTGCTGGTTGCAATCATATAATAACTATGGATCTTCATGCTTCTCAAATTCAAGGATTTTTTAATGTCCCTGTGGATAACCTTTATGCAGAACCATCTGTTTTACGTTACATTCGTGAAAACATCGATACGAATGTCAATCCTGCGGTGATCGTCTCACCTGATGCAGGTGGTGCTAAACGTGCTACTGCCTTAGCCGATCGCTTGGATTTGGACTTTGCATTGATTCACAAAGAAAGACAAAAGGCTAACGAAGTCTCTCGTATGGTTTTGGTCGGTGATGTCCGTGATAAGCTAGCTATCTTGGTTGATGACATGGCTGACACCTGTGGTACTCTTGGTTTGGCTGCCAAGACCTTAAAAGACAATGGTGCCAAAGCTGTGTATGCTATTGTCACTCACGGTATTTTGAGTGGTAAAGCTATTCGTGTCATCAATGACAGTGCTTTAGAAAAGGTTATTTGCACAAACACTATCCCCCACGATGATAAGCGCAGAATTTGCAACAAGATTGAAACAATCGATATTTCCGGTGTTTTAGCTGAATGTATCCGTCGCATTCATCATGGTGAAAGCGTTTCTGTTTTATTTAGCGTTGCTCCTGCGTAAAGTCCGTTGGCGAGTCAATAGTTTCCTCCTTTCTCCTCAATTAACCTATCCTTACTTTCCTTTTTACAGGTTAGCATTTACCTTTATTCGTTTTGTTGTGTTAGTATGGTCTTGCTTTTGGAATCAAACTTCTTTATGTCTATTTTTAAAAAAAATACATATTATTTGATCAGTCCCCTTTTTCTATTTTCTCTTCAGAAAGCGGTATTTGATGTGAAAGTTAGATTATGCGGTGTGTTTGAATCGTAGTGATGTTTATGAAATATGTTAAAAAAAAGGAATCTATGTTATTATAATGCTTATAGTTATCTTATAGCTTTTTAGTTCAAACTTATGCATTTGTAATGGTTTCAATTTTCTTGAGAAGGCTTTGGTATCGTCCCTTTCGCTGAGGGTCTACATGCTGTAGGGTATGTATTAAGGAAATCCATGTCGCCTGCTCTTGCTTAGTAGCCTTTTGGTTCGACAATACTCGAATTAAGAGTCCGTACTCAACGATTAGTTCACAGCACCCTAATTTATCAGAGGTCAGTATGAGGAAAATTTTCACAATTAAGCTTGACATCTTTAGTTTAAAAACTTCCGTTTCTTGACTTCCAACTGCGTATTATAAAGGAATGCTAATCTTTTACTTACACTTGTTTTCGGGTTCCAATTCATGCAGTTCTTCGAGAAGTTGGACTTCTTGTGTAATGTATTGAATACGCTCTTCTGTTGACAAAACAGAAAGAATTGGAGGTGCGCCCACTTGATTGCAATGACCCATAAGCCAACGATGATAAATCCATATGCTTGAATCATCCGGGTCTGTAAAGGCAGCCTGATGGATCGTGTCCAATTCTAGGAAATTATTAGAATACTAGTTGTAATGATGGAAGATTTCTATCAACCGAAGCAAATTAGTTTACCTTCATGTAAGATCTTCTGTGCTAGACGCTTTCGAGACTCGGGATCAGTCTCCTTTTTTATAATAAGTTCAAGCAACTTCGTACGGTTATGCCATGCTGAAAAGTTACTAAAGTTAGTGGCTATCGCGCTTGAGGTATATTCCAACTCTTTGTCGGCCAGATCGTAGTTTCCTTGCTTTTCTATCTGTGACACAACGTATCGTCTATAATGCCATCCATGGACTATTTACAGTTAGCTGGTCTATTAGAAAGACATAATGGAACGTACAATTTCTAGCATCAGCGCTCAAGAGTTTTTCGGTTATCATCATTTCGTAATTCCAATTGGGATACGGTGCATTTTCAAGACACCAGCGTCTATGATTGAATATCCAGTATACCTTAGGGAACACTTTCATCTTTGAAAGCACATATTGTAGCTCTTTGTCTAACACATCTTGCTTCTCATTGATAGATCTAGTTTGATCATTAGCAATTTAACGATTCGATTCAAACATTTATTCAGTTGGAAACCTTTGTAGCCTTACATATATGGAAAAACGCTAAACAGGAAAAGTTCTCTTCTGTAGTTCCAAACGCTATACGTTTCCGGATTCCAATCCAGAAGTTCTGTGGTCAATTCTAGCTTTTCAGAAGAGTAGTCTTTTTTTTTTCTCTTGACTTTGTAAGTAATTTTGTTTTCAATTCATTATCGACGTACTGCATTTTGAAATCGCTCGATTAGACCTCTGTACTCTTGAATTTTACTTTTCTCCCTCTCGAGTTTCAAGCGTTTTTGTTCTTCATTTAATTTTACTCTTAATACTCCATGCTATTTCAGGTTAATTTATCATATAATTAGTCGTTTCATACCATTGTATATTTACTAATGGAATGAACTGTATAGATGCTTCATGTACGAAGTGAACAATAAACCGAATAATCAAGTTGTACTGTAAAATTCTTTTCAAGTACAAAGAAATTATATTTTGTTAAACTTCAGATTTTTCTGTCTTAAAATTCATTTACTTGCTTGCATACATATGTATTAGTAGGTTCTCTTCAAAGTTGTAGAATGATGAATGAGAAAACCTCAACATGGGACTCTCTTACGATAGTTAAACAATATATAAACGTACGAAAGCAGTTATTTTCTATAACATGAGTGCTGGTGAAGGCAGCATACAAAGATTCTGCAATTCATTCATCCAGGATAATCTTGAATGGTTTATGCAACATGGATGGTCCTACTATTTCTCTTTTCTCATTAACTTTCTTCGAAATTCAGTTAGCAAGAGTTCACAGAATTTCTTACCTAAGTAATCTAGAGTAAAGACATGTCAATAAACGAAACCACTGTACTATACCTGTGTCAGGAAATTGATCCGTTAAAATTAATATTAACGTACAGCGATTCGTTCCATATCTCTATCATGTTGACTTCTATAAGTACTGCCAAACCTTGCAAGAAAATCTAGTAAGTAATGCAGTAATCAGAAATCCCTTCCTTGCATAGTTTTGGATATTCATTCCACCAATTCGGTACACGCTTAATATCACTAAAGAGATATACAATTGAAATAAATGTAGGCATTTAAAACCCTTGTGACCTTCTTGGGAAGTACTCGTTTCTGAATCTTGAAGGAACTAAGTTAGGTCATTGAAAAGACATACTTCAATGCACCTTCAGCTGTATCATAACAAAAACGCTTAAATTTTTAAATAATTGGAAGATAAATCTTGAAGTCAACGCGTAACACGGAATCTGTTATGTACTCGAATAGTATATATACGCGTCCTTGCAAATCTACCGTAAGCACAACACAACCCAAGATCCACAGTTTCATAGAAACAGAATTTTTTCAAATAAAATAAAACCTTATGGAAAATAGAAAAAAACAAACGTTAAAATCTCCTGGAAGACTATGGAGAATAACGAAAATAAGAAGAAACACGACTTTAAACAAAACACGCGTGAAAACCCGAAAAGAAAGCAAGCCTAAAACTTCCAATCAAACCAATTTTAGTATAAGAAAATGTTTAGATAGATTTATACCTTCTCATGCCAATCCAGAAGCATTTCGGATTCTTGATAATTCACAGCATGGAAGAAAATATAAACATAAGGAGGACGTCTTGCCAAAGATGTTAAACTTAAACCTCAACGGGATATTAAATTATAAATTCTTACACAAAAGAGAAAACCGCACTCCGAAATTGCTTAATGACTTTTCTGCGAGACAACTTCTACAGGTCCCGACCACACAGGATCAGTTAGATCATTTCCAGGAACGAAGTATTCGATCGCTAACACAGCCATATCAAGGTGCAATCCATGAATCTCCTATTCGTATCTTGGAAGCACCTGGTTTGCTTGACGATTTCTACATTTCGCCCTTGGCCTGGTCAAACCACGGTGAATTGGCTGTCGCACTGAGACAACATGTGTACCTCTGGGATGAGTCGTATGGAACAACTATTCTAGAAATGCGGCATACGGATTATGTAGTAAGCAGCTTAGCCTATTCTGCAGACGGAAATTATCTTGCAATTGCTCGAGTTAACGGGTCCGTCGAAATCTGGGATCGGCAATATTTAACTGAAACACATGAATATTGCTTTCAGCATGAGGGTGATATAAGCTGCATGGCTTGGAGCCCTACTAGTTCAACTCTACTGGTTGGTGGAAGCATGGGCAGTATATATGTATATCACAAAACAAAAAGTATGATGTGTCGGCTTTACACGATTAAGCACGTGCACCAAGAGCAAGTTTGTGGACTTGAATGGAATTACGATGGAACTCAATTCGCTAGCGGGGGAAATGATAACTTGGTGTGCGTTTTTGACATGGACACGCTAGATGCACCAAAATACTTCTGGAGTCATTCAGCGGCAGTTAAAGCTGTTGCCTTTTGCCCCTGGCAAAAATCAATTTTGGCAATAGGGACTGGCTCAAACGATCAGCATATTTATTTCTATGATACCTTTCGAGGACATTTAATTTCTAAACTCTTTTGTGGAGCCCAAATCACGTCCATCATTTGGTCTCGAAGATACAAAGAATTTTGTTTCAGCCTTGGATATGCATACGAAGGAAATATCGCATCCGTAGTTGTTTGCCGGTGGCCGCAGTTAACGCGAGTGTTTCAAGTACCCTTCTGTTCTGCTGAGGAATTCCATCAAGATCTTAGGACCATTATGGCCACTCACACTCACCGTAAACGTTCAAAAAATGATTGGGAAGAAGGAGAGTTCATTGTTGTAGCTAATACCGACCAAACGGTTAAGTTTTATAAAATCTGGGGATCGGAATCTCAAACGGTCCATAATGATCAAGTATTGTATCAAGAAGGATTATTTGGGAGTCACATTTTAGAAATGCTAGAAGGTGTTCCGGAAAATAGACTGATGAAAGGTCTTCGTTAAAAAACAAAAGAATTAAGTTGTCGTCCGATCCTAATCAAAAGAACCTGGTTCTAAAGCTGGAATTCTTGCAATATTCCCTGCTTTTTTTCTTTCTAAGTTTTCTATAACGTGTCTATATATCAGTCCTTTCGAGTTAATATCAAAATGGAAAATACAGTCGTATTCATCCGTATGAGACGCAATCCAATGACATTTCATTGTAAATCGAGTAGACTTTGGCGAAAGAGGCGTCTGAACCTGGCTTTCTATGTCAATTGTCTTTTTAATGCCATCACTGTATGCAGAAGCAAGAAGTACTCGGGCGGTTTTGAAAACAAACTTGTAAATCACAAGACCTTCAATTTTTGGAAGGTTCAGGTGATAAGGAAACAAGTTTAATTGAATGTTTCGACTCAGCACTTCATCCGGAAGAGCTTTCTGGGGTAAAAGGGGTACTCGATCTTGAAGGATCGTGATTGCTAAACGGATGTTAATACACACCAACATATTAAGCAACATACTCTTTCCAATTTCAACATTATTCGTTTCCGAATAAGTAAATCGTTTACTTGAAAAGCTTCTCGGTAGGATTCTTAAACATCTGAGTTGACCTGGGTTTGTAAACGAGAACTGCATTGATCTACCATAAGGGAAAAGTACTTTAGAGGACCAATGATTCATGGCTGAAGAAGACTATTTAAAAACTATTAATTACCATCAATCAAGTTCAACTTGTATATGAGCATTACTTGTCTAAGACACTTTGGGGTGTTTTACACTGGAAAGAGCCTTCTTACGAGGAATTACGAAAGTTACCTACCGTGGAGTAATACAGATGACATGAGAGAAATGATTTTTATTAAAAAAATAAAAAAAAAAATAGTATGAAGTAGAAACGTTATCTTGTCATCCACCAAAAAAATAATAGAGAAGGAAAGAAAAAGAGAACAGCGGTTGTTGTATTTAGTGCTCAGCCGATGCTAACGTTGAACACATTCTACATGATATTAAAACATTTTGCCATTAGTTCAAAGTCTGACAAATCTGAATTGAATAAGAAAAATGATAAATTATTGAACAAAGGAAGGAGACATTCAACATTAAATATGAAACGGTATTAAAAATAATTCAAAGTACGCTTGGAATTAAAGCAAGTGCAGGAGAAAGTGGAATTCATAAAAGGTGAACGGGATGCAAACGACATTAAGAATCCAGTTGGATAAAATGACGGGTAGCAAGCTTGCTTCGAGAGCGAATGCGATTTCCAAAATAGTACAGAATATAAATCAAAGCAATTAAGGGTAAAGAAACGAATCCAACGACTGCTGTAGCCCAATGAATATTCATTCGGCTGAACATGAGTGCACTCAGGTGAACGAAAATGGTACCGCCCAAGTTGGAAGGAAGTTCAAAAGCAGCGACTGCGGACGCAGAAACGCTAGGATAGGAATCTGTAATGTATAATAGCATTGCCTGCCAGATATGATAATCCGCAATGTTAAACATTGTAAGGGCAATTAAAGAAACGATATAATGAATGGTCGGTTTGGTAGAAAATGCAAACAGAAAAATACCAATAGGGAATCCCCATACCAAAGCAATTGTCATTATAAATCTTGCTTCTGGCCTCGATTTCCTATTATTACGTTTGTCGCGTCGATAGAGCCAGCTTTGAAGGGGTTCAAGCCATAAGAGAATGATGCACGCAGGAATTGCAGCCAAATAAGTAGAAGAAGCAGCGATGTCAGACATCTTGTAGATGTCTGAGTAAACTGGCCATATAGCTTGCAAAAAGAAATACAAAAGACCGTTTATAAAACCATTGTAAACCCCCAAGGACGTAACGATAGGCTCTGTCAAGAAAATCTTGAGGGCCATAGATAGAATAAAGTAAGTGTTTTTAAACAAAGCTTTAAAAGTAAGTCTAGGGAACATGGATATGGGTTTATTGTTTCGCCGAGCTTCGTATTGTTCGACTACAATAACAGGAAGCGTTTCTGGTGAGAAAGCTAAAACAAGTAGGAAAAACCCTCCTACAATGACATTAATCCAGTAAAGCCACCGCCAACCAAGTTTTGGATTTTCAGAAACAGCGGTACCCATTGGAGAACCAATGCTTGAAACCGAACACATGAAAATAAACATGTACATACCCCAATTGGAATGTTCGCTTCTCAATAAATCAGCAACACCGCCGGCTACATTTGCTAGCGTGGTAGATCCAACGGCGCCGAGAATAAACATGGAGATAACAAGTTGAGGATAGTTAATTGCCAATGCACAAGAGATGTTAAAGCATATGTACACTAACAAAGAGCCAATATACACAAATTTCCGTCCTACTAAATCTGACAGTGGACCCAGCACAAGGGGGCCCAAAGCGATACCTAGCAAAAACATACTTTGGCCCAGCAAAGACGTCTGTGAGGAAAGGTTCCATTCTTCACTAACTTTGGACGAAACACCACTATAAAAATTTGGTGTCCAAAATACGTATGCTTGTAAAGAAGTCGAGAGAACGATCAATAATGCTTTCTTCCAAGTTGCCCAATTCTGAGGATGCGCTGGGTGGTTGCTAGTGATCTCAATTTCCTCTAGCAGGTGATCATAGCCTGAACTAGACTTACTTCTGTATGAGTTTAGGTCGTCCGATTTTGCGCTAGAAAGTCGAATAACAGAGGGAATCGAAAGTGAGTCCTCTGACTCAGTAACAGAATCTTCCTAAAGTAATGGTTAGTCTTCGTTTTCTAGCTGAAAAAAAAAATATATAAAAGCAATGCATAAAATTAAATCACCACAACAGTAACATTACCAAAAGATTCTATCAAACCATACCTTTTTCAGTGAATCACTTCTTTCATCAGATAACATGCTGAATCACGTATAAAAAAGATAAGTCCAAAATGTTTTTTTCTTCTATATATCCACGGTTCTAATTTAGTTATACACCCCGTTGAACTCTTATTCTAAAGTATTTTATGTTGTTTACAAAAATGTAAACAAACCGGCAAGGCGGTCAAGTGTAAAAAATGCGAAGAGCTGACCGATTACCCTTCCTTATATAGTTCCCTGGCTCAAGATAGCTGTCGTCATTTTTTTTTTCGTTAAAAATGCTTAAATTTTTGATTGGTCTGATTTCCATGTTTCCGAACGTCCAGTTTCCGAATATCCGATGGAGGAAGGCGATGAGTTACAACTCAAGTAACAGGAAAGAAAACTTCTTTAAAACAAGAAAAAAATAGAATGGCTTAGAAAGATTAAAAACTCAAATCAATTTATCAAAGTTTTTTTACAGTTGAATCGCTTTTCATTTTTAACCAAATTCTATAAGATGATATATTTTATAGTATGATAAGTAGAACCAGAAAGAACTTCACTCTTTCTACGGCGGCGTACTGTTTCGTTTTTATTTTTGTTTTGTACTTATTTAAAAGCATAAATACATATGGGTATTTTTTTGCCTTCGTGTTGAACGATCACTCTTTTGATTTGTCAAGGGCAACAGTGGGCGAATGCTTGTTTTGTATGAGTAAATTCGAGGTTTTTTAGATTTGGTTTGCTTGGGTAATAAGAATTAAGTAAATTCTTGAAAACAATTGTAAACATGAAACCGCTTATGAAGAATAGCATCTGGTTTATACCAAAATGATGAAAATAGAATGCAAGTACAACTATTTTTGATTCTCCTTTTTGATCTTTTAGTCACTCATTAATTCTTCCAATTCCGCCAGTTCTTCTTCTGTCAGCTGAGGCTGACTCGCCTCTGGCTTTGGAAAAGTGTCATCCGAAGCCATATTCGTTTCGTTTGAAATTGAGGATAGATCTAAATTCCAGACTCGTATTGTTCCATCCAATGATGCGCTAATTAGACAAGATTTCCATTGAAGTAATTTAGTGACGGATTCATAATGGCCTGAATATACATGCTCCAGATTTCCAAGATTCACATTCCACAACCGAACATTCTCATCTCGACAAGCCGTACACACATTCCCATTTGACAGCACAAGGACGTCCGTACAGAAATCTGGATGCTCGAATCGCGTTTCTTCGTGCAGTCCTTCATAAACGGACCATTGTCGGACAGTCTTATCTGCGGACGCAGTCCACATAGATTCAGGATCTTCTGCTTCAAACAATAAGCTATAAACATTGCTTTGATGTCCCCAAAACCCTTCATCGTCTAGCGATTGACCCCCTTCTCGTCGGATTTCCCATCTGCGAATGCTACTTTCACTTCCGCATGTCCAAAATACATTGCTTCCTGGTTGGCGGGTAATTTTTTCAATCCCTCTTGAATGCCCAGACAACTTGTATAATAGACGGTTAGGTTGGGAACGGATGTCCCAAACCGCAAGTGTAGCATCTACCGAACCCGAAATGAGCAAACCCTCTTCCTCGAATAACAACAATGATTTTACGTAATCGCTATGGCCTAACAATGTCTCTACACATTCTCCTGTACGAACGTTCCATTTTTTGATTGTACTGTCCCATGAACCCGTATAAAGAAAACGGTCCTTGTCGTCGCCCATAAGACTTTCGACCTGGCAACAAGTTACGGGCCCTCCATGGCCTTTGTAGAGTTTGCATGTTTTTCCGTCATTCAAATCGTATAGGCGACATACATGAGATGCCTCACATGTGAATACTCTGGGTAGTTGGTATCTCTTTGGCGTGGTGCGATCGAGTTCAATGTTTAAGACCTTGGATTTCAAATCCTTTGGATTTCCATGCTCATTTTTCGACTTTTCAAGTTTTCTTTCTTCATTTCGAACCGCGTCTTCCGTTTGAAATAAATACGAAGTATTACTAGCTTGCATCTTAAATCTTGGGTATGTTATGGTATATTAAAAAAGACAATCTAATTAATAAATTATAAAACACTTGATAGAAAAGAATGAATTCCTCTAAGACTTAAATTCTTGAGGCTAGCGTTTTCCGGTAGTTCGTTTTCCGATTTTCTATACTATGATGGTCAATCATAGTATCGCTTTAGTACTCAGGAATTATAGAAACTTTTACTTAACGTTCAGCATTCATTGCAGTATAATATTTATCTAGATTTCTTTAATCTTCAATTTCCAAACCAAATACCAGCTTTCCCTATGAGGTTTACCAAGGAAATTCGAGTCTCATCAACCATAGTCAAGATCAAACAACGAAGCAGTCTAAGCATGTAGAATATCACTAGAAACTGACAATAAGGAATGAAAAAATAAAAACAAAATGGTACATCCTGTATGAAAGCCTCAAGTTGATCCTAAAACAAAAAATAGGAAAAACGGTCAGAGAGGGACTCGAACCCTCGACCTCATGATTAACAGTCATGCGCACTAACCAACTGTGCTATCCGACCTTGGATGATTTTATTACAGTTATAACACTAATATAATAATTTTAACTACTGGGTTTTTAATAGGATTGCTGGCTTGAAATCTTCGTTTGGATTTCGAAAGTAAGTTGTTAAAGCTTCGAAATAATTGAAATTCCTCGTTTTCAGGTAAATCTTATAACTTAATTGATCTCATTTTAATGCTACATGGAATAGATTGTGGCTGCCCACGTTGTTATGTGAAGCTATTCCGTGGTCAAAAGAAATTACAAATGCTGTAAATTTTGTTAACATTATATTCATCTATCTATTATACATAAGAAAACACATGTAGTCAACGGAAGCGATTACAATTTTTCAACATAAGCAACCAAATTTGTAACTAAATCTGCTTTTTTCCCTGTAGATCGTAAACTTCTGTCTCTTAATATCTCTTTTAGTTGGGGAACCTTCAAAGCCTATCGATTATTAGTATAATGACAAAGGGTGAAATGCATTTCTTTACTTTACCTTTAATTCTTTTTCTAGAGTTCCACTGTCATGCAATTTTTTTAGCTGAGAATCCTCCAACGCAAATGACTTTTCAGTAGTTTCTTCGCGTTTCCGTTTAAGTGAAGAAACTGTATTCATATCTAAATCCTCTTCATTTTTCATTGTTGAAGTATCATCATTGCTTTGGTTAAGAATCTCATTGAATTCCCGAATAGAATTTCCAACTCGCTAAATGATCAGTTACTAAAAATTGCCAATTATTTTAAAGACTTACCTTCTGTATCGCTTTGTATTTGGGTAATGTCGTATCGACAAAGTCGTTTGGAATTTCATCGTCGAGTGCTAATGCCTGCAATACCTTATAATGCCATTGCAAAGTAGGATTGTTGTATCTTCCCGGTTCATACGCCCGAAGTTCCATCCCTCGAAGAATATTTTGCATTGACTCAATGGAATTTGGTGGAAGAGACTGAGGATTCGGATTACCAGGAAGGCTCCGAATGTCATCGGCTGTTGGCAGTTGAAGTAAAAAAATCCCGACTGGAAGCTCAAAATCTTTTCTTATATGGGTTGAGCTTCCAGTTGGAATCATGGCCACAAAACTAGGATTAGAATTTGGTCGTGCGATAAACCAAGCGATCCCAATGCTGTTTGAATTAAGAAGCTTTTTATGCAATGCTGAAAATACAGCTCCTCCACCTCGGATTGTATTTTCGATTGGTCGGATAAAGATTGCTGGTTTTAAGGAATGCCAAGGTTTAAGAGTCGAAGCATCCCGGAATCCTATAATCCGTAACACAGGTTGTCCAAATGACCGAATTTCCGCTAAGTTGTCGGGATCAAATACGATGGAAGATCCACCATAAGTAAACGATCTTTTTATTTCTGATCTTTTGAGTTCTTTTTTTGTATCAAAGCTTACTTGCTTGCTTTGTGGAGTAGCTATTGCCAGACGTTCTCCTTTGGCATATACCCAGCTAGTTTTGACAGACTCCAATCTCTTTAGTAGAATGTAAACTTGAATTTCGATTCTCACACCCTTCCCCAAATCCATTTCCAGATGAAAATGAGCTCGCTTTGGCTTTTGAAGAGCAGTTATCATATTCAGCATACCTTGTAACTGGGATTGACCCCTGTTAACCAGATTAGAAACATCTTGGCGATCATAAATGATGTATAGAAAATCTGAATAGAAAACATTCACTCGGAAAGAATTGGTAGGAGGATCCAAAAATATTGGATTTACTTGCACCTCCAGATCCTTCAAGTCCTGAGCTCTTTGAAGTATAATTCCTTTTTCCATCTCGTTCCAAGCAGGGAGATCATTGTCGGTGATTAGAAACAGTCGCTTTTCGTATTTTTGAGCTTTGGTGGTAAATAGAACACTTGCATGGTAAAGTACGTTTGACAAAGAAACTTGGGACGAGCAAGGTTTGAAGTTCTTTTTGTACGAATCAAATTCTGGTAGGAAGGTTAGCAGAAGCCCATAAAAGCGTATGGTCAGACGGTGATTTTCCTCGTCGAAGACTTTAATTATTCATTACCTTTTTGGTATGTCTGTAATATTTTAAGACGTTCAGCATCAGGTGGATCTAAATCCAAAAGGATTTGCTGGTTCTCAAACCTGCCTGTAGATGATTCCTAATGAATTTGTAAGTACAAGCACTCTGGATCATTATTGAACCTTCCCGTAGTTTTGTACTTACAGTCCCATATAATAAAATTCCCATCACATCGTTTGGGTTTGTAATCACCCTCTGTGCTGCCAACTGGTATGCACATATCAAAGCCATTTGCAGAGAACAAGGAGTAAACTCATCCACTGGTTCCAGCATACTAGGAGAAACCTCCACTACAAAAAGAATAGCATTTCGGCCATTATAAACACTCTGTTTCTATTGTCAGTCAAAACGTCAATAAGCACATATTTTATGGAAGGAAATCATTCCTCACCTCAAAGTCTTCTGTGAGCGAAGGGTCTTCTGGATCCATCAATCAACCTTTTAAAATCTAAGAAATTAAACTAGAAGACAAATGTTGAAAAAAAAAAATCTAAGGGACGCGATTGAAGAATCACACAAGGCGATGAGATTTTGGGGAAACAAATTCCAACAAAAAATGATAATAAGATTAAAGATCTTTTGTTACAAAAGAATTATCCAAACCAAAGAGTTTATTAGGTTACTGAACAGGAAAACCGACCTTCTAATTATTTACATGCTCGATCTTGGATAGGGAGGCTTACCGTTCTATCCAACATGATACAAAAACATTAGGATACGTAAATTACTTTTTCAATCAGAAACAACAGTTACCAGCTTTTTTAACTGGGAAGTTTCTTTTTATCTTGAATAAAAAAAACAATACTTTTATTTATATTTGATTTCATTTTATGAAGCACTTCTTGGCAATTTCACAGAGTCATTGTTATTTATTGGATCGCACAAGACTATAAATTCGGAGGAGTTACTCCTTCATAAAATCCCGTACCCACTTTTTATTTATTTATTTAAATTAATTTATTTCTTTTATAGGAACACATTACGAGAGCTACAGAAACAAATATACTTCCATACTTATGCTACTCACTTATTATTTACTAAAGAGGCTTTTCCGAATACGGTATCTAAGATAGGGTTGCAAAAGGACATCGATATTTCCCAGCAAAAGTTCGTAGCTGCCAAAAGGAAAATTTCCAACAAAAACAATCCACATCCTGTGTTTCTGCTATGGGACGTGGTGGTAAACGAAGTTGGTACAATGGCGATCGCCGGGAAGCCAAAAGAAACCGTGTAAACTCTGCTCAGTACGATGAAAAACGACCGGAGCACTTGGTCGTAGGTGAGAAGAAACCAAAACGTAAAGCTGCTTGTCTTGTAGGATACTGCGGTACTGGTTATCATGGCATGCAATTGAACCCTCCTAGTAAAACTATTGAAGGAGATCTATTCGACGCATTTGTCAAGGCCGGTGCAGTGTCTTCTTACAATTCGGACGATCCAAAGAAAGTCGCCTTAGCTCGTGCTGCACGTACTGACAAGGGCGTTCATGCTGCGGGGAATGTAATTACCCTAAAACTGATTATGGAAGATGAGCAATTGATCGAGAAAGTCAATCAACATCTTCCTCCTTCTATCCGTGTTTGGGATGTTATCCGTACAATTAACTCCTTTAATCCTAGAACGTACTGCGAATCTCGTATATATGAGTACCTAATCCCTACTTATGCTTTTGTTCCCCCGAAGCCCACTTCTGTATTAGGTCAGTGCATTTCCAAAAACTCTCCTATGCCAAAGGAACCTATTGATGAAAACGACATCAATCAGCTGAGCCGTAAGATATTCTATGAAGAGGGAAAGGAGTTTTGGGACAAGTACAAGGAAATGGAAGATACTATCATGGAGGCATATAATGCAGACCCCGAGAATTTTGTTAATCCTTTCTCAAAAAAAGCTGCCGCAGCTGCCGCTTCTGAAGAGAGTGCTCAAGAATCTAACCCTGTAAATACACCTGATAATGAAGTCAGCACAGAAGAGCACGAAAAGAAAGATGCAACGGATGGAGAGACCCCGGTACCAACATCAGAGGGAAACCAGTCTGATACCTCTACTCCCAAAAGTGATCCAGCTTTGAGACTTGAACGTGCTCTAAAAAATGCAGAAATGCAGCTACTTAAGGAGTATCGAATTTCTCAAAACAGATTACGAGTTATTCGAGAAACCCTAGATTGTTACGTTGGAAATCACAACTTCCACAACTTTACCGTTGGACAAGCATTCCATCAAAAAAATAGTAACCGGTTGATACGCTCTTTTAAGGTATATTTGTTTACTAATTTTTTATAGTATATGAGCGTTTTTATTAACATATTTAGGCATCTGACCCAATGATAATCGGCAATACCGAGTGGATTTCCTTAAAGGTTCATGGTCAGTCCTTTATGTTACATCAAATCCGAAAGATGATAGCTTTGGCGGTTTTGATGGTTCGTACTGGGTGTAACTTGAACCGCATTCAAGATGCATTTAAAAAGACAAAAGTAAATATTCCTAAAGGTCCTGGATTCGGTCTTTTATTAGAATCTCCTTTCTTCAAAGGTTATAATGAGCACAAGGCTCCAGAGAACGATCGAGATCCTATTGACTTTTTGAAGTACAGTGAAAGCATAGAAAAGTTCAAACACGCTCATATTTACGATAAAATTTTCCTAGAGGAAAGCCGAAAACAAGTGTACGTTAATTTGGTTCATATTATATGTATTAACTCATTTAGTTTCCATTGCTTTTTGACCTTTATAGACAGCTATAAAGAAATTGACTTTCAGTACCTTTCGGATATTGGCATCACTGCTGAAGAAGAAAAGGTCGCTGAAAACGGACTACCAGATGAATTGTCTAGTGAAGACGAGGATGATGCGAAGACCAATAAGGACGAATTGGAAGGATAAGCTCTTTAGCAGCTTCCCAACTTAGAATATATTAAGTGGGTACATTGGAGTTTTTGGGGATCTATTTTTGGTTAATTTTAGATAATAGATGTTTAATTGAAAATTTATAATTACAATGAGGAAAAGAATAGAGGAATCATACAGCTAAATAGTACAGTACATGAAGAATACGTTTTTCAGTTAAAAATACACAACCGCAATGGAGACCTAATTTAGAATATAATTAAAGGTGAAAAAGTAAGAAATCAATGATCATTATGTGCAAAGTAATTCCCATCATCACTCATAAACTTATCATAGCAAAATAATCATGTAAAGAAAACACAGAGAAGATTAACGTGCGCTAAAAGGGACGACTCTTCCAAGAATGGTACCGGTAACTTGCATTCCTTGTTCGCCGTGTCGAAACGCAGCCGCAATCAACTCTCTGGTACGGAAATAGGTATGTCTCCGTTTAACAGGTAGAACTGTTTTATGTTCTAAGGGTTTGTTACCGGATTGTTGTAGTGCGTTCATAACAAAATCTACTTCCTCATCCGAATCAACAGGTGTTTCATGTTGCTGTTCTTCCGATTCTTTTGCAGTTTCGAGAATTTGACCTAAGGGATTTAGTAAACATTGCTTTCATATTGATATTAGACATACGTTGAATTTTAGCTTGGTTTTTCTTTTGACAAGCAGCCAATAGAACATCATATGGTTGCGATCGACCAGGCACAGCACGTTTGCTTGACATAGAATGTGTTTTGCAGGTCAAAGAACGTGCACACATGAGATTGTTTGGTAAAAGGACACCACATTGCTTATCCACATCGACAGGTCCTATAAAGTATAAAGTTAATAAGAATAAAAAATATTAAGTTTCATACCTCTCTGTTTTGTATTCTTCTTCTTTCCCACATCCTTTTTGGACGAACTATTCACTTTCGTGGATTTCTTACTTTCTTCCACTTTCCGTCGTTTAGAAGAAGCAACCTCTGTGTTATTATTATTATTCTGATTGGCAGATCCCCCAGAAGCGCCATTTAACTTTTGATGTGCTGCTTTACTACCATTCTTGAGAGAAGCATTTAATGGAGTAGCTGTTTCCTTCGAATTAACTGCAGCAGGAACATCGTTCTCCGCCTGACGTTTAAGTGAATTTCTCTCAATACATTTTGCAGTATGTTCCTCAATATAACTTGATAAAAATGGCCTATCACATGTTGGGCATAGTACATAATCAAGGTCCGTATTATTAGGCTCAACTCCGAAACGAGGGAATGAATCTGCTGGAAGAGGTACTTGAGAGCTTTCCTTATTTTTATATTTATTTTCTCGGTCGCTGGAGCCACTTTGATTTTCGCTATCGTCCTTCGGCAACCCATTTGGATACTTTAGTAAAATTTCTTGATTTCGCTCCCATTCTTCGGGGAAAAGCTCTAAAGTCTGCTGTTCGGTTAACATATTCATGTGTTTGAATGTCTTTTGCACGGTAAAATCAGCCGTCTTGAGCAGACTTCTACCTCTGTGGTGGACCCAGAATGGTTAGATCTCAGTAAAGGAAGAATCGATCATACGCAAAGTAACATTACTTTTTTTAAAAAAATGTTTTAGTTTTTGTTTTACTTTACAAATAAAAAGAGTGAGATCAAAATGGTCATAATAGATGTGTAGTTAACAACATTGCAGATGAAATATTACGATTACCGTTTGGATCATGTACCCTCTACGGTAGAGGTTATTTATCAGTTTTAAAAAGTGCTCTTTTATTTAATAAGTAGAAAGCATCTAAGTATCAGTGCGTTGTATATCAATTCATTTTGGCTGGTGAAAGAAATTAACGACTTGAATCTTATTTTCCTGATTAGAGGGACAGCCAACTGTAACAGTAAAACCTCAAATTATCATTTGCTAAATATAAAAAATAGATGTGTATCGACAGGTTTGAAATATCTTAAAGTGAGAATGCTAGATTTCATGTATTTTTGGTACAACTCACAATCGATCATGCAAGATATCTTTTACATAATTCCATGCAGTTGGAGACAGTCTGTTAGGTAATTCTTCATAACTACTCCAAGCCCAGTCATGGACATTTTCTACCTTTGGGACTCGTAAACCTTGCACCAGCCTGGCTCTTAACAGAAATAACTGTACATGTTAGTCAGTCAACCCATACAAACCCATAAATCATTAAAATATTCATCCTTTTATAAAAGGACCCTACTTACCTTCTTTTCATCTTCTCTAATTAAACCTACAGGATGATTGGCGACAAGCCAGGTTAAAGATTGTTCGTCTAAAATGTTTTGTAAATTTTCTCGGCAAAGCTATGCGGCTTGTTAGAAATTTTATCGAAAAAAATAAAGAAAAAACCTCCAAAGTCGTCGTCGTTTAATACACTGAATCCGTAATCAAACAGAGGGTTTGTAATCTCATATGCCTTTTACTTACCATATGCAAAGCTTTTTCATCATTCTCAATTGGCACATTAGGAAACTGCCATTCGGCATCCTTCGTTGGTTTAACTAATAGAAAAAGCGACTTTTCTAAGCAACGCTGAGTGCTGTGTACATCTCCAGCTCGGTCTGCTTCTGTGATTCTTGGCTGTAAATGGGTGCTTGGATCGGGGAGTGCATTCTCTTCCATCAACTTATGCTCATTTTCGAAAATGGCTTGAAAGGGAGACTCTTTTCCTTCCAGGTTCTTTTGTTTTGTCTTCCAATCTTTTTCACCAACGGATCCCTTTTTGAAATAAAAGTCTTTTGGCAAAGGGACACTTAATTCATTCCATAATTCCGCATTATATTTGTAAACACTTTGTTCGAAATCGGATGGTGTCCGTGTTAATATAGGAGAACGGATCAGTATTGTTCCCACCGAGCAACCTAAGTATGTTAATTGAACATTCATATTCACGAAAGAAACATTCTCAATGGACTTTGCATTATAAGGAATGTTTCACGTCTTGCTTAAATGAACTGCATACCTGTAGAAATCTGTCTGTGCTGAGCATTTCTTGCAAACTGCGCGCAAAAACTCGGTTTCGTAGATACTTGACGCGAAAAAAAACCAATCATATTAATTGTCTGATCCGGGTTAACTGATACTTCATAAACCTCCAAAAAAACGGTTTCTCTTCTCTCTTGTCGTTTGTTTACGAAGCGTGAATGAATACGGTCTCAGTTTGGCTGCCTCTAAATTTTTGTAGTATAATGCGATATTCATTTTAATGCAACGTTATGTGCATGGTTATGTGATACGTTATCCTAATTGTCACTTGAACATCGACACAAAAAGTAACATTGCATAAGGAGCATAGGCATGAATGAATTCATGCTGTCTCTGCAATTTCCACAATGTCTTCGTCCGTCGATCTGAAACGTAAGAATTTTTTAAAGAATGAAGCTCACTAATTAAAAGCCGCCAAAAGTTTGACTCAATATCTCGAAAATTACACAGAAAAACCCATTCGGGCTGCTGTTGTTCGGATATCGAATGGTATGGTAATCCCTGCTTTTCTAGCCAAAATGTATACTTTAGCAGATAGCTAATTTTATTTTAGAGAGCTCTTTTGAAGTTTCGGATACCGTTGACAAAAGCCCTTCTTTTGAATCAGATTTTGAGAAGATTCGTCAAGTACTACTCGCTTCTTCCGAACCTGCCTTCGTCCTCGTCCATGATCAAAACCGTAATGATCTTTTGCAGTTCATTTCTTATGTGCCTGACTCGGCCAATGTCCGAAATAAAATGCTCTATGCCTCCAGTCGTTCTGGTTTAATTCGCATTGTCAATATGTCAAAAATTGACAAATCTTTCTTTGCTAGTGCTCCCGAGGAACTTAGCTATAAGTCGTTTTTTGATAAGGTCACGAAAGAAACTGATACTGCACCTCTACGCCAGGACGAAGAAGATAGACAACAAGTGGATGAGGTATTCTTTTTTTTCTCTAATTGAGTCTAAGTATTTTCGCTAACAGTTATCTTTTTAGTCTTTACAATCTTCTACGTCTCAAAAGCGTTCTTTAGTTACTGGAAGTATAGCAATGGAATTAAACGATGATGCTTTGAAAGCCATCGAGAAGTTTCGCTCTGTTCCTCAAAATACCCTTTTTCTTTTTGTACGATCCTTCTTTTCCTTTTTTTTATTGCTAACTAATTGGCAGTCTGTCCAAGACGAAGTTATTTGCCTAGAAGATGAAAAAGAAAGCATTGCTGCTTCTGATGTAAAGTCCTTTTTCCACCCTTCTGAACCAAGATTCGGGTTTTACTCGCTTTCTAAGGATGAGCAATCAAAACATTGTATGATTATTTCTTTAAATTTATTTACTTACGATCCATAGTGTTTATTTACATCTGCCCTATGCAGTCCTCTGTAAAAAATAGGATGGTCTACTCGTCTTGCAAACTTGCATTTCTGAACAAGGTTGAAAAGGAGTTTGGCATAAAGATTGACGGAAGGGTAATTTTTTTTATTTTTATTTCTCCTCCAAAAAATTTTACTGACATATTTAGTTGGAATCAAACGATTCTGCAGACTGCACCGAAAAGGAAATCCATCAAACGTTAGGTCTTATTGATACATCAAAAGAGTCAAACACAAGGTCTGGCTTTTCTAGACCTCGTCCTCCTCGTAGACGTTAATGTTACGATCTATATCCTTGTCCGTCTCTATATGTTGCATCTTTACACAAGTTATGAATCCCTTCTTTGGAATGAATATTTTGAACGCTCTTGTTAATAGTAGCTCATTTGTCTTTTAACCTTACCAATGCTTACGTCCTTAAAATATTTTACTAATAGATCATATACACTTCCAATAAAAATCGAGTACTCACCCAAAAATTAATTATTCATTACTCATAACCGTTTCATATCTAATCCCGCTTGCATCCTTAAACACAAACGTGTAAATTTTCGTCATAATATGCAATGTAAAGTTTCTAATCACCTTCACCTTTGGAACGAATACAAGAATCAACCCGCTCTCGAATCTCGTTTGCTATTTGATATTGACCCGTCCTTTCAAACGAAAGAGAACCATCTGAAAGTAAAGAATATAGCGACCGCGAGATTTTTTTGTTATAAACAGCAAACTGCTCTTTCGTGATTTTAGCGTTTCTATAGTGTGGCTTCAATGCTGCATTAACTAACCGTTCTATCCGATACTTCACCTCGTAAGGCAACCTTGTAGATTTGGTTAACTCTCGTCGTCCAGATGGCTGAGGACCCGCTTGCAATTTGGTAGTGTTTTCTAACATATTATTATCCACGATCTCACCAGGTTCAGTGACACGTGGAGACTCATCAACGTGGTGAGAATTTGGAGACGATGTTTCCAAGTGAAAAGGAGGAGAACTTTGGGGAGAAAGATTGGAAAAAAGAGGAGTTATATGTGGTTCATTCGAGCTATTTGATGAGCTGCCATCCTGAGATCGTTTTAAAATTGATTGAACCTTCGTCAAAAACTGAGAGTCATTTAGAGAAGAGGACGGCCGATTGATGTTATTTACTAAATTCGCAAGTACAGATGGCTCACGCGCTTGATCATTAGTCGTCGTCAGATTAGAGGAAGAACCTGGAGCACCAGAAATCGAGGCATTTCGGTTCCTGTGAACCGGTCTTTTTAGCTTCTTTGTACCATCAGATGCTAGGGACGGATCTTGAGATACTATAGAACGCTTCTCATCAGATCTTCCATCAGTTCCGGAGCGGTCTTGGTTACTGTGCAACACAACGTCAAAATCACTCCAAGCTTTTCGTTCTGATTCACTGGTGATGGGCGTCTGCAAAAATGGTTGTTGCTGCTCTTGTTCATCATTCACACTTGAGGTGGACCGTAGCCTAGTGTTTTCTATTCTTCTCCGTAGCAAGTCAGAAGCTTCATTTCGCCTGGGAATACCAGTATCAAGCGTATAGTAAGATAAATCAGAATTCAAATTTTCCCACGTACGATTGCGAATGGCATTCCATGCTCTAGTCCACGCACGCTGCTGGCGTTGTGAAACCCTCGAAGCTCTGGCAGCACGGCCATTAGTTCGTCGGCGACGCGAGAGAGAAATACGGGAAGCCAAAGTATTAACGTTTTCATTATTTAAAAAAACACAATTAGGGCAATAAAACTCGTTCTCCGGAACTTCTTCTAGATCCAAACAAAAAGTGTGGTATGCATCATCACATCCGTCGCATAGAAGTAACACATCCTGTTGTTCGGATCCACCACAAATGACACAGCGGGTCAATTCATTTGATTCCACAAATTCAGATGGTACCTCAGCATTAGCTACTGTCTGTACTTTTTCCTCAACTGGGTAAGCACGCAACCAAGGACCTCCAACATATTCGTATACATCAACTTTGAAAAACTCTATACGACAAAGAGGACATGTGTTCGCAACCTCACACCAATTTTCCAAACACTGATTGTGGAAATAATGTCGACATGGTAGCGTAGCTACATAGATACCATTAGGAGACGCAGAAAGAGTCGTAGGCACTGAACTATTGTCCCAATTTTCTAAAGGGCAATTGGGTAATTCTGATAAACAAATAATACATTCCTCTGCATTTCCATCTGAATTTTCTTGACTTTGTTCCTCAGCCATTTATATTATGTAGGCCAAATTAATATTATGTGGGGGTTCGGTGGGTAGCTAGCGGGTTGATGGTGAAAGGAAAGATACATCAGTGACAAATGTTGCAGCCCTTCAGCTTATAACGATAACGACCGATAGTGAGCGAATACTTACGAAATCCTTAAAACAAGAGCCGTTCCACTAATGATTATAAAAATCAACAGTGGAAGAGAACCGGGATAAAGGCGGTATGAATGATGAACTTCATGTACAATCGACTAGTTTAGACTTCATATACGAAACATCAGGCTCTCGCGGTATACAAACTCAGAAACCATCAGTGCTGGTTTCCTAAAGGATCACGGAACCGAAGAAAAGACAGAAGAAAGGAAGGAAAGAATAACTAAAGAATATACGATGAATAGAACCGACGATTTCGTTTGTATGTTTAAAGACAAAAGTTTAGGGTAAAAGTTTTAAAGAACAGGAGAACGACGAATTCTTTCCTGCTTCTGTTGGTATGAACGTAAGGAAAAGACGGAAAAAACTACAATCAAGGTAACGAGAACGAAAATGAAACGACGCTTCCAAGGACTACGCTTGGTACTAGGTCCCTTTAATTCTTCTTGAGGAATTTCAGGACTGAACTCGTCATTGATGTCGGTAATTGTTCTGCTACTAATGCTATGAATTTCATGATTTTCGCTCAACTCACCAGTAATAGCAGAAAACGTGAGGAAAGCAGTAGCAGGCAAATTAACGTCTTCCATTTCAAAGCACTTAATAAAGTCGGAGCTAGCATCATATGCTAATTCTAAGCGAAGAACCTTACTCTTCTTGTCGAACTTCAATTTACCCAAAGTGTAATCACTGCTATGCAAGTGTAACGCACTGCATCCCGCGATTTCGTTTTCTTTTCCATCGCGGTCAGCATCATAAGACGTCTTTCCATCACCCTGCATAACGATAACACGAGGGAAAACTGTTCCTGATCGGCCATTGTTATAAGTATCAAAGAATATACCATAACCCTTGAAATTATCAGTAAAGCCAAAAACAGGGCCTGATTTGGCACGCTCTTCGGTCAAAAACAATCCCATGCCATCACCAAAGAGATTTCTGGATTCACTTGAAATACGGAATTGAAACAATACCTCAAAGCTGTTGGCGGGGATAGGTAATCGGGTCGACAGCCATCCACTTTGATGTTGTAAATCTTGAGTCAAAAATATACCATTTTTTTTATCCACAACAGTGCTTCCACCGTATTCCCACCACAAACTTCTCATTCCGTGATTAATGTAGGGTGGTTTTAGGGACAGTCTTTCTAACTCATTAGACTGAGCAAAGACTCCAAGTGCAAGCGCAAAGAAACAAATGATTCGAAAAACCATTTTAGAAGAAATCATATTCACAGTTCTCACAGGAAAACACTTTGTCTTACCTCCTGCTGTTGTTTGTTGTTAGTAGAGCTGGGCGTGGTCATTCATCAGGGTAGTTTTCTGAGGTCACTTGTTACTTCTTACATGTAAATAATAAAATTAGGATAATGAAAAGTAACTCAGCACATTGTAACTATTTAAAGATTTATTCATAAAAACAATTTACTGTGAAGTTCTAAATGAAGAAGAGAACATATCAAAATTGCAGCATAGGATCAAAGGTGATTGGATTCATATATACTCTTGATTTCTAAGTAGTGAATATAACTAAATTGCAATCACACATCATTTCAATAATGCTCTGCTGTATCAAGCTGTTGTAGGGCTTCATGTCTTGTTAAGTAATTCATTTAAGAAACCGTTTAATTACTTATTTCAAAATGGGCTTTTTCAATTGAAAACCCGCTTATTTCTCATGACACCATCGTTGTATGTACCGTTTCGCATCGAAATACTTGTCATTAATGATTCTTTAGTTCATGTGAAAGGAAATAATACGGTTTCAAAATTTCATAAACCTTTTACTTCTTAAAGACACCAAAAAGTGTTTTATTTACTAACGGACCTTACCGCATTCTAACGCTGACATAAACTGAGTGTGTATCCAAGACCTATGAAGCAAATCATTCTATTACCCTGCACATGGATAATTTAAAAGGCTGGTAAGTTTATTTGGGTTTTCTTTGTAGTTTGGTATTGGAATTGAATCGTTAATGTTTTGCTCCTTTGAATTTTCTTCGCTTTAGATAATAGAAGGTTCTTTTGTCATTCAAATGTAGCTAGTCTTTGCTTAGCTTACACTTGTTTATACGGGTATCAGTTTCGTATATATTTTTTTTAAAGATAAATCAATGCTGGTAATGTTTGTACGATTACGAAACCAATACCTGTGAGAATATTTCCTCGTAATTATCTTCAACTACCTCTATATTTGACGTTCTATGTTTGAAGCTTATGGCTAACGTAACAATAGGATTCTGAGTTTAATTTCTAACTGTTTTTGCATCCTTGGGGCTAGCGGAGTTTGGATCGATGTTATTGCAAATAAATTACTCGGTCGCCCAGCGATCGACCTCGTGAACAGTGAGCGCTCTTTGGTAACAGCACTTGCTACCAGTGCTGGAATATTATTGTTCAGTTCTTGGTCAAGTGTTATGGAAGAATCGTTACATTTCTTCTTAGACGTTCCTATGATTGATATGTTCCTAGCGAGAATCTTCCAGCTTACTTCTTTCTTCTTTGGAAGCGTATTTTTTTTTGGATTTACTCACTTTCTCCACAAATGGCTTCGTAAAACTAATGAGTCAAATGCAGAGCATGATCACTTCGGATATCATAATGCTCGGGATACATCTCGATCTTTATCTTCATCAACTCACTCAGGGTCAGCGTCTCTTCAGTTATCTTCTTCCGTTCATGGAAGCCACTGCCCTAGTGGCACCCATCTTCATGAGAGATCGATGCTGCTAGCAGATGAAGGTGATCCTGAAAGTACTCATCCTCCTATAGGAGAAAGTAACCCAAAGACACCTACATGTGAATGCGAATGCCATAATCATTTTTCAGCTGTGAATAGCATCCCTGGTTCCGAAGAGGATGAGCATATTCATTCCGTGTATACGATGGGCATTCAAACAGCCTTTCTTATATGTCTTCATAAAATTCCCGAAGGCTTCATAACTTATTTGGCTTCGACTGTTGATACGGGATTTATTGTATTTGTTGCTATGACGATCCACAATATGGTCGAAGGATTTACGGTGGCTTACCCTCTTTATCTTGCTTGGAAATCTCGTAAAAAGGCATTTCTAACTGCAGCTGCCCTAAGTAGCTTAAGTCTTCCAACAGGTGCATTTATTGCTTTTCTTTTAGTTCGTATTGGAGCCTCTGGGTCATTCGACTTGCTAAATTTGGTTTACGGATTCATATTTGCTAGTACTGCAGGGATGATGTTAATATTGTCCCTTCGAGTCATTTTCCCAGAAGCTTTACGACATGATCATTCTCAAAACAAGAAACATTCTGTTTTGTGTTTCATTCTTGGAATTTTGGGTACGCTATGTCTGGAAGTGGTCCACGAAAGTTAACGTTTCTTTCCTCTTATTAAAATCGGTTCTTGTTCTGTTTTCTATGTCTAGTTGAGATCGTTCACTCATTTTTGTATAACTCACACTATAAGTTTGTATTTTTTTATTTATGCTACCGTCGGTGGTTGATGGTTTTAGTTTCTAGTTTACTAGATACTCTATTCTTTCATGTCACGGAGCAAACAATTATATTTATTCATTTATTTGATGTACTCAGCACTAAGCCTTTTCACTTTGAATCCCCTTCATTGATTACGGGCTCTCTTTTGCCGAATATATTGTGGTTTTACAGTTTGAATTATGACATTAATTTATATGCTGAAAATCTTATAATATTCTTTGTTGTATCCATCATCTTTTTCTTTTCTTTTTTTTTCCTTAAAAACAATTTTGTATGCTGAGATAACATTTAAATTGCTACTACGGTCATTCCGAAAGAAGCGTTTTATAGATTATCTGATGGAGTTAATTCTATGGGCTCTTTATTGAAGATTATAGTTATTCAATGATTTTTATTCATCTTGTACGCTTTCAAATGCTTAGTATAGAAGGACAAGCTATTATTTATACGTATTATTCATGATCCCAAGCAACAAATCCATCAAAATTGGATTCTACAAGTATTGGGTATTTTTAAGGAAATTTTATTATTTTTTAGTTAATCTATCGTTTTTGTTTTTAGATATTTGGTCTCTTTAAAAAATTCAACAAATACAAGTAAGATGTATATGTCATTTGCTTGTACACCTATGCATTTTCGTAAAACCGCAACTTCAGGTAAGCGCTTTTCCTAGCTGCTCACGTCCCTCACCCATCTCTTCTACTCAAATGTCATCTTTTCCTTCTGTTGATTTTTTCGAAAAATTAGTTGTTTTGGGTGATTCCATTACTCAGTACGGATTCACGCATGGAGGTATTTGCTCAGAGTTAGCCAATTTCTACCAGAGGCGACTTACCCTTGAAGCATGGGGATTATCTGGATACACATCCAGACATTTTCTAAACTACTTTTCAAAGCTCCCAATTGACATTGACCATACTCGAATTGTCGTAATTTACTTGGGTACTAATGACAGTCAAATAGTAAATGGAAAATGTCTTTGTTCAATTGAGGAATATAAAGAAAATATAAAAAAAATAGCAACAAAATTTCCAAAAACCACAAAGAAGATATTTGTTTCACCAGCCGCAACTCTAAAAACACTTCGATATGAGCGAGATCAAGAACCATATAGGTACGCTACACGTGAAGCAGCTACGGAAATGAATCTTGAATTGGGGAACACTACTTGGATCGATTTGTACGGTGCTACGAAATTCAACTTGGTCCCTGAGCTTTTGTTTAACGATGGCGTCCATCTCTCAGCCATGGGATACAACGTTCTTTTCCAAGAAATTATTTCTCAAATTAAAGCATTATGGCCAGAGCTTTTGCCAAAGAATCTTCCTATGCAACTACCACACTATAGTGAAATACTGTTTTAACAAATGTGAGGTTTGCCATGCTTTTAGTCAATGGTAACTAATACTTTTATTTGAAAAAGACGAAATATTCTAAAAGTTATACGTAATGGACTGTGATGGGCAAATTGAGATTGGGTCTTACGTTCAGAGAAGCAATGGTACAGATTGCCAGTTTATAATTAACGATATTAATGACACAAATAATTGTGAAGAGAATGAGTGTTCAATTCATGGACTGGCGTGTAAACAAATGAAGTCTGACGAAAAGTATCATTCTGAGGTAGTTTGTGACATGAGAGAGTGATAAAATTATCTTCAAGAATAAGGGAATCTCTAGGGTTATTTTTTTCCTTTTTTCGGTTTATTCTTTTTAATATAACAAGATAACTTGCGACCTAAACAATTAGCATTAGTAACTGTACAAATATGGTTGGTAGAAAAGCAATTTGAGTCTTCATACCATCTGCTGTAACACCATCGAGTTGTTGTGTCACCTTCAGAGCATTCGCGAACGTAGTAAATCGAACGCTAGCCTTGACCTTGCCCTGAGTATCAAAGACCTGGCATTGAGTAATTTCACCAAATTTTTGAAGAGTTGCAGACACATCTTCCGAAGAGGTTCCTGGAGCCAGGTTTTCAATTGTAATAGTGGTAGGGCCTGCTGTACCCCGAATAGAAATCGAGCCATTGGCAATAGTAGGAGAGGCTACTAAAGGTGCCTGGACGCGGTTCAAAAGTTTCCTTTCGTTTTCTTGAGGGCTAGCACCACCTGATTGTTTTCCAGGGCTGTTTAGTCTTTGAAAGAGCTCATTATTTTTTAATTCTTTTGCGACACGCTTGCTGAAGGTAGCTTTACTTTCGTTTGCTCCAGACTCCTGCGAGTAAATGATTAGTGACATATTTTTACTTCTCTAGAATGTACTTACGATCTTTTTGTCATTCTTCTTGCCAACACGTCCACTGACAGTGTGCTTTCCCAAAGTAAGAACACCTTTCGACAAAGTGTTAACAAATTCTTCCAAGACAGTTTAAAAAAAGAAACTTACCATCAAAATTATTTCTAGATTTTCCTTTCTTTGCCATCCCGACCACGTAAACTGTTTAAGGACGCGTAGTAGGTATTTCGCAGATGTTACTCTTCCACGGTAGGTAGCATCTAAAGGAAGGGTACTACTACCTAAGAAATCACAAAATCATTTCAAATGACGGTTTAATAACGAAAAGAACGAAAGTTATTATTATTAATTTATTATTTACATGTCTTTCATTAGCTGCCTACCAGAATTGAAATGAAATTCAGCACATTCTAGCTTGTTTACTAGCAATCCGCAAAGCAATGCGTTGCAGTCTTGCTTGCTTCATAATTCGTATACTGCAAGGATTTGTAGCTCTTTATTTGGATGTAAACAGAAAATCACTGAACAATAAATTCACGATCTCAGAACCGACTTTGAAAGAATCCTTAGGAAAACGGAAAGTAAGAAGATGTCGAAACAGTCTTGTGTTGCTACTAAACTCAAGCAAGTGGTTGAGTCACTTTACAATCCCAAGCTGGCTGATTCTTGGGATAATACTGGTTTGTTATTGCAAGCACCGTTTTCTAGAACTGGCGCCAAGTCTGTATTACTGACAATCGATTTGACGGAAAAGGTGGCAGATGAAGCCATCTCCAATAAACTTATTTCCTCCATCATAACGTATCGTATGTACCAGTATCGAATAATTGTCGCATCAACCTAACTTACCGTGTAGACCCTATTATTTTCCGTGGGCTGAAAGCTATTACGATGGAAGATTCACAACAAAGGAGCTTGCTACGTCTAGCAGCTGAAGGCATCCATGTTTACTCCCCTCACACGTCCGTCGATGCTGCTGCTGAAGGCGTTAACGATTGGTTAGCTTGGGGTATTGCTGGTGGAAAGAACCTGTTAAAATCGTCAAAGCCAATTCAGCAAAACGCTCCCATGTCTGAAACCGAAGGATATGGTCGCCTTTGCGAATTTTCATGTCCAGCGAGCTTGCGCGAAGTAATTGAGCGAGCAAAGAAACTAACTGGTCTTCCATATGGTATGTCCCTTGTTAGGAAATGTGTAGGAACTGGCTCTAACCAATCTTATTTAGTCCAAGTGGCTGCTCCAAGAGGCCTTGATGCTTCAATCTCCAGTGTTTCCGTTTGTGCTGGATCTGGTGGCTCTGTACTCGCTGGAACAGAGGCCGATTTATACTTTACCGGAGAATTGTCTCACCATCAAGTCCTCGCCCTTACTGCAAAGGGAATTTCCGTTATTTTGTGTAAGTCGCTCTTCTAATTCCTTTTACTAATCAATCCAGGTGGTCACTCCAATACTGAGCGTGGATATCTCAAGGACGTCATGGCCGAAAAGCTTGCTAAAGCTTTTCGGGAATCTGATGTTGATGCAGAAATTATAATTTCTGCTGAAGACCGCGATCCTCTCACAATAATGTAAGGTTTTTTTGTTCAGTTTGCCAAATAAAAATTAATGACGTTTTTGACGATTCAACCAAAATAGTACTTAATAGAATACTATCCTACAAGCTCGTCAATTGGGTTTAATCTGAGCGTAGTATTAAAGTAACTAGGAACAGATTGGTTTACACATTCTTGCATGCATTGTCTGCACTCTCAGTTTATATTTGAGTCCACTATTTTGTCATTCATAGCAGTCTTTTATCTTAAAAAAAAATAAAAAAACAGTAAAGATTAAAGAATCGTATATATCTCTCCCTCCGGGATTCGAACCCGGGCTGCCAGCGTGACAGGCTGGTGTACTACCCCTATACTAAGGAAGATCTTGTATAATAAAACTTTTACAGTAGAACATATAGACCATATAGATTATAGATTAATGACAAGAAACTATCGTGGAAATAGAAAATTTCTCCAACAATGATTCTGTATCTTTGTTCTTTTCTTTTCTTTTTTTTTGTTTTTTTTCTGCAAGAATAAAGATAGGAAAGGAGTGCTGATATATGGCATCTTCTAGACTCAGTGGGCGGCTTGGCTTAATTTGTTTAGGCGTAAACGTGTCGAATGAACCGTAAGAATATTTAATTCTCGAAATATGTGTTTTAAAGGACCTTTGTTTTATGTTTGACGTAAGTTTGATCACTGCAACAGATGAAGTTTCAAATCCTTCTCGAAGAAGGGCTCATGAATCAATCTATCCTACCTTTTTCTAGTCGGATCATTAACATACCAACTCATCATAACATATTTTCCCACCCATAATATATTTCCTTTTATTGTAACATAAAATCATTAGTTAAGATAGGAAGGCAGCAAGCCACTATATAGACTAGTGTCTTATGCTTCTTCTCCAAGTAGAATTGTTTTTCATATTATTTTCGGAGTCGTATTTTGTTTGGCTTAATACAAACATCAACACGGTCACCACATTTCATTCCAGTCACCTTCAGCAGCTTAGTCCCTTGGAATAATTTGGGATTGTGCAAACATACTGTTCCCATTTCTCTTGAGGAGGGTCTCCCTTTGAATTGGTCATGAAAAACGAAGCGAAACTGAAGCATCCACTCTGGGTGTTTAGTGTTTTCTTGCTGAAACAAAGTTGTTTCGGCAATAAAAACCGCCAGCTCATATAAAGTCATGTTCATCCTTAACACGGTTAGTAACGTTCGATATGCTGTTATTGTAAATATGTAAAAATTCTCTTCATTTTCATTGAAAACTCAGAGGGAAAGTATTAACTTGTCTACTCTCAGGTCTTTTCAACTAGAACGTCAATGTATTGACAATAATGAAAAGTTTCACAACAATGCTTACCATCCATATATTTCAATTGAGGGTACAACATCTTCTAATACATCTAAAATGTGATTTTTAGTATCAAATTGATGATACACTTGAATAAGGAATGGACAAGGGCCAACGGCAGGATCGCTTTCACTTGAAACCGGCGATTGAGACCGACTTGAAGTAAAACTCATTAAATTGGTGTAAATGGACTTTCTAAAAGAAGAAATTGAAAAGAAACGTCGACAGTTAGAAGGTAAAAATGATATTCCTGCCAAAAAAGCGTTTCGAAGAGGAGATTGGGAGAAGGAGAGAGAAAGGAGATATTTGGAAGATCAGCGAGAAATGGAATTAAAAAAGCAAGAGAAGAAACGAAAATTAGATGAAGAAAAAGAAGCCTACGAAAAAGAAAGACGCCAGCCTGTCTCAAAAATAGCAAAAGTAGATGAACCGTCGAGTTCTTCTTCTCATGTTGCGGCAAGTACACCAACGAGTCCAGGTGTAAGTGATTTTCAAAGTGCTACAAAATCCTCATTTCCTTCTACCAAAAGTGAGCATCCAGAACTTTCACTTCCAGATGTCATTAGCAAGCTTCGGGAAATGAAGGAACCCATCAAGTTATTCGGCGAATCCGAAGAAGCGCGATTGAAACGGTTCTTCAGAATTGAAAAAGAAAAAGAGATTGAGCGATTGGAAAAAGAGCTTTTGATTAAAGGTGTTGAACTCATTGATTATCAGCGCGCTAGTCATGAAAGGCAACGGGTTTCCAAACAAGTCGTTACATTCCTACGACATGGTATATATGTTTGGGATAAAATACTAACATCGAAAAGCGCTTCTGAGCTTAATAGTCCCGAAGGACAGGGTCAATTGAAAATTTTTCGACAAGCTAAACAAGACCTAGAGACCCTTATACGATTACTCATCGAGGACTCGCTAAATGACAATATATTATCCAAGGTTGCTGAGATATGTTACCTATGCCAAAGAAAAGAGTTTGTGAAAGCAAACGACGTCTATTTGCAACTTACTATTGGAAATGCACCATGGCCTATTGGTGTCACCATGGTAGGAATTCACGAGCGTAGTGCTCATCAAAGATTACAAAGGGATCCAAATACTAGCATTCTGAAGGACGAAAAGAAAAGAAGGGTAAGTATTTATGAGGATAGGTGAAACATTTCCTATCTTTCGTTGAGAGTAACAAGTACATTAACAAGTGTAGTGTTTACAAGCCTTGAAGCGGTTTATAACTTTTTCAGAAAGAGAGAACCCTAATTGGTTTTCAGAAAAAGATTCTAACTAAAGTATGGTCATAAATGGGTACATTTCCGAGTGATATACTTTATAGAGGTTTATTTTTGATGTTTAAAGGGCGTCGTAAATGTTTTCAAGTGTTATATCTGTTTTAATATTGCATGAACATGTCCTTTTATATGCTTGCACTGGCGGTGAAATAAAGGTACTCCCAACTACTTCCATTATTCAAGTATAGTAAAAAGAGTATAATTTGTACATTTCTCATTAACGATTGAAAATAACTGTCCATAGTTTAGATTGATTGTTCAAAGCAATACCCTCTGTTTTATACGAGATACCAAAGTTTGGTATATGATGATAGTCGTAGCTCGATGATAGGATTATTCAAATTTCTTATTCCAAGTCCAAATCGTATTCTTCTTGCTCTATTTTAGCCATGCTGGGTCGTGAAGAGCTAGTATTTTGTGTTGCAGGAGGGGCCATACCCATACCAGAAAGTGCGTTCAAAGGATTCATGCCGTTTTGCATTCCTGGTTGTCCTTGCATCTCCTGCATCATGTCTTGGAACATATTTTCCGAAATACCTCCTCCTGAGAGCGCTGGAGAATGCATAGGTAAAATGGTATTTCCAGTTATACCTTTGGGATAAGCGGGTGGACGTTCAGGAAGTCTGGGAGGGACATTCTGTATAGGTAGAGACAATGGATCTTGTGGTTTAGTGGGACGATGTTGCAAGACTTTTGCGATTTGCTTAAACAGATAACGTTCTGTTGAATGTTAGCTAAAAAACACACTTAAACTCAACAAATTAGATACATACTTGATATTTTTTCCGGTAAAATTAAATCTACACGGCCTGGATTAGCCCAGTCGGCGGGGTGAGTTTTGAGAGGTTCAATTTTACATTGGTAGCCCAAATCACGAACGACATCCGCGATGTTCTTTGCTAATGGATTTTCAATAGCATCTTTTTTAGAAACACGACGAAATTCTTTTGAACGCTTTTTATCAAAATAGATTGGGTACACGAGCACCATTGTGTGAGTGTATGGAGAAGGTGAAGTGCAGGAATCGAAGAAATAATAGAATGAAAAGCTGCAACGTTACAGATCTTTTTGTATGTCTTAGTTACAATATAACAATTCTTTAAGCTGGTAAAAGCATTGGGATATGAAACGGTGTTCGTCAACGCATTTTAGTATTTAGAAATTACGATTCAAAACGTCGGCAAGGTTATGATGATATGAATTTAGACATGATATTTCTACTGGCATTTCAGGGAATGAGTACAGATCCAGGTACAAAGAAGAATGGAACTGTTTGAGATATGAGAAAGCAATTTTACATAATGTGTACATTCCAGATTTCAGATATTATTATTGGAATATAGAGCTTCATTCATAAAGATGAATTTCATCATAAAAAATTATCAAAAAAGACCCTTGTGCAAGAGAGACCGTCAGAAAATATATACAAGTACTCACATCGCATCATTTCCTTTTTGCCTTTCTGAGAATAGTTAAGTATTGGAACATCTTCATCCTAATTATAAGCAGATCCAAACCTTGCTAAATGCAGCAATCTCAAAGTACTGAACTTTTTTCTTGCTATAAACAAGTATATCTAAACGTTTAATATTCGCCATAGAAAAACAGGAGGTACGCCAAACGAGCGGATTTAGGAAATTAAATGCATTTCGCTCAAGTTATTGAACTTATTGTCTCTTGTTATTTACCAAATCTTCATTGTTAGTCAAAGAACAATACCACATAACTTTAGATCTATCACACGTACCTCTACGGCATGCATCTGCTAACAAGATTGTGTCTACATAAGCACTAGACATGTGCACATAGCGAACGACACTTCCTCTAATAAATAAATCTTTGACAGCAGCCTATGGAATTAATAATGTTAGCAACCAGTTCGGAAATGAGCATTTTGAGAACGATCATCTTTGCGAATGGGAATGTCCAAGAACTTTGAAGCTAGTCTGAGATCCCCTTAAAAGAAGGCTTCCTTAAATGCTTGTTCTTGTAACATTTCATCATTCTAAGATTTCAATTCATGGCTTACCATGTGAGGATATTTCTCGGATTCTACGACAGCAATATTTTCTAGTTTAACATTCAAAAACTGATCCACGGATTTCAATATTCCCCGAATACTCATGTCATTCTGTACATTGTTAGTCTCATTGCCAAAGTCGCAAAACCCACACCTTGAGCTCAACCGTAACCTCCGTATCAATCAGAGTTTTGAAAAAAGAATAAAATAACATTTTTCAAGTAGCTAAATAACGATTTTCTAGAATTTTTTTGGGAAATCGAAGAAGCGCGATGTATGTTTAACACTAGTGTATTGAAAAGGTAACAATCAAAATGTGACTTGAAATCGCAATGAATAATTGTAAACAAAAACCGCAATGTAAGCAGCAATTCGTTGAACGGATGGAATCTTCTTTATAATTTTTTCTTTTTAGTTTTAAATTTATTCCAATTAGTCATGTTTCGATAAGAAATCACTATTTAATCGAAATATTTATGAAAGTGAAGTTCAAAAAGAAGTCAAACGTTGTCATGCCAGACGATTATGAAGCGAAAGGCAATTTAATGAAGGCTGGTCAAATATTGAATCTTACTGAAATGTATTTAAAAACAATGAAAGCTACCATCTCAAGTAATGTATCTGTCAACAAAAGCCAAGCGCACCCGGAAGCCTCTGGGCATCCAAGTAAAGATGTGAAGTCTCATCTCCACAGGAAATTTTAAAATGGAGTTTTTAACGATATTTGCTCCTCACCGTGTATTTGAATGATCGGCCTTCTGTTCCCAATAGTTATTATAAATCACTTCGAAGTATGGTGGTAAAAAGGTGATATATGGCTTCAGGAAAATTGATGACTCAACTACCTATACGTTTGTATATATACCATCAAAAATAATTACCGATTCTAAAGTTTATGCCTGTGTTCGTTTGTAGAATCTAAGATTTGCTATCACCTGTTGATTAGTGTATTCACCATTCACAATTAACAAGCTCGAATACCCATAGTAAAAGCAATTATAAAAACAATTAACAATGTAAAGAAATAAGATTATATCTCATACTCCGTCAGACCTTTAGTTTCTTATTGCATGGAAATCCCAAGTCAAAAGTCGGAAACCCAAGCACTTCAATTCAGATCTCGTTCATGGACGGAATTTTTCAGTTTAAATTAACTTCCATAGAATTAAATCTCTTCGCTGGTCTAAACGATTATTTTTTTTCAATAGGTAGGACACAAAGCCAGATGTGAATGCAGAAGGACCACTTTAAGCCGAATACGGTTTGTACTTTCCTTTTATTATTTAAGTCTTTTTCCTTTTGAATTTTGGACGAATATATCCCCTAAGAAGAATAAATATCGTACAACCATCAACCACGAGTATAGACACTAACGACTCATTGAGAACCAATTTTTCAAACGTTTTTCTTCTTTATTAATTCAAAATAAAAAGTCACTATTGAATTCACATCAGGAGTAAGTAAAGTGGTTGCACTTGAATAGTTCTTCCTCAACCAAGACCAATCTATTACCATTAACACCTTGGATCTTGGGTATGCGGAAAAGTCAAAATCTCAAGGGTAATTCCACTTCTGAGGATACAGAAACAGAACTTCAAGACGATTCTAGTTTTTTTTCAGTAGAAGAGTTGAACAGGAGGTTGAATGCATCTTCTGCGTTAGGTAGTTCTGACCCCAAAAAGTCTCCGACTTTACTTGATCCCAGTAGCTCAAATGAACTCAAGGTCTCTCCTAATACTACAAAAACAAATTTGTTACCAAAAGCCGCTGGTGCTTCAAGGCCGTCGAGTAGAGCTACTTCCCCAAACAATATCAAGCGGGTGTCAGACTTTAGTTTCGGCGAGATCATAGGAGAAGGCTCATATAGTACTGTGCTTTCAGCTACGGAGAATAATACAAAGCGAGAATATGCCATCAAAGTGCTTGACAAGCGACATATCATTAAGGAAAAGAAAGTGAAGTATGTCAACATAGAAAAAGAGGCCTTGTACCTCATATCAAAACATCCTGGATTTATTCGTCTGTTTTATACATTTCAGGACACTCAAAGCCTGTATTTTGTTTTTAGTTTGGCAAGAAATGGTGAGCTTCTGGATTATATTTATAAGGTATGATTCTCTTAAAGATTGACAAGTTTTTTTCCATTAAAAACAACCACTAACAAAAAATTAGCTTGGAAAATTTAATGAAGCTTGTGTTCAGTATTATGGTGCGCTCCTCTTGGACTCTATTGATTTCATGCATAAGCAGGGTGTCATTCATCGTGACCTAAAGCCCGAAAACATTCTTTTGGATGACAATATGAGAACCAAGATTATTGATTTCGGTTCAGCGAAAATTCAAAAAACTGCTGAAAAGAGCGAACAGCTTTCAGACGATCTCCCGACAAGTGATAATCACTCTAGGTCCTTCGTTGGCACTGCTCGTTACGTCTCACCAGAAGTATTGAATGATAAAAATGCAAGTACGGCTTCAGACGTATGGGCTTTTGGTTGTATTTTGTTTCAGATGCTTACAGGAAAACCTCCTTTTGTTGCAGGAAATGAGTATCTTGTTTTCCAAAAAATATTACATTTAAGCTATGAAATTCCCATCGATGTTTCGGAAACTGCTTCCGATTTAATTAAGAAAATTTTAGTCTTACATCCGAACGAACGACTAACGACGAAGGAAATCCGTGATCACCCGTTTTTTTCTTCAATGCGATTTGACAAAAGTCTATGGGAAATACCTCCCCCTCGTCTTAAGCCTACTGGTCACACAAGCACGCTTAGTCTTTCCGTTCCAGGTTTCGTTTCCAAATCAGCCGGAGACATTAATGAACAAACTCGTCCTTCTACCCTATCTGTTTCTTCCGCGTATCCTACCCCTAACACACCTGTAAATACCACATTTTCCTTACCCAGTCCCCTTGAATATGAAGAAATGAATAAGCGTTGGCATAGCGTTCTTCTGGAAGATGAGAAGATTTCCAAAATCACTGTTTTAAATGTATCGAGTATGCCAGGAAGTGGGACACATGAAGCTGTACGGTTCTTTTCGTCGCTTTTCCGCAAGAAAAGGCCTCGCACTTTTATTTTAACGACATTTGGAAGATGCCTTTTGGTTGCGATGAACAGTGCAGGCAGGGCTACAATCAAAGAAGAGCTTCCTGTAAAGAGTGTTGGATTAAGGGTCCATGGTGTTAAAAACTCTGACCATACTTGGGTTATGGAGACTCCTACGAGGTCCTGGTCGTTCGAAGACCCTCGCGAACCGGCATCGACATGGATAGAGTTAATCAACAGAGCAACATCAATTACTACCGCTTTTGAAAATCACTCTGTTACGAGTTTTTCTAGAAGTATTGCGAGAAGTATTTCTTAAACTTTGTTTTTGTCGTTTTCTTGCCGTCCCTCAATATTTTCGTGTGATTCCATTTTCCCTATATATTTTCTTGATATTTTTAACCTTGTATCGTCGTTCTTTTGAAGCATTGTTGTTGTTTTTTTACATTTTTATTTGTTACGTAGATGTTTATTTTTATAATTTAGATCCGTTAGAATATTATATAGTCACTCTTTTGAAATTGTCTGAATGTTTTTTTACAAGAGCATTCAAATGCTAAATTTTTGAATAATAATAACTGTTCCTTTAAATATTTTGATGGTGGTAGTTTTTGCGGTGTCTACGAGAGCATAAGTGTGGACATACAAATATGGATTATACTGAAGAAATTTTCCATTTAAGCCATTTCTGTATCTAACAAACCTGATATGTTTCCCTGTCCTACTTTTGAAGATACAACTTCGCAACACGTTCAAAATTATCCTTGTTGATGGCATACATCTTCAAGTAGTCTACTTCCATATCGTGGACATCTTTGCCAACAAGGAGAAGGCTGTGAAGAGGAGGACCAACGTCGTATTCAGCAATTTCACCTAGAGTACCAGAAGCAATTACTTGATCGTCAGAACCAAGTCTACCGATAGCCACAGCCAATGAATCAGGGGAACAGACTATAATTGATATTAATACGAGAATTTAAAACAAAAAGGTACATACTGTCTTCTTTACGGTCCTCTTCAACTTCCATCATCTGTTGAGCAGCCAAACTAGCTGACATATAACGAGGAGGTTCGTAAATTTTACGACCCCGAGCAAGATTTTCCCAGCTTTGTTCTTTCACTTTGATATCTACATTTCGGTTAAAAGAATGTTTTGTTGATAGAAGACTTACCAAGAAGGACCAGAGTATGTAGACCTAGACTAACATTTTCTTTAATGCGGTCATAGAAACTTTGAGGTCGATAATTTCCTTCAAAATATACAAGGCTGACTGTTTGACCAAATTTGTAAAGTTGGAGGCCACTGGCACCAACTCCGTTCATGATGGATGCATTGTGAATCATTCGCACAGGAATATTGAGTTCACGCGCACGTAAAACTAAATCAGCGTGGGTAGTAGCACTGATTTTTGTTAGCCTTGAATACTTTTTAAAAATTCGTTTCCGACTTTCTGAAGAGAAAGATTACAGATTGCAAGCATTATCCGAGTGTAGCACTTTTAAACGCATTCAGCAATCATAAAACAATATTCTCTGTTTAATTTAAGAGACATATCGAAAATAAGTACTTACCCCATAGGATCGCCAACAACTAGCATAGCGACATCGCAAGTATCTGCATCCTTCAAAATTTCATCGCTATTGGTTTCTACCATTTCACGATCGGCAAGAGTAATTTCTTTTTCATAAAGAGACTCCAAGCGCTCCTTATTGACAAGCAATATAGACGTATATGCCTCTAAATAGACACGTTGACATTTTTTTACAGTTTGCAATCCTCGCAGTGTAATATCATTTTCATCATACAATCCCAATCCAATTAAGTAAAACATCTTTAAAAAATAACTGGTCTAACTCGTTTGACCGCAAATCCAAATTGTCCAAGTTAGGAAGAGTGAATGGCTCTTGGCAGGATATTCCAAATATGTGAATTAGCAATCTTCTCGGCTAAAAGCATTAAAACGAGATTTGAAGGTTAGAAGAAGCTTAATTTATTTTCTAATTAAGGAATTTTTCTCATGGAGCGAACTTTTTCTTCATAAGCAGAGTGCGTCTTAGCTAAGAATTCTTGGCGCTCAACAAATCCATCTTTGTTAGCGAGACGAAGTTCATCTTGAATGTCTTTTTCTTTCACAAAATCAGACCAGTTTTGCTGAGCTTGTTCTAAAGTATTTGGCTTTGACTTCTTCGCAGCTTGCTTGGCTTGAACTTTGGCTAGAGGGGATTCACGCCTCTTTCTCACCAATGGTCTCTTTTTCAACTGAGGCTTTTCAATTGGTTTTTCTTGTTCTTTGGAGGGTACTTGTTTCGGCTGTTCTGTTGAGTATTCTTTTTCATTCGCTTTCGTGACGGACTCTACTGGTGCTGGAACAGCTTCAGGTTGCTCTTCTACAGGTTTCTCCTCATTAGTTTCTTTTTTTTCTTCTAAATCCTCTTTAGGATTTGATGATTCGGCTTTTTTTGATTCTTGAACGTCTAAAGCCTTGGTTTGCTCTGCTTTTTCTTCGTTTTCACCTTCCACCTCTTCTTCACCACTATCTGCATCTGAAAACGACGATTCTGAACTTGAAGCATCCTGTGGAATAAAATCCGTGTCTTCTTCTTCTAATTCGCTATCGATTTGAATCAATTTCTCGGTCATTGTACTTGAATGGAGCAGGAAAACGAGCGCTTGTCACTCAACACTTTGGCTCGTATTTTGACCCTGTATTTCAATTCTGAAAAGGGTACCAAAATTACGCCAAGTGCTTTAGAACTCATAACACAATATATTCGAATTTATACGAAAGAAGCTGTTTGGTAAGATACTATATTTGCTCCTCACGATGGATGCCTTATTAACAAGAGATTTAGCCGTTCATATGAGGAAAAAAGACGTTCTTCGATTACCATGAGTGATGAAGATGATATAGTTCTTGAATTGGAGGATTTAGAAAACGGAATTGCTGCTCAACTTGCTTTAGATTTTAGTTAAGCGGTTTGAAGCATGAAAATTCTATATATTAAATCGTAGCATAGAATATGTTATTACTAAAATACTAACTCTCTTTATGGAAATCATCAACGTTGCTATTCTGCTCTTTAATGTCAATCACAACCTGAGTACCATATCTGCCATAGAAGGACAAATTCGAGCACCTTATTATTGACTTTGTGATCTTTTCTTTACTTTGAAGGTTTCTCCTTTTCGTGGAAGGGATGCTCAAAGTTTTGCAAAATATACTTCCTTTACAAAGCAGTATGACCAGACTTCTATTCATATGTCTCCTGATATCTTTGAATCATTATTTATTTCTATTCGTGTTCTTTTTCTTCTGGGAATTCTTTTGTATACGAAAGTACTCTAAACCGCTGAATGCGAGTTTTGGATTTGAGTAGCACATCAATTTCAATTTGCAATTACAGATCAACACATAGGTTAATTTTTACTCTGACAGACGGTAAATCACTTTTTATGTTTTGTTGGTTTGTTTAGAAATCAACGTTTCTTTTCATTGATGTGAATGTCGGAATGCATACAATGTAATCACTATCTCATCCTCATCCTCTTGTTTCTCTTCTGTTGATTCCTTCTGGATCGGCTATACTTTGAAGGTACTACTTTTAGATTGTTTTCGGATGATACCGAGTAAGATACTTTTTAATCGTACATTTATTGGGTAGTTGATGAGTAGTTGCATTATTGGCATATTTATTCAAACAGATTGTGAATTTTCAACGCTTATGGTTTGCGAATTTGGATGCATAAGTCAAGATTCCTTAGTCTTGGCAGAGTTGATTGATTCTATGTGCCTTTGAATCTTAATACTTTGCAAAGGAACTGATCAAAAATTGCTTGCGTATGATTTAACAAGTTTTCATTTTAGGTCAGTAGAAGCTAGTAATTTTTTTGAAAAAAATATCGTCTATGAGTTTTCGATAGTAATTAGAATTGCCTAAGGATTTAGGAGGGTTTTTGTATTACTATAATTTCAATACGTACTTTATATATAGTAAATGTTTTTATAAATCCGCGAGAATTCGTTAATACGAATTACCTGAAGAATTGAAGGAACAAGTTGAGGCTTTAGAGATAAACAAATGATGTGTGGTGAATCCATAGACCTCTCAAGTTAAAATTTTAGAATCATAATACTTTTATGAAAAAAATGAAAAAAAAACCTAAAATACTTGAGTACCTATTGTTGAACCTGCTTGCTCGATATAATGGTTATAATAGGTAATTCAATTCTTCAACAAACGAATTGAAACTCTTCCAAAGATCTTTCCGAGTTTTATTTGTATTTTAAAAATAAATATGATACTTTTTCTTTGGTAATACACTAAGCAAGTTAAGACATCAAATTTGTCTCTGATCATTAGTTGGCAATCCTTATTTGGAATTGAATCACGAAACAGTATATATATATTTTAAGAATAAATAATTTTTTTCTGCACTCTTTTATAGATCAACCTCCAGACAAGTTTTTCTTGCAAGGATAATATCCTGAAATAATTAAGTATGAACCGGTAGTAAATACAAGGCCTATTCGAAAACTACGAGGAGGAAAAGCAATTGCTCATATAGGCCGAATCTATTGTTGATTACCTCTAAATGTCGTGTCTAAAAAAAAAAGTAAGAAAAATTAAAGAGATGAGCGGTGTCGTCCATTTCATAGCTCCTTTTTTGCTTATTCTTTATACCAGAATAAAATGTATATCTAAAACTAAAAATACAATTTGACTACATCCACCGTTTTAGGAATTGAACTAGTTTGATGTTTTATTGTTATCGTACTAAAGACCATGACTAGGTGACAGTTACTAATAATACGATTTATTGTTTGCTGATCTTAGGGCCTTTTTTATAGAAAACATAAACAACCAGTCATTACTCTGCAAACAAATGATTAAACAGAGTAAACAATAGAGTAAACAATAGATTAAGTGGATGAAAAAATATTAAAATAGTAATCTTTATGTAGCAGGAAGTAGAAAGAGTGTGAACCGATAAAAGCTGACAAGTAAATACAAAGGAAATGCAGTTAAAGTGTTATTGTAAAAGATAGTAGTTAGTAGTTAGCAAAAAAAGTAAGGCAGGCATATCTAAATTCAATTCTCTTATAGATTACAAAGATTCTTAGAAATTGTTGGCTAAGTTACATAAGCATTGCTTGCATAGTTCACGAAATGCTAGCTATTGATTTTGTTCTGCAATATATTGTAAGTGAAGCCTTTTATGAGTCTAGTCCCACGGTTAAAAATATTTTTGTTATTTAATTATATATTTGACACACTATGACTCTATATTCATCAAAAATTGTATATTACTAAAACATATGCTAAGTAAAGAAAAAAGAAGTAAGTAGATCGGACGCCCGTCCTTGGGAATTTTCCTTTAGATCCTATTCTCCCTCTGACATTTAAAGCATACAAATATTTCTAAGCTTTTAATGGTTTTCATATTTTTCTTCTAAGCTACATTACGCCAATCGTTGCTAAAATTATTTGCTATATATATTTTTACTAACACGACTTAACCAACAAGGCCGCTTAACTCAGTTGGTAGAGTGTGAGATTCCAAATCTTGAAGTCAAGTGTTCAAGTCACTTAGTGGTCATAAGTTTTTTTGTTCTTATTTATCAAGTACCACGGTATAACTTCATCGTTTTCCATACTAATTTCTAGTTTTCAATAAATTAAACAATACACAGCAGATTTTCTTAAACAGGCATCATTTATGAATTGCTTGCTGAATTCGGCGCCCAAGCACATTTCCATACCGGAGAAACAACTCAGCAACCAACATTATAATGCTCATTCTTCACACGAGCGTCGATGATAGCTACACATTTTTTGCAGATACTTCCTACATACTACGGTCGTTATAGTTCCATCTACACCTATAACGATTGTTTATTACCTATCCATTGAATTCCAAGGTCTGAAATGAACAATAATTTTGAATATTACTAAATATACCCAACACCAATACTCTTCTAACGGTATCTGCGAAGAGACAAGGTGTTGTGACGGAGCCAGGTGGCATATTGAGGAGAGTTGTTGAAGCGGTGACCCTTGGCAATACCACGAGACTTCTTACCGATGGAGGTAAGACCACGAGCTTCACGGTGCTTGTGGACAGCGTTGCAGATCCAGTTGATGCGAGGATCACGGCGGATGGCCTTGTGAGAGGGGTCGACGCAGATTACTTCGTAGAATTTGTAGGTAGCGTCTTGGTTGACCCAGTAAGAGTTGAGAACACGCAAGTTGGCGCAACGACGGCCGACACGCTCTTCAGCAGTGCAGCGGAGAGAGCGTTGGTACTTGAGGTGGTTAACACCCTGGTGGACGGGCTTACCATAGACTTGACCCTTAGGGACAGGGCGCTTACGGCCACCACGACGAACACGGATGCGGTAGACAACGTAACCTTGCTTGGCCTTGTAGCCCAAACGACGAGCCTTGTCGGGACGAGAGGGGCGGCTAGCGCGGTGAACAACGTTCATTTGACGGTATTCCCAAGCGCGAACGCGAGACAAGAACAAGTTCACATCAGACTGCTTCTTCTTAGAAAGCTCTTCCAAGTACTTGTAGGCACCCATTTTGTTGTAGAGTCGGTGGTGGTGGTTCCGTTGGAGTCAAAAGTTTCACTGTGTTGACCTACTCAACAAAAACTGTCACAAGCACCAACACGAGCTTCACGGTGCTTGTGGACAGCGTTGCAGATCCAGTTGATGCGAGGATCACGGCGGATGGCCTTGTGAGAGGGGTCGACGCAGATTACTTCGTAGAATTTGTAGGTAGCGTCTTGGTTGACCCAGTAAGAGTTGAGAACACGCAAGTTGGCGCAACGACGGCCGACACGCTCTTCAGCAGTGCAGCGGAGAGAGCGTTGGTACTTGAGGTGGTTAACACCCTGGTGGACGGGCTTACCATAGACTTGACCCTTAGGGACAGGGCGCTTACGGCCACCACGACGAACACGGATGCGGTAGACAACGTAACCTTGCTTGGCCTTGTAGCCCAAACGACGAGCCTTGTCGGGACGAGAGGGGCGGCTAGCGCGGTGAACAACGTTCATTTGACGGTATTCCCAAGCGCGAACGCGAGACAAGAACAAGTTCACATCAGACTGCTTCTTCTTAGAAAGCTCTTCCAAGTACTTGTAGGCACCCATTTTGTTGTAGAGTCGGTGGTGGTGGTTCCGTTGGAGTCAAAAGTTTCACTGTGTTGACCTACTCAACAAAAACAGTCACAAGCACCAACCCTACCCTTTGACTCGTTTTTGGAAATGGAATAAAGATACGATACCATTGATATATTAAAAAAATGTGCGTCTTTTCTAGTTTAAAATTAAAAGAATATTATTTTATAAAATCCCTTTCACATTTTCCTTCTCCATTGTGATTGTATTAACACTCACTATAGCACGGTATCAAAAGGTAGCGCTGGGGAACACAGCTCGTAAGTTTTAAAGTGAGTATTCACACAAATTATCTTGTGCGTTATAGTACGCTCCCATAAGTATCGAGATGTAACGGCAGACGTTATTCTGGATCTTTCTCTTACTTCTTAGAATCTACAAAGCTGCCAACAACACATATTCTTGGAAGATGAATGGAACTGAAGAAACGGAGCTCTATAATCGCTGGAAAGCGTTGCAAAGACAGTTGGAACTGTTGGATTTACAAGAAGGATTCATCAAAGAAGACTGCAAGTCGTTAAAGCGTGAATTAATACGTGCTCAAGAAGAAGTCAAGCGAATTCAGTCAGTGCCTTTAGTGATTGGCCAATTCTTAGAAGCTATAGATCAAAATACAGCCATTGTTGGAAGTACCACCGGCTCTAATTATGTTGTCCGGATATTAAGTACTCTTGATCGTGAGTTGCTGAAACCTTCTGCCAGTGTAGCTCTTCAACGTCACTCAAATGCCTTGGTTGACATTTTACCTCCCGAGGCCGATTCATCTATCTCAATGCTCCGTCCAGAAGAGCGTCCTGATGTCACATATAATGATGTTGGTGGTTTAGATGTCCAAAAACAAGAAGTTCGTGAAGCAATCGAACTTCCCCTAAAGCAGGGTGATCTCTATCGTCAAATCGGTATTGATCCTCCTCGTGGTGTTTTACTTTACGGACCTCCCGGTACCGGTAAAACCATGTTGGTTAAGGCTGTCGCAAACTCTGTAAACGCCAACTTCATCCGAGTTGTTGGTTCTGAATTCGTTCAAAAATATTTGGGTGAAGGCCCTCGTATGGTGCGTGATGTTTTCCGTATGGCACGAGAAAATGCCCCAGCCGTTATTTTTATTGATGAGATTGATGCTATTGCTACGAAACGTTTCGATGCTCAAACCGGTGCCGACCGTGAAGTGCAACGTATTCTAATTGAACTTTTAACCCAAATGGATGGTTTTGACCAAGGTGCTAATGTCAAGGTTATGATGGCCACCAATCGTGCTGACACACTAGATCCCGCCCTTCTTCGTCCTGGTCGTCTGGACCGTAAAATCGAATTTCCCGCTTACCGTGATCGTCGTCAACGTCGTCTTGTCTTTCAAACAATTACTGCCAAAATGTCTCTTTCCCCCGAGGTCGACTTGGATACCTTTATCATGCGTCCAGATGCCTCTAGCGGTGCTCAAATTTCAGCCATTATGCAAGATGCTGGATTGTTGGCTGTACGTAAGAGCCGTGGTGTAATTCTTCAAAGCGATATAGAAGAAGCTTATGCACGTGCTGTTAAGCCTACTGACATGGAACAATTCGCTTTCTACAAGTAATTTGGGTTTTGCTGTTTTTTCTTTTCCTCCTTTTTTATGGTAACTCCGTATGTTTTTCCTCGTCCGCTTTGACTTATTCCTTATACCCATAGAAGTTTGTTTGAATGAAAAACAACCTACCTTTCCCGACACATGATGGATTATGTTGATCTTTCTTTCTCACAGCAGTACTTGATTTGAGATGACACAAAAATAAATTTTTACGCTATTCTTCTTTTTCTCTCCGAAGGGTTTCGTATATCTTCATTGACCAAGCAGCCCGAGGAGCTGGTTTTCATAAAACTACTTATGTATTTAAATTATATGGTATGTCTTTATCACTGAAGTAAATTATAAATAGTTAAGTCTGTAAGTGCCCCTCTCCTGTAATTGAAACCTTGCATTTGACAATTGTTTGAAACAATATTAATCACTTCTTGTTGAATTATAAATCCATTATCCATTATCGATCAAATTCGTTCCATTTGGAACACTGAGCTGATCATTCAATATCTTAACTGCGACTAAGTCCGTTTATCATCCATGCCATGCACTTGATGAGCAAAATGTGATTTTATTACTAAAGAGTATCTTACAGACTATCTTGTGTAGCGAAGGTAATGTTAACGGTGAACTTTGGAAAGCAACAAGCTATTATTCTGGGCTAGGCAAATAACAACTAACATTCAAGAGGGACTACTCAATTGTCTAGACATCACTTCATACTAACATATTGGGTTGATACTATGACTTGGTGGAACATATGGCTGAAGTAAAAGTCCGACCGACCTTTTTAACCTTTCTACTAGAACAAACAGTAATTCTACAGTATACAATACTACAATAAGAACTCATTACTTGAATAATATGTGCTTAAAAAGGTTTTCGAATTGGGATTTTATTGAAGCAATAGCTGGCTTTTTGCCAACTACCAAAAACCCTGCTCAAAATGGAACAACATTTTTACTGGGCAATGGTAACCTCAACCTCGACACCGGGCTCGATGTGGATGGAGGTGATTTGCTTAACAATCTCAGAAGGAGAGTGAAGATCGATGAGACGCTTATGGATACGCATCTCATAGGTTTCCCAGGTCTTGGAACCTTCACCGTTAGGGGTCTTACGGGTGGTGATCTTCAAGGTCTTGGTGGGAAGACGAACGGGACCCTTAACACGCAATTGCTTGTCCTTGGCACGGTTGACCAAGTCAGAGCAAACCTTCTCCAAGTTACGGACGTGACGAGAAGTAAGGGTAATGCGAATGCGGTGAACGGTAGAGGTGAACTGTTGTTCCTTTTGATCTTTGGCGACTTGACTCATCTTGTAGACAGCGGTGACCACGAGAGGGTTTGTGAAGAAAATGTTCAGTGGTGACAATTGTGTTTAGTAAATTGTGACTGTTTCCATACACCCTACCCTAAGGAAATCGTGACTCACAGCTCGTAAAACAGGCCGAATAACAAGGAGCGGATGAATAGGGTAAACAGGTTTTACTGATAATAGAAAGAATCAATTGCAAAAAAAAATTTCACTCTCCTTAATGAAATGACCGTTCAATTATGATCCCAAATGAGCTTTCCCACCAGGTAACATAGTTACTTGGTGGTGGTTTTTATACTCATTTCGGATTAAAAATACACAAATTTATGAGAGTCTTTTTGTTTAACTTTCTTTCTAATTGTTTTCCATTCTAAAATTTTCAATTCTTTATTTTACTTGCAAATACCGAGTTCCTTGTCAAAACCTAACCTACCCTAAACCCAAATCAAGCAGTCACGGTGTATATACATGAATAATGACAACTAATAATTTCACCCTCCTTCGTTCCCTAAACAAAAAAAGGAAACTTGGAATATAAGAAAATGGCAGAAACTCAAGCCAGAGGATTTGGAAGAGGTGGACGTGGTGGCCGTGGCCGCGGCCGTGGCCGTCGTGGCGCCAAGCGTGACGAAGAAAAGGAATGGATGCCCGTTACCAAGTTGGGTCGTTTGGTGAAGGCCGGTAAGATCAAGTCTATTGAGGAGATCTACTTGTACTCTCTCCCCATCAAGGAGTACCAAATTGTTGACTTCTTCTTGCCTAAGTTGCAAGACGAGGTCATGAAGGTTTGCCCCGTCCAAAAGCAAACCCGTGCCGGTCAACGTACCCGTTTCAAGGCTTTCGTTGTTATTGGTGACAGCGATGGTCACGTTGGTTTGGGTATCAAGTGTGCTAAGGAAGTTGCTACCGCCATCCGTGGTGCCATCATCATGGGTAAGCTCTCCATCATGCCCGTTCGTCGTGGTTACTGGGGTACTGCTTTGGGTGAGCCTCACACTGTCCCTATCAAGGTTTCCGGTAAGTGTGGTTCCGTTACCGTTCGTCTTGTCCCTGCTCCTCGTGGTGCTGGTCTCGTTGCTGCTCCCGTTACCAAGCGTTTCCTCCAACTCGCTGGTATCCAAGATTGCTACACTCAATCTCGTGGCTCCACCAAGACTTTGGGTAACTTCGTCAAGGCTGCTTTCGCTGCCGCTTCCCTCAGCTACGGTATCCTTACTCCTAACTTGTGGGCTGAGCGTCCTTTCGGTCAAACCCCCATTGAGGAGTATGCTGATACCTTGATGCAAACCGAGAAGAAGTACTAAGTTTCTAAGGTTTGATTAGCATAAAACGAAGCAATAAAATGAATGGAAACATTCTGCCCGAAAATTTATGATTTTTAGTATATCAAGTAAGCAGTTGTAAGAGATAGTTTTTTCTAAAAAGCTGGTTGTGGTAGTTTATGGTAATCGATGGGTGTATACTCTAATCGTTGTGAACATGATTTCGAAGATGTGCTGTACCTTCTATTATAAAAAAGAAATACATGTTTTACTTTGCGAACTTGTAGAGAACTTTTTGTTTCCTTCCTTTATCTAGGTTTATTGTACTATACAGTCGTTTTTATTATATTCATAATTAGACCAAGTTCTGACGCCGTAACAAAACACAGCTTTGGAAACGCTTATGCTCGTCAAATCTGATCCAATCTTAGTGAGGCATGTCTAAATATATGCGAAACAAATAAGACAGTAAGGAAAGGGAGGGATAGTGCATGAGAGTTATATACTAGTAAGAGAAAGGAACTGGTATAGACGTGAAAACCACACTTCTTAAAGAAATAAACGCAAGAATCAACAACCAGAAAACAGTGATAATATTAGGGCATTATAAAACAGTCGACGTAAATTTGAGCAATGTGATATGCTAAAGCCCCTTCCGTTCAGATGAGGAAATAAAAGAATGAAACGGAGAGCACACGCAAATCTTCCCATGTACAACCATCATTTAAATATAATCGCATTATACAATAAAACAAAATTAAATGAATGACTGCCTATCATGCGTGTTGAGGGAATGAAACATAGCAATGCTTCAAAAAGAACCCTTCAAAATAGTTTCGGCAAACTTGTCGCGAGCTTTCTGCAATCCACTCATAAATCCCATTTCTTTAAAGTCGGAAACAATGGCTTGTGCTTCGGAAACAGGGCCCTTGGTAACACGGGAAGCTATAATGGAAGGCTCGGATTCTAGAATAATACCATCATCAATTGTTTCGTCGACAACAATTACAAGTTGGTCATAATTGTCAAGGATTGTTCTCTTATCAGGAATATATTTGTAAATAAGTTCTAAAGCATCACGAATAGACCGTAAACATTCGTATAGCATAATCTCGTTTTCTTCCATTCCACCTACTATGTAGAATGCCACATCCATTACAGTCAGCATTACGACAAGTTTACCGTCATAAGTTAAGATGTCATTCTGAGTCTTCCAAGTTTTTTCAAATAGTCCTTTCTCAAACGTCTTTTCTTCTTTGACTGACTGGAATATAGAGCCTTCTCCTTCCTTGCTGTGAGGAGGACTGTAGTACTTGGCAAAGACTCGCTTTCCTGTACTGTCCAAAATCAGAAACGCATTAACAGCGTAAAGAGATAAATTCATACTTTCCGTTAGTTGCTGGTTCTTGGGAAGTTTACGATCTTCCAAGGATTGTGTTTGTTACCTTGGTATTTGTTACTTTTTGATGGGAAGGCCGCGGTAGTCCCTTGGCTAACAAAGTAAACAATTTGAGGGCACAAGACTTCTATTTCATCAATATTCTCTATCAATCCATGTCGCGCTTTTTAGCATGTTGGAGACAATTGACAGCGCGTTCTTTGGTATCTAATTCTTCGCCGTAAGTAAAACAACATAGACTGCGTTTTTATTTCGTATGCTAATTGGAAACTTGTAGTTTTCAGTCTAGTTGGAATGTGCAAGGCGCTTACAGTGGTGTAGATCCCACAGCTGGTTCACTACATGTGGGGAACTTAGTAGCTTTAATGCCTTTAATACATTTGTATTTGCATGGCATTCCCGTGTACAGCCTAATTGGCGATGCAACCGTTCAGCTTGGTGATCCCTCTGGAAGAACTACTGGCCGACACGAACTGAAACAGGATGTTAGAAATCGAAACAAAGAAAACATTGAGAAGCAAATCCTTAGCTTACCTGAGAAGGTCATTACATACGCCAAGGACTGTCAGTATAAGTGTGAAGGTGCAGATGCTTCTCCACTTACTTGGAACATTGTACACAACCTGGATTGGTACAAAAATATGAACTTGCTGACTTTTCTTAATGAAGTAGGCCGTCAAGCACGAGTTAGTCAAATGCTTGCTCGAGACAGCGTAACCTCTCGTCTACAAAGTTCGTCTGGTATATCCTTTTCAGAACTTACTTATCAATTGTTGCAAGCATACGATTTTCTTCACCTTTATAAAAATCACAAAGTAAACCTACAAATCGGTGGCAGTGATCAGTGGGGAAACATCACAGCTGGTACTGACCTCATCCGTCGATTCTATCCAAAATCAATGACAAAGTCCCCAGTATACGCCCTTACTACTCCTTTGTTGACGACCGCTAATGGTCAAAAGTTTGGCAAATCCGCAGGAAATGCTATATGGTTAGATCCATCCTTGACCGATTCCTATAGTCTTTATCAGGTATGAGTCATTCTTCGTAATTCAATCTCCAATTTTATTTTAAGCTTACAGTTTTAGTCTTTTATTTCCCTACCTGATGATATCGCCTCCAAATATTTGGATATGCTAACTTTACTTTCCAGCGAGGACTTAGAAAGCATAAAATCAAAACATTTCCAAAATTCTTCCTCTCGTTTTATTCAGCATTCCCTTGCATTTAATGTTGTTCATATGGTACATGGAAAAGAAAGTGCCAAACTTGCCCAGCTGCAAACTGAACTCTTGCACGGTTCTCACCCTGCGCCCTTTGGCTTTTCTGTTTCCGCGGAGAATAGCATATTGCCATCAGTCGATAAATTAAAGGATATATTTAAGACATCTAATTGTTATTACAAGGTTGATTCTTCCACGGATGCCATCCCTTTTTCTAGACTACTACGTGAGCTAGGTATTTATATTTCAAGAAAAGAAGCCTCCGAACATATTCGATCAGGTGCAATTTCCCTCGCACATGAAACAGTAGTTGATCCTAATATCATCCTCACACATAAGGATCTCGCCGTTCTTCGAATTGGAGGACGCCGTGCCTTGATTTTGGATTTTACATGATCAGCGATTTCCCTTTACTTTTAGCATAACACCCGTTAACAGCTTTTTTGTCATTTTCTTTCATTTATTAATTACGCGTATATATATAAGGAACTCAAAATTTTATTCTAATATACATCATTAAAAAGACTATCATCATTAGTACATGATTTATTTATTCACCTAAAATTGTCATTTCGTTGTTTGCACCTTGCTTAATATTTGTTGTGCCTTCTTGATTTTGTCACGTAGAAGCGTTAATGAATCCGCATTGTAATTTGTATCGGGAAGTATGTGAGACAAATCATGCTGATTATCCACAATCTCTTCTTCAAACGAAGGTAATGTCCTTCGAAGCGGCCGCTTTTTCCGCATACTATTAAGTCGAATCTCAGCTTCTCTCTTTCTATTATTTTGTGAGATTTGCTCAACTTGAAAAGAAGGTGATAGTTCGGAAGTAACGTTGGTTGACAGCAGTTTGAGGCTTTCACCCAAAGTTGCGTCTTCAACATTTATTATTGTTAATACATGAATGCTGCTTACTGCCGACCATGAGGAGGTAATGATGTCCATGAATCTTAATCGTTCAACGTAGTCCTCTAATGCACAATTACCTCGTGTCCACATAACTAACAAAAGAGGAAATTTCGTTGTCGTACGATCAGAAACAACTTTTAAAAATGAGAAAAGGTTGTCTCTCAAGGGATCTGTCAATGCATCTTTCTTGGAGTTGGGGTCATTACCATCACCTATCGACGGGGAGTTGCAAACACTATCCTCAATCAAACCCATATCATAAATGCAAGCTCCATAACACATTCTTTGGTCACTTAAATCCAGTATAGTATCTGGCATTAGGAAATTATATTCCTTGTCCACAATCTTGTGAGTTAAGCTCCAAACAGAGGGATTAGATGAACACTTCAGACCTAATTTCGACCTGAACCAACGATAAATAGATGGATTATTAGATGCGCTAAAAATCAATAAATGCCACGGAGATCTTAAATTGTGTTTGTTAAGCAAGTTCAAAAAAGAATTAATATCTTCTTCCTCCCAAAATTTTTGTATTCGATCATGCTCCTGTCTAATCTGTTCGGACGCTTTTTCATTTTTCACATTATAATCTCCACTAAAAACCCGTGTGCCATGAGCGCGACGACTATTTAGACATGAGTTTCCAAGTAAAGAACTTAATACAGCTTTATAGTGCTCTTCTTGTTGCTGTTCTTTCAGTCTCTGAATTTCCCGTTTCCGTTTTGCAAGCCAGCACTGTTGAGCAATCAGTTTTATACGACCAAATGCTCTTGCTTTTACGGTGCTGTTGTAGATTTCAATCGTAAGAGATTCTAAACTTGAGAGGCGTATTAAATCCTTGACCATTGAAATATATATTGCTCCGGAGGTTTCATTAATAAATTCATCATAAACTTCTCTGCATATTCGAACACATAATGGACCCAAAGTACGTTCCACTACGGATTGAAATATCGTATTTAAATCATTTAAAGAAAACGTTGGCTTTCTTTCAGATGGAGTAGGTTTATTTATGCTTGGAAGCGGTACGGGAGTATAAGATTTTTCTGAGACAACGGAAGGCAATGACTCTTCATCAAACTTGGGAAGTTCAGCATTCAGTGGTGTTTTGGGAAGAGAGATAGAAAAACTGGGAACAAAAGAGGGTGCGTTAACGTTAAGTTTGCCTTTAGAAAAAGCTGGAGTGCTATTCTTTTCAGCAATAACACCTCGAGTTTCAACATCAGGCATTGGCTTACTAACAGGAATTTTTGGCTTTGCTAACTTTTCCCCTTCCATGGAGGTATTATCTCCATTAATTATAGCAGCAAAAGAGCGGTTTTTTAGTTTAGATTCAACTAATGTATGGGAAAAGCGTTGCATGGAATCAGGCTTTGAGTCGTCAAAAAAACTGGCCTTGTTTAGGTTTACGACTTGTTCTCCATTTTCTTCATAAACTTCCAAAGAATAATATTCACAGAAATCGAGAACATTATTTATTGTATCGAACTGTAGTATTCTCTGCAAGTCGATGCAAGGGAATTTTGCATGAACTGACATATAGGCTTTACGCATGGCCTTGATGGCACCTTTTCGAATAGAGGTAAAATGGGATTCCAATAAACAAGCCATCAAATACGTCACAGAGGAAGATTTAACGAGTTTAAAGAATCTAGTATACAAATTTGGAGTAGCTTCGGTGTTTAAAGGAAGTAAGTGACCAATGCGCTCATTATTTTTCTGAGCAAGAGCTGACAGCCGTAAGGACAACTGCATGCGCGGATCATTGAAGGTATCAATAGGCAAAATTTGAGATTGTCGAACAACATCTTGATCTCGGAGATGAGTAATGATGGAATAAGACCGAAACTCGGCTTCATTAGGACATGATATGCCTTCTTTTCGGAGGTCGTCATAAAACTCACATAAGGATTGTAATACTAATGGTTAGTAAATATAAAGGAAAACAAATAATAGACCAAAAACAGAGTCAACAAAACCGGTACTTACCCTTCCGAAGCTGCTCTACTTCTTGTTGTGAACTAAAGTTTTTCTTTTCGCATAATTGATGCAGGCAAAGAATATGGTACCTGGCAATGCGTTCATGGCAAGCCACAGCTTCTAACCCTCGGTTGTTTTGTAAGGTAAAATCTTGACGAATCGAGCGTGTTCGGTCACGCACGAAAAAGTGGGTAGCTTCCAAAGGATAAGGACCGCAGACGATTTTATCAATTAAATAATCAAGTGATTTCTAAGGCACGTGTGAATATATTGCACTAAAAGAGGAACCCTTCAAAGGTCGTCATGTGTTGAAAAGACGACATTTGAAAGATAACTAGGAGAAAATTCAAACCTTTAAAACGGGTGGAGGACGAACATCAGACGGAAGAGCCTGTTCGTTTCCTGCAGCAGGACGATGAAAAGCTTTGACTGCCAAGTTTTTGTCGACACGACCAGTTTCGGGATTTATTTCCCATCGTTCTAAGTTGTTTTGATATTCACGCTGTTCACGCTCATATTCAGGACACATATCTTGACAGGTACCTACAAAGGTCACCGCTTCATCCAGTTGCCTTGGTTTGGAAGGATCGTCTATTAATCCCTTCTGGATAGCATCTTCACGTTCCTTATCACGCAAACTTCGCAATTCTTCAAAGCGGTTCCCTTGTAAGGTTGATGTGAACCTCTTTTGGCGTGTCTCTTGAGCATCTACATCCTCTGTTGTCGTACATTCATCATCCTCTACAGACGAAACATCCTTATTTGACTCTTTCTGAGAATGAGAAAAACTCCCCCTTGTTTTCTCACGCGTAAACGATCCCTTCAATTGACTGAATCCACTTTCATCTGGCTTTTCCATGAACAATGGATTGTTTACCAGGTGTTGGTAGTTGGTAGGTTTTTACGAAGTTTGCTGCATCAAAGGGTGGAAGAGTATATTGAGTATGTTAACCATAATATAGCGAAGAACGAAGTATAGATAAAAAGATGGAAGGAAGTGCATTAAACGGTAAACAATAGATGACAAGTATACGAATACGAAAGATTGAAAAGAAACTTGAATGCTTGTAACAAGATGAAAATTAGTATATTGACAGGAAATTTATTCCAACAGAAATTTCTTTTTTTCTAGTAAGTTAAATATGATTACGAAAAACAAACGTAGCAGTTTAAATAAATAAGGTAGAAAGTAAATTTAGTGCCAATATATAAGTAAATGGTGGCTTTTTTTTGTGTAGCTGATCAATAATGTTTTTTGCTTTCAAAGGAAGAATTTTAGTCCAGTCTCATTCATTTTTCGTCAGTTTTTCCATGAAAGAACTGATGATCTTTATCACTGTTCAACTTCATCGAGAGATTTCGAATGAAAAGGACCCAAATGGAATCAAAGGACAGTAGGCTACAAAAATCGCTGTAACAAAAGCTTTCTAACGATCGTCATCTTGGAGCATACCGACAATCTGCAAAACGCGAACAAACAAGTTGATAAAGTCAAGGTATAACATCAGACTGGACATGATAAATTCTTCCGGAGAATAACGATGAAGGATATTGTGAGTGTCGTATAAGATGTAACCGCAAAAGACAAGTGTACCAAAACCAGCGAAAGCCAATTCGGCCAAGGGCATGGAAGGCATGAACATAAAAACTAACGGAGACAAAACAAGAGTCCATAATGAAATATAGAGAAATCCTCCCAAACGACTAAAGTCATACTTTGATTGAAAGGTAAAAGCGGTAAGAGCCACAAAGATTCCAAGGGTAATAAACACGGCTTCCAATATGATGCGAGCTGAGAAGAAAGATATGGCAGTACCTAGGGTAAGGCCTTCCAAAGCCGTGAACGTGAAAAGGAAAATGTAATTTCGAGGATACGAATAGGGCTTCAAGATAAGGCCGAAAAGGACGCCTAGAGACACAAAGAAATTGACCAGTAAAAACCAAGGGTGATTCTTTACCCAAAGAGACAATGTTGGTTCCAAATAAAATATACCACCAAATAAAGCTGTAACAAAGAGCTGAGCAGATAGAATTGCATATACTTTTCTCAAAAAAGCCATTCGGATGGTCCGACTACATTCGGCCACGGGCCTTGTATCTTTAAAAGTTTCCTCCACAGAAGGAATTGCAGTATCATTTGCTTCTCCAAGTTCAGCGTAGGAAGGAGGAGCCTGAGCAGGTCCAGCATTAGTTTCTATAGGTTCCTCTTGAGGAACGCTTTGGTAATTTTTGCTCATGATAAGCCGTGGATTTTTGGCAAATCTTTGGATGCACGGGTCAATTGAAGGAGAAGTTGCTTATAACAATCAAAGAAAATGATAATTTGAGCCCGGAAATAAGTTGCCGCACGAAAGAAAGTGGATGGAAGAAGTATGCAGAAAACCAACGAGCACAAAGGGAGTGTTTCTGACTTGTGACGTCAAAAAGAAAAACGAAAACAAAACAATAGAAAAAGAAAAAGAAACGAATACAAGTGTAGAAGAGACGAGAAAGAGATTTGGAAAAGGGAAGCTACTCGGGGTTCTTATTCGAGAGGACCTTTTTTTGGTGTATAGCAAAATGAAAACGATGGAGATAGAAGGATGGTACGATGGAAAAACAAGAATTACAAAGAGAGAAAGAGTAAAGCATGTATTATTCTAATTTTTATTTCCTGTCTACCTCCGTCAACAAGAGGCAAACAGTCATTTCAGGTTTACTAGTTTGCTAGTATACTAGTTTACTAGCCAGCTAGCCTGGTTTTTGGGATTAATGGTAATCATTATTAGGTAAAGATTAGATATATCTTGAATTTAGGGAAGGTAGGATTAGAAAGAGGCGAGTTTTCTGTGGAAAGGATAAGGGACTCGGAAGGGAAAGAGTGGACGGGGCGAAATAGAGAGAGAAACGAAGCTTTTCATAAAAGTATAAAAACATTTTGCATTAGGGTATTTGAATCACTGAGAGTTGGAGTCAGTATGCAGTTGTTCAAGTCGGGTTGGAAAAATTGCAAATGTTTTCAAGAATCCAAGAATGCAAAGGAGTGTATGGTGCTGCTTTGTAAAAGATTTCGTATACTTTATTGAACAACAAATAGAAAAGATCAAGACAGTGACGCCAACAACAACCAAGCTCCCATTGTTTGCTGTATCATGAGCAACGACAATCTCATACGTGCAAAGAAAACGATTTGATGTGTTTTCCAGGAATCACAACGAGACCCAAAACACGGGTTAAACCTGTAAACAAAGTGGTTAGCATTGCATTTACCTAGCATTTCTATATTACCATTGGAATCCTCTGTTGTGTTGGACAAGATGGCAGTTCCCTCATGATCGGTGCATATAAAACAACCATAGAATTTGCGGTGATCAGAAACTTCAACACGAACTTGACGGTTTAGCCAACATTGAAGTTGCTGCTTTCCAGAATCCATTTCTGTTGTTTGTGGAGAGGAAAATGGCAGATAGATGCTGACGATTGAATTGCTAAATCAGAGAATCGTAAAATGCTGTAGGAAAGTAGAGTTATTCAGTGTTTGTTTTTTCTTTTTCTCTTTATTTCTTTTTCTTTTTTTGTTTTTTTTTTTTCGTTCCTCTTTTCAACAGGATGCTATGGAATACTTTCGAGTGTTTGTCGCTTATATATAAGCTTCGATGAACCGAAGATGTTGTGACATCAAGGTGTAAACAAACCATAGGTTCGAAATGAATCGCTGTATTACCAATTCGGTTTCTCCTGTAATGAATCAATAAAAATCTTTTTTAATATTTCAAATTTTTTATTTTTCATCCTTTTCATTCTTTTCCCTTCCAAGTTTTTCATCAAGGTGTACTTACTACAGCGACTCCACCAACAAAACACATACTCGAATCTCATCATGAATAGATCGAAAAAAAAAGACTCTTCAAATCCACAAACAGAAAAAATTCTTTGAAGACTCTCTGAGTCTATTTTTTCTCGCTTTTCTCAATCATTTTCTCTCTCACTCCTTTGTTTACGTTCTTTACCAAACTCTACCAACCACCCTAAACCTTTTTACCGCTCTCCATCGCACCTGAATAAGCAGAACCCGTCCAGACCAGAAACACCCGTCGTTTTCGGTTGTGCTACTTAAACTTTGTCAATGACATCATGCCCTCCTGACTAAAGCTTAGCTAACCTGATTAGGCTAGCAGGGGAGGAAAGGTCGGTCTAGAACACCATCGAAAGATCTACGGCCTCGTCTAATCGCGAGCTTTCTAATCAGCGGGGGGCATCGCCCAACACTATATAAAGGGTGGTCTCCTCCATACTTTTCCACCATCATTCAAACAAAGAATCACTTTACAAGAATCTTAAAGAAAATGGTATTGAACATTGGACAACCCGCTCCCGACTTCAAGGGTACTGCCGTCGTTAACGGTGCTTTCGAAGAAATCTCCTTGTCCCAATACAAGGGTAAGTGGGTCTTCTTGGGCTTCTACCCTCTCGACTTCACTTTCGTCTGCCCTACTGAAATTGTCGCTTTCTCTGAAGCCGCTGGCAAGTTCGCTGAACGTGGTGCTGAAGTTATCTTGGCCTCCACTGACTCTGAATACTCTCACCTTGCCTTCATCAACACTCCCCGTAAGGACGGTGGTTTGGGTGGTATCAAGATCCCCCTCTTGTCTGATGCCAACCACAAGATCTCCCGTGACTATGGTGTCTTGATCGAAGACGCTGGTGTCGCTTTCCGTGGTCTCTTCTTGATCGACCCCAACGGTGTTTTGCGTCAAATCACCATCAACGACCTTCCCGTCGGTCGTTCCGTCGAGGAGTCTCTTCGTCTTTTGGATGCTTTCCAATTTGTTGAAGAGCACGGTGAAGTTTGCCCTGCTAACTGGCAAAAGGGTGCTGATTCCATTGATACTAAGGACCCCTCCAAGTACTTTGGTAAGCAATAAATGAATTCGTCCTCGGAATGATTTTGTAAGGTCACTTGTTTTCTGGTGCCCTTATTAGGACTTTTTTATTTTCTATTTTGTTGCTAGCTATATTTTAGATGAATTCAATTTTGTTCTCGTTGATCTTTTGGAACAGTAGTTTTGAATATGTAGGTATCTTTAGATTCGAAAAGTAGGTGAAAGAGAAGGATAGAAAGGTAGCGTGTAAATGGATTCTATCTATGAATTACATTATAATGAAAACATGGAAATCAGTACTACCTGATTTTCCTCTCTAAAAAGGAATGAATGCCTACACCAGGAGTGTAAGTAGTGCCTACCTGCCTACCTATGTACTTGTCGGTATTTGCCTACTTATGGATATTGGTATATACCAGATTTGGAAGTCGTTAGCCCTTGTCGTACGAGACCAGCAAGTTGTTCTACAGCAGCATGGACACCGTCGATGATGGGGATCTCTGGACCCACGGCTTCTTGGATAGAATCACGGATGGCCGCCAAAGCGGCGCCTCCCAAGCAAATGGAGTCGGCACCGTGGTCGCGGACGAGCTCCTGTGCGCGTTGTACTAGAAGAGATTTTCGTTCTTCTGGATCCATGTTGGAAAGTTGAAGCACAGTACGTCCGGTGGAAGCAATGGCTGCGATACGAGAACGTTGCAAGCCAAAGGATTGAAACAATTCGTACAGCAGACATTCGGATCGAAAAGTACTGGTAAGGACGCCAACCTTTTGGCCAACGGTTAGAGCAGCCAAGGCCGAGGCTTGAACGATGCCCATGCAAGGTAGCTGGTACGATTCGCGGACCATGTCGACGAGCGGTGTAGGGGAGTAGCAAGCCACGACGACGGCATCAATTCCTTCTAGGATTTCCGGCGTAAGAGACTGAAAGACCAAGGAAGCTGTAAGGGTGGCCTCTGTGATCGAGTCAATGACAGCTGCTCCAGGAGCTGGACAGGTAAAGAAGCGCAATGTGACATCTGGGGCAACCAATTTGGGCAATTTCTCCTGAAGAGAATTGGTAATGAAGTGAGAAGAGTTTGGATTAATTACTAGTACAGTGGGCATCTTGAGACTTGAATGTCAATGTCGACAAAAAGAGATGAGGCGACTCGTAAAGCAGAAGGGGAAAGAGAAGGAGAAAGGGAGATTGTATACGATTCCAAAAAAGACGGCTTTCAAACAAATTGACGTCTGGAAATTTGGAGGAACACGAAAATTGGTATTGTCTTTTTTTCCTACGACAACACACACACACTCACACTCACACCAGTAACAAGAATACTACACGCAACAATTCGCGATCCAGAAAAATCAGCGAGCGATACTCAACCACGAAATCAAAAGACAGAAATAAAGAAAAAATCAAAAAAATAGAAGCGAACAACAAAAGGAACGATGTAAGTACTTTTTCAACAAACTGAAACCACCAAGCTACAAAGTACCACAAAAAAAAAGAAAGAAAGAGAGAATAAAAGAAAAGAAAAGAGATAATTAAAAAAAAATCAATAAAACTACCACCAAAACGAATCTCTCTTAGAGTCCGGTTTGTCGAAAATTAGGATACGGACCTCCAAGGAAGATCAATCTTTCGTGTTTACGATGTCATCTCAATGTCTTGTCTTATCAATGGCAAAAACAAAGAAACAGAATCATGGTCCATGATAAGCAAAAGAATCCTCAATTGTAGCCGCCATGCTTTGAATCGAAATATATATATACGGCGAATTTTGCTTGTTGGTTTGGTCTTACCAATTTTCATGGTTCTTCTTTATTCTTTCTTATAATTCTTTGTTGATTAACAGTATAATTTTGCGTTCCATTGCAATTATTTCCTATACTTTCAATACTACAACTACTGCTACTGTCATTGCTTCATTGCTACTTAGTACTTGTGCTCTTATACGAACGTCTGCTTTTGTTTGTTAGTGTTAAATATGATCGAAACGAAAACAACTACTACCACCACCAACGCTGCTCCTATGACATTTCCGGTACAAATCACAGCTTCCAATGCCTTTGAGCCTTACATAACGTCTCATGGCTTACGCATTTCTCCTGCTCCTTTGCCTTCTCACAATACCGATGTCTCCTTTGGTGCCGTCATTGAAGGCATTGACCTGCGCGAAATTACCAAAGAACAATTCCAAGAGATACGCACGGCCGTCTTTGAGCATCAAGTCGTTTGTTTTCCCAATCAACACAACTTGCCTCCTCAGACTCAGTACGAAATCACCCATGGGTTTGATCCCGAAAGTTCCACATACGGTCATGGGAATAGTTCCAACAAGCAAAAGAATAGCATTCTTCACCCAGATCTTCACACCGTCCCCGCTGTACCACAAGTCCAATTGATCGGCCATGGTGTCATTCAAAATCATTACGGTTTACCTGAAGCCCGTCTCAAACATCCTCACCATCGTAGCTTCCACCGTGATCCCATATCTGTTGAAGAAGAGCATGAAAAACAAGTTACTCGTTTTTATCGATGGCACATTGATGCCGCTCTTTATGACTACAATCCTCCTGTCGTAACCACGCTTTCTGCCATCTCAGTCCCTCGGGGCACTCAAACTCTGCGCTATGACGATAAGTCTGGCCATGAGATGCCTGTCCCCCTTGGATCAACTGCCTTTGCCTCTGGTTACAAGATGTTTGATTTACTTTCCGACGAGCAAAAAAAAACTTCCGCTCGTACTCGTGTTCAATATTTCCCACACGCATATGTCGCTATCAACAAGGCTCGTGCGTTGCCCAATGGCCTGAGTATGTATTCTGAAGGCTTGGAAGTCCCTAAGGACAAATTGCCGGACTGGGAAGAGAGCAAAATCAAGACTTTCCCGCTTCTTTGGAAGAATCCTGTTACTGGTAAATTTGCCCTTCAAACTCATGGCTGTTGTGCTGAAAAGATTTACATTGACCATCCAGATGGATCTACCACTGTCATTGATGACCTTGCCAAAGTTCGCGAAATCCTCTATAATTATCAACGTCCCGGCATCAATCCCGAGCGCGTTTATTGCCATGACTGGAAAGAGGGTGATTTCGTAATTTTCAATAATCGCGGTCTCATCCATTGTATTACGGGTGCGTATAATGATAACCAAACACGAGTCTTCCATCAATGCAATTTGGCTGCTTCTCATCCTCCTTTAGGACCTACCGCCGAAGAAATAGCTTCCATATGAGCCCGCTATTCGTACGTAGATTTTTAATTGCTAAACCAGTTCTCGACCGTTACGAGAAGTAATCATAATTTGTCTTGAGGGCTACACATTAGTCTTGCTCTTTTTTCTTTTGTTGCATATGTTCATACCGTTTTTTTCGTCAACAACGGATTATCAGGTATCCCTCTCTTTTATTCAGCACCTCTAGTATCTAATGTTTTTGAAGTTTCTATGTTAAAAATATCACAAACTTTACGATTGAGTTATACTTGTCCACCAACTCTTCTTTCTTTCTGCATAAATAGGATTATAATATCATGAATCTTTTATCATTCACCTTTAGTATGGGTTGTTGTCAATAGTAAGAATTGAATATGTCTCTACGCCATGAAAGTAAAGCTGGTATATGAGTCTAAATTGTTATAGCTATAATTTGTTTGCAGGCGTGAACTGCTTACTATCTTTTAAATGCAAAAGCTAACATTACAAGCCTACATTTTAATTGATCCAATCCAACTATTTTTGATGTGTCTTTCCAAAGTGGCCTTTCAAGACTTGTTTACCTTTTGTAATAATTCTTGAAATAGTGAACTAAATGGATTCTTGTTGTGAAGATTGTCACAGCCCGGTATTTATTCTAGTTTGTTGTTATATATAGCTGAGTGTGTAAATTCTAGAGTGGTAAAAGCTACTCACGTATAAACTGGATTCTGGTAAGTCGTTTCGCAGGTAATAGTTGGGTCCAGTGAGTTAATTGTCTACATAAAATTCTTATTTCATTTATAAAGTCTAATCAGACAAATCTTCAGATCAAAAGATTTGACAAGTAACTTCAAATATCCATTAATAGCAGGGTCTTCATCTAAATTCTTCTGTTTGTCTACATTCGATACTTTCTGTACGATTTTTTGTTTATTCATTCTGTCATAGATGGAGGACTCTCTCGTTAAGAGAATAAACAGATCGGTGAAAAAGTAATGGTAAGTTATAAGAAACTGCATTTAAAGTTGGCTACTTTGGTATGATTCAAAAGAATGTTAATTAGTTTCCAGGGATCTGCTGATTCACTAAAAACACGTATGTAGAGCGTACTTCGCCAGATCAGTCAAACCCTCCAATCTGTAAGATTTAGACTGACAACTAGAAGTATATATAACTTTTCAGGATCAGCTCGGAACATTTTTGTTTTATTTTTAGAATCCACAGTTCCTTATAGCTTACCATTACCCTTCCACCGATTTGTTTATTTTCTTAAGGAGAAAGAATCCATCTGTGACACAAATCAGTAAGTATGTAATTTTGAAAGGAAAAAAAAAGGATATATTGTACGTATACTGCCGGTATAAAATACACGGTTTCATTATAGTACTAAATTTTTTTTATCGAACAAAGCAACCAAGTCTCTCAATTAAATGTTTGAATGCTCAGATCAGAGGATAGGCCTACACAACAAGCTCGACTTTCTATTAGCTTTCTTCTTTGCTGGTCATTTGTTTGGTATTCATTATACGCATATGAATCAACTTTATATTGGTAGACAACAATTAAAAAGAAATTTATTAAATAATTAGGAAATACATACTTTGTAAGTGAAATCCATCATGCATTCGTTTCTACAAAACAACCAAACCAAAGAAAACCAGTATAGAAAGCAAATTAAAATGAAAACGCATTAAAAAAAATGAAAGACAAAAGCATAGATTGGGGAAAAGAGAGGGGAAAAAGGATACTATAATGGATAGATAAACATCAAATTTTCTTGATCAGTCAAATCCAACATAGTATTATCAACGAATCCGGCCGTAGGATTTCCAGAAGAATCCAAGTACTCAACCCAAGTCTTAGAAATCTTTTCTTCGGAATTTTGTTCGCGTAGAGCTTGGCGTTTCTTATTTTGACGAACGAGTATCCAACGGATGATTAAAAGAATTGCAGGAGAAATTGACCAAGAAACAACGATTTGAACAATCCACGCAGGATAATATCTAGGAGCATCGCGACCCTGCCACATTTGAGGTCCGATGATGTTGGCTACGGCATAGGCAATCATAAACATAACACCTCTAGTAAGCTTTTTGGTATATCCGGCGCATGTAGCAGACATCCACCCGAGGGAAATTATAAAAGGAATTCCAAAATTAGTTGCTATAATAATAGCAGCCAATTCTCCGATTTTATGACTCCAGGGAATTGTGACAGAAGCAATCCCTCCTGCTAAACAGGGAATGTACCACAAGGCCCCATGGAACCCACTTTGGTTCACTATTAAACTCATAAAGTACGTAGCAAGAATGGAACTCACACAGTTGTATCCAGAATTAGCAACACTGACTAAAGTTGAGTTCAGATTCGATACACCCAGACTGGTAAACAACAGGTTTTGCTGGTAAGCCAAGTTGTTAGCAAGTTGGTTTGTGAAAACATGAAGAGCAAATAGCCAAGTAACCGGTTCTTTTAACGCCTCAGTTACCTGATACTTTTTGAATTTTTTGGATTCGATGCCGCTCTTATTGTTTTTGCGAACGCGGTCTATGGTATACAAACGTTCATTTTTTGTCAAAAAGCGTGCCTTGGTAGGATTATCTGGATAATAAAAGAAGAGCCAAATAGTCATAAAGAATGTAATCCCACCAACAATAATCATAAAAAGCTTCCAAGGAGGGACAGTGTGAGTAGCGTATTGCACACCATATGCAATGAAACCAGCGGGAATGTTACAGCCGTAGCAAGAAATATAAAATATAGGTTGAAGATAAACCAATTCCTCGTGCGGGAAGAACATACCGAGTGTAGCTTCCATGGTGGGAAGCAAAGAGGACTCAACGAGACCAAGGAAAAAACGAAGCGCCATGAGTCCTCCGTAATTGTAAGCCGTACAATGTAAAAAAATAATCAGGGTCCAAAGCGCCGTTGAAATAGCGACAAATTTGCCCACGGGGAATCGCTGCAGTAATAAATGACCTGGAATTTGACCAATTATGTATCCCACATAGAATATTGTGCTAAGATTGTTATACTGATCTTTTGTAATATGCGTGTCACCAAATAGACCAAGAACGCTAGAGTAACTGAGGGTGGCTTTATCAATATACAGCATCATGTCTAAAAGCATGACCATCGCGAGAATGGTAAAGTAGAGTTTCCAGCGCAATTTTTTTTCTTGTCTATGACTTAACGGCTCCAATTCCTTTGCCTCTTTCATATACTTGAAAGTTTCATCCAAAAGGGACATCGAATGGTTTTGGGTATCAGAATACACACTTTGAGAGACCTGCGAAAGTGTTGTAAACTTTTCCTCACCTTTTTCTTTCTCTATACTATTCTTGCCTTCGTTTTCCGTTCTCAAAGAGTCGTCAACATCGCTACTGTGTATGGAAGGAGGATTCCTAAAAAGTTCGCTCATGATTTCAAGACGAACGATAGAATGAAATAATCCCTGTTTCTTTTAAAAAGCAATTCCTAAAGAGATTTTTGTTTTGCTTCCTTTTATCTTACCGCACCGCTCGCACAAACAATAGCAACAACGGCTATGACAATGACAATAACAACAAACGACCAATTTAAACAGGTAACCCAAGTAACCCAAGAAATATGAAAGGATCAAACAACCCGTAAATTATCACAGATGGTATTAAAATTATTCCTCTATTTCCAAATGGATTCGTTTCTTCCTTTTTTTATTCAAATAAGCCTTAAGAATTCTCCTAATCGAAAACAAGACAAACCCTTGCAACATAAACTCCTACATATATAGGAGTACTTTCTCATTGATAGAGGCTATATGTCTTGCCTTTCTATAACGACATCTTGTAAAAGAATCACCAAATATTGGTTAGCATTTCTTAAATATGTCGTAAAAGAACCCTTAAGAAACTAACGTATCTTCATGGGAGCACGCAATGAAAGTCGTTTTATGTCGATAAAGAAACGATTTATCTTGAAGTCTATCAATATGTAAACAAAAAACAAAACAACAGATTTTGTTCCTAAAAGAAGGCAAGCACCTGGGAAATGACCAACAAGAAGAAGAAGAAGCAATAGAAATGTTTGAATAGGTATCTCACACAAAAAGTCCCGATCAATCTAATTTTCCATCTCATATTGCCCATAGTTTCATTAAGGGCACTGTGTTATTCATTGATAGACTTGAAATTTCTCGTTTACATCTTATCCATCAACTAAATCGAGTTTACCGAGCATCCACATTTTGTTTGCTGTACGACTATGTCAAACAAAGGGCGACAAATGCAAAAGATAAAAGGAAGAGTCTAGAAAAACAAAGGAAAAAAAGAAAGAAAAATGAAAAGGAAATCAAATAAATTCTCTTTAAATTAAAGGCTTTTTCTTGCAAATTGAATATTTCTCACACACACCCCTTCTTCCTTGGTTTTCTTTCTTCCTTTTGAAAACCCTTCGTGTGTTATAATTCATCCAAAGCCATCAGATCGGTTGTATGGTGTAGCGGCTAGCACATGAGATTTTGATTCTCGAGATCTGGGTTCGACTCCCAGTACGACCTACTATACTAGTATATTCTTTTTTTCTTTTTTATAATTATCAATCTTTATTTGTTATTTTTTTCTTTTTTTATGTTTTATCAAACTCAATAAACTTGCTGAATATGTGGTTGATTATTTTCAAATAGTTTGATTTCATTCCAAGAGTTTCAAATGCCTCCTCGTCTGGCGCCTTGGAACTTTTGTATGCAACTTTAATAGTGTTAGGAAAAAAAAAATTATTCATAATTAGTCATTCATGTCATAATTATGGAATTAAGGAATCGTAAACAATTATTATGCATCTCCAGGAGTTTCCTCTTGGGGAGAAGGATTATGCCAATGAGTATCAAGGTCCATTTCAGAGATTGTCTTAAGTTTAGTGCGATGGGAAAGCTTCCAAACCAAATACAATCCCAAAACAAGGGGTATTTCTATGTAATAACTGAGAAAGAGGGAAAATTGGAAAGGAAAGAAACTCTTCCATCCTTGGACAAGGAGAAAAACAACGTTTAAAATAATCACTAAATATGGTCCTACGGGATACGTCCAATTCGGGAATACAAGACGATGAGTCTTTGATTGTTTACGCAAAGCTTTCCTGAATCGAAGACTAGTGAATCCAATAAACGTCCAAGATAATTGGTTGGAAACTGCAATAATGTTGAGTAAAAACGACCATGTCTTTCCAGCATGTGATGTCAGCAAGCACAAAATTGCTAGAGTGCTAGTAGCCAGTACTGCGAGCCATGGAACTCCATGACGATTGCATTTAGAAAAGATGTTGGGAGCATGTCCAGCTCGTGCTAGAGAGTACAAAAGACGAGTTCCTGCAAACAAGGAATGGTTTCCTGCAGATAGAGCCGAGGATAGAATTACCGCATTCATTAGACTAGCCGCTCCGGGAACACCAAATTTTTGGAACACAAGTGTAAATGGGGACATCCGGACGGAATCACCATTTAAGCCCGGTGTGTTGAATGGAATGTTGATACCGACAACTATGACACCAACAATATAAAGTGTCAATACGCGAAACGACATCGACCTGATTGCCTTTGGTAAACTTTTCACTGGATTCAGGGCTTCGCCGGCAGCAATGGCAATTGATTCCGTTCCGGCAAAAGCAAATGCCGCATTCACAAAGCTGCTTATAAATCCACCAAACCCATTATGAAAAGCTCCTGGATTTTTCCAGTACCGAAAGCCGATAAACTCGTTTTCGGTGTTGATTCCCAAGTTAGTAACGAGTCCAATGACGCAAAACAAAGCAACTGTAAACACTTTAATCGCCGCGAGCCAGTATTCAATTTCACCAAATCCGTCTACTGGAAGCATATTCAAACCAACGTTGACTAGCAGAGAGATGATAGGCGTAACGGTGCGAACAATTTCTCTTGTACAACGAACGCCAAAGCTCGTCGAAAAAGAAGAGCCATCGGTTGGCAATACCGGATCAGGAAGCCAGAAATCAACTAGCAATCGAGATGCTAAGACGTGGCTTGCTAATGCAATCGTATCATTCAACCAGTAGTTCCAAGTAAGAGCAAAGCTAAAAGATTCATCAACATAGCTTCCAACATATGTACAAAATGATCCTGCCACGGGCATGTAGACAGCCATTTCGCCTAGTGCAAGCATGGTACAGTATACACTTACGCCAATGATGCAAAACGATAAAAGGAGAGCCGCAGGGCCTGATTCAGCAAGAGAAGAGCCAATCCCTAAAAACAAACCTGTACCAATGGTTCCTCCAAAGGCAAGCATTTGGATTTGCCTCGCGCCCAAAGAGCGTCGTAGGGAATTCGATTCTGCATTCGCATCCGGTTGCATAAAGATAACAAGTGTAAAGAAATTTCTAGTTCAAATATTCAGAAAAGTAAGTAAATCAAAGGGCGGTAATGTAGTCTTGATTCCTTTGTTCGTTTTCGTAGACGGTAGAAGAAGTATGCTATATATTGAATGATAATTCACGAGTGCAATTGAATCATCAAAGATATCTTTGCTGATTTATAATACTTATAGATAATAAAAAAACAATATTTTTTCATTTCATTTGTTTAATACATGTATACCAGCCTGTCGTATGAACATCATGAATGGAACGTCTAATACGATATAAACAAATCATAATTTCTTATACCAAAAAAAAAAGGGAAAAAAGCGAAAGCAAAAGCTGCAGTGCTTTAAAAATTTGGATTTACTTTTTAGTTAATTGTTCTAACGGTTATAACACAATGATCGAGTACAAAGACAATTCTACTCTTTGTTTATAAGAACCCAAAAGTTCTTTGCATAAATTCGCATACTTTGATTTGCTCTTTTCTGGTATAATAAAAACAATTTTATTCATTATTTAAGTTGCTAAAATTTTTCTTTGTGTTTCTCAATCAGCAATTTTTGGATTTCACATTTCGTTTATGTTCATTTCCTATACAGGTAGAGCGAAGTAGCCATGAACATGTAGTGGAATATTCAAAATGAAAAAGTTTTTACAAAATTTATTTACTTACAATTAGGTCTCTTATACGTTCCTGGATCGGTTATAAGATGAATATCAGCTATTGTAGAACAATACCCGCTTACAAACAATTCTTGATCCACAAACTTTTGTTCAGCGACCGACAAAAAATAATTCTATATTGAATTGGTGAGTCCTTGCCTTTTCTAATGATCCTTGGTTCGACAGAACAACTATTCGACACCATCATCATCAAAAGGCATAAAGAATCAATTTCAAGAGATGACAAGGAAAGAGTCCATCATGATGGAGATTCCATTTCATGATTAGTTGTGTATAAAACTCTTATAGGTAATATATTTAGACCTTCAACTAGTCCATTACATTCAAAATAAATTCCAACTCTGGTAGTTCGAATTGAATGACATACCCTACTCTATCTGTAGCTTAGGAAAACACCTTGCTTGTATACGGTTTTTTAAAGGGTTCATATACATTTAAAACTCTTAATAGTTAAACTTGATAAAAGAAACTTCTAAAGAGAAAAGCTCGAAAAAAAAGAAAAAGTCTTGACGACAACGGCAGGATTCGAACCTGCGCTCCCAAAGGGAATCCGCTGGGCTACTTGATAGCAGGCGAACGCCTTAAAACCACTCGGCCACGTTGTCTTTCTTGGTATATGGATCTAATATAAACTATATAAAGAAGATAACTAGCATAAGAAGGAAAATGAAAAATGGAAAAGTTCTCGTAGATTTCATTTTCAACGCCAAGGGCTTCTCTTTAACTTTTGAAATTCTTTATATTTGTATGAATGAAATTCCTCTATATTTTGTAAAGACACAGTTCTACAGGTTTTAAAAATTTACTTTGCTGGTTGTGCTATTAAGAATAGAAGAACAACATTTTTTACAGACGAAGAATAACGTAAACGAATCAAATTAGGATTATATCTAAACAAAAAACAACAAATGAAAACGTTCCCAGTAATATATAGTTGGGTATTAAAGAACGCATATGTTGACTAAGAACAGACTTACGAAAAGCCAGTCTTTAGGACACCAACTCTTCAAATAGGATACAAATATCAAGGATATGAAACATTAAAAGGGAATTCTCAACCTATCAAGAAGATAGGATGGTATAGAAATAGGAATTTCTGTTTTTAAAAATCTTTCCAAAGGCGAATTGAAAGATGACTTTTGCTGATTGTTTCGTTTCCAGACAAAAAACGTAACAGCATCAGGGACAAATTTAACGTGAGTAACAAAAATTAAGTATACAGCTCTTACACGACGTCTGAAGGTTCGCGAGAACTCATATCTTTTTCTTCTTGGCGAGTTCTCTCCTTCGTGGATTCGGTACTATCTTGGTGAGTATTGACTTCAATACCATGCGACAAAGCCGGATGTTCCTCAGAAAATTTGTACGACGTTTCACCGATTTCCACAGTATCTAAGCCCAAAACTTCATCATCGCGAGAAACACGGAGGGAAAGTCCAGGAATGTAATTCATGATATATAACAAGGCACAAGAAACGACAAAAGAATAGGCTGCACAAGAAACGGTATCGGCTAATTGGTAGCCAAGCTGAATATAATGGTGGGACAACCAACCACCCTTGTTTCCAGTAGATCCGTCTAAGGATTGGATGTAGTCAGCGGAAAAAAGAGCTGTTAGGATGTTACCAACCATACCACCAATACCGTGTTCTGCAAAAATATCTAATGCATCATCTACACGGATGATTCGCTTCAAGTAAGTAGCACCATAGCAGGCAGAGGCGCCGACACCTCCAATGACCACAGCAGCCCAAGGTGGTACGAAACCAGATCCCGGAGTAATAGCGACCAAACCAGCAACAGCACCACAGCAAAAACCCACGGCAGACCAGTGACGTGTCCGGATGTAATCCCATAAACACCAAATGATGCCACCCACGGAAGCAGCGATGTGAGTAACCACGCAAGCCATAACGGCTCTAATATTGGCAGAACCAGCGGAACCACCATTGAACCCAAACCAACCAAACCAAAGCAGAACAGTACCCAAGACAACATGAGGAACGTTATGAGGGCGGTATTGGACAGTGCCATGATCGTGTCTCTTGCCAACCACGATAGAATAGGCGAGAGCCGTCATACCAGAAGCGATGTGAACAGGAGAACCACCAGCAAAATCGTAAGAGCCTAAAGTACTGAGCCAACCCTTTGGATTCCAGGTCCAAAAAGCGATTGGGTCGTAAACGATTGTGCTCCAGAGAAAAACAAACACGAGACAAGGCAACATTCTACCACGGTCGGCAGCGGCACCGATAGCCAAAGCAGGAGTGATGGCAGCAAACATGCCTTGAAAGACGCAAAACAAGATATCGGGAAGTCCAGAGGCGACGCTAGAGGGTCTACCGAGAGTTTGGCGCAGACCAAAGTTAGCCAAAGATCCTATATAAGGACCACCGTTGTGTGAAAAAGTGAGTGAATATCCCCAAAAGAACCATTGAAATGCCACAACGGCGACCGACATCATGGAAAGGAAGAGCATCGAGATGGCACTTTTACGACGGGCCAAACCAGAGTAAAAGAACCCTACACCGGGAATCATGATAAACACAAGCGCTGTACTAGCGAGGATCCAAGAGATATCACCGCCATTGTAGAATTGGTTCAAGTCGACTGTCCTAGAGTCTCCACCGTTGACACCGCTTGGGGTAGGTGTGGCACTTGTCGTTGCAGACATTTTTGCAAATCAATGAAATTAGGAGTTGTAAAATCAACGAAAATAATTAGAAAAAAAAAGGCGAAAAGAATTCAATGAATATAATTTCGAATCAAATACACAATGCACTGTTGATTCTTTCTACGCTTCCAAAGTACCAACTCAGTATAGTAAATATATATATATGTATATATCAAGGAGACGTTTTGTATCAGCACAATAGCGATGTGGTACAAACTATTGAAAATCAAATAATAAACTCTAAAGCAATACCTAAAAATGTATTTACAAAATACGGTTCAAACCGTTGCAAGAAACAGAAGACCCCTGTAACCATGCGTCCTGTATCCGCTGTTTATATCACGTATCATATACGTGGTCGAGGTTAATCGCGATAAGCAAAAGATAAGCAGTATCTATGATGAAGATGATTGGGAAGCTTATCTTCGCTTGCCTCTAATAAAAACTAAAGTAAGATAGAAAAGTGCGACTGATAATGACATCACAAGTGACAATAGTTATCTTCCAAATCAAGCAACAGAAGCTCCACGGGATAGTGCACTGGTTCGTAACTCATGAAAATGGCTCTAATTATGGTAAACTAGAATACCAAAATGCTGCACGCTATGTAAGTAAACAAAAAAGAATCTTGGTTAAGAAGAAGCTGAACAAGTGCAACCCAGCAACTTTCGAGAATATTAGTAATGGGTGGAAGAATGTTACGGCATTGAAGATATCGGCGTTTCTAAAGACGAGAAAAAGGGTTGATGAAAGACTTGCTGCGACAATTTACTACACTATACAACCCTGCAGTGGGAATTTGACTCGGCTTGACTCGACTATAAAAAGCCTTTTCCTAGATTCTCTTTCCATCATCATGCAGCTACCAACAATGGTGTAGACTATTGTTTCTACACATCACTTACCGTCTGTGTGTCTCCCGACTGACATGGTCGCCTTAGTACTACTACTGATAAGAATTGGTGTACACCACACCACGATGCCAGATAGATTTGATCAAGACAAGAAGGCAGATATCTCAGCGATGAAAATTTCCATTCTTTGGATTTTCATATAAATAAAACTTGACAACAACACATGCGGAAGTTTTTTCGTCTTGGTACTTATTCGTTTGTTCCAATTGTAATTTTATACTGTTGAAGGAACATTCTTCTCATCTCTATTGTTTTAATAACTTTTTATTTTATTTTCTTTGTTCTAATAATACAGGCATCTAAAAGTTTCCGGTACAACGTGTTACGTTTTTATTATATAAATTAAAATAAATTAAAAAAAAGACTCCCTACGATATACAAACAGGTACTGGTTGTATGAGGCCTTTGTTTTAATTATTATAAACTCATTTTTACAACAAAAAACTTTGAAACGCTCTTCTACGATGGCTAGCCAAAGCTCAGATGCATCGTTTTCATACCCTAAAGCCTCCTCGAATCCATCCTCTTCTTTGGGAATCCACGAAAAGGCAAACTCTGGCTTCGATATTGAGGTGGGTGCTCCCGAAAATGACACGGACAACCCAGAGGACTTGGGCAAGTTGGGATACAAGCAAGAATTCCATCGTAACTTGTCCTTATTCAGTGTCTTTTCTGTATCCTTCTCATTACTAGGATTATTACCATCCGTCGCTACAACCATGACCTATAACCTCGGCTACATTGGCTCGCCTGGTCTTGTTTGGGGTTGGATCATCGCCATTGCTCTCGTAGAATGCGTGGCACTCAGTATGGCCGAACTTTGCTCCTCCATGCCTACATCTGGTGGTCTCTATTACGCTGCTGCCGTCCTCGCTCCTGAGGGTTGGGGTCCTTTTGCTTCTTGGGTTACCGGCTGGTCTAATTACCTCGGCCAACTCATTGGCGGCCCTTCCATTAATTACTCTACCGCGTCCATGCTTCTCGGTGCCGTTTCCGTCGCCCATCCTTCCTACACACCATCCAACTACCAGCTCTTTCTAGTTACCCTCGTCATTACCGCAGTCAACGCCTTCATCGCTTCCTTACCCACCAAGCTCATTGCCCGCTACAACTCCTTCAGCACTTACCTAAACACGCTCTTTTTCCTCATCACCTTCATCGTCATCTTGGCTTTTGCTGGCAAAAACCACGGTTTCAACGATTCTCATGCCGTCTGGGGCGACATCACCAATTATACCGACTGGCCTGACGGCTTTGCCGTCCTAATGTCCTTTTGTGGTGCTATTTGGACCATGTCTGGTTATGACGCTCCTTTCCACATGAGTGAAGAAACCGCTAATGCCAGTGTTAACGCCCCTCGCGGTATCGTCCTTACTGCCACTATCGGTGGCCTAATGGGTTGGGTCATGCAATTGATCATTGCCTACACCATGGTCGATCAAAATGCTGTCGTTCATACCGATTCTTCCATGTGGGCTACTTACTTGTCTCAAGTAATGTCCCAAAAGGCCGCCATCGCAATCATCTCCCTAACTGTCGTTTCCTCCTTCATCATGGGACAGGGAAATGCCACCGCTTGTTCTCGTATCGCTTACTCCTACGCCCGCGATGGCGTATTGCCGTTCTCAGACACATTTGCCAAAGTTAACTCCAAGACCAAAACACCAGTAAACGCTGTCCTTTTGGATTTTTGCTTCCATGTATGCGTCTTGTTTTTAATTTTTGCTGGCGAAGTCACAATTGATGCCGTGTTTTCCGTTACCGCTATCGGTGCTTTTGTCGCATTCACTACCCCCATTTGTATGCGTGTCTTCTTCAAAGATAATAAATTCCGTCCTGGTCCTTGGAACCTCGGCAAATTTTCTCGCATCATTGGTGCTTTTTCATGCTTTTTCGTGGCCCTCATGATTCCCGTGCTGTGCTTCCCTACTGTTAAAAATCCTGCTCCAAAGGATATGAATTGGACTTGCCTCGTATTCGGTGGTCCCATGATGTTGATTATTCTTTGGTACGCTATTTCTGCCAGAAAATGGTTCAAGGGTCCTCGTATAGGTGGCAGCGATCCTTATATTGTTGAAGGTGTCGACCCCGTTCGTTCAATTTCTGCATCCGTCTCTACTAAAAAGTAATTTCATCCTTCCGTTCTTGCTGTCAGTCATCCCCTCCTTCAAACAAACAAACTTTGTTTTTGTAAAATGATACTTCTTTTTCTGCTCTATTATTAATTATTAATGGTTCCTATAATTACGCCTTTATTTTTTTTATTTGCATATTCTTTCTTTTGTTTCAATGCCTTTGTATGTAATTACTTTTTGTTTATGAATTCAATGCTTCCTGTTCCCTTTCTTTCATACATTTTTATCAAGCTTTCATTTGTGGATTTTAAAACATTCTTTCTTTAAGCAAAGTGTATTCCTAAATATAATGAGTAATTGATTCTAAAACATGAGCAAACCAAGTCTCAAATGTTGGAAATTCCCAAAGGACTTTCTGTCATATGTTTAGTTTTAGTCTACTTTTAAAATGTCGTCGTTGTTTTCCTTCTACTTTGCGTTTTGCACCTAAACCCTTTGTTTACAAAAAAAGCAGTCACATTTCTGAATCCAAAATCCTCACAATTTTTTTGAGGTGCGTACACCCAACCACAAACACATAGTAACAAGATGGCGAAGATTTTTAAACCAGGAAAGGTAAGTTTTAATTGACAAAAACCGTTAGTGTCTTAAAAATAGTACTGACAATTCATAGGTTGCCTTAGTCACTCGTGGTCGTTTTGCCGGTAAGAAGGTTGTCATTCTTCAAACCCTCGACCAAGGCACCAAGGCCCACCCTTTCAGTCATGCTGTTGTTGCTGGTGTCGAGCGTTATCCTTTGAAGGTTACCAAGTCTATGGGTGCCAAGCGTATTGCTAAGCGCTCTCGTGTGAAGCCTTTCGTCAGAGTTGTTAACTTCAACCACTTGATGCCCACTCGTTACGCCCTTGAGCTTGATAACCTCAAGGGACTCGTTTCTGCTGAAACCTTCAAGGAGCCTTCCCAACGCTCTGCCGCTAAGAAGGTCATCAAAAAGACTTTTGAAGAGAAGTACCAAACCGGAAAATCCGCCTGGTTCTTCACCCCTTTGCGCTTCTAAGAGCGTTAGCAAAAGTTTATTTTTGTTAATTTGCATTAGGCCCTAGGTTTAAAACTTGTTGCTATGAATACAATCTCTTTTAGAGGCAATACTTGTTACATAGTTTTGTGAAATTTTTTGAGTGTTAAATTTAAGTATCATACGTATCATCACATTGCTGCAACAGCCTTTTGATTATCGAGAGTATAGAAAATCTAAAACGGTTCAGAGAAACAGCTTGCCAACTCTTGTGAATGCTCTTTCTATATCGAAAGAACCGTGCATTTAAAAACCTACCATAGAATTAAGTTTGGCGTCTATACATAAGTAGTCAAATCGCTAAAATAATACCATTAATATCCAGTGCATGTTGTTGCTTTCCCATTATAGTATCAACCTTTACGGAATGAGATTGTCCTAGCTACTGGTAATAGTTGTCACCGTTTATGGGATAGCCATTATTTCCATACTTGAAAGCAGTGTTAAAATATATTTTCAAAACAATACATTCCCAAAGTAATACCATAAATACGTTAAAATTCTTTATTCTGAATCACCTTCTGATTTCGCTCTGGTGATGAAATGAATTACTGCTCTACCACCACATTGTCAAAAATTAACTAACCATTTTCGAGAAGCTTGAGCAATACTCGATTCTAAAGAACTAATTTTTTTTCTGTTCAGTTCTCAATAAAAAAAGAAAAATTTTTTTACGAAAACATGTGAGACGAGAGCTCAAATGCTTTTAAAATGCATTCGAAAAATGAGCTCCGCAATTGTGTAGCTTTGGCTCTCTCTAGCATATTAAAATACACCCTTGAATCAGAACCATACGAGGAAGTATACGAAGTTGACAATACTTATGCCCTATACGCTGGATTTGAACTAGCTAGTAATCGTAGAGTGATTGCTAAATTTTCTACCCAGACAGCTCGCATAGAAGCAGAATACCATCTATTCTGTGACTTATCAAAAGATGAACGTGGTCGAGAATTTGTCTCTGTACCCATTGAATTTATTGAGTTCTCGCACATTGATTTATCAGCCTACGTTTGTTTAGATGCTGGACATCGAAATACATTGTCTACCTTTTACGGTTATTTTAGAAATCATCCTATTCATTATATTCGTTACTGTATCGCGGTCTGCCGATGCGTCGAATTCTTACACTCAAAAGATATCGTTCATGGCGAAATACGATCCGATTCGTTTCGTCCTATAAATAATTACGAAGATGTACTAATGCTGAATATTGGAAGTGGTGTAAGCTCATTTCATAATTATTTGCAGGCGTACAACTGGCGGCGATTTTATGAAGATTCTCAGTCAATGTCGAGAATTACTTATATTAGTCCTGAACAAACGGGTCGAACATCGTACCCCGTTGATCACAGAACCGATATTTATAGCTTGGGAATATTGTTCTACTATTGTTTGACGGACGGTTATCTTCATGAACTTTCTTTTATCCAAACAATTCGGTCCATTTTAACTGAAAATTTACCAAGTATTGTTGATGTTTGTCCAAATATACCTAGAACTATTTTTAAAATAATAGAGAAGATGACGAAAAAGAATCCTAACGACAGATACACTTCTTGCTCGAGTGTTTTAGCTGACTTTGAAATTTGTTACGAAAATTTGGTAAACGGAATTACAAGTGGAGATGGGAGCATCCATAATACATCATATACATCCCTATTTATGCTTCCTTCTTCTACATATGGCCGCGAACGTGAAATTGAAAAAGTAAAATCCCTACTCCGTCACACCGAGTCAACTTCCTTACCACTAGATTCTCCTTCTTACCAAAGTTCACAAACCAGTCATGTAGATCATACTGTTGTTATATTAGTTACTGGTCCTGAGGGAGTTGGTAAAGCTACTTTCATTCAGGATGTTTGTGATAGGAAGGAGGGATACATGGCGATTACAAAATGTGAACCATCAAAGAGTTTTTTAGATTCCGCCTTAATTTCTGGAATTGCTAAATTGCTTTTACAACTTCTTGCTGAAAATCAACGTTTAGTGTATGATTTTTTTCACAAACTGAAGGATTCTTTAAAAGGAGATATAAGTCATTTAAACCCGTTTTTTGATGTCGTTCCCGAAGTTAAGCCATTTCTTCAAAAAAATCCTTATATTGGTGAAATCGCTTTCCTTTCAGCTTCGTCTAATGAATCTATGAAGTCTTCATCATCCGCTGGTCACAGTCTAAGTGGTCAAGATATTCAACATGAATCTGAACAGAGAAATCAGTTCGGACATCAAGTATCTTTTTCTAGTGCCTTGATTACTTTACTCAACATAATCTCTTCTATTAAGCGGTCAACCATTGTCATCAAAAACATTCATTATGCTGACGAACTGTCAATTGATGTTCTAGAATGTCTAATTCGTTGTAATGTTCCAATCAATCTAATTTTAACGTGTGAGGATTCTTATGTTGAATTACTTGATAATTTTCGTGCTTTCTCCAATTTTGTTCAGGAAGTGAGACTTAAACCGCTGGGCTTTGATGCAGTAAATGCGTATGTCCAGACAACTCTTCACCGTGTCGATGAAGACTTGTATCCGTTCACTTCCTATGTCTATCATGTTTGTAAAGGAAATCCCCTTTTGATGAGAGATTTATTATCTGAGCTTTATAATAAAAAAGTCATATATTTTGACTGGAAAAGCCATCAATGGTCAATAAATTACGACGATATTAATTTGTTCAACCCTGAAAGTTACAATATTGATGTCGATTCGTACTCGGTTACAAAACTTTCTGATTTACCTGAGCACTGTCGTTGTTTCTTGGCTTGGGCTAGTATGATGGGTTCATGCTTTTCGTATGAAACTGTTCGAAACCTTTGTCAAGAAGTTGAGTTTTTTGACTTTGACAATGAGTCCTTGGATTTATTGCTTAGAAAAGGAATTATTTATGCCAATTCTACTAGTTCATATTCATTCTCTCGCGGAAGTTACCAGAAAACCATCAACTCTTTCTATAGTAAAGAAAAGTTGCAACGTATGCATGCACGTCTGTTTGAAATGTGTGTTGATAATCGGGATAAACACGATGTATGCGATATCGCATCTCATTTCGATGCAGCATTTGATTATATTAAAACGGAAGATAACTCGACACTAAATTTTACTTATCTTTACCTCGCTGCTGAAGAAGCTCTCAATGTTGGAGCAAATAAGAAAGCACTAAGTTTATATAATAGGTGCATTGAAACACTTCCATTTAAACCATATCATAGGGAAAACGATGATGAGAGAAAACAGAGGGTCCGAATTTATAATGGCTGTGCCCAAGCGAATTTAGTTAACAACAATCCAGAGAAGGCGATGGAAATGATAGCGTTGGCTGAAGCCGAATCGAGCAATACTACTGAAGCTTTTAGATCTAGATTATTGCGCTGTCAGATATTGTTTGAAGGTGCGCGTACCGATGAATCGCTTTCTCTTGTTTTAGATTATTTATCTCAACTGGACTTTACTATAGAACAGTATAATATGGCGGATGCGAAGAGAATTTTAGCGTCTTTCATTCCAAAACTTATGAAATATATGGAAGAGGGAAAAAATGTCGATTTCGAAAGTGCGGTAGCGCTTGACGATCGTTGGGTCGAAATTTTGTATTTCTTATTTCAGGGTTTTGTTGCATCATCTACATGCTATCGGTGTTCCTCAATGGTCGTAAACTTTGCGATTGCTTTTAGCAAGGTGTTCTTAAAATATGGATTTTCGAACTACGCTGGTTTTACCTTACTTTTCTTCTCAGTTACAGCAATGTCCATTCTTGGCCCTTCCGTTGCTTTAGTACAAATGTGTGATTTTGCAAGGAAACTCAACCAAAAGAATCCGAACTACAATATGCAGACTTATACAGAGTTCTTTTATTTATTTTCTGTTGGGTATATAACAGAATCTTTTCAAAAAAGGCTCGTTTCTATCCGAACACTGGAGAAACACTGTGAGCCATCAAGTAATTTTCTCATAAAGTATCTTCGTGTGTTTTCAATTTGGGATAATTTTCTTTTATCCTCAAATTATAATGATTATATGATCGAGTTTGATAAAACGTGCAATGAATTTTTGAAAGAACGATTTTTCGTTGAAGAAAATGCACATTTTCCTGTTCTACGAAACCTATTGCAATGTTTCTTAGGAGAAGCTAATTTCGATTCTTGCGAGTGTACGCATTATGAAAAACGACCGCTATCAATATCTTCTGAAAGGGGTATTTCAGACGCTTTCGGTCCTTGGTATTTCGCTTGGTATTTGTTAAACCTATTTATTTCAGAGGATTGGGAAAATACTGCAGCTTATGGGTTGAATAAACTGCCGCATTACTATGACGGATGTTTCCTACCATCTCCAGGTTGCTTTGGTTATTTTTTGCTTTGCTTAGCTATTGCTAACAAGGCAATAGCTAACGGTACGTTGCCCGAAAACGAGCGGAAGTTTTTTTTGGAAAAATTGAAACTCTTCGAGTATTTAAGTGCTGTATCCAACAACAGTCAAATAGTCCTGTATTCTTGTTATTTACAGGCAAGTTATGTTTCTTTAGAAGGTAATTTTGAAGAATCATCAATGTTGTTTGAGAAGGTGGTATCCCTAGCGACCAAATCTAACGTTCGCCTGATTGAAGCATTTGCTCTCGAGAGCGTAGGCAAATTATTTTGCAAGATGCAACTAACTACTTCTGGCATCCATTACATTGAACAATCCATGAATGCCTATAAATCTTTAGGATTGAAAAGAAAATACGAGATGTTAAGCGAACGCAACATATATAACTTACCTTCTAATTTGTTGAAATTGACCGTTGATGAGATTGTTCAAACTGATATTGCAGAGGAAGAAAAAGTTGTTTATTCCGATGGTAGTGATGAAGCAAATAATGGAGAACTAGCAGAGTCCAATTATCAAATATCATTTCCCAATGAAGACTACGAGGACCAAACATCTACAGTAGCAAATGTTGGAGATGTTTCTCTAGAAGAGCTTCTCATATCGCTAGACATTATTGATTTAACCTCAGTTATGAAGTCATGTCAAATCATCGCTAGTGAAACTGAATTGGAAGGTCTACTCTCAACGATGACACAGCGGATGCTTGAAGACTCCTCAGCAGATGCGGCTGCAATTGTCATAAGAGATGATACTCACTTCACTGTTGCAGCATATCGTACTGAGAACATTAACGAAGGGTTTTCCCCACCTATTCCGATTTCTGAGAAACAAAAATTCGTTCCTTCAAAAGTTATAAATTATGTGGTTCACACTCAGAAAGCTTTATTCTCCCATAGTATACACAAAGATTTCAATTTGCAAAATGAAGAATGGAACAAACAAAATTCCAAAGGAAAAAGTGCAATCGTAATTCCACTTTTTCAAAAGAAGACTGTGTTTGCTATTTTGTATCTTCAAGGGCCACCTTTTTCATTTCATCATCGGCACCTTTCTGTGCTTTCTATCCTAGGATCTCAAGTCAGTTTCGCAATTGTCAATATTTCGTTATTTCGTAAAGTTAAGGAAGCTACGAATGCTAACATGGAAATTATTAAGGCGCAACGAGAAGCCCTCAGTTTGGTTCAGAAATCAGAAGCAAAATATAGAAGCTTCGTGGATACTATGCCTTGTTTGCTTTCCAAGCTTACTTATGAGGATGGATTAAAGGTTGATGTATTTGGCTCCTTTTGGAAGGAGTACTGTGGTGAGATAGATTTAAGCAAATCAAATATTTACAAAGACCTTGTACATCCAGAAGATTACAGCATGTTAGAACAATACATCCGTTCGCAAAGCGATGTAAATGCTCCCTTTGAAAAGGAAATCCGCATAAAAAGAAAAGACGGAATTTACAGATGTAATTTGAGCCGCTGTACGCCTGTTTTGACTGAATCAAAGTCGAAACCGATATATATATGTGCCACTATTGATATTGGGGATCAGAAAGAAGCAAGAGCAACTGCTTTAGAGGCAACGCGATTAAGATCCAACTTCCTTGCGAACATATCGCATGAACTACGAACACCATTTTCTGGTTTTTACGGCATGCTGTCGTTGTTAGATGAGGCTAATCTGGATTATGAACAACGGGACATTGTAAATGCCGCGCGACTGAGCTGCGAAATGTTATTACAAGTCATTAATGACTTACTTAATTTTAGCAAATTGGAAGCCGGCAAAGTAACTTTGGAATCAGATTTGGAGTTTTCCTTGGAAGGAGTTATAATAGACTGTATTGCATCCATTTATTCCGTTTCTGGTAGCAAAAATGTAAGAGTTTCTTACGAATTATCTGACGATATTCCTTACTTTATTGCTGGTGATGCTTCAAAGATTGGTCAAATGCTTAAGAGTATACTTGATAATTCTGTGAAAATGGTTGAGAGTGGCTTTATACGCGTAAAGGCCTATATTTCTGAAAATGGGACGAATGATGATTTAAGACTTACTTTTATTGTTGAAGATAGTAGACCACACAAGAATGCGATGTTCCAGGCAAATTTGATTAATTCCTTGAATAAATACTGTAATGATTATTTGCCTATGGATTTGAGTGGATCAGCTCTTGGGATGTCAACGTGTTTGCAGTTATGTAAAATTATGGGAGGTTCAGTTTTTGTGACAGTTTCAGAAACTTCCCCCACTTTTAGAATTTGTTATGATTTGAAGGTCCGTAAATTACAGGAAGGACGTTACAGACAGGTTACAGCAGAATTGGTTGAAGCGAATCGGAAGTTCAATGACTATATTCAAAGCAGGCACATAATACGTGCTACGAATGAACCACTTCAGAGTGATTATATTCTCAGGCTTATGGCTAGAGCAGAAAGGTTGGATCGTATTAACAGCAGTCCCGACACACTCTCAAGTTTCCTTCATTACTGTCGAAAGGATGGGAACATCGCTCGTTCTCTCTTGGTATTGGATGTAGACTCTGTTGAGTATTTAGAGAAGGCAGTTGCTGAAATTGAGCCCTTTCCTGATTTGAATGTTATATTCGTTTCTTGTGTGCCTCAACTAAATAGAGTATTTGATCGAAAGTCAATATTGCGTGACTTTCGTGAATACGTAAATGAATGGAGAACTGTGGTTACAAAGCCTTTTACCAAGGAGCAGTTCATAGATGCAACTTTGAGTATTGTTCATCTAGGACAGGACAAGCTGTATGAAACTTCTCACTTTTTGCCCTCTAGTGAGGAGCGAACGGAAATTAATATACAAAATTGGCGGCATAAAGAAATACGAATTTTAGTAGCCGAAGACAACAGTGTCGTGCGTTTAACTTTGTGTAAACAGCTAGAACATCTGGGCCTACTTGTTGAGAGTGCCAAAGATGGAAAAGAAGCCATTGACTTAATTACTTCTCATCCTTGTGGATATTATGGTCTTGCATTTATCGACTACCACATGCCGCATTATGATGGTATAGGTGTGAGTAAGAAAATGCGGGAGTTTGAGCAAAAAAATCACTTTGCATTTTCTGTGCCAATTGTACTATTAACAGCTGATATACAACCTTCAATCGAAGTAGGAAAAGAAGAGATCGGTATCACGAAATACGTAACGAAACCCATCCGAAAAGATAGGTTGCTAGAAATTTTGGATACTTACTTGGTATAACGTTAGTACTTTAAATATATCTACATAGTTTAGAGATTATGGAGATTTTGGGCAAAATATAATAATGGGATATCTGTTTTTTTTATACCTTTAAAGCCAGGTTGGAGGACTTCAATAACTTAGTTTCGACAAAAAACAGTTACACTATTCAATTACATGAGACATGAAGGCTCGTCGTGATCAGCCAAAGCTTTCTTGCATTTAATGAGTTCAGTAATACTTCTACAATACTGATCGCGCAGAAAGCACATCCATATATATTCATTAATGTTTCAACCAAACTTTCATTACACTTCAAATCTATATATGCTACATATAAAAACACAAGCAGAGAATTTAAGCTGTTTGAGTAGTGGCAGCCCAATCACTAGGAGCAGTTCCAGTAGTGTTCCAGTTAGCAGAATCATCCCAGGTGTTTTCAGCAACTTGACCAGCAGTGGCAGCATCTAAAACAGAAGGGTCAACAGCACTTTGGGCAGCATCAGTGACATCAAATTCAGCAGCAGCAGCAGCTTCGGCGACAGCACCAGCCTCAGCTTCAGCAGCGGCAATCTTCTTAGCCTCCTCTTCACGTTCAACCTCTTCGGGATCACGGTAGAAGTAAAGATCGGGCATAATTTCCCAAGGGGTGTTGCGAGAAAGGGTACCACGAAGACGAAGAACTTCACGAGCCAATAAGTACCAAGCCAAACCAATGGACTTACGGCCCTTGTTGTTGGTAGGGATAGCAACATCAATGTGATTCAAGCAAGAGTCAGTGTCAGCAAGGGCAATGACGGGAATGTTGACGAAAGAAGCCTCTCTGATGGCTTGAGCATCAGCACGAGGGTCAGTAACAATAATCAAACGGGGTTCGCGGTAAGTACGAGTGATATAGTTGGTAAAGTTACCAGGAGTGAAACGGCCAGCAATGGCAGTAGCTCCGGTATGGGCAGCGAACTTGAGAACAGCACGGTGACCATAAGCACGGGTAGAGACGACGCAAACATCGGCAGGGTTTTCAACAGTAGCGATGATACGAGCGGCCAAAACCAACTTTTCCCAAGTCTTACCAACATTGATGATGTGGACACCAGACCTTCCGTTTTGAAGACATAGGGATCCATACGGACCTCTAAGTTCTTGGAGCCAATATGGCTGCTAGCAGCAAGGAGCTGCTTAATGTCGTCTTCTGTAGCATTCAAAACGGAAGGTCTGGTAGTAACTTCAGCCATGTTGTATGCGCTTATAAAACTCAGTTAACTTGCCGCAAACGCTTTTCTTCAGATGCTACCAACAAACGTGACTGTTTTTTTCGTAAATAAACGACATCGTATTATACAGTAATTGAATAGGAAGTATTAAGTTATTACAATAAATCTGTATCTAAAGCATTATTTTAATTTATCATTAATATCTGTTTTGATATAGAACTTAAACCACCCAGAGTCAATCAATTTCTTTGCCGACTATTCAGTATGAAGTTAAGTAGGGAAATATTGTCTATCCCTCAACTGTGATACTCTCAAGAAACAACATTTAATGATCACCATAAAGCTTGGCTTTTAAAGGTTCCAAAAACGTATAAATAAAAATGATCGACTAAGATTTTTTTGTGCAAGCGATAGAATATCAACAAAAACAAGGAAAGATTCGTTAAATAGCGTGCGTAATTGACCGCAAGAAATAATTTCATGTCAGTAAATAAAAGTCAAGTTAAACCAAAAAGTGTGATTTTTTCTTTTTATAAAGAAAATAAAGAACATGAAAAACAAGGATTGGAAAGCGTTATAATTAAAGGAACGCTACGAATTTGTGAATTGGGCAGCATTAAACATATTGGGTCGTCGTTTCATGTACCATTTCAGAAACTACTAGCGTAGGAACGGCAGTTTGAATTTTAGCATGCATATTTTGAACGGACACCGACGTAGTAGTTGTTGTTTCTTGTCCATCAAAAGTGTGAACAACTGGGGAAGCGGAGTTCAAATAGGAAGTTACTGTAGTGAGAAAAATATTGGCACTTGCGCTAGTAGGAGACGTTGTAATTCCTGAAACAGTTTTTTCCTCGCTTTTACTAGATTTAGATGGACCATGTTTGGGTGAGTTTTTGGTCGTTGCTGGGTCCATTGGAACATTGGTAGGAGTAGACCATCCACTATTGGAAATATCGGATTGATCGATTCCAAAACTGTTTGTCGCCGTTATGATTGAGCTGTTAGGACGAAATTTTTCTTCGGATGTATTTGACTGACTGCCCTGGTTGGTCATTAGTTGATTAGCCGCATTGACATTTGCAAAGCTGGTAGGAGAGACAGTTTTTTCTGATGATATCTCACCGCTAGCTTTATGATAACCATCCTTTCCTGAATCAGTGGTACTAGTATGAGCAGTAGTCATGGATGACAGACTTTGATTAATCGTTTGGGTATCCGAAGATGGAATAGAAGAGGAGAAATCGCTAGGGAGAGTTTGAGTAACATTAATGTGAGGTGTAGGCATTGAAGAAACATATGAAGTCGAAGCCTGAGTATTCGATTGATTGCTTATAGTTTGAATGGACGTGGAAAAGCCAGAAGTAGGTGAAAACGAAGACGAAAATGCACTAGAGTTAATCGAGGTGCTTGAAGCAATAACTGGCGTTGAAGTAGGTGAAGAAATATAAGACGACACAGATGAGGATGAAGTCTTTTGATCACTATAGTCTACCACAACGATTCGAGCTTTTGTTCCAGGTTGAAAACCAACCACGCAAAAACATGCATTTCCTGCTCCATTAGGACTTCCATCGGGGCATCCTTGCACACCTTTCTCACGAGGATCTATATAGCATGGTAATCCGGAACAGGTATCACCCTCACATTCCAGCTTTAATCCAAAGCTTGGTTTAATAGTAGACCAATAGGGATCATCCAAATAAATTGGGTTTGCACCCAACTTCACATAAGTAATATTGTTTTCATCCATGTTAGCGCCTGCTACATAGGGAGCCCAGTTTCCGTAGGGTTTCTCGGAAGTACCCCATATACAGCCTTCATTTGTAGAAACACCGGGTGGATTGATATAGTAGTGAGCAGCAGTACTAACCCAATAAGAAGCATCGGGGACAGCCAAGACTTGCTCCGAATCAGCAGAGATCCAAGTTGGTATAAGCATAGCTTCGTTACCAGGTAAAACGGTCTGGCAAAAGGAAACGCCTTCCCCAGTTTTATCAATTGCAAAAACATTGCCAACTCCCGGGTAACAGTAGTCCCTGTCCCCAAAGGGTTTTACGGCATTACCATCATGGTCACAGTAAAGTCCTCCATGCATAGACTCGGGATAAGAATAAGAAGTTGCTTGAGGGCTCCATTGACCCATAACATAACCTGGTTCACAAGCATATGGGCACCAAGAACCTGAGGTACAGTACTGATTAGGAGAAATGGCCCAACCAGCATTTCCCTCTTTCGGTGTTACGGCGACCATTTTCTCGGCATACGGGAAAGGACAGTGCACAGCATCACGCTTTTGACTTCCATGATGATGACGATGCCGAGGACCGTCATATCCATAATTATAAGGGAACGCACTTACAGCCTGTAAGTCTGTCCAAGTCAGGAGAAATAAAAGTAGACCTTTATACATGTGAAAAGTGAAGATAATGAGCAAATATCTTTATGAATAGAACAAAATAGCAGCAGTACCTACAACAGAAGCAAAGTAGTGATTCAGTTTTTTTTTTATCCCTCGTGTCCAAAACGAACAGAAGACACAGACTGTCTTCGACTAAAAAGCTACTTAGTAGAAAGACAAACGTATTCAAAGGATTAGAAATATTTATGATTTTACATACAGCGGTAACATGTTGGGAAGATTATTCACGAAAACCGTTGAGGTGGTTGGTATGTAGAAGTAAGTATTTCTTATGAAATAAGTACTGCGAAAGCAGACCATATTCTTATTAGACATAAAAGAATTGAGCTATTCCAGGGAAAAAACACAGGCGTTAGCCGGTACTCCTTCCAGCAGAAGCGTACTTCTTTCCAATGTCAAACTTGTATTTTCCAGCTGGTCTAAGCATAAATATTACAGTAAGTTTGCACTTGATGAAAAGCAGGACGCAATAACCATTTTATGAAGGGGCGTATTTAAAAAAAATAGGAAAAAAAAAAAAAAAAAAAAAATTTGCTGTACGGAGTAAAGTTATTAGGCATCGTGGTTATTGTCAGTAGAATACAGTCTATTCAGAAGTCTTAATTGCTTTAGAAATAACACCTTCAGCTTGGGAATTGGAATATATTCATGAGAACGTAAATTACTTTAAATAGTTCGGTTAAAGGAACGGGTACACTGTTGAAAACTCGGGTCCATGCTCGCTGAATATGATTTATTTTACTTGGAATTCATAAAGCCTTCAGATAAATCTTATACAATGAATTCCAATTGTATTTCTACTTCAAGAGCTGTTTCACTGATGTAAGCTTTCAATTGAGAAGTTGTTTTTATATCATACAAAATGGTTCCAATATGATATGAAGGACATTGCTACCTTTGCTAAAAATAGGATCCATAGCACTTCCAACCAGAGCAAAGCTATTGTAAAGAAAAAAGCAATCTAACGTCCTTGTTTTGGAATTATTTTGATATTGTTTGCGATTTTACCCTCTCTTAAAATTGCGCATAGGTTTTTGTGAGGTTTTTGGTGAATTCTTTATCGATTGGACTAAAATTTTGGAACATTACCCCGTTGCTTTAACGGTTTAAATTGGTATAAAATAAAGCTCAAGCGTCTATTGAAAACGTAGTCTGTTCGATTAGGTTGGTAATAAAAATAGAGTGAGTTAGGAAAGACAATGGACTTCTTCAAACTCAGCGTGAAACGAAGAAGTAGTTTGCCTTTTATTATTGGAACAATTGCAATTGCTTTATTTACGGATCTTTTCCTCTATGGTGTCATTACTCCTATCCTTCCCTTTTCTCTGGTAGATCGAGTCGGCGTTCCTCCAGAAAGAGTTCAGACTGTCATCAGTACATTGCTTTCTGTTTATGCTGTTGCAAATATTACAGCAAGCTCTCCCATCGGGTACCTTGCTGATAAGTTTTTAACAAGGAAAATGCCTATGCTAATTGGGCTCTTGTTTCTGACATCTGCAACAGGTCTACTCACAATAGGTACGAACGTTCCTATGCTGATTATAGCACGCATTCTTCAAGGATTATCTGCGGCAGTCGTTTGGACAGTGGGCTTGGCTTTGTTGGTCGATGTGGTTGGACCAGAGCACGTTGGATCAACGATGGGTGGTATCTTTGGATTTATTTCTCTTGGTGAAATTATCGCCCCTGTCTTTGGAGGGATTGTATACGAGTCTATGGGTTACTATGCCTCCTTCGGTATGTGCTTTATTATTTTATTTATCGATATTGTCCTTCGGGTTCTTATGATTGAGCCAAGAGAAGCAAAGAAACTTTTACCTGATGACCCTGAAAGCCAACCAATCTTACGTCCTAGAGATGATCCATTAACATCTAACAGCGTTTCCTCAAATCCAATCATGAAAATTTTTTGTTTACCTATTTATAAACTTATATCTCACCGTCAACTTATTGGTCCTTTTTTCACAAGTTTTGTAAATTCATCTTTGTTTGCTTCTTTTGATGCTACAGTTCCCTTGGAGCTGCAGAAGATTTTTGGCTTCAATTCTCTCCAATGTGGTTTAATGTTTGGTGTTTTAAGTACTCCATACTTTTTCTGCGGAGCTTGGGCCGGTGCTATGGTAGACCGTAAAGGCTCTCGCACCATCGGTACGTATGCCTACGCTGTCCTAGGCTCTACTTTACTTCTTTTGTGTGTGCCTAGATCATACTCGACTTTTAACGTATACATGTTTGGTATTTTCTTGGCTTTAAATGGGGTTGTCTTGTCTTTCACATCCTCCCCTGGATTTGTCCAGTCCTCCCGCTATGTTGCAGAATACGAACTGGAACACCCTACTTTCTTTGGGCATAATGGCCCCTACACACAGCTCTTTAGTGCTTACAACATTGTTTACTCGCTTGGTATGTTTAGCGGTCCCGTGCTCGCTGGATTTCTTCGAGATCGCTTTGGGTTTGTTGCTTCAACTACGTCCATGTCGGTGCTATGTTTCAGTGCTAGCCTTGTAGCATGGTATTGCTTTAGCGATCGTGATGAAACAGAAGAATCCGTTCAATCTTAAGTTTGAAAATGATTCTGTTCTTTTCATTATGTAAGGTGAGAATTTTTTGATTGTCGAAAGGAAAAATCTATAACACACTGACTTTAGTGCTTTCAAAAATTTGTTAATTATAAAAACGTTGAATACTGGCTTCCCTTGAAAAGTTATACTCATTTATTTATTTATTATACTGCTTGCTTGGGTTTATAATTGCTGTAATTGAACGATTTTACGGTGCTGAAAAATAAGGGTCGGTCTCACTATATCCGCCTATTTGGTTTTAATGTGTGTTGTGTGTTACAATTAGTAAGTATTGGAACTTTGATGTGACACAAGACCATTTATTTGTGAAGTTGTATCACAGAAAAACTATAACTGGTTTTTATAAGAGGTTGTAAAGCGCTTATATTCCGTTGCAGGTACATAATGTAATTAATTTTAGATATTTATATTAATTAAAATAGCCTCAAATACAAAAAGGTAATAAAATTATTAAGACCTGTTCCTTCTTTAACCATTTAAACAACACAAGTTTTTCTTCGAATCGTGTTACTTGATTGCTACCTGGCAGCAACAGTACGTTTTGCTTGCCACGGCGAAAGTTGTCTTCTTACAATACTAAACTCTGGATGGAAACATCTAAGAATTCCCCAAAAGCTCATACCGTAAAAAAGGGTAGTCGAAAATTTCCCAGAAAGAATAGAAATTCATCGACTCAATTGGCATCTTCTAAACAAAATGGTCCGGATACCGAGCATACCAACACAACTTCTGCTGCTGCAGACAATGTTGGTTTAGAGAAAGGATCATCAACAGTCTCTTTGTCAGCCGATGCTCCTAGTTTCGTCCCAGGCGTGGGTTTGGTAAAGGAACCTGCATCTGAAAACCCATCCATCGAGACAAATGGGCCGCCGTCGAATGTAGAAAGAGCGGAACCAAATAAAAACAAGAACAGAAATAGAAATAGAAATAGAAAAAAGCAGACTAATAACAAAAGTCAAGAAAAGGCTTCTTTACCAAAGAAGGTTGACAGTGATTCTGCTAAACGATCCGGCGATATTGCGTCTTCCAAAAAGAATTCAAGAGATCGTGAGAAAAACCTCAATAATGCGAACAGTGAAAAGCAAAATGAGGTAGAAAAACCTAAAGAAGAATTGAAGGCTTCTAAAGGAAAAAAGAGAGAAGGACCTAGAAAGCCAAAGGAGAGCATTGATCTTTCTAAACTTGATATGACTTCGAGAATGATTTTTGAGATAAAAAAAATGCTGTACGAATGTAGCGTTTGTACTGACATTGTGAGACCAAGTACCCCTGTTTGGAGCTGCTCGACATGTTTCCATGCATTTCATTTAAAATGTACTAGGAAATGGATGAAAAATTCTATTGAGCAAAGGAATGAGTCGGTCTGGCGTTGTCCTTCTTGTCAAACCCCACAAACAGAAACATCTTTGCAATACACGTGTTGGTGTGGTAAGCAAGATGAACCTGAGTCTATCAAAGGTTTGACACCTCATTCTTGTGGCGAGCCTTGCGGTAGAACTCGAGGTCAGGATTGTGTGCATCCATGCCCATTACTTTGTCATCCTGGACCTTGCCCGCCTTGCACGGCCACTGTGGAACAGTTTTGTCTCTGCGGTAAGGAAAGCAAGATTACTCGTTGTTCTGGAAAGTCTAGAGCTCCTCAAGAATCTTTCAGATGCGACAATATTTGTGGTGAAGCCTTACCATGTGGTAAGCATACATGTAAGCAGCGTTGTCATTCAGGCTTGTGTGGCGCGTGCTATGAACCTATACGTGCAAGTTGCTATTGTGGTGCTCACTCGAAAACATATACATGCTCCATCTTACCAGACCCCATTCCTTGTGTAAATCTCGTGGATGGTAATGTCACCGAATATGACGGCTATTATAGCTGCGGCAGTGATTGTAAGCAGTATTTTGATTGCGGAATTCATAGGTGCTCCAAGGTTTGTCATCCACGATCAAAGATTCATGAACAATGCCCTTTCTCTCCCAGTATCGTAACGAAATGCTTTTGTGGAAAAAAGAGTATTTCTGACCTACTTAACGGCCGTGAGCGTGATTCATGTGAGGCTCCTATTCCTACTTGTGGAAATGTTTGTTTGAAACAACTACCTTGCGGTCATCAATGTAAACAAAATTGTCATGCGGGTCCTTGTGGATCTTGTCAAGAAATTGTTACAATTCCATGCAGATGTCGGTTCAATGTTGTACAAGTTTCTTGCGATGAACTTCAGAAGGGATATATACCAACTTGTGAACGATTTTGTAGTGTATTGCTTAGTTGCGGCCGACATGAATGTAACAGAAAGTGTTGTAGTGGTTACCCTAAGGCTCAAGCTCGACTTGCTTTACGTCCAAAAGGTGCTTTGCTGCGTTATCATCTACTTTCCGAAGAATTTGAAGAAGAACATATTTGCTTACGTCCTTGCAACAAGCCATTGGGTTGCGGTAACCATTTCTGCCAGCATATGTGTCATCGTGGCCCTTGTCCTCGATGCTTGGAAGCTTCTTTTGAAGAACTTACTTGTACGTGTGGACGTACAAAACTGTATCCCCCTATACCTTGCGGTACACCTATACCTAGCTGTCCCTATCTTTGTACATTACCGAAATTATGTGGACATCCCCAGGTAAAGCACAACTGTCATCCGCCATCAGAGCCTTGTCCTTTCTGCCCGTATCTTGTGAAGAAGTACTGTCTTTGCGGCAAACGTCTGATGGAAAATCAACCCTGCTCAAAAGAAAATGTTCGTTGTGGAATGGTTTGCGGAAAGCTGTTGGGTTGTGGAGTACATAGATGTGAGAAATCATGCCATCGCGAAGGAGAATGCGAGAGCGTTTGCAGGAAACCCTGTGGAGCACGTAGGTTGTATTGTGAGCATACTTGTGAACTTCCTTGTCATTCTGAAATTCCATGTGATCAAAAAGTGACATGTAAAGCAATGGTAGACGCTGTATGTTCATGTGGATTGATTAAAACTCAAGTGACTTGCGGTGCAAGTTATGATAATCCTTCTCCTGAGCATAAAACTTCCTGTACGGTAGACTGCGCAAGAGAAGAGCGCAAGCGCGTCCTAGCAGAAGCGCTGAATATAAATCCTGACCGAAAAGGCAAAGAAGTTTCACGATACACAAAGAGTCTATTGACTTTTTACCGTGACAACAAAGATTTTGGCAGGGATATCGAGTCGGCTCTTTGCGATACATGTGAAAACGATAAGCCTAGTGTCAGTTTTCCTCCGATGCAACGAGAACAGCGGTGGTTTATTCATGCTTTAGCAAAGCTATATGGGGCAGAAAGTGAATCATTTGATTTTGAACCTAAACGTAACGTTATTGTCTATAATAAAGGCTTGATGAAAAACCCAGGTGTGTTTTTGAAAGAGGCATTGGATTATTATTCCCTACATCCGACGATGTCGTTGCAAAGCGACAATGCCTTCAATGATGAGCCAGTTTCAAATGCAAGCAAACCGGTGAGTGCACAGGAAGAAATTTCTGATTCTACTCATGACGCTGAATATAATGCTCTATTTATTACAGATTTCCGAAAGGAAGGTGAAGTTTCCGAGGAGGAGATCAGAAATGCTCTGGCTGATATAGGTGATTTTGAGAGCATAGATTGGGTTATCTTCCATGTAGAAAATGGTATCGTTATGAAACCATTGAGCATTGAAGATATTGCTAATGTATTACCGCGTCTGATTTCATTACGAGCACTAGTAAATCCAAGGTTGTTGACTGCAAATATTGCAGACCGTTGTGATGTTTGTCAAGTGAATGATGAGAATGTTGTTAGTAAGATTCGTATGCCGCGAATTCGTTCTAAGAAGAAAGCATTCCTAAAATTGGCCCCCTCCCAATCTTTCAGCGCAAGCAATCCTTTTGCGGCTTTGGAAAGAGACATTAACTAAGCATAGTTGGAAGTTGATAAACTTTGCTATATATTTATTAAAAGTTCATCAAATGAACTGAGAAATGGCTTTCTTTTTTGAATAGTGGAATGTTCAGTGAGCTACTCACTCGGGAAGTTATGCTTAATGAATAGATTAATTTTTTGTTGAACATTATGTTCTAGATTTCTAAGAAAAAAAATAAAAAAGGGAATATGCTTCTTTGTTCTAGCAACAATTTTTATGTAACGTGTTATGTCGATAAACCAGCTAGTTTTGGATCTCACGTTCAGGTCGAAATTGTCGTAGAGTAGTGTTGTAAAAATATAAAGCACTAAGAGAATTAAATACGCAATCACTTTGTGGACTTTTATACCGTGCTTTCCAACTAGCAAAGAAGTCTAGTTTTTTAATCTTATGGTATTGCTGACCTTCGATGAATCAACATCGAGTTTAAAGGTGACATTGTAGAATCACTGTGATAACTAGAAAAAGAATAATGAACTGTACTAAGTCTGTTTATATCAGTTACGGAGCTGCAACGTTCCAAAATACAAACAAAATACCATGAAACGTATAAATTCATAAATGTTGACCGGTAGCACATACATGAATGAAGGGTTCTGAGGCTCGTGAAAATGCGTCAAGGAGAATACGTAAAAAGCTTTTAAGTCGTCAAAATCACCAAACGGGGGCGCTGTATGGGAAGCTAACAATTAATATCTATTTGCGAATTTTCTCGCTTGTTGGAACCGTAGACTTATGCAATTGCCATTTAGTATGCAAGAAATTTTATGAATTATGTCGCTCAAACACCATATATATAAAAAAGCTGCTTCTGATGGGGGCGTGGGACACTGCGTTGTCCAAATCACTTTACTTAGAATCAAGAAGTGAAGCAATATCTAGTGAAGGAGCGTCAAGTAATCGTGAAAAGACCAAGAGCTCACAAAGTGAAACTATTTCTAGTTACGGTGCTACTGAGAGATCAATTGGAACACTACCACATTCTCTGCTTGGCACATTGCCGGAAAATGAAACAGCATTACCATCAGCTGTTCAGTATTACACACGGCAAGGGAGGGAAGATGTAATACATGTGTTTGATAAAGTTAGTCACCGAATTGAATTGGCACGAATAGATTACATCCGTGTTTGGAGAACACTAGCTCCAATGTACCGAAATTTGGCCTATGCTAGTAATACATTAGATCCAATAGCTTTTTCTTCCTTTGAAACGCCAGAGGAACAAGCTGTTGTTTTAAAGCTTTTACTTCGATTTGGTAACTCTAAACCGTATGGATGGTTTGACTCATCAATGCAGAATGCAATTCTAGATATGGCCGTTTTGTTTGAACAAGCATGTCTAGATGAATTAGCACTCGGTATCGATTCCCGAAACTTGGAACTTGTTTCGCAGTTTTCACATGTACTACATGACTTTTCAGATCCAAATGTATATGTTCAATTATACATATCAAAACATAGAGATTATCTACAGTCATACTTTCAATTTGACCCATACAGTCTTTTTACCGTGAACGCCGATAATGAACGTTCACAAATTCAATGGGGGATCCTTGAAAATGTGATCAATGATACGATTAGGTTACTAACGTCGGAATATGCTTTTACTTCAGCATCTTTTCCCGTCCCCGAGCTCGTTGAAATTCCATATGCAAGAGAAATTGTAGGGAACTCCTTTAAAAACTATGTCACCTCAATCGTTGAGCATATAGGCGATGAGGAAGTTGATTTGTATTTGATCTTTATTTCCGGCCTTTATCGCCTAAGTAAACGTTTGTTTGATATTCCTAATGGCTTCTTGATTGTAGACACTATCTTCCAATCTCAAATCGATATATATATCTCCCAGGAGCTACATAACTTTAAGATTGTTGCACAATCTGTGGTCGATCAATGGGACTTGTCTATACGAGAAAAGGAAGGTGCTACTGAGTCTTTCTTCTTTAGGAATGTTGGTCAAAATACTGCTAAAAATAATTTCTTGGAAACTTTCAAGAACGTCATGTTGCTTCCTGTTTCTCTGTTTTCTTTTCCTTCTGAAAATAACGAGCAGGCAAATATTCAACGGGCAGTTCAGATTTCTAATGAACCCGATGCGTACGATGGTTTGGATAATTTGGATCCTTCGAGATTTGTTCCTTCAAATGTATATGTTTCGCAAGATCAGTTATCGCAACTGCCGACCACAGAACTGGCAGCCCAGGCTGCTGTTTTGGACTCAAAACTAGAAGGTATTAGTAATATGTTTAGTTTAGAACTTGCCTTAAAAATAGTGCACCTATGTAAAATTAGTCTTGCTCGATCCAAAATCTTTCTCGGTATCTCAAGCAGTCAAGACGAAGATATCCAAGCTTTGCAGAAAGACCTCTTTGTCCAGTTATTGAGGCAGTTGGGTCAAGGGCATCTTAGACACGGATTTGACCGAGCTATCGAGCATTTGTCTTTACTCGACCCCAAAAAAGACTTTACTAATAATACTGCTGAGCCTATTGTTAAGTTCCTAGAGCTCATTAACGTCGGTGATATGATTCAGCAAATGATGGACACATTTTATAATGAAGAAATGAGCTCAATCTGCGTTAGGGATGATATGTTTGATCCTGCTATAGCTGAAAAGAAAAAGTTTGAACAACTCCTGGATGAAAGAGCTGCGCTTGGTCTTCATAAAGGAATCGATGTCATTATTGAGCATGTCGACTTCTTGCTAGAATCAAAGACACCAATTAATTACTTCTCCCCTCAGTCTATTGGTCTTACAAACACTATGGTTGAACCTTCGGCGGCAGCGAAAAGTATTACTCAATTTCTGCGTACTCACATGAAGCTATTAGTGGGCTCTACAGACCATGAGATATTGGATTTGTTCTATAAAGAGATAGGAATGCGTTTATTCAATTCATTGACACGTTATATAAAGCAACGCAAATTCACTGTTGAAGGTGGATTGATGCTTTTAAGGTAAGCCATTCTTTGTTGTTGATGATAACATGTACTAACACAATACAAGTGATTTAAATCTATATAATGAATTTGTGGTTTCTTTAAAACAGCGTGCGTTGTTACCTTATTTCAAAGCACTTAAAGAAATTGCACATCTATTCATTATTGATGGCAAAAATGCAGAAGAAATTGGGAAATTAGCCACTGACAACTCTCGTTTTTCTACGGCATTCCATACAGAAGAGGTTTACGAGTTTATTCATTGTCGAATTGACTGGCTCAGCATAAAGTATCAAGTCGACAAGGTGATACATGGTTTGGCTTGCTGTATTATGTGATTTCCATTTTTGACTTGTTGATAGCGGGCGCTTCACTGATGATTGTTTATGAGACTGATGAAATGTTAAAGTACTATATCTATGCATTATATAATAATTTCAAATTTTAAGAAATATTTAAGCCCTTTTTAACAGCGTACACAATTTTATAGCTAATCCATAGTTTTATGATATTTAAAGAAGTGTACCACTAATAATTAACCCTTGTCATTATCTTTTTAATAACTAAATGTCCAAAATCCCCTTAACTAATAAGTAAAATTAAAGATTGATACTTTAAACTGAAATTTTCAGATTCTTTTAGTGTGTCCATATCCGTACGGCTTTGTCGGCACCTCCTGAGGCGACGCGTTGTCCATCTGGCGACCAATCTACGGCAAAAACTTGGTCAAGATGGCCTGGCAAATCACACTTCAACTTCTTCGTACGGACATCCCAAACTTTCAAGGTTGTATCTTGAGAAGAGCTTACGAGCAATCTGGAATCCGTAGACCAAGCGCATTGATACACGGCAGCAACATGTCCACGTAGTGTAGCAAGAAACTTTCCTGTCTTGGCATCCCACAAGCGTACTGAACTGTCAAAACTAGCGGTTGCAATATGACGACCATCAGGAGAAAATGATGCATAATTTACTACCTTTTGGTGACCATGCATTTTGGCAACTGCTTTTGTGGATTTAAAGGGATCCCACAACATTAGCTGTAAATCATCACTTGCTGAAACAAGACGTTCTCCAGATTGTTTTACACATAGCTCATAACGTTCTTTAGCTTTTTCGCGTTCCTCGAGGAAGTTTTTAGGTTTGAAGTCGGTATGATCATATGCACCAGAACGCAAAACGTGTTCAGTGGACAAAGACAAATGATTGACACGTGCCGCGTGTCCCTTTAAAATGTGCAAACATTTTCCCTAAATTCGTTAATAAAACTGTTAAACAAGTAAAAAAAATCAACTCGATTACTTACATCTTTGGCATCCCATATACGAATGGTTTTGTCATAAGAAGCGGAATAAATCCAGTTTTGACCACCCCATTTGACACAAGTAATGGGTGCAGTATGACCAGAAAGCGTGTATACAAGAGTCCTAAGTTTGGTATTCCAGACACGAACAGTGTTATCTTTAGAGCCCGAGGCAAGTAAATATGGACCAGACTCGGGACTCAAGTGAAGAGGTTGCCAAGAAAGGGCCATGATAGGCTTGGTATGACGGCGAAGGGCATCGCCAAGGGGAGCACCTTTCTTTGGTTCCCATAAACGGATCTATAATGTTAGAAAACTTGTAGGAAACGATGATTGGATAGACGATAGTAGACATACAGTATTATCCATGCTTCCTGTAGCAATAATTGAAGCATCGGGAGCCCATGCAATACAAGAAACCCAATTTTGATGTCCCTTTAATGTAGAGATAGGGGTTTGTGTATCGCAATCCCATAATCTGGCAGTGCAGTCACCACTTCCTGTAACCAAACGAGCGCTAGTGCTTGGGGAAAATTGGGCTGAAATGATAGTGCCATCATGTCCGTTCATTGAAGCTGCACATCGAGTGATGGCACGAACACGAAAAACTGCCTGTGGGGTATACAGCAATGTTAAATGATCTTCTGTTTTCATAAGACCGCTATGAAACACAGTAGTATAAAGATTATCGGGAATTTCCACAGCATCTTCACCCTGCTTTAATGCAAACGTGTAAGGAACAGGATCCTCAGTCTAGAGAAAAACACAATTAGTAACGAAGCTTAAAAGAAAATCTTTTCACATACAGAACCGAGCAATTGGTTTAAAAGGATATCTAACTGACGAGCAGAACTGTTTCCAGGGACCAAAAGAGAAGGGACTTCATGGCTGTCATCTGAGGCTCGAAATTGGATATTTACGAGTGGGAATTTCTCAGGAATTTCAAAAGGTGTAGGATTCTGTTCTTCCTTTTTCTGTTTTTTGTTCTTGGGAGGCAGTAAAGTCGCCATTTTACTGACTTATTGAGCAAATAGAAATTTGGCTGTGGTAACAAGATTTTTAACAGAATTCATATACCAGAATAAAAAAGAAACGAAGCTTTATTTTAACCACGTATAGAATACGAGAAAGATAAAACTAAAGTTTTAAACTCATTTTACGCGAACGTGGTATTACGAGGTAGGAGATGTCTTCCTATGTACATATAATTTTCCTGTGATGGGAAAGCGTATGGGCGTATAGTAAAAAAAAACATACAGTAAGTAAAGGAAAGAAAAGTATAGTACGAACTTATGGTAGATTGATTGTGGTAAAAGAATATATTGCCAAGGTCTATTTGGACACGTCAATCCATAAGGATTATATTAGTAGCAGATATTAAACAAAATTACTTCATAGAATATGCTTTTCAAAGTAGAGCACCACTTGCTCCTTTCATATTCACAAAAGATAAACGATCTATGTCCTAATCTACAAAGTATCACGCGGTAAACAAAGAGGGAAAAAGGAGTGGGACAAGAAAGCCAAACTTGAGACGGGTAAAGGGATATAGAAGGAGTGCGAAACGGTAAGGTTGTATGGGGAAAAAATAGATAAGGACGAAAATAGAAGGTAGGGAATAGAAAGCATGAACACGGAACGCTATACAATGTACTTTTTAAAGTTCAAAAAAAAGCAAAAGAATTAAATAGCTCATGGGTTGAAGGATAAAATAATAAGTTGATAAAGAAGAAGCGGAATTCTAAATGACTCGAGGAGGGAAGCGGAAATTAGAATTGCTGAGAGAAACGGAAGCAGGTGGATTGGCAAAGGTAGAAGAGATATTTGGAGTAGTGGGTTTAGGACTAGGCTGGGCACCTGGCAAATCACGGAACTGAGGCTTTGGGGTATTCATCCACAAAGAACTACCAGAAGAGCCTAAACCATAGAGTTGATTCTGCATCCGACTGTCGATATTGCCGTCAAAATACCGAGATCGAATCTCAAAGAAAATTCTAGAGGTAAGTAAAGCATCACTGCCAGCCTGGTGCTGAGGACCTATACGGTTGATTTGCAAGTCATCAGCAATATCCTGAAGACCCTTTGAATTATTGAGAAGCGACTTCATAATATATTTTATATCATATGTTTTAGGGAAGTAAATACATAATATTTTGTAGAACTCTTCGTACTCACTGGGTAAAGACAGCTGAGTCATGGCTTTCAACAAATATGCAAAGTCGTACCCACTGTGAAAGGTAACCCAAGTGATATCTTCCTGAAGGACAAGACCGCTTCCAATAAGTAGTTCAGCGAAGTCAGCAGGTTCAATTCCTGCCTCTTGGTGCTTTTTAAAATCAATTCCGCTTTTCGTAAGAAGTTCAATACTTTCTGGAGCGTACATATCTTCTTGAATATTAAATCGAAAGTTGAACTGCCAAGTGAATGCTTCAGGAGGAACATTTCCATCCTCGTCGCTCATGGCCAATCCGATTTGAATGATTTTTAAAGTGTCTACATTTGCTCGTAACGTTTGGTAATGATAATCACCGCTACTCTTGAAAATTCCTAAAGGTCGGGCCACAACGCCTGGAAACTCTGTATCCATAGAGATTACCGGGTAACGCGAAACCAAGTTCATGATCAAAGTCATTTCTTGTTCCAGATTCGTTGCCCACACGTCTCGAATTGGTGCGATTTGCGATGTCACAGAGCTCATTCCTAAAGGAGGATATGATGCATTCCCAGTATCCATTTTTTGCCAAATTTAATAAAGATATAGACAAATCCTGGACTTTTATGAATTTCGGTTGTTGCTTGCTGTTGTGTTTCGCACCAAACTGAGAATGAACCTTTGGGTAACAAATAAACATGTGTTGCTTTAATGGACCATACGACACCGCACCGCTTTCTATCGTGGTTCATTATTTAGTAAACAAACGTTCATCAAGAAAAGTTTATTCACTAAAGTAATATTAATCTAGCTAGAAACCAAACTCTGATCTTTCAAAAATCTTTTACTGTTTGAAAGTTAAATGAAAAGGTCGTATGCAGTAGATGTCCATGAATGTTAAATACTTTTCTTGGTCATATATTCTACTTATTCTATATATTAAATACAGCTTTCAACGAAGACAACGTGGCCGAGTGGTTTTAAGGCGTTCGCCTGCTATCAAGTAGCCCAGCGGATTCCCTTTGGGAGCGCAGGTTCGAATCCTGCCGTTGTCGTCAAAAAACTTTTTATTCCTTCATTTTTGCAGTACTGTTCTTATACTTCTTTTTTGACTTGATTTATGGCTGAAATCTCAGGGTCCGTTTGCGCGCTGTGAATTGTCAACTCCCAATTTACACTTCATCTACGACTATTTGAGATCTTTCCTTAATAACTGAGTTTTAGGGCACGTCTTTCTCTGTGGTGAAAACTAGAATTGTTCAAGAAAAAGGTTTGATATTGTTGTCTGACAATGCATTCTACTATTATGTATGAAACCAATACCACTTGGGATAAAAAAAATATAACAGAAGAAGAATGCGATTGAAAATCAACAGAAAATAAGCACGTTTTATAGCGTACTCTTCAGGTCTCATTTAATTTTTTTTCACTGTTTGTAAACAAACCATGGTGATCTTGGAAGTAGCATTGCTACTTGGAATAAATGCTCCACACTTACACAAGAAAAAAGTTTCCAAAAGCCATCATAAAGTAGGAATCCTTTACACATTATAAAAAGAACAGCGCGCTAGTTGATTGAGCATTGAGAATTGGAAACAAATAATGCTCAAGAATTGAGAGTAAAAAACCAACGTATTCATTGAAAAGGTGCTTGCTTGGTTAAATTTAGAGACCTTCAACTATTTGTTCGGCTTTATTAATTTTTCATTATTTTTACAAGAAAAAACACAAAAATTTAGGGGTAGAGGCTCGAAGGAAGGAAGCTTTTTGCTATTTTTGGAATCTGTTTAGTGCATATCGCATTTCCTTACATTGATTGAAATCTAGAAGTTGTGTAGTATATTATACTCGCATTTACAATAATGAGAAAATTCACGCCCAAGTTTGTTCCTCGAAGAAAAGCTGGCCCTAGTACGGAGGAGAAGGAAGTCGATAGTCGAGTCAAGGTTGAATACAATACTGAAAACCAACAGCAATGGAAAAAACAAAGACCTAGGCCAGAGCTTAACATGACCGCTTCCGGTCCTTTTGCACTCGGTCCTAACGCTTCTTCTTCAGGAAGTCGTCCAGTAGGTTCTGCATACATTCCTCCACCCAGTGCGGCAGGTGTCAAATCTGAAAGTAAAGACGATACATTGTCAAAACTTATTGCTGCTGGCGATGTTGATGAAGATGGGCATTCTCGAGACATGGTGAACATTCAGAAACTTCGAACGTTGTCTGGCCAAGAAGGTGGTAGTATCGACTTAGAAGCTACCGATTTGCTTGTTCCTGTCATTTCAGATCGGACACTTCCAGAATCAGCAGATGAAGTTTTAAAGCATCATGCTGAAAGTGCTGTTCAAGCTGTTGTCGTGAATAAAGAGGAAGAGGAACAAGAAAAGCTTGCCTTTGATTTACAATCTCTTGCCCAAGATTTGGGTTTGGCACAGCAAGAAGAAAACGACTTTAAAGATCAAATTGTTTTGCTTCAATTTCCTGACAAGCTTCCTGATTTTCTTGGGCAAGCAGACGTTGATCCCGTTTGGCCTGAAGAAGCCACCCAAGTGAAAGAAGAACCGGATGCTCAGGAAAAGCCTCCTCAACCGTCAGAAAGTGGTGAAACCAAGAAAAAGGCAAATTACAAGGATGGTTTAACTTCTTTACCTGTTCCTGGTTTTCAACCTCCTGCTGGACAAGTAGGTGTTATGCGAGTTCATCAATCCGGAAAAACTGTTTTGGATATGGGTAATGTCGACTTTATAGTGCAATCTGGTTCAGACTGTCTATTTCTTCAAGAAGTCGCTGCGCTCGATTTTGAGTCTAAGCGTATGTGGAATCTTGGTACATTCCAGCGAAGAATGATTGTCAGTCCTAATTTTTAAAGTGAAGACTACAAGAGGCGATTGTTTTCAATGCCACTGAAATGTATAATAATGAAAAATGGGTTCTTTATTTTTGGATACAGGAGTTTTGATAATTTAAGAAGCATGATGACTTAACATTATGCATCATAAAAGAAATTACTTTTATATTGATTAGTATATTCTACATCTTTATAGGCTGTTAATGTGAAATGTACAATAGAAAAAAGGGTAGCAAACTGATTTAGTAGTTGCTATTGAAGTGTAATTTCTGTAAAGTGAGTCATCTTAATTATAGAATAGAGGAACTTACTGCTAGTATACTATAATTTAAATTTATCTTTCGTTTTATCTTCCCTGCACATTTCTATTCATCTTTCCATCTGTACCTTTTTGATTGACCATGCTTGTCTGGCCTTACCTAAAGCATGTTGAAATAGAGTATTACACTTTTTGATACACATAGAGAAGCTGTTTCATTTTAGTAAAATATACAAAAGAGATTTTTATGATACTTTAAATTCATTGAGAATCATAATTCGAGAAGGAATATCACTTCTAAATCCATATATTTCTATTCCTTCTTGTTAATCTAATGCTATTACGAAGGGCTCACATACTAAAATGCTTTTCAACAAGATTTAATGCTAGCTTTTGTTGTTTAAGATGGAAAAGGTTATATTCCGAAAAGGCAGATTCGCCTGAAAAACCGGATGCTCGAATGCAGGTATTTGAACGTTTAAAAATGCCAGTGTATCCATCTATTTCAGAAACTGAAGGAATTACTCCAATATCAAGGCTGCGGTCTTGGGATAATCTTCTGTTGCCGGACGACCGAAAACATGATGAGTCTTATACTGTCTGTGGTAGAATTGGCAACATAAGATACGCGAGTTCGAAACTGGTTTTCATAGACATTAATGATGGTTTGCCAAAGCTACAGTTGACCATTAGTAAACGAAATGTCACTGATAGTACCAATGAGGCTATTCCTTTTTCCAACATTCTAAAAGCGTTTCGTCGAGGAGACTATATACAGTGTACCGGATTCATTGGGAAAACAAGCAAAGGAGAATTATCAATCTATGCAACACAAATTCCAGCGATGCTGTCTCCTTGTCTTCACCAGATGCCTACCAACCTTTTAAACCAAGAAAAAAGATTTCAACAGCGTTACGTCGATTTAGTTGCAAATCCAGATACGCTTTTGGCACTAAAAAGGCGATTTCAGATCATAGATTGCATTCGCAATTTTTTTCGAAAAAATGATTTTACAGAGGTAGAAACTCCATTGCTTTCACATCATTTTGGGGGTGCCATGGCTCGTCCCTTTATCACAAATGATGCTCACAGACAACCACTTTCATTGCGATGCGCTCCTGAATTATGGCTGAAGCAACTAGTAATAGGAGGCATGCACCGAATTTTTGAGCTAGGAAAGAACTTTCGAAATGAAGGATTAGACGCTACTCATAATCCAGAATTCACCAGCTGCGAGGCTTATTGTGCATTTACTAACTTAAAAACATTTATTGACATGACTAAAGTATTGCTAGGAGAAATCTGCATGAACGTTCATGGAAGTCTGCAGTTAACCCATCTTGGAGTTTCTCTGGATAGCGACTCTTTTCAAACACTTGAATTTATCCCATCTCTTGAAAACAGTCTTAATCAATCTTTAGGCGTCATCGATAATTCCGAAGGGTGTCGGAGATTTTTATTAGACATTTTTAGGCAAAGGAATATCAAACAACCAAAAACACCTACTGTGTCACATTTACTGGATAAGCTGTTTGACCACTGCGTTTTAGAACGTCTTACAGATGGTCCTACGTTTATTGTACATCATCCAGAAATCATGTCCCCTCTAGCAAAGTCCGAGAAGATTAAATACGGGGATACAGAATATCTCGTTTCAAAACGTTTTGAGTTGTACTTAGGAAAAAGTGAAATTTGCAATGCTTACGAAGAAGAAAATAATCCGTTATCTCAAAAGGAGAAGTTTGAATCTCAGCAATACGATCGTACTGAGCTAGGTGACCAAGAAGCACCTATACCAGATGCTGACTTTGTGCGTGCGTTAGAATATGGACTTCCCCCAACAACTGGATGGGGTATGGGTGTTGATCGTTTAGTAATGCTTTTTACTGGACAGAGAAGGATAAACGAAGTATTACCGTTTGGATCTTTGCGGTATATCTGATTCATTGACTTCTCATTCATCCTTAATTTATAATAAATAAAAACATAAATAGATAATTACTTTCAGCATAAGAGTGAATAAAGTAAAGCATCAAGTATGTAATGCTTCACGTTCCAAAATTTCCTGCAACCATACGTCCAACTCCTTTGACAGATGGCCTTTTAGCCGGGAAAATTGCCTTCCAAAAGATTCTTGACAACGGTAACAGCGTACATCTTGCTGGAATAAGTAGGAAAGCGACCCCCGGACCGGAAGCTGAGAGACAGGGGTGTCAATGTTAACAAAAAATGGAGAATTAAATGAAATGTAATGTGCATTATTTTTTATACTTGGAGAAACATGATCCCGAGTCATAACGTGTAAATGAAGGTTATTCATGGATGGCCCAGCATGGAATCCTAGTTTGATAAAATCCCAAAGCGTTCTTGAAGGAACTTTTGATGACAACTCGGGATCTGAAAAAAGACTATTCCTAGCTTCTTTCATAATTATATCCGAAAGTTTGTTGAACACCATAAAACGTAGCTGGTCTATTAACGACCTGTGCTTTGCTAGGATTTCCAGAGGGTGAACCAATGTCAGCGAGGAGTTTCTTGGCATCAAGAGTAAATGCATTTTTGATTTTGGATACTTATCCCTAATGAATACGAAATCATCGTCGTAATATAACACATTATTGTGGGCCTGAGGGTGTTCGATGTATACCCGCAAGTTATCTCGAAAAGAAAGCCGTTGAGGCTTCCTCTTAACAAGAGGAGTGGTGTTTCTATGAGTGCTCATTAAGAGTTTAACTAGAAAAAAACTGTTAGTATGAATTCAACAACGGTCAACTTTCCAAGAACCATATAAGATCTAAAACGAATTACAATTATTTGAAAAGTTGAAAGGGATGATGTAGAGTAATGCAAAATATATTCAAGTATCTAAAATACTTAGATATTCTTCTTTGTGAACCCTCTAGTCATCCCAATCTTCGACAAACCCATACATGCGTCAGCAGAATTTGACATTAAGCGGTAACAAAGATTTTAGTTTTAAAGCTTTCTTTTTACAATTACAATGGTAGTCCTAATTTTGTTTCCATAAAAAAACCGAACTTGAAAAAAAGTTGGTTGGGTTGGTAATGATCAAATACATTGCAGGAAAAAATGTAATGGTTTCGCCATGAGAGCAGTTGCTCACTTTTCTCTTTCCTTGTTTCTTTGTTTTAAACATTGAAATACAAACGTTGAGAAATTACACCGCTTGCTCATATGTAGTTTATTTCAATTTCTAGCAATTCAAAACTTGTGACATTAAGAGGTTCCATATGAAAAAATGACCAACACCGTGTGGTTAATTCAGGGAATTTGCATTTTTCTCTAGTCTTTCCATTCTTTTGTCCGATCTCATGGAATTGTATACCGAATTAAATGTTCAATCATGATCAAGATATAAACAGACTAAAACAAGTACAGGAATCCATACCATCCAGTAGTCGTTTTCACTTATTTTCTTTTTGCTGCTTTCTGAATCCCTGTCTTATTATTCAGATTTAACAATGTCCATTTCTTATGAAATGCTCCGTCTCTATGTGAATGGACAAGAAACATTGCTATAGAAGAAAATCCAATTGGAAAAAATAGTATTTTTATATTGTTTACATTATTTCAGCTTTATCAAGCTTGACTATATCCGTTTCAATTGTGGTTAAAAAGACAAGCTTCATCTCAAAAGCTCGTATTCCAACACATACTCCCGATCTGTTTTCTAAAGCCTTTTCCTTAATACAGCGTAAATAGTGTTAAAACAAATTAGAGCATTTTCAGCCTGCATGATACTAAAACAATGAATTGAGCAAAGGCGCATTTCAGTTTTTCAATATGAAAAAGGTAAAAACAAAAAATAAAAAAAAAGAGAGAAAATAGCAGTATAAGGATTAATAGGGTGTAAAAAACTAGAATCAACAAGCTTCTGATAAGTACCCTTGCCTTTGCTCACCTTGTATTAATCATTGAAGGGTTATTCTCGTAACAATTAAAACATCCATATGTTCAGTACATAATTGAGCATATTAAAGATTTTTCTTTCAAATGTCGGTTTCAGAAGTTGCAAAAAGAGTTCTGTCAATCCAAGTATGTCTTTGTAAAAAGTTTTACAACTAACAAGCCTTTATTTAGTCTTCTGTCTGCCACGGCTACGTAGGAAATAGAGCTGCTACCTTCCCCTTGCAATTGCATGAATGGGAAGTGGATGTTGTACCTACTGTTCACTTCTCTAACCATCTTGGTATGTTTTGTTCCAATGAGGAAAATGCAATTTTTTTCCTTTGGTAACGAAGGCGTTTTGAGGAAAAGCGGAATCAGTTTCGTTTATACAATCATTGCCTTTTAAATCATCTCCTTTAAAGCTTGGTCTTGGTGATTTCTTTATCTAATTAATACTAGGCTATGGTAGTACGAGAGGTCGTGCATGCGAGCCATCAGAAGTTCAAGAACTCTTGGAAGCTTTGCTAGATAAAAACGATTTTGTTTATGATGCGATTTTGACAGGCTTCATACCAAATCAAGGGGTCCTTGAAGTAGTTTCAAAGCTACTAATCGAGTATCAAAGTCGACATCCTCATGTGAAATGGATAGCAGATCCTGTTATGGGAGACCAAGGAGAAACTTATGTAGAAGAAGACGTTCTAAACACATATAAAAATGTTTTATCACATGCCTTCTTAATAACGCCAAATGCCTTTGAAGTCAAGTAGGTATTACGAACCAAATTTGTCCGACTGTTTCATTAACTGAGTTTATTATAGTTTGTTAACAGGAGTCTCTGTCATGAACAAGTCTACTGCGTTGTACGGATTAAAGCGCATTTATGATTTATACAAGGTCCCACAGGCAGTAATCACATCCTTTGAGGATGCGGGTGATTCGTATTCAATATATTGTATGGGATATTCACTCCAAGAAGGTAAAATTCGTTCCTTTTTGTACTCGTATCCTTCTCTTTCCGGCATATTTACAGGAACAGGAGATTTGTTTTCAGGTCTGACATTGGCAAAGTATGTGGATGAAGAACTTCGACAAAAAGAAAAAGCATCGAAAAATATATTGAATGAAGTTTCAGATTCGGACTTCTTCGCTGAAGTGATCGGGCAAGTTTTGTCTTGTATGCGTTCTGTGCTTATTAGAACAAAAGAACATACGCTTCAAAGGCTAAAACTTGACAGCAGCATTGAAAAAGATATGTTTTTACTTAGCAATGCCTCCGAACTTCGACTGGTCCAGTCCAAGGACGATCTGCTTTCGAAAGAAAATATCTATACACCTGAAAAGTGGAATGGTTTGGAACGAAACATATAAGAACTAAGGCAATGATTGCAACTCTACATGTTGATGAAAATATAAAAATACAGAAATAAAGGTTTTCATTATCGTTCTTAAGTTGGTTTTTCATATCAGTCTAGTACATGGGTATGAATCAAATGCGATAAAAGCAATCGCTATAGTCGTTTTAGTGATTAAATACTAAGCTATACTGCTTTGTAAGACTTGTGTTTTCCATGTTAGTTGTCTCTTCTATATTACATACGCCTAAAGGACGAAACACGATAAGTATGCTATATTTTGTCAAGCAAAGATACCTTCGATGTATATTTCAGTCTCTATAACAACTTTGTGAGTATTTTTAGTGACCACTGCTTAAGCAAGTCCCGGGTAGCTCAATCGGTTTAGAGCGTCTGACTCTTATGAAGGTTATCAGAAGGTTGCGAGTTCGAGTCTCGCCTTGGGAGTTCTTTTTTACTCTTTCGTTTTTATTTTTCTAGTCTATCAAGAATAGAAACAAAAGTGAATTAATATTTCACAGGTTCACAAGGCAAACTGATGCTTGAAAATGTCGATGGTCCATCAGTTTTCATCCATTAAACTGGCAAGATATAAAGTTAGACATTCTTCGAACCAAACTACCATTGCTGCCGCAAGCTCTTCAATAGCAAGCACGCTAGCTTGAAGGTGACAAGTTTTGCCAAAATAAAACTATAAAGCTCAAATTCTTTTTATAAACTAATTCCTATAGCTTTTTTCGGGCAATCACCCGAGTTCTTTATTCCTTCTTATGTTTTGAATATATAATCTAGTTTAAACAAGTCAATAGATGAATAAAATACATGCCCCATAGAAGTTTCTGAAAGATACTCGTTCAATACCTCGAACAATACACTGAACACGTCCCTTTTCCGTCGGCTATCTCAAATTGGTTTGACACATCGTATTGAAATAATAAATGGACGATAAACAGGTAGCAATAACTATTTACATGATATATGAATAGCTCACCAAATAGCACTTGGTATAACGGCGTAACAAGAACACAATCTATACTCTCTATATTTATACATTACATATTTAAAACATTAGTTTACTATAAAACGCACTTTGACCAGCCGACCTATCGTCGCTACGATCATTTCTTATGATAGACAAATACATTTCTTACTACTTTTACCTTGGGATCTATCCACTTCTCACTGGGATTTATGGAAGAGATTTGATCTTTCTCTACAACATCTCTTGAAAATTTTCTTTTATACCGTACCAGATTACCTTAAAAATATACTAAATAAAACGAATATACATAACCCGAATCTATAATTTTGATTAGCATCACCCTAGTGCCTCTTTCGACGATGTCTCTTGCGTTGACCCACAGCTCCGATGATATTCACCGGAGGAGAGTCCTCAGGAGGTGCAGGGTGTGATGCCGACTTTTTCTTTCTAACACTCAAAGGATTGGGTCCCTTAGGACCTTTACGCTTCTTCTTCTTCGGTTGCTCCTCTGTATTTTCAGTGGCTTCATTACCAGTTTCTTCCCCTTCGGATTCACTAACTGGTCTTTTGCCAGATAAAATTTGCTTTTCTTCTTTCGACACACCCATCTGGGAAGATTCCTTGGCATGCTTTTCCAGCATTGTAGCTCTGGAAGCAGGTTCTAAAACTACTACAGAACGCTTCATATAAATAAGTGGTACTCCAGGTACAGAGCGAAGGTGATCACGAAGTTCAGTATTTTGAGTTGCAACAACATATCGGTGTTTGTTCTTTCCGTTGACGTTGATACAGCTCTGCATGCATTCTAAAGGTGACTTTGCTTCATCAATATGGCCGCAACGTCTTCGTTCAAACGATTTCGCAATTTGGATTTCTTGTTTTGCTTCCTGTGACCGACTGTAAAGTTGGCGTATGCAGCACTGGGTAATCACTAGACACAATTAGTATACATAAATACTTTCAACTCTCATCTGCAAAGTAGAATAAGATGAAAAGCATATAGAATATATCTATACGGGGTGTTCCCTCTCTTTGCAACTTTCGCTATAGGTTGGACGCGTTTTATGCCACAAAAGCTTTTCATTTTCCAACTTTTCTACTAGTCACACGTACTTGGTTTAATATCTCCTTGTACTGTTCTCTTGATAGCAGCAGTGATGTCCATTTTTGATTTTGTCAAATCCGAAATAAAATCAGAATCAACTAGGGTGATCGTTAGTTTTCCATCTTTGTAAGATATAATAAAAAATAGAGATATAATATACTCTACACCTGCTTCGAGAACTACATATGAGTTATGTGAAAAGTGCTTACCTAAAACTTGATACGGCTCACGAAAACCGAAAACAAGTTGATACGTATGCATCAACTTTCTGTAAGTCTTTGCTCGTTTTTGTCTCATCTTTTCAGATACCAATAAAACTACTCGTCAACTGAGCAGAATAAATTATCGGGTTATACTTTTAATAGAAGAGCGACTTAGCTCAAATTTTTTTTAAAAGAGAAAGCAATTTCAACAGTACTTTCTTATTAACTCGAGAATATGGCGGAATCCAGCGTTTGGTAAACTGAGAGCCGGATGGGCAGAGAGTAGCTTCACATAGAAAAGTTTTCAAATATGATGCCCTCAACCAACCCTTTCTAAATTCAAAATCGTAGGTTCTCAACCATCGAATCTAATTGTTTGAGGTAAAAAAGTCAACAAAATTTAAAATTTTGAATCCTTAACGGTTGACCGAAAGAAGTTGTCAATAGCGTACAGGTCTTGTGAATTTTGAAACTTCTCCCAAGTTTTGTCACTCTAACCAAGCATACTAAAATAATTTTGTTCAAATTACTTACAAATAGTTTTCGGCTGCTTTTTACATCCTGGAAATTACTGTTTTAAAGGAATCCAAAGATTGCGCTTAGGAAAGTTTTAGAGTACATCTCGTTGAACTCGGATTGATTTTTCAACAAGTGACATAGCAATTAGGCTAAAGTAATTATTTTTTTATTCTACTCATTCCAAAGAAAAAAACGAGATGACTGAAGCATCATCAAAGGCAGGTCCTTTTAACCATCCTTGCCAGTTCATCTCCTACCTTCCTGAAAAACAATTACTTGTTTGCTGTTCTGGTCCGTATCTATTAGGCTTTTCCTTGGCTACGGGAGAAAAAACCTTTGAGTTTTGCTACGAAGATGACTTAAAGCAGAAAAATAAAGAGGCAGCAGCTTATGGCCAAGCATTTCGTCAAGTAGCTGTTTCAAAAGATGAATCTCGTCTAGCTGCTGTAAGCGAAGATAAGTGCTTACGACTATGGGAAGTTGATGAGGCCGCTAAAGTTCATTTGCTTTACGAAAAGACAATTCCTAAACGATGCGCAGATATGAAGTTTCACGATTCTGGTGATCTTATATTTGGAGACAAATTTGGGGATGTTTACCGTATAAATGAAGAATGGTTCAAAAGCATGTCCTCGGAAAACCAAGAAGAAAAAAAGGACTTAAAATTGGAGCCTGTCATGGGACATGTTTCCATTTTAACTCAACTTTGCCTTACAAAGGACCCACATAAAGCTGATCAAGAAATCATCGTCACTTCTGACAGAGATGAGCATATTCGAATCTCTCGGTATCCTTCAGCCTATATAATTGACGGATTTTGCATGGGTCATGAAGAGTAAGTATAATACAACTTTTGCTGGTCATATCAATACTAACACTATTTAGTTTTGTTTCTCGTATATCATTATACGATAGTTCTACTTTAATATCTGGAGGAGGTGATAACCATGTTTTCTTATGGGACTTAAAATCCTGCCAGTGCTTGGATGCTTTTGATGTCCGCTCGGCTTTTGCTAATTATTTGTCGTTTGACAAGCCAATGGTAATTTCTTCTATTATCCCTATTCCTTTAAAAAATTTGATAGCTTTTGCATGTGAGGGTGTAGCCGGTTTAATTTTTGCAGCAGTTTCTTCCGAAAAACGGTTAACTTATCATTCCGCTCTACCTCTTGCAGGTCCCGTGCTTCATGCCATTCTCGTAGAAAAACCAGAGGAACGCATCATTGCTTCTTTGGATTCAAGTGTTACATTTGGTCTATGCTTTCAGGAAGTAGGTTTTACTAATGAAGGATCCGTTCAGCAACTCGAGAATCCTATTTTAGATCGCATCGAAAAGGAAGGACTTATTAAGACAGAAACGGTATTCTGTCCTTTGGCCCAACTACATACTATGAGGAAAAATCATTCAAAGTTTTTGAAGTCGGAGTCCACTCAACATACTAAGGACTGAAAAGATAGTACTTGAAAGCAATGGGAATTACATGGTTGAAACGGTTTTTGAGTATTCGTATGTATTTACTTAAGCATAGCATAAACACTGTAACTCCAAACTTGCCTACATCAGTACAGCCACTTGTGCCAATGCTTCCTCTTCTAAACATTATAGCTAATTACAACACTTACAAAATTACAACAACGTAAATTTTGGAAAAAAAGAAACCATCCTATTTATTAACTACCAGAGGGAGTTTAGTCGAAGAGACCGAAACCCATGTCCTCGTCGGACTCCTCAGGCTCTTCAGCCTTTTGCTCAGCAGCAGGAGCCTCAGCAGCGGGAGCAGCAGCAGGGGCAGCAGCAGCGAAAGCAGAGGGGTCAGCAAGGAAAGCCTTGGCCTAAAGATTGAGTTAGTAGATGTTATAAATGAAGAATCAATGAAAATTTCAAAAGATTGGCACAACTTGATATTTTCAGCAAAAAATTAGAGTGTTTAACATGCGCTCACAGAGATAGCGAGTTATAAAGCCTCATCAATCAACATCAAGAGAACAGCACCATTTTCCCTGGAATTAAAACCATCAACGGCTTACAGTTTGAATGCTTTCTCTTACCGAAATAGCCAGAAAAAACAGACACCAAAAACCGATTGAAAGTTTCTATAACAGGAAAAACTAACTTTTGAAATTTACATAATATACATACCTGTTCAGTACCCTCGAAGGTGTATTCGGTAGCCAAAGAGACACCAACCAAGTTCTTGTAAGAGTTGACAATGGAGTGCAAAGCAGAAACGATGGTAGGGTAGTTGGCAGCCAAAGAGATGGAAGCAACAACCTTGGCGGCATCCAAAAGACGAGCAACAAGATCGTCCTCAGAAACATCTAAGATGGCGGGGTTGAAGAGGTTACCTTGGTCATAGACGTGAATGACATCCATACCGTAGGTGAAGGGAGAGATGTCCAACATGTTAAGCAAGACGGCTTCGGAAGGACCAACCTTAGTATCCTTCTCGACCAAGTGAACTTCATTAGTGATTTCAATGGTACCACGAGTAATCTTGGTAGGGATACCAAGGGCTTGGAAGAAAGAGGTCTTACCGGGTTCCATACCAGTGTTACCGGCAGGAAGGAAAACATCCAAAGGAGCAATAGCGTTGGGACGGGCAGGAGCGGCAACGACATTAGCAATAATGGCTTGACGGACTTCCTTCAAATCACCGTTGGTGAAAACGAAACCAACGTTACCACGAACGTTAGGCATAAGACGCTCGAGCTCGGGCAATTCATTGATGATACCGCGCATAGCACGACGGATCATAGTGTTCTTACCCATGATCAACTCAGCAGAACCACGCAAGTCCTTACGGACAGTGTGCATTTGTTGAGAAGAAACATTGTCAATGTTAACAACAAAGACAGAGTGGTACTTTTGGAAGAGTTGGTGGAGCTTCTCGAAGTATTTAGTCTTGTTTTCCTTGCCGATAGCCATTTTTCGTGGTGTTTGATTTGTTTTGTTGGTTTATGAAGAAAAGGCAACTGCCAAATTTTGTTGCTCCTGCTATAACAAATTTGTGACTGTTTTTGGATGCTCCCATTCGCAGTCCAAGTTTCGTGTACTTTGGGAAGTCAATTTACGAACTAGAGTGTAATACGTACTTGAATATAACGAATTATATGTTCTTTTGTCCCACTTGACTGCGTAAACCCCTATAGCGTGTCATAGCACAGTATACCGTCCACATCATAATTGAATGACAAAATGCACTTGACATTTTCAAAATTGGCAAATATGGCGGATCAAGGTATAAAAGGGTTTGCTACAGATTATACGGATTGGCCGGCAGATGTATGCAAGTATTCCGCTGTGTTTGACGATATTTTGGTTGTGGGCACTTACATGTTGGATGAAACGACCAGATTGCGACATGGAAAACTCGTTCTATACGATACTCAGGAGAGGAAACTGTAAGGAAACAGGTTATATCCGTTGCAAGGATGCTAACAATGCTAGAAACCGGATCTTTGTCATGCACTGCGATGCTATTCTAGATTTTAAATGGTAAGTAAATATATAAAGCGCGCAGATAGAGCGATGTGCTGCCCCTGATCGAAAAGCTTTACGTTAAAGAAGTATTAAATCGCTTCAAACTTCTTTATGTTACTCTTAGTTAGAGGTTTGTTAGGCGGTTGCTAGTCGCGTTGTTGAGTTGTGGATAATTTGTTTGAAATTCTTCTCATGCCTCGGGTTGTCTAACATAGAATAGGTCTCCTCATGATCCTTCTATTTTAGCAGTGGCTCATTCAACTGGTCACATTTCTTTTTATCGCCATCAATTTCGTGCGGAACTTATGTTTTTAAGAGGCATTAAGGTGGCCGATTCCAGCGTGCTTATGTTGGCGTTAGATTTTTCGGACGATGGAAAAGACATCTCCGTTTCGCTTTCGAACGGTATTGTTATTACCATTGACATTCCTTCCGGAGTCATTAAGAATACGTGGAAGGAGCACCATTATGAAGCTTGGACTGTTCATTATTCTCGCGATGACAACAACCTACTGTATTCTGGTGGAGATGATGCAGTATTAAATTGTTACGATCAAAGAATCCCTTCTTCTTGTGTGTGGAAGGATATTAAAACTCATCAATCAGGAGTCGTTTCTGTCCTTTCTCGTCCCACCTTTGGTTCATATATAGCTACCGGAGAGTATGGAGATCTTATGCATACGTTGGATACCAGACGGATTGGTCGACCTATTGCCGATGCTAATCTTGGCGGTGGTGTCTGGCGGTTAGAACACATGTACTCCAACGATGATTATCATCAGGTATTAGGTGTCTTGATGCACCGTGGTGCCCAAGTCCTTCGCATCGCTAGTGACTTTTCTTCCATCGATGCCACTAGCGGTGTTTTTGATGATCATGAGAGCATGTGTTATGGAGGTGATTGGCGACGTAAGGATAATTTGATTGCTACGTGTTCGTTTTACGATAAACGTGTTTGTCTTTGGGAAGATATGAACCGTCTCATGAATTAAACTGAGTTGAAATCTCGTTTGCTGCATTTTAATCTATTATGTTTGGGTTTCGCTTTTATCCTTTATGGAAATATATGCTCTGGACTGGTCGATACCAAAAGAAAGAAAAGAAAAACTTTAAAAGTCATTTTGTGTTAACCCTATATTCCATCCCTCCTATAATGGGATTTGTACAAAAAATAAAAATAAGCTGTTGAAAATACTTATGATGTCCGTTTTACCCTTATGATTGTTTTACTCAACCTATTCCCCGTCAGCTTCGTTTGATTCAATAACCTTTACATTCGTTTTACCGATAACAATCAAGATTGATTCCCCCTCCCATAGTTGGTCTTCCTGTTTCGTTTTTGTTTTTCTATAATTGAATCATTATTCGTACCAAAATCTATACTTTACTTTTCAAAAATCTGCGTGTTCTAAAACATGCACGTTTAAGTAAGTGTTGATGAAGAAAAAGTAAGTTCAAAATACCTAGATGCGTGCATTTTGTAAAATGTGTCTAGTATTGACGCTTTCATTCCATGTTGATTCCAAATAAATTCACTAAATTTCATAAGAGTACGTATATAACATGATATTAATTCCTAAAAAAGCTATCTTCTTTATAGTGAGCGTAATCAGGACGTTCAAGACTGTTTAATGCCACTTGTATGTCTATTTGGATATCTTCGATTAACTTTTGTACCCCTTCATAATTCAACTCTGGACGAATATAACCCAAAACAATCACCCGGATTTGCTGATCGTAAAAATCCAATCCTTTTCGATTAATTAGATGCACTTCCGCGCTCCTTACGGTGTTTTTGTAGTATGGGTTCCATCCAACACTCATAACCATTGGAAAGATGTGTTGAGATACCATAGCGAATCCATAGTAAACACCTGAATCTTTATGTTTTAAGAGTTCTTGAATGGAATCTTCGGACACGTTTGCAGTTGGGATCCCTAGGTCCTTGGATCCTCTGCCAAAACCATGGACAACCTTCCCTTCAAACCGAATTGGATAGGGAGCTTCTACCTTATCACTTCCAACTATTTTTGGACGAGGGCTTTTTATGTCGGTTGTCATATCTAAGTTAGTTTGCCGCAATTTGACAATAATACAAGTTCCCTTAAGTTGGGTGCAGTTTCTTCATTCAACTTACGTGTGCCGAAGAGTTACACCTGTGATAGTCTGAAGAAATAATTTTTTCAAATACTTATTTCATTATAATATAAAAAAGGAAAATTCTTTTAGTTAACATTTCTGAAGAACGTTGTGATAATTTAGGTGAGTGTAGACTAGAGTAAATTAGAAGTTAATTCGGAGATTTTCCGTTTTCATACTTTTTTAAAAAAAATCAAATCAACAACAAAAAAAATTCTATTAGTGTCAAAGATCTAAATCTAAATCTAGCAACTTTTTTGTTTTGAACGTAACGAGCAAGGGCAGATTATAAACTCGAAAAGTTGTTTTTTTTTTCCTATCATCTACCTACACAATTGCAAATGCAAAATAACATCGACCATTTCAATTATGTATTGTGGGTATGTGGGCAATTATCGTAAGTCAACTTTGTGATTCGACTAAATTATATTTGCAACTTGTCCTCTTCATTAAAATACGTTTTTGATTTGTCTTGAAGATCTAAGCTGTTTTTGCAGCAACCTTCAGAGTAGATGAAGAACCGCCAAAGGCGCCTTGTTGTAGGCGCTTTTGGACTTCTTCTTGATACCTTCCTAATGGCAAGTCCTTTCCTTCATTCGAGGATTCCCACAAAGCCTGTAAAACCTTATAGCGAAGAATGCAAGTTTCGTGGTCTCCTTCCGTTGCTATCAAGTATTTGATGGCAAAAGTCTGGGATGCCAATTGAATAGGCGATCTTTGTGCGATGTGTAATAAACATTGAAATCCAAGTTGGCGAGTCCGGCGAAGGGGAGAAGACGCATTCTTTATGACACTGGATAAGCTACCGCTGGGAAGGCTCCTCCAAAGCTTGCTCCATAAACTTGTATTTGGTTGCTCTAAGGCCATAGCCAAAGAGGTAAGGCCAGTGTCATCTACCAAAAATCTAGATAGCAGTGAATGAGGAATGTATTGTTCAGATGATTCGGCTTCGTATTTCTGAACTAAGAGAGAGGTAATTGTCTCATTGGCTAAGAAACGGCCATATAAAATCACGGAAGTTGTATCTTTCGTGTCAATTCTTTTACGAGTAATATTGAACAAGTCATACTTTTCATCAATTGTTCGAAATGCGTCAGGATGCTTTTGACACAACAACGGGAGAAAGGTGAGACCAATATGATCTGTAAATGAACTTGTTTCTTTTACAAAGCATCTAATAATTTGATCTAATAATCCATACTCACTCGTTAAAACGTACGTAAACGAGAACTGAGTTTCCAACATTAGATTTAAAACATCAACATAACAGAGTCGTAAAAATATATCGCTAGTTTCTTGAATGTCAAATGCGAAGATTCCCTTCTTCACTACTTCGTCCATATACTCCGGGGATTTAATTGCAAGCTTGGTAAATAGCATTAACCAGCGAACTTTTAAGGTGGTATCCAATATCTGGTAATCCATGTCCGTAAATTCTCGTAGAATTTGTTCAAAATAAGCATGATAATCTGACATGTCCAAAAGAAGTTGAAATGCTTCTTCGGAAACTTGGATACTCTCGGAATTCAAGCATATGAGAATCAATTCAAAAATATTCTCCGAAATATCCCTGTCTTTCCAATTTGCTCTTCGAACCAGCTTAAAACAAAATAATTGTACTTCTGCGGATGGATTCTGTAAACCCGTGGCCAAATATGCTTCGATGCCAAAATGTTTCAAGTCATTCCAGCTCATCGGCTCTAGTAATTTTTCGAGGGCTTTCACAACGGGCTCATCAGGAATTGGCAATTCAAAACATCCTAATAATGTCTCTAAAATGCCAAGGCAAGCCGGACGATTCTCTTCCGTAATAGAATCGCGAAAATGATAGATAGCTCTTGGTAATTCTTTGATTATTAAAGCAGGATCTAAAGAAATGTCCTTTAGAAGCCTTAATAAATATCTTCCTTCCTCAGGAATACCAGGAATAAGTTTTATATCTTCCATATATTTGGTGTCTCGGTGAATGGCAATGTGCAAATTCCTTGTGCTTGTGCTGCTCGCTTCGCTGTGCTTATGTTTCGCCGCCAGAAATCATTTCTAGAGACTAAGGATTTAGAATATTATAGCTTCAGCTCTATCCTTATTTAGTTTTTGTTATACTAATGATTTACTCGAAATGTTTGAGTCGGGTGATCTAACTTCCTTGCGCATCTACTCGTTTTAGCTGCCGACATGGTAAGTTGTTTTAGTAGTATAAATACTTATTTCATCTTCTTCTTTTAGTCCTTACAGTATTCTTTGCAACAGGAAGAGCGAAATACGCGTATGCATCTTCACGGAAGCGAATAATTGTTGAAAGTTGAAATATCAAAAGAATTTTCAGTTTATTGTTAACGTTTACGACAAACTATACTGATTATTTTATGACTCCCAGTTTAAAACATAGGAGTAGTTTTAAGACAGTCAAAACTTTCTAGTACCTATAGGGAGTGAGAAGGGTGTTGTAATTAAGTCTAACCATCATCAACAAGAACAAAGTAAATAGTATGCGGCAACAAATTCACTTTGACAGGCATCAACTTTACGAAGGAAGTGTTAGCAGACAAATCACTTTTACTTCTTAGGGGAAATCATTAACTCGGGACGGACCCATTCTTCAAATTGTTCAGCAGAGCCAAAACCTAAGTCAACAAACTCCTTCTTAAGGGTAGTTTGGTTTTTGTGAGCAGTCTTGGCAACCTTGGCACAATTGTCATAACCAATGTGAGTATTAAGAGCAGTGACAAGCATCAAAGAGTCATTTAAGTGACGAGCAATGCCATCACGGCTGGCTTCAATACCATCAACACAGTGTTCGGTAAAAGACTCGCAAGCATCTCCGAGCAAGCGAATGCTGTTCAAGAGATTTTTAGCCATAACAGGCTTGAAGACGTTCAATTCGCAGTGGCCAGAAGCACCGGAGAAAGTAATGGCGGTATTGTTACCCATAACTTGAGCACAAACCATGGTTAAAGCTTCACATTGAGTAGGGTTGACCTTACCGGGCATAATAGAGCTACCTGGCTCGTTGGCAGGAAGAATCAACTCACCCAAACCACAACGAGGACCGGAACCAAGTTGACGAATGTCATTGGCAATCTTCATGAGGGAGCAAGCAACAGTGTTCAAAGCACCACTCATTTCGACAATGGCGTCGTGAGCAGCCAAAGCTTCAAACTTGTTGGGAGCAGTCTTAAATTCAATTCCAGTATTCTCGGAAATTTTTTCGGCGACCTTAACGTCAAATCCACTGAATGTGTTAAGACCAGTACCTACGGCAGTACCACCTTGAGCAAGAAGAGAAAGACGAGGAAGGGCATTGTGGACACGAGCGATGCCGTATTCCATTTGAGTAACGTAACCGGAGAACTCTTGACCCAAAGAGAGCGGAGTGGCATCTTGCATATGGGTACGGCCAATCTTGATAATTTCTTGAAATTCATCTTGCTTCTTCTTTAAAGAGTTGCGAAGAAGTTCCATAGCGGGGAGGAGATGCTTACGAATTTGCAAAACGGAAGCGACATGCATAACAGTGGGGAAAGTGTCATTAGAAGATTGAGACATGTTGACATGATCGTTAGGATGAACAGGCTTCTTGGAGCCCAAGGTACCACCAAGTAATTCGATAGCACGGTTGGCAATTACCTCATTACTGTTCATGTTGGATTGGGTACCAGAACCAGTTTGGAAAACAACCAAGGGGAAATTATCGTTCAAGCGACCATCAATAACTTCTTGAGCAGCTTGTTCAATGGCACCAGCAAGCTTGGGATCCAAGCCAAAAGTTTTGTTGACAGAAGCAGCAGCAAATTTTAATATACCAAAGGCTTGGACCAGTGGAAGGGGAAGGCGTTCTCCGGGACCTCCAATGCGGAAGTTTTGAAGAGAACGTTGAGTCTGAGCACCCCAATACTTATCAGCTGGAACTTGGACAGGGCCAAAGGTGTCAGATTCTTGACGGAATTCACCAGGTTGAACACCCTTCGGGCACAAAGGTTCGGTAGAGGCAGTGGAGTTCATTCTCTTTTGTTTTGAAGAAGTCTACATAGAATGTTAGTACTGACAATTAAGGCTACGTGGAGCATTCAAATGTTTATGTTTCATTTCATATCCACGATACTGCAAGTGAAAAAAAAAAAAAAAAGTCTTACGTTCAAAGTGGATTGAAGAAATCGGTTGCAAGAGAGAGCAGAACCAGAAGCTAAAGCAGCTTTTGCTGGTCTAAAAGAAGTAGCGATGGACATGAGAAACGCAGTCAAATAAGCGGTATTTAAACGACAAAATAAGGAAAAAAAAAGAAACCAGATTACGATCAATCTGATCAGTATGCTACTTCAACCTATCAAGTAACGAGGAAAATGAAAATGCAAAGATAAAGATTGTAAATGTTCAAAAGATTGTTGTAAAACAAACTATATTTTCAATATCGTTAGAACGGCACAGACAGCCTCGTCGGATTCCTTACCACGGATCTTACCTTAAGAAACGGAAGAAAGGGGGAGTGGATAATTTCTCTCTAAAACAAACAAAATCCAAGCAATTTAGTGTGAAAAATAAAAAACAAAAAATAGATCAGACTTTGCACAGCTGTAGCGATTGTTACAAAGAAAGAAACAGTGGGATTTTGTTTTGGGCAAGTTGTACTCACGTATGACTTAACCGTTAGAGATATCAACGGAATTGTAACTTGTTTTCGAGTAACATGTTATCCGTTATGGATAGTTTACGGAACCATAAGGATTGGTACATAAGTGGAGTGTACTGCGCAATGTCGTATAGTGAATCGTCGATGGGAAGCGGAATTTTTTTTCGTTTTCGCTTAGATTATTTTGTTTCTAGATGACGTCGTGAATTGTTTGTAAATAAACAAAAAATAAAATCCCAAATATAAATAAAAAAAGTCTAATGGGAATATTTCGAGACTTTACAATAAAATTTTTGTAAAAAAATGACTATAAAACCAATGTGAAATATATAACCGTCTTTCTGCTGCTAGCCCTTTTTGACAGGTTGAATTTTACGTGAATTCCAACTTTCCAAGCATCGATTGAGTAGAATAGATTTTTGTCTCTTAAATTTGCAGCTTAAATTTCTCCTTATGGACTCTAATTTTATGAAAGTATCTTCATTCAATGGAAAAAGCAAACCGATCGTTGGTGCATTTGCATTTATATATGATGCATTGAAATGGGATGGAAATCCATTATATATGAATAAACAAGCGATTATCTTATAATTCCCAGTTTTTCTTGCAAAAGATGAAATAGTAATGCATGCAGTCCCATCTCCTGTATACATACATGGATGCCTTTGATGCTGTTCTGTTAAGGAGAAGCGTACAATTTGCAAAGCTATTGTAAATAGCAATTTAAAGACATAAAAACTGGGAACTAAAATATTTGTATTTGCTTGAATTGTTCCAAACCTCTTCGTACTTACCGCTTGGGTTTCCTTGGGATCCTTTGGTCCAGCTACTGTTCGTTGTCGTCTTGCCAAATTTGTTTATGGAATAAAAAAGTTTTTGATTTAATTTTAATATTCTCTTTTTGGATAGATCCAACCCTGGTCCACCAACAAAGAGCATGTAAGCCCAAACTCAACATATTATTTCTTGCCTGGCATGAAATCCGTACACAAAGAAAATTAATAAGGGAAAAAGAAAACAATACCAATGCTTGTATGGAAAAATAAAAAACCTATTCAACTACAAAACTGCTTTTCTGTCTTTATGAAAAAAATTTCGTTATTTAAGAACCCAATATTTCTTTTCAGCAAACAACGTCTCTTAACTAACTATTTCTATAAATCCATTTCTTAAAAAAGGAAAATTTGATTTGAAACGGTTTCAGTAGGTTGACTTTTGATAAATACCTGTAGCTCTCTCACTTTGCCTTCACCCATACCCCTCTAATATTTTTCCATAATGGCCGACCAGCTCAAATCATTACCTCGTACTGCTCGTCAATTATATGAGTTTAGTTCAACAAAGATTCCCAATGCATTAACCCAACAAGAACTTCTCGATGGAGTCGGCGGCTCTGTTTCGGTGAACAATTTAAGCAGTGCGCTCAATTTACTGCTCAGCAAGCGGCTTTTAGAAGCTCTCCAGCAAGGGAACACTCTCGTTTATCGTGCGGTTCCTTTGGAAGAGGCTAAAACGTATGTATACTCCCAATTTTTATAACTTTGAATATTGCTATCTATCTTTGCCGATTCGTGTGCTATGGACTTTTACTAACGGTATATGTATAGTGTTTCTACTATGGAAGGAGATGAACAAATCGTTTATGATTTTATCAAGAATGCTGGTAATGAAGGAATATGGACGAAGACGTTAACCTTGCGAACCAACTTGCATGTCCACGTAGTCAATCGATGCCTGAAGGCGCTCGAATCCAAAAATTTAGTAAAACCAATTAAAAGTGTAAAGAATCCTACACGAAAAATTTACATGCTATATGACTTGGTTCCCAGTAGTGAACTTACTGGTGGCCCCTGGTTTACCGACCAAGAACTCGATGTTGAATTTATTGAGAACCTAAAGAAGGTTGTATATAGATTTATTCATGCAAAAAGCTTTCCTCCAAAGAAAAACGCAACTGGCCCCGATATGATATGGTCCCCTGAGTACAATGGATTTCCTACAGCTTTACAAATACATACATGGCTTCGCAACACGAATATTACAGAAGTTGAGCTATCACTTGGAAATGTCATTTCCTTAGTAGACGTTTTAATATACGATGGTAAAGTAGAGAAACGATCTGATGGAGTTTCCTATTGCTCTGTTCGACCTTCTCCCGATGCCACAAACGCCTTCACCGAAGTACCTTGTGGTACTTGTCCAGTGGCAGATATTTGTGCTGTTGGAAGTCGGGTTTCACCAATAACTTGCGAATATCTAGATAAATGGTTGAACTAGTTTGCCCTAGAAACCACCCTGAAAAATTAATATGTACGATAGTTAAAGGTTATTTGTCATTTCTAATGTTTTGGTTTTTGGTTTGATTTGGGTTTCGGTGGTGCACATGGTTAAAAAACATCGTCTGGGAAACAGGTTAATAAAAAAACAGTTTACATGCTATATCCGTTGAAAATCGTTTATTTGAGTAGACTTATATTAGTAAATCAATCTGTATTTAATTTGTTTTTATGGTTTATTAATAATACTAGTTGTCTCACTTACATTTGTCAAGATATTGAAGTCAATACCGAGTTACCCGTTAATCATTTTATTTAATCCTCTATGTAAGATAAGCATTAAAATATATTTTCTTTACCCTTAGCCGAACATTCATTAATAGCTTCTATTCTCTATGAAGATCCAAAAGTTGACTGATTACTTCAACGTATTTCTTCACGGTAACGACTTCTGTGCTCCGAGCTTGTTCTGCATTCATTTGAATAGAATCATGTAGCTTTCTAGAAAGTGAAAACACAGACTGTAAGAGTGCTTTATCTTTGTTAGACATTACCTTTAAAGGTACCTTCATTAATGCCAATATAAAGATTTGCAAAAGTTGAAGCATTAAACGCTGAACTTGAGGTCGAAGGTGTTGAATGCCGCCTATAATTAGTTAATATCTTTTTCATCATGACTGTATGAGATGACATACCTTGTTTGCATAATTGCAACAACAGTTGAACAACTAGTCGTATATAATCCATGGTCAAAACAGAATGGACAGCAATTTTGTTTTGTGCGAGCGTAATCAAGAAGCACTGTCCTGCCTCCAAACCACTTATGACTTCAATAATTTCTTTCCCAGAAGCCACTATATCTGAAAATATTTTCGAAAAGGCATCAACAAACGAACCAATGAAATTGCGACGCAAATAATACTTATACAAATCAGTCGAAATATCCGGCGACAGCCTATGTAGGAAATTCAACGTAATCACTGACAACTCCCAGCATGATCCACTCGTGTACAACGCATCCTTGGTTACCACATCCAAAAAGGAAGAGCTCAAAAGGCTGGAGTTCATACATTTTTCTAAGGCATTCAAGAATTCCTTGTCCCCATCTTCTCTGTTCAGAGTGCTAGTGCACTTTTGAAAAGTGGTCAAGATACTTAACAAAGATCCATATAAATTCTCACGTATACTTTCATCAGATGATTGACATTGTATGCCTTTAATCAAGTTAACAATTATCCCTTGTACACCTTCAACAAAATAAGTTAGTTTTCCATATTCGTTCGGGTTTATAGCATTCATCTTCTTCAGTGCATAAGGAACAATAGTTTCAATGACAGCAGTGGTAACTGAGACAGTATTCTGGTTTTCTAGACTGTAATTTGATGCACCCGGAAGTAACAAACGCAGCAATTCCCAAATGAATTCATCAAAGTAAACTTCAGGAATTTCAGAATGACAGTCCTCAATCAAAATACCGGTTAGCCTAGCCCATGATTCTAAGCAATCATGAACGTGTTGAAGGAAAATAACACGTGCGTTAAAGAGATCTAAACGATTAGAAAGATCCTGCAACTTCTCTCTCTTTTGGTTGTACCAAAGTTCCTTTTCTTCATTGGTTCCTTCCATGACTGATGCTTCAGTATCAAATAGAAGTTTGTACAACTTAACAACTCTATCAGTGTCGAACTGAAAGTCATTGACTCCGTTATCAAACTTGGTCACAAACATGCTTAGATTAAAACCTGGCACTTTGGGTAATTCGGATGCTATCTTCCTATTATCAATTCTCAGAATATCCATAAAATCCAATATTTTAAAACCAGATGATTTTTGAGATAATTGCGAAGTCCTTAGTCGATCAGTGCTTCCAATAAGAGAAGCAACATATTCTTTTGACTGCTTCTTTTTCCCTAATGAGGAGGTAAAGTGAATTTCCGTCAGTAACATTGTCATTACTTGAGCACGAGCATGTAAACATCTAGAAAAAGCATTGACTTCTTCTGTAGATAGACTTTCAAGATTTTGTATGCTGCTCTGAGAAATTATAGGCTCCACATTTACAAGGTTCACAAGGAAATGAGGGCGATCTCTAAGAACAGCCAACGTAGCTTCATAAGTCAATGGAGAAGAACATAAGTGGGCAACAATCTCCAAAGCTTCGACCATGACTAATGGAGTTTCCAAAACCACGTCATCTTGTGTTCGCAATTCTATGAAATTTAACAGTGAGTTTAATAAAGAAATTTGCGAGCCGACGTAACCAGGTTCATCTCTAACAATCACTGCATTTGTCGATGATATATCAAACCCCAAAATCAATAAAGCAAGCGAAAAAAATCCCTTGCTTTGTTTTAAATTATTCAAGACAAAACGCAGTATGAACGAAGATTCATTACCTGAGGATAACAAGGCACGTGATCTAAACTCGAAAGCCCGGATAAAACCAAAAATAATACGCTTTGACTCATTCGCAGTCCTAACGATTGAGCATAATAGCTTATTTTCGTCAGTGCTACCCTTGTTCATGAAACCTTCGGAATCTACCAAGAAACCAAGGATTTCAATCGCTGGTTGTACAAAACATTGATGCCTGGATCCTACCAATAAGCCAAGGTGAACAATGGAAGATATTCTAGTCATAAACACTTCCCGATAAGCTCTTCTGGAAATTGTCAAATCTAGGATATGTTTACTAATTCCCAATTCAGTGATATAAGGGATCACATTTTTAAATAACTCCCTTTGTAGAGCGAGGACGTCACGAAGAATGAAAAGAGATTGCAAGACAGTTGAAACCAGTAAAGGAGGAACTGAAACATCTTCAATTTGATCAAAACCAAATTCAACAAGGTCGAACAAGCCAGCATATACATTTTCGACAAAAACGGCTTCCAGCAAATAAATCGCCGGATGCCTTGTTAAATAAATATATAAGCTGTTATTCTGAACTTTGTCTTTAATTCTGTTACCGAACAGTCGGAAATAAATTAAAAGATTCAAATTTAGATTATCAATAACAGCCGAAATAAATTGAAGACACGCCTCTGTTATTTTCAAGGATTCAACATCGTGCATAGTTCTCCACTGTGTTGATGATAAAACCAACGTTTCGATTACAAAATCCACATAAGGCTTAACGCCTGAAGCACGATAAGTAGAACCTAAGTTTTCTGGAAAGGTAAGAGTCACACTTAATTCATTTTTAGATCGAATTAGAGAAGTTAAAAATCTAATAAAAGCGATTCTCATACCAGGGGTGGCCGTTAACCTTCTTATATTATTTAATAAAGGACCGAAGGCACTAGGTGACTTGGGGAATACATTTTTAGAATTAATGGCTAATGGTATCGGTGCAAGCCCACCATCGATGTCGAATAGAACGGAAGTGATAAACCAGTTATCCAAATAGTTCCACAAGGTATTATTTAAAACACCAGAAGATTGATGGGACATTGATTCAAGAGCCTTTAATATCGTACAGCGCACGCTTTCTATTAATCTGCATTCCAATAATTCAAAGAAAGTCCCAATCGGATTCAGGGTTTGATCTTCACAAAGGGAAACCAATATTTGCGAGCTATTTCGAGTTACAGCAGCAAATAACAAAACATACCCTTGTAAGATAAAGGAAGAATTTATGTCAATTTCACCGGGTTCTGTATGAACACGTGCAACACCGGAAGAAGTAACAACGGTCTGAATAGGTTTTAATTGGGAAATATAGTAATGAAATACGTTAAAAATATATGACCAGTTCGTTCCAGTTACTGCGGCATTGTCGAAATGACTAGTTTCCGCGGCCGGCTCAGACATCAATTCATGAACTTTAGTTGCGGTAAATTCGTTGGTACAAATGGAAACCAGTAACAGTGTAAACGAAGTGGTGATCCCTGGAATTTGAGATTCCATGGACCAAGTTAAAAATCCATACATGTCGCTCTCAATGTCTAACCAAAAATCCAATGACCACGACTTATCGTATGTATATACAGAAGATAACAAATGGTAGAATTCTTCAAAAGGAAAAAAAACATGTTGTAGATCTTCAGTAGCTGTGTCAGACTGAGCCGCATTTGTCAAGTACTTATCCTCTTCAAGGAGTCTAAGTATTTTCAGGATTTCAGGCATATAACTGATAAATGATTGACAAAAAGAGCGAAACTTCGAAAAAATAATATCTACCAACAATGGACGGATAGTTGGCCAACTGGTAGAAGGACGTGAACGAGGCTTAAAGGAAAAACTCCATTCCATTTGTTCATCATCCGACTGCCGAAAGGGAAGCATAACGAAGGTTATTATATCAGAAAATACGCCGGCATGAATAATGTCACTAGCGGGCTCTTTAATTGTAGAAGTATAATCTATAAAAGAAGGGACATTCGCGATATTTTTACAGGCTTCATTGAGGTATGTAAGCCACCATATTCCTAAAATCTGCTTGAATTGGGGACAACGCCAACTTGATGCCGCTGTCTTTATAAGTAAATGATGTATATGCTGTAAAGTGGGAGTTGCAACATTGAGCTTGCCATCTCCTTCTGGAAGAAACTCGATCTGAAGAAGCTTTTTCAAAAAACTTAACAGGGAAGGTAATATGAGAACTGCAATTTTACTGGTAGGTTCATTCTTACTGAGCGTAGACAATAAAGACTCAAAATGGGATTGCTGCACAAAACCAAGCTCCGATAATTGATAAAGAATAATAGCGACAGTTTCCAGTTCGGCAATATGAGCTTCATGAGACAACTTAACGTACTCTTGAAAGTCAACAACATCAGCAATACCCAATACTTGACCATTAGCTTCATTTCGAAGTGTTTCTGTGATTTTTGTATCCAATGTAGTAACAGAATCACAGCAAGTTTTCACTATGTCATTCCCTCCATTACATAGAGTGTTCAAAAAAGAACGCAAAGCTTTTTCTATTTCAAGATCTAAATCTTTTAAGGAAGCTATTTTTGTGAGCAACTCTAAGGACTCAAGGAGTTGTTCGCGAGACAAAAAAAACATGTATAAAGCAGCCTGAACTGGAGTACGGTCTAAAGCTTGCGAAGCTTCTACACCTTTTTGCAGAAGACAAGCAGATTGGATTTCATCCATAGAAAGCTTTGATGAAATTGTAAGAGAGAGCTTGATAAAAGTCTCATTCAGCTTGCAGACCATTCCATTCAGTTCTGCTTCCCCAGATTCCAACTTTTTTCGAGACTCTGCATTTGGAGGGTCAACAGAAAGAAATTTTTGAAAATCTTTGGTATAAGAATCCAAACACTGCATTAATAAACGCGAAGAGACATTGGGATTGCTGGGATTGCTTTCAATGCACTGCAAGAGGTAAAAGAGAGCGGAAAAGTGCTGAAGCTCCCAGACATCCATGGTGCAGAGTTTTAATGGGTTTTTAAAACAAACCTGCAGGTATATGCCGGAAGTAGAAGAGCAAAGGTTTGAGTTTTGTGGAGGTTATATGGGACTTGGTGGAAATGTAGGTATCCTGGAGGTAGGTATCCTACACGAGGTGTATGGGCAGACAGTTAAAATACTTAAAGTATTATATGGTTTACTATAAAATTGTAAATTTATTTTAATTGTGAATTCTAAAAAAAGGTTATAAGCAATAAGCGATGAAGATGAATAACTAGTCTTTGACCTAAGTCAGGCAAAAGTTCTATATAAACAGTAAACTAACCGTAGGTAGCTGTGCAGAGGAAGAAGACCTCCTCACACAGGCGAAATAAGTTTCTATTAAAGTGTAGAGCAAACGGTCGAATACAGAGACACAGAAAGTATAGACAGCAGCAAAGGCAAATACCTCAAAGAGAAAAAGACAGTTTCAAATACTTTATAATATCAGATTTCTGTGTATATAGCAATGACACAGTAAAGCACTAAGCCCTCTTGGTTTTTTTATGGATTATAGGTATTTTGAGAAAATAATCACAGAAATGTCTTCCGTCTGTAGACCTGTATACATTTAAATAAGAGAGTATAGAAATTAAAACAAAAAAGTATCTATACGGTTATTACCGTTCAATCTTTTCTTAAATTGCCATTTTTCTTTTTATTTACCTACGCATTCGAGCATACCCTTTAATAAAATATAACGTTTTCTAATAAATATATCGTCAAAGTATAAACAAAAAAGGAAGTATACGCATCTTTGTGAAGATTTTTTTCTTTCTTCAAAATAGATTTAAGCAAAATCTCTTTGTGGATCTATATTGGGAAGTAAGGTATTCCTGACAATCTGCATGCGGAAATTACACTTCTTTAATCCCAGGAAACAAATCTGTAAACAGCATATACTCATAAAACATAAGCATATGCTTTTAAATGATTTGCATGTGCTCTTGAGCTATCACACTAGACGCGGATATGAGCGCGTTTTTTTTATAGAAAATACTTTTATAGAATGCACTTCATAAAATGGATGATAATTTCTGTATAAGGATATATAGGTCGTTTTTATTTAGACGCGACTCGAGTTCTGTGTTTACATCGTGTACGTGTCTCATGGGCTTCCAAACTTACCAACAGCACATTGCCTGATTGGCACCGACATCCGTCTGCAATTTCGTTTCAGTATTTACTAGTTGGTTTGAAGAATAGCTGATGCCAGAGGTTGAAGTCTCTCTTGGTTAACAGCTATGGAAGAAAGATTGGATTCTGTACTGGTAGTACCGTGTATGTAAGCATTTGATTGCTCTTTTTACGATGCAACTTTTGCTAAAACTCACATCTTTTCTGTAAATATACTAATGAGTTCCTGCTGGTTTAGTACGCGTTATTTACAGCATTGATCGTGCATCCTCCATCCGTTGCTTAGCAAAATCGAAACATGCTGTGCCCGTCCAAGTTTTAATTGCATTTGATAAGGAAAAAATTGTTTGCCAGGTGGATGCCCGACATGCTGTCGAGGCTATTCTGAATTGCAGGTATGTTGAATCGTACGCCTTACGTATATAAATCGAATGGAATCCAAGTAACTTTTGAAAAGCAATAATTGTTGCTTGATTTTATTTGTTTGACGTAACTACTGCTGTTTTTAGGTTCTGCTAATCATCTTGTTTACTAACCTTTTGTAGCCCAGAACTCAATTGCAAATCGGATCAAGAATTTAGTGTTTATGCCTTGGATCATTTGGAAGCTGATGAACTTTTTGTTGGATTAGGATTCCTTTCATCCCTTTCATCACAATCTATTCCATTTCCTCCCAAAAATCTCTCACCTGAGACTGTCTGGTTGAACGGGAAAGTTGTAGAGACTGGACTGCAACGTTCCCTGGAAATTCACTTGCGTTTACAGGCTGTTTCTCCCGCAAGTGTTACAAAAGTCCACAATGAAAGTCTCCCTCCTTCTCTCATCCTTGACAATTCTTCTTCTGACCAATCTGATTCAGCAAGCTTCTTTGACTCTGCTTATTCTTCTGCAAACCTGGCTACACTTCCAAACCACGAAACTGATTTTTATCCTAGCCCAGTGCCTCTTTCATCTCGATTTACGGATCCCCCTTCAGAGAGTTTAGATTTTGACTCTATTTATCAACAAAATAATCCTCAAAATGACTACTCGACTGCTCCATTTTCAGAACCCTACGGCATGGAGCCACCGTCATCAAATATCCATCCTGCGACAGACCCCGTATGTCCGTCCACTTCAATTACAGAATCCATATCCAACGCCGTATCCAAGAAGAAACGTAAACGCGACCCTAATCCTCGAAATGCGTTCAACCCCACTGATCCGAGCGTTTTGCCTGAACGAGAACATGTTCAGGATTTTATAAAAGAACAAGTTAGAATAGCACGTGCACGTATAGAAAAGCGTTTACCAGCTATCCGAGGAAAAGATCGTATTGAGGAACAGCTTACAAATAGTCTTCGTGAAGGAAAAATTCCTCCTTACTGTCAAAATTGTGGTGCTATAAAAACTGCGAATTGGCGAAACGCTAATTTCATGAACAGTACCATTATGCTCTGTAATGCTTGCGGAATTTATTGGACCACAAGGCACTCGATGCGACCAAAAACACTCTGGAGTACGTACAAAAGCTTAGAAGTGGAGAAACCTTCTGAATTGGATTCTTTTGCTCAACTAGAGATTGCCGTCTACAAACTTTCTCAACAAAGAAAACCCTTGATTTCAGTTTTTCGTCAGCTAGAAACAGCTGGCCGTCATTCTCCACTTCCGGAAGTACCATCCAAATCCTCGGGTCCTACGTGTGATTCAAAGAACGCTTCTAACAATATTCGACTGCAAGGATCTCAAGGCGCGGATTTGGCTAATGAAGGATTACGACAGATTCAATCTTCTCCGGTTGTGAAAACGAAGAACAAAAACTTTCATGAATCGTTAAGAGAGCCATTATCTGAAATAGGCACAAACAGCAGTTGGCTTGTGTTACCTTCATCGACGAATGAAAATATTCGACGGCTAGAGCCTGAGAAGATTACGAGCAATAATCCAAATAAGGAGAATGAAAATCATTTACCAAAGCAATGCGTGAAGCAGATAATCAGAAAGCCAGACGAAGATGCTGAGCCTACGCTTCCCGTTTGCGACTTAGATAAAGATGTTGATGATCAACTAGAAAGTTTATTTAAGACGCCTCCGAAGCCGAAAAGAAACAAACAAAGTCCATCACCTTGGCGTTCAGAATTGTTTGTTTCAGATCTAGGTCAAACTAACTTGACCCCAGAATTTAAACTTAAATTTGACCTAACCAAGGCACTAAGTGCAGCTGTGAGATCCGACAATAAAGAAAATTCGCCCCATCTACCTGAAAATTCGGAAAGTGTTGAGCTGTTTCCAGAGTTCATGCAGTCGCCTTTAGTTGATGCTGATGAAAGGAGAACAGTTTCATTAGCGGCGGATTTGGCGATGCCGAGTAGTCCTCCAATGGCTCCAATTGACAGGTTTATCACTTAGCGTTGCAATAAGTCTGCAGCTGATATCTTACTCAAACGGGACTTTATTTTTCCTAACTTCATTTATTTTTGGATCTCTGCACAATTCGCTCGTTCTATTTAACCTATAGCTTAATGTTTTTATGATCTAACTTTCTTCAACTTCAACTTGTTGCGGATGCGGTTATTACCCTTTTGTACTTAACCTTGTAAATCGAATGTTCGCACTGGCTAATTCAATTCTATTTATCGCAAGGTCTGGCTAATGAACTTAATATTTTTTGACTAATTTGAATATCACTACTGGATTAAAGAGAGTCCTTCTGAATTCTCTATTTATACTCTTCTCTTTTTATTAGTTTAAGTGACGTTTTTCTTGTATACAGCAAGGCTGTTTAAATCCTCTGAAATGTTTCTACCTGAATATGCCATACCGTTTATTACTTTGGGTTAAGCATAACTGTCTCATTTCGGTATTGGACCGTCCGGCTGGATACAAGCAAAGCTTTATGTCTCACTTTTTCGTGTCTGTTTGTATGGAATATATCCTTCGTAAGAAAATATATTCACTTTGCTACGACCTAAATTAATTACTTTGCTAATAAATAATAATTTATTCCTTGGACTGACTCTGCGGATTATTCCAACATTGAGAACACTTGTAACTAATCACGACTTAAGTAAGTTGAAACTCGGGTACTTGAATTAAAAGATGGAGCAAGATGCAAGAAGACAAAGGCCTGACTTGTTAATTGAACTCCTTTGAAACTCACTTTTTATGGCAATACTCGCTGCCTTAATCCAAGCGGAGAAGAATGGAAAAAGTATCACTACTCAGACAGTAGTTTTTTAATCCCGTCTTCGATTCGTGTTTGCTCTTCTCAAATCCCATTAACTTATTACAGTAACGACTAGAACGATGAATATTTTTAACCAGAATTCACTTCTTTCAAGTGTTTACTAAGGTTATGTAAGAAGAATATCGTAAACGGGGTACCGTACTAGACCGTAAAATACTTAACCGGTAATTGTATTTTATTTGAGCGGTACATCGTAGAGCGCTATAGATGACGTAAAGCATTCGTTCACTCGAAATCCTTCAGGATATTTCAGTCGAAGCTGACCTGAACAAGTATATCAATTACAAAGTTCGTACACTGGAAGGCGAGAATAAGAGAAATACAGAATTTCTCCTAGAAAATTGAATTCGTTTTATATTGGATCCCCATTTTGCGGCCAAGAAGGCCTAAATTCTTAAAAGTTGTTCAACTATGAAAGGACATAACACAGTGTCTAGTGCACTGCTGGAACCATTACAGAAGATGAATCCATTTAAGGATTCAGGACCTTCAAATCATGCTCGACGAGCGAGTATCTCTTATGAGGAAGGAGAAGGACGAAGTCACCTTGTTGATGCGAAAGACAGCGAAGGCCAAACAATGCGAATTGGTAGTACGAGACCTAGCAAAACGTCCAACTGGTTAGCTGGTATGGTTGAAGACAAGAACCAACGATGGAGAAGAGCCATGGAGGATGCTCATAGCTGTTGGTATGATTTTGGCGGTAACCAGGATGATGGTTTTATAGGTGTGTATGACGGGCATGCTGGAGCTCAGGCTTCCGACTACTGTAAAAAAGTACTTCACAAAATTTTATTGGAGAAGTTGAGAAAATATCCCGACCGTCTTGTTACGGATTTGCTTGATGAGACCTTTGTTGAGGTAAATGATAGCATCGCGAAAGAAACCAAGAATGATGTTTGCGGTTGTACCTCAGCAATCGCGTTTTTCCGCTATGAAAATAATCGATCTCGAAGAGTACTGTATACAGCTAATGTTGGGGATGCTCGTGTTGTCCTTTGCCGCGATGGAAAAGCAATTCGTCTTTCTTACGATCACAAAGGATCCGATGAGAATGAGGCTCGCCGAGTCACTCAGTTGGGAGGTGCGATGGTGCAGAATCGGATCAACGGTGTCCTTGCCGTCACAAGGGCTTTAGGTGACACTTACTTGAAAGAACTCGTAAGTGCTCATCCTTTTACGACAGAGACACGAATTTGGCCAGGTCATGATGAATTTTTTATTGTAGCTTGCGATGGGCTATGGGATGTAATTTCAGATCAAGAAGCTGTCGATTTCGTTAGGAAATTTACCAGCTGCCGCGAGGCCGCCTTAAGACTGGTGGAGCACGCATTAAAACGACTAAGTACAGATAATATCACTTGCATTGTTGTGAACTTGACCAGAGCTCCTGGAGATGTTGACGAACCAGGAGTTATGGTTGACTCTAATAATGATTATAGCAATGATTATTATTAAATTGCGTTTTCTGGATGCGTATGCATTCTCTTTCGGCTTTACATTTTTGATAAATTCTATCGGATCGAAGTGGAATTATAAAAAATTCAACGATTCAGGGGTTGGGAATCTTTACAAAGGTTATGTTGAAAAAGGAAACTGCATCATTGAAGCTATCATGTTGTTACAGGCTATTCGTTTTAATTATTTATGTGTATTTTGGAACTTTTTCTTTTTATGTTCCTTGTTTTATCTAAAAATTGACTTGACATAATGACCATTAGAGATGTTTGAATCCCTTTTTTAAATAACCCATCCTATGTTGTTACATATAGCATACCCTCTTCCTATGCACTATGTTATATATTATTTTTTGAATGAAGTTGTTCAAAACTCCAAACATCAACTTGCCCATCTTAATCGTAGTTCATAGGCGGCTCTTAGAAAGGATAAAATTAGATGTCAATATGTGGGAACAAAACTAACCAAACCAATCTTGCATTCAACCGTATTTATTTTAATTTATTACATATAAACAAGCTAATGTATAAAAAGTTTTCATTCACAGGAAAAAAAATGAATTAAACGAAACAAAACGAATCATAACATTCATGTCATTAAAAACTACCAAACGAAAGAGGTCTAATTAGTGTAAAAAATAAACTTAAAGAAAACAATAACCATCGAGCACACGAAAAAATCCTTCGTAATCGTGAACTAGAATGAGCTTTGGCTTATGAATTGTCTCCTGACATTGTAAAATCAAAAGATTCACCAAACAGATCATTTATGCTATCTGTAGAGGGAATGTCTGTAGGCAAAGCAAGAGAATTGTTACCAAAAGAGTTGTTTAAATGAGCTGCAAACGAGTTGTCATTGCCGAAAGCGGCACTATAATTTTCCTGTGTTTTGGTGTCTAATGTAGAGGAAGTAGATGGGGGATACGATGTATTCGGAGGCTTAGGTTGGTTTGAAGTCGGTGAAACTGCTTGTTGCTGTTGTTGTAAAAAGCCAAAATTACTGGGTATAGATCCTTGGGCCGTGTCTAAGCTGGGAAAAGACATATTCGATAAATTGTCTTGTGGAGAGTTAGACGTATTTCCTAAAACATTCGGAAGTAAAAACTCATTTGCTTGCAATGCCTGATCTGAGGAGGCTTCTTGAGGCATATTGAATTGGAAGGCATCGTTTTCACGAGAAACACCAGAAGGTAAACCAGACGGCAGATTTGGATATACTTCAGGACGTGCTTCATTACCAACAGATTCAATACCACCAGAAGTGGATTTAAGTTTGGGCGAAGCTGATGCGTTTGCTTTGGGTTCCATGCCATCAAAAGGTTTTACATCCGAAGATCCGAGAAAAGCACCTTCATTTGGCATGGGCTGAGAATTAAACGGGGAAAGGTTAAAATAGTTTCCCCCATTATTCTTGTTTTGAAATGTGTCAGACTGTAATCCCTGATCCAAAGCGCCGGTGTTTCCATTCGACGGAGTATAGTTGGCAGTTAGGTCTATTGGCAATTCCGGTTTTGCTGTTACATTGGTGGTAGTTTGGTCATTTTTCCCTTGTTCAGAAGCTTCTAATGTACGTAGGTCTCTTTCAAGTACTTTTTTAGCCTCTAAAAGACGAACCTCAATTAAATCGCAATAATCTTGAAATTTATGGCATTCCCCTTGTAGTTGAGTATGATATAATGCATTAGGAACATTAGCAAGCAAAGAGCGCAACAAATATCCAACGTTTAAGAAAATTTCATCCAAAACTATACCGAGCTGAGATGCATACTCTACAACTTCATGCTGGCTGGACTGCCCTTCCATTGGATTTACAAAGCTGATACAGACAAGAGCAAGCCTTACTTTTTTCAAAGAATACTAGATTCTTTGACTGTTTAGTCAGCCTCAAGCGATTATTTCTTTTACCAAGAATTTAGAGCAGATAGCTTTCTGTAGAGTAGTTTCCAAAAAAAAAAAAAGGTTCAATCACCTTACCTTTCGGCTCTTTGAAATATACGCTGCGTCTCGGTATATCGCGATAATACTGATTCGGTACTTTTAAGTAGGTACTTTGTGCGCGTTAGATGTACGCGTCAAGTACCTATGTAATGTCTCACTACAACATAAGTTGCTGAGTTTGCGACTTCAAAGCTAAATAAAATAAAAGTAAAAAAAAAAAAGAAGTTTAGAAAAGAAATGAGTTAAACCTCTTCTTGTTCTGAAAGTGGTAGTTCAACTTTGTGTTGAGTGGAGTAAAAGTATCGTTCGTAAAACCGACTGTCAAGGAATACGGAGAAAATAGAATATGACAAAAGAAAATAAGCAATGAAGCCTATAAAAATTAGACCTAAGATATGTCTGTTAGCCCATAAAATCAAAGAGGCATCTTTCTCGTGCCATGAAGATCCTTCATAAAAAGTGAAGTAAGATCTGTCGGAAAACTTGTAATCCTCTTCCAAGAGAACACGTATTTTCGCGGATGCAGAAGCGTCTTTCGGTAAATTATGTCGATAACGTTCCCATAGAAAGCTGATGGATAACGGACCTGTGCTAAACATAATGGTCGGATACGGAAAGACATAAGACTTTGCATTTCGTATAAGATTGCTTAAGATAAAAGAAAAAAAAGGGTGACCAGGAATAGTGCCCATAACGTCGTTGGATATGCCAACCGGGTTCGTCCTACGGAAGACAGCAGGATAGTATAATAGACTATCGAGGGGCTGTCGGCAGCCATCATCAAGGTCGATGTAGATGCCACCATAATGAAAGAGCACGAAATAACGGATTGCGTCTGCTCGCTGCACGTTGAAGGGATAAGTGTCAAAATACTTAAGAAACCATGGGTAATGTTCAACAATAAAGTTTCTGGACATTTCGTCAGTCCATAAAATATACTGATACTCAGGGTGCATGACTCGACAACTCTCTTGAGCAGCTTTCCATTTTTCTGGCACTGTATCTGTCTTCCATGTTTGGTGAATGATTTTAGGAATTAAGGGTTCTTGTCCAGAAACATTAGGGAGCCATTCTGGAACTTCAGAAAATTGTCCAGATCTATTTTTAGGAGCATGAGAGATCTGTTCTCTTAAGTCTTGAAGCTCGGCAGAAGGAATGATGTCTTTTTGATAATCATCCGTAAACATACAGAGCGCATTTCGAAACCAAAAAACGAGGAATCCAAGAAAAAAGAGATGAAACCACAAAAAGATTTTAATTTTGTGCCTGGCCGGTGTCATGTTGTCGGCGACGCGTATTTTGCAATAGAAGATATACGTATGTGTAGCTTAATTCAGCTTTAATCTATATCTCTCGTGGAAGAGATATTACAAAAAAATGCTTTCAACTTGCAATTGCCGTTTCCAGTAACTAATTTCCTCTTAGCAATAGTGGAAACTGTTTCGCATTAATTAATGCAAACAAAAATTGTAGGATGTAGTTTGTAGCGAAAATATGTTCTTTATATTTCAATAATTATTGAAATAAAAAAGTCTTTTTTTTTTTTACCAATCTGGTTTTCCAGGCTCATATTTTATGGGGGCTTCGCTGGCCAAATCGCGTGTTTTCTGTTTACCAAGGATTCCTTATTCTTGGTGCCCAATGATCACGCTATTTACTATTTAATAATTTATGCGCAAAGGCTTAGAATAATCGTTTCATAGTTGTTAATCGACAACTAAATTTTCCGTAAAGAATCTAATTGTATTTTTTTGCTCTTTCAAAACGTGCGCCTTTGTATATTCATGACGAGAGCACGTTTCGCAGCAAAAGATGCGATGCTACCAATAAAAAAGCTGGAGCATTGCAGCCTCTTTCTCAAAATTTTGTTTTCTTTTTCAATAACATTACATTTTTCAATATTTGTCCTGTCCTTTCAGTCGTATGGCTGAATTTGGAATCTTCATATTGCGAGTAAAGAAATCATTGACCCCATTCATTTGGCAATATTTGTTATTTGAGAAACTTTCTTATTCAACATAAAAGACCATTCATTCATTGAAAGCTTAAACAAAACTGAGAAGAAATCCTGCACAATGGGGGGAACAGCATGCTTTTATACTGCAAGCTCACCACGCCTTGAATGCATATAGTGCGCATACATATGAAAATAAATCCATAAATAAAAAAAGAAAGAATTAAAAAGCAATCTGCGAATTTTATATAGAGGATTCGAATATGACAGATTTAACCACCATTTGTTTACAGTGAAAAACGCGTTGACGCGTTTTCAGTAAGTACCAATTTGGGTAAGCGCGGTAAATCTTTAAATGCCCAAGGATTGAAAAGAATTATATACGAATTCAATAGAAATATACAAAAGACTAAACGGATCGTTGGTCTGAACAGCAAATGTAATTTCCTGTGTAAGGTATACTTTCAAAGTTGGAACACGTTTTTTCTACAATTTCTTTTTCCAACGAATGAATGAAGCATGGAGTGTATGATTTATATCTAAATTCATTAAAAATTGCTCTACTGGCTCTAACATTCCATACCATCCATCATTGCAGGTTTGGAGCGACAAGACAAAACCCAAGTACTCTCCTCTCAAGCAACTTTACTTGTCTTTCTCTTTTTTGCAATATGGAATTTCAAGCACTTGCTTCTAAAAGAATCCCATCAAATTTCTTTTTGCGCCTTTTCGTCTTCGTCTTCGTCTTTTCTTTTTTTTCTTTTGTAACCACTTATCCATTTCATTTCCCTTTCCCATTGTTCTGTTTCACTAATTATCGGTGATAATCTCTTATAAGCCTCTTGAGGCTTTCTACATTCATTGGAACTATGCGACGTTGCTCTTTTCTAACAAGCCTTTATTTACCTCTCGGCATTGAACACGACTATCCTGAGAAAATTGAATTCTGAGCCTCACTCTCTCTAGGGAACGGCCATTGCTATTCTTTCGAACACCCTTCTCTTGACGAGGAATGTTATTGTTTCATTGATTGTCATGGTTATACCCTGCGAACTTTTTTTTTTCTTTTTTTATTTTTTTTTTTGCGACTGCACCCCCTTAGCTACTTAGGATGGTAATAATCTTTAAAACAAAATTTCGCGAATCGCTAATATCAGCCATACACATGCCTGCGCATCAACAGTCAACATGCGCAAAAGAAATTTTGTCACTATTTGTGTTGTATTATGACTGGCAACTTTCCTAATGTTGATACTTTCATGACATATTTTTAGGACTCACCCTTACCCTCTCATAAATGGTAGTTGTGGGGACTTGCGTTCACCTGATCTTTACCAACCACCCAAAATAACTTTTCCTAGCAGGTTTTTGTATAAAAACCTAACATTAGGAAAGACCGTCTTTCTTATTTATTAGTATTTTTTACTCGAGCACTTGAGTAAGTCTAAAATTTTGTATCGTCTTTGGATGGCTTAGATTTTGAACGACCCAATACTAGGGGGATTTTTTTCTGATTGCTTTCTCCTTCAAAGAGAAAGGTCTATCTATGTTCATGTTTGAAACGAATTAAGCAAGCTACCCAGATGATTCTCATTTTGATTCGACGTTTTTTGCAGTTCCGTATACTAACTTCTTTCAAGGTTTCCCTTGTCTATTTATCTTTGCAACAATGAAGGCACTGATTCTCGTCGGCGGTTTTGGTACTCGTCTTCGTCCTTTGACTTTGACTTTACCAAAGCCTTTGGTTGAATTTGGCAACCGTCCCATGATTCTTCATCAAGTCGAAGCCTTAGCTGCCGCTGGTGTAACCGATATTGTCTTGGCAGTAAACTACCGCCCTGAAATCATGGTTCAAGCTCTCAAGAAGTATGAAGAAGAGTACAAGGTTAGAATTACCTTCTCTGTTGAGAATGAGCCTTTGGGCACCGCTGGCCCTCTTGCCTTGGCTCGTGATATTCTTGGTAAAGACAATTCTCCCTTCTTTGTTTTGAACAGTGATGTCATCTGTGAGTATCCTTTTGGAGATTTGGCCAAGTTCCACAAAGCCCATGGTGCCGAGGGTACTATTGTTGTTACCAAGGTCGAGGACCCCTCCAAATATGGTGTTGTTGTTCATTACCCCAACTCCGAATCTCTAATTGAACGCTTCGTAGAGAAACCTTCGGAGTTTGTCTCCAACAGAATCAATGCCGGTATTTACATTCTCAATCCTTCCGTGCTTGACCGCATCCAGCCTCGTCCTACTTCCATTGAGAAGGAAGTTTTCCCTGCCATGGTCAAAGACAAGCAATTGCACTCTTTCGATTTAGAGAACTACTGGATGGATGTTGGTCAACCCAAAGACTATCTCACCGGTACTTGCCTTTACTTGTCATCTTTGAGAAAGCACAAGCCTGAGTTGTTAGCCCCCGCCGGCCCTTCTATTATTGGCAATGTCTTGATTGATGCTTCTGCCACCATTGGCAAGAACTGCAAAATTGGCCCTAACGTCGTCATTGGTCCTAATGTTACAATCGGTGACGGTGTTCGCCTTCAACGTTGCGCTATCCTCAAGTCTTCTCGCGTACGCGACCATGCCTGGGTGAAGAGCACCATTGTTGGATGGAACTCTACTCTTGGATCATGGAGTCGTTTGGAGAATGTTTCTGTTTTGGGTGACGACGTAGTCGTCAATGATGAAATCTATGTCAACGGCGGTAGCATCTTGCCCCATAAGAGTATTAGTGCCAATATTGAAGTCCCTGGTACTATTGTTATGTAAATCTGCTTGTGTATAAGACTCTTTTCTTCTTTTACATGGACTTACCTCTTCCGTTCTATTCTTTTCCATCTTTGTACCTAATTCTACTCTTTTTTCCTTTTTATCGCCCTTTTTTAATTCTTTTAAAATCACACACTCTTTTTCCTATCTCTTCTTCTTTTATTGAATTAGTAAAGGATGCAGGTTTCTGTCTTTTTAATTATCTCTGGTTGCAATAGAAATGGAGATGATTGTATACATTTGTTCAGTTAACTCGATTTGTTAGAAAGGCAGTTTAATTTAGCAAATTTGAAGAGCTTTTTCTTTGCTGATATGGTTTTCTTGTGATTTTTTACCAAGTAGTAAGGCAATTATCTTTGTTGTGTTGAATTCACCAATACTGCGCCTGATAGTTGTGAAAAGTATTAAAAAGATAATCAATTCAATGAATTCTAAGATTTTATTTATTTTTACTTACTTATTTGACATAAGTGAACCAAAATGTAGTTTTTAAGCCCATTAAGTGTTTCTGAGCTGTATCCATCATCAATAGTATATATAACTTATACATAAATATCCAACAAAAAGACAGGAATGACAGTATTATTTTTTTTCATTAGACGATTTATTTGGTTTTCGTCGAACATATTTCTTTTTCGCCAAAGCAGGGTTGGGAGGGGGTCTTGAAGGTCTAGGGGTGGATGGTTTTTCAACAATTTCTTCGGGTTTGTCATTTGACTTCCGGTATTTGGAGCGATTAAGAGATCCTACATTCTGGTTTCCACTTTCGAATTGGACTTCACGTTTGATGAGAGATGCAAACTTGGTATCTTTGGTGAACATACGACGCCAACCTTCAATCTGTTCATGAGTCATAGCGTTATCCACTTGTTTAATAAGATCAGCACGTTCCTTTGTTTTTCTAGCGCTTTGTTCGAAGACTTTAGGATCTTTCTCATAAGCACTCAATAATACTTGATTAATATAGCGCTGGTAGTCGTGGGCAATACTGGGAGTTGCTTCAGGATCATCATCTTGAACACCAGGATCTACGGGTGCAACTGCATCAGTGTTATCATATGTATCATCATACTCGTCATCTTCGGCCAACGCAAGCAAGTCAAGAATTCTTGCTTTTTGGTTGCTAGGAGCAGAAGACTTCCAAAAATCGTCCTTTAATGGTTTCTTGTTTACATAAATATTTTCTGGATCAACATTTAATAAATCTAGACGATCTTGTTCTTGTGAAGATTCCACATTAGCAGAGGATGGAGCATGGTTGGGGACGATTGCTTTGACAGTATCATTGAATTTCAAAGGAACTGGAGGAGCTGAAGGAGGAGGTGGATGAGAGGAAGAAGAGGATTCATCAGGGATAGTAGAATTCGTTAATATGGCTTCGCAAGCTAGGTCCATTTGACCATTGCTGTGGGCAAGATAGTCAGCGGCTTTTTCTATGGTTAGTTGGGGGAAAAGTTCGACAAGATTCTGAACGTCATTTGAGTCGACACCAAAAGTATTGGAAGTGTCGCGAGAGACAGTAGAAGCCTGTTTCGCCTGTAATTGTCTGTAATGTTTAAGAGCGTTGTCCAACATCATGCGAATTTCAGGGTTACCATGATCCTTGACGCGTTTCAAAAGGGTTTGATCCTCCAAAATGACGACAAGACATTGTTGTAATTCGTGGGAATCCAAAAACATTTCTAGATAAAAGAGTAAAGATGAATCGGAAGTATGGTAAAGGCAATGCTGAACAAGACGCTTTAGCCAAAACTCTTTTTCCATCTCTTCCACATTATTAGGATTGTCTATGTTTTGACGGATGACTTTGGAAAGAATGGGTAAGAGATCGAGTAAAGCGGGATAATATACAGAGGAGGACATGCAATGCACGGCTGTCCAAACGATAAAAAGGCGACAAAGGTCGATGGAAAAAATCTTTTCAAAACTTTGAAAGTATTGAGTAAATTGTAAAGCCATTCCATCCGAGTCGGACTCTTTACAAAACGACCAAGCAAGATTCTTGACGGTGTCACTAGAAGTGAGAAAGCATGCGCAGACCTGCATGATTGTTTTGGGAGTTATTAAATGAGATTTTAAACAGCGGTGTAAGAGATATATCAAATGAATTTCGTCCTGCTCGTTTCTATGGAGGTGATGACTTCCTGCTTGCTGCCAAACTTGGTCCATCTGAGCAGCTACCAATTCGACAGCTGCGGGAGCTAAATTTTTCCAAGCATCGTCTTTTGTGCTTAATAATTGTTGCACAAGACCTGCTTCTAAGGAAGCCACATTCTTATCCATGGCAGGAATAGGTAGGAGATTGGCAAGTCAAGCTAGAGGCATGCTTGCTCTTCTCTGAGCTGAATAGCGTATCACTAGAGTTGGTTAAACAACAAGAAGAGGAAAAGTCAGAAAGGAGAGGTTGTAAATTCAATTCAATTCAATTAGATCCAATGGAATGAAATTAAAAGAAAAGAAAAGATGGAAGGAAAACAAAGGGACCGAGAGAGTGAGAGAGAAAGAATGAACCAACCAGATGGAGAAATAGACAAACGAGCCAAGTGAGCTTATAGAGAAGAGTTGAGAGAGGAATAGAGACCGGAAAGAGTTGACTTTATAACCGGAAAATCTATTGGGACTCAAATACGAGTTTTGCTTTGCAGGCACTGTATTTTTGTAAGAATGGTTCTTAGAACAATATCGCTGTATAATTTATTTTCTATGATATATATCATATTTAAGAGAAATATTAATATGTATTATCGTCTTGAGTAACTAGGTCGTTTCATGAATACGAAGAAAATAAAGAGAGAGACTCAGAGTGTGTATGCCTGTGTGTGTATATGCGAGGATGCAAAATTGACGATACTAGTAAAAGTGGGTTTCCATAAATTTTTATATACATTTTTTTTTCTTTTCGACGTTTACGATTCTTGGTAAACTTGAATATTCATCGTATTTCATACATGCTTCTTCAACAGCTGTACGTTAAAATCGTGTTGAGCAACTTTAAAAGCTTAACATGAATATTACATTCGCTTGTCAAAAGAGAGTCAACCGTTATAATATATTTACATCGTAAAGCAAGGATTTTCACTGATGGATTCATATCAATCAAGATCGACGTTTGGTCGACAAATTGTCTAGCGAGCTAAAAGATGGAAATCATCAATTGCAAATTCTCATCCACTAGACTGAAAGAACATATTTTGGATCCACCCAAGCGCAGTCAAGAGTGGTTGAATTGATATCAAAAAGAAGCATGTAAAACGAAATTTTGATTTTGCAGATTTCCGAGGTTTAGGACCTGGAAAAGTATAGTATACCAAAGCAAGGCATAGCATAGCATAGCAAAATAAGGACAAGGACAACCATAGCATGCATTTTTAGTGATTCTTGATAAAAAAAAAAAAAAAAAAAAAAAAAAAAAAAAAAAGTCAAAAGAGGCTATCGAATGTGCATTTCATAAGCAAAAAGGAAAATGATATGACAAGTGCTGCTGTAGTAAAGGCGAATTTCTTTTTCAATTTGACAACAAATTTGCATCTGGAGGCTCATTTGACCTGCGATCCTGATGAACAAGATCAATCTCTTTCTCTTTCTCTCTTTCTCTTTCCCTGTCTCTTTTCCTCGTAAACAACTACCACGTCATGTGGACAACCAACTCCGATATACGAAAAACAAGAATTTTAGCAAATCCACTAGACATTAGGATAAAATGAAAACAGAAAAGCATTTAAATAGCTAGAAACAATAAAAATAGAATAACTATAACAGTAGAAATACCAGGTAAATGCTTTCCATGATGAAATGCCATTATTCCTTTTATATTTATCCATCCTCTGTAAAATTATATATCTTTTCGAGATTTAACATTTTGTCCCCTTTTCACCTCCTTAAGCTTATCTATATCTCGTTAACCTTGTTACCTGGGACGAAGAAACATTGATATCAAGATACGTAATCCGAGGCACCAATTTCATTAGCATAGCACTGCTAGGGCTAAGCGGTTTCCCAATATAGTAGTAGCATTGATGAGCGCCGCCTCAAAAGGCGAATTTGCAAGCTCTGCAAGCTCTTGGATTATCAAATTTCTATCTATATACGAAATTTCAAGATTATCTTGTAGATGAAGAATAGCTGTTGAATGCAGAAGCAGAAAGGCCGAAAAACAAAAGTCAATTGGCATTTTGAAACGCATATAGCCTTGTTTTTATTTATAAAAGAAAAGAATTGATTTTTTAATTTTAAATAAGTATATAAAATTCGAGATATTCCCAAAGCACCAAGAGGGAGCTATCAGTTCTTTGTCCTGTACTTGATCAATTTATCAACTTGCCGTAAACCAACTACCAAAAGTTATTACTCTGTGAGAATAGAACTATTGAGACAATTGAAGAGAGCTGAATACACCAGCAGCTTCTCCATCCAAGCTAAGCTCTCTTGACGAGTATCCTGTTTTCCTCCATTTTCAAAAACGTTGCCAATCCTTCTTTGTACAAGGGTTCACGTTTCAGGACTCTTCTTTTTTGTTTTTGCTGATTGCAATTGATTTTTCTGTTCGATTCTTCCTTCCTTTTGCCAGTTTGCTTTTCCTCCCCCTCCCCCAAAAAGAAGTCTTGTATATCATATCTATCGATTCTTGTCTTTGAATCCAATCCACGCCTTGCTTTCGAATTGGTCGCTCTACTTTGGTCCAATTCCTTTTCTTTACATAGTTCCTTTCTTTTTTTTTCGGTCCCTTTTTGGTGGCTTCTCGCCCGGCCATTGCTTGTCAAAAGTATTTTAGTCTGACTGTTTTGGTTCCCGCGCGTTTTTCGTTTTTGTAATTATCAATCCGACTTTTCTTCCCTATAAAAATAAAAGGGTTTGATTCTTGATTTCGTTTGGCTTTCCTTTTTCTCCCCCTTCACGACAAATCCCTTCACATATCTTCTGTTCTGTATTCTTGGATCTCTTTTGTCCTTCGTCCCTATATTTTGACCTTTTCCTTTTTTTTTTCTTGAATGCTAAGGCGTTTCTGTTCCTTTTGCGTTCACAATTGTAATCTCTAATTCGTTCCTGCACAGATTCCTCATTGTATCATCGTTATCCCAAGCAGAGCATACAATTATTCTCTGTTTGTCTTGAAAATTCTTTTTTTTTATTTTTTTCCCTTTTGAATACACATATTTATCTTTTCCCCCTTTCCTTTAACATTATTACTCTTTGATTTTTTCCCGTTCTTGGTGAGTTTGTTCTGTTCTTCTTTTTGGAATGATCACAATGTCTATTGCTCCTTCCGCTACTGCAAAACGTATGGAGCGTCCTCTTGATAACCGTAAAACGGTCAAATCGCCTTTGCCCAAGCTAGCGCAAGATCATGTTGCTCCTGTAAAAAGTATGCCAAATATCTTATTTCTCTGATTTTTCCATATTAACATCTCTCCTTCTAGATTTACAACATGTTCCCTGTAAGTTCTTTCGCCATGGTTCGTGTACTGCAGGTGAGAATTGTCCTTTTAGCCATTCTCTTGAAACAGAGCGTCCTGTTTGTAAATACCATTTAAAAGGAAATTGCAAATTCGGCACTAAATGTGCTCTTTCCCATTCACTCCCAGTCAATGACTCTACAATCTCCTCTGGTCTCCCTTCGGAAACCACACCCCTTCCAAATCATCTTCCATTTGGTAATTCTTTGAAACATATGCAAAACTCTTCCATTTCCTCTTCGTTTCCCCAGAAAATCCAAAGAACCGCCTTTGATCAAATGGATATGAAGGGCTCTATCAACATGAAAGGTAATCTTCTCAATCCTGGTTTTTCGGCGTCACCTCCGTCTTTTTCTTCCTTCAGTCATTCTCCAGGACACTCATCTGCGTCTTCTTATCTAAATAATTTTACATCTACTCAGTCACTATTAGGGACCGCAAATCATGGTAAACAACTCGATGATTATTCTGCCGACATTAATTTAGGATTGGCTTCCTCTATGAATGGTGTTTCTATTGCATCCTCCTTGGCTACCTCGCCTTCTTCGTTTGGCGCTGCATCAAGTGCGTCCTCAAACAATTTTAATGGTTCCAAAGGGCTTCTACATCAACAAATGAGTAATGAAAACAGTCGAGATTATTTTTTCCGTCAACCATCTCTGTTAGCCGCCTATGCAAATCGGACTAACGAAAAAGCTACGTCTTTTCCAAAGTTGCCTGCAGAAATGATGAAGGCTAACGTACCCTTACAAAGTCCTCAACCAAATGGCAAGGTTAATAGCAATCTCCCTAAACGTCGCCCTTCCATTAACCATTCTCTTACAGGGATTCAACTTTCGTCAGGTGCTACACGTCGATATGCAGTTCGCAGTAATTCGTATGCTGACGCCTTTCCCTCGGTGGTCTCTACGAGTTTGCCAAACCGTGTGGATTTAAATCACCAAATGGACATGAGTGATGATGAACAAAAGTACTTGAGTACTCCAATGAGTAGCTTTGACGAGTCATTTTTGGGTTCGTCTCCCATTGGTAAAACGAATTCAAGTATGAAACAGCTATCTACTCCTTTGTCTATGACAAGTCCTACTTTTACGTCTCGTCTCCCCACAAACACGTTGCAGAACAGTAGATTTGGTGCTTATTTTTCAAAACATAAGTACGTTGACACGAATACCGGTTCTAGTAGTTCTAGTAGAACCACGACTCCCCAGCAACCGGGCGTTGCTGGTACCCCGATGAAAATGCCTTCTTCATTTGGTGTCCGTGAAGAATCCGTGTTCAGCTCTCCAATAAATGAATTAACCAGACCGCAGCATGTTGCAAGGCTTAAGAGTGAACCAATTTTTAGAGCCGATTCTATGTCACCTGTAACTACTGGAGGAGCTAATGAAACCAAGAATGATTATACATTGAGTCCAGGAAGCAATGGATTTTCACGAGTATCTGTTGCAAACAACTCACCTGCTTGGAGCTCAACACTAGAAGAAGAAACAACCTTCCAGATGGATGACTGACTATCTCAACCTGCCCTTTAACAAACGTAGAGAGCTTTAAAATCATAAAATAGTTGTTTGATGATTATAAACAACACGTTATTTGCAACTGATTTGTCCATGATTTCCCAAAAAATATTCCTTATTATGTATGTCAAGGGTAAATCCAGCCGTCGATCTTGAAATATATATTGGACGTTTGCATTTTGTTTGTGGAATGAATTATAAGAGAATGAAACAACATAAAGGATGTATTTGTACGGGATGCATTATATATCCATGAACTTGGTGCTACGAAAAAGAAGGTAATGCATCAGATGTTCTATAAAATAAGCCGAATACCCATAAAAGGGATGTCGTTGGGAAACGAACGTTCTTACTTCGGTAAAAAGTGAGATTTATTGTTATGCTTGTTGAATATTCCAAAGAAAAGATTAAAATTTATTAAGATGATTGATTTAAGGGCCGTTTTGTCGCTCTTGATAAAAAAAGGTAAATATCTTTGACAAGAACGATTTTTATTTTAAAGCGCGTAAAGATTTATTGTTCGTGCGGAAACGCTTACTTCGTCTATAGCTGTAATTTAAAGATTTAATTAATGTATTAATTTAAGATGGATACAATGATGAATAAAATAAGAAATTAAATTTTTGTAAACATGGTTTACTTGTAGCTACTGGCAATTACCACATAGAGGAAGAAGGGGAATTGTGTTGAAGCTCGAAAGACAAAGTGATAATAATTAAAACAGATCAGATCACGCTTGGATGTCGCTGCGAAAATGGTTTAGCAAGTGAAAGCATTAAGTTTGTTGTAAACCGGGCGATTGGGAAGGGGTGACCACACACGGCGGCTGTTGATTCTATCATTTCGGCGTTTTACATCACGTAAAAGAGCTCGCTCATCTTTAAGAAGGACGGTTACACGAACTCTTGGACGTCTCTGAACAGCATGGCCACCTCGACCTCGAGTAACCAGTTTTTTTAAATAAGTAGCTTTTCCAACCCATGCTTGATCTATGTAAAGAGTTTTCTCATCAAGACCAGCCTTCGTTACGGCATCCTCGCGAGCCTTCACAAGAGCTGAAGCGATAGATTTGGAGACACGTTTTTCGGAAAACTTCATTTGTAAGAGAGCATGGTAAAAAGGTTTTCTAGAAATTTGGCGACACAGGTTGCCTGCTTTTTTCAGAGATGAGCGAAGAATTTTCGACTGATGAGTGTGGGATGGATCCATGGTTAAAAGACGCTTTGTAGATATCCGTTTCCATGGACGTGATTTTTGCTCAGGTGTTTTACTAGAAGATATCTGAGATTGTTCTTGTAGGGAAGAAAAAATACTAGATCCTGTTCGCTCTCCGGTCTCTAATGAGCCTGGGGCTTGATTCCATGCACGAGGCGTCTGAGAGAAGCATCGAATTGGACGAAAGGTATGAAGTTTGAAAGATTGTAATGATAAATTTCCATAGATACCTAAATTACTCACAAAACGGTTGCTCATTTTGGGCAAATAGATCGAATTAGTCCAAATACTCATTTCGAAACGCTGCCAAAATGTTGAATAAAAATTAACTAAATAGAGATCAAAAGAAAATGAAACTCTTTATTCACAACATAAACAACCTCAAAATATAAAAGACCGTGTCCCCTTTATGAAATTGGAGAAAAGCCAGGTCTTGCTCAAAGTTACCAAATAACAGAATACGATAACTCGCCCAAATTACTTAAATTTGTTTACCAACAGTAAGTATTGACTCGCTAAACTTATGGAGCGCCAAACAACAATAGAGAACAAAGTATAAAATAGTTCGTAAAATGGAAGGTCCACTATAAGGTGTTATCATCAATTCCATTGTAAACAAAGTGCTTCTCTACGCGATTACTATTAAATTCAGGTATTTCACGGTAGTTTAGACGTAGAGACGATATTTTAAAGAAACAAATGGTTTTTATTTGGTTCTTTATTGCTTAAAACGAATAAATTGCTATGATTTATAAAGACTTGAGCAAAGAGAGATTGAATTCTGTGTACTAGAAAACGTCTCCGTTGATTCCGAAAAAGAATTAAAGCGATGGAAAAGGTAGCTGTATCCAACCTGGAGCATAATCCGCAAGAGGGTGTGAAGCTAAGCACGTTAGAAATATGGGATCAACTGAAGAGTACCACAGACGCTCAAGAAGTGGTGTTTGATGATATCCCAGATGAGGACTTGATTCATAGTATGACAATTCATCAACGGAAACAAATAGACAACTATTCTGGAAACTATGCCGTCGATGAATGGGATGATGACATGAATAATTACAACATAACCCCAAACAGAAATGCTCCCGCTAGTCCAGAAGCTCTGAAATCAAAGGCGACCCCAAGCAAAAAGCAAGTCAGGATGCGAGAGAGACTTGCAGATGCAGATGAGAATGATACGGAAAATAATTGGAGGTCTCTCCCAGATATTCCCACTTTTCAAGAGCTCGTATCCGCGTCTGTTAATTTGCCCAAAAATATCATTTTCGGGGGATATAACGACTTTGAACAATATATAAGCGTGCATTATAAGCTGCTTCGAGAAGATGCGATTTCTCCTCTTAGGGAAAGTGTGTTGAGTTACAAGAAAGATCCAACTCGTATATCCTCTTCTGCTTTTGTTGTTTATGACAACGTTCGTATTGTTGGACAAATAATTGCTCCTCGCTCGGTCGTCACCAAACTTTCGTTTACTGTTCGAGCACAAAAGCGGATATCTTGGTCCAGAAGTCGACGCTTAATTTCCGGAAATATTGTTCTTTTGAGTCAAGACAACTTTGAGCATATTCGGGTGGGTACGGTTTGCTCTCGTCCATTGAGCGGGTTGAGGAAATATCCGCATGAAATTGATGTTTTCTTTCACGATTTAAATTTTGAATTGGATTCAAGAAAAAAATTCGTAATGATTGAAGCGACGTCTGGCTATTGGGAAGCTTATAAACATGTATTAACTAACCTTCAAAAAATTTCTGAGCATCGTTTTCCTATGAAAGATTATTTTGTTAGTTGTAAGCCAAATTCTGAAATCGCTAGGTATGTACAACATAATCCCCTAATGCGAATCAATTCAGTATTAGGAAGCTCTCAGTCTCTTATCGATATCTTGGAACCTTTTCCTTCTTCCGAAGATTACTTGTTGGACAAGTCGCAATTAAAAGCATATCAGTCGATACTTTCGCGAAAACTAGCGCTTATACAAGGGCCCCCTGGAACAGGAAAAACTTTCGTCGCTTTGAAGGCAATTCAAACTCTTTTAGAAAATTCAAACTCGAATGTATTGCCCATTGTGGTGGCATGCCAAACTAACCATGCGGTTGACCAAATCCTTCTTCAACTTTTGCGCGAAGGCGCGTCGGTTATACGACTCGGCAGACGTACTAACGTCCCTGAAATTAAAGAGGTATCTGTTTATGAAAAGATCAAGTCAGTCAGAAACACATTTTCTAGGTTTATTAAGGATTTTAAGAAGAAAAAAGGTCGCCTTATGAAACAAATGCTAAACATCATGTCAAACTTCTCAAGTGAGTACGTTACACTTACATATTTACATAGCCAAGGAATTATTACTACTGCTCAATTACAGTCACTCGTAGAAAATTCTGCTTGGGTAGATACTGTTTTTGATGATGACGACTCAGCAGAAGAAAAGCAGATTGAATCTTGGTTAGGTGAGATGAAAATAGACTTGGTTACACCAAAAGAAATCGTTCACGGTACTGAAGAAGAGCTTCAAATTGAAGCAGAACAACTAGAAGAATTAGAGCAAGAAACAAAGGAAAGCCTTATCGATGAAGATGAATTGCATGGCGTTTTCGTAGAGTTTAAACGAAAGTTCGATTTCTATGAAAAAGTTCAACTTCATAGTAAAGAGTTCAAAGGCTTTTTAGCATTTGAAAACATCTGGGATATTCCAGAATTTAGCAGAGGCATGGTTTATAAACATTGGCTTCAATTAGCTTATGAAAATGCAGAGTCTGAATTGAGACGTTTGCACAGGGTTTATATCAAATTGGATAAAGAAATATCTAGTTGTCATAACAAACGTGTCGCTGCTCTTCTTCGTAATGCTAATGTTGTCGGGATGACAACGACAGGCCTAAACAAGTATCGGCATATCTTGGAAAGCATCCGACCTAAGATTTGCTTCATTGAAGAAGCGGCAAATATTCTTGAAGGACCAGTTATACCTGCCGTTTTTCCATCCTTAGAACAATTAATTTTAATCGGAGACCATAAACAGTTGCGTCCAAGCTGCTCTACTTTCGCACTTGCTGGACCTCCATTTAACTTGTCTATTTCAATCTTTGAACGTTTGGTGGAAAACGGAATGATTTGTGATATGTTGAGTATACAAAGGCGTAAGTTGTTGAACTAAGTCCCGATATTTGTTATTAACATTAACAGGTATGCATCCACAAATTCGACAATTAGTAGATTCAGTCTACTTCGGCTTATCTGATCATTCAGTAGCGAAAATAAGACCTACTGTTCCAGGAATGGGACAACTACGAAGATACTTTTTTACTCATGCCAACTTTGAAGAAACTGATGGGTCTTCTTCTAAATTCAACGAATTTGAAGCTAAAATGCTTGTACAGTTTGCTTCTTACCTGATCCTTCATGGCGTGAATCCACTTCAAATTACATGCCTAACATTCTATGGTGCTCAGAAAAAGTTAATAGAGAATCTAATATCGAAACACTTACCAGATGAAAAAGAAAACATGAGAGTTGCTACCGTCGATGGCTACCAAGGCGAAGAAAATGATGTGATACTTCTATCTTTAGTGCGAAACCATGATCAACGGTCTGTGGGATTTTTGGTTTCGACTTATCGTGTTTGTGTCGCTCTTTCACGAGCAAGACGTAAGGAAATAATATACCATAATGCCTACTGACATCTCATACAGGTGGTATATATATGTTTGGAAATGCCGAAATGGTAGCAAATACAAACCCCCTTTGGTGGGACGTGATTAATACCTTAACTCAGGACGAGGAGCTTCCTGGGCTTGGGGATTACCTTCCTCTAGAACCAAAAACAGGGGCTGATGAAGTTTATGTATACGGTATGCGAGACCAGATTCGGTAGCTTTGATTGCTAACTATTTGTAGAACCGAGTGATTTATTTGAACTTAATATGAAATTGCGCGCTTGACTAGCTGGAAAAGATAAATGAAGCTAGTGCATTGTGCGAATGTGTTGGACGTTTCATGAGAAAAGCACAATGAAAGGTGTTGTTAATGAACAGTTACTAACGTTTGGAATAGCTTTATTTGTATAAAATGAATGGATGAAATAGCACTTCCAAGTGATTTTGAATGATTTGAATGATGGAAGGTAAACGACGAAATGAATTCCCTAAACTAATAACAATAAATAATTTTTTAAACATGGTTGATTACGAGGGACGAGTTTTGGAAGGATTAGGCTTCGAGGAAGAGTAGAAGACGGTATAAAGGATAACAGCAATCACAAGGATTATACAGGCTTTGATGTAATAGGATGGAGAAGAAGGTTCCCAGAAGCTGGTAATGTGAGACGAAGTACTTTTTTTTTGGTATGGAGTAGAACCTGTAGACTCCAACACTTTTGAAGAAGAACGATATCTGGAGGAACGAAGTGAAGCTTCCGATTGCTTACGACTGTCGACAAGCTGAGACGAAATATCCTATAAGGTATTAGTAGTGATTAAATTGTAATGAATTAGCATACCTCTTTCTTAAAATTTTGGATAGAAGCCATGCAGTTCTGAATATTGAAGAAAGCCGAATCTATAAGGGAGTCTGTATGAGCAAAGTGGGACTGAGTTTTCTGAAAAGCTGCAACAAAATAATTATCAGAAAATTTTTCAGGAGAAGAGGATCGTGATAAATCGTTCGGGGAAGAAAGAGACTGAGGTAAGAGACTGGAACTGGCGATGTGTTAGTAGAACAAAGAAATCATACAAAGCTAGACAAGACATACTCTACAGATAAATCAGTAGATATATCATCAATACTAGTGGAATATAAGGGAAGACTTGAAGGCATCGACTGTGTATCGAGCGATGTTACAGGCACATTGATAAACGCCTCTACGAGATCGCGAGCATCATGTTTCGAAAGCTGGTGATTTGGATCATTTTTGACAAACTCATAGGCTAATTTTGTTATTTCCTTTTTCATCCAAGGGTTTATGTGAAACATGTCGCTGTAATGGATATCTAGGAGAGTAATGAGTTCTGGGACAGAGATCTTTTCGTAAAAGCAGTTAGATATAATAGAGCATGAGCATACAAAATACAAACCTTTTCATGTGGGAGCTTCGATATTTGGTCAATCATCTTTTTGTGGTCCATTTTTCGAGAGTCCAATATTTGCATTGGAGACTGCACCTATTTCTTGAAATGAATACTGGCAGGATATCAATAAGAAATGTTAATATCCTATGTATTTATTATGTTTTCTTTTAGAGCCCTTAGAAACTGCTGATACCAAGAAGAACCGAGGAAAACGTTAAACCGACACAATTACTGTAAAACTTAAAAGTTACGAGAGTCTTCAGTATATCATTCTAGAAAAGAATCTCTAAGAGAATCCTAAAACAAAAAAACCCGGAATAGACAAAAAAAAGTGATATAAATTAAAAGATTTGTCGTTGCAGTGTTTACTTGTTATGTTACAGTGACTTAACGAGACGACATGTGTTACCAGGAAAGTAAGAGGAAGAAGTGTAGATATAATGTTTTTAGACTGGATACTAATGTATGAAACATTGGAATGATCATCAAAATAAATATTTATAAGTCCATTCTGGAGTTGGAGAACGAGAAAATTGGACGGTCTGTCACAAAATTCTCTCATTCTGAACACCTATTAGTCTATGCTTCGTAAGCTTCTTTATCTCAGACTTCCCTTTTTTGTTACATAAAAGCATAACAATCGTGGAAAGTTTGCGGTTGGCGGTTTAAAACGAAAAGAAATATTTTTGGTAATGAAGCTGATGGAAATATGATTTTATCGTAAGACGACCGTAACTAAAAGAGCGGACAGGTAAAGTGCCTTTCTGCTGGCGTTACTATTCTTTTGGAAGCATGGAGTGGGCGTATGGTCAACATTGGATCTTCTTCAAAATGACCAAATGGGCGATCGTGTAGGAATTATTTGGATGAATAGGACTCACAGTCGCTGTCAATGCCGTCTTTCATCTAGCAGTTATTACCTATTGATATAGGGTTGTCTGGTTGTTCAATCGATAAGAATTTTTGGTCTTGTGCAAGATGAGAGACTTATCATACCACATCGATTCTCCAACGTCTTTCTCTGAAAGGTTCCTGAGCTGCTTGTTATCGGTCTCTGAATGAAATGAATAAAAAGCTCTTCTTGCAGACGGCGGACCGAGTCATGGTTTTAAAGTATTTGCTAAAACCATGAATATGAAACTTGTTGCTACTTATTTGAAAATGATAGTAAAGGCTTATACTAGCATTTAAGTTTGATGGTTTCTATAGATTTTGTAAGGCCTCGCATGTTTTCTGCCTATGAAACGTACGTACAAACGGGGCCCTCATGGTACCCTTATGTCTTCGACGGAAACTGGATTATATAGTTGACTTGTTCAGTAAGCTTTTCAAGAATAAACTATCTTCTCTGTTCAAGACTGACTGAATGCAGACATCTTTTGATGAATCATGGATGCGCTCATTTTTTTTGGGTCCGCCGAACGTTGGTATCTGTCAGGCTGGCATCAAAGCCCTTTAATAATGTTTTCGAGTCTCGTCAAACCTCATTACATTGCTCTCACTCTAATTCTCTAATCCTTCCTAGAGTACATAAACAGACGTTGTCTAAAGGAAGTATCGCTATACGTTTTAGTTCTAAATCTTCAACGTAGTTTCCTGTATCCTAATTCTCTAATCGTAACATGAATTATCAAGAGAACCAAGAGAAGTATTTTGGTTTACCTTTATTTCTTACGCTGCATCCGCTTTTGAATGGAATGCTGAGTGTTTGTTAATTACCATTCAGAACGTTTAAGTAATAATATTCACTTTAGTATTTCTAAAGACACCATCATGTCAAGAAAATATTCGTAGAATTATGCATGCATAGTTAGAAGCAAGGCCTTTGAGATTCTTCGTATAGACAGTAGTGAATTTGAACCCACCGACCTTGTCTTGTATGCGTAAACTGTATTCAGAAAAATGATAGATATTACTTTTAATAAAAAAAAAATTACTTTTAATATAGACTGAGTTGAAGTTACTTCATTACTGCTTTACACAAATTCAATAGCTTTTGTTTATTCTGTTGTTTCCCTACAACTTCCACGGATCTAATTTATTCAGTTTTTACAATTGAACGAATGCAAAATTGTTCTTTATGAATCCATATGAGACGGATTTATACAAAGTAACTCCCATTCCCGGAAAAGGAATGGGTATGGTTGCGAAAATTGACATTCCTGCAGGTACAAGGATATATTCAGAAACGCCTTTAATAAGGACCAAAAGTGATGCGAAAGAGATTGAAGAAGCGCTTTCATCAAGAACAAAAGAAGAAAAAGATGCTTTTCATAACTTGTTTAATGCGCATCCTAAAACAATGGGCCCTTTTTTAGGACCCTTTTATTCCAACGCTCTAACGATTGATGAAAGTAAAGGTGGAATGTTTCTCTTAGGTTCAAGGATGAATCATGATTGCAGTCCAAATGTAAAACATACTTGGAATCCAAAACTGGACCAAGTTACTGTTCACTCGGTTCGTGATATCCATAGAGGCGAGGAAATTTTGACTACTTATATTGATTTACATAAAAGTCGAAATGAAAGGAGAAAAGTTTTGTTGGAACATTTTGGGTTTCCCTGTAGCTGCAGTGCATGCTCAGTTAATAACAAAAAGGAAGCCAAGATAAGCGACATCCGAAGAAAGCAGCTAGCATACTATGACCGGACAATGCCAAAAATGTGTATTATGAACCCCAGAGGAGCGCTTCGTGCCTTGCGGCACAGGATTTTACTTGCTCATCAAGAACGCCTATTTGGGCGAATAGATATTATTTCATATTTAGACGCTTTTCGAACATGTGTAGTGCATGGTGATTTTGAGAGAGCTTCTAATTTTGCAAAAAGAGGTCTTGAAGCTCTTGTGCTTTGTGAAGGTACTGACTCTACTCGTTATGAGTCCATTTTAAATTATCTTACACATCCGGAGCAGCATCCTTTGGCAGAAGGGGTACGCCCTATAACATTGGTCCCGCTGGACGAATTCAAAGATCCAGAAGACTCATTATGGGGTTGTGAAATGGAAGAGGATGTATATAGTGATAGTGATTAGAAGTTCGTTTGGTATTGGTGTACTCTAAATTTATAAACAGTGGAATGTTTTTGGAAAAAACATGGGACTTGTGAATTTCACAAGCAATGCGATTTTTTGTGGAAGTGAATACAATATGTACATCTTCATACAATAATAGTAATTCATGGTCGGATTCTACTGTTTCATCAGGAATGTTGATACTCATGCACTACATATGTAAATTCTTTATATAATGATAATCTTTTGAGAACCATTGACTTTCAATTTTTTTATTATACAACATCCAAGTGTTCAGAACAAAAGTTCTGTAAACTGTAAAAAGTTATGCTTCGGCCGGGAATCGAACCCGGGTCGCTTCGATGGCAACGAAGCATTATACCACTAAACCACCAAAGCAGCTGTTGAGAGTATTTGACATAGATATAATATAAGTAATGCTTTAAATTTGTTCGTTTCTGCTTTCTTGGTGATTGTAGTTCCTCAGCTAAGTTTTTAATTTTTCTGCTCTTCCAAGGTCGGTAGAATTGTCTTGACACCAGGACTAACCCTCGTCTATAAATATGTATTGACGACCGCAATTAAAGGATGAGCATTTCAATCCAATATCAACGGCAATGAGTTAGTACGGGCGAATTAATCGGAAACATTGTCTCCACAACTACCACAATCTCATTTAGATTCAATTGTCCTTTTCCTTCTTGTTACTTCTCAAGGAACATCACTCGAGAAGGAAAACATAAAAGGTATTTCCAAGTACGAATTATCATTTACTAAGTCCAAAGAAACATGCACAAGAGAAAAAAACAAAAAAAAACCTACAGCATCCCGGATTCCCATGTTGTCTCCAATCGTAGCAGTAACGAGCTTTCAGACGGTTTCACTTCCTGCAGTGGTCGGGCGGGAACTGGTGTGCCGTTTTTCGCCTAGGTATAACCGTAAACGTTCGTTTCGGTTGGTAAGATTACTACAAGTTCAGTTGTGATCCAGTAAAGACGTTCTTACATTTTGTAGTGAAAGACTCTTCTGTATGATGACATTGCAATATTCCGGCCTTGACTAATTTATAAAAGACATGCGATTACACGACACTATGTTGAAGCTATAGTTAATCACGACAGAATCTTCGTCAGAGTAATTAAATAATCAGTAAAAAGGGTGTTCGATTCTATTCACAAAGCATAAACAACGATATTTCGTAACGAATTAAAAGATTCATGAAAGAGTGAATGACAAAAGCAACTTAAGCCGTCTTATTAAGACAGTGCTTACTTTGGAGGATGATGCGAATGCAAAGTTGATGGACTGCAATATTGACATGAATCCTTTCAAAAAAACTGCGAATTATGAAAACGTAAACCAGGTTCGTTAAAATTCAAACTTCACCACTTTGCTCAGCAAGATGTTGAAGTTCGATTTCTTCGTTTTGAGATACTTCATCTCCTTGATTTGGTCCTTTTAACTTGGTTAATAAATGCTCTATGATAGGAAGCATTCACGTAGTGTACATACCAAAAGCAAGATTCACAGAATTTCCTATGCCGTTCCCTATACCAATTATGCCGTTACCTATGCCATTTACGCCGTTTCCTATTCCGTTTCCTATATTAATGACTAATAATCTAAATCGTTCACGGGCAATTGGATTCACTAGAACAGTTAGAATATTTCTCAGGTTGTATGGCATACTCGAAATAAAAACAAACAAGACAAAATCAATAAAACAAACAGCGTAGAGAAAAAGATTATTTATCTTTTCAAATTGCATTATCTTCTTTGCAGTATCGGTTGGTAAGATTACTACAAGTTCAGTTGTGATCCAGTAAAGACGTTCTTACATTTTGTAGTGAAAGACTCTTCTGTATGATGACATTGCAATATTCCGGCCTTGACTAATTTATAAAAGACATGCGATTACACGACACTATGTTGAAGCTATAGTTAATCACGACAGAATCTTCGTCAGAGTAATTAAATAATCAGTAAAAAGGGTGTTCGATTCTATTCACAAAGCATAAACAACGATATTTCGTAACGAATTAAAAGATTCATGAAAGAGTGAATGACAAAAGCAACTTAAGCCGTCTTATTAAGACAGTGCTTACTTTGGAGGATGATGCGAATGCAAAGTTGATGGACTGCAATATTGACATGAATCCTTTCAAAAAAACTGCGAATTATGAAAACGTAAACCAGGTTCGTTAAAATTCAAACTTCACCACTTTGCTCAGCAAGATGTTGAAGTTCGATTTCTTCGTTTTGAGATACTTCATCTCCTTGATTTGGTCCTTTTAACTTGGTTAATAAATGCTCTATGATAGGAAGCATTCACGTAGTGTACATACCAAAAGCAAGATTCACAGAATTTCCTATGCCGTTCCCTATACCAATTATGCCGTTACCTATGCCATTTACGCCGTTTCCTATTCCGTTTCCTATATTAATGACTAATAATCTAAATCGTTCACGGGCAATTGGATTCACTAGAACAGTTAGAATATTTCTCAGGTTGTATGGCATACTCGAAATAAAAACAAACAAGACAAAATCAATAAAACAAACAGCGTAGAGAAAAAGATTATTTATCTTTTCAAATTGCATTATCTTCTTTGCAGTATAATACATGGCGAAACCGGGGACATTGAGAAAACACACATATAATGCTGCGGCACACATGTTGGACAGCACTCTACCAGTTTGCTTGAACCATTCTTTAGGAATTTGAGACATTGCTAATAGTTAGTAAAAATAAAAGATAGCACTAACTTACAGTAGAGAAATACTACAACGGATGCTCCACAAGCAGCAGAAAGTCCCCAAAGGGTTTCCGCCCTCAGAGGAACCTTGACATAAAAAACACCACGAGAAAAATAACATAGAATATAATATACACAAAAGACGCAAAAAAAAAGAAGATATTCGCTGAAACCCACTTTGAATATGTCGAATCCGACCCAATATTGTTAGTGGACTCTTGGGCAGAATGCTGAGCAGATCCATCAGCCATTTCTAAATCAATAAATTTGTTCGGAGCTAATGAATGTATTAGTGAGGAATGCTTTTGTTGTTTGAGAAAGGATGGAGCGTTTGTCAAGTTTGCTGATGGTAATCAACAAGTTTATTAATCTTAAACACAACAAGTAAACAAACAAACATGATTCTTCATCAAAACTGTTTTTAGCCTAGCTTTTTCAACAAACATACAAAAACCAACCCTTCCTTTCTATTTCAATAAATCTTACCTGAATACGGAGGAGGCGTACCCTCTGAAGAATGTATATCTGATTTCTCATCAATGAGCGTATTGAAAGACTCGTCAGAGTCTGGAACAGGGCTGTATTTATTCTTCATTTTTACAATGGCAAACCAAAAGAACACCAATATTAATAGCTAGTTCGAAATTAACTAGAATTACCAAGAAAAGTCTTAGAAATCGGTTCCACCTTTCAGAGGTCTGTAAAAAAAAGGAATTGTTCCTTGTTTCTAAAGAAAGGCAATATTTTGAGTAAAATTTGTCTAAAACCAAAGATAGTAACGAAAAAAAAATCTTGGTAATGGCTTTTCGCATGTTTCAATTTTATAAATCAGCGACATTATGTCACTGACTGGTCACATCCTCGTTACGATTTCTCGTAATAGTATAATCCAAAAGAGTCACTGTTTATTACAAATAGTAAACAAAGGAATATTAGGCAAAACAAACATGCTGTCAGCTTTGAATGAGGTTAACAAGGGATTGAAAATGCGTATTTTTGATTTAAAAGGCTTAATGACTGTGGCTGAATGATTTCTAGGAGAAAGCTACAACACTCTCCGTTTTCGTAGTCTTACTTTCAAATCCGTAAATACATGGAAAGTTTGTAGATGCGTCGTCAAAACTATCGGAAACAAAATTTGTACGGACAAGTGCATTTTCTTTTCATCTTTATTAAATTTATGGTATTTAAACACTAGAAACTAACAAAAGCTATATCTGACAGTTCATTCATGCATTCATAAAATATATAATAGCGTACGCTTACTAGCTATCGATAAGTCTCTTTAACGAACTGCATCACTTAGATGTCAAATGGGTTGGATGACAGCTTCACCTCTGCAAAGCTCTAGTCTTTGCCATTGCGGGTTTATTTTCTGGGTTTCAAGATTCTTTTTGTCATTCCTACTTTAATGTATAAACCAAGTTGACATGGAATCTTTTTGTTTTCGAAATTATACGCTTTTTGGTCCTTTTACTCTGTAATCGATAATTTTCACAGTAACTTAGTGATCAAGCAAAGGTGATTAAGAAACTCTTTTAGTCACACTTATTTTCAACAAAAATGAATGAAAAAGAAAAGGAAGGACATCAAAAAACTGTCGAACCAGCAAAAGTTGCTTGTTTGAGCTGTTCTACAAATTCTGAGAGCTATTTACCGAAATACAGCGAAATTCCGTATTCTCATGTTGACAATATGGAGAAAGGTTGTTTATGTTTACAGTCCGATCCAGTTCCACCATACTCAAGAAGACATCAAGAAGCTTCTATTCACATGGCGCAAGGAAACGGTTTCTTTATTCTTTTACGAGATGTCTTGTCGGCATTATTGTGGTTAATTTTCTGGCCGGCAAAAATTGCGAGAATCCCGGAAGCACAGCGGAGACAAGAGAATGAAGCTCTTCGGCTTGGTTGGTGCCTTAATGGTTCCATTATATTGAACTTTTTCTTTTCTTACAAATACCTTGTCCCCTTTATAAAGGAATCAATGAAAGAATATGTATTGTTATGGTTTCAAATTACTGTAGCAGCTGTTCTTGTCATCGTGGCTTTCTACATGTTCTTATTTGTTTGTTCATGTAAGTGAAGTGGTGGATTTGCAATTTTATAGGTTTACTAATGGGATGCTTTTAGTGTTGGTGGATTTTATCGTTATACTGATTCCTCTAGTTGCTTCTGGGGGTCCTTCATTTTTTTCTTCGCTTTTTTCTGGGATTAGTACACTTTTTTCTTCGCTTTTTTCTGGGATTAGTACACTTTTTTCTGGCATATCTTCATTTTTTTCTTCGCTTTTTTCTGGGATTAGTACACTTTTTTCTGGCATATCTTCATTTTTATCTTCGCTTTTTTCTGGGATTAGTAGTGCTATTATGAGTGCTCTAGGTTTCAGGATGCCGTCAGAAAGAAACGACTTGACGGCTGATAGTTGTATCCCATTAAACAGCATGTCATCAGAGCCTGAATATCAATTTAATGATTGTAGTGATAATACTCTGGAGCAACCGTCCTCTGAACATTCTGAACAATCTCCAGGGTTACGGCGGGAACCTGGTCAGTCTAGGGATGTGGAAAACAGTGAGAGTTGATTGATACGTAAAGTTAATTTTTATATTGCCCAATCTTTTCGATTGTTCTCCTTCATGCTTTCGCGTATGTTTGTGTTTATGTTTTGTTTATTTCGTCCCTGCATATTTATTTTGAGAATGCTTTTTTGCATGACGAGTACTCCTGAATGGCGTCCGTTTTCTTGATTTACTTGATCTCTTCAACAATGGATAAGTAAGGATGCTTATTACTGGATGATATTGTCATTGTATCTGCATAGCTAGATTCAATTGCTTATTTTTATTTATTCGTTTGATACTCTATTTTCTGATCTTTGTTATTCGTTTCATAAGTCTAGGAAGATCTTTAGTTCTTGAATTTAAGAGTAATCATTGCATTTCCAACTTCCACTGCTATTATTACCTTCATCAAAGGACCATGCCGGCCCAAACGCCAGCCATATGCTTTAACAAAGAGCAACAAACAAGCGAAACAAACAAATACAAAGAAAAAGAATTAAAAACGAAGCGGTGAAAAGCCTACAGCATCCCGGATTCCCATGTTGTCTCCAATCGTAGTACTAACGAGCCTTCAGACAGTTTCACTTCCTGCAGTGATCGGGCGGGAACTGGTGTGCTGTTTTTGCCTAGGTATAACCGTAAACGTTCGTTTCGGTTGGTAAGATTACTACAAGTTCAGTTGTGATCCAGTAAAGACGTTCTTACATTTTGTAGTGAAAGACTCTTCTGTATGATGACATTGCAATATTCCGGCCTTGACTAATTTATAAAAGACATGCGATTACACGACACTATGTTGAAGCTATAGTTAATCACGACAGAATCTTCGTCAGAGTAATTAAATAATCAGTAAAAAGGGTGTTCGATTCTATTCACAAAGCATAAACAACGATATTTCGTAACGAATTAAAAGATTCATGAAAGAGTGAATGACAAAAGCAACTTAAGCCGTCTTATTAAGACAGTGCTTACTTTGGAGGATGATGCGAATGCAAAGTTGATGGACTGCAATATTGACATGAATCCTTTCAAAAAAACTGCGAATTATGAAAACGTAAACCAGGTTCGTTAAAATTCAAACTTCACCACTTTGCTCAGCAAGATGTTGAAGTTCGATTTCTTCGTTTTGAGATACTTCATCTCCTTGATTTGGTCCTTTTAACTTGGTTAATAAATGCTCTATGATAGGAAGCATTCACGTAGTGTACATACCAAAAGCAAGATTCACAGAATTTCCTATGCCGTTCCCTATACCAATTATGCCGTTACCTATGGCATTTGCGCCGTTGCCTATATCAATGACTAATAATCTAAGTCGTTCACGGGCAATTGGATTCACTAGAACAGTTAGAATATTTCGCAGGTTGTATGGTATACTCGAAATAAAAACAAACAAGACAAAATCAACAAAACAAACAACGTAGAAAAAACGATTATTTATCTTTTCAAATTGCATTATCTTCTTTGCAGTATAATACATGGCGAAACCGGGGACATTGAGAAAACACACATATAATGCTGAAACACACATATTGCACCCAGCTTGGGTGAACCATCCAGGATAGGTTATAAGGGTCACTAATCATAAGTTAGCTGTTAAAGGAAACAGCGCACTTTGGCTTACCAATTACGAAAATAATAATGGATCCAATAGAACCGCCAGCAAGCCCATAAAAAACACCTGAATTCAGAGGAATCTTGTAACCAAAGACTAGGACTAAAAAAACAAAATTATATAAAATAAGTTGAATAGTTGCTATTCCTCTCCAAAAATGACATTGAAACTTGTTCTTTTCAGAAGGGTCCGACCTAGTATTATTAGCAGATTCTTGGGCGAAATTTTGAGCAGATCCGTCAGCCATTTCTAAATCGATAAATTTGTTTGAAGCTAATGAATGTATTAGCAACTGAAGTTTTCGTTGTATACGAGAGAATGAAGGTATTCATCCTGTTTATTGACAATCGTCGACAAGTTTAAAATAGGATTCCTCAGTAAGAACTCTAAATAACAAACACCATTACCTTTCCATTTCAATAAATCTTACCTGAGTACGGAGGAGGCGTACCAGTACCATCTAAAGATCTAGCGTCTGACTTTTCATCATTGAGCACTTTGAAAGAGTCATCAGAATCTGAAACAGGAGTATATTTGTTTTTCATTTTAACAATGGCAACCTAGTAAATCAAAAGAACACCAAGATTTACAAATGAACCGAATTCAGCTAGAATCACCCAACAATGACCGCGAGTACTAATTTCACAATTCGTGTGGATCGGTCAAAAAAGAAATTACTCCTTTTTTATAAATATAAACTAATAACACTGTTCAAAGGGAAACTCCTCTCAAAGGATGAAGCGTAGTTGAAAAACTCATGGTACTTGGCTTTTCGCATGTCTCAATTTCATAAGCAGCGACATTATGTCACCGACTGGTCACATCCTCGTTACGATTATTTAATGGTAGTCCCATTGCGACAATTGGAATATTATCATACTAAAACATCATTTATTACAAAATGTAAACATAGAACCAGCGTTACAAAGAACAGTCAGGGCTGTGCGTTTTGTACCTATTTATTAGCCAAACCAGCGTAGCTCTTTCAGGAACAGCTGTAGTAGCAGCTATTGCTACAGATTCAGGATTTAGAATGCTGTCGGAAAGAAACAACCCGATTTATATGTAAAATAGTTGTTCGGGAGGATGTGCGCCTGACGATCGATGAACTTTCCAGCATGCATGTGTTTATGTTTTATTTACCTTTAATTGAGAATAGGGCCAGACTATGTCTTGGATGGTGAGCGCTTTTTTGTTGCGCTTCATCTTGTCGATATCATAAGTAAGGCCATCATTATCATCACTTGCTAGTATTGTCAGGTGCGCCTGCATAGTTTCTTCTTGGTTGGTCATTTGTTTGTGTACTTTATTGTGATGAAAAAACGATTCGATTCTGAATCAAAGATGACCATTGTAATATGCGGCTTGTGTGCTTCCGTTAGTACCAGTAAAGTCAAAGGACCATTCTGATCAAAACGAAAAACTTGTGCCGTCCATACAAAATAAAATTTAAAAATAAAACAAAATAAAAATGAAGCGATAAAAAGCCTACAGCATCCCGGATTCCCATGTTGTCTCCAACCATAGTACTAACGAGACCCTCAGACGCTTAACTGCAGTGATCGGACGGGAACTGGTGTTTTCGCCTAGGTGTGGCCGTAGACATCCTCTATTATACGCAAAAGTATTTCAAATAACTACTAGGCTCCTTAAGATGCAATCCGTTTTGTTCATATCTTTGGTAGTATTACATATTTGGTAGAGAATAGTTTTAATACTAGAAAATAAACACTGCTAAATCCACATAGCGGTAGAAAGTCGCTGAGGTATGAGACATGCTTGTATGAAATTCATATCAATTGAGAAGGTTGTAGTTCGACAACTTAAATATTTAGCTACATTGGTCAAATTTTTCGGTTTAAAGATGTTAGCTTTCTACGCTATGAATGAAAGTTACCTGTGACAGTAATGACTCGTTTTCTATAATTTATGAAAGACATGTGGTTACACCGCACGGTTCTGGGTTAGAATTAGTTTATTGCTTTGCAAATTATTGTCAGAATAATTAAATAATCATTAAAATGGGTGATCGATTCACAAAGAAAATGAACGATGCATAAACAACGATATTGCAGGAGAAAAATCAAAAAAATTTATAAAAGAGTGAACGTGAAAAGCAATTAAAAACGACATATGAAGCTGTTGCTTACTTTTGTGGACGCGAATGCAGAAACTTCTTGGACTGCAATTCATGATGGACTTTTAAAGAAGACGCGATTTATAGGAATGATGGGATGATGAAGGTTTATTAAGACTCAAACTTTACTTTACCCGCAAGAGGTCAAATCTCGATTTCCTCGTTCCGAGGTGTTTCATTTTCTTATCTGGTGGTCCTAAGTAAGTTAATCAGATGTTAAGAAAAGAAAAAAAAAGGTATAATAAACAGTACATACGAACATAATTCGCAGCATTTCTTATGCCCTTTCCCAAATCGGCAATGATATTCGAAGTTGCCGCATATCTAAATTCACTAGAACAGTTAGAATATTTCGCAGGTTGTATGGCATACTCGAAATAAAAACAAACAAGGCAAGATTAACAAAGCAAACAGCGTAACGATTGTTTATCTTTTCAAATTCTGTTATCTTCTTTGCAGCATAATACACGATGAAACCGGGGACATTGAGAAAACACACATATAATGCAGAGACACACATAGCTGACGATACGTTTTTGGTTGCTCTTCCAGCTAGCCTGTACCATTCTTTTTGCATTTATTGCTAATAATTAATAAGTCATTTAAAATTCTGAAATTATTTTCTTACCAATTGCCAATGACAGAAATAAAGCGCACCAAACGGCAAGCTGATTACACGAAATTTCGTAAACAAGAAAAATGACCCCTCGCAATAATTAAGCATACATTATATACAATAAAAAGACTAAGAACAGTTGCAAATCACAAGGCGTTAGATATCTTTTCTATTCAGAACTTTCTTCTCTTTCAGAAGCCATTTCTAAATCGATCAATTTGCTTGAAGCTAATGAACGTATTAGCCACTGATGTTTTCGTTGTTTGTGAAAGGACAGCGGCATTTAGCATGTTTGCTGACAGGTATCGATAAGCTTTTTCATTCCAAACCCAACAAGTAATAAACAAGCATGATTCTTCATCAGGACTCTTTTGAACCAAAATCTTTTCAACATAACAAAAAGAATAAACATTCTCTTTCTATGTCAACTACTCTTACCTGAATAGGGAGTAGGCGTACCGTCGGAAGGAAACGACTGACTATCTGCCTTTTCATCATTGAGCGTTTTGGAAGACTCATCAAAATCTGAAACGGGGGTATATTTGTTTTTCATATTTACAATGCCAATTAGATCCCAAACTAACACCGGTAGTTACATTCTAAACGAAATCAACTTTTAAACCACCAAGAACTGTCCGTAGGAACTGGTTTCACTCTTCAAGATTCTGTCAGAATATTAGACCTTGTTTCAAATAGCAGAAAAATCTTTCAGCTTAACTTTCTCTTTAAAACTAAAGATGAGAGTTTGAAAAAATCTTGGTATTGGCCTTTCACATGTTTCAATTCATCAAAGCTGCGACATTATGTCACTGACTGGTCGCATCCTCGTTACTATTATTTAGAGGTAACCTTTCGACTGCCATATTCTAAAATATAACCCAGAACGAATAACTTGTTATAAAAGTAAACACCAAAAACAGTACTAGAAAAAAAACTCAAATTGTATACATTGAAGGACATATACGAGATAGGAATCGAAGAAAATGTTTTAAAAAATTAAGTAGTTTCGCGATAGAAAGAAACAAAAGCGATTTTGGAGAAGCCATCAACTACTTGCAATTGCAATAAGTGTAGAATAGCGTACGCCTACGAGCATTCAGCAAATAGATCAAAGATGGTGATGACAACTTCACCGCTGCAAAACTCTGGTCTTCGCCATTGTGAGCTCGTTTCTTGGTCTCTTAGAAATGAGTTTTAAATGCTTTCTTTGAATTGTAGCGCCAGTTGATTTTGGCGCCTTCTCAACTTTTTACCATGTAACTTTCGCCGAAATTTACTTACCAAACAAAGGTGATTGAAGAACGTTTATTGTCGCAGTTCTTTCAACGAAAATAAAATAAAATAAAATGCAGCTAGAGAATGAGAAACCTCAATTGTGCCACTACGACTTCTGACTGGATTTTACCGGAGTATAGTCAAAACACCTATTCACATTTAGATGACATGGAGAAGGGATGTTTGTATTTACAATGTGATCCAACTGCATCATAACATGGGAGCAGTCATCAGGAAGCGTCCATAATTATTGCACGGATTTACGGAGTTCTTAACTTTGCGCGAATTGTTTCAATGCCTTTATTGAGGTTCGATTTTCTTGCCGGCGAAAATTGGAAGAATCCCTGAAGCGCGACGCAGACATGAGAGTGAAGCTCGGCAGCTCATTACCTGTTATATTTTTTCGGTCGTAATAGATTTCTTCTTTTCTTATATGTATCTTGTCCCTTTTATAAGGGAATCGATGGCAGGATCTGTTGGGTAAGTTTTCAGGTTGCTATAACAATTATTTTTGTCATTGCGACTTTCTAATGTTTTTATATGCTTGTTCAGGTAAGTCTGATGGTTAGAGATTTATGTGAAAAAGTTTGCTAACTGCGTACTTTTAGTGTTGATGGATTCTATCGTTCTCTTGATTTCTCTAATTATTTCTGGGATTAACTCGGTTTTATCTTGGATTACAAGTGCTGTGGGCTTCGGAATGCTAGCAGAAACAAACGAATTGTCGCCTGAGTATTGTATCCCATTAAACACCATGGCTCCACAGCATGAACGTTAGTGCAAATTCAACAGAACTTTCAAACAACCGTCCTTGTCTCTGAACATTCTGAGCAACATCGAGGCTTACACCAGAAACCGGGTCAGTCTAGGAATGCTAAAAGCGTCGGAAACGAATATCATACTTGAAGCATTCTTATGATGATGTTTCGTGTATTGTTTAAACAGGGTTATCTTCTGTTTTTGTCTTTTTATATTGTTTTCCGTTCCCGTTCTACTTATTTTTTTTTGAGCTTTTCTGCATACACATATCATAGGCTGTTTTGTTGAAGCCCTGTTGGGTTCAACGGGGCTTTTAATTTTTTATATAATGAACAAAATGAGGCCATAGTGGAATATCAGGTTGTTAATCTCAAATTGTTCTATCCAATCCACATGTTCGTTGTTTGTTGCTCTTCTAGAACTATTTATTTATTGATGATTCTTTTTGATTTGTTTAAAAGAGCTAATAAGGAATCTAATGAATTCTAAGAATGACCATTGCTTTAGCTTCTTATGCATCCAGAACATCACCGAAGTCAAAGAACCATGGCAATATAAACGAAATTGATGCAGCTGGATATATGCATACGTAAAAGGAAAAAGACTAAAAAGTTGTAAAAAGACTACAGCATCCTGGATCCCATGTTTCCTCTTATATAATACCAAGCTAATGAGATCTTCAAACGCTTGACATGCAATGATTGAACGGGAACGGATGTTCTGTGTAGGTGCGTCTAATTCTTTTATACTAAATGATAAATGGTTAACATAGATTAGGTAAAAGATAGATTTGTGAACTTGGAACTTACTTCATCTAGCATGAGAACACGATGGCTAAAATGTAAAACGATCCCTGTTTTTGGAAAAGAACATCACAATTTTCGACAAGAACAGGTATCACAAACGAAAATTATTAACACTCATAATGTTTATTTTGTGCTTGTCTGAGTTAGAATCAATCATAAGGCTTACATTGATTATATATTAGTAGAAATTGAAGTAACTAATGACAAAAGTTTGAGGAATCTACGGACACTTTGGAAACTGGAATTTACACGAAACAGAGTCGGTTTGTATAGAAAACGCAAACGTAGCTTAATCATTAGCTTTTAATATAAATATAGATCTTTAAGATTTGCTGAAAAGCAATTACTACGGACGAATCAAGGACAACTTGGATGTGTTTACTGACATACATAAGTAAATAAAATATATAAGGTCGTTAGATCACACAAACAAGTGAAGAAGAAAATATCAAGAATAAACAGTTAGCTTTTAAAAGGTTTAGATATACCTTCTAAGTGATTTTGTTAGTTCTTTTGACAACTTTCAATCGAGATTAACGATGAAATGGTTCTTGCATTTTTCTTGCATGGATCACCCACCATTGATGGCCTCCGATATGCCAGTAACTTATCAACAAGCTCTTATAAAAGCAAATGAAAATTGGGGAAGAATAAAGCTGTGGCTGAAAGTCTTAATTGGATTGATTGCTCTCAATTTTGCATTACTAGGGTACATGTACGAAAACAGAATCTCTGAAAGAGTCAATCTCATTTGGACAATCATTAGCGGATCTTTTATTTGTGTTAGTATATATATTATAGTTTTATTTCAAGTTCCCATTCCAACCGAGTAGTAGACCTACATTGAGTATCCATTAAGGAATGTTTGTTTTCTCATCCATACAAAACATTGCACCGAGTGTTTTAGCCTTTGTCGAGTCATTCGGAAACCCTATATCCTCTAAGCTATTGAGTCTTCCTATAAGTTGAAACTTGGTGATATGTAAATTTACAGTCAATTAAATCGTTCCTACTCATTACACTTCAAAAATGCCATGAAGATCTACTTTAATTATGGAACTAAAGTCATGGAAACTCTTCTAGGGAACTAATTCTATAAAACTGCATATCGTGAAATAGACTATTTAAGGACTTTACTATTCCTACATATGCTTTATTAGCTGAAATCTGATTGATTTGCCAAGTTATTGTAATTAATAAAGAAGGTCCTATTGATTAATGAAAGGAGGCAGAGATAAATAAAGCACAGTATCGTCATCAAAACAGCATCCGATATAATAAAGAGACTTGAGTTCTGTTTCATTACAAAAGTAAACAACAGAATGCGACAAAATGCAGTTAACAAGATAGTTGTCATTATGAAAACGGTCTTCAAGGTTTGATGCCTATGCTTTACTAAACACCATATGTGTTTCATCATGTATTCATTCCCTGCGCTGAACTTTAAGAAATGAGGCATATCTTGCAATTCCATTCTTTTTTCAGTCAATTTTTTTTATCAAAATTTTGGATAATTAAAGCGTTTTAGGAACTCAGCTAGCATAAATTGAGATCTAATTGTAAGATACAAGGATCTAAAAAGAATGGATGATGGTCATCTTTGTTGGGGTAGTGTTTTGCATAATTGTTTACCTTTTGCGCACCAATTTGGCTGTTCTCAAAAAACACAAACACACTCTGAGGGATAATACTTATATCGCTATTTAAAAAACATCTATTATTATTATTTAACGGTTGTCAATTTTTCAATAATTACAAGATTCAAAGCGGCCGAACGCATGGTTTTTATACGAACAAAAATATTGGATCAGACTTTAGCTTTCGAAGTGGTAAAAATGATTCCGACGATCTCCTAATAGACAGCCAAAGACTTTTGTTAGATGATAACATCGTCAACAAAAAGAAAATACTCAATAAAGGTCATAAAATTTGTGTTTCTCGCAGAAAGTTGTTACTTTTCATTTGAGAAAATTATTTTGTTTAACTTGTACTATAATTAACTACAAATGCTCGTTGTCGTAGATATCTCTTAAAGTCAAGCAAGCAGTAATATTATATATACTTCAATCATAAAAAGATATTTTCAATAAAATGAGAAATGCTCAAAATATGGAAAGTTTTTTGGAGGAGCGTTTTTACAAATTACTTTTCTAAAACGAGGGGCGTCACTTCGCAAGTAACACGCACATAAGCTATCCCAGCAGTAAGACCATAAGCATCTTAAGGGTTTCCAACAGATGTTTAAAATTGCTTTAAGAGCTATGCAAGATAACTAATTTTAAGCATTTTGAATTATTTCAAGTATTTTTACGGTGGACAAAAACCGTATGTTGGCCGTTTGGTCTAGTGGTATGATACCATCTTAGGGTGATGGTGGTCCTGGGTTCGATTCCCAGAACAGCCCAACTTTTTCAAATTCTTTCGCTCGTACATAAAACCATCCATGGTACGAGGATGTTTTTCAACTCTTCAATTTGCCATTTTTAATTTGAGTACAATCGAAATCTGGAAACAAACAACAACGATAGAAAATTCCCAAGGAATCGTCAACAAGGGCTAAGTGTATACTGAAGAAAAATGCCTATAACTTTTTGTGAAGCTTCGACATGTCAACTTCCGAAAATTCATTTAAGGAACGTCTTTAGTATTTGCCTACATGGAAGTAATGTGTACCATGATAATTGAAACTACTACTTTTGAAAGAACACATCTAGTTGCTATGTACCCACTAGTGAAATGACCAACTGTATATCTTATCCCAAATATATAGTTAATGGATAATAAGTAAACAACTGAAGCATCAGTGGTGTAGCGGTAACATGGATGCCTTCCAAGCATTCGCTCCGGGTTCGACTCCCGGCTGATGCAAAATGTTCCAGTTTTTGAAATTTTTATTATTAATTTACAACGTTTTAACGTTTTGAGGAAGCAAAGAAAGCATGACGCATGAAAGTTGAAAGAACAGTAGATGAAATAGATGAAACTGGGTGAACTTTTATTAATTAGACTCGTAAATAAATAACCTAAACTTTCCAAGAGTAGTGCTATACCATCATAAAGTAATTAGCAAAAAGGGAGACAAAGTTCGACTCAAACTGAGCGTTTATTAAATGACCTAGATGTAACCATTTTTCTTGTTTTCGAGAATACCTCATAAGCAAATATTGGATGTGGATCAGTGTATATGCCTGGTCACCAGTGGAACTTCACTGAGGGCTTGGCAACTGTATCCAGTAATTAGTAAACCAGGAGGAAGTGATTCATATGTATTGTACACTTCAACAACATTTCCCAAAGTCGAAAAAATAAATCGTTGATCAGGACAAGAGACACGCTCTGCTATACAGACGGGAAGATCTTTAGGCCAACCATTTTGCAATAGAGCGGAAACGAGAATATCCAAACGATGCAAAGCCATCAAAAAGACAGCTGTTTGTGAAGCGACAAATGGTGGTATTACTGGCATGGCGCCTTTTTGGCTCGTACCAGTACAGACCAGTAATTGATCTGCTACCCCTCGTTGAGTTATGGGAATTCCAGCTGAAACTGGAGCCATAAGCGCACTACTGATACCCGGGATAACTTTTGGAACATAACCGTGCTTATGGAAGAATAAAACTTCTTCACCACCTCTGCCATATATATAAGGATCACCTTGCTTCAATCGAACGACATAATCACCTCGCGTTAACGCATCTAAAGCCACTTCATGAAGTTCATCCTGGGCTCTGTCGGCATTTCCAGGAAATTTTCGAGCAATAAATAAAGGCGTATGACGGGGAATAAGTTTTAAAACAGATTCTGGTACCAACTTATCGGCTAGGATGTAGTCTGCCTTTCGAATAGCATTCCGGGCAGCAACGGTCAAAAGCTCGGGATCTCCTGGTCCACTACCCACAAGCACGATACTTCCTTTTTTATTAGTAACAAAGTCGTTTGGTTCAAGAGGAAGAGAAGCTTTTTCTTTTGCAAGATCTTCTTGAGAGGACAAGCTTGATCGTGAGCTACTTGTGGATGAGAGTTCACTAGCGGAGAGAGGTAAAACATAATCATCGGAAATAACGGAAAGGATATCGTCTTCGGACATACGAATTAGTTTTTCAAGAGGCCAAAATTCACTGACATGGTTAATCCACTGTCTTTTTTGTGGGTTTTGAGTAGAGGAACGGGCGGCACCAAACCGACGCACGGCTTCACCGGTTCCTGGCGGAAGACTACTGACAACGTGACGCAAAAGCCTTTGTGCAATGCGGCAACCGTTGGAAGTAGTGCTGAGGGCTATCTGTAACGGGGGTTCTGACCAGCAGGCTGGAAGGGTAAAAGAACACAAAGAAGGAGAGTCCACGATATTAATAGGAATGCGGTTTCGTTTACACACATCATATATTTTCTCATTGAACGGAAATTTTGAATCGGTAATAAAGAGTAGATCAACAACATAATTTGTGAAAGCATTACCTAAAGTGAACAGCGAAGTAGAGACGTCAAAAGAATTTATAGGTTCAAGTTGTACTTTATCAACTGCTACTTTATCAGGTTGGAAAGGACCCAAATCAAATCCACCAGCCGTGCTTGAATCACAAAACCAAATTATCTTGGAGACATCTTCTGACAAGCAAAGATCTACCCGTTTACATGCTGACTTGCCAGAGCCGATGATGATAGCCACGGCATCCTTTAAGGAAGTAGAGAGAAGCATTTTTCTGTCGGTTCCAATGAGTACGAAGACCAAAAAATTATTATAGCTTAAAGGAGAATTAGGTAAATTCTAATTTTAAGACCTTGACTTGTGAAAGGCAAGAATAATCCAAGATTTAGCAGAACGAACAAAAATCCACAATTCTGAACTTTTCGCTTCTGGGCGTGTGTAACTGAGTTGGACTTGGAATAAACTGCAAAAAAGGGTCTAATAGTTTTTATTTAAAAGATACAAATAACAAATACAAAAAAAAGCAAACCAAAACTCTCAACCGTAAATGCCCTTATAATTCCTAAATTCACTGTTTTCCTTGTATATTAATAAAACTCGTTAGACTCGTTATTTTTGAATATTGTGAAATATTCACAGCACCGCAAGCCAATTTATGTATTTCGGTATAAGTCCTTATATATCTTTTAGCGACTCGCTACTAATCTGTTCTTATAAACAACGAGCAATACTGATGACACCCAAAGCAGGAAAAATAGCAAGTTTGGTTTGGGACAAAAGAAGAATTTAACACATTCAAAGCGCAAACACTAATGATGCAATTTTCCTCTACAATTGTACCATATAATGGAAGTTTATGATTGACCCAGAGATGGTAAAAACCGATTAAAAAGGAAAAGAACGATTTATTAGTATGTAGATATTTTTTATTCTAATTCCTCAAACGTAGGAAAGGTAGAAGAAGTATATATTGAAATGAAGGTTGACTCCTATACTACATAGAGAATTGTGTATAAGTATATAAGGGCAAGAAAATTTCTATTTGTAAAAGCAAGCATCAGTGGTGTAGCGGTAACATGGATGCCTTCCAAGCATTCGCTCCGGGTTCGACTCCCGGCTGATGCAAGAATCTACCTTGCGTTCCTTTTTTTGCTAAAACTATGTTAAATTGTATTTTGAATAATAAATCTATATACCCCTTGTAAATTGGGAATTTTCAGGATGGTGGACTTTACAGGGAAATTTCATTCTTTTGTTAAAGTGGAAAATTTGATTTGTTGCGAATTAGATACTAATTATTGACTGAGCTAATTCTTTCTTATCATCTTGCAAAAACAAAGGATGGTTAAGACCTAGACAAGAAGGATAGATTGCAATTGTTCACTATAGCGGTAAGCCGCAATTGGGTATTTTTCCAATGCAGCATAAATTTCCTTAATTTGGGCTGTTGATAAAGGCTTAGAAACCGCGTTCAAGTTTTGTGCAAGAAGAGTTACATTTGTGGCTCCCGGAATAGGGATAACCATGCCTTCGACCATGGTAATCGGAAAACTGAGCGCCATTTCAGGAAGTGTTCGGTAGTAAGACTTGGCTAGCGCTTGCAGGGCATGAAGGCACTCGAAATTTTTTTCAAAGGTTTCAGGTTGAAAACGGTCGAAACAATGAACCGGGGGAAAAGCAGCCGTAAATCGTTCTAATTCTTCCTTCTTCTTCATGGCGTCTGTCAGTAAACCCATATCCAAGGGACTGTATGCTATCAGAGGAATGTTCGACTCTTTGTAAGTCGAGAGAACATCGTTTTCTTCAATTTCGCGGCTGCATAAAGAGTATTCCACTTCGACGGCAACTATCGAAAGAACGGCATGGGCACGGCGAATGGTGGTAGCAGAAGCTTCGCTCAAACCAACGCTACCGATTTTGTCAGCATCTACAATCTTTAAGAATTTTCATTTGATCTTCGATGGGCACATTGCGATCGACTCGAGCATACTCAAAAAGATCCAGCTTTTTAGTGTTACGAAGAGTAGTCAAAATATTATGTATACTCGTGGTAAGCAATTCTTCGTCACCATGCGGGTGACAGTTACTATCAACAGCTCCCTTAACTGATAAAAACACTTTGTCTGCACTTTCGGGTCTTTTCTCAAACTAGCGAGCTAGCGACTCCAAAGTGCTAGTGGGAGGATCTCTTCTGGTAGAATTTACCGCTATTCCAAAAGGTCGCTCCGTGTTCCACGGCATAATCCAAAGCTTCAAATGCTTGCTTGCTCGTAGGAAGGTGGTTGGGTTCTAAAAGTCAGGCCCACAATCCAAACCCGATAGGATTAACAGGAAATCCATTCATACTAGGCATCTTATTTTAGCACTAATGAAAAATGGAATTTATCAAAAGGTAATTGTTCAGCAAGGATATATCGCTTTTTACAGATGGAACTAGGAACGGTCCAAATTAATGAAGCCCTTTGTCTATCCTTGAATTTCCTCTTCGATAAACAGATAGAATGGAACCATAATTTCAGATAAAAATGATTTCATAAATAAAAAAAAAAAAAAGAAAACTTCAACCGTACATCGCTGCACCAACGAAAAAGGTATGGTGGAGACGGTGACACTTTGAGAACCAAAAAACCGCCGGATGATCAAGTAGTAAAAAGATCACTCAAATTATGAAGGAAACCACATTGCGATAATAATGATTATGCGTCTTAAGGACTGCGGAAAAATGTTTAGTGAATTTAACAATTCCTCGCTATATAGTTTCGACAAAAGAATTTTCATCAACTGTAGCTAAAAACAAACGCTCTCCTATTTGAAAAGGATAATAATGAATTCAGAGTATTCGCATTTGTTTGAGAGACTCCATGAACAATTGGACAAGGTGGAAGAAAGTCTTGAACCTTTAAAAGAATCAGAATCCATCTTCGATCTTGTGGATGGAAAAGAAGACATTGAACAAGCCAAGCAGTATGTAAGTCTTAGCTATGCCATCAATTCGGCTTTGTATTCATATTACAAACTTAATGGTACTTCCACCGAAGAGTCTCCCATCATGTCTGAGTTGCAGCGCGTCAAACAATATGTTGGAAAAATCAAACATGCTGAAAAGCACATTCAACCTAGTGCAGAAGGAAACAACGATGAACAGCGTCCAAAAATAGCTAAAGACGCAGCTTCTAGAATTATCAAGCATCATACTTAGGATATAAGATTTCTGTACTGGGGTTTTATTTTACTTTTTTATTTTTTGGTTTATGAAATCGGGATGAATTGGTTTTGGCTGTTGTAAATAGCATTGTTTTCTTTTTATTAAATTATGAGATGAAATCATTTAAATATTCCTTATTTTGAGATGTATTGACCAAAGGAATAGTCGATGTTTATGGAGGTTCCGTTTCCAATGTTGGATAGGATGGAAAGGCAATGGATGATTGATTAATCATATTCATATTCATTCTCATTCTCATTCTATCGTTCTGCCTGTTTTTATAATGTATAACCAAGAAGAAACCTCTAAATATTCCATTCCATTCATAATGGTTAACCTGTATGTCATTTTACTTTGGTTTGGACAAGATCGAAAAAGGGAAAATGAATGAAAATCATTTCCATTCCTACTACACTTTTTTTTAGTCATTTTTCTACTCTTTATCTCTTTATCATTTTACAAAACAAAAAAAACAAATACAAAATTTCAGAAAATCGTGTCTATTCATTAATACGATCATTATTTCTAAGTGTTCTATTCATCAGGCGTCACGAAAGTTTTGACGTCCAATCTTCAAAATCAAAAAGTAGAAAAACCAAAAGATTGTTCGACAAAAAGCAATCAGCAACAAATTCATAATCATCGATACTTTCAGAAAACTAATAAATAGTTGATCATGAAGGATTCGTAATGACATGAAAAGCAGGAGACAATCGAGGCGATAGCCGCTTTAAATGATAGTATAACCACCATCAATAATCAAATCCAAACCAGTAACAAAGGTAGAAGCATCACTAGCAAGGAACAAGTAGGAACCACGAAGTTCAGTACTCAAACCAATACGTTGCATAGGGACATAGGGTTCCCAATCCTTTCTGAATTGGTAACCAGGCATATCAGTAGCGATATAACCGGGAGACACAGTATTAACACGAGCAAAGCCGGCCCATTCAGTGGCCAATGCCTTGCAATAGTGCTTAACAGCAGCCTTGGAAGTACAATAAGCAGAGACCTTTTGAGGAGTATTGACAATGGTACCCGACATGGAAGAAGTAGCGATAAAGTTACCAAATCCTTGTTGCTTGAAGATTTGACCGGCTCTAGAGGCGATACGGTGAATGGAAGTTACATTCACATTCATAACATGTTCCCACTGTTCGGTGGTGCACTCTTCAGCAGCACTACGGAAAGCAATACCAGCGTTAGCAACGACAACATCGATTTTTTCGTGAAGACGCTTGATTTCTTCAAAAGCATTGGCTACCGATTGTTCATCACCGACGTTACAAGCGACGGCATCGACACGAACGCCATTCTCCTTGGCCAACTTGACTGCTGTGTCTTTGCAAGGAGTGCTATGATAAGTCATAACGATATTGGCACCAGCTTGAGCAAAGGCTGAACAAACGCTCAAGCCAATTCCCTTGCTACCACCAAAAACAACGGCGTTCTTTCCCTTCAAACTGAACAATTCAAAAACGTGCTTGTTTTCAAGATGAGTAGGAACGGGGTTAACTTGGAAGGTCATGATTGCGAAAAGTAAATGTTAAATGCTACGACAAAAAGTCTTTTTCTGTAGAGAGAAAGGAAAACGAAAAACGAGAGTGTTTTCTAAAAAAAACAATGTAAAGAGAGTGTTGTTAATAAAGCAAGAGATCGGGAAGTATCCAAATCTTTTTCTTTTTGAGTATAGAATAGAGTGAGTGTGGAAGGATGCTGAAAAAACGTGAATTGGGCGCTCTATTTATGTCTTTCCAGATTTGAAATTTAAGGTTGGACCGCGCTTTGTTCATTAACTACGTGACGGTGCACATCATGTGGGTTCGTTACTTGTCACTTGTCCGGTCATGCCGGGTAATCCAATAGAACGTATATGAGGGACAATACGTAATGAGGATTTTATCAGGGACAATTGGTTGAATATACAAAGCGGGCAAGTAAAAGTAAGTTCACCAATCAACCTTAATTCAAAACCTTCTTATCCCTTTACCCCATCTATAATGGAAAGGTATGAGACTGCGAGTGCTTTTATGAGTTGCGTCATTCTTGGTATGTTAATTAAAACAAATGGTTGAAAGAAAAAATGAAAGAAAAAAAGAAAAAAACAAAAAAAAAGTCTTTGCTTTTCTTTTTCTTTTTTAATTGGTAAAGAATGTTGAATGGGTTGAGTATGTCAATGCGGATTTTAGGTATGGACACTTTCTTTAAGGGTCGTCAGATTAGGTCTTTAGAGTGGTATAGTCGAAAAACTTGAATCTTGGCTTGGTATAGAGACAAAGGAATGGCAATGAAAAGTAATAGCAATCGCAATGGTTTTAGGATTGTTGGATAGAATGATAAAAAAATGAATAAAAAAGGTTTAATTTTTGTTGATGGAAATTGACAATGATGATGATCGCATTTTTTTTTTTTAAAAAAAAAAAAAGGAAAACCTTTGACTGGTTTGAAGAAATGAATCGAAAAAATAGACACACACGTTTTGTACTTTTGGTTGCAATTCACTGTTCATTCTCAACTATGTATGGGAAGCAATGGGTTCTGAAATTCCTTCCAAAGGAAACCATACTTATCAAATTACAACGTAATAATTGGAAAAAGGGAAAAAATAAGAAAAGACTGAAACAAACAATTCCGTCTAAAGAAAAGCATTCAACTGCCTTCTTATTCGTTCTTCAAATGATTAACGTTGTCATTCCTAGACTAGTTAGCACAAAATTCCATCCCCAGACTTGTGTAAAAATAAAAAATAAAAAAAAAACAATGACCAACAAAAATAAGCATCATAGTTTGCGTTAGTCTATTTAGTGACCGACGACGATTATCTACTATATGTTTGAATTTGGTCGCATCGCTTTTCTTGAACAGTCCGAATAAAATAAAATAAAATAAAATGTCTTCTTACCAGAAAAGAGTCTTGCTTCCGTCACCCCAAGGGTACTTTTTGAAACGCAAGTTTTCAAACCTAAATCGTTTCAGTTAGTCTCTTTGTCCATCTTTTCTTTCCTTTCTCTCCAAACGTCTCTCCCACTTACGTGTAGGGAATATCCACTTCAGGGTTATGATGGTGTTCAGCATGTTCTTGATGCTTCTTGTCTAATCCACACGTTAGTCCTGTCTTGGGGGTTTTTTTCAATTCAAATGGTATATAGGTATATAGACTGGAAGAAAAAATAGAATATACAAAGTAGAAAACAAGGTATCCAAACAAAACCGGTTTATTTTCCCTTTCTCCTTCCAAAGTCCGACCTTCACATACAAATGTAATAAGCATTCAAGCTAGACAAAATCAAAGCAGGGCCACCAACACTATATAAATTAGAGATCAATAATTGTCAAAAACTACAAGCATCCAACGTACTAGTAGGTCACCTTCTTCCAAAAGTCTACATTCACGTTAGTTTCTCCTATCCATCCAAAAATTCTTTCCATAATACTAAACAAACGTACCACTCGAGCGTTTGGCGTGTTCTTGTTCAGCTTCAACTTCTTCCAACCAGCTCAACTTGGCTTCACTGCTGTAGCCTCTTGAGACCGGAGAAAAAGCCTTCTTGGAAAACAAGCCACGAGGAATTTGACTAAAACGTCCAACGGAGCGATTCATCATCAAATAAGTCAAATTTTGCTACTTTAAAGAAATTTCAAAGAGATGGGGGTTGTTTACTCTTCCTCTCCCGGTCCCTTCTCTTCTCCTTCTCTCTCTCTCTTTCTCTTTGTCTCTCGTTCTCGCTCCTTTTTTATTATTTTCCGCGGCTCGTTATTTGTTCCGTGGCTTATCCACCCGCTTGCCGTCTTTCTCCACACACTCTTTGGCAATAAACTTCGGTAAGGACAGTTCAGAAGTTGACGTGCTAATATCATTTCACACCACCAACCACCTCATAATGAAAACTTCACCAAAACCCACCACAAGCTTCTACAAAACCCATTGAAAAATTGTGTTTCTTTCTATATTCACCTTAAAATCTATTATTTACAAGGCCGAATTCGCCTGATCTTTAATCATTTCTAAAGTTCAAACGGATTTTGCTTCGTCCTTTGGTAAATTTTACTTATTTCATTCAAAGTGGGCTTTGTTCAACCTTTTTTTCCGTTTCCGCCGATATTCAGTTTACTGACTCTGTAACTACTTACAACGCCAAACTGCATACGGTTAAGAGTAACCAAGTCTACTTTTAGACCCTTTCCCCAAAAAAAAAAGGAATAAAAAAGGAGAAAGGTAATTTTCTGCCTTCTTCCATTACAACTACTTCCTCTCATTCTTTTTCAATTCCTCCCCTAATCTCTATTTGTTTTTTCTCTTGTTTTATTTTTCTTCTCCATCATGAGGTTTCGTTGTGCTACCCCTTCCTTAATCTTGCTACTTGTAGCCATTGTATTTTTCGTCCTGTCCATCTGTACCGCTCCGCTGTCCAAGAAGATTGGTCTTTCCAAATATGACGATGTTCTTTTAGGTACCTTTGGATACTGCAAGGGCGACCACTGTAGCAAAACTATGGTTGGCTATAAGATGGACTATTTAAACGACAATGTCTCTTCCGGTTTCCGTACCTCCACTGAAGTTCGTCAAAGAGCTTCTTACGGTCTCGTGTTGATTCCAGTCGCTGCTTGCATTTGCGCTTTTGCCACAATCTTGCTATTGTTTGCCCATATCGGTCGTATCTCCCGTTCCCCTGGCTTTTTCAATTTTGTCGCCAGTGTTATCTTCTTTAATGTTTTCATTACCGCTATCGCCTTCGTCATTTGTGTTATTACTTTTGTTCCTCACATTCAATGGCTCTCGTGGCTTGTGCTTGCAAATGCCGGAATTCAATTGATTGTTCTTTTCTTGTTGTTGATTGCCCGTAGACAGGCCGTCAAAGCCCAAGCCAAGCATATTCGCCGTTCTCATGCCGACAGCATGGCTTACAATCCTTACTCCCTTCAAAACAACAGCAACCTCTTCTCTACTTCCTCTCGTACCGGTGACCTTCCCAAGTTTGCTGATTACAGCATGGAGAAACCTGCCTACGACTCACTTCCTGATTACGATGGACTATCTCACAAACGGGGTGATTCCGTTACAAAGTTGAAGCCTACGGTAAGCGGTGACAGCCGTTCGTTGTCCTCCTACGCTCCTGAACCTGCTTCACAATCATCTGGATTCAGATTTCCTTTTATGCGTAACAGCAGCAAACAAAATGCTCCTGAAAATCCATTTAAAGATCCTGAAAATCCTTTCAAGGACCCACCTCCAAATCCCTGGTCTATCGAAGACATCAAGCCTCCAAAGTAATGATCTCCTTTAACATACATGTCTGAAATATATGCTCGATGAGTCTTTACTTTGCCTTCGAGCTATGACAATGATTTTTTTATTTCGTACTTTTTATCTTTATCTTTTTTACATTTAAGTCATCGGTTTTGTTATTTTGTGGTTTGTTATTTATATACTTAAATGGGGTGTTGTCTCTATATATTCTTAGAAGCGAAATGTGTTCTTTCGTGATTTGTTGTTGATTTTTTTATTAATTCCTATTTTATGAATTTTTATTTTTTCCTGTAATATTATCACTTGAGTTTCATATGAATTGTTACTTTTTTTTAAAGCTCACTACAATGACAGTACTGGAATCGTCCATAAAATTATGTGGTTGTGCGTATTTAAATAGAGTACAAAAGTTTAGATCGTAATATATTAATGTATAACGTTCATTAACCAAAAAACAAAAGCTTTCCTTGTAAATTATTTTATCTCATGAAGCACAGAATGTAATATAGAAGTGTCGTTTCCATTGAGTTCAAATTCCAGTCCATCTAGCCATTCCAGGCGAGAACAGGACAGGGTGATTGCTTCGGTATACATTTTGCGGCGGCTTTTTCCTGAATCTGACATCGTTTTAATGAATGCACTGTCTTTTTCAGCCCACTTCTGTCCGGGATGTCTAACTGTCCTTTGGGAAGGTTGGCCAAAATTCTGATGGTATTTAGAAGCAGCAGACAGTTCATACACGGGGTCATCAATCATTGGATAAATGCTAAACGTTAAAGGATTCATGCGTAAATCAAGATGAGTCAACTTTTTCAAGTGGGACAGTGTATCGCATACATTCTTCATTTTCTCAATTCTGTTACCGACAAGGTACAAACGGTGTAACAATGAAAACCCCTTTAAAGCAGAAATTTCACTTATATAATTGTGAGACAAATCTAAAACTCGAAGATTGGGCAAGCTCTTTGCAAAATCGGCGGGTAACTCTGTTATTTGAATATTCGCCAACTCCAAATATTTGATTCCTAGTAACATATTATGGGTCTGTAGTATCATACGGGTATTGTTTGACAAGTACAAATTCCTTATGTCTAAAGGAGGAGTAAACGTATATTTACCAGATTTCAATTCTTGCGATCGGAAAGAAAAATTGACTAAACGCTTAAGCCGATAAATGTCGGGAATCGTCGTAAAGCAGTTGTAATCCATATACAATGTCCGCAAATTTGGGTATTGATCTACCTCCAAATGTTGGATCGCATTGTTATTTAGACGCAAAACGCGAAGATGAATCATCGGCTGGCTAGCTTGTAAAGTTGTAAGTTGATTGCCATCCAACTGTAATACCATTAAATTTTGAAGGGAGCTAATTTCTTCGATGCTTTCTAATGCACTGTTGCCTAAAAGCAATTCCTCCAGTCTATTTAAATTGGAGTTTGTGAAAGAGAGATGTCTAAAGCGATTTCCACGAGCGCTTAGTTTAAGAAGTCCGTCTAAACGTAATATTCCGTCAATGTTCCATAGTTGATTGTTATCAACATTTAGTTCACGCAAGTGGATCAAAGGAGAGAGAGCTGTTAGGTCTTCCAACTGATTAGACGACAAATCTAAATATTGGAGATTAATCAAGTGTGAAAAAGTGGTAAGGCTGGACAAGTGATTATTAACAGCATTCAAATTTCGAATTGAAGAAGGACATCCAGTCAAATAGGATAACTCATTACTCTCTATATTAAGGTCTTCAAGGCACGGGCATTGCTCAGAAAGCCCAATTAAAGAGTTTAAATCCCTCCTACTTATGTCTAACTGAATAATCCTTTTCCAAAATGGATGGTAAGGCTCCACGTCTTCAAGTAAACGAGTGATAGATTGCTTTGACACAGAAAAACTGTAATCTTCATCCATTGCTTGGTCGTCATGAGTTTTATCAGGGGAATTAAAAGTAGATGTTGGTCCATCGGCAGGAAAGTCGGAAGAATTGTTGGCTAGCAAATGATTGAAGTTGTCATGGCTATTGTCCTTTGGTAGGAAATCCTGGAAGGAAAAAGCAACTTGAGAAGGAGTATTGGAAACATCACGAAGAGAGAATGAAGAATGCTTAAGATCTTTATTAGTTTCTTTCCTCATTGGAAAAGAGTTTGGCTGCTTTTTTTGAAAATTTGGGCGTTGATTCGAAGGAGGACTAGAATCTTCAGCGGCTTTGTAGGAGACCGTCAGATTAGAGGAGAACCCATCATCCTCTCCTTCGGATCCGAAATCAAAAGCTATATCAGAGTCATGACCACGACGGCGCCAGCGGTTGTGCACACGGTCATATTCCATTGAACCTTGAGTCGTATTGATGCCATCCGGTAAGTCTGCTGGGGTAATTACAACCATGTTTGGATTTTCTGAATGAGCTTTTATGTCTTGTTGATTTTTGCTGTCATTTCGCGTTTTTTGACTACGTGATTTATAAGAATCTTTCAAACGATCCTCAGAAGATGCATAGGAAGTTTGCTTTTCGCTTTTTGTTCCAGCAGACGACTGAACTAAAGAAGGTGGTGAAAAATTTGACGCTGTTTCTGACTGGTTTTGGTGTAAATTCAAAATCTTTTGCTTTTTTTCCAACTCGCGCAAGTGGAGTTGATCACTAAGGGAAGGGAAAGGATTAGAGCTATCATCTTTGCTAAATTCACTGGCTTCATTTTGTTCCTCCTCCTCCTGAAGACCACTTAGTTTTCTAGGAAGGAAAACAGTAGACTCACGACTTGCTGCTGGTATTCGACCCCGTAACTTTGCCATAACCTCTTCTACCTCTTGGTATAAGTCCTTGGTATTAAGCCCAGCTTTCCGCTCAGTTGTGCGCACAGGCTTGGAAACCCGTCTAGAGCTAGGCAACGGAAATGAGTCCTCTGCAGGGGACTCAAAAGAGTTTGATTTGACATCCTGAGCAAGTTGATTCAAATGTTCACGGGTAAAAGGATCACTAGCACCTTGGAAAAGTTTTAAGGGGGAAGAGTTACCTTTCTGGACAGAGGGAGATGAAACCATCGAAGAAGGAGAAGATGATTTTGAGGAGTTTGTCACGGAAGAATGTCGTTTTCTAGAAGAAGACCGAGAAGAATCTTTCTTTGGAGATGACGAAGACTTTTGAGAATGAGGTGGGCTTGAATCAGAAACTGTATCGGGACGAGAGCTTGTTGTTGGGGGCGAGCTGTTCAAAAAAGTAGGCGACTGCCTTGATTGTGAAGAGAACGAATGTCTGGGCAGAGATTTGGCATGATAGCTTCTTGAAGGTTCAGAGGAGATGGATGGAATAGGAGAGCTCGAAGGAATTGGATTGGAAGAAGAATCTGGTCGCTTTTGTGATGAGCTAGAATGATTCCTTGAACTACCGCCTCCATCAAACAGATTTTCTAAATCTAGTTTTGCAAAAATGTCACGAGCAACTGGATTCTTTGCATTAATCTGTTTCCATTGCGGAATATCTAAAGAAGATTCGGATCCTTTCTTAAAGGTACCTGGATCACTGGAAGGAGCAGTAGATACCTTCTTGGATGAGTTTGTGTTTGTGGCATTTGGAGAAGACTGTATTTCCTCTTTGGAGTCTGAATCATCGGAATTCGACCTTGGAATCCATTCTTCACTCAAATCATGTTCAAGCCACAGTTGTTCCATGTTCATTTATGCTACTCTCATGTCTTCTTTATGCTGTTTCGTGTTTGTTTACGTTTCAAATGGCATTCCTTTCTGGTTAGTATAGAATAGCGTGTTCCAGCCTACTTGCTACCACTGTCGTCTCTATCCTTATATATTTTCCGCAGAATACCATACATCACTATACTCATTGTCCTGTTTATTTCCTAATAAAACAAGAGGAAATTCAATATAAATAATATTAAGTCCTCACTTTCTGATTGTAATTCGAGTTCAAATAAAGTCAATAAGTTTATTCCTATAAAGCATGTTTTTATCTTAAAATTGTATACGAGAGCAGTTTACAAAAAAGGTGAAAGAGACTTATTCCTGCCATAATAAGATACCCATCATCCATGATTTTTTTTGGGAAAGGACTGTTGTATTCATTTAGACGGTCCCTAACTTCCTGTTTTTATTCTTTAGAATAAAATAAATTTATTTTCTACAACAACTAGTTAGTTTTTTTTTTTTTTTTTTTTAACCAAATTCATCCCATGTTACTTCTCTTGTTGTTTGTTGATATGTTGTTACTTGGACAAGTATCCAAGGACACTAAGCAGTTGAGAGGAAATTTAGTTTGGTCTTGAATTCCCATTGTTTTCTTCTATTAAATAGTATGGATATGCTAGAAGTAGTCTTTAGTTTTGCATTATAACAAAACTAAACGACATGTTTACTAATTTTCCTTTTCTAAAATAAATTGAAATTATACTTTCGTTGACTCATATAACGTAGTTTAATGGGTGATGGTAAACCAGTTACGTTTACGTTACATTACATTAACAAACAAATACCTTTTTTTTTTATTTTATCAAATAAATTGAATGGAAAGATTGCACAAACCAAAATTCTGGCGTATAAGCATAATAAAAACCAAAATGCTCAGAAGAATTTGCCATAGTAAACTTCAATCCATGCTAACATTCATCAAGATTACTAAGATGTATTTCTAGACTCGCCAACATTCGAGTACCTTTGTAATGAGAGTAACAATTGGATTATTTTACATATAATAAAAAAATTTACAGTTTATGTATTTTTAATCAGTCCGTACATATTTATTCATTAACTTCCGGGTGAGTTACATGAAGTATTTACTTATATTCCCTCGTCAGATCTCACTTGGCTTCACTAACCTATCTACACTGACAGTGAAATCCCACTACTTACGTATCCTTTGCCTACAACAAGCATTTGAAGAAAACGAAGTATTCCTGAAGGAAGCGATAAACGAAGAATAATATATTTCTTAAAAAGAAAAAAAAAATCGTTTCAATATGGCGGATTTAGATGAGTGGATCGCAACGGTTCGAAAATGTAAATACTTACCAGAACACCAGTTGAAACGCTTGTGTGAAATGGTGAAGGAAATACTAATGGAGGAATCAAATATCCAACCTGTTAGAACTCCAGTTACTGTATGCGGAGACATACACGGTCAATTTTACGACCTTTTAGAATTATTCCGTGTCAGTGGAGAACTTCCGTCTACTAATTACATTTTCATGGGTGACTTTGTGGATCGAGGTTACTTTAGTTTGGAAACCTTTACATTGTTTATGTTATTGAAGGCGAGATATCCTGATAAAATTACATTACTCCGTGGAAATCACGAAAGTCGACAGATTACACAGGTTTACGGATTCTATGACGAGTGTCAAACGAAGTATGGTAATGCAAATGTCTGGAAGTATTGTTGCCAGGTATTTGATTTTCTGACTCTGGCTGCTATTATTGATAACAAGATTTTGTGTGTACACGGTGGCTTATCCCCCGAAGTGCGTACTTTGGATCAAATTCGCATTTTGGCTCGTGCTCAAGAAATTCCTCATGAAGGTTCTTTTTGCGATCTCATGTGGTCAGATCCCGAAGACATTGAATCTTGGACTGTATCGCCCCGCGGTGCTGGCTGGCTATTCGGCTCAAAAGTTACAGGCGAATTTAGTCATATTAACGATCTGAAGCTGATTGCTAGGGCGCACCAACTTGTGCAAGAAGGATACAAGTATCATTTTGATGAAAAAAATTTGGTCACTGTTTGGAGTGCTCCCAACTATTGCTATCGGTGCGGCAATGTTGCTAGTGTCATGAAAGTAGATGAATCTTTAGAACCCGATTTTCGCATATTTTCTGCCGTACCCGATGAAGAAAGAACTGTTCCCCCAAGCCGAAAAAGAAGTGAATATTTTATTTAGGACAGACGCATGCTTTGGATTTCTTGTGATGTTTAGGTTTTTCCAATTTAATATGGTTAATCATCGTTTCATCTTCTCCCAAGATGGGTTAATTTTTCGTATTCATTTCTGGCTCTTCTTTTTTTTTTCTTTCTCTCTTCTCTTATGCTTGTCCTTCTACTCCCATTAATCTACCGTCGATTATGTAATCCTAAAGACGTCTAATTTTAAGAATGTCGAAGCATCTTCCTCCGTCTTTTCTTTGATCATTTAAAAACGCCTGCATTTTCCTCAGCTATACTATGTACTTTTTGCTCAATGAAATTTCCTTGATATATAGATCATAAATGCCTGGATAAAACCGAAAAGCATAAAACTATTTTTTTGTGTGTTTTGTGTGTTCGAAGGAAAAACAAATGTTTTAAGAAGGTGTATGAAAAAGTCCAGAATGTTTTGAAGTATATTTTGACAGCCCGTGAATGGTGAGATATTTTAACGGTGAGCACGCTGTTGATCTCTTGGAAATCCGTGTAAAGTGTTCTACAAGCAATATAGGTATTATGCTTGCAAAGAATCAAAGTACTTTATTTTAGGGACACAACCATATTATGCTTGAGAAGGCTTGAAGGAAAAGCATATTGAAAGATATGTGATTTCAATGTTAATAACTTTGCCAACCTTGTGTTTTGGTCCCAGGACTTTGACTTTCTAACTCTGTGGTTGGCAATACTAGTCCTCTATGAGAGCATCTAGAGGCCAGCTTGCTACATTATTCGTACGGTATGCCAAAAAGCATGAATGATGATGATCAACTACGTTTGGATTTTGACGGTGCTCAAAATGAACAAATGGATTTAGCTTTGGAACAAAAGCACAGTCATTGCTAGAAAAAATGAAAGACATGGAATGAAATAGATTTGAAGCTTTGGTCGATTTGCATATAGGAAGCAATGTTTGAGTATAAGGTGGTGTATGTCTACAATGATGTTGAACGAGTATAAAAGATGATAACTCAATTTACGATCCTAGGCAAAAAAAAAAAAAAAAACTAAGGGTCTAAGACAGATGGAAGTACGTGTGGCTTTCTCTGAAACGAAAGCTAGAATAAACTTTTGAACATATTGTCTGGGTTATTATGAATAGAAAAACCATAAGGATGTCTTTTGTCTATTCTCTAACCTACCTTGGATGAGACTGCTCGCACGGTTTAATTTTTAGTTTTACTGCTGTGGTTTGTTACAATGCATGATGCTGTCGACGATACAAGGGTTGGTAAATTTGCCGTTATGTTGATTTCGGTTCGGTTCGTTTATCATGTTCCTCGAGAAGAGGTGTGTAGGTTCATGAGATGAAAAGGTAGTATATTTCTTAAAAGTCACCACTGTCTTTTGACTAATAGGACGCGAAATTCAAGTTGCAGAAAGGGTCATAGACAGGATCGTTGGTAAGAATTTGTGAACCCTGGATGGCGGAATAGACATGGTATACGGTCCCTTCCTGTATAGCAAGAAAGCTGGACTGTTTGTAGGATAGATAAACTGCAACTTTTCAATAAAACCCAATCAGTATAAACCAGTCCGTAAATGTGCCTAAGCGGCATTTGACGCAATAGGCGAAATAGCTAATGAATAATACAACAAATTACTCAGTTTCAAATACACTCCGCAAAGTCTTAAGCTAATTTCTTCAACGAAATAGCTTTATACTTTGTTGTATTCCTTATTCTAAATGTCAGTCTCGATGGATACATACACTCACCAAGAAAGCACTGAACGATTTCAACGGCTTCATATGACAAAGCCTATATGGAATCGATCCTTTACAATACTCGTCATTTTACCCTACAATCCGAGACAAAGCTCCAGACAAAACTCTCGACAACTACCATACTTACTATATTTTCACCATACCCATACACCACCACCATAGGCATCATCACCGCCGACCCTTATCCTTCCTTACTGCTTTCTACTCTTTTCAACCCAGCCATGACAATGCCATCACATCACGTTAAACACCTATACCATACTATAACGTACACTCGTAATTAATTTACTACATCCCAGCATACTGTCACTATCTTTGTTCGCAAAGATTCTTTCTGTTACGTTCGGCTTCCAAGAAAAATGACGTTGCCACTAAAAATATTCCACTCGCTTCTACTACTTCCTTCTGCACTTATTTTTTCCATAAGGGTAAGGGTTATTCGAAACTTCGAGAATTGGATTCCAGAAATAAATACCTTGGTATTCCCAGTTACTCATCATCCGTTATCCTTTACCTTGCATATTAAATTACAACGATTGCCGTCGTTCATCCCCTGTACTGAATAACGAAATATTTGCATTAAGGATACAACAAAGTAATTTATATCCTAAAAAACAGTCTTTGAAATTGGTTTTTTGTTCTTTTCTCTTATTTAACGATCTTTTCACTTGATTAAAATGAGCAAAGCTATTGGTATTGATTTGGGTACTACCTACTCTTGTGTTGGTCAATTCTCCAACAACCGTGTCGAAATTATCGCCAACGACCAAGGTAACCGTACCACTCCTTCCTATGTTGGTTTCACCGACACTGAGCGTCTTATTGGTGATGCCGCCAAGAACCAAGTCGCTATGAACCCTCACAACACCATTTTCGACGCTAAGCGTTTGATCGGTCGTAACTTTGATGATGCTGAGGTTCAATCTGATATGAAGCACTGGCCTTTCAAGGTCATCCCCAAGAACGGCAAGCCCGTCTTGGAAGTTGAATTCAAGGGTGAGAAGAAGGTCTTCACTCCTGAAGAAATCTCCTCTATGGTTTTGATGAAGATGCGTGAAACCGCCGAGGCCTACTTGGGTGGTAAGGTCACCGACGCCGTCGTTACCGTCCCTGCCTACTTCAACGACTCTCAACGTCAAGCTACCAAGGACGCTGGTACCATCGCTGGTATGAACGTCTTGCGTATCATTAACGAACCCACCGCTGCCGCTATTGCTTACGGTTTGGACCGTAACACCACCGGTGAATCTAACGTCTTGATTTTCGATCTTGGTGGTGGTACCTTTGATGTTTCCCTCTTGACTATTGAGGAGGGTATCTTCGAAGTCAAGTCCACTGCTGGTGACACTCACTTGGGTGGTGAAGATTTTGACTCTCGCTTGGTCAACCACTTCATGCAAGAATTCAAGCGTAAGAACAAGAAGGACATCAGCGGTAACGCTCGTGCTGTTCGTCGTCTTCGTACCGCTTGTGAACGTGCTAAGCGTACTCTTTCTTCTTCTGCCCAAGCTAGCATTGAAATTGACTCCATGTACGAGGGTATTGACTTCTACACCTCTATCACCCGTGCTCGTTTCGAGGAACTTTGCGCTGACCTCTTCCGTAACACTATGGAACCTGTCGAGCGTGTCCTCCGTGACGCTAAGGCTGACAAGTCCTCTGTTAACGAAATTGTCTTGGTTGGTGGTTCTACTCGTATCCCCCGTATCCAAAAGCTTGTCTCTGACTTCTTCAACGGTAAGGAGCCATGCAAGTCCATCAACCCTGATGAAGCTGTTGCCTATGGTGCTGCCGTCCAAGCTGCTGTCTTGACTGGTGACACCTCCGAAAAAACCCAAGACCTCTTGTTGTTGGATGTTGCCCCTCTTTCTATGGGTATTGAAACCGCTGGTGGTGTTATGACTCCTCTTATCAAGCGTAACACTACTATTCCTACCAAGAAGTCCGAAGTCTTCTCTACTTACTCCGACAACCAACCTGGTGTCTTGATTCAAGTCTTCGAAGGTGAGCGTGCTCGTACCAAGGACTGCAACTTGCTCGGTAAGTTCGAGCTCTCCGGTATCCCCCCTGCCCCTCGTGGTGTTCCTCAAATCGAAGTTACCTTCGATGTTGATGCTAACGGTATCTTGAACGTTTCTGCTCTTGAGAAGGGTACTGGTAAGACTCAAAAGATTACCATCACCAATGACAAGGGTCGTCTCTCCAAGGAAGAAATTGACCGTATGGTTGCTGATGCTGAGAAGTACAAGGCTGAAGATGAAGCCGAAGCTGCTCGTATCCAAGCTAAGAACCACTTGGAATCCTACGCTTACTCTTTGCGTAACTCCATGGATGATCCTAACTTGAAGGACAAGATCGAGGCCTCCGACAAGGAATCCATTGACAAGGCTGTCAAGGAGACCATTGAATGGTTGGACAACAACACCACTGCTGCTAAGGACGAATACGAAGCCAAGCAAAAGGAATTGGAAGGTGTTGCCAACCCTATCATGGCTAAGGTTTACCAAGCCGGTGGTGCTCCTGGCGGTGCTGCTCCAGGTGCCGCTCCTGAGGGTGCTGCCCCTGGCGGTGACAACGGTCCTGAAGTTGAGGAAGTTGATTAAACTTTCAAAAAATAATTTCTTAATGGGCGGTTTGTTGTTTTTATTTGTAAATTTTGTTGCACGATGTTTAATATCTAATAGACATGATTGACGATCACTTGTTTAAAATTGAATAAATTGTTTTACAAGGGGAAATTTAAAATTTGTAGTAGCTGGAAATGTAGAAAATGTATCTGTAATAGAAGGAAATGTTAGAGTAAGAACTACTAAATGAAAGTTGGTTTAAATTAAATTAGGCATGAGATATTAGAGATTGAATGGAATTCTTCTTTATTAGTCGAGTTTCAATGGCGGTAGCAAGGTTACACAGGACTGAAGTCAGAGGTACGCAATTGTAAATATTCAAATAGAAAAAGGCACTCAGAAAAGTAGAAAAGGCGAATTATTGAATGAATGAACGGATATAATAGGAATGAGTCAACTATCTGGGATACAGTCGGAAGCATTCACCAACAAGGTACAGAAACCTGATAAACCTCCGGTGGGTTATTCGGCTTCCGTACCGCTGGAGAGAGACTGGTTTTTGGGAATAGATAATAAGTCACAGAACAAGAAAAGTAAACCGGATGTTGATCTAAGCTCAACTGATACAAATGGATCCTCTCTTCCCAAACTGAATTCTGATGTTGATATTGCAGATAGATTGAGTGAACGAAGAAAAGAATCCTTACGATTTGATGGGAGAAAAAAAGAAAAGACTCCAAAGTTACTAGAAGCCGAGGAGTATAATACTTTACGACGACATCGAGATCCAAATCGAATGAAGATGTTTGTGAAAGCGTTCTTGCTATCTTTGTATACCCCGGGCCAAATCGGTATTGTGAGTTTTCTATTACAGTACCTGCAATGTACTAAGAGCTTATTTTTATTCTTTTTTATTAGCTCTCTGTTTGTTGGAATTGCTCGACTTTATACTCAATACCGTAGGTACCTGAATCCAGATCAACAGAATCGCTAACGAACAATAGAAATGCTTCAGGACGAGTTTTGGGAAGAGGCAGCAAAGGAGCATCCGAATATTGGTAAGTGAAAGATATCAGATATATGAATACTTGTTGCTAATCATGGAAATAGCAAAACTAGTTAATCTTGGAGGGATCGAAGCTCTTTCCCATGATGTTTCACAGTTTCATACTTCAGAACGTCAAAATTTTGAAAAAAAGAATGACTGACAATGGCTTAATTAAAAGGGCGATAGGAATATGCTGCATTTGCTATGTTTTCATTTTTGTGAACGGCCAAATGCAAGAGAGCTCAAAATATACTGAAAAAAATATTAAATATTTAACTGAAAAGCATAGTTTTTTTTTTTTTACTTTTCTCATCTCAATTGTATTCCAAAAATCATGAATATATTCTTTACTGCACTTTTAATAATATCGTTAACCATATACAGGAATTGTTGCACTGCACTATAGGAAGGTGCTTTAGGAATGCTAACTTAGGTCTAAGTTATGCTATACTTGACCTTTACCATTTTTGTAAACAATTCCATGTAATGGCGACGGAGTTAGGAAAAGAGTCACAAACCGCAAAAAATGCAACCAAGTTGCAAGTTTCAAACTGTGTTTCGGATTTGTCAGAGAAATCTCAACATTTGTTTAGTTCTTTGCTGAAACCTCAAGTCCCAGTCATTCAATACAATTTAAATCAATTAGAGGAGAGAGCAAAAAACTTGGAACTAAAGGTCGTTTCTACACGAGATGGCGATACGAAAGCGTAAGTTTAAACTATCAAAGGCAAAGACTTTTGCTTGAACGAGTTGGGAAATAAATACAACAGAAGAGCGAAGCGTTTAAAAATGTCTTGTATATCGTTGCGAATTATTTTACTATTCACTTGGAGTAATTCTTAAATGGAATGCTAACTTAAGTCTAGACATTATTTACTCGCCGAGAGTGGTATGAATGTTGAACAGACACGCCAAAAGATATATTCTGTTTACATCCAATCCCAATGGGATTCCCTTGAGATGGAGAAGCGTACGTTGTACGAACACCCTCACGGCAAAATCTACAAAGAGCAAAACGTGATCGCTAGTATTGAAGCTGGTTTGCAATCCAGCGCAAATGATTTTCAGATTAAATTAATGAAAGATAGTGGTCTTTCCTGGGAAAATCGGAAGATGGGATTTTTGCAAGATACAGGGAGGATGCTACGCTCAAAGGATAATACTGTTTTGGGTGCTTCTGTAACGATGTCTTTACAGTCGAGTTTTGCCAAACCTGGTTTGAAAGAATCGTTGGTTGCTCAGTCTCAGCCAACGTACTCTTTGAGAACGCCAGCTTCAAGCGTATTACACGTCCCCGACCAACTTTCTTCTTCAGTCGGGTATGAAGCATCCCGCAATCAACCACCAAGCCAGTCTGGAATTTCTGAGAAATTTGGAATATTTGCTGCAGCTATTCACAAACTGAACAGCGCGCGTATTCACGGCCAGATCGTCCGAGTTTGGTCTCTATTCGCTTCTGCTAGCAGAAAGATTGATCGGGAATATCCTCAGCTTTTGGATGCATGGTCTTTATTGGCTTATATGGTAGACGAGAAATCAAATAACGTACATGCATTTGAGGCTACGACAAGTAATGCAGACAAGACTGATGTCAACCCTTCATTTCAAAAAAACATTATCCATGGATCTTTACGCTTTTTAGAAGTTCAGTTTTTAGCATTTGTCGATGCACAACTATCGGATAATGGTCACGTTTCTTCAACCAAGCCATTGGATAAAATGATTACTTACACACGCCTAAGGTTTTTTAAGAATAATTCTTGGGTTAAGCCAACTATCTCGATTGCTGATGACATTCCTATTTGGGCTGTCTTATTTTATCTTATGCGTGCTGGTTTACTGGATATCGCGCTAGAATTTGTTACTACAAATGCTGGCGTATTTGAGAATTTTGGTCGCTCTTTTCCTTCTTATTTCAATGCTTACGCAAAAAATCCTCATCAACCTCTTCCCAAGCAGCTTCGTGATCGTTTGCAAGCCGAGTATGCCCAGCTCATGAAATATGCTCCTGAAGATCCATTCAAACATGCTATTTATAAATTGCTTGGTCAATGCGAGCCTCATCGTATCTCACTTCCTGAAGTGTGCATAACTTCTGAGGATTATATGTGGATGCAATTAATGTTTTGCCGCGCCAATGCTAATAATTTTGTCACTTCCAACTTAGATCAACCTCCTGTAAACAATTTTGATTTGCAACAACTTCAGAAGAAGATTATAGCCTTTGGACCAAGGTATTTTAATCCAAAAAATAGTACTCCTGTTAATTTTTTCCTTGCTCTCTTGATTTGTGGTGAGTTTGAGCGAGCTGTTAATTATCTTTATACATTTTATCCCGTTGAAGCTACCCATTATGCGATTGCCATGTCCTACTATGGTCTTCTTCACACCTGTAATTATGAGAAAAACGAAAATATTCTTATTCATGAAGCGGAATCTGTACGCATTAATTACCCACAACTTATCGTGGCCTACATTGGCTACCTTGTTTCCGTAGATACATTGGTCTATCTTGACTATATTGCTTGCATATCTCTGGTATCCTCATATAAAACGTGCTGCATGAACCTGGTTAAAATTATGTTGCTTCAATCACATGACTTTTCAAAGTTTTTGGGTGATATCCGGAAGGACACTGAACGCACAACTGGTTTGTTAGATCTCTATCTACCTCTAGTACCGTTTGATCAAACTTCGCTGCAGGCCCTGTATGCGGAAGGAGCTAGAAATGCAGATGATGACGGTCGCTACGGAGATTCTATTCTATTATATCATCTTCTAGGGGATTACGATACCGTAATAGGGGTTGCTGTAAAAAATCTCAGCAAAAGTATAATTTCACGTGGTTTGTGGATGGCAGAGTCCCAAGAACAGAGCCATGAAAAATCCTCACCTAACGTTGTAGCTAATGGTGCACCTGATGTTTTAGCAAGAAGTCTTCTAGAAATATATGAGAGTAACCCCGAAAAGTCAATCAAAGTAAGTACTTTGAACAAAGACATGTGCAAATTACTGCTTCTGGTTATGGATGCCCGCAGTCTTTATGACAGGGAAGAATGGCAGGAAGTTTTGAGTGAAATCGCGAAAATGGATATCTTACCTCTTGATGGAAGTTTGGAACACGCTCACGAAACTATAAATTCGCTCTATTTGCGTCAAAAAGCTCATGACCTTTTAACACTATCACCCGAAATCGTAAACATCGTTCCTTTCTTACTGTTTATGGCCATGTCTAGTATTAAAGCATTATTTACTAGACTACATTATAATCCTACTGAAGCGGAGGATAATCTGTTAACAAGCTTAAAATTCATAGCCTCAAACCTGGTTATGTACAGCACTATGATTGAGCATCGGTTGCCTCCGCATGTCCTTGAATACTTGCAATCAGTGCAAATTAATTAGACGTAAACATCAATCCTTTACTAAAATGATACATAGATATTGGAATGTTATTGATGAATACTACTTAGTGGGTTGGATAATCAAATAAATGAAGTTTTCTTTTTTTGGGTTCATTAAATTGCATCGACCTTGTATGATACATTGTGTCTTTTGAATTATACAAGTTTTGGGCGTTTCTGTGTTGTTTGTCTTCATATTATTTTTGTTTTCTTTTCCACCTATGATGAACTTAATAATTTGTGTTTTTATTGTTTATCATTACATAAGCCCAAAGTTCGTATAAAATAAGCTGTTTGTATTTTAACGAAATTTAGACCTTCGCTATCCATATTAAAGACATCAGCCTGGCTGACTCTAGGTTACGCTTCTCTGGGGTCCTAACCTTTACCACCAAGTCTGTTATAGTCGAACTGGAATATTCACAAAAATAACATATTGAGAGATATCAATTTTAATTTGTAACTGAGGGGCTTATAGCAGATTACAGATTATCTGCTTTGTACAAGATGGAGAACTCAACGGTGCGAAATGGTGCTAGGATTCTGCCTCCTGAAGCCATTTCGAAACGACATATTGGCCCTTATGTGATGAAAGAGACGTTAGGAGAAGGATCATTTGGGAAAGTGAAGCGTAAGTTGTCGGGAAAAAGGAGTACTTTATGATTAACCGGTTTGGTTATAGTTGCTACACATTATAAGACCCATCAAAAAGTGGCTTTGAAGTTCATTTCTCGTCAGTTATTGAAGAAAAGTGATATGTATATGCGTGTTGAACGCGAGATTTCTTATTTAAAACTTCTTCGACATCCTCATATCATCAAGTTATATGATGTTATTACCACCCCAACGGATATTGTAATGGTTATTGAATATGCTGGAGGTGAATTATTTGATTACATTGTTGAAAATAAAAGGGTAAGTTGTTGAATGAGAAATGAACGAATTCCGAGTTCAACTGGAAGTGTCTTTATCCTTCTTAATTCTCCCCATTCTATGAATTCGACTAACACTAATTAGATGACAGAGGATGAAGGTCGACGATTTTTTCAGCAGATCATATGTGCTATCGAATATTGCCATCGGCACAAGATTGTTCACCGGGACCTAAAACCTGAAAACTTGCTCTTGGATGACAAATTGAATGTAAAGATTGCTGACTTTGGCTTATCAAACATTATGACTGACGGAAACTTTCTTAAAACTTCATGTGGAAGTCCCAATTATGCCGCTCCCGAAGTAATCAACGGAAAACTATACGCTGGTCCTGAAGTTGATGTATGGAGTTGTGGTATTGTTTTATATGTCATGCTTGTGGGACGTCTTCCTTTTGATGACGAGTTCATTCCTAATTTGTTCAAAAAAGTAAATAGTATGTACAGCTACTTATATACATATCGACTTGCTTTGATTCTAATACCTTACTTTATTTAGATTGTATTTACGTGATGCCAGATTTTTTATCACCAGGAGCTCAGTCTCTCATTAGACGAATGATCGTTGCAGATCCCATGCAACGAATCACCATTCAAGAAATTCGACAAGACCCTTGGTTCAATATTAATTTGCCTGATTATTTGCGTCCCATGGAAGGCTTCCAGGATTCTTATGCGGATCCATTAATTGTTAGTAAACTGGGAGATGCTATGGGATATCCTGAAGATTATATCTATGAGTCCCTACGCTCTGAAAGTAACAACGAGTTAAAGGAAGCATATGAATTATTGCATGAAAATCAAATTATTCAAGAAAAAAGTTACTTTTCGAAATCAAAGAGAGTCGATTCCTTTCTTTCTGTTTCCCCTCCTGCCTTTACCGAATATGCTGATGATCTGAATAGTTCGAAAGAACCAGAATATCTTGAATCTATGATTGAAGGATCTAGATGGTCACAGTCAGAACCTCCTGCTCATCAAGAGCAGACTGTGGAAAGCAACATCCGCGTTCTTGTTCCAGGTGAAAATAATCAGTTGGTAATGAAAACTTTATCTGATGCAAATAATGAAGCTGCTCTGTTACAAACAGGAAAGAAAAAAAGCAAAAGAAATCGTTGGCACTTCGGCGTCCGCTGCCGCGGAGATGCTCCCGAGATTTTGCTTGCCGTATATCGTGCTCTACAGCGTGCTGGTGCTCAATTTACAGTCCCAGTTCAGCACAATGGTAAATACAAATCAGACATGTACACTATTAAGAGTATTTGGGAAATTCCTCATTGCAGAAAAGAAGGAAGAAAAGTCTACGCATATGTCGAGTTACAACTTTATGAGGTTATGCCAGATTGTTATATGTTGGATGTTAAGTCAAATGGATATAAAGATTTTTCACGACCTGGTGATTACGGAACCGCTGTTCCAGATCACGAAGAAGATGATTTAAAATCCTCATTTCCCTTTTTGGATTTATGTGCTACCCTCGTTTGCAAACTATTTTCTGCTTAAGAACTTTAAAGTTCCTGTATTTTATTCAATCACCTTCTTTTCTTTTTTTCATTTTTACGAACTCTATATTGAAATATGTTATGAATTCACATTTCGGACAAGTTCCTAAGGTGAACTATGCCATACATGGTTATGCAGATTATAACATGTCGAAACTCGCATTTATTGGTGTTTGCTCAGTAACAAATTTTATGATGTTCGTTGAATATTGAATTTTAAAGCGAATTTGAAACAGTTGCTTTGTCAAACCAATTCGACTATTTTAATAATTGCACCAAATAAGAACATATCCGGTTGATCTTTACCATGTAAACCTTTTCCTTTTTTTTTATAAAAAACTTTAAGAAAATATACGTAAGTGTTAGTGCAAGTTTCTTATGTTATACTTAATGTTAAATAATACTTCTCAATTATACGTATTAATATGAAAGTAGGTATATTAAGTAGAGGATTCAGAATACAAGAGGATAGACAAAAGGGGTACCCAGTCGAGGACTTGAATATTGTTCATAGGGGAGGAACCTGAAAACTTCAGAAGTTTGGTTTATTGAAAACAATGAAGCAAAATTGAGGAATTATGATTTCACTGAAAAAATCTACAACGCTTGTTGATGTTTTGAAACTAAGCAGTATATACAATGATATTCAATATGTTTTCATTATTCTATGTAGGTAGGTATTGCTACTCAATACCAATTTTCATACTCAGTGTTTTCTAGTTTACGAATTTCTACATTCATTTTTTTACCAAAAAAAGAAAAAATTGTTCGTTTCTATTATATATCTGCTCTCTTCTACCAGCCTTAATAACCGGTAACTTGGTAAAAATTCTGATGCTTGGAAGGTAACATGTGTTTGCTGGTGGAGACATTAATCAAGTAGCAAGACCTCTTCAATCCTTAGCGCGACATACGAACATTGAGAAAGGCCCATAGTAAACTTTTAAAAAGTCATTCAAAGAGGACTGTTTGATTCCGTTTATGAATAATTTTAATCATACTCAGAGGGGTGTCAATGAAGCTCCATTTGACACCTCATTTGGAAGTCAACCTAACAGCTCTTCTGGAAATACTCATTTTCCGGTAACTTTAAACGCTGGAGGTGATGATTTAGAAAAAAATCTAGACGAAAAGCTCATGAACGCGTTTCCTGGTATGTAATGATTCAACTTTTTAGGCCAGCAAGTGAGTTGCGTTGAATAAAGTAGCTCCTGCTCTTCAGTATTTGCAAGGTATAGTCATTAACGATCTTCTAGGCTTAGAGTCTCATGTTTTCCAGCATTCTCAGCCACCACCCCATCCATTTGAAATGCCTACTTCTTTTGAAGATCAATACCCGTCAAGTAAGTTTTGAAAACGTTATATTCGGATTGTATTAACAGTGTATCCTTAGATTACTTTCCTCTCGAGGCTTCTTATCCCAATCAACCACACTTTCCATCTTTAGCATCACCTCCTAATAATGCATCACCTTTTACTACCCAATTTCCTTACTCCGATACGGATAATAGTTGGCAATTCCCTCAATTGCCTCCAGTTGATTCAAGCATGTCTTCTGGACAGTTAGACCCTTCGACTTTATCTTCTTTCCAGCCCAATATTAGTTTTCAACCCAGCGCGTCATCGTCTTTTCAAAATCCTTTATTAAAACAACCAGGTGGACCTGTTGATTTTAAAAATACATCTTTGGACAGTAATCCTGTTCCTGCTTCTTCCCATGGGGGCAACAACACTTCCTCGGGCACCATTAGCCCGAGCCCACCTGTAAGGCCATCTTCTGAGAAACTAGTCATTGAAAAGTTAAAATCAAAAGCAAATCAAAAACCGACGGAAACTTCTTTGGCATCTTTGCGACAAACACTTAATGAATGCCTTGATCCATTAAACACTAGCCAGGCACCCAAAGAATGCGTTGCTATCCTGGTGAACATGATGAGTACCGTATCTCAAGATGATCAGAAGTTACTCTTTCTTGAGATTTTGAAAAACAATAGTGAAGCAACGATCTTCTCAGAATTAGTAGACGGTGGTCGCAAATTATTTCTTCCGAAACTACGTAATTGGTTTGTTTCTGCTATTCGTTCTAAATCAGATAAAGTTATTCATTCAATTTTGCTTTTGTTATGTAAATTACCCATATCTGCTGAAAGGCTTGCGGATGTTAAGTTTGGTAAACCAATTCTGATTGTAAAAAAGAAATCAGCAAATTCTGTTATTCGGCAACACGCAGAAAGACTTTCAGACCTAGCTGAAAAATCTGTCGCTGTTGAACTCGGTAAGGATCACACGAAAGATGCTGAGAAAGAATCCAATAAACCCGTAACTGCGAAGACGGTAACGAATGCGAATGTGGCATCTACAAATATCAAGAATCCTCCAACTAAAAAAGTCACCAGTGTTCCGGGTACTTCTTTTTTCAAAAACTTGTCTAATCCATCGAAAACCGGTACCCCTGCTTCTACGGCAAAGCCCTCGACATCAGGTGCTAAGCAGACTCCTACATCAACGCCCCTTTCTTCTATAGTAGCAGGGTTAAAAGGGAAAGATGCTGATTTACAGAAGTCTCAATTATCAGGTCAATCCAATGCACGTGACGAGTTACCTAGTTTTAGAAAACGTCCCGTGAAGTCCGAAGAAGAATCTGAAAAGTCTGAACCATCAAGTGAAGAAAACTCTCTAAAGAAGAAGCGCCGGAAGAAATCCGTTACGTGGAAATCCGATGATGAGCTTGTTCAAGTTAAGATCATTGAGCATGCAAACGAAGAAGAATCAGCTGTTAAAACACCTCATATCTACGGTAGTGCAAGAGATTTAGATAGACAGGAAGCTCGTGTTGCTTTTGGTAATCAAGTAGAAGACGATGTTGAAGACGAGATAATTTGGTACAAGCCAAAACCCATTGAATTTGTGATTTCAAAAGAAGAATTACATCCACGAGGTTATAAGCGTGGTGGTGATTCTAATGCTAAGTCAACTTTGGAATGTAAAGACGAAGATGAACGAGAAAGTCAGCTCAATGCTAATCCATCTTCAGCTACGTCTGTTTTGTCCAATGTTACGGAGCCCATAAAAGTCTTTGATACTACCTTACCTCCCGTGTCTATACCGCTCCCCAAGGAAATTGAAAATTCCCTTCATGAAAAGAATACTGATTTAACAAATGCCGGCAATCATGAACCTGTATCTGAGAACAACTCGAATACTCATTTAAGTTCCATCCTTTCCAATCTGTCATCATCGGCATCTTCTCAGCAACTTCAAAATCCGTCCCTCATGATACCTAATAATGCAAGTGCCTACTCAAATGTCTAATTATGAATTTCAGCTTTTATCTAATACAGGATGGTTGGTTTATTCAAATGATCTATTGCTAATATTTAACGGACTATTTGGCTGATTAGAAGTGTTTATTTTTTAAAATTTTTTGATATAATATTTAACTCATCAAAAGCATCCATTAATCAATCGGTAGTTTCCTTTTTTCCTATTTTTTTATTTACTATTCCTTAAGGCTACATATACAACATATGAGAATACAAGCAGATGGGTTAGTTCGTAGATTTTATTATTTTCATATCTAAAGGGTTATCATATGCCATTTTTAAACTCATGATAGAGATGCCATTTCGTTCATAAACTGACTAGGTGACTGAACGTCGGTACTGCCGTAGGTTATATGCTTGGGTGGATTTTGTTCTTTTGCCCAGGCCATCAAATTTCCGTATTCTAAGTAATTACCACCACCCAAAACACACACAATAGCTTCATTAAATATCTGGCGTTTGTTCATATTTCTGGGATCATTAGAAGCATAGGAAGCTTTAGGGTCAAATATTAGATAAGACTCTGTCTGCTTGGACACGGAAGAAGATCCGGGATCCATTAGGCTTTGAACGATGGAACTTATGGTCCCATCTTTTCTAAAGGGGATTAAATTTTTAACACCGGAAATTATGTTTTCTAGACCGCCAATCCCAGCCTCCTTAAATCGATCGGTAAACTACTGGTTAGCCATTTTCTCAAAAAATAAATTTGAATAAACATACTTTACTGGAAAGACTCGAAAATCCACCAAAGATATTATCACCGGATTGATTAGCGACTGGGCGCGTCGTGGAAGAAGCCAGCATGGTCATTTTAGTAATTTCACGGACCCTACCATAGTTAGCATAAGGAAGAGAAAAACTTTCTTAAAATTTACCTTTTGACAAAATTAAGAGCTTCTAAATTACAGCCATTATTCACCAATGCCTCTTCATATGCTTGCAAGTCGGTACTGGGAACTGCGTCAACACTCAAGTACCAAATAATAAAAAATCGAAGCTTGTCTTCCGGTGTGCCTTTGTCTTTATCATTTAAGCAAGAAAGAATAGCACTTTTATTTAGTCCTGTAATGTTGTCTTCCATTTGGAAAAAATCATCAAGGTGTCGCTCTTTTATGGCTTTCAAAATTGCTGTCGCAATACTCATATGCATATCCAAAAGCTGTTTACGAGCCGTAAGTTCTGGGAGAAGGCTAACCGCGGTCTTCAAATAAGCAGAATCAGTAAATGCATCGGCATTAAATTCCTCTAACGAAGAAGCACCAGAACGTCTTGTTATTTCATTTGCATCATTCTTATAACGGGTTAATTCTTCGTCGATATTCTCAGCTACCTCTGGAAATGGTTTATTGGCATTCGCTTCCCAAAAATAATCGCTCCCATTTAAGTCATAGGATTGCTTAGAGGTTTTTCCCTCATTAGAAGTTTCCATGGTTACTCTATTGAGGTGCATATTCAAAGTGTCATGGATCAATGCTTGATATGTCCAAGAATGATTAATCATGGGAACGAGGTCAACAGTCCTGTCTAACAATATAAGCAAAGGACGGATTTTTGGATTTAAAGTATTAAACGCATCCTTTGTATTCATTAAGTGATCTTTTAGACGCTGATTCAGTTTTCTAGCAACCAACTCAGCAGCAGACCCTTGGGGGCAACGAATAATAGGGATTGTCCCGAGAGTGACAATAACGGAAAAAAGTCTATTCGTTGTACTTTGAATTGTGTTTTCAATCAGTGCATCATCGGAAGAAGGACTGTGGATTGTATGAAAGACCCTTGGGAGCTGGAGTGAGAAGAAGTCAGATTCTAATACTACGTAGTTTAGGTATTGATCGTAAACTTGATTGATCATATGGCTTGTATTCGATTTCGAGGCAAGTTCTGCAAATTTTTCTAAAAGACTTCTTGGGATGCTGGAAGAGAAACAGACGTAAGCAGATTCGTACAAGCCTTTTGAGAGGTCCTAGTATTGTTAGCAACATATATAGTTTAGGGGTTTTAAGTAGAATAAAGGTGAAGATTAGAGATTTTTTCTCGCTAGGATAATTGGTAATATACATACATTAATGATATACTCAATATTTTCTTCCGTAGGTTGAACGAAGTAAATTGCAGGAACGTCAGCTATAGGTTGACGAGAAGAAGTAATATTCATGTGGACGGTGACACCGTGCTTCCTCAACTCAGAAATGCGCATTACAGAAGATATGGTGTCTGAACCAGACTTATCAAAAATCAAAACTTTCCAAATCGGAAACTCCGATTTATAATTAGGGTCCTTTTCTAATTCATCAACATCTTGATTTAAATTCAATAGCTTTTCTAGAGAACCTATATTTCCCTGTTAATAAAAGTCCCAGAACTAATTGATGTTTCGAAACAAGAATGATTTTAACTTACGGATATGAGTTTCTCTCAATGTCAAAGTTTCGTTTGAAGTTGTTAGCGACATCTTACTGATCCGTTTTTCAGCATAAATACAGCTCTAGTAATGTGGTGGACAAGATTCTCCTTCACTGTTAAACCAAAGTCTCTGGTGGTGAGTTTCAAATAAGGAGATAAAAGGAAGTACCTTGATGGTAATGAGTAAACAAAAGAAAGAAGAGTAAAGTGTACGACGTTCATGAACAGCATGATTTCTTTCTCAGTTGGTTTTTCTTTTTCTTTTTTAATGCTTAATCATGGCAACTTTGGAACACTCTAACTCCTACGATTATCATTTATAATGACGGAAAGCGAAGAATACTAATTATTATTCATTCGTAAACTATGAAATGGAGCATTAAATGAGTGGTTATCCTTCTCCCACCGTCTGTTTAAGGGAAAGATACGTTCGATTACAAGAAAAGATCATCTCATCGTTGAAAGACGTTTCCTTCAGTCCTACCTAGGACAAATTCAAGAGCACCAAGACAAGATTAAGAAGCTTCATATTTCTAAAGTCTTTTCCGTTACTACCTTTGCTCTTTTGTCTGGTTTTCAAAAAGTACTCCTTTCTAAGTGACAATAAACAATGCAACAGGTAACATCATGAAGAAGTGATTTTGTTTGAATTAGCATTGTATTACTATGCATGAATAGTTTAGAGTCTTTGTTACGAAAACGATAAGAGCAATCATTGCTGGGTTGATTCAAAATGCAAGCGTGTTTTATGCGGCGTTCAGTATTATGGATTTCATCATATAAGATGTTCTTCTGTTAAGTGATAATTTTGCCTTTGCAGACGACATTCAATAATTTTCGAGTTTCAGATTTGATGCAAAGTCGTCTAAGACGATGAAGAACCTTTCTCTTCCAGGAAGAAACATCTGGTGTTAAAGTACACTCTACAAAAGACGAATGCAAGGGACATTGTTAGTACCTATTCCAATGCATTTAATGTTACTATGTCATTTCGGAATCTTTGCTTTTCATCATTTGTCCAAACGATATATGCACTTGAGAAATCTGCGTCATCCCAATTGTAAACAATGAGGGGTAGTTGGAAGTATAAATAGACCATAAGTACGCGCTTTTTCCCTTTAGGCCTGCATTTTGGTGGATATATGAAATAAAAACAAAATATAGGAATGTATACTTCCTTACAGAATAATACACATATATTTTATGACAAAAAAAAAAAAAAGCATTTTTATCTCTTCTTGAAACTTTCTTGTATATTTATTCCTTTTGAAACCTTTTTTTAATTCCTTAAATCGCAATTATCAAACACAAAACTGGATGCAAATGTCCTATTGCTTTTATGCGTTCGTTTGCTTTCAAAAGTTACGGCTGTGTCATTCAATTCCCTAGATTGTAGTAGTCTTTATTTTTTACGTGAGGCCTGGTGTGGTCTGTGGATTTTCTTGAAGAAAAACCCGTCATGAACATGCTTCGCGAAGAACGAAAGATGGTTTAAAGGGTGAGTGATGGCTAGTTTGTTGAAAGCAGATCTACCATAAGCATTCTATTATATTGGACTAGTACAAGTTGAATATTCTTTTCAAATTACTTCATCTTGTTCTCTAAAACGCCAATCCTTCATTTGCTTTCTTTTTATTCATTAAACTTCATAAAACCATAAACTACACAGTGTACATTCAACTACAGCTTTGATTCTTTTTATTTTTTGAAAAATAAAAAGACAAAAAAGGAATCATTTGAAAGACAACTAGTGTTTGTCTTTAATTTTTATATCTCTTCACCGACGTTTCGTGAAGAGAGAGAACCCAGAGAACAACGAATCTTCTCATGAAGACCGAACTGTTTGCTCTAACGAACTCCAATTCTCTGTCTCCCAGGGAACTAAGTGAACAGACATCTGGGCTTGACTCACTGTTTTCTGGTGTCGATACGCCACTGCCAAATCGGCAGGCTCAAAAGGATGCGTATATAGGGTGTGAGCAAACGCTGTAGCTATTGCGGGTGAAGTGTATCTTTGCTCTATAAGCAAAGACCAAGTAGTAGCAGCATCGGGATGTATATATAGTTGTTGCAAGAGTAGGGCTTGTAATTCTTTAGGATCATACGCCATTGTTAACATCGCAAGTAGCTTCTCTACAACGCTTAGAGTCTCTGGATTTGAGATCTTATCCTTGTTTAAATTCAAAAGAGCCTCTTGAATCGCCGCCATCATTGCAGTATCGTTATCAGCAACACCAATGGCACCTAGACATACGAGAGAGTCAATATGTTCAGGATGCTGTTCAGTCACCGAAAGAAGCTGTTCTCTTGCTGCCTGTTTACCAGTTTCGCTTCCCAATGCCCAAAGTACCTTTGCAACTAGTACCACGACATCTGGATGAGATTCTCCCAACTCCAAAGACTTCTCAAAGTGTTGTAGAGACTGTTCCAAATTGCCTAAAAAGTATGCTGCCAACCCACATGTAAGATTCAACCCCACAGAAACTTGCTTAGCACTATTGTCTTCTTCATTGATCAAGTCCAAAGCAACAGAAGCATGCTCGGAAGACTCCTCAAATTTGTTCAACCGTAAACACAATCTTGCCAACTGTCCTTTAGCATCAACGTATTTTTCAAGTGCACCGACAGACTCGGTAGCATCATACTCCTTTTCTAACAATTGACATAGCACACGTGCAGTTTCAGTACTGTCATTAGGTTCTTCCAAGTGTTCCAAAAGGCTGCTCTTTATGAAGTTGGCATATGCGTCGTTGGGAAGTTCGGAAAGATACCGTTTGATAGCATACACAGCATTCCATAGCTTAAGTACGTCTTTTCCTTTCGACGAGTTTGCCACATTAAGCATAGCGCTTGCATACCAATAATTCACATCACGTATGTTTCCACCAGATATTTCAAAAGCATGCTGTAGGGCTTGAACAGTCTTTTCATGATCTCCAGTAGAAATTGAGCAATATGCGTATCCCAACCATGCGCGCGAATTATCAGGGTCTATGGAAATAGACCGTGTAAATGCATTATCTGCGCATTCAATATCCAAAATTTGTAAACAAAGAGCTCCGTAGTTTACCCACACATCAATATCTCTTTCGTTTATTTGCAAAGCTTGAATAAAGCAATGTTGGGCAGCTCGAATAGAAGAGCTGTTGGACAGTAAGACACCAAGCATACACCAAAAGTTATTATTCTTTGGCTCCAGCTTAATAGCTTGTTTAAGACAATCGATGGCGACACCCAAATATAACTTGTTTTTTCCAGAATTAAATAAAGTATAGTATGAAACACCAGTATTGTACCATGAAGCTGGCAACAATAGTTTATCTTCAGCTGAAAGGGATAATAAAATACTAAAGCAGGTACATCCACAGGAAATCATGTAACTTGGATCATTGTTTTCTAAATCAGGAAAATAGATCATGTTGTCTATCTGCCGCCCGTTGCTTGCAAGATTCATCGAATCAGTGGATAATAATAAGTCGGAAACATTCTTCGCAGGAAAATCAGCATGATAGTTTCCTAATTTTGAAAATATTATACAAGCATCCCCTAGCATTTTCCAGGAAGAGTATATATTAATATCCATATTCAGTACTGTGCAGCAAACTTCAATTGTCTTTTGTGATGCCAATGCAGACCTTTGGTAATACCCGTGATGAATGTAATACTTTGACAGTCGTAGACTAGTCTCTGCTAAACACAACAAAACACATATCTCGGATGGTCGGCCTTGTAAAACAGATGACAACGTTTCCATTGCATTCTCAAAGTCTCCCATATCTTTTTGGATAGAGCCGATAAAGTATCTGGTGTACCAGTCATTTGGATCTAATGCACTGGCTCTGTTAAATGCTTTCAAAGCGGATATGTAACGACCAGACCTAGCATAAGCTTCCCCTAGACCACTCCAGCAATGCGTGTCTTTGGGAAAAATACGTAAAGCTGCTTGGAAATGGACAATAGCATTTTGGAAATTTTTAGAATGCAATTGGAAGACACCTAAAGACTTATGATGCCAATTAAACTTTCTTTTGCGCTTCAAGTCATTCTGGCTAGTACTTAGAACACGTCTGGAAATAACCTCCACTAACTCCCATTCTTCAGCCTCAGCAAACATTTTCGCTAATTCTTCAGCAGCATCTGTTTGTGATGCTTCCAATTCAAAGGCTTTTTGAAAACATTTCATAGCTCGAGAAATATCATGTACATTTCTATAGTAATATCCCAATTCGGTGTAAGTGGAAGCAAAATTGGGCTCGCAGCGCAAAGAGGAAACGAAGGCTGCAAAAGACTTCTCTTCATAGTTTTCAATTTTGCTTTTTGTGGTATAAATACCAAAACGATAGTAAGCTTCTGCCAAAGCCGGCTTATTTTTGGTGTTTCCTTGCAAAATCTGTAAGCAAGTTTGAACTTGCTCCATGGCTTTATCAAGATCACCCAACATATAGTAACACCATGAAAGCTGAGATAAACAAGGATCCTCGGGATTTTCCCGGAGCACATTCTCTAAAGTTTGAGCGGCATCACTGTACTGCTCATTTTCCATTTGCACACCGGCTAAACCAATAAGAGCACTATAGTTATTAGGTACGTGAGCTAGAACTTTCTTATAAAGCTCTTCAGCTTGTAATATATATCTTGGCACCTCGTAGTAAGAATAGCCAATAGCAAGGAATAAAGAGAAGAGATATGGTAGTTCTTGATACTGAAGGCCTGTATCTGACTCTGTTTTCTTCAATGTATTCAATGCTGACAAGCTAAGCTGGACAGCATCACTATACTCTTTTAAGTACACGCAATACTGGGTATACACTTCAGTAATTAACAAGGATTGAGGGCATTCCTGATAGGATTGAGATAATATGGACAGCACTTGGTCTTGTGGAAGTAAACTTTCATTCGGTTCATCTTCATTGTGGCTATCATTTTGTTTAGATAAGGAATTTTCAGGCTCTTTTTCTTTCGGCGGATGCGTTTCCATCCAATAATCGGAATTTTGAATTGCAACCAACGCTTTAGATAAAGGGTTTTCTGAAAACAGGGTGCAAAACTCTTCGACTTCATTTGGATTCAATTGATCGATGTTTGAATGGTCCTGCCATTCCAAATAAATAGTCCATGCAGTCGGTTCTGGAATATGTAACGTTACCATGCCTTGCACAAGTTCCCAAACTTTATTTTTCCATATTGCCTTTCCTTGACTGTCAGACGCGTAGAGCCGTTTCAAATACATGTATAATAACTTAGTTTCCGTCAAGCGACGAACTTCATCATCCTGAGACCAATTTATAATTTCCATATAGATATTTTCGATAGGAGAATTATCCATAATTTCTTTTTCCACATCGCGAACTACCTGATCAAGGCGAGCGCCAAGTCTATTTTTTCTTTTGTTGATTTCTCGTTGCGAATAATCATTATCAAGAGACTCTTGCAAGTCTGCCATTTGCATATACAAACTTTGGACAGGTTCGATTCGACCTTCAAGATACTGATATAATTCGCCCTGACTAGGTGTCAGTAAAGTCAAAGCTTTCATTTGATCAGCTTTAGAACCCTGCTCACGAACGAGGCTCAAATATTTATTGACAAAATTTAAACATTTTTCACTTTCATTTGCCTCCATGAACTTGTAAGCCAACACTTCTGTTGACTGATGAAGACCTTGAATGTCTTTGAGTTTTTCCTGTAGGTTCCATAAACCCTGCCAAGCAAGCAGAGGTTTATCATCTAATTCTATTGCATTTTGGTATGCCTTCTTTGCCTCTGGCTCCTTATTTAAAGAAGAGTAAGCAACACCTAGAAAGACATAAGCGTTATAATTCTCAGAGTCAAAAGAGAGAGCTTTTTCACACTGTGTTATAGTTTCTTCATAGTCTTTTGTGCTTAAAGCCTCTCTGGCAGCTTTCAACGCAGGTTTCGCCATGGCAATGGCTCGCTGGTAGTTTGGTGGTAGTTTAAGTGGCATACATAGGAACCTCTCTGTAAGGTCTACTAGCCTTGGTTACAGAAGCAGATGTCTTATAGGACTTACGAAAATAAAGCTCTAAATATCAGAAAATGTAAAATAATAGAAATTCTTCATTTGCATACTTGCCATTAGTGAAAACCACAAATAGTAACTGAATGGTTTAAAGCTACTTAAAAAGAAGGCAAGGAGAATAAATATGCCTTTGTATTTAATTTGTTTTCCATAGATCAAAAAGGCTGATGGATAGGATGCATGACACCCATTGATTTTTTCATGCTCCTCTAACAGCTACTATACTGATTGAATGTTGAACAGCTTAGGTATCGAGACGTTACATTTAAAGTTGAATTGAATTCCACTGATATTTGATACGTCTAGTATTTAATAGAGAGCAAGAAACGATATCGGTTCTTGGGGCATGAATGTAGGAAATTGGGAAAAAAAGAAAAAAGGGCAAAACGGCAGACACATTGAAACATATTTTAAATATTTACATTAAAAAGATAAATAAAAACATCCATGTCAAAATAACGTGAAAATGAATGTCGTAAATATATATAACATACTTCATAACAAAATTCGCTTGAGTAAGTAAATCACATGCAAAGGTAACTGGGGTTTTAGAGATTTATGCATTTATAGATGTACTCCCAGTAGATTTTTGAGAACGATGTTTGCGTTTTCTAGCCGACGAAGGGATTGGGAGTTCGGCGACAATTCTTGTTTCGACTGGAGGAACTTTTGGATCTTCCTTTTTATTCTTTTCTTCTGATTGAAAAGAGCTCTTTTCTTTGTTTTCATCTTTTTCGTCCAAAGACACAGAAGAACCTTTCTTATTCGATTTCGTAACGGCGGGTTTTAATTTGGTATCATTTGCAAGTTCCCGAGGAGACTCTGAATGGGAATGTACATTTAATAACGTAGAAGAGACTGGAGAAATAACGGGAAGCTCTTGGAACTTTGAATTTTCATCTCCATTGCGAGTAAAGCAGGAATCCAAAGCGGAAAACACTGTGTGTAAGAAGAACCCGGAAACGATACCAAGAAAAACGGCCCATGATAATAAAACATACAATGGATAGATAGTGACACCCACCATAAAAACAAAGCGAGCCGGCGCTCGTATAAAGTACCAGTATATCGACTGTATCATGAGAATGGCAGGATCAGCAATAATCAATAAGAGCATTGTGATAGCTTTTATAAAGAACATAGAAATTGTATAAAGCAAATAAATTCCTGGCAAGAAAATACGCCGAAAGACAGCGGAGCTAATGCTCCATAAGACGACAAACACAATATATAGAAAACTAGACATAATACTTGTAAAATTCGCCATCCATTGTAAAATTCCTTCGCGTAAACTAGGAAAAACCCCTTGGATTTTATCTATTATGAATTTATCCATGGCTGCAAACTCCTACAATGAATTTGGTTCATTATAAACAAACTCAAGTGACGCATGCTCGGTATTCCTTATAACTATACAGAGACAATAGTATACCATAGTATTATACGATATTGACAAGTAGGTCGTGTGTTCTTTGAGTTTTGAGTCTTAAAGACAAAAGCTACTTATGAATCTTTCACTTCTTCTTATATAACAAAATAAAATCAAATGCCATCAACTTGGATAATCCTTGCTCTTGAAATCGTTCAGCCTCAGGGGTTACAGTGTTACTTCATTTGATGTTAAAAAATAATCAAGTAAAAATGGCGAGTAAGAAGCATAGGTTGGTTTTGTAGGGACAAGTTGTGAGTTGCAACTCAACTTGCCTTGAAAAAACTACACAAAGGGAAACACACACATTATGATTGAGAAAGAATGTGGGCTCCCTCTTACAATAAGATGCTCCCATTACACCTAAACGTTCACTTCTGTATTGTCTTAAAAATAACGTAGGAGCACCAATTCCTGATCTCAAAAGTACCATCTGGGAATACGTCGCTTATCGAAACTTAAGATATTTCTTATAGGTCAGTAAAAGCAGAGAACAAAAAGTCGGTGATAAGAAAGATATAATTGATTCAACCTGATCTTATAAGAGATTATTCAGGATCTAGTAATCTTCTGTTTTCCATAAGTGTTTATATAACAAGGTCTTTTCCCTAAAAGTAAAACACTTGGAAAAAAATAAACAAGAGATAAATTCATTCAATATGACCACCAAGGATGAAAACCCCACAATAGCTGCGTCGTCCCAACGACCTGAAAGAACAACTTACAATGTTCCAAAGCCAGTTCCTGCATACTATCCCCATTCAGGCTCTCCTATATATGCTGACAAAGAGTTGTATACCCGTATTGCAAAGGCCCCTAAGAAATTAGTGAAAACTCATTCTTGTGCTCCTCGTTCAGGCATCGCCGTTACTATCCCTGCCAAGTCGGTATTTCGTATCACTACACCAGAAGGTCCTCAGGTTTGCGATCTCAATATCTGGAACCTTCATAATCCCAGAGAACGCTTTTGGGCCGCTAGGACTCGTCAGCTTCATTCCGCTCACGTTTCCACGTTCGACAGACTGTGGTCGAATTTGCCCTACTTGCGTCCTTTGGTTACCATCACTGCCGATTCTATGGAAGCCCGTCATGATGAATGGGGAGGCCGAGTTCACGACACTTTAGGCACAAGATGTGATCCTTACGTGGACAAGCTGATCTCGGGCATTGACAATGATTTACATTGTCATTCAAACCTAACAAGATCAGTTATGCCTTACGGCCTTACTGAGTTTGATGTTCATGATGTTTTAAACGTCTTCCAAGTCACTGGCTTGAATGAACACGATCAATACTTCATGGAAGCATGTCCCGCTACTTCTTCAGACTACTTTGAGTGCTTTTGTGAACAAGATCTCCTTGTCGCAATCAGCGCATGCCCTGGGGGTGACTTGTCCCAGTGGGGTTGGGGTGAAAATGAGGAAAACACTGAAGAAAGTAAGATGATTGATTGTTGCCGTCCCTTAGCGATTGAAGTGTATCAGTTACAGGATGAGGAAAATGTTCTAAAATGTTGGAATCCCCCTCAATATATCGATTATAAGGGAAACCATGGTCTTCGCGGACCCCAATAAACGTTTGTTGGGTTCAAACATTGCATTGTTCGTAACCCTAGAACGCCCCTAATATTTAATTTTTGTAATGAAAGTATACACATAGCTGGATAAATTCGTCTCATACTTCTGTTAACACCTTTTTGAATTAAGAAACATCTACAAATTAAGCCCATCGCAAAGCTAATTAGCACTTATGGTGTAAAAGATAGTTGTCTAATCATAAATATTTAATCCAAAACACGATCAATCATCTCCAAAGTTTGACCTAAATAGTTCGCTGGATTGACAAGGTCCAACACTTGTTTTTCAGTTAGGTGATCAGTAACCGTTTTTTCCCGCAACAATACTTCTTCTAGAGATTGACCTTTCTCCTTGGATATTTTACATAGTGAATAAACCAATTCATGAGCTTCGTCGCGTCCCAAAAACGATGCTAACTTCATCATCACCGCCTCAGAGGAAATGAGCCCTTTCGTCAAACCCAAATTCATTTCCATTCTTTCAGGACTGACTTCCAGGCCCTGAAGTACAAACACGGTATGCTCTAATGCTTTTGCTGCCAGAGTAAATATCTCCGGCAATACAATCCATTCAATTTCCCAGGTACCAGTTGCGCGTTCATGATCTTCTACCATAGCTTCCAGTAAAGCCGCTACCTTTTGCCGTACACAGGAAACGCAAGATGTTATATATACGCAGGAAATAGGATTTCTTTTCTGGGGCATAGTGGATGATGATCCTCGGTTGGCAACGTAGGGTTCATTGACTTCTCCGATTTCGTTCTGCATCATCAACTTGACATCAAAGGCAAACTTTCCAAGAGTACCTGTGACAATACCTAAAAAGCATCCGGCTTCCGTAATCCGATCCCGTTCTGTATGCCAAGCTATCTCAGGTGTAGACAAGCCAAGTTCTTTTGCGAGTCGTTCCTGTACCTTTAAACCATCCTTCCCTAGAGAAGCAAGGGTACCGCAAGCGCCTCCAAATTCGATAACGGAAAGACGTGGAAGTAACTCATCCAAACGCTGAATATGCCGACGAAATGTACAAAGCAGACGGGCCATCTTAAACCCAAACGTAATAGGAACCGCTTGCTGTAAATTACTCCTCCCCACCATTGGTGTTTCCCTATATTTTCGAGCCAAAATCTCTGTAAACTCAATCGCTTGCTCTAGATAGTACCGGACGACTTTAAAACTTTCCAGTATTTGTATGATCGTAGTGGTATCAGTAACATCTTGTGTAGTGGCACCCCAATGACAATATTTTCCTGCATCTTCTCGACAAAGCTTTGCAATTTGGTGTACAACGCCTAAAACGGGATATCCAATGGTTAACGTTTCTTCTTCTAGTCTTCGGAAATCGATATTCTTCACTTCGCATACGCGACTAATTTCTTTGGAAGCTTCTTGTGGTATGAGACCCAATGAAGCTTCTGCTTTAGCTAGAGCTGACTCCCAATTCAAGTACTGCTGGGTACGATATTCGTCCGACCATATATGACTAACTTTGGTTTCCCCAAAAATTCCACGAAAGATAAAAGAATCAAAAACACTCGTCGGCATTTTAATTGACTTGATATTATGACAAGGACGAACTAGTTTGCTAAAAATTGAATTCTTCGTAAATCACCCGCATTGGTAGCTACCTAAGTATGATTTCATTTCACTGCGGTCAAGCCTAATCTATACCGAAAGGCTTGAGAATGAATAAAATTCTTGAAAAGAAGACATTCATAAAATAAAATAATTCTGACATCTCATTGTAAGTCCTGTGTAACCTTCCTGATCAACGCTTGATATACGATTCCAACATCCAGAAGCTAGATCATGTATCCTCGACTTTTAACATTAAATGAAAAGGTATCCCTACATTCCGAACTTTTAACATGAAACTTGTTTATCATGTGCTGTCTGTAGGTCTCTCTTCGGGTACCAAGCTCAGGTCAGCTGGATCTCTTTTTTGAACTCGATGTTATAAATTATAGCATTCCTTCCAAATTCTTTTCATAAAATTGACAGTGAATAGTATTCCCATCCTTGCTTTCTATCATACTGTTTCCCTAATATAATAAGTATGGGTAAGTTGTGTTCAAAGCCATCCGTTTCACAGACAACTTTCTGTCATTGAGCAAAATCGTTTCGTTGTTTTAAGATCTTTGGATCTTAAAACTTTGGAAATTTGGATTAAAAACCACGGACGTAGTATGGTACGTAGCAAAATTCCACGCTACAACGAATCCTTCACCATGAAAAAAAAATGAAACATTTGCTTTTCCTGTAACGTTAATAATATTTTTCTTGATATTTAACATCATGTTAATCGTAAATAAAAGTCTATTTACATATTTTCCACTAAAGCGACGAGTAACTTGTTACCTTCTGTCCAAGTTTAGCAAGAGTACAACAATTTCAAGTCAACTGTACAGCAAGAATCAAATCTTCGCAAATATTCTTGACATTATGAGCTTGGCTGACTTTTTTGAAAGTAAGTGATTTTTTTTCAAAGGAAATATTGACATCCGGTGTTTGGCAGAGAAAGTTCAAGTCATTACCAATGATGGACGTGTTGTTTTAGGCTTGTTACAAGGATTTGACCATACAACAAATTTGATTCTTTCAGAGTCTGTAGAAAGAATTATTAGTCTAGACCAAGACACAGAAACGATTCCTTTAGGTGTTTATTTGCTTCGCGGTGAGAATGTGTACGTAACAAAATGGATCTTTCTCATATATATTCAGAGATGCTAACTTATCACAGAGCTATTGTTGGGTTGGTGAATGAAAATCTGGATGCTGAGATTGATTGGGAAAAAGTTCGGGGCGAGCCAATTCCTGATATTGTTCATTAGAGGAAATGCATTCCGATAGAGCTAAGCAAGGAATAATGTATCATGGTACCGTAAACTATTAGAAAAAAGTGAGTTCGATGGATCTTAAATTTGAGAAATTGAGAATATGGTTTGACTTTGATTCATCTGCCATTCCGACATTAACTTTTCCCTACATTTTGGTTTAGGAAGCGTATAAGGAAACTTTATGATTCTGAACCAGACATTAATGTGCATCCTTATTGGAGTTTATGCGTCCTGAATTATTCCCTTGTGTGTCTTTCTGGTTACTCATTACCAACAACGTTTTGCTGCTGGAAGTACTTCCTTTAGATCATCGATATGTTTGTCTTTTTTTCCCAATTCACGATTCTTAAACATACTTCTTGTGTTTAATATCTGTTTTTCTCGGGTGAAAGCATAGTAGCATAAAGATGGGACAGTGATGTGATCAAGCTTGCGTGTTTCTTAATCTTCTTTTCTCTGTTGTTTTTCAATAGAAAGGCTAGCTACGATTAACAAGTCCTCTGTTTGCATTGCTTCCTTCCTTAGATTAGAAAACTTCGTCATGCTACGTGCTTATTTGAGGATACAATGTTACCTGTCTAAGTTCAATTTTCTCCGAGAAACACTGGAAATGAAAACACACCTTCTGAACATAATCATCCTGTTAATTCGGGTTTTTTATTTTTGAAACGATGAGTCTCGTCTTACCAGGACAAACCGTTGCTAGAGGTGTTGCAAATGGCGAAGGTACAACTACAAAAGGCGATTTTGTGATTTCTACTCGGACAGGCATCTTTGATCCCAAAACAATATCGGTTAGGTTTCCTGAGAAGATAGAGGAGACGGGAATATTGCCCAAAGTTGGATCCGTTGTTTTGGCTCGAGTTACAAGAATTAATGTTCGTCAGGCTACCGTTAGCATAACCGTTGTGGACGATATCTGCGTTAAAGAAGAATATCAAGGAGTCATTCATGTTCAGGATATTCGAGCTAGTGAAAAAAGTAAAGTGAAGGTTCAGAATTCTTTCCGACCTGGTGATATTGTTCGAGCTTTAGTGGTATGTAATTAACCCATTTTTGGTTGAGTTGCTTTTCTGAAATTGTAATATGTGAAACTAATAATGATAAATAGCTTTCTCTGGGAGATGGATCTGCTTATTTCTTGACCACAGCACGCAACGACTTGGGCGTGGTTTTTGCCCAATCGAGTGAGACCGGTGAACAAATGTTCCCTGTTGATTATCAACATATGCAGACGGAATCCGGGTTTACAGAACAGAGGAAGTGTGCAAAGCCGATTTTGGATGAATAGAAGGCTTCATTTTCATATTCTCTGCCTTTAGGTTTCATTGTTCAGTTGTTTGCTGTAGTTGTGAAAATGTCAGATTATTGAACGAAATAATTTTTGCGATATTGGATATTGCGATCATTTCTTGTTTATTTTCTCCTTGGCTCTCTATATAAGGATCACGTAGTTTACGTTTTTTGTTTACTGTAATGTGCAAATGAATATAATTTCAATGGATTCTGGTTTAATAAAATGGACACTTTAAGTAAACTAAATTCAACTCAATTTAGATGCGTGCAAATCAATTCTTAAGGACTCCTTGAGTTGGTCAGATCGGTTGTTTAATACAGATTATATTATCTTGAAAAGATTTTCACCAGCTTCCCATCAATATTCCATTCTATAATTTGATAATCGGTTTAAAACACTTTAATTGAGAATATTTATGAGTACGCTTTTGCGTCTACTTCTTAAGTCACTGAGGTTGGAAGACGAGATGTAATAATTAAAGAACTGTTTTTATTGAGAACTTTACTTATTAGTATGAATTAGGAAAGAACTCAATGGAAATATTCAAGGTCGGATTCACTCCAACTAGTGAACCTTGATATCAGACTTACTTGACCACTACCCAGATATACTTTACTCTCAATTACCTGCAGGACGCCAAATCTGGTCAAGTATTGTATAAAAATATGTCGTCTGGACAAAGAGAAAATGTATTTCCCACTAGAATGTATGGCAGGTTTCTTCTGAAAAAGCACTAATAGACATAGGACGCTTACGACGATGAAAACTCGCCTTAAAGGAGCACAAACAGGCCATTCGTTACTTAAAAGGAAGTCCGAAGCTTTGAAAAAGCGATTTCGAGAAATTGTTGTGAATATAGATCAGGTAAGTTATCCTTCATCGAGACGCGAATTCGAAACCATTCAGATGCTTCTATCAATGTTTGTCAGGAAGTCTTTCTATTATAGGTTTCATGATATAAAAAGAATTTGCAATTGTGAAATTTACTGGATAGTATCTAACATAGTTTACTAAAGGCGAAACATAAAATGGGTCGTGTAATGCAGATAGCAGCTTTCTCAATGGCGGAAGTGGGTTTTGCAATGGGAAATAACATCAATTTTGAAGTACAACAATCTGTGAAGCAAGCTAGGCTCAAAGTCCACTCTAAGCAAGAAAATATTAGCGGAGTTTTTCTTCCTGCTTTCGAAACAAATCTTAACGAAAATATCGATGACTTTCAGCTCACTGGTTTGGGTAGAGGAGGACAACAAATCCAAAAAGCTCGTCAATTTTACGGAAAAGCCGTGGACACTCTTGTTCAATTGGCTTCCTACCAATCTGCATTCATTCTGTTAGGTGACGTTTTACAAATTACGAACAGGCGCGTGAATTCAATTGAGCATATTATCATTCCAAGACTTGAAAATACCATCAAGTACATTGAATCCGAATTGGAAGAGCTTGAGCGTGAGGACTTTACGCGATTAAAGAAAGTCCAAAAGATTAAAGAACAGAGAGAAGAGAACGAGGCTGTAGCAGATACTAAAGAGGCTGGTGCTAATGTAGTGCAGGCTACTTCAGATGGTGAAATTGTCAAACCTCCTTCCGTTGAAGTTGGAAAACAGCTTATTTCAGAAGCAGAGAAAAATACTGATAAGGAAGATACTTACTCGCTTCCATCGACCTCTACTAATGTCTCTGATGATGACAAAGAGGCTGATTCTGATGAAGATGTTATCTTTTAGACAGCTGGAATTTCCTTCCTCATATTTTTTTCGTGTTGATCTTACGCAGGTTCTCGCTTAATGCTTTTGTAATATCACTATCAGAACAACTTTCTTAGAGCATAAAAGGTTTCTTGTTTTTTACGAAGTATATAACTGACATTTCCAAGTAATCTTTTAAAGCTTCATATTTTGGTGATCTTTGCTTCTTGCAAAATACAACTTTCGTGTTGATCTTTCTTTTAGCCTATTTAATGTCATCTATAGAATCATTCTTAAGTTGATCTGATGAGGGACATGACTATATTCACAATTAATATACTATGCATGTAATTTGAAGAAAAAAAAAATGGTGTTGATATCATTATTCTATTACAAGCTTTCATTAGCATTATTTTAATGTTCAGAGAAAAAGTTATAGCCTCAAAACCAAACGGAACCGACCAATAAACCAAACAAAATTTTTAGCAAAAATAAAGTAAACAAATTTAAAAAAATTACCATTTGGATAGTTCTTTATTTTATAAGAGAAACAATCAACATAGAAGCCTATATCCGTTATTTTTGCAGACTAAGGCAATTTTTCAAGTGAGTTTGGTTCTTATGATATCTTTTTCACCATTCATAACAAGTCTCATTTCCTCAGCAGTTAAATACTCGTAGTCAACCAAAGCATTCGCAATTGAATCAAGCTCTTTTTTGTGTGACTTCAAAAGTAAAAGTGCTCTTTGGTATGCTGCTTCCAGTAAAGATTTGATCTCAGCTTCAACTATTGCTTTAGTGGTAGGGGAGAGAGAATCCAAATCTGCTTCAAGGCTGACAGGTCCTATTTGTTCCGACATGCCAAACTCAGTAACCATCCTCCTAGCAACCTGAGTAGCTTTATCTATATCATTGTGTGCACCGGAGGTAATATTATTTTTTCCGTAAAGTAATTCTTCAGCAGCGCGGCCTCCCATGGCAACGTCCATCATTGCAAGATACTCATCCCTAGTCCAGCTATCCTTGTCCATATCTGGAAGCGATATGGTCATACCGAGACTACTTCCTCGTGGCATAATCGTCGCCTTATATGGACGCATAGCATTTCTAGTAAGCAATGCCACTAGAGCATGACCGCCCTCGTGGTATGCAGTCATCAGTTTGCTCTCGGCAGTAACCACGGCGCTTTTCCTTTCAGCTCCCATTAGAATCCTATCCTTTGACCATTCAAGATCGTGCATGGCCACTTTAGAGCTATGATTTTTACTAGCACGAACTGCTGCCTGATTGATCAAGTTCGCCAGATCTGCTCCTGCAAATCCGGATGTTCCTCGTGCTATAATACTCAGATCAACGGTATAGTCTAAAGGAATGTTATGAGTGTGATGGCGTAGAATTGCCATACGTCCCCGCACATCTGGAAGAGGAACATGTATATGGCGGTCAAAGCGTCCAGGGCGAGTTAAGGCTGGATCAAGACTTTCGGGAAAGTTAGTAGCTCCAATAAATACAACAGGATGAGCTACATCTTCGCCTTTGGAAAATCCGTCTAAATCAACCAGAAGCTGGTTCAACGTTTGACGCATATGGGCGGCATCTCGAGCATTTCTCTTTTGTCCAATTGCATCCAACTCATCAATGAAAATAATTGCAGGTGCGTGTTTTCGCGCGGCTACGAAAAGCTCCCGAACCCTTTTGGCACCAACACCGACATACATTTCATCAAACTGACTCCCACTCATGAAAAAGAAAGGAACATTAGCTTCGCCAGCAACAGCACGGGCAAGCATAGTTTTTCCAGTTCCCGGTGGTCCCGTCAGTAGAACACCTCGAGGAAGCTTTCCTCCAAGTCTCGTAAAGTGAGTAGGATCTTTTAAAAAATTTACAATTTCCTCAAGTTCTTCCTTAGCTTCATCCACACCTTGAACATCAGAGAAGCGCACATCAATAGAACGTTCCTCGATTGGCTCTTGTTCAGCAGAGTTGGACATTATATTATTAAGTCCGGATGATGCAACGAAGATACTGACGCCAAGTAAGATAAAATAGGAGGCCACACTAAGACCTGCTATAAATCTGAAGATGCGAAAAAATTTCGTAAAGCGAGACTCGTCGATCACGACGTACATTGGGGTTTTACTGCTAGAACCCAATGTGGAAGACTGTGAAGTAGGATTCATTGGATGCGCAGAAGGTTGATGTTCATGAGCATGACCTGGAGAATGTAAATTTTGTATAGCTTCGGCTGGTTTCATAAATTCGTTCGAATTTTTTGGATAAGGGTTTAAATCGGCTTTTAAATAAGGGGGAAAAGATGGTGGTAACTTTTGCTTCTGAGACAGCTTATTCAAAGCTTCTTGATAATATCGATCACATATCGAATTCCTGGCTACTCCTGAAGTTTCGTAGCGATGCTGGATTGCTTCGGGATATGAATTAAATAATTCTTTGTATAGCTTGGCCTGAAAATAAGGATCAGATAAATTTTCATTTGCTAACTGTTCATAATCAGCTAGTTTTTTTCGTTTACTGGGGTGTAACCAAGCAGCTGCCGAATAGTTGCGGTTTCTCCATAAGAATGGTGAAAAAGGAGCCCATTGAAGCCTTCGACATCCAGTCTGCACAGATTGACTGCTGCCCTATTAAACAATTAGTTCATACATCAACGAAAAGTTGACCAACGGCATATTTAACGATACCATTTCTATCTGTGGCTTCTGCTCAACTTACAATTAAAGATAGTGAATGCAAGACTCTTGACATAGAAACTTATAACAAACCTATCTCGTTTTTTCTATATTGGCTTTTAGATGTTGGGATCAACTGCTTGATATCTTTGTTCTTTTTAAATTCCTACGTAGTAAGAATAGGTATGGGAAGTTGAATTCTAAAGAATGCTAAACTAGGTAACAATGTTATTTCACAAATTAATGTCACTTTAGACCGTTAAATAAAGAACTGCAGCGTAATGTAAATAAATCACTCACTACTTCTACATTTACCGATGACAGGTACGTATTCTTAAGTTCAAAGAACGCACCCGATTAAAAAGTGGTAAAGGTAGGTGATTTGGGTTACTTCGTGTTGGTTAGTTGCTCCAGCATGAAGAAGTCTTTGCTGATACGATATATAGCTTTTATTTTGCTGATTTTTCCCTCCTTAGGTTGAAATTCATCCAGTTGCGAAGGTCCGTTTATAAGGTTTAGTACTAGATTGTAATTTTTATGATGTTAGCAAGAATCAACGACGATGATATCCATGATTCCGTTTAAAATTGTGCTGTAGACATTGAGTATAGATAGAAAACAAACGCATATTAATCTTCTTTAATAAAAGTTGCAAAATGTAATAGATTTACAAATAAACGTATCACCAATACAACGCTGGCAGCAGTACGAGTCCTCTAAACGCAGAACGTCCTTCTTTTCCAATAAAATAAATATCAATACGAAATTTCCGCTTCAGTATCTTTATACTTAACCTTCAACTCAAATAAGCTCCTTGCATGTAAAAGTGGTTGTCGATCCATGCATTCGGTTTATTGGAGTATGCCTATTGTGAATAGATTTCTTTTTTTATTAATTTACATGATCTTCTTTCCAAGTATCTATCCATTGAAGTAACCGAGACATATTTGACTCCATATCGTCAGTCGAATTGCTTTCGAGTTCTACAATTATTTTAGGGTCAAAACTTTCTCTTACTTCTTCCAAGCAGATCTGCATAATTTCGGCTTCATTGTTTTCCTGAATTTTGTGCAATGAATATCCTCTAGCTTCAAGTCTTTCCCATAGTTTGGAATGATCAGTTCTCAAGACTATAGCCAAGTCAATTAGTTCTTCGGGGAAAATGCCGCATGTATGCCAGTCGACAATACAGCCTCCTTTTAATAGCCTTGGTTCAAGATAATCCAAAACTTTTTCTTCGTCGACATCGTATGTCTGCCATTTTTCATCAAATCCAAAATGTAAGTGATGTTCTTTCACGATTGTGCCCATGCACAAGTGTTCGAGTTCAGAAGCATCAGCAAGCTGCTCAGCAAGGGTTGTTTTTCCTGTACTACACTTGTTAGTTAAATTTTTATTTCAAAAAGCTTTCAATGTTTTGGCATACCCAGGAGTGCCACAAAGAATGATATTAGGTAAGCTTCTGTGTTCTGTAGTCATCTGAATATTTTAGAGAATTACTGTTTTAAAGTATATATTTCTATGTTTCCCTGTAGCAAATGATCAAAAGCAACTGCAGTTTTGCGAAGGAAAGATGCTTTATGGGAAGTAGTGTAATACAATAGCTAAATAATGCTTAAGCAATGAAAGAAGCTATTTTTCTTTTCTTTTTTATATAAATTCGACTGTTTTGTTTGCTTTCAGATTTGCTTTTCTTCAGCAAAATTGATCAGGCTATTTTCTGGAAGATGGACGAAAGCCAATTTTCTCAGATCATACAATAGTTGAAAATCGATTTGAAATTTCGTAAAGGATTTCGGTGTTTATTTTATAGTTAAATGAAAGAATCAAACATAGCCTCTACCAATTTTGAAGCCAAATATTAAGTTTCCTACTACATGCAGCAACATTGACAATTCGACTTCCAAACTACCTAATCTATCTATCTATATATATATATATATATATATATCTTTTTTTTACTATCAAGGAGATGTTAGGATGGAAACAGAAGAACAGATAAATAACGTTGAAGAATTCTTGACATTGCCGTTTTCTGACACAAGCCCTTTAACGGAGGGACCAGGCGAAGAAGATGTTGGTTTTACTATAAATGAGTATTTTGCTCATAGCATCATTGGATATGGTTCTTCTAGTACCGTATGGTTGGCTACGAAAAGCCCTAACAATGCTGAATATGTATGCCCAGAGGCATTGTGCATGCTTCTTACTTCTATCAAGCAACTAACAAGAATTTATTCTTTAGGCCATTAAAGAATTTCGTAAAAGCTTTTTGCGCCGTCAGAAAAGAGCAAATTTACTTCATACTGTGAGCAAGCAGAGTGGAAGGACTCATTTAGATCGTATATCTTTGGAGAAAAAACTTCATCAGGACGAACAGTTAGACCCTTTTTGTTATATAAGGACTGAACTTGATATCCTTCAATTGTTAAATCATCCAAACATTGTCAAGATAGTGGAAGTGATAAATAATGAGTATATGGATATGTTACTAGTTGGTATGTGGGAAATAGAAGAGCCTTTTTACTTTTCGAATTGCTAATCTCTTTTATAAAATATAGTTTTAAATTACTGTTCGAGTGGTAAGCTGGCTTCCGTTGATCATGGTATAACTTTCTCTGCGTTTCCAGAAGAGAGTTGTCGAATTTATTTTCGTCAGCTTGTATCTTCTGTCGATTATAGTATGCTCATTTAAGTATCTTGAACTCGCATTACTAATGACTTCAATTCTAGTTCACAGAAAAAATGTGGTTCATAGAGATATAAAGCCTGACAATATCTTGCTAGACGCTGCTCGGAATTTGTGTTTAATTGATTTCGGTCTAGCGGAATTCCTTCCACCAGATGGAATGGTCGATGTTGTATCTTCAACGCCAGCGTTTATGGCACCAGTAAGTAATTCATCTTCCGTCAATCGCTAACGTCTAGGAACTGCTGGCTTGTCCTCATCAAAAAGTCGATGGTAGGAAACCCGATCTCTGGTCTATGGGAGTTACGTTGTATGTCTTGGCTTTCGCAAAACTTCCTTTTTCTGGAAATACAATTGCAGAAATGATTACAAACATAAAAGAAAAGGAGTATGTCAACCCTTATGATACAGTGTTAGTTATTAACATGAGTTATTAGTCTTGAAATACCGAATTATGCTAGCGAAAATCTTCGAAATGTTATAAAAAAACTACTCCAGAAGGAACCTCAGCGAAGAATTAACGCACAAGAATTATTGAAGGATCCTTTCGTAAGGGAATAAGAACCTTCAATTTACAGCTATGATTAAAATAGAGAACGGTGTTCGTATACGTATACGGATTTATAAAATGATGAAGACAAATGCAATTCTGTATTTCGATTGAATTTGCGCTTCGCTCTGACATTGATGATTTACCCCGTGGTTTTCTTTAAAAATATTATCCTCATAATTGAAATCTTAGCAATACGATTTGCTTAATTTTCGTTTACATACCCAATTTTAAGAAGTCTACGAAGAATTTATGGTAGATAGACAATAACATCGCAAAAAAGGTACTTGATGTTCGTTAATTTTTTGGCATAATATTAATAAAAATCCTTATTCGGCTTAATCGCTGCAAATATTGAATAAAGGTTGCTAGTGTACGAAACAGAATGTTTATCTTATATTACATAACCCGACTCTGGTGTTTACAGAATCATTCTACGAGCACTTGAAGTACAAACAATGCAATTATTTGATGAAATAAAGTCTTTTTTAAATAAAAATATTCCATTTGCTTCATTAAAATTCGGCTCTGACTCTAAAATTACTCGTAAATTCGCTGTCATCCATGAAAACGATGTATTCCCCATAGGGTTATGGACTTTTGTAGACAAAGACAGTTTAGACTTGTAAGTCATGCTTTGTTAGCTATTGGCTGTCATGCTAAATTAATAGAAATGCTTTGCAAGCTATTCCATTTGTCCGCAATGAGAGCTTTCGAGAAAATCAAGAGGTACATACTCTTAATATTATCGAGCACTAGAATACTTACTGACTCACAAAAAACATTTAGGATAAATGGATGTACTTTAAAGAAGAAAAGATCAGATATCATGAATTATCAGAAGCCATTAATATGTCAACTACTGATGGTGATATAAATACAAATGGATATTGGGAGGAAAAGACCAAGTCTTGGAAGGTATTGGATATTAAGAATAGGTACACAAAGTCAGAGAATGTATATTCTGCAGAATTAGAACAACCGACAGGTCTGCATCCTAAATTACTGGTGAACTTGACAAATCTGAAGCCGCCGAACAAGCATTGTACTTTACGAGGCGTTCTCCGCTTGCCTTCTACATTATTTGTTGATCAGTATGAATTGTCTTCTATGTCTGAAATGAGTGCCGGAAATTTGGATCAAATCCTTAAGATTTATGGTGAAACAGACTTAGAGGCGCCAACGTATACTCTTCCTGGAACAGGAAGTATTTTATGGTTTCAAGTGTTTTTGAATGAAACGGCCCGTCATGAGTATAATCTCCAGTTGGAACTTCCTTTACACACACGATATCAATTACCCACAAAACGAGATGCTTATGCAAAAACAATCTTCTATTCACCAAGTGTTTATTGGGATTGTTCGAAGAAAAAGATACCTATAGAAGAAGAGCCACTTTCTCATTTACTGTTCAATCGCTATGTATATCCTTTGAAATCAATTGGACCTTCCAATCTAACTATAACAATTCCAACCGCCAACGTTGAACATGAGCAAGCGGTCCGATGGATAACCAACACAGTGATTCTTGGAATGTTTTTCTACGTTGTATCATTTCTAATACGAAAACTTAAGAGAGGTTTAAAACAACTGCTATAATTGCTTTAAGAATATGTGTATATCATATCGTCTTCGTTACTACTTTTATTAAACAGAAATCATAATGTTTTTAAAATTTATAAATAATATATATGATAAACTATTTGAGAAGCTAAATATTAAGTAGGGGTAGAGATATGCAATAAAATTATTACACATCAAAATTCTTAAACATGGCGGTAGTAACGTACTATATGGTTAGAAGTTTGAAAATAAGAATGGAAGAACATCAAAAAATCGTACCTTTCGATGGTAGCGAGTAGTTGCACTCAAAGCCAATACACCCACTTGGGTATTAGCAGCAGCTAGATGATTTAGAACGACATGATTAGGATTTGGAAGAACAGATTGATCTTCTTTATAGGCAGTATTAGAGTTTAAAATACATTTCTCCAAATGAGGAGGTAATGAAGGAGGTTTGGGGAGTTTCATTTCGGCAAGAGAATTACTGGAAAGAAAAGACGGTATTTCGGACACATATTTCTCGGAATCTGGCTCTTCACTAGGAGGGAAATTAGTTTGCACTTGGCTAAATCTCTGATCAAGACCAGTGTCAACACCTTCATTAGCTTCAACCTCAAGGTAATTGTATAGATTTCCTTCAGCATCTGTTGCTGTGGGAAAATCTGAAGAGCAGCACCAGATACCATCTACCAGGAACTTAAATCGTTGAGTTCCTGGGCGTAACTGCAATACTAATGTATAATCTTCGCTAATGAAACAACTTAGTAAATGGAATCAGCTATCTACTTACGTTTTGAGTAATTGTATCTTCTTTTTCCATTTTGAGAAAGATCCCGTAACATAGACGATTTCACCTCCACCTCTCCAACGAAGGACAGTAGGCACGTAAGGACCTAGCAATCAATTAGTAAAAATCATTCCTTCATTTCAATTCTCAAAAGGATGTTAAACTTTTCTATAATTCTGTTGCAAGGGATAGAAAAGTGGAACAGACCAGAATCCATCCTGATGTCTGAAAGGACTACATCTTCCATTGAGTATAGCCAACATACCATTGTATGGTTCTTTTTTAGTAGAGGAGTGAGAGCGGCGTTTATTTCGTCCGGTACCGGCTGCGGCATTTTGATAGCCATCGTTAGCACCGGCTGTACTTGAATTGTCATCCATGAGGTCCGCATCTTGATTGAGATCATCTGGAGCAATGCTGATCATGCTTTGAGTTCTGTGAGGAACCGAATCATGATTTTCCGGTGTAACATGTTTGTTTACACTTTGGGCGTTACGTGACATAGCCGAGTCACCTATGGTGTAAGTTAATAATTCGTTTAATTCTTTTAGAATAAATATAATTAATCATCCTTACCTTCTTGAGACTGAGCATTTCCCATAATGACTGAATTGGATAGAATCGTAAACTGCTAAGTTCAAATTAGACAGGTTTCCGCTGTACCTCTTACTTAGGTAGGGTAATGCACGAGATCATGTGGTAGAACGATAATATACTAATGATATTTCAGATCATATAATTATACAGTTTCTTTCATAATAAACAAAAAGATGAGAATTGAAGAATTAACTGATATATATCATTTCATTATAAACTTTTAACAGAATCAATTGATTTAAATGAATTGCTTCACACCGCATCTCTTAACGTTCAAAAGAAAAGGTATGGCAAAAACTAATACTGACATAAGACAAGATTTATCTCATCTAACAGTTTACATAGATCTTATTACAAGTAAAAGAACTCCTTAAAAAACTAAGATTGTTGAATAGATATTTTGAATGAATGAAACCGTTTGAAAACTAAAACAAACATATAACCTATCAACATTATCAAAAATTTATGTATTACCACTAAAAATCTTATCTCACTGTATAAAACACACGAGTTGAACAGTAATAAATTAATAAGCTAGATTCTCGGTTCAAACTTCTGTCGATTCTATTTTTTACTCATTTTTCATATATTTTTTTTTGTGGTGTAAATAAACATTTACGCTGGTGGTAACAATACAACGAACAATCCTTTCGTAGTAACATCATAATAGAAATTGCAGTTATAACAGTTAAAAAGAATCTGACTCATATCATTGATTAATTCTTTTACCTTTTATTTTTTTTTCTAAAAAATTCTGTCATTTCTCCATCCAGTGGTAATAAGCTTTCTCGTATACGATATTTCTTCAGTGACATAAAGTGAGATTTGTTCCAGGGTTACGCAGTTTTCAAGTTTCACCTATAGTTCTTATACTTTCTGATTTTTTCTTTTAATTTACTTCATATTCCAGATTTGGACCTTTACTTGTGTTTTCGTGATAATGAAATTGGTAGTTCTAGGTGGATCTGGGTTCCTTGGCCATAATATTTGTAAACATGCTGTTGCAAAAGGATATCAAGTTGTTTCTGTGTCTCGAAGAGGTCGTGGTAACATTCAGTTTAAAGAACCATGGATGGAAAAGGTCCATTGGGAACGAGCGGATGTAATGAGAGATCCTCATTCCCTTCTTCCATTTGCTCATGGTGCTTCTGCTGTTCTAAACACGGTTGGAATCCTTATGGAATCCAATTATAAGCAGGCGCTCGAAAACCCAAGAGGTTCCATTCTTCAACTAGTCAAGAACTTGAAAGGTAATGTTTTTCAAGGATCTGAAAATCCGTTGAAGAAGCCTGCTTCTCCTTCTGTTCCTCCTGTAAACCCGAGTTTAAATTTTGAATCTGTCAATCGAGACTTGGCTATTAATACGGCCAAAGTAGCTGCTGAAGCTCATGTTCCCGTGTACTGTTACATTTCTGCTCATGCGTCAGTTCCTGGTTTGGATCCAAGATATATAAGCACAAAGAGAGAGGCCGAGCAAGCAATTTCGAACATTCCAAATATACGTTCCATCTTTGTACGTCCTAGTTTTATGTATGATACTCACGCTCGACCTATATCAGGAATCTTTGCTCCATTTTTAAAATTATCTTCCGGAATCAATCATTTCAGTTCTGGGTTATTTGATTTTCTCGGAGCAGCATCTGCTGAACCCTTGCCTACTACTGTTGTTGCAAAAGCAACTCTTGGGGCTATCCTTGATCCTTCCATATCTGGACCAGTAGGAATACAAAGGATTAAAGAATTGGCGAATTGTGAAAGTTCTTCTTAAATATAGTACGACAAATTTTGAAGAGCATAGCCAAATTTCCCGTAAATCTCTTGTTAATTTTACAAGAACATCAACGAGTTTGGTTTGCTTTCCTTCATTATTTCTATAACTAAGAATTTTATTTTATTTCATATTCTATTACTATTTCTCATTTTCTTAACATTGCAAATGTTTTGATGATGATAATAATAATTTTGATAATTTATTTTGTTTATTTCTTTCTTCTTAGGTTTCACTAAATATCCCTAAAAGCACTTTGCAAGGAATAACTAAGGAGTTACATATTTATCCCAATGTACAAACGAACTCATTTTGTGCAGTAAAAGGGTAGAAGGTAGTTTGTAGGACAGGGGTCCAGTTTGACGAGTTTTTTTATCTTCAAAAGGATGGATTTGTTAGTAGGATTTCGAAAACACTTAATACTTTTCTTGTGTTTCTATTCTATTGTTTTGCAATGTTTCTCTCAGGTAATACCCAGGGCTGGTAGTAGTCCAAAAACCATTGAAAACGAACAAAATAATAGTAATGGTTGTTTAAAAAGTACTCTTTTTAATGCTGTGTCAACAAAGGAGAGACGGTCTATAAACAATGAAGCTAAGACGTCTAATAAACCAACGTCTCAGTATGTTGTTTATTTTAAAGAAATAAATTTCGATCAGCTGACACAAAACGTTTATTCATCTTTTCGACAAAACGGTTTCATTTTTTTACGTCAAGTGACAAACAATGCTCTACTTGCAAATATTATGCCCATAACGCAGCTTCTGCGTTTGTAAAGTTAATAAAGGAATATAATTCAGGAATCCCTTTTTATTTATTTGATTGCAGCGTTAACTCTTGGTATTGTCAACAAGAATTGGGCATTTATGCGTATCCTACATTAGCCTACTTTCACAATATGGGTGATTTTACCTTTTTCAATAGTCATACCCCGTTTGAGGTCCTCAAAAAATTTACAGAAACAATTCGCCCTTTAAATAATTTGGATGGACAACCTCATATTGAGGACGTTGTTAGATTAGGAGAGCTGGAATCTCTGGAAAGCCAATACGATGTTTTTTTCTTATACTTACATGATTATGGATCAACATCTGAAGATTTTGACTATCTACGAATGTTCTCTCGTTCTTTGGCCGGCTATGCTCCCATCTTTCGATCAGACGACCAAAATTTGGTTAAGCATTACAATATTACTCGACTTCCTCACTTATTGGCCGTCCGAAATGGGATTCCTTTTTCTTATCCAGCAAAGGACGTCTCTTCGATGCGCAATACCATCCGTATGTGCTCATGGGCCGCCAAACACAAATATGCTCTTGTCCCAGAGCTAACACCCCAATTAGCAAGATCATTAGATGATGATTCATATCTGGCTATCGCCTTAATAAATCCCGCTTCGCATGATGTCGAATCCAACGATTTGCATAATGTTCAATCTATCGCAAAACAGTGGGTACAAGACTTGCGGTCTATAGAAAGAAGCCAATTACTTCAAGCTCGTAAAGAATGGTGGGACTATGTCAAACGCTTAAAAGCGAAAGGTTACCGAGATGTTGCTTTTCGTGCCTCTGACCATCCTTTACCCCTACCCAAGAATAGAAAGATAACATTTGTCTGGCTGAATGCCTTTCACTGGAAATCATGGCTTACTGATGTATTTTCCATCAAATCTGTACCCCAATCACGATTCCTTTTTGTTCATCCTTCAGGATTAAATTATTGGGATGACTCGGAAGATGGTACACCACTTACATTAGACCATTCTTCGCATATTGTGCATACAGCTTTAAATATTGCAACTGTTGAGGGAAGACCTTCTCATTACAAGTTAACAGTTAGCCGCGAATACTTTTGGCTAATGCAAATCAAAGAGTTCTTAGGCCTTTATCAGATATATCTTTGGATTCTCACCGTCTGTTTTATCCTTGTATTTTACTGGCCTTCCATTAAACATCTTTTGCGTCGCGCCAACGGATCAGTCATCAAACAGTTGAAGCGACGTTCGCTAAAAAATTTCAGGAAACGCGTTTGAAATAATACCCTGACATATAGATGTTACTGTTAGGCGTCTACGTGTCTGCTTCTCAAGAATTTCTTCAACTTCGTTTGGTTTATTTTAATCGAGTGGACGTCTACCGTAGGTTTTCCTAATGTATATTATATAAAATTCTTAGTCGCTCTTTTTTTATAAAAAAAATCTTAAAATTTTTTTTAGTTTATAACCGCGCTGCTTGTATATACAAAAGTAGGTATAACTTTAGCTAAATCGTAGAAAGATTACAATTTCTTATTTTTATTGAATTTCCAAAATTCTCTTACAGGCCGTACTATAGAATCGAAGCCTTTCTTTTCGAACCACCGTTTTACACAAATGTCAAGAATGCCGGAGACTAGGAGATCTCCATTACTCTCTTTATTACGAACGCTTACTTTGGGAATAGTATTTGCTTTATTTATTAGATATGCATTCACAAAATCGGATATAAATAAAGTAAAATTCTTCAAACTATCAGGTACGAATAATTTTTTCGACAATGAACATCCAAATAAAACGATAAAGGATTTTCCCGTGAAAGTTTTTGCAATTGGTGATATTCATGGAGATTTCCATAACGCTCTCGATATCCTTTCTGCTGCTGGAGTGGTGTCTCCAGTGGATCCGTTCGAATGGACTGCAGGTAATGCGACGTTAGTCCAAACTGTAAGTTTTACATGATAGTTAATAGAAAATAGAATCCTAATCAGTATTCTTAGGGAGACATTGTCGATCGTGGTCCAGATACCAGGTTCCTTTTCAAATGGTTTGACAAACTAAGCACTCAGGCAGAACAACAAGGAGGACGGGTCATTCGCTTACTAGGAAATCACGAATTTATGAATGCTAAAGGCGATTGGCGCTATGTTCACTACGGAGATCTTGTCTCATATCCTGAACCTTACATAGAAAACCGTAAATACGACTGGGGACCTGAAGGGGCAATTGGTGATTTACTCATAACTAAATACAATGTTACATTCAAAGATGAAATTAGTAGATCTCATTTTATGCATGCAGGACTTTCTCCAGAATGGAGTATGCAAGAGGATTTTGTTAATTCAATGGGGCATGACGTTTTGGAAATGTTTATGAAGGGTGAAGAATTATCTGACGAATTAAAGGAATTTTGGGGAATAAAGGGCCCTATGTGGTATAGAGGATATGCTCAACTTCCTACGGAAATCGCTTGCGAAGTGGCATACAACGTCACGAAGACTCTTAACGTTGATCGTTTGGTTATGGGTCATACACCTCAATTTTCAGGTATTCGAAGTCGCTGTAATGGCCAAATCGTTTTGATCGACACAGGATTATCTAGTGCATATTCAGGAGAACGTGCAGTATTGAGAATCCTTAAGAACGAACGCATGAGTATCGTAGAAGCTGTCTACAGAGACCGTGTTGTCAGATTGTAGCCTCTCTCAGCTTCTCCTAAGGATCAATGACTAAATTGAGATATTTCCCAACAGAAGAGGTTTTTATAATTCTAATTTACTTTAACTCAACCCTTCTTCTTTTTTAGAAAAATTTGAGTACCTTGTATTTGTCCCTTAATTATAATATCATATTTTCTTCACTTCTTTATTGGGAAAACCTTCTACAGTATGTAGTCACTGTTGGCCTATTAATTTCCTCAATTGAAATAATTATTTTCTCTACCTACGCAACGTTTCAGGTAAAATTGAATAAACTCACTTCCTACCATTTTCATTTTACATTGTTTCGTCTAACATATAATTTATTTATGTTACTTAAGAGTCGAAGTAACAATACTTAAGGAACTTCATAGTACTAAATTAACAACCTCGCAATACCTATAAAGACATAGAGAAGAACTCGGGTACCTGCCAACAGCGATATACTCAAAATGATGAATTTTATGCGAGGATCCATGTTACGCCAAGTAAAAACTGGCTCTCTTCAATTCTCTCGACTCGGAGTCCGTAATGCAGCCACCGCTGCAGCCTCAGCTCGCCCTCCTATTCAATTGCATGGCCTTGATGGTAAGTTTCTTTTACAGAGAAAATGCAGAACATAATGGGTTCCGTCTTTTGACTTATAGTTCCTTTTGTTAACGTTAATAGGTGTCTATGCTTCTTCCCTTTACACTGCTGCTGTAAAAGAGTCTAAGTTGGACCGTGTCGAAAAAGCTTTGACTACTTTGGGAGCTACCTTAAAGGAACGTCCTGAGCTTTCCCAGTTTATTTCTAATCCCTCCATTAACTATGAGGATAAGAAGTTGATTGTCTCTTCCTTGAGCAAGATGACTGGTGGTGATGCCTTATTGGGTAATTTCTTCAACCTTTTGTCCGTAAACAATCGTTTGGCGTTGCTTTCCCGCATCCAAAATCAATTTGAAAAGATTATGCGTGCTCAACGTGGTGAAGTAGAAGTCACCATTACTTCCGCTGCTCCTTTGGACTCTAAGACTTTGTCCCGTTTGGAATCTAAGATTGCAAAGTCCAAGTACGGCAAAGGTAAACTCTTGGTACAAAACAAGGTTTCTCCTTCAATCCTTGGTGGTCTTATTTTGGAAATCGGAGACAACATCCTTGACGTGAGTGTTTCTTCTCGTGTCAACCATTTGAACCAACTGATGACAGGTAAGTACATATTGGAATGACGTGAAATTAACTTTCTAGATGCTATTTAAATGTTTTTCCAAACCTTCTTTTGAGCATGTTTTCTTGTCGTGCTTGCTGGACATTTGTCAATGCAGAATTTCATACGCTCCTCTCCTCACTCTGACAGGTCTGAAATTTCTTTTACTATCTTCTTTTTCTATTCTTGCAATGTTCACTTATAGTCGTTATTCGTTCTGTGAAGTGGCATACTTGAGTTTACTGAATTATTAACTTCCGTTTGTTCCGAATATATGCCGTTCAAGTAACACTATAGAATGCTAAACATAGTTTTTAGTAGTTGTTATTTGATCTTCTGATGAATACGATTTCCTCTTTTGGAACAGACTAGTTAAAAGCTTTAGCAAAGGCACTTATACAGTAAAATTATTGAAAGAAGATATACTTAAAGATAAAAATTGGTTTATTATCGATGTAAGCTGTTAGACATTATACACTCGATAGGAGAAGGTCGAAGATTCTCGTGCATATTTAATTACGGAAAGACCTAATAGCCTTGAGAAAAATAAAGTAGCCTCATTCTTCGTATTATAGTCAGATTAAAGTAGTTGAGTCACGTTAAATCATGTTGCTCTTTATCTTCTATAAACAGTAAAAACAAAAGCTGATTAGTCTCGTAGGTGAATATATCAGTTTTAATATTACAACTTGAATTTCCATGTTTTATCCTATCTTACAACAACATTTGCCTGAATTTCTTCGAGGTATACTCGTAAGTCCATCTTACTTAAAGTGATCCACCACCTACTGTTTATTAGAACAACTTTTTACTGTGATAAATACTTAGGGTCAGTCCTCAAAAGTCTGATTTATTCTTAATCCTATAAAATGGACTCTTTCTTACAAAATTTGGTGAATGAATGGCTTGCAATTGATCAAGTATGAAACTTCCATGTTGATAATGAAGTCAGACATTAACGAAAAAACAGAATGAGACTACACGGAATGAAGTGAAAGACTTGTTAAATGCTGGTGATTATGTAACTTTGAAGCAAATTATGCAACCAAGAATTGGATTTGGTACTTCTGGTAAGTTGTGCGATCACTTCCTGTTGCAATTTACGATGCACCCTTCCACTTGAGATAGGCTGTCAAAGACAATCCTATTTATTGAAAGTTAAAGATAATAATTTGATTGACTGCTTTCATTCAGTTTTCAAGTAATAATCATTCTCACACTTTTAACACTAAGCTTTTTCATATGGATGGGTGCCGAGATATATCGTTAGGTGGAATTGAAGTAGTTGATTTCTAACCATTATCGCTTAGGTTTACGAGCGGAAATTGGGGCAGGATTTGCTCGTATGAACAGTTTAACCGTCATACAAGCTTCACAAGGATTTGCTGAATATTTAATTCAGACAGTACCTGGATCCCAGGAAATGGGCGTCGTTGTAGGTCATGATCATCGACATAACTCGCAACAATTTGCTCGTTTAACTGCTGCTGCTTTTTTGAATAAAGGTTTCAAAGTGTATGCTTATGGATTTCTTATTCATACACCACTTGTTCCATTTACTGTTAAAAATCTGAAAGCTGCTGCTGGTGTTATGATTACTGCTTCACATAACCCAGCTGCTTACAATGGTTACAAAGTTTATTGGAGTAATGGATCCGCGATTATCCCTCCTCATGATAAAGGAATAGCTACTTGTATAGACAAGAATTTGAAGCCATTAGTCTGGGACGAGAACCTTGTCCATCATCATATGCTGGCGAATCGTACTTTTTCGACAGACGTACTAAAACAATACTGGTCTCAGCTTCATGAGTTTCACAGTGAGAATACCTTTTCCTTGGATATGAAGCCATTGAAGTTTGTCTATACTCCTATTCATGGAGTTGGTCTTCCTTTCGTTACGTCTGCGTTGGCTCTATTTGGTGAAAAAGCTGACATGATTTCCGTTCCTCTTCAGGATTCACCAAATCCTGATTTTCCAACCGTCAAATTCCCCAATCCAGAAGAAGAAGGAGCACTGGATCTTGCATATAAACAAGCGGATGCTCATGACGTTTCTTACGTCTTAGCAACCGATCCTGATGCTGACCGCTTTGCATTCGCCGAGAAGATAAACAACGAGTGGAGATGTTTTACTGGTGATGAAGTTGGCTGTATTCTTGCTTACTTCATATTTCAAGAATACAAGAATGCAGGCAAACCTGTAGATGATTTTTATGTGCTATCTACCACCGTTTCCAGCGCTCTAATGAAGTCAATGGCAAAAGTCGAAGGGTTTCATCACGTTGAAACACTAACAGGTTTTAAATGGCTCGGTAACGCCGCTGCTGAATTAGAAGACCAAGGTAAATTCGTGGGATTAGCTTACGAAGAAGCCCTTGGCTATATGGTGGGTGGCATTGTAAAAGATAAAGACGGCGTGAATGCTTTATTAACTTTTTTGCATCTTCTTAAACGTCTAAAGCTTCAACAACTTTCCGTTACTCAGGTTTTTGATGAGATCTCTCAAAAGTACGGTTACTACGTAACTCAAAATTCTTACTTCTTCTCTCGTGACAATTCGAAACTTCGAGGTTTGGTGGATGCCCTTCGTAAGAGTAATACGGAAAATGGATACCCAACAAAGTTAGGGAGCCGAAACATAACTAGTGTTCGTGATTTGACTGCTAATTATGATTCCACAACAACAGATAAGAAAGCTAAGTTGCCGGTTTCGAAGAGCTCAGATAATGTAACATTTGAGCTTGAGAATGGCCAAGTCATCATGACCATTCGTACTAGTGGTACTGAGCCTAAACTTAAGTACTATATATGTGCAAGAGGTAGTACATCAGAAGAGGCCCAGCAGAATGCTAGAGAGGTTTGTGCGGACATTAAAGATGAATGGTTTAAGCCCATGCAGAATGGTTTGAGCATGCCTTAATGATTGTATGGACTTATTCTTTTCATGCTAAAAAGCGATTGTTGTTAAATATATATCCTTGATGCAATTCTTTATATTCGAAAAAAAAAATTAACGCTAATGTACTTCTAAATTATAGAAGCGATTCAATGAGATTAACCAAATTTGACACAATTTAAACTAACTGAACGAAATGACAGTGAAGACATTTCAATTAGAGAAGCATAGCCAAATTCATATCCAACGGATGACTACAACATAACTGGGGAAGTTGTGAGTATTTACTTTGTAGGACATGTCGGATGCCTTGAAGCAATTGTATATAGGAAGGCTGAGGATTTTGAGATAAAACCTCACGAAAAGCATACGAAAGTGCACCCGTTGCAAATCCGTTAACGTTTGTATCAGCACTTGTTTGATTATCTTTACAACCGGAGATAGAAATAACATCAGCTGGTGAAAACTTGTATTGTCTGGAATATTGAAGAGCATTATTATGGAATCCACCAGAGGCGCTTTGAACAATGTTTTTCACATTGCTGAAAATACCTCCAATATCACCAGCCATATACGACATACCAGCATGTAGAACATTCATACCTGATTCCTTAAGCATATTCGGTTCTTTAAGTACACCTTTAGTAGAGTAGGTAAAAGGAAGGTCAAGAGCACCTCCAGAATGACAGGCTAAAGATTGTTAGTCCAGTGTAATTGTTATGGTGATCAACATACAGTCAAAAATGGCCGTCAAGCGACATCCAGGAGGTAAAGGTCGGACCATAATGTCATGCATCTCATCATCGACAATTTGTCCTGAGACTTCATGGTCTAAGGGATAAATCGTTTCGTCGTATCCATCAGTTTCATCACCATCTAAATCTTTTGTTTGTCCACCATGTCCCTGTAATTGATTAGTATATCAATCTCATTCCTCTATGTTCTTCTTTAAGCATACACTATAATGAAAAAACAACGAATCCTAGAGCAATGTTAGAATCAAGGAATCCCCAAAACGCATGAAGAGACATATCAATTGATAGTTTTAATCTGTCTTCTTTCAAATTCATCAAAGAAAACGTGCAACTTATACTGATAACCCTCTTCTCATGAACTTACATTGGGTTGAGCGCCGCTTACAAGCCATCGCATGCCATCCAACATGTTTTGACGAGTAGGAATACCTCTTGGATGTTGAGCATAATCGGTCATAATTACTGAACGGTTAATTACAGTATCAGTGATTTAATTACAGTATCAGTGAAAATCCATACCCATGTCGTCAGCCTTATATCCGTAACGCTCTCTCAATAATTGACCGGTAGCCATAACGTCTAGATTTTTTGTTAGAAAAATTCAAGTCCTAAATCTTCTGTTCTTAAAAAAGGAATTCCTTACCATTGATACATCCTTGTAACTCATTTCGAGTATTTACATAATTTAAACCGATTAGCAAGGCCTTGCGTTTTCCTTGACAAGTAGAGTATTGATAGTCAAATGATCCACCACCTGAAAGCCCATAAGACTGAGAGTTAGAACTAGGTAATTGCGGTCCCTGGTACTCTGGATTGTTATACGCATAGTTTCCTGTAGCAGGAGGTGGCCCAGACGGAGGTGCGTATCCAACATGTTGACTAGCAACAGCATCAACGTGTCCCACGTTTTCAGTAGGTACTTGATTGGTATAGCCATCTATATTTGGTCGATTGCTGGAAGGAGGAGGTCCCATTGGTGGTGCGTAGCCTTCATTTGGATATCCTCGAGTTGGATAAGAATTGACAGGATATTGAGGTCCATAAGAACCATAATTCTCCCCTGGATAACCGTTATAGCCGTAACTCATTGTCTATTTCCTGTGTGGAAAAAAGAAAAGCTTATGCTGGGTGAATCAGAACTCGACTGTTGAGCGCTCTACAAAACTACTAATAAAAACAGAGCATGCTAATCTATAGAACTAACACAGAATTAGAATCATAATATGTTATACTAATTTGGAGCAATGTCGTTTTTTTTCCTTTTTTTTTTTTTTTTTTTTTGTGTGTGATATTTTTTAGTTATTTAGGAAACCCATCGCAGCTTGGCTCGATCTTGATTTTGTCTTACAAGTCGATTTTAGTTACAATTAAACGTTTAAAGCTTCAGATTGTAGTAATTCTGAATTTAAGTATTGTTATCGATATTTAACCACAACGAAGGGTATAATTAATTGAATTTTAACAATTATAATTAAACCTAGCTATTAACCTAACCTAATCTATTTTTAATCCTTTTATGTTTTGTTTTCTTTTTGAAAAGATTACCTTATAAGAAGTAAAATCTCATACAATGACGAAGGCGTCTCAAAAATATGCCGACAATGCCCTTTGGTTGTCAACACTCAAAGAAGAAATGACACTGTTAACCTGATCTACAGGGAATTGGGACAAATATGCCTTGGAAGCTTCAAGTAAACGAGCCAAAGTACGGCCACGCAAAACTCCAGAAGCCAAGGTATCTGCTAGGACAGGGATGACAACAGACAACTGGGTAGCAACGGCCACATGGTTTTGTTCCATCAACTCGGCCAAGAACATATAAGCGTATGGTGCATCATCTTCATCATGGGTAACGGGAAGAGTGTTTACCCAGAAAGTGATAATTTTGTCAAGATCCTGGATACGCTGGCTACAGAAGCGGCAAATTTTGCTGATGGCAACAACAATATTCTCTGTAGCATATATTTGTTCTTCGTCTCGAGCATCAGGATCCTCAAGCATTGTGAATAAGGTAGGTAAAGCACTAGAGCAGATTTCGGAATACAACTCTCCACCGTGTTGAGCAGCCACACCTATACCATAAGCGGCAGCTTGACGAATCTCTGGCTCTGGATTTTGAATGCCTTCTGCCAAGTAGGGAAGGAAATGATCTTTATATGCCCATGAATCAGGTCCAGTAAATTCAATTAAGTCATCCATCATACATAAGGCCCATTGTTTGGCAATAACATCGGAACCATTCAAAAAACCGTTCATGTATGGCAACAAGCGCTCCCAATAAGGGCAGAATGTTGCTTTGTGTTGTTTCAAGACTACGCCGAACGTTCTGTTGATTTCATTTAGCATATTCTGATCATTTTCTACAGCCAAGATAACATCCTCATCTTCCTCCACATCAGCCTCACCATTGCGAGAGCTTTCTTCGCGCTCTTGAACACGTTGAATGAAAGCTTTTAGTTGAAGATCCACAACTGATACCAACTTCTCCATGGAAGCAGCATCGAGACAAGGACCAACCATTTCTAAACTTTCGTACAAGCACTGGAAATAATCAGACAACATTTCTGAGCTTGGCTCGCTTTGGATATAGTCTAACAGTTTACGAAGGATGGGATCCCAGATTTCGGCAACCTTGACAGGGTCTCGGTTACTAGCAATTATCCTGCTATTCAGCAACTGGGGGATACATTTGCATGATGCTGAGCGTACACCGTCATGGAAGAAAAACTTCAAACCAGGTAACACAACAGAAGTTAAAACTTCATTGACATATGGATCAAATTCGCCTTTAAGCTCGGCAGCATAACATACAAGCATCTCTGTAGCTGTACATTTATCCTCTAATGTACTAGTTCTGATGCCAACTTGCTGTCCATGAACAGGAATAAATTCCCAACCGTCTTGCTCTGAAAATTTGCCTTCATCAGTGTCATCATCAATGATTGTGAAATCTGGTTTAGAGGTAGCAGCTGCAAGCAAAGGTGGCATAACAGATCCAAGGAAGGGAACGAAGTCGCTTCCAAGGACGCGGCAGATACGTCCCCATGCAGAAATCAAATAGCTAGCCTGAGGATCATCACTGTCAGTAATGCTCATTTGTATGGTTCCAAGGACCTGAATAACTTCCTGAGAAACTGGTAAGAAGCGAGCCTTTCCAACAGCTAAAGCAATTAAAGTAGCACATTCCATTGCTTTACCACGCAAGGTTCTGAATTCTTTGCCCTCAGCTTGGCGTAACACACTAATTAAGAGAGGCATAATAGCATCAAAGTACTTATCAAACTTTTTAGCGGCGGCATCGGCAACAGTTGCAATGGTGGTAATAGCTTGTTCCTGAACATAGCGTTGAGGACATTGCAAAAGAACAAGAAGGCGCTGAAGGATATCGTCGAGATATGGTTCCAGAACCTTGTTGTCAGCCTCTTCTGAGAAGTTTACCATAGCAGCAGCAGCATGAGCACGTACACGAGCCTCTGGGGAGTCTAAAGTAGGAATAAGGGATTCAAGGATACGAGAAGGATACTTGACTTGCATATCAGGGGCAAAATCAGTAGACATTTGACCAACAGCATTGCAGGCGGCCCAGCGAATTCGAGGATGGGGATCAGCCAACAGAGGCAAAACCATGTCCAATACACGGCTTAGTTCACGCTTCATTATTTTTTCAGCACCTTCAGCAATGGAAGAGATTGCCATAAGGGCAGCATGGCGTTCAGACCATTTTTGAGAAGAAATCAAACCAGGCAACCAGGTAAAAGAAGGAGGAAGAATAGTCTTACCACCAAGTTTTCTAGAAAGACGATCCATTGCTTGTTCAGCAACGATATAATTAGCATCGCTTTCATCTTGGTCAAGGTCATCGGTGTCCAACCATTCTTGTAGATTTTCAGCCTCATCTTCCTCATCACCTGCCACGTCGGTCATGAGCATGAGGCATTGCAAAACAAGTTGATTAGCATATTCTGGTGATCTTCTGCACATGGCAGGAGCTCCTTCGGAGAAACAAACAAGGGCTTCCAAAGCAGCTTGACGAGCAGAATTTTCAAGGTCCTTATCTTTGATAATACCAAGGTTAAATTGCAAATAGGATTCGAAAATATCGTTGAAAATTTTGGGAAAGACCTCGGCAATCTCAGTGATGGCCATGAGGCATTCAGTAAGGTTTTCAGAGTCACGTTCTTGCTGTAAAGGAGGAAGAATGTTGAGGAGGGCGGGCAACATGGGGATGACTTGATCGCGAACAGATTGTTTGCTTTCCAAGACAACAGATGAGTAAGCACGAACTGCAGCTACGCGGACACCGATACTAGGATCACTAAGGCCAGTGCTGAACAAGGGAGCAACGGCGGCCTCTTGGCCTGATAACAGGAGAGGCAAGGCGGCGATAGTACGGTAGACAGAGTCACGGAAGGATTCTTCAGGAGAATTGACAGTACCAAAAATGGTGGTAGTAAGTTCAGGCCACTGGTTTTGGCAATCAAAAACAGAACGGGCGATTTCGGCAATGGTATCACAAAGCTTATTACGAACGGTGGGAACGTTCTCTTGAACAAAGCAAGTCAAAAGCTGGTTTTGAAGAGTCTGCTTGGCTTCGGCTGAGATGCTGGAAAACACTTCGAGTTCGCTATCACTGGGGAGAGTTCGAAAGGAAATTCTACGAATGAGCACAAGAGAAAATGAGCGAATCTAAAAAAGAGAAAGCATGGTTAGTTGGTTGTCAACAAGACAAAAAAAAATAGAATATGCTGAATTGCAAAAATAAAGAACGAAAGAGAAAGGAAAAGAAAAGAAAAAAAAGACCCGCTTTTCTTTTTTTTTTGTTCTAAACGATTTCTCTTCATCATTTCTCTATTTTGCAGAGATTTATGTAGAACATACAGAAATGTCTTGACTCTGAGCAGCGAGAGCAGCTAAACCATTTAACAATAAGTCAGCACGTTCAGCAATCCAGTCGGCAGTCAATACTTTTTCGGCCTCAGAACGAATAACATTATCGGGGGAAGCTAGTCCTTGAACCAGGACTAGCAAAGAGGAAAGTGCATCTGGTGCAACACTAGAAGACATGATGATGGATGAATTCTTTTCGTCTTAGGAAAAGAAAAAAAAAAAGCAATTCAGCAGATAAGTAAGGAATTACCCAAAACAAAAGAAAAGAAAAACAAGGGAAAAGAAAAAAAAAAGAGACGAACGGGTCTCTGTAAAAACTGTTTAACCGTAGACACTTGTTTATCAAAACAAGACGCGAGCTACGATTTAGAAACGAGTGAATCGGGTTAAACTTTGGATTCAATCCAAATCTATAAGTGTACAATAGAAAATGCCTAGTGCTTCCACGGAAATGGAATCCAAGGGCAGATGCAAAAGAAAAGCCGTCTACAGCAGAGATTCTTTTAGGAAGCCAAAAAAATTACCGTAAACCAACGAAATTTGAAATCCTCAATAACAAACGTTCACTAACTGAGAATACAATTTTTTAACGAACATTGTAAAACTATCTAGCGTACCTCAACGTAAACACTAATCTAAAGGTTTCACAAACTACCACCACGTTAAGTCATGTTAAGAAAACCAACAGAGAAAAACAGTCGATTGAACAAACTGGAAAGAGGTTCGGTAAAATCACCCAAGTATAGGGCCAGCTAAGGCAAGCCAGCTCAGCACAGCCCAGCCCAGCCCAGCCCCGTTAAAGTCAGTAAGCAATGTCAAGTCAGGGAGAAGACAGAGAAACATAATTGAACATGTTTGCAACATGACTGTACAACTCTTTATCCTTGCAAATAAAACAACTCAACGAATGCTGTTACAATTTTTTTATGTAATTAGGGAAATTCCAGGTTTACGCGTATAATACATTTTCCATTCTAAGCAAATCCATTTGAGAACGATCCGATGTGTCTGTTTACTTACTTATTTCTACCCTACCATTTCAAAAAGTTTCGATTATTGCTTGCTATCGAGGGAAGCCTTTCTTCCAATAAGGATGCCCAAATACTCCTAAAGGTCCATAAACGGTGTTGTTAGATCTCGCTAAATTGATATCAGCGTGGCTGTGAGACTGTAAAACGTCATTCCTTAATTTTAGTCATAACTTTCCCTCTTTACGTTTGGCAAGCTTTTATTCAAATACAGTCGTTTAACGAGACGTAACGAACGTTAGCGTTGATAGTAAACAAAAGAGATAGGTTGATTTTTATTATGAAAACAAAGGATGAAAAGGAAACACGAAATTTTTTTTTCTTTTTTTTTTTTTATATCAAAGGAAAGAAGAAGAGAATTGGTTTTTTCATATTAAAATTCAAAAACATTTATTATTATTTATTGAAAAAAATTGATTTTCTTTATTTTGTTTTGTGTTTGATTTCATCTGGTTTCTTTTCTTTTCTTTTTTTGTTTTGTTTTGTTTTGGCATTTGTTGATAAAAGACGCGACGCGACGCGTTTTTGTCGTTCATGTGTCTCTTTGGCGTGTGCCGCGCCTACACCGGCCCGGCCCCGTGTGGGCACCACCACCATTACCATTTTTAGTAGCATTTGGTGCAAGATAACTATAAACAAACAGTCGGCGAAGATGCTAAAACTAGAAAGAATAACCAAACAAGGGAAAAGTAAAGGAAAAAATAGGAATGTAAAATAAATTAAGAGTAAAATAAATCAAGTTTAGTAAAATAGATATAGAATAAAAGGAACATCATTGCTATAACGACTGAATTAGTAGCCATGGCCCTTATACTAAACAGCAGCAGCAGCAGCTGCTGCAACACTGGTAGAAAAAAAAGGTCAATACTATAGTATCGGTTCATTTTCACTCTTTTTTATATGAATTTATTTCTTCTTAAAAAATGGTCTTATTTCCATTTGAAAACAAAATTGAATCAAAAGATCCAAAAACGAAAAACAATTGATTCGCGCGCCTCATTTTCCATCTAAACAAAATAAAACCAAACCATACCACCTGAACGCCTCGTCACGCTACGTTGGGACTCGTTCTGGTAACTTACGTGGCTGTCCTTGGAATCCCTAATAGCAAGCCATTGGTTTCCCTCCATATTAGGTTTTAGGAATTTTATAATGTTTTATATTAGTTTCCCCTAAGCTGTATAAATTCACCCCCTCACACCAGCTTGCCGTCTTCCACGAACCAAACACACCCTGTAAACCGCTAATAAAGCAATCGTGTTCGCGTGGTGTTTTAGTTTGGTGTTAAACAAACTTTTTTGGATAGACGCTTTGGAAAGAACTTTCAAAATTCTCGCTAGGTTCTTTTTCTTCGAATTTCCCCTTTTTTCGAGGAAGGTAACCTGATTCCAAAGCCTTTTCTTTCCAAAAACTAGGATTCTCCTTTACAAAGTTTCCTCTACCGGTTTATAAACGCGTGGTTTTTTTGTAATTTGAGATCTCTGTCTTTCCACCATCTCTATATATCTTTGAACCGGTTGGGTTGGTCTCATTGTTTCTATCTTTGATTGACATTCCTTTTGACCCGAAACGCCCATCGTTTTAGGGATTCTCTATTTATATCCCCATTTGTTTGGTTCGGTTTTATTTTTTTATATCCGTTGCATACTTTTCGTAGTTTAGATTGGAATTTCTTGAAACGGATTCTTTTCTTCTCTTTTTTACGGGTTTGCTAATCGTTTAATCTCTTCGGTTCTTGCAACCCATTCCTTATTCTTTGCACTTGCTCTTCGCATACATTTCAAGCTTGCTCCGTTCTCGCTTCGTTGCTTGCTTCTTGGGCTGTAACTGCTTTTGTCAACGTGTAAAAGGTAATTATCGGAATATCCTTATCAACTTGCATTCTTTTTATATACTTTCCTTATTCCCAGATTTCCTTCTTTGCATCCAGGCATCTCCCATCTTTACTCTACCTTCAACTATTATACCATAAAGTTCGGAACGACAAGACAGTTTTCCATCATTCTTTTCGGAGTTTATAATACAGGGAGTATTTAATTATTTTACTAAAAATTACAGGATAATACTTTCATATAATTGTTATTTTGTAAATTATTCTGTCTTTTTCCCGATCTTAAATTCTTTCTTTTTTCTTTCTTTCTTTTAACTATTTCTTGAATTTTCTCTTGTTTATACTTTGTTTTCCCTTTGGATCTCTTGTATTGACCCTTTGCTACAATGAATGCTAATCGCGGTCACCCACAAGGTTCATCAGATCCTGCCAGCGGTGGATATAACCGCGAATCTGAGGATTATCATGATAACGCTTACCAGCGCCCTTCCGCTTCCTCCTATGACCGTGAAGGCTATGATAACAACTCACTTTATGAGGAAGATTATGCCGATGGCTATGATTATCCAACAGGTGTAACCGAAAGCTACGGCGATGAATATACGCCTGTGGATTCCGGTGAAACTGGTTATCAATACACGGCTAACAAAGCCAAGGATATCCATCCTTCTGATGAGTACGGTTCGGATTACTCCGATTATAATGCTCGACCTGCTGAGGACAACTTTTACAACTTACGAGGTGACGGCCGCTACAACGGTCATGATCCTAGTTCCGACTCTCTCGCTAATGTTTACAACAGTGTTCCCTATGGTGCGAGTCCTTACGAATTCAGTAACTCCTCTTTTGTCGGAAACTCTGGTCCAGGTACCCCTATGGACGCCGATAGTGCCTCTTTCTATGCTGACAGCTCTAACTTTGCTCCTAGGGAACCATATCCTGCTTGGACCCCCGAAAACGAGCTTCCTCTGACTAAGGAGGAAATAGAGGATATCTTTATTGACTTAACCAATAAACTTGGTTTCCAGCGTGACTCCATGCGCAATATGTATGACTTTTTTATGACTTTGCTAGACTCTCGTGCCTCTCGTATGACTCCCGATCAGGCCTTGTTGACTTTGCATGCAGACTATATTGGTAGCGACCTTGCCAACTACAAAAAATGGTATTTTGCTGCTCAAATGGACCGTGAGGATGCAATCGGTCTTGCCAGTCTTGGTGTTTATGGCGGTAAAGTTACTTCTGTCAAGGAGAAAGGTAAGCTTTTTTCAAGAAATAAGAAAGCTCCTAAGGTTGCCAAACCCCCTAAAAAGTCCCGCTTCAAGAAGAAAAAGAGGCAAGACGAGCCTACCGAACAGGAGGATGAATATATTGATGTCAACACTGATGACTCTTTAGAATCTGCCGAATATCGCTGGCGTTCTCACATGCGCCAAATGACTCAATTTGAACGCGCACAACAGGTAGCTCTTTGGTTGCTTTTGTGGGGTGAAGCTAATAATGTTCGATTTATGCCTGAGGTTATGGCATTCTTGTTTAAATGTGCTTATGACTATATCGCTTCTCCGGAAGCTCAGAATGTTACAGAGCCTGTTGAAGAGGGTTATTATTTGGACAACGTCATTTCTCCTCTTTATCAGTACATGCATGATCAACAATTTGAAATCATTGACGGTAAGTATGTTCGTCGTGAACGCACACATGAGCAAGTCATCGGCTATGATGACATTAATCAGTTGTTCTGGCATGCGGAGGGTATCGCTCGTCTTATTTTCGAAGACGGTACTCGGTTGATTGATATCCCCGCTTCAGAACGTTTCCATAGACTTTCTGAAGTCCAATGGAACCGTGCATTCTATAAGACATATTACGAAACTCGATCCTGGCTTCATCTTATTGTTAACTTCAATCGTATTTGGGTAATTCACTTCTGCATGTTCTGGTTCTTTACTGCTTACAATTCCCCTACTCTATACACCAAGGAATTCCACAGAAAGGATGGTCCTCAACCTACTGGTGGCTCTACTTGGGCTGCTGTAGCTTGTTCTTCCATCCTTGCTTGTATTATTATGTTGGTAGCCTCTCTGTGTGAATATTTATATGTACCTCGTCGCTATCCGGGATCAAAACCAATCTGGAAGAGGATTATGCTAATCCTTGTAGTTTGCGGTATCAATCTGATCCCTATTGGTTATATTTTGGTGTTTTCTACTCCGGAAAAACAAAGGACTGGAAGAAGAAAAGCTGTTGGTGTAGTAGCGTTCTTGATGTCTATTGCGACCTACCTTTATTTCTCTCTTATTCCTCTTCAATCTGCATTTGGAAAGTGGGCTGTAAAACCAGATAGGAAATACTTAGCCAACAAATACTTTACTGCTAACTTTGCTCCATTGAAGTTTGACAACCAGGCCGTTTCAATTCTTATCTGGGTTTGTATTTTTACTTGTAAGTTTGTCGAGTCTTATTTCTTCTTGACATTGTCTATTAGGGACCCAATTATTGTGCTCAGTACAATGCGTCCTTACCTTTGCTCAATCTATTGGGTAGGTAGTAGACTATGTTTCGTACAGCCTAGAATTTTGCTCGGTATTATGTACTTTACGGATTTAATTTTGTTTTTCTTGGACTCTTATCTGTGGTATGTTATTTTTAACACTATTTTCTCTGTTTTAAGATCATTTATTCTTGGTATTTCGATCTTGACTCCCTGGAGAAATATTTATAGCCGCTTACCACAGAGAATCTACAGCAAAATTCTTGCTACTAACGATATGGAAATTAAATATAAGCCTAAGATTCTTATTTCACAAGTATGGAATGCGGTTGTCATTTCCATGTATCGTGAGCACTTACTCTCCATTGATCATGTTCAGCGTTTGCTTTATCATCAAGTTCCAGCTGAAGAAGGACGTCGTACCTTACGTACTCCAAATTTCTTCGTTTCTCAGGATGATCATACTGTTCATACTGACTTCTTCCCTGCTAATTCTGAAGCGGAACGTCGTCTTTCGTTCTTTGCCCAATCCATGGCCACTCCTGTCCCCGAACCTGTTCCTGTTGATAACATGCCTACGTTCAGTGTTTTCATTCCACACTACGCCGAAAAGATTCTACTTTCATTGCGTGAGATTATCAGAGAGGAAGATCAACTTTCTCGAGTTACGTTGCTTGAATACCTTAAGCAATTGCATCCCGTTGAGTGGGATTGCTTCGTAAAGGATACTAAGATTCTTGTTGAAGAAAATGCTCCTTATGAAGATGATTCCGTGTCCGAGAAGGAAAGTGTTATCCGTAGCAAAATCGATGATCTCCCCTTTTACTGCATTGGTTTCAAATCTGCTGTACCGGAATACACTCTTCGTACTCGTATCTGGGCATCTCTGCGAAGCCAAACATTGTATCGAACTATCAGTGGTTTTATGAACTACAGCCGTGCTATCAAATTATTGTATCGTGTTGAAAATCCGGAGATTGTACAAATGTTTGGTGGTAACACTGATCGTTTGGAACATGAATTAGACCGAATGGCTCGTCGTAAATTTAAGATTGTTGTCTCTATGCAACGTTACGCTAAGTTCAGCAAGGAGGAATATGAAAACGCAGAGTTCTTGCTCCGTGCCTATCCTGATCTTCAAATTGCCTATCTTGATGAGGATCCACCTCTTGAAGAGGGTGGAGAACCGCAATTGTTTGCTGCTCTTATCGATGGTCACTCTGAAATTATGGAGAATGAACGCCGTCGCCCCAAGTATCGTATTCGATTGTCTGGTAATCCCATTCTCGGTGATGGTAAATCTGATAACCAAAACATGGCTTTACCATTCTATCGTGGTGAATATCTTCAATTAATTGATGCAAATCAAGATAACTATCTAGAGGAATGTTTGAAGATCCGTAGCGTTCTTTCTGAGTTTGAAGAAATGGAAACCGACAATGTTAACCCCTATTCGGAGACTGCAAAGGAGAGGAACTACAATCCCGTGGCTATTCTCGGTGCTCGTGAGTATATTTTCTCTGAGAATATTGGTATCCTTGGTGACGTTGCAGCTGGTAAAGAACAAACATTTGGTACTCTTTTCTCTCGTACTCTTGCTCAAATCGGTGGTAAATTGCATTACGGACATCCGGATTTCTTGAACGGTGTTTTTATGACTACTCGTGGTGGTGTTTCTAAAGCCCAAAAAGGTCTACATGTCAACGAAGATATTTACGCCGGTATGACTGCCTTGCTTCGTGGTGGCCGTATCAAGCATTGTGAGTATTTCCAATGTGGTAAGGGTCGTGATCTAGGTTTCGGTTCTATTCTCAATTTCAATACAAAGGTTGGTACTGGTATGGGTGAGCAAATGCTTTCTCGTGAGTATTACTATCTTGGTACACAACTTCCCTTAGACAGATTTCTTTCGTTTTACTTTGCACACCCTGGCTTCCACTTGAACAATATGTTTATTATGCTCTCTGTTCAACTTTTCATGGTTGTCCTACTTAACTTAGGTGCATTCTATCATGTGGTCACTGTCTGTTACTATGACAAGTCGCAGAAATTAAGTTATAGTACTACTTTTGTTCCCCAAGGTTGTTATCAACTTGCTCCAGTTTTATCTTGGTTGAAGCGTTGCGTTATTTCAATTTTCATTGTCTTCTGGATTTCTTTCATTCCCTTAACAGTACATGAATTGATCGAGCGTGGTGTCTGGAGGGCTTTTAAGAGATTTATGAAGCATATCGGCTCGTTTTCTCCATTGTTTGAAGTGTTTACTTGTCAAGTCAACTGTCAGGCAGTTGTTGCTGATCTTTCTTTTGGCGGTGCTAGATATATTGGTACTGGTCGTGGATTTGCCACAGTCCGTTTACCATTCTCCGTCTTATACTCTCGATTTGCTCAACCTTCAATTTATGCTGGTGCTCGATTCTTGATGATGTTGCTTTTTGGTACACTTTCTGTTTGGGTTGCACATTTGGTTTACTGGTGGGTATCCATTATGTCTCTTTGTGTTGCCCCCTTCTTGTTCAATCCTCACCAATTCGATTGGAACGATTTCTTCGTAGACTACAGAGAATTCATTCGTTGGTTATCCAGAGGTAATTCCCGTACCCATGCTAATTCTTGGATTGGTTATTGCCGGTTAAGTCGTACCAGAATTACTGGTTACAAGCGTAAGGTTTTAGGACAACCTAGTGATAAGATTTCTATGGATACTCCTCGTGCAAAGATGACGAGTGTGTTCTTTAGTGAAGTCTTGGTTCCTGGACTGTTAGCTGCAGGTGCAGTTATTCCTTATTTCTTTATGAATTCGATGCCCGGTAATCCCTCTTACGCGAATTGGTTAGACCATGATAAGATGTATTACACAACCGATCCAAAGACCGGTACTAATCCTATCTTACGACTTGCGATTGTTACTCTCGTTCCAATTGCGGTTAGTTTCGGTATGGTCGGATTCTTTGGAGGTATGGCTTGCTGTATGGGTCCCCTGTTTGGATTGTGCTGCAAGAAGTTCCCTGCTGTTCTCGCTGCAATTGCCCACGCAATCCAAGTCATTATTTTCATCGTTGTCTTTGAGGTTTCTTGGTTCTTGGACGGTTGGTCGTTACCTAAGACTGTGCTAGCATTTTGTGCTGTAACTGCTGTTCACAGATTTATCTTTAAGCTTCTGACACTACTTACGTTGAGTCGTGAAGTAAAGCAAGACAGTTCCAATATTTCATGGTGGTCAGGCAAATGGTGGGGTAAAGGGTTCGGTTATCATGCATTCACTTTACCTGCACGTGAATTTATGTGCAAATCGATTGAGCTCAACTTGTTTGCTACCGACTTCTTCTTGGGTCATTTGTTGCTTTACTTCATGCTTCCTGTAATTTGCATCCCATACGTTGACCGCTGGCACTCTGTTTTGCTCTTCTGGTTGAGACCTAGTCGCCAAATTCGCCCACCTATCTTCTCTACAAAGCAGAGTAGACTCCGCAAACGTATTGTGCGTCGTTACTCCGCTCTGTATTTCTCAATTCTACTTCTTCTTTTAATTTTGATTATTGTACCTTTGGCTGCCGGTAGCGAAATCTGGCAAGGACTTGGAGGTGTCGATGCCATCTCTAAGATCAGTCCCTTGTATCCAAACGGAACAGTCAAGAACCTTACTGGAATGAGTATTGGCGGAGGATTGAGACAGCCTAGAGATGTTAATTGGACTCGTAACTACACTCAAAACTATGCAGGAATGAACTTCGTCTTTAATACCACGTATTGAGGTTGATTACTATTTCTCTGTGTTTATAAAGAAATATGTTTCTTACTTTATGCATTCAGCATGAAGTTGATGGATCATTGTAAACAGCGATGTTTTCTGATTTAAATATGGTTTTCATGTTCCTTTTCGGAATTCCTATTATATATATTATATATATATATTGTACTGGCATATGTTATTTACTATTATACTGCATATGATGCAAAACTTTTCCTTTTGTTAATTACTATACTAAGGGCAAGAGGATGGCTAATTTTTTAAAAAGTTGTTCATCGTTTCTTTTTCATTTTACTTTCTTATCATTGTTATTTCTTATTTCTACAACTTTGAAATAGATGAACTTTTTTTTGTGCGGTCGCAAGTCTTGGATTTAGATAGACCTGATCTTTTACGCATCTAAAGTTATATACATTATATTATCTCCACGTTTATTTCTTTATCTATAGAATTAAATAAAACGTTTAGTAATTTGCTTATATTCAGTTTTTAGTAGATTCGTAAGAATGCTTAGCTTCTATTCGTGTTAGAAGAAAACCATCGTTGAAATGATGGTAGTTGTTTCCAGAGATGGGTATAAAGTGTGTACGGTTGGGTTCATCGGTGATCTGCTTCAATATGTTTCTGGTTTTTGTTTTGTTTTATATGCAAAACACCCCATTGTTATTGTTTTTGAAATACTTCAAACTTTTACAATGAACAAGTGATAATAAGCTCGCGATAATACGTCGCGAGCATGAATAGCTTAACATCTTCGGTATATTCCATAATACGAGACCAGCGCAAAAGCCCCTAAGCATTCATAAAATAAATAGGAAAGCAAAGTGCAGCAAAAGAATTGTATTTTATGAACAGTGTTAAAAAGCCCAGTTGATACAATCCTGGGAATGCAGATACATTGTCAAACCAATAGGAGTACTAGAGGATATTCTTCAATTGGTTGTGAAAGAGGGATTATGTTTATATACATTGAGAATTGTTCTGAAAGTACGAATGTAATTCGATTTCTTTTCGTTTTGTAAGTTCATAAATTATTACAAGCTATGTTTTAAATAACATATGCGTTAACCCAAATATGCTTATATGGAAATCAAATAGACGCGAATATGCCCTATAAACATATAATATGCGCGAAACGAAATATGATGATAAGTTGTGTCAGTATCGCAACACCAAAGAAATCTTCATCGTTCAGATGACTCGTAAACAAAAGAGCTGAGTGCAAGAAGAAACTATTGTAACTAGTAGTGTTTCTTTTTTGTTTTGTTTTTTTTAGAGTTTTTTAAAGTATTACATAATAAAAATGGTACAATTATTCGGCGGTGCTTTTCGAGCTGAACTACCTGAAAACTTTTTGAATGCAAGTGCTTTGAGACAAATCCCAGATAATCAGGAAGTTTTTCTTCAAGATTCAAAAGAAAATTTGACTCTGATTTTGGAATTACTAGAAGCAGTTGAAAAACCTCACGATGCAACAGTCGCCAAGTTTCATTTTGATAGCATTGCTTTCGATAATGATGCTAGTGATTCTGTTATTTGGAAAGACGAAAACTTAAATAAAACCGATATTTCTGGATTCCATAATGAGTTGGCAAATGGTACTCGCGCTTTTGGATGCCAAAGAATACTGGAAAAGGGAAAAAAGGTTACGGATCCCGCTTCGAATGTCGCTGTACTAGTGCATGTAATCACCTTGCAGGATATTGAGACAGACATTGTATGCTCCGTAAATATCCCTTTGTTCGAAACGTTGTCTTTTCCCAAAACGTTAGCAGATGTTTCTCCTGCTGACGAGGCAACCTTGCAAACTGCAGATAGAATCTTGAGTCAGTTTACACGTTCTTTGGTTCTAGTTGACAAGAGCCTTTTTTCTTCAGCTTAAAATTAACTCAAACAGCAAAAAGCTGTCTATGTCTGCTTTGAAGAATTACAGCTGCAATCGAAATTTTATTGTCCATTAAAAAGAATCAATGAAGAGGAAAGTATTTATTGTCAAAGAAAAGGGAAAACGGTATTGGAATAAAATTCATTGGGTAAATGTTTAATAGAGTATGCTTGAAATAGCTAGTAGTTTCGAGAACTTCTCTAATAGTACTTTTCCTTTTTTTTTAATAAACTTGTGTTAATTGTTCTATGTCTAGAAACCTCAAGTTCCCAACCGGGTCCCCTTTCCAGGAAAATTGGGATTACCAGTACCAGGCTCAGCAATAGGCAGAGATGCATACGCTAGTTCATCATATGGTTGGTAATTTTTGAAGCGATTTCCTATAGAATCAACCTTTTCTGCCCACCTTTTTAAAGGTATATGCTCAAAAATGTAAGGCGTCGCATAACCAGCTGCGGCACCAGAGGCATGACCGATGAAACTGGCGTAAGGTACAAAAATCGTAGTAATTAACAAGTATATAAGCGGAATATACTTTTTTTGGATATAGTTTTGAAACCTAAATGAACGATTAGAATCAAACTTAGCTAGAAAGCTATGCTTACGGCCCTTCAGGATTATGGACACATGTCGCAGATATGAACGCAAAGGCCCATCCGCTAAATCCAGCAATTGAAATTGACTCCTTTAAAAACATAAAACGATAAGCCACAAGATGCACCAAGGCAGGGAATAGTGTATACGGTACCATTGTTATGAATATACATGCAAAAGTGCCATGCTCCTTTTCAAACTTAGCCATTAATGGGAGCAAAGATGCGAAATTAAATATGATATGTAAAAGAGAGACATGTAAAAATACATATGTGTAGACTTCGAAGACTGGAAAGAACCATCAGTAATTTGTAGCTTTCAAATGCGTACTTACATAAGAATTTATGAAATACATTTTTCCATGATAATGCCAAATAACTTGTTGGAAACCCAGTGAAGGACATCAACTGAATGAACAAGGCTATCCATGTTACAGTCTTAGTCCATAACGGTAAAGTCTGAAAGAAATCTTTGATAGATTCTAACACTCTTGCAATCATTTTTTGTTTCTACTACCTTTTTATTCTTTGTATCTATACTTGGTTTTTGTAGACATTTGCAGCAAGAATTGGTATTATGCATAAGTAAAGTCGTTATAACGACAGTAAGCTTTATTCAGCTAGAACATGGTGTCCAAACTCGCTCTTAAGTTACATTTGTTTCTGACCAAAATACACGATACATATTTAGATATATGAATATAATCGAAGCTTTATGCGATGCAAATTTACACAGTGCTTCATATTTTGTTCATAGTACAATTCTAATATTACTATTCGGTTTTGTCAGTAGACGAACGGGTAATGCAGAAAAAAAAAATATATATACTGACTTTACGTTTGTTTTGAATGAATAAATACAAAAAATTTAGTATAAAGTAAGCATGACTATTCATTAACATATAACTCATCAAAAGAATGTGGACGATAAAGTTCCTTCTATAGTTCCAGTAATAACATTTGAAAACCAAAGAACAAACATAAATAACAAAAAAAGGATTCAAATATTAGAAAAATCAATGACCTCTGGTATAATAGAATCGGGATCAAAACGTATCAGGAAATGGTTCATCTAGTAAACGGACGGTATATGAAGGACCACAAAGCTGACATTCTTTTGCAATGTCCTTTTCAGAGACATTACTTAGTCGATGCTTCAACATACATTGTCTATGAAAAGCATGTTGACATGGGAAAAGAACGAAAGGCTCGGAAAATAGCAGATGATGACAATGCCAGCATGGCTCATTATGGTTAAGAACTACGTATCTGTTTTTAAGGTCATCAGACTTCGTACGTACAGCTTCAGCAACTTCGGTTGCCTGTTCGATTTGGAGGCCCAATTGCCCGATTTGTTCTCGACAACTTTCCAACTCGTCACAGATATTGTCTCTCAGGTCGTCAAGCGAAATCTCTTCTGGTAAAAGTCGAATAAGCTCCGTAAGGGGAAGCACATTTGATTTTTCTAAAAACTTTATTGATTCTTTTACATTTTCAGTCGATGAAAATATTGCTTTTGTAATGGTTTGCCAGAGACTTTTCTTCAATGCTAAATCATCCTCGGGAATGTTGGCAACAGAGGCAGCCAGTTCGTAATCCTTTTCTTCTAAAGCCAATTCAACACCCTGACTGTATAATTTTAATAATACCAAAATTTTTACAGCACTTCTACGACAGTTGAACTGTAAACAAAGTCGAATTCCAAGATCCATGTCATATAAAGGATGCTCCCCTTGTTGTTCAATATAATTCATCAGGTAAGACTCGTTCGAACTAGAATGACATGCGTATATACAAAAGAGCGTATTATGTATAGAAGGCTCCTCACATCCTAATACACCAGTTACAAATTTCAAGTAGCGAATTGCAGCATTTTCCTCAACTGAGACTCGAGCACGCTGGTTATAACTCAATAAAGACGGTATCAACGCATGAACATCCATATCTGTCTGTCGCTCCCATATACTTACAGTCTCCATTGGCCGATGGGTTAATAGAGCAGTTGCATGCTGGATAAGGCTTTCCTGATCCACGCCTTCATTTAAAGTTTCCAGTGCTTTATCGTAGTTTTCTCGTTGTACCCAGTAATGCATAATGTAAGACTGATCTTTCATCACTGTTGCGATTTGCAATAGCTGTTCTTCTTTGCCATAATTATTTGCAAGGTTGTACGCAAGTTCCTTATTGATGTCATCTTTATATTGTGCTAAAAGCCTTGAAAACTCGAATAAAACTTGCTGTCTTTTTTCAACTATAGCATCTGGAAATAACTCAAGTCTCTCTTCTTCATCCAAATCATTTAGTCTTCCTAACAATGATTCTAAAAGCCAATTTACTAAAACCTCTCTTTGGAATTTCATGGAAGCTTTATAAGACTCTACCTTTTTCCATAAATACTGTCTCAGGACATCTTTCTGTCCAATTTCTATGAAACTCAAAGCAACCTCTTCCACCGATTTGAGAGTTTCAGCAAAAAAAGTAGCAGCCTTTTCATAGTCTCCTATTTTCATTAGGTGATCGGCGTAACCATCCAAAACAGAATTTCGAACATTTGGTGTATTAGCACACTCCAAAGCCTTTATGTACTCTTGTTTCTGTAAAAATACTAAAGCAACATCGCCCAATTCATTGTTGACCACTAACTCATGAAGACTCTCCGTGGTATACAGCCAATATGTGTCTTTTACATGATCGCAAGACAGCCCTAATATTTCTTCATGAGGGGAAAGGGGAACTTTTTGTTGGTATACTTCCTTTTGGTTAATTCTGTTAATAAAGAATATAGTATCCAAATCGAAAACTACTATATGAAAAGGGGTAAGCAGCAAGTTCATCTCTACAGTCGATACGGAGAGACGTGGTGACTCAATAAATTGATACTCTTGAATCATGCTCATAGTTTCATTCATTAGATCGTGATAGACAATTCTCTTGTTCGTTTTTATAGCAATGGTATATGGTTCAGCAGAGGTTTGGGGATACGGAGAATGCGAGACGCATTGAACAGATTCATCGTCAGATATATGATAAAGTTCTGTAATTAGTAATAAAATAACAATTAACCGCATTCATACCATTGATCTCTCCCTGAAGGAAAGGAGTAAAGTAGTGCTGATCTGAGCTAGGATTATTACCCTTCGTAAACTTCAAAATTCTTTGATTAGTAGCAACTACAAGGTTTTCCTTTAAAGAGTCTTCTTGACTTGATAACAACATATCCAAAGGAACCTCTGACTCTGAGAAAGAATAAACGGTATTCATAGACTTCTCAAGTCGTTTCACATGAGCTGTATCCAACATTAAAACAATCTCGATTATAACCCCAGATCTGGAAGCAAGCAGTAGTTCCAAAACATTATTTTCCCCAATTTTCCACACTACGGATTCTACTGTGTGTCCTTTTAGCTTCGTCAAAACTCGACTTTGCCGAGAAGGGGTAAATAGACAATTATCGCCAGCCGTTGTAGAGACAAATATATAGCGCCCTGAAGGATCTAAGAAAATCTTGTATGTCAGTCCGAGCGCTAAAGCTTTCTTAGGAAGTTCTATGTCTGAGAACGGTTAGAATACGCAACGAGAAGGATAGAACAGAACACATACCCACAATTTCTTCAGGTCTTTCTAAATCTACAATCATTAGTTTATCACTTGTGAGTGCCATGACCAAGATGTTATTTTCAACAGCTAAACAACGTATTGAAACAGGAAATTGCAACTGGACTTTCTCAATAGAAAATAGGCTTCTTCGTTCATTATTCAGCTCGTTTTTTTTATAATAAAAATCGTTTTGTAGCTCCGTATTCTCAGAAGATGCAGGATCGACCCAGTCTTCTGCTATACTCATCTTTCATAAATTGGCGGTATGTAAATGATTAGAGATATATGCGGTCAATTAGCTCTTAAAGATATTACAATTATAAAAAAAATAAATAATAGAAGTGTAATTTCGAATTATAGCCTTTGTATAGTCCAACTATGCTGATGAATGCAGAAGTGAGATGTGGTACGTCTCTATTTTTTATCCTCAAATTGGGATGAAGTCATTTCGTTTTTAACATTTACATTCATTTAGTGTACATATTTTTAAAAGCTAACATATAAGTAGTATAAATAAAAAAGAAGGTATTATTCAAAAGTCCCCCAAAAAACAAAAAATAATAAATAGATTCGTAGGATACAAAAGAGTAAAGATATTAAAGATGAATTGTCACTATATCCGCTGAGTTATATATGGTTTCACAGATGGGACAAGCACGATCTTTCTGCTTTAGCCTGGATTCTATACAACTCGAACAAAACGCATGGCCACATGTGGGTATAAGCCTATTTTTCCAGTTTGAATAATCACACATCTGGCATTTCAGCATTCCTTTATAAACCTGTGCCTCTTCGGTTTCGTAAGCCTTTTCTATAAGAGCTGACTCTTTCTGATTGTATTCATCTTTCAAACTTAGTTGAGCTTCCTTGATTTGTAAAGAATAATACTTTTCGCGTGCAGCGTGAGTATCTTCATTAGTGAGCTCAATAGATTCTTGTAAGCTTTTGAACTTTTGTTCAAGATCGGAATTTCTAATTTGCAAACGCTTATCTTCTTCAAGGACTCCTGTGGAATATCTTCCAAAAATGTCCTTAATTTGTTTATATACAATTTCCATTTCCTTGAGAGATGACTGATATTTAGCCAACACGTTTTCACGTTCAGAAAGCTTATTAACAAATTCCTGGCCTTTACTGTTAACCAACTTTAAGGTTTTACTTTCTGTAATCAATAAATCGCGCGATTTCATCGCAGAAAAGTACTTTTGCGCAGCTCTAGATTTATCGTAATGGGCTTTTTTGACGGCTTCTTCATTACTCTGAAGCAAGTCTAAATTATTTCTCAACTTTGAGTACGCCTTGTTAAAAGCTAAATGCATTCCCGGAAGTTCTGCTTCTAAACAAGCATTATTCCTAGAAACCTTTTCCACTTCCTCATCTTTCTGGTCACCTACATTCGTTTGCAAGTCATAACTATTTACCCACTCCAAATAAGCGAGCTTAGTCTTATGAGCTTCCAAAATTGATTTTTTCGAATCAGTGAGAAGGGTTAGGGTCTGTAATATTTCTTGGAAATATACATCGTTAGTGTTCGACATTTGTTGCTGTACGACGAGACCATCACGCTCCGTTCTCATTAAAGTTAACGACCTTTCAAGTTCTTCAATTCGTGCTTGTTTCTCTTTTATTTCGTTCATTTTTTGTTGTGTATCCTCTATTTGTATTTTAGTTCGTTGAGATACGAATGTCTGTAATTCACTGGAAACTGATGCAAGCTGACTGTTTATATTTCTCACATTGTTTTCGTTTTCATGCAGCTTTTCCAATAAGCCTTGGTATTCAGGTGTCTTCTCTAAAGCTCGATCAGTCGCAGAGAGCAATTCGATATATAAATGGGCCGCCTCTCTTTGTTTTTCTAATACCTGGTATAATTTTTGATCAACATTTCTTTTCATCATGCTAGATTGTGAGTCGAAATTATTTTTTAGCTTGACGACGTTCTCATCATCCTGCGAAACGTTCCTTTTGAAAGCCTCTGAATCATCCTTCGAGTCTGCCAAATGAAGAGTCTGCTCCTTTTTTCGTTCTATGCTGTGCTCTAGTTCAAGCGTAATATTTTGCTGTTGTAACTGTTTCCATTCTAGTTCTGCAGAGTGCTGCCTATCAGAAGTATACGTGAGCTCTTTTTTTAAAAGGGCAAGTTTCAGTCGTTGAAAGTAGGTTTCAAAAGTCATCAAAAATTGGCCTTCCTTCTCTTGAATCCACTGGTTCCATTCAGAAACATTTGCTTCATCCAACTTCGCTAAAATACCATTAGAGATAATTGATTTCAAGATCTTGTCGAAGTCTGAGAAATAAGACTGCAAATCATCAGAGACTAAATCATTTTTTTCAAAATATAAAGCTTTCTCGAAAGACAACTCTTTTGGTAAATCCTTAGTTCTTTCTTTGTCAATCAACGGAGATGCTAACTTTTGCAAATAACTCATAAGTTCTTGATGATGATTGCAGACTTGCAATATATAATGATTAAATTTTTCTAATAATTCACTCCATTTTTCTTGAGCTTTTTTGTCTTCAAGCAGGAGGATGTCATATTCATGAGCTCGTCTCCATATTGCTTCTTTCTGAAATAACTACCAAAGTGTTAATCCACAGAACTGCAAATGTAATGCATACCTCTAAATCATCGTCTTCTTCAAAATTGAGTAACCTTGTATGTTCGTTATGCACCAAACGTCGCTTCCTTGGCGGTTCATTCACTAATGCCATAATATCGACGCTTTTTATATATGTTTATATTATAAGTTTTCCAGTTCTATATGACATTCAAACAATTAAAACTAATTTGAATGTGTCTGGTAGTTTCATCGGTAGTTACTAAAATTTGGTGGTTGACACTTACACTATGAAATTATTGAGGGAGCGCTGTTTACACTTGGAAACTGCCACAACCCAATTGAGTACGATTTGGAGTTAATTGGAGGCCTTTCTTTCCATGATATGAGTGCTAAATTACTGTCTTCTCCTATAAGTAAGTTACTATTCATATTATGTTTGCTAATGAAAATTCAGAAAATCCGTATTCGAAATTTGCCCCGAAATTTATTGCTCGTAGAGAACGCTCCGTGGAGAAACCTATTCAACGCGAAGATGTTGAAGCTCTACAGGAAGGAATTTCGACGAATTTGCATGAGGTAAATGAGGAGCCAGTTGACGGTCCTCAGGAGGAAGGGCGCGATTCATTTAACATATTAGTTGAAGCTGCTCAAGAAGCACAAAAGATGGGAAACCAAAATGATGAAGGCTCAGATTTACAAAATAATCAAACTTCTGTAATATCGAAGCCGACGGTTGAATCTTCTTCCCAGTCTAACGAAGATGAATCCCATCTTGCTTCATTTCAAAGTTCTGGATTATCTGGTCAAGTTAAGAATGAGACTCCTATGGATGAAAACATTCCTCTTTCACAACTAAGCTCTATTCCGGTAAATATTGAGGACCAAGATGCGTCTCAATCAAAGCGAATGACAAAGGGTAAGTTTTGTTGATGACGAATTTTAGCTGACAAATGAATTAGCGTCAATTCGTAGAAGGAAGCGTAAACTTATTGTTGATAATGTTGGAACTGAGCAGGAGAGTATCAACATAAACGAAACTAAAATGTCTGCATTGTGTGATGATCCTGGTATCGGCAGAAAGAGTCAACGTTTCGTCGAAATTGAGAAGATACTTTTGGAGGAAAAGTTAGCAAAGAGAAAAAAACGTACCGGATCAGTTACTCCTGCCAAGGAAGAGTCTCCCCAGCGAGATGTGCAATCCGTGAACAATACTTCTCAGATGAACATACAGGAACCTGAAGAGGAAGAAGAAGTAGTTGGAACAGTGGAAGCTGAGCCAGAGGGACAGGAAGAGGTAGAAGTTCCAGAGTCTAATGTGGCATCTAAATCTATTTTGGACCAGCTCGCTGATAAGATGGATTCAGATGGGCAATTCAATCGCTCAACCGCTTCCGCTCCTAGAACACGAGTTGTTGATGGTCAGATTGTTTTGGATGAAGCTTCTTTGGAAGTAGATCGTCATGAGAGAGATTATGTACCTGAAGAGGATCGTGAGTTCGTAGAAGAAAATGCATTATCTCGTAGGGTAACGAGCGCAACTTGGGGAAACCGTCAAAAATCTGAGAAGTGGAAAAGTGATGAGACAGATAAGTTTTACAAGGTATTCATTTCTTCCTTTTTGGAACCTTCATAACTAACAACTAGGCGCTTTCTCAATGGGGCACAGATTTTGCTCTTATCTCTAATATGTTTCCAAGTCGCAACCGTAGACAAATTAAGCTCAAATTCAAGCAGGAAGAAAAACGAAATCCTGCTCGAATTAATGAAGCGTTAAGGACTAAAAAGCCAGTCGGTAAGCTTAAAATATACATGCTTTTATGAACTTCATTAACCCTAAAATTAGATATGGAAGAGTACAGCAAAGAATCCGGTAAAGTTTTTCGTCCTGTCGAAGAGGTTGAAAAAGAGCTGGCTCATATACGAAGTGCTTTTGAAGAAGAAAGAAAGCGAGCTGTGGAAACAGCTGAACAAAGACAAGTTATAGCGAATTATGAAGCTGAGCAGGAGAGAAATGCTCCTCAAACAAAGCAAGAAAGAGAGATTGTTTTTGAAGACGGAATTGAGGTAGTGGGACAAGTGGCTTAATTTTTGGTTTATTTTCTTAATTATTGGTTTTATTGTTTTGGTAGTTAATTTGGGTTATCGTTGATTTGTTATTTTAAATCTTGGAATTATGGAATTTGTGCACTTTAATTTACATTGTTTCAATAATTCGTTTTGTTATTTCTAGCTTACAGAGGTATGCTTATCTAACTTCTATAGATATTGTTTACTTTTATGAAGCTGATTTTGGATCGTGGTCTCAATTTTATAAATCGTTTTTGGATGAATTTTCATAAGTTGAGTTATATTTAATAATTTAGTATTTATTCTTTAATTTTACGTGAATAGAATGTAGCTTTTTATAATAACTAGTAATTTTTACTCATCTTTATTCTTTTCAAAAATATGATAGAAAGGTAGTTAACCTACACGATTTTTTAATTTACGGACTATGGGAAAAAAGGAAAGATCTAAAAAGCAAAGAAAATCTTCAGTAAAACAAGAAACTGAAAATGAGCCTTTTTCAGCTTTAAAAAAGAGAAATCCTCTGCAAACTGACAAAATCCAGAAGACGCCTGCAAAGCCAAGGAATTTCCGTTATGTTCCTCCATTCGAGCGCAACCATCGGTTTTTATTAATTGGTGAAGGGAATTTCTCGTTTGCAGCTTCTTTACAAAAGCATCATATAGATAGTGAGGCTGTTCTATTGGCAACCTGTTACGACAGCAAAGAAGACGTAGAGCTCAAGTATCCTGACTCTTCAGAATATATTGAACAGGTTTTGCAAAATGGAGGTGAAGTTCTGTACGATGTGGATGCTACTAAGCTAAAGCAAAATCGAAAGCTTAAGAATAGACAATTTGATACAATTCTGTGGAACTTTCCACACTCTGGAAAGGGTATAAAAGACCAAGATCGAAATATCCTGGATAATCAAAGTATGTTCATTAAATTTCTAGCTTTTCAGGCGGAATTATTGAAAATGAGATTTCGGCTACTGCTTTCAAGTTTTGAGATCATCTAGAGTCCATAACTAACTTATACAGAAATGCTTTTAGAGTTTTTTAAACAGTCGAAAGAGCTCCTTTCGGAAAATGGAGTCATTGTCATTACTCTTGCTGAAACGAAACCATACAGTATGTGGAATCTAAAAGGACTAGCCAAAGAGGCAGGTTTCATTAGTTTAATGACCGAACCTTTTGATTCTTCTTGTTATCCTGAATACTCTCATCGACGTACAATTGGATGGAAGGAGGGAATAAGTGAAAAATCTCCCTGGAAAGGCGAACTGAGGGATTCTCGACATTACTGTTTTGTTGCTGCAGGAAGCAAAGTAGTTCCTTATAATCAAAGAAAAACTTTTAAACCAAAGCAAGATTCAATAGATAGTTCTGATGATTCTCTAGATTAAAAATTCATGAGCATTCGCAAACGAATTTACCTACTGCGATTTCTTACACATCACCCTCACACCCACAAGTTCACGATCTACCTTTAACGACAGCCATTCACGTAAAATAATTACAGTATATTATATCTAACTGCTTTTTTTTTATTTAAATATAGTTATCAGAAGACCATTGTTGATGCTTTCATGGCTATTTCTAAAAAAGCATTAGTTGAGCGGATATGTGCAAAGACGTTCAAGTCTAGTCTTACATGCTCAATTTTTGGGTTTACTTTTCTTTTTATTCTTTATTTGCTTGATTGGTCTCGCATCGCTAGGTTTCCTCCGACAAAGTCGCTACCGGGACTAGATGTTGAGCGTGCTTGGAATGACTTGAAATTCATTTCGCTACTCCCTCATCCTTACAATTCAAAGCAAAACGAGGTTGTTCGTGATTATTTACTAGACGAGCTGAGACCACTAGAAGAAAGTAATCAGCCTTATGTTACAGTTATAGATGACCTCTACACGAATATAACATTCGAGTTAGATAACAAGTCTGACCTGGTCTACTTTGAAGGAAATAATATCCTAATACATTTCCAGGGGAAAAACCGACAAAGACTACCTATACTTCTATCTGCTCATTATGATTCTGTGTCGACCGGTAAAGGTACCACCGATGATGGCATGGGAGTTGCTGCTACGTTGGAGCTTTGTAGATATTATGCGAAGCATCAGCCAGAGCGAGATTTAATAGTAAATTTCAATAACGCTGAAGAAGATTATTTATACGGCGCTAGGGCTTTTGCTGCTCACGAGCTTTCCAAAAACGTAACAGCCTTTGTTAACCTCGAAGGAGCTGGATCTGGCGGGAAGGCAATGCTGTTTCGATCTTCTAATCATTACGTTACAAAAGCTTATTTTCGAAAGAATAAGTATCCTCTTGCATCAATATTAGGCTCAGACTTTTTTAAGCGAAGAATCATTCGCAGTGAAACAGATTATATCGTGTATGAAAATATGCATAACGGAACTGCTGGTCTTGACATTGCTTTTTATGAAAATAGAAATATTTATCATACCGCTAAAGATGATCTGTCACATGTTATGCCTAAATCTTTGAGACATATGATGTATTCTGCTTTTCGTTCTGTAAATAATTTACTTGATGAACCCAGGAAAGACTTGACAAAATTCTCAAAACCCACATTCTTTTTGTTATTTGGAAAGTACTGGCAATTTAAATATCCTTTATATCAGATGACAAGCGTCGTATTAGTTGTTGTTTGTCCGATAATTTTACTCTCGATTTTGCTTCGGTTCCCTTCTTTGTATACTCAAATAAAGAAGAAAAGATACATGGCTTGTTTCCTCTTATCATGTGTGTTTGTGTTTGTATTTGATGCAGGGACTGTACTTTTCTTGACTTGGTATAATCCATATCTTATCAATGCTCATAGTGGACTTGTCTCTGCTTTGTTTTATTTGACTAATTTGATTGCTCTGGCTTTCTCGTTTCGTACAGCTGCTACTCATAGTAAGCTTTCATCAGAAGACTTAAGCTGCATTGAAATTGTCCTCATATGGTATGTTCAAATGCTATGGTATGCAGTATTTTTTATATCTGTAGTACTTTCTTTACACTATGAATTGAGTTCCACATACTGGGTTACGCTTTCCTATTTAAGCACTGTCTGCTGCTGTATATTAACGTTAATCCGAATCCATTATTTCGTTGATAACGTTGAAGACATGAATTTTACACGCGAAGAACGATCCCTTCTTGGTGTTCCGTCTTCGAATCAGTCTCAATATGGTTCTGTGCCTCAACAACCTCTCATCCACAGGCCTTCAAACCTATCTACTAAAAAAGCCCATGCAAAGCTTAAAGATAACATTTGGTCTGTTCTATATTTCATTTTCATTGTACCTCTTCCCCTATTTTTGTGTTATGACATTTTGAATGAGGTGATCTTGCCAGCCGGGAGTCAAACTTTGACTGATGCTCCATTTTCTAATAAACTGTATAAACTGACGATAATCATCGCCTTCTTCTCGATGGTGAATAGCGGACCCTTTATATTCCGTGCATTATCTAAGAAGTCCACTGCAGTCTTGACAATGCTTTGGATAACGCTTCTTGTGCAAGCCTTGTTCCTTGACCCTTTCGACGAAACTCATCCACTGAAGTTGGCGACTTTTCAAACATACAATTTAAATAATGGAAATCATACCTTTTATGTCAAGAACATTACTCCTTTTACAGATCAGATCTTGCAATTCAACCCTTATTATACAGCAAATGGCGGTCAATGCGATGATACTTATTGTTCTTTTGAATCTGTCAAACCTTCTTTTGAAGTGAATAATCCTATTGTGTACGAGCTAAATCAAGGGAAACATCAAGTGGATCTTACAATCCGCGCCGAAAGTAAGTGGTGTACAGTTAACTTTAATGAGTCTGTGTTTGTTGAAGACTTAAATGAAAACAGGATAAGTAAGGTATATAAGTCTATCCGTATGGGCCAAAGAGAATTCCTAAAGCCTTATACTCTTAATTTAACCATTACGGAACCGACAGCTACCGAAATAACATGCTCATACGATGATATTACTGATGGTACAATCCCTGCTTACGAAAATTTCCTCCAGCATTTACCTGCTTGGTCGGTTGGTACAAAAGCAAGTACTGGCTTGTTGAAAGTCTCAACTTCTTTTACAATGACATGAGAAAATATTAGGACATGATTAGTAATGAAATGAATTTCAAGTGATCCGTTATTCGGAAAAAGACGACGCTGATGTAAAGGAAAACAAGTATTGTCTTATGCCATAAACACGCCTTTGTTAGGGACACTAGGTAAGGGTTTTCGAACCTTGATATAGGAAGGAGAAGAGTTGCTAGCTGGTTCAAATGTCCCGTTGTCGCTTTCGAGAAGCTTTCCTATATTACCATGAGTTTGCTTAATAGGAGTGCTTAGGTCCTTTGGTTCATCACTGACGATACGTCGAAGAGTCTTTGCTCTTTCTATAGAATTGGTAGGTGTTTTGTATTGAATGGCTCTACCTGAAATACGACGGCAATAGTTTGCTGGAAACATACCCGATTTGCCCAATACTTCCATTTGAGTATTCATTTTTCCTCCAACATACCAATCTTCGCTTAGTTTGTGGCTTACTGAAATGAGATCGCCGGCATTGAAGTCAAGTTCCTTGCTGTTTCTCCCAGTAAACGTGTAAAGTGCTTGAACTACCGTTTGATCTTTAGTTCCCTCCCTCAAATTATTGTTAGGTTCTCCGTTCAGTTGGAAGGTTATAGAAGAAGGTTGTGAACTTCTAGGCTCATGAATTGGGGTTCGGTTTAGGGAAGCTTTATACAGATCAACTTCACAGACCTCGTCATCACTTTTGGCTTGGGTGACCTCTTGGTTCTGTGATATGGAGGAACTGCATAATTCATGAACATTTGCTAGTGCCTTTGTAGCTTCCTTAAAATAATCAAGTTGGTGTGTCAATAATTGAGTCATTTGTTGCTGCTGATCAGTTTCTGCTTCTTTTAAAGCAACCATACGGCTTCGAACGTTCTCCGTTGACTCTTCGAATTTGTAAGAAGCTAGACGGATGTCTTCCTCTAAACGCGGGTCTTCCTTCTTAGCTTTGTAAGCTTTCATCAGGAGTGATTCGTAGGTTTGGCGACGACTTTCCAGTTTCTTCCTGGCTGTATGGTAATCTTTCATTTGCACCAGATAGCGCTTAAGGAAGTCAAGATAGCAGGCATTGGCTCTATTCGTAAAGAAACCTAAAAGCTCTCCGATTTTGAGCTGTACTTGACCATAATTAACCAAAGCGGCACCTATAATTAGCATCGCTTATCTTAATTTACTTACCATAAGGGGAGTCGTTAGGAAGAGCTTTTCCATGGCTAACCATAACTTGCCCCATTTTCTCGATCGGGAAACATTTTTCCTTCTCTTCACCATCAACTCTCTTTCCTGTTTATTTATTAGACACTATGCTTGAGGCTATTCTACTCACCTAGTGATTCAATCCAAGCGTTTCCAGCTTGATAAAGTTTAGTTATTCCTACCTGTTAGTTTTATTGTTAGATACACCTTGTTATTACCTTCTTCTCGAACTCCTATTTCTTCTTCAAGCTGCAAGAAACTGTCAGGTAGTTGAATTCTCTGATCAGTTGGAAGCTAAAAATTGATTAATATAGACTGATTATTTTTCTGGCTTAAAGATGCTTTTGTTCTCTATTAAAAGCAACTACTCGGTTTCTCACATACTCTTTCTGTGCTTAAAGAAGTTAGCTAGTGATTCGCAGTTTATTTCGCATACCTCCATGTTGAAAAAAACTTTGTAACCATTTTTTTTATTCTACTGCCAGAACGTATCTATGCTTTTTGGAAATATGTTTATTCCATTAGCACTCGGAAAATCCGTATCTGCACCTTCAACAATTAAGGGTTCTTTAGTTTTTCTATTGTTAAGTTATTTATAACTTGCCCAGCAATGAAGACGATTTATATAGTACGATGTGTTTGTTTGTTTACATTGTTTCAGAAGAATGTTTACTATATATTCCACCGCTTACCTAAATGGGCACTATAAAGTCGCTGAAACTACGCAGTTACTTTCTCATCCATGAAGCTCCTCCGTCTTAATAAATCTTATGGTTGACTTGATAGTGTTGATTTCTGAGGAAATGTGATCTAGGATATTTTCAAACATTTAGTCGAATTCTAGCTTCAATGAATTATAAGTTTAAATTATTTATGCAATTTTCATTAAATATATATTTCTTCCATATGCAAAACTGATTAGTAACGAATAGAAGTTATTCAACGGGGAATACAATTGTTTTTACTTGGCCAACACGAGAACGTTTTCAACACTTAAAACGTAATTGTACTCCGTCATTTATAATTATAAAAAGCCATTGTTTTCTAGATACATCCTTTTTAAACTAACTCCTCCTCCTTCATACCTCAAATATCGATTTCGGTGTGGATATGTAATAGTAGTGAAACGATATGATATATGTTTTATATCTTTTTGAATAAATTATGAGTAGTCGTTGGCTTTTGATCTGACAGTCAACTACTCAAGTTTTTCGGTTAGCTAGCTTACCGCAGCAAATATATTCGACTATGTGTTGTATAGGAGGTTCACTGGAACCCAAGTATGTAGTAAAGAAAAGATAAATACCGTATATATCTGAAAGATGGTACATTTCAGAATTGTTTATTTACTACCATGGTTGCCTTGCAATACGTAATTCTTGGTTAACCCAGCGGCTTAAATACTGCTATTCTAGTTCACTGGTAGGGTCATTCTAGAGTACGCCGAGTGCAACATCGACGTACAATTTTTTGTTTAAAGAAGCGTGTTTCTTTGACGTTCTCTAATTTAGGATCACTTGAAGAAATTATCTTTTCCTTTGTCTTTCTCAATCTCCTTTAGGATTTTAAGAAGGAAGGTTCCCCATTACTAGGATCATAAACAAATATATCTATATAATTACAGCAGTGGTCATAGCAGAACCTTGTGAGCCTTCCAGTTATGTCCTCTGGAATTTATTATAAAGGACTGTACGTTTTCTATTTGATGTTTGATAATCTGTATTGACAACCTTCAATTTAGTCAATGTTGGATTCCTGATAAAGAACGGCAGTGGTCACCCGGAATAGTTAAAAGCTGCTCAATTGAATCAAATAAAGCAAAATTAATTGTTGAAGATGAAGATGGCAATGTATGTGAACACCTATGATCTTCATTTCAAGCTTATGAACGAATTAATAACCGCTGTATATAGGAGTCAACATTCTCTGCTAAACCAGAGGATTTAGAAGAGGAAGGGAAAAACGGATTACCATTTTTACGGTCCAGTCTTTCTGATCCAGATGACTTAACGAATCTAGCATATTTAAACGAACCGTCTGTCCTTGATGCATTACTGACCAGATACAATCAATTGCAAATCTATACCTACTCAGGCATTGTATTGATTGCTTTGAACCCTTTTCAGTCTTTACCAAAACTTTACACTCCTGAGGTTGTTCGCGTTTATTCCGAAAAATCTAGAGACCAGCTTGATCCGCACTTGTACGCTATAGCCGAAGACAGCTTCAAATGTATGAATCGAGAAAGAAAGAATCAGACAATTATCATTTCCGGTGAATCTGGTGCTGGTAAAACTGTTTCAGCTCGTTACATTATGCGCTATTTTGCGTCTGTGCAAACCCTGAGTGATCCTAGTAGTACCGCTAATGTAGATTCAGATTCAGTGCAGCTAACGGCTGTTGAAAACGAAATTTTAGCTACCAATCCCATTATGGAAGCCTTTGGTAATTCTAAAACTTCTAGAAACGATAACTCATCCCGTTTCGGAAAATATATTCAAATCATGTTTGACAAAAATTCTATTATCATAGGTGCTAAAATTCAGACCTATCTATTAGAACGTTCACGTTTAGTTTTCCAACCAAAGTCTGAACGAAACTATCACATATTTTATCAATTACTAGCAGGCGCTTCGCCAGAACAATTAGAAGAATGGAATCTTTCTGCCGATGTTAATGATTACAATTACTTGCGACAAGGTGAATCGCCTACAATCGATGGTGTTGATGACGCTAAGGAGTTCCAAGAAACAGTAAACGCGCTCAAGATGGTATCAATCAATAGCGATACGTCGAAAAGTATTTTCAGTATGTTAGCAGCGTTATTGCACGTTGGCAACATAGAGATAAAGGGTTCTAGAAATGATTCATATATTGATTCCAAGAATGAGCATTTGCTGAATGCTTCAAAATTATTGGGTGTTGACTCGAGTACTTTCATTAAATGGTTGACTAAACGGAAGATTAAGATGGCTTCAGAGGGTATCATAAAACCTTTAACTGATTATCAAGGATTGGTAGTTCGTGACTCTGTTTCCAAATTTTTGTATGCATCATTATTTGATTGGCTTGTCGCTACCATAAATACTGCCTTGATGAATTCGGCAGTAAAGCAAAATCAAATTTCTGAAAGCTTTATTGGTGTACTAGATATTTATGGATTTGAACATTTTGAGAAGAATTCGTTTGAACAATTTTGCATAAATTATGCCAACGAAAAACTTCAACAAGAATTTTATAAACATGTTTTCAAACTTGAACAGGATGAGTATGCTAATGAAGGCCTCAATTGGTCTTACATTGATTACCAAGACAATCAACAGTGCATTAGTATGATAGAAAATAGAATGGGAATACTCTCACTTTTAGATGAGGAATGCCGAATGCCTACAAATAGCGACGAAAATTGGGTCACAAAATTGAACGATGCTTTTGATAAACCCGAATTTAAGAACAGTTATAAAAAAGCTAGGTTTGGCAACAACTCTTTCACTGTTAGGCATTATGCCCTTGACGTAACTTATAATGCTGAAGGATTTATTGAGAAAAATAAAGATACTATATCAGATGAATTGATTGATCTTTTCAGTGAATCTTCAGTTCCATTCATCAAAGATCTGGTACAATTTCGGTTGCAACAAACTGCTTCCCAGGATTCTGGAGGATCGAATAATAAAAGGTCCAAATCAAAGCCAAAGAGCAATACCTTGGGTTCGATGTTTAAGAATTCCCTCATTAGTCTTATGGGTACAATCAATGAGACTAACGCTCATTATATTCGATGCATAAAACCTAATGAACAAAAGGAGGCCTGGAAGTTTGATAATGTAATGGTCACATCTCAACTCAGAGCTTGCGGTGTTTTAGAAACCATCAAGATATCATGCGCTGGTTTTCCATCACGATGGACCTTCGAAGATTTCGTTTCCCAATATTATATGCTTGTTCCTTCGGCTGATCGGTCTGACAATCCTTTGACTTTTACGACTGCCATTTTGAGTAAGACCATTGACTCGGCCAAATATCAGATTGGTAAATCTAAAATCTTTTTCCGATCTGGTGTTACTCCACAACTGGAGGCTGCAAAGGATCGAGCTTTAAAACATGCTGCTCAACTTCTCTACGACGCGTTCGCTACAAACTACTATCGTACACGATTCCTCAATTTACGGAAACGTGTATCCCGTTTTCAAGCAATGGCTCACGGTTACCTGAGTCGTCGTACCACTCAGGCTGAAATATTCTCAAAAAGTATTACAATCATTTCATCATTATGGAAAACCCATGTAGAAAGAAGAAAGTTTTTAGAGGCCAAGGCATCCATTCTTTTCCTTCAATCGGCTGTTCGTGGTTTCCTTTTTCGTAGAAACCAACGAGTAGGTAGAATGGAACAAGCCGCTGCTTCCATTAAAAACGTTTGGAAAACTCATCGTGAACGACAGTCTTTTATGAAGTTGAGACACTGTACAATACGGATACAATCATTGATACGAATGAAACATGCCATGCGTCAGCTTGTTGAGCTTCGTATAGAATCTAAAAAGGCAAGTCACTTTAAACAGGTGTCATATAAATTAGAAAGCAAACTGTTTAATATGACAAAGAAATTAGATGAATCGGAGCAAGAAAATACGAAGCTTAAAGATAGAATATTTGAATTGGAGTCACATTTGTCAAATTACGCAGAAGCTACTTTGTCAAAGGAGCGCGAATTAGAGCAGACACACGTACTGCTATCAGATCATTCTCAAGATCAAGAGTACAAGTTGGCTTTATCTGAAAAAGAAAAGGAATTGTCTGATTTACGAAGTTTCATCAACCGATATAAGGATGATAATCAAGAGTTACTTCGTATGAACACCACTTTAAAAGCCCAACTGGGAAAAGATGCAGACGTTATATCATCTCAGACTGCTGAAATTAAAGAAAAAAATAAAATAATAGCAAAATTAACGAAGGCTTCTAAAGTTCTTAATTCTAGTTTTGGCTCTGAACAAACTCGCGTGTCAGAAGAAAAATCTAGACGAGATAGTTCATTGATGGAAATGCGTACCCAAAAAGAATTGCTAATTTTACTCATGAACGATGGATTAAAGCACGACTTGGATAAATTGACAGAATTTGCTGGAAAAACGTATGTTTGGGATAAAACTGTCGAGTTGCTTAATAAAAAAGAGCAAGACGAAAGTAAACCACATTTATTTTTGGCTAAAGCATTATTCATTATAATTTCACAGATGTGGAAAACTAATTTATCCCAAGAAAGTGTTGCTTTAATTGAACGTTATTGCGTCCATATACTGGAATATATTTCTCAGAGGACACAAATCAGAAGAGAAATACGTGCAGATATGGGTTTCTGGATTGCCAATACCCATACTTTGCTTTATCTCGTTCGCACAAAGCTGTATGGACTTAAGAGGTCGTCCTCCTTAACTTTATCGTTTAGTGAATCGTACGATGCAATTCATACAGTGTTCGACATGTTAGATTCACACTTGTCAAAAATTGTTTCTATGTGGATTGATCAAATCACCGCTGCTTTAAGGCCTCTGATCGTCGATGGAATCATTGTTAGCGGTAACCAAATTGATAAAGGGGAAAAAAGGCTGATTCCAAGAGTTTTCGATAAAGACGTGAAGTCAATTGAACATATACTGCATATTCTCAATGAAGTACACGATTCTTGCCAAACTTACCGAGTGAGTTTAGCTATATTCGCATGCGTGATATCCAGTCTTTATCGATTTATAGACGTTGAGGCATTTAATGCCTTAATGACTAAGGAAAAAGGTAGCTGGAAGCGCGGTGTGAATATGTCGTATAACTTTTCTCGTTTACGAGAGTGGTGTACGCACCGAGGGGTTGTAGAGGCTACGCTTCAACTGGAAGAAATTAGTCAGGCTTCAAAATTTTTGCAAACATGTATGAATAAGCAGAAGATTCTGGATAATGTATCCTTGCTATGGATTTTGAATATGCAACAATTAAGAAAATTGTTAGACAAGTATGTTGCAGAAACCTACGAATCAAAAGTACCCAAGAAGGTTATGGATGAACTGTCTAATATGGCACGAGCAGAAGGACTTGATCGGCCTGAAACAATCACATATGACAAAGTGATATACGAGTTAAATGATACTTTTGAGGAAGAGCCTTCTCTTGAGCAGGTTACCATTCCTGTTGAATGCAAAGTTACGTATATCCAACGAGTTATAGATCTTGCTAGTGCCGAGGAGAGCTTTGACCAAGCGTTGTTAACGTTGCACGATAATTCAGTGGAGTCGAATCCATTTGAAAACCAGGAGAATGAATTGCGTGAAATTGGTAATGGAGTGAAGGCTGAGTAAGGACTCTGTCTCAAAAAGTGAGTATATGCAACTATTTATGATGAGTCCTTTCAAGGATGTTGATGAAGAAAAGGAATTACGATAGACTCGGGTTATCTTTTATTTTAATTAAAGTACATTCTTAATAATGACCTGCTTATGTTATCTTTATTTTATTACTTTTCACTGACTTTCTTGTATAGTAGTATTCAGACGTATAATTATCAAAAAAAGCCTTTTAAGGATACAACAAATTCAAAAATGAAGAGATAGGCATTCTATTCTATTCTCCTTCTAAAAACAAAAAAAATTCCAAAAACAAGAAAAAAAATCTAGATTAACTTAAACTATAAAAGTATTTTCTAAACATATACATAACCTCGCTTAAGTATAAGATTCTACAAGAGTATCTCTGTTGCTGATGATGGCAGAAGGTTGAGCATCTTGAAGCTTGAAGATTGATTCACAAACAGCCAATTCTGTTGCTGTGGTATCCAAGCCAGCAAAAGCACACCAGTCATTGACAACAAGACCAGCGCCAATGACATCTGAACCACGATTGACAGTACCAGCAACAAGGGGAACTTGAAGCAAGGATGAAAGTTCGTCTTGCTCTTGAATGCTAGTACGGGGATGAACCAAGGCACCTTGGTTGCTTAAAGCACAGTAAGATCCGGTAAGGACATTACCAGCGACAGTTTGACGGAAAACTTCGACACCCAAGACATCAGCGATAATTTCTTCAGTCTCACGTTCAATATCTGGGTGGACGAGAGCAACATAATCATTACAAGCGACGATATTACCAAGAGCAGAGAGACGCTCATCGACACGTTGAATCTTTACGGAATCAGGAAGGGAATTGCGAAGGTGTTGAAGTTCATTATCTGTGGTTGAAGAGGGCACCAAAAGACCATTTTTGTTTCCACAAGTTAAACGACCAATGATACGAGTACCACCGATAGTAGTATGAACAACGGGAATCACATCACCCAACTCAGCTTCAAACACACTATATATGGGTTAATATATTGTCTAAAAGTAGAAGAAAGGAAATCAACGCATATGAATTCATCAATGGGAGACATCGAAGCCAACTGTTTTATCCTGTAAAGAATTTTCTTATTTATTATCTTTGCTTCGACTACTTTCACTTTTGCAATTTTCTTTCAACATTTCTTCAACTACTTCAGTCACGACGGCAAAGCAGCATTCTCGCGACAAAAAGAGGTAATTCAAAAAATATTAAGCTTGCAAATGACTATTTTCGAGTATCCATTGATACAACTCCAAAGTTGGATTCAAATCATACCTGTAAAAGTTTTCAGATCCACCTAAGGCGACAAGGGCATACGAGTTGGTTAATGTAGAAAACACACCAATCCTAAAAAAATCATTAGCAACATAATTTTCTTTCAATTCTACCGCACATACTCGTTGTTATTCTCGAATTGAGCACGTAAAGCCATGATGGTAAAGGGAAGAATGAATTCGCCTGGATTCTCATTGTTTGACATTAGATGCTAAAATGTGTTACATTACTTTAAATTAGTTTAACGACATACTAACGTTTCCCAACGTATACTTGAAAGACATAGACTTTGAAGTTACTATAGTGCGCACGCAGCTCTGGTTTCGATTCCAAGAAGGAGCATAATAACAATTTTACTTGTAATGATAGAAGCAAACGAATTGAGCATGGAAGATTTGAATGAAGCAAAAATAATTAATTAAAAAAAAAAAGGTAAATAAAAACCATAAGGAGGATCTCTAAGGCCGACAGATTCAGGACCTTCTCCTATTCAATTCACTTGAACTGCCTGCGCAAAGAAAAGGGGTAAAGGTTTTTCTATTCTAACACATAGAGAAGAAGTATATTTGAAAGTTAGAATAATTGTATAAGTAGGAAAAAGATTGGAGGGGAGTTTCAAGCTGTTTGCAATAAGAGTTAAGGAATACAAGATAACACCAGTCCATGTGCATAAATTCATCCGCTACAAACCGTAACAGTTCAAGTTTCTGTTTAATTTTTTATTATTAAACATGATGTTCGTCCATCTCCTTCGTATAAGATTCGCCTTTCAAGAAACAAACTGGGACCTCAAGTCCCTAGGGAGCGGACGAGTGTATGGAAAAACCCATACGTAGGCCAAGTAGACGAAAATGGTAGTTCAGGATAAATGGAAAAAAAAGGCAACAATAGCCTACAGAAAAAAACATAACATTCAAAATGCACCACCAAAACCACGTAAAAAGGACTTGGGGACGAACGAATGGCGTTTTCAAGAGGCATCAGGATTTTTCGGCGAAGGCCCAGAGGAAGAGGAATTTCCCAGTTTAGAGAGATTGAAAGAGAAACAACAGGCTAGTAACGAAGAGGATGAGGAGCAGCAAGAGGAAGAGGTCGATTATTCGAAACTACAAGCGCGTCCTCTCACTGGAATGGGAATTGGCCAGCAACGGCCTAAAGCTAAGATAAAATCAATTAAGCGGGAAGAAGTACAGGATACGATACAAGCAGCTGAACATGAGAAATCTATTCAAGACTTTCGGAAACGATATAATGTTGAGAAGCCCAAGTTTAGCTTACCGAATGCCTCAGGACATATAGGGAAAGAGGAAGATATCGATGACCTTTTAAAAGAGACAGATTCGTCCGAACATAACACTTTTCAAAATGAGTTCAACTCAGATACACAACGTCCTTATCCATCCTTGTCTTCTCCGTCTCTTCCAACGACCACTGCCAAAGACCAGTCCTGGCTAGATGATTTGTTACGGTAATGTACGTTTGAATTTTTGTTTAAAATGAATCCAGAATACTTGTTTTTGCTTTCCATTCTTATGCTGTAGGAAATTTTCGATGTACAACTGTAAATCCACTGGGGGGTGATCTGGCTTTTCGTTCTTCCTCTTTTGATAGTACCTTTTGTACTTCAGATACACTCACCAATTCTTTGATTTTAAATATTTTACCAGCAGACATAGGATTGACTTCACAATACGCGACCGAATGGCGCTTTCCGAGTCCTAGAGATTCTACAACACTTCGAATCCCTCTTGGGAGACCAATGGTGGATCTTTGTAGTTTGACTCTAAAAAAACTCATTCTTGCAACTGAATCTTTTGGAAATTGCTCTATGTTTCTTTCTTTCTGCAAGCAACGCGTTTGGTTCCGTCTATGTTTCTTTCGCTACACTGTATTCTGTAATCTCTTTTAGCGATATATTCCATCTTACTTTAACCATTTTTAGGTATGGCGTTATATTTCATTAAAGGATTTTGAGAAGCCAGTGCAACGAAACCTAGTAGTCTTATTCTCTAGGGCTACGCGCGTCTTTATTTACAAGTGCATGCTTTCATTCTGCTTAAACAGTACTGTTTTGGATTTCAAGCAGTTTTTCGGTTTTCTTAGGGGGAATTTTTTTTTGAAAGGTGCTCTTTTTTCTAATTACAGAGCTTGCTTTAGTCGTCGGATTCTGTTTGCTGGACGAACCGCTTTTCTACAATTGTACGACTCGATAATTCTGATTAAAGTGCTAGTTAAGAAAACAAAATGGAGAATTCCGCTTTTTATCAAATTACCATGGCAAAACGGAAACGTGCCGAAGCCTCACCAAAGGGTATGTTTGATGACAGTTTTTCATAAGACAGTTGCATCTACAGGAAACAGTTTCGTTAACGTGTAATAGCTCCTCTCAGTACTTTTGCTGCTCGTCGGTTAAACCGTGAGAATAATTCAACAAAAGACAAAAAGAAGAAGGGAAAAAGAAGCGAGTCTCCAAACGAAAAAGCTGAAAAGCATGTGCAAAGTGTAGAAGAAAACCCTACTTCTTTAGGGGACCGTTCTGCTTCGAAACAGACTTCTTTTCAAGTTTTAGTTCCAGGAATTGATCGTTCTGGTAAAAACGGTATTGACCAACCGATGCCTTCTCATGTAATTGAAGACAAAAATGGAAAAGACAAACTTTCTACACGAGCTTTTGTACAAACCACGGAGACCGAGCCTTCCCGCACTGAAGAGAATTCCCCTTCTTCCTTACCTGCCTCTCCTTCGTTAGCAGAAGCAGACGCAAATTCGAGACCCAGTACACCATCTACTTCGTACAACACGTCTTTGCAGAAACAGGAGCCGACATACCCTTACACAATTTTGACGGAAGAGAACTCTGTCCGAATCAACGATGTCTTGTTTGTCGGGTTGCATTATGGAGAAGAATTGGCTTTAGTGGGAACATATATGTTTGCGTGTGCTCGCGGAGGTCTTAATTTGTTTGGCGCTTCGTATGCATCGCATCCCAAGGATAAGAACTGTTGCACGTGGCATTCTTTAAATGTTCCATTGATTTATCCTACTCCCGTTTTCGTTGCTGAGGATTCTTCGAATACATCTTCTACAAAAGAACTTACCAAATGCAATGACGCTTCTGCGCAGAAAAATCTCCCTGTATCTGGTTTCACAGAAAATACCAGTTTATCTGAGCTTGAAAAAACTTTATGCGTAAACATAGACCTTTTACTTCCCTCCTTTGAGACTTTACTAGTGTTTAAAATGAATGACCTCGGTATCTCTAAAATTCCTCGCGTTTGCCCCTTTGCCAAGCGACTTTTTAATATGCCTTCTCTTTTGGAAAATGCATCATCCCTTTCCTCAGCCTTTGAAGTTGTGCCAGATTCATGGAAAGCCTTTGCTGACTCAATGCTTTCCACATATACATCAAATAAGGATGTTCCGCCAAAGTTATTGGTTTGTGGACCTAAAGGTGCAGGAAAAAGTACTTGTTGTCGATATATTACAAACCGCTTATTAAATTCCTCTGATTACGTTGCATTTTTGGATATTGATCCGGGTCAACCGGAGGTTATTCCAGTCGGTAACATTTCCTTGTATTTTATGGACTCCCCTTTGCAGGGTCCTGCTTTCAGTCGCTTACCTCCTAATTCTCGGTGTTTTCGAGTTCATACTGGTGAGAGTACTCCCCAGAGGGACCCAACTCACTATCTTGCCTCTACTTTCAGGCTTTACGCAGAATACCAAAAGTTTAATATTGAAAGAGAGCTTGAGGGCAAGCCCCCTATTTCATTGATTGTAAATTGCCCAGGATGGATTAAAGGAGGGGGTGCAGAACTTCTCTTTAATCTTGTTAACCAAATCTCGCCTACTGAAGTAGCCTACCTCAGTAGGAATTATCAGGGAGTCAACCAGTCAGATAGAAAAGGTATTTATCAACATAAAGAGGGTATCCCGGAATTTTTATTACAAGCAAAACATTTTACATTTTCTCAACTTGAATCGTCTTGGCAGTACTTGCCTGACCATAGTGCGCACCGCGTGTCCTCTGCTGATAATCGCACATTGGGGCTTTTAAGCTACCTCTATTTTGATTTAGAGCGTAGCGTTTGGGATTTTACAAGCAGTCTGGCATCACGCCAGCCTTTGGCGACAGCATTCGATGGTCCACAGCATGGTATAGATGCTGTGAACATTATTGGGGAGCCATTGAATTTATTGGATGTTTCAAAAGCTATTAATGGTACTCTATTGGCACTTTGCGCATACGAAATCTCAAATGAAAAAGAGTGGAATGAGAATCAAATTGTCAAAACATCTGAGGGGATACCTGTGCTGCTCAACGATGGTCTTCCTTTGGACCCAGCCAATGCCCAGTGTTTTGGATTGGTCTTACTTCGCACTATTGATTTGGTCAAAAAAGAATTCCATTTCGTGGGACCAATTAATTTGAAGTTACTGGCAGACGCAGATGCAAAAGGAATGAAAATAGTTCTCGAACGCGGCCGTCTTGAATTGCCCCTCTCTACCATGCTCGATAGACGTTTGATGGTTTGCCCGGATTTACCATACCTCGAGAAAAATCATGCTTCAGTAGCCGCAGGCTCTCAACGAAGACGTGTCCGACGAAACATAAACCGTCGTACCGGTTAAACAAGTTAATGATTTACGGTCGTGTACTTCTTTTTTTTTAAAAAAAAAAAAAAAAAAAAAAAAAAAAGAAGAAATAATCTTTCTTTGTTTAATTTGTTAATATTTAAACTTTGAAGAATAAGGAATAAGGATAATTTGGTTGTTGGTTTTCAAATAATGTAGAAATAATTTTACAAATGAGCTGCTGCTTATTTAAACATGTCTTCGTTAATGACATGCATATATTGTACAAGATTGATTATTATGCAATTGTTTTATGCTGATTCGTATGTATTCCATATTGAAGCTGAGACAATCTGAGTTTAGAAATTTATTACATATGCGTATTTGGGAACAAGGCAGCATTTATGGCATATATTAAATTTATATCTTGCTTTGCAATTGGGGCAAAGTATTTCTAGTAACCTTTGTATGTGTTTCAAGAATTTTACTTATTCATCCGTGTTACTCAACTTTCCAACAATTTTTTTTTTAAAGCCCGTCATGGGAACAAGTATTAGATTTCGAGGACAATTTCTCGAACAAGAACACTGACTAATTAGACAAGCTCTTATGTGTCTTTCTCTATCTAATGAGCCCGGGATTCACTAATATTATCAAAGTTTGTAGCAGAATTGGTGACAAGATCCAAGATCGTTTAATAAAGCATAACGGCTGATTAAATACAATTCGTATACATACACTAATATAAAATACAAGGAATATAAATAAAACAAAAAATTGTCATTAAATAAGTCATAAACAACATTTTGCATACAAAGCATATAAGCTTTAGAAAAAGAACGCCAAAAAGAAATAACGATTCCAACGTTAATTCATGGATTTAACTAGGTTATCCATTCTGAAAACGCTCAGCAACAAGCAGCACCACATTTAAGGCCTTTGTTTTTTTTTCATGTAATAATAATAGAAGAAGCGTAATAATATTTTATGCAGCATGCGAAAGGCCTTTTACAATAGTAAACGCGTGACTCGATTAATATAAAAGCCAGAGGTCAGAAACGGAATTAACTTCCATGATTTGATTAATTCAACCAAAATGAATTAGGATTTTAAAAAAATTATGCAATAGAATGCTCGGCAAGCAAGTTCGCACGAAACGAAATAGAGGCATCTGAATCATCGTCTAAAATTACTGTGTCATCAGGATCAAAGGGAATATCGAAAAACCAACGATCTTCAAAGCGATTACTTGGTAGGCGCTGCTTATGTATTGGCAAAGCACGAGTGCGATCAATCATGACACGACCTCCTCGTCCACGACGTTGCCTTACGCAAAGGGGATTCCGAGCAGATACAAGGTGACTATAGTGTTGTAAAGAATCTTTAACAGATACTGATTCCGGTCTTGTAAGAAAGGAATTCGACATTGATGTAGGACGTGACCAACCGGGATCAGCTTCAGATGAAGGCGAAGAAGGAGTAGAAGAAAGAGAGGCATTATTAGAGGGATTAAAGGATTGAAGTGAACCTTCAACTATCTGAGAATGTATATTTCTATAAAAGGAATCGGGGTATTCGACCGGTACAACCGTGCTAGGGTTTTCAAATACATCAACCCAATTACGATCTGCTTGTTCCTTTTTGTTGAGCTGCTCTCGTAACCGTATTTGAAATTGAGTAATCTGCGACGCAATCAAATCGTCCAACATAAGCAATGGTTTAACCTCAAGGGTACGTGGAGCTGCCGGTCGATAAGTTGGAGTATGAGCAGTAGGACGGGCCGGTGGTGCAACAGCAGGAGCAGCAACGGGTGCCGCCACGGGTTTAGGCTCCACTGGCTTCCGTTTAGGATTAATAAGATCTTCGTCACTATCTTTAATGTTCAATGTGCGCTTCAGTCGTTTGACCAAGCAACGGTGCTGGAAAATAGAAAAGTCTTGTTGAATGCCATGTAGCTTAAGCTTTTCACGATTCCAAACTTTGTCAAGTAATTGAAAACTAGTTTCCATATTAAATCGTAGCTTACGCAAACGATCCATGGATTGTGTGTCTGATCGACGAGTTTTACGAGCTTGTCGAACTTCACGTCGACGAAAGCAGACATAAGGATCATCGTCGTCTTTATCATCTCCAATTTGAGCAGTGTGTAGAATACGCTTTCCCTCTGACCGTATACGACGTTCGCGCCAATATGGATAAACATGAGCAGCAAGGTCTTTTAATTTTGCAAAATCACGTTCCTCAAATGCTGGTAGTAATTCTGATGCAGGTAATATTTGAGATGTGTCCATGTTTAAAAAAGGTTGCTTTTCATCAATCTCATCTTCCAGAATTTGCATTACCCATTCGAAATCTGTTTCAGAACATTTGGAAAGAGAAGATTGGGAATTTTTTAATTCGTCAAAAAATTTTTGATCTTGCTCATCCATACAATATTCCGGGCTGATACATTCTTCAACAGTCAAAGAAAACCTCAGTGAAGTTTTTGGACATAAAAAGTCTCGTTTATAATATTTGTCAACTACACCGATAGACTTTGCTTCACGTGTAGGAATTACCACCTTTTTTGTTTCTCCTCGTATAATGGCTTCATGTGCAGCATTGATAACTTGCTGTAAGTGTTTCTCCTACACAATGTGTTAGACATGCAATGCTAGAAATCATTGAATTAATTGTCATAAGCACTTTTGGATCGCTTTTCAAAGGACTTAAAGGACAGGCAATTGAGTTAAAGATATATATGAAACCAACACATCCGAAGAAAAGCACAACATTGTTTCATATCCAATGTCATTGTGGGATAAGATCCTACAACCTACTGTCTCTTCAGACTGCAATGGAACCACTGGTATGCCACCTAAGAAAGAGGCCAAAAGTCACCAATAGAAAACTAAGCTCCAAAATGTGTTTATGACCTACTATACAAAACTTACCTCTTCTTCTTCTTTTTCAACTCCTGTCTCCACTTGTGGAACAGTCCGCTGCTGAGACACTTCTTCATCAAAATCTGGTATATCTTTTTCTAAACAAATGGGCATTACCGTCTTAATACCAACTTTTCGCTGACGGTATGCCCTCGCATTTTTAGCGCCCGAACTCATGGTTATGGGGCACCGTTCGATTCCTCTCGAAAAAATCTATTCAATGGTATGATTCAATAATGTCAATACCACTGAGATTTTTGCAGAAAACCCGCTCTAAATCTTGGCGTTGTTGACTGCAGTCGTCCGTTTTGTGTTTTTCCAGAGGCAAAACACTTCCACTATCCACCTACTAAAAATTTTGTCGTCCATGGTTCATCGCCTGTGGTGTTGACAGCCATATAACGAAATGCAACCTACTGCGCTATCTATCTTAAAACGTTCAGTAAACAAATAAGAAATCCTTTTGGGAGCTTGAAAGAGTATGTAAACAAACAAGATACTTTGCCGAAGGTAATTGTATCAGGATTAAAACTTTTCTCGAATCCTGGTTTACTCTCAATACGAGATTAATAATATGTGAAAGCCATTAAGGCAACCCATCTCAAATCATCTCTGATTGAGATACAGTGAGTTCATTAGCTCGTCTATGATGAGAGAAGACGGATCCCATACAGCAGCGAACGGCCCAAGTTCTTTTTTCGTTTATAAATACACATCTCCTTCTCTGGCAAAACGACTCAAATCGCAATCCTTCGATAAAGGGATAACCTGAAGAGTTACTCATGTTTCGTCAAATTGTCGAATTTTCATACTTTCTGACTGGAAATTAAAATGCAATGAATTTGCAAAATAATTCACGAGAAAAAAGTACTTTTCCAAAAAGGATCCAGCTCTGCTTAGTATTCTTTCGTCAATTCTTTCGTGAAAATCAAATCAACCCAAGACCAGAGCTCAAAAGAAGGCTTAAGAATAACAAGAAAATGAAAGCGAAGAGATCAAAAACTTGTTCCTGTCAGAATTGAAAAAATGAAGTTTCCTTTTCAAGCTCATTCTTCTCCAAAGTTCCTTCTACTTCTCTTATAAGCAATCTCTAGTAAAGGCCCATCATGATATTGAAGCTAGATAATTTATTTCTTTTCTTCATAAAAGAATTGTGTTTCCTCCGAATTCACAAAGTCTGAAAACTATCGTATACCGAACATTCCAAAGGATAACATTAATAAAAAACGCATTTCAGCTATCAAAAAGCGTCAATTCTTATTTTGTTCTTTTCATTATTAATTCCTTTCAAATTCCTTCTTTATTGACACCATTCGTCAATTCGTAAGTATTTGGTAAAGGATAGGTCCAACAACTGCTTTGACGCACCTTCTTAACTTTCCAAATACGCATCACAATACAGTGATCATTTTCAGTTTTCTAGATAAAAACAGCTTCTATTTCTTTCATTAGGCTGTTATCGGATCTTATTTCTAGAATGGGTCAAAATCAGTCTCAAATTTTTGAGGATTTAATTTCCAACTCTACGTGTATGTGCAAGACGCTCAATGGCAATGGAAAAGGATTAGATAAAATACAGTAAGCATTTCTTTTTTTTCTTTAAATTGTTTAAGAAAGAAGCTTAATGGAGGTTTCCTTGCCATAGTCCAAACAAGAAGTTTTCTTGTATTTCCTGTCTATCGTCTAGATTTATCCGCTAATAAATCATCTTGTAGTTACAAACGAAGAAATAGCTAGAATCAGAAAGCGTTTCAAGAAGATAGATGCCAACCATTCTGGTTCAATTGACAGAAATGAGTTTTTGTCTATCCCTAGCATCGCGAATAATCCTCTAGCTTCACGATTATTTTCAGTTGTTGATGAAGATGGCGGTGGAGATGTTGACTTTCAAGAGTTCATTAACAGCCTTTCGGTCTTCTCTATTCATGGTAATAAAGAAGAAAAGCTTCGATGTATGTTGTGTCTTTTTTGGTTCTATCAAATCTTTATGTATAACTAACTTATTTTTAGTTGCTTTCAAAATCTACGACATTGACCGGGATGGATATATTTCCAACGGAGAGCTGTTTTTAGTTTTGAAGATGATGGTTGGAAATAATCTTCGCGAGGACCAACTTCAACAAGTACGACTTACTGAATTTTCTTTTTAATTTATCAAATTACTAACTATTTCATTTTAGATTGTTGACAAGACAATCATGGAAGTCGATAAGGATTGCGATGGAAAAATCAGTTTCGAAGAGTTCAAGCAAGTGGTCAGTAATTCGAATGTCACCAGCAGTATGACCTTAAGCTCTTTTTGATTCCGTTTTCCTGTTTTTCCATGTTTATATGTATGATTTGTTGCATAAAGTCTTCGGTTTTTGGAGCTCTTATTCTTTCCATTCAAATTCGATTCCGCCGCATTTCATTAGTCTTAATATTCTGTTTCCCTTCACACCCTCTTTATTAAAAAGCTTGCATCTATATTTTTTTTCTCATTTTTTCTTTTTTTTTTCTCTAGGTTTTTCTTCTATTATTTTTGCACGAGCTCTTCTGATTCCTAAGTAAATGAGTTATACGGCTTTTAAAGCTACAGTTACGTTTTCCATTCTCGTCACAGCCTTTGATTTGGACTGCAGAACACTTTTTTTACTAGATTTATGATTATTCCCTCAATTATAAAAATAAAAAAAAAGGAAGAATCCTTTCGGGCTTAGTGAAACTAGTCAGTAGTATTAATTCATGAAATGTTAATATTATTTTTATTTACCATTAAAAATTATTAATTCGTCATGCGCTAAAAGACATGAATTCTATTAGAGTAAACTATTTTCATTATGTCATTAGACGGTTCTCATGAAGTTGAGGTGCATGGGACAAATGTAAAACTGCTAACTATTATAAATAGTTAAATAGAAAAAGAAATGGAACGTCGAAATGAACAATATTCAAAATATATTCACCATATAACGTACACCATCATCTTTTTAAGTGAGAAAGAGAGACATAAAAGGAACATTAAAGAGGCCGATGAGAATATATCCCATTAGAACAAATTCATCAAAACTGATCCAAACAAAAATTAAAGTGACGAGTACAATTCACTGAATACGGAGAACAACACCCTTTTAAGTAACTGAAGATGAAAAGAAGGAAAGGATAACGAAAACTACATGAGGTTCTTAAAAGGCCTCAGCAGCAGCCTTCTGCTCAGCAGACAAATTCGAAGGAACTTTAACCTTGCACTCGATAATCATGTTACCACGTTGACTGGGTGTTTTTGGCAAGGGCATACCAAATCCTGGGTATTTAATCTCATAACCAGGCTGTGTGGGAAGAGAAGATGAAACCTTCAATCTCTTACCATCAATGGTAGTAATTTGTTTAGAGAACCCAAGCAAAGCTTCTTTAAGAGTAAGTTCTATAGACATGCGAAGATCGTCGCCTTGGCGAGTAAAAACCGGATGGGGTTTTTCGCCTAACACAAACTGGATATCCTGGACTGAACCATCGGGTTTCTCATCACCTTCACCGGCAAACTTTACTTTGGTGCCTGCTTTCCATCCAGGCTTAATGTTGACTTCTAAGATTCGATCAGCTTTTACAGATGAACCCGAGGCATCAAGAATTCGTCTAGTAATTTTGAGTTTCTTTGTACAACCGGTATAAAGGTCTTCAAGGGAAATGTTGAGAGGACGAGTAACAACTTCGTTTTGAGGAGGAGGACCACGAGGTCTAGCACCCCCGAAAGAAGAACGAGCGCTCGATTTAGGGCGGGGACCGCCACCACCAAACATGCTAGCGAATCCGCCCGGCATACCGCCGCCAAATCCACCGTCCATATCCATGTCTTCATCCATACCGCCTCCGCCGAAAGCATGTCCAAAGACACGTTCAAAGATATCATTGGGATCGCTTGCATTAAAGAATTGTGATCCACCTCCTGGACCACCTCCCATATTGAAGTGAAAGGTGCGAGCACCACCACCTCCTCCTGGAAAGCCGCCGAATCCAGCACCAGGACCGGCGTCTCCTCCCGGAGGTGGAGCATTACCTTCAGTAATTCCAAATTGGTCATACATCTTTCTGCGTTGAGGATCACTTAAAATTTCGTATGCCAAGGAAATTTCTTTAAACTGTTGTTCACCATTTGGATTTTTATCCGGATGATATTTTAAGGCGAGCTTCCGATATGCCTTTTTCAGGTCTGAGTCGTTCACATCCGGACTGACCTTTAGGACATCATACAATTTTGTATCCGCTACCATTACGACAAATATTCAAGAATCCACAAAATCAGAGACTATATCAACAAGAAATCAATGCCAATTAACAAGTAAACAAAGAGAATATGAATACAGCTTTCGCGACTGCAATGAGAAATCAAGAATCAATCAAAACAAACCGAAATACAAACGGGGGAAAAGGAAAGCGAGTTTTTCTAGTCGTGTTATTCGAAATAAGTATCAAAATTAATGAAATTTTCAACCTCGAATCACTTTTTTGTTGTATGTAGAGTATTCAAAGAATGGAAGACGGCAGTAGTTTTGTACCTAATATATGTAAAATGACGAAATACTAGAAGTTTCGAGTATTAGCGAGAAACATCCATGGTGTACGACTCAGACAGTAACATCAGTTACTGCTGGTTGTACAACGCACTATATTATATTGTGTACTAGTGCGTATCGTGGTATATAAGATCGCAACATTTCCTTCCATTTCACTATGTATTGTATTAAAAGAATTACCTATAGAAGCATATAGTAGGAAGTAGTGCAGTTCCATTGGGATGATTTCAATTAGTTTCTTAGTACTTTACAAACATTGGGATTTTTCAACTTTCCTTTGAAAATTCATGACTTTGTAAGGAACTCCTTAAGCCAGGGTCATGTACTTCCCATTAGTTACCCTCTTGTCAAGTCAAGTGTGTTGTTGCAAGCGAAAAATTGAAAATTATCATTGAAGAAGGGTTCGTAGTTTCTAATTTATATTTTTATGTATACTTATATAGAAATCGACATATGAGAACCTGTCGTCCACAATCCAATATACCTATGCTTTCATTTGGCATTGATAGAATCAAACAAACTTAATGAAAAAAAGTAAATTCCATACAAGATAATAAAGTAACTAAATTACGTATTCCAAAATGATCGGAAATGTACGCCATATACTACACGACTAGTATCCTCGAGTCAAGTCATTTAAAGCTTGTGAGGGATATCAGTAGAGGTGGATTTGGCAAAGGGAGCAGCGCCAGTGGTGTGGGTAGTATTAGCATGTGAGCTTTGCTTGAAAATGCGAAGAACGTGAGGAGTAATGTAAGGGCGAATTACATAGTTGTAGACAATGGCAGCACCATTGAACTTGGGCAAAGCCAACCATAAGAGGAAGACAGCTTTAATGAGCCAGTAGAAAGCTAAACGAGAAAGTTAGTACAAAAATCATTTTTATAACATCCAACAAGCTATATTACTTACGGATATAGTAAAGAATCAACTTAGACCAGTATTCGATAACGTTCAAGAAAGAAGTGATCAAATAGTAAGTGAGCCACTGAGTATCATCAGACTTGCTTGCAGTTTCAATGGCATGAATACTGAAGAAGGCTGGCATACCAAAAGCCAAGAGATTTGTCAAAATAGGGCCACCCATGTTCAAAATCAAAAACAAAAAGTAGACAGCAGCTAAACCTAAAACGACATAAAGCTTACTGACACCGACTGTCTTTTCAAGTTTATTAAGCTGGGGGAAGGAGGCCAACTGAATATCAACGTTAGTTTCATATCCACGAAGAAAAAAATATAGCCCCGGAACCGGTTTACGTCGAGAGCGAAATGAAACAAAACTTTCTAGAAATCCATCCGATTCCAAAAACGCTTTGATTCCGAATTTGCTAGGGCTCTACTAAGCATACAAGCCACTTACCCTTTGGTCCAAATCCTCCATTTGTTGCTTCACGCGAACCTGCATAGACATATTGAAATGTAAAAGAAAATTTTGCTTCGAACTGCAAAAAAAATCAGCCTTCTCTTATTAAATCCAAAGGATTTCCTTTAACAAAAGTGGTTGGTAAATGTTAAAAGTTTCCCTACAGAAGCAACTCTCACAAGTACGTTCAACGTCATGATGAACTAGATAGTGGAGTTTTGTGGTGTTTGCTATCGTACATTATTTAATTATCTGATGCATCGTTAGGATTCCCTATTTACATTCCGAAGAGCTTTGATACTAGATGCTTTTGGTTCTTGTGAAACATTTAAAAGTTTTTTTTTTATAGGTATATATTTTTTTTCAACGATTTTATTCTGATTTTTTTTAGAAAAGATTTGGAAATGTAAATATTTCCGTCGGTCAAGCAAGTGCATCAAGTTTTGGCTTTGTTTGCTCCTCTTTCTTCAGTTTAGCTATATAAAATAGAAGCCTTTTTTTTATGATAGGTTTCCCGTCTGATTAATATGCAAAAGAAGCGATGTTTCATTTTCCGTTTTCTTCAAAACAGTATTGACTATGACCTACAAACCTTTCTTAAACTAGGAGCATTCTTACACCTGAATTTAAGTATGAACTTAATAAAAAATTGACTCTATCGTTACATTATCATTCTACTTATACTTGTCACACAACTTCCTTTGTCTTTCTTTTCTTTTTAGTACGTTACTTGTCAAGTCACATTGAAGGAACCAACACAGAAACAAAAGTAAGAAACCAGTCTCAATAAACTACTGCATTACTTGTAAATAATCTTACACTGCTGGCAAGCTGGCCATCCATTTGTAAGCATTCTCAAGCTATTTCCTCCCTCCTACTCGTTTGATACTTTTCATCTATCATTATCTGCTTCCAAAAGGATATCTGACTGCCTCTTTTACATTGCATTTAAACTACGAAAACAGAATCTTACAAGCAACAAATCCAACCTTTACCGTTTTTCAAATATTTAGTGTAATACCTTTTTTTTTAACTATGGAGGACCCCTAAACTGCACGAATACTATAATTTTGTTTATGCGACCTTAATATGGTTAGTTAAAGATAATAGAAAATAAAAATGAAAAAAATTGCGGTAGATACTCCATCAGTGTAACTATGACAAAACTGTTATCACTGCAAGAAGGCAACCAATACGGTTACCCCATAGATCTTGCTATACAATTTGGGTATATTTCTTGCATCCTCTGGAGCAAACGTCTACTTCTCCGCTGTAAAAATTCTTCTTACCTTTTCACATAACAAAAATAATTTTCTTCGTCTAATTATATTTGGTTTTGAAGTAGCAGAAATCGTTTGTGTATATAAGTAAAATTTTGTGACTGCTTTTAGATGGAATCCAAACTTTACACACGTAAACAAATAAACAAAAAGGAAATTTCAATAGTTTTGAGTTGTATTAAGTCAGTAACTCGATAAAAACCAATTTGGATAGGACGGTAAACTTCTTTTTCTATTAAAATTAAATAAAATAAAAAACATTACCTTTTATGATAACTGTCTTGACAGGGAAAAAAGAAGAAAACACTCTTGCCAAAACATTGAAATAAAAGCCTCACGATCAACATATATAAACAATGGTTCTTTGTAATTAGACGGTTGGAATAGCGTCGTCTAAGCTTGATAGCTGACGGACTTCTGTAGCATTTCTATCTATAGCAGCCAATTCTGCCTTTTTTATCGTTCCAGAGACACGTACGACACGTATCACAACCGGTTTGCCATTAAGTTCTCTTAAAAAGCATAAAGCAGCCCATGCTAGCCGAAAATGTTGCCTTGAAACCCGTAGTATTCCTGTAGAAGTCGAAGGTGAAAAGTATTTTACTGACAAACTCGATGCCACTTTTCCAATTCCAACGTCTCCAAAGTTTTCTGCTATTGTGTTTCTTAAAAGTTTAGATAGACCCGATGTAGTGATGCTACCATCTGAAGGAACTGTTGGATATTCGTGAAATTGTTTTTCTTGTGGGTACAGTACTTCGAACAACAGATATCGAGATTTGAAACGTACCATTGAGCTTGACCCTTTTTTTAACGTATAAAAAAGGCGTTACAAACGAATACGAAGAAGTTGCTTTTAGATTTTGAAGTCAAGTGCTCTAGTCAAGGAGCATGGTTCTTGCAAGAGGTTGACCTCGTCTTGAAATGTTACACTTATTATTATTTTTTCTATTGTTCTATTGAATTCTTTTGTAATTTATATTCATTAATTCTTCTTGCATATTCCTAGAATCGTTTTCCATCTTCTTTCCAAAGCCAAAGCATCTTCATCCACGTCGCCCTTTCTTCGACTGTTTTGAATTAATCCTTAAAGTTCCCATTAGACGTTCACTTATATCACTATGCCTGGTATGTTTTCATTAATTTTTAAACGATAGGAATTTTTTCAAAGAAAGTATCGTTTAAAAATTCTCAATCGTCATTGTTTTCCATAACCAGAACACTCTTTTAACACTTTCCTTACAGCTCCCAGATCTATTTTGTTTGTAACTGGAAACAAACATAAGCTTGCTGATGTTACCAGCATCCTTGGCAGCGAGTTTGAAATCAAAAATCACAGCTATGATTGTACGTGCCATTTGTAGATGAAATTGTAGGAATCTAACCATAATCGCGTTAGTGCCGGAAATTCAGGGAAGCCTTCAAGACATAGTTACAGAAAAATGCAAGGCTGCTGCCGAAATTGTAAGTCGAAATGACCTATGTTGATCTCGAATCGTGAAGTAACGACACTTTTCTTTCTTCATTGTTTGTGCGATGATTTAGTGAAATATCAAACCCAGGATAATTCAAAGTTAACACCTTTTCTTAGGTTAAAGGTCCTGTGCTGACCGAGGACACTTGGCTTTCTTACGATGCTATGAACGACCTTCCTGGACCTTATATGTAAGTACTAATAAGAGATAACTTTAGGGAACATACGATTTGGTTCTGTGCTAACTTATTTATAGTAAATGGTTTCTGAATAGCATTGGCTGTGATGGTAAGTTACATTGCAAGAATATCTATTTTTGCTATATGCTAAGTACTCTTACTAATACCATACAGGTCTATATCATATGTTGGATGGCTTCTCTACGAAAGCAGCTAAAGCTGGCTGTACTTTCGGCTATACCGAAGGACCAGGAAAGCCTATCCACATGTTTGATGGCATCTTACACGGTGAAGTTGTTGCTCCTCGAGGTGATAAAGGTTTTGGTTGGAATGCAATTTTCCAGGTACGTACAAAAGAGCAAAATAAATAAGAGAAATCGCTGACCACTCGTGTTTAGCCCAGGGGTCATGAAAAGACTTATGCAGAGATGGATGACGATGAAAGAAATGCTTGTAGTCATCGTTTTCTTGCTGCTATGAAGCTCCGCGACTTTTTACAAGCCCAACTCTAATAGGCTTCTAAAGGACTTGGGATATGCCTCTTTTCTACTGAAAGCAGTTGATTTAGGATTTACATAAAAACTTTTTGTTACCATCATAAAAGCGGATTGTATTTGCAACCCAATTTTACTATTAATAAATTGCGTGAAATGGAGATTTCCGTCTTCAAGACTAAAAACTACCCATGAATGTAGAAGTACAAGACAAAAGCAAAGTATACGATTTGCACTATACTTACTTTCAATTCTTACACTCCAGTTTCAACAAACTGTCGAGGCGGCTTATTCTTAATATAATCAGCGCTCTCTTCTTATCCCGATACGAATTCACCTTTATCGTTATAAATACCAAAACTTTTAAGATATTGCATTATGACTTTTTGTTTTTCCTAATTGAGCGGGAAGTGTTTCTGCTAACATAGAGAAATTTAGATTTACATTGTATCGTGAGCTAGTATCTACTTGAGTCTATTCCAAACAAAACTGGTTTGTAAGATATATTTCCATCGGATACATCGATTTCAACTTCTGGGAATTCTTAAGGGATATCCCTAATTAAAGAGGACTTTTGATATTTTCTGTTGGCAAACAGTTGTTCATTGCATCTTACGTCTGACTGAATTCGTAACGACATGGTTTAAGCTAAACAACATTGGTAATCCTACCTTGGTATTATTATTCGAGTAAAAAAGTATTAAGTATTTTGATGGCCAAAAAAGACTTTTTTCTTACTGAAGTCATATATACGTTCTCCAAAATGATCATATCTGTCTTCATGGAAAACAGGAAAACGTAGACTTGTTTAATATCAAAAATTTGCTTTACAATTAACAATACTACTTTATATACGGTTCCAGTTCAGTCGATTCGGCTACTCAAATTTCTTGACCTTTTTGCGTGCTCTGATCCTAGCTTTCTCATTCTGCTTATAATCACAAAGATAAGTTATGCATTCATCCAGGTCTTCTTTGAGAAGTTCAATTGATAATTTCGATTGGATAGACCTTGCAGATGCCATGGAAAGTACCTTTGGGTCTCCAAACATTTCGCCGAATGTAGAGGCTCCACTCCAAGAAAAGTCGAAAGAAAGAAGCGAAAGACAGGGTTCAATTACATTGGCATATGGACAGGAATTTGATTCTCTAACACCCACTTCTAATACCGCATCGAAGTCCATTCTTCCATGGATTCACTTTTTCGTAACGGGCGGGATTTTCACTTTAATGATTGTTAGCTTTGCTGATATTTATCACATGTTTCGGTTCAAAGAAAGACTTTTTCTAGGTTATATGACTTCCGGACTACTTGAATTTTTTTCTTGCAGCATTGCTTTACTTGGTTTGTATCTGGCGATTCTTTGTAAGTGGGATTTTTTTTCTCATACTGTACAGTTGATAACTGATATTTTTATATTTAGGGGGTTTATTAACTTCTTATGTCGAAATTCTGGAAGCAGAAGAAGTGAGTCGAAATCGACTTTTGTATAAAACACACAGATGTAAGAAATGTCACTTGATCGTGAATGAATTTTAAATATTAATCATTTTTGAAAAGATTTTTTACAAACTTATTGTGGACTACGACCGTACATGACATTTGCCCGATGATATCCAAGATTTCTTCTACATCTGATATCAATACCAATAATTGTCTACCCCTATATGGATGAAGCATAACAATGTTTGTTATTTATAAGAGAATAATATATATACTATATCCTTAGTACTTTGACGAACTCGTGTGCTTCTAGCAGTATTTACCGGCGCTTCAATACGCAGTTGATGTATTAATGTGTTTAAACTATAAGATTTATTTATTTAAATTTAACGTATTACTTTTCAAATCAAGGGGGCGTATTCTATTGAGATAACATAAGAACGATTCATATTGAAGAATTATATTTTCCACATACAATATACTATACCTTCAATGGAAATGATTCAGCATTAAAAAACATTAATTATAGTAATTATTTTTCATCAACTAACATAAATCAAAATGAGCTTAATTCGTTCAAATCATATATCCATTTCCACCTGGGTATATCTCTAGGATTATGAGAAATTATCGGATCTAAGCACATTAGTTTTAAGATGAGAGATGTAGCATTTCGTCCAAAACAAATTTATATATTCGACAATTTGTACAATCGTAGTTTAGAAAGCGTGGTTTCGTTTTTGTTTACCACGCTTGCTGAATCTTCTTCACATACTCACAAAGAGCAACAATTGCTTTGACGTAGAAGCCCTAGAATGATGTCTCTATCAAAAATTCATGTCTGTTGTTGCGTCGCTCCCCTTTTCATTAGTAGATTCACCGAAATGAAACGGGCTGTCAGCTTTAGGACGTGTAGTTTTATATTCCCATTTCTCCTGATTAAAATCCACTTCAGGAGTTAAACTGTTAAAATCTCTGTTTAACCGTCCTTGGTCATCTTGGGACACTGATAATCGACGATTGACTTTCCTGGATGCTCCTCGTGGATGCACTTGCTTCTTGGGAGAGAGGAATTGGTTCTCGCTTCCTAAGTGTTCGTCCGACATTTAGGTAAGAAAAATATGTCTTTTTTTTCACAATACAAATACCTTTTGGTTTCCATAAAGTATTTATATTTTACCGCTATTTTTTAACTCCACCTAGACGTCATGTAACTTAATACAATTCAAGAGTGTTGCCTTCAACATTGTTTGACTGTGATTAATACATTTCTTCCAGAGTAGCGCCGCTGATGCTTTATTCGCAATTTTTCCTAAAAGCTTTCAAAAAGAGGCAAAACTTCAAATTGGCGTGACGTAAATATCAACATTTCGTTATTGTACATATTCATCCATTGCATTCTAAACATGATGCTCTTTATATGCAAACCATACAAAAGCTTTTTGAATTTACTTAGTACTTTTCGTAAATGTCCATATTTAAAACCCTTTGTTCTTCTGCTAGTAACAACAAGTTTAATGGCATAAAGGTTCGTACTGTTCCTGTACACCAGTAAGTTTTTAAACCTTTCGTTTTAAATCGCTTTCATAATATTTGAGAGGAATAGATTTTAAGACCAACCAGTTTAATGATTATATTTATGAAGACACTTTCTTAGATCATTGATCATCTAATATGTAAGCGAGTCAGGGAATAGTAAAAGTAGGGAATTAGGAATCGCTAGTAGCGGAAACGATGTTATGGATGGCTTCAACGAGAATCTTATGTTCCACACCGTGAATTTTATCTTCCAAGGTTTCGACAGTATCTGAAGATTCTATAGGAACTTCTTGAATCAAAATTGGTTTCCCTCCATCTACCTCAGTAATAACCCAATGTACCATTGCACCTGTTTTGGTTATTTTACCTTCACGTGCAGCTTCAAATGCTCTTTCAATCGCGTGGATCCCATTAAAAGCACCAGGAAGAGCAGGATGAAGATTTATAATTCCAATTTTTTGTTTTTCCAAAGGACCTAAGACCTCGGGAGACAATATGTGCATCCAACCTGCACATACAACCAATGAAGGCTTCAATGCAATAATTCTCTCTGCCAAATCGGTATCGTACTTATTCCGACCAATTTCATTTCCGTATTCTTTTTTATAAGGAAGTAAAGGATGCACTGATGTTGGAATTCCCGCTTTTGATGCCCGTTCTAGTCCATACGCATTTTTGCGATTAGACAGCACATGACTGACAACAGCTTTTCCTTTCAATATTCCATTTTGAGTAGCATCAATTATTGACTGAAGATTTGATCCTGAACCAGAAATTAATACTACTAAGGAAGCAGCCATTGTTGGGGTAGCTGGTAGTATCTAAGTATATCTCTTATCCTCAGAAGGATCAGCCATTTGTCTCTTACCACAGTTTTTTTGTTTTAAATATTATTTTTTTTTTTAAAAAAAAGAAAACCAATGAAAAAGTAGCCTGTAACACAATTATTGTTTACTATAATCTTTTATGCCTTTTAACAATCATGAAATAAGAGAATCCTGGGTTCCGTTAATATTCCGACCTTTTTATGTACTTTTGATTAATAAATTGGAATAAATTTGCCAATAAACTATTAGCATTGCTTCAGTAGTGTTAATTCTCAATTCATGTCTTGTTTGACTTTGAAACATTCACCACTTTCCTTGCTCAACTCTGATTCGAACCAAATTTCAATTAAGCACTTCAATTTTCAGAGTCTTTAGTTTAAAAAAAATTGTACTCATTTCATCGACCAAATCATAAGGTTACTACATGACGATGTTTTAGATTTCCCAATTCCATTAACAAATCCACTTTAATATTCCTAAAATCCAATAGATTATATTTTTATCCGACTAATCCCACATAACTGTTTTATAAAATTATCAAAGCATTTCCAAAAGCTTTTGTGTTCCACGAAATTCCGATTTTTTTAATGTCTTTTGATGTTTCTTTAGCTGGTCCAAAAACTTCTTTCTTTCTTTCTCATCCAATGTTTCCAAAACAGCAAGAACAACGAACGCTCCGTCTCCAGCAGCCCACTCTACCAAGTGTTCATTGATTATACCTTTCAACCCTTCAGCTACTCCTAATTCTTCTTCAGATTTCACAACACGCTTTTCAGCACCATTCCAATGTCCGTTTTGAACAAGTGTCTTTAAGGCACGAGAACAGTGGATCTGGTGTATCAGGTGCGTGTCATCAGCAGGATTTCCCTCAAATGCTCTTAAAACTGCATTAACTGCAGCTGTCTTATCACCAGGTACAGTTAATAAGGTATCAACAACTACTTGAGAGCTCAAAGATTCAGCCAATAACTCACCGGCGGCATTACTAATTACATTTAATAACATAGGTCCAATAGCGGCCTTTAGTTCGTTCCTACGCACTAGAGGATCCTTTTTCGAGGTAGTAGCTTTAAGGGGACTTAATGAAGCTAACATAGTGCGGTTCTCCTTACTAAAGTATCGAGCATCTTCCCAGCCAACGAGTACATACAACAAAACTCTACGGGCAAATTTATGTACGGATAATTTGATAAGCTCATTTTCAAATTCCGCTTGAAGCAATTTTCCAGTCATAATAGTATCATCAGTACAGTCTAGAGCGGTGACTAAAACTAAATGACCGTAAGAATCTTTAGCTGTTTCTGCAAAATAGGGACGTAAAGCTTTAAGCATAGCCTTACGATCCTTAGCATTTGCAATAGCAAATAGCTTCATAGCAACTTGGGAACCATCCCTTGTATGAACAAACTCGTAAATTTGTTCCTTCGTACTTTGTAAAAGGTCCTTTGCTTCATTTGTGCTAGCATGTTGGATGAACTCTAACATGGCTCTGTGGACCATTGTGAATCCAATTGAGCCTTTGGCAATTGAACCCTCGATGGTTTTCCATAAGTTGTTCATGACGCTCGCACGCTTCTCAGGATGTTCTTGCAAAATCTTATCTATGTGCATGTCTTGGGTTCTTTCCTTAAACACTTGAAATTCTGGACCATAAAATTCGCAAATTAATGCATTTTGTTGATGCAAATTGGTATATTCACGGAAAATATCTTCAACAACATAGGCAGCCTCTCGATGTCTGATCAACTTTGTAACATGTCCATATAATTCTCCCAAAGCAGCTTCTTTCATTTTTGGTGTTCCATATTTGAAAAGCTTTACTGCAAGGTATTTTCCATAAGGGCTCTTGCATAATTCGACGAAGCTACCACTAAGTTCACTAGCGATGGTCTCTCGTTGCTGTTTAGAGCCATACTTGACACAAGTTTGAATCACACGAGACATATCATGCTTGAATACTATCTGTTTGACGTTTGATTTAATCATGTCAAATAACTCAGATACTAATGTTTTGCGTTCATCAGCTTTTAGTGATCCCTTTTGACGAAGTTTATCCCATAAGGTTTTGGCCTTCATGCTAACATCAGCGAAGGGTTTCGAAGCTTTGCGATCCTTTTGTAACTTCTTTTGATTAGCATGTGCATCCTTAGAGCTTTTTTTGCTTTCCTCGGACTTTTCTTCTCCCTCCTCCTCTTCTTCTTCATTGTCTATTTCGTCTTCATCTTCAAATCCGGCGAATTCATCTTCTTCCTCTTGTTCATGCTTTTCGTCAGCATCTTCTGCTTCTTCTGATTCCGAATCAGAAGAAACATGGGAATCGGATTCTGATAAAGATTCTTCTGGGGAGGTAACTGCTTGCTTCTTGGATTGAACCTTCAATTCGACTGAATCAGCGGGCTTCGATCGTTTGTTATTTGTTTTATTTCCATTTTTCAATCCAGAGTCTGCTTTTCTCTTTCCAATAGCCATGTTTTCGATATGTTTTCAAAAAAAGGAAAAAAGCTGGTGTTGGTAGAGGTGGAAATTTGCCGACCTGATCATTGCTCCTTCGTTAATAAATTGGGATCTCTAAAATAAGTAGTTAATTTTTATTTAAATAAAAATAAAAAAAAACAAATACTTTTAAAATTTTAGACAGGAAGAACCCTGAGAAAACCATAACTGCATATGCTAACCTGCTTTCTGCACAAGAGGCAGTAAAGAGTAACTGTAGTATACTGTTAAAATATTCCTGAAGAAAGACACAAGAGTAGGATTTGTTTAATTTGGCCCGTTGATGGGATTGGGATTTTGAAACAAGTTAGAATGACAAGACATGTCAAAACGCATGAGATTAAAAATTAAAAATAAGAAAAGAAAGAAAAGAGAAATCAACCAATCATTCTTTTGCTAGACCAGCTATAGATTTACTTATACAACGACTATTGCTCACGAGCACGAACATTTCTTTCGAAATGTTCAGAGAAAGCTCCTTGAAGGACTTGGCGTAATTGATCATCAATGTCGACGCCGCTTTCCTTAAGAGCCAGAATTCGATCGATTTCTTCTTTTCGGTGTTGGTCGAGTAAAGGTTGTCCAGCAGCCTCATCCATTTCCTGAGGAGTTACGTATTGGGCATACTCTAGTTTCGTATCTTTTGGCATATTGCCATTATTAGGCTCCAAATCACTAAACGTGTATAGGTAGGAGGCCAGCTCGGGAAACTCTCCGTTTTCTTCAACGACTTGTGCGGCAATCAAGCCATCGTTGCTTTTAGCACAAGCATCCGCTTTGTATTTTTCGATCAAGTCCTGAGCAACTTCTATCTTTTCGCAAACAAACAAGGGTGTCTCTCCATCCTGATCCTTTACATTAGCATCTCCCCCATGCTTGACGAGGATTTCTAGTAAGTCGCGGTGACCTGGACAATTAGTATGCAAAGTCAAAAAAAATCATCTTACCATAAGATGCAGCTGCATGCATAGCTGTATATCCATTGTCATCGGCTTGATTTGGAGATACACCATTTTGTAAATGTTTCTATTGTGTAAGCAAGATTACTTCAGAAACAAATTCATTTTTGCAAAAACAAAGCACACTTCTTACCAACACAATTTCTACGTTGCCGTCAGAAGCAGCAATCCATATATTAGGGCTAATTGTCGCCATAGTGGTAATTGGTAAGTTTCGAAAGGATCGCTTCTATTGTTGGATACAATAATTACCAGTTTAAAGCACATTTCAATCATCATTTGACTACCTTGATGAATTAAAAAAATAAAATAAAAAGAACATTCTGTTCCGGGGATCAATATTTACCAAACAGTTCTTACGTTTGGCCGCTTCCAACATGAATTGGATTTCTTCCTTTCAGTCAAATATAACAAGATAAATATAATTCCTTATTGTAACAATTACTTCTTTTCAATTGTTTCATGTCTTACATTTCCCCATAACTGTATCATCTACCTTTTTCTTTCAGTTCTCTTCGCGGCGCATCCCGAGAAAAAAGATACTGTTCAATAATCCTCTAACTAAAACGCTAAAACACTTATCTAACTTCCAAAAACACAAGATTTCTCAATTATTTTCTTTTGTTTACATTTCAATTACCGCACTCTAACGATATGTTATGAGGAAATCAATTTCAACAGTCACACAAAATTTGGGTCAAGTCAATTTTCCACGAGTTTTAACAAGTTCTTTCAAACATCCTTCTTCACAACAAAACACGAAAAGGCAATTAAAATGTCTGCCTCCGAACTCGCTACCAGTTACGCTGCTCTCATTTTGGCCGACGAGGGAATTGAAATCACCGTATGTTTGACTAAGAAGTGAACCTTACCTCCAGTCATTCGGTGGAATCACTGTTGTATCGGATGCTGGAGGAAGCTTGTTCACTCGTTGAAATATGAGTAAGGAATGTACTAACAAATTATTAGTCCGACAAGCTTTTGTCTTTGACCAAGGCTGGTAATGTTGAAGTTGAACCCATCTGGGCTAGCATCTTCGCCAAGGCTCTTGAAGGCAAGGACCTCAAGGAACTTCTTTTGAACATTGGCTCTGGTGCTGCCGCTGCCCCTGTTGCTGGTGCTCCCGCTGCTGCTGCTGAAGCTCCTGCTGAGGAGAAGAAGGAGGAAGCCAAGGCTGAGGAAGAATCTGACGAAGACATGGGCTTCGGTTTGTTCGACTAAACCCCAAAAAATATACGATTTTTTAGTCTTGTATTAATTAAAGTACCTTCCTTCCATTTGATTTATTGCGTCTTAGTAGGTTTATCTGATTCTTGTATTCTGTTTTATTCGATTCATCGTATCCATGTTTAGTGTTTCATATCTTAAAACACTCACTGGAAATGGTTCATTACCTTCAAGTAGTTGTAAGTTTTAATTTCTTAATCTTTACAATGAACAGTTTATGTGAATCATTTATGTTTTATCATAGTTTCATTGTTTTGCGACAGATGACGGCTACTCAATCATTCACACACTTTGAATCACGAGATGAATGTACTCATATTATTAACCATACCATACACCAAGAAACTAGCTAGTAGCAGGTACCAGCTTAAATAAGAATTTTCAAGGATCCCAAAAGAGTTAAACGTAAATCCTAAAAATATTAAACAAACTTTTAAAAACTTTAGTACAAGATGCCATGACATAAAACGCTTCCCATGCAGATCGCGCATTACTCCCTAAAGAAATGCATATTTTAAGTTAAAAGAAGAGCATTTACACAACCATCCATTTCAGGATTGTTGGTAATTTGTGCATATTTACCCCAAACAACTTTACCACCGGAAGTTACCAATCCGAGTTCACTAACATTAACCTCGATAATGGTACCTTTGGTGAGAACACCCAATTGTGTGTATGTAGGGTTTTGGGGATTCTTCTTCACACCAATGATAGGTAGTTGCATGGTAACACCGAGCTCTTTGTGTGTAACATTGGCTTTCTTTTGACGAAGTGCCATAGGACGAATGAAACGCTCATACTTGACGGGACGACGGGTGAATCCATCACCGACAAAAGTAGCTTTTGTAATCATACGCTTCCAAGACTTATCCTTACTTTTACCAGTTTTGATAACCTTGAACATTTCGTCTTCAGGAACACCACGCACTTGGGGTAAAGGAACGGAGTATTTAGCAGCCTTTTCTTTACGTTTTTGCTTAACAGCACTAGAGAGCATCTTGGCTTGTGATTCCTGTTCACGATCAAGCAAATACGTAGGAACAGCACCGGGAGCAGGAGCCTCAGAACCGCGTTGAGTGGTATTACGCTCTTCATGTTCCTTCATACTAAACATTTTTGTTAGTTACTTTCCAATTGAAATCTCGATGATAGACTCATTCATGGACTAATTTGTCATCCACCATTCTAGGGGTATCCATCCATTCCTTGAGTCAAATTTAGTACATACGTCTTCTTCATCTGAATCTTTTCTTTACGTCTCTTGTTTTGATGAAGCTTAGCCTTAAGACCACGAACCTTTTGGGAGTAAAGGCTTGCATCGTGAGCTTCACGAGCTAATTTTTTACGACTAAAGATATGTGTTAAAATCGACAATTATACAGCCAGTCTCTTTATTTAAATATACCTTCTTTCTTCATGATCGAAACGACGACCATGCTTACGAATTGACTCCTCAATATATTCGTTTTGAGGCATGCTTCAATTTGGTTAAAGACAAGTTTGTCTCCACCGGTTTGCCTCCTACTGTTTCTAACATTGATTTAGCGAGAGTGTACGCAGTTACTTGCGGTATCGCTGTGTAGCGCTATAAGTGATTAACGCTTTTCTACATATCCGTAAACAGTTATGTACTAAACACAAAGGGAAATAGCTGTCTTTGGAAATTACGGCTGGTGGTGGAAACGGAAGAGAAAAACTCATAATATATCAAATTTCATTGATATTACTTATAAAAACAGAAGGATCGGAGTTCTTTTGTTTTGAAACAGTCAACAGATTCTTCTCGGCATAACTTGGACATTCTTTATATTACTCTGAACTGAAGGATTTGCATAGAATTTGTTTCATACTCTAGCAGGATAATTCATAAAAATATTTGGTAGAATGTCTTCGTTGGATGAATCGGCGGAATTGAGAAAACAGCGATTGCGCGAGTTGCGTAAAATTAGAGAATCACAGACAACTCAAGAAGCCCCAGATCCTGAAGAACAAGGGGAATTAATAAAGCATCGTAATTATGATCCTGAGGCACAGGCTCCTCGTATGGGATTTATTGAGCCCCCAAAAGCAGACGTTACGGTTGAAACTATTTCAAAGGATATCGAAAACGAAACGAAACGAAAAATTCAAGAACAAGAAAGTATACCTGAGGAAGAGTTAGACTTGACTACATTACGGCCCAAGAAGCCTACTTGGGATTTGGATAGAGACTTGAAAGAAAGGATGGCAGTCTTGGAACCCAAAAACCAAAATGCTCGTGCATATTATATTCGACAAACAATTGCTGATCGGGAGAAGAAAAAGCAACAGCAACAAGAACATACAGGTTGAAGAATTTGTTGTCTTGACATTGTTGTCCAATATTTGATATCTCCTTTTTTGATTTGTCTTCTAGTTCATTTCATTATGTTCATTTTATTTATGCTTCTATAAATAACGACCCATACAAAAGTTCATAACCTTCGATTGTCATTTTTTAGGCTTTTTTGTCGTAAGCATACTCAAAAGTAAGTTTTATTAATTCCAACCCATTGTCTCATGTGCAAACCATTAGAGAAGTAGAATATTCATTAGCCATTAAAACGTTTATGGATCATTGAGACCACAGAAGACAATAGAGGCACAATTGCAAACCATAAATAATGAGTTATCTAATCTAAAAGATCCGAAGGTAATTTGCTATAATCAACTTGATCTAGAATTCCAACCTTGTCTTCTCGGGTTATGGATATCCGCAACCTCAATTTAACTTGGGTATTTTTGGGTCCTTGAATTCGCATAGTCTGTGAAGTTTCCATTCCGGGATCCATACTTGTAGACCGAAGAGGTTGAAGTCGTAGTTTTTGTGATTTAGGAACGGCAACTTCAAGATGAACTTTTTCAACTTTCGATACTACGCTTTTATTCTTGAATCTTGCTTCTATGACGGCAGTCTTTGAAGCTTCATCTTTCGAAGGATACAACGACAATATCACATCGTGTTTATCGTATACTAGGAGAGGTTCATACTGTTTAGTCTGAGGAGTAGAGGCTGCCTGTGATAGATTTAAACCACTCATGTCCAACGAGGCAAAGCTATTGGCTAGAGTATTCGTTGCTGGTTCTGCTGCAGGTGCAGGGGTACTAAATAGTCCCAAAATATCGTCAACTTGGTTCTTTTTCGGTGCAGAAATTATATCTGCAAGATCATTAGCTGCAGTGGTATTAGCAGATGGAGTTTCATTGATAAGGGTTTCTGTCTGAGAAGGACCAGTTAAACCGATAAGATCCAAAAGGTCATTAGTTTCTTCGGTTTCCTTCAATGGTTTCTTAGGTGCATTCAGTTTTTGTTCAGCGTTTTGGTAAGGTGTGATTCGTGCTGGAGGTGAAGGTGCGGGTATGGATTGCATCACGGTTCTGTCTAAAGAAGGATCTTGAATAACATGCTGGTACTCAATAGAACGTTGCTGAACTTCAGTATTTCTATGCTTGCCATAAAATTCTATAAGCCTTTGTATCTTGGACAATGAAGAAGAAGACTGAAAACGAGTGCTCAGTTTAATCAAAGTATTAAGTCCATATTGAATAATGGTAGGTTGCAAGAAGTTTGTTCCTATCAACACCTCTTCCACTAGATCCAAAATGTCATCTTCAGATATGTTTGTTGGTAAAGTATCATCGTCAAAATTCATGGAAGGAGATAATAGATATTGACCATATTCACCAAGAACCCACAAAGAGGCGAGGATCAAAGCTTCTTGGGATATATCATCTTTCAGTGCAGCATAAAGTTTTAATGTCGCATACTCGTGGAGGTCTGGAGCACTAGCAATCAAACGAAGAAACGTTGATAAGGCAGACTCAGATAGGAAATTACCGGCACTTTTAAATACGCGTAAAAGAGTATCAAAATGCCAACGTTTGTTAGGGGCAAAAGCATTTGTAACCTCGGTTATATACTGAGCAGTTCTTGAGCGCATATCATCGGACACAGTATCCAAATATGTTAATAACTCACGAACCATAAATCTGACGTTGGATTCGTTGACTAGGAAAGTGGAAAGTTCCAAAGCGCGAGCTTGAATAGAAATGTCAACGTCGTAAAGACAAGATAGGATGGTAGAACGGTGACGCTGCACGGCATTCTCTTCTGTATTTACGACGCGCTTCAACATATTGAGGGCTACATATCGAGTATTGTTATCACGATTTCCTAGGAATTTAGCAAGGATGTTAACGCCCAAAACACGAAGGCTGCTGTCGGAATCGACATCTAGAATAGTACGGACTGCTTGATAGAGGATTGCATTTCCCGCATTTCGGGAAGAATCCGTGTTACTGCAAACTTGAGCCAATATATCACTGATGCGGTCATTGATGGAAGCATCGTGTTGTGCGAATATGGAAAGTATTTGGAGTATTTTAATTTGCAAGAAGGGATCCGAAACATTGCCGATATTAAGTTCAGATGAATATGTATTGGAAGAAAGCTGACGAAGACGGTGAATGAGAGCATCGGTATGTTCAGCGAAACGGGGAATAAGATTAGGATGAATTCTACATAATCCCATCACAAAGGAAATGTCGGACATCAATACACCATGGCTTTTGGAATGAAGAAGCTCTTCGGCGCTCAATAGATACGGATCAGCCAACTCTGGCTCCTTTTGTACTACACGCAAAGCACACAAAAGAGCTTTCTTGCTGACAAAGTTGTGTGAACTGGAGCAAAGCTTGGAAATGATGTTTGAAAGATCGCGAGCCAATTCAGGACTGGCAATGTTGCCAAACGCCGACAATGCAAGACTAACGACGAACTTGTTGGGCGATTGTAAGTCTTGTTGAAGGGAGTTTGTAAGCAAAGTTAAAACTTCTTGATTTTCATCTAGCAGTAACATAGCACCCAAGTATCCTAATCGTTTGTCCATGAATTGAGGACTTGAAAGCAATTTCAAACATTCGATTTGTCCAAAATGGGTGGGTTCTCCTAACAAATACAGAAACAATAATTTTGCAACATTTCTCCTCCGCATTCGCGTATCTGCTGATCCTTGGCGAATGTTTTTACGTATCTGCGCCGATTCTTTCCGAATTGCACTGTTTTCTTCAGCCGTCGTTTTCGACGCCCGGACTGCCTTAATAAACGTCTTTAGACTTGACATTTTTCAGCCCAATTTAATTCTATGTAATTCCAAAGATCACTACTCCCCTATGTTTTGGCAAACGACAGGTTTCACTCTTTCGCGTTTGTTGATTCGAAAGGATTCACAATTAACGTAGTTCGTTGGAGTATTTCTCTAGCGTAATGCTTACCAGTAGGGCCTCTGTTGTTGTGCATTGATACAACACTTTTATGAATTTTACTGTATGTTACCGCAGAAGAAATGACATAGAATTAAAAGTAAACAAAGGTTAAACAGGTAGGAAATTCAGCAATAATGAAACAAAGAGCATTCAAATTCATGTTTTTGCGTTCAATAGTAATTTTATAAAAAGAGATCAATAATTGAATGCAGTTGCTATATAGATGCTATAAGGGAAGCATAAGCAAAGTGATGATGCAGCATATGAGGGATTTCGTTTCCTATGGTTTTCTTTTGCGTGTCTACTTTGGTAAAATCTCGGTGATTCCTGCAATTGTAACTAAGAGTAATAGAGAATGAGCATAACATAGTTAAAAGAGATAACTAAAGGTAATCACAATGTGTTTTGCTGATTTGGTTGAACATTTCCATCTTGACACTCCAATCGGAGAATCGTACTGAAGGAGTTTATAAAGAAGAACTTTATATTTGGGAGTTCTATGAATGTATTCATGTCGTCCGTCCCTTGCATGTTTCATGTCTGTACGTCAACTTATTGAAGATTTGACTGTAAACGAAAATCAGAAAAACAACCTCTACATGATATAGTATAATAATACGGGCCAAAACAATTGTGGAACCGTGTAGACAAAAACAAGTCGTTGAGAGTAATGAGGATTTCATTTTGAATCAAATGATCAGTACCTTCAACCGAGGTGGTACGAGGCAAATTGTCAAATGGTTATTTGTTTGTAACAATGGGATGATTATAGCTCAGTACCGTTTGTGTCTTTAGTTCCTTTTTTCAATAATGGTTTCCTTGATAAAGCTATTTTCTCAATTCATTCTAAAGTAGGCATTGTTAATATTAAAGTTAAATTCTCCTTGAATTTGTATTCATTACCCCGTACCTTTTATTTTTAGTTCTTTGGCTCAAAGATTAAAGCACATACTCGATAAGTCTGTGATTTCTGAAACTTCATCTGGTATATATTGACGGCGTATATTATTTGACTCTTTATGTCAATTTTAAAAGTAAATGAAACAGATTGCGGAATTGAGCCCATATCGAACAAGTTTTCTTTTCTTCTGTTATAGATAGCTTCGAGAAGTTAGGCCATGGTAGAAAAAGTCAATCCTGAAGAGAAGCTCCTCGTTGTTTGTTCATGTCTTCCTTCTTATTCATCCAAGAGATGGAAATGAGTTGCACTGACCAATTCGATTACATTGAAGACAAACTACTTTTTCAGTTTATTAAACTTTCTAGAAAAAAAAAGTGAATTCAAACTCTTTTCCAAATACAAAAAGGGTGTACTTCTATTAGAAACAAAACGTAAACAGGTCTAGCCCATTACCGAATTTCTCACCATGGTCAGTCAAGAAGAAAATACAGATAAAAATAAGCAATAAGCAATAAGACGAACCCAAGTGAATAGAATTGACCAAAACAATGTATCTTGCTTTAGTATGAAAAAAGCGTGTCGCTGACACAGTTTAAAGTCACAAAGGTGACAGGTCCATTCAATTCGGTTTGTTTACGAATATGTAAATAAAGCTAAATAAATAAGAAGAAAGAAAGGAACCCATTTTCAAAAGAATCGGGTGGAGTTGTAGAGAAGGAATGGCAAAGAAAGAATTGAATAAAAGTCGTACGTCCGTCTGGTAATAATTCGACACAAGAAAAAACGTCTTTGAGATTGTATTGGCATGATGAATAACATAGATTGTAATTTGCATTAATTTTTTTTTAAATATAAGAACAATTTCTTTGTTATTGATTTTTTGCTCGACGTTCAATATGTATTTCCCTTGCCGACCTGATGGTTCAATGTCTAGAAACCGTAAACAATAATAATGAAATCTGGATCCACTATTAGTTACAACTACAAAACACGAAATTTGAAAATAGTCTATGAAACTACTTTCATAAGATTTCCTACAAATACAAGATTGTCTTTTGTATACTTTACTTTTCTGTCGCACTGTCGCAAACATATTATCATACTATACGCTTTCCTACTTGGTAACCGACACACAAACTGGACTCCTTTATCAAAGCCAAATACCAATGGAAACTTTTATTCTTACTTTCAAAAGTCATTCACCCTTTGCCAAGTATTAAAGAATCGACAAAGAACGAACTATCCAAATTCCCTCCATTACAAAACAAATCCTAAACAGCTTTTCAATTAACATAGCTATAAAACATTTATGTAACATGTACAGACAGATTAGCTCTTGTAGCTCAGTGGTAGAGCGCTTGCCTAGTAAGCAAGAGGCCCAGTGTTCGAGTCACTGCTGGAGCAATCTTTTTATCTACTGCTATACATACTATAGTAAGTACTGGCATCATACAGGTGCCCGTACTTTTTATTTTTGTCCAAGTCTCTGAAGAGCCTGAACTTGAGCTTGATTTGTCTTTTTATACAGACTTACCATGGACCAAAGAACTCATAGAACCCGGCGAGTGAGTGAGGTCGAACCCTACGCTTCTAGCTTGGTTTTCTCTACCTGGCTAGACCGCCCGCGTATATGATGAGAGAGCGATCGGTTACGACAATTGTTTAAATAGAAATATCTAAGCTAGCTAGTCTTTAAAGTAAAATTGACTACTCAAGAGCTGAATGAACAAAACGACTCGGTTAACGAATTTCGAATGGAAAAATAAACAAATCATCGATCTCCAACTTTATCAAGTAAGTATGACGTCAACGCGACAAACATTCAAATAGGCTGGTTTCCGCAACGCTCAACTTGACCTCTACCACACCTACTAGGAACAAAAGAAGCATAGAATTAACCAAGATGGTTTCTCATTTTTACGATTTTGCACCACTCGACAGAACTGGCAAGCCCTTTCCTTTTAGTGAACTTAAGGGAAAGGTTGTTTTGGTTGTCAATACCGCTAGCAAGTGTGGCTTTACTCCACAATTCCAAGGTTTGGAGTCTTTGTACCAAAAATTTAAGGACCGTGGTTTGATGGTTATTGGTTTCCCTTGCAATCAATTTGGCGGCCAAGAGCCTGGCAACAACGAAGGTATGGAAAATTTTTTTCGTGGTCTGGGGTTTTTTTTTTGAAACTGTAACCACTTTATTTGATTCATCAAAAGTATACAAAGGCTAACTAGTGGAATAACAGAGGTTGGTGAATTCTGCCAAAAGAACTATGGTGTCACTTTCCCCGTTTTATCAAAGATCAACGTCAATGGCGACAATGTTGATCCCGTCTATCAATACTTGAAGAGCGAAAAGAAGCAACTTGGTCTTGAGAGAATCAAATGGAACTTTGAGAAATTCCTTGTTAACCGCCAAGGTCAAGTCATTGAACGCTACTCTAGTATCAGCAAACCTGAACATATTGAAAACGATATCGAAAGTATCCTTTAGACAGTGTTCTTTTTAATTTTCGTATACACATACATACATATATATTCCTATTGACGACTTATGCAGTCCTGTTTTCTCATTGAATAGTCTGAGGATTGGCTTAATTTTTTATTTTTTTCTCTTCGGATGCGTTTCTTATAGAATGAAAAGAAAATGATAGTTTCTTGTATTTATTTCATTGACTCGTTTTGGTTTTTGGTTATTTTTTGTATAGGAAGAAAACCTTGGCTTGTTTGTTTCCCTTTCAAACACTGAAAATAAAACGCAACACTAAGTGTACCGTGATCGTAAATTGACCAACTGGGCTGGAGACATCGAGACTTTTATTTATTTATTCTTTCTTTATTTCTTTTCTTTCTTTTTTTTTGTTTCGTCCTCCTATTCAACTCTGTTGTCTTTGGGTGAAATCAAATTTCTCCTTCTTCCTGTTGAAGTATATATTCAATGTTTACAATGTCGCCAGCTCGAATCACGGCTTTGTCTACCGTACCCCAGTCGGTATGGAGATGGGAAACTGCAACTTTTGATTCTGAGCTGTCTATACCGCTAAATTCTGCTTGTACTTCTTTTTGATTGTGCAAGTACAGAACAATGGTCGGTGTAGACAAACTCATTTTTCGATAAAACCGAAGCGTTCTCATTCTCTGCTGGAATGCCAGAGTATTGTCACTGGTATCAACCATTGTAAAATAAAAAATCAATTTTGCTCAAACTTTTCTTTTTTTGTATAACCAATCTTCAAAATTTCTACGAATTTGTAACGAAAATTTTTCATCAGCTATTGACTTACCAAACGCCAAACTGAAATACTCAACTATGCAAAGTCTGTTCGTAAATATGCGTTTTTTATGTTTGAGGTAGTAGTGTATGTATCAGACCAGGTAGGAGAATTCCACCGATGATGAGATCCCAAACAAAACAAATAAATAGGTAGCCCTGTTGAGTGAATTTGAATCATCAATTATAGACGAGTAAATTTTATAATTCTAGTAATGACCTTTTTATTTATATTTTATATTTTATTTAATTTCAATGCAACCTTATATTTTTCTACTTTAGTAACCTTACGCTGATATACATTCCAATATGTAATTTTCAAATACATAGAGCTTGTATGGTTTGAAGAGTATTCTTCAAGCAAATGACTAAAAGTTTAGTTTTTTCTAATGTTCCTTTCTTTCCTTGCTTTAATACAATCCGTACTCCACAAATTTATCTATGTATAATTCTGGGTATGTTTATTTAAATATCATAGCATAAAAACTTTTTGCATGCAACGTACATAAAAGACAAGAGCACTTTTGTTCTAATCAAGATTTTACTCAGATGCAGCGGCTCTGTACCAAAGAATGCTCCTGTCGGCACCAGCAACCACAAATCCATTGTTGTACCAAGCAACGGCCCAGATGCCACCTTCAACTTCATTTTTTGTACTAATACATTCCATTGTATCCATATCCCAAACCTTGACACGACCTTCTATGTCAGCTGACAAAAGCAAATCTCCAACAGGATTGAATGCCAATGCAAAGATCCAGGCACCATGACCGCGAAGCTGACCTACTTGGTCTCCTGATACAACGTCGTAAACCGTAATCATCTTGGAGTCTCCCGCTGCAGCTAGCAGGGAGGAACCGGGCGAAAATGCTAGACTTCGTAATGGGAGCGTGTGACCTGACAAAGTATGGAACAATCGACCTGTTTCAGTGCTAATTAAAAATAGCTGTCCTGTTTGATGTCCAGAAGCTATAAATCTTCCATTTGGCGAGTAGGCCGTACACAAACCGAATTTTCCTTTGGTGTCCAAGTCGGCCACCTTGCTATTGCTATGTGTGTCCCATACGCAAACACGTCCATCAACAGTAGTAAAGGAAATAGTCTGTGCGTCTGGACTCACACAAGCAGCCCAGCATTCTCCTGGATGTTCTACAGAATCACCTAAACACGCCATAGTTAGTTACAGATAAACACGAATACAAGAACCTTACCTAGTGATCGAGAAGTATTCGTGCTTGGATCCCACAAGTACACGTCTTGTCCAAATCCACATGAAACGACTAACCGTTCCTCCAACGAGGCTGCCATATTGTGAATTCCAATTTTGTGAGGAGTGTCGATTTCTTCAACAAGTTCATGTTCTGCACTATCCACGTTCCATTGCTTAATTTTTGAATCTCCAGAACAAGACCACAGCCGTCCGGAAATGACACATAACGAATATATATCAGCTTCGTGAGCGTTCTCTTGAATATGGCTAACTAAATATTCTCTTCTCATAGCCGGCAAAAACTATCAGTTTAATATTATCTTTACTTAAATATAAAAAAATTCGTTTCTTGCTGCACAGAGTTACTATTATAGAAGAAGATGAAACAAATACGTGCACGTTGTGTAGCTCTGGACAAGCTTCATAGAAGTGATACTACATTGTTATTGATATGTAATATCGCCAGAACCCGGAAATTCATCTACATTACTAAAAAGAAAAGAAATAGAGAGGAACTATAGCAGAAAGTTGGCTAAAAAAAACACCTTTTTTTTACCAGCGGATTCCAATGGTTACTCAGGTGATCCTCTGCTGGATCTGGAAGAGAATAGACTATTTTCATGGTTATATTTAATGTACTAATAGACTTTGCTTCATTTTTTAGGTAGACATTCGTTCAGGCTGCATTGCATAATCTTGGAAGATTGGTCCTGCTTCTGAAACCCGCTTCATTATTCACCCAATTGTTCGACCAATTCGATGTTAAGAAAATGGTTTTAATAAGTTTACTACAAAACCATCATTCTGTCTCATTTATACATCGAATATTAATTAAGGTCGACAAATTCGTCACTGCTGTTCAGTCTTTTTTCTGACTATGTAAACTCACTTTAGTCAACTACGGACTCAGGAAACGAGATAAAAGAGAAATTATCTTTTTTTATTATATCAATCCTCTTTCTTACAGCCTTCTTTGGCAAGAACGTTTTTTCACAACCAATTCTTCAGCCATAACAATATCATATTAACCGTATATTTCAAACATGAGCGGATGGAACCATCCGTTAACACACCACTTTCTCAATTGATCAATTGAACCGAATTCGCTCAATTTTAAGTGATTTGAATTCATTTCTTTACAGGAATTACAAGGGCTGAGTAAGTTTTATACCTATCTACAAAGTTGTAAAGATAAAATCCCAAGATTTGGTTCTTATGCTGTTGTGAGATTGAAACTGTGTTTATAAACCAAAGTGAATGCAATTGTTATTTTGTAAAACAACTATTCTTTTCAGCTAGTAAAGAGGGTGGACACAAGAAGACGCACATGCAATCGGAGAGAACTATTTTGGCTAATGATCTTATTCAACATTTGTTATTTTTTTGTTAAAAGAATTAATACTTTCATTAACACAGTTTTATAGACCCTTTATAAAATTGACCTTCAAAAAGTCAATTACACATCAACAGACCGCTTTGTGCGCTTGGCTTCGTCATTTGTCTTTATTGACTTAATCAACTGAATTTCCCTGCTGCTGAATTGGAAATATGGATACGGAAAAAAAGGGAGACTTGGACCTTCGAGTCTTTTCCTTCAATTGCTGGGGATTGCGATTTGTGTCAAAATATCGTACTGAACGTTTGAAGGAAATTGGTAAGAAGCTCGCTAATTCTGATTACGACATTGTGCTTCTACAGGAAGTATGGTCCATCCATGACTTTAATGAAATTCGCACTCAAGTAAGTGGGAACCTTGTTTATTCGAGATTTTTTCACAGTGCTGCTATGGGAGCTGGCCTTGCTATGTTTTCCCGATTTCCCATTATTGAATCTGCTATGTGTAAATATCCTCTCAATGGCCGTCCACAAGCCTTTTGGCGAGGTGACTGGTACGTTGGCAAAGGTGTAGCAACCGCTAGTTTGCAGCATCCTTCTGGAAAAACTATATCGCTATTCAACACTCATTTACATGCCCCCTATGGAAAAGGTCCAGATACATATTTGTGCCATCGACTTTTTCAGGCATGGTTTATTTCCAAATTGCTTCGCTCGGCAGTCCAGCGGGGTCATATTGTAATTGCTGCTGGTGATTTTAACATTCAACCTTTAAGTGTACCTCATGAAATTATCACTTCCTATGGTTTAGTCCAAGACGCTTGGCTCACGGTACATCCAGAACAAGCAACGCATCCCCCTAATCGCTATGCCATGTCAGATCAAGAGTTAGTAGACATTGCTGGTGCTACATGTGATTCTCGTCTCAACAGCTGGCGTGAAAATATTTCCTCAAAGGATATGGATGACTTTGTCGCTAAGCGTCTGGATTACGTCTTTCATTCACCTAGTACGAGTACAGCTACTCGATCTAAAGTTGTCTTTACTGACCGCATCCCTCGATTGGGCTGTAGTTATTCAGACCATTTTGGCATTGAAATGGATTTAAGGATCCTTGAACAACCTTTAGTACCTGCAGAAACCCGTGTGCGTCACACAATTATTGATGACACCCTTGGTATCACATATCAATATATGGCAAGGGAAAGATTGCATATGCGTCTCCGTATAGCAGAGCTCTTAATATCTATTCCTATAATTATCGGTGTGCATGTTGCAATGGTATGGTGCGATCCTGCATGGTTGAAGGTGATCATACTTTTCTTTACATTAGTTATCGCTGTTGCGGCTGCCGTAAATGGTTTTTGCATCGGTCTTCTATTTGGAAGATGGGAATTCAATGGTCTTTTGGAATTTGCCGCTGAGTTAAGAGAGCAAAAATTATTGTGCAAAGAGTACTATATAGGCCATTCTTTGTCTTAAGGGGATTGGATATCGTGACCTTTTTGTATCAGCTAGGTTTCAATTGATGAATATTGTGAATGATTTCTTTGTTTCCATTTAATTTACTAGTTTTCTGTTTCTTTTCTTTTTTTTCTGTTTATAGTGCGCTTTATTGATACTTGCGTAGTGTTCTGTCTTTAGCAAATACTACTACTCTATTTTATATAATCTTTTATAATGATATGATCCTACATTTTGTTATTCAAATGCTTTTTTCCTGCCCGTAAATGAACGAAAATAAATATATAACGATGAATGATCATTAAGGGGAGACTACGCATTTTGGCGACTCTATAGGTTTCTTATTCTAAATATCTTCCATCATGTCCTGTAACAAATTCTCCAATAAATCGGCCGGATGAGGAATCCATAAAATTTCTGAATTTGTGAAATCTCTCTTCATTTCAATGATATGATGATCGAAGAATTCTGTGAGCTGTGAACGGAAGTTGAGCTCATTACTACACAGAAACTCAGAACTGCATTTTTGGTAAAACACTTTATACTCAATCCCGACCTTTTCGCTAGGCCGTACAGCAGTAGAGTCACCAAAATCAACAAGACGTTCCAGTTGATGGATAAGTAGAAGCTTGAAGATTTCTCTGGAATTAGCAGGCAGAGAATACAAAACATGCTTAATAGCCTTCTCTTTATTGGAAACGTTTGCACGTCCAATACCAAGAGAATTCTCATATGTGGTTTCATTGAAATAACGAGCAAACGTAGTGGCATCATGCATAACGAAGTTGAACAATGATTCAAGTGAAGAATCCCATAGCAAAGGGAAGTTGACATGATCGACAGAGGCAAAAAAGTAAACATTAGGAGAAGCCGCGATATTTGCTAACGCTGACTGAAATCGCTCATCCACCAAGTCCTCGCCGTCTATGTTGTGGACCATAATTATTACTTTATCAAAGGCTCTTTCATTAGAGTCTAATACGGCAAGGGCCTGCTGCAACATATCGGGAACAGAGGCAGTCGAGGGAACAACTTCTAAAAACTCAAGAAAAGCGGATAGTACGGATTTCAATTGTAAATGTGGAAAGTAACCTTTAATGACAAAGACCGGAAACCCATGAAATTTTTGTTCAATGAAAGTAGAAAGAAAGTGTTCTTTTGATCCAAACCCATAAAACAATAAATTGTACCCAAACATAGCCTCGCAATACCATTGCTGAAAGTTCCGAGATTGAAAATGAACTAAAGTTTGAGTGAAGCGATCGTTTTCCAGAACTGTTTTCTGGATAGTTTCCAAATACAACTGATTGTCAACCAGAGGAAGCTGGGATAACGTATTACTCGATGTCTTTCTCTGCGAAAACTTGTCAAAGTACTCGTCAAACCCGGGGCCATGATCGATTTCTTCCTTCATAGAAAAAGAGTCATTGTCATGTTCTTCTTCTTCTTCAAGGGCTTCCAAACCACGTAACTTTCGGCTTTCGTCGGTTTCACCTTCTGAAATCGAAGAGCTTGGTTGAAAGGAAGCTAGGTTAATACGATCCGCTGACGGCGACGAAAGCAAATCAAACACCTTTCCATCAGTTTCCTCATTGAATCTATGATTTAATATTTTCTCCTTTGATGGCGAAGACACGTTAAACGAAGGTGACCGGGGAACACGCGACCGAAATCGAGGTGTCTCTAATAAAGCATCAGAAGCTGCATTGTCATCAACCTCATTAAGGAAATGTTGTTGAAGTTCCAAACGTCCACGTCTCCGTTTTGCCGAACGCTCTTTTGTATTCACTCCTTTAGCTTGTTGTAAAACGCGATGGCCAGGCGTCCTAGGGGTCACAGGGTTGGAAGGAACCTGCCAGAAAGCATCTGAAGAGCTTTTCTTTGGTGTAGACGGGATGTTTTCGGTCATTTCATCTACCCATAGCTCATTGCTGCCAAAGAAACCTGTTTTGTCGTATTCAAGTACCTCAGGCTCCTTTGTTGAGTACTGTACCATAGACAAAACTCATATAACGTGTATGTTATTTTTCGATATTATGTATACTGAGTTGCAACGTTTCTTTTCTGTTTACATAAACAAAAAACCCATTTTCGAATTGTCTGAGTGTTTTAAAGATGTAAAAATATTTAGATAATTGTTTTTTAATTTCTATAAAATGATCATTTCAAACTGTACATTTCAGCATTCTTCGTTGAAGCGTATGCATTTCTAATCCTATACAGCAAGGTGAACTGAACTTGCGACTTTTGCAAACCAAACCATTCAGGACCAAGGATCAAGAAACTTTCGTTTCTCTTGTTTTTTATTTTCTTTTATTTCAGCATCCCATGAAAAGACACTGTTCACTAGCATGTACAGTAATTTTCAGGTAGCGAACATAACCTGCCATTTGATCTTTATTTTGTTAAAATCGGATATTAAATAGTATATTTAACAGTGCATATCAACAACTGGCCGGTTGGCCGAGCGGTCTATGGCGTAGCACTCAAGTGAAGAACTTGGACTGTTCAAGTCTTGCTATATCGAAAGATGCGAGGGTTCGAATCCCTCACCGGTCATACATTTTTATTTTTTTAACTCTGGCTTATTGCTGAATGCTAAAGGTCGGAAACTTCACAATTAGTGAGAGAAAAGAAAAGAAAAATTGAAAGAATCATGAATTCAATATACTATTTGTGGATTTGCAATGCGTGTGTCTACATGACATGCAAGCAATCGTGAAAAAGTACTCAATTCTTATTAACTGGAAGTCTATGTACAGTAGAGGTGTGTAGAACCACATAGAAAGGTACTAGCACCTTTTTGAAATGGAATAATATCTCGGTAATCCAACAATAACAATAACAATGTGTCGTCTACCTGGAAAACAGAATTCATACAAGGCTACGATTGTCGTCTCGTTTGCATCAGCTTTCACCCTATGGATATGGTAGATAAACTTGCAGTGGTGCTGCCAAAAAACAACATAAATTTACATCAACAGAACCTGCTTTGGTGACTAGGACAAACAGTTAGTTTGTCTCTCGTTTTGGTTGTTAGGTTTCAGGCTCCATGTCATCTTCATCCGATGGTTGTTGAACTAGGAATTCGTCGCCTTCATTCGCAAAAGCGTAATCTGTATTTTCAGAGACTACAATTTTGGACCAAGCGCTTGGTTCTACAGTGACATAGTCACCATTCTGCAAAGTTCCAATTTTCATTGCATTGTCATCATTCACTTTCAAGATAGCTCGCAACTCTTCTACGGCCGTCTTGAGTGTCTCATTGTTTGCAAGTTCCACAAAAATCGATGTTTTTTCGCGCTTAAACTTAACAAGCACCTATCATCAAGATTTTATTAGCTTACCATGCAAAAAACAACTTGTATTACCATTTTCTACTTGTTCTTTCTTTATATTACCAACAAAACCGTTTAAAACAGTGAACTGAAGCAATTCCCTACTTCATCTAATAGCGCATGAAGACTTACGGACGAACTCACACGTGTAGAAATGGCAATGATGAGAAATCATCAGGAAAAGCGAATTGAATTTATACCAATGAATAATTATAATAAAAAGAATAAAAAATAAAGAAAAGATAACCTGAAAAAACTAAATCACAACTCTCGTCCTTCTGATGGAATTTCAAGTTTCGTCGCTTTATTTACTGAATAGCGACGTCTAAGACATCTTATTAAATCGTGTGTTACAGTCTATCCTTATTTCGGTTCGTTCAGTTACGGAACTTAGTGGCACCTCAGTAAACGAAAAGAAAACAGTCACAAAGTTTCGTGTCTTGGGAATTCGAGGAAGAGCAAGTTTGACTCACGACAAAACAATGGCTAAGATTCTCAAGCCAGGAAAGGTAATGAATTTGTGTTGAATTCTTGAAAAGCGTATTAACAATGCATTTTAGGTTGCTCTTATCACCAGAGGTCGCTTTGCCGGTAAGAAGATTGTTATTCTTCAAACCATCGACCAAGGCACCAAGGCCCACCCCTTCGGACATGCTGTCGTTGCTGGTGTTGAGCGCTACCCTTTGAAGGTCACCAAGTCTATGGGTGCCAAGCGCATTGCCAAGCGTTCTCGTGTGAAGCCTTTTATCAGAGTTGTTAACTACAACCACTTGATGCCCACTCGTTATGCTCTCGAGCTTGACAACCTTAAGAACCTTGTCAGCGCTGAGACTTTCAAGGAGCCTTCCCAACGCTCTGCCGCCAAGAAGGTCATCAAGAAGACTTTTGAAGAGAAGTACCAAACTGGCAAGTCCGCTTGGTTCTTTACTCCTTTGAGATTCTAATTTTGAGGTAGTGTTTGGAAAAATATGAATCTTAAAATCCTAAATGTTAAACTTGCGAATTTTCGTAGGCCATTGCCAATTTCGTAGATGTATATTTATGTGCTTGTTAAAAATTCAGTAATTTTTTCAATCGGAAGTGCTGCTGTTGTTTTTATTTATAAGGTCAGCAAAACAATGAGACCTGTTTTACATTCGATCAAAACGAGCGTAATTTCAAGGATAACTAAAACACGTCCTCGTCTAAAAGTGCTCTATGTTACGATGTTTATTCGAGAATGCTACTCCACACAATTACAATTCATTACTAGATTCTCAATACAATGGAAATATGCCAAATAGACAAAATACAGCAACACTATGGATCACCAACCATGGATCCCATTTTATTTTACTTACAAATTAAAGGAAATATTTTATTGAGCCCAATCGGAAGTTTGAGCAGCAGCACCAGTGGTGTTCCACTCACCAGTTCCTTCCCAAGTGTTCTCACCAACTTGACCAGCAGTGGCAGCAGCAAGAACAGTGGGGTCAACAGCACCAGCAGCACTGTCGTTAACATCAAACTCGGCAGCAGCAGCGGCTTCTTCAACTTGGGCTTCCTCAGAAGCAATGGCAGCAGCCTTCTTGGCCTCCTCTTCACGCTCAACCTCTTCGGGATCACGGTAGAAGTAAAGATCAGGCATGACTTCCCAAGGGGTGTTGCGAGAAAGGGTACCACGAAGACGAAGAACTTCACGAGCCAACAAGTACCAAGCCAAACCAATGGACTTACGACCCTTGTTGTTGGTAGGGATAGCAACATCAATGTGATTCAAGCAAGAGTCAGTGTCAGCAAGGGCAATGACGGGAATGTTGACGAAAGAAGCCTCTCTGATGGCTTGGGCATCAGCACGAGGATCAGTGACAATAATCAAACGGGGTTCGCGGTAAGTACGAGTGATATAGTTGGTGAAGTTACCAGGGGTGAAACGGCCAGCAATGGCAGTAGCTCCGGTATGGGCAGCGAACTTGAGAACAGCACGGTGACCATAAGCACGGGTAGAGACGACGCAAACATCGGCAGGGTTTTCAACAGTAGCGATGATACGAGCGGCCAAAACCAACTTCTCCCAAGTCTTACCAACATTGATGATGTGGACACCATCGTTACGGCGCTTCCAGACATAGGGATCCATACGGACCTCTAAGTTCTTGGAGCCAATATGGCTGCTAGCAGCGAGGAGCTGCTTGATGTCCTCATCCTGTTATATTAGATTAATATTTTTGACATGAAACGTGAGCTTTGCTTCATTTACTTACAGTAGCATTCAGTATAGAAGGGCGTCCGGACTGTGCCATTGCTAAAGATGGAGAAATGCTATATCCAACACACAATTTCAAAAGAAATTGCACACCAAAAATGTGACTGCCTTTCCACCCGTTACATATAGTGGTAGGGTTCGGTAAGTTACATAGTGCGCGCTAAAGCATATTATCTTAAAGGGTCATTTGGCAGTACAGGGCGACAGAAGGGAAGGAGGAAAGGAGTATGGGAGTGTATCTATAGGGGAGAAGAATCAGAGGATGAAAAGTGTGCAGAAGCGATGGCTTTTAAATGAAGACAAGCGGTAACGACAAACAAAATAAACAAAAAAGAAACAGTGCAGAAAGGATAACCAAGACAAAAAAGAGACAGGTTTTGTTTTCTGTACAATTGTTGATAGGAAAGAGTATGGCAGCTAGGAAACAGGAGCGGCAAAGATGCCTTCCAAATTATACAGGTAACTAAGTCTCCTGCTTTAGTAGATGCAACGTCTCAGAGTATATTTTTTGTAAAACGTCTCTGCGAGGCAACAAGGTAGGAAACACCACATGAATTTGGGGCTCACGTTCAATAGCAATTCCCATATAGTAACAAACATCGAATTTTCGAAAGGCTTCATGAATAAATATTTCTCGAATAGAGTCTAAAGGAATCAATTTAGAGGAAGACTTCCAAGGAACGATGGAATGACAATTGGTTTGGATTCCTAAATCGCGCACAACAAGTAAAGATTCATCTTCTGATGTTAGTTTTCAATTGCTATAGTAATAAAGGAATTTTTTCCGAACCCGGTACTTTTACAAAACGTCCCATTGCTTAAAGAATGAAGGAATTGACGCAACTCGGGTCATAGAAAATGAAGTACTTACGGTTTACGCCGCTAATAATTTGGAAAAGGGAGGAAAGAAAAATAGCGCCAGAAATCCACAATAATAGACTCGGTGCCGGTTCAAAGGCAAGTAGCGCGACGCCAACACTGAATGATAGAAAGCATATCGCAAACATTTGGGTGCCGTATCCTTTGCTTGTGTGGACGATAAATTCAGTGGCACCCGGATACCTTTTAACGGTAAGCATGGTATGAATCAAATGGCCGTAGCAGCCAAGCAAGAGCTTTTCTGTTTGTTTGTTGTGAAATAGAGTATGGAGTCATGATGGCCAAGAGGAGTAATGTTTGAGTATGGTCTCGGAAACATCCGCGGCTCTTCCGGATTTGTTTGTAAACACAGCCAAAGTAAACAAAAAATAAAATAAAATAAAACCAGGCGAAACGTAAAGCAAAGCAATGCAATTCATTTCAGTCGTGTGATCTTTATTATTTTTCTTTTCTCTCGTTCATTATTGCATTTATTCAGTAAATACTGTAATGTTATAGTTTGACTCTTGCTGACCATACAAATCGCCATTAACGAAATATCTAGTAATAAGAAATGTTCCCATAATCACAGACAGCAATTGACAAATGTTTCTATTTAACAACAACGTGAGATATCCACAGTTTGGTTACCTACAGGACACAGTAAAGAGATATCATATATCGATCATGTTTTTCCAGCCAAATAATCCAGCAACTGGGTAAAAGGAACTAAAGCACTTTAACAAGTGTCATTCACTACTTTTTTTATGCGCTATCCTTGCAAAAGCTCATTAACATCCAAATTAAATGTTGTCAAGTATAAGCAAAACCAGTTTTTCGTTACAGCTTAAGTGAATATTACTACGTTTATTTATATTATAAATTGTTATTATAATGGTTGTAAAAGTATAAGAAGGTCTCGTGGCCCAATGGTCAAGGCGCCTGACTACGGATCAGGAGATTCCAGGTTCGACTCCTGGCGGGATCATTTTTCTACCCATGGCTAATTTTGAACGATTTGTCTCAGTAACAGAAAAAAGTACGCAAAGGTATAAAATTTAGAGTCTATTCGTTTCTTTTAATTTTTAATTTTTTTTCTTTATTGCTTTCATCTTTTCCAGTGATTCGGAAAAGGTGTTCTTTTTCGTATTCAACATCCCATCTCCCAAAGCCTGGTCTGTATCGTAAACTCTTCTACGGTAGCAAGGTTGGGTTTTTAACAATCTCCCAGATCATAAAGCGGGATTTCTTTTTTCTCCTCTTTGAGGAAACGAACTCACTTTTAGAGAACAGGATTTCGTATTTCAGCTTGGCGGTTTTTAGGATTCTCACTGTTATTTGACAACTTGCAAGTTGCAACTTTTATTCTTTTTCAAGGACCATTTATTTAAGAGGGTCTATATTTTACTACATATTTTTGTAACACATTGAACGCGCTGAGATCCTGGTTTGCTCATATCTTTGCATCGCACGTTCCTCTTCATCAATTCGACTATTTGACTATTTCAGCATCCTGTTGGCGCGTTTATTTGTTCTATTTTATTTTGTATTTATTACTAGGATTCTTTACAATAAAAAGGGTGTTCTTACGAGATATCTACTATGATTCAATTTGTTCTTGTTCAAAATCGCCATGGAAAGAACCGTCTCTCCAAGTACTACGTCCCTTTTGATGTATGTTACATGGAATTCAACCTAATTCTAATTTTACATAACTATTTCTAACCTTTCTTTATAGGACGTTGAGAAAACACAAGTAAAAAGTCAGATCCATCGACTTATTTCCCAGAGGACGCAAAAATACCAAGCCAACTTTCTGGAATGGAGAAATAGTAAGTTGGTCTACCGTCGCTATGCAGGTCTCTATTTTTGCTTTTGCGTCGACACATCGGACAACGACTTGGCTGTCTTAGAAATGATCCACTTCTTTGTTGAGATTTTAGATTCTTTCTTTGGAAACGTTTGCGAGCTTGATCTTATTTTTAATTTTTATAAAGTTAGCGCTATATTGGATGAAATTATACTGGGAGGTGAAATTGGCGAGTCCAACAAAACTGCTTTACTTGAACGAATTGAAGCCCTTGACAAGCTTGACTAATCTTTTTGTGAAATGATTGTTTGTTTCGCTGTAAAAAGAACTTTTTTTATAAATTTTTTGTTTTTTTTTTGCAAAAATTTAGTCCCTTTCCCTTCTGTTCTCTCATTTGTATAATACGATGAATCTCAATTTCTTTTCTGGTTGTTCTCTTAATGCCTTTAATTTAACTTCTATTTCTAATACCCTAAATGTTTTTGTATAATTAATATATACTTTTATTCAATGATTTATATGTTTTCATTCTTTTCCAGGACTAGACATCCTAGAGCCCAATGTTCCAATTTTTGACATGCATTTTCCACCTAAACGGTATGAACAGACGAATCCATTTAGCTTGATTTTCAAATCCTTTTCCAGATTTTAATACTCTCGTTTCTTATAAAAGAAGAAAATAATACTACTTACTTCTGTGGATTTCTTAACTAGAAAAGCTTTGTAGACATTAAAGCTTCTTCGTCGTAATTGTTTACACTTCAAACCAGAGGCTCTGAAGGTAATTTAATCAACCATACTGAGTCATCTTTTTTCTTTATTTATTATTTTTTGAAGAACTTTTTCTTCATCATGAACAATGAGCCTCTAATTGACTGGGTTTATGAACGATACAAGAAACAACAGCAAAAATCTTGGTTCAATGACAGATTTAGCTTCTTGAATACAAAAACAAAATACTTGTTTGTATCTATTCTTTCTGGTATGTTTAAAACGAATACATTGAGTTGATTTTGGCTTCTTTCAAACGTATAATAACATTTCCAGGTATTTTGATAGGTCTGACGACTGCTCTACTGAATGGCCTGACATTTTTACTTAGCAGTTTTCGTGAAGGATACTGCAAAACAAATATTCTACTAGACAAAGCTGCTTGCTGTGCAATCTTGACTGACGCATACGAGTGTCATAGCTTTCATTTTTGGAGATATGAACATTCGTATGTTATGGCCGTATTTATTTATTCTTCGTTTTCTATAGGATTTGCTTTACTTGCATCTTTGCTAAAAGTTTACTCTTTCCCTTCAGTATCTGCAAGTGGAATCCCAGAAATAAAAGCGACCTTAAGTGGTTATACGCTACCTGATGCAAACTCGTTTTACTCTTTGAAAACACTTTTATTAAAATCATTGTCAATATGTCTTTGTGTGGCTTCTGGTATATGGGTTGGAAAAGAGGGCCCTTTTGTTCATGTAGCCAGTAATATAGCCATCCTTGTCGCTTCTGTTTTCCCAGAAATAAGCAAATCTAATCTTTATTCTCGTCAAATTCTGATTGCTGCAATATCCTCTGGTATAGCTGCCTCTTTCAATGCTCCCGTTGGTGGAGTTTTGTTTGCTTTGGAGCAAGTCACCACTAGTTCGTTTCCATCTTCATTGACTGGGTCTATATGGTATGAATTTTTGTGCTCTGCCTTTTCCGTAGTTACGCTACAACTACTTAGATCTTGGCAGCCTGGTGCTGGTTTTCTTTCGTTTGTCTCATTGGAAAGACATTGGACCTATCTAGATTTGCTTCCTTTCATTTTCATAAGCATTCTTTGTGGGTTTCTCGGATCAGTGTTGGTTCGCTTATATATGAAAACTTTAGCAAAATACAGTTCTTCATCTAGAGGTTATAGTGTATGTTCGGTTGGATTTCTGAGTTTTATGACTTGTTTCATTTCTGTTCCAGCCTTATTTGATTACGATATATTATACAATCCAACAGAATTGTTTTTTCAAATTTCGAATTCATGCTCTCCCTCTTCTGCCTCTATTCTGTGTGAAGTTCAACCATGGATTACCTCTTTAGTTCTTTTTGCTTCCGCAATAGTTGGCCTACTTTTTACAGGTCTTACGTATGGAATGCAAATTCCAGGCGGTATTCTTATACCTTCTTTGACAATTGGTGCTTGCTTAGGTAGATGCATCGGCACCATACTAAGAAGCATTTTTCCTTCCTTGGCAGGATCTACTGTATATGCCATCGTCGGTGCTACAGCATTTTTAAGCTCAACCACTAGACTTACGGTTTCATTAGTGGTTATTATTTATGAATTAACAGGTGCGTTTACTGTAGTACTGCCTCTTATGCTTGCCACCCTGCTCAGCAGGTGGATCTCCAATTTCATCAATCCCTTTTCCATATACGATTCGTGGCTACACCTTAAGAAGATCCCTTATTTTCCGATTTCAGATGCTGATATTATTTCCTCCTTTAATTTCAACCTTCCTATGACCCCCGATGAAAAAATTTACAAATTACCTTTACACAAATGTACCATAAATCAAATGGAACGCGCATTTAAACATAGCACTTACCCTTATATATCGGTTATAAAAGACAAAACAGACTATTTTGTCGGGCTTATTTCAAGGGAGAAGTTGGGAGAGTTGTTGGATACCTCACCTATGAATCAAGATGTATACGCACAAGTCAGTTCTACTCTGCAGCCCGAAGAACAAAGCTTATCTTCGGTTGATTTGACTTTTTCTCTTTCTGATTATTTATATCCAGCTACTTTTACCTTGAACAGTGACACTCCGCCAATTCTCATATTGAAAATGTTTCGAGAGATGGGAATAACAGTGGTTGCTTTACTACGTCGTGGAAAGTTACACGGTATAATTACAAAATTGGTAAGATTGTTTTGCTTTTCTTTCTAAGTACGTCTATGTAAACTAACATTTTATCAAGGACATCCTCGAACAAGCGACAACGTTGAGAAATCATGCAAGCATGTCTTCTCATGTACAAAACAATACAAATGGTTAAATATATAAGCGCCAAAACCCCCTTTTATATTAAATTATGTTATTTCCCGTAACCGAAAATTCTAAAATTTGTACATTATTAATAACCAACCTAGACCCCAAAAGTTTTCTACTTTACTCCGTTGTCATTTTAAAAAGACCATTAGCAGATCGGGAGATAGTAGGAGAATAATGATTCTTCAAAAGAAATGTTTCATAAAGCATGGCAGTTGACGATTTGCATAGCTCCGGGTCTTCAACAAATGGTTGATAAATGCCATCACCAATTTGCTCTTCTGAAGTAAACATCCTATGCAGCTTTGTGTACCTCGACACCAGTCTAGTTAAGAGCGCAATTGCTGCCATCGAAGAGTGTTCTGGTAGTTGCAAACTTGAAATCGCTAACCTCTTTGAAAAAGCGGCAAGGCGAGCAGGACTTACACTCTTACTCTTGAAAAAGAATGATTGATAGCACTTAAGTAACATTTCCATTTGGGTAGAAGCGTTAACAACGTTTTTCTTAGAAGGCGCATCTGGATCCCGAAGTCGATTCACCTTATAAGTTAAGTCGGCATCTGGGTTTAACGAAAATGGAAGAATCAATCTGTATAGCCGTTGAATAAAGATGCTTAAATCCAAATCCAAATTTAACTTGTTAACACCAGGTGCAGATGCAATTTCAAAAGCAGTACTAACAGTCAACAAAGCTTCTCTTGTAGTTTGCACTCCAGGCTTGCCTTCTGCTAGTAACAAATTATCGTCCAAGACAAGTTCACGCAAAACCTGCAATAAATCGCCGAAAAATTCGACATTGATAAGTCGTGATAATCTAGCCAAACCTTCCAAAGCGTTACCTAACAACTTACTTCTTGACTGCAGTGTCTTAAAATAAGTGAGGAAAACCATTTTCAAGACTTCAGCTTGATATTTTTCACGATCTTCGGCGGATATAACGGCATCAGCTTCCTTCATTTCTTTCTCAATTTCTTTAGTTTCCTTTAAAGTTTTCCTGGCTTTTTTGGTAAGATGAGGACGATCCTGTTTCCTCTTTTTTAGCTTAGTTGGCTCGCTAGAACTGTCCTTTAATTCCATATCGGAAAGAATTTGAATATTCAAAAATAAATCATAAACATCCGGAAGAACATCATAATTACGATGCTTAAACATCTTTGACAATAATTTCACACAATTCATCGACACACGTCCTAGGTTATCCTCTTTCAAAATAGCAGCCAAACTGTTTAAAAACATATCAAAGTTGTTTCTCTTAGACTTGTGACTTATTTGCTGAACAGCCATAGTTAGCAGTTTGTCATGGAAATTAAAATGAGGCACGTGCTCAATTAATCGAGAGACGCAACGCACTGCAACTTCATAAAGAGATTTCTGTACATCGTTCTCTAGAGAAGGGTATGATTTGAAAATAGACTCTAGGATTTCAATGAACCGCATATAATGTTTCAAAAATGTTTGTTCATACGACCAGCGTTGTGCAACTTCTTTGGATAGTTTTGTGCTTTCTTCTTCCTCAGACAAAGGACGAATACGGTAACCGGGGATCAAATCCTGGAAAACCGCAAGAGCAGTCAAAAGACTCAACTTTTTCGTAGTAATGAAAGGTGATTGAAACTTTTCAAAGATACTTTTAAAAACATGTAGAGATTCTTCTGGTTCTTCCAAGAGCTTTTGAGCAAGGGAAGCTAATTCTTCTTTGTCCGCCTGAATTTGCTGTTTTGGTGAAAGTTGAGGTTCTTCAACCGAAGGAACGTTTGAGGTTTCATCCTCACTTGCTTCTTCTTCTCTCTTCTCGGAAGAAGATTCACTCTCTGACTCTTCTTCATCATTCTGTTCCTCGGCTTCTCTGGTATCTCCCTTCACAGCATGTAAATGTCCTTCTTTAGTCTTAATAGGAAGACGATTCGATTCAGCCGCATTCCATGAGCTAATAGATCTTGGAAGAAGCTCATAATCTTGCTCTTGATCAGAATCATTTGAGTAATCAATGCCTTCATCAGAGTCATAGGAATCAAACCCTTCGTCGCTGCTTAGATCATCTTTCTTAGAAGGCCTCAGGTCATAGATTTCTGGACGAGGTCCTTTCTCTACTTTCTTTGTTAATTCCTCTGGTTTAACCTTTGCAAGAAATTGCAATGATGCAGAATTTTCATCCAACATTGCAAAATCCTCTTCGGTCAATTCTCGTTCAGGTGCCTCAGGAACTGGTACTCCTTTCTTTTCCTTATTCCCTTTTCCTTTATCATCTTGTTTATTATTTTTTTTCTAATGTCAAGTTAGCAGAATTGTTTTTCATTCCTGTTCACCGTACCAATTGCTTTTTTTCCGATGCATTTTTTTTCTGTTTTGAGCTCTCCTTTATATTTTTAATCTTTGAAGATGCCACTTTCGGCTTGGCTGACTTTGAGCCTTTTTTTGGCGCCATTTTCTTCGTGCTATGAGAAAGACAACTTCAGGTTTAACTTCAAATTGGGATACTAGATAAATAGTGATATTAATTGTACTATCGTTAAACAAAATAATAATTTACGAAAGAACTGGAAGAAAGGTTAAAAAGAAATAAAATGGCATAAAGAATATAAATAGTTGAAGTGAAAGAAGAAATTTGACTAACAACCGTAAGAGATAATGTCGTGAATGCGATTATATAAAAGAAGTAGCAGAGCACTGAGTAAGTTCATAATAAAGTATCTATGAAGAACAAGTGTAATCACAATATAGTCAACAAGTTGAACTAAAAATATCATTAGCATTATATAGAAAGTATACCGCTTTTAAGTCACCTTATCCAAGAGCGAACAGAACTGATCCTTTGCTTCCTGGAAACGGGACTCTTGAGAAAATGCTTTTGAAATTTTTTCTACAGTTTTTCGAACATCATAAACTTGCGATGCTGCTATGGCAACGTTTGAAAGCGTACACAAACTACCCAATGCCATAACAGCCCGGTAACAGGATTCACTCTCAGAAGAATCTGCAGCTAAGAAGTTTGTCAACACCGGTAGAATCTCAATCGCTGCTTCCTCAAGACTTTTTTTGGTATATAACACAGAAAGGTTCATGGCGAGCGTCGCAAAGGCAACTTTGTAATCTTTTGAATATTCGGCTCCCGGTACGGTCTTATATAAGCTGTTGGCTAATTTTGTTATGTCTTCTTCAGATGAAACATTTGAAACAATATTAGCTAGGCCCCGTAGTGTCAACATGCTATTAATTGACTCAAATTTTCCGGTGACTGTAATTGATTGGGCAAGCTGAGCAAAAACTTCCAAAAGGACTGCACATAGATGCTGTGGACAGTCAATCGCTAATAACCGTAAAGCATCTAGCGCAGGAAATCGTTCAGATAGACTAAAGCGATCCAGTACATTAAGACAGATCTCAATTGCAACTTGACGATCAGAATCTTTCATAGACTTCATTGATAATATATGTTGTAACTTTTCTAAATCTCCTTGAGGAAGAGCATTTGCGTGTGTACTATTTAGACTAAGCAATCGTTTACACATAGCAGACACGTTTGCAGTAGTAAATAGAAGATAACCAACTGGAAATATTGTTACATCTTTCTTGGAAGTAGATGAGTTCGTGGTTTGGGATGCTGACGATGTATCAAATGTATGTCCTTCGGTATTTTTTTGAATAAATTGGACTACCTCATCAGTATACGACGTCGGTAAGTGATTCGTTTCCAAAAATCGAATAGCAGCTTGAAAAGGATTTTCTGTTACATTATATGGTAATTTTAAAGGAGCTTGTCCCTCGGCTACATCAACATCAAACACGTAATCATACTCTTGACCGTTATACAGTTGTTTACGATTGCTTCCAACAGCATCAACAACTTGTCCAACCTTTTTCCAGTCATTTTCAACTTGGGACCATTGATAAGCTTCGACATCATTATTTACTCTAACCATGATCACGTCTCCTTCATGTTTACCAGGAGTCGCCAATACTTCCGGACCAGGTAAAGAGCCCTTCTTCACATCACCCACTTCTTGAGTAGAAATTGCGTATTCACTCACTCGACGCTCGAAATTTTTCAACTCTTCCTCAGGAGCCATTCGTTCTTTATCAATAGTGAAAATTCGCACAGCACCGTCGCTCGATCCACAGGTAATATCCCCATTTGGAAGAGCAGCAACAGACCATATGCTTGTAGTTGGTAAGGCAATACGTTGAATGCATTTAGAATCCTTCCAAACGCGTACAGACTTGTCTTCACCACAGGAAGCCAATAAATCTAGTGAAGGTACGTATGTAAGTGAATAAACGAACGAAGTGTGTCCGTGTAATTCTTGTAAAAGATGTCCATCTAAAGACCACAGTTTTATAATACCATCATTTGAACAAGAGGCGAAACCTTGGGGAATTTTGCAAATTGATCGCACACAGTCGACGTGTGCCACAAACGACTTCACTACTTTATCGCCCTTCCAAATTTTGATCGTTTTATCAGCAGAACCAGTGACAAAAGAATCCTCTCCTAAAGCCAAGACAGCCCAAACCGAAGATTCATGTCCTCGTAAGACAAGTCTGCATTGTCCGTACGACCACACACGTGCTGTCGAGTCCCAACTTCCTGTGATGATGGTAGTGCTATCAAGTGCATGAACTGAGCATACATTGGATTCGTGCCCGAATAGATAGTAAGCAGGAGACTCGCCTTGGATTTCCTGAAGAATACCTGAACAATCTTGTCCTCCAGAGAAAAGAAATCCTAAATTTATTAGCAATCTTATCTTCCTTAGCAATATATCCGAACCTTTTGTTTTAGAATCACTTGGGGGGACATAGCATATGGAATTGACGAATCCCTCGTGAAACTCATAGAATTGAGGGATCCAATTCTCACCATTTTTTTTCCATATACCATATTTTCCGTCTCTTGAAGCGGACCCTATTAATTCATCTGAGACTGAACATACTCCTCGAACCTGAACTTGTTAGCAATCATACATTCTGTACTTTCATCACTTGCATCGTTGTCCTTACATCTTGATCATGTCCTAGTAGTTCTTTTGAAAGAAAGTAGGAAACCATACTTTTGTCTTTCTAATTAATCGCTTTGAATGCTGTTAAATTCAAGATGACTTCCTTCGTAATCCAATGTCCCAAGTGACGCTGTATGTTCCCTTGTCTTCGTTACTTGTTTGGTAGTAGTATGATAGTACGTTGAAAATGAAATTGACAAAATTAAGAGTTAAAGAAAAAGAATACAGTGTAAATATTCCATACTACACCTCTTATTATGTATGTTATATGTCGATAAGTTAATTTATTAAGTAGATGGTAAAAACAGCGACTATTATCAGAAGAGAAGGTGTCTATACTTAAGCAAAAAGTTGATTTTCTTTTTTTGCTAAAGTTGGGGAAGGGAAAAATTGAGAATTATCGGCCGTTTCTTAAAGTTATCGGCAAGGACTTTTTGTGGCATGCGTACAACGATGTTTTAATTTGAAGGTGAAGATTCATCACGGTGTCTATGATGACTACGCCGGTGATGTCGATGCCTTTCCGAGCGGTGATGCCGTGAACGATCACTATGCGAACGAGAAGAGCGATGCTTATCATCCAACTTTCTCCGCTTTTCATTTTTGATGTAGTCGTGCATTGGATCCAACAAATCCTTTTCGTCTAACGGCTCAGCAGGCTCTTCAGGAACAGATGACCGTTCAGTTAAATCTTGATGAACCTGAGGAACTGAAGGTGGATATAAGTCGTCTAGATTTGGATTGCTTGCCTCAAAAGGTATGGATTCATCTTGTGATTCTTTTTTCGGCACTCGATAACTAGCAACATGGTCGACTCGAACTAGTCGATCCAGCAACTTCACATTTGTCATGTTATCAACCGCCAAAATCGTTGAGCGCTGATCAGCATACTTTAAAAAACAATATCCCTTTGATTTTTTGGTTTCTTTATCGCGAACCAAATTTATGTCCGTAGGTTCACCAAACTCTGAAAAAACGTTCAGTATATCCTCTTCATTTAAGTCATAATCCAAATTTCCGATATAAATGTAGGCACTGTCTTTGTAATCCAGATGCCATGAACTGCTTAATGGTTTATCCATTTCCAGCTCATTTAAGCGTTCAATTTGTCGAATGGAACTAAAAAGTTAATATCAAAACCTTCTGTAAAGTGATTTTTTCATAATAGAATCGATTGCAATTGTTGGAATTCCATACAATATCAAGCATTCCTTGCAACCACAATTAAGCACCTAAGCAACAAACGTACTTCATTTTTCGTTTTTTATTGTAAGTTTTTGTCTATTCAAGGAACATAAAATAAAATAACATGAATAATTTCAGCAAATTTTAAGTAATGAGATTCGCTTTATGAATATGTGGTTTATCGTACTTGTAGCAAGGAAAGTCCGGGGAACAGGTTCTTGAGCAGACTAAATGGCAGGATGAAATTCTTGGTTCTGAAGGAATGAAGAAAGTATACGAGAATGTGTTTGAATAAGTGGATGACCAGCGACACTAAATATAGTATTTGTTAGTAGACTATCTATTAAACGCTTTATCCAAAACTTACGCTCTTAAAAATATCTCGAGGCCCTGTCTGCGTTCCTCTATTACATCTTCACGGAAGCGATTTGTAAAGACTTTTCCTGGCAAGGGAGGTATGGACACACGTCCAATCTCATGTTCTAGCATGTCGCGAAACTTTTCAAATTCACTATAACGACGACGAACACTGGAATATCTCAAGCGAAAGTACGGCATATTTGTCTAATTTCATTAATAAGATGAAAAACCAATGATTATGAAATTCACAAGAACTTACCCGACACTGAATTTCAAAGGTAGTAAACATGCCTCTTCCAATACCATGGTTTTGAGGGTTTACAACCTAGTAGGAAAGAAAGATTAGTTGAATTCATCAAGTATCATACAATGGCGTACTTCAATCTCCAAAATGTTTTCCGGAACACCATACATCTGCTGGGTCGTCTGTTGACGAATTTCAGGTCTACGCAGCTTATCCATTTACAAATTCTTATTTTACAAATGTAATACCTGAATATAGCAATAGGAATGTGTTTCGATGCTTGAATTCAGATTATAAAACCTCTGTAGAGTTTAGGAGAAGGCAACTGTTGCTTGGGCAAAGAAATAACAAACAAAGCCAATTCCTAAACCCCTTATCTTCCTTCTATTCTGAACAGAAATTACATAAAAATTTGAAACAAAAGAGACATGTGTAATTGCTATTTAGGACAAGCTGTTCTGTTGCTCCATCTCAAAATATTCGACGATTTATTGCTACATTCTTGTTACTACAATTGTTTCTTTATGAAATGGTCTTTAACATTCTGCGAATCTTCTATTTTGATATTATTTCTACAGACTCTTTCATTCACAAAACACAGGATAATATAAAGACACCGCCTGACACAAGGCCATTGCATTATTTGTTAGACATATTTATTTAGAGAAATAAATGGAATCCTGTTTTAAATAGAATTACTTAGTTCTAATTCTCACAACGGATTCAAAAGAGGAATTTCATATATTGGAAATTTAGAAGAATGTATCCAGAGTAACCAAATTAAGTTATCCAAAGCAAAATGAGCTATTCTTAATTTATTACTTCCAATTTTTTATTTTTATTTTTATTTTTTAATTCTACAATATGAAATAGGAAAACAAACGAAAAGCCAATTATCTAAATTTCGCATACTTTCTCTTCGAGATGTTTATATGCTTATATAGCGAAGCTACTAAGAATATGCTTATGTGACCAAAATCTTACAAGCAAGCCACTTTTTGAGACATTTAATAATATCCTACTACCACAACGCACTGCATGAAGCATGGACAATGACGGCTATACGGACAAGAATTACGGTTTCTGGAAAGGAAAAGAAGGCATTACGGGCCTTTTATTATAATCAAGAGAAAAAACCTACCCAAATCGAAGTTGCGGATTGGTTCAAAAGTGAATTTGGAAAACCAATTGCTCAGTCAACCTTATCTAGAATTCTTTCGGACAGGTTTGCGTATTTGGACGATACTGATCAAAATTTGCATGCAAAAAGAAATCGATCGCCAAAATATCCGGCGCTCGAGAAGGCGCTTTATAACTGGATTCAGGATGCTCATTTTACAAGGACGAAAGCCACAAATGACATACTAAAAGCAGCGGCGACGAAGCTCTGGGGTACAATTCCCGAATATAGAGAAGCTTCAATGCCTGAATTCAGTAATGGCTGGGTTGAAGGCTTTCGAAGACGGTACCTGGAGCGAGCGGACGAGCCTTCTCGGGGTGAATATTTTATCGACGTTGAGCATCTTGGCGACAGCATGGTGCGAATTCAAGATGTTGCGAGTTTTTTTCCCAAAGAAAACATATTTAACGTGGATGAAACTGGTTTGTTTTGGAAACTATTACCGAACCAAACCCCTTCTATCGAAAACTGCGGGCATACAAAACGTTACAAGGCCAAGATAAGCATTGTAATGTGTGCAAATTCGACTGGAAGTGAGAAACTTCCTTTGTGGGTGATAGGGTATGCGAAACGACCAAGAGCTTTTCATTCAACTGGTACTTATCCTGAAAACATTGGTATACATTGGTGCAGTTCTGGGAAAGCGTCTATGACACTTACCATTATGAAGAAATGGCTCCGTTGGTTTGATGCCAATATGGAAGGTCGAAAAGTATTGTTAGTTCTCGATAATTCTGACGTACACCGACTTGCAGTTGAAAGCATTCGTTGTTCTAGTCATGCATTCCAAAATACCACAATAATTTTTCTTCCTTCCAACTCAACCAATGTATATCAGCCCTTTGAATTGGGAGTTTTCAACGCGTTTAAGATTTTATATAGGTTGCAGTGGACTCGATATTGGAAAACACTTTTGTCCAATGGACAGTCCCCACAAACTAAAACAAATCTTCTTTTGGCGATAAAATGGGTCGCCTCTTCATGGAACATCTCACTGTCCGAATCTATAATTGATCGTGCTTTTCGCCGATCGGGAGTGTTAAATATAATTGATGACAGTGAAGCTGCATTACAGGTACCTTTCATGTCAAACGAAGTGAAAGAAATTATTGATTTGATTCAAGAAGTATTGGGGAAAGCAGAAGTAAAGTTAGAAAGTTATTTGAGTCCGTTTGAAGAAAGCTTGGAGGACAATGCGAAAAATTTACAGGATAACGAGATTGCCGCAGATTTTACGAACGATAAAGAGTTTGAAACAGATGAAGAAGAGCAAAGCTATCCCCCTATGCCTCATGAAAAAGCGTTACAAGCGATTCAATTGCTTCTTCAATATGAGGCTCAACGACCGAATAACGATAACACAAATTATCCTCAGATTGAAAGGCATTTATCAATAATTCAAAACCGACTACAAGAAAAAAAATAGTCTCAAAAGGCAAAGATGGATTAAGTAAATCTCTCGTGATGTATTATTAATGTTTCCCCTTCAATTGATGACTGGGCTTAGGAACAAGGTGCTGAAGTTTTCGCTCTTTTTTCATTCATGTTCTGTTGAAGTCTATTGTATATATTTAAGAGAATTAGTGAATTTAAGATATTCAATATATGATTATGCTAAGTATAGTATTTTTATAAATCGCACAAGGCTTTGATCGACGCTGCTATTGATGCTTATGTAGGCTTACGTGCTTCTTAATTTTAGTCAACATACAATCGTTTCATACTTCTATAAGTTTTCACTTTCAATTATAAATCTCAACAAATTGCTTGTTTACTAGCGAGTTCTAGTGACGCGTTATCCAGGGAACCATCAAGAACAGACTTGGGTTTATTCTTTCATTTACAACAATGATCGGTTTGAAGGGTATTCTAAAAGTAATTGACAATTCGGTAATAAGTTTTTGAATTTATGTGTCACAGAATATTAATGTTTAAAACAGGGAGCAACTTTTGCTGAATGTATTCGCGTTGTACGTGCTGGACAGTTCGCATCAGTCGGTATGTTAACCTTGCAAGTATCAAAAGTTAACCCATATATGTACAGGAGATGAAGTTGTTGTTGTCGTAAAAAAGTCACGAACTGGTCCCAATATCGCTACTGCAAACAAAGTAAAACGAGGTGATATTCACCATGCCGTTGTCGTTCGCACCAAATTTCCACTTCGACGTGCTGATGGACGTTATGTTCGCTTTGATGATAATGCTTGTGTCCTCGTAAATAAGGACCGTGAGCCCATTGGTACTCGTATCTTGAGTGTTGTTGCCAATGAGTTGCGTATGAAGAACCATACGAAGTTAGCTTCTTTGGCACCCAGAACTGTTTGAAATACTTAAAAGCGACCCAAAAAATCCTACTCTTAACTCATTATCTCGAAGGCTCGTATAACTTGCTGCTTTTCCAAAGGTCCATTTATGGCCATACTGTGTCCCCTAGTCTTAGAAAACGACCAATAAGCCCAAATCCTTTTGAATACCGCTACCACCACATATTTCAACAAAAGAACAGTTTGTTTGTAAAAGTTCAACTAAAAGTTATTTATTTTTTTTTGTTCTAGTCAGTACAAACTGGTGGTGAACTGTGATTTGAAAAATTTACTATCTTTTCTGTACTATGGATTTATTCGCCATTGATTTGGATTTCGAACCATCCGAGGCAAAAACTGAGAGAGAGAAAAGATTAGAAGCGAAAGTTACTTTCGACGCAAAAGATTATACGCCTAGAATACAAGATTTTGGTGTATGTATATTGAGTCAAGCATTTTCGGTAAACTTCGATTACTAACTCAGTGCAGCACTTGAGCAAAGATGGTGTTGTTTTAGGTGATCCCGTCTATATCCAGGAACAATCCAAGTTCGCTGCTGAAGAACAGTATTACCTCTGCAATTATCAGCTTGCAAAGACCTTTGCTTTACAGGCTATGCAAAAACCAACTGACACCTCACTTGAGTACCACCGGTTAACTGGAGGTGAAGTCCATGAGTTGGAAGATATTGTTCGTCGTTGCGATATAAAGCTTCATAACTGCTGAAGTTTATACCGGAAGGAAGAAAAATTGATTTGGGCTGTCGGGACACATGTATATAAGTTTGGGATTTTTTGCATTCTTTGATGATTATTTTGAATATCTTCTTGTAATTTTAGATGAAAAATTAATACAATATCTATTGTGGTAAATCTTCGTTATCTAAATTAGTAACTATTTTTAAATTTATAAAAGATATAGAATAAATAGCTCATCATGTAAAATTATATCTCATAACTCCATTCCAACTCTTTCTCTCTCTCTCTCTCTCTCTCATGCTTAATAAATAGATATAATCGTTCATCGTTGTAAAGCTTCCAAGTCTCCATCTGTAAAGTAATCTGTTCTATGTCCACCGTTTGGATTCACAGACGGCGACATAATCAAAGGAGTAATCGATTGAGCAGCTGAACCTAAGGCTGCAGATAAAGGCGTAGCGGGTACTCTCATGATTGGAGACAACGCTGCCATTGCTGCTACCGATGCGGAAGCAGATTCTGCTCCATGGTTTGAGTGATGCGAAGAAGATGATATTAGAATAGTCAAATCCTTAGTGGACCTGGTGACAGCGGAAAGACCCGAAATAATATTTTTTTGAAATGTATACTCGCTTGACACTGTTTTGGCTAAATTGGCGACTGCTATAATTGATTTCACGAACATCTGTGTATCGTCCAACAATCTTTGCCATTCATTTTCATCGTTTACGTTCTCCTGATATGCTTTGGAGTGACCTTTAAGTTTTTTGGTAACTTCACCCGCGGAACTTGACAGCATCGAAAGCTCTTTTAATTTAGCAACAGTGTTAGATCCAAGATTTTCATTATTAACATCCGAGGATAAAGTATTCTTTTCGATGGAATCAACTAATAGACATAAAACTGATGTAGCACTGCTTGTTGCTAATTCAATTTGTTCCTGTAGTTGCTTTGTAAAATCGGAGTTCAATGTCGTAGTAGGCTTTTCCAGGTTAAACCGGCTACTGGTAGCAGACATTGGAGGAATGTTTCTAGCAGGATTCGTAGGAGACTGCTTGAGAGGATCTTGAGAATTAAGCTGCTGATAGGAATTCTGAAGCTCTTTGGTAGCTCCGAACAGTACTAACAAAAATAACCTTGTATATCGTACATCCGAAAAATTTACAAAATCGTTGGAAAACTTTTTGGTAACGTCAATTAATTTACGAAAAGATCCAATACAAGCAAGACAAGCATGAATGACCGGAGTAGGATTATATACAGCATCGCTCATAAATGTGATTTCTTCAAAACTTCGAATTAACCGCTTGATATGTGTGTTTGTGGTAAAGCTAACGTGGCGCATGGTATCAAGGATAGTCGGATTGTTACAGAAAAGCATTTGTTGACGAATGCTTTGTTGAACTTGGGATAGGGCAAAAAGAATTCCACGAAAAGGCTCTAGAACTTTTTCTGAATAAGACGGTCGGGTAATAGGTTCTCGAGCAAGAGCCCTTGTACTAAAATAGGCAGTAACATTCTCTGTACCCTCCTGAAATTCCTCTTTTTTGAAACGATTTATTCCAGGTAATGGTGAATCGTGAGATAAGTTTCTGGTGAGTGGATGATCAGTAAAATTTCGATGTTCTTTCAATCCTTCGACCCTTTGCATTACTGAAGAAGGCAATCTAGCATTATACAGTTCATCATTAATACTATTACTGCGAATCCTTTCTTTTGTTTTTCTCTCTGGTGAGCCAGTCGGTGTAGATTGACTGAGTGGGGCTGAATGGTTAGGAACGTTTCTCAATGTAGAGGTAGAACTACCAAAATCTTTAGGAGATTCAATTGTTGGAGTTTTTTGTCCAGATTCATCGATGAAATTGGAATTGTGAGGGGAACGAGGGATCTGGTCATTTAGCATAGGAACCGGTTTACTAAGTGAAGATGAATTTAGACCTGTCGCAAGAGAAACAGAGCGTTTGGGACGAGCTTGAATTCTACCCCCTTCTAGTCTATTGTTTAGAAATGGTGACATGGGTGATAGGTTTTGTTCACTTCCGGTAGTCGTAGAAAGAAATTCATTGTTGCTAGGATGGATAGAATGAGGTACGTACTGATCTTTAGTATTGTGCCTAGGATTGGGAATTGCTCTTGGAAAATTATGGGAAGGGTTAAACAAAGACTCAGTTGAATTTAAATGATGAGACGAAAGGGACGAATGGCGATGGTCAGCGGTAGCAGTAGTCAATGAACGAGTCATAGGGGCAGATGATAACCCAGATGTATCGGGATCATCAGAATAGTAATGATTAGCCACTAAATTGGGAGAAGACCTGTTGTGTGGAAAATCATGATGTTGACTTCGTAGCAAGGACTCATTTCTAAGAAGGTAACCTTTGATATTTGCAATAAACATCGGCATGTCATGTTCTTGAAGCTCATTACTGACGATGTGTGGAGGAGGATATATGATATGATTGTTTTCCAATTTCAAGATTTCCAAATTTGGCATATAAGAGAAATACGAGGGCAATTCTATCAACCGATTTTTAGAAATTGATAGCACTCTAATATTCATAAGAGCGCCAAACGACTGAGGCAGCTCTCGAATTTTGTTTCTGGATATATCTAAAATTTCGAGAGATTCAAGTCGACAAAGTACCTCAGGAAATTCGCGAAATGCATTTGACCTTATATTTAAGTAACGTAATCTCGTGAAGTTTAGTATTTCTGGACCGATGGTTCTTAGAAAATTGTGGCCTAACGCAAGACGAGAAATTCGGTCTTGAATCCTTTCTAGCTGTGCATACGGCACATCTCGTAAACTCAGGTGCGATAAATCTAATGTTAAAGCATTTTCAGGACCTGCTTCCTCGGCTTCCCGTATGATTTTATCTATCTCCAAATTGACCATTGAAAAAGATCTATCGCTTTGGCTAGACATTCCGAACAAGCCGCTTTATGAAAGCTAATACAATTACCCTTCTCGGAAATAGTTTAATCAACAACAATGTTGCAGGGAAAAAAGAGAGCAAGCAATTGCGCTTTAGACAAGAAAGAGACAATGTAAAAGATCACAGCATTTATTGAGCCCAAAGTGAAGGTTTTAACTGAAAAAATATGACATGCACGCGCGAAACCAAACTGTTTAAGCAGGAAATCCTTCCTTTATGATCCTTTGCATGAATGAAGAGAGTAAACTGGAAAGCAGAACAGGAAATTTAGGGAGTTGGAACGTTCTGTCTAAAGCAGGTTCATATTGTAATATTTTACAACAAATTTTGAAAATATTACTCTATTAAAGATATAAACGAGGATTACTATTTGAATCGACAATCCATCCTATGTATAATATACTTTATATAGAATTAGGAAAGAATGATTGAAATTGAATGAATAATCCAAAGCAATTTCGCATCAGCAACTCCAAGGGTGCATGTTCGCCAAGTACGATATGTGCTATGATGGTATTTATCACCAATCTGCTAGAATTCTCGTCTTCTCTAAGAAATAAGAAAAAAAGAATGTCCCAGAATTTTCACAAATTACAGTCTGTTGTCGCTCTAATTATGTTTTTAGATGTGTTTTCTTGTCGCAGCGAAAAAATGAATCATTTGTAGAATGGTATAACGCAAGCAAGAGTGCTCATGTTTTTTGAATGTTTTCTTTTTTTAAAACGCTTAAAAGAAATACTTTCTTTTTCCGTTTTGCTTTTCCTATTTCTATTTCCTGAAATTAAAGGACTTTGTTTACAATGAAACTATTCCATCTTGAACGATTTTGTCATTGTTCATAATATTACATTAACTTTATATAATACCAAAGAGGGAGGATAACAAGAAGGAAGAAGCTTTTTACAGACACGTTTCATTCATCTTCTTGTATCATATCCCGATTCTTACCGGAAAGTACATAGAATAAAAGAAAACAAAAGCCATTATTCTATGTAGAGGGTTTTTGTCGTACTGGAGAACGTAGAAATGGAGCAAACGGAAGGTACGCAGTCGAATACGACGGTTCAAGAACAGCGCCAAGAGATTGAGCGATTAAAGCAATTGACTGGTGCTGAAGAAGTAAAAGTTGAAGGATCTTTAGCAAATAAACGAAAACGTGGTCAGCTTTACGACAATTCTGAAATCACCAAAGACTATATTGAGTATGATTTTTCCAAAATAGAAGACACCAAGGGTGGTTATCTAGTGGAAGAAACAAAAAACACAACTGACCTTCGTGAAAAACCAGCGGAGCGAGAACTTCGTGAACAACAAGAACGACAGAAAGCCCTACGACAAAAACCTTTAAACTTGGACCCTGAAACAGCACCCAAATGTGAAGACTGTGGATCTATTGAGCTAGATCTTCGATACCTAGATGTATTTAAGTGTAAAGTGTGTCATAGTTGTCGTGAAAAAATTCCAGACAAATATTCATTGCTTACGAAAACCGAGTGCAAACAGGATTATTTATTAACGGATCCCGAATTAAGAGATGCAGAAGTATTACCACATTTGTTGAAGGCGAATCCCCACCAACAAGGATGGTCAAATATGATGCTTTATCTTCGCTTTCAGGTAGAAAAGTTTGCTATTAATAAATGGGGTTCTTTAGAAGAATTGGATAAGGAATTCGAGCGAAGGGAAAGTCAAAAACAAGAACAGAAAAATAAAAAGTTTGAAAAGCAACTACTCGAGCTTCGAAAGAAAACAAAGACAAGCAACTATAGTAGAATGAGCATCCGTGAAAAGAAAAAACATAAACATTCATACGACGAAGTCTTTGAAAGACCAGATCAGCCAGGGATTATTGTTCAGCGATGTAAATGTGGCCTCGAAATAGAACAGCTGGAAATTTGATTGAAACTTTCCCTTACAATAATAATATAATTGAAATTGGGAACAGTTATGACAAGGATGGAACTGTTGAAAAATTAATTATTTATTTTGTTGGATGGAATTGCCTAGCATGGATTCGATAATGATTACCCAGAAAGACGGATTCCCAGTTGGCATGAGGAACAATCCTATCGATCAATCCGTTTGAAATTCATGGAAATGAAGAAATATTCATTTCATGGATATGTAATTGGGCTCTTTATACAGGACGCAACGAAAATCGCTTAACTTAAGTAATATCGTCAAGATGGATATGGATAAACAATGTGTACTAAAGGTACAGCAAAAAAAAGGTAAAGAGATTTCAGAGAAGAATTCTTACATAATTATTAATTTTTGAAGTTGTTCCTGCGAATAAATTACCAAATTCATTCACAATATGAATGTGGTGCGCATAGAATAACCCACCTTGACCAAAGATGGGATTTTGTTCTTTTTATTTAAGCCTAAAAATGACTAATAAATAACTAATAAATAGAAAATATAGACAGATGACTTTAAATCAATTGCTTGGAAGGCCTTACTGGCCTCTGGACTTAATCTTTGTTACAAGGAATACCACAACCTTTCTTGTTTCTTAATAATGTAAATTAAAGAGGTTTTTCTTTCTCGTATATTTTTCTTCATTTCCTTTGTAAACAGACATTTTCCTGTACCTACTACATGTCAATGAATTGGTTCACTTCGTCACCCAAACTTGCAATCCTTGACACGTAGTTTTTAACATTGAGAGAAGACGGAAGTAGCTTATTTTGTTTCGGGAATTTATTAGGGTATTTCATTTAATATTTCTTTCCTGTGATTAGATGTGTTTTGAGGATTTATGGAATTTGCAGAACCTTACGCGTTAGACTCCTAAAATACGTGTTGACGTTGAAAAGCAAAATAAGTTGACTCATAATTTACCTAAATCTGTAAATAAATATAGAATTAATTCATTATGGGAAAAAGGAAACCAAGCAGTAACGTTCAGGATGGATTGCAAAGAAGTTTCTCAGAATCCAAAGTTTGGGACTTTCTAGACGCGACCGTGGATCGACATTTTAAAGAAAGACGGCCATCAATGGATGTTAAAGTCACTAAGCAATTGCATAAAAGAAAGAAAGAAAATTATGATATTTCCCAAAGAGGTGACAATTCCGAAACCAAATATATCTCCGTACCAGATTTACAGGACGGTGTACGGATTTCACAGTATCCTAAATCATCTAATGGATTAAATAGGTCCCATAGTCTGAATACTACGGGGACGGACTCTGGAAATTCTGCTATGAGTATTACTTATCGAGAGCAGCGTTCGTATGTCGCCGAGACTAACAATACTGGAGAAAATGATATACTACCAATAGATTACCATAACGCTTCAACGGATATTGATGAGTCCGAGGATGAAAACACCCAAATGAAAAGCATTCACGAACTTCGGTTCGCAGGTGAGAAACAAAGAACTATGGATGAAATAGAATATTTAATAGATGGAATATCATCAAAAACGAACTCTGCAAACTCAAGATATAACAGCTTTTTGGAGATTTGTGAAAAAGTATATGACCGTATGTTCCGAATTTGTCTAAAATCTTCGCAAGACTTCCAGCAGCGCATCTTCTCAGAAATTTTTCTTGAAGATAAGTTACAGACGATTTCACAAACATATATCTTTTCTTCGATGGCAGACGAAAATGACTTTTCTCAGTCTCTCTTGGAAAACTGTTCTGATGACATATATAATTTATTCCATTCAGCCATTACTGAACGAGATCAACGACCGATACAATCCCTTATTCAAGCTTATTCTAAAACCGTTCAATCCTCATTTCGGGGACTATTCAATCATCCCTCTCCGCTAACAAAAGAATATAGTAATGAGACTTTATCCACTTGTAATCTATTATCTTTAATAGGTATCGCATTAATGAAGGCTTATGATGGTCCTTTTGGCAGCCATGATCTCTTTCTAAGATTAATGAAGCTAGAAATTGAACATGCCGTACCATTTCTTTTGAAAGATGGGATCAAGCAAACATTTCTTTTGTTTTCTCTCACATCTACCCTTGATAAAGCAGAGAATTTTACCTGGGATGATGGTGTTTTAAAGAAACTTTGTGATCTGTTATCCTTTCTTCTAAAATCAACACTCAAAGACAATGGAATATTGAAAGATAGGGGTTCAGGTGATTCTCCTTGTTTTTTAATTATTTCTTCTTGCGAAAAATTAGTTCGAACCTTGATACGTTCTGTCAATTCAGACAGCTCTTCAGTTTCCACGCTTTGTAATTCTGAGCTTCCGAAACAACTGTTTGAGGTATTAAATGACAGGAATTTTTTTAAAAATAAGTCCAACATGGAACTTCTTATGATGAGCTTAGGTCTTCTACTAGAAATTAGTGAAGAATCCAAAGTGTTTGTCATGAATCTTCCGACAAAGCAAGGTAATACGAATAATTGAGTATTTCATCCTTATTAACTACTTAACTAGTGAGCACGTCTAAAACCATGTTAGACGTTCTGCTTCAATTTTACAAAGAACAGGTAAGCCAAAGTTAACGATGTTACACGGCCATGAAATTCTAATATCTCAAATCTTTTAGAAGTCTAAAGTTGAATTAAGTGGATATGCTGCTATGATATTAATTCATTGTATCATCACTGATTCACAGACGTTTGAACAAATCATACCCATGGCACCTCAGCTAAAAGCGACTCTTATTGAATTTAAGAATTTTCACATTAGTTTAAAAGAAGAATTAATGTTATTTGGTGCGCAAGGTCTTGCTATAGTTTCTATAGTTGACGATACTTTAGACTCACTTGAGAAGACCTTAAGGTGACGGACGCCTAGGATCTCAGACCTAACCTTTACGTCTTTCGCCTCGAGTTTATTCAATTTCTCGCACGTCGCATTAATTTCAGTCTTATTTCGTGAAATTTTTATATAAACTTTCCGATTATTTTTCTGATTTACTATGGCTCCTGTGAAATCAAGAAGAATTGCCGTGTTGGGAAGTCGTTCAGTTGGTAAATCAAGGTAAGTATTTGTTTTCGTTGAGTATATATACGTATATGCATAGGAGTATTTGTTTTAAATGTTAACGTTGAAAAAGCCTTACTGTGCAATATGTTGAAAACCATTTCGTCGAATCATACTATCCAACTATCGAAAATACGTTCAGTAAAAATATAAAGTACAAGGGCCAAGAATTTGCTACTGAAATAATTGACACTGCTGGACAAGATGAATATAGCATCTTAAACTCAAAGCACTCGATTGGAATCCATGGTTATGTTCTTGTCTATAGCATAACTAGCAAGTCTTCTTTTGAAATGGTCAAGATCGTTCGCGATAAAATTTTAAATCACACGGTACGATTCTCCTATAAATTCATAAGATAATATCAAGTTGCTAATTATATGTTGAACTAGGGCACAGAGTGGGTCCCTATCGTGGTTGTCGGTAACAAAAGCGATTTACACATGCAACGTACCGTTTCCGCTGAAGAAGGAAAACAATTAGCTAACGAATGGAAATGCGCTTGGACGGAAGCCTCTGCTCGTCATAATGAAAATGTTGCTCGTGCTTTTGAGCTTATAATTAGTGAAATTGAAAAGCAAGCCAACCCTTCTCCTCCTGGCGATGGAAAAGGTTGTGTTATTGCTTAATGTTGAACACAGTTTCTCTTGTATGAAGTTGATAACGATTCTATACTTAATACCTCTAGCATGTTAGTTAACCTTGGCGGTACCTATTTACTGTCGTTGAATTCATTATTACTTATATTTTCTTTTTTTTTTCATCACACCGATTCTATAATAGATACTAGTAAAGAAATAGTATAATGTCGTTCATTTCATTCCTTTCCTCTAGACATATGGGTACCTAAGTATCCTTTCTGAGCCTAAAACTCAAAATATCATTTTTACCAGCAACGATAGGATCCGATTCACCAACGTTTCCATTGATTCCAATAATAGACATGGCTTCACCTCCTAAAACTATTTGCGCTACTTGCCCAGCAGTAGTTCCCTGTCTTACCAAAACACAATCCCTAAAGACACCATCGTTAGAATTATTAGCAAAATTATGAATATTTTTAACGGGATAAACAGGGACCAACTCTAATAGCTCAATGGCTCTTGCCAAAACGTTACAGACACCAGTTGATCCATGTCGAAACAAGACCATGTCTTGAATGTCTGTGATTTTCGCACGAAGACTTTCACTCAAGGGTTTCAACCCAGAATCAGGAAACTCATCAATCGTATCAACAAATTCTGAGCCCTCCTCGTAGTTTACAAACCCCTGTTTTGCCAGCCTTCTTAAAAATACTTCTGAAACAGCAGAAGCCAGGACGAGTCGATTCGCATCCTCTCGTCTTGCAATTTTCGAAATATTGGCATCTGAGTCAGGGTGATCAATCTTATTCAAAGCAATTACGGTCGGAAATTTGATATCAACGAAGCGACTGACAATACGATCTAATGTTGCTTCGTCCCAACTTTCTAAAGGAGTATTCAAATGTAGAGAATCCAATACTTTCGCTGTCGTAGCTGGATTACTTCCGTAACCCGAAAACTGATTTTGCAAGGTATGAACAGGGTTGGCTTTTGAGGCTATATGACGACGACGAGTATTTGGCCATTTTTCCTTAAGATTCGTGCCAATCCAAGCCGTCATTTCATTGTACAACCATTCAATGTCTACGGAAGGATCGTATCCGCGACAAGCCTTACCTTCTGCATCAGTTGTTCCTGAAACATCCACAACATGTACCAATGCATTCGCATGTCTTAAATCATCCAAAAACTTATTTCCCAATCCTTTTCCGGTATGTGCACCAGGAATTAATCCAGCAACATCCAACAGTTGAATGGGAATTGCACGTTTGCCATTTTTACAACCTCCATAAATAGGTCTACATTGACCTTCTAATCCAAAACGAGAGCAAGCACAATCTACCTGGGCATATCCGATGGCACGGTTTGGCTCTATAGTTGTGAAAGGGAAGTTTCCTGTTTTTGCAGTGGCATCAGTTAATGCATTCAACATTGTTGATTTTCCACTTGATGGTTTACCGACAAACCCAATTAAAATATCTCTTCCCATTTTTTCAACAAGTCAGAAAGAATTATCTAACTTAATTTTTGAGTATTTTAGGGATTTATGGCCCTGGTTCGATTTTCACCCTTTATGCAGTAGTAAAAAGAAATTACTTACGGGCCAACTATAGCATAATATAGTGGTTATGTAGATTGAGCATGTAAGATTAAGTTACTTTTATTTAAAAAGAAAAATAATAGTTAGTAAATAAAAATTTCGCGAATGACCGTTTCATTTCTATTTCTTGAAAAAGACCGAAGCAGATTTTTTTTAGCAAGGCTACTAAAATTAAACATAACAAAAGCAACAAAAACAAATACAAGACATGGTGACGCAAACAAGTAAAATGAGCACAACACTTGAAGAAACGCAATTGCCTACATTAATTTAACAATTGTAAGCGCTATGAAATGCTCATGGTACGCTCAGTCTATAACAATGTCGATCTAAAGAAACAAAGAAATGAGGAAGCACACGGCAAAACACGTGAACAGAATTGAGAAAAGATACAGAATTTCGAGACGCGATTTGAGGCGAACAGTGGTATTCAGTTTTCTAGGGCCAGGGAAACCTCCAGTATGTTTGAAATCTTCTATAAGTTGATCTTTTTCATACCACCGTTGGTATAGCCATTTAGTAAAAAGTTTTTCATCCGTAGGGATGTCGGAGATACGAAATCGACGAACATGGACATGCATGCGACGAAGGCGAGCACCTTCGAAGAATAACTGCTTAAGAGAAAATACCTCTGCAGCATATTTCTTAGGAGAATGATCGGTAAAAACGAATGTGAAATCATATAAGTAAGTCATAGAACCTCGTAATTGACTGAGACTGTAAAACAAGCCCCGAACACGAGGAAGCATTAGATTCTTGGGCATGGCAACACCTGTTTTATCAGCATAAAGCTTACTACGTTCATAGGTATTTTGAACCAGGTTAGTTCCTTCTGGAAACATCAATAAGCTGGCGGGTTCAGGAACGTTGTTAATAAACCTAAATTCACGTTCCATTGTAGCAGCATCCCTATCCCATTTTCGGGAAAGGAAAATAAATCTGTACAACTGCATACCCCAACCCAGAATAGGGATCCATTTTAAAGAATCTTTCAAGACGATATAAATAAAGCTATGCTGTTTTGCAGTGTATGCTAACCACCAAATGTACATCCAATCCGTATAAAGTTGATGGTTTGCTATCACAATATTGCGCTCGGAGGCTATTGTTTCTAAACAACCATTTCGATCGAGATAAAAAAGGTTGCGTAGCTCAGGGTCATATGTCAGGGTCACTGGAGTAGGGCTAAAAGACTGAACGAGGAAAACAAACAGAATACCAGCGAAACTTTTCGTGAAAGATATATACTTGTTGTATAGCGTTTTGTTGATCAAAACAAGAGGAGTTCCAAGGACCTCTGAGGTACAAATAGTGACCGTACCAACAATCAAGCAGGAGATGAATAGATATTTTCTGACAGAAGTTTTTAACGTCATTTAGGATGTAATTCGATTGTCAACAAAAGGATCGATTGATTAGTGTCCTCGGATTCAACTAGAGTTTAAAGACACAATTCTTTTTTTTGGTAACGAAGGAACAACGAAAACCCCGACCAAGTAGGTATTTGAGAATTAGTAAACTACAGCTGCCAGGAAGTAAACGGTTATCGCAACGTAATGATTCAGTGTAGAGCTTCAATATTACCAAATTCAACAGCCTTTAGTAGTAATTCTTTTCGAGAAGACGACTATGAATAAATTTATCTTTAAAGAACGATTCTTGAAGAAAAAATGGTAAATGAAGTGGGAAAACGTCAATCTTCGAATAGAGATGATTACAGTGCTGCGAGTGATAAATCAGTGCTTCTGGATGAATTAAGCTATAAAAAAAAGAAAAAAGAATTCAAATAGTTTTACTAACGTTCCTAAATTATCCAATTTCAGCAGGTTCTTGGATAACTCTAGCTGGCTGAGGTTAGAATGAACACGAGGATAAGGTGATTCATACGCAGATGCAAATACGATGCTTACTTCGCCCAAGATGAGGGTTGGTGTTGATTGAATTTAAACTTATGCCAATTCACTTTATATACAAACTGAGCTTAGGAATATATTTACATAGAAACTTACAAGTACTCTTTTGTTTACACGACACATTCTTCAAAGGCGCTTTTAAGATACCGCGAATTCTTATTATATTATCGTATAGAGTTGCTTATAAGTAGACTGTAGAACCACATCTTTTCGAAACATAAAGTAGATTCAGTATTATGTTTGGATTTAGTAATAATACTGCAGCAAAAACGTTTCGTATTCGCAAACCAGAGACTGGCACCAAGCATTATCAGCTGCGTCAGTATGCAGAAGCGACTTTGGGATCTGGGTCCTTAATGGAAGCAGTGAAGCTGCCAAAAGGAGAAGACGTAAATGAATGGATAGCGATGAATAGTAAGTTAAAATAAATTATCGGGAAGCATACAGCGATATTCGATATGGTATTGAGAGTGACTAGGCTAATGATTCAGCTATGGACTTTTATACACAAATCAACATGCTTTACGGAACAATTACAGAGTTTTGTACAGAGAAAACTTGTCCTCAGATGAACGCAGGGCCGAATTTTGAATACTATTGGCAAGACGAGAAAGTATACGTAAAACCAACGAAAATGAATGCGCCAGATTATATTAATACACTGCTGGAATGGGCACAAGAGAAGTTGGATAATAAGCGATTATTTCCAACCGAAATTGGTGTTGAATTCCCACGCGACTTTAAAAAAATGGTCCAGCAAATTTTTAGGCGACTTTTCCGAATCTACGCTCATATCTATTGCTCTCATTTTCATGTTATGGTCGCTTTGGAATTGGAAAGTTATTTAAATACTTCATTTAAACATTTTGTGTTTTTCTGTAAAGAATTCAAGTATGGATTGGTTTTCTGTCTCATTCACTAACTAAAATTAGTCTTTTGGATGGCAAGGAGTATGCCCCGATGGAAGATCTAGTGGAAAGCATGGTTTAGATGCATTTACTCTTGACGAACACAACTTTAAAACTTTCGACTCATCATGCCTTTTCCACCAGACATTCCCTACGTGTTACCACTCGTCTATCTCTATCTTTAAGACTTTTATGAACCAGCATCTGATTTTATGATACCATAGGTTTAAATTGTCATACTCTGATATCGTTTTCTATTGTTTCCTAACATACTTACATACATACTTGCTCTGCTATGCTCTTTGTTGACTAACGCACTGTCATGTCCCTCGGTATTTTCTTAACCTGCAGGTATTACAAACATATACAATTCAGTATGTTCTTTTTCTATGGTTAAAAAAACCCTTATTGTTCTACATATATTTAAGATTGTATCGTATTTCTACAAGTAAAGACAAAGCAACATGGCTGACCGTCGAAAAGCAACGATTCACATAGGTAAGTAGTACTATGATGCCATAAGAAGTTGTTCAACAATTTCTTTTTATATGAATAAAGATGTATACGATCTTTGTATTCATTGAGACCAAAGCTTGGCTGATTTGCTAATTCCTAAACGTTTAGGCAATCTTGCTCCAGGTGTGACAGAAAATGTTTTGTACAACGCCTTTATACCATTTGGTGAAATTATAACGGTTGCTCTGCATAATAAAGAAAAAGGTACGAAAGGGAAAGATGTATTCTCATTTCATAACTAATACATGTTAGCCGATCGCTCCTTTGCATTTTTAGAATTTGACAGTTCCGAGGATGCAAAAGAGGCTATAGCCAATATGAACTATTCCGTATTGTATGACCGTGTGATTCGAGTTTCACCAGCAAACTTCGCATTATCTACTGAAGAAACTCCCGTTCCTGATTCAGGTATAATTTTTCTCCTTTGTGGGTTTTAGCAATTTCATCGACTAACCATTTTACTAGCTATGATTACTTCTTCTGGTACACAGTCAACTGTCTAAAACTCTTAGATTCATTATATTCATTCCCTGAAGCTGATTATGTCAATATTTCTTCTGCTTTTTTGGTCAGCTTGAACAGGATAAGCACCAGTATATAGCCTTTACAGTCTGCACAATTCATATCAATAAATGTTTCTTAATATTTCTTCTTTAAACAAAATTATTCGCTTTACATATCTCATCTCTTCATTTTTCTTTCCTTATCCTCTTCTAAATCATACTTTAAGAACAAGTCTCGTATAAAATCCTAGTCCATATTGCGTACGGTTTCGCTACTACGGTATGTATAGGGTAGGGTTGTTTTTTGTGACTGCGCTTCCGAAATTATAAAAGGGCTGTCCTGAGCTTTACCGTTCCCCATCTTTGTGCACGGGTATTACGCTTATCAGTGAGGAACTTTTCCTAGATGGCGTTATTGCTAGTTGAAAACTATAACCCTGACCGCTCCAACTCGTCGTAAGACGTTTTGGGAATATTTGGAAACCAATTCTTTGCTATAATTTATTTGTCGAAGATGTGTAAATTTCGCAATGTTGGTTCCAACTATGTATGACTTATACGAAAAGCCTACTTGCTGGAAGTAGAAAGCTATCTTTTAACTATTATTTGTTTTACATTTTCTTTTCGTAAAACTGATTATTGTAAGACATAATAGTTTTATTAGCGATTTTTTTGTGTCTAGCTGAACTATGTTGATTTATTGATGTTTTGCAAAGTTGGATGTTGAAAGATAGAATGGATATGCCATAATGGGTGTAAAATTTTGTATGTAAGAAGAAACCTAAGAATGGTCTTGTTCTGGTGATGTTTCTTAGGAATTTAGTAGTTGTGCAAAGTCGGCAATAATATCCTCGATGTGTTGTATGCCCACAGAAATACGAATAAGGTCTTTTATGACACCAAGGCTCAGTTGTTCAAAATCGTTTAACTGCAAATGCGTGGTATAGGCAGGGTGTTATGACTAAAGTCTTGGCATCACCAACATTGGCAAGTTGATTAGCGAGTTGCAGAGAATCCACGACTTTGCGACTCTTGTCAGGTCCTCCTTTGGCTATAAAGCTAAAAACCGCACCAAAATCTTTCTTCAAGTACTGTTTGGCAAGGTCGTATGAAGGATGCGAAGGTATATCAGGGTAGGAAACCCATTGAACGCGTGGATGATTGTTCAAGTAGTTTGCAAGGGCAAAAGCGTTTTGGGTGTGGCGCTCCATACGTAAAGAAAGAGTTTCAAGCCCTTGAATCAAAAGAAAAGCCGCAAACGGGCTAGCATTACCACCGACATCTCGAAAAGCTTGGGTCCGAACAGCATAAGCGTAGGCTACGTTTCCAAACGCTTCAACAAAACATAGTCCATGATAACCAGGATGTGGCTGTACTAGTTCAGGAAACCGTTTTGCATGTTCCTTCCAGTCAAATTTACCGCTATCAATGATCACACCTCCCATCGTCGTTCCATGATCGCCAATCCACTTGGTGCCGAATGAAGAACAATGTCTGCTCCGTGGTCGATGGGACGAATAAGGTACCCGCCAGCCTCGAAGGTGTTGTCGACTAGCTGAGGAACTCCATCAGCATGTGCAACCTCGGCAATACGTTCAATGTCCAGAACATTGTACATGGGGTTACCAATGAACTCGATATAAAATGGCTTTTGTGCTCTCATCAATTTGCGTAGCCAGGTTTTCGACAATATCGCCCTCAATGACTCTAGTGGTTATGCCAATACGTGGTAGAGTAACTTCAAACAGGTTGAAGGTCCCTCCGTAAAGATAAGATGTTGAAACGATAGTATTGCCGCTTTTGGCCAAGGTTTCCAAAGCCATATAAGCTGCTGAGGTACCGGAACTCGTACATATCGCCGCGATCCCGTGCTCTAATGTAGCGATTCTCTTTTCAAACACATGAAAAGTACTTCATTCCGGAGTAGATGTATCCCGGCTCTTGTAATCCGAATAAACGACCACCATGTTCATAATCACGGACACATATGATGAAGTTGCGTAAATGGGGACAGCACGGGAAGTTATCGCACTGTCTGGTTCTTGGCCTGCGTGCAACTGAAGGGTCTCAAAATGCTCAGTGTCGAATGGCATTCTATTTTACCAAGAACAAAAAAAAATAAAAAGAGAAAAAATTGAACAAACAAAAATCAACTTGAAACAATTTATATCTACTAAAAGGCAGTATCTCTTTGGTCGTCCAATTTACTAAGAGTTAAACCTAAGTAACCCAAAGTATTTGAACCTCCTTTCAACGGCCGCAAACTGTGCATATATATGGAAAAATGGTACTGACTCATTGGGTTCTTTTAATTCCAACATTTTGCTCCTCTTTGGCGTGATATCAACAGCAAACTCATGAATGAGTTGCTGTTGTGATTTCAAGATAATATTCCATACCATACGTTTTCATGGTCAATAATTCACAGGTCTCATCCTTTATTTTTCTATCCTTCGTCGGATGAATGCTAATGTCGCAAAGTGAATGTGTTCAATAGTCGTCTTCAATAAGAAAAGATGCATTCTAAAAAGGGCTTGCTATTTAACAAACAAAAAATACTAGCCAGCTGTTTCTCTTGTACTTTAAGGATTCACTATTTAAATATTTCTGACAGCATTGTGAAGGACTGCATAAATTGAAATGAATAAAGTACCACGACTTATGAATATGTCATGTCCTAGGATGTTTAGTTAGAAGATGGTATGGTTATTTGCCAAGGTAGAAGAAAACGAAGTATCCTGGTATATTATGTTTTATATATATAGAAGTTTTTATTAGTAGCTTTACAAAGGTTATTATGATCATTTTCCCAAAATAATCATTACATGGGTAAAATCAAGATTCTGCTTGTTTGTTCATCATTACTTTGACAGATATATAAGTATTTAAATGATATTCATGGCGAAATTTCGCACATAGGAATATCACCAAATATTTATGAATATAAAAGTCAGAAGAAAGCAACCTAGCACAGGTTATAAACAAAGAATAAAATACATGGATTGTACAAAATAATTACCATGCAAGATAACCTTTTGAAAGGAAAAGGAACTGAAGATGAAATTTACCTCTGACGGTAATGACTCGTTTTCTACAATTTACGAAACAGATATATTTATACCGCACAGTTCTGAGTCAGAAATTAGTTTATTGCTTTGCAAGATTATCGTAAGAATTAAATAACCATTAACAAGGGCGATCGATTTATAAAGAAAATGAACGAAGCAAAACTAGCACGATTACGAGAAAACTTAAGTAGATTCATAAAGCAGTGAATGAGAAAAGCAATCAAGCCTGTCATATGAAGCACATGCTTACTTTCGTGAACGCGATGCCGAAACTTGAGGGATAGCCATCTTCATGGATGCTTTCAAAGAAAATGCAATTTATAGAAAGGGATAGGATGAGAAAGATTCGTTAAAAATCAAACTTCATCACTTTTTTTATCAAGATGTTGAAGCTCGGTTTCTCGTTTTGAGGTAATTCCTCTTTGATTTGTAGGTTCTACATAGGTTAATCAGATGTCAAGAAAGGAGAAAAAAAAAGTTACAAACCGCACATACCAGAAGTATCACCCGAAGCATTTCCTACAAACTTCATGGCGGCTCCAAAAAAAATTTTGTGGCTTCCATACAGAATTATAAAACATCCCATTCCGCATACCGTATAAAAACAAAATAATCGGAGCCGCTCAAGCACACCTGCATTCACTAGAAAAGTTAGAATACTTTGCAGGTTGTATGACATACTCCAAATAATGAAATACAAGAGAACCTCAGCAAAGTAAAGAGCATAGAAGATAGTATCGTCGTCTAAACCTCAAACTTTATTATTTCCTTTGCAATGTAATACATGGTGAGACCGAGGATATGGATTAAAGCCACATAAATCATTGTACCAAGTATATCCGAGAATACACATGTTTTACTGATTTTCTTGGTTGCGAGGATCATTTCGGATATGTGACAAGAGTCGTTAAAAATAAATTAGTTGTTCAAAAGCAAACAAGAAATTGGTGACTTACTGAATAAGAAAATCAAAGTGGATTCAATAGAACCGCCAGCAATGAAATAGAATACTTTTGAATACCGACGAATCTCGTAAACCTGTGTTATGGATAAAAAAACAACATGTAAAAATAGTACAATAATTGCAAGGCCTACGAAAAAGTCTTTCCACTATTTTTATTTGTCTCAGAACCCAACCCAGTATTATTAGTAGACCCTTGGGAGGCTTTTCAGAGGAGCCATCACCCTTTTCTAATCAATAAACTTGTTTGAATCTAATGGATGTATTAGTGACGAACTTTTTTTTTGTTTGCGAAAGGACAGTGTTTGTCGAGTTTTTTTACAACGACTCGCTGGCATTATGCAAATTAAAGCAAATGAATAAGCATCCTTTCTTCCTTTCTATTTCAACAAATCTTACCCGAGTACGGAGGAGATGTACCAGTACCATCTAAAGAACGAATGTCTAACTTTTTATCATTGAGCAATTTGGAAGAGTCATCGGAATCTGAAACTGGAGCGTAATTATTTTTCATCTTTACAATGGCAACTTAGAACAGAGAATAATGCGAATATCTACAGCCAAAACGGTATCAGTTAGATTCACCAGAGAACGTCCGCAGAAACTGATTCCACCGTTCATAGATCTGTCAAAAAAAGGAATTCTTTTTTTTAACGTAAATTAAAAGCACTTTTCAAAGAAAAGCTCCTCCTGAAAGATAAAGCGAAATTGAAAACTCATGGTAATGGCTTTTCGCATGTCTCAAATTCATAAAACAGCGACTTTTTTGTCACTGACTTGTCACATCCTCGTTAACATTATTTTGCAGCAGCAGATATTTTTTCGATATTATGTACGTCATAACTATTGTGTGATATTAGTAATATTGCAATACAATAATACTTTGTTTAGTCAAATAACTTATAATAAACGGTAAACACCCAAAAAAAGAAGATGTGTATATGAACAGATACTCTAAATAAGAAATAAAGAATCCGTACTAGTCTTGAAAAGATATATGGACCTCTAGTTGATCCCCCCCAAATCTTCAGATTGGAAGGGTCGACTCATCTAGCTAAATAAATTGTTTTGCTCAACTCATTTAGTGAATCAGATTTCTAGGAGCATAACGATTTCTTCAAACAGTACTAAAGCATTCTAACCAGGGATTATATACAATCGTTTTCCACTGATTTCGTTTATTCGCATAAACAGTAAGAGTCCATCTGTGATAACATTAGTATAGGTTTCAATTTTAATAGTATACAGTACGATCCAATTGAATCATGGATTTCTTCCGTAGTCAATTTTTATCTCGTGTACGACAATTTTGTAAGAGTGTTATAGCGTTTCAAATTCTTTCAATTTACGTGCAGCAGATTATTCATAACCTTTCTTGGATCAAGTTTAAAGAAAATGGTAGTAATTATAAACTTCTATATAAAGGCATAATTATATATATAGTTCGAAAGTTCAATTAAATTCAAATCAGGATCTCGAAGATAAATAAATTCAATATGTACCTTACCCATATGTCGGACAGGGCCTAATTCAATAGTTATGTAACGTTTTCGTAAAGTTTCAAAGACATTTTGCAGGAGGATGCTACAAGATAAAACAAACATCGGCACTTCCAGGATTTCGCAAATTCGCTCGAGGCAGGATCGGAGATGCGTTTGCAATGTGAAGATTTATCTTCTGCTCTCCAAACGTTAAAGCAGTGCGTCCATTTGAAAAATATTCAGCACCCAGATCTAACCCTTTTACATAAACATCCATACTTCTTTCGAGATTTTGAACCGTTAGTACAAAATGATCCACACGATCAATTATAATAATTGACTTGTAAGCTCAAGAAAATTCGGCAAATTTATGATGTTGTTGGTTTTAATACGGTTTTACAAAAAATGCCCACTGTTGCTAATAGCCGTTTCAACAAGCTCATCTCGCAACTGATGACACTTACTATTGTAAACGAGTAGGATCACTCAATAATTACAATTACAGATATAAGACACATGAATATATAGTAATTCGGTTTATAAAGTCCTATCAGTCGAATCTTTAGATTTTTTAAAACGTGTACTTCTAACTAGACATGAATATATCATTAAATTAGGTGCTGTTGTTTCTTCTATTGGAATTTCTATGCTCAAAACTTCTTTATTTATATTTTGTAATATGCCACTCTTTTGTATTATACGAACATAAACTTTGAGTCTTGGCAGCTGGTTATTTTCTTCATCCTCTAGTAACTCCCTTTTATGTCAAGAGCTGATTTCAAAATGCACGAAGACCGATTTGGCAAGAATTGTTTCTTTTTCTCCTTTAGTACTCGTTGCTTACATTATTAAAAATAAACCTTTTTTGGTTATATCTCTCATTTCGCAATTCCTTGGGATTCTTCTCATATTTAATTTTTCAGTTTTGGACTTCGTGTTACTTTTGCTCAGGTAAATGATAACAGAGAACACCCAAGAAGGAATACTACTGAAAGCTTTGCAAGATTAGGTGGCGGAATAGCTGCAGCATTTTTTCATGCCAAAGAATGGGAATTTTGGTTGGCAATAACTTGCAGTGGAACAGTATATTTATGAAACTACAGAGAGAATAATAAATCAGAAACAAAAGGATTTTAGTCAGCAATCTTTCAACATCTTTTCCCTGGGGTCCATTTTCTTCGAATGGTAGTTCCATCCGTAGCTTTACCTTTCTACTTAGAAATGCTATGCCTCTGAAGAGAGATTCATGGAAAGTGTTGTTTCACTTCAATGCCGCCCTCCCTTGAGGGATCATCCAGCGGAATAATAACCGAGCTTAATTCAGATAGGAATTGTGCAAGTAAACTCGACGATCTGATATACGATACTCTTTTTTTTTGCTTCTTATTATGTACTCCTGATATGCTTTTGCTTGCTATGTACTGGATATATGCAATGACTTCTCAACGGTCTGACATTATCCCGGTGTACTATGCTCTTTTGTTTTTTAAAATCAATTGCCCTTTTGGGTGTATTTTTTTTTATAAAAAAATACTTACGATAAACATTACTTTGGATAATCTCTTGCTTTTGTGGTTTAAGATGTCAAGCAGTCAATTGCTAGTTTAGCAGAACGGCTGGTCCTAATTCACCTAGCTTTTGGTTTTGTATTATGACGTCCCATATATCAGAAAATTCTTTTTCGGGGTATAGGTTTCGTTTTCTCTCCCATAACTCCTTTATGTAACCAAGATAGTAAATTGGAATTTCCGAAGTACAGGACTTAATACTTAAATGGTTTGGCATGTTCTTTTGAGATTGTGACTAGGAAGCACTTCTCTCAGCACCTACTAGGGAGCCGAAACAATCCGTACGGAGGGTAAAGCAGTCATTCCTTTTAATGTTGCACAATAGCATATTGCATCCGTTTGTAGCAGTATATTTCATTATAAAGTTTTACTTACGTATCCTTATTAGGAATGAGGAATTGGCTAGCTGGACTGTCTGTTACGAAGCTGAAGTTTTGATTCCCTGTTACATATGGCGTCAACTGCCTGAAATAGGCAAGCGACATGGGTTTTGTTTTTCCATTTCGAGAGTAACGGCTCATAGCTGAGTATGCGCTATCTTGTATCATGACATTTTGAAACAAACAAATTCGAAAATACGAACCTACAACATTTGGGAACAGAGGCTTTATTCCGCTTAGGAAGGTATAAACGAGGGAACGAATGCCCTAATTTTTTGATGTTCGCAAAGCAACAGAACTGCATACGTTCTCAATGAAGAAAAGCGGTAGTGAGAAATGAAAGAGAAACAAAAAAACGCTACTAACGGTAATGGAAGTCACGCAGCAATAGTTGAAATCGCTTCATTGACATGATTGGAATCTTTATCCAGTTTAATGTAAAGAGAAAGGAGCATAATAAGTACTTTTGTTTCATGGAAGCGTTTTCATTGAAACCAGACAATTCACTGGAGTTAAGGACCCCTGAAAATAGTATTGGAGATATGGTTTGCTACACAACCTGAGTAGCCGAAATCCATTCGTATGGTATGGCATAAGAAGAATATCCACTGCTACGACTCTGCTTCTTGAACAAATCAACACCAATATATCCTAAGGAAGTTCATTTTTATACCACCTTAAAAAAGATGTAATCTCATTTGAAAGCTACACAAGATTATTGATTTATACTTAGTTACAAGGTTGTCTACGGCCACACCTAGGCGAAAACACCAGTTCCCGTCCGATCACTGCAGTTAAGCGTCTGAGGGTCTCGTTAGTACTATGGTTGGAGACAACATGGGAATCCGGGATGCTGTAGGCTTTTTACCGTTTATTTTTGTTTTGATTTAAATTCTATGTTTATTTTTATTTTGTATGGACGGCACGAGTTTTTCGTTTTGATCGGAATGGTCCTTTGACTTAACTGGTACTAACGGAAGCACACAAGCCGCATATTACAATGGTCATCTTTGATTCAGAATCGAATCGTTTTTTCATTTCAATAAAGTACACAAACAAATGACCAACCAAGAAGAAACTATGCAGGCGCACTTGACCATACTAGCAAGTGATGATAATGATGGCCTTATGATATCGACAAGATGAAGCGCAACAGAAAAGCGGTCACCATCCAAGACATAGTTTGTCCCTATGCTCAATAAAAGGTAAATAAAACGTAAACACATACATGCTGAAGAGTTCATCGATCGTCCGGCGCACATTCTCCCGAACAACTATTAAATCAGGTTGTTTCTTTCCGACAGCATTCTAAATCCTGAATCTGTAGCAATAGCTGCTACTACAGCTGTTCCTGAAAGAGCTACGCTGGTTTGGCTAATAAATAGGTACAAAACGCACAGCCCTGACTGTTCTTTGTAACGCTGGTTCTATGTTTACATTTTGTAATAAATGATGTTTTAGTATGATAATATTCCAATTGTCGCAATGGGACTACCATTAAATAATCGTAACGAGGATGTGACCAGTCGGTGACATAATGTCGCTGCTTATGAAATTGAGACATGCGAAAAGCCAAGTACCATGAGTTATTCAACTACGCTTCATCTTTTGAGAGGAGTTTTCCTTTGAGCAGTGTTATTATTTTGTATTTATAAAAAAGGAGTAATTTCTTTTTGACCGATCCACACGAATTGTGAAATTAGTACTCGCGGTCATTGTTGGGTGATTCTAGCTGAATTCGGTTCATTTGTAAATCTTGGTGTTCTTTTGATTTACTAGGTTGCCATTGTTAAAATGAAAAACAAATATACTCCTGTTTCAGATTCTGATGACTCTTTCAAAGTGCTCAATGATGAAAAGTCAGACGCTAGATCTTTAGATGGTACTGGTACGCCTCCTCCGTACTCAGGTAAGATTTATTGAAATAGAAAGGAACAAACGAATGTCGATTGCTTCAATATCCATAAAAGTCTGCAATTCCTTGTAAACAGACCCGACAAACGCTCCATCCTTTCTCAAACAACAAGAGCATTCATCACTAATACATTCATTAGCTCCGAACAAATTTATTGATTTAGAAATGGCTGATGGATCCACTCAGCATTCTGCCCAAGAGTCCACTAACAATATTGGGTCGGATTCGACATATTCAAAGTGGGTTTCAGCGAATATCTTCTTTTTTTGCGTCTCTTGGGTACATTGGGGCTTATGGTATTCTTCTCGTAATGTTCTTTATTTCAAGGTTCCTGTGAGGACACAAGACTTTTGGGGACTTTTTGGCGGATTTATTGGAGCGATATCACTATTTCTCTATTGTAAGTTAGTGCTATCTTTTATTTTACTAACTATTAGCAATGTCTCAATTTCCTAAAGAATGGTTCAAGCAAACTGGTAAAGTGCTGTCCAACATGTGTGCCGCAGCATTATATGTGTGTTTTCTCAATGTCCCCGGTTTCTCCATGTATTATACAGCAAAAAAGATAATGCAATTTGAAAAGATAAATAATCGTTTTTTCTACGTTGTTTGTTTTGTTGATTTTGTCTTGTTTGTTTTTATTTCGAGTATGCCATACAACCTGCGAAATATTCTAACTGTTCTAGTGAATCCAATTGCCCGTGAACGACTTAGATTGTTAGTCATTGATATAGGAAACGGTGCAAACGGCATAGGAAATTCTGTGAATCGTGTTTTTGGTATGTACACTACGTGAATGCTTCCTATCATAGAGTAATTATTAAAATTAAAAGGAATAATCAAGGAGATGAAGCACCTCAGAACGAAGAAATAGAACTTCAACCTCTTGCTGAGCAAAGTGGTGAAGTTTGAGTGTGAATTTCACCGAACCTGCTTTCATGCTCACTCATTTTGATGCTTTTACGACAACAATGTGAATCAATAGAATAGAGAAAGACAGTTTGTTTATTTTTAAAAATATAAAAACATTCTCCTTTCCGCCGTGGAAAACAGCCAAAAAATAGAGCTGAGTAGGGATGGAGTTAAAGGACATCAAGTTGACACAATGCTAAATACCGTCAGTTACAGCAAAGAAAAACCAATTTTATTACTTCTACAAAGCGAATCAACATTTACGGCCACACCTAGGCATCCTATCACTGCTGTTAAACCATCTGAGGGTCTCGTTGGTACTATGGTTGCAGACAACCTGGGAATCCGGGACGCTGTAGGCTATCTACAACCTTTTAAATGCTTTTTATTTTTTAGATTTTTCTTGTATTGTTTGCAAATGATGAGAGAAGCCATCGCGTAGTTGTGCTGTCACTTTACGAGTGACAAAGCGCAGGTGTATACCTGTAGTATACTTTAAAGGAGACGATAGTTCAAAGTGGTTTAAAAGTCAAGAGTGAAAATGAAAGTGATACTCTGTACGTGGAAGCCTAGCGTAATAAATTAGAGATGGGATTTCGTGACATCAACTATACAATTCTAGTAAGTAGACAGCTTTCATAGGTTGGTGAGTTCGCGGTAGAAGGGTCCAAATTGACTACAAGATTCTAAAAGAGATGGAATTGTAAGGCTGACAATGAGAAATGCTTCAATTGATGCAAAGTTATCATGATTAAAAAACGATCGTTAGCTAACGAGGATGAAGATCGAGTTGAATCGAACTATGAAGATAAAGAGAATTAAAAGTAGATGCAATGTTAGTATGAAAACATAATTTAAGGAAGAGTAGCCCAAGGAACAAACCAAATGCAATCGTTACCGTTGCCCTTACCATAGTAAATTTGATAGACTTGGGTGGTGTTGGGAACGGGACAGGCCACAGGATAATCGTAATCTTTCAAGTAAATATTATAGGACTCGACGCCAGTGCCTATAACAGGTTTGGCTTTAAAGCCTTCCAAGGGAGCGCTCTGCGTAGACTCAAAAGTAAGAGCGCCATCTTTGTCAAGATGAGCAGGATTGTTTCCGTGAGATAGTTGACCATCCTTGAGACGAAAACCATGATGTATGTCAAGGCCAGGAACTTTTGTTTCACCAACGATCAAAACATGGCCAGACTGATCAACATAGAGTGAATGTAAGTGAACGGATTCTTGACCGGAGTGAATAGCGGTGATACTGAATTCCTTGTCGATAGTCGATGTCAAGTTTGTAGCTGGAGCAGCCAAAGCAAGAGTAGCACCGACAATGGTGAAGAAAAAGGCAGACAAGGAGAACTTCATTATAAAAATTCAAGTTTCAAAAAGAAATGTTTTCAAGAAATGAGAAAAATCAAAATTCGTTTAAACCAAAGGATAAAAGAGAAATAAAAAAAATCAATCCGAATAAAAACACACAAGTGGATCGATATGTATTCGATGGTTTCAAGGAACGGAATCACTGCCTTTATATAGCAGTTGAAATTGATCCAATTGTCATTTTTATTATGAAATCTGAACAAACAGCAAATTATGAAAGCAGATGGCTACCCGATCTAGACAAGGAAAGAAAGCTGGTATTCAAGTCGTACAAGACTAATTATCCTGCATTTCGTAATGAGAGAGCATAGTAAACAGTAACCAAGTTCTTCCTGTGTTCCCATGACAATGATAGTATCGTCCATGCAAACCAGGAATGACTTACATTGGGTCGGGTTACCGTACCCCTTTCCATAACAAGTTATGAAACCAACCAGCATAAAGTACAAATCTGATTTTGTGTTGTCATAGCGTCAGTTGTAAGGAGTAGTAGGAAGAAGTCTTGATCCGGTTGCTTGCGTTCCTTGAAAACATTCAAACCATTTTCATTCTAGGGGTCATATGGGTTATTTGAGTTACGATGACTTGAGTTGGGTTGAGTTGCTTGGGTTTTATCGTAAAGTTTGAATCAAGGACCATCCGGATTTATTGAAATGAAGAATTTCTCTAGCTGAAAGCAATTTTTTTCTTGATTTCTTTCTTTCTTTCTAAAATTGTTTCTTTGAATTCCACTATAGTTGAATTTTCAACTCTTTGTTTGAACGAACGGTATACTACAAAGCATTCTTCCATTTCAGCTTTTTTTGAGTGTAGACTGTAGACCCCAGGACATGGAATTGACCAACAGTAAGAAAACTTGTGCCATGGAAATTTGTTTCAACCATAATACAAGCAAAAACGCTCTTGGCTTTAAACATCAATGATGATTTACGTTTATGAAAAGTAAACGAAAAGGAACAAATTTTATCGAAAACTTGACATCTTGGATGCTTATAACTACAAGGGAACAGAATAGAACGAAAGAAAATGGTTGTTGGAGACTATAACAAAAGATGGATTCGCTCAGAAGAAAAAAAAAAAAAAAGAAATTAAAAATGAAAATGAAAATGAAAATAACTCCCTAAAAAACAAGAAAAATCCAAACCAACGAAAAAGATGATATTTTGCTAACGATAAATACCTTTGCCAGCATAATTAATTTCCTATAACTATTCCAAAAAATAAAATTACTTAGGTAATCTTCACAAAAGTAAAGGTAGACAAGTTATAGTCTGATCCATCGTGTGAACGTTGTTTTATGTCAAGTTCTAGTAAATATTTCATGAGAGCTCCATTTCCACTATGTTCCATCGATGGGTGTGCTACTTGAAATTTGTCGAGCTTATTGCTTTTGGTCACCAAAATTGTTCGGTCTATTGTAATAATAAAACATTAGTCGAAATCCAATTCTAGATTCTATTCATCGTTTGGGTTTATGTAGTCTTCAGACCGCAACATTTCCTTGGGATTCTATGTGCAATGCACTAGAAGAATTCCTGACTATCCTGACGCCCTATACTGGATGCAAAGTTGTTCCAAGTGTAGGATCAGCAGTTTCAATTCTTTCTCTATTTTTATTCCTTTATGTAATTTACGATCACTATGCATGTATTAGAGAGGCAACCACTAATCCATATGTAGTTCCAAGTTATTATTGATGATAATGTAGTATTCCTAAATGAAACATTGGAAGTAGCAGATTTAATTCAATTCGATTCAACTGAGTCGAATGCCCTCATCACATTCTTCTGTTCACAAACACAACATGCATTTCATTCTTTTCCATTTAAAATCCCATTGACATGGGTTAATTCTGGTGTTTTTAAACAAGTAATAATCTCAAATTTAATGATTTCAATTTATATATGCTTTCATGCAGAAAACAAAAAGGAAAACAAAAATTCACATTCTATCAATCATAAAAAGATGATTTCTTTCTACCTTTTTTCTTTCCCCAAGAAGCTGCAGAATTTCCTAGAAATAATGACTACACATGTTTTAGTAAGCAATTCCCATCATAACGAGGAAACATCTCATATTTAGTCAGCAATGAGCAATAAAATCTCGTTATCAAGCTAAATACAGTCCTATATATTGCAAGACCAAGCTGAAAAAAAGTTATCCTTAAACACAATTTCTTTCACGATGGCTCAATTTACTCTTTTCGCTCACAAAAGTGGTCCTAACCCTTGGAAGGCAGTCGCTGCCTTGCGAGAATTAAACCTTTCTTACGATATTGTATACCTTGATTTTGCCAAGAATGAACAAAAGAGCGAAAAGCATCTTGCTCACAATCCTAACGGCAGAGTTCCTACATTGATCGATCATCAAAACAACGATTATACAATCTGGGAATCCGATGCTATTTTGGCTTACTTGACAGACATTTACGACAAGCAAAGAAACATTTCTTTACCCCATGACGATCCTGAATACCATCATTTGCTTCAATATCTCTTTTTCCAATCTTCTGGTCAAGGTGTCATTTGGGGTCAAGCGAATTGGTTCAACCATTTCCATCCTGAGCCTGTTGCATCAGCCGTCACTAGATACAGAAATGAAACCAAGCGTGTCCTCGGTGTCTTGGAATCTATTCTTCAAGACAAGGAGTACCTTGTCGCTGGCAAGTACACAATCGCCGATTTGTCTTTTGCACTCTGGAACAACACTCTTCCAATGATGTTTGGAAAGGGAAAGCATGAATTCAAGGAGGAATTACCTCAATTGGATTTTGAAAAGGAGTTCCCCAAAACCTATGCTTGGCACCAACGTCTTCTTGCTCGTCCTGCCGTTTCTGCCACTTTGAAGGAACGCCTCCAGGCTCTTCAACAATAAACCAACTAGCAAAACAGGTAATTGAAACTCCCCTCTTTTTATTTTAATGTATGCAACGATCATTGATCATTGTCTTTAGTTTCATAGATTCAAAGTATCCGAATATGAATGAATGACTTTATTGACTTTTTTGTACAAACAGTTCTCAAATGAAAGCTTCCATGTTGACTTCACTAATTCCGACAAAAATTAAGTTTATTTATTCATTCGTAACTCATATTTAATGTATTATTCTCCAAAATGCTATTTAAAAGAGGGACGTTTTTGTACAATGACAACCATTCCATTACGTTCGACAATACAAACATATAAAATATATAAATATTTGTATAAAACCAACAGAAAAAGTAATAGTCATTCGTACATGAATTCGTTCTCGATGACACGGTAATCCATGTCAGACATTAAGCTAGAAGTAAGTTATGAGGCAGAGCAAAATGTGAATTGTTTCATCAATCATCTATTTCCAATATATAATCTTCACATTGTTCTTTTTTTTTTCTTTCAAAAAATATAATGTTTGGTGTCGATTCATCCCGGCAGTGTATTTTTATTACTTGAGGTATATTCTACCTATGATGAAAACAATCATTTTCGTCCAGTATTATTTGTATGTTTTCTAACCATCCGCATTTCCTTCGTATCTCCATTTCTGCAGCAAGAAGAGACGCATAGTTTCAGGCACCGATGCTCGGTTCTGTTTACCACTTATTTGATGTTCATACCTGTGGGTTGAATGAAAGAGTCGATCCTACGCCAATTCTTAAGGGTGTCGTTTCTGAGAATAAAATTCTGAAGAGTCATTCCTTACACCAGTTACGGAGAGGAACTCGTCATTTTTGTCTCTTGATGCTGTTGTCTATTTTCAAGTCTGAAACTCTCGAACCTATTCACGAAAGTGGTTCCAAAGGCTCCATTTGGAATGATGCTTATAATCAAGAGCAGCTAGATCCTCTCATGATTGATGCTGTCAGAAGACCGATTTTGTTCTACTTTTATGTCATAAAAAGAGCATCTGATGTATCAGCTTAGTTCATTCGGGATATCCTTTTCTTTTGTCATCGTCGCCGCTTCCTGGAACGAAGAAAACCTGCATATCATTTCCTTCATCTAAATCTATTTGTTTCTTTTCTTTTCATGTTTCCAAACACTGCAAACGGATCCGCATACATAATTTTGGTCAAAGCCATTTGAAAAAGACAAGCACAAACCAAACTTGTAGCACAAATAACAATGTAAATATACCACAGAGATTATTAACAGCGGATAGTGTAAACCGAGACTGAATAATTGTCTATCATGTTGTATAAACATCAATGACTAGTTTGAAAGAAGACATGCTCGTCTTACGGTGATGAAATCATCTCGAAATGAATGGCAATTTCGTAGAACAGAAGAAGAGCAACGATAAGTCAAATCAAAAATTTCGTTGTTCTCTTCCTGACACCGTACTTGGGTTTTCAGTTTGGTTGCTAGAAAAATTAATCCTGTTAGTAGCAAAAAACATTCAAAAAAGAAATCTCAAGAGAACTCCAAAAACCAAGAAAAGCGAAAGAGCCTACAGCATCCCGGATTCCCATGTTGTCTCCAATCGTAGCACTAACGAGCCTTCAGACGGTTTCGCTTACTGCAGTGATCGAGCGGGAACTGGTGTGCTGTTTATGTCTAGGTATAACCGTAAACGTTCGTTCCGGTCGGTAAAATTACTACAAGTTCAGTCGTGATCCAGTAAGGACGTTCTTACATTTTGTAGTGAAAGACTCTTCTGTATGATGACATTGCAATATTCCGGCCTTGACTAATTTATAAAAGACATGCAATTACACGACACTATGTTGAAGCTATAGTTAATCACGGCAGAATTTTCTTTAGAGTACTTAAATAATCGTTAAAAAGGGTGTCCAATTCGATTCACAAAGCATAAACAACGATATTGCGTAACGAATTAAAAAGATTCATGAAAGAGTGAATGAGAAAAGCAACTTAAGCCGTCTTATTAAGATAATGCTTACTTTGGGGGATAATGCGAATGCAAAGTTGATGGACTGCAATATTGACATGAATCCTTTCAAAGAAAATGCGAATTATGAAAACGTAAACCAGGTTCGTTAAAATTCAAACTTCACCACTTTGCTCAGCAAGATGTTGAAGTTCGATTTCTTCGTTCTGAGATACTTCATCTCCTCGATTTGTTCCTTTTAACTTGGTTAATAATCGCTCTATGATAGGAAGCATGAACGTAGTGTACATACCAAAAGCAAGATTCACAGCATTTCTTATGCCGTTTCCTATGGCATTTGCGCCATTTCCTATGGCATTTGCGCCGTTCCCTATATAAATGACTAATAATCTAAATCGTTCACGGGCAGTTGGATTCACTAGAACAGTTAGAATATTTCGCAGGTTATAAGACATACTCCAAAATAAAACAAACACGGCAACGTTAACAAAGCAGACACCATAGAAAGCAATATCGTTCATCTTTTCAAATCCTATTATTTTCTTTACATTACGATAGAATACGAAACCAACGACATTCAGAAGACCCGTATATATCACTGCGACACACATGTTGCACCCAGCTTGGGTGAACCATTCGGGATACGTTACAAGAATCGCTAAAAATAAGTCAGTTGTTTGAGAACAAGATATTCTTAACTTACTTAATAGGAAAATAAAAATAGATCCGATAGAAACGCCAGCAAGCCCGTAAAAAGCTATTGAATACGGAGAAACCTTGTAACCAAAAATTATGGCTAGACAAACAACATTATAAAATAGTATAATAGTCGCTGTGCCTATGGAAAAGTTTTTCCACCACTTCTCATTTGTTAAAGGATCCGACCTGGTGTTATCAACAGATTCTTGGGCGGAATTCTGAGCGGATCCGTCAGCCATTTCTAAATCGATAAATTTGTTTGAAGCTAATGAATGTATTAGCAGCTGAAGTTTTCGTTCTTTGTGAAAGGAAGGAGACATTCGTCCTGTTGTTGACAATTATCGACAAGGTTAAAAACAACAAACAAATAAACAAATAGGATTCCTCAGTAAGAAATCTCCATAACTGGATTACAAACAGGAAATATAAACAAACACCATTACCTTTCCATTTCAATAAATCTTACCTGAATACGGAGGAGGCGTACCATCTGCAGAATGCGTGTCTGACTTCTCATCAGTGAGCGTTTTCAAGGACTCCTCAGAGTCTGAAACAGGAGTGTATTTATTCTTCATTTTTGCAATGGCAAACCAAAAACCAAAAGAACACCAATATCTATAGCTAGTTCGAAATTAACTAGAATTACCAAGAAAAGTCCGTAGAAATCGGTTCCACCTTTCAGATATCTTTAAAAAAAAAAAGTAATCGTTCCCTGTTTCTAAAGAAAGGCAATCTTTTGAGTAAAAATCTGTCTAAAACCAAAGATAGTAACGAAAAAAAAATCTTGGTAATGGCCTTTCGCATGTTTCAATTTCATAAAGCAGCGACATTATGTCACCGACTGGTCACATCCTCGTTACGATTATTTGACATTCGTCGTTCACCGTGGCTTCTAGTATGGATAATACAAACGAATCGATTATTACAAAAAGTAAACAAAGAACCTTTCATCAAAAAAATACAGATTGTATACTTAAAATAATATATATACGAAATAGGAATTAAAAATAACTTTATTGAAAGACGCAGTGACTTGACTTTATGAATTTGAGGGAAAATTCAGCAATAAAAGTTTGAGACTCTACATTGTCGTGTATACTTTCAGCATTCGTAAACATTTATTATTTTGAAACAATGTTCTCTAAAAGATTCTTTGAAGAAATCTTTCCATCTAGGGGTTTTAAACGCAGTGGATGTTGATGTAGATGGAAAGGAAATCTTTGTTATGCTGGGTCCGGTCTTCTGTTTTTCCTCTAGCTTGGGATATGCTTGTTTTTGTTTGCCTTTATTCATTACACCGCTTTTCCATGACTATACTCTTGATTGAGGTCCATTGCTTTAGCTTTTTCCATATGCAAAACATCACCTAACTCAAAGTACCATGGCGATCAAAAGGAAATCCAAAAAAAGGTAAAAAAAAAAACAAAAAAAACGAAGGAAAATCCTACAGCACCCCGACGAATATTTTTATTAATTAATAGTACATCCATAAAAGCCAAATCGCCCTTTCCTTAGAAGGACAAGGAAGAACTGCCCACACCAGGAATCGAACCTGGGTCGCATCGGCCACAACGATGAGTCTTAACCACTGGACCATGTGAGCTCGTATGTTTGACTAAAAAAATAACCATTATTATTAAAGAGTATTATTCTGAATATACCAAATATACTTGGCTTATTGAAGACGAATATCTGACTTTCAATCTAAACAGGGATTTTTTTTTTGTCCTATATCATTAGTTTTGAATGCATTAACGTAATTAACAGCTATTGCTGATACACAGAAATCAAAATTGATAGTAATTACTTTATCCAAACGATCACGAAGAGTTTCAAGCATTCGCTTATTTATAGTCTTTTATAATCCGGCTTCTTAGTGAATCTTTCACTTGTATCAGAAGTATGCATTCTTGTGACGATAAGTTGCTAATACCAAAAGGTACCGTTTTCGTAAATGGTAAGCAAATTTCGAAAGGCTCGTCCGGTGCATCTTTTCCGATTGGTAAACTCTTAGTTCCTTCATCCTGTTTCACTTTCAGTAATTTCTCTATTTGTATTGCGGAGCTAAGTGTGATAGAAGGTTAACGCTTGTATATTGTCGAGTAGATTCGCACTAGACATAGAATGCTCCCACAATTTTATCTTTCTTTTAAACATTGAGTATCATTCTGATATTTCACTATAGCGTTACAACAGGTAGGTCTTTGAATATATAAAATTTCATCCATTCTTTAGTAAAGGAAGATTCGTATATCGGGCAACTGTACTCACCTCAGCATGGATTTTCACATCTATCACTATAATAACTTATCCCTCCATGCAGCCGTAAAATGGAATACTGGCTCTTTGAGCAGTAGTCATCGTCGTAATGGTAACCCAATTACTTCTCATACCGAAACAGTTTCTCACTTGTGAACACAATACGAAACATAAAAGCCGACGTGCCTGTGAAGACAGGAGGTTTATAAATCTCGTAAGCAATATGCGATGTAACGACAATACAGAGTTTATCTTTAAGTAGGATACTTCTATTGACCTCCTCATTGTTCACATCAAATATATGGCAGGAATTGTTCTGCTTCCCATCATCAAGATACATGCAACTTATTTCCTTTATTCGTCCTCTAGTTAATCCGAAATACTCATTGGTGTTTACAGGGTTCGATAGCTGCACCGTCAAGTGTCAATCCCAACTCGTTGGTAAACTGTTTTACAACTTTCGGTAGACAAGGGACATTTAGACCTAGAAGATATTATAAGGCCTCGAGATTCCGACTCGTACTGTGTACATAATCAGGACACAGAAATATGACTAGAATAATACGCATTCACATACTATTGTCAAACTGAACTTCAATGGAGATAGATGAAGAATATAATGAAGAGAGGTTGTTGTATCCACTTTAATTCAGAGTGAACATAAGTGGAAAATAAGTTCCAAAAGAATGACAAAAAGCTAATACTGAAAGTTTTAAAATTCAGTTCATTCCTGTCCTATATGTAAGGAAACAAACGAATTATTTACTAACGAGGTTGACAAGTTTCATTAATTGTATTGTGATGGTAAACGACTTCATTATTCTGATTTCTTACTCTTACCCACTTGCAACCAAGTCGTAGTAGTAGCTACCGACAGCTGTTGGAAAGGATTCTTCCTTCAGCATTCTACAATTATTTTCCTGTATGTCTGCATTTCATGTATTATAGTGGTGCTTCTTAAGGGAGCAAATCTTTAGAAAAGTATTGGGAGTTTGTAATATAATTTTCCACGCGTTGTCTAAAAAATTCTCTCGTTTTTTTTCTTTCTTCTTGTTTGCATTTTTCTTGGTTAAATTGCATTCTGTTTAGATTGCTATATAGTTTTCTCGAAGGCAACTGGTCTTGTTCGGTAAATGCCTTCAAAAGAATATGAGGTGGAAAAAATTGTTGACGAAAAATTGGATCGTAATGGCAAAGTGAGACTCTATAGAGTACGTTGGCTAAATTATTCTGCTCGTAGTGACACCTGGGAGCCACCAGAAAACCTTTCGGGTTGTCCTGATATCCTTGCCGAGTGGAATCAGAAGGTGCAAAAAATTCAAACAGCCGCTATTCCAAAAAAAGGAGTCAAAGCACCTTCTCGTCAAAAGCCCAAACAGCATGCATTACCTTTACGTAGGGAGGCTCGTTCTAACCATACGGTTTCCAACTGCAAAAACAATGAGAGGGTTTCCAAGCAAACGGTAAGCACCGCTCGTAAGCGTACTTCCTCTGTTTCATCTGGTCGCGAAAGGCGTTATTCTCCCGTATCGAAACGTCGTTCGATCAAATCTAATAATTTGGAAGTAGAAGAAAAAAAGGAAATGACCAAGGAAGTACCAAACGAAGAATGTAACGTTTCAAAATCCATAATTCATTCTTTTCCTGACTCTGAACCCGTCCGTACCACATCTATGTCCACTCCAAGTGACCGATCCAATCCGGTAAAGCAATTGACATATGAGTCTCTTTCTTTTTACGAAAAGAAGGAACTATTTCGAGAACGGTTAAGGAATTTAAAAGGACCGGAAATTACTTTAGTTAATGAAGTAGATGATGAGCCTTGCCCTTCTCTAGAGTTTCAGTTTATTACAGAGTACCGGCTTACTAAAGGCGTCATTCCCCCAGATCCCAATTTCCAATCTGGCTGCAACTGCCCTGCTGATGGTTGTGACTTAAATTATCCTTCGCGATGTGAATGCCTGGATGATTTGGAGGAGCCGAAATATTTTGCCTATGATGCTCAAGGAAGAGTTCGGCTCGATGCCCCCGCCGTCATTTATGAATGTAATTCCTTTTGCTCTTGTCCATCGAGTTGTCCTAATCGTGTAGCACAGCGCGGCCGTACTCTTCCCTTGGAGATTTTTAAAACTAAGGGAAAGGGTTGGGGGGTTCGTTCTCTTCGATTCATTCCCTCCGGAAGGTTTATTACTTGTTATTTGGGTGAGGTAATTACTTCCGAAGAAGCCGCTAAGCGTGACAAGAATTATGATCAGGATGGTATCACTTATTTGTTTGACTTGGATATGTTTGAAGACTCAAGCGTTTATACAGTTGATGCCCAAAACTATGGTGATATCTCCCGGTTCTTTAATCATTCTTGTTCACCCAATCTAGCTATTTATTCTGTAATACGTAATCATGGATTTAGAACCATTTATGACCTTGCCTTCTTTGCTATAAAAGATATAGAGCCTCTAGAAGAACTAACCTTTGACTATGCGGGCGTAAGAGATAACACTTCACAGTCTACGCAACAGTCCCAGCAAACGCGGTCTTCCAAAATACGAAGAAAATGCAAATGTGGAGCACTGAATTGTCGCGGATGGCTATTTGGATAGGGTTTATGAAAGTGTACGCTACATACTAATTCAGTGTCTGTCCTAAATACTTATGAAATATACATTTTTGTTATAATTGCATCTTGTTATCAATTAATAACTATATAGATTCCTCATTGAAAACAAATAGTTTATACTATTTGTATGGAAAAAAGCGACAGAAGAGAATAATGGCCGCTGCCGTAGTATTATATAACGATTTCATCGTCTGATTAAAGTGAGTTTAGGCAGCAACCTCAGGGACGGTGGGTTCATGATTAGGTTCCGTTGCTACAATGTTTGGAGTGCTTTGTTCAGGAAGGGTTAGTTCATTGACATCCTTAGTAGTAGAGGTATTATCGTTTGCTGTCTTTACAACGGGAGTGCTTGTTGGAGTAGGTGGTTCTTCCGGTTTCTCAGCAGCTTTGTCAGCAGTGGGAGATGCTTCTTCAACATCAGTAGGCTTATCTTGTTTTTTCTTGTGAACGAATTCAGTGAGTTTGCGGGAAATTGAGGTAGGTAAGTACTCAAGTTTTGCCTTCGTATGCTCAAAAGATTGATCTGCCTTGTTTCCTTTATCGGTCGGTACTGCTTCGTCGGGCTTCGTACTTTTTGGGACCTTAGGAGTCTTCCATGATTTGGAGTATGCAAGTAAACCAAATCCACGCTTCTTGCTTGGACTGTCCTCAACGTTATCGTGAGCTTCAGTATTAGCTCCCTCAGCTGCTTCATCATGTTGATTAACAGTCTCTGCAGGAGCCTCGGTCGAATCTTCAGGTGCAGCAGCATTAGTAGCTTCTTCGGTAGCTGCTTCCTCGGGATTCTCCTCTTGAATCTTCTCATGATCTTTGCCTTTCAAGAGATGATGGAGAAACTCGATTACATTGTCTTTGGGACTCGTTGGTTCACCCTTGTCTGCAGCTTCAGATGAAGGTACTTCATCTTTAGTGGTCGATTTTCCTTTAAAGGATGGGAAAATAGAGCGCAAAATTTCCAGGGGACTCGTTCCAGAACTGTTTGCGATCTTGTTTAGTTTATTCAAGGATTCGCTATAGGTACTTGAAGCCTCAAGCTTAGCTTTAATTTCTTGCTTTTGGGAAAGAATAGCGTTAAGGTCTTTGATCCAAGCATCTCGAGTTTCAACGTTCGATGCCTCCAATGTTTCAGTTTTTCCGCTTTCGAAATACAATAAAAACTTGTTTCCGTTACCGGCCTCCACTTTATCAACATCCAACTTTATACTTTGTTAATATCTTTGAATTAAAATTAAAATAGTGAAATTCACTTACCAAAGAAATAATACCACTGGGGACGCTAGTGCATTGAGATTTTGAGTAAAAAAGCAATCCCTTGCAACCTTCCACAGCTTTGGCAATTCTATCCACGTATAAGCTTTGAGAACTGGAAGAAGAAGACTCATTAGCTTGTTCAGAGCTCAATGAAGGATCATCTTCAGGTTGCTTATTAAGGGATCCCTGGAAGTGCTTCTTGTAATAATAATTAAGGTTTTCTAAAGGCATAGGAGCATCTTTAATAAAGAAGTATCTTTTAATGACATGACTATATATGGTTAGAGTGTGATTTCTTTTTGTTTCTTTAGTGACTTACGGGATAAGACCGTTTGAACGGCAGTACAAATAACCTCCGGCAAGGTATTCACTTGGATTAGTTTCCTTGGCTACGGATTCTGTTTGTGTCTTATCCTGTTCTACAGCAAGACTTTCTTTGGGTGCACTGGCTTCCTTTGTAGTCTCTTCCTTAGTTTGCCCAGTCTCCTTTACTGGTTCGGCTTCGGTTTCGGGTTCAGCCTTTGCTTCAATTGCTTCTTGTTCAGCAGAAGCTGTAGTTTCTTTTGCTGGTTCGCATGTTGTTTCTGCTTCAGCTGTAGGTTCACTTGTTGCTTGCTCAGGAGAAGTGGAAGGTTCCTTTACGTCCGATGAAATCTCCTCCTTGGCTTGAACAGGTTCCGGATGGACTTCAGGATGCTGCTGCAAATGTTCAGTAGTTGGTTGATCAACCTGTTCAGGTCGTGCTTCAGGGCTTTGAGTAGACATGCTACAGAATCAAACAAAGCGTTTAACGACTCAATCTTGGGCAATTGGAAAAGTTAGTGTTGGTTAAAGGAAGGTTGGAATGCCCCTCATCCTCAGTTTGTACATGCGTTACGGGGTACATAAACAAACAAACAAACAAACAAAGGAACAAAGAAATAAACAAACAAAAACAGTCGGACATTTAAAGAAACATAAAGCATTTTTGTATGTATAACTAATCATATTTTAATTAAATTTGTGCATTTTTTTACTCGATTTGTTAAGTTTTCAATTTCGTGAGCATACGATCCTCATTTGAATGCTTTTCCATGCTAAGAAGGAAAATGGACAGCTTAACATATGAGCTTTCCTATTCTGTATGATTTGCTCTTATTTATTAAATATAATTTGGCTACGCTTACGGTTGTCTTCTTTCTGTCCTGGTTTGGTTACTTAATAATACTTGCACCTCGGCCATTATCATTTTCTCTTCTCCTTGTGTATAGATTCAATTGACTTGTATGTTATTCTTCTCAACTTCATAATTTATTTATTTTTATGAAATAACCCTAGGGTGCGTGCGGCATCTGTTGTAAAGAAAGCTTTTGAAGTCTGAGTTCTTTACATTATGAAGTAAAGGACTAAATTTTTTTTTCTTATGTAACAATCATAGCGAGCTACATATACAATCTACGTCTTTGACTTTGTTCAATGCAAAATGGGTTGTAAAACAAATAAATTATACACTTTTGTTTGGAAATACCATAATTGATTTATTTGTTTACTGTTTACCGCTATGGTCAGTGGTTTATTGTAATTATAATGACTATTCACAAAGTCACACGTACATTGAAAAAGTAACATGAAAATGTAAACACTAATAAAATAATAAAAATAAAAAATCGAAAAGACTATATCAACGAACATTATATATATCGATTTCTGGTAGACAATAGACATTTAATTTTTATTTTTTTATTTTTTTTTTAAAAAAAAAATTTTTTGAATCGGAAACGGATTTCGTTTACTTTTCTACTTCTTGTTCCTATATCTGTCCAGTCCAAAAAAAAAAATTACTGAGTTTCTTATTGCAATAAGAAAAATACAATAAAATGTTATACGATACAATAAAATAAAGTAGAAACAAACCATATAGTAATGTTCCTATGCATCACATGAACCAAATTCGTACACTATATAACATTGTTTATGTTACTTACGTTCTGCGAATGAATTGAAAGCTTTCGAATATATCCCAGATAGCACACTTATAACTCATGAGGGAGCAGTTATTCTTTGTATTAAAATCTATTAAGCATAACAGCATAGCCTGCTACTCTACGAAGATATTTCAGTCATGTCAAAGGAGACATTGGTTATTAGCATCATGACCTTCTCTAAAACGGCTGTAAAGAATGAAAATAAAATCTGTTTTATTAGACTCTTTCAAATACAAAAAGAACGAACGTATTTTATTCTCAATCGTTTTTCGACTCAAGACACAGAAGTAACATAAACAAGTAACAAGACGAGAGCGAAATATTTACGTTCTTATACTGGTAAACTCTGCCAAAATCAATGAAACAATTAGAGGAACAAATTGAGTATGAATGCATGTTAGCCATGAAACAATGATTAACAAGAAACGTTAGGAGGTTCAAGGAAGCTCTATTTGAAGATTCTGATGGTAATTGTTCATCAGTATAGACACTTTGACTAACGGTTTGTTTAGCGGCAGACTCGGATTCTTCCATAGGAGAATCATTAACGAATCGTGGATTAAAGAGAAAAAAGAATTCTAAATCTGCCTATTATGGCTCTATGGGCAATTCGAGGGGTACTTCTGTCGACGTCGACGTAAGAAAATTTTAGGAATTACCCGCTGTAAAAGTCACTAACTTTGGTATCTTGTAAAGTACTATAGTATTGGAAATACAAAACGGGGCGTTATTTCACATTATCGAAGGTGCTCTGAACCAGAATGGTTAGACCATGATAATCCTTACCACGATATTAACATTAATGGTATGGACACTGATTTCATGTTTCGAAACTTAATTAACCGTAACATGTAGAAACCATGGCTCCTTTAGCGAACCCCCAACAGATCTTTACCCATCCTGGCATTGCATACATCTTTGAACAGAATTATCTCGATGTTTTAGCTGCTTCCGCACATGAAAGCATCTCTTCTGAACATAAATATGCTGCTCAGCTCCAGCAATTACTGTCGGCTTTATTAGGCGACGATCCGTCTCTCACAGACCCACCTCATGAGGTGTTTGGGATTACTCCGGAACAGTGCAAGGGTCTTACAGAAACTGTACAGAAAGCTCTTGAGAAAAGTAGAGAGTTTATTCGGTGTTGGTCAAATGTACGAATGGATTTGCTACGCGCAATCCGTTTTAAAGAAAAAGTTTTGACTTATTGCCAAGGGGAAAACTATGATGGTATGATGAATCACGAGGACAAGGATCCTCAAAAAAATGAATAATACTTTATAAAAATTGATGTCTTTTGTCTTTCCTATCACGTTATGAAATGCTTGGGGGACCCTCAAGGCCTTTTACTACATTATATATACGTTTCTCTGTACATTAATTGTCTCATTTAATGGATTAGTGAATTTCTCCTCTTCAGATATTTGTTTTGTTTGAATCGACTTGTTCACTTATTTTTGACGATATGAGGATTTTGCAAAGATATTGAACTTGAAAATGACTCTTTTTTTTATTTTTATTTTAAACAACTTCGGTATATTCAAGATGAACATGAAACTTGGACGCTTTGCACTATGAAACGCTATCATCTGAAAGTCGATCAAATTAGCCAGAGCAAGTAAATCCTTATACTTAACCGAACCTTGCTATTTATTTATTTTTTTACCAAGATCACTTTGACATGACAATGTGATGAAAAAATTTCCATTGGGACATACTGTATCCAGCAGAGCTTACGTGGTAATGAAAAATTCTCTTTGCGAGCCTGCTCAAGATGAAACGAATATCATTTAACTGTTTTCCATAATGGGCGTTGCTTACACCTGTTACATACAATATTTCTCTGCTTATACTTTTAAAGGACTATTTCAAAAAGGCGATTGATCGTCGGCATCTGTGAGTTCGGAGATCATCGTCCTTATACTGTCCCATTTTTTCACTTAAAATTTCACCAAGATACGATCTTTCATTTCATTGCCCAGTGTTAACGCATCGTTTTACGATTACCGAAACTAGATTGCTACCCTATAAAAATTTAAGATATAGATTTTAAAGGTGATACACTGAAACAAACTGATCAAAGATACGATCATCAGAAGGCTTCTGATCTCTGAAATTATATATATTGGCTTCCTCTGAGCTGATCTATTCCTTTAATTCTCCGACTTTTTCTTTTTTTTTTGTTCAACCCTTTCCTAGAAAAATACTGCACCTTGGATTGCAGCCTTAGTTAATTGTGCGACCTAATTCCAAGTACATCTGATTTTTGCACTTCATCGCTAAACATCCTTATATTACCGATCGCATCTGTATCATTTAAGTCAAAGCAATTTGACCATCACTGTCATTATAACCTCTTCAAATACCGGAGTTTATAATTTTTTGATTTTTACCCTACCTATTAATATCTAAAAATGCCTGAAGACGTTAAGCGTTGTGTTCTTGCCTATTCTGGTGGTTTGGACACCTCTTGTATCCTTGCCTGGCTTATCGAAGAAGGATGGGAGGTAATTTGCTATATGGCTAACGTTGGCCAAGAAGAAGACTGGGAAACTGCCCGCCAAAAGGCAATGGGCGTAGGTGCCAAGAAGGTTTACATTGAAGACTTGCGCGATGAGTTCATTCACGACACCGTTCTTCCCGCTGCCAAGTGTAACGCTATTTACGAAAACGTTTACCTTTTGGGTACTTCCCTCGCTCGTCCCATTATTGCTCGTCGTCAAATCCAGATTGCTGAGAAGGAAAACTGCATTGCTGTTTCTCACGGTTGTACTGGTAAGGGCAACGATCAAGTTCGTTTTGAGCTTGCTTACTATGCTTTGAAGCCCGATATCCAAGTTATTGCTCCCTGGCGTCTTCCTGTTTTCTTCGATCGTTTTGCTGGACGTACCGACTTGTTGAACTATGCCGCTGAAAAGGGTATCCCTGTTACTCAAACCACCAAGAAACCCTGGTCTATGGATGAAAACATTGTCCATTGCTCCTATGAAGCTGGTATTCTCGAAGACCCCAGTCTCGCTCCTCCTACTGACATGTGGACCCTTACCGTTGATCCTAAGGATGCTCCTGATGAAGAGGAGGAACTTGCCGTTTACTTTGAAAAGGGTAACCCCTGTAAGTTAGAATGCAAGGACGGTGAGTTCACTGATGTCGTTAAAATTTTCCATCAATTGAATACTATTGCTCGTCGCAATGGTGTTGGTCGTATCGACATTGTCGAAAACCGTTTCTCCGGTTTGAAGAGCCGTGGCTGTTACGAGACACCTGGTTTGACCATCCTCCGTTCTGCTCACATGGATTTGGAGGGTTTGACTATGGAACGTGAAGTTCGTGCCTTGCGTGACCAATTCGTTACTTTCAACCTTTCCAAGATCCTCTACAACGGTCAATACTTTTCTCCCTGCACTCGTATGCTTTTGGCTGCTAACGATGTTTCTCAAGAAGTCGTTAACGGTGTCGTTAAGCTTGCTGTCTACAAGGGCAATGTTAGTGTCCGTGGACGTAAATCTGACACTGCTCGTCTTTACGATGAGAAGCTTGCTTCTATGGATGAACTTGGTGGTTTCGACCCTACTTGGACTTCTGGATTCATTCAAATCGAATCCATCCGCTTGCGCAACTCTGACGAAGGCAAGCACTGGCTTTAGACGTTTGGTATATACGGTTACCCAATTTCGTATCAATAATATTGTATTTTTTGTTCTGACGGTATGTATACAATTTGTAGATGAGCTTGTATCACTTTAAAACAAATAAATGTAAGTGGATTATGAATATATAGTAGTTAAAAGAATGTTCAGAGCTTATAGGGCATACACAGTTCGACATAAGCACTTTTCACTTATACGTAAGGACCGAGTGCTATTCTCATAGTGAATTCAAGGACGAGCAGTACGACGGTGAATAGAATTTGTACGGTATTCTAGCATTGAAAACTTTTTAAAAGATGCAACGAAGAAGATAATGTCTATAACCTGCCTGCAAGAAAAATCATAAAAGTGAGTCTCGTTGGAAGTGATGAATATCATTGACCATTTAGGAACCAGTAGACACCGACACAGACCATTAGCAAGAAGAAGGAGATAGTAGCTAATGTTCTGAAGAGTGCTAATGCAATGCGAGTGGCTCTGTTGACTATGATCAAGGATATATATAGAACGAGAATGAGTGTCAAGATATTAATGAGCGAAGGAAGAGAGAAAGGCTGTTTTCTTTTATATAGAGATTTAAAAAAAGAAGATTCATATTGCTCAATATTTTTACTGACCTCCTCAACTTTCTGTAAAATTTGATCTGGCTGACTCGTCAACCCATAATCGATCATGTATTTGGCAATCAAACCCCCAAACACCTGTGTTAACGCCATTCTAAATGCAAGAAGAAAAGAAAAAGAGTTTGGTACGGAAATTTGGAGTAACGTAGCAGATACTAAGTCTTCAGTGGAGGTATGTTTTGAAGTAAGATCAAGCACTAGTGAACTGAAAATAGACAATACTATTAGGGCTTATGATAGAAAACCAATGAATACTTTTTAATTATGAACTAAAGTTTTAAATCCGAGAAGCTTTTGATACAGTTATTCTACCTTGACATCAAGAATATCAAACGAAGAATTGTATCCTCTCAGGAAAAGATTAAGGAATCTGATCTCAATCTCTTCAGCTAATTTATGTGAAAAGACATTCGTCAAGTAAGAAAATTATGCAGTCTTCATACATTCACTCAATGCAGGTTCCTGGTGCCAGGGCTTCACTGCGAAACAGCTAAGCTATAAAGGTTTTAAGGTATTGATGAAACTACTTTTAAAGCCCGAAAGGTAGGGACATGGTTCTTCTCACCAGCCGGTTCTTTACCAGGTTTCGCTGCAATTGATTACATACAGCTTTTGCCTACTCCAGATATCAAAGTATCAAGTCCTTTTCTTATTCTTCACAATTACTCTGGTCAAACCATTGTCCCAATGTTCTGAATTCCACATCATGAATACAAACCCTTCTCACCCTTGCAACTCTCCAAGCACTATCCAGAGCCATGGTTCTCGTTCTATGTGAGTATTAACTGCCAAACAAGCAGAGTAATGTCATTCTTTTTTTTTGTCTAAAGCATTTCTACTGGATTTATTTACTAAAGTAGTGAGTGCTTTTCCATTTCCTTGATGCATCAATTTAAGACGACCTAGGGAATTCTCAGTATAATCCTTCTGATAGAACCTAGCACCGTTCTTTTACCATCTGCGTCTAAGACACAGAAGCTAACGGCAAAGATATAAACCAATTTCAATTGTTGCGAGTCCTCGTTCCAACTCCCTCCGTCTACCAACTCCAACTAGAGCAACGAAGAAATAAACCCATTTCTTGTAAATTTCGCTGTTCACGAGTCAAAAAAGAATCCTAAAAAAATTTTCTTTCGATCATATAATGAACGCTTCTTCTCTTGCCAATCGGAGTTTAAAATGCGCTGGCAATGTCCGGATGATTTTACCTAGAAAATTTCACTCTCGTTTACCAGGCACTGTACAATTGTCGAAACTGACCGGCGTTTCCCGTATTCGTGAAATGAGCTCTTCTTCTGCTACTCGTTCAGCACCTAAACCCTTAGATGCTTCTAACATCATCTTCAAGAAGGCCGAACAACTCAAGCCTGTGCCCGACTGGAGCACCTTGAAGTTTGGCAAGGAATTCACTGATCACATGATGATTATGAAGTGGAACAAGGAAACCGGTTGGGGTACACCAGAAATTGTCCCTATGCAAAATCTTAGCTTCCACCCTGCTACGAGTGTCTTACACTACGGTTTCGAATGCTTCGAAGGTTTGAAGGCCTACAAGGATGACAAAGGTGTCCCCAGACTTTTCCGCCCCAACAAGAATGCTGAGCGCATGTTGTCCACAGGTACCAGGATTTCCCTTCCCGCTTTCGATACCAAGGAATGGAGCGAAGCAATCCGTAAGTTCGTTGCTACTGAAAGCCGCTGGGTCCCCGACAAGCGTGGCTTCTCCCTTTACCTTCGCCCCACATTCATTGGTACCGATGCTGCCCTCGGTGTTCACCATTGTGAAAATGCTATGATTTATGTCATTGCTTCTCCCGTTGGTCCCTACTACAGCTCTGGCTTCAAGGCTATCCGTCTCTGTTGCTCCGAAGGTGCTGTCCGTGCTTGGCCCGGTGGTACTGGACAATACAAGCTTGGTGGTAACTATGCTCCTAGCGTTTTGCCAGCTGCTGAAGCTGCCGAAAAGGGTTTTGCTCAAATTCTCTGGTTGTACGGTGAAGAGGATTATGTTACCGAAGTTGGTACTATGAACTGCTTCACTGTCTGGATCAACAAGAACGGTGAAAAGGAAATCATCACCGCTCCCCTCGACGGTATGATTTTGCCTGGTGTCACTCGTGACTCCATTCTCGATATTGCTCGCGAACGCCTTGTTCCCCAAGGCTGGAAGGTTACTGAAGGCAAATATTCCATGAAGGAGGTTGCTCAAGCTTCCAAGGAAGGTCGTCTTTTGGAAGTCTTCGGTGCAGGTACTGCTGCTTTGGTTTCTCCCGTCAAGGCCATCAACTACAAGGGAAATGAAATCAACGTTCCTTTGCCTGAAGGTCAAGAAGCTGGCCCCATTACTTCTCAAATCAGTAACTGGATCCTTGATATCCAATACGGTAAGGAGCCCAACCACCCATGGAGTGTTCCTGCCACATACTAGGAAGCTCCGAGTTCATCCATCATTTTGAGAAACCTCGTCGTTCTGTTATATTGGCGGTGCCGAATTTTTGCCAACCGATATATGATTAGAACCTATCTTTTAGTAGTAAAATAACATATATTGGCTTTTGTTTTATAGTTTTAGAAAATTTTAATAAATTATTGGTATTGGTATGCATGTGGTAGCACAATCATTTGAATGAAAATGGTACAATAAGTTTTAGTCTTACCTGAATCATTTCATGTTATTACAATACTTTTAATTCCTTCAGACTTCACAGTGAAATTCAAGTGTGGGCTCCGTGTATTCAATCAAATTGAAATGGTCATTGTCCTATCCTAAATATGAGAAAAAAACCGAGACGCAATTTGATTTGAAAAAGAGATCTCATGTTTTCTATTTCTTTCACTTTATACATTAATTTCAAGTTCCTTGAAATTCAATTCCTTGACTAACCTATACTAGTCATCAGAACATGCTCTTTCTACCAGCACATTAGAAGAGTTTCACTCACATTGAACATGTCCCAGCATGTATCAAACGATGTTTCTAAGTTTACTATAAGTCGCGGAAACGAAGATTTAAGCGTATGAAATTAAAAACCATTGTGTTGCCGTGAAAAGTAAACGTAGAGTACTGACTTTGAGTAGCATACTAGTTTTCAAGAACTTGTGCAAATGGAAAAAGATGATCAAGAGGTTTGTTGAATTTTAAAAAACTTTTTTTCTCTAATAGTTTCTAGTTTAATGAGGATGTCATGCTCTTAGGACCAAACGGTATGAATGATCTGGTTATCTTTTCAAGACTAATACCTGAAGAAACGCCCGTTACTTTTGAGCTTGGAGATGAGTTTGAGTCATTTGCGAATACGTTTTTAGCAAATAAAGACGACTTATTCTCCAGTGAAGGATTACTGACAAGCTTTTATAAGCTTTGCGAAGAAAAGTATGTACAATTTCAGACACTACCCTATATGAACTAACGTCTATTAGATATTCAAAAGCCAGTAAAGAGGAAGATGAAGAATTAATGAATCATTGGGGTTTGGAATTACGCACATGGGATTTGATACAGAGGATCTATTCGTACGGGGTTTTATTGTTTTATTACGATTTTTTAATACTAACATTTTTCTAAAACAAGATTTCGAAACTCGGCGCAGGACCAATCTATATCTTCACATATGTTTTCTTCCATAGCTGTCTTAGAAGAAGAATTCTATTCCAAATATCCTGCTGCTTTTGAAAATCACGTATGTTAAGTGATATTTTTAAAAATTCTATTAACACTAAGTAGTTGGTATTCAATTGGTTACGCGATAGTCCTGTTCAAGAACCTGACATCGAAATCCGGGGTAACCGCTGGTTCTATACTCGTGAGAATATTAAGAAAAATAGCCGGACACATTCCAAATTTTCTTTAGAAAAAAAAGACGAGAGTAACGTCTCAAATTTGGACCCAGACGCTGACATTCGTGATGAGCGCCGCCTTGACGAACGAGATGATAACTATGATCGCCAATTTATCCGGGTTGCTTTCTCGCTCTATCGAGCTGGTGATTTCGAAGGTCTTTTGGACTTGTGCAGAAAAAGTGGAAATTATTGGCGTTCGGCATCCCTGCAGGGTGCATTTGAGTATCGTAATAGCGTGATAGATGAAGGCTTGCATTCTGAAACTTTAGGTAATAAAAGAAAGGAACTTTGGAGACGGACATGTTTTGCTTTAACAAAAAACAAGCGTACCGATGCTTATGAACGTGCTCTGTATGGCGCCCTCTGTGGTGATTTGGAATCCGTCTTAAATGTCTGCACATCATGGGAGGATGCTCTCTGGGCATACTATAACAGTATGAATCAATATCATTTGGACGTGTACCTTTCTGATAAAATACCTCAACCAGATACTCATTTGCCGCCTATTGATAGCGGAATCGGATTAAGCCCAGAAGTTATTTTTGAAGCTTTAGATCAATTTCCTCTAGAAGAGGTTCGTACTTCTGCTGCCCATCCATTAAGAAGATTACAAGCTTATATCATCTTAAATCAAGTTGATAAATTATTCACCTTAGCTCACCAACAGCTGGAGGCTGTACGAGCTGGAAGTACCGAGGGCATTTTAGAACTTACTAGTCCATCAAGTCTTCGAATTATGGTTCACCTGCTTCTTTTTATGAGAATAGCAGGCATTCATGTTGATGCTTATATCTCGGATTCTATAATACAGTCTTACATTGAGCTGCTAGCCAGTTCAAAGAAGAACTCCTTGGTTCCCCTATACATTCCTTTCCTTTCAGATCATATTCAATATGAAGCATATGCTCGATTTTTAAATCTTATCGAAGATGGAAATCCTCGACTTGAGCAGCTCAGACTGGCGAAAAAGTTTGAGTTAGATATTGATAGAGCTGCTTTGATGAGTGTTTCACTTGCTTTTGAGAAATTTGCCGATGATGCAGAGCATTCGATTGAAATAAATCTAAAATCTCTAGACGAGCCAGTGCCCTTAGTTCATACAAGGTTTATATCAACCTTAGAGTGGTTGATTATAACTTGCCAATCTGACGATTTGCTAGTGTATGCAAACTGTGCCTTTCGATATTTCTTGTCTAGGGGAGAACTAAATTCTGCATATTTATTGTACACACGCCTTCCAGCTGAAACACTAGATGTTTTGACTACAAGTGAAATAGCTGCCGATAATAGTTCAAAAGTACAAACAGCGTATGAATTTATGAATTATCGTGCTTTATGTCGAGCTTTTCATGTGCATGAAGAATGGAATAAGTTAATGAATGAACCGATTTTGAATGACACCTCTTCAACAAAAGCTAGTGTTGCTTACAAAGAATGGAAAAAGTCTCTTACACTTACATCACGCAGATGTATAAAGCTGTTTACTGAGCTTCTTCGGGCTAATTTCCTTCACCCATCAACTATGGAGTTGAACGAAGATGAAGAAAAAGAACTCTGCAATAAGTTGTATCGTATTCGAAATATATATGTACCCGAAATTATTTTAAATCTTCATGGTGTTTATTTCCATAATGAAGACTATAACGGCTGTTTTGCTCTTGCGAACGAGGTAGCAGGAGAGGATCTTAAGCTTTATCATTGTCTTCTTGAAAGCGGAAGAATTGAAGAGTACGCCGCTAGTTTAGGTGTTGTTGGAGAGCATAGCCTTACTTCTTCTGAAGGAATTTTTAGCATTTAGATTTACGCAGATGAAATAAAAATTACTTCCCTCTTTTTGTTCTAAACCCTTTCCTGTAATATTCGCTTGCATCTATATAGAAAAACATTATTATTTCTAAACTACCCTAGCTGTTATCCTACTGTAATAACTAACTTTTATATACAATACTTACTCACTGTCAGTCTTCATCGGGTGCTTTAGCTATGGCTAAGAAATTCGATCTTGAAAATTCTTTCATAAGACTATTAGAATTGATGGGAGTAAAATAGAAGATATAGATGGATTGATTACATTCTTGCCTTGGGCTTATACTCGTATATTTACTTGAATTGAAGATTCAATAACAACTAGCAATCCTTAGAGAATATATACTATCGTTTTAAAGCTTTTTTCATTAAATTAAAAAATTTATAAATAGTATACCGACAATCTAAAAGACATCGCTCGATTATACAATGAATTTCGTATTCAACCTAATCATCGCGCTTGGTACGCAAAACAAACATTGACATAGTAGTGAACTAGATACCGCCAAACATGACAGAGAATGGTCATAAACAAAAGAATCCTTTAAAGCAAGCTTCTGACAGTGGAAAGCGCAGTACCAAACCGCAAAGAGAAACAATAAGTCGACATGCAAGTGGATTAGACAATCTGAATGACCTTGCAAAAGATCTCCCAAAGTTGACAAAAGAGCCGGTAAATACTTCCAAAAACAAACATTCTTCGAATTTCCGCGCCTTGCAGAGCTTAGGCAAACAGGAAATACAAGTGAATTCGCCAAAGGCCGAATTGCCTATTGTATCACCAGAAAAAATAGATGCCATCTTCTCTCCAAAATCGAGGACGAAGACTCCAGTAAAATCACCACCGAAGACGCCTTCTCGTCCAAAACCTACCGAAACTGACAAAAAGCATTGGGACGTAGACCCATTTGCTCCCATACCAGTAAATTCCTCCGCATGGAAATCATCTTATAATAAAAATATAAGAAAAATAAGCAAACCTACTTCAGAAAAACCTGCTAGCGATGCTTTTGTCATCCAGACACCAAAGAACGATGCACCAACATGGTTGAATTCGCCGGTTCAACCAAAGACACCTAGTTCTCCCATTTCTACGCCTCCTCGAAGAAACTATGGAATAGATAAATTTGCTTCCGAAGATTATGTTGATCCTGAAAAGACTCAGGAACTTTTAAAAGACCTCTTTGCAGGATCATTCGTCGAAACCGAACAGAATCTTGGACAGGAGAAAGAGCAATCTATCAAAGGGTTGAAGCTATCTTTACTCCCTCACCAAATACAAGGACTGCGATGGTTGAAGAGACGAGAAAATGATGATCATGATGACGAGGAAAATTATACGACAATCGTAAGTTTAAGTTTATGTCTTAACAGATACTAATTATTAGAAAAAAACATCAGAAAAAGAGAATAAATCTTACGGTGGTATCCTTGCTGATGATGTACGAAAGAGTTTGTCTATATTATGCTAATCATAAAGATGGGTCTAGGGAAAACTATACAGACAATTTCGTTAATTCTATCACATCCATGTCATGAAGAACTGTTGGAGACAATTCATAATAAAGGATTTTCTTTCAAACCCTGTCGGTCTACTTTGGTGATTGCACCCTTGAGTTTGATAAAACAATGGGAAGAAGAGTTACACAGTAAAAGCAACTTAAAAGCTTTGGTGTATCATGGTGCGAACAGAAAGACATATCTAAACTCTATAAATGATTATGATGTGCTTATCACTACTTACCAGACCCTCGTTTCAGAAAACGCGCCCGAGAAGAAAGATGAGAGCTGTAAAAGTACACTCAGTTTGTTTTCCTTTTTATGGTGGAGGGTTATTTTAGACGAAGCACATACAATTAAAAATAAGGCTTCCAAGACCTCTGTCTCATGTTGCTCTTTGGAAAGTATAAACCGTTGGTGCCTTACCGGCACACCACTACAGAATAACTTGGATGAAATATTCTCCTTAGTTAAATTTTTGAGGATACAGCCTCTGAACGACTCTTCCACATGGAAAGAACAAATAACACGCCCAGTCACCCAAGGAAAAGGACAATTAGCTATCGAGCGCTTACGTGCTTTTCTTTCTGTCATTATGTTGCGAAGGACAAAAAAAATACTTCAAGAATCATCTGGAAAGCTTGGAGATGGAGGGCTTATGAAGCTACCTAAACGAATAGTTGAGAAAATCAGTTGTGAGTTCAGCGAACGTGAAAAAGACTTTTATCATTCACTAGAAAAGAAAAGTGAAAATACCATGTCAGAATTCATAAAGACTGGAGAACTTAACAGAAATTACACAAATGTCCTATGCTTGCTTCTTCGTTTACGGCAAGCATGTAATCACCCGAAGCTTTTAAGCACACATTTAAGGAATGATGTTGAAGCGCTTTCTGTTTCAACGATGAAGATGGACAATAAAAATGGTCTTTCTGATCAAGCTGTCGACGATGTCACCTCTATGCTTGAGGGGATTGAAATTGGTCACAACAGTAAAATACGTTGTGAAATATGTTATACGATACTTCCTTTAAATGCGAGTGCTTCATTTTGCGATAACTGTTTGGCGAACATAAAAAAGCTTTCTGACAATCCTTCTGAGGTAGCAATGGATCAAGAAACATACATGTCATCTAAAGTCAAAAAAATTTTCTGGCTTTTGAAGGGAGATACAAAGTCAGAAGAAGGAAAGCGTGCACCACCTGGAAAGACAATTATATTTTCTCAATTTACAACTTTCCTTGATGTCCTTGAATCACACCTAATTGCTTCAAAAATTAAGTTCGTCCGTTACGATGGAAAAATGAGCAATCCTGCTCGTGAGGAATCTTTGCGAAAACTAAGAGATGATAGCGACGTACAGGTATTACTTTGCTCTTTGAAATGTGGAGCGCTAGGCTTAAATCTAACATGTGCTAATCGTGTAATACTCTCCGATTTATGGTGGAATCCAGCCATTGAGGAACAAGCTATTGATCGAGTTCATAGGATTGGACAAAAAAAGGATGTCTTTGTATACAAGTTGGTTATTAAAGGTACGATAGAAGAAAGGATTCTCACTTTGCAGGAAGAAAAACGATTGATTGCTGAAGGTGCTTTAGGAGATGGCAAATCAAAAGTAAATTCAGGAAAACTCACAATGAGCGACCTTCTGTATCTCTTCCATAAAAAAGCTGAATTGGACTAATTGGGATTCTCTAAAATCTCTTTACGATTAATGAATTTTATAGTTAACGAACCTGATGATGTCCTTCTTCTACACCTCAATTAGGTACATTATTCTCAAATCCGGAAAAATAGATTGGTTTACAAATTTAAAGTTAGCACTATTTTATTAATATCATATATTGGAAGTAAACCAACATTTACATTCAAAAGCGACTAAATAGTAAAGAAACCGTCTAATTAAGATGACCAAGTCTTATAAAGACCCATTAAGCTTGTGGTAATGCCGGTCATAGCAACAACACCTTCATCTAACTTCAAGATATCCAACTCAGCCAAAGGAATTAAGGCATCTAGTGCGTTTTGGACGGCGAAATAGACGACATCATGTTTTTCCCTAGGTAATGTTAGTGGAAGGAAAGAAATACAATCAAACATACTTGATTAACGATTCAACAGATGCTTCATGTTTCGTTTTACCGGAATCAGAGGCTTGAATCGACTTCAGCTGTTCAGATACTTTTTGGTAATTATACACGCCTGCGAAACAAGAGGAGACCAAGGCGGCAGCTAAAAATTGTTTGCTCAGGGTAGAGACAAACTTATGGTTGGGGCACTTGATTAATTTTGTTTTTTGTAACCAACCGATCAATTCCATTGCAGAGTAACCAGTAAAAGCAAGGTCCCTAGTCAGCTGAATCGAAGGGAGAGCAGCTTCAGACGAAGAAATTGGATTTTTTACTTGAAGAGTGCCGAAATAGGACTTGGAAAGATAATCAAAAACCTTACCAATACTAAAGAGTTTTCTGGCAAAAGAAATCTGAGATTCTAAAGAGTCCCACTTGTTGACGGATTCCAAAGAGCTTCCATTGTAGTAGAGACGCCAAGCAAGAAGCTTTGCAACAAATTGCAAGGTTCTAAAAGACTAGACAAATGTAAGTTAACGTTCAGTATCGAAGAATGTCACGTTTGTTTCTGTTGATATAATTCCTCAATTAATAAAAGTAAATAATTATTTTCTATGAATATAACTGGGAGAAACCATCAGATATCCCTTTCATTATCCGATAGCGTGAATGCTCTTGGGTTTAATACACAGCAAACAGTAGCAGAAGAGGTATGACATTCTTTAAATAGCAATATTAAATATAAATTACCTTGTCTCTAGCCGACATAGAGTTCAGCATCTGAAGAGCATAGTTAGTATCTAAGATTCTGAGTGTTTTCGTTTCATACGCGTAAGACGTGTGCATATTGAGATGTCTCGAAAATAACAGTCATTTTTTATAATGAATTTTAATCAAAAATATAACTGAGTATAGTTGTTGGAATTTGGTGTTGTATGCAATCTACTCTTATAGAGAGCGTTGAAGTAAGATGATGTTCATCACTTATCGATACGAATATAATCTCATAGAAGATTTTTCTTTTTCCTTTTGGGTATTTAAAAAAAGTTCATTTATTTAAAACTAACTAGGAAATTCATGATAGCTACAAGGTTTGTAAAGTTGAAATGTATATCATAATATCGTAAAAATACACGATTCAAAATGAAGGAAAACATACAATCAAATGGCATGCTGAGTTATTTCGGACTCATTAAAAAGTATTAGAAAACGTTATCATAAGAAAACTGAGGGAGTAGATAAATCTCACTAGAATGATGAACATGTTGAGGAGGTATCATTATGGAAGCAAAAATGAACCTGGTATGCGATCCTAATTTTCGTAATCGTTTATGATAGCATTATGAGCCTCAACTAAACGTTCGACGTATTCAGATCCTTTTGCTAAAAAGGTAATTCGGACGTGGTAGTCATTTTCTTTTTGACAAAGACCGCTTCCAGGAACTAAACATATGCCAGTACGCTCCAAAATCCGTAAACAATAAAGCTCATCAGGTTCAATGTTACTCTCATTCGCTTCTCGAACGAGCTTTTGTGGTAAACGAATATTAGGATGTAAATACATTGCACCATGAGGCTCTTGGCAAGTAACATATTTCATGCGCTTGGTAGCTTCATACAGTATTTGGCATTGCTTTTCCATGTCTTTGTGAATATTCTCAATTTCCTGGGAATACAATTTATAACTGGGTTCACCTGCTTTCGGGGGTCGTACTAGCAAATCGACAAGCAGTTGACCCGTCACTGGGGCACAAATATCAATGGTTGCCAGCTTTAAAATTAAATCTTTTACAAAGGAAGGAACGTTCATGATATCGATGTAGCCACCTCGTTGTCCACACTCACCAAACTGTCCTTTACTAACAGAGTTTATGCATATGAGAGAAACCTTGTCCCAATCCGAGTCTGGTTCGCGCGTTTCAAGGTCACATAACACTTTACGAAACGAAGTAAACTTCTTTTTGAACACGTTGTTTTGATAAACCTCGTCGGAAATAACGACAAGACCTTTTCTTTTTGCGAATCGGAGCATCTCTTCGATACATTCTTCTGACATACAGGTACCTGTTGGGTTTCCTGGGTTGATGAATACGCATAGGCGAACGTTTGTTCCCTTCTTTGACTCGTCTTCATACGCTTGTTTGAACTGCTCGACGTCTACATTCCACTCGTCCTTTTCAGACAGGTAGTACAACACTGATTTTCCATGCAAAAGATCCATTAAGGCTCCGTAAAGAGGGTATTGAGGACTGGGGAGCATGGCTCCTTCAGACGATCCTGTAATAAGTAAGGTCATGATTAGTTTAGCTCCTTGAGTGGCGCCGCTTGTCAAGTAGATGTTGTCAGGATGACAAGGATAGTTATCCCGCTCTTGAATATACTCTGCTACATGCTTGCGAACAATCGGGATTCCCTGGGAATCGCTGTAAGCTCCAACGCTGCCTGTACCTTTCAACAGCAACTTGGCCCTCTCAACGACATCACTTGGGAAAATATTTTTGAACCAAGGTTCATGGGCATGATCTAGCAAAGCCGGATACTGGCAGATGGACAACACCTGACGAAGAAAAGTAATGGGTAGCTGTCCAAACTGATGTGGATTACCGATATTTGCATAAATTATATCTTGAAACGGATAGGCATCAGGTTTTTCCAGCAGGGCCTTTTGGATTTCCTCGGCAAGAACTGTCAAAGGCCCACGAATCGCATAATTGGCTTGTAAAACTTGCTGATTCAAATTGGAAACGTTAGTGAAAGCGTTAGGAAGGTAATTGTGCGAATGCATTTTTTTTATTAATGCTTTGCAAAGGACAAACGGCTTTGACTGATAGATTCGCTTCTTATAATGACCAGTCATGGGGTCCTTTCTCCGTTCTTCCGATAAGAAAAATTCTTTCACTATAACCTCTGAAAAGCTATTTTTTGAAGTATTTCATTGTTTCATTATGAGAAGCCATTTGAACTTTTGCATACCTTTTGTTTCTGTATAACCCGACATATCTTTTTCAAGTATAAATCGTTATAAAATCTCGAAATAGTATGATACTGAGAAAGGGCTTTTGTGAGTTTTGGAATTCATTTTTACTATTTATTGTTGATTTATATTCTCCTAGACCTACGAGTGAAACAGGAAATACTTAACTGAGTTGATTTATCTCTCAGGTGTACGTACAATTTGAAAGGAGTCTTGGTCAAATTAGGAGCCTTGCCATAAAGAGAGACTTTAACTTCTCTAGTTTCATTTTCAGCTATTCACTTTGGTTTAAAAAAGGGAATTTTGATGTTTCGAAGATCTTCCAGGCCGATCCATTTTCCTTATTCCTATAGTTAGCACGCCTGCCTATCTATGACAATTCAAGCAAGACGACGGAAAAGTCAAGTAAAATAATAAAAGTATTTGATTAGTTTGTTTTCAGTACTTTGGCTTTTACCATGCAATTGATTTTCCTTGTTTGTATGAAGGCCATCGGACTAGGATCGTCATTAACTACTTTTGAATGCTTTTATCGAAACTGTACTTCTATACATCTTAAAGTACATTCAGTCAACAAATACACAAGATTGGCTTGCCAAGTCGTACTTATTTCGTATTTTCACAATTTACTTACATGTAAATAAAAGTAACAATATGGTGGTGTTACCTGAATCGGTGTAGAACGATTCCAGAGGTAGACAAGAGCCAAATGTGTCATCCACTACCACCTACAAAGACAATGAGTGAGAAGGCAAGAGTGATATCTGATTTGACGATTTCTCAGGCGATATATGAGTTATCAAACAGCTTTTTGGAAAGAAAGCATGAAAAAGCACTGGAAACCCTGTTCTCAGCGATTCGAGAAAATCATCTAGCACCTCTTTATCAATATGTCTGTGAATATGAGGGCACAAAGTCGAAAATAGACCAGGATGAGTCTTTTCTCAATCAAATGATACAAGAAAACAACAAGCGTATCGAAGAATACGACAAAGCACTGGAAGATGCCCAAGAACTGAACGGTGAACATGAAATTCTAGAAGCTATGAGAGGCAAGGCATACTACTTTGTCGATATTTGTGATAGAGTACGAGGTGTACAACTTTGTGATGAAATTTATGATCGAGCTACTTTGACGGGCATGAAAATTGACGTGTTGTTCTTAAAGATTCGCCTAGCTTATGTTTACTCTGACATGAAGACTGTCAGTCATTTATTAGAAAAGATGAAGCCACTAATTGAAAAGGGAGGTGATTGGGAACGCAAGAACCGCTTGAAGGCTTACCAAGGTATTTACTTGATGTCAATTCGTGACTTTTCCGCTGCCGCCGATTTGTTGCTTGACTGCATGTCTACCTTTTCTTCAACTGAATTACTACCTTATTACGACGTTGTTCGTTATGCCGTTATTTCTGGCGCCATTTCTTTAGACCGTGTTCATGTAAAATCGAATATCATAGATTCCCCTGAAGTCCTTGCCGTATTACCTCAAAACGAGTCCATGTCTAGTTTAGAGGCATGCATTAATAGTCTCTATCTCTGTGACTATGCTGGCTTCTTCCGCACTCTTGCTGATGTCGAACAAAACCATCTCAAGTGCGACCAGTTCCTTGTTGCTCATTACCGATACTATGTTCGTGAAATGCGAAGACATGCTTACTCCCAATTGTTGGAGTCTTATAGTGCTCTTAGCATTGAATCTATGGCTGCTGCCTTTGGTGTCTCTGTTGAATATATCGATCGCGACCTAGCATCCTTTATTCCTGGCAATAAAATAAACTGCGTGATTGACCGTGTGCGTGGCGTCGTTGAAACAAATCGTCCCGATGAGAAGAATCGCCAATATCAAGAAGTCGTGAAGCAAGGAGATGTATTGCTCAATAAGCTTCAAAAATACCAAGCTACTGTTATGCGCGGTGCCTTTAAAGTCTAAACAATGGGGATTTTTCGTTCTATTTAAAAATATCGAGTCACTGCTGTAAACAAGTGTTTCCGTTTGTTGATGCTCATGTAATGAAAACTGTTCTGCGTATGACTGCCCACTGGAAGTTTTACAAATAAATCTTTTTTAACGTTCTATCCCATGCTGTTTTGTAATTGTATTTTGGTCTACTTAGATCAGTTTATTCAACCATTCGTAGGCCATTATAAAGATAAATCCAGTGCAAGTTATTCTTAATTTCCTTTTAATATACTTAACCATTTTATTATTCATAGATATATATTTGCGTCGTTTATGTTGAAAGGTATGAGACGCGTGTGATCTGAGTATTGTACTTGCCTTCAACCTATTACATAAAGGGATTGGGAATTTTCCATTTCTCTCCTTTTCATAACAAATTATTGAAATCAAACATGAATTTAGAAGATTTATTGCAAGCTTCAGGTTCTCCAGATACGACTTGTGTACCATCATCGCCAATTTCATATTCAAAAGACGAGAAACTAGACAATCCACAAAGCGAGAAACTGTCTAGCAAGGAAGATGTAGACTTATCTGAGAAAACTATTCGATTTCTTAAATTACAGATGAATGCAAAGGGAATTATTGACGCGTTTGAACGCGATTCCCTACAAAGTTCATTGGAAATAAAGAATTTAAAATTACAACTGGATGAAGAACGAAGATTAAATGAACAATTTAAAATAAACACGATGGTGAAACTTCAAAGGACAATTGAACAATTAGAAAATGAAAACCATCATCTTCTAAACCAAAATGAAGAATTACTAGTCCTCAAAAATGAACATGAAACGAAACAGAAATTATTAAAACAAGATATTACAACACTTGAAGAGAACTATAAAGCATGTTTCGTACGAATCGGGAATTTGGAGCATGAAAATTCTACTTTGAAAACTTCATTGTGTAATCAAAGTAGGGATGTCGGGCAGGGGTCTCATGTAGATACGGAATTACCCAAAGATTGGAGAGAACAGTTTAAAGAGAAAATCAAACCAAAAAGGTCCTTGGGTCATCACAATGTCCGGCTACGTGATGTTAAGTTACAAGAGGATTCCCAACGAGAAAGGAAAAGGGATAGGGAACATGTAGAATCTTGCGAAAATAAGAGTCAAGCAGACACATTTTTCCCAAGGGTTACGGAAACACGTTCTCGAATTCTCAGACTTCAAGAATCGTTTTCAGATTTGGAATCCCAGCATGACTCTTTCCGACAAATTTGCGATTCTTTAAGGCAGAAGTTAAAAACTGACTCTAGTAAAACCAAGCAAAGACTCTTGAAACTAGAAAATCTTCTTCAAAATCGCTCTCCTCCATCGTACACATTTTCCCTAAGTTGCACACATCAGTTTCCGCATGACTCTCGTGCAGAACAATTCACTAAAACAAAAAACGAAACTCATAATCAAGTATTCACTCAAATTCCCATGCCTTTCGATGCCTCATAGGATCGTGACTAACTTGAACAAACATTCTACATTTATTAAACATTAGTTTACGAGTAATGCAATTATTTTATTTATTTATTTTTTGTTAAGTTATTAATACACTTCGTGTAATCCTTAAATGTCGAATGTCAATTAAATTTACTTAGTAGAAATACTATCCTAGCGTAAACAACCTTGAAGTTTTCCAAAAATTGGTTTTGGCAAATTATTTGACTCAAACGTTAAATACGAATGCAAGCTGAAGAAAATGATACTTTAAATGGTTTATTTAAGTCGGTGGTTGCCGTTTTAGATGCAGACGATTCAAATATTGTATGATTGGCCTGTTGGATAATAGCTAACTGAATATTTTCAAAGAAAAAATTGTTTCTTCAAAATGGTGGTAATATTTTGAACTATCCTTATAATTGGAAATTGGCTACGCATGTTATAGGAAACGATTTCAATTCTCCAGTTGTTCAAGAAGGCGCTCGAAGGTCGCTTCGACTTGTTAAGGTATGTTAATACCCTTATGCACTAATCAAATCTAACGTTAATACCGGCCAGACAAAGTGGATTGAGGATTGCATCGATAAAAATGCGTTGCTCGATTATGCGCCTTACAGTAGCAATCCATATCTTATTTTCAAAGGGATTTGTGCTACCACTTGTGAAATAGACCCATTCTTGGCCTTTTTAATTGATGATTCATTAGAAGTTCTAGGAGGGAAGTTCACCCCGGTATTAATAAAGTCTATAACGCATGTGTTTTCTTTTGATGGAGAGGGTCCAAAATGCAGAAAAGTTAGGGAGAAAGAAAATGCTGACATAAAAGTGATACATCCAAGGTGGGTCTTAGATTGTTTAATTCATGGAAGATGCATTGACCAAAAGCCCTATTTATTTCCTAGTCTTTCTTTTCCGCGGAAACCGAAAGATACTCTTAATGAAAATTTGTTATTTCGGAATGTATTTTATAACAAAAAATTTTTTTTTGCTAGCGATTTGAATCTTTCTACGGTAGCCAAACAGGCTATATACAAATTTGCTAGAAATCTAGGAGCTGACGTAGCTGACTCAACTCAAACCTGTGATGTTTTCATAGGTTTCCAAAGAGAAACAGATGAATTTAGGATGGCCTCTGAACAGAAGGCCACTATTGCTACTATCAGTTGGCTATTGAACAGCTTTGTACTGGGATCTTGGAAGGATCCTCTACTGGATGCGCTTCATTTTCCTTTACCTTCGAAGAAATTTCTTAAGGGGCAAACGATTGCTCTGACGAATTATACGGGGAAAGCTCGAACGTATTTAGAGAAGTTAATTGTAGCTTCGGGGGCTTCTTATACGAAAAACCTCAAACCCACCAATTCGATTCTGATAGCTGCTTCTTCGTATGGACAAAAGTTTGGTGCTGCCAAGGTTTGGAAAATTCCATCAGTTTACCATACATGGCTATTCTCTTCTTTCAGAAGCCTTTCTGTTGAACCGTATGACGATTTCCCCGTCCCTCTTGATGAATCTTACATGGATTTTTTGCTTCCATGTAAATTAGAATCAAAGCTCAACTCAGTGATAGTGGATACCGAAGGTTCTTCATGTAATGGTAACGAAAATATAGTAAACACTACTACAAATCAAAATATGCACTCTAAGCCTCCAGAAGCAATTGAAAACGGAGTGAATAAAGAAGAAGAGGATAACAAGCAGGAAGAACACAAGGATGAATCACATGAAGATACTACGCTATCTCCGGAAAGCACCTCCAAAGATGTTATTGTAGAGGACGACTTACCTAGTATCAATGGTCCGGTCATGTCAAATCGGTCCTTTGTTAATAACGATGTATCAAATGAAAATATTCAGATGGATAATAAAGAGGGAAATTTGAATTTGGTTTTAGATAACATTACACCAGATGCGGATTATGAGCACAAAAAATCTGACACAGTTCATGTGTCAGAAGAGATGATGAATCCTGGAGCTCAGGATCAGAAGGAATCTACGTCTACACCTTTGTTAACACCTGCTGTTATCATTCCTTCGTTAAAAGATGTTTCTAATTCAGCGGAAGATCCGCAGGAACTTTCCGGGCATGACTCTACAGCAAATTCTTCAATTCCTGGATGGAGCCAAGTAAAAGATAACGCGAATACTGTTGCTTTAACTCAAGAACGTTCAAGAAGTAAGAGAAAATCAGCTTCTATGGCGCTTTCCATGTTGCAAAATGTCGTAATGCCAGATGTGGTGGCATTTGAACGTGAAAAAAGATTAAAAAAACAAGTTGACATCGCTATCCCAGAAAAGCCTGTATCTCAAACTATAACGAATGCTAGTTCCGCTTCACGTGAACGGCGATATGTTGTTATTACTGGTTATGAAACAAAGCCAAGTTCTGATGATCTTAAAAAAAGCAACATAATAATCACGTCGAATCCTAGCAAATGTACTCATTTAGTCGCCCCTAGGATTTTACGTACGGCGAAGTTTTTATGTGCTATACCGAAAGGACCTCAAGTAGTGACCATGGAATGGCTTCAAGACAGCATCAAACAACGGCATCCTGCTCCAGAAGATAATTATCTTTTGAAAGATGAGGAAAAAGAAAAAGAAATATGTTGCTCCATACAGGATTCTTTGAAACGAGCCAGAGAAAAAGGACCAACTCTTTTAGAAAACTACGTGATATATTTGACAGCAAAAACAATTGCTCCAGCGAATATCTCGGCTGTCACGAGCATAGTGAAATCAAATGGAGGATCTTGTTCTACGATTAATAGCTTTAACAAGCGACTGACAAAGCATTTGGAAAACGGAAATATAATCATCATCACTTGTCAAGAGGATAAACATATATGGAAAGACATTCTATCCTCATTTGAATTATACCAGAACGCATTCCTCCAAAACTATGATTGGCTTATGAAAACGATTTTGAGACAAGAGTTAAATACTTCAGAAAAAGTTGCCAGTGAATTTTCTCAAGGTAATTAAAAGCAATTTTATAGACTAAATGAAAAATTCGGTTTCTAATGGTTTAATTATATCTGTCCAACTAGATGGCGGCTTTACAGTCTTACTCTAGATCAATTCTTTTTATGAGTATGGCACACATAGTATGACTATATCTTCAGGCTAAGTCAAAGATTTTTGGTTAAGCGGGTGTATATCAATTCATTTCTTCTACTTAAACTAAACTAGTTTTAACGCATCTAATTGAGGCTTCAATTCTTATTATGAACAATACCGGTTATGTGTGATAGCAAGACTACGATACTTCTTAGGCATTGCAAATTCACTTCAGGATCCCAGTTTCCATCAGTAAATCAAAATTTTATAAAATGAAAAAAACTGGTCAATTATCTAAAATTTAATGGATATTTGATCAATTGACTGAATAAGAAACGAACAATCTTGTTTTCTACTGAGTGGTCAACTGAATGTCAAGCAGATACTATGGCTAAACATAAGTCTTCCAGAGATACTTTGCAAGTATCTAGAGATACAGATACAAAATTTAATGACCCTAGTTTTCGCCGTATGTCGTTATTAAGGGAATGATCAACTAACACAGAGTCTGCAGATGAATGCGTATTACCTTCCTTTAGTGACGAATCGGATTTCGTACGTTTTTTTCAAAGGTTTACATTTGCAATTAGAAAAATAGAGCGGCGGACTCTTTCTAAATTCGAATATGATCAGGCGTCAGGTGTACGTGCAATTTTGCTTTCTTCAAATCGAGGTATACTCGAAGCTGACTATATTTTTGAAGAAATTATTTTTAAATAGCGAAGATACATTGAGAGCTCGTATTGCTCTGGACTCTCTGCAATTGTTGTTATATGCCAAAAAACAGAACCATTCCAGCAAGAGAGCTCCGAAGAAATTCTCAGAAGGCAAGAAAAAAGTTTATAATCTTCAGGAGAATCTGGAAGTAAACAAAAACAAACGTGAGAAAGCCCTATTAAAAAAACTATATCAAGAGTTGGATTTATCGTTGGCGTTTCCATGTGAGGTAAATACATACTTAACATTTTTTGATTTTTTAGCTAATTTTACTTTTTCTAGGGATCGTTTTTAATTCCATTTGATGACTTTGATGTCTACGAATATTTCGGAGGAGAATCTTTGGTATTTTTGAACGCAATTCGTATCAGATTTCGATGCTACATTGATTACTCTCCAAATTTATCCGTAAGGAAAGTGTGGTAATTACATTACTTACCCATTCTAGCTTATACATATTCGTTGCCAAAATCCTTCAAGTCTCAAACAGGCGTTGCACCATGTGAAATTGTTTTACTTTGAACAGGCATCCTATCATCGTCTGAAAAGGTCACACCTCAACTTGCATGTACTTGATTTAAATCATACCTGTTCGAATTTGAAAATATTTTATGATCGGGAGTTCGTTCTGTCGAGGAAGTTCCTTCCTAATCGTATCCATTTACGAGGAATTCCTTCTCTTTCTTCTTCTTCCGCGGAATCATTGGAAAAGTATGAAGTTCTTGAAGACTGAGTGCTGACTTTATCTAGGATTCGTAACGATAATGTTCAAACCATAAAGAATTACACCTTAGCCTCAATTTTCAACGTTTATTTGTATATTGGGGTTATTTTCATGCGAGTCAAAGTTGGTGTTCCATTATTTGAGAGGCTAAAAATTGGGGAAAATGAAACCAACACCAATTCGATACAAGATGCATCTAAAATTTTGCTGGAAAAACAAACCAAATCTTCCTTTCTTAGATATTTAGCACCTAATGATGTTTCCGAAAGGATTCTTTCTTCTTTGGAGTCAATTAAAGACATAAACGGAAAGCAAGTATTTGAAGCATTCGGAACAGATCCTCTTATTGTTGCTCATTTTACGCTAACTGACATTCATAATTCTAAAAAGATACTAACTGCAGTTTGGGATAAGCCAGTCGGACGACCCAATATTTGGTATGTTGAAAGCAGCATGAAGGATACTCTGAGTATCGTGCATTGTAATCTGAATTCCCTTTCCTGGAACCTTAGCATCAAATATGGGGAGCATTTCAATGATTCTAAGGCCTACGGCAGTTTTGCGTCTTCAATTATAATGGATAATAAAGATCGGATTTACTTCTTAAACACTGCTGAGGTTTTTGTCGAAACTGTTGCTGTGAAGCTGAAAAACAAATTTTATCACGTGCCCTCTGGTTATCATTTTCATTTGTCTCGCTTTGAAACTCATTCATTGGGAAAAAATACATATATAGATTCTGATACGCAACCAGGAATTCAGGTATATCGGATTGGTCAAGACACTTCCTTGCTCCGTTATGGCCTATCATTCTGGGACTCCAACTGGGATCGCATTTTTGCGGAGAATCAGCAAAGATCCTCTGGAAGTCCTCCTACCTACAAGCCAACCCTTCAAACATTTTTTCCAGAAGGGATCGAGGCATTCATTTTTCATTCTCAGTCTATTGTTTCACAAGTGGCCACTCTCGCTAATCAGCTCAACGACAATCATAATATATTTGAGGCGGATAATTCTGTAAGTGCCTCTATAGTTTAGCTTCTTCACTCATGCCTTTGCCCAATTCGTTAGCACTTATGGCGCCAAATTCTATCTTTATTTTCGCTTTTATTTTTCACGACTTAAAGAAAATAATCATTATTATTACTATATTTGAACAATACGATAAGAGCAAACTTTTCTAGTAGTCTAGAGGAAAAATATGAACTCCATCCTTATAGCTCAACTGTATAATTTAAATAAGCTGTGAAACTAAAAAAGTACCTATTGCCGTCCAGAAATCATTAAATCTTCAAATAAGAATTCGAATTGTATCGAGAAAGGAAAGCCGGTGAAAGCGATGAACCAATATTTAAAGTATTATCAAACCATAAAAGCTCCGAAAGCAAAAGAAATAAATTATTATAACCTAGATAATACGCTTCTGCTGTCGTAACTAGGGAGTCCTTTAAAGATAGGTGGGTAGAATTAAACAAAACGAAACATTACGGGCGGTAGTCGTGCAAACGCAACACAATTACGGTTAAAACAAAAAACAATAAACATGCACGCTAGAAAAGGATTATTCAAATTAACCAGTTCCCTGAGTGAATACTAGGACAACAATATGGTCAGGGTTCTTGTAAGTAGATTTAGAATGTCTTTACCAGCTCTCATCCCTCATATCATGGTGTATGCGCTGCTCTTGATGGTATGCATAGTCTTCATCGATATCATCTTCCAACGGCATTGAATTCTTTTTAATCCAGTCACGAACGAACAAGCTGGCTTTCATAAATTTCTTAGAAGCATACTTCTTGAAGAAAGCCTCGTGTCGGACTGGTTTCTGCAAATAATTAATCATTTTCTTCACAACTGAAATAAGTTCATGTTCCTCATATCCAGAATAATGTACAAGATTACGATTCCAAACACCGCGTCCAAGCATTTCTCGGGCCAAATACATAGCTGCCGCACACTGCTGAGAAGGAGGATAGGGTAACAGCCTATGATCTAAGAGAGCTATTTCAACGAGATACTTAGCAACTGTTCTTGTTTGGATGTCATAATAATCGGCTTTAGAGATACGTCGTAAGAAGTTCATAGGATTGGGAAATGCAAGATTAAACTCCAAGACGCGTAGTATATATCTTTCAGCTTGAAGTATGTCCTCCTCATCATAACTGCCATCAGCCATATAAACGAAGTTTTGGACGGAAGGACACATAACCTCTTCATATTTACTAGCAATGAACAAAGCAGCAATTCCCACTAGTTGTAGTTTACCAAGAGAGCAAACACGTAAAGACAAAAATCTATCAATTATGTTAACGGCCAGAAAGAGTGTCTCGGGAAGTAAACGGAAACGAGAGTGTACTTCAATGATCCAATCTGTTAGGATGCCACGCATCTTCCAAGCAAGCTCTCTTTGACGATCCATGTAGGTGGGAGAAGGCATTGTTTCAATTTCTAATTGGTTAAGATACTGGAAGATATCAACAACATATTCAGAAACCATGAGAGGATCAGCCCAATCTTCGGCGTCTAAGTCATCCCAGTCTTGCACTTCTGTCTTTTCAGCAGCAGCATTTTGACGCATAATTTCTTGAAGAGGAATGCGCTCTTCGGTATCCTTCTTTAGTTTCTTTGAAAGAGCTTCATTTTCCTTGGCATAAGTTTCTGCGTGAAGCTCTGTTACAGGCTTGGTCGTAGCCATATCCACAGGATGGGCAGCTGAAAAAGATGACAAAGAATTAAGGGCGGAAGGTTGGCGGCGTTTCTTCGAGACAGGTTCATCATCAACCGCTTTAATGGTGTCCTGTCTTTCCTGAGGGCGATGAATTGGGTAAACAGCATTGGTGTGTCGAACATTTGTACTCTTGCTCGCGAGTGGAGCGTTGGCTTCTTTGGAATGGAAATTTGATACATCATCCAAAGCGTGACGTTTTTTGTTAGACGTAGATGTAGAGATGGTTTTCTTTCCTGGAATTATAGCATTTTCAGATGAATGCATAAGATGTTTCGAAGGATTGTTCTCGTCGTGGTTGCTCAAGGCGTTAGCCAAAATGTGCTGACGGGTAAGGCGTCTAGTAGTCATTACAAAAATACGAATATATCAATATAAACCAAATGAAAGGAGTAAAGTAGGATATTAATAAAGAGAAAGAGGCGTTGCGGTCTTGAAGCAAGAAGTTTTATAACAACTCGGTTAGGAATAGTTGACACACTTTGAGTATAGGATGTAAAAGAACGTAGAAAAAGAAAGACGAGGGGAATTCGAATCGAAGAACTAAACTTTACACCTTAAAAAACGGGAGCCTCCAACGCTAGACAGGAAACGACTCACCGGGAATCCGGAGACTTTTGAATGAAAGCTAATGAAAGAACTCAGTTCACTACAGCAGTTAGTACGATATTTGCGCAACGATGGTTGGACCGGGAATACATCGTCGAACTAGTATCTCTTTTTCTTGGTTTTTTGAAGGAGTTTTTGTAAAATCGGTTAAATAACAAACTCGTTAACCCGTCACTTCCTGATAGCTGTCTATCTTCATTCCTTGAAATACCTAAGGAAGAAAATTTTCAACGGTATCTTTTCAGATCCTTCAAAAACCCAAGCTAGTTGTTTTTTCCATTCTTAAATGCATAACTCTATCCCATACTTACAAAGTACTCAAGCGAGTTTACGAAGGTATACAGAACTGTCTACTTAACCAACAAAGTTCCGTTTCTTAATTTCGCTTCCAGCTTTTCAAACAATACGAACAGTCTAAACCTGTTTTTAATTCTTGCTTGAAAAAAATGAGCGTTTTAGGTGTAATAAAGGAAATTTGGCCGGGCGTTGGTTAAAGACAAGTTTGGTTCTTGGAGTGGAAAGGAGATGTAAACAAGGGTTGTCGGGGTAACCTAATACATCATACAAAGGGGTAAGGGTCATACAAATAAAGCGATAAAAACAAACAAATGCTACTCTAAAAAGTCAAGTTTACAAGATAAACAGCTAGTTGAAGAATAAGATAAAGAGAAACTATGTGCTACCTTCATTAATGAATTGTTTTCCATAAATATATATCATGTTTGAAACTTGTCACGATCAGGACAGAGAAGGACTGAAAGCTTCCGTAATGTATGAATCCAACTGAGCTTTTGTAAATCGTATATACTAAAAAGCGGTTAGTATTCTTCTGCTAAAATGTAATGTTATAGAAACATGCCTTTTCTTTGTACTTCGTAAAATCACTCGTGAAATATCTGTTTGTTAGTAATGCTGCTAGGGAAGATATGGACTTTTGCATACTTGTCATAAAATCTCTGATACAAAGGCAAAACTGTCTTCCGCACTTCTTGTAAGAGAAATTTAGCAACCGAAGGCTCAAAGCGTACAGATTCTTTGTGGTTCTCAACTATACTAGTAATCTGTTCATTAAAATTTCGGAATTTCTCCTTGGTTGCTTCTCTATCTTTGGTAGACATATTCGGTTTTTCTTTTGCTTTCGTATAAGTAGCATCTAACATGTTTTGGGAACATTGACGCCAAACATCCATATACATACTTGAGTACTTTTGAGATAATTCTGAGAAGTTGTTATAATGTTCGTCATCCAAGTAAGTTGCAATTTCGGATTCAACGCAAGCAGACTCAAAGTAGACACTTATATTTAAGAGAATTATACCCTTTTTCCAAGTTAAGGTATCTATAGCGTTGGCACTTTCCTCCACAGAATTCAGATGAGACAAGAGACAGTCCATAATATAGTTCTGGGCTAACTCTCTTGCTGTTGTTGATTGCGGTAAGTCGGCTGTCACTTCATGTCGCCAACCCCAATCACCGATACTTTCTAATAAATAAAATGAATCCTTATATTGGCATAATCTTGTTAAAAATAGCATAATACCTCGAGCAATGTCACTGATCCCGTTTGTGCTTAAAGCCACGGGCTTAGAACTGTTGCAGTAGCCATTGTAAAGATTCGATAAGGAAGAAATGATAATTTTTTCGACTTCCTTCCGAACACCAGAAACTAAATCGAAAAGAGCGACATCCTCGAAAGGCATATTCATTTGAATGTAGTCCTCAGTGATTTTCACACAGTGTATTAATGGAAATAGTATATGATTCTCAAGAGAAGACTGCTGTTCATATGCTGTTTCACATTGATGTATACTATTTGACACAGTTGAGATAACGTTCTTTCCGATTCGCTGGTATAAGGCTTGAGAGGTTTCTGTATCATATAATTGGAGTAGCTCTGAAGCTGTAGCAGAAAGAATTCTAGCTAAAGCAATCAAATATATTCCAATCTCTTCTTTTCCTAAAACAAACTCTTTCGATGCTTCATTCAATTGTCCTGCTTCAGATTGTGAGAACAAGGAATTTAATAACTGGACCAAACATTCACTTTTAGTCTTGACGTAGTTAGAACTGATATCTGAGGAATAAGATATAGGATATAAAACTTCATTGTCAAATTGTTGGATCAATCCCATAAACTGCTGAAGCGTTTCCGTAGGAAATGCCCATGTTTGATCCAAATCCAGTATGGTCGTTGTCTTCTTCAAAGATGATGCTGCATGAGTCTGTAAGACTTTTTGGCACAAGGAAGAAAGTCTGCTGCATGTTTCGCTTAATGCAATCTCGACTTTACGCTGTGTTTTGGTCGAAAAATGAAGTGGACTTGACTGTAAACTTATATAGTAGCGAGCGAGCACTCTCAGCATTTTCATTACAAGCTGTATTTTTTCTGTAATTGAAGCATCATTTTTATCCGAAGTATTCAATTCCGCTTTAATTTTAGGGAGATTAGAGTGAATCACTTGTAGAACCTCCATTTCTTTGAGAGTATCATATATGTCTAATGGGGTTTCAGTAAGCGAAATTACTTATTAAGTACATACTGCTTGATACACGATTGTAGTTTGTAACGTCTCCGCGAATTACGCTTGTGGATTCTTCTAAAACACCCAAGCGTTTGTCCATGAACATCAATATATCCGATGCCTCCTCTATATCCTTTGCTACGGAACCAAGGCTCCTTTGGAAATTTTCTAAGCCTGGCAGAAGTCAGTAAACTGCAATTATTATACTCTGCCAATTCTACCTTTGTTTTCATCGAATACATCCCGCGACCTATATAATCGTTAATAATTGATAGTATTGTATTTCCTTACATTGTAAAATAATTATACGTAAAAATTCATAGAACAAGGAAAAGGGTACAACGAAGTTGGTTTGAACAGCAGGTTTCTGGAGTACAGTAGCAATTGACGCTGACGAAGGTTTTCAATAAACTAGAAAATCAGTTATGTGAAAAATGAAAGAGATTTACTGTCATATGTAAGTTTCTAATAGAAAATAATTATGGAAAATTAGGTGCTTCATTCTTTCTTTTAGGCCTTTCTTAAATGATACTTCATAAAGAGGAGAGCTGATCAAAAAAGATTTCCAAAATATATTGAATTTTAACGATTAAAATAAAGATTATTTTATTTACTAAGTATAGCATTTGCTCCTGAGCAACCCTTTCATCAATAGATATCTCTTAGAAAATCTTTGGTAAGAGGGGATTGAGGGGATAGAAATTCACGTAGAAGAACGACAATTTATAAATACCAAATCCTTTGGAGCAGAAAAATTTATTCCATGTTTTGTTCTAATAATACAAGCAGCGATAAGCAACTGCTTTAGGAGAATCCAGGTTTTTCGACTGAAATTCATAACCTAGTCGTCCTAACACTGAATGAAGTAATTTAAAGTCTTCCTCAGTTCCGTTCTTTTTAACCGAATGTAAAGCAAACAATAACAACTGTTTTGATAAAGTCCTTCCTTCTTTATGCAGGAGTTCTATATTACCGATAGCTTCAGTATACTTCTTGACTAGTATTTGTAGAGCAATATAATTCTCTCGTAATTTGAATTGATCAGACTGGTTCAGATGTTTACCTTCTTTACTTATGGCATCCGCTAATTCTAGCGAACGAAGATTGAACGCCAACTGAAAAACAATTTTGTAGTCAACAAGAGTTAAGAGTTTCTTTGATCGTAAATTTGCGAAATAGCGCAAAATGATTGCTAAATCTTGGCTAAAAAGTGCTGAAAGCATTAATAGTCTGGAAATTATGGCATAAGTGGGCTTAGAAGCATCCTTGAGAAATTCCGATAGGCTTTTCTCTATTTGGGCTGATGATTCAAACTTTTTATAAAAAGATTCTGCTATTGGCATTAAAAATTCCGCAGTTGACTTTGTGTGTGTTCCTTTGTAAAAATTTTGGAAAAACTTTAGTGCAAGCAAAGGCTTGTTTTCAAAACATAATCTGTCCGTTATTTCCTGGTATAGCATGTAATTAACAGGAAAATCACGCTTGGCCAAGTAAAGGGTAAGCTGGATGGCTGCTTCAAGCTCCTGATTCGCGCAAAGAGCCGTGACAGCCATATCCATTGAAGTTGCATTAATACTCTGAAAATTCTCCCGATATAGTATCGGAAGCAAGAACTTTATCCCACTTGTATGATAAGAATAGGCAAAACATAACAACAGTTCGTAATAAATTTTTTCAAGTTCGCGCTGCTGAGCAATTGAGTAAGTAGCTCTTCGTTTTAGTAAATCCTGCAACAAGGTTTCCACCAGGAAATAACAAGTATCCACGTTGGTTCCAGTACGTGCAGACGTCAGTAAAATCCTTCGAAAGACATGCAAGTATACTGGTAATTCACTAGGAAAAAAAGAAACCAGTGCCATCATATCGTACGCATTTCTTTCTCTCACAAAAACCCAAAGAAGATTGGTGATGGATTCAGAACTGAGTGCCAACATGCTATTAGCAGCGATTTCACGCAAACGAGAAGCAAGCTCTCCTGATTGATTTTTTTCTGCGATAGAAGTAGCTTTTTTAAAGAAGTTACTAGTGAGTAAGCTATTATCGTGACCATATTGGTTTAAAATATCATGTACTTCATCCTCACTGCTTTTCAACGTAATTAAGTCTCCAATATCAACGTTTCGTGTAGACCCCTTCTCATTTAAAATAGAAGAAAAAAGCTTCATCCGTTCTGGATGAGTATTCAGCTTTTCCAATGTACTCAAAACAGCCCTGCTCTCTAAGGAAACAGGATGTACGTGTACACTTCTAAAAAGCAATTTTGATGCAAAAAGAGCATTGCGAAGTCCATTTCTGTTACATATTCTCATAAACATTTCGCGTACATCTGAAGTTTACTTTGCTAAATTCAGATAATTGACATCCAAAACAGTTAATGGAGAGCCTTAATAATCAAACAAAATTTCATTAACGTTTTCTTTAATCTTGTAAAAGAAAACTTGGATTTTGAATTGATTTTTTAAGTTTTTGAGATGCTCTCGGGTGTGAATACACTTTCAGTGACTTATCACTTTGTTCTGAGAGTATATACATAAAGGTAGCGATGTTACTTTGGTGAAAATAAATATTGATTAAACAAATCAAGGGTAATAAAAAAAAAAAAAAAAAAAAAAGTTATTAAACAAACCCTTTTCAAATAGAAGAGTAATTCTCTTTGGCGCATATATATATATTATATAGGGCTGTCTATTTAGCAAGTAATGCTTTGGCTTTATGGAAGTAATTAAAACCCCTTCAATGTGAACATCCTCATACATGTAGACATGCCAGATCGATATTGTTTAGCATCTAAAAATAAACAATAAAAACAGAAACACTGAGATGCCAATGAACGCTTTCTTTACACCTTTTTCGCTACAGAAATCATGTTTATCCCAGATGTATGATGGCTACTACAAACACCCCAATAATTTGCGTGGTTATACGTACTTTCTCCACATATATATATATATATGCATATACACGACGTCTACGCTTTTCATACTGCTATAAGAATTGAATCTATGAATACCAAGATTTTATTTATCCTCAATGCTCAAGTAAATTACATGGTTTAAAGGAAACCAATGCGGTTAGCAACGTCAAGAGCATCGGCATCAGCAGAGAGCTTAACGAAAGCCTTCTTGGTACCGTTGGGGCGAATCAAAGTGTTAACATTGACGGCTTCAACGTCGTAAAGCTTACGAACAGCGTCCTTGATGGTGTTCTTGTTGGATCTCATGTGCACAATGAAGACAAGAGTGTTGTCGTCCTCAATCTTCTTCATAGCAGATTCGCTGTTGAGAGGGTTGAGGATGATCTTGAACTCATCAAGACGAGGGGCATGAGCAACACTCTTACGAGCGTACTTGGGCTTACGAGGAAGCTGGAGAGTCTTGGGGCTAAAAATAAAAAGTTAGTAAACTGGGAATGATATATAGAATAGCCAACTACTGCATTTGATAATATTGGATACAGTGAACACATTTCCAATATACACAGAACTAAAGCTCTAATCGTTATACATACCGACGGAAGGTGGTAGAAGTACGAACCTTCTTGGCAACCTTGTTGTGGACTCCCTTTTGAACGGTCTTCTGTGCTCCTTTAGCTTTAGCAACGCTCATGATGTCCTGTCAACTAAGAGTTGGTTGTTGCTTGTAGCAGGAAATTCACAAAAGTTTGCTCTTCTTGAGCCCAAAAAAGCAGTCCAACCCTACCCTATAACTGAATGCCTATACATGGAAATACATGAAGTTACTTTCTATCTCTCACAAAAAGAAATAACGAAAAATACCGTGACTTATTTATTCCTGCAAACCGGCTTTTACACGACAGATGTAAATACATAAAGAGGTATATGTTATAAGTTTTTAGTATACCATCCTTTGAGCACCTAAACCAATTTAAGCAACTTTACGGAGCTAAACAGTTTCATATATAGTCGCGCTGATATAGTTAGTTTCTTTACGCTCTACCTACATCAATGGTTTCAAATTACCAGAAATAAAAGAATGCTTGTCATGAATCACAATTACAGTACTCAATTATGGACATAGTATTTTCTCTTTCTGTACTATATTGCTAAACCCGTATTTCTTTGTTCAAACTAAAACCATGAATCACCACGCGTTCGCGTCTCGTATGTTCATTCAAATTCATTAAAAGCGTTTGCGAATCACAACACAATTTATATTTCTAAAACATTTCGCCAAACTAATGAAGGTGTTCTGCGGTTAAAGGAAGGACGAGAAGAATGAGCGCTAGAGATTTAGCGAACGTTAATGCTAAGAAAAGTTAATATTGCTGAATCAGCAAATTGTGGGATACGGAGATAAGTTGAGATTCTCGCCTAAAGGAGGTTTACCATAAGTGGAGTGGAAATACTTGCGATGGTGTAAGAAAAAGACGAGATGTTGTAATCGGCCTACGCGCTGTCTCGTTAAAGATCGGAGAGATATTTTCAAGGATTTATATAGCCACTATTTCCCATTATATAAAGGTCATTTGGATAGATCACATTTCCAGTTAAGACGTTATAGTCATGATGAGAAGTCTGTTTCGGTCGATTCCCAAGCGGCTGGGACCTAATAAACTGGTTTTTTGCCGGTTTCAAAGCTCGAACCCTCAAATGTCATTTCCTTGCGTCGATCAGGCACAGGAACGCAATCGCAGATATGAAGAAAGTCTTCAGCAGTTTCAAACTTCAAGTAATGAAGATCCAGGGGCATGCATAACTTCTCCTTCGCTTGCCTCGGGTCCTGAACCCATTTATGGAAAAATTGTATCGGGTTTCAAAAAGTTCAACTATAATAATGTTTTCCTTTGTGATCACGGTGGTATTTTACCTAAATTTGAATTGGCTTACGAGACCTGGGGAACTTTAAATGAAGACCGCTCAAATGCCATTCTTTTGCATACTGGTCTTTCTGCTTCTTCTCATGCTCATTCTCATCCTGATAATCCTCAACCTGGTTGGTGGGAACAATTCATTGGACCAGGAAAAGATTTAGATACTAATAAGTTTTATATCATTTGCTGCAACATCTTAGGAAGCTGCTACGGTAGTACTGGTCCTTCTTCTATTGACCCTGGCGATGGAAAACATTATGCTACCCGGTTTCCCATCATAACTGTTAATGACATGGTTCGTACTCAGATTTTGCTTTTGGATCATCTGAAAATTGATAAGCTTCATGCTAGTATCGGTAGTTCTTTGGGAGGTATGCAATCGCTAGCTTTTGGTGCTTTAGCACCCCATAGAACTGCACGTATTGCCAGTATCTCCGGTGGGGCTAGATCTCATCCTTATTCTATTGCTCTGCGTTTCACACAACGCCAAATTCTTATGAATGACCCTCAATGGAATAGAGGTTTCTACTATGATGGCATTCCTCCTCACACAGGAATGAAATTAGCTCGTGAAGTCGCCACTATTTCCTATCGATCTGGACCTGAGTGGGAACAACGTTTCTCCACTCGTCGTGCCAACCCTGCTGTGCCTCCTGCCATGTGCCCAGATTTCTTGATTGAAACATATTTGGATCATGCCGGAGAAAAATTTTGTCTTCAATATGACCCCAATTCCCTTTTATATATCTCCAAGGCCATGGACATGCACGATATGACTGCTTCAAATCAAAAGCTCCTGGCCGAAAACCGAAAGAAAAATCAGCATAAACTTGAAAAATATTTGGCTGAGAATCCAAATGTCTCACAAGAAGACGTGATTAAAGCAAATTCTAACAGTGTTGTCTTGCCTGATACCCCAATTGAAGAAATTTCCAATGAGGATAGGACTCCTGAACCTGATGTAGATTCAGATTTAACCGCAGGTTTAGTCCCTCTACGAAATATTCCAACCATGATTATGGGTGTGGAAAGTGACAATTTAATGCCTGTCGCCTGTCAGCGTGAAACTGCTCGTTGTTTGGAGAAGGCTGGAAATGATAAAGTTGTATACCATGAATTAAATGCCGACGAAAGTTTCTATGGTCATGATACATTTTTGATTTATCGTAAAAACTTTAACTTGGTTGGAAGCAAGTTAAAGAACTTCCTTGAACAGAGTTAGGACTGGTGTTTATATATAGGCACAAGAAACTAATTATGAAATTGATTAATATGGTATTTATTTCTCGTCACGAAAACCGTTTTCTGACTTTACTTTTATACGATTTTGGGGTTTCTTCTTTAAAATTTCGATCATACGTGAATGTCCGTGAAATTGCTGGCTTTTAGAGACTTGGTTTTCTTGTAAAACTTCGCGGTGTAGCAAAGTTTGGTTGGTTTTATTTGTGTACCTTTTATTTGCGATCTCATTACAGAAAACCAGAGTATTTCTTCTACAATATAGCCTAATATTGTTACGAAATAGACTTCGCAAAAAATAAAAAGAAGTGTGGTCTACTAATAAATTTAATAAAAAAGAATCTAGTACAGCTTACTTTCTTAAAATACAAAAGACATGATGGCAGTAATGGGAATCATATTTAAGAACCACATCAATCGCAAAAGTATCGTTGAAAACTCTAATACATAAGATCTGTTATAAGAAAGGTTATATGAGACAAAGGTTTTGTAGGCGTTAGGAGACGAGCATCGTAAAAAAAATACAAGAAAGGAAAGTCTTTCAACAGAGCTGCAGAACGAAAGAAAAACTAATTATGCTTGAGTAGTGGTTGAAGAAGCAGCGGTGCGACCATTTTTTTTACGAGCAGCTTCAGCTTCTTTCTCTTGTTGAAGCACCTTGACGATGGAATCAATTTGTTCAGAGGGAAGGAATTCGACGTCTTTACCAGGGTCCATAATGGCAAGCTCAACGTTACCAGCAGAAGTCTGAACAACTTCCAAAAGGCTGTTAATTGTAAGTCGAATAGATTCATCACGGGACAAGTCTTCCTTCCAGTTCTTTTCCAAAAATTCACGAGCACCCTTGCTGGAGCGACCGATGGCGGAGGCTTTCCTATATTAAATCACGTTAACACAATCAAGAACCAAAATTAGGCAATGAAACAAGTTAAAGTCCAAAGCCATATTACATACCATGCATTATAAACACCTGCCGGCTCCGTCTGATAAATTCTAGGAATGTTGCTATTCACATCAAAGCCGGCAATAAGTGTCGATACACCAAACGGACGGACACCACCTGCTTGTGTATATTTTTGCTGAACACCAGCTACATAACGGGTTATAGACTCTAAGGAAACCGGATCTGCCAAGTTCAACTTGTGTGATTGAGCTTCTACACGAGCTTTATCAATTAAAATTCGAGCGTCCGCGTTTAGACCAGCAAAAGCCAAGCAGACATGGTTGTCGATTAATGCAATCTTTTGGAAACTTCCAGGATTTTGTAACTTGGGAACGTTTTTCTTCTCTACACCGATAACAATACACTCTTTTCCGCGAAGAGCAACCTACCTCAGAAGTTAGTCATACTTTCATCCAACAGTATCTCCTATTTGCAACATACCGCAGTAGTACCACGACGAACAGCTTCTTGACCGTATTCTACTTGAAGCAAGCGGCCATCTGGCGAAAAAACTGATAACGCACGATCATATCCTGACATTGTTCGTAGTTGGTAATATTCAAGTTGTTAAGCCTGGTCTCGTACACCTTTTGGCCGAGTGTTTGGTTTAAAGATACTGCTAACAATGTGGTACATAGTGGTTGAGGTCTGTATCTGTAATAGCGTACCATAGTGTGCTTTAGTTTTGTTTACCAAATAGTAAACAAATAAAATAAATCAATAAACATATTATTGAATGAAGGGTTGTTTCAGAATTTATTTAATTGTTTTATTTCTCTCTATGATTTAAATTTTTTTGCCATATGAAGGACAGGTTACACTACTACCATGCATGCTTTATACGTATCATCTTCATATTAAAGTGCTGTCGATAATCCTTAAAAGCAATCCTTCTACAATATTCTTCCTTTTTTATTTTTTATTTTTTAGCTTTTTTTTTTATTTATTTAAATTAACTATCAAATTACTAAATTAAGAGGATGCATTAGAAAGAAGTGAATATAGGAAAGCAGACAAAAAGGTGAAACCGTAAGAGGCAAAAAAAAAGAATAAGAGATCCAGAGTCGGAATAGACATAGCGTCAAATAATATCTGTAAAGTTTCGATAACTTTTAACAGTCAGTTGTAAAAAGCCCTATACCAAACAAAAAAGATAAAAAAGGAATAGTGGAGTAGTAATAGGTAAGCCAAGAAGATTCAAAATGTTACAAAACGGGTAATTTTCAAAAAAAGGAAGTCAATATTCGATCATAGGATCATTTAGGATGTTGCAATTGTGTAGATTGTTGAGCTTGGTAAGGAGGAATAGATCCAAACATATTAGTGTAAGGAGCAAATGGGGGAGCATAGGCAGAAGAGTTTGTATCTTGTTTGATATTCGATGGTGCCGTGAAAATAGGAGGATACATCGGGATAGTAAAGGGAACTGCAGAAGGTAAAATGGGTTGTGTTTGCACTGTATTCAATGAAGGGGAGTTATTCGTTGGAGACGAAAGATAAGAGTCAGATTTATCACAGCGATCACGAGCATATTGTATTCTACTCTTTTGAAAAGCTGGTTGTAATGGTAATCCATGAAATGCTTTCATGCCGTTTGAGATATTTGTGTAACTAACAAACCCAGTATTTGGTTGTTTCAAATATTTTATACTTTCGATTTCACCATACTGGCGTAGTATTAATTCCAATTCCTTTTTCGCCAAAGAGTCAGTGACTTTGCTAAAGTAAACATTACGGGAAGCACCCATAGAGATTGATGTTTCTAGCACACGCGGCAAAGGGCCACTTTCTTTCCCCCATCCGGACTTGATACGTCGTCCATGAAGGACAACTATTTCATTCGATATGTATGAATGGAAGGCTTTCGCATCAGCAATGTCAACAAATGTAACGAAGCATATATGCTTTTCGGGAATATAGTGAAAATCCTGTAAAGGTCCACAGTGTATGAGATCGCAAATTTCGGAGCCTTTAACTTTGGCATCCAGATTACCCAGAAAAACAGTTCGATTTTCTGTGACGGATTTTTGAGATATGTCAGTAGTAGATTCTTTCACTTCAGGATCAGAGGTGATAGAAAGCGAGGAAGAAGATGGTTTCGGGGATCCGTATGCAGGAGAATAAGTGCCCGTGCCACGATGCTCACAACGGTCAGTGCCATAAAATATTCTCCAAGCATGATAAACTGGATCAGAGGATAATGTTTGTACGACGCGAATTGCGTCTTTGATGTTTAAATAATGGATGAACGCAATATTCTTTTTAGACAAAATTTTCACACTTTCAATTTCTCCAAATTTACCAAAATGATCTAGTAGCTCACGTTCGCCAAAAGAAGAAGGAAGATTTCCGATAAACACATTCCTACTAGCGGCCATATTATTACAGACATTAAACACGGATTCTGCAAGGCGGCATGGTCTGGCAAAAGTAACCTTCAAAGATCGATTTTGAAACTGGAACCTTCGTCGATTATAATATTCGTGAAACTTTATAGCATCTTCTGCGTATAAAAAAGACAAAATCACCTTGTTTTTCTCAAGTTTCTGTTGTACTCTTTCCAAAGGACCTGCGTGAATTTGTGAGAGAAGATCGGTTATCTTGTATTCAGAGGGCAAGTTACTCAAAATCAAAACTCGAAAGTCTGCTAAATACTTCCCTTCTTGGTAAGAAGAGCTTGTAACATCCTTTGGATCTGGAGGGTGGGAAGCAAACGGAAGAGAAGAAGAAGACATTGATTGAAACGGGGCACACTGGACGGGATGCGCTGGGTAAGGATTATCAATAAATGGAATGATTTGAATGGGATAATAGGGGTTGGAGCCATAGTACAGATTACCAGAAGTCGAGTTAGTAGGCAACGAAGGAACGGCATTTGAAGAAGTAGGAGCAGAGTTAGAGTTTGAAGTAGATGAAGAAGAAGAAGAAGAGCATTCTTTTGATTTATTTTCAATGGATCTTGGTTGAAATTTTTCACTTGCATGGGAGAGTGTAACTTCATTTTTCGAGACTTGATCATCCAACTTCAACTTATTCTCTTCCCATAGATCCTTTGGCATGTCTGGAGCCTCAGAAAATTCAGTATTATCCGGAGAGTTCAGAGAGCTGGAAATAGAATAAGAATCAAATGATTTTGAGTGCTCTTCTTGCTCACAACTCGACAATTCGTTTTCTTGTCCTTCTACAAAGTTACTTTTCAAAACATCGGAGGTATCATCTTCTTCCTTTTCAAAAAGGATGTCTTCGTTCATACTCAACCTGGTCGTTTGAATAGTCTCAGATGGCACAATGTGAACGACCATACTTTGATCTTTTGCTTGACTGTCGTCGTGGCAGGAAATGATAGAGTCCTTCATCTTCATATCTTTTATTAAAAAAATAAAAAACAATAGATTATCTTGTAGAGTCTCTGATTGCAATACGTAAGCCAAAAACTTCAGAAAGCTTGTACTGCGAAGTATAGAAAACGCTGAGAATGAGAGCCTCTATTTAACCTATCTCAAGAGTGATCAAGTAAGTCTTTCGTAATTCATAAAAAGCCTATTTTCCCCTCCTTTTCTGACTCTTGTTGAGTTGTAATGCAGGTGTAAATAAACAGACCTTGTCCTAATTAGCTCTTGCCTCTGCCTTTCCTGGGGACCCCAAAATAAATGACGTACACACCCTTAGTTTAATATTTCCCACCAATCAAATAAATCAAAAACCCCGCATTCCAAAAATAAAGTAAAAAAGCTATGACCAAGCGATATCTTGTCGCTCATTCATTGGACTAAACCTCTGATGTAACACTTTCCATTTGGAATGTAAACATACAACACGCAAAACAAAAATTCAGAAAAAACGCTCCAGAACAAATGGCTTTGCCATCTCCATTACTAATATATGATTAAAATGTTGAAAGAATAGTGGTTTGAAGGAATGCGCAGCTCCAGATTGGCCTGGCCCGGCCTGGCCTAGTGGAAAGAGGAGTGGCTGTAACAAGCCCATTATGAAGGAAAAGCAAATTCCAGAGAAAGGATACTTTTCTCCCAGCAAGCATAAAGGGTCTAATTAAAATGAGACATCTCATCATCCATGTAAAGGATCTAGTAAAGTCAGTATTTTACCATGTGTTCATTCTCCAACAGGTTACATCTTCTTCTTCACTTCTTTTTCCTTCCTAGCAAAGAAGCATCATGTAAAAGTAAAAATTTACACGCGTCTCTTCCACTAGAGATAGATCGTCGAATCGCATATTATTAAATTACTACACCCTGTATTTATTATCTAAAATCGCAAAAAAAAGAGTGAATCATCGAAAGGCTTTCGATAACGATTGATAGGCATGTAGATGTGTATTAGACCCAACTTTTATTATTTCTGGACTTCCTTAGAAAAGAGGTACATGCACTGAGAACAAGGAAACAAAACAAAAGATTAATTCATTTATTTTTAGTTCCCATAAAAGGTCGGTTCTCAATTTCAAACCAAAAGAAGTTTACATGCCGTAAAAATAAGAAAGTTGAATGTTTTAAAAAATTGAAACAAAATGAAGTTCATTTAAAGCATGCGATGAATTTCTCGATCCTGGAATTTGCTTGAATGATCCACATCCGTCCACCAATGGAACAAAAAGTGCTGGCAAATTAACTTGAACCATGGTGTAAACTTGTATTGAGGATCTTCAAACATGGCCTTCAATTCATCCATAGTAACATATTTATAGGCCTGTACCTCATTTGGGTTGATGTCCAACTCGACTTGACCTTTATAAAATAGGATATAGTCGACTACACAATCATGATTAGCAAACACCATCCCAAATTTGTTTTTTTTTTTTTTTCTTTCTGCACTTACTCTCATGTTCTCCCCATTTTTCTATACTGGGTGCAAGGTAGTGAATCCTGGTTAAAAATTGGTACTTATCTTTAGGAATATATTCGGCCTTAATTCCTAACTCATGAAGGAGCTTTCTTTGAGCTGCAGATTTCACACCCGAAATAGCTTCATCCAACTCAGATCCACGCTCGGAGGCAACGTCTAAAGGATGTGAGCAACAGGTGTTGGTCCATAAGGATGGAAAAGTAATCTTTTCAGCTGCACGTTGTTGTAACAAAAGACGGTTCTCATTATCGAAAAGAAACATAGAAAAGGCTCTATGTAATAATCCGGTATTAATATTTTCCATCAAATGACCTAAAGTTTTCATTAGCTTTGAACCGTTCAACTTTTTTTTTTTTTTTTTTTTCCATAGTGAACCTCATACATTCTTTTTTAGAACCAGATCGTACAGGCTTATCGTTTTCATCTACCACAATACAAACTTCTTCCATTAATCTCAATTGCTCTTCATCGTAGAGCATTTGCTCTTGTGTGACGCTCATCGTTTATGTTGGTGAAGGGTAAGATGTCTTGTTCGCGTCTGCTTCGTACCGCCCACCAACAACCAACTACGAGAAACTTTGGAATTGTTTCCAGTTACTTCGTATTTTGGTTGATTAATTCTCAAATTATATTTATTTAAAAGTAATTAGAATTTTTTTGGTCTCTTTACATTTGCTTGCAGATTCTTTATTTGCCTTTGGAAAGATACCTACCTATATAGGACTCTCCTATTCGCAGTATTATTGACACATTTCTTGCTCATTTTGCTGTCTTTTACCTATTCACTATATTAGTAGTAGGTGCCACTTTATAGGCCTGCATCGTTTTTTCCTTCTTTTTTTTTTTTTTTTTCTCTCCCCCTTCAGCCATTGGGAGTTTAAGATAAAAACATGGTGAAACGTCGTACAGCCGCTGTCCTTCCAATTAATCTCCCTCATTTACAGCATTTGGTAAAAAAGGATCCTAAATCCTATAGGGACGAATTCTTGCAGCAGTGGAATCATTATGAAACTGTCAGAGAGATCTTCCTTATTCAACCGTCAAACGATGTTACAGAATTCAATTCTCTTATAGACTTTATTGCTCAAACATGCAACCACTATACAGACATCACTAAAGATTTTTCAAAGGAATTGATGGATTTACTTCAGAAAAATCATGCCCAATTTCCTTTTGAACTCTCTGAAAAAATTGTACAAGCACTAGTCTTATTGAAAAACAAGAGTGCTTTATCACCCATCGCACTTTTGCAGTGCTTTTTTCCTTTGTTTAGTAGCAACCCTTCCCGTGCCTTTCGTGACCTCCTATATGGTCAAGTTTCTTTAACGGTGCGCAATGCAAACAAGAAAGCTAAGGACGATAAATTGAATAAAGCTGTTCAAGCTGCTTTATTCACTCTAGTGGAAACTTCGGACACGGCTTCTGTCACCCACACGGATTATTCCAACAAAAAGCAGGAGTATTCACCTAATGAACTCACGGGTATGTGGGCCGTGAAAATGGTTCAAGATCTATGGAAACGGAATATTTGGTCAGGTGATGCTCGTGCCGTCAATATCATGAAAACAGCCGCTTTATCGAACAATACTAAAGTTATGCTGAGTGGTATCTATTTCTTCTTGGGGGCCGATACCCAGGGCGAAGAAGAAGAAGATTCGGACGAAGAAGATACAGACGTTGGCAGATTGATGCATCAATCGACCATTAATAAGAAAACTAAATCACGTGAAGCCCAGGTAGAGCGCATTCGTGCTCGTTTAAAAAAGAAAGAAAAGGGAAAGCTCGCACCCCCTACGAACGTTAACTTCCCTGCTCTTCAACTTTTATACGATCCTCAAGGGTTCGCTGAAGAGCTTTTTGAAAAGCAATTAGTGAACTCAAAGCGATCACTTTCTATGGATCATAAGCTTGTGGTTCTCCGTCTCCTAACAAGATTGATTGGTGCTCATAAGTTGACCGTCTTAGGTCTTTATTCATACATGATGAGATATTTAACCCCTCATCAACGTGACGTTACTCAGTTTCTTGCTTGCTTGGCCCAAGCTAGCCATGAATTTATCCCTCCTGATGTTTTAGAGCCTTTGATTCGAAAAATTGCTGATGAGTTTGTCACTACGGGTGTTGCCAACGAAGTTGTTTGTGCCGGTATTAACGCTATTCGAGAGGTCTGCGCACGTTCCCCTTTTGCAATGACAGCAGATCTTCTACAGGATTTGACCGAGTATAAGTCTAGTAAGGATAAGGGTGTTATGATGGCTAGTCGTGGTCTCATTAGTTTGTACCGTGAAGTTGCTCCTGACATGTTGAAGAAGAAAGACCGCGGAAAGGTTGCGTCAATGGAGTTGAAGGATCGTACTCCGATAAAGTTTGGCCAGGAACTGAATGTTGTTCATGGTATTGAAGGCTTAGAACTTCTTGAGAACTATAAAAACGAAAATAAGGATGATGGAAACGAGGAAGACGATGAGAAGTGGGAAGTTATGGACAACGATAGCGATTCGGAAGACAGTGAAGGCTGGGTTAACCTAGGAAGCGATGATGAAATAAACATCAGCGACAGTGACGAGGAAGAGAGTGATAAGAAAAACAAGGAAAGGGCATCAGAAGACAAAGCTAAATCTGATGACGAGAAGAACAAACAGGAAATCTCCAATTTGGCTGCTCGTTCTATATTGACACCAGCTGATCTGAAGAAACTGGAAGAGCTGCGCGAAAAAGCTAATGTCGATCGCTTAGTTCATGGGCCAAAACGCGCGCACGACAATGACGGTGTGGTTGATATATATGATATCGAAGGACCAAAGAAGAGGATAAAGGATGATCGTGAAGGACGTTTGGCACGTGTCATGGAAGGTCGTGAAGGCCGCGAAAAATATGGCTCCAAGAGTAACCAATTCAACCCTACAAGTCTTTCGAATAAGAGGAAGCAAAAGAACAAGAACTTTATGATGATTAAACATAAAGCAAAAGGAAAGGCTGGCAGAAGTCTTATGCAGAAGCGAAAATCTCTGCGAGATCATATTGATCGCGAGAAAAAACGTGTTAAATAAGGTAAATATTGATGTCAATGGTTTTCGATGGTTTAATCTTGTCTCTGGGTGAATTTTTTTGGTAATAGTATTATAGAAAGGATCGGTTTAGGGATTAGGACAAATAATAATTAATTGCATTAGAATATAAGGATATTCGCAAATGAAGCTTGATTCATTATTTATTATAACTATTGCTTAACATCAAAGACTCATTATGATCATTATATATTTCTTCGTGAACATCTTAAAGAAGACAGAGCTGGTATTACACCACATACACCTTCCTGAGTGATTCAGAGGGATAATCTTTTCCTGAGAAGGGATCCTTCAAATATCCTTCTTGTGTTCCATTAGCTTCATTCCATGCAATTAAGCTTTTAATTCCGTAAACATGTCCATTTGGAAGCGCAACAGGCCGATTATCGCTATCCAGTCGAGAACCCGTCAATGAATCAACAATAACAGATTGAGTAACATGAGCATAAGGTAAAGACTGTGCAAGAGCGCTTAGGTTTGGAGTGCATACAGGACACTGTCGAATGGCTGAGGATTGAAAGGAATCAATGCTGTGTTCATCCTCGTAATTATAACAAGAAGGAGTTTTCAAGGAAGAGAGACCAGCAGCTATCGCAATATGTAGAATGGAGACAGAGGAAAGAGAATGCACTTGGCTAAACGTTTTGGAAAACAAAGATGCCAAGAAGTCCCACCGTTGATCAGAAAGATATTCCTAATTAAGTGTTAGAAGAGGTAAAAATTAAGGGATAAGCTTACATTATATCTAAAGACTTTTGAAGAGTACGGAATTGCCAATAAGGCAGCAACTTGCTGAAGACGGTCTGCATGCGTTTTGGTCCAATTACCAAAGTAAGTTCTTGCAAAATTAATTGCTTGAACCTTTTTGTTTGTCTTTACCAGTTCAACAAAACGCTGAATCCGAATTTCGAGTTCGAGTGTACTGTTGATCTTCTTCAAAATCGATCGATGCTCGGCGCACCATGCAAGTACTTCTTTCAACTCATGTCGTAAAATAGAATCGAGTATTTGTTGGTACCTCTTATATACATCAATGTCAACCATTTCATAAAGATCGGAATTTTTACACAGTTTTATGGCAGAGTCATGATAGCCGTTTGCTAACATGTAATCTGCAATCAATCTATTCAAACGAGTCTTAGACCAATCTAAAAATTCGGGTGAGTCCAAGTCCTCAATTTGGCTGAGAGTATTTATGAACTGTAACCGCAGTCTTGTTCGCTGAATATGCATTTTCTCGACCTCTTTTAGCTGTTCCATCTAAATGACTGTTAGCAATATATGACTATAGAGGCATTTACCTTCTTCTTTAAATTCCGTATCCTTAAGATCAGGTTATCAATTTCTTGGGTTTTACTTTCAAGTGGAATTGACTTTTGAAGCAACCCTGTAAGCGCCGAAGTCATTGCGTGGGATTCATGCTCTACTTGTCGAACTTCTTGTTTAAAATTCAATCTCAATTGTTCGAAAGATAACAGAATTCCAGGCTTTTCGAGCATAAACTGTTGTTCCAAGGAAAAACTCATAATGCTTAAGTATACTTGCAGAAACAAGAGAAGTAAAATTGATTCCACAAAACAATTAAGCTTTCTTCTTTACTAAAGTAAGAAAACAGCTACGTCGTTAAGAAAGAGTGTGTTCACGTAATTCAGCTTGAAGCAATAGAATCTAAAAAAGCAGCAAGAAAAAGCAATTCAGCAAATTAAGAGTAGAAACAATGATTGTAATATACAGTTAACTCCTATTTTCTTGATGAAAGATTATAATTACAAACAAGTGCCCTTGTTCAATATTGGTAAAGGATGCAAAGCAAAGAACGGGAGAGTTGTTCACGTCAAGAACCATAACGATGGATATGTCGCTGGACAGATCCTTGGATGAAATTATTAAAGACAAAAGAGTAAGTCAATTAAAATGAACAGTATCATTTACAATTTAGAAAAGTAGTGTCTTTCGAAGAACAGGAAAATCCGATCGTCAGAAGAGAATTACCAAAAGACGGGGAAAGGTATATGCTCGCGAAATATTCTAAATCCATATTTTTATTGAATGCTAACTGTTTGCATGGAATCCAGAAACCAGTAAAAAGATCTACTTATCAGAATCCTTCTATAGACGATGAACCATGGCAGCATGATTTGAACCAGGAAGATGACTCTTCTGGAAGCGTAAAATATATTAGAAAAGGAAGGGATAGGTATGTTTACAACTAGAGCTGCTTATTTTGGTTTTCCAACAACTTTAGCTATATTCGTTGGTCCGGTTAACTAACAGTACTCTAGAAACACTTCCTCTGAATCTTTACACACGGTTATTATTGAAAATTTACATTATGAACTATCTGAAGAGAATATCAGGGTACGTTGTATAAACATATGAATACGGTATTGGAGCAACCGGCTTGAGCAGAACGGCGTGAGTTTTCTACTTTGGATGTCCAGTATGACATTCAATGTTTTATTCGGATGAAACATGAAAGGCCTACTGCGAGATTTCATCAATGTCAACTGTAACTAAAGGCTTTTACCTTACAGATCAGAGCCTATAAAGAGAAAAAACTGATACTCGAAAACTCATGGCCCTTGATTTAAAAGAAGTATTTTTTTTTTCTGGAAATTTTAGAGGATATAATTTTCAACCTGTTTGCTCAATGTTCAATGAAGTCATCTTCTTGACCGTTATTTTTATTCAGTCGTGTTTTCCAATTATTCACCATAAGATGATCAATGTTAACAAATTCTCTTAGTCACTTCTGTCTGATTTTCACCCTCATTCTATTGAAGTGGATTACGATCGAGCCGGTCGTTCTGAAGGAACCTGTCGTGCTTTCTTCTTTTCGAAAGGAGAAGCATCAAATGCTGTTAATAGCTTAGAAGGTCGTTTTGTTAATGATCAGCCTATTAAGCTATATTTGAAACCTCCCACGTCCCTGCTGGATCGAATTTCTTTTTCCGGTACCGAAGATGCTGGTAAAGAAGCTCCATCTAGGAAACTAAGACGTTCAAATAAAAAACGAAATTCCCAAGCTCATTCCATTTCTCATGAAGATCTCGATCGAGAACTTGATGCGTACGCTGCTTCCTACCAAGCTCCTGCAAGTTTTGAAGACAAGCAAGAAAACAGTTCTGATAATACAAGACTAGAAGGGGGCGTTAAAGGTGATGGAGTAGCATCTGTACAAGATACGGAGGATATGCAACTTGATGATACGTGAACTGAGTACTGTATTAAAGCCAAAAAAAAAGAAAAGGTCTTAATGAAATTTGTTTTTTTTTGTACAGTAACATATTGTAATTACTTGAGTCTTTGGAATGAATTATCAATGATTTTCCTACTCCTCTAAACACTGTAGGAAACATACCATTTCCAATATAAGTCCGTTTTGACAGTAGTTTGCCTTTTCAGCAACCAACTATTCAATTTGCATACATCTATGATTTAAAAATATTATCTTTTAGTTAATATTTATTTTTTTGGGTTTTTCGCGAGTTTCAGTGAACATACAATAAATAGAATTGGGCACTATTTTAGGACATTAGCTTTGGCTCACCACCCAAGAAATCTTTATTTGATTGTTGCTAATCACAGTTTCATAATTAAAACATGAAATTTTCAATTATACCTACTGCTGCCTTGCCCGAGTATGAGGGTCCATTACGTGTTGGTTCGGTGGTAATTGAAATGAGTGTTCCTAAAGAACTTCAATGGAAGTTGCCAAATATTGAACATGAATTAAAAACAGTCAAATTACGAATGTTTTACCCCATTTTCCCAACTGAAGATCTCAGGTCCCGAAAAGACGAGTTTTGGCTGCCCTTCAATGAAGGGATTCCACATATTGCAAAAGGATTCAAATGGTGGGTGATTCGTGCATGTGCAGCACAATTTTCAAAAACATCTTTACCTGTTTACGAGGGGACTGTGTTTCAGGATAACCAAAACACCAAGCTGCCTGTACTGTTATTTAGCCATGGACTTTTGGGTTCGAGGAACCTTTATTCCTCCTTATGTGGGAATATCTCTTCTTACGGAATCGTTGTTTTGGCTTTAGAACACCGTGACCAAACTGCTATAATATCGACTGTTCGTGATCCTAGTCACCCGGATGATAAAGGTTATCTTGTGCAGTATCGAGAAATCAAGGATTTTTACAGCAAGGAAACCATAGAACTACAAAAGGATAGATTAAGCTTTCGTGAAAGAGAAATCCAGCTTGCCGTGAAAATGATACGCACAATCAATGAATACGGTGTGCCTAGTCTTGACACAGCCTATTCTTGCTCTGGAAACCCCGACACCTGTAGACAGCTCTTTGAATCACTAAAAGGTCGTTTGAACACTTCAAAAGGAGAGCTTTTACTTTCAGGTCATTCTTTTGGCGCCGCCACTGCTGCATTTATAGCAAATTCATTAGCTCGTTCTCTGGATTGCAATAACCTACATCATGAAGAATATAAATGTGTGCTTTTGTATGACATTTGGATGCTGCCTGTACTCCAGATGAATATACAAAAAATAAAGTACCCTACTATGATGATCGTATCTTATGAATTTCGACACTGGGCTGATAATTATGATGCCTTAGAGAATTGGCTTTTGGATCGTAAGTCAGAATCAAAGGTTGATGAGGAAACTTCTTCTGACAAATTCGAAATTATACCAACTAAGAAACCATCGCACGTGTTCGTCTTAGATGGGACAGTCCATGCAAACCAAAGTGATTTACCAATTCTTTTACCAAGTATGATTTTTAAATTACTTAAAGGAAAAGTAAAAGCCGATCCTTATGAGGCTTTAATGATTAATGCACGTTCTTCTGTTCAATTTCTGCGGGAAAATGGGGTTCAACTTCAAGGGCAGAATGATCCTGACTGTTTGAAGTCGGAAGTCATTCCTGGATGGGTGAAAATCATCTAAATAATAACTTATTTTTTTATTTTATTTTGATTTTTTTGACTATAAGGTAAGGGATACCTTTAATTATTTAATCGACGTTGCTAATATTGTGGATGCCTCAAATTGATTTAAGAATTTTTTTACAAGGACCGCTAATGCTTCTTTGTATACTTAGCCGTCCTTAACTTATTCTTGGTTTGAAAAACAAGATCAATTTCATACGATATATTAATCTAATGTAAGTTTGAGAACTTAAAATCTCATTTTATTACTGTTCATGATATTAATAATGAGATAAATTAAAACGTTAGTTAATAATTTGAACAGGCAAAAATAAAAGCACATCAACTTTGCAGATATTACTTGCAAGTAGAAGGCATTTTTTATTAGGATTCATTGAAAGCAAGCTAAATAGTCACAGAAATCAAAACTGTAAAAGAGAAATAAGGGAAAAGACTTCACAATCATCAATAAACCTTTTCTTTTCTTTTTGTATAAAATGCATAACATATGGCATTTCTTTTTTATAATCCGTCCATAACCAATCATGAGACATAAACATGTTCACACGATGCCAAAATTAATAAATATTTATAGGACGAATTATTGAATCGGTAGCAATTATATAGAACCCAAAAAGCAATAAAGAACAATCAAAAAGGATTCCAAGATAACATACAAATCATAGTCATCATAATTCAAGGATTTATTCTTTTACGACTGCCAAAAATAGAATAAATATCAAATTTTCCAATTCATTTAGAGTCTTAAAAGTCTTGGAAAATATCAGAGAATTCTGGATTCTCATCGTTACCATAATTAGTAGGCCCAGTGGCATAAGCCTCAAATTGACTCGAATCACCCATGCCAGCACGGATTGGAGGTACATAAGGAACTTCAACTTTACGAGTCAAGATTTTATCCCAACTAATATCTCGGAACCAAGGATGCATAATGATATCCATACTTCCATCTTTTAAATTTCCATACCGATTCGTAATATCTCTTTGAAGAAGATGATCCATAAGGTCAATGCTAGCTTGGGAGAAATATTGGGGATAAGAAATGCTGCCTTCAAGAATGTTCTCATAAAGTTTCATAGGATTTTCCGAATAGAAAGGAGGATAACCAGCAAGCATTTCAAAGATGAAAATACCCAAAGACCACCAGTCAGCGGCTTTGTTATAGGGCTTCAAGGAAATAATTTCAGGAGCTAAGTAGTCGGGGGTTCCACATAAGGTGAAACAATTATTCGTAGAAACACGCTTTGCAAATCCGAAATCGACAATTTTTAAGTGTCCAAATCGATCAAGTAAAAGATTTTCAGGCTTTAAATCCCGATACACAATTTGGTTGTGATGCAAGTAATCTAGAGCTAATATAACTTCAGCAGCATAAAACTTTGCAACCTTTTCTGGGAAGCGATGGCATTTTCTAAGGAGAGAAAACAACTCACCTCCTTCTGCGAAATCCATGACCATAAATAAATTTTTAGCGTCTTGAAATGTTCCCCACAAAATGGTTATGAAAGGATGCTGAACTCTAGAAAGGATATACCGCTCATCGCAAGTGTGTTCCACTTGCTTCATGTCTACCACCTTCCGTTTTTCTAAAACTTTTATCGCATAGAACAACCGGTTGTGCTTGGATTGAACAAGATGTACTCTTCCGAACGAACCCGTACCTAAAGTTTGAAGAAAACCAAAGTCTTGGATTCCATAGCGACCTTTGGTTGAATGATCTGCAGGACGAATTCGCTTTCTTTGTAAATCAAGCAATTGCGTAAGTCGCGATTTCCGCATTTGACGGTCCCGAACGTTGTCAATGCTTTTGCCTGTATTTTTATATTGATTATTCTCGGTGCTCCGAGATGCGGCATCGCTGGATGAAGCGACAGATTTGTCTGTAAAATTAGAAGATGCTTGCTGTTCAGGTGTAGCAACCTCCTTTTGTTGCATGGATTGCATGGTCTCTACTTGAGGTCCCTCAGAAGTTGACGGTGCCGGCTGAGTCATAGTTGCTTCTTCTAATGCAGCAGGAATACCAGAAGTCCAAACATTATTTGAAGAACCTTTTTCCGCTGAAGATTGATCTTGCGATTCATCACTAGTTTGATTCTGAGCAGGGGAATCGGGTTTATCTTCTGGCTGTCGGTCCATATACCCGTCCACTTTGCTGTCCTGATCACTAGATGACGCCGGATAAGTTGCGGTTTGCATTACTAAGATAAAACGAAGTCGGTTTCCAACAGGCAAGAATTCCTATACGATATAATAAAATACAAGTGAAATTATGATACAACACAGTCACCAACAAAAATCTTTAGGCTTATTAGATAATGAAATAATCCAATAAACCAATCAGTACTGAAACTCGTCTATACTGTACTTCTTTTATCAGAAGGAAAACTCTACGTCTTCCACAATTTGCTTCTAATTATTTGAAAGTAATTTAATTTTGAAATCAGTAAATCGTCGCTTTTTCAGGTTAGAAAACAGTAACAACTTCAATGTACGTTTAAATCGAAGAAGCGCGTTAATTAGAAGACAAACAGGAATACCTGACGCTATATGTATGTTTCCTTCACAGTATTCGCTTCGTGCTTTCTATTTCGTCTGCAGATTCGCAGATAGAACACCACCACAAATAGTCTCTCTTCGGTTTATAAGATTGCGATTTTGGAGCTTGTGTTATGCTAAGGACAGGTGAACCACGGTGTTGTCATTCTTCAATATGCTTGAAGTCATTGATTGAGGAGGAATAATGTCTTCCGTCGTCTTCGTAATGTATGTCACGGAAAACTAGCGTAACACAGATACCTTAATTAACGATACTGTTAGACTCGCTAAAATAACAATTAAATTTAGTAAAATACAAGAAGGGCATAATATGATATTTCAATCATTTGAAAAGCTGGAAATTGGAAGAGAAGTGAAATCTTGTGGAAGACATTTAGCTTGTTTATATATATTTTTTATAGATATAATGCGTATAATTTTGTAGTTCCTCATAATATTATATAGAAAGGTACGAGAAACTTCATCGTATTCAGTAAATTCATGTGTTACAAAGGATGAGCCAAATTTATAACCACCGATTGTTTAATTGTTTTAGGAAGAAGTGCAACATTTATATGTCTAATTGTACACAGCTACGCAGTAGACAGACTCGGATTTTTGTAGATGTATCGTGGCTCCGTTCTATGGAGAGATATGCTGACACATATTTCTTTTCTGAAATTATTTAGAGTTAAATAAATGTCTAAAGATCTTTCATGTCCTGGATGCTATTACTTAAAAACATTCAGCAACCCAAACAACATTATTCATTCATAAAGGTCATTAATCATTTTTCGTATTAGAAACGGCATGCACGAGCTCCCAGACTCGAAGACTCAAATCTTCAACAAACTCACGAGACAAAAACGAGTATTGTCGGTTGTGAAACTTTTCTTTCAAGATTCCGCTCCAGCACGATTCGAAAAATTGTAACAATATTTGAACGCTTGTAAGCTGATCATTTGAAAGTTCGCTTAATGACATCGTAAGCGACAGTTTTGTAGAAAGTGCACTATTTGTTCGTGATTTCGATTGAGTCGCCTGATTCAATGCATTCTTTGGTCCTTCAAATAGGCTACTTGTTTTCACCAAGTCCCAGAGAGGGTTAGAAGATTTGTCAATTTGACTCAGAAAATTTGAAGATTCGTTTTTAGGATCTGTATCATCATAAGGTACTAATGTAAGAATTTGTGATTGTTGTAACAAATCGCGATAAGTAGTATTGGACTCGAGGTCCAAATCCAACTTCCAATGCTTTGAACTTAACGTCGTTATGGAGTGTATGTTATCTAAAGACGGTAAAAGCCCGGGTGCTTCGAAGTTTTCCACTGTACCATCCTTATGGCCTATTCTCATGGGGATCACACAAGGCTTCTTTGTTTCCTGATCCCTAGGAATTAAGCATCTCTCTTCAACAGCAAGGACCCAAAGGTTCCTAGAAGCTTGCAAATGTGAATGATTGTCCTGAGAGTTTTTTGGAAACTGGGGATATAAAGAGATTAATAATGCTGCAATTGCCAAATTACTATGAGACAGAGAATAGCGACCTTCTCCTAACGTTAATATTCCAAGAGCCATATGCGTAGCCATTTGAGCGCCATAGTTCGCAGGCTCAATTCTTCCATGCAATAATCGTAGTCTTTGTAGTGCTTCCAGATCGCAGTATCCTGCCATTACACATGCAACGGAAAGAGCAACTACGTGAGTACAACGAACGACAGTAACTGAGGTTACCCTTTCATCGTAAGTCTTTGCTGGTAAACGACAAAGTCGGATAAAATTATCCAAAAAGTTAAGAAGTATCTCTTTTGCTTTTAGATTCCCTGAACCGACAAAACGAAGCCCAAGTGAAAGACATATGCCACTTATTACATTATACAATAGTAGATCATCTGAGGATAATGTATTCTTTTCACGCAAATCAAATTGTGAAATCATTATTTCAGGTATTTGACTTTTCACCCATTCAAAATCTGCTTTAACTTCATCCCACATTATTAGGTTCTTTCCTAAAACTCGTAAAAGAATTATATCTGGTCGATAAAAGTCAAGTAGATATCTAGACTTGGGAATATCAATTTTTTTCGCAATCTCAATATCGTTGGTTTTTAGGTAAATCAAAACTAGTGCCATTATTGCTCCAGGGGATCCGGTTTCTAGAGACTGGAAAGCAGCTTGACTGGATATACCCATTTGCAGTCTTGAAACGAGCTTCAAATCTGCCATTCCCGGAAGATTTGAGCCTTTGCCAAGGTTTATTAAACCTAAAGCGAACCCTGCGGCGAGCTTATAGCCTTCATTTTTATATTGATTTTGCTCGGGTGTTAATATCTCCTCCATGGTAACTTCTGACATTCGTCTATGACAAGAGTTAAAAAAGAGTAGCCCAATCCCTAATATTCCCGCGGTCTGCGTCAAAGGCGAAATATTCAATTCGCTAGACCCCATCGGTAATAATGCCAATACATGCACACTTAACAATTTGGTTATTTTTGCATCCATGGTACCGAGATAGGATACCGACAATCCCAAAAGCAGCCCGATGCTTGTAATGTCGTGCTTACTAGTTAAGTAAATAAAGGAATGCCATGTAGCTAGTTCTTTCAAATGACCGTTAAGTCCTAAACCAAGCAAAAATCCAGCATGAAAAGGTGTAAGTGTAGTAGGCCTATTAAACATTATCCAGCTGGTATTAACTTCTTTAGACGACTGGGACACTGTAAGACCTTGAGAGACACCAGCGTGAAACTCAGGCCATTCTGTCAACGAAGATGTTATAAAGTCTTTGTCAGGATTAATCAATAAGGTACCAGGATGCAAATGAACCGTAAATTTGAACGGAAGGGGACTTATTCGTTCAGTAGGGAGAGGATTTTTAGTTCCATATGTTAACATGCCAGTGCCAATAGGTATTGCTAGACTTCTAATGCATATTGACTGAGCTAGTTTCTGTTGCATAGTGACTGAACTAAGATCAATATCAAATTGATCAGTCATAACGCTTATTTGTTTGGAGTAACATAACAATTGTTCAACCTCTGCTAATCGACGGTCCTGACGAAAAATCATATCAGCATAAGGCTGTTTAGTATGGGTATTTATCGAATCATTAAGCGTGAAATCGGTTACAGAATTAGTCAGAACTCTAATATCCTTGTTCTCTTCCGTCGAGGTAGATAAAAACCAATTTGATTTTTTGGGATGTAAAAAGCTATCAACATCCAAACGGTTAACCATTTGCAGTTCTTCGCTACCCCAATATCCTGGGAAGTCATAAGCACATGTATCCAATATAGTGTATAAAATGGAGGCAATACCTGAAGGATATCTTTCAATCCGTTGCCTTGTTATACCAAGACGCACCATCTCTTCAACAAAATTATGCAATGACATTTCATTATTAAATAAGCAATCAAAAAGCTGAAAGAAAGCATAACTTTGGGGGAATAGGGAATAACATGAAGATGGTAAGCCATATATCTCAGGACTGTAGGAAATTGAAATTTTCTGATGATAAAAACATTCAATCATCCATTTGTATATTGATGGTAATTCACTTGGTTCTTGGATTTGTAAATGCAACGATATCGGTTGAACTTTACAAATGTCAGAGATATCAAGTTCATAATACTCAGCAAAGCGACTCCAACCCATCAGATAACTTAATTGATATAAGAAGGAGGTCAGATAATCTTTCCTAGGTTTCGAAGTAACGTCTAATCTCAGCTCCTCAGATATGAAATGTAGTGACAAACTAATCAACGGGAGGAACTGTTTAAAAGAAGAATAATCAAATTCTGAGGAAAGAAACATGGCGATCTTTAACTCTTTTTTAAAACTTATTGAAGATGGAAAATAGATCACCTCTTCCAGAGTATCAGTTGTTTCGGGATATTCTCGGACAGACGAAAAGAAGAAAAAACATGCTAAGACTGCTGAAAAAAAAGCTTCATCGTCATTTAGTTTATACGTAAATAAAGAAAACAAGTAGCCCGTATAAAAGATTTCATATTCACGCAGCGGTAAAATATGGCGTAAGACAGTAAATGACCAGTTAACAAGACTGTTGGATACGCTTCGATCTATAGAAAGGTATCTCTGCCTTCCTTTTGTATCTGTCAAATAGAGAGAGGCGCCACGAACAGAGAAATTAGTAAATGTTCCTTCTATGGTAAGTGAAGGCGACATGGGAGATTCCAGAGTAACCTTTCCTTTAGCAGAAAGTACCACAATTTTCTGAAGATGTTTAGATTTTAACGCTGCGATATTGGTGGAATGAAGTTGCAAAGAATCAAGAAAATAAGGAGGCTTTCCTTGTACGAGACGGAAAATCATCATATAAGCCTTTTGTAGTTCTTTCACGAGAGAGAATATGACAAGAACTCCATTTACAATTATGGAATCGAAAGAACTCACAGTGCTCATGGGAAATGACTCAATATGTGAAAAAACGGAAGAGTATACAAAGCCTTCCTCTTCAAATTTATTAAACATGGAATCATTGGCCGAGTAGTACAAAGATTCTGAACGTGTAATTTCTGACAGCCTGTCCTTTGAAAGGACACTAGATCTCCGTTTCCCCCGAGATCTTTGACTAACAGTATGTGCATTTGTATCCGAAAACCTGCTTCTCCAAAATGAAAGTCTCTTCTCTTTGTCATTATGGGTAACGACGATATCGTTCACAATATAGACAATGGTATCATGGGCCGAAAGCTTCTTCTTTCCTTCGACGCGGATCAGGCTTAACTCGTCTAGGGGCCCGTTCAAACAAAATATGCGTGGCCAACCATCATTTTTATCTTCGCTATCAGCATAGAGACGTTCCAAATAGATACCCTTTGGAGAAGACCAAGCACTTTTCGTGGAAAATGGAATATTCACAATATACGTGTCGTTATTTTGATCATTGACATAATAAATGTATCCAATATCATCCAAAATAACTACAATTGCCTTTCTATTCTTATCAAATGTTGTGATTAATGCCGCTCGCACTTGTTGGCTGTCCAGGCTATAGTCAAACGTTCGATTGATATGATCATTAACATAGTAATGTACTGAACTTCCCTTTATTTCAATTCGTTCTGTTTCATGCAAATCAAGGATTGAAGCAGACGCGGTCTCATCGATAATCTCAGTTTTTAACTCCAGCATTCTTCGTCAAAACCAATTGAAATCCAATTAAATCTTTAAAAAATGCACATTTCCTTTACGAAGAGGATTTGATGACAGTCAAACAGTGGAAAATCAATCGTTTGTGAATAGTGTAAACAAACAACCAACCACGCTGCTATCGTAAAATGATCCTATTTTTCCAATCCGAACCGTTTCTTATATACTGATTTCTTTTCCAATTAAATTTCGTTTTTGGTTTTACCTAGTTTCTTTCCACTCTATGGTAAATCGCAATTTTGTTTTTGACAGAATTCTCCTTACATTGGTGCCTGTTTATCCTCGCAACGAGATGCTGCGCAATATGGTAGAATTTCATAAATGAGCTTGGGGAACCAGGAATTAAACATAAATATATAAAAGAAAAACAATATAACTAACTATTTGAAAAAGAAAAAGTAGATTAAAAACTCTGCTTTTGTGTAATACATATTCGTAGCTGACATTCATAATATGACCCATTGTTCAATCAAGTAGGAGTTGCTTTGTAATTGTAATATCAAAATACTTTCAGTATACGTTTCTTCTTTTCTGGGACCTCTAGGTTCTCTTGCTTTTAGATCATACTATGTTACAAAAGTTCACTGTTTGTCATCTAAAACACTCTGCTCTAGGAAAGAAACAGCAAAGTGTTTTATCGTTTCCTTATGGATTCTTCATACGGACTTCATTTATAAAGTCCAAGGTTTTTCTTAACACGGAGAAGTAAAAGGAGTTTTAAAAGAAGAAGAATATTCACTTAGTAGAAAAATAAATTAAACAGTCTTCACTCTACTCTTAACTTATCCTATTCTTGTTTCCATATTGTTTATGTATGCTCTTTGTTACCCAGTTATGCAAAATCGTACAACTAACTTTTTTTACGATCTATACATCATATCGATCTGCCTACTCTAAGCAACCTTGCAGGCAGTCTAGCAGTACCAATAATAAGGACACTGAAGACGCAGGATTTTTTCTGTTTTTGGATTTCTTCAATTACTATTTTTAAAATATTTTTCAAAGAATTTTTGCTTCCCGGTTTCTCTGAAAAATTCCCAAGTAAAACACTTCTTGTAAGATTCCTCTCATATACGTAAGACTTCTGTATCTTTAATAAAGACATCGCAACATGTCCGTATTTCGAAGGATATAAGCTAAGATGACTTATTTATCTAATACGAAATAGAAAGGCAATTATTACATCGATATCACTTTAGCTTATTGTTTTTTTAAAATAAGTTTTTTTTTTTTTTTTCATCTAATTTGAATTTTTCACTGAGAGGCTTTATTTTCCAATTCAACGTATTCATGAGCAGCAACAACTTTTGGCGAAGTTTCCGTCTTTCCAGATTCTCATGGGTTAAAAACCCAATCCTTCCCTTATATACTTCTCCTATGCGTCGTTCAATGGCTTCAGCTTCACCGACTGGACGTTTAAGTCTCAGCCAGCGTGTCAAGGATCTTACGAAAAAGTATGGTTGGTGGGCTCTGGGAGTATATTTAGGCATTTCCGCCATCGACTTTGGACTTTCGTTTGCTCTTGTTCGCACTTTGGGTACGGAAAAGATCGGTTATATTGAACAATCGGTCGTGGGAAGTCTCCGGAGACTATTGAATATGGAATCTTCTGATATACCCTCCTCTGACGAGCCTCAAACATATCATTCTAGCATTTGGACGGAAATAGCCGTTGCGTATGGAATACATAAAGCTTTGATCGTGGCTCGTTTACCCATCACAGCTGCCATTGTCCCTCCTCTGGTCAAGCGATTCCGAGGCAGGAATTTGCGTCTACGATAAATTGATTGAAACGATAATCCCACAAAAACTGCTTAGTAATTTCCGTAATTTCTAAAAGATAGAACAAGAATAGCATGAATCTAAATAACAAGTACCTTTTTGTCATACGCCTCCAAAGCATACTGTAACAACCCTGCTTTCACAACCTTTAATCAGAATGATATTATTTCTGTTCTATTTACAGTTAATCGGTTATAAAAATGCATACTCTATTTAAGCTGAACGAATACTACAAACACCATCATATTTGTGAAGCTTCTTACCAAAACACCATTTTATATTAAAAGTAAGCAACAATGACAAATACAAGCTAACGAGCCAATGTTATATCATCAATCTTCATGATCATCTTTGTCGTCTCAGCAGCCAGCTGAATAGAGCTAATATTAACAAGGACGGGCTGTAAGACCTTCTCTTCTAAAATGTCTGTAACAACTCCCTTTCGAACATTGATACCAGCAGTTTTCTCACCATTTGCATGACGACTGCGAAGTTCTGTGACGACTTGGATAGCACTTAAACCAGCATTTTCAGCGAGGGTAACGGGGATGATTTCTAAAGCTTCAGAAAATGCACGGAAGCAAAGAGCCTCTCGACCTTCTAATGTACGAGCCACATCTAAAAGGTGCTGAGCTGCTTCAATTTCAGGGGAACCACCACCAGGAATCAAAGCTCTCTGTTTAACGAGACAACGAATAACGCATAAAGCATCATGAAGAGAACGCTCGGCTTCTTCTAGAGTAAGAAGGTTTGCACCTCTGCAAAGAACCGACACGGTTTTACCAGCGTTTTTGACACCCATAAACTTGACAATCTTCTCACCAGATGAAGAAGCTTCTTCTACTAAATCAGCATGGCCTAGTTTATCTTCAGTGAAGGACTCAATATCGGCAATAGGTTTGCAGCCAGTGGATTTGCAAATAAATTCTACTTCATCACGTTCAATGTCCTTAATAACCATAATCTTAAGCTTGGCCAAGAAATGAAGAGCGAGATCATTAACAGCATCACGAAGAATGGATTTCTGAATGAGAATGACGTTGGCTCCAGACTTCTTAATTTTCTTGCACATGTTAAGTAAGTATTGACGTTCTTCTTTCAAAATCTTATCCATTTGACGATAATCATTAACAACAATCTGGTTTTCCATATCGGGCTTGGGCGGGGAAAGCTGGAACTGGACGAGAGCGATGTTTGCCTTTTCCATGCGGGATGGTCCACCAGCCGTTTTTACAGCAGTTTGTGTCAAAGCAAGACCAGGAATCAATTCGGTATCATCAATGATACCACCAAGCTTCTTTACAATACGAATATCCTTCAAATCAACATTTGTTGCGATGCGAGGATCAATGACCTTCAAGACAGCATCTACAGCAATAGGAGCAAGCAAAGAACTGTACTGAGAAACAATTTTAGAGTTCAAAGAAGTGGTAGCAGCACGTAAAAGTGATTCTCTATCTGATAATTCGATATTAAGAGAGTTTTTTGTCATACATTCAACAGTAACTTCTGCGGCACGTTGGAAAGATTCAGCAATTACAGTAGGGTGAATACCCTTCTTTAAAAGCTTCTCTGCACAACCAAGCATAGATCCTGCTAAAACCACAACACTAGTAGTACCATCTCCTGCCTCTACATCTTGAGCTGCACTCAGATCAACAAGCATCTTGGCTGCCGGATGAAGCACTGATAAATGTTTTAAAATCGTAGCACCGTCGTTAGTTAACACAACCTCCCCTTTTCCTGTCTGAATCATTTTATCCATGCCTCTAGGTCCTAAACTCGTACGAATAGCATCTGCAACGGAGCGCGCAGCAGTAATGTTCGACAAGCGAACTTCCTGAGGCTTTTCTCGGTCTTGAAATGCCACTTGAGTCGTTGCAGCTTTCGACATTGTTGTTCGTTTAGGAAAGGCAGAATTGAGCTGTTTCTACAAAGAAGGTCTAAGCTGCAAAATAGCGAATTCATAAAAGTATGCAAATATGTATTACCAAAACGTTTTATGGTTCGCTATTTATACTTTAAAATTACAGATAACCCATCGCTCTAAATTCACTATACGTTTTACGATAGTGTAAAGCGATACTATAATTTTTTAGCTTGATATTTTAAGCTCTTTGAAACTTCTGATCTTTCAGCTAATACGGTACTGTCTACTCGTTGAGCATAAGTATTCCATGAATTAATCGCATAACGACACTGAGCATCTGTCAAATATCGATATTAGAGGTGGAACATGATGAATTCAAATATCTGCATTGGTCTTGAAGTTCGTTTCAAATTGGCGGCAACAAAAAAGTTGTTTAGTTCTGCATATGTAAAGCATGAAACGCCAAATACTTCCATTGCTTACTTTGATGCTGCCCTTCCTGGGTCTATGCCGGTATGACTTATATTGCTGATCAGGAAAGTTTACTAATAGGTGTTTTAACAGGCATTGAATCCTGAGGCTTTAAGACTTGCCGTTCAAGGAGCACTTGCGCTTAACTGTGATATTGCTTCAGTTTGCCAATTTGATCGAAAGTTAACCTTTCATCCTGATTCATTAGCTGGTTATCAAATAACTCAGCATGAGATGCCATTGGGAGAAAATGGATATATAGACCTTTCTCAAAACTTGGACGGTGTGAAGAATATTCGCATTCCTATTCAGTCGGTCAAATTAGAGCAGGTAGGGTAACACCGTTTTGGAATTACATTGAAGCTAACAAATTGAAAAATAGGACATTGAAGAATCTGTTCGAATGGAGCACCCTAAAAAGCACTTTTTAAATTTTAATCGTGCCGGCTCATCCATGATCAAAATTGTTGTGCCTCCATGCTTGCATGACGAACAGATCGCTGGTGCCCTCTTGTATAAATTACGAATGGTGCTTTTGCATGCAGGACTTTTGTACCATGAAACGGAGCTTGACGGAATGCAATGTCGTGTTAGTATTTCTAGTAATACGGAGTCATCTAATCACAAGAATTTGATTTCTGGTGTAAAGCCATTCGAAACAGAACTTGAGAATTTATTTCTCATAAAAAATGTGATGGCTGCCATTCAATCAGAAGTACGTCGTCAGTTTTCACCCGCTGAAGAGAACGATCCATTTCAAAAACAAGTGAGAGCTTTTGATGAAAAAACCGGGAGAACATTCTTCCTTCGCGAAAAACCACTTTTTGAGAATTACTTGTATGTTCCTGAGACGGATATACCTCCTATTAGCTTGTCCAAGGTAAGTATTGGCAAAACTCACATACATCACTCTCTAACTTCCTGTAGTCATACATTGAAAAACTAAAACAAACTATGTGTCCTCAACCTGACGCTCTTTATGCGACACTTACATCTAAGCCATACATGCTATCTAATTCTGAAGCTCGCGCTCTTTTATGTTATGCTAAGGGTTATTCCTATTTTACTTCAGTGTGGGACGCTATCATTTCTCAGAAAAGCGTTCTTTGTAATACTGCCGACGACTTGCAACGGTCCTTGGCATCTTCAATTGTAACGGCCCTATCTTCAAATGGCAGTGAGCGACTAGAGTCAGTTCCACCAAAACAATTAGCTGACTTCATTTTGAATAAAGGCTTAAAAAAGGGATCTCTCCTTATATTTAAAAACAGCATTCAATAATTTCTTATCTATTCCACATCTTATATTTATTATATTGAAGATTAGGGTGGTATATGCTTACTTACATAGAAACCTTTTCGAAAGTCTTCGAAAGGTGAGGCCGCTTCTGAAAGTGGTTGCGTTTATCTAAATTATACATTGGTTTTACGGATTGGGGAAAAAAAATTATCACTTGAATACTACAATTGTAGTTCTGGGGAAAATGGAAAATTATTAACTTAATAATCGGCAAATAGGTTAGAAAAAAGATTACGATTCTTTATTAAATTGGAAATAATTCTAATTTTTATAAATATATAAATATTCAAATTTTACATAACGAACCAACTTCTCTTTCATGGAATTTGAAACTAAATACTATAGATAGGCCATTGAGAGCTTATGTTGATTGCTTCCAGTTATAAACTACAATAAAGTGTTAAACATTTATCTCTGATTTTTCTGAAGGTTCTCTTCAAGCTTGGTATATAAAGTCAATGATGATGATTCTATAGATACTTCATTATAGTACTAGTCTCTTAAACCAGACATAACATCTTCGCTCGTGCCTTTGGAAAGCCTTTATCTATATAGAAATGACTGTTTTCATTAAGACGGATTGAAGTGAATCAGCAGTAAAAACCATTTCTCGAATCATTGCTCAATCAGATTACTTTACTAAATAATCGGCACAGGAAAGTTTACTATGATCAACAACTTAATATATATGAAATGGATAGGCTTTCTATCACACAATAATGTTCCTAAAGCTCATATATATGTTCGACATAAAACCTCTAAAGACTTGGAACTTTCAAACATACCATGTAAGTAACAGACACGGGTAACATAATTTGCTCATGAAACAACACCCTTGGATAATGAAATTTTTGCAGTGTTGAAAGTTTTCAGTCAAATCTCTCATATAAAAGAACCGACTTGGTTTTGTTTACGATGGATCAGCGACTATTGGAGATTTGTGCATCTTTGGCATCAAAAGATGCCGAGATCAATTCGTTAACTTCTTTTCACACAGCTGAATCCATCCAGCATGTAATGAGGGATTTGGCTTTAAAAAAGACTCTTCCATTAGGTGGAAAGTTGATTACTATAAAAGAAAACATGTGTACGAAATACTGGACAACTTCAGCTAGTTCTGAAATTTTACATGGTATGGAAGGATCTGGGATCGAGGAAGCGAAAGTATCTTAAAGCTAACGATTAGACTACGTATCTCCATTTGAGGCTACTTTAGTGGAAGCTCTCGAGAAGAACGGTGGCGTAATAATTGGCAAGACAAATATGGATGAATTTGCAATGGGAACTAGTACCCACAATACTTTGCATGGGCGAACAGCGTTTCCACATACTGATAATGAGTTGTATCAGGTTGGAGGAAGTTCTGGTGGTTGTGCCGCATCCGTTGCTGCTGACTTAGCTTTTGCGTCTATTGGTACAGACACAGGAGGTTCAGTACGTTCACCAGCTGCTTACGTCGGATGTGTTGGTTTCAAACCTTCTTTTGGAAGAATCTCTCGTTATGGCGTTATTCCTTTTGCCCACAGTATGGATACAGTTGGAATTGTTGCCAAGGACGTTGGAAGTGTACAAACAGTATTTGACGTGTTGGATCAGCCAGATTCTAAGGATGCTACCTGTTTGACAATACAGTTACGTAAAACTATTGATGACCATTGTCACTACTTTAAATCGACAGAAAGGCCAGTGGTCGTTGGAGTACCAACGGACTGGAATATAACCGAGACCCATCCTGAGGTTTTGCAAAAATGGAACGAATTTCTTTCCTTGTTGGAGTCCCAAGGATGTGAAGTTCGTGAAATTCAACTTCCTAACTCTCTTTACGGTTTAAGCATTTATGCAGCATTGGCTTATGCTGAAGGTGTTACTAATTTGGCTCGTTTTAGCAACCCCATATTTGGATCTAAATTACAAGAAGGTGAATTTCATGACGGTGTAGACCCACGGTCTCATCTTATGGGATTGGAGGTTCAAAAGCGTTTATTAATAGGCGCTTATTCTTTATCTTTTGGGTATGTTTTTCGTTAAAATTAAGATTTTTATGTTAACTTTTTTTCGTTTAGAAAGGATAATGGTATAAACCAGAAAGCTCAGCTAATGAGACGAGCCGTTCAATTGGAATTTAATAGATCCTTTAAAATCCCATCTCTACAGGAGTCGGATCCTTCCGGTGATGTCGATTTTATCGTTACACCTTCTTTTTTGAAGCCAACTCAGCCGATTGGAGCAAGCTCTCCTACAGACTTCTTATCAGACAGCATGCTAGTTCCCTCAAGTTTAGCGGGTTTACCGTCTATTAGTATACCTTTTGGTAAAATATGTGGTGGTTTACCAATGGGAATACAGCTAATTGCTCAGTATGGTGATGATAATTCCCTGTTATCCTTTGCCAAACGGTTTTGTTAGTTAATACCCCCAAAAAAAAAATAAAAAAAAAGGGAAAGGAAAGGAAAAAGGATATTATTTAATAAATTATAGAATGTAAATTGCTTTAATGCTTTTTGTTAGAGGATTACTTTTGTTTATTCTGCATAATAAGACGGATTTCGGTTTGGATGGGTAAATTTTGGATTCAAAGTAAAGATTGAATATTTATACAAATTAATTTTCGATATCACGTAATGTTATGTTTAGATTAATTTTTATATTCAATTGTATATACTCCCATTTCCAACTTCTTATTGAAAATGGGAGTATGTACGAAAATCACCGCACATTTAGAAGGCAATTATGAAATTTAACAGTAACGAGGTCACAATCATATTTGCTCAATAGGGAAAAGACGGGCTTTTCTTTACGATAAATGAACTGTTTCCCCAATGCTTGTATATAATTGCTTAATTACTTTGGAACTCGACTTTCAAGAGTAAGCCCGTCTGTTGGAAATTTCTATGATGGGCAATTATTGCATTTATTGTAATTAGTTCTATTAGATGTAGTAGTATCATAATATTCATACGTCCTGCGTAACGTATATTTTCAATTGATAACAGAAAGTTCTCCTTCGTTTAAAACAAAACGCAAAATAGGGCTTTCACCTGAAGGTAGACATTCGATTTGAAGCCTTAGTAAAATGGATAATACGATTATATAGTTACCATCTTTTTGTCATTAATGCTGTTATTTAATAATTTCGTTGTTAAGTGAAATCCCCTGTCTACCTTTGCTTATTCGCTTCATGTTGAGGCCATATGTTATGTGATGATTCTACAAGAGAGTACTTGGGTTACATATTGTAAACAAAGGAAATTATCAATTTTAAAGAAAGAAGAGACTCCGTTTTAAAGTAAAAGTGAACCGTATGAATGAAGGATCTGTGGATTTAGAATTTTGTTGCAAAACAAAGGATGAATTTGTTGTCAGGAGACGGTTTTCGAAAGGGAAATGATCGATCAATGAAAATTACTGTTCATTATGACAGTAACTTTTTGAAAATGATGATGAAAAAGGTGCCGTATTCACGAAAGAAAGGAACCTTCATGGTCGTGTCTTCGCAAGCTTCATTCATCAAGTAGCGACATTATGTCACTGACTGCTCAGATCCTCGTTAGGGTTATTTTTGGTAACATTTCGAGCGACATATTCTCACAGCATAACCCAAAAGAGTTGCGTATTATAAGAAGTAAACAAATGATCTTTTAGTAAAAGAAAAAGTATTATCGAATAAAAACATATACATATGCTAATCATTAAGGGAAAAAATCTTCCAAGTTAAAAGTTTTGATCGAACTAATATGATACTTACGAAATCAAGTCCTGGACGTTGGGTAATTCATAGAATCATCTTCCTATCGTTCATTTAATACACATACAAATCTTTCAGCCGTTATCGAGTAAACAAAATCCTATATTGAAACAGTGTAAACGCCCTTGGTCATGATATTTTATCTAAAAACAGTATACAATTATACCCTCTATAGAAATATATATGTTTGTTAATATAATTGTTTATTCATCTGTCTTTTATATATCATTTTATTGAACTATAATCATACAAAGGTATAAGGCATTTCGTTCCATCTTCCTAACCTTTTACACCAAGTGGATAGGTTCCTAAGCATAGCGGTTCACCATCCCCCTCTCTCCCTTTAGTCCATTCAGAATGATAGGTTCTCTCAACATGAAGGTAAGGATATTCATATACCATTCGTACGGTTATAAAACTTTTGCTAACAAAAACTAGACTTTGCGCTGGTCAGCTTTGGCAGCTGGTTTAGGCGTCGGTTGGTTGGAATATCGGAGTCATGCCAAATGCGAAAAGCAACATGCAATTGAGCATCAATATCATCAACAGCAAGCTTTGATTGAGGATGCCAAGAAAGCTTATGCTCGTAGCAAGCAGCCCTTACAACCTCCAGTCGGTACGATGAAACAAGATGAGACCGCCGTTTAACGATTATTACGAGTGGAGACATTTATTTTTTTTTCATTCCATTTTGTTTATGGCTCATCGGTTTGCTTGGATTTGTTTACTAACTATAATCTTTAGAGAGTCCATTGACCTTGGATGAAGATAATTTGGAAGCCTACTTAGTTCAACTTGAAAAAAGCGCTTAGGTGGACATAATCTTTTGGCAAAAAAGTCGTCGGTTGCCGTAGAGAAGTTATTCAAGCAGACAATAGTGTCTTGACTAAATGAATTCCAGTTAACTAATATCACACGCAATTGGATAATTGTAAATTCCGTTCATCGCATTTCATGTTGAGATAACTAAATTATTATTAATGATAGTATTAAGAAACCACGAAGAATTATTTCTAGATCACACTTTTCCACCATAAATGTCTTTTTCCTTAGTCTTTCATGTCTTGACTGGCACTAGTTGTACTTTCCTTCCTTCGACGACGCTCTGAAATAACACTCAATCCAGGGAAGAACGGTGCATGGTCCGGGGCATCATGAGTTGACCTTCTAGTAGCAATCGTAGCATCATTCGTATTAGGCGAAGTTGAAAGTTGTTCAGAAGCAGTAAATTTGTCGTATTTTCTAATCAAATCAGCCAAGTCATGATGAGAAGAGTTAGGAGTAGGTTGAACATGCTTATTAACGAGTGCAATTTCTTGACTCAGTGTCAAGGCACGATATGCAAGGCGAATTATAGGAACATTTGTATGGTCAATATCTTGCATATCCGGTCCTAACCATCGACTTTTTATCTGACGCTCGAACCCAGATTGTAAAACACTATTTCTTGCCAATTCGCACATATCCACATTCGAAAGCTTGTAGATTTGGGCTGCAACTGCATATTCCTCGATTAAAGGCTCTCTCGTAAATGCGAATTGAAGGGGGTCATCGGTGGAGAGACTTACGTTTAGACCGCGCTTAAAATAAGAGATAAAAGGGTTCTTATCGTAGGCCAAAAACAGGGCATTGTTAGAAAGCGGAGACATAGCAATTGGAATTTGGTCCAAATACCATAAATATTGCAAGAAAGGAACCTTTCGCAATAGAATTCCATGAGCGATACCTTGGCTAAGCAAAAATGCACTTGCTAAATGATCGGTGTCACCTGCTTCACCACAGTGAGGACGTAAAACAAATGTATTGAATCCTCTCATCTTTCTCCAAGCATTCAAGCTTGTCATGTTTGCATACATATAGTATAGCCAATAGCTATAAGGAGGATTCAAACCGATATTCCAATGAGCCGGCAATGGGAATTTACGATACGTTCTACGTTCTGGCTTACTTTCATCGTCAACAGAATCAAAACCAACCACACGTTGAAGGAAAACATGTAGTTTAGGATGGCTAGACGGATCTTTGGTAACTTCAAACAAAGGCTCAAAGATGTTCCTAACAACCTCTTCAAAATTGTGAACGATACCGGATTTCTTGTAGATATCATATAAGCGAGGCACTTGAATTAGCCATCTCGCGTTAGCACTGTAGAGCTTGTTATCGATAATCCAAGCTGCAAGCTTATCCCATTCCTCTTTGTTGCGTCCGTATATGGAAATACGATATTCTGCCATTTGGTATTTTTGGGTACGAAGATCAGTAAACACTTCCTTTGTCAGTTCAGCAAGATAACGACCTTCAATATCATTGTCCGTTTTTAAGAAAATGGTACGCAAACGGGATTCGCCTATAGGATTGTATTTTAAGTTAAATTTATCAAATCGGTGAAAAGTATCAGCGTGGGCGTGCATATCCAGAGTGTCAATACTCAAATCATAGGAGGTCAATTTCAGTGAATCGAATACCTCTTGTAAAGTTAAAAACTTGCCATCACGCCAAATAACTTTTTCATTAGGACTTTTGCGAAGTTTAGCTTTAATAAATCGTAGCAAATGCTTTTGATTGGCAAGAGCGGAATGATGAACGTGTGTGTCTACCTTACGAACGTTGTAGAAATCACGATGTGGTACCTTCTTGGAGTCCGCAAGCTCTTGATATTCATTCAAGAGTATGTACATATTCCAGCGACCCTCTAGGTATTGCATTCTCCGAAACGAAAAAGATTTGCTGGGACCATCAGAGGATGCCGAGAGAAGAAAATCCAAATCCATATAATAATCGCGAATGGTTGGCACATGGAATGAGGGAGTATTAGCCGTATACGCACTTTCATTTTCGTACACCTGATAAATACCCTGATGGTCTAGATGGAACATCATCTCGTTGGCAATCCCTGGAATCTCACACTTCTCGAAACAAAATTCTTCTTCCTCCTCACCTTCTTTTGCTGAAGGATATATATTCCATGATTCATCATCTCTTGGGTTATCTGACTCTCCTTGCAAACTAATGCGAAGATATTTATGACGCATATCCATGCATTTATGTATAGACATATAAATTTCAGCTAATTCGTCTGAAAATAAAGGATCATTTGTCTCCATATTGCCTGGATCTAACTCAGGGCCTCCCGTATTGGAAATAACGGTACTATTGCCGCTTTGTATATGTGGCATATGAATACTATTAACCTTTTCCTGAAGTTTGGGGTTCAGCAATTTTGAAAAGTCGGGGCCAGTCTTGGAATTTTTTGTATCTTCTTGGTTAATTTGAGTGGCATCGGTCTCATTTGTAGGTCTGCGAGAAGGTTGCGAGCTCGAAAAACTTCCACGATTTCCTTGTGAGTTATTCATAGCCAGAAACTTGGCATCTTGCTAGACGAACTTGTGTTAGTTATTGTCGTGAGAGAAAATGGCTACGCCCAGAAAATCCAAAGTGCATTTTTCCTTTTATAATCTTTATATTTGCTTCAAAGTCTGAACGAAGTATCTCATACCTGTCTTAAGGAACGCTCAAAGGCATAATCAAAGTAAGGAGTGTCCAAGCTAGACATTCCTGGATCTAAATCGCCCTCTCCTTCATCATCTATCACTCTTGGTTTGGTTATACTCTGCTTAATAGCTTGTTGGTGAATCGAATCAGCGCCGTGATTTTCGTCCTGGTTCGGTTGTGGGGTCATTAAATCCTTTTTTTTCTAATAAAACAATGAAAAAAGCAACTTTAATTAATGGCTATCCCACCAAATATTGATCCTTTTGTCTTTTGGTAGAAACCAGGAAATTTGTACCAATGTTATGTGGACTAGTATTGATAATTAAAGATGCGAAAACTATCCTTATTCTGTTTAAGGAAGTTGTGTGAAATGCAATGAGAACTTGTGGTTTAGAAAGTTAAAACATCAAAATTATGAATACAATAGATATGTGTAGGTTTATAAATTGTTGTAATGTTATTTACTAAGATTATAGGCGTTGAATGTAGAACTTACACTCGTGCTCAGGATCCAGTATAATTCTATGTTATTTCAACAAGCCTGGTAGGAGCAGAAAGGAACACGGTCCTTTTCGTGTGAAATCTTAACATCACAAAGATCTTTATATTGAGAAGGGAGAATGTGTATAGCGAATCTGTGAAGGCAAGCAGTTTTGTTATATCTTCACCTGTCGGGATAGAGCAGAACTTGCCAACAGTACATAGAAAAAAAAAAATTAGGAATTCATTCAGTCATCGAAACTTTATACGGAAATAAGATCCATGTCAGTCATTGTCGGGAAACGTAATACGCATGAATACTTTCAAAAATTCATAAGTTGAGTAGAAGCCTCGAGATGGCTATCTAGACTCGTTTCACCAAAGCGCAGGATAAATTTTTTGTTTTATGGAAAAAGGAAAACATTACATCCAAAACACATGTAGGAAGGAATCGAGAGACATGAATTAAAAAAAAGGTACGACTTCCAACATGTCGGTTAGGAGTACTCCAAAAGTCAAGTAAACAATCAAAAATTTTGTTTAACACCTTACGCTCAGTACAAACAGATGGTGCATATCTGCCAGCGACAGGACCAGAATGATCATAGTTCAAAAAGCTGAGATTTCCAAGCTTTATACAAACAACGCGAAGGCCACTTTCCCTTTTCAAGGTATGCAAGAAGGTCTCAATAGAAGAAGAGAGAATAGAAGGGATTGCATAGTTGGGAGGTTCATAAGCAGAAAGAATTCCGTGGGATAGCCCGATAATTCTTGATTTCTGATCTTTAAGCACCGGAATTAAACGAGAAACGTTGGCGAATGATTCACTAAGCTGTTGGAATGCATGGAACCAAGCATCTTTACTGATATTTTCAATGGGAGTGTACAAAGAATCACCAGTAGGGACAAGGACAAGACCGCGGAGACGAAGAGCGTATTCAGTTGGACCCTTCTGGTTTGAAAATGAAGAAAGAAATCGTTCAACAGCTTCGTTTTGTGTTACAATCAACGATTGAATATAAGGACGTTGTTGTAGGGAGACGGTAGCAGCTTCAGAAGCATCACGAACCAAAACAACGACGATGAAACCCCGACGATCCAAGTCGTGGGCGACAATGGAGGCTAAAGAGTTCCATGCCGACAACACTACCACTTGGGTTTTCTGGTGGTTAGGAGCACGAGGTGCTCGGCGCTTTTTAACATAGTCATAGCGCTTGTAATAAGAAAGACCAGCAAGGAAAATAGCAGCGGAACCTAAACCAATGGCGGCTCGATTACGATTTATGAGGCGACCAAGTCGATCCCCTAGAGTTTGAACGGGTGGAGTCGCGGGTGCATTGGAAGAACTACTCTTTTCGTGCACAAAATCAAGCACATGCAGACTAAAGTCTTTGACATTGCTAAACAAGTCAGCCGCCCAACGTTCAGGATTCATTCTCCAAAAATAGATGAACTAGGTTAGTTTGAAAAGATTTAATACAAAAATAAACAGTAAAACTTCAGAAATTTCTAACAATTCCCAATATGTAACTTTTGTGGTGAACGTGGTAACACAGAACGAAAAGTGATTCCAAGGAAAAAGTCCACAGGAAGCTAACAGCAATCAAAACAAGACAATAAAAAAGCAAGTAGCTTTAATAGAAAAAAAAAAAGGTTGAAATAGACAAGGTTGTCAAAGTTTGTCTCAGATTTAGTAATGTTCAGAATCGGTGGTAGTGGAATCCTGCACTTATAATGCTGGCATTGACGTGAGTACGTGATTCTTCAGTTCCAGTTGAGTAAGAGAGATGAAAGAATAGGGTATCGGTTTTCTTTCTTTTAATAACTTGTTTATTTATTTCTTTCACGTTTTAGTTTACTTTTTGTTTCTTGGAAATTCCTTTCTTGTCTAGAATAATCAAGGACGAAACCCAAAGAGAAAAAGAGAGAGAAAGAGAAAGAGTATTAATGCTATCTTGCAAAAATGTTCTCTAGAAGATGAGCTTTGTGAAATGTTAATTTGTTCGTTCAACTTGTTTTGGGAAATTTCTATTGAGATCACGATGACCATTGGTCTCTTCTTCAAATTGCTCTCTACCAAAGCAAATAGTCCAAATGCTCTATAGGTAAAAAGGAAAAAAGTTTACAAAGAAATCCTCTTCCTCACTGTCTCTGTTTCGATTGAGGAATTGTAAACATGGTTTCCACATTTGACACACACAATACTTGTGCATCCAAAATTTATTGCAAGACGAAATCAAGGGTGTACAATACATTTGAAGTCCTCCATCTTTTACTCAAATCCTTTCTTTCCCCGCCTAGCATATAAAAAGGTGGGTTTTTTTTTGCCTTATTTACCCAAATATCCAACAGATCGTATCTCACATTCAAAGACATACTTTGCCGATAAATTCTGGAATAATACTTCGTTAATCCAATGCAGCTCGTTTCTTCATGTCTTTGCCCTGGTACCTGATCATCATCACTCCCATGGCATTTTTCAATCCTTCCAAGAACTGGCTTTGCACAAGTCCATCCATAGACACGTCTATTCTCAATGCATTCATGAATCCTACATATTGATGTTCAGTTTGCTTTAAACCGACCAAACTCTTTCCTTGTTTTACATTGAAATTATGTCTATTCCAGCCCGTATAACGACCTAAACCGCTTGATGGTAAAATAGATTGCGTACTACTTATTACTCATAAAATAACTTACGGTATTACCTAATATGGTTCGTTTGCTGACATACAAGAGTGCCTGGCCATACCATCTGACAAAGGGGAAATGACATCATAGTTCTTGTTGAAGACAATTTAAAGGCTTGGGATTTCATCATCACAGTACTAAGACAGACAATAGAATTATCTGATAATTTAGCGCTGATCGTTAAGAATCGCAAGTAAACAAACAAAATCTTGCTTTTGAAAAAAAAAACAACGAATACGAAAGAAACCCGTCTAAAATGAGCTCCGTTCAAACCGCTACAAACGACAACATTGTCTACCTTGACATGTCGGAAATTATTCGCCCTATTCCTCCTGTTTTGGATTTTGATAAAGTCAACAGTATGAAGGATACAATGAGTGGATCTGCTCCTCCTCCATCTTGCAATTTTAATCCTGGCGACCTTGGACAAGGTGAACTCCCGCCTGTTGATGTATTGACCTTCAAGAAAAGTGGTAAAACATATTACTTTGCCTTTGGTGGATGCCACCGTCTACGAGCTCATGATGAGTCTGGAAAGCAAAAGGTTCGCTGTAAATTGGTCAATTGTTCTCCTAATACATTGCGTTTGTACTTGGGTGCTACCGCAAACAAATATCTCGAGTAATTGATGCAAATGCCAATAATGAAAAGTACTCTATTGGTAAATTCGTCAATTCTTCCTTTGCGTTGAATTGGCTTATTCTTTGCTATGAAACAAAAAGTGAAGATAAAGGAGGAAAAAAAAAGGAGAAAACTTTAAATTTTACATTTTTTTGGATTCCAAAAGTCACTAATTGTGATTGTGCACAAGGCCTGTGTCTAACGCAGGAATGTTTTGTTTATGTTTTTAAGTTATATATATATATAGAAGTACATTATCGTTAATATGTAATTAATTTTTTCGTTATACAAGATGAGATATATCAAATCGGAATAAGACGGTTTCGCTGTTCGTAGCAGTGGACTTGATTGAACAGTAAGAGCAATATAGCTAACGCATTCTGCATTTTTCTATTTTTGTATGCATCTATGCTTTATGAATTATAATTATGGAAAACAACATTGGTTCTCACTTACGATGTATACGTCTTTTATAGACACTGCACATACTTACATTCTTTGGCATCACTCAACGAAATACTAAGTGCTAGCAAACGAAGCTACACATGTGTATAATATATTCAATTAAACAATGGATAGTATTCATTAAGGAAAAGAAAGATACATAAGTTAAGTTGTTCATTAAATCACAAAAAAAGCCTTAAAAAAATCACCTTCAACGAAATTTAAAGATAGTGAACCGAAACCTTTCATAAATAGATTGATATTTTTGCCATTCTCCTAGCGAGGCATCTTTTGCAGATTACTTATACAATCGTAAGCCATGTTATCGATAATTTCCTTGGGTAAGGACTTTCGTTTACTAAGTTCAATGGATCTTTCGATAATCATGGACAATTGAGAGGCTGACATTGCGGTCGTAAGCTTCGAAGAAGTATTGGAATCGGGAGAAGAAAAGGAATTCCGTTGCGGACTTTGTGAAGGAAAAGAGGGGACAGGGTTTAAAAACGGATGCATTAATAATTCCGGAATTGTTAACCTTTTTTTCTGGTCTCGTTGCAAACATCGTTTCATAACATCCATTAAGTCAGGTCCAACTACCACTCCATGTGGATGCGAATTATGAGAAGCTTCATGGTTGGCAGTAGGAGGGACGGCAATCTCAGGAAATTGTATCTGATGACGATCATCAGGAATTGCAGCTATTGCCTGTATCATCTTCAAATGAGCAAAAGGTGCTCTTCCATAGACCATTTGATAGAGTATACAGCCTAAGCTCCAAACGTCACTCGGTCTTCCCAGTTTTACTAACTTCACACCCAAATCTGTATTTGCATTCATGTCAGTCAAAGCTTCTGGCGCCATGTAGTTGATAGTTCCGACATGTGAATCTCGATGGATATTGGTTGTGTCATTTCCTATCGCTTTTGCAATTCCAAAATCGATAAGCTTAAGACTTCCTTCAACCAGCAAAAAGTTAGCTGGTTTCAGGTCCGAATGAACAATGTTTTGCTCGTGGACAATTTGTACAGCCTGTAGCATTTGTTCCCAATACATTCGTATAAAATTAAGATTGATTGGCTTGTTTGCATACTTATTGAGGAGTTTAGCCAAGTCAGTTTCACCGTACTCCATAACCATATTCAATTGACCAATTGAATTGTTTGCTTCGGCGGCATACAATTTTACTATCCGATCATTTCCTGATAATTTTCTTAACAGAGCGATTTCGTTTTTGTACCCCTGAACAGTTGAAAAATCAGCTTGTAAAAAGCTAACTTCCTTAAGAGCATATAACCGACCATTTTCCGGTGAATATATTCGAAAAACTGTGCTGCTCCCACCTTTACCCACTATACCTAACTTAATGAACGGCAAGTTAGCGACTGTGGCGACATCTTGGAGAAACTTCGGTACTCCATGGTTCTGAGACTGATCAACGAGTGAATTCATTTTCGGGGGAGGGCCATGCAACCGCTGTTGCTGATGTACATAATGGTTTTCTTGTAAAGGTATAGAGGGCGCTTTCATTGTTGAGCTATTATCAGAAGCAAGCTCCTTCAAACGCGGCTTCACAAACAAAGATTCTTCAAAATTAGCAGGGTTAACCTCGGAGCGCATAGGAACATCATATGCATTAGGTACTGACGTAGCTTGGGTATTAGGTGGGAAATTAGACGCTTGAGAAGGAAGCGCAAATGGTGAAGAAGTAGAATTCTCAGAAGATTTCATTTCAACATCATTTTCGTAGTCATCTTCGATGTTGTGATTTATAGGCTTTATTTCTGAGGGAATTTTGACATCCGAGGATAGGGTGTATTCGGCGCGTTTTGGCGGCCCCAAGCCTATTCGGCCAATACGACGCCAACGGGAGACTGAAAGCGACCCAGGAGTCTTATTATGTGTTTTTGATATGGAATCAGTTTCCTGTGGCTCCATTGAATGCATACGCATGGAGTTTTGAGCTGGCATTGGGGTAACTATGTTCTCATGCGAACGAATAGGTTGGAAAGCAGGAGATTTCATCTCTTTATTTGCTATTGTCCCATGAGAAACTGTGCCAAAGGGTTCTGGTTCTTTTACGCGATTCTGAAAGGGCTTTTCTGTTGTGTTTGCATCGCTGGACCTTCTGCGCAAATGATCGCTAATGACGGTCCCATCAGAATGCGCGCTTTTTGATGAGAATGTGTCATTTTTAAGTGAAAGATCCTGATCCTCTGAATCTTCAAGAAATGAAAGCGATTCTTCGTCAAACGAGGAGTCTGAAACTAAGTCCGCAATATTGTTCACAAGTGGATCACGGTTAGACATATACCCGATTAGCAGAAAGGAAGCATTCCAATGTGTCCGAATTGATGCTTAAATCTTCAATATTACTGCGATTATTAAGTTATAGCTTAATCGTTCTTGAAACATGTATCAACTAAGGGAAAACCAAGAGGATGAAGGTCTTAACACTATTAATCGTGATTGGAAGGTAGTCTAGCCAACTCGCTGCATTGCATTAAATGACACTTTAAGTATAATATCATACTAAATTTATTGAAGAATGGAAAAACGAAATAAAAAACGAATGCAGTTGCATTTAGTTATATAGTTAGAGCTATTATTATATGTTTCATTTCATTGAAACTTCTTCGAATACTCTCAGTTTCGTGATACGCAATGTACGAACAGCCGGTAAGGAGGAAATGTGCATTACAAAATCAATTGAATAGATTAGAGCTTAATGTAAAATCAAGCAAAGAATCAGGCTCAAATAGTTTTAAATGTAATGAAATAAAATAAATATTGAAACGATTCTTAGCAATGTTAATTACATAGTCAGTCCAACTCGTAATATATAAAAAGAGCAAAAAAAGAAAATAGGTAAAAGATCATAAACGACGTCAACAAAAAAATGAGAAAGATTGTCCATATAGTCTAATTTTTATTGATGGAAAGGAAAAACAATAAGATTACCGACTTGAATGTCCTTCGGCAAGTGTTTCTTCAACCCCGGACTGCCAAGACCATCCATTTTGAATAAGATTTCGACGAATTTTGCGGTGATGGATATGATTTTGCTCTTGAAATTGGAAAAGTAGAGATCTCGGACTCAACTGACGCCATCTTATAGACCTGGTTTTATGATAACAATCATCATCACGTTCAGGATATAAATCGGTTAATGTAGAAATGACACGATGTTGTCGCGCAAATGCTTGCATTTGCAAATCAAAGTCCAAAGATAAACACGAAGGACAGATGAAGGTTCCACATACCATACACCGCCTTAGATCAATGCAATAGCGACAAAGTGGTTTAGTCCATTTTTCCGAACAATATACGCAAGGAGGAAGCACCTTAAGCATGTACAAATCTGCAATCTCACCTTCATAATCTGCTATTTTACACGCATTTAATGGACATCGATATACATCTGTAACAATAGTTTTCCCATGTGTTGTGCTTATTTGATCTAAAGCATCATGAAACACAGCTAACCGATCGTGCCAGGCACTGGTCAATCGATCGTCTTCCGTACCGTCTGGCATTAAAGGCTTTTGCAATTCCAGCCCAACGATACCCATGACATGAAAGTTTTCTAAGGAGAAAATTCTGTCTTTTGTTACAGTTTGGAAAAGCTCAAGAAGATCCAATACAGAAACCCCTTGACACCAACGTATACTAAGCGTCCGAAGGGAAGGTATATTTAACAAAATAAACGCAATTGTTGAAACGGTTATACCGGTGCCATCTAACACGATTGTATTTAATCCTTGAAACTTCTTGAGCATGCTGTATACAAAGCGATCCTGGATCTGCGGCCGTAAAATGGAGGGCCTTCCGTATACTTGTTTTTCATAAGCCCACAAATCATCATTTGCAACGGCAATGGTTCTTTGATAGGGTAGTTCTGTAGGACTGGCATCCGTGAATCGACATTCCTCCAGACGGCATATTTGGAGCCAATGATAGAAGTGTCGATTGACATGCATAAGTCTGTACAAGTCAAAAATATCAAGATAGTTTACAATCAAAGACCATATATCTCGATTTGTGAGAAAACGTCCGGAGACGCCCTGACATACTTCGGCTGCAGCTTCATGGTTGCGTATAGATAGACCTGCTAAGCTCCTTGTTGCATGCTCCAATTCTTTTTCAGAAGAAGAAGACAGTGCCATTACTGGAAAGCGAGTAAAGCTGCTGAATAATGGCTATTTGTAGGTTAAGATCAAGTTTCTTCCACCAGGAAAAGACGACGATTAATACTAATCAAATCTCTTCAGGTAACGTAATTTTTAGCTAAAAATTTAATCCATGAGTAATTGGATCTGTTTTACTTCAATCCTTCAACTACTTTAAATTAGGGTGGTTATTTGGAATACAGGTCCTGATTACTAGGAAAAGTGTCTACCCTGATAAACAAACGCTTTTAATAGTTCTTTTCAATAACGATACTTTTTTATCAAATAAGGATTCATCAAAAGCTTTTTAAGACTGAAATTGCCATCACAAGTGGTTGAAGTAAGGCAGAGAAATCAATCATTTCTAATGACAAATAAACGTATCTTTTATAGTATAACCGACTGATCTTTTGTTTATTCGTCTTTCAATTTGTTAAAATAGTTAAACCTTGCTTTTCGTTTATTATACTTGACAAGTTCAGTACTTTACTGCTAATGGGTGGTAGTAATTTCCTACCAAGCACTGTTATAAAATCTTTAATGCATATTTACTAAACGAAAAACATCATGATATGCTTACAAATTTATCACCAAACAACGAACGGTTTCGTTTACCAAATCTACGAGCTCAGTAAAGGCAATATTATGACATGAAGCATATATCCAAAATCTGGTTCCCATAAGGGAAGGACTGTTTTGGCAGCTTCAGAAACTAAAGCAGAGCGTATCCATAAATCTCAAAAAGATGAGACATCGATATCTAATACTATCAAGCAAATGAGTATCGACAAAAAGTTAAAAACAAAAAAAGGGGAAATCTGCATTGGCTGAAGTTTGCAATTTTTAAAAGTCATATATTTGATATATCGACTTTCTTTTGAAGAAGTTAAAACAGGTAAGGATAAGTCATTCCCTAAAGTTCAATCATTTCAGGACGTGTAGTAAAATATGATGCCTTATATAAACTCAGCATCTGCTATATATTAAGATAATCATAAGAGTATCAACAATTTTTGAGTTTGTTATAATAAACAAGTTCTTGAAATAGTGATAATCATTTTCTTCTCCATACTCGAGGTGCAAGTATAAATAGAATTCTGGAAGACGAAGTAAACTGCATCCATTTAGTACACAGAAGAATATCTTGCGATACGATCACGATATTAATAGAGAAGGCGTAAAAAACTGGTTAAATTAAGTAGAGGAAGAAAATAGGATCCACAAAATCTAGGGCTTAAAAGTATTAAAAGGATGGAAGTCATTCGGAAATCTAGAAAAGGAACAAAAAAGACATAGGACAATTACCATTCAAGATGATCTTGCGCTTAACCGCTAAAAATTAAGTGGTGCTTTCCGGTATAACAATACGGTAAAAAAAAAAAAAAAAAAAAAAAGAAAAAAAGAAAACAAAGGAGAACATACGGTAGAACGATATCGTTACAAAACGTATTTTCATATAGAAATGAAATGAAAACTTATTTGCGCCTTCCTATCATCACTTAACGTCAAGAATAGGAGTACGCAGACATAATGGTGCTTAAGACTGCACTCTTGGACAGGCGAATAAGCTTATTTAATTGAAAATTTCGACTGATAAACGGTGGAAGGGGCCAACATAAAAGGGAATAATACTTTATACCTGGTTGATTGCTTCATCATAATGGGGAGGTTGATCTTGGCTAGAACTAGGTCGGTGGTATGGAGGTAATAGATCTAAATGTTGAACACGGGAAGCATTATCGACTTCTTGGTACCTTTGGATTAGTCGGTTCCAACATTCAACAAAATGAAAAATACCACCTTCATTAAACTGAAGCTTGACCTATAAAAATGAAGTCGTTAATAAAATTATTCATCTTGAAGTTGTTTCCTTACTTCAGCTTCAGAGGGAATTCCGCCATTCTTGACTGGCGTTGCTACGCCCGAATAGTAATTTGCACCAAAAAATGCTAGGAAAAAGATGGTTAGCATCAGAGATGAAAAACGCAAAGGTTGAAGTCATACGTTGATTTAACTTTGTATCTCTGAAATTACAAATTGGTACTTGGAAATCAGAAAATGTGTTATTTTCTTCTCCGGTAATGTATATGATCTTAAGCCAGGCATTAGCGAAAATTACTATCAAATGTGCTAAATCATTAAATCATACTCGTTGATTTGTAAGATACATGCATCCCTGCGTGGAAGCCCAAGATTTTGAAGAAGGAGGATTGCACATAACAGAAAGTGCAATTCCCTCATAGCGAGCAAAGATACATTCGTTTTCAAGAAGAAATGGTTCTTTTAAAGACCCTTCTTTGTACGTAACCCAATTTATGCTCATATTTATCACTGTTCTCAATATGTGTTAGGTTCTTTGCAAGTCGTCTCATATCCTGTTTGCCCTTAGTCAATTCTAGGTAACACACCGGGTAACGGTGATAATTCAGTCTGGAGTAGTGGAACATTCGATGGTACACCGAGGAAGGGAAACAAGCGAAATAAGATAAGCTTAAGCAAAGCGTGTGTACGTGGGTGAGTGTCAAATGTTCCTAGTTTTTTTTTGCAGACGCTGGTTCTTTCTGTTGCAAAGCGAACGTTTGAATCTGTTCAATAAAAAGATCATTTGCTCTCAATGCAGGCTTAACAAACAATGAAAACTACGGCTTTCTGGAAGCGCTGGAGTAAAAGCTTAGATTCATTCATTTCCCTTTGTTGAACCCGATCATTACACTTGGACTATAAGTCCATGAAGTATCAGGTATATTTACTGCTTCATTTCAAAGCTGTCGTTCACTTGTGAATACCAAACCAACCCAAGAAACCAAATGGGCATGTTTTTGAAGCGATTTTTTTGCATTACTAAACCCTCGTTTGGATTATCATATTAGTAACATCGTCAATTAAAATGAGTCCTTTACTTTGGTTGACGAGAGTTCCTTTCGTGAAATTCTTTTTCTATTCTAAGCGCGAGTCATTATGCTCTCTTGGGTTGGTCAATGTTTGGGGTATTCTTTAGTTTGCTCTCAGGCGCCGTACTCAAGGGTCAATTGTTTACATTGAACTGGTTTTGTAAACAAAGATGTGCTTTGCTTCCAGTTATAATAGGTATCCTTTGCAAAATATATAATTTATTGAGTTGGAAAAATGAAACCATATGGAAATTTTCGGAAACTTTGGTTGCCCATAATCCCCAATGCAATAGAGAGCATTCTTACGGCTCAAACTGGATGTAGTAACAACGAAAAACAAAATTTTTTATTGGTTATTTAACTTTAACTTTTCATCAACCATGGCTTCATTTAAATTAAAACACTGCTGCACAGAGTCAAAACAAGTTACACGTTGTAGTTGTTAATAATCATTACATTTAACGTGTCTACAGAGGATTACCAAATTTATTAAAATATATACTTAAAAAGAAAAATCAATAAATAAAATAGCAAAAAAAAAAGAAAGCTTCCATTCATATAAATAACTAAATAAGAATAAAAACAAACAAACAAACAAACCACTTTCGCATTTCTTAGGAACCGCCGTCATCGGTAAACAACCTCGTCTCCAGCCATCTTAACAAATAAAGTTTATTTTATAGGCGAAGTTACAGCTCGGACAACATGCTTTATTTTATTTCGTCATCTTGTCAGTCAAGTACCGACAAAAAACTGTATATAAAATTGCGGGCTATCCGTTCATTTTCCCTTCCCCATTCCTCCTTTTTTTGCTAATCGGTAGGGCCACTCTATAGTTTCCAAATTAATTTGTTATTTAAGCACAAATAGCTGTTTGTTGTTGTTTTTTTTTTTAATTTTTTGGAAATATGAAGTTTTTTAGTGTCGCACTTTTCACCCTTATGGCTTTCGTTGGTATGGCCTTTGGTTACCCAATGTTAGCTATGCAAGCTTTTGACGACATCCACTGCAAGGGTAGCAAGAGCTATGCAATTTCCGTGAACGACTGCCAAAAGTTCCGTGACGTTTCTTCCATCAAGTCCTTTGCTGAACGTGGTGTTTGCACTGCCTACGTTTACACATCTGATGATTGCTCTGGTAGCCCCATCTTGACCCAAAACATCCAGAATGGCTGCAACGATTTGGACGTTTCCTTCTCTGGCTCTTGGGAATTCCGCTGCTAAATCTGTCATTGAAAACATCCGGGCTAAAGAAGGTTATTGAACAAAAGTCGTCTCAACGTCGTCTTTCTTCAGCTTTGACTGACGTTTTCATATGAATAAATTACTCTACATCTTAAACCATTTTTTCCTCGTAGATAGAAAACAGCTAATAAGCAAATAGCAAGAATGGGACTGTAGTATAGAACTTTTTCGTATCCTTACTGAAATTGAGTAACGAACATATAAGAGACATATAAGAGCGTCCAGACAACTTACGAAAAATAATAGTAATTTATCATACTATATTAAAACTACATTTACTTTGTATGCTTGCTTTTAAACTAGTCTCAATATATAATCGTAAAATAATACCATTATTTTCAAATTGACTAATCGTTCAATAACTGCTTTGGTGGTTTAGTGGTATAATGCTTCGTTGCCATCGAAGCGACCCGGGTTCGATTCCCGGCCGAAGCAAATTATTTCTTTCAACCTTTTTTCAGTAAATTTTTTTGATAAACAACAATGGAATCCCATAGTCAGTCTGCGCCGACGAAACTTTTATAAGAAGATACTTCAGCCTTTCATGAAGACTCAATGCAAGAGGTAATAATACTTACCTTTTCCTCTATCAATTTGTAAAATTCGTGTCTTGCCATCAAATTTGCTGATATGTCGTCTTATTTAAACCTAGTATTCAACAACAGACACTATGCCTGAGTGGTTAAAGGGATAGATTAGAAATCTATTGCGGTCTCCGCGCGCAGGTTCAAATCCTGCTGGTGTCGAACTTTTTTAATTTTTTAGTTCAATAAACAAACTATTATTCAGCAATTCAAATTAAAAATTGTATGAAAATGATATTCAACTTTTTACTGTCGTGAAACTAATTTCCTTTTTACAGATACACCTAAATCTACTAGCTAAATGATACAAAATGACGATCTTACTGGTACATTTTTATTAATATTGACATGAAATTCTATTCCCTAAATGTTCTTAAACAACAGAAATACGTTCTTCAAAATAATGTAATGAATGGGTTTGATTAGTAGAGCGCGCAATTTTGTGTAAAGTACATACTCACTCTAATTCTCAAAACAATTGCAAAGTGAAAACCAAGAAAACAGAAAGAAAATTTCAACCGTTTCTGGATACCTGTTTTCCGGTCCGAATATAACTCTTTCATAGGCATTAGAAATTTACGAAGCAAAGTAGAAGAATCGCTCGATTTTTATAACTGAAAATTTTTTCTCAGCTGAACTAGGTTATGTTGGTTTGACATGGACCAAATCATTAATAATTCAGAAGCATTTATATTATTTCGAAATATACTTGAATATACAACTGAAAGGAAAAAAAGGTCCTCAGTATCATCTCTGGATGAACCTGATGTTGTTTACGACAAGGACGAAAAGTCCTTTAGAGATTCAAAATCCAACTTGGAAGGAACCAGTGAATCAGTAAAGTCTACAAACTTGATTACGTGGGAAGATGTTGATATCTCTGATCATCCAAAAGAATGGCCAACATTACTAAAGATTTATGTTACCACTTGTGTTTGCTTGCTAACAATTGCTACTTACATGGGAGCATCAATCATTACCTCAGGACTAGATGAAATAAAAAATGATATGCATGTTGGACATGTTACTGCCATGCTTGGACTTTCTCTCTTCATTGTTGGATACTCCGTAGGCCCAATGTTTTTCGCCCCCCTCACTGAAATTCCCCAGGTTGGAAGGCAAAAAGTCTATTTGATTACCTTGGTTATTTACATATGTTTACAGATACCTACAGCTCTTTGCTCGGGAATCGGTGCTTTGCTTCCTTTGCGCTTTTTAGCTGGATTTTTCGGTTCTCCAGCACTTGCTGCTGGAGGTGCTACGATCACCGATATGTGGGACAGCAAGTACGCTCAGTATTTTGTTACCTCATGGTCACTATGCGCTTTTAGTATGTAATATAGTTTTGCCTCTTCTTCTTTCACTAACTCATTCCTTTACACAGGTGGTCCTGCGCTGGGTCCTTTATTTGGTGCTATCATGGTGGTCGCTAAATCTTGGCGATGGCAGTTTTGGTTTTTAATGATGCTTTCTGCAGCTGTATTTATTCTCTTCTTTGTTTTTGTTCCTGAAACATCAGCTTCAAATATTTTATATCGTAAAACCAAGCGTTTACGAAAAACAACAAACAATTCCCTCCTCCAAACACCAGAAGAGCTACAGTACTCTCAACTAAAAATCACTAAGTTGCTAACGGAGATTTTTCTTCGACCAATAATTCTGAGTATTCGTGAGCCAATTGTTTTATCTCTAAACCTTTACCTTGGCTTAGTTTACTCTCTAATGTATCTATGGTTTGAAGCTTTCCCTATTGTTTACTTGGAACTTTACCATTTCACTTTAATAGAAAATGGGCTAACTTATTTGGGAATTCTTATCGGTACACTTTTACCAACACCATTTTACTTCTATTATTTGCATAAAGTATTGATTCCCAAATTGACCAATAATTCAGGACGTATAGTACCAGAAGAGGTTTTGCGAGTGTCATTCCCCGCGGCTTTCTTTTTCCCAGTATGTCTTTTTTGGTTCGGTTGGACAGCTCAGCGTTCAATCAATTATTTTTCTTCACTAGTAAGCACCTTATTATACGCTGCCGGATCTTTTCTTATTTTCCAAACTTGCTATCAATATCTAGCTTCTTCCTATCCCAATTATATTGCTTCTGTCTACGCAGGGAATAATCTTTGTCGCTCTTTGATGGCAGCTAGCTTTCCACTGTTTGCACGAGCAATGTTTAAAAATACAGGTCCTTCCTATGCTCCTGTTGGTTGGGGTTGCACCATACTAGGTATTATTACTTGTATAATGTTTCCTATTCCCTTTTTTTTGTATACCAATGGGTTAAAACTTCGGACGCGGTCGAACTATGCTACTCATTAAAAATCCTCAACTTACCATTTTACTATTCATTTATTAATAGACACTTCACTACCGTAGATGTATTTAAAATAATATTTTATTAGTTTCCTTTTTCAAGGGAGGTGATATAAGATAATAAATAGTAGAGTCTTTTTACGGACCATGTTTATAACTAGTTTTTGTTTATTAGCCTCCTATGGACTGTATGCCATAACATAAGGACTGCTAATTTCAAAACAATGAAAAAATCCGACAATAAAATAAACAAGAACTGATAAACATCACATTTTAAATTCCTTAACTTTGCAAACATCCGGCATGCAATTATTATTATTATTGTTATTGGAAAAATAGAATTTGGTTTTCGCTTCTATCGAAGATAAATCACGACGTGAAGAAATCAAACAACTGACTGCTAGCAGAATGATTATTCCAATGAATCCCAGTTAACTTGCATCTTCCAAAAAATTAATCTCCTGGTTAATTCATTAGTAGCATTCCCTTTCCATTATGTAGGGAGTCTAGTAGCAAGGGTTGACAAGGACGTTCAAAATTACCATGACAGATATGATTATTCGCTTCTCAATTAATTCCAAGAAAACATAGCGTTACATTGCCTGTAAAACGTTGCTATGCCAAAATTATTTTCAGAATATGCCGAGTGCGAGCAACAAAGTTGCAATAAAATACAGATAAGCAATTTTTCTATTCCCTTCATTATAGATGATCACTCCTATGTTTAGTCCTTGTAAGCGTATTTACTATAGGACCGGATAGCCTTTCCATATCTATAAAAAACAAAAGGAATGGGAATCATAGCAGATGATATACAGGCGAGTACAGTAGTAGCGTAATGGTTTCCCAAATTATGGTACATGGGCCGTGCAACCATAGTCATTCCTCCACTGGTTGAGTATCGCACAAGTGTTGCAGCTGCAAGCGCACTCGGCGCCAAAGATTGATAAGTATCAATGAAATAAGTAAAGACGACAGAGAAAATAAGAAGCAATGAAGCACCAAAAAGGATACTAGAAATTATTGGAACTATCCAATGTATTTTGTTGGGATAACATGTCCAAGCTAACCAAAACAAGCTGATAGGCAAAAGAAAACATCCAACAAAAAGTGGATACAGCCGGTGCTCTGGGGCAACATTACCATTTTCTCTTTTGAATATTCTGGAATAATAGTAATAAACTAGAGGCGTAAAAGAAGTCGCTAAAAGAATTCCAACTCCAATTCCAATAAAAGATAGACCCTGTTCACCTTGGTTAAATCCATACTGAGAATACACAATTGGATAACTTTCGAAATTGATATAAACAATAGCAAAGAGAATAGTTACATAAAGAGTAAAACAAACCACAATTGGTTCTGATATCAATAATGAAGCAGCATTTGTGAACGCACGTATGATTGCAGACTTGGGATCACGCTGCTTTTCATTTTTCGTATACCGTAACGGATTTCCTGTCACTCGACGAAGGTAACGAGCCTTGTAAAAAAGAATAGTATCGGCGTGTGTTTCTGGAAGAGCAAAAGTAATAAGCAAAACTACGGCACCTGAAAATATCATAGTTATCCAAAATGTCCACCTCCATCCAAGATAGCTTTGTGAAATGAAATCTCCAATAATAGGACCTACGACTGGCCCGAGGAAAGGGAAAGCGCAAAGGATGGGAACAGCAAAGGTATATTCTAGTGGACTGTAGATGTCGCTAGCCGTTCCTCCGCAATTGGCTAAAGGCGTACTACCAAAAAAGCCTTGGAAATATCGAAGTATCGGTAATGTCCAAACATTTTGGGCAACACCGCCACCTACTTGAAGCACAGTGAAAATTAGAAGAGTCACAAAGTAAACTATGAACCGTCCATAAATTCCACTTAAAGGCGCAAAGGGCAAAGACCCCATCGAGAAGCCCACCAAATATGTACATGTTCCCAATGATGCGACCGGGGTGGATGCATGAAAAGTTTTCACTACTTCAGGAACGCCAGTTGAAAAGACGCTGGAAGCAAACGTTACAGACATAGTAACTATGCAAATTTGCACAATGATCCATAGTTTTTTGGTATGAGACCAATTTTTTGGATTAAGTGGGTCTTGAGGACCGTCCCAATTCACTAGATAGCTTGTTTCTTCATCTTCCACATTCTTATGTTTTTCAGTGCTCATAATACTCAAAAACCATTGCTCTTTCTCAACTTCACTGGAAGACGTATTTAACGACTCAGAAGGATTCCAGTTTAAGCTATCCAAGGCTGCATTTGGCTGGTGATACCTTTCATAATTTTGTTTGAACTTTTTTCCGGTAGCCAGCGAAATCAAGTCCATGATCCCAGTAATGAGCAGACCTATTTCGCTAGTCGTTTATTTACGTTTACGTAAATCAAAACGAACATTGACAACTGACAAATGTCAATTGCTTTAGCGTAGCTGATTTTTGTTACACTGTGATATTCCTAAACAGCCTAAAACCAAGGAATCTTATTGAATTCTTTGAATTCTTTTTTTTTAAGAACTGTTTTTTTATCAGATCCCATTAGTTTAGTAAATGTACATATATATGAATTGTGATTTCCATTCAACGGCCCGCGCCAACCGCAGCACCCACCACTGCCAACCGCAATAGCCACTGCTTTAGGAGTCTCCTACGGTTATAGCGGAAGTTTCGATAAAAGAATATTTTACTCTTTAATGGAATACAAATATTTACATCAAATGGCAATACAGAAGGGTACTAAGCAAGTGAGATTTATTGATTGTTTCCAGAGTTAGTTAGAGTTATAATCAAGCAGATTAAATGTATTGTTTAATATTTATTTGAATGGCCATGCCGCTACCGCTAATCCAAAGGAGAATGCAACACAGAAAGAGTATCAGACTGATCAGTAAACGCTTCCTGGTCTGTCGCATACTTATTAGCTTATATATAACGAAGTTTGAAACAGACAAGTCTAGTTTAACTCTTATGTTTGGATATTGATGACTATTCTGTCTTATTAATATAAGATAATATACGCTTTATAATTATTGCGGCCACATGAAAAATGCTCCTCGAAAGATGCAAAAGGTAGCCTGTAGTTCATAGGTACTTACTTTGTCTTTCACATAGAGGATTTAAATCAGAAAAAAACATAATTCCAACTTGATGTCGCATACTATTCATGTATACTAAGTACACGTTTCTGCGATTTACTTGATCTCATGGAAGAATCGAGGCCGAAACGTATTCGAACGAAAAAGGCATGTCTTGTTTGCCATAAAAAGAAGAGAAAATGCAGTGGTACTTTTCCTTGTTTTTATTGCGAAAGGTATTGCTACGAGTGTCAATATGCTCAGGATCTAGTGAAAATTAATACTCCCCATCTAAAAGACAATTGGCCCGAAATAGAAAGTAATCATAAACAATTGTTAGAGTCAAACAGTTATAAACAAGATGATTACTCCCCGGCTCGTTCTGATAACTCGAGTGAAGTATGGAGTTCTCATAACAATGAATTCGTCGACCATGCAGTTCAAGAAAAGAAAAAACGAAGAATGACTAAGAAAACAAATGCCCTTTGTTTTCCTGCTATTGTCAGTGAAAGGCTTGAAGCATCTCCAATTACTCGTTATAAGCCATTAGCTTGGAATATGGGTACTCGTGTCCGTCAAGAGCCGAATGAAAACTCAAAAATTCACACTTTCTTATCTAAAGATCAATGCTTATACTATGTTTCTGTTTATTTTGAAGACGTGAATCCGATTTTTGAATTGTTGGATCAGACTGCTTTCGAGGAACAGGTTCATAAACAGTGGGCTGAAGATATGGCCGCTGATTTTGGGGTTTTACTTTGCAGTGTAGTTGTCCTTGGATCTTTCTTTTCACATAATAATTCTCTGCATAATGAACTTCAGTTATTGCAATATGCCGAAGGTTTGCTGAACAAGAGTGCCTTTTCTATCAACAGTATTCCATCAATCGGCCAAATTGTTAGTTGGATTTTACGAAGTGTCTATTTACGAGCGGCTGCTCATCCACATAATGTTTGGCTCGCATCATGTGTTTCTATGCAATGCATTGAGATTTTCTGCTTATACCATGATTCCAATGAAGAAGAATCGAATTTATCTGAGTATGAACAACAAAAGCACTCGTATTTTTCTTCAAAGATTAAAATTTTTTCTATTGCGTGGGCTTTCAACAGAATTTTAGCATCCGAATATGGGACAACACCTATTAAATTGTCCGAATTAAATATCAAAGGAGTGCATTTTTCAGAACAGTCTAAATCTCATCAACTCACTCGATTAGCAAGCGTTTTACCAGAAAGTGACGAATTGACGAAAGAACCTCAAATGGCATATTTTGCGGCAATCCAGAGAATATCACAACTTTCCAAACTTCAGCCAATTCAATTAACTCTTATGAGAGCAACTGTTTGTTTTCACTTATATCGAAGCCTTTATTTAACAAACTCTCACCCCGATGAAACGATTGTTGGTATAATAGTCAAAATGACTGATGAAGCACTAGACAAGTGTTTTACTTTGTGCGAAAAGAAACAAGCATGGTGGAGTGTTTTAGATATCCCGTTTCATGGTATTTGTGTCATGTTATCAATTGACACCAAGGAAAGTTTGCAGTTAATCCCAAAGGCATTCAAAGTGTTGAATACTGCTGTGGAGATATTTAATACTGCAGCTTCTAGAGATGCCTTTCAGGTAGTCTCTGCATTATGTGATGCATTAAGAGACAGGAAAATAAACGAAGCGAAATTGTTAAATTACAAAGAACCCTTAAAAAACCAAAACAAAACTGAATTTGACAATTTTAATTTTGAGGGATCTTCTGAATTGGTTCTGGGAGATCCTTTTTTTGATTTATTTAATTTAGGTGATACGGATATTTATTCATAATACATGCATTATTATGCTGGCTAGAACGTTTATTGTTCTATATACCCCCAAAAGTTTTGTCGATTTGAATACAATCATATTGTTCAATGATTATTGCATTATTTTAAGCATCAAAACTATTGTGAAAAGCAGCTTCGATACATCTTGTTAGCCTCAATCATTTCATTGTAGATTTCGCACAAAACAACTGATTTCCTCTATTGTCATGCAGATTTTATTGCTATTAGAATATTTACTAACTCATGAAGACTAATTCTGTAAATGTTTCCGTTATACAAATCCTTATATTTAACATTAAATTTGTAGCAAATATACACATTGACAAATTCGTCGGACATTATCTAAATCCAAAATACTCTTTAAACACACTGTTTATGCTGGGCATGAAACTAAACTTGTACACCAATCGCTTAAAAAAATAAGAATGATGACTCGAAACGTAGAAGATCGAAAACGTTTAGTAAGGCTGTCATTTTAAAATCACAAGGAAAATCAGCAATAAATTCCAAAATTGATAGGATCTAAACTGGCCATAGCAAAAAGCTCCGTGAAATGAACGAACAAAACTAAATGCTTCATTGTCAAGGATTAATTATGCAGGTAATTGATATCAAAATAAAACAATAAAGATCTTGAAAGAAAATACATATCTGGTGAGCTCTTTGGGCCGAGATATCAGCAATATTGTAAGATTTCCGTTCTTAATTGCATTTCAAGAAAAGTCAGTTCGGGGCCTGAATGGTCACTGATTCTAAAATATGATACTGCTTAAAATACAGGCGTTTATATTTAGTAAATGGATTTGGATAAATCTATCAGACAGCTTCCTGCAGCAGGCTTGGATACCACGATGGCGGCCTCTAAATCCTCTTGACTTAAATTGGGAAAATGCTTGTTATAATACTGATTTTTCAGAGCGGAAACTACTCTAGGTAATCGTTGTACAGTGGTTAAATGTACTGCTGAACCTCCCCAACCGGCGCCAGTCGCTCGAGCACCATACGCGCCATTAGCAACAGAAATAGCACATACCTCTTCTAAATGTGGACTAGAAGAATTATTATAGATGTTAGCTGATCTTTGTGAGTCATTCATTAGTCTTCCAAATGCCAACAAAAAAGTCTCCGAGTTTTCTGAAGGCTTATGTTCACGGAAAAGTTTCAAAGTTTCTAGTACACGCAAAAATTCTGAAAATACATGCTTTGCTCTTTGATATAACCTCATTACATCGTAGCGAACGGGGATCTCTGTTAAAAATGTTTCGGTAAACTGCTTCACCGATATTTCCAGCTTTTTGGACATCTGTTCTGTTGTAAAACCAACCTTTTCTTCCTCTGAGAAGAAAGTCTCAACAATCTTGAGCATTTCTTGTGTACGTTCAATGCCAATGTCAACGTCGTTGCCATCCCAAGGTGGTTGTTTCAAGTATTGTTCATAGTAAGTATCCATGAAGCTACGCAGTGTCCCTGCAGTTTTAAGATTAGAATCTTTCATAAGAGTCAAATTATACTTTTTAGCTAACATCTCGGAATCCACAGCCATTTCAACAACTCGCAAATTGTAATTAGTAGCAGCAGTTTCGTGTTTGTTTGCCTGTACAAGCGTGTTGCTTACGAGAAAGACCATTTCCTCTGGCTTTGTCGACGGGATTGCAAAAGGAATTCCAACTAGCTTTGGACGGAATTGAACCAATAAAGCCTTTTCTCTCTCTCCATAGATAGAAGCACACTGATCCATTCCTCCAGTATTGACACCAACGTAATGCTCGGAAACAACGCTAATTTTGGTCAGGTCTTCTTTACTAAGGGTCCCAATTCCATTAGCCTTTAAAATAGCCATAATGGAGGTTACACAAAAAGCAGCTGAAGAAGACAGGCCTCCGCCCGTAGGCACATTTCCATCGTATGTTAATCTCATACCCTTTAAAGGTTTAGAACCACCTTCAACGATTTTCGGATACTTCTCCAAAATAAATTTGTGGGCTACAATTAGGGAACAACGAAAATAGTTTCCCCAGCTATGATTCTTTGTGTCGATGGAGATGACCGATCCATCTTCTGGTAGTTCAAATTGTTTACTCACAAATTCCGGATTCATGTTTGTCAAAATCATTTTTCTGTCATCCGTTTCACGGACTGCAGCCACCACATCCACCTCCATCGCCATAGGAAGCACAGAAAAGTAATTGTAATCGATGTGCTCTCCGATGATATTCACCCGACCAGGTGAACGGCTCATAAAACTAGCATCCATAGAAAATTCTTCCTTGAATTTTGAAAGCAAATGCTTGTAACGATTCTTATTGCTTTCAACATCAGCGTAGAAAGATAAATCATGATATATGGGTATGGTAGTCATTGATGCTTACTCCTTTATCGTTGACTCTCTTTCCTTCGATTTGCTTTATATGTTCTTTTCACTCTATTTATATACTCTTTAAAACTCAGTATAACCAACACTAAGTTCTTTTGCCTGCTTTTAGCACCAATATATGTCCCTTAAGTACGCTCATTTTCTTGCACTTGGAAAGCCTTTTGCCTGACGATATTGTGACATCGCTGTGAATCGGCAACGAAGGTGGAGACCTTTATTCAGCCGAGAACTTAATCTCCACATATAGCTGAAAGAATTGGGGAAAGTGGAGAAAGTCTGTCGCATAATTTCATCTTTACAGAAACTTGCATTTACAGACATCATCATAGTGCTAGGTAAAAAAGTACTTAATTACGGCCTACAGACACTTTCACGGCTTCAAAAAAGCTATTATTTCTATAATTATATAAAAGATTATCTTTTATTTAGAAAACTATCAGAGGAACGAATTGGATGAAAAACTTTCAAACTGGCAAAAGTTCCATTGTGTGTTTCTATACATTTTAAGCTCATTTCGGAATCATTCATATTTTTTTGTAAACATTGATACTTGTTTTAGTCTACATTACTTACATGAATCACTAGCTTTCCATGAGCTCGAAGTCCTATATTGTCGTTACCGGTGGTGCCGGATACATTGGTTCCCATACCGTTGTAGAATTGATCTACCATGGGTACAATGTTATTGCAATTGATAATTTATGTAATTCTAGTTATGAGGCGATAGCCCGTATCGAATTCCTAGTTCGGAAATCGGTCCTATTCTATAATATTGACCTACGTGATGAGAAGCAATTGAGTCATATTTTTTCATCCTACAATGTTCAAGGAGTACTACACTTTTCAGCTCTCAAAGCTGTCGGAGAATCTACCAAAATTCCTCTAGACTACTATGACAACAACATATATGGATCCATTACTTTGCTTCGAGTCATGAATAAACATAATATCAAAACGATAGTTTTTAGCTCTTCTGCTACAGTCTATGGGGATGCGACTCGATTTGAAAACATGATCCCTATTCCAGAGAATTGTCCGAATGAGCCCACGAATCCATATGGGAAAACAAAGTACGTAATCGAAAATCTCATTAAAGACTTACAAAAGAGCGATCCAACATGGCGTGGTGCTATTCTTCGCTATTTTAATCCCATCGGTGCCCATCCATCTGGTTTAATCGGTGAAGATCCTTTGAATGTTCCGAATAATTTACTACCATTTCTCGCGCAAGTAGCCATTGGTAGACGAGAAAAGCTTTATGTCTTTGGAAATGACTACGAAAGCCATGATGGTACTCCTATTCGTGATTATATCCATGTCGTTGATTTAGCGAAAGGTCATATTGCTGCTTTGGAATATATGAATAGTTTGGAGAGCGATGTTGGCTTATATCGTGAGTGGAATCTTGGAACTGGAAAAGGATCTACTGTTTTTGACATCGTTAATGCTTTCAGCCAAGCGTCAGGCAAAGAACTACCTTATGAAATTGTTGGTAGACGAGATGGTGATGTCCTTAATCTAACAGCCGACCCAAGTCGTGCAAAGAAAGAATTAAACTGGATTGCAACTATGACTGTTGAACAAGCCTGTCGAGATCTATGGAAATGGACCACCGAAAACCCTTTTGGATTTCGGGTTGACAATTATCATTGGAAAGTATTTAATAAATCACAAACAGTCGATTATAAAAATAGATTGCATACAGTGAAGTTTCCAGACTTACAAGTGTCTTTCGCTAACTATGGTGCACTCATACAAGATGTTCAATATAAAGGTCAACCTCTTGTTGTTGGGTTCCAAGAATTCCAAGCTTATACATCGGATAGCAATCCCCTTTTCGGTTCTACAGTCGGTAGATATGCCAACCGGATTTCGAACGGGTCTTTTCAAATAGAAGGAAAGACTTATGAGCTTGACAAAAACCAAAGTGGATCTACTTTACATGGGGGAAACAATGCGTACAATAGACAGTACTTTTTGGGTCCTGTGTCAAAACATTATCAAGATTATAATACACTGGAGTTTATCCTGCTTGACGAAGATGGTAACAATGGATTTCCTGCCGAGGTAGAGACCCTAGTTAAGTATACGGTAAACAACAACTCAATTGAAATTGAGTACCAATCTTCCATTACCGAGAATTCTCCAAACGATGCCACCGCCATAAGCTTGACAAACCATTCTTATTGGAATCTTTCTAGCAATAAAACCATTGACGGTACTGTTTTTAGGTTGGCTTCTGATAAATATCTGAAAACAGATCCAAAAACCCAGCTACCAAGCGGCGAAATCATTTCATCAAATGAGCCGTTAACCAAATCCGTTAAACTCTCGCCGGATGTTTCTTTTGATAATTGCTTTGTTGTTGACGAAAGTGATTTTTCTCTTGATACAAGAAAAAGGGAGCTAAAGCAAATCGCTGAAGTTAGCCATCCTTCTAACTCTATTAAACTCTCCGTGACATCAACAGATCCAGCTTTTCAATTCTATACTGGTGATAATATAAGTATGGATCCTATTAAACCAAGAGCTGGTTTCTGTGTTGAGGCGGGTCGCTACGTAAATGCCATCAATCATGCGTCTTGGTCCAAACAGGTTCTTGTTCACAAAGGAGAAGTGTACGGTTCCAAATTGAAATTTACTTTCTCAAGCTGAATATTTGTTTGTTATAGATTTAATAATGAACCCTGATATATACAAGAAATCTTGTTTGTTTAGTTATACGACTCGAAATAGGAATGAAATGAAAAATAGTTATATATAGATTTTTTTTTTCAAATAGAAAGGGGTATAGTGCTTTTGGTAGAGATCCAGTTTAGTGTACAGGCTTCAGCAATTGTCAATCATGTATTTTGAAAAGGGGAAAAAAACTATTCGAAAGTATCGTTAATAAGTTCATTGATGCCCTGATCAAGAGAGATTTGAGGCATCCAGCCAATTTGCTTGATTTTATCATAATTTAAGGAATATCTTGCATCATTATAATTTCTGTTTTTTACGAATACCATGAACTGGGAGTCATCAAATTTTCTGGAGGGAAATTTCTTCTTGAAAAAACAGTTACATATATGTTTCACAAGAGAGTAATTGTCCAATTCGTCGTCGGATCCAACATTGAAGACTTGCGGACCCGCAGGACGAGGAGTTGAAGAGGCTGATACATTTTTTCGTTGTTTTTTCCAAACTAAATCCAAAGCTGTCAAGAAGTCATACACATGCAAATATTTTCTCTTTTGCGAACCATCGCCGTGGATGGTGATTTTATCCAACATAACATCATGATTTTTTTGCTGAAGAAATAGATGAAGCTTATTAATGGTCATAGGAACCAGTTTTTCATTGTGTTGCCGTGGTCCATAAATGTTATTAGCACGAATCATTACGACTGGAAGATTATATGAATAGTAATACGATTGAACGATCAAGTCGGTAGCGGCCTTCGAAGCAGCATAAGGATTAGTTGGTCTCAATGCAGAATTCTCTTTTGCGTTTTCATGGACTCCCTGTTCCCCATAGACCTCATCCGTCGAAATATGTAAAAAAGTAAACTCACGATGAAGATGAGGATACCGATCAAGCAAGAGACGAGAGCATTCTAAAAGATGTTGAGCACAAAGGATATTATTTTTAACAAAGAAGATGGGATTTTGAAAAGAGCGATCAACGCATGATTCCGCAGCGAAGTTGATAATATGTGTTATTTGAGTATTTGGAAAGTCATCGACAATGAACTTTTCGAGAGCTGAATATTCTGTAACCAAATCGATCTTTATAAAGGTAAAGTTAGGTTTCCCCAAAACGTTTTGAAGGTGTTTCTTACTATTCTCACTCGCATAATTCAATGAATCCATGCACGTAAAATGATATTGAGGATATTTCGATACAAGGAAATCCAAGCAATGCGACCCAATAAAACCGGCTCCACCTGTTACTAGTACATGCTGTTCATATTCATCGCTAGTAGTCATAACTGCTAATACGAGTTTATGATACCCAAATAGAGGGTTAATTTTGAATAGCTCAACAAAAAAGAATAAAAATAAAAATGGAAAAAGAAATTAAATTATATGAAAACTCCCTCTATTCCCTTCCAGGTAAAAAAGGTACTCCACCGGTTACCTAGTCCTTTAAACAGGTGTTCACGAATAAACAATAAGTAGTACCACTAAACGCAATTCAAGAGATGATTACAAGATTATACAAGATATGTAATAGTTTATAAAAGCATGAAAACTACTCATTCCTGAGATCCTAATGGATTAGGAGACACTAAGGCACGGCCATAAGAGACTTAAAATAAAGGGCGTAAATATCGTAATACGCTAGAAGCGACAAGGATTATTAAACGAGTCGCTTATAAAATAAAAATGGTAAATCAAAGAATACAAGCAACTGATAGGAATCTACTTCCATCCGCTTGAAGTAACTAAGGCGCAATGCGACTCGTAAGTAGAAGGGGAGCAGAACTATGTAATGTATACCGGAAAACCACCAAGAACAAGGAATGCCATATCTTCTGGTAAATTTTTTCTATAATAAATGAATTGAATTTACAAGGTTGAAAAAGAAGTATGAAGTTTGACTTTACAGATCATTCACATCGCCGATACAACCCTCTGAATGATACATGGGTGTTGTGTTCTCCCCATCGTGGAAAACGACCTTGGCAAGGTGAACAAGAAGATATAGTAAAGGATGAAGTACAAAACTATGACCCCAGCTGTTATTTATGCCCGGGAAATGATCGAGCAATGGGTACCAAAAACCCCAATTACACAGCGACGCACGTCTTTCGCAATGACTATCCAGCAGTCAAAAGGGAACAACCTGATTTAGTGGAAGAACAATCCCACGAAAAAGGGCAGACACTCTCCTTGAAGTCCCGTTTGCAGAAAACTCAAGGTGTCAAGGGCGACTGTTTTGTCATTTGCTTTAGCCCTAATCATAGTTTGACGCTTCCTCGCATGGAAATAAATGCTATTATGCATGTTGTGGAAACTTGGAAGCAACTATGCTTTCAGTTAAAAACAGCGTCTTCTGAACGCATGCACTATAGATACATTGAATAATGGATTAGGAGACACTAAGGCACGGCCATAAGAGACTTAAAATAAAGGGCGTAAATATCGTAATACGCTAGAAGCGACAAGGATTATTAAACGAGTCGCTTATAAAATAAAAATGGTAAATCAAAGAATACAAGCAACTGATAGGAAGCTACTTCCATCCGCTTGAAGTAACTAAGGCGCAATGCGACTCGTAAGTAGAAGGGGAGCAGAACTATGTAATGTATACCGGAAAACCACCAAGAACAAGGAATGCCATATTTTCTGGTAAATTTTTTCTATAATAAATGAATTGAATTTACAAGGTTGAAAAAGAAGTATGAAGTTTGACTTTACAGATCATTCACATCGCCGATACAACCCTCTGAATGATACATGGGTGTTGTGTTCTCCCCATCGTGGAAAACGACCTTGGCAAGGTGAACAAGAAGATATAGTAAAGGATGAAGTACAAAACTATGACCCCAGCTGTTATTTATGCCCGGGAAATGATCGAGCAATGGGTACCAAAAACCCCAATTACACAGCGACGCACGTCTTTCGCAATGACTATCCAGCAGTCAAAAGGGAACAACCTGATTTAGTGGAAGAACAATCCCACGAAAAAGGGCAGACACTCTCCTTGAAGTCCCGTTTGCAGAAAACTCAAGGTGTCAAGGGCGACTGTTTTGTCATTTGCTTTAGCCCTAATCATAGTTTGACGCTTCCTCGTATGGAAATAAATGCTATTATGCATGTTGTGGAAACTTGGAAGCAACTATGCTTTCAGTTAAAAACAGCGTCTTCTGAACGCATGCACTATAGATACATTGAATTTTTTGAAAACAAAGGTTCGGCTATGGGCTGCTCAAATCCTCATCCACATGGCCAGGCCTGGGGCTTGGATTATATTCCAACGAATGTTGGTGAAGAAATAAAGAATATGACAAAGTATTTCAAGTCCTATGGTACACACTTACTCGGCGACTATGTCAAGCTTGAAATGGAAGAAAAACAAAGAATTGTCCTTGAAAATGATTCTTTCGTTGTACTCGTCCCCTATTGGGCTTTATGGCCTTTTGAAACTTTGTTGATTTCAAAAGAACATTTGCATTCGTTGATGGATTTCCAAGAAAAGCATGTTCAAGACTTGGCTTCTATTTTAAAGCAATTAACTACGAAATACGATAATTTATTTTGCACGAGTTTTCCCTATTCCATGGGAATTCATCAAGCACCTCTCCACGGCACCGAAGATGAATGCAATAACTCTTGGTTCCATATGCACTTTTATCCTCCTCTATTGAGGTCTGCTTCAGTAAAAAGTTTTGTGTTGGATTTGAAATGTTAGGTGAAGCCCAAAGAGATCTGACTAGTGAACAAGCCGCTGAACGCTTGCAAGCACTTGAGTGTACAAGGCATTACCTAGATACCCTAAGCTGAACCTTGATACGTCCAATTTTCAAACATATAAATATTAATTTTTATTTTTCATTCTAATTTTCCATATGTCACATTGCAATTGCATCGACAAACAAAACTGGATAAGAGTTCTAAATACTAAGAAACTTTAACAGGAAGATATACGAGTATATGTATATTCGTTCAATTTAACCTTATATCTATCGAAATAATAGAACTTCTATTTAATTATAATAATTCGTGCGAACTTACAACTACTTTATGATGACTAAGAATATTAGTCAGCCAACAATGAAGATTCGCAATTTCTTTCCACCATTGACATTGGAAAACACATATAAATTCAAGGCAGTAGAAAACAACGCCGGTCATTAGTATAACGGTAAATCTACTTTGATAATATCTCACATTCTTCAGTAAAAAATGACGGTTGGATTGGAACAAACAAATCTTTTCAAACCAATTAAGATTGGTAACCATACACTAAATCAAAGAATCGTTTATGCTCCAACAACACGATTCCGTGCTGCAGATGATCATACTCCAAGTGATTTGATGTTAAAATACTATTCTGATAGAGCACAAGTTCCTGGTACTTTGCTCACTACAGAAGCCACATTCATTTCTCCTCGCGCTGGTTTATACCCTAATATTCCCGGTATCTGGAACGATAAGCATGTCCAAGGATGGAAGAAAATTACTGATGCCGTACATGCTAAGGGTAGTTTGATGTCATGCCAATTGTGGTTTTTAGGACGAGTTGGATCCCCAGAACTACTGAAAAAGCATGGTTTGGACTTGATATCCCCTTCCGCTTTGTATGAAAGCGAAGATTCCAAAAAGGCTGCCGAAGCTGCAGGCAATCCTGTAAGAGCATTGACCGAAGAAGAGATCAAGAGTATTATTTATGAAGATTACAAGAATGCCGCCATTAATGCTCTGAACGCTGGATTCGATTTTGTTGAAGTTCACAGTGCTCATGGATATTTGCTTGATCAATTCTTGCAGCCTTCTTCCAACCAAAGAACCGACAGCTATGGTGGTTCCATCGAAAAACGTGCTAAAGCTGTGTTAGAAGTCATTGATCTTTTGATTGAGACCATTGGTGCTGATAAGCTTGCTATTAGATTATCCCTTGGGCCAAGTTTCAAGGAATGAAGGCTGAAAAAGACGTGGTACACCCCGTCACCACTTTTAGTTATGTTGTGAATGAGCTTCAAAAGCGTGCTGATGACGGTAAGCAGCTTGCTTATCTTTCTCTCGTCGAACCCAGAGTTCAAGGAAACTTAGATGTCAATACCTCTGACATTGTTGGTTCCAATGACTTTGTCAAGGCTTTGTGGAAAGGTCCCATTGTACAAAGTGGTAACTATACCTATGACAGTCCCGAGTTCAAGTTATTGAAGGCTGATGTCAATAACGATGACCGTACTATGATTGGTTTCTCAAGATACTTTACATCCAACCCAGATTTGGTTGAAAGATTGAAGAAAGGTCTTGAACTGACTCCTTATGTTCGTGCTTTGTTCTACGCCTCCCATAACTATGGTTACAACACTTTCCCCAATTACGGCGAGGAATTGCATTATGAGCCAGCAGCAGAGGAAAAGAAACGCCCTGTCTCTCTAATTTAATTGTATGTTATAAAAATAAACTAGATTTAGTTTAATGTCAATCAGGAATTAGGAACAGTGAAATTTTGGTTATAGTCTACCTGATTAATGATGATTTTGGCGTTTTGTGAAGATAGAAAAATATATCGTGCTTTTAGGATTTGAAGAACAAATTTCAGTAAGATATTTTTGTTTGCGTATATTGTAAGTTGCCGGTCTTATAGCTACTGTGTTATGTCCCAAACTTGCTAACCCTACACGAGATTGAAAATAATAATATTCAAGTAGGGGAACAAAAAATAGTGCCACTACCAAGGTTTCTATATCATAAAATAGTTTTTGGTAATTGAAACAATTGTATGTGTATTAAATGAATGATAGGAAAGTAATTCTATAAATCCCCCAACGTCCAGAACTTGATTTGCCAAGAATCAAACCAGTCGATCAAAGCTTTTAATTTCGAAAATTTTTGCTCTTAATGATTAGCATATGTATATATTTTTATTCGATAGTACTTTCTCTTTTACTAAAAGATCATTTGTTTACTTTCTATAATAAACAACTCTTTAAAGTAATAGGAAGAAAAACTCGCAATGAGAACAAACGCTACATAACCGTAACGAGGATGTGACCAGTCACCAAATAATGTCGTTGCTTTATAAAAATGAGGCATGAGAGAAGACATGATCATGAAGTTCATTTTCTTTGTGAATTAAGTACTCTTCTTATCATCAATTTCAAATTATTTATGCTTCTAATGAACTATTATTCCACTCTAAAATGCTAATTACTACAAGTCCTTCACAAATTGCAAGAGCATTCATTATAAGAACGAAAGAGAATGAGTATCATCAAAGTTTAGTTTCATCCATCCATCACTTTCATTTAAAAAATCCTTCCTTGACAACGTATCGTAATTTGTTTTACAACATTATTCAAATCCACACAGCTCGTATATTCATATGGTTCAGCTATACTTTTAACCGATGTTGTTTCTTTTGATAGTTTCCTTTGTTTACAAAATGTAATAAAGTTAATCTTTTGTATTATCATTACATAATATATCGCATGACAAAAGATACCGTCTTTGTTAATATATGAATGCTATCTGAGACATCCTCAAGTACAACTTCAAAAAGAGAATTTCTAGCCATTCAGGGCAACACTTCTATCAACAATAGATTGGGAATTTATCATTGCTAATATCACATCATGAATAACCAAAGGCTTTCTAATTTATAAATACATGTTCATTGAACACCGTGATCTCCTTTCCTTTCGTAGTAGTATCAATCAAGAATTTCCAATGTCAGAAGAACTGTTCCAAAATTTAACATTCCCAGACGGTAGCACAGCCAGACAACCCGTCGGACTATACATCGATGGTCAATGGATAAAATCCAAAGACAAGGAAAACAGTGGATCCTGCCACCGAAGAAGTTATTACAGAAGTTTACTTGGCTGGTACCGAAGAAGTAGATCTTGCGGTAAAAGCAGCGAGAAAGGCTTTTAAAGATTGGAGAAAGGTTCATGGTTCAGAACGAGGTGCACTACTCATGAAATTGGCAGATATAACCGAAAAGCATATTGATACACTATCCGCCATTGAAGCTATGGATTCAGGAAAACCAAAAGACTCCAATGCTCGCGGTGACGTGGAGGGAACAATAGCTTTGCTTCGTTATTGCGCCGGATGGGCTGATAAAATTTATGGATCCGTTATCCCAACGGGCTCCGAAAAACTTGCATACTCAAAGAGAATACCAATTGGAGTATGTGGCCAAATTGTTCCCTGGAATTATCCATTAAATATGGCTGGATGGAAGATTGCTCCTGCTTTAGCCGCTGGTAACTGTATCATTATTAAATCCGCTGAAACCACCCCTCTCTCATTGTTGTATTTTGCCCAATTAATTGACGAGGTTGGATTTCCCAAAGGTGTAGTCAACATTATAAGTGGGCTGGGTAAAGTTGCTGGATCACATATCGCTTCTCATCCAGGAATCGATAAAATCGCATTTACTGGATCAACAGAAGTGGGCAGTACTATACAAAAACTCTCCTCTTCCAATCTGAAGACCGTGACACTTGAATGTGGCGGAAAATCTCCGTTTATTGTTTTTGAAGACGCTGACATTGATCAGGCGGTTAAATGGGCCGCTGTAGGCATCGTATTTAACAGCGGTCAAATTTGCACGGCCAATTCGAGAATATACGTACAAGAGAAAGTCTATGAAGAGTTTTTGCAGAAATTCAAAAACCATATTTTGACAGATTACAAAATTGGATCTCCCTTTGATGAATCGACAGTTGTTGGACCAGTTGTCAATAAAGTTCAGTATGACCGAGTCCTTCATTACATCGACGTTGGTAAAAAGGAAGGAGCTAGGGTAGTCTTGGGAAATGAACAGACTCTCTCAAAGAAAGGATACTTTATCCATCCAGTGATTTTCGCTGATTGCTCTCAAGACATGAGAATTGTAAAAGAAGAGATTTTTGGACCCGTAGTGGCTGTATCAAAATTTACGACAGAAGAGGAAGTAATAGAAAATGCTAATGATAGCATATACGGGTTGGCAGCGATGTGCTTTACTCAGAATCTCGAAAAAGCTCATCGCGTTAGTGACGAATTAGAGACTGGAATGGTGTTCATTAATTCGACAGAGAACAGTGATATTCAAGCTCCTTTTGGAGGTGTTAAGATGAGCGGAATCGGCAGTGAATTAGGAGTACCAGGCATAGAAATGTACACTCATCTGAAGACGGTCCATCTGAATTTAAGTAACAAGCTTTAACTTGATTGTTTGTGATAGCTATGAATCCCGGCTTTGGGTATTTTACAGGGAGGGCATTCAAGACGAGAAATCGAAGGAAAATGACTTATGGAAAATTCATGGTTATCAACGGACAAACAGAGACGTCATTTGCTTTCTAATAGACTGAGATCAATGAGTCAGTAGCTCAAAATCTTAGCATTCTCCGACTTACTTGCTCTTCTTATCCAGCAGTTTACACTCATTTTCGAGTCCAAAAAAAATCGGCGATTACGTTTGTATTTCGTAATAATTTTATGATGCTGAAACGTGAACACCAGCCGCAATTAAATGGCAACACTAGAGGAAGTCTCTTATTCAACTATGATGGCATTGATTTAAATTTCAGGATTGGAAAAATAAATATATGTATCGCAAGGGATACTCGAAACGAACCAACTCATCAGTGTTAATCGAGAACTTTAAAAGTCGTTAATTGATTATCATCTACTTTGCAATTCTTATCATCCAATATGCCCAACCCTGGAAACGTCGCTGGAGGCTACAAAGCCTCTCTTCATAATCCTAATGTATCCGATGAGGCTAAACAGCACTCGAAGGAGGTCCTGGAGCATGAAGACTTCAGTAGAAGTCCCACTCACGCCAAGAACCCTGGTAATGTCGCAGGAGGTTACAAAGCCGCTCTCCACAACCCCCATGTTTCCAAAGAAACCAAGAAACACGATCAGGAAGTCCTGGAGGAATTGGAGTAAAACAGCTATTGCTACAGCTTAGTGATGGTTTCTCCAACAATGATTTATGATAATTTTTGATGATGACAACTTGAGTTAAGTAATACTCTCTGTATACCTATTATGTCAGTAGTTTTATGTTTATCACTAAATAAAAGATTTATCTTATTATTTCTAATAGAGCATATAAAACCTTTAGCAAAAAATATGAAACACCTGGAAACCTGTTCATCAACCTCAAACCTGCTTGAATTGTCCTACAGCTTTACGCAACCAAAAAATTCAATTTTGTGTAAGAAAATGCTCCTGGTTAAATTTCTTTGGTACAATGTTGATTGCAACATAGTCTTGATCTACAGTGGATAGCTAACACTTTAGCCCAACATCTAATTTGAAAGCTACCATCGTAAATTTTTACATCATTTAGTACGAGCCTAGCCACCAAACTTCATCATCTTTTGTTTAGACACATTCAAACCAATTTGGTAAGTAGGATTAAATTGCCACTGTACGAATGTTCGAGAATTGCATATGAAGGCAATTCATTATGTCTTCTTTTATAGAATGATTAAGCAAGTAATTTCGCAGTTACTTCCATGCGGAATTGATGTGTTAATACACTCTACGGGACAGATTTTTGCCATCAAGTAACCTACGTGTTAACGAACTTTGGAATTCGTGTGATGTAGTGTATGTCAACAGCTTACGAAAATTCAAATCATTATGAGATATGTTAAATTGATATGAGTGAGAACATGTATAAATATACGGGGGATCTAGTTTCGTTCGCCTAGAGTTTTCAAGATTTTCACAATTCAAATGCCCGATCTAGCACATCAAATTGCCGGCCACAAAGCCGCCTTACACAATCCTACTGTTTCTGAGGAGGCCAAAGCTAGAGCCCAAGAATGGCTAGATAGCCATGGTCAAGATGCTCATTATACAACTGGTACCACTCGTGGTCTCAAATCCGATGGAGACGATGAAGCTGAATTAAGAAAAGAAGGTTTCCAAAGTACAAACCTTTACGAAGATGACGAAGCCCAAGCCAAAAACCTTGGAAACGTACGTGGTGGATACAAGGCAGCCGCGCACAATAAAAGAAACACAAAGAGTGGAAGAGAGGCTGCTGAAAAAGCCTTACATGAAATTGATGATGAAGCGAAGGCGTAGGAAAATGCTGTTTCTTCTTTCGTCGAAAAGAATAACTTAAAAAATAAAGAGTTACTATATGTGTGTGTGTATATATATGTAAAATATTACGAAGCTTTTATTCCGAATATAATGAAAGATTGAATTTATGAATTATTTATACATTAACTAACTTTGCGACGAATTTATATTACAGGATTATATTGTGTACGATATTGTATGCGAAATAAGTAAAAGAAAAGAACTTTTTGTAAATTCCAAAAAAAAAAAGCGAACACAAGTTCTGAAGCTGTGAGTCAAGTTTAAGCCTTTACTCGCATAGAGTAAGTAAATCGAAACGAAACGACTTTGTAAGTAAGTAAATGCTTTGAAAGGCATTATAACAAACCTGCTTCTTTTTAGTGAGATGGGAAATCAAACAAAAGAGAAAAGGCGGGGGAGAGATGAAAGAGAAAAACAAACAATAATAGATGGTAGCGGAAAAAAGCACTTGAACGAATTTTTCGAGTAAATTTCGAAACAAAAGAAGAGGGGGTATATATCATTAAAAACAAATCATTAACTGGTTACGAGTTAAAAAAGGAGAAAAACGAACACAGACAAGAGAGCACTAGGGGGAGATGTTAATACAAAAGGATTTCTTAAGCAATCCACATCCATATTTTATCAAGAAAATTTTTCGGTTTTGGCAAAATGTATCTACTTTCAACTTCCTCTGCTTCAGCCAAGCCACTCGTAATGTCCAATTCATCGACTCTCTTGAACCACTTCCAATTTTTCGTGAATAGCTTATGGCCCAAATACAAGACTAAGAAAATAGGCAATGTAATATAAGCGGCAATGAAACTAGAAGCAGTGAAGTGATGGCCAACGAAGACGGGGAAACCATTGGTGATTGTGATCAACGAAACAATGAAAATGGTTATGTAGGAAGCATAGGGTTGAAAGGGAGAACGGAAGGGCATGAGATTTAACATGTTTTCTTTGACCATGGCTCTTCTGAAACGGAGGTAAGTAATGAGGATACAGATCCAAGCAATGAAGCCAGAGATAGTAGAAAGATTTGTGAACCAGGTAAAGACCATGGCGGAGGAGGAGGAGGCATTTAAGAAGGAAAGGCAAGCAATGAGGATGGTGAACAAGACAGAGACATAAGGAACGCCCCATCGATTACAGCGCTTGAAGATTTTGGGGGCTTGTCCGTCAACGGCAAGGGAGTACAAGGAACGTGAGCCAGCGTACAAGAAAGAGTTACCGGAAGAAATGGAAGAAGTTAGAATGACAGCATTGATGATGTGATTTAAAACGCGGATTCCAGCGTTTTGGATGCCAATAACAAAAGGAGAAGCACTGGCACTACCGGAACCTTTGGAGACAGCGCTCAACAAGTGGGGATCTTTGCTAGAGACGATGACACCGATAGCCAAGGTACCGAGAATGTAAAAGAAGGCAAGACGGTAGATGAATCTGCTTGTGGCCTTTGGGATGTTTCGACGAGGAGCTTCGGTTTCACCGGAAGCAATGGTAATTAATTCGGGAGAAAGAACAAAAGAGAAACCACTCTTGACAACAGCCATCCAAAAACCACAAAGACGACCGGGGCCACCGGTGACCAAGTATTCACGGAAAGCCATGCCGTGTTTCCAGTATCGGAAACCTAAACGATCGTGTTTTGGGGTGCCTCCAAAGAAGATGACGATACTAAGGATAATCAGACCGACGATGGTGACGACTTTGACGATGGCAAGCCAAAACTCAGTTTCACCGTACCATTTGACGAGGAAAGAATTGAGCATGGCCAAGAGAAAAAGGACAATGGCAATCCAAGCAGCGGCAGGGACGGATTCGGTCCAGTATTCGATGATAATAGCAGCGGCAGTGACTTCAGAAGCCATAAGAAAGACATAAGCATACCAATAATTCCAACCAGTAGCAAAAGCCAGAGATTTATCGACAAAGCGGTCGATATAGAGAGAAGGAGAAGCACCGGCGATAGGAAGGTAAGTGTTCATTTCACCCAAAACGTTCATGACACTCCAAATTACAAACGACATGACGATGTAAGCGAGAAACAAGGAAGCAGGACCTGACTGAGCCAACGATTGACCAGAACCGACGAAAAGACCCGTACCAATACAACCGCCAAGAGCAATTAACTGTACATGTCTAGATTTCAAAGCTCTTCTCGTTTCACCGAGTTGTATATTGGAAACGGGAAGGACTTCAGCTTGAATTGGTTCATCGTACTCGGGCTTTACACTACCCTTTTCAGAGTCTTTTTCTGTCATTTTCGAGGAGGTGGGACTTTTATTGAAGAAGGAGAATCCACTTTTTACTGAAAACATGGCTTTTCATATTCCTTTTATTTGACTACATATTTTATTATGCAGTGCACTGTTTATCTATATTCTTGCCAAGGAGATACCAGCAATCTTGTCACTTATTCCTGCTCCACTAAAGGAACTTGTAATCATCATAAAAGAGACTTGATTTGGCAAACCACAAATCATTCCTTGTACGAGCCATTTCCTTGACATAAGCTCAGATAGATAACATTCGGTCAACCCATGTTTATCAGTCGGTCGGTAGAGGAAAAACTGTTGTTGAACGCATTTTTTTTTTGTTTTTTTTTTTTTTTTTTTTAATTTAAAAATTTTTTAAATTTTTATTTTTTATTATTTTTTTTATAAATTTACTATTATTATTGTTATTTTTTAATTCATATGGCTTTTGATATAGATATAGATATAGATGAAAAGAGATGAGATAAAAAAGGATCGATAAGAATATGTCTGATATTGGGATATAATAGAAAGCGTAGTATTATGTGGGGGAAGAGTGAGTGGGGTGGTATAAACAGAGAGAGAGAGAGAGAGAGAGAGAAAGAAAGGGTGTGTGGGAGAGAGTGTTGGGTGTGTGGCTATGTGGAGGTAGTAGAGAAAGCAGCAGTACAAAAGAAAAAGGATGGGTACAAGTGAGAAATGAAGTAGAAAACGGTACGACTGAAAGATGATGAAGAAAAGGGATTTTCTTTTTTTCTTTTTTACACTTTTCACTTTTCATTTTATTTTTTTCATCTCAAACTTTGGCCAAGTTTTGAAATAGTTCTTGCTCAACAATTCGTATACTTGCTCCTTTCTTGCACCCTGTTTTGTTACAATGGCAACAATCATCTATGCATAGGGAAAAAAGCAAAGTATGGCATGGCAACTATCCCTTTGGTAGTTTTTTTCAATCCATAGAAAAGCAATTTAAAAAACGATAAGCATGGTAAAAATAGTAAAAAGTGATTATTGAATTTTAATTTTGATTTTTTTACTGTTTTCACTTTTTATTTTTGTTTACTTTCTGACGTTACAGAGATCAACGACAATTTCAATTTCAATTTCACCTACAGATCGGACTCTATCAACTGATCAGATAAAAGAAAAAAGAAAACAAAAGCCCTTTCAATTATAAAAAAAAATAAAAAAAGAAAAAAATTAATTTTTAATTTTTTAATTTCAAATTTTACAATATTCCAATTCCAATTTTTGTAAACACTCATGACGAATGTCACGATTCAAATTGATTCCATCAAAGAAAACACTCTTTAAAAGTGCGATGCTTCTGATTGAAACAAAAGAATAATCAAATCTATTTGACATCATCATTCGTTCTCCTTGGAATTTGAATTCGCATAAACTTGCAAAGGGAAGCAAACGAAAAAGACAAAACGAATAGCAATAGCAGTAGCAGTAGCAGTAGCAGCAGCAGCAGCAGCAGCAGCAAATAAATCCGTTTCGATGACTTGTCTCTCTTTCTCTCTCTTACCCATTTCGAAAAGAAAAAAATAAAAAAATAAAAAAATCTCTTTTGCTCAACACTCACCATGCATATAAATCATCGACATTAACATTGACATTCTTTTTCTTTCTTCTTTTTATGAAAAACATCTCCTTCTCCCAGCTTTTCTCTCTCATCGTCATTTTGACATTTCTCTCCTTCACTGTTCACTTTTCTCTTTAAACTCTCAACTTTGTTTGTTCCCAACTCTCTCTCGCTTGATGCCCTGTGCTACTACTGTCCACCAAATGACATCGATATGATTCACATAAACCTTCCCCCTTCCTTCAAGGTTCACTGAGCGGTCTCTCGACTCTGACTCAATCATGACCGACACCAAACGGAATTCTTCTTTTCTACGAGTATATTAATCCATCCTTCCATTCCTTCCTTCTTGCTATTCTATTCTCTCAAATTCAAACCCTTTTCCTGCTTTTTGCTTTTTTCCTTTCAAAAATAAATCTCTATACTTTTGTGCTCTTGACATAGCATCTCTCGTTCTCCACTTTCTACTCTTTCATTTTTTTCGTTTATCGTTTATTGTTGTACCTTTTCTCTGCACAACATACTTGAAAACCTCTACATTTCCTTTCCCATCCTCCTTCCGCCGCCTTTGTTCATGTAGGTTCGTTTCTTCAATACTTTCTTTTTTTTTTTTCTCATTCTCCATCATAAACTCCTATCTCATCTTTTGCTTTGGTTTCATCGTTTTTCATCCTCCCCATCCTAGTATCATTTAATGCTTCCTCTTCGTTCGTTTCTCGTTTCCGTTTTTGCCTTTTTTCTATCTATTTGCATCCCCTCCTTTGTCTTTGCCCAAGATGCTTCCACCATCATCTCTTCCTCGACCTCTTCTACTACCTACAGAGCTTTACCAACTCCTTCCGTCGCTACTCTTGGAATCCCACAAACTCCTTCCGACCAAGAGCCTTATCGTGGTTCCAACTGTCCTGGCTATCGCGCCTTGAATGTATCCGAATCTTCCAGCGGGGTGCTTGCTATTCTTGCTCTTCGCGGTCCTCCTTGTTATGCTTACGGAAATGACTACTCCCATCTACTTTTAAATGTCTCCTACGACACAGTAGACCGGATCCATATTTCCATTTCCGATCTTCAAGGCAAACAGTTTCGTTTTACCAACCGCTCTGACGTTTGGGATGCTCCTCTCTATCATGATTTGACTCATCCTTCCAATCGTTCTTACTCCTTCTTCTACAACTCTGATCCATTTGAGTTTTGGGTTGTCAGAACTACTGATAATGAAGTCTTGTTTGACTCTCGTGGCCATCCCCTTATTTTCCAAGATCAATACATCGAACTCACCACCAACATGGTCGAAAACTATAATCTTTATGGCCTTGCAGAGACCGTTCATGGTCTTCGTCTCGGTAATAATCTAACTAGAACCTTCTGGGCTAACGGTGACCCTACCCCTCTTGATCATAATGCCTATGGTACTCACCCATTTTACTTGGAACAAAGATACAGCCCTGACCGGAATGCTTCTTCTGGAAATCAAACCGAATACCATTCTTCTTCCCATGGCGTCCTCATGCTTACCGCGAACGGCATGGAAGTCCAATTGCGTCCAAACTACTTACAATACCGTATGATTGGTGGCGTAATCGATTTATACATTTACATCGGAGGTTCTGACGATCCTAAAAAAACGGTTTCCCAGTTCGTAAAGTCTATCGGAACACCGTCCATGCAGCAATACTGGACTCTCGGGTTTCATATTAGCAGGTGGGGTTATTCTAATGTCTCTGATATTTTGGATGTCCGTAAAGGATTTTCCGATTTTCAAATCCCTGTCGATACATTTTGGAATGATCTTGACTACATGTATATGTATAGAGATTTTACGGTTGATCCAATTTCCTATTCCAAAGACAGCATGATCGATTTTTTCAAATCCATAGAGTCCACCCACCAACACTATGTTCCCATTATCGATGCCGCTATATATGCTGCCAATCCTAACAACAAAAGTGACGATTCCTACTACCCATATTATAAAGGAATCGAGGATGACGTCTTTATAAAAAATCCAAACGGATCCATTTACGTGGGAAACGTTTGGCCTGGTTATACAGTATTCCCCGATTTCACAAATCCTGCAAGCAGTACGTACTGGAAAGATTGCCTTCTTAATCTTACTCACGACTTTGGGGCAAATTCTACTTCATTCCCTACATATACTGGTTTATGGATTGATATGAATGAGCCAACTTCATTTTGCGTTGGTTCATGTGGTTCAGGTCGCTTGGATGAAAATCCAGTGCACGTCGCCTTCGTTCTGGAAGGCGAGACAAACAACGTTGTTTACACATATCCAGAAGGTTTTAACATCACCAATGCTACTGAATATTCGTCCATTTACACATCTTCTCTCTCTCAATATCATGCTACTGCTACCTCAAGTTTAGAGATAGTTAAGGCCTCGCCTACTCCCATGAATGTCAAGCCGGAGTATAATATAAATAATCCGCCATATGCACTCAGCATCGAACAAGGTAATGGTGATTTGGCCAATGAAGGACTCAGTACAAATGCTACTTACTTTGATGGTACCGTAAGATATAACCTATTTAATATATACGGTTATGGAATGGCAAAAGCAACTTACGGTGCTTTATCTTCCATCTACGAGAATAAGCGACCTTTTATTTTAAGTCGCTCCACCTTCTTGTCTTCTGGAAGATATGCTGCTCATTGGTTGGGCGATAATTATTCTTTGTGGTCAAACATGTTCTTTTCCATTCCCGGCATGCTTACATTCAACATGCTCGGTCTTCCAATGGTTGGTGCTGATGCTTGCGGTTTTATGGGTAATACTGATGAGGACCTATGTTCGCGATGGATGGCTATGGCGGCATTTTCTCCATTTTTCAGAAATCACAATAGCTTAGGTTCTATATCTCAAGAACCTTACAGATGGGAATCTGTCGCCGAATCTTCTAGGAGAGCTATGAGCATTCGCTATTCTCTGCTGCCTTATTGGTACACTTTGATGAAAGACGCTCATAGTGACGGATTCCCAATGTTACGAGCATTGTTTTTTGAATTTCCAAATGAGAAAAATTTAGCCGCTGTTGATAGACAGTTCATGGTCGGTGACGCACTATTGATTACACCAGTACTTGAACCAAACGTTAGTCACGTTCAAGGAGTTTTCCCTGGTAACAGCAGTACGAAATGGTATGATTGGTACAATCATACAGTTATTGAAAGACAACCTGGTGAAAATGTTACACTGTATGCTCCCTTGGAGCATATTAATGTCGCAATTCGAGGTGGAAAGATTATCCCCCTCCAAGTGCCGGCTCTCACAACTTATGAGACGCGCCAAAACCCGTTCAATCTTTTAGTTGCTCTCGATTCTAACGAATTTTCAGAGGGAACAATGTACACTGATGACGGTGAATCCATCACTCAAAACAGCACTTTGACAACCAAATTCCTTTGTAGTTCTAATCGACTGTCAATCTCATCAGTTGGTGATTATCATGTGCAGAATCCCTTGGCTAATGTTACTGTGCTTGGTCTCTCCCAAGCACCCAACAAAGTTAAGATTCAAAACAGTGAAATTCACACCTTTTCCTATATAAATGCAACAAGGGAACTTGTTATTACTAATTTGGAGAATTATACCATGAACGGTGCTTTTTCATCCAATTGGACGATTTCATGGTAATCTCTGTACTCAGAAAGTTCTTCAATGTATAAGTTATCTATAGAAATTGTGATGATTTCTGATTAAGACAAGATATTTCACTATCAGAAACGAGAATTCTCGTCTCTGGGTTACTCGAACTTTCAAGTACGGATATTTCATATTGTGAAACTCAGCGCTTATAAGCCTTCCTTACTTAATTTTGTAAGCTTATTTACTATTAAGCATAGGCCGTGTGGTTTAGATGGTTATAATTTCTGCTTAACATTAAATGTTCGCAGACGGTCCCAAGTTCGAGTCTTGGCACGGTCATTACCTTTTTACCATTTCTGGTTCAAATAATTTTTATAATCTCAAAGCACGTGCAATAATAACTGATTTATTTCAACATGCTTCATGAACCAAATGGATAATCAACAAATTGTTCGAGATTCATCTAGCAAAATGGTTTAAAGTTCTTTCTTATAGCAGAATAATATACTGACAACATTGCTTCAAAGCATCTTCTGTACTTTGGAATATAAAAAAATTAATATTGCATTGAACAAATGGTTAGAGGATTACTTCAATTTTTTGATAGATAACTTGTTTGCTACATTTAGTGGAAGCTTGAACCAGTATTTCAAGTTTAAATCACAAAAACGATGCTTTATACCGGCAATTCGTTTCTCATTACAGTATTAGCTAGTTCTGTGTACTATTTGTTAAGTAGGTGAACCACTATATTAATAATACATCCTCGATTAGAAGAACAAAGACAAGAAGGATATTAAAGGCTAGTCTAGCCATTATTAAATACTATACAAAACTAAAAAATACAGATCCGAATACCACAAATCACGCAATTCAAAAGACTATTTTTCTGTTCCGTCAAAAAATTCGGGTATAGATGGTGGTGAATCGTTTGATTCACCTTTAAAGGTCTCACTAGCCTTAGGTCCTTTAAACCATTTTCTAGCTGAAATGGCGTACCAAAGGAGTGTCAAGAAAATGGGTCCGCCGTAAACCAAGCATGTCCAGTTCATAGTTTTTGGAGATGGATTTTTGTCATTTGGGAAACACAAAACTGGAATCATCAAAGCGACAAAAGCACAAGCAAGAGCACCAATAGGTCTTGAGTATTTACCCAGATTCCACGGACCTCTATGGAACTCAGAATCCTTCATACAAAATACACGAATAAAAATTGGGATGGTAAAAGCTGAAAAAGCGGCAACAGCTCCCACGGAAAAAACTGCACTAGAAGTTTCACTGCCGGCAAACAGCAAAAACAATATACAAAAACTTATGATTCCGTTACAAAGTACTGCATTCACAGGTGTCTTCGTTTGATAATTCACTTTGCCAATCCACCCGGAAAAGGGAAGAATGCCATCTCTAGCATAAGAATATGCTATTCTTGAAGACGCAATTAAAGAGCTTTGACCCATCATTAAAGTGGAAAAGATAGTAAGACTTAAAATGGCAACCGCAGCACGTTTTGGCATAACTTGACTTAGATAATTCGTCCACATATTACCACTGCCGGTCATGAGCGCATGAACGTCAACAATTGTATAGGATACAAGGACTTGCATAAGCCAACCAACTATACCACCAATTACGGCAGTAAGTACAATAGCTTTTGGGGCATTAACACTCGCCTTGGCGCATTCTTCACTCAAGTGAAACGGAGCATCATAACCAGACATTGTCCAAATGGCACCGTTAAAAGATAAAAGCACGGCGAATCCATTAGGCCAATTTGTTGTGTTTTTTATTTCACGCCATGGATATGTACCATGGGTGAATTTGTCATCTTTTGCGGCATAACCGATAATTGCAAATGCGGCAATAAAAAGAAAGAGAATGTTGATAAATGTGTTTACTCGGTTAATTTTCGAAATGTATTTTGTCGGAAGAGAAGCTAGGAAACAATGCATACATTGAATGCCCACACTAAGCAAAAAAACTTGGTAGTTTGAAGGTGAGTAAGACGGTCTGTTAATGCTTACAGCTCCCAGAATCATACTAGCAGCACTGGAATTCACAGAAGGTTGTCCAATTACATTTCCAATATAGTTTGACCATCCAGTAATCCAGGAAGCTAAAGGGCCCCAACCCTCGGGAGCAAAAACTGCTGCCGCATAATACAACCCTCCGGAAGTTGGTAAGGCAGAACAAATTTCTGCCATGCTTAATGCAATACAAATCAAAAAGAAAATAGCGATTAACCAAGCCCATAGCAAGCCAGGGGTTCCTACGTACGAAAGACTGAAGGATAACGTTGAAGCAACAGAAGGAAGCAATCCCAGTACAGAAAAGGCAATCGAAAAAATACCAAATAAGGAAAGTTGACGACGAAATTCCTGTTTGTATCCCAAATCAGCAAGTTCTTCAGGATCATCCACGTTTTCTTCTGAAGTCACCCTAGTGATCTTGGTATCAATTATAGACTCAGTGACAACAGGCTTCTTTTCTTCATTATTGAATGAATTTTTTTTGGATTCTGAACCCATACTATGTATTTCCATGGGCGTACAAGATGCCATCCTGAATTTTTTGGGTATCTAACACGTTAACAAACACAACCATGCAAATCTAATGTTAGTATGAAAAGAGTCAAAAATGGTGCAAGTTGTGTCCTGTTTATATGAGATATGTCAACTTGTCTTTTTCCCTAATCTTATCATAGAGTATTGAAAATTTTTAAGATATAAAATTCCATCCATGGTGGAGCTCGGCTAACGCAGTTAGAAATTCAACTTCTTTATATCATAGATTAAAAGTAAAGTTTTCTTAACCTTGAATTTAGATAAAATGTTTTGTAAGGATTTTTTATTGTAATTGCCTTTGTGTTGCAGTTTGTTTAAATCAGAAATAGCAATTTCTATTGCCAAAACTAACATGCTGGTGGTTCTTTGAAAACACTGTATACCTAGCATTCCAATCTCTTTAGTGTAAATCTGGCTATGCGTGTCATCAAATTAACAACTTTAGCCCAGTCTCAATCTCGCACACTTTATCTGAATGTTTCAAAGGCAAAGTAGAGTAGAGAAGAGCAGTCAGTATACACAGTTTTGAGCGATCGATACCTCTACATCGCACTGTTGATCATTGAAATTATAAAATGAGAACTAATTGATTTAGGATCTATTTGTGGGATGTGTATGCTTGCATCGAAGGTAAAGGTACAAGAAGATTTTGGTCATAAACTGAGAATCCATTAAATAGTGTATGGATTCTCAACTTCACATTACATAAAAAATTATAATGATTGATAGTATACTCACATCGAAACATCAAATATTGCTTTTTATTTGTTATTTTATTGATGTACATGTAAAAATCTGAATATATGTTTATTAACGTTATACAGGGTTCTTGAAAAACTCAAATAATGAAATTTAGTGAATACGATATATCTACTTTAAAACTTTTAGCTATTGCTTTCGTATTACTTGGTTTAGAATATACAAAGTACACGCTATGCTAAAAGATTTGTTCTATGTAAATCAAACCAGGCTGAGGCTGGGAAAACTGGAATGAGTGAGAGGAAGACGTTTTACGGATTGAACGATTATATAGAGTACAACATGTTCTTTAATCAGTAAATACAACCAGAATTTGAAGAAAAAAGTTGAGTCTGTTATGTCTACAAAAGTTGTTAAACCTTCACATAAGAAGCCTCAAGTCAAGGCCTGTCTCAAGTGCAGACTTCGAAAGGTGAAATGCAATCGACAGTATCCTTGTTCTCGATGCAATGAGAGTAATGATACATGTATATACGGAGAGAACATCGTGAGTCAATCGGACGATTTGAGCACTCCTCATCATATAATTCCTGTTGGTACGGATGACAGAGAAGAAACAAGACCAGTAGGGGTGGAACCTTCAACATCAAACCATATTGGAATAGAACGCAGAAAATGGGCCTTTGTTGATTGGAGAAAGCTTGTTGAATTATCGCAACTAAAAACAAAGGGTCCCTTTTTAAAAGATGCCGAGTCCTCTTTAATTGAGCATCTCCGAAAAAACCCTTCTATATTGGGTATTCTAGAGCAATTACGGGACCTCCTCCCTCCTCTGGGAATATGCAAGACTTTAATTCAGCGATATTTCAGTAGGGTTGAACAGGTCAGCTGTATATTCGATAAAGCACAAGTGGAAAAATGTATTTTTGATTTGGAAAATACAAACAAAATTCCGGAAACTACACTTATCACGTTGTTAGCCATTATATCTGTGATGTTACCACTCGGTGAACCGCCTATGGAAGTTGACAATTATGTTGCATCCACAGGAAAAAATGTTAATAACATTTGCTCCGAAATTGACTCAAAAATAAACAATTTTTTGCAGGACGAAGACGTAAATCGCCTATGGAAGACCAACGACAGAATTCGGCTTCACGCATTACGAGCGCAGCGAATGTCTCGAACGGAGTTTCGAAAGCTTAATACCGATACTTGTATTGCTGTTCATATTTGTTGTTTTAAAAATCCTATTTTTCAAAGGATGCATTCGGATACTGGATCAGAAGCAAAGCTTTGGTTGACGGTTTGCGAAATTGATGCATTAGATTGCGTTTTAAACTATTGTCCACCATGGATCCAACACGATGTTTTTTCGATTTTGACACCACTAAAAAGCTATTATCCCAACGATAGTATTTATGAATTTCATTGCATACTGAGCAAACTATTAGTATGTGGGTTAGACGTGTACAAAACAGTACATTCTTCAACTGCTGTCGAGTTTATAGATGTAATTCCTCATTTTGAGACAAAGCTATCGTTAATTCTAATGGATATTGAATCGAATTCTTCTTCTGATGATACTAGCGCCATTTTTCGAGGTTTATTTCTGAAAGTTCTTTTCTGGGTTGTTCGAAAAAATTTGTATCAATATTATATTACTGTCTCTCCTGCATCTGTGCCCAATTATGAGAAGCTTCTTCAAAATCTAACACAGACATTGAAGCAATTGACTCGCATTATAACCAACTCCATAAACATTTTTGAAGAGTACGGTTGGCTAAATTGTATGCTAGTACAGGCGATTCATTCTTTTTATCTTTTACGCATATGTTCAGATAAGGGATATAGTTTAGAGGATAACATTTTTAATTCTGTGTCAGCTATTCAAGCAATTATCAAAAGGACGAACTATTCACACAGATTATGGAAAAAGATGTATGATCTTTTGCAAGTATTAATCGGCGGTGTTGTGTCTAATTCAGAGTTGGAAGAGAATGCGTTTGAGCAAAATGATGAAACCCTTTTTGATATGTTTGCCGATATTTTTGATTCTAATTTCAACTTTATAGTTCCCTCGGGTCTGTAAATACTACAGAAAGACAAGTGTACATGTGCTATTTGATTTAACGTTTATCTACTCTTTATTTATCCTATTAGAGTTTTGTGCTTATAAACAAGTCGTAATGTTCTGCTATATTCAAAGATATTCACTTCTGTAAGTTTTTTGATTCCCTCAGTATTGGTTATATTGAGAAATAACATTTCTACTTGCTGGGATGTTCAAAGCAAAGATAGGCATTAGTCAAGGATGGCATTGCATTTCTAAATTCAGTTACTCACTTTAATTTTTAAGAAAAACTCTGAAAAGGCTATTTGGAATAATCAATAGGTTGTCAGTATGATAATCTCCATTGGAGTACTGAAGTGACTCACTGTAGAAATTCGCTTTGAAGACTCTTATAGAAAATAAAGTGATTCAGCCTATTGTGCTTCGCTTTAATACCTAACAATACTGAGAGTGCATTTTATTTACATTCTCTTTGACACTGTTTTGTTATAAGCAGGTCTATTTATAATAACGGTTCCCATTCGTGAAGACTCAAGAAAAAAGTGTTATAAGGTTTTATAATCATCCGTACTGCTTACTTTCACCTGTTTATTTGCTTACTTTGTATAGACAACAAGTTCGATATCCCAAGCCAACATCAGACTTATGAGTAATGAGTGCTGTGCTGTATATGATGTTGAACCATGTTTCTGTTTTACAAGAAAGTCTGAAATGCTAAAAGCAACGTTAGCTTTATATATTTTATTTTATTAAAAAAGAGTGTTGATAAAGAGAAATTTTTGCGTAAATCATTATATACAAGTTAATAAAGCTAAGGTAAGTAAAGTAAATTGGAAAACAAGTGACTTGTCAGCGGTTATGATAGATGATGCAGAAGAAGAAGAAGAGGAAGATGAACCAGAGGAAGCACTTTTCGAAGAAGAAGGTGATGCTGAAACGTCAATTTTCGTGATGTTGACAGATTTCGATTTTGAAATTGTCTTTAATTTGGGTGATATGTATGAAGAATCATCGGTGCGTCGACCGTTTTTCTCAACTTGGTCGTAAATCGTGCTTATTAACTTGTCCACACTATCAAAGGCCCCTCCTTTGCCGCTCTGTAAACAAGTTTTCGCATCGCTACAGCCGCCGAGAGTTTTATTTGTAAATCGTAAATTAAACTCACAGCTTTTGTTACCATGACATTCATACAAGAAACTTTCATCCACAATAGTCGAATGGTTTTCACTCTTCTTTGTACTATTGTGAACATACTCAAAAGTGATATTTGGGGTAAGCATATAACGGAACCCAGTGGTATAATCCTTCGACGAAGCTTTTACCGGATGGGAAGAGTCATTGATGCTTAGAGTAAAGCGATTCGTAGGACTTGACATTTGAAAGCATCTTGGGTCATTTCCTTTAAAGCATGTTGGAAGCGTTTTATTCAAATTGAGACATGTTACGCTATCGTCTTTTGCTGGAACGGCCAATACTGAGGACACATTTTCAAGGTATGAGTAAGCTCCCTTTCCATCCGTGACAGGAGGATTTGCGATGAAGGAGACGTTTCCACTGCATTCTGGATCATAAGGGAAAACTTGAATGTACAATGGATAGTTGGCTCTTTCAGGATCCGTAGCAAGAGTGTTCTTAATAAAGTAAGTGGTGAATGCGATTAACGATAGTAGCTTCATGTTTGGGGTATATATTAATGAGGCGTCAAAAAGATCAAATATGTGCAAAGCAATTAAAAAGGAGGCGATTAATTAAAAAGAAAGGCACTTAATAGACAATTCGGAATATAATTTGAGGAAGAAGATATATTAAATAAATGCGTCAAATCATGTCCATTACAGGAAACTTGTTGAACGCATAAAGGTTCTTTCTATCACACACAATGTAGCTTAGCCTCAAAACGCACCGCCTTGTACATCAGTTGTTAGAAAGCGACCAGCCCTGTTTCGAACCCTTAGATCAGATTATCATTTATTGTCCGCTCCCGCCCATGCGTAAACTGCTTCGCCTCACTGAAAGAACTTCCTCTTTAGCTAGCCATTCAATCCTTTATTGGATATTTTTTCGTTACGACTTGTTTGATTGTATGAGAGCATTTTATACAACGAAAGAAAAGAAAGAGGCTTTTTCTGATTCCAGCCTACTATCTCATTCTTTTTGATTAGAAGTTGCAATGCGTCTTTCAATTTGATGCTGCTAGTTTACGAAACTTGTTCATTTAGGTGATTTGAAAGAGTTTCTGTCTAACATTCTTTGAATATACAGACTTCATCTAGTTTGTTGACATCTCGGAGACCACCTGTCAGCTGTATAGTTGTGAGTAAACTGTTAAGCATAGTTTCTATTTAATATACTTCGTAAAGACTTTATACCGTGGTTGTGTGTGTGTTCAAGTTCATACAATGCGTCTGCTAGAATTAGTTACGCTCGAGCGTTGTAAAGGAAATAGAAATGCGGAATCTGGCTAAGTAGCTAGGAAACCTACGAATACAGTAAACAAATTAAGATATGGTTTCTCCAAAGTATAAATTATGAATAACACTGCCTTTGTAAGAAAACGAAAAACCAGAATATGTGAAGAAGTTTGGTAATGATGTTATTTCATTAGGTTGCACGGTACCGTCGTACCTAACAAATTAATGAACGAAGGTGTGCCTGTTTACACAGATTGTGCCGCCCGAAAATACTCATGGAACTCGACATGGGTTACATTGCCAGCAATTTTTTTTTGGTTTCACTTCTTTTGATTTAGCATGTAGCAACAGTATCAACAAGCGTTGCTCTGCTACATCCGTTTTATTATAAAACACCGGTCGGGTTGTTGGATCAAACCAGAGTTTCGTTTGTTTCAAGTTGATCTGTGGACGAAGTCAATATATGCAAATGCAATATAGGTCATGAACGGACAATAACCAATCTCCAATTAAATCGATTGATAAGATCGTTTCAGAGAATCTTCATTTATAACAACTCGCATAGTAATAATACTTGCGTTCGAAGCATTTATCTCGAGACCTGCATCTGTCGACATTGTATTACTTTGGATGGTACAATGATTTTTTTTTTCAACTGTGTTATTTGAACTATAGAACAAACTACGCAAATAGCTTTATTATACTTTTGATTTAGCTCGTTTTACTGGGTTGATGGCTTATAAACTTGCGGAAAATCACCTTTCATTGAAAAAAAAAAGAACAAAAGGATAAAAAATTCAGAGGAACATTGTGTTTATCGTCTCATAGCCTTTTATTTATCAACTTGGTTGCCTTGGAATATTTACTCATCAGAATCACAACATTTTTTTTTTATATTCTAAGCTCGAAAGCATCTTCGTGAAAAGTATTCATTTCAGTATTTTATTTAATTATGATTCTTCAAACTAAACATTCATAGAACAATCAAAGCCAACCATGTAATAGCGCATTAGACCATTGGCTACTTCCATCAATTGCGTCTCCGTGAGCACCCATACACGAAACATAATACTAATACATCTCGTATCCTCCAGAAGCTGAGATTACCTGTCCAGTAACCCATCGTCCATTTTCTTCAACAAGGAATCCAACGATACCTGCTATGTCGTCAGGGATTGCGTTTCGTTGTTCATAAGGAGTGGCTTGTGCTTGGACTTTTACAAGCTCACTGTCTAATGATTTCAACATATCTGTGGTAACAGGTCCTGGATTGACTTGATTCACCGTGTGTCCTTGAGGACCTAATTCAGAGGCCCAACATCTTGTGAAGCCTTCGATAGCTGCCTTGCTTCCACAATATAGAGGATATTGAGCAAAAGCTTTTCTTCCGGCAATACTTCCAATGTTGATAATTCTACCACCCTTATCTTTGGGGAGATGAGGTGCCACGCTTTCCGTCATAAAGAAAACGGCTCGAACGTTTAAATCGAATATAGCGTTAAACTGATCTAACGTCGTCGTTCCAATTGGCTTTGGTTCGTCTAGATAGCCAGCATTGTTAATGAGGATATGAATAGTAGGACCAAAAGCTTTGACAGTAGTCTCAACGATATGTTTAGCACTTGCAATATCACGCAAGTCAGCTTGAATACTGATGGCGTCTGCTGAAGTACCAAATCCTTTGATCTTATTCACTAATTTCTGGGTTGATTCTTTGCTACTCTCAGAGGTATAAGTAATGGCAACCTTGGCACCACGGTTTGCCAATGTTTCAGCGATTGCTGCTCCGATACCTTTCGAGCCTCCTGTAACGATGGCAACTTTGTTTTCAAGGGACATTTCTCTAACAGTAATTTTACGATGAATGAATGTTTGCTTGACACCAAATATAAGTTATTGTATTAGTAATCATTTCCACCAATCGTATATCATATGTTCAATTAGTCACCCAAAGTTGTTTTCTCTAAACATTGAACATTTCAAGTGTTTGTTAACTTTCAGCCGTAAAGGTAGTACAATTTTTGATTTTTTAAAGACAGCTCTTTATGACTTAAGATGCGCTGACAGCATTTCGTAAAACTTTTAAGTCGGACTAAATCGTTCAATCAGTCTGGTTGGCATGCAACGCAACATCAATGATGATTATAACTTGAATCTTTTGCGTTTTGTTTGGGAAAAATATGCTCATCTAATGAAAGGTGGTTCAACTTGCACTGACATTCCATGATGTTACATTATAATAACATATTTGGTATTTATGATTTGGTTGGTTTAGTTTTTGTTTTTTTAATTGCGTATATTTGATTTCTGTACCATAATCAAAGCTTCAATACACTAAAGATAGCAAAACATTCTTTTCAATAAATTCAACAATACGAGTCACTTATACCGTGATGTTATAAAAAATTATAGACTTCTATCTAAATTTGGCAAATCTTCTGTGACAGGAACATCAGAAAGAAATGCGGTTTGTGTGAATAAGCTTCGCTATCCAAGTTGACGGTTCGTCTTACGCGAACTACCTCGTTGCAGATTCAGTTTGCTTCTTAAGTTGTTATAAAGGATTATTAGGCAAAGGAAAGCACATCGCATGTTGGCTGTAGTATATCTTAACCAGTTGACATAACCTGTGGAAAAATAAATTTCCTTTGCATTTATTTCTTACGCCTTAACATTCTAAAAATCCGTGCTTTAATTATCACACACCTTATGTTGATAACTGTTTACCATGTATGTAATAATAGCAGAACATTATGGTATTTCTTTAAACTTTTAACTGTCTTTCAAATCTTGTATCTTATTTTTGTCACTGTAATTTACACTCAGCATCCATAATTGAAAAATCATTATTCTTTAAAATGCTGAAAAAAGTAATAATTTAACTACTCGAGTAAATAAAACGACATTGGATTTGATGACTTTTCAGTTCCATGCTAAAACGAGTCGTCAAAAGTTTTTTTGATTCGATATATATGAATAAAATTATAATAACGGTTAGCTATTCAAAGTAAACGAGGAGTTACTAAGAAAGCGCTCTGTAACGCTAACTTCCTCATTCCAAATGTGGATATTGAGAGTACCTAAACACCACTTTAAAAGAAAGTGAACTGAATTAATAAATTTACGGAACCTATAAAAATCCCTAAATACAAAAACTGAACATACCACTGGTTCTTGTTCACTTCTGTTTACATTAAGCGTGATGGGAACCATTACAGTTTGTTGGTTTCTTTCTCTATGATATCCACTTTGAATGGGTACCTTCACGTTAAATAACTATTGTCATATCGACTTCAAAACTAAATATAAATAAAACAGTTTACAAACCAAAAACATACTCCCTATAACTTTATGAAATATGTTTATTTACTTTCATGTTAACGGTCTACAAAAATTTCGCATCCTATGTTCATTTCACTGCTTCTTCATCACCCTAATGGAAGCAATTCGGAAGTAAAACGATCCGAGATATAGAAACCATCTTCAGCTAGAAGTGTTCTGACAAACGTCATAATCAACAGCTTAGTATATAAAGTAGGTCTATGTCTTGCTAAATAAACGGTCGCTTTATTATAGGAAAACGAAACATGGGAACTGAACAAGATTATTATTCAAAAGGATTTGATAAAAATATCTCCAACACTCATGCTTGGAGAACGGCTGAGAACAGTTGTGCTTACTTACTTAAACATCTAAAACGCACTGACAAAATACTAGACGTAGGATGCGGACCTGGTACCATAACCACGGACCTGGCACGATATGTCCCCAATGGAGAGGTTATAGGGGTTGAACCCATACAAGAATTCGTAGATCAAGGAAACGCTAAAAGCTCAGAATTAAATCTTCGAAACTGCCATTTTCAATTTGCTAGCGGAGATAATCTTCCATTTGAGGATAATACATTTGACGTTGTCCATGCCCATCAAGTGTTAATACATATTGCAAACCGAGTAGATGTGTTAAAAGAAATGAGACGAGTGGCCAAACCTGGTGGTCTTATTTGTAGTAAAGACGCTGATCTTGAAACCGCTCAGGTGTATCCAGCAAATATCTGCGAAGTGTTACGATTTCAATTTCTCGCAAAATCAGAACATTCATCAACACATCCACAAGCTGGAAGACATCTTCGACAGTGGGCTATTGAGTCTGGGTTTAGTTCTAAAGACATTTTATCAAGTGGCTCTCTTTGGTTTATTGCAAATGAAGAAGACCGCAAACTGTTTGCAGAGATGTACAAAGAGCGTGCTCTACATTCGACTGAATCGATCGTTCCTTCTAATGCCGAAGAAGACTTGAAAAAACGACATGAAATAGCACAAGCTTGGGATGAGTTTATGAAAAACCCTTCCTGTTGCTACTACTTGATGCATGGTGAAATTGTCTGTAAGAAATAAACGTTTTGGTTTACTACTGTTATTATTATTATTGTTACTGCTATCTACGGAATCCCTCGAAGTCGCCGAAAAGTATTTTAAACCCAAGGTGTGTTGGAAGAAACAGTAATATATAATCAGATTATAAAGCTGTTTTAAATTTGCGCACTCTTGTGCTGTGCTCTATAAAAGAGTACTATTGATAACAGTACAGATCAAGAGTCTTCCATTTCTATCTCATCGCATCAAAACTATATTCGGCATTATTTTTTTTAAAAAAAAAAGTAAAATAATATTCGCCATAATTAATAAACCCACAAAAATCAAATGCGTTGTTGTAGTCGTAAATGTAATCCTTTGTCAAAAATAATCCTTTATGACATAGGATTCCATAAGGGATTTTGTAAATGTATATATTCAAAGACGTCTTTGATTAATTGTGGTTCTGGCTTTAACCATTAAAGTTATTGTCTTGTTCACGGTAGCTTCACAATCAAACTCCTTAGCTAACTTGACAATCCATCCATTCAGCGAATCGATCTCTGTCTCTCTTTTTTTGAGTGTGTCAAGTCTCATAGAAGTGCTGTTTCTAGCATTTTCCACAAAACCAAGGTATAGAACTAGATCAAATAAATTCGGCACGCTCAAAATATTTTTAGCCTTTTCACTATTTGCTAAAATATTGTTAGATTTAAACAAGACATCAACACATTCAGTAATTATTGCATGAAAAAGTAATTTCACTTCGGCAATGTTAGATAGTTCGTAGTTCACGCAATCAAGGATAGCACTTGTGGAGTTCATGCAACAATTAACCATAAACTTTTGACACTGGTAAATGAGTAAATTAAGATATTCCAAGTAGCTCCCGTTAGCCATTTCTGCATCTAACAAATTTTGCACCATAGCACAAGGTCCAACTGCATCAGGGACTGACGAATCTTTAACAGTTCTAGGTACTTTGGCAATTTTTAAAGCTCCAAAACACTTATGACAATACCAAAATTTTTCTTTAAATGAAACGGAATGCGAAGTAACTCCCTGATAAAGATTAGGTCGTGTATATGGATTGTCCCAAACGGTCTTATTTAAAGCTTCAATAATGCCAAATCCGTTATGAACAAACAAAATGTTCGAATGCTTATTTAGAAAAGGAAGATAATCACGCATTGCTGTTTCCGTCTCAGTCGTCTTCGTCGTCACTATTAAGTTGTCTATGGCATCTACATTAAGTTCCGATGAACATGTGGCTTTAACTTTATGTCGAACTAAATCCTGTCTATTGTCAAGCACCCTTTCAAGTGTTAAGTGCGAGCCGTTTTCTCTAAATTGTCCAAGTCTTTCCTTGTTTCGTAATAGCAAAACAACCTTGTCTTTGAAGTACGGTAAACTCATCAACTCGCAAGCCAAAAAGGTCCCAATACTTCCGACTCCTAAAATATAAATAGTACCATCCATCAACCTAACTAAAGTCAGAAAACTCCCGCTTCACAAACTTTTTTACCTAGACTTTCGTATACTAAATAAGTGCTTATCGATAATTTGGATGTGACTGTCATGTCACTAATCTTGGACAGATGAAGTGTTTAGCTTATCAAGCCAAATTGTTTTGTTTTAAAAATATACACGGAAGCGAATTGAATAATAAAGAAATATTCACATGTTGCTTGCGGATCGTCAGTATGTTCTCTATCTGCGAATTATCCTTAATGCTTAATAAATACTTCGTTTACTATGAGTTTATAACTAACCTGTCTAGCGTGGTGTTAATGTTGTAAAGAGACCACTACGAGAGTAGTGTACGTGAGTCTGCTCACTGAAATATGACAAACAAAGGTATAAAAAGGAATTACTAGATGTTATTGAATGTATAAAGAAGCTATAGGGTTTTTTCTCCATCAATATGCTAGTTGGAACTTTTGTATAGGTCATAAATTTATTCACATTTGAATACAAATTATATACACTTTAAAACCAGAGGGTGTCTATTTTATTTCATCCAAAAACAAGCCATATTTCTTTATAAACAACCTTGGTTGATTCTTGTTACTCTTTCCAACAATAGGCGATATATATACACAAGATATCATGTTTAGTTTATGAGTCGATCATTAGAAGAGGATCGAGGTATTAATTATAATGATACTTATGAGGTAATGCAAATTAATACATTTGTAATCCACCAGAGGCAGATATCGTTTGCCCAGTAACCCATCTACTGTTTTCTTCGGCAAGGAAAGCGACGATATCGGCAATGTCTTGAGGCTGTGCAAAACGATTCTCTAAAGGAGTTATTTTTTTTACTGCTTCTTCATCAAATTCAGACTTTTTTATCATATCCGTATCTACTGCTCCTGGATTGACTTGATTGACCGTGTGACCATGTGGGCCTAATTCAGCAGCCCAGCACCTCGTAAACCCTTCAAGTGCTGCTTTACTTGCAGCATAAACAGATTGTCCAACGTATCCCATTCTTCCCATGATACTTCCAATATTAATAATTCTCCCCCCACTACTACTCTCTTCTTTCTTGGGAAGATAACCAACCACGGCTTCTGCCATAAATAGGACGGCTCTAACGTTTACATCAAAAACTTGATGATAGTCTTCCTTGGTAATAGTTCCTAACGTCTTTAATTCCAAAAATCCAGCATTGTTGACGAGTATATGAATAGTAGGACCAAAAGCTTTGACAGTAGTCTCAACGATATGTTTAGCACTTGCAAGATCACGCAAGTCAGCTTGAATACTGATGGCGTCTGCTGAAGTACCGAATCTTTTGATCTTATTCACTAATTTCTGGGTTGATTCTTTGCTACTCTCAGAAGTAAAAGTGATGGCAACCTTGGCACCACGGCTTGCTAATGTCTCAGCGATTCCTGCTCCGATACCTCTGGAGCCTCCTGTAACGATGGCAACTTTGTTTTCAAGAGAAAGACTGTTATTAGACATAGTAGTACTGTTGAAGAAGGGATAGAACTGAAGATGCATGGGTTATACAAACAGATTAAGGTTACTTGAGTTGTTGTTACCTTGATGCACATCGTTTAAACTCGGTGAGAATCGTATGTGTTTTTTATTCAATGGGATCTTTTTCACTTGAATTCGAATTTTTTGATTTATTTTATCTTCACTTGTAGAAGTCGTTAAAAAAGAGTGCACGTTCGATGCAACATATGAAGAGCAAGTAGGTGCTTAAGGTCCTATGATTTTTCTCAATTTCTATACCAAAACAGTACTAATTTGAAATTTGAGTACCTTTTACATGCGTTCACGGATGATCGACTCATAAACAGTAATGCTCTTTATAATGGATAAAAAATTACAAAATATAAGAACAAAAACCGTTTACTCTCATAAAGTTCTCTTGTTCCCATCAGGTGTACCAGGAATTTTGTAAATCATATACCAATAAATTACAATTAGTCATGAACGAATATATAAAATTGAATGCTAGTCAAATGGACTTGTAAACTTTAAATAAAGAAAGAATAAATTAAATAAAGAACCATACGTTTTTTTTTAGTAATAATCATCCTTCTTGCTTGTATCTCACTTTAATATCTTAAAACAGACATACACTCTTCGTTAGTGCTACTAGTGTACCACATATGTAACTGAAGGACTACAACATTTCTTGATTTATGCAACATAAGGATACAGAATTTATGTCAGTTTTGGCCCTCTGGTATTATATTCACATGAGCTATCGAATCGCAGCTCTTTAAAATGTTCCTTCCAAGCTCATTTAATCATTCAAATCGAGGGACGTTGGACTGAATCCAACAGTTTCATACTCTCTCGTTAAAAAAAAAAACTTGAGCTACATTATATATAAAATAAAAAACAATGGATTTGAGATTCCAGACTTGACATAAAATCTCTTATATATAAAAGATTATCAGATTTAAACTTTGTCAGAGATGGACTCTCTCGTTTAGACATAAAAAAATTCAGTGGTAAATAACGGTCACTTTACTGGAAAATGCACTTTAAGTTAGATACTTTTTGTACTATTTGAATGAACAGTAATTAGTTTCAAGGGATCTGATTCACTAAATAGTTTATGTAGAGCGTATTTAGTTAGAACAGTCAAATCTTCCAATCTGGGAATTTGACTGAGAGCTAGAAGTATAATCATATAGTATTCTGTTCTTAGTAAGACTACTAATAATCTCAATTTTAGACTTTTATAATTGAAAATTGCACAAATCGGATTTTTTCCCATTTTAATGAGTTACTTAACAATACAATGATATTATCGTATCGGACTACTAGTAATATCGTATAACAGTTATGACAATTTAACAAAGTTCTAAATAACAAGCGAGACAAGTACATACATTATGAAATAATTACGTATGTTTATAACTTTTAGTTAAAGGGAGTCTAATGGGCATATAAAGTATTACCGTTCTATTTATTTTTTAACATACAACAAAGAATCTTTCGTCTTATAACATTTAAATTTCATTCATTTTAGGATCTTATTATATTAATTGCTGTACCTAGGCCACATGGAAACGTTACACTTACCCTTAATAGATTTGTCAGAACAAGATACAAGATTTCTCAGTATGGAGGTGGTCAATTCTTGTAAAGAATGGGGGTTCTTTTTGGTGAAAAACCACGGAATTGATATGGAACAAATGGAGGGCGTTTTCAAAATCAGCGATGAGTTTTTTAGTTTACCAATTGAGGAAAAGGAAAAATTCAAGTATAAAGGAGGAGAATTACAAGCAGGATATTCAAAACGTATGGGTGAAAAGCTGTATTCAGATGATTCATCTACTGGAGCCACGAAGGAGTATTATGACCTGTCAAGATTTCCTCACTCAAATCCACAAGTTATTAGCCCACCCATCCGTAAATTCTTACCAGAAATGACATTATTTCAGAAACAATGCTATAATCTTTCGCTGAAACTTCTTGATCTAATCGCTCTTGGATTTCAACTACCAAGTGATTTCTTCAGCAAATATCACAGTTCTACTGAGGATTTTATTCGTCTCATAAAGTACAGTGTTCCTGATGGAATTGAACACAAAAAGGACGATGTGGATACTAATTGTCACTTTAATTATGGAACAATTACCCTACTTTTTCAAAGAAAACATGGATTTTTACAAATCAAACCTCCGGAAGTGGATACTATACCTGATTGGGTCAGGGTTACGATTAATAAGGATGTTATTTCGTAAGAAAAAGAAGCCTAGCTTATGTTTTTTTTTTTTCCTTATTATTAACAACCTTTATACTTTAGAGTGAATATTGCAGATATGTTACCTTTTATAACTAATGGTAAGCTTAAAAGCAGCATTCATCAGATAAAGCTGGATCCCCAAATGAGATCAGGACAGTTAATTGCTTATTCTGCAATACCTGACTTGGATTATCCTATTCAGATCGACAAGGACACAAAGACTACCGTGCGTGAATATAAAGAAAAAAGGTTGAACAACAGTAAATGTTAGGATGATGTACCTTTCAATCAAAAAAAAAGCTACGATTATTGCTAGTCATTCATAGTTTACGATATTAATCTACAGCACTGATCAAACCCCTTGATGTTTGGGAATGAAATTATATTTCCTTTGTCTCATCATCTTCTTTATTTATAGAGAGTCGCTGTTTATATATCATCTTGAAAAGATTTACACGACTTACAAAAATTCACTGTTAACTTAAAAAAGCATCGCTTGAGTTATGATAACAGAAGCTTAGACTACCAAAAAAAAGAATCAATGAATTTTCGTTATGGGTGACACTTGTGATTAGGGTTATTTCAAAAGAAAACAATGTTGATTTATGCATAAAAGCATGCAATATTATCGGTATGAGTACAAACCCATCTAATACATATGCGCTAACTGGCGTATTGGGAAAAAAAAATTGTTTTAAGGTTGCTTCAAAGAAGACAATTGGTATAATCTTTAAAAATATAGATTGAGAAGGGATTAATGACATCTCCTTCATACATATATTGACACGATGAAGGACTCATTGTGAACGTTCAATTTCTCATGAAATGTGCTTTGTGTTTAGGCATCTCAGAAACAATATAACAAGATTTCAATTTATCATGTCCGTCTGTGCTATCATTATTATTTATTCTCCACATTATGTCGGCCTTCGTGATCACCATATAGATAAGTCCTAAGCGAAACCAATCTTTGGAGTTAGTAAAATACTACAGCTGGTGAGTGTTGAGATTGAGATAAAGGAAATTAGCCGCTTGGATGACTTCGAGGGTGAAATGGGTCGCATTTTTGAAGTTTTACAACTTATATCACTTCTGCTTTTAGAGGCTTTCTCGAAATGTACTTTTTCTTATTGTTTAAAAATTTTTTTGGCTAGTTTTGTTACTGCATGCTGTTTGAAAATCGAAGGATCTAGTGTTCCTTTATTAATAATGCTCATGATAACTTGACTCTCCTGAGGTCAACGAAAATGGCTATCTTGATTTTATGAGTTTGTCTACGCTCAAAGATTTGAAAAGCTGGTTGATGAAAACAGTACCTGGATCTAAGCCATTTGACTATCACGGATTCCTTTACTGGGATCTATGTGGCCAACCTAACATCAAACGACAATTTGTAATTGATGCCGGCATGGAATCTTTTTGAAGTAATATCTCAGAAAGGTGAATGTATTATATTTAGGCCCAATACCCAACTTCAACGGCCGTCAACAGTCCGGCTCTAGTTCATATCGATCTGGATGTTTTGCGCGAGTCATCTGGACATTTAACGATTTACCCGTTTTCAGGTGGTTTGCTTGAATACCTAAGTACGCTTTACTAGGTTATTTATTGAATCTGATCCATAGAAATTAATTACTATTCATTCATAGAGAACAAAAGTATTCGGCTATAAACATAATCCAATGAAATTGGCAATCATTTTTCCACTTAATTGTTTATTTTCTTAATGAGAGAAAGTCCATCAGTGACATGTATTAGTTCATTATTTATTTCAATTGGATTTTGTGAAGTGATGTAGAAGGCAAACCAAAAACTGAAAATAATTGAATAATGCTTTCGATTCGTGAAATTGTTTAGTGATAACCAGACATGAGTAAACATTTTGAGTCAATTCGTAATTCTTAGATACGCCGACAAGGATAAGAAGCCGCTTAGCAAAAGCAACACCGCATTTGATCACTACAATACTTATACGATTACTGTCAGTTTTAAATTCAACAACACGAAGTAAAACGCGATATCAATCAGCTCTTGCTCTAATATGTAATTATTTCTAGCATAAATAAGTTAAATGAATCACTAACAAGAAATGACTACGCGGGGTCTTTCGTTGGGCGAAAACTAAAAATGGATCTACGGAAACTAATACATTTGTAATCCACCAGAGGCCGAAATTGTTTGTCCAGTGATCCAACGGCTTCTATCTTCGGCAAGAAAACTAACGATTTCAGCGATATCAGAAGGCGTAGCAACGCGATTTTCAAAGGGTGTCATTTTGGTGAATGCCTCTCCTCCACCATATTGTTTGAGCATATCCGTGTCCACTGCTCCTGGGTTGACTTGATTCACCGTGTGTCCTTGAGGGCCTAACTCTGATGCCCAACATCTCGTAAAGCCTTCAAGAGCCGCCTTACTTGCAGCGTAGATGGAGTTTCCCGACAAACCAATTCTTCCACCAATGCTTCCGAAATTGATAATTCTACCTCCACAGCCGTCTTTTTCTTTCTTGGGAAGATGACCAACCACGGCTTCTGACATGAACAAGACAGCCCTAACGTTCACATCAAAGATATAGTTGTAATCTTCTAATTTCAACGTTCCAAGCGTTCCTAATTTAGAGCATCCCGCGTTATTAACAAGAATATGGATGGTGGGACCAAAAGCTTTGACAGTAGTCTCAACGATATGTTCAGCACTTGCAACATCACGCAAGTCAGCTTGAATACTGATGGCGTCTGCTGAAGTACCAAATCCTTTGATCTTATTCACTAATTTCTGGGTTGATTCTTTGCTACTCTCAGAGGTATAAGTAATGGCAACCTTGGCACCACGGCTTGCCAATGTCTCAGCGATTCCTGCTCCGATACCTCTGGAGCCTCCTGTAACGATGGCGACTTTGTTTTCAAGAGGAAGATTGTTGCTTGTCATTTTTTAAGAAATATAAAAGAAAGAAAGTGTATACACCGGTTCTTAAATTTCGTTTATGTTTGTTAAAATCAGCAAGCTACTTAGTGTTAGTATTAGGACGCAATTGTCACTGACGTCATCTTACTAATCAGAATATCATCTTAATGATTAGTACGGTATCGTTAGAGCTCGTCTTTAAGGAGGACTTCCATTGCTTTCGAAAACGTACAGAAGACAGGGACTCTTATTTATTTGTCTTCTGTAAGAGATAAATATTAGCAGAAAATAGGATCGCATATCAATGAAAGAAAACATATAAAACACTTAAAGATGAAGAATTTGAATAAACAGTTTGCAATGTACATCTAAAATTTCGTAGTTTTAACTTAAGTTACCAGATTTTATTTTATTGAGTTTCTTCAGTTCTACTGATCTTGAAACCAGCTCAACAAAACCACACTTCTCATATTCTTTTTGTCTTTTCTTTGTGTGAGCAGGCTTCAATATTAAGTGGGAATAAGTAGGATAAATCTCATCGAAATATATGTATACTGTTCAGATGGTGACCACTGTAAGCAAGGAATAACAACGATGTATGAAATTGATAAAAGCATCAAAATTGGAATAAAAAAAAATTATCTATTTTATGCTTTTTTTTACTACAGTGGTAAACTGAGATCTCGTACCTCCATCCAATTTTGAAGGTTACTCCGTACCCATTATAGCCACACGTATTCTTTTATGATTATGCTTCTATGAAATATGCAAGTATTATGCGTTGTTGAGTAAGTATTTCTTTAGGTCATCCTTGTAACTCACGAATGCAAGAAAGTCATTTACGAGTTTTTGGTGGGCAAGCAAACGTGTTAAGCGTTGATATTGAATGACTTTTTAAGCAATAACCTACAAAATAAAAGAGAAAAGGCAAAGAAAAGAAGGTGGAAGTGAAAAGAAGTGGGGAGAGGGGGGGACAACAAACAAAGGGGGAGGGAAGAGAGAAAAGAAGGGAAACGGAAGGGAAAAGAGAAAAGAAAACAACAAGAAAAATGAGAAAAAAAATTAAGAAAAATAAAAACAAGTTGCAAACGATGGCAAAAAGGTGGGTAAAATCGGAAAACCACCCAAGACGGCCGGTAAACAAAGGGAGACAAATGGACAAAAGCAAGATAAAAAATAGGAAAAAACCAAACAACAACAAAACGATAAAACAAACCAAGTTTGCGAGGGAAGTTTGCGAGGAAGCGGTAAACTTTTTCTTTTTGTTTTTTCTTGTTTTTTTTGAAAAAAGGGAAAACGAGACGTTTCAAGGAGAAAGAGTATTTTCTTTTTTTAAAAGAAACAATTGAAACAAAAAAATGATGATTGGGGGAAAGGTATGGAGATGAAAACCAAAAGGAAAGCATGAGGAGACCCGGGATGAAAAAAGTTTGAAAATTTTGCAAGACAATTTCGATACCAAAGGACGATTTTTTTTATTTTTAAAAAAGAAAAACAAAACTATTTTTCAAACAAGATTGTGTCAAAAACCAAAATGTCAATACGAAAATGTCAAAAAACCCATGTTCCAGAGGGTGGAAAGTGATCGTGAAAAAACAAAGTCCACACAGTGTAGTAGTGGTTGGCCTTTGGTGGTAGTGGAGACTGGGGGAAGGGTGAGGTCGACGGGAGGAGTAGTAGAAATTTTGGGAAAACACTCACGCAAATGGACGGAATTCACAAGAAAAATAAAGGAAATCCACGAGAGAAAGAGGTGCCAGGAACTATGTGAAAGGAGTGGTGTTTGAAGGGTTGGAAAAGGGAACCTTGGAAGACTTGGTAAAACAGTTGTTCATTCCTTTTCACATTGGAAAAGAAGGGAAAGAGTTCAATTGAAAAAGAAAAAGAAAATTTTTTTTTAGTAAATTGGAATTCCTTTTTTCTAATTCTTTTAATATTTTCAAGAAAAAGAAAAGATTTGAAAGAAAAAAAATTGAGAAAGAAAAAGGATTTTGCAAAGGAAGATTTGGATTTCTTTTTTTTTTTTTTTTCTCTCTTTTTTTCTGTTCTTTGTCATTAATGGCCTCATTGTATGGAAACGCGATGACTTGGCAAGGAAGAGGGAAAGAGAGAGAGAGAAAGAGAGAAGGATTGAAGAATTGGAATTTGTAGATTCGTTTTGTTTCTTTCCGTCTTTCTTTTTTCTTTTTCACGTTTGACCTCAAGATAGTTACCTGGTTGATCCTGCCAGTAGTCATATGCTTGTCTCAAGATTAAGCCATGCATGTCTAAGTATAAGCAATTTGTACTGTGAAACTGCGAATGGCTCATTAAATCAGTTATCGTTTATTGATAGTACCTCAACTACTTGGATAACCGTGGTAATTCTAGAGCTAATACATGCTAAAAATCCCGACTTTTTTGGAAGGGATGTATTTATTAGATAAAAAACCAATGCCTTCGGGCTCTTATTGGTG